CATCATGTTTCTTTCAATGATTCGTGTGTCTCAGGCCGGTATCTTCTCATCGCAGTCTCCCATTCGTCTGTAGCGTCAGTAACAGCCTCAGTTCCGGGGGCAATCCAGTCAGTCCCGGGGGCGAATCTCAGCTGGTTCCGGGGGACTTTGATGATGTCGGGACCGACTTTTGCTGCGGGCCAGATAGAGATGGATGGGCGGCAGTTATGGGACCGTGAGACCAACAGCTATAATAGTTACTCGTAGAGCCTACCTCGAAAGTCGATATCTGAGCTGTTTGGGTCATCGTATGTGTGAGGGTTCCGGGGGCAGCTACTCGCCTTTACATGAGACCACACATATACATGGACCTGCTATTGTGGGTCACATCTGCGTGTTGCCACATGTAATTTACCACGCGCCTCCGCTGCCCTGACCATCTCTTTCCTTCTATCCAACTCTGCGGCCCACCTCTCCTTACACAGCGCAGGCGCTGGAACAACTACGAAATCAAGTAGCGGTTCATACTGATCTGCACCGATACCTTTGCTCAAAGGTGATAGCGACCTCGCATCTGATCTCCTGTTAGGACCCATACCCCAAGCATAACCGCCCATTCTAGCACTCGCATACATGATCGTACAAGTCCACCAGCCCAGGAGTCTTCCTGCTGGATACATGCTTGAGCCCCGCTGGCTCCAGCTAGCCCCTGCTAGATCAAGCTAGTCCCCGCTGGCCCAAGCTGGCCCAATGTTACCGTAGGGAATGCCTCAATCAAATAGCCACTTTTAGTTAGACTTTTATATCTCCGTATAGTCCCGCTTTTCACTCGTAGTTAGTTAGTCAGCGTTAGCCTAGCTTTCTCTCTTCTTTATCTCGCTCTCGCAGTATTGTCGCTAGTATCTCAATGCAAATAGACTAGTCCTAGCATATCACTCGCCCAGTCACCACCTCCCGTGACAGCCAAGCTACCCCCAGTTAGTCTCCCGCTGGATCCAGCTAGAACCCGCTAGAACCAACTGTATGCATACTAGAACCCAACAGCACCCCAGCAGGCCCCCAGCAGGAAGAGATAGACGGGAGGGATCCAGAGCCAAGGAGTAGACTATGAAAGGGAATTATTTCGCATCGAATCGATTCTTCTTCCCAAGAATCAATCTTGTCATAAGTTACATAGTTAGAGACTTAGCTTAGCTTGATATATCACTTGCTTCTCAGAACCCAGTTTAGTCCAGTCCAGTCCAGTCTATCACTCCTCGTCCCTCGTCGCTGAGCCCATCGCCACCCAGTCCAATACAAGTCCAGTGACTAGTTGTTACGACCCTGCAAGGTTACGACCCTGCAAGAGAGCAGAGAGGAGAGTAGTGAAACCGGCACAGAGCAGAGGGCAGAGCAGAGGGCAGAGCAGAGGGCAGAGCAGAGGGCAGAGCAGAGGGCAGAGCAGTGCTCTGAGACAGAGCCGAGATCTGAGACATTGCTTACTGGCCAGTATAAGCTGTGGAGCAGAGAGCAGAGCAGAGCAGAGCAGAGCAGAGCAGAGCAGAGCAGAGCAGAGCAGAGCAGAGCAGAGCAGAGCAGAGCAGAGCAGAGCAGAGCAGAGAGCAAAGAGCAGGAGCCGACAGCAGCATAGACAAGCGCCTCAGGAATATATAAGGGAGACCATCCTCCTCTCGTTCTCCTCTTTCCATGGATCAAATTATCAACTTTACCTAGTCAGATCTTAGCCAAGACACTCTGCACTAGTCTCAAGCATTGCCTGCGTGGCCCGACAAGGCACGAGATCCATCCAGGCCTAGATTCTATCAAGCGCTCTAACTATTGTTGACTGCCGATCCCTCAAGTCCAGCAGACGCACTCCCTCTCGTCCGTGCGTCTCAAGCCTGCCACGTTACGATCGTCGTTATCCACCTAGTCCCAGTAGCCTCTAAGATCGCTAGTACAGGTTCGTAATAGTATGTACTTATATCTATAAGCTTCACAATAAATATACTATTACACATCTTCAAAGTATTCGGCCGCGTCCTGTAGGTCAGCTTGATTCGAGACGCAGACAAGTCACAGATACACTCACTTCTGCAGATATGGTGGGGTCAGCGAGACCGGCAAGTGTCATGAGCAAGATTTCGTCGAGTATTTTGGCCTTTTTGGTCTGGATGATATTGGCTGTCCGTAATTCTTGACGGAGACGGACTGCGACGGGATGGTAGGCGTATTCGGCGGGACAGTTGGCTTGGACCGTGGAGCTGAGAGGAGGGACACTGCGAGTCAGCTCAAGCACAAGCCAAGGAGATCAAGTACTGACGATGTGCGGTCTACAATGCAAAAGTTGAGAAAAGGCATCTTGGTTGAGAGATGCGCACATGGACCCCGCCGGCTGGCGACTGAGTAGTCTTTCTTCGGATGCAGTATTCTTTGGAAGGCGAGGACCGGCCCGCAGGCCTGACAGGGCTTCAGAGGGGCAGCCTTTGCTCTTTTCGCCTTGCCTGCTCCCATATCCCCACCTTTGCAAGCGGGGCACAAGAGGTTGGACGAGCTCAACTTGAATGAGTTGTCTGGGGTTCGGACGCAGGTGGATAGGAAGAGTAGATCCCGTTCTATGCGTCAGCATTGCCCCTTGTTCTGTAATCGAGCGAGAGCGAGCGGCTCACCTTGACAGTAGAATGGCTCGGTCTCGAGTGTATCGGGAGTGGCTGCAAGTCAGCATCATGACCACTTGTGGAGATGGAGACATACTGTATTTCTTGGTACTGATCGAGTTGTTATATGCGGAAAGGAGATTGCCTAGTGATCAGCTATACTCCATGACTTGGAGGGGAAGTCCAACTCACTCGCTACAATCGCCCATGTATCTGCGCTGCAGACTCGACCAAGAACGGGACTGATGACGGGTTCGGAGGGGTAAAAGACCACATCCTGGAGATCAATCCGGTACTTGGGGAACGTCGAGTGTTGGGAGATTTGATACGAGACGAAAGAGTGCGAGGAGGGTGGCTTCAATTCCTTGGGGAGGAGGCGCCAAGCTTGGTCGTGTTCCGACAGTTGAGCGATGGCGTCTGCGCGAGCCGCTGCGCCAGCCGCTGCGCCACCCGCGGCAGCCGCTCTAGCGAGTTGACCCCGTCGGATGTTGAAGTATCAAAAGGTAGGCTAGCCCGCCCCAGGCGATGCGAGGGAGTATGAATTCCAACATCGGATAGCGTCGTCGGCCGCTTTCTGCTTCTGCGCCGGCATCCAACGCGCACCTGGCGGGTCAGCTCAGCATTGGCTTTGAAAGGATGGAACATACGAGTAGCCGCACTCTTGGTCGCGGCCTCTGCCTTCTGCGCTGGCGTCCGTCTTGCTCCTGATGGTCAGCTCAACCCCAATCACCAAGCAAGAAGGACTCACTCGCCAGCTTCAGATTCGCCTGGTGATGCTCCTTCTTGTCTTCGCTCATGCCCGCATGGCCTCTTTTGATCTGCCTCGACAGCACCTTGGACTGCAATGTGTCAAGACGGGGGTTCGTTTTTCCTCGCCAGCGAGTGGGGTGAATAGGTCGGCGGAGTCGGCGAGTCGAAGGACATCTGGAGGCAGATCGTCACGGGTATAGACACGGCGGCTCTCCTTCTCTTGCCTTCGGCACTGGACGAGAGTCTTCGTGAGCCACCGGGGGTCGGCCGAGCCGGAGGTGGGGGTAAAGGAGTTGAGAACCCGGTCGAGTTGCGGGACGGGTACGGAGGAACCGGAGAATTCGACCATAGCTTCGATGACCGTATCCTGAAGATCAGCCAGTGTCTGTAGCAAAGCCGGACGTGAGACTCACGGCCAACACGCCTAGGGGAATATAGTAGTGCGGGTTGCCCCTCTTGGCATGAGACATGGGGGAGATATGAATGATGGCCGCCCGTAAAGAGACAGCAACGCCCTTACTATCCTTGACCAGGTATAGGTCGAGCATGGCGTCGCGACCGGGGGGAAAGTTGAGGTGGGGGAGGGCGGGGCACGGTACCGGAACCTTCATGTGCTTGGACGTATATCCCGGAGCCCATTGATGGATCTCCGAGAGAACTCTCGCACGGGTTTCCCCATAGCAACCCGAAATCCGACCGTCGTTGCACTCTGGTGGATCGAGTCGCGGTAGAGGGAGAGCGACTCCCCCACGATCGCCCAAGTGGCTTGCTGGGTGAGGGTGGGGTGGGAAGAGGTAGGACTGGCGGGAGAGGGGTCGAGGGACGGAGATGGTACGTGGAGGAGGGGGACGGCGCGGTGGAGAGCACGGCGAACATCAGGAACTGATCCGCAAAGACGTCCGGGTCGGACGTCCATACCGGGAGAGACCGGTATTGGCGGTCGTAGATCTTGGGCAGAAGCATATCAAAAGCGGCCTGACCCGCGCCACCGTCATAACCCTTCCTGACGAACGTGCCCATGGTGAAGTTGGGCTTGTGCAGGACGTATTTGCCGTCGTGGTTGGGCGCCCAGTCGGCGAAGAGCGAGGTGAGCCGACCGGGATGACCGTTCGGGGGTAGGATGATCAGCTAGATCCCCGTCTCCAGCATGAGTACGTACCGGACCATGCCCGCGAGCTTCAGACCAGCATCAGCTGCTATGGCCTGAGACGAGCCGGACCTGAGCCCTCGTCTCCACCTCTGGCGCTATATCTGTGGCGGTCTAAAGTCTCCCCACAAGTACAGCCATACTTTCGAAGTTTTCCAGCGCTCTGGGTGCGATATTTGGGACCCCGCCGCCCGAGACTCGGTCTGTACGAGGCACTGCCTATGACGTGAGGGAGCCCCGAATGATCAGGCGTCGTCAGCCGTTAGCCTGTTCCTCTGCTTCTCGATATAGGCGAGCACATCCTGTGGGAAGCATGCTCCACGCGGACGCCACACCCAGCCCACATCCCAGATGAGAAGTTGTGAGTGCGCCAAGACGTGCAGCAAGACAGACAACATCCCTGCCGACAGCAATGGCTATGAGACAGCTTTCACGCCTTCTACATACTCAGGTGTAGGGCTTATTGTGACGGGGTAGGGGACGAGGTGCTGGCCGTGGTGTGTGACTATTACATGTAATACACAAATGAGGTTATACAATAGCGTATGAGAACTCCTATACCACCAATCCTCCATCTTATCCTTCCTCGGGACGCCTCGCGGATGAATTTGATTCCGTGTTTCCGTGTATGGCGCGTTTGTGGGTGGCGAGAGGGATATGGTTATACTACCCCTCGACACACCTCGTACATCCGCCCGGCCCGGCCGCCCAGCCCCTTCACCGGCGTGATCACTCCTCTTCCTCTCGCCCTACCCCCTCGCCAGACCGGACCTAACTCCGGAGACGTTTTCTTGATGGACGGATGGACCGGGCCGATAGAATAGCTGTAATGAATATATCAGCAGACCAGTTAGCCTTGTTAGTTCCCCATCTCGCTATCCCTTTATACTTGCCATATACTTGTACATGCACTATGTAGATCAGCCCCGCATCGCCACTCCTGCCCGTCACCGCGACAGATCGGCAGAATCTTCGACGCGCTGCCGGGGCCGGACGGGAGAGTGTGCGCGAGGAGCTGATGGAGTGGAAGTGGGAGGGCGAGTGCGACGGTGAGCTCTCTGCGGGGCTTGGTACGACCGGACTGTTGGGGGTCAGCGAGATGTCCCCTGCCTGGGACTCCATGGATAGGGAGATGACTCACCACGCTCCTCTCGCGGGATTTGCGATGAAAGTAACGGAGGTTGTTTGGGAAGCCACATCTGGCACTGCGGACACTGCCACATGTCCCGAATGGCCTGGTGATCATCCGAGTCCGGCTCGGGGATGTCGTGCATCCAGACATGATGGTCCGCCGCCGTGATCAGTCCGGAGAGGTAGTTGAGGGGGTGGGAGAGGGATGTTAACGATGGGGACGATAATCCCGTGCGACTGGTTGGAAAGGATAGGCGAGAGCAGGTGGCAGTTGGGGTGCTGATCCCGAGAGCACCGGCGAGCCTAGGAATGATACCGACAACAGTGATCCAACTACTTCATGAGTGATATGATCAAGAGTAAGCAGAGGAATGTACTCACCGGAACCCGATCTGTGCGAGGGGATACTGAGGATATTGGAGCGCCACGACAGTCCGAATGTCCTCAGGAGTGTAATTGCGGTGGATGGTGATGAATCGCCGGAGGTCCAGGTCCTCGGAGTGGGCGAGGAGCAGCTGAAGCTGGGCCTGCGTTGAAGTTGTTGTTGAAGGAGGAGGAGAGCAGATCGGAGTTTGGTACAAGAACAAGCTGATTTATCAGTGTCCGACCATATACGAGACAGACAGCGAGCTGCATCGGTAGCAGGGCCCGTCACGGATCGTTTCCAGGAAACGCATGCCTACCGGAGGGGACGCTCGGTAGCGGCTTGCAGGCAGTTGGAGTAAAGATTAAGCAGGGTTGTCAGTAGCCGCCACGAGATCAGTAGTTATCGGTCGCATTGGCCCCACACCCTCTCCACGTGTCCGTGGGTAGCATATATCAACAACACCGTTAGCTAAGGATACAAAGCGTAATCGACCCCCGTCCGGATTCACAGCCTCGCCTCGGTCCTTGACCTGCCATCCGGGCCGCTCCCCATTGCCCATACCTCCTTACCCCATACAATCTCCAGAGCCTCCCCTATGGTGCGAACGAACTTGAACTCGACGTCTTGCTTGATAGAGTCTGGGATATCGGCCTCGACGTCCTTCTTGTTTCGCTCGGACATAAGGATACTGAGAGGTCAGCTCCAATCTAGGGCAAGCGAGGTTCGATCGTCCCGGGACAGGCGAGAAGTAGGCAGACATACCGTTTGATCCCCGCCCGATGGGCGCCCAGCACCTTCTCCTTGATGCCCCCGACCGGCGTGACCAGCCCCCTCAACGTGATCTCCCCCGTCATAGCCGTCGTCGGAGGTACTGCCCGATCCGAGAGGAGCGAGACGAACGCCATGACCATAGCGATACCTGCGGACGGACCGTCCTTCTTGATCGAACCTGACGGCAGGTGAAGCTGGAACATCAGCTTTACATTCCTCCTTGACTGGCACGGGAACAGATAGATAGGACTCACATGCACATCGACTCCCCTCATTGCATCTTGTACTCCCAGCTCTACCGCATGTGCCTTCACCCACGTGAACGCCAGGTCTGCACTCTCCTGGATGACCTCGCCTAGCCTGCCCGTACACCTCAAGCTCCCCCCGCCTGCCCTTGACCCCGGCTCGCCAGCAGATCGCTCTGCCCCACGTCCACCGTGAAGAGGCACAGTCGCCGCCTCGAGCACGAGCACCCCACCCATCCCGCTTCCTTGATAGCTGAGACCATGGACGACGCCTGGTGCAGCCGACGCTTCGCGCAGCTCTGATTCGAATCTGGGAAGGCCAAGTATGCGCTCGATATCGCCGGCTGTGATGGTGGGGTTATAGCTTGCCGCATTCGACGATAGAGACGTGTTGGCGGGGGTAGTAGCGGAGGGGACCGAGAGGGATTGGGAGTACTCGACGGCCTTGGCGCGCATGAGCTTTGCGATCTCGCGTTCGAGCGACCGGACGCCAGACTATAGGTCAGCCCTGACTTTCCGACGCAGAGGTAGACTCACTTCTCGTGTATAATCCTCAATGACCCGCCTCAATCCCTCATCATCGACGCTCACTAACCCCTCCTTCAACCCATTCTCCTCCATCTGCTTCTTGACCAGGAACCTCGCGGCGATCCGTACCTTCTCCTCCATCACGTATCCTGCGCACTGGATCACCTCGCACCGATCTAGCAGAGGAGCCGGGATGGTATCGAGGCTGTTTGCGGTAGCAACGAACATGACCTGACTGAGGTCGATGGGGACATCTCCGAGATAGTGATCGTGGAACCCCCAATTCTGGGCGGGATCGAGCGCTTCCAATAGCGCAGCGGACGGGTCGCCATGGAACGAGTTGGTAGAGAGCTTGTCCATCTCGTCGAGGAGGATGACCGGGTTGCTGACACCGACCTTGCGTAAAGCTTGAACGGGCAGGCCAGGTAGAGCACCGACATACGTCCGCCGATGACCGCGGATCTCCGCTTCGTCGCGTACGCCGCCGAGGGAGATGCGGTGGAACTTGCGACCCAAGCAGGACGCGAGGGAGCGGGCGATACTGGTCTTGCCGACGCCAGGTGGACCGACGAGGAGTAGGATCGGGCCCTTGTCGCGATATCCGCCAACAGGGGGCCCGTCTTCGATTGCGGGAGGGAGTGGGGCCTCGGCAGCAGCGCGCTCATCGGAAGGGATCAATTCGAGCAGTTCTGACGCCGTCGACGGGTCTATCGGTGCACCGTTGATGGAGGGAGCATCGGAGGAGGTCTTCTTCGCTTGTGCCACAGCAAAGAGTTGTTTTTTGAGCCTGTACGTCAGCTTGATCGCCTTGAAAGACGTCCTCCATGTGTAGGGAAAGGGAGGCGGGTTGTGAGGATTATGGTGCGGCGAACGTATATGAGCTGAGAGGGATAGATGGGATGAGCACCAGGAGATCGCGTACTCACCGATACACCGCCAGATACTCGACCACCCTCCGCTTCACCTCTTCCAGACCCTCATGCTCCTCCTCCAACCTCTCCCTTGCCACCTTCAGATCCACACTCTCATCCTCCGACACCCTCTTCCATGGTAGCGCCAACAACAGCTCGAGATACGTCTTCGCCACGCCGTACTCCGCGCTCTGGGGCGGAATTTTGCTAAGGCGTGCGAGCTCGCGGATGGTGGTGTGATAGACTGCGCCGGTCAATTCGGGAGTACGCCGAGCGAGGAGGGCGTGGAGAGGTTGAAGATCCTCGGGAATGGGGGTACCGCCGAGTGGAGGTGCTGCTGGGGCGGGACGACGGATGAGCGCTCGCGAAGCAGGCTTGGGCGGTCTAGGAGTTTCGTCTTCGTCCACGAGCTTGACGACGGCAGCGGTGTTTCCGCCTCCCTCCCTCTTCTTGATAACGTCCATCATTGCTCCTTTGACTCTCGTCGCCCTCTCGTCAACATCAACCAACCCCAGCATCTCGACCCTCAACTCCCAATCAAGCGCCAACACCGTTGCAAGCACATCGGCTAGCAGGCCAATAGGCATCTCCTTCATACGCTCGTGTATCTGCGAGGGGAGGAGTTGGGTCGCGGGCTCCCACAGGCCTGAACCGTCCTTGTCCCCGGATGCGAGGAGGGCGGCGGAGGAGTGGATGGTGGGTATCGGGAGGGAGTAAGTCGACAGGTAAAGGGGTACGCCGGGGAGGATAGAGAGGACCGGAGGTAGTGAGCGGGGAAGGCGGACTCGGGCTAGGCCTTCGAGAGTGAGGATGAAGGAGGAGGAATCGGTTTTGGATTGAACAATGCGCTTGATCCGAGCGGCTAAGCCATGAGTATCATTCTTTTTTAATGAGGTACCGATCCCAAAGGCGATAAGCGACGCACCTGTTGCCCATCTTCCTACCCTCCGCTCGATCTCGACGACCGGCACAACCCCCACAATCCGCTCCACTGCCCCCGCCTCTGAGTCCGGCTTCTTTGGGCTCACATGCGACCTGTGGCGCTTCGCGTTGTCGCTGATCGATTGGAGAACGACCGCCGCTTGTACAGCCTGGAGAGTGACCTCGATGGTGAGATGTGGGAAGAGCACATGTGGCGGCGCAAGAGGGAGAAGAGGGAGAGTGGCCGGGAGGAAGGGGGTGGACGACATGAGGGACCGGGTGATTGGTGGGATCTGCGCTTTCGAGCTCCCTCTGTGAGCCAGCGGCTCGATGTGGATCAGGCGCTGAGCAAGAATTTCTGCGCTGCGTGGACGTGTATTGGGTCTGTATATGGATGGAGAGAGCTGTACAAGATGTATAGATAGCAGAGTGGAAGGCTGATCGATCGAGCGAAGTGACATCTTGATCTCGGTATTTCCCATAGCCGAGGCCGAGGTGGGTGGCGATATTATTGGGTCCCCTCCATTAAAGTGAAAGTTGCTTCTTGTTCAGATATCTCCCCTTTTGCTCACACCGTTCCTCAAGCGACTGTCGATATCATCGCATCATGAAAGACCATCACCGCACCTCTCATTCACCAGTACTGATGTCATGAAATATAAGATTGAGGGGGCGGTTGGACGGCGCCTTGCGCAAAGCACCAAGCCTCATACTCTCCGGAGTCCGGACGCTGGTCAATTCTCACTATGGAAGCTAACGAGCGACTGACAGTATTGACGGGAACAGCACGCCGTCATCACTCCGCCAGGCCAGACAGGTCTCTTTGCCGGACTTAAGGTTCGCACAGATCGCCCGACGGTCGAGTCTCGACCGAGACGGCACCTTGTGTCAGCGCTATCCGCCCTCAGCACTGCGGAACATCAGCATCAGCGGTCAGTCTGGTCAGCTGCTCGTTTCCGGCCGAGGCGGATGACCTAGAGGCTACACATCGTGCTGTGTTCTGATGATGAATGATCGATCGCTTGAAGGCCCGAGTCAGGTACAGGAGAAGCAGAAAGACTCAGGATGAAGAGGAAGCAGCTGGATAAACGGATCTAATCTGGACCTTAGTCAGCCTGTGTCGCCATCGTCACACGTCAGTGTGCCGTTCGGCAACTGCTTCGGGCACGTCCCAATGCAGCATCAGAGGCTGCTTGATGGTGCAGAAGTGCCTCCGGCCGACTGGTTGGACAGTCAGCTGTATGAGTCCATATCAGCCGCAAATATCACAGCAGCAAAGAGTATCAGCATGTGATGAGTAACTGCATGCTAGTGGGATCTCCGGGACACAGAAGCGATCATTCTGTCAGCTTTCCCCCGCTCGCAACCGTGAAAAGCTTGCACCGCCTATCGGGACGCAGAATCCAGTACACCGCACGCGCGCACGATCCGCGGCAAGACCGGCATGCTTCTGCTTGCGGGGCATGGGTCAAGAGAGGCGCTTCGGTCCAACCCGAACGGGCACGATCTGCTGGTTGAGTCAGCTAGCCTGAAGGTAGGAGGGATTGCTGGGGTCCACGAGATCAAGGATCGAAGCTGGAGGTGGAGCTTCAGTAAATCCTCCACTGGGATCTCAAAGCATGTACGAGTCCGTAGACACCGATGTCAGACATGCAGCTTCCTGAGGTGCCGCGTGGAGACGTGGACCCCCCAAGCAGCTAGATCTGTACCCTGCGCCTGACTGCCATTGACATCAAGCGTGATCTACTGCGGAGTTAGCTTTTGTGCGATTCCAGATATAGGCAGAGCTGCTCACCCACAAGTAGAGAAGAGAGCCTCGCAATGCGCAGTCTAAGCAGGTGGACCCTGAGCTGGGGTAGGAGAGGTCACCTAGGAGGGATGCCAAATGGGAGATGACCATTGACGGAGGGGGAACGGGCGTGACGGTAGAGAGCGAGTGTGATCTCTAGATCAGCGCGACGTTTGATGGCACGAATCAGCAGCTCAAGCAGTGTTAAGAGCAGGTCTAATCAGCGCTGCTCCCCATATACGATCGATGTGGCGGTGCACATTGGAAAAAGTCGAGTTCCCAGGGTACGTGCACAGCTGAGCGCATAGACAGGGGTGCAAGGTGTGGGGCGGCGGGCGGCGGCGAACGGGGTGCGTTTGAGGGGCTTGCAGGTAGCGGGAGCCGGTAGCGGGTGGCGAGCATCGGTAGTAGTAGTAGAACGGACGAGTGACCCTGGATCATGAGCGACCAAAAATGTACAGATACATGAACAGCGAATGGAGCTTGGGACTGGTCGACACGTGGAACTGAATGCCGAGACCGGAACGGGGGTTAGCTGGGTGCAATTAAGCCACTGCGCGTGATCCTTGGACGTCGGAAGCTTAGCGAGAAAGTGACAGATCAGGAGCGGAAGGCAGATCATTTTCGGGTGCCGCTCCCGAAGATCGCGTTCCTGCTCGCCCGTGGCAAGTGGGCACGGAGTAGCTGCGGTGGCAGGCGGAACTGAGCGGTAGAGGAGTCAGCAAAAGGTGAGGAATGATAAGGTAGTCCGACGAGCATAAAGTGGAGCGCGGAGTCAGTAAGTCCGGCATGACCTAGTGTGACACCCTAGTGTGACACCCTAGTGTGACACTAGGTCAGTGTTGCATCAGACTTCCATGCGGATGGCAGAAGTAGTCAAGACCCGCAGCAGACATCGTAAGGCGCAGTATATCTCACGAGTGTCTACGCATGTTATCTGACAGTGAGGGAATGAGGAGGAATCCACTGTACAAGTCAGTCAGGAGCACGTGAGATGAGTAGCGGACCCACCTTTATCCGTTGAGACGCCCGAGGTCACGCTGGACCCGACGGCCTGTAGTAGCGACTCAGCTATCTGCCGACTGGTCATTCGACCTGTGCAATGCCGAAGACTTGAGGTGCAGGACGCTTTGTGTTGTACGAGGCTCAGAGAGAAAAATCCATCGAATGGCGGTGCCCGAATATGCGGCGCCGCGACAGTCGGAGGGGACCTAAGCGCTGATTAGCTAAATCTCTGAGTAACTTGAAAGCTAGACCTACAGCTATCCGGACGGAATAGCAGCTGCGCACAAGAAGGCTGTCACGACCGTTTCGGAGATGCCAAGTCCAACCATGACTCGAAACTTTCTTCATAAACTCTGAGCTATGATGTGTGAGCTTGAGCTCGATGAGCTTATGTTACTTGACGTACGGCTTCAGTGGTGACTCTGCGCCAAGCGATGTATATGGAGACGTACTGCAAGCCGATTCGACGTTGATACCGGAACCGACTGAGTCGTCATTGTCGGCCGAGACCTGTGCGAATGGGGTCATGCGGATATAATCTGGACAATGGACAGAGTCCTGGCCGTCCCGGCCCTTTGCGCTTGAACTTCGACTTCTTGACGATCTTGAGGGCAGACTACATTCGTCAGCGCAGCTCTGCAGAGGCCTCCCATACCTGGCACTCACCGAGAGCCAAACGAGGAACAATGAGCCGATACGTGTCATTCTTCGGGTATAGGCCTGGCGAAAGGGCCTGTTTCGCCGTTCGAGGGGGGACGCGTGGCGATAGAGATCAAAGATATTGACTGCAAACGTCAGCATGGTCTAATACTCAGAACCAAATAGACTTACTTGGCGCTGTGATCGTAGATGAAGCTCAGCTTGAGTATATCGTGGAGCTGGACAAGAGTGCTGATACGGCATAGGCGAGAGCTGAGGCAGACCTCCGACCGGTGGTGGATCGGACTCGCTTCGACGCAGTGTCTGCGGACACGAGTGATGGTGCTTGTTGGTGCCTTCCATCTGGAACTGTCAGCCAAGTCGACGGAGCAGGCGGAGTACTCACCTCAATGGTCCGGTGGACCCGTACGCCCCAAAGCCGATCTGGTTCTCGCCCGTCATGTCCCTCGAGAAGTCGCCACTCCAGCTCACACCGCCTTGACCGAGGGGCAATGCCCTACAGCCGGTCTTAGATCGCGCTGTCTCCCTTTGCCCATCAGAGCGCACGCTCAGCCACCATCTCAGTATCCCCCTTTCCCGGCCGGTGCCCAGACCTCCTCTTTACAACGCCATCGGGCATAGCGAGGTGCTACCCGCCAGACAGCCTCCGAGCCCGATCTCCCTGGACCAGCGCTGTGGAGATGTGACGGCGACCGCGCGCAGATACACTGTGAGGAGCGCGAGGTGTAAGAGACGCGGAGGGGAGAGGGCTGGAAGAGTCCGGCCTGTCATGCTCAGCCGAGATTCAGGGGGAAGTGCAGGGGACGCACGATGTTGGTGGCGGGTGTGCAAGGCGAAGTAGAGTCTGGCCTGGACAACGAGGAAAGAAGACAAGAGGAGCGTATACGTACTGGAAAGTCGATGTCGACGAGCTGGTCGTCGATAAGGTACCGCTGGTGCGAGCTTGACTTTCGGCCACATCGCTGAGCTCGGTTTCGGCAGTCTGGTCGCGGCGGGGAGCTCAGGCTCTTACTTGACTGTCTGTTGGATCAGCTTTGCGCTCTGCTGGAGGACTGAAGACTGACCTTCTCGCATGTCCCTCTCTCCAAATGACCCGCTGGCTAGATCTCCGCCGTTGTGCAGGCTAGAGGAGCTGTACCATCAGCTCGACCTTCTCCAGATCCGCCAGGGTTGCGGGACCTACGAGATAACGAGCCAGATCCCTATGACCCCCAGGAATTCTCCCTTAACATCGGAGAATACACTTGCTCCCTCTTGAAGACTTGAAGAGACCGTGACTTGCACGCCGTCAAAGCCATTCCAATCGCGCTTGTGCACGCGGGCTCGCCGGACTGTTCCCGAGGTTGGCATTCCCTAGGTCCATAGGCGAGGACGATAGCGATGACACTGGCTTCACAGTCTAGCTGACTCTGGTTGCTTCAGTCTGTCCGAGCCAGATTCAGCTACATCTGAATCTTGAGATCAAAGCTCCTCGCCGTCGATGAGTACGTACTTGTGAAGGGCCTACATCTTGGAGAGACCGGGCTCTTGGAGCATAAGTGCTACTCGTTAATCTGGTCATCTAAGGCCGTGACCCCTTTAGAGGCAAAGGTCGGCAATACGAGTACCATGGTCCGTCGGAGGTCATTAGACGATGCTGAGAGGCGCTCAGATGCGAGAATAGGTAAATCAGTAGCTGATTGCGATCTATATCGACCATCCCATATCAGGACACGTAGGAATGGTCCTGAGATACAGCTCTGCGGTTCTCAGAGCAATGTTGCTCGGTTGCCGCGAGGACGTGAACAGGGGAGGGGGCTGAGCGATGAACCTAGGCGCTGCAGGCAGCCCAGCGGTCACACTGTTCCGTGCTGATGAGACAGTGGGCTCTCCCTTCGCCTGCGCCGGCATGCGTGCTGGCGGTGTGCCTCCCATAAGGTGCAAGGTGATGTATGGAGAGATAGCGAAGGTGATTTAGTTGCGCAAGCAGCAGCCTCAGCTGGCCAGCGGGGTTGGATGATACTGCGACTACGTCATCCACGTCACCATTCCTCCACCAATTTTGCTTCCGTCCGCCGCGTCGCGTCCGTCGCGTCCAGCCTCTCCTGCTATGTATCTCATTCAGTAGTTGACCGTTGACCTCTCATAGAACACCTGCGCAGGACCCGAGCAGTATTTCCTCTACGTGCGTACACGGAGGGAGGATTGGATACTTCTGACTGAGCTGAATTTGTCGTAGACCCTACCTCGTAGACCCTACCGTCGTACCTTCCCACTGCAACCTCCTCCTCCACCCGCCAGCGCCATGCCTCCACGAAGAAAAGCAGCAGCGGCTCCCACAGCCGAGCCCACAGCCGAGCCCACTCCATCTTCTTCGGAGACTACTACCACCTCCCCTCCCTCCTCTACCGACTGGTACCTCCTCCACGCACGCATGCTCGAGATCAACGACCCCCAAATCTGGCGCCAGATCCTCGTTCCGCCAGACATCACCGCCCAAGATCTGCGGTGGCTCATGACGGCGGCGTTTGGCTGGGCGGGGGGACACATGTGCATGTGGACGGTGCGCAAGGTGACTAGCATCGAGGGCAAGTCAGAGCCGCTGGTAACCGAGATCAACCCGGAGGGATTTGCGATCCCCATGGCGGCGTTCGGGTATGGGGATGCCAACCAGGATCCAGACGCGGACTTTTCGGCGTTCGATGAGGACGGCAACTCCAACCATGGACTCAAAGACAAGCAGACCCTCGCCGAGCTCGACAAGCAATACGACTTTACCAATAACAAACACCTCCTCCATTGGGAGTACGACATGGGGGATAGCTGGGAGCATATCATCATGGTGGAGAAGAGGATGTCGGAGGCAGAGGTGCGCGAGAGCGGGGCGCTGGCGGGTGGGGCGAAGAAGGGAGTCAAGCGGACCAGTACGGGCAAGGAGAAGGAGGCAGAGAAGGCGGAAATCAAGTTGACACCGAAGATCCTGGAGGGGAAGGGTCATGGAGTCGCCGAGGATGCGGGATCGTATCCGGGCTGGGACGATCTGAAGGATGCGTACAAGGCCAAGGGGACAATGAAGGACAACGAGGAGTACGAGAGCCGGAGGGACTGGTACGAGGACAGCTGTGGGAATGGGGATCCCAAGGGACTGAAGGGGAAGAAACGTTTGGAGCACTTTGACGTTAATGAGGCGAATGCGGCTTGGACGATGTACAAGGAGACTTGGATCAGATGAGATGTGAGTTGGGGGCAAAGAGGACCGAGCAGTGATCCAGCACTTATCGGGGGACGGTAGGTCATTTGACATAGAGTAGCGTGAATAGCTTAGAGGAATCCGAGGGAATAGGCAGAGAGACGAAAATCAGTACAGCTCGGTCCAAAAAGCAGCGGACTGAAGGAGCGGTCGGACAGTCAGTGAGGGTCTGTCGTAGCGCGGACGGTCAGGAGGCACGCAGTGCATGGATGGGCATCGTCACGGGCGGCTATGTTGGCGTAATGCAGACGGGATGGACACATCGAGCTCCTGGAAGATCAGCTGCGTCCGCAATCCAAGAAAGGAAGGATAAGCAGAGGGTCGATGCAGGGAGGCGAGCTTACCTGAGCGCAGAGCAGCGCTACTGATGCTGCAGTGGACTCGGTCTAACTTATGGGCCATGCCCAAGAGCTCCTTCGGCTCTCCCGCCTCCATCCTACCTCCTTTCCCTCGCCAACGTACGCTCTCCCGTTATCGCCGGGGTCAACGGCACCGCGAGAAGGCCGTGAGTACATCCTTGAGCGCGACTGATATACAGAGCACCGCGACTGCCCGGAGAATACTGGGCAGAGCTGGTCCCCCTTCCGATCATGTTCGCCGCTGCCGACTACGTTCGCGATGCCACGCTGGCGGGCACACAGTATGGCGCTGTGGGAAGATTCTTCCACGCCCAGTTTCCTGAGCGGGCACGGACGTACCGCGCCGAAGGCAGCATCCGCAACCGCTTCTCTCGCGACGTAGTCCGGGTTGAGGCAAGGAGGCAGCACTGGGGGCGGTACCGATGGAGGGGACCAGCCGATGGGATGGGATAAATGGAGCGCCTTCTGCAACGAAAACGAGGGTCGGTAGATGCCGCAGGTACATTTGGGTCGCCTTTGGCTCCGGCCTTGGCAACAACAACCAGCGGCCCATCTGGTCCCCCTCCTCCCGCGGCAACACCACGGTCACGCACGCCTGCAAGCGCTGGAACAACAAGCAGTCCTGCCCTGGTGATACCTGCAAGTTCAAGCATGCCTGCATTGTCTCCGTCCAGAGTCACCCGTCCTGCGACGCGTATCGAAATGTGGTAGCAATGGTGGCAAGGGCGGCGGTGGTAGTGGCGGCGGCAGGGGTCTCGGCGCTAGGTTTGGGGGATGATTGCTTGCGGCTGTCTGGGGACGGCGACCGACGATAAAATGGGGTGTAGCGGCGGCAGGGGTCTCGGCGCTAGGATTGGGGGATGATTGCTTGCGGCTGTTTCGGGATGGCGACCTAGGATAGTACGGGGTAGCTAGCGGTTGCGGCTTCCAAGATTGGAATTTTGTATGGTCGGTGGCTCGTAGTCTGCTTAGCGGAATGTACGTATTGCTTGCTTCGTACTCAGATCCTAACTAGTCAGCTCGGGTACAAGTGGCATGTCTGGATCAGGGGGAAGAGGGTTCAGTAAATAGCAAGTGTCCGCAGGGCCCGGAGGTCTAGGGGGAAAGAAGACATAAAGTGCTGAGTAACATCCAAGATGCGCAGGATAGAAGTTGGGAAAGTGGATGATGCCGGAGGAAAGAGGAGAACATACCTCAACTCCCCAGTCCCGCCGTCACCATCCTCCACAAACTCGACGTCAAATGTAGGCCCATCCCGGATGAACGGCCGCTCCGAGGTATCACCCTCAAACAGCTCGGCGTCGCGTCCGTACTTGTTGTTTGGAGCCGGCAGGCCCAGACCGTTCTTGACGCGAGAGCGCGAAGCCGCTGAATATCAGCTTCTTCCTTTTGCTGACGTACCAAATATTTGCTCTCCGCGAAGGTCATTGTCTCGGTCGGCGCGTCTGAAATGACTTGCGCGGCACCGGACGGGGGAGAGGGATACGGCGGAGGGAGGGACCCGACAGAGACGATCGGGGTAGAGGGTGCGGGGAGAGGCGTGGACGGAGAAACGGTGAGCCAATGACATCGATTGGGAGGACGAGGGGGGTCGAAGGGCGAGAAGCTGGAGGGGACGGGGATAGGCAGCCTCGCTAGTGACGTTCCGGGTGGGGGTGATGGCGGGGTATGGATAGGGGTGTGCGGAGATGAGGTCGAACGGGGATGATGGGGCGGGGGTAGCTATCTCCTCGGTATCAGGTGAGTGTACCAGACGTTCAAGCGCAGAGGGAGGGGACACCGTGAGGTCGGATATATACAGGTCATGCATGACCCCTGCTGCGGATCGCACGGAGCCGAGCTGGCGATCGGGTTGCCCGGCACGGGGAGCGACCCAGGCGTGACTTAGTGTCGACGAGTAGCGGAAGCGCCGAGGGAAAGCCCCGACCTTGGGCCCGGCCGACCCACTGTTCTGCGAGCCGAGGAAAAGCAGAGCGTCTGATGAGTCAGCTGGGACCAGGTCATGAGAAGAGCGGGCTGGAGATCGAGGAGGAAGAGGGTGGTTTCAGTATATAGCAGTTGTCCGCAAAGTCCGAAGATCTAGGGGGAAAGAAGACGTAAAAAGCTTATTCTCATCCGAGATGATATGGCGAAGGTGGATTGTAGGGCAGAAGGCAACTGAAGCTTACGGGTTGATTGATGGATACGAGTTTGGACGTGGGCGAGTGCAATGGCTTTTTGTGTCGGTATCTGCCGAGTCAGCTGAGGGCACTGACATACGACCAAAGGGGTGTAAGGTGGGGTAGGTGTCAGATAATAGCAGTTGTCCGCAGAGTCCGAAGATCTAGGGGGAAAGAAGACATAAAATGCTTGAATACATCTTGGAAGGTGGGGAAGGGATGAAGAAGTAGGGGAAGAGATGCTCACGTTGACCGGGCAGCGTCTCCCGACAGAGGATAGCGACTCCAAAGCAGGGCAGCATCCCAGCTGTTTGACTCGAGTCCGCCTATTGATCAGCTCGATCCCAGATATAATCAAGGCACGGGTACAGAAGTGGGTGAGAGGAAGCATGGACGGCAGATTGTGGGAAGCCATGGCTGCGAACCAAAGACCGTGGAGGGAGGGATGGGGCGGGGCGGACGGGCGGAAGGACATTGATCAGGGAGATGCTAGATTGAAAGACAGACTTACCTGAGTCAGATGAGAATCCGAGGCTGCAGCTCCATCGCGCTAGCCAGCAGGAGGGGAAGCGTCCCGGTGCTGGCCTACTCTCCGGCTTCAACCCCTCCCTCAAGAGGATTCCCTCCGCCCCCTCCCCCTCCAGCGCCTTATCATGCTCTGCCTCCAACGCCCCCCATCCTCCTCGTGCCCCGCCCTACCCGTCGCCGCCTCGAGCGTTCCCTGCCGCCCCCTCAATGCGCCCACCGCGTACGCCTCAAGCTCGTCGTGGCTGCTACCAGCCTCTTCCCCAGCGCCCCTGCCGTGCCGTCCCGCAGGACCCCTCAGCGCCGGACGGGGACCTGCTATCACTGAGAAAGGCGACGGAAGGATGCGCGGGGAGTTGTGAGCGAAATGACAGTTGGGAGACGGCGGGAGTAGGTTCTCGACGGGTAGCAGTGTCGTGGCGAGGAAGGGGTTGTTGATTGCTCGTAATCGTGGCTGGCCAGCGTGGCCGGCGTCTTCTCCTCTCGTCTTGGCGGCTCCGTCGTTTGTTGTCCAGCGGCTCCGTCGTGCGGCTTCTCCTAGGTCTTTGCCGGTCCGACGTTGCGTCCGTACGTTCCGAGCTGGATAAGATCAGCTTGATTCCAAAGCAGTCACAGAACATGAGAGGAAGAAGGGGGGAATTCAGTAAATAGCAGTTGTCCGCATGTCCTTGGACTAGGGGGAAAGAAGACATAAAATGCTTGAATACATCCGAGAAGATTGGGGATGGCGAACGAGGAACGGGAGTGGAGGAGTTGAGGAGGAACGGCGCTCACCTTTGGGAAGTTGGACTGAAGTAGATCTCGAGAGTATGAACTGCGGAGTCAGCTTGAGTCCGTGAGTTGGGCTAGAACGGGTCGGATACTAGGGCGTAGACACTACAGAGGAAAGAGGGATGAGCGAGCCTAGGAGGTTGTGGGGAAGGACACGATCAGTTTGGAGCAGACGCCTACATTTGCACAAGTCGATGCCCCGGTCTCTTGCTCGCGCGATCCGGATATGTATCGTGATCATGCCTGCTTCCGAGATCAGCTTGAGCCTTTGTTGATGACAAAGAAGTTTAAAGGAGGCGCAGGGTTCAGAAAATAGCAGTTGTCCGCATGTCCGTAGACTAGGGGGAAAGAAGACATAAAATGCTTGATGACATCCGAGAGGGGAAGGAGGGATAACAGGGGGAGTGAAGGGCTTAAGCAGGTTGAGACAACTCACTATCTTATTGGAGCGTAGCCAGAAGGTCTTGATGGTGCCTGCGTAAGCTGTACCGTCGTGAGCAGGTCTCGAACTGATCGCGCCGTAAGCGAGTTCCCGATAGACTGCAAAAGATCCCAAAAACATCATGCACAACTAGGGAGCCGGGGGTCCCAGACCCATCTCTATATGTCTATATACTGCGAAGTCAGCGCAGTCCATCCCAATCCGGTCGAGCAGAGGCTGAGGAGGGGGATACTCACCTCGTCAATGATATAATCCTGAACTCGTGCTTCCCTCCCGGATCTGCCGTATGCACCTCATTCTCGCAATTCAACACATGATCGCCGGGCCTGAAACCGGATAGGGGCAACGATCTGTTTAAAGTCAGCTCTTGATCCCGCTTGAGGGGAGGGCAGAGAAGGACGAGGACTCACTGAGCGATGTTGAAGTTCTGTGGCCAGTAGCCCTCCATCCTCACTCCATCATCTTTCGCATCGTCCACCCAGCACCAGAGATTCCCGAGCCCAAAGATGGCGCTGCGGAGGTAGTGTAGCTGGACCTCGCCAAGGGCGGAGGAGAAGGCAAAGGAGATGGTGGCGCCGGGTTCGGTACTGATCCAGTAGTGCTTTTCGCCATGAGACCATTTGCTCCTGGTGCGGGTCAGCTACATTCCTACTTGGTGGAGTACTGCGAAGAGCGAGGTACTTACCATCCTTGTTGCTTGAGCGGCTCGAGCTTGTGTTTTGAGGACTTCATCGAGAAGCAGCTTGGTCGGAGAGGCGGGACGACGGTGGCTGGGTCGTATTTCTGGTTGAGGCGCATCTGGACGTCAGCTTCCGGTGAGAATAAGGTACGGATAGCCGGAGAATCCAAACATACCTTTGGGACCTCAGCCACGGGATACTTATCCTCAAGTCGCTTGCCGCTCCACTCTGGTCCGGCGTGGAGAGCACGTCGTTCCATCTCGCAAAGCTGCATGTCGATGTAGGCGTTGACGAGATCGGCAGTCATGCGGTGGCCGTACTGGCTCAGCTGGATAGGTCAGCAATAGTCAGGAAGTTTGGCTGACACAGATGCCCCCCGCTCCACCCCTTACGCGACGCTCGATCCTCTCGCCGCCATCCAGCTCAAGAGATAGCCATGACCGGTCCACCACGTCATGGTCGTCGACGAGATAGCCATTACCGACGCCCACCACGCCCAGCTCCCTGCCTTCCCGCCAAGCCCCACAACCCTACCCATTTGGTAGCCCGAGCACTCCACCGTGACCAGCCCCGTCCACGGCAGAACCCCCATTACTTGATTGCAAACTCACATGCCGAACATCCATACCTTCCAGCTCGCCCTTCTTGCCCTCATTCCTGTTGAAGAACTTTTCGACACTGGCAAAGTTGGCCATGAGGTCCGGGAGGAAAGGGTTGCGGAGGGAGATGGACGGGATGTCGTAGAACTCGTTGAGGCCTTTGTGCTGTAGGAGTCAGCTTGGTCCAGGAGTGTCAACGGAGTATCTTAGTGGGCCGGGAGAACGGCAACGGCGAGGGGGTGGGGCTGAAAGGAGGGAGCGAGGCTTGGGCATTGACCCAGAGCAAGAGGAGGAAGACGCAAAGACGAGGAGGATAGCTAATCTGCTGGCAGCGCCTGGCAGCGCCGAGAAGCGAAGCTCACCATTTCCCCGCCGAACGCGATGGTTTCGAACAGCAGTGCGAAGATCCTAAAATAGTCAGCTTCCGTGTATTGCAGACCTTCAAATCAGAACGCCCCGGCCCAGTCTACCTTGGAGCTGAGTCAATCGGGGGTTAGGGACGCAGTACTCACTCGACATTGATAACGGCGGGTTTGTGTGGCAAGTCGAGGAGGGATCGGACCATAAGCTCATACGACTCGATATTGTGAAGAAGACTGGATGATCAGCTTTGTCTGGGAGACTGGCGTGTATAGAGAAGGACAAGACAAGCGGGGATGATGGATTGAGGGAATTATAATGCAAGTTTAGGGAGCGAGGGGATGGCGGTGCTAGGAATCGGATGAGGACTGAGGGTGAGGAGTTGGCGGTCTGACGTGGCGGAACAAGGGGATCACGGAGACTGGTAGGGACGATCGCCAGCGCTCGACCCGCGGAAGCCTTGGAGAGTAACGTGGAAGATGGAGAGGAGAAAAGGTCAAGGAAGGTGATGGGGGACGAGCAGAACATTGCAAAGGAGAGCAAAAGAGCACAAACGTACGGCTCGTCATTGATAGCTGTTGGGCGTCAGCCAAGCGCCTCCTCGAATCTGGTTACACGCTCATGCGGTTTGGCTCTTGGGTTTTGTGACCATACTCTGCCAGACTGCTGCCCAACGCCGTACCCCGCCCTCCGCTCCTTTTGAGCGTGTCCGATTCTACCTCTCCCGACTGTATTCCCACGCTCCGCCCGATTTGTCCCGGCTCTTACCCGCTCTCCAGCGCCTGAGCACAGAGGTTGCCTTCTCCTCCTCCGCAGCTCTCGCAAACATCCCCCGGTCCGTCCCAACACACGGAAACTCCTTGGATGGGACGTGTCCCCGACCACACCCCTCGCCCGCTCAAGTATCTCTCCCGCTGAGCCAGTCTACCAACATCCAGAAAGAAGGGAAAACTCACCCAGCTCCACGATAAACAAATCCACGTCCTGGTCCATATGTTCTCCCCAACAATACGCAAAGTAATTGCTCCCTGTTCCCCCTTGTGCACCATTCACGAGCGCGTTCTTGCCGTCCTTCTTGCCCGATACGCCAAAGACTACTTTTCGACCGGTAGCTGATCCGACAGGCGATTCGGATGCGGGGTCGAAAGGGATTTTATCGTGGGCGGATAAGGGAGATAGGGCGTGGAGGTGTTCAAAGATGATGCGGTGCATGATGGCGGGTCGGTACCAGGGCTCGCGGGGTTCGTCTTCGCCCCAGAGGATACCGTTGCCTTGGGAGACTATCGGGTCAGCGTTATCCTACAGAAGGTTCAAGGTGGACGGGTTGAAAATGGCAGAAGGGTAGAACAGCGAGATCTCGAGGAGGTAGAGGAATCACCCAACTTACCTGATCCACCGATAACGCCTACTGTGAAGGGGTCTCCAGCTTTGATCTTCGCCAGTAACCGTCTCAAGCGATCATTCGACCCCGCATGCGATATAGCCCGGTTCAGCCTGTCCTCTCTGAGGATATCAGCGATTGATCTATGTGATTTACGGAGTGAAAGGGAAAAGACACTCACCCAACCTCATCGCACAGCTCTGGAGCTACACCGCACATCGTACATCCCTGTCCTCCCCTCCCTCGCGCTGATAGCTCCCCATTAGCGCTACCGCCTCCACCTCCCGAGGTCTCGCTATGTGGTGCGAAGAGCAAGGACTGCCCATGGCCGATTGGATAGAGCGAAAGGAAGAGGACGATGTTGATTACGATTGAAGATATGAGGAGGAGCCTATTTGATGGAGGCATGTATGCTATATTCCTCATCTAGAAGGAGGGGTATACTAGGTGTATGGGTAGCATGAGATGTGTAGCTGATGAAGGATGACATGTGAATTGAATGATTTGGGTGAAGGCATAGGTGAGCAAGGGGAAATTAGGTTTCGACTTTCGACCCCCTCGTTTCAAGTGATCACAAGTGGGGGGCTCATTTACATCCAGAGCATACAGTACGGGTACCTCCCGCTCCACAGCCACATGCCCGACGGCCGACAAGCTCAAAGGGCGATTGCTCTTCTGCTATTCTCAACTCTCACTCATACTCATATATACTCACCGTCGAGCACAGCGTCAGCCACGCAGGATGGCAGCTCTCCGTCCGATGCTGTCTCTCGCACGAGAAGAGACAACCCTTATCACCTCGGAGCTCGCTTCAGTGGCGTCGGCAAGTCGGGTGGCGATTGGCGATTCGGCGGTAGGAGCTGGTAGGGTAGCGGCCGAGATGAACCCGCTGGCGGTCAAGCAGGCGATTAGGGCCGGGGCGGACGAAGGGTCTGGATGTGAGTATCACAAACTCTCGCTATGTCGGAGAAATCGTCAAGAAGACAAGCTGATACGGTAGTCGGGGGAATGGGCCTGCGTCAAACCTTGGAGGTCTCAGCGAAGGACATGGGCTGTGAGTCCCTATTCACCATCTCGGCTGGAGCATTTGCTGATATACATAGCTGTGACACCTCTTTCACGTCAAGCAGTTGAAGCAGGCATGAAGGAAGGAGGTACGTCCTACACGATGTTGACAGTCTCCCGGTCCACTCGTGCTAATACCCCAGACTCCATCCTATCGCATCATCTCAACCTTTCCCCACATCCTCCTTCACTCAACACCACGTCTCTCCTCCACTCACATCCCAACCTCGCCGCGTCCGGCTCATCGACACAGAGCGTCATCACCTCGGCTATCGAGCAAGATATGGGTCAGACACTGAAGGAGGTTTTGAGCAATGCGGGGCAGACGGGGGTGGAGGAGCAGATGGACCAGGTTGTTGAGGTGGCTAAGGTGCTGGCGAAGGGAGCGGTGGAGTCCTGATAGGTGTGTGCGCCGGTTGGGTGTCGATTCAGGAGCAGGTCAGGGTGATTGCACCAATGACCCAGGGCGGTGTCACGAGATTCGCGAACAGCAACGACAAGAATGCCCAGCTCCTGCCTCATCGGGGAGGAAGGACATGATATAGATGGGTCGGTATAGTATGAGCTGTAGCTATAGTCTGGACCACCATGTACATACACTCTGTTGACCGCGATTCGGCCTTCTTCCCCTCGTACTCATAGATATATCTCACCCGCCATATGGCCGTTGGTCATGATCACCCACCCTCCCCTCAGCGTGATCGATCAGCAGGCCATGTGGATCATGGTACTACTGATCCACTTGACACCGCCGCAAGTCCTGCCACTGGTCCCGCTGGCGATGTGCAAGGACGCTGACACTATGTGCATGCTCCTACCCCGGATCCCTGGCACCACTATTAATTGCCCCTATCTATGACTAATTATGAAGATATCTACCGCATCTAAAATATATACAAGAAGGCGTAAGATATGTACAAGAAAACCGAAACACGGGAACAGCAAGCAACATTGTCCAACAGACCCTAATTCTTCCCCTTGGCGCCCCCGCTCCGCTTCGGCTTCCTCTGCTTCGGCTTCTTGAAGCCCGCCCCGGTCCTCTTCTTACGTGCAGGCGGCTCGGCGCACATATTGTGGTACGTCATTGTCCCGTCCGAGCGCCCGTGACCGTAGCTAAGATGTCAGCTTCGCCCATACGTGCAGCAGAGTGAAGGATTAGACGAGGGTGGACACTCACAACTCTTCCTGTGAGAGCGTCCGGAACCTTGGCTTGCGCTTACCAGGAGCGACATCCTTCTGCTTCTCCTCCTCGTCCGCACCTCCACGAGCAAGGTACAGGCTCTCCATAAACCGCAGCCTCTCTTGGATGGTATCGCCAGGGGGCGGCCTTAACGTCTCGCGGAACTCTCGAGCTGGGACGAGTACGTCTCGCTGGGCAGCTGGGGAGACGGGCGCGGGAGGGAGAGGGAGAGGCAGCGCAGCCGGCACCTCGGCAGCAGGGACCGGAGGGGGATAGGAGGCAAGAAGGGCGGGTTCGATACCGAGGTCGAACGACGGTCCAGCAAAGGGCATGAGACCAGGCGCTTCGAGAGCCGGCGCGGGGATGCCGAGCTGGGCGGCCTGGGAGGCGACGCGGACCTCAGTAGGGACGCGAGGGCGCGACGGGACCTCGGCAGGCCTGGATGGGATCAGCTGAGGCACCTCAGGCAGCTTGTATGACGCGGGAAGCTGATCACTCACTTCTGGCATACGAAGATGATACCGTCGTCCTCCTTCTCAGATGCGATCTCGTCCACATTCACTTCGTCCGACATATCAAGGATATCCCCTGCCTTGACTTTCACCTTATCGGTGACCTTGATGGTCTTCCGCTTCCCAGCCACCTTGACTTCCTTGGCCACCTGGACTTGCTCCGCCACCTTGCCCGCCAGACCCCTCTCCGCCACCTTGATCTTCTTGGCCGGTTTGTCCACCTTGGCCTTCTTCGCCACCTCAACCACCACCTTCACCTTCACCTTCTCCGCCACCTCTACCGCCTCCGCTACCTCGGCGGGCGCTGTGACCCAGTTGGGGCGCTTGTAAGGCCTACTCTGGCCGGGCTCCTCCAGCTCCAGCTCCAGCTCCCTCTTGTTCGCCTTGCCACTACCTCCCACAACCTGCTTAACCCTGTGACCCATCTCCGACACAGCGGCCGACGAACCTGCGCGCGCGATTGGTGGGGCGGCCACCGCGTCGTCATCAATCATGTCAACATCTGGGCTGAGTTCCCGGTTGGTTCTGGCCGAGATGAGGTCGGTAGTGATGATTGTCTGAGTACGCGCGACGGCTTGATCCTGCACATGATCAGCTCGGCTCGCAGACACCGCACGGTAATGAAGATACTCACCTGAATGACTTGAACCTCTTCCACCCCTTCCATCACGTCATCTTCATGGAGCATCACATCGGCGCCTCGTCCTTCATCCATATGCCCCACCGCCTCCAATCCCAGCTGCTCCCCCATCCCCTCGCCCGCTGGACCAATCACACCACCCTCCGCGTCAAAGGGAGACGGCTCCTTCTGGAAGAGGACAACGCGACCGCCGAGCATCTCGACGTCCTCTTCAAGACCGGCGAGCTCGCGCCCCCCCTCGGCGGTATACTTCTCCAACAACTGAGCTTTCACCTTCGCGGCCCAAACAGCCTGCTCCTCCGCCGCCTGTTTCTCTAGCTCGGACTTCTTCGCCAGGAGAGCGTCCTTGCGCGCCTGAGTTATGGCCTTGGCCTCTGCCGCCGCTACCCGCTTGATCTCTGCCAGGATCGCCGCTCTGGGGTCAGCGGCCGAGGAGCCGGTAGGGATGACCGACGAGTGGTTGGCTGATTGACTGGCGAGCGAGGTGGAGATGGCGGGCTGGCCAGCGATGGCGCTAGTGACGGCGCTGGCGGTGGAGGACTTGATCTCAGCTAATTTCTTGCGACGACGCTCCTGTTTCTTGGATAGGGCAGGTTGGACGGTGAACTGGGTGTGATCGTTGGCTGAGACCGGGAGAGGGATGGCGATAGGACCGGACGAAGAGGAAGCCGATTGAGCGGGAGCGACGACCGGAACCGAGGACTGCGCAGACGAGGTGGATGTAGCGGGTGTGAGGGCGGCGGTCTTTGCAGCATCCTTGGTCTTGGCGCGCTTAGCCTTGACTGCTGTCCCATCAGCGCGAAACTCAGCGAGAAAAGGACGCGACTTACCAGGCTGATTGCCGACGTGAAGGGGTGGGACGTTGAGGGGATTGTGGTTCTCGTCATGCTTGACTTTGTGCTTGCGCTTCAACGGCGGAGCCGAAGTTAAGACGAGGGCTGGAAGTGATAGCGCGAGCCCAGGATTGAGGAGGGGGATGATCGATGAAGAGATGGCATTGTGAGCGGGTGGGATTGCTGCCGAACTGGTGGATCCCCAGGGGTTGGGCTGCCCGGCGAGGAACTTGAGCGCCGAGGGACAGGGGATGTGAGCTGGTAAGGTACCAGCAGCTGCATGATCAGCCAGGATCCAGGATAGACGCGTCAGTGTACTCACCAGCCCGACCTCTGTAGTCGAGCATCAGTGATCTGATCATCTTGGACGAATCTGTCTGGTGAGAGCGAGATGATATGGAAGTGCTAGTAAATTAAATAGGTGAGAAAGGATGAGATGAGATGAGAAATATGAGTCGATACGCGCTGGTAGTGAAGCAAAACAAGCTGTCGCCCGTTCAGGCAAAATTTCGACCTCGGTGCGCTCGGGCCCACCGCTCCCCCGTCGGCCAGCCAACCAACCTTGTTATAATCCCGCGGCGAATAGGCTGCAAACACGCTGAACTCGGCATTGGATTGACTCGACATCGTCGGTGATGGATAGTAGAGGAGCAGCGAGCTAGCTGTGAGATGTACGGAGCTGAAGCAGAGAGCACAGAGATGCAGCAGGTGGAATGCGGTGTCGGAGCTTTCTGACAGTCAAGGTGATTGATCGGCGAGGAATGTGGCACAAGTGGGCACGTGATCAAATGAGCAGCCAGCCTCGTCAGCTGCTCTCCGGTCTCTCATGGCGCTCACCCGATCCCGACAAGAGGAGGACCCAGCCAGACAGTCTACCTTGGTCATCATACCCAGCGAAGGTGGGCTAGTAGACGGCCTGAATCTTATTGCCCAGGTGCCACATTCGGAACCGAGGTACCGAGAGGTGAGCTCCACGGCTGACTTGGCCGTGACGAGCGTGATTGCCATAGCCGGGTTGGAGTTCAGAGGTCTGCCTTCGGTCGACGACTCATAGGCCCACTCGGAAACAGGCTCTTATCGCCGGCGAATCTGAGGATTCATGCAATCGCTGAAAGGCAATCGACGAGCGATGCCGTAGCATCCAGATAGCATACTACATAGACTTGCACACGTAGCGGACCTAGACTCTGTGGTGTGTGACTGGGTGCGATCTCAACCACGTTCACACTGTAAGCATATGCATGCAGGTAGGTAGCCCATTGTCCGCGCTCGCTCGGCCTCTGCTGGGCCTTGCTTTCGGCAACCTGAATTCCTCCCCCTCTAACTCCACATCCAAGATCGACACCGGGCCCAAGATCGACACCGGGCCTGAGCATATCAGCTATCCATTCAGCCGGCCATAGCGTACGGACTGTAGCACGCACAAGGCAGCAAAACGTCCACCCCGTCATTCTTCCACATCCTGCGCCACCGCACATTCGCCTGTCCGCGGCAGCACCATTGTAATAGACCCCTCTAGTTCCGCCCGTCTCGACCCCGGTTGCGGGGTGCTGGAGCAGCCATGCCCGTCAGATCGATGCTGACTTCTGCGAGCCCATCGACAGACGGGTAGCTGCGTGTGTCGCGGTGCTTGATGTCTGAGCCACGCCGAAATGACGAGAATGATTGAAGTGCTTGGCAGGAGGTAAGCCGTCGAAGAGGCGGATCACCCTATGTTGAGCGTGGAGATTGATCTGGACATGCAGCCAGCAGGTGGTGATGAGGCTTTGCGCTGGTGTTTGGTCGTATGCTGATGAGTCAGCTGTGAATTGCATGTTTGCCTTATCGACCCAGGTAGCCGCCACGTCCGAGGTAGACTCACCTTCACTCCTGGCCCTTCCGCCTACGACCGGACGTAGCCCCACCCCATCTCTCTCATACCCTCCTCGCTACCTCTGTATCCATATCCGTAACCCCTCGCCTTCCCTCCCAGCCCGACTTCAGGCGCCCAATATCTCGCCTGCTGGGTTTGGTATGGCTGCGCCTGTACCCGGCGCCGCTTCCGACTAGAGAGTTTGGTAGATGCGGGCTCTGGTACGGGCGCTTGAGGTATGCGAAGGACGGAGACGGTTCGGCCTTTCGACTTGATCTTACTGGCGATGAGGGCGGGATAGGTGGATGGAAGAATGTGGATGAGGGTCGGACCGGGAGTAGGGAGGTTGAGAGAGATGAGGGGGAGGGGCACAGCTAGTGTCATTTCTCCTTCCAGCCGAGTCGATGCGGTCGGATGCGATGCCTGGGCAGGTGGGGCGATATCGAGGGGTCTCGAGCTGTCCTCCCAAGCAGCAGCGGCGGAGCTTGCAGCTTGGCGGATTTTGGCGGTGACTGCGCTGTCGAGCGGGATGTGACGGGGGTTGCTGATGCGGTCAGCTAGCTCCTCTCAGGAGAGTCATGATATGCAATCAGATGAACACGTACATAGGCGTCTGATAGTCCTCCTTGACGGGCAGAAGGGATAGTGGTCGAACCGGCATGGAGGAGAACAGGCGGAAAGCTGATCCGTAAGCTTTGCCATTCCCGGTCGATAGTAATAGCATAGAGATGCTCACGAATCTGCTTCTCTGCCTCAACTTCCGCATGTATAGTTTCTCCTCTCCGTCCTGGCCCAATAGCGTCCTCAACCATCTGCTTCATTGCCCGCTCCCTTTCCTTCCGCCTCTTCTTCTTGGCATTCTGCTTCTCCGCCTTGGTCATCGTCTTTTCTGCCTCTCGCTCCGCTTCTGTTCGCTCGTCACCATGGCCTTCAGTTTGCTGTGGGATAGTGGTAACATCCTCGAGGTACGATAGGTCGACTGGAGGGATAGAGGGGAGGCGAGACCGCATCAGATTTTCGTATTCGAGAAGATCGTCCGGGTCGACCATGACCTCGTCATCGTCCGAGATAGAGAGGTTCGAAGACTCAGCTTCGACTGCCGCCGTGTCATCAAGGATCCCTGGCCCCAGCATGATCTAGACGTGGCTGCGAGTGCGAGTATGAATGGAAGATTGCCGTACCCTAACAAACTCTACGAAGCTGCTGCCTTCATTCCTCGCCGATCGCGGACCGCACACCACGTGGCGTCGATCTTACTTAGCCCCGCCCCTTGAAGCCAAGCAGCGCTAAAAGTTGGCTAAAAGAGCTGTAACAGGTGCTAACCAACCCACGAACGTCCATATTCTACTGTATAGCTTAACTCGTTCTGCGAGGCTTGCAACTTGACAGGGCATGTCAGATATCAGCTCCAACGAGAGACGATCGGATAAGTTGTAGGCGAGCTAGAGCATAACCGGGTAACGGTGTTTACTCAGCTGACCTCTGGCTGACTGCTGATAAAGCTGTACGAACTACATGAGCGGATCTCTCACACCACTCTGACCAGATGATCTTTACACCATAAACAGTATACTCGAAGACTTCTACAGCATCTCCTCGCAACCTACACCGCGCTCTCCTTGCCCAGATCCATCCACCATGAACCCCAAGCTACCTCCCGCTGCCTTCGTCAAGCTGTGCGGCGATAATGTTGTCGGCACTGCGAGACCATTGTGAGTGGACTATGCGATGTATAAAACGCCCAGTATTATGCTGATCCTACAGGCGTGTCCTTCAAGAGTGCACATCAGAAATCGAAGTATACCATCTATATCTGAGGACGGATATGGCGCCGAGTACGGCTCTGCATGATCGTGCAGCTGTTCGCCTGTGAGTCTATCCATTCGTGACGTCTATGACAGTGATTAGGAGCTTGAGCCTGATGCTTTTCAGACTCAAGTTGAACCCCGTATACGACGCAAAGGATAATGACACGTGGACCATGGCCGACGGGATGCAAGTCCTCAGCGGCGTCCACCGGTTCGACATCACCATCATGGTGGCAGGGGAGCCAGTGCAGTACATATTCGTGCTTCACAAGGAGTCTCCTTATCTGGAGGAGATGGCCAAGGGAGGCGAGTTCGCTCTGGCTGTGACCTTAGCCGGACGCCTCGCCGCTCTGGTTTATCCCCAGATATATCGTTTTGGTCTACGATCAAAAGGGGAGATAAATGCAGTGCCAGCAATGGTACGGCCCCCTGTAATGTCAAGCCGGGTTGTCATTGGGTGAGTACTCTCCTCCACAGGATGTCGACGTGCAGGGGATGCTTGCTAAATCATCTTCAGTAAGTATGTGTCTTACCGGTGTGCATCGATACCGGCCGGCGAGGTAGAGAAGGTGTGGGGGTCGGACATCCGCCTGTTGGTGTGTTCGTCGTTAAATGAGATCGGGAGTGCCGAGTGGTGGGTGGTCTTTGATGCGCAGATCTGAGAGTCTGGCCGGAAAGCTGATTCTACAGGGTCCCACAAGAGAAGGTCGCCTGGGAGCCCCACACCCGGTTCTCCAGTACCAATGGGGCCTTCCTGACCGATATGGTCAGCAAGGTGATCCAGGACCCCATCTGCCCCACCTCCAGGCATCCAACTCGGGTGGCCTTCCTCAATCTTCCGGACGTGATTACACACATTGACGGTTTCATGGCGGATATTCGCCTCCACACGACGCCTATGATCGAGCGGGACATTGGCAGGCTGCTGGAGGAGGAGGAGGCGGCGGCGGACGGGTCATCGGGTGGTCGAAGTGGAGAGGCGGAAGAGGTGACTGAGGACGCCCGGTGAGTCCAGCAATCTTGAGTCTGAAATGTCAGATGGCAGGAGCTGATCTTCGCAGGGGAAGGTTGAGTGACCCGGCTGGAGGGGTGGATGGTGGCTCGGAGGCGAGAAGTCCTGTGCGGAGGAGGGAGAAACGATCATTGTGAGTCACTTTCGCCCCATCCTAGAATTCGCTGAAGCGTACAGGTCGGCAGAGAGCCGTGTTGAGAGTCCTGCGCCCAGCTTCAGCAACAAGCGGATCCGACTCAGCCGTGGCGTGAGTCATTCATTGCGCATCTCGTTCAGGAGGTGTTCGGGCAGCAGCTGACATTTGGCAGGGGAGTGGATGGTCGCGGACCGCCGAAACATTGGAAGTTCGACCGGAAGGCGACTCCACGATGGAGGTTGAGGCCGTTGGGGGGCAGGGGGGTATCTCTGCGGTGGCTAAAGTGGCAATGCCGTGAGTTTCAATATTCCACTGCAGCCTACTTTGCCAGACAAAGCTGACCTGAATAGAGAAGCCTCCGGCTCGAGGCCGATGGAGCAGCCGAGAGCCCGGAGCAGGTTGTCCGAGCTGGACGCCCTGAAGTCGCCAAGGCCGGGTCCTGTGCCTTCGGCCATGACTTGTCTATTTGTACCACCTGAATAATTGTACCACCTGTATCATATTATGTATCATCAAGATCGGCATGAACACTGCGTTGAGGATGGTTCGTAAGCTACATGTCTCGCTAGGAGTCGTTCGATCCATGTGCACCATATCATCCGTTGCCCATCGTTGTTCCTCCAGCTCCCTGAGCAATCCCTGCCGTCTCGCCAACTGCCGTCGAAGGGGAGTCTATAGATATCGAGTCGCTGTCGTTCGAGCGCCAAGTACGCGCTCCCTGTATCCCTGCGTACGTCGAAGTCGTGCCAGGGAGACCGTAGTAAGCAACTTGCACGATCCTTCATCGGGCTGCAAACGTCAGCGCGGGTATCGGATGTATGTACTCGTACGGATACGGATGTAGCGGATCGCGCGCATATCCCAGGCGGTCGAAGCGCCCAGCTAGACGTAAGATGTAAGCGACGGGCTGAGGCACCTCCTGTAATCACCACTATCACAGTTGATATGGCTCTTGCTACTCCTCGACTCAATGCTTCGGGCAGCCAAGCCCTCTCGGCCTACCTCAAGGAGGTCATCAAGGGGCGGGAGTCTCCAGCCACCTGGATCGGCGCCACAACTGCTGGAGGGGAGATATATCTCGAGTGCGCGGGTGAGAGAGTATGGGGAGATGAGGCGAAAGGTAGTGTGAGCCAGGACACCAGTAAGTACTGGGCTCACAGATGGATCAGAGCTACTGCTCACTCCCTCAGTGTTACAGCTCTTCTCGACGACGAAGCTGGTGACCACTGTACGTATCGCTTCTATTGCTCGGGATACTGGAGAAGCTGCGCTGCTTCGCTCTTGCTGACCATGGCTGATCCTCACTCACTGTGTCCCAAGCTGACTCTGCAGATCGCCGCTCTCCAGCAAGTTGAGCAAGGCAAAATTGGACTGGACGATTCCGCTACGCTGCTCAAGATATGCCCCGAGCTCGGCAAGATGCAGGTGCTGGAGGGGTTTGGGGACGATGGAAAGCCACAGCTGAGGGACGCGAGGACGGAGATGACGCTGAGGATGTTACTGAATCATACCGCTGGTGAGCTTCATCACTCTCACCGGCTACATACGCTTGGCGGTCCAGTGCTGATGTTAGGTTTGACCTACGCCTTCTCGGACGCAAACGTCGCTCGCTACTGCCAAGAAGTCGGTACACCTCAAATGTGGTCACCCAACGCTCCTATCGCTGCCTTCGTCCAGCCTCTCGCATTCGACCCAGGAACGCGATTTCGGTACGGTATCGGTATCGACTGGGCGGGCATCATGGTCACTCGTCTCTCCGGTCTCGACCTCGAGGTGTACTTCCAGAAGTACATCTGGACGCCTTGTGCAGCCAAGTCTATGAGTTTTTTGCCCCCACGAGACTGGGATCAGGCGGGAATGGCGATGACGGTCCGAGAGCCGTTTCATACTGGACCCGTCAAGCTGCTGGAGGGGACGGCTATGGGGCGGCCGATGAACCCGGACGAGATAGGGCCGGTGTATATGGGCGGAGGAGGTCTGTTCGGGACAGCGAGAGACTACCTGGCTTTCCTACGCGGTCTACTACGGTCCGCCGACCCCGGTACGCCCGACTCGGAACGCCTCGTCCAGCCCGATACCTTCAAGCTGCTCTTCCTGGATTCGATAGCAGAGGAGCACGCCCCGCAGATCCGGAAAGACATCGCAACCATGGCGGGGAATCAGCACGTCCACGACCCGGCGATCCTCACTGGCGGTACAGGGGAGCAGGTGGGGTACGGTCCGGCTTTACTGCTGAATAAGGTGGATAGCAAGTTTGGGCGAAAGGCGATGAGTGGGTTCTGGGATGGGGCTGCAAAGACATACTACTGGTTGGACCCCACGACAGGAGTTGCGGTGAGTTGTCGACTCCTTTGCAAGCTACCAAGCTGATCTGTGCAGGGTATCTGCTTCACCAACTTGCTATCTCACAATCCCGATCCCTTCAACGAGGTGTTCAACAGGTTTGAGCGGATCCTGTACGATCATCTAGAATAGCAGTACTATATGGCCGAGGCCGGGCCCGAGGGGCCGAGGGGTCGATCTAGCTCCCGACGGCATGCATCAATTCCTGGGTGATCGTTGACTGCCCCTGGATTAACTGGGCTGCTATACGTATGCTACGCGGTTCCAGCACCAAATACTTCGGTCTGCGTCTGCTGCGCGCTGCGGTAGTCAGCCTGCCTCGGCACGGAGGTCCGCGGAGGGCAGAGCCGCGGTGTGCCTGACCTGACCGAGCTTGGCAATGCATGACGTGTCTCATCGAGATCGTCATCGATCGGCAGGGAAAAGTTTGAGACCGACCCCCGAGGCTCGTTCCTGCCCGAGGCGACTGTCCTTGATAACAACTTGACAAGAAGCAATGACTTTTCTCTTTCCTCTATACTCTTTCGACACCAGCCAAACTCTCGCGACATGCCTGCTCCGTACACCCTCGCAACTCCTATCGGGGAGAGGGCTTTCGGCGAACTCGGCCTCCAGCCCAGCGCGGAATCGTCCGGGTCCTTTACCCCCGCCAACCGCGAGCTCTCCGCCAATACCCTCGTTCCGCGCTCTGCCAATTCATCCAACCCGTCGGTTTACTCGCAGCAGAACGCCGTTGCGGACGAGGACCATCGCCCTGCCCCCTCTCCCAGCGTGAGCTCGAACGATCACGCTGGTAACAACAACAAGCCCGAAAACAACGCTGCCGATGCCACCCCCCAAGGTTCGGATCGGAGCACGACTCCCGTGCAGGCTGAGGGTAGCCCTGGTACAGGCAAGAAGGGAAAGCGCTCAGAAGGGTCAGAGGATGGGGACGAGGAGGACTGGAGCTACGACTCTCAACTCAAGGTGAGCACATGCCTGAACCCCTATCCCGTTCCGATTCCCTCTTTCGACCAAGCTGACTTTCAGGCCGACCACAAGCTCGCCGAATCCCGGGGTATCCCTCCCACTCGCTCTCTCGCCCTCGCCTACAAAGACCTCTGCGTCCGCGGAACCGGTAGTGCCGACGACGTGACCTACGCGCCCACCGTTGGCGGTATCCTCTTCCCTTGGAAGGCGAGGGGGTATAAGAAGCGCCAGGCCAAGCTCACTGCTGCAAGGCAGACGGAGGATCAGAAGAACGCGGTCAAGGATGAAAAGGAGGAGGCGCTGAAGAAGGGAGAGCGGTTCCTCGTCAGGGACTTCAATGGCGTGGTACAGCCGGGAGAAATGATGTTGGGTAGGTTGACCTCATTGTCTGTCTTCCCCATGTCCCAGCATCATCTTCTATGACTCCTCGAGCTGGGCTGATTATCATCCAGTCGTAGGCCGACCCGGCAGTGGCTGTACAACCTTCCTCAAAGCCCTCTCCGGACTCCACCAGGGCTACGCTGGCGTCGACGGCAAAGTCTACTACGGGACGATGGACTCGGACAAGGCGCTCACCCCGTACAAATCCGACGTCGTCTTCAATCCGGAAGAGGACATGCACGACCCCAACCTCCTCGTCGGGCACACCATGGACTTTGCGCTCCGCAACAACACCCCCGCTCCAGGCGTCCGGCTTCCCAAGGAGGAGGGCGGCGAAGCAATGACGGCAGACGAGTACCGGACGAGGGAGAAGGGGACCCTGCTCAAGGTGTTCGGCCTGGAGCACACCCATGACACCAAGGTCGGGGACCAGTACGTCCGCGGAGTGTCAGGCGGCGAAAAGAAGCGGGTCTCGATCGCCGAGGTTCTCACCTCCAAGGCGTCCATCCAGATGTGGGACAATGCCACTCGCGGTCTCGATGCGGACACGGCGCTGCGGTACACCAAGGTCATTCGGACGCTCTGCGATGTCGATCGGAACGCGGCGGTCGTCACGGTCTACCAGGCAGGCAACGGGATCTACGACTGCTTTGACAAGGTCACTGTTATCGCCGAGGGGAGGGTCATCTACTATGGTCCGAGGGAGGAGGCGAGGGGGTACTTTGAGGATCTGGGCTTTGTCCATCCCGACGGAGGCAACACCGCGGACTTCTTGACCTCAGTCACAGCTGTGAGCTTCTTTCGCCGACACTCGGGGCTGTGCTGATTTCAGACCAATGAGCGTCAAGTCAAGGACGGTCACAACGGCAAGGTCCCCACCACCGCTGCCGAGTTCGCTGAGGCGTACAACAAGTCCGAAACCTCCAAGCGGATGCACGAGGAGCTCGATCGCCACCTCGCCGACGAGAAGCTTCAGCGAAACACCGAGGAAGCACAGGGTGTCATCCAGGCGCAAAAGGAGAAATACGCCATCAAGTCTTTCCCCCAAAAGACGAGCTTCTTCACCCAGGTCAAGGCGGCGTTGATCCGGGACTATCAGCAGCGATGGGGAGATCAATGGTGAGTAACGGCATGGACTGGGCTGACTTTAGGACGCTATGGGCTCGTCAAGTCACCACGCTCATCCAGGCGCTCACGGTCGGATCGGTCTTCTACATGGCGCCAGACAATACTGGCGGTCTTTTCCTCCGCGGCGGTGTCGTCTTCCTGTCCCTTCTCTACCCATCCCTCATCTCGCTCTCGGAAACTACTAGCGCCTTTTCCGGTCGAGCCGTCATGGCCAAGCACAAGGCGGCGTCCATGTACCGTCCCTCGGCGGTCTTTGTCGCGGCTACTATCGGCGACTTGCCCATCTTTTTCGTCCAACTGGTCATCTTCACCCTCATCATCTACTTTATGGCTGGACTCAAACAGACAGCGGGCGGCTACTTTACCTACCTCCTCTTTGTCTACTTCTGCACCCTCACCACCACGGCCTTCTTCCGTTTCGTCGGTTACTCCTTCGGTACCTTCAACAACGCGTCCAAGGTCTCAGGCTTCATGTTCTCGGTACTCGTCACGTACGCCGGCTATGCCATTTACTCGCCCTTCATGAAGCCATGGTTTGCCTGGATTCGGTGGATCAACCCCATCTACTACTCGGTCGAGGCGCTCGTCGCGAACGAGCTGGACGGGTTGCAACTGCAGTGCATCCAGCCTCAGCTCGCGCCATACGGTCCGGGCTACGAGGGTCAACCCGCCGGATGCGCTATTGCCGGGGCTACGCCCGGATCGACCATCCTCTCCGGTACCGCATGGATGAACACCGCTCTCGAATTCTACCGGTCGCACGTTTGGCGCAACTTTGGCTTTGTCATTGCCTTCTGGTTCCTCTGCCTCTTGCTCTGCGCCATCGCTATCGAGCGCCTCCCCGCTGCCGGATCCAACAAGGCGACTTTGCTCTACAAGCCCGGCGGCGGCGGCAAGTTCATCAAGCAGGCCAACAAGAATGGGCAGGAGCCAAGGGATGAGGAGGAGGGAGCGGGCGCGATGCAGACCAACGAGAAAGCGGGCAACAAGGGGAAGGGCGAGAAGAAGGGGGAGAAGGAGAAGGGGAATGACGCGGTGCATGCAGCCAACACGTAAGTCTAGCGTCATGTTAAAGCTGACCATAGTGTCTTTACCTGGAAGAACCTCACCTACACTGTCCAAGCTGGCGGCAAGGACCTTGTCCTCCTCGACGACGTCTTTGGCTACTGCAAGGCCGGTACTCTCACCGCTCTCATGGGCGCGTCCGGCGCCGGCAAGACCACCCTCATGGATGTCCTCGCGGCTCGCAAGACCGAAGGCGATATCGCCGGCGAGGTCCTCATGAACGGCCGCACCCTCCCCGTCTCGTTCCAGCGCACCACCGGATACTGCGAGCAGGTCGACGTGCATCTCCCCCAGGCGACCGTCCGCGAGGCGCTCGAGTTCTCTGCGCTGCTCCGTCAACCTCGGTCGGTCTCGGACAAGGACAAGCTGGCTTACGTCGACGTCATCATCGACCTGCTGGAGCTGCATGACTTGGAGGATGCGATGATTGGGACGCCGGGTGCGGGATTGGGTGTCGAGCAGCGGAAGCGGTTGACCATCGGTGTCGAGCTGGTCAGCAAGCCGTAAGTCCCCCTCTTGACCCAGCTGATAGCAGTACTCTTCTCTTCCTCGACGAACCCACTTCCGGTCTCGACGGTCAAAGCTCCTTCCTCATCGTCCAATTCCTGCGGAAACTCACTGCCGCCGGCCAAGCCGTCCTCTGCACCATCCACCAGCCGTCCGCCTCCCTCTTTGCCCAGTTCGATAACCTCCTCCTGCTCAAGAGGGGCGGCAAGACCGTCTACTTTGGTGCAATCGACCAGCTCAACGGATACTTTAGCGACAAGGGCGTCGACATTCCCAAGGACGTCAACCCGGCGGAGCGCATGATCGACATCGTCTCGGGCGGCTTGTCCAAGGGACGGGACTGGGCGGACGACTGGTCCAATTCGAACGAGTGCAAGGAGCGATTTGCAGAGCTCGAGCAGCTCAACAAGGACAACGAGGGGCGGGAAAGCCAAAACGAGGATGACAAGTACCAGTACGCGTCGACTACCCCCATGCAGCTCAAGCTCGTCCTCAAGCGGGCGTCGGTCCAGCTCTGGCGGGATACCGAATACGTCACCAACAAGGTCATGCTCCATATCGGTTCTGCTCTGTTCAATGCCTTCAGGTGAGTACTACAAGTGGGCTTGGCTGATGTCAGTTTCTGGATGATTGGCAACGCCTATGGAGACCTCCAAAACCGCCTCTTTACCGTCTTCAACTTTATCTTTGTCGCTCCCGGTGTCATCGCCCAGCTTCAACCCAAGTTCATCGCCAACCGGGACGTCTTTGAGACGAGAGAGAAGAAGGCCAAGATCTACTCGTGGTGGGCATTCTGCTTTGGCGAGATTGTTGCCGAGGCGCCTTACCTTATCGCCTGTGCTTTCCTCTACTGGGCTCCATGGTGAGTCTCGACTTTATCTGATGACCTTGCTTGGCTGACCCGCAGGTACGCTGTCGTCGGCTTCAGCTACTCCCCTTACCCCGCCGGCCCCGTCTACCTTCAAATGACCCTCTACGAATTCCTCTATACCGGTATCGGCCAGTTCATCGCGGCTTACGCGCCCAACGCCGTCTTTGCCGCGCTCGTCAACCCGCTCCTCATCGGTGTGCTCGTCCTCTTCTGCGGTGTCTTGGTACCGTACACGCAGATCACTGCTTTCTGGCGTGAGTACCAATTCCACTGCTGTATCCACCCATCTTCTCAAGCTCAAACCTACACATCATCTCCACGCCCTCCATTTCCAGAGCTGATCCAACAGGCTACTGGCTGTACTACCTCAACCCCTTCAACTACCTCATCGGTGGAATGCTCAACCCCATCCTCTGGGACGTCGATGTTCGGTGCACCGAGCAGGAGTTCGGAGTGTTTGACCCACCCGCAGGTCAGACGTGCGGCGCCTACATGTCGTCCTTCCTCCAGCAAGCTACGGGCTACATTGACAACCCCGACGCGACATCACAGTGCCGATACTGCGGCTACGAGAAGGGTAGCGAGTATCTCGAGAGCTTGAATTTGGGTAGGTGGATCGACGGATGGAGGGATATTTGCTTGACTTTGTGAGGACTGCATCTCGACCCAGCTGGAGGTGGAGCTGACGATCAGGCTCTTTGTTGTCTCTTCTTATGCTCTCGTTTTCCTCTTGCTCAAGCTGCGGAGCAAGCAGTCCAAGACGGCCAAGTAGGCTGGTCATATGTAGCAACAGTGCCTGATATACTCATATAATTTAGAATAATTGATAGATGTTCATGAAAGGATCTTGGACTGAATATGTTCGCTGAAAGCCACCGATATCTTATTCACAAACATAACGCTATGAGTACAATCAGGAAATGATGGGTTTTGAATCATCGTCGAGCTGATTCAAGACCTTCGCCAAAATCACCGAGACCCCCGCTTCGCCTTTGGGACCTGCGGCTGGCCAGTTGGGATGCTGTCACCTTGGTCAAGGAGCTGGGCACCGCCGATCGTGAAGATTTCTCGACTGACAATGCCACCGTGTCCGGTCTCGACAGGCTCAAGCTCTCGGGTGACATTGACAGCGTCGGCGCCATCGGCTGGGCGTCGGAGCGCGATCGTGATGCTCTCCTCATCAAGCAACCCACCCCTCTTGATCTGAGTCGCCGCTCTCCCAAGTTCTCCACCCAACTCCCGCACCCGCCTAGGGAACTTTCGAGCCGATTCGTTCTCCTCAGACAGGCAGCTCGACATGACACCTTCCATGCGGGTGGTATAGGCTTTGCAGGCGCGCGGTCTTCATCGTGTCACCTGTCACGCCGTCTGCCTCTGCAAATCGTTGTACGGCAGAGCAGAGGGTTCTTCCACGAAATCTCCAACAGCCTTGATGATGGAATGGGCAGTCTGCGTGAATTCAAGAGAGGGCACGAAGTGCACACCGCGGATCATCGGATCCTCGTGCGGCACCCAAACCGCATCGAAGCCGTGGGCAAAGGTGTCGACGTAGATCTTGAGAAACGCCTCTCTCACCCAGCCAGTAGTCCGCGTGTCGTATGGCTTGATGTCTGGCTGTACCTCGAAGCTGAGGTCGAAAGTGACGAGCGGCCGAGCTTCTTGGAGTGTAGTGACACTCGATGGCCAGTGACTCGCATGACTCGCATCTTGATCTGACATCGTCGACGCGGTTGGCAATGTGAACCTGTGCCGTGTGCACTCGCGATCTGAGTATGTAAGTTGAGATATCGGATGACTTGGGATAGCAGTAAATCGTGCGGTGGCGAATCCGGGGGGGAGGAGGCCAGCATTCTGTATCGCATGACAAGAGCGCGGACGGAGTGTTCGCCTCGGCCCATCCTTTCAGGGCAGGGACGTGAAAGGGATGAAGCACGTCATCACTTGAGCCTGTTTGAGGGCATGGGCAGATCAGATCTGCCTGAGCAGGTTAGCGACGAGTTCATACATGTTTGGGCCGGAGCCTGGAGGACATATCTGCAAGGATGGCGCGTAAAGGTAGAAACTGATTAGATCTCGAGATCTGGAGCAGGGAGATCTGGAAGAAAGGATCTGCTCAACGACCGTGACGCATGATGCAGATCTCTCTCGAAGCGCGTCAGCTGAGGTCAGCTGGTGGGCCGGGCCGAATATGGGAGAGAGAGAGATAGGGGAAGTAGTTTCTCGGCTCAGACGGGTGCCGCCCGAGCGATTGGGTCAGCGGCGTCTCCACACGTATAAGCGTGCATTAGTGATCCATCCATGTAGCCTTGTACAACACCGTCCCCGTTCACTGGTCGACACGCCCATGCGCAGTCGCCCTTTTCTGGTACTTCCCTTTCCCGCCTGTTCCTCCAGGTCTGCACGTACAGATCGACGCTTCCGGTCTCGTCTGTCTCTCTTCCACCGGTCGCCTACCCGCCAGCTCCCTCCTCCCCCTTTCCCCCTTGCTTCACTCCCACACTCGCAGGCGGCTTGAACGCCCCGAAGCCCTTCGCTTCATACAACAGATCCGTCCGGATGACGATTTTGCCGCCCCCCGCCCCGACCGCTGAACCTTCATGCAAGAGTGAGCCGTGCGTATCGCCATGTGCTGAAGCATCAGCTGAGATCTGATACTCCGTTGGAGGGAGCGGAGTGCGGCTAAACATGAAACGGAGACTCACGGAAACACAACACCGCGCCCTGGATAGGAGCCACCTTGACCGAGTCCATACTTCCTATCCGATCCGGAGAAGGGAGAAAGAAGGTCGTACAGCCAGTGTCGGTCGGGATATCCTGGTTGAGGTAGACGAGAAGGGTGTAGCGAGACCAGAGGGGGTTATCGGGCGGTGACGAGCTGAGGTATCAGCTTGACGTTCTATCGGTAAGCTCGGGAACTGCGCTCACTCGTGCATGTACTCGCCGGTCTCGGGGTGTAGACCCGCTGCTGGCCATGCGCCGTCGATGTGTGGCTGGAGATCAGCTCAAGCCTACTGGAGCGAAGAACGGACGTACCCTGTAGACCTGGTTCTGGGTATACTGATACACCCTGAACCTGGCGTTGATTCCCCTCAGCCTGCCTCCTCCATTCACCACACCGCCTGCCCCATCCGCGACCGGCGCCGTCTGAGGGAAGAACCCCTTTATCCGATCGTAAAAGTGCTCAAGGAATGGCTTATCTGCGAGCCAGACAAAGTTCTTGGCGAGGATAGACGTCTTGGCTCGAGCGCTTCCCTCGGCCGCTTCGTCTGATTCGAATCCGATCGCCGAGGCCGCTTGGACGATTTGTAGGCATTCGGCAGGGGTAAAGACGTCGAGGATGATGAAGGCGCCGGGGACGCCGGGGACGTCGAGGCGTGCGGGCGTGGGAGGAGAGGGGGAGAGGGAGATGGCGGATGGGGCGGAAGCGTAGACTGTGGAATCGTACAGATTAGGAGGACGACGGAGGGGACCTGGAACATGGTGGACTGGGCGGAAGTTGGGGTAAGGCGATACGGGTGGAGTGTCTGGGATGAGCAGGGACGTATGGGGGTACTCACCAAATAGTTTTCCCGCCGACATCATCCCCCACACCTGGATCTCTCCTCGAGTCTTCTCTCTCGCCCGCCATACAGCTTTTGTTCCCCTTACAACCCTCGTATCCGCCTCCTTCTCCGCCTCAGTCCCCATACTCGCCACCCGTAATATCATATCCAGACACCGCATCGCCTCTGGATCCCCCTCCTCATCTACATCCGACGTAGCATCGCACTCCCTCACCCACCGCTGTATCGCCCCGAGCTTTGGCGGGAGCCGCCGAGTGTACATTTCGAATAGCAGGATGAGGGCATCGGTGAACCTCGACTCCTGCAGAGCTGCGGATACCTTGGCGGTGAGGGACGTGCCGAGGGTAGTCCCTTCGGTGAGGATACGGTGGATATCGTGTATATCCCGCTTGAGCGGTTTGAGGTAGGGATCCGAGAGCTCATCTGGGTTCTCGACGAGCGTGCGGAGGACGAGCAAGGTGGATTGGAGCTCCGCGGGAGAGATGAGTTGATCCGAGGTCGGATCGTCAGAGTCAGGCGGGGGAAGATGGGTGGAAGCGACAGCAGCTGCGGAGAGCTCCTGCCTTTTCCGCTTCTTGTTCTTTTGCTGGGCGTTCTTCCCCATTGTGGGCAGAGAGCTGGGCAGAGTAAAGGGGTGGATGGTGGATCAAAGCTTCCGACCGCTCGAGTGAAACGCAAGGGGGTTTACGGCATCCTCACTCAGCCAAATCTGCACTTTGATCAAAAGCTATACTGACTTGCGTGTCTGTATGCTACATCTACTGTATCTCTAGCATTTATCTCCCTCACTATGTCTCTCCGCCCATTGCTCAGCGAGCAGTAGTATCGAAACTCTACTCAGAATGTACGAAAACCGTCGGCGGGGCGTGGCGGCTGGTGCGGAGATGAAAGCGCCTTCTGGCCCGCCGGCCGCCTTCCAGCTCCTCACCCTTTGACGCCCAACTCCGCATGCTCGGTAACCGGTAGACCTGGGTCTCGCTTAGAGCTCGCTTCGTCGCGCGTAATGACTCCGCCTCGACAATACCTTCATGCCCCGTGATCTACGAGCATCATCATTAGCCTTGCTACGGTTGCCTCGCTTCTGAAACACACGGCAAAGGGTTCCTTTGGGTTTCAGCCAAAATTTCTGGGGTCAAAGGGGACAAGTTCGTCATTGACGCCGGATGCGTACATCCACCACCTATACTTTAAGCCAAGGTCCACCCTTGGATATAGAGGAGAGGCTTCAGCAGCGCTCACTGTAGATACCTCCCGCCACTTCCCCTCTACTCTCCATCGCCCTTCATCCGAGCTTGGCCAAATCAGCGAATCGCCCTATAACGCGGCCCACATCCAGTCGATATGTTCGGAATGCCCATGATGGGTATGGGAGGGATGGGTCCAATGGGAATGATGGGCATGGGAATGGGGATGGGGATGATGCCGCCGATGGGTATGCCAATGGGGATGCCGATGCCTCTTGGAATGCCGACGCCAGGTAGGCCATCTCCCAATACTGAAGGAATGAAGCTGACGAACAGGTGTGATGCCCGGTATGCCAGGGATGGGCTTCTATAACTCCCTTCCTGGTCGATTTGGCCGGGATATGCTAGGTCGAGGTGAGCTGTCGGGACACTATCGAAGGAGAGGCCCAGCTGATAGGACCAGACTTTGCGGGTCCGGGCGGAGTGGGGTCGACCCAGCCTTATCGCCCTCCTGATCCATCGTGAGTTTTTCCGCACCTCTCCACGGTCCAGAAGGGGACCCGAGCTGATCATGTAGTGCCCTCCCGCCTATGCCTTTCGGTCTTCCGTTCATCGCTAGGCCGGGCCAAGAAGGATTTGACCAGTATGGACGCATGAGTGAGTTGCTCTGCCGGAAGAAGAGGGACTAAACTCATCCCACAGTCCCACCTGAGCTTCCTGACGGTATGTCTCCCTTCTAGATCTACTCTACTTCGGCCTGTCTTTCACACAGGGCTGATACTCAGGATGGGACGGCTGGGGTCGACCCATCGTCTCTGGCGCCCTCGCTCCTCCACCGGCCGTACCGATGAGCGTCCCGAGCCAGCCTGTCGGCACCGACCCCATGGGCCAAGGGACGCGCGACATGCCCCTCACGTCCGGTTCAGGCGGTCTCGACCGGTCGCAAGGGCAGATGCCGGGCCAGATCCCAATGAGCGCGAGTACGGGCGATACGCCTCTCAGCGCAGAGTCGGGAAGACCGGAACAGTACGTTGGATTCTGGAGCTATTATTCTCCGAATCGGGTCATCAAGGATAAGCGGGCGGGCGCGAAGTGGTTTGAGAGGTAGTCGGCCACGACGGGGCTGAAGGAAGAGGGGTTGGCGATGGGCCGGAAGGGGATGTAAAGGGCATGCATGCCTTTGGCGGAACGGATGCATTTTCTCTTCTATGACCCTCCCTTCTTCACTCCTACATCACCCTCTTGCTCCGAACCATGGCTCATTATCCCAAAGGAGCTAGCTGACTTCACAGACCACCATGCTTCGATCGACCGCCCGCTACCACCGACTCGTACTTTCGGTATGACGACTTTGAGGCATTCGCTCTGTCTGCTGGGGCGCTGAATGAGGCATGGAAGCTGCATATCCCCAGGGAGCTGATCAGCCATGACGTGACTCAGGAAGATTGGTGAGCTGTCCATCCTTCTACCGCAGTCCGTCCGATAGTCTCTCATCCCAGCTATCTGCCGATGCTGATTTACAGGTCCCGCTTCATCTCCGACCTTCGTCGCGAAGCTCTCACTGGCGCCTCACACGGAACATACGACTACACTGCCGCCCTCCACGCCGACCCGTCTCGCGGCGCGCAGCGTGCCAAGGGCCCAACGCCTCAATTGAACGATACCGTCCATTCGCTTCTTGCCAGCTGGGCGGTCGCCTTCTTCCTCCCGCGCGGTATCCGCGTGTACGCCGCACAAGATGGCAAGCGCGTTGTTCCCCCACCTATCGAGCCGACCGGGCGGAATCGGCGGGGATACTCCCGGGCGGACGAGTTCTCGGATACCGCCGAATCGGCGAGCGAAGACGATGATTCCGAGTGGTGGGAGGATGAAGAGGAGAGGAGGCGCGAGGATATGTACCTCCCTCGACGGGAGAGAGGGGTGAGGAGTGCCGAGAGGATGAGGGAGAGGAGGATGGAGAGGAGGATGAGGGAGTTTGAGGCGAATAAGCGCAAGAAGCGAGGTGGAGGTGGGGGTGGGAGAAGTCGTATCGGTGGGAAAGGAGGGAAGAAGGGAGAAGGATGGGAGGTACACTTTGTGCCTAGTGTGCCGACGCTGTGGCAGCCGGGTATGAGGCCTAGGACGTATGGGGAGCCGGTGGTCAGGGTCAGACGGTGAGCGGGGAGAGGTGGGTGGGGGATCAGCTTGAGCGGAGGATGGAGAACCTCGGAGTAAGATTTCTTGTGTAGCTATACGAAGCGGTAGAGCAATGTCATGTCCACCTACAATACTTGCAGCATGCTTCACAGTAATTCTCTCGGTCTCTGGCAAATCCAGGAACAGTACCCCCTACCCTCCGCACGGACCGCCTCCACCGGGCGCTTGGACGCGTTGGAATGTCGAAATTCCCCCTTCTTCTACATCCTCCTCTCATCTTGTCAATATAGCCAAACATGGCCAGCGCACTCGTCAACCCCGATGCTGAGAGACCAGCAGGGCTGGACATGTTCCGCCCTTCAGCCGAAAACGTCGCTGTCAAGGGAAGACACTTTGTGGACTCTCATGGAAGAGTGTTGGATCTGCGGGGGGCGAACGTGAGCAGCTCGAGCAAAGTGTAAGCCACTGGTTTCTCATTGTGTTACACATAGGTCGTGGAGGCCTCGAGCTGATGATGCAGACCGAGTAGACCTTGTCCGCCTTTCCACCTGAGCAAGAATGCGAGTTATGTGGGCAGACCCTTCCCTCTTGCCGAGGCGAGAGAGCACTGGCGCAGGCTTCGCTCATGGGGCTTGACGTTCAGTAAGCTGCAATGCGCTCGCCCCAATGCTGAAGCGGAGACGTAAAGCTGACAGATAGTGCGGATAACGGTCACCTGGGAAGCGCTCGAACATGCTGGACCGTGAGCTAAGCGTCACTCCTCCGTAGATTGAACGTCGAGCTCACTGAACAGGGGACAGTATGATCAGGAGTACCTCGACTACCTCAAGGAGCTTCTTACTATCATGCACGAAGAAGGTGTCGCTGCTTACGTCGTACGTTTACCTTGCCCCGCTGTGTTGTGCGTTGCCCAGAAGCTGACACTGCAGGTGATGCACCAGGACGTCTTCTCACGATACTGTGGAGGGGTGAGCTGACGCGCCCTTGCTATCATTCGGAAGCGTCGCAGCTGACTTGGCAGTCGGGCGCACCGGGTTGGGTAGTAGAAGCTGGCGGGTTCGACCTCGGCGATGACGGAGACAAGCTCGCTTTGGCGGGTGCGGCGTTTCTTGATGGTCTTCGGGGCGGAAGATTACAGGGCGAGCGAGGGCTCTGGCCAACAGGTACGTCTCGAGCCCAGTCTCAGCTGGTACTTGCCACGTTGCGTTTGCTGCGGCAGTAAAGCTAATCTCCATAGGGTACTCCAAGTTGGCGTGTGCAACCATGAAGTGAGCTGGCGACTGTCCATCTAGGGCGACTAGAGCTGACGTTTCAGTACTCTCTTCTGGGGCGGAGAGACTTTTGCGCCCGCCTTCAAAGTCAAGGATAGGACTGGCAAATCCGTCAACATCCAGACGTACCTTCAAGACGCTTTCTTTGGCGCGGTCGATAAGCTCGTCGAGGCCGTAGGCGACCTGCCTGGTGTGCTCGGTTTTGAGGTAAGTTCTATGACTTTTCAGGGATCGGTTCCAGGCGAAGCTGACTGTGTAGCTCATGAACGAGCCTCACCCGGGTTTCATTGGACTCGAGACCGTCCACGCCTGGGTGAGCTATTTCGAAAGCCCATTCTGAATGAGCACAGCAGCTGACATTCCCAGAACTACAATACCGATCTTCACCTCGGTCAATTCCCCTCTCCGCTCCAATCCTTCAGTATGGGCGCCGGCCATCCCACCCCCAACGTCCCCATCTACACCCGCTCGTTCCCTTTCCCCACTCGTCACTCTTCATCCGTCATTGGCAATCCCACCTCCGCTGTCGTTTGGCGCGCCGACGGACCCACCAAGGGCTCATGTCCCTTCGAAAAGGAAGGCGTGTGGCGGTGGTCCGAGCAGAAAAAGACCGCGGTGGCGTTACAGGAGGATTACTTCTCAAAAGACAGGAAAGGGCGGAAGGTGGACTTTTACCAGGACTTCTACTTCCCTTTCGTGAGCAAGTGGGAGGAGGTGCTTGAGAGGAGGCAAGGGAAGGGGAGGGGGATGCGGCTGGTAGAGGCTGTACCGAACGAGTATTGTCCTGATTGGCCGGTCGAGGCCAGACCGAGTAACTTTGTGTATGCCCCACATTGGTGAGTTCTCTATCCTCACCCTTGCGGACGCGGACTGGAGCTGACAGGCAGGTATGACCTCAACTCGATGTTCAAGAAGAAGTTTGGATTCATGACAGTCAATGTCCAGGGTCTATCAAGGGTGAGTCGCTATTTCATCTCGCACTTTTCAAACTTGCCTTGGGCCGCACCCTGCCATTTCTGAATCTCGCCTCCGGCTCCACTTCTGCCAGTCCTGATTACAATGCTGACGTTCCAGGGCATGTTCATCCTCAATGCGCTATACTTTGGTCGGGACGGCGTCATGAAAAACTATGCTCTTCAAATCAAGACGCTGGTTGACAAGGCTCGGGAGAAGCTGGGAGAGGTACCCGTCGTATTCGGAGAGTGCGGGATACCGATGGATCTCAAGTGAGCTACTCAAGTCTGATTCGTACGGCACTGATAGATTGAATGTAAGCTGATTTATTAGCAACGAGGAGGCATTCCGGACTGGCGATTTCTGGGCGCAGGAGCGGATGATGGACAGTCTGTTGTCTGCGCTGGAAGCGAGCCTGGCGTCATTCAAGTGAGCTGATATACTCATGTTGTTGAGCACTGGACGGCAGCTGATACAACAGTCTCTGGTCTTATAATCCGGTGAACAATGACGATATTGGCTGTGATGTGAGTTCTGAGATCCAAGCTGTTAGCAGGATAACGCTGATGACATCAGTGGAACGCCGAACACTTCTCTTGGTATTCGAACGAGAGGCGGGATCAGGAGGTCGCGCAAAAGCCTACCAGTGCAGGGGAGAAAGGCGAGGTTCTGGACCTGGACGCCGGGTCTAGGCTGTTAAACGTCATTGTGGTAAGTGCCGACACTGAACCTACCGACAAGGCACTTGAGCTCATCCTGTAGCGCCCCTACGCCATCGTCACCGCCGGCGTCCCCATGTCCCTCGTTTACTCCACTCAGACCAGCGAATTCTCATACCGCTTCCGCTCGCCCCACACGCCGGCCTCCCCTTCCGCCGCCACATCCACCACCCCTCCTCCCATCTCGGAACTCACCGAGCTCTTCCTCCCACGCCGCATCTACCCATCTCACCTCACCAAGTACATTCTCTCCCCTGGCGGCCGGATCTACTTTGACTGGCCTAACCAACGCGCCTTCATCTGGTTCGTCGATCCCGAGCACTCGTCCGACCCCCGACTGGCCAAGCTGTCCAAGTCTGCCCGGACGAGGCGGGTAGATATCTGGGTCGGCACCAAGAAGGTCGAGGCATGGAAGTGGTGGCAGGTACTGGCGATATTGGTGGCTGTCTTGGCTGTCATTGCGGGCGTGACGGCGCTGCAGCTTGCCGACTGGGAGAAGGAGAGAAAGATGGGATTGAAGCCGTGGGCGGGGGTCAGTATCTGGAAGGCGAAGTGGCTTGACTAGTGTGGTTGGGAGGGTATGTCTGGACTTTTATTACCTCTCTGCCATGTATTGCCACTGCTTGAGCTGTATACTAGGTAGCAGGTGAGCCAGAGATGCACAGCACGGGCTCCATGCCCTGCCCCACATAATAAGGCACCGGCGCGTCGGGCCTTTACGTCACCACCACCTTGGCTGTTTCAAACAACCAACATGGTTTCAGTTCACTCATCCGTACTCAGCCATCACCTGGACATCGTACTACATCATTACGAGTGACATGCTGAGCGACTCGCAGCTCGCTCGTATCAGGATATGACGCAGGAACTGGAGGATCAGACGGAAAGATCACCCCTGGACGATTACTTTCACGGTCAGTCTTGTTGATCGTGATTCCTTTGTCCTCTTTCAGCGCACGCCGCTCTGAGCACGGGCCTTCGCGTGACGAGGCCATGCTGATCTCGCAGATGTAGAGGAGGCGCAAAGTACGAGCATGCCTATCGAGGATGAGCAGCCTGCGGACGGTTTGCGATCCGTCGGTAAAGTGGATACAAATTGGGGAGATGAAGTAAGTTGGCTGTGAAAGGAGCTTTAATCAACTTCGACCTTGGATCTTGACCCTCCTCGGGAGATAGAGCGCGATGCTGATATGCAGACACTTGTCAACCCCACAACCACTCCGCCAAGCGGCTGGACAGGTTCACAGCCAAACACGCCCGGTCCGAGCTCGGCGCGCCACCGCTCAACCCTCGGCTCGTCAATCTCCTCGGTACCCGCGCATGATGACGGTCTCGCCTTCGCGGAGAACTTCAAGTATATCGTCTGCTCTAGCGGTCTACTGGAGAAGGACTTTGCGAATGTCGTGAGGAGCGAGGGTGTTGCTGCGGACGCGCCGGATGTGGATGAGGCGGTGCCTGTGGTTGTGGATCTGGAGGAAGCAGGATCAGCGGTGGGAGGGTGGACACACTGGTGGCGTATTGGCGGGGAGAGATGGGATGCGGTGCCAAGTGGTGCGACGGGAGCAGGATCAGCAGGGTTGGGTTGGAGATACTGGTGGCGAAGAGGCAGGGAGAGATGGGATGTGGTACTGGCGCTTGCGGCGGTTATAGTTGGGGTCATAATTATTGTTGGGTGGGCGAAGGTGTTGGTGACTTCTTCATGCCTGATGGTGGGGATGATCCTTGCGGAGATCTGGCAGAGATCGAAGCAGGTACGTCCTCACAACCCTGGAAGTTGGAATCACGCTGAGACCGAGCAGAGACGACTTCATCCATTGCCCCCTACACTCCCGCCCTCTTCGAACTCATCGGCCACACCGGCCTCACCGGCGCAAGACATCTCCCCTCGCCAAAGCGCTCTCGAATCACTCAAATCCCTTCTATCATCCTGCACATCGCTCGACTCCTCCATCACCACGTCACTCACTCACCTATCTGGCGTCCGGCGAGCTCCAGCTCAAACCAGGCAGCTACAATCGGCGTTACATCAACTATGCACCGAGATGACGGACAACATCGCCTCTGCGTCCAGCTCGCTCGCCGGGCTGGTGGATCATGCCGAACTCAAGACGCTGGGCGAGATGTACGATATTCCCTCGGAAGGGCGCAAGGCGCGACCGAGGATATCGGACCGGACGGATAGCTCGGGTTTGGCGGAAGATATCGGGATAGCGTCGGAGCGGTTTGGCGGTCTCATGGGGGAGAAGTACAGAGATATCGGGCTGGGGCTGGGCGCGGTCCCATCTCCAAGACGTCAGCCGCCCGTACCACTCCAGCTAGACTCGAGCACCACGATTCGCCCACTTCGGACGCAGTATCTGTCTGCGCATACCTCATCATATCCCATGTCGACCACTCGCTCTCTGCCCTCCGGTGCCAATTCTCGGCACAATCGGCATCACTCCCTGCTCCCTTCCCTACCTTCCACGGCGGCATCGGATCAGACGGACCACTTTACCTCGCTGCCTCGGCGCAGCGGACGCCGGCTGTCCAAAAGGGCGAGCTGGGATGTGGGACATGAGACGAGAGGGGGCGAGGCGGGGTTGCTCCAAGCCTGGCGACCGGGGGAGATTAGCACGCCATCCAAAAGGCCGGTGCACGAGCGAAGAATCACGGAGGCAGATGAAGAGGGGGATCTGAGCTGGAGCTCGGCGAGTGGGCAGGAGGACGGTCCGACCGACTCGAGCAATACATCGGCCGATGAGGCGAGCTTGCTGGGGGATCGGCCACTCCCAAGCGGTCTTCGAGCTCTCAATCTACCGTCTAGTCCCACACTCTCCTCCCCTCGTCAAGCCCATACCCCGAAACACGCTTCACCCTTGACTGGACGGCGGAGAACAGGGGATACCGATCCCCTCACGCCAATCCGCTCCGGCATGTCGCTCACGGAATCCGCGGTCCGCCTCGCTGCCCTCTCGTACCCCTCTTCACCTTCAGCTTTCAGCCTACTCCGCCAATCCCATACCCGACTCAGTCTCAACGTCTCGCCGCCTACGGTCAATCCAAAACGGCGAAGTCTCGGGACCATGCCATATAACCACGATCTCCCATCATCGCCGACTCTGCCGTATCTCTCCGGTTCTCAGGGGCTCAGCAGGACCCGTTCGCTCCAGTCGGATCTGCAGGCGGCAAGAGAACGGTCCGCTACCGGCTCTCGCTCGCGTCCAACGTCAATGACGCTATCGGTGTCTTCTTCGGTCCGGTCCGGAATGTCTACCTCCCAGCTAAGTCCTGCCTCACCTTCATTCCCGCTGGACAGTTCGACCAACTTCGTTCCCCTACCATCTCCTCATCGACCTCATCGCATCCCGTCGGTCTCGCCACTTACTACCCCCGCTTTGCAGGCCGCTTGCCTGGGCATGCATCTCAAGCGGCGACGCGTCGCCTGCTCGCTGCTCGCGCTGAGATGGACGGAAGAGGCGGATGGGTACTGGCAGGACGTCAGGGAGGCGCTTGAACAGCTGCGGGAAGGCATCGAGAGGGAGACCTTGAAGCTAGGCGCGATCTTGGCCGGCCAGGCGGATCCAGGCCTGGAAGCGGAAGAACGGTACCAGCGGCTAACACCGCCGTGGTCGGGAGGTCTTCCCTTCGCTCCTAGTGTCCAGAAGCCGAACGGGGACTTTGCGCCCACCACATCGGATAAGGAGAAGATGGAGGGCCATGTGGTGATCATCCAGAAGGCGTTGGAGCGGGCATGGGAGGAAACGGCGATGTTGCGGCGTCACTTGGCGGGCGACCAATCCATCTCAGCGGAGGAGTTGGACCTCGGTCCGAGTGCGCGGAACTGGGCGGGACTGAGAGAAGAGCTGGGGATCATGGTGCGGGAGGTCGAGCGTGGAAGGGAGACGCTGGCGTCGTTGTCTGGAGGCGCTCGTCAGCCTCTGCAGGAATCTGCGGAGGATGTCGATACCTCTGGCGATGCTCCTACCTTCCTTCGGACATGGGACGATACCGACGCGCTCCCTCCTCGCTCAGTCTCGGTCGGAACTACAGCCAACACCGATCTCGCCTCGCCTGAACGGCAGCACGACGGCGACGACACGCCAGAGGTGCTCGCTCCGGCCGGTCTTGACGAGATCTACGAGGCAGACCTCGGTGTTCCAGAGCGTCCGGATGATCTGGGGCTGGGAAAGATGGGCAGGGCGGAACGGGTGGGGATGATGAAGCTCGCTCGGGCTGAAGGTTTGACCTTGGGGGAGTACATGCGGAGGAACATGGGATCGGGCGAGGATGTGGTGGTTCAGAAGAGGGGAGAGGGTGGACAGAAGGTGGTGGATGAGCTGAAAGGGGTGTTGGGGCTTGTGAGGATGAAGAAGGGACTGCCGGGTGGGGTGGACAGCGAGGGACGGGCGGACCAGCTTGCGCTCGGCAAGACTTCCTCGACAATCCGCACTGCTCCCGGACCAAAAGAAGCCAGTGGACCTTCACTCCCGGCCGCCGTCCCCGCCATCGGGCAATCGATCAGCCCTCTTCCTTCCAACGAGCCGACTACACCTCTACCCTTCTCTCGCTTCCTCTCACATCGCTCTGCCGATATCGCGGCTTCGGCCCCTACTTCTACGCTGGGCATAGCCGACGCGGTCGGCTTGTCTGCGCTCTCAAGCGATACTCAATCGCGCCAGTCGATGCAGTCGGAGTTGATGAGGGTCTTTGGGGGATCGGGTGCAGGGGGAAGGAATGAGGAGTAGGGAAGAACGTGATTTCCAGGAGGCATCCTGTTGTAGCTATATATTGACCATCATAAGCATACTCTCATACTGTGCACTCCCTCCGCCTGCCCGGTGCCTGCTTCCTGGCAGGGCTCCCAGGTATCAGGAGCAGCAGTGGCTGGTAGATCTCGGACGATCAACGATGCTTGAGAGACCCTTTACGACATCCTCGGCCTCCGATCAGCCCAGCTGCTGCAGCCAAAGGAACGCTGTCCACAACGTTGATCTTTGCTTACTTTCTCTTCGTAACATCGCTTGTTGTTCTTCGATACTTCCACAGAAGTAAGGGATCATGACCCTCTCGTATCTGGTATCGACAGCCGGGCATGCTCAGCATCAGAACGATACCCACCCGCACGATGTCCAGTCGATCCTCCAACTCATTGTCGACGGCGCAAAGGAGTTTAAGGATGAGAAGGTCGTAGGTTTCACAAGGGAGGATAAGGGCTCTTGGGTGTGTGATCGCTACTGTGAGTGATGTGGTCTCAGCTGAGGTGAAGAGGATCCATGCGCTGACCACGAAGCATACGTCGAGCTACTGTCTCTTGCGACGGCAATGGAGGATATGCTGCGTCGGAGCGGTATCCCTCGAGCTCAGGAGGGAGTGGTCTCCCTGCTCTGTCCAACGGGGCTGGATTTTCTGGTCTCTTGGATAGCGCTTATGCGTATGGGCTATGGTGTCGTCTTCACAGCGTGAGTGTCCACCCGTCCTATAGAGTGTGGAAGATAGTCCAACCCCTCGCCTGTGGAGATCTCCTCCATATACTTTCGCTGATCCTCAGACCCCAGTGCTCCCCCTCTGCCGTGGCTCACCTCGCCAACTCCTCATCTTCGGCGTACATCATCTATCACCTGAAGTACCAAGAGCTCGCTGCAGCCGCTCGTCCCCTTTCCAGCCAAATCCCGCTCGTCGAGCTTCCGCCATTACCCACCGTCTCGCCTTCGCATCCCTTACCGCCCGCACCAGAGGTATCACTTCCACACGCCGGTTCCGTCTCGCACATCTTCCACACGTCAGGGACGAGCGGTACTCCCAAGCCCATCCCCCATACCCACTACGGCAGTGTCGCGCCCCTCCCACGCCGAGCTCTCCCTTCCTATCTCCACGACTACGCTTCAGGATCGGACATGGCCCCTTCTGGTTCGGCAGCATTCACCACAACTCCGCTCTTCCACGGTGGCGTCTCGGACTTGCTGCGAGCATGGATGGCGCGAAGTATGATCTATTTCTACCCCACAAGCGATACGGCCATCACCGTGTCGAACGTCGTCAAGGCGGTCGAGGGCTGTAATGGGCCCCCACCGCCTCTGTCGGCCAAGCGAGGGATGGGGAAGATATCGGAGGATCAGCTGGAGGAGCGGGACTGGCGCTTCAAGGCGACTGCGTTCTTGTCGGTTCCATATATCCTCACCATACTGGCGGAGGACGAGGATGGGCCGGGAATGGAGATGCTCAGGAAGATGGAGCTGGTCAGTACGGGTGGAGCGCCCCTGGACTCGGCGGTAGGTGACAGGATGGTCCAGCGTGGAGTGAGGCTGGTCAGCAGATTGGGAAGCAGCGAGTGTGGATGTAGGTCTGTCGTGTGTCCGTTCTCAGCCGGAGCTGATGGATAGTCTTGCTCAGCTCGCATCGCGATTATCATACCGAAATGGACTGGGAGTGGCTGAGGAACGACTCGCGTTACGCGGATGCGCTTGTCTTTGAGCCTGTAGGGGATGGAAGGTACGAGATGGTCGTGTCGGATCAGTGGAGGAGCAAGGCAGGTTGGTCTCTGATCTTCAGGCGAATCGAGCTGACACCACAGACAAAGAGCAATCGGGAGGACGGGAGTTACGCTACTGGAGATCTGTACGAGCGACATGAGCGCAAGCCTGGGGTATGGCGATACGCGGGCAGAGGTGATGACGTCTTGGTCATGGTGAGTCGGATTCACACTGACCCAGGTCTGAATTAGACTGACCCTTACAGAGCAATGGCGAGAAGGCATCTCCTGGGCCTATTGAGCTGGCTTTCCGCTCTTCACCACTCATCGCCGATGTTCTCGTTGTCGGCGCCCAGCGGTCCCAGCTCGGCCTCCTTCTCTTCCCTCGACAGACTGCTTACCCTATCTCTCCGACTCTTCTGCGAGACCTCGCCCCGCAGTTCAAGCGCGCCAATGACGCTTCGCCGACGTATGCGCAAGTCTCGACCGAGATGTGCGCGATCATCGACATTTCGAGCGGGAAGGAATTGCCCAAGAGCAGTAAAGGGACGATACAGCGGGGAGTGGCGAATGAGGTGTTCAAGGAGGAGATTCAGGCGCTGTATGGCGGTGGGGAGGAGCAGGGTGGGCCGGATCTGCCAAAGAGGTCGGTCGGGGAGATTGCGGAGGAGGTGGAGCGGATCATAGTGGGTGTGGTACAGTCGAAGCTCAAGGTCGAGGGGCTGCGGATGGGAACGGATCTGTTCAGCTGGGGCGTGGACTCGCTCATGGCCACGAGAATACGAAATGCCATGCTCAAGGTGAGTACTGCGTTGGTCGTATATCTGCTGTGTTGAGTGGTTTGGCTGATGGTGCAGAGCTTGAACATCGGTACTGGCAAGTTGTCGACCAATGTTGTGTTTGAGAGACCGACAATCACCTTGTATGTCGTCCCAAACTTGAGGACAGGGCCTGTAGGAGATTCAGCCAGCTGATGAACACAGACTCGCGCAGCATGTCCATGATCTGCAGGAAGGCCGAACGACATCGTCAGACCCAGCGTCGGACGCTTCGCAACTCATGCGCGACTTGGCGGACAAGTACGGCTCGTTCAGCAAGTCAGCAGTCCGACCTGTTGAGCGAGAGAAGCGGAACGAAGGACGGACCATTGTAAGCGTTCCATACAGTCATCTCAGGGAGAGAAGCTGACCATACGCAGCTTCTGACAGGCGCTACTGGCTCACTAGGCTCCTACCTCCTGCAAGAGCTCCTCGCCAGTAATCCAGACGACAGGGTCATGTGCCTCGTGCGAGCAGGAAACAACGAGACTGCCGAACGACGAGTACGAGCCGCGATGAGCTCGCGCGGGCTCTCGTACAACCCGGACAGGACGGAGATGTATGGGTCGAATCTGGCACTGGAGGATCTGGGCCTGGGCAAGGAGTTGTGGTATGGAAGTATCGTCAAGAGAGTGGATATTGTCATTCATGTGAGTCTGGCTTCCCATGATGCGAGTGGTGACTGATTCTACAGGCGGCCTGGCCGGTGCACTTCAGTAGCAGCTTGATTTCTTTCGAGGACAACATCAAGGGTGAGTCTCTGCCCAGTCGGCGCTGTGTGTATGAGCTGACCGATAGGTACCCGAAACTTGATCGACCTGATCGCCCAGACCTCGTCCGCCAAGCTATACTTTTGCTCCTCTCTCGCTTCAGTCCTCAGCGGCTCGTCATCCGGCCCAATCACGGAGGACCGGACGGACGACCCGTCCACCGCTTCAGGGATCGGATACTCTCAGTCCAAGTGGACGACCGAGCAGGTCTGCCTGCGCGCCAATGAGGCTCTATCGGGGACGGGCACAGAAAAGGAGGGACGAGTGGGGATCCTGCGTGTGGGGCAGTTGTGTGGGGATAAGCAGAGTGGGAGGTGGAATGAAAAGGAAGGGTGGCCTTTGATGATCCGGACGGCGGAGGAGGTCGGGTGTTTGCCACTGCTGGATGAGGTATGTCCTTCGCGGCTGCTTTGGGACAGCGCAGGGATGCTGATCTGCAGAACCCGACGTGGCTACCGGTCGATATCGCCGCGAAAGCTATGTGAGTCCCTTCTTTTATCCCCCATACGCTGCGCTGCGCACACCCCAAAATTCGGGCTCCATTGATCCTCCTAGTATCGATATCATCGCTACACCCATCTCCCCCTCTCTGCCAATCTACCATATCGTCCACCCTACACCATTCGCCTGGACGTCCATGCTCGACCACCTCGAAGCGGCGGGGCTGGAATTTGCGCGCGTACCCCCTGCGGAATGGGTGGAGAGGATGGACCGGAGTGAGGAGGATCTGGAGAAGAATCCTAGTAGAGGGATGTTGGAGATGTGGCGGGGTGCCGTGAGTCCTGACTCGCTCTCCGCTCTGAGCGCTCGCTGAGAGCTCGGCATTGACCTCGTCTTCGACATCGTGGCTGATCCTATACAGTACGGTCCGAACTCGATAAAGACTGACGATCGGGCTATTGAGACTCGTCGAGCCCAAACGGCGTCACCGAGTCTGCGGCAAGTTGAGCCAATTGGGGAAGAGCTGGTGAAGACTATGGTGGCTGCCTGGCGTGAATCTGGGTTCTTGAAGAAGCGGAAGTCTAGCGTAGAAGAATAGAAGTCTATGCATCTTGCATGATCTACACATCTATATACTTTTCCCCTTTTGCTTTCTGCCTTACTCCCTGCTGGCTGCTGCACAGTCCTAGCCCTAATCCTCCCTTCCGGTGCACACCGACACCTCGCACGCGTCCCTCTCCCCAGTATACGGGTCCCACCCATCCAGCATCTGACTGGTATACACCAACCCTGGATCACCGTCCGCCTGCACTCCCTCCGCCTCTTCCGGCACCCAGAGCGTTTCGTCGATCGGCCCATTCTTGAACGCGCTGTCCCAGTCGGACTCGTTTGTTGGGTTGGGAGTAATGGGGGGTTGAGAGGTGGGGCGGGTCTGCGAAAGGATGGCGCGCTTGGAGACGGGGGAGGCGCGGACGTAGGAGAGGTAAGGAGGGTTTCCGGGCTTGACGACGTTGTCGGCCACGAGGACGGTTCCCTGGGGTGTCAGCCAGGAGTCATGGGTTCCATATGTGATGGACACCAAGCGAGCAAAGGAGACATACCGGACCGACCAGTCCTTCCTCCTCCATCACCTTCAGGTCGATGGTGTAGAGCGGCTTGAGGTGGTCCAGGAACACCATGTCAAACTTTAGCGGACGAGGCATGTTGAGGGTTTTGCGAAGATTCTTGAGCGAGGTGGTAGAGCTTCCAGTGACGATCTAGGGGCGTCAGCGCTGTCTTTTCTCCCCTTCCGTATGGTAATACGAGACTGATGCTCGGCGCACCTTGACGACCTTGTCGAGACCTGCGAGCTTGAACGCCCCTCGGGCCGTATCGGCGTAGACCTCGCTCTTCTCCAGCGAGATGTATCCTGCGCGGTCTTCTTCGGGGTTGGAAGTCCATTCGTGTGGGTAGACCGAGTTGGGGTGCTGCGAGGGGAGTTGCTATATGATGAGCTTGGAATCAAGGAGGAGGTGAAAGAAGGAGAGGAACTCACGCGAGAGAAGGAGATACCAGAGAACCCGACATAAGACCCCAGCTCGAGAATCAACTACTCCCATCAGCTCTTCCTGACCTACAGGCCGGCTACATAGCTCACCTTTGGCTTCCGCTCACTGATCAAGGCCTCGACTTTCCGCCCCTTCGTATCCCCCACACTCATCAAATAGCTATTCTCCTGCTTCCCAAACTCATGGATCGCATCCAAAACCCGCTGGCTCTTGTCCTGGAGAGAGAGGGAGGCGGTTTGGTCCGCCGATAGCTCGGGAAGGGAGTTGAGATGCTTGAGGAGAGCTTCTTCGCGGCCGTCGCCCTGTAGTCAGTCAGCTGGTGCGGCTTGGATGAGATGAGGAGAGGTAGAGAAAGACTAACGTGGAAGACGGTGCCCTGGACCGGCTCTGTTGGTCAGCTTGGCCCTCGCAGGAGGTGACATCAGAGAAGGCAGGACCGGACGCTGTCTTCTGGAAGAAAAGCGTGCAAGCACAGCGGCCGGCTGGGTCAAGGGAGGGAATATCTCGTCCGAGCTGGACGACTCACCATGATACTTGGGTGGTGGCTGGGGGCTGGACATGTCGGTGCTGAACGAGGAGCAGATGCAAGGTGAGGTTGGCTATCGCTAGGCTGCTGAAGCTGATGCTTCTCTTGTGGCTGATGATGTCTCTTCGGACGTGGAGTTCCGACAGGGCCGAAATCTAATCAATAATCTATGATGATGACCCTCCTTTCCGTTCCTCCTTTGCTTCGCTGTGACCCTCGTTTCCATCCGAGACTCTCGGAAGAGAGACTTGGGACAGCGCGTCATTGAATGGATGGCATGGCAGTCGCGTCGATGGCTCACCTCGACCTCAGACGTCTTCGCCACGCCGAGCCGGCCGAGCGAGTCCATTCAACACCGCTTCGATCGGTAGACTCCCTCCCGCGATCAAGACAATGACAGAGATCGTACAGTAGCCTAGGCACGGCTGAGCTCATACAGAGCAGTGATGACTGGAGGTATGGCCTATGGCGAGCTTGGATGGATGATGACGTCATGCCGTTACCAGCAACTGCCGCTCCGTTGCCGCTTCCCTCCCCTCGCCTTCCCGCCCGATCTGATCAAGTCGAGTGATCACTGCTATCTCTCCGATCTGGCTTGATCAGATAAGATTAGCAACCCGTCGGCCGATCCTCTGCTCTGTCGACCGCTCGCCAGCTGCATTCCAGTGCATTCCCCGACCTCGCGGATGCTAAAAGGATGCTCAGATCGATCTGAATCAACGTCAGCGGTAACGGAATAACCGGAGCGGTGTTTCGATTGATCCAAGGCGGCATCGGCGTACCTGAGTGAGACACACCTAACTCTACCTTTCTTCACCTGGCTTGCTGACGGCGTGACAAACGTGTCCCTCTCGTCGCTGCGCCTTAGCCTTCTTCCACCACGGTCACTACCAGCAGCCGTGCCCAGCGCCGCGATCATCAGCATCAGCGTCAGCGTCAGCGATCGTCGGAACAGCGGCTGCTGCAACTCCGATGGCAATGGCTCGGCTCGGCATCTCTGACGATCAGAGATCATGCATCGAGGACGAGGCCTCCACAAGTGTGGGTGTGGGTGGTTGGGTGGGGGAGAGGGAAGGGAGAGGCGAGACAAGGAACGGCAGGTGAAACGAGGGTGGGATGATGGCGTGCCTTGTTTCTTAGCGTTTGATTGGATTCTTTTGATCGCTCGCTTACTTTGATCCGATCAAGCCACTGTACAGCTTCCTCCCTCCCTTTCCTATATAAACTAGAGACGATCCCCAGCATCCCCCCTCTTTCCCCTTCTGACCTTTTGCTTCTGATTCCCACCAAGCTCACCCCCACCCACCCACGCACATCACACTACCACTACCCCCTCACACCCACCCTACCATCCACCATGTCTGATCTCACTGCCAAGGTTACCAAGCCCGAAGCCGGCTCCATGCAGGTGGACGGCTACGAGGCGCTCAAGTACAACTTCCACTACACCTCGCCCGTCTTCGACGTCAAGAACGAGAAGCTCGCCAGCATCTATGAACGGTGGCAGCGGGTCTTGATCATCATGGACAAGAGTGAGTTTCGGTTTTGAGCTGTTCCTTCGGTTCTGTGGGGGTTTGTGATGGGAGGTGATGGGGCTGGTTGAGCAGGCTGGAGGGTTGTGTGATGGGGCATCAGTCGGAAGAGGGACAATAGCGACAGTGTAGGCTGGTGAGAAGCAGATGATGGTTGTCCTTGTATTTCCTCCATCACTTCCTCAGCCCCCCTCTGTTCCTCCTACCCTCCTCCCTTCCTCCTACCCTCGCTTTGAGCTTGAAGCGGTCTCGTCCTGCCCTCCTCGCCCCCTCCCCCGACTGAACTGACCCCTCAGTCGTCCACCCCATCTACAAGGACCAGATCGAGACCTACTTCAAGCACTACAACATTGCCATCACCTGGAAGGTTGTCAACGGGGGCGAGCTCAACAAGACCATGGACGTGAGTACCTCTTCCTCTCCCACTGGGCCTCTACTGACTCGCAGACCATGCTCGAGATTGTAGACGCCATGGACGAGTTCGGGATCGTCCGTACCGAGCCAACCCTCGTCGTCGGCGGTGGCCTCATGACCGACGTCACTGGCTACGCTTGCGCGTCGTACCGCCGAAGCTCCAACTTCATCCGTGTCCCCACCACCCTCATTGGTCTTATCGACGCCAGCGTCAGTATTAAGGTCGGGATCAACCACCGCAAGCTCAAGAACCGGTATGTCCCCCCTGATCCCCCCTGTGTCCGACGGAAGCTGACCAACAGTCTCGGTGCCTACCACGCCCCCCTCCACACCTTCCTCGACTTCTCCTTCCTCAAGACCCTCCCCGTCGGGCAGGTCCGGAACGGTTTCGCCGAGCTCGTCAAGATTGCCTCGGTCGGTGACAAGGCCGTCTGGGACCTGCTCGTCAAGCACGGCGAGAGGCTCGTTGAGACTGGCTTTGGCTACAATGGCGGCGAGGAGGTCAGGGAGGCGGGTACCAAGATCTGCCACCAGGGTATCGAGACCATGTTGGAGGTGAGTCAGAGCTAGCATCGTCGGTGGTTTGGGCGCGAGCTGACAAGACAGCTCGAGACCCCCAACTTGCACGAGCTCGGTCTCGACCGTGTGATCGCTTTCGGCCACACCTGGTCCCCAACCCTCGAGCTCACTCCCCGTATCCCCCTCCGTCACGGTCACGCCATCACCGTAAGTTTTCTCTCCTTTCGTAGTCCACGCCTGACGTTCCCGTCCATCATCTAGGCATGCGCTGACCTTCAGATCGACATGGCCTACTCCATCACCCTCGCTCACTCCAGGGGTCTCATTAACGACGCCCAGCGCGACGAGTGGTTCACCCTCGTCTCCTCGGTTGGTCTTTCGATGGACCACGAGGACTTTACCGAGGAGCTCATCGCTGTCGCCACTGAGGCTATCAAGTGAGCATCTTGTTCTCCATATGTTCAAGCTCAGCTGACATCTCGTAGGAAGACCCGTGACGGCAAGCAGCGTTTCGCTGTCCCCGACGGCCAGTTCGGCCAGTGCAAGTTCCTCAACGACGTCCCAATCTCGGAGCTTCAGTCAGTCCTCCGCACGCACAAGGAGTTTGTCAAGTCCCGCTTTGGCTCGGGCGCCGGCAAGGAGGCGTTTGTCGATGCTGGGGATCTCGGAGCGGAGCCAGAGGCGTACGCCAAGGGCGATGCGACCGACGGCGAGGAGACGGCCGAGTCTCTCAAGAGGAAGAACATCAAGGGCAACGGCGTCAAGAGCGCCGCGGTCGGGGCTGGGGCTGTGCCAGTCAACGGCTCGGGTCACGTTACCAACGGGGTGAGAGTCTGTGCTTGGAGGTCGATGGACAACAGCTGATGATATAGATCGTGGGGACTGCCGAGTGCGGGTGTTAAGCGCTGAGCTTCAACGCTCGGTGTTACGCATCAATCATCTCAGAACATCGGTCTCGTAGTTATATCATAGCATACACGCGAAAGTAGAGTAAAGATGAGGCTGGTAGTCTCAGTTCAGAAGTAAAAGCTGCACATATGTAGTGTACGATCCCCCATCCATGCATATCCGACATTGTACATGTCACTTCTTGCCTCGCTTCATTTGGTCCTCTCCTCCGATCGATCTCTGGTGACCGCCATCGAAGCCAGCGAGATGAGAGGGAGGCGATGACATCAATGGCTGCTTGCCCTATATCTTATCCGAAGCTGGAAGAGAAGCTCGAACCTTGTCTTCACACCTCATTCCTCTGCAAGGCGTCGACTCCTGCTCCTGATCGATTTGGTCACCTGATCATCTGATCGATCGACGAGGGGCCGGAAGCGCTTATCAAGCAAGCCATACATTCCGTCAACTCATATCTTCAGCTTTGGTATCACTCCCACCGCGATGCCCCGGCAAGCGCCCAACGCGCTTCAAAACCTCCTCGCTGGACTCGTCCTCCCCCTTCTCTCGATCCTCCTCCTCCCGGTCAGCCTGGTCGCGGTCGGTCTGTGCGTCGCGCACGATGCCCTCAGGCGGCGATTCGTTTTCGCTATGGGGTCTGAGGGGGCGGAGAGGGGGAAAGGGGAGAAGGAAGGGAAGAAGGGGTGTGTCATCATTAGTGGAGGGAGGATGACGAAGGGGTTGACGTGAGTTCTTGCTTCTTACCCATCGAGGGAGGATACTATGAGAAGGGGGATAAGAATGAGCTGATAGTGCAGACTTGCTAGGGCTTTCAAGCGGGCTGGCTGGAAAGTCGTCGGCGTGGAGGAAGAAGGGTGAGTCAATTTCTCGCCTTCCGCTTTCAAATCACATGATCCTACAGGGCACCGAGAGCACAGCTCACAGCTGACGTTCAGGTGGGGCGAGCTCTGCCCTCTCCGTTTCTCCTCTTCCTTATCCTCCTTCCACCTCCTCCCTCCCGCATCCACCTCGTACGCCGCCTACTCATCCGCCCTCCTCCAACTGGCGCAGCATCACTCCGCCGACCTCTTCATCCCCGTCTCTGGCGTGGCCTCGTCCGTGGAAGACGCACTCGCCGCGGACGACATGTACGCGCATACCAAAGGACGGTGCCGGACCTTCATTCAGGACCCCGAGACCATGCGTGACCTGCACGATAAAGACCGGTTCATGGCGCTGGTGGATCGGCTGGGGATGCGTATTCCCGCCGGAAAGATGGTGAAGAGCGTGCAGGAGGCGATGGCATTTTTGGAGGAGCAGAAGAGGGAGAAGGTGGAGAGGCAGTTTGTGTTGAAGTGTATGGGGCTGGATGAGAATCGGGGGGATATGACGCTGTTCCCGCTGCAAGGAGATGGGGAGGGGTTGGGGCGGACAAGGGAGATGTTGAAGGGGTTGAAGTCGAGGATTGCGGAGGAGAATCCATACGTCTTTCAAGAGTACATCCCGGGCCAGGGTGAGTAGGGGTATACAGCTGGTCGAGCCTGAGCTGACTCTCAGAATGGTGCACCCACGCCTCGGTCATCCGCGGTCGACTCACCTCGTTCGTCGCTGCCCCTTCCAACGATATGCTCATGACCTACGAGAACGCCACTACCTCCGCAACCGGTCGTCTTGCCGAAGAATGGACTACCACCTTCCTCGACAAGCTCCAGGCTGATCCCCTGCCTTCCACTTCCACGTCCAGCGAAGACCAGACCCGCGGTCTTACCGGTCATTTCTCTTTCGACTTTATCCTCTCCACCACGGACGGCCATCTCTACCCTATCGAATGCAACGCCCGGGTGCACACCGCCGTCATTCTTCTGCCATTGGACGGGATCGCCTCGTGCTACGATGACGAAGGGGACGAGGACGATCTGGATCCTGATTCGGGGTATCACCGCGCCGTCCTCCGTCCGCCTCCCAATACCCGGCCGAGATCGTGGATCTACAATGATCTGATTATGCGATACCTCCCGCAAGTCGTTACCGCCCCGGACGTGCTCGAGAGGATACACCCCTCCCTCCCCGCTTGCTCGCCGAGGGTCTACCCCAAGAAACGGCCGAGCGAGTCGGTGTGGGATATCAGGGTGGATCCGACGCTTATCGCGGATGATTGGGTCCCGTTCCTGGTGCTCTGGCATGTCTTCTGGCCGGGGTTGCTGCTGCAGAAGTGGTGGCAGGGAAAGAAGTGGACCAGGGTGGGTTTGCATGCGAGCGGCTCCAAGAGGAACTACTTGCTGATGGTCTTAGTTGAACGTCAGTACCGGCCGAATCTTCGAGGCATAAGTGGCGAGGCCGGAGGGTGGTTCGATGTAGCGCAGGAAAGAGTAGTTGAGAGTTGCCTGCCCTGCGAAGACATGGGGCGAGCAGGGAAGCTGAAAATATAGAAGGATAGATGAACATGCTCCCATGAGATCAAATGCGCAGTGCATGCTTCCATCTACGCTCTACATTCTATGGCACCTCGGTATTGTTCAGACACACGTGCTCATCCTTGTCCAGCGCGTTCAGGCTGTCCATTTGCGCCTTGCTAAGCTCAAAGTCAAAGACCTGAGTATTGGAGATGATGCGTTCTTTGGTGTCGGATTTCGGAAGGGGGATGAATCTGTAGTATCAGCATCGGTCTTGACGGGCTCGCCCAAGGATAAGAGCTCTACTAGGTCATGACTCACCCTCTCTGCAGACTCCACCTGATCAGGACCTGGGCCCAGCTCTTCCCTGTCTCTTCGGCGATCTTGAGCAGGGTCGGATCGGACGATTTTGTACCCTGGACCATGGGCGAGTAGGCTTCGAGCGCGATGTTGTGAGATTGGCAGTATGAGACGATGGCGGGTTGTTGACACCAGGGGTGAAGCTAAGTTGTCAGCTCTGAAACCTGTCAGGCGACCTTACGTCTCGAGAAGCTCACCTCGATCTGGTTCACTGCGGGCGGTATTTCCGCGTACGTCTCCATCTCCTTCAGATGGCGCAGACCACTACTCCATCAGCTTCTTCCCTTCGTCACGGGCGGTCAGACACCCTATACTCACTAGTTTGACACACCAATAGCCTTGGCCTTCCCATCCTTCACCAGCTCCTCCATCAACTTCCACTGCTTCGGTCTCCCCTCCGGCCCAGCAGTAGGCGAGTGAATCAAGAAGAGATCGACGTAGCCTTTCGATGTCGGGTCAATCTTGGCCACACTCTCCTCTAGCCTTTCTTGGACTTTATCGGCATGTCCGAGCTTGGTCGTGAGGAAGACGGAGGATCGGTCGACGGAGGAGGACTGGACGGCAGCGCCGACTTCGGCTTCGTTACTGCTAGTGTCAGCTCGATTTTCCGCTCAACGTAGAGGGTAGCTTACAAGTACCACTGTGCCGAGTCAATGTGTCGATATCCCGCCTCAAGAGCAGTGGTGACTGTACGCGTGGCGATCTCGGGCGGGGAGAGGTAGACGCCGAACCCAAGTTGAGGGATCTTACCGGTCAGCTGATGGAATGAGATCAGTGAAGCAGGGGCGCACCTTGTCGCCGTTGTTCAGAGTTATGGTAGTATCGAACAAAAGAGAGGGCATGGCGTGAATGCTTTAGGGAAGGTACGATGGGTGTAGCCAATGTATAGTGTGAGGAGAAGAGAAGCAGATCGAGCAACCTAGACGGAACCAAATATCGACGCACGGATCAGCTCCAAAGCCAATTCTGAAACACCATCTGAAACGTGCCAGCGGGTCCGGGCGGAGTGGGATAGATCTACCCAGCCATATCGTCCTCCCGATCCATCGTAAGCTTCACAGCGTCTTCCTGAGGCTTAGGAGGGGGAACAGGCTCGGCCGCCATATCCGCTCGGAGCTGGGGAGGCGGACCGGTTGAAGGCGTGTGCGCCGACGACATCCTGCCCGGCGTTATTGTACGATATGGAGCCGCGCTTCTTGGGTTTGGGTAGGGGCCAGGCTCAACACGGTCAACAGTAGAAGCGATCAGGTCCTCGTTCAGCTTTGACGTTTCGAGCGACTCTCAAGCTACACACTATGGTACAGTACATGGTGACAATACAAGCTAGTCTGCGAGAACAACCGATAACCGATAGTAAAGTATGGAAAGAAGAAGAAGCGAAAGAACCTATGTACAACATGACAAGACCCGAAGACCCGCATCCCAAGACACCTTGCCTCGCTTATACCGATCCCTCCCCTGTCACGCGCGCCGCCTTCCCACTCGGTGAAGCCGCCTCGCTCCCCACAGCGTGCTGGCCATTATTCGGCAGCTTGGGACCCAGAACCTTCCTTGCCTTCTTCTCCTTCGGCCCGGTCGTGTCTTTCCCCTTCCTCTGCTTCCCTGTCGTCTCTTTGCCCTTCTTTTCTTTGCCCTTCGTCTCCATGTCCTTTGACCCTCTCTTCATCTCGACCGCCGACATTGAAGGCGCATCCCATCCCTTTACAGCCCTCGATGGGCCTGATACAATCTCCCCGAGGTGAGTGACCCTCCCCTGCCCACTGCCTGACCCGCCACCCCCCTCCTTCTTCTTCTCCAGAGCCTTGAAGAGAGCCTGGCGACTGTCCGCCAGGAAGAATCCCGCCGCTATCGTCGGAGGAGGTATAGCAGTTCGAGTGGTGGACTTTCGGGTGGACTGGGCCCGAAGGTCCTGCCATCCCAGCCGGCCCGCTTGCTCGTGCATCGCCCAGTCCGGAACCGAAGTATCAGGCTGGGATGGAGGATCGGTTGGTCGATACGACGACGATGCAGCGTCCGTGGTAGCTGAGACGGATGACTTTGTATTCGACCGACGGGGAGCCTTCGCCTTGGCTGAGACCGGAGGGGCGTGTACGTGATCGATGGGGTCGAACTCAGCAAACTCCGAGTAATGGGCGAGTGCGACGATCGAGGTCGACCCTGGGGATGGCTCCGCCTTACCAGCGACGGGGACCGTATGAGCCGCGTCGAGAGCGGTGTCCGCGCCTTCGTTCCAGACCAACGCCGGCTGAGGGTAGGGGAAGAAGGAGCTTCGCTTGCGGAGGTGAAGCGGAGGTGGCTTGTCCGACGCGTGATCACCGTACAGGCAGAGGAAAACCGCCTTCTTAGGCCCGATATGGAATACCTCGTCCGCCAGTGACTGGCAGAGCACCGCGTCGCCCGGATAGACCTGAAGGGCCGATTCGGGGAAGCCTGGCGAGAAGAAGCGGGCGCCGGTCGGAGGGGCGGAGAGGCAGATGTAGAGTGAAGGGTGGCCTTTGGTGTATGTGTGGGTGGGCCGGGCGGGGGGCTTGGAGGCGATATCGATATGGGAGAAGAGTTTGTCGCAGCCGGAGAAGGCGCAGGGTCTGGAGTGTCAGCTATAGGATCTGAACGATATGAGGTGGACGTACCGCGCGTAAGTCTTCATCCACTCTGAGCACTCCTTGATCCCTTGCGACCGCCTGAGCAGAGCTGTCGTCGCCTGGTCGACGAGTATACTGTGGACAATGACATCGTCAGAGTCTTTGCCTTTAGCGAGGTCCTTGATCACGCCGGCGCGGAGGAAGCGCTGGTGGAGGACTAAGATGGGGAGCTGGGAGTGTGCCGGTGGGCGGCCGTGAGGGGTCTGGTAGATCGCTAGGACGTCGTATTTGTTGGTAAAGCCGACATCGAATGCTGTATCGCCCTTGAGAGAGCCTGGGGATCAGCATCAATCTCGACACGTGGAGCTTTGGCTTACCGGTGGTGACGGGGTCCAAAGAGCAGAAGCTTGGGTACACTAATTTGATCAGCACACAGCTGCGGTTGATGACGGGCCGGAGGGAGCATACCGTATTCTATCATGGTTGGGGCATGAAGAGTGATAAATGGGAAGGTGTATGATGTGAGAAGATGAAGAGGTTGAGTTGCGCTTTGACCCCTCCTTTGGCTCGGGGAAGAAATGACGCGTGACGTGTGTGACAGGGGGTCAAAGCGGGGTGGCAAATTCCTTAACTGTTTCAGATCGTCTCACCTCCGTTTCCCTCGGTACTGACTTTTCCTTCTTCCATTTCTCTTCCCTCACGACCCTTCGCACCATCTCAGCGGAGCAGCAAAGTGCCATGTCGAGTCCACTGCCCTTCTCTTCTCGTGAGTGCGCGATCACGTCATGACCGCTTCCGAGGCTAGCGTCGCTCACGCGTCGCGGCTCGGTACTATCCAGATGTGGACTTCGAGGACTTTGTCGCCGGTTTCGAATACGACTTTGATGACGGATTCTCCTCGACCCGGCGTATGAAAGACATCGCCCCGGGTCGACCTCAGAAGCGGAAGGAAATCGAAACCAAGATCGAAGCAGAGCTAGAGAAGGAATACGAGCGAGAAGGAAAGAAACAGGCCGAGCGCATCCAGGCGCTCGAGGCGGAGAAGGAGGAGTGGACCGAGAAGTTCTAGGAGGCGGAGACGACCGAGGAGGTCCGGCGTATCAAGAGAAGGAAGTATGAGGCCGAGGAAAAGAAGGTGGTTGAGCTGGAAAAGGATGTGGCCGAGTTGAAGAAGAAGGAGGCGGCGTTGCTCAAGAGGCAGTGAGAAGGGAGATTGTCAGTCAGTAAGTTGGTTGTCGCTTGCGGGGTCTGAGGCGCTGATCGTTCAGAGGTACCGCAAGGGGGCAAAGTGGCCTCGCGTCAGCCATTGACCAATCGCTCATTGTGGAGCACTCGAGATCAGTCAGTCGATGGTGGGTCGATGTATGGTGGGTCGATGTGAGATGTGAGGGCCAAAGAGAATGCAAAGAGCTGATATCAAGAGTATGCTTCTCTCGCTCCGACAGCCTTCCGTACCCCTCTCCGCCGAGTCGACTACCGTCCTCCTCATCCCCTTCGATCTTTCCTCAGCATGTAAATTCCCCCATCAGCCATCCATCGCATCGACAATTCCCGATCAGAAATCAGCCCTTCCAACTCCACGACCATCAGCCATTAGTACTGTAAGATGAATCAAGCATGTATGTATATACGACAAACCTATGCAGATATGTCCTACCGCCTCCTCCTCACCTTGTCCTCGCGCAAGACTCCTCCTCTCCGGTGTGTTTACAGCATGACCACCCCGATCCCCGCACCCTGCTTCATCGAGGTGCCCTTGAGCCCGCCATCGATCGGTGCGCATTGCCAATTGTAGAGGTAGTCTGCGATATCAGCTCAAAGTCAACCACGACGATGACAGGGAGATCAACTCACAGTTCTATAAAAGGGAAGAAGGAAGCATCAGCTGGGACCCCAGGCGACGAGCCAAGTCAGTACGAGATTGGAACTCACTAAGAAACCATCACCTGCGCCGAACTAGCCCATCAGCTTTGTCTCTCAGAAGGCACGGGGAGAGATTGGCAGCTTGCCTTCTGTTCCGAGAGGAACATGTTGTTATCGAGCAATGTCAACGCGTTAAGCACGTCAAACCCAGCCTATACCGCATCAGCTACTTCTCCTCTTCCCCCGTCGCCCTTGTCTCCCACGCACGAGTTAACCATCACTCACATTCTTCGCGACCACCATCAAGTCCCCACTGAGCTGCACAAGTCTCGCCCCCAGCCTCTCCCGTCTCTTGCGCTCCTCCACGATCCCCACCGACGCCGACGATTCCGCGACAGCCTCGCTCCCGCCCGAGGACGGACGGAAGATGCTGTCCGAGGCGTAATAGTAGAGGTAGGCGGCATTCAGGATCCGGTGTGTCGGGTGCTTCATGATACTTGACGGAAGAGAGTAAAAGGAGATCATGTCGGTGATGACGTGTGTGGTTGGGTCCTACCTCATCAGCTTGCTTTTCCTCGTGGCGAAGTCCAAAAGAGCTTGGGCTCACCTCGACAACATAAGCCCAAACGACCTGTCCCTCCCTCCTCCACTTTGCCGACCCCTCTCCCTCGCCTCCCACTTCCCCTCCGCTCGCGCCCACCTCTCCACCGGCAATAGTCCCACCCTCACCCCCCTCTTTCCCCCTTCCAGACAAAAACCAATGCTCGACCTCTTGATCCGTCTCGAACGTCTGCGTAATCTCGAATCGGGCGAGATACCGCCTCAGGAGCGCAGCGACTTGGGGGACGTCCTTCTTCTCCATCTCGCGGAAACCGGGAAGGGACGGGGCAGTGGGTACCGCGAGCTGCTTGACGAGGCGGGCGATGGTCATGGACCGAGGGAGGGAGGAGAATCCGATATCGACCAGTTTGGGCGGGTTGAGGTTGCGGTGGTAGTATCTATGTGATCGGCAAGAAGTGCGTGATGGAGATGACCTTCAAAAAAGCTGGCTCACCTGGAAGTACCGATAGGCGTAGGAAGCACAATCCCAGCAGTATAGATAGCCTGCCAGACACCCCGAAGGTTCACCCGCCGCGTCACCTCCTTGATGAGCACGGGCGTGAGCCGCTTGGCGCGGAGCTTCTTGTGCACACAGAGGAAGTTGATCTCGGCCGATGGGAACGTTCTGGCTGTCAGCTCGGGCCTCGGTACATGGTTCAGGGGACTGACTTGGACCGGACGCGGATATCGACAAGGATACCGCTGATGAACGCAACGAGCTTGCCGGTCTTTTGGACGCGAACACCGATGTGCCAGTCAGGGTGATATCCAGGCGCTGTGAGCGACCTGAAGGTCAGCGCCTGACCGACACGCATGACACAGCTCGCGGCAACTGACCAGAGCAAGAACTCCTTGGAGTAGCGGAATCGGAACATGGCGTCATCATCTTCGACGTAGTTCTCGGAGAGTAATGAGTAGACCTCTTCGCACTACGCGATCAGCTCGTTACCCATACAAAGCGTGGCAGGCACAACTGACCTGAACATCGTTCTTGATATCGATCAAGCTCCACTCAAACCCGCTCGGTAAGGGCAAGGGCTCCTGCCTGACCTCTTCGACCGTCTTGATGGGATCGATCGGGCCTTCTTCCATCGCCATCATGGCGAAGGAAGAGCCGGAGAGCGTTTGCGGCACGGGCTGAGTCTTCCAGAACTGACCGTTAACTTCAGCACGACGGGAAAAGAGCTGGAAGGCTGACCTTATGCTCTCCTATTGTTTTGGAGTTGGACTTGTTCCCGATAGCCACTTGCCCATCCAGGATCTTCATCAGGTCGACAGCTTTCAATGCTTTTTGGATGTCCGCTGTGGGGTCAGCGGTGAAGCACATGCGGGGTACGGTAAAGACGAGAACTGACCGTCCGTCGCGCCTTGCTCCGAAGCGTCCATATTGCTTCTGATAGTCTGGAGCAGCTCCTGCGGTGCTTCTCCCGAAGCTAGAGCTCTATTCTCGTCAGCTCAGGCCCTCCCTCTCATCCAACTTGATCGACTCACTTCAACCTCTGAACAGCCTTCCCCGCCTTTCCCTTCTTCTTCTTTTTCTTCTTCTTCCCCTCGATACCCTCCGCTCCAGCAGACCCTGCTAAAGCTTCTGTCGCCCCATTCTCCACTTCTTCCCCGTCTGCCTCGTCGTCTTCCTCCTCATCCTCTGCTTCTTCCGCCCGCGCGTCTTTGCCGAGCTGCTCGAACTTCTTGAGGACGTCGTCCGTCTCGGTGTCCTGGATAGGGTGGGAAGAGGGTCCAGCCTCCGTAAAGGATGGCGATGTGCCTGTCCCAAGTGTTTCTCCTGCGGTCAAGGGCATGTCGAGAGTGGGTGAGGGGTGAGGAATAGATGATGAAATTGTCTGTGCGAAGCTGCTTGGCTGCAGTTGAGGAATGCGGAGTTGGATACGTGGAGGGACCAAACAGCACTTGAGGTTGGCGGCGTTCCCCGCTTCTTGGCTCGGCGGGCGCGCTGGCACTGAGCGATACAAGGCCGGGTTGGGCAACTTGCCTGGCTACCTATACAACTTGATACATAACAAAGCTTTAATAGGACCCAGTCTCGCCCACGAGCTTCCGCAGTATATCCGAGGCGAAAAAGAACGAAACAACAGCGAATTTTACAAACCGCTAAACTTGCGGATACCACGAGCCTCGTTCCCCCCCATCCCGTTCAATCATCCGCCATGGTATGTCCTTCTGTACTGATCGTTTGAATCTGGAAACCCCCGCTCGGTCAGTGAAGAAGGTAACAGCTGATAAAATAGTCTGATATCGCTCGTCCCGAATCTCCTGGGTCTGCAGGAGGCGCGTCCAGCTCATTTGCTGTTTCGAGGCCGCACGGAGCCAATGCTGTCCGGTATGTCGCTCAGCTGGATCAAGGTCGAGGACGGGGACTCGTTGTGGGCGTATATGGCAGGTGGTAGTGGGAGATGGCCATGATATAGGGAGAGGGAGATTGAAAGATCCATGTTGGAGAGAGGACGTGGTCCGGCTCTTCACAAATGCTCCAGCGACGGAAGACTGAGGGACCCTCGGGAGGGAGGAAAGACCGGGACTGGAACTTTTGGGATGGTACTCATAGCTAACCATCAGTCGTCGTGCACCTACCGCTCCCCGCCCAAACTCATCCCGCGCAGCCGGAGCTGGCGGGAGCTCAAACACCATGTTGAAGCTGTACACGGATTCAGGGGATGCTGGGCTGAAAGTGTGAGTGATGGGTTATCTGTCGGAGCTGGAGAAGATTAGCATGAGCACAAAAACGGGCGGCTGGAGGATGCGCAGAGGTCTTGGAAAGGACAAGGTGGCCAGAGAGGGGGAGAGCAAGGCGGTCCAGGCAGGTGGGGGCTGTGCTTTGGCATTGATTCTGCTTTTGTCATATGCCCTCTCCCAATACACAGCCATCACTGCCTCATACTACCTGGTCCACTATAATTATGGTCCGGTCTTCCAGAACTCGTACTAGTCCGCCTTCCAAGTCCCAAGCTGACCCCTCAGGGACCCCTTCGTCGTCGTCGTCCTCTCCATCTCCTTCATCGCCTCCATCTTCTTCCTGCATATCACCGCCAAGGTGGTCCGGGCGTTCACAAAGTAGGCTGTAGAGCCAACGGCGGGGTCGCGCAGTCTCGGTCTGTCGGGTCTTGGGGGTAGAGTGGGAAAGATAGGGAAAAGCGGGTCCATGCGGACGGATGAGGCATGTATTCGTGAGATCTTGTGCAGTTGGGGAGTTGGGAGGCTGGGTACGGGCCATTGCCTGGATGCTGCTGGACGGGAGCCTGGAGCTTGGGGTGTGGCGCATCACGGGCGTATCATCTTCTGGCTGATCTGGGTCGGGGCGCGGACATTTTCTGATGCTCCTACTTACCGCAGGCCTCCCCTTGGTCGAAGGCTGGATATGTAGTGACTGGCACTGACGGCATGGGCACCTCACTTGGTTTCCGTAGTGATGACACCCTGGCGCACGCTGACATGTCGAGAGTCGCTCGGTTGAGCTATATAAGCGGATGTCATCCCACCCTCTTACTTATCGCCACAACCCTCACTCAGCAACTAAGAGGGTAACCTTACTCACTAGCCCAAGCACAACGAACCACCATCCACTGCATCCGCATTATTCAGATATCGGCTCTGCAGACTACCACTATCACTGGTCATGGCTAAAGTCCTCTCAAATCCCATGTATACTTCTCAGTACTCTCTTCTCCTTTCTGGCCTCTGCTGCGGAGCATGCTGGCTGTACACTGCGCGGGGCGTATTGCATACCAGGTCCATAGTCGTACCTACCTACTCATACTGTAATCGAGCCCCGGCGGCGAGCTCGTCTTCCGTTGGAAACTGAAAGCTGGAAGCAAGCAAGCGTGCCGGCAGCGCTACCGCGAAGCTCTCCATGACTTCGTCCAAGGTACCCGACCGGTTGGTGTACACGAGTATGTAGCTATCAGGCCGTCGCGCAATCTCCCGAGCCCACTCCATATGCATGAGTCCTCGAGCCCCGTCAACGAGCATGAGCACTGAGCAGCGCAAGAGATCTGCGGGGGATTCTAGCCGACGGTTAGATCTTCGGGCAGATCCGACGACAAAGGAGACCAGGCGGGAAAGATGTTGAGCGCGACTGGGAGGTCTATCTGGGACATCACCATCTAGCTTCCATCCTCCTCCGTCATCTCGCACACTCGACAATATGGCAGACCTAAGCAAGCCTCAGAACCCATCCACGATCTCGCATTGGATCGCCTCGGTGAGCTCCTTGACATCCCGACCAGCTGGTTGTCCGGTAGCTGATAACAGAACACGGGGCCTTCCAGCTTGCACAACTATGGCAAGGATGAGAGCATACCCGAGAGCGCCGACATTGTGATCGTCGGAGGTGAGTCAACGCTCGAAGCTCGAGCTGACAGGTAGCTGGGATCTCTGGCGCTATGCTCGCGTATCACCTCACTCACCCAGAGGACGACAAGCACGCACTCCCTGAGGGCACACATATCGTGATACTGGAAGCGAACGAGGTGTCCAGTTCAGCCAGTGAGTCTCTACGACAGAGCTCAGGCTGATGTTTAGCTGGCCGGAACGGTGGTCATTTCGCTCCCTCCACCTTCGTCCACATGCCCAGACTTGTTCGGCCCGTCGGCAAGGGCGGCGCCGGTCTATCTCGGTCACAAGCCGTCAATATCCTTCAGCACGAATGGGACAACTACCAGCGCAACATCGCGGTCATCAAGAAGCACGGGCTGGAGCACAAGGTCGATCTCCACACCGGCAAGGCGATGGCGGTATATACAACGGAGAAGGCTCTCGCGAGCACCATGAAGATCAGAGAAGATTGGCTGGCGGCGCTGAAGGAGATGGGCGTGGAAGACTGGTCGGATGGCAAGTTCTATACGGACAAGGAGGAGGCTATCAAGGTGAGTAGGCCTACGCGACAGGAGCTGATTGTAGCTCTCGAGGGTTCAAGGCGCGATAGGATGCTCGACTCGGAGCGCCGGTACTGTCCACCCGCACAAACTCACCACTGAGCTTCTCAAGCTATCGCTAGGATCGACCAAGTACAAAGTCACGCTCAGGACCAGCGCGCCAGTCACCAAGCTCTCTCAGTCCGGCTCCACGCATACCGTCGAGACTAGCCGAGGGTCCATCACCGCCCCCAAGGTCGTCCTCTGCACCAACGCCCACACACCCCACCTCTTCCCCGCCGGCCACCCCTTCTCCAAGATCATGTACCCCGTCCGGATCCAGATGGGCCTCTTCACCCCTCCCCCAGCCTTCTCCGGGATCAAGTCGCTCTCGGCGAGCTACGGCTTCCCAGATGGTTACTGCGCGACCTCGGCGGGCGGTATTGTTGTTGGCGTCGGGGCGGCCGACTATCTCGAGGCCAAAGTCGGCAAGCCTCAGGATTACATCTGCCAGACGGATATCAGCCAAGTGACCCCGGAAGCTACAAAGTGTGAGTACTATGTGAGACCCCGCTGATCAGCAGTCATGACGGGATACATGGAGAAGACGTTTGTGGACTGGAAGGAGAAGGCGCACGGAGAGGGTCTGACTCGATCGTGGACAGGGGTCATGTCGTACACGACAGATCTCCTCCCTCTTATCGGTCCCCTACCTGGGGTCGACGGGCTGTACGTTTCTGTCGGATACAACGTGAGTTTTTTAACTTTCATCTGGAGGCCATGAGCTGATCTTCAGGGTCACGGTATGAGCAGTAAGCACACCATACTCTGACGACTAGACGCCAGGACTGACTCATCAGCAACACATACCACCAACCGCGCACTCGCCCGACTCATCGCATCCGAGGAGTGGGATCAGGATTTCCCTACCGCCTACGTGGTCAGCGAGGAACGCCTCAACCGACAACATGCCCAAAAGTTCGACGACTACGTTAAGATCGTAGCGGGCAATAAGCTGGCCGGACCGCCATCTGAGCCACAGCTGGATTCGTAAATCTTACGGGCATGTATCTTGTGCAGCTGATGCTATTGCTGATTGCCCCCTTTGTTCGGCTAATGTACACACTGATGCTGGCGTCTCTCATCCTGCAGCGGGCAACGCATGATGACTTACGAACCAGTCCCCTCAGACTCGCTGGAGGCTACATACCGTAGCTCTGGCTCGCCCTCTTATCACCGTCGTATCAAGTTGTGGAGACGCGGCTTCCGCATTGGTTGCATATCCTTGATCCTGGGTTCGGCCAAGGCAGAGAGGTTGAAGTCCAGCATTCCTTTGACAAACGTCTCCTTTCGCTTCAGGACAAAGCAGCTCCACTACATTGTCTAATGGCACTCCTATGTCACTGATTGAGGATATATACTGAATCTAGTGCTGGCAATACCTCCTCAGCATCAAGGTCGTACGAGCGAAGAATCATCGTCGTCAGACTCCACACCACCAGAAGGAAGAGACATCCCCTCATCTGCTCGTCATCATGGGACGCCGCCTGATCCACTTCACCAGGGCTGGCTCTAGCATCTCCCCCGCTACCGTCTGCGTCATCTTCCTCGTCGTCGCTGTCATCGGCTATATCGTCCTCGAGCGAGGCCACAATCGTAACGGCAAAGACGAGCACTCAGGCTCTGAATCCAGATCTAGCAGCTCCCCTGACCCGACTCCTGCTACCCCTGCCGAGCCCAACGATACTTCCACCCCTCCAACCCCAGCTACCCCCGCCAGCAGTGACAGAAAGTCGAGCTCAAAGCGAAGATCGCGGAATTCCTCCCAGCCGGCGCCTGCTACCCCCTCCATCTACCCCGCAGGTGATTCCGGCAATCCTCCTACACCCCTCTCCAGCGTCAATTCCACCGGCCCCGGCGACTACTCTGCCGATGATGAAACCGAGTACGACACAGACGCGGATGAGGCGGCTAAGAGGAGGTTGCAGAAAGCGGGCAAGCCGGCTCTGAAACCCCCTGGGTCCCAGTCGGCAGTGCGCAAGACTCAGAAGTTTGCCGATGGCAACACGGCGGCGACCGATGTTCGGATCTTTGACGAGGATCAGAGGGGTACCTGGCAATTTCAGGACGGTACCGCCGGGCTCAATGGCAGGAAGGACCGAGAGCAGCGGGAAGCGGAGGTGCCAGTCAATCACATCGAATCGCGGTTGCCCTCATTCCGCCCCCTCCTCGCCGCGCATACCACAGTCCTAGAGCGGATGGACAAGATTGAGAAGATACTCTTTCACAACTGCCTGGATGGCTCCCTAGACTCGGATCTGGCGCGAGAGACGATGGCGGACAAGTGGCACGCAAGATGGGGGAAACTGCCGGTGGTGATTGTGGAACTGTGCAACGTGCTCTTCGAGTGTGAGGAGATTATTGACGTGCCCGCCTTGGCGTACGCTATGGCGTGCGTGCCCGAAATCTTGATGAGCAAAGCTTACCCAGCTCACATGCTCATTGCTCCGGGGTTCGAACACGAGAAAGTGCTAGAGAGGACGACGGCAGAGGGAAAGGTTGTGCGACACCTCCCTCGGAAGACAGACGGGGAAGGCTTAGTGGTGGCGAAGGAGGCGGCACGAGACTTACTGCTGGGGTGGTTCGTGCTGCCGTTCCGGGGGTTTGTCAAAGACGAATGGCGAGACACGGGCAAGCAGAAGTTGGCGGGTTTCCTGCTCCCGCCGGAGATCACTGCAGCGGTCGGAGGACCAGGGTCAGCAGGGGAGGAACTGCTCAAATGGCTGGGCTGGGCCGGACAACGATACCTCCTGAACCGAGCCTTCACCTACCAGGGCGCGGAGCTGTTTGACGGATCGGCGCGCATCTCGATCAGCCCAAAGAATCCGGATAGCATCGAGGTGTTCAAGGTCGACATCACCGTGTTTGTACCGGAAAGTCAGATCATCCAAGAGCATGGCCCTTGGAAAGCTCAATTCACGCCGTTCTGGCTGAAGGAGTCAGCGACTCCGGACAAGATGGATCCACAACGCGGCCACATCAAGGGGTGGCACTCGCAGTGGCTAGTAACTGCTGTTCGACGTTGCCTGGATATGGCCCCACCATGGCTTGATCAGCACTTTCCTCTGGCGGGGCTCACCCCGGGAAGAGCCAATGACCTCAGTCACGTACGGCTCGGGTTCAGACGGCTCATTGTCCGCCCGGGATTCATGCCCCTTGCAGCGGAGATGGCTGATCTGGACCCAGGCAACGGAGGTGGGACCAAGGCAGCCACCGTATACACCGACGAGAAGACACCTGTCCTCATGCAGCTCTCCCTTGACTTTGTCGAGGATATGAGAAAGGGCATGGGGGCTCTGGTGGCTCCGGAATCGAAGGGCCGGACCTACAGCGACGTCTTGGAACATCTCATCCTACAGACGCGGATCACCAGCATCAAGTTTGAGAATCGGCGCCAGAACCATTGGCACACCCCCAAAACAGGCCCATCTAGTGTAGATCATTTCGATCCCACCCAGGTGGGGTTCATTATGGGGTTGCTACTCCCTGCCCTGGCAAAGAGAAACAGCCGGGACCCAGACGCTCATCACTATGCCGACTTGAATACATTCAAAGGATCGGAGGACGGAAGATACTTCATCGACGTGGATCTTGGCGGGATCATGCCTTACGTTCCCCAGGAGCATGGCGCACTCAAGGCAGACTTCTGCTGGACCCGGTACTTTGACCGCGTCAAAACCTACTATATCCCCTTCCTGCGGGTCGGCGCCGTCACAAAGATGATACAACCGGGAATGGAGGCGGTGGGAGATCAGAGGCTGCAGTGGAACACCTCACGGTGGTTCACTGATCTGAAGGGCAAGCTCCTCGATGATCCTCCCCCGGAACCCTTCCTCGACGATGTTGGGAAACCCTTACCCGCCCAACCGCACGTCCAGCGAACATTTGTGGTGGTGGTACCTTCCCTCGACACAGGCCGTGTCGCTCTCCACTCCCAACTGGACAACGCAATCTATCAGGATTATGTGAAACCAGCTACCAGGTCAACAGAGGAGGACAAGGCCAAATTGGTGGCGGATGTCGACCAATTCATCGCGAGAGCCAATGAGTCGGTGAGATTCACAACGGTGGTGGAATGTCAGACCACTGTCTCTGAGCCGACACTATGGACGTTGGACTATACGAAGAAGGGTGCTCAGGTAATCGCTGAGCAAGACGCTATGGTGGAGGAAATGGCGAGGAGGTTACAGGGGGGTCCTCTCCCTCCGGCGCCGGGAGTCACACCGGCCGTGGCTGCTCAGGGGGGTGATAAGGACCCAGCGCATCCTCGTACGGTTCCTCTGGGGAGCGATGGTGAGCCATTCCGGAACCCCTGCGGAGCGATATTAGCTGAATGATACTCAGCGTCAGCCGCCGGGACGGGTTAAAATCTGCTCATGATCACCGATGATGATTTGATCGCGGCGCTCAATAAGGATGCCAAAGGGGCAGATGTCCGACAGCATATATTGATGTTGCACCAGTGGGGTAGTACGGCGGACGAAATTGCTCGGCAACTCTACCGGATCCGAATAGGGGAAAAAGAGAAGCCGGATGGGGCTTTCAAGGGGTTGAGCCTCGGTAAGAGGGAGAAAGCATGTCGTGAAGAGCGTGTGAAAGCTATGGCGGATGTCAAGAGCATGCTAGTCTTGGCACAAAAGGAACATGAAGAGAGATTAGAGGCGGCTGAAAAAGCAGGGGACAGGCCAGCCGAGAAGGAGCCTGCTGGTGCCCACGCAGACGGTGAGTAGAGCATGTGTTCCATTTCGAAGATTGGCTGATTGTTTCCCAGTGCAAGCCCCACCTCCCAAGGATGACCCGAAGCCGCTTGTCAGCGATCGCGTCTTGCTCACAGCGCTCATACTCAAAAAGGATGCTGAGGCGGCAGAGTGCCGCAAGAAGATACACGGCATATTGCTTGGGGTCCCGGCGGATGACAATGAAGACAGGCTCGCTAGGGACCTTTGTCGCATACGAGCGGTGGATCCGAAAAATAAGCATACGGATGGATACTGGCGGGCTGCAGAGGACGTTGAGAAAATGCTTGACGAGGCGTATGCCGAATATCGGAAAAGGGGGGAAAAGGCGGATGGAGAGGGGAATCGCGCTGAGCAGGCGCACGCTACAAGAGAGGGCGGATCATGGGGAGACGCTGTGACAGAAACCATGCAGGTCAAGAACGCACGGCTGGCGAGAGGGAAGGGGGCTGCTTCGACAGCTGTCATGCAAGCCCGAGAAGAGCAGCTGGAGAATCGGAGGAAGGGCAAGTTGATCTTCTGGTCTGATTGCAGTGCGTCTTAAGGAAGCCGGCTGATCAGCCTTCAGGACCCCAAAAGGATTTTGAGCGGAAGATTCACTCCGAGGACGACGGCTCCGAAGCCTTCCTAGCCCTGCAACATCATTATCAAGATTTGTGCACCTTGACCGATGACCAGCGTAAGAAGCGGCAGACCGATGATGATGGAGGTGTCATAGGTGAGTGTGATGATCGGCGGGAGCCGTATGGAGCAGCTCGCTGATCGTCCAGACCCTCGTAAGAATGCCGATGGAGTGCATGTACCGTGGCCCGCCACTGAAGAAGCCACGATACCACGGAGACATACTCGAGGCGGCGGTGGATCTACCACTCTGGGACGTAGAGGGGAGTGACAGTCGGATGATGCTCTCGGAACGGGACAGGGCTGGAGGGAACCCTGGTTATGAGAAGGTGCGCCGGGCTAGGTTGGAGAAAGCCTTGAGAGTCCTCCTCGATGATCGCACGGCGAAGGATGGCAAAGTGAGAGATATGGATGAAATCCTCAAGGATATGGCGGATATGGAGGACAAGGAGGACAGCAACCGAGTGCTGTTCTGGCAGAAGGTCAATGGGCAATAGGGGGCTGATAGTGAGGCCCGGAGTTGGCGAGAGGGGAAAGACGCATCAGCTAGAAGGAGAGGATCCAGAAGCCGGTGCAGAGGCACCGCAGACCAACGCAAAGGGGATTAGAGAGGCGTTAGTGGGGATTGAGGAAGGTGAAAGACCCTAGCACACCTTGTTCATCAGCAGATAGGATGCCTCAGTGTACACTAGATTCCGTGGGAAGTCAGTGTACGATAGCCACAGTGGTCAAGTAGTCTCGTGGATAGGACCCGTGTCGAAGGTAGCTTTGCAGAGCGCTTCAGTACGCGAGTGAGCCGTGAATAGGCGTGCAACAGCGTCGCAGAAGGCCACGCATTGGATCGATCCGCGGGTAATGTGGAGGCTTTGTACCGACTCGATTGGGCCACCAGGTATTCCCCGCGGGATCTCGCTCGATACTGATGAGTCCGCGAATACTTGCTCGACGACTCTCTCCTGTCATGTGCACTCTACAGCTGGTGAACATGACTCAAGCAATGCACTGCGCTGTCGACTCAATTCTGGCGGTAGATTGGTTAGACTACTACCATACGCATGTCAGGATGGGCAAGACTTCGAAGAGTAAGATTGGCCCTGCTCTCGATACGCCTGACGAGATCAGCCTGGGTTCGGCGTCTCGTCTGCGATTGGAGAGAAGCAGCTGGGGGCCCAGCCGCCGTCGAGATTGGTAGGACTCGTAAACAGGGTATGGGAGGTATAAGACTGTTGCTTTGGTCCAAGTAAGATTGGGTACAGGGGATGCTTACAAGAACAAGTTACATGTACTGGGGTAATGACCAGCCCGCATTAGTAAATCCCTAGCATTTCATTAGCGCTTCATTAGCGGAATCTATTAGTTACAATAGAAATTTGGTGATGACGCGTCGACGCGACGCGTTTATTCTTGGTCACAACCTTCTCTTACCTTACTCTACTGCACTTCATCTCTTGCCGCACGGTCTCAGGTCACCGCGGGCTGAGCCACTTCGATGAGGGTTGGAAGGTTCTGTACGAGAGACGCTGGAGTGTTGGGCGATATGGTTGAGATCAGCTGGTTCTTGGTGGCTGACAGCTGACATGGACAGCGGAGCGGCTGACACGGAGCACGTACCTCCTCGTCCGCCTCCACTCTCGCGTCGAGATCTCCGTGCCTGATGCAGTCACAGCTCAGGCCTCAGGCCTCTGGTTCCCTTCCTCCCTTTCCTCCCTCCTTTGACTGCTATTTTGGCTTTGTGGCTTGCTCGCTTCCCCGTCAGATCCAGTCCAGTCAGCTCAAGCAAGAGGGAACCGAATAAGGCGCCACCGTGGACAAGACAAAGAGTGGATGGGGGAGAGGAGATATATGTAGACTAGATTCCCCCTTCTCCCTTCCTATTATTGCTCCTCACTTCTCCGTTCCTCTCCTGACCTACTCAAGACCTTCTTAACCTCACTTCTAGACACCACCATGACCTCCCCCAACCCCAATCCTGGTACGCCCCTCGCCGGCCCTGGGTACTTCCCGTCCCCTGCCGGACCCCGCAACATTGTCCTTCTCCTCGACGGCACCTCGAATCAATTCTCCGAGCACAATACCAATCTCATCAAGCTCCTCTCTGTCATCAAAGCGGATGAGTCCCAGCTGGTCTACTATAGCTCGGGGTTGGGGACGGTCCTGCCCGAGTCGTCCGGAGCGTGGGGCAAGTTGAGGCAGAAGGGAGCGCAGATCCTTGACATGGGTTTCGCCTTGTACGTATATTGCTCCCTAAAGGTGCAGGACTGGGCTGACGAAGCAGCAACTTTGACGAGTTCGTCTGTGACGCCTATCGATACCTCATGGAGTACTACCGCACCGGCGACAAGATCTACCTCTTTGGGTTCTCGAGGGGCGCGTACACCGCCAGGGCTCTTGCGGGAATGATCCAGCGGGTGAGTCTTGCCGTATTGACTACGGGCGAAGCTGATCAAATAGGTCGGCCTGCTTCCCGCCGGTAATGCCAACCAAGTCACCCTGTGAGTTCCGCTGCTTCTTGAGACGGGAGCGCCAGCTAATTACTCAGGGCATATGAGATGTATACCGGTCCCGAGCACCCGCGCGACTCGAAGAAGAAGGACCCGTCTGTCCTTTATCGTCGGATCTTTGGACGGTCCAGGCCAGTCGCCGTCGAGTTTCTGGGTGTCTGGGTATGTCGACCGCATCAGGCTCTAAATCAACTAGCTGACAGTCAGGACACCGTCTCGTCCCTTGGTGGACTTGATATCAAGTGTATGTTTTCTTCATCTCTTCTCTCCCATCTGCTCTCCTCTACCAACACTTCCTGACCACGCCGTATCGCCCCGTCCTTTCATACCACTCCGTCTCCCCTCTCCTATCTTATCGTTCTGCACCACTCCATCCGCTCCTTTCTCACCTCGCGCCCTCTCCACGCCTCTACCTTATATTCTTGCATCTATACTTCTTGCTAGGGCACAGCTGACTCCCAGTGATGCCATTCGCGGCCGGCGCCAAGTCCGTCAAGATCTGCCGTCACGCCCTCGCCCTGGACGAGCGCCGTGCCCGCTTCGCCCCCGAATTCTGGCGGCGCGACGAGCACGAGACCGACCTCCTGCACAAGGTCGCCGAGATCAAAGCTCAGCTCAAGGCCAAGCCGAACGACGCCACTCTCGAGAAGGAGTTGGCCAAGATCGAGAAGAAGCTCAACGACGATTACCCCGCCACTGCGCTCGTTGGGCCGTCGGGGGCGAAGCGGGAGATGCTCAAGTCGGTGGAGTGCTGGTTCCAGGTAAGCTTGGCTCTCGGCTCTCTTCGGGGCAGTGTGATGGAGGCCATCGCTGAGTCCCAGGGGTGTCATTCGGATGTGGGAGGAGGAACTACTTTGAACGACGAGCCGTCCCTCTCCAACATTCCCTTCAGGTATGTCCCCTCCGAACAGGGACCAACTCCAGAGCTGACCGGCAGGTGGATGCTCCGCGAGGCGGTCCACTGCGGTCTTCTCCTCGACCCCGAAGGCGTCGCGTACCAGAAAGCCCTCATCATCCCTGTTCCCCCTCCCCAGCCGACCCTCTCATCTGCCGTCACTACCGAAACCCCCGCCAAGCCGGCCGACAACGCCCTCAAGGCCATCGCTCGCCTTCGCGACCTGCTCGAGGAGCAGGGGTACGACGCCCGGCGCGAGTCGGAGCAGGAAGACGAGGTCGAAAAGCTCCGCAGGGCCCTTCCTCAGGCGGAACTCACCAAGATCATCGAGGTGGCGGCGGCGCTCGACTCGGCTCAGCCTGCCTCGGGCTTCGGCGCGGTCAACTCGCTCAGCAAGGATCAGCTGGCGGGGATGAATGAGAGTTTGGTCGGGGTGTGGAATGTCCTGGAGCATATCATTCTGAAGACGAGGAAGTATACCAAGGATGGCGACAAGGAGAAGACCGAGATCAGGTATGTCCCATCCTCCTGTCTTCACTTCTTCGTGTCTTCGGTCATATTTTGTAATTTGCCCCAGCAGCTGACAGTCCAGTGTCAACCACGGCGACGGCCGCCAGATCATCCCCGGGCAGAAATGCCATCGCTCCGTCCTCCTCCGCCTTTTGTACGAAGCGCACCATCACGGCTCCAAGAAGCTCCAGGATGGCGAGAAGGCGCACTATGATGGTCCAGCCGCGCACGTCGCCACCGGCTGGCCCGAATGGGATGCGGTCAAGCGGGGCGAGGAGAATGATGATGAGATTTGGTTGGATTAGGCTGGGGTAGGGCTTTACTGGGTCTGATCATATTTTGTATATAGCTGGCGAGTGGTGGTCGGGTCTGGGTTGTACATAGTCAGTAATGAGCACGAGACGCATGCACCTGGTCATCATCAGCATGTTCGGCCAATGGAGATACCCCTCAGTCTCCGCATTCCTCACGCGACGCGACTTGGAGATTCTTGAAGGTGGCCAAAGCGGTCGACTTCTAATCTTTCAACTTCGATTGCTGATCAGCTACTAGACCCACCCATACGCTACAAGACCTCGGCTCGCTGCCTGGCTCCTGCGATTGATATCCCTAGGCTGTCATCATTGTCTACCTCCAAAGAAGGGCGCGAGGAGCTGTGAACGAGCTCGCCGATATCTCCACTGGTATCTTCGCTCGCACCGCCGGAATGTGGTACGTAGCTCTCTTCATCGCTCTTCATTGTGGCAGCACCTGGAACTGTACTTAGGAGAGCGACTTGCTCGAAGATTGAGTCATCAGCTGATACCGCTCAGTAAACACATCTTGAATGCGCAAGTCTCGATCCGAGCGCCATGCTGCAGGAAATGGTTTGACGTGAGCTACCCTGTTTGCCGCAGATGAGTCTGGTGGTCACGTAGCTGATATGTCTAGTGCCCAGACTGTCACGCCGAGTCGGAGTCTCACGAGCTGAGAAAAGCCGTCGAGATGGCCTTCATGTGCAAGAAGGTATGTCCGCCGGTACTGCTCCTTTCTCAGCTTAACTTTGGAGATACTGTCTTCATGGGCTGGAAGTTGGACATCTGAGTCTGAGGATGTCACTTGCATTCCTCTCAGATGGACGGGCGGACCGGTCGTTCTCAGAGATGGTATAGCTAATGAAACAGTGCAAAAAGGCATTTCGGAAAGATATGACCGAGTATGAAGAAGCGGACGAGTACTGCCCTCATTGCGATAATCAATATGTGCGTCTTGTCCTCCTCATTATTTGTAGACTGCCAAGATGGCGCTGATGGGTCAGGTGGTAGAAGCGAAAGAACCAAAAGCGATGATTGGGGTGGAAGGCGAGGATGCACGGATGGATTCGAGGTAGGTTCTTGCTCTCGCCCCCCTCTCTCCCTTCGCCAGGTCTCTGTTCTGTCTCCACTTTTCTGTCGCTGTCGCCATCGCCTCTCATACCTTCTTATCCGTCGTCCTCTTCTTGCTCTCTCTCTCTGTTACGGGACCCTGGTCCGATTTCCATCCTTCTTGCCCATTGCCCATTGCCCCTCGCCCTGATCCCCTTCCCCTTCCTCTGAGATCCCTCTAGACAGTTCTAAGTCTTGCCTCCCCTCTCTCCCCTTTCCCAGGTCTTCTTCCCCGTCCTCTTTTCCTCTTCCAATCACTTCTCATCCCTACTTCCTCGCTTCTCTATCTCCCTCGTGTCTGCCTCCCGTCAAGTCTCCATCCCTCTTGCCTCTTCCTTGTCTCCCTTTGGTCTCCTTCTGCCCTGCCCACCTCGAATATCCCTCTAGACTGGACCCCAATCTTCGCTACCATGCTCGAACTTAGCTGATACCTCAGGATGATCAAAGACGACCGGGAAAAGATTGCGATGGATAGAAGTCTCTTTGCAGGGAAGGACGTGAGCGATAAGCTGGATACGAGACCGCGGAGATGACCCAGGCGCCCTGTGTGCGGGGCTGAGGGGGACTGCTGGGGATGGACAGGTGATCATGGAGAGGGACACTGGTAGGACGGGTGCGGGCGTGCTGAATGATAGGGTCGGTCATTGCGGGTAGTATTGGCTGAGCCACCATCCATCATTAACCAATTATACAGTCCCCTACCCAACTTTGCTATATGCTACAACGGCTCGTGTCTTCGCTCAGACTCCTCACACCCTCAAATGCCCCTCATCCTTGACCTGCTTCCCTTCTCTACCCCTCTGCCCGCCTCTCGTCGCCCTCCCTCCCCTCCCGCCCACGCCCCTCAGTCATCTTCCTGTCGGCTGTATCCAGATGACCCCATCGCTTCTGCCATCCGCTGTGGAGCCATGTCCCGAGTCTGCCAGCGACCCCTTCGAGGACGACGCCGCGGAGGAGGTGATGGACGTGTTTGCGGAGCTGATCGGGCTGTATGCGGAGTAGTAGGAGGTCGGCGGAGTGGTGGTATTCTGTGGGCTGAGGGCGTACAGATCCAGGTGGGCGGCTGTGCGGTGCATAGGGGTGTAGTATGGATTTGACGCGTTGGAGTGATATGGGTATTGAGAAGCCTGAGAGTCATCAGCAAGTTGCTCTTCCGATAGCGCAGGCCATGGGGACCTGTCGGCGCAGCTTTTGTAGAGCTTGATCTGACCTACCATTGATCTTAGCTGAGGTTGCTGAGTATGAGCTGACCCGCGGTGCAAAGTACCAAGTTGACTGGTGGGGAGTGGCGGTATTAACTGTTGAGTGATGTGTGAGCATGTGGGGGAAGAGATTCGAAGAAGCAAGCGCCTTTATATATCATTTTCGGCGGCTCCGCACAAACATTACTGTCAAAGGCGTCATTGATCGAACGAACCCGGCGGCGCGTGTCCAGCCACGAGGCGGCAAAGGACGTGAAGAAGAGCGGAGTAAGCAGGTGCAAGCTGTCCAAAGAGACAGAAGGGGCACCATGGGGACCACATCGCATGCGGCAACAGCGCAACAGCGACGGCGGGCTGCGGGGTAAGCAAGGGACGAGGTGTGTGTGCCGCAGTCACGGGGTCACTAGCTTCAAGGGGGAACGTGTTTCGGATCCCGAGGTCGGATCTCGGGGTGGGAGGACTGGGGTTTCGGGTGTTTCAGCACCGGGCAACACGCCGGTTGTAAAGACAGCTCATGAGCCCGCCAAACAACGGTGTCATAGTAGGTCTCCTCCATCCCTCCCCCTTGGCACTATCGCGTCCCAATGTACGGGCGATGTTTTGCAGGTGCAAGTTCTGGGAGGTGTATCGGTGGCTGGCGGAAATGCGGTGCAATCGACCTACCGTCGTCTCGTTTACCTTCCTCTGGATGATCGTGTTAGAGATCAGTTCCAATCAGACCTCAGCCTCAACCTCAGTCAATGGAGGCGGTCTAGGAGGTGTATTGGTGATGGGTGAGAAATAGAATGCGGCACGATCGACTTATCGTCGACGTCGTTTATTTTCAGTTCTTCGTCTCGATCACCTTCACCGGTCGTTCATCATGTCAGTGATCGGTCCCAGCCATTTGTCAGCATCAACTTCAGTCAGTGGAGGCAGTCCAGCCAAGCGAATCAGTAGGGTCGCATCAGTCATCATCAAGACTTGCTATCTCTTACATGCCCATGAGCTCCGTATATCACTATCTACACGAGGAGGGGGAAGAATGGGGGATAGATCGGCGACAACAACCAGGAAGAGTTGATGGGAAGAAGTGGTAGTACAAACGAAAAGACGAGATACGACGGAGAAAGAAAAGCGAACGAAAGAATATCCGTGAATCGCACCAACCAGTCCCAATAACGCGCACCCCCCTCACATGCCCATACTCATCATCCGCCTATCACCCTCTCGTGGTGGTCCCCCTCCCGGACTGTGCCCCTGCCCCGGGTGTCCCGTGTGCCCATATGGGCTCGCCAACCCCTGTCCGCCAATCCCCAAATACCCATTCCCCTGCTGTTGTTGCTGCTGCTGCGGCTGCGTGGGGTAGTACGAGTAGTCCCCATTCGGCGTGAACCCGAAGCTCGCCTGCGTGGGTGATGGGCCCGCACTCGAGAGATGGTGGCCCGGGTGGTGGTGCTGATGATGTTGCTGTTGTTGCTGCTGTTGTTGTTGCTGGTGGTGTTGCTGCTGATGGTGGAGATTGTGGTATTCGGGGTGATGTGGGGATGGGTAGGGGTAGTTGGCAGTCATGGGTGATTGAAGGGTCATGCCCATCCCGTGTGGACTGGGTTGACGGTGCATGTCCGGAAGGGAAGGGACTGGCGGGATGTCAGATGGCTGAGACAGATCCGGGTTGGAGTTGGGTCCGCCCTTCCGTTTTCCGCTAGGCAGGCGCTTCTTGGGTCGGCCGGTCGCAGGGGTTCCCTGGCCAATCATACCCGCTGCGGACGCTTGTTGGTCGTTGGGCGTCGACATGCCGTCGAGGGGGATATTGGACGCGGCCGCTTGTTGCGCAGAGGCGGCCATGGCGGCGGAGGCGGCAGCGGTGAGTTTGTGCGGGCGGATTGCGAGTTGGCCATTCTTGGCCTTGGTGGTGGGAACCGGGCCGGAGGTGGGCTGACCATCAGGGCCAAAGCCGTCTGGTGCGTTCAGGCAGGCCTGAAGTCAGCCGAGTCCCAGATCGGAGCAAACAACTCACTTGGATCAGATTCTTGCCATCGGGCTTCTGCACTAATGGCTGCAGCTTGGTTGTGGTGAAGGTGTACACTAGACCCGTCTCGCTGACCACGAGCAGGAGCACCTGCGTTCCTGTCAAAATGGACAGCTCGTACGCCTGAGGATCAGCCCAATCCATTCGTTGCAGGCCAGATACTGACCTTCTTCATGATTCCCGCCTTGCGCTTTGAAAATGTGATATGCCGCCTGGACTTGTCGGTGATGTACTCGATCCGGATCTTGCGCCGACCGCTCTCGCCGTCCTTGTCGACATACGTGAACCCGCCGGGCACGTCATTGTATTTGTTCCGCTTCTTTGGCGCAGCCTCGTCTGACCGATCAGCTCCAGCCTTCAAAGGATGCAAAGGACACTCACCCTCATCGTCATCGTCGTCGTCCCCGTCCAAACCAGTCTCGGTCTGGAACATGTCGTCGACGTTGACGGCGGTCACGGCGCTGTGCATACCGGCTGATGAGGGGATGGTCATGTGGGGTGTGATGGGTGCTTGCTGGAGCTGAGGCGTTGAGAGCTGGTCATGATCTGCGAATCAGCTCGACCCCTTCGCGCCGGACTCAAAGGCACTCACCAACAAGCTCCTCCTTGCTGTGCTGAAAGTCCCTCATGTCCACGCCCACGCCCTCTCCGAAATCATGCAGCACCTCCATGTCGAGCGGTACGCCCACACCTCCGTCTGGCGAGTTGGTATAGTCGTCCATGGTGTAGTTCTCGGCGGGTGGCTGGGAAGGAGGTGACTCGAGAGCGGGATAGGCGGGAAAGGCGGGGGTCGGAGTGGTCAGGGTGATAGTAGGCGAGGCCTGTTCTGCTTGCTCGTCCATATACGATGTGGGGGATCGGCGGGGTTCGCGCCTGGTATTGAGGAATGTCGAGTGGGGTGAACGGTAGTGAGAGACACGTTCCAATCCACCGATGAGACAGGGGTCTCAAGCTAAGCGTGAGAGGTATGTGGGTTGGTTGAGTATGGAGGCAGCTGAGATGCGTCAGCTGGAAGACAAGACTCGGCGAGGCAAGAACCAGGCATGAGTACAAGAGGTGAAGGAGGGGGGTGTCAACAACACGAAGCGCAGCTCGAGACAAAGGGATGATTCGCGGAAGATCAAGCGTCACTCCCCCAGTCTTCAGATCCACCGTCGAGCCCTTCCCACCTCGTCCCCATCCCATAACACGCTTTAGTTTAGGTAGGCGCGTATGAGAGGGAAGAGCGTGTCAACAAGAAGGGTATTGAGCGACTCCAGAGGAAGGGATATCCTGTCATTACCCGGCCAAACGCCCTCGATCCCTCATCATCTTCCTCCGTTCCTATCCGCATCTCCCTGTCTTCATTGCAGCACTCATCCTCACATGTCCCAGCTCGCCCGCCGACGATTGATCATGAAACTCATGGCATTTTCTGCTTTGGGATGGTGTGTTGTCATGTCCTCTTTTCTGCCTCTTTGAGAAGCTTTGAGAGGGGTTGAATGTCCTCCGTCTCAATCACCCAGCCTCGCCGTCCTTCTTGTATCCTCCACGCCACGATTCTGATGCCTCCCTCATTGTTCCTGTATCAGAGAGACTGTACTCACGTTCGGCGCTGTGTGATAGATGTCGGTTGGATGTGTGCGGGTTGAGGTGCTGGTCGCTCTACCGGTCGATACTCGGTGGCGAGCCGCGAGTTGGTTTGTTGTGGCCCACAGGGCAGGGCCGGATATCACCCTGAATTTGACCCTCGGGTGACGGCAAAACTTTTGATTCCGGCACGCACGGGCTTCCCCGGAGCCCCGGCAGAGAGTACCATGCAGCAGCAAGTGCAAGTGCAGCAGTGATGAAGCACTATCCTGCGAGTACCTCCACAGTCTGTACAGCGAGGCCACACGAGCCACCTCTGCACATCGGAATGGCGCTCAATACCGCATCATCCGCTCTGATCGTCTTCCTCTCGTCTCTAGCCCTCCCACCCCGCCCAAATCTCGTCACCAACCTCCACCCCGCACGCTCGCCTGGCCTCTAACCCTTCTCCTCCACCCTGTCTCTTCCCTCGCACATCTCTCCCCCTCTTCACTCCGCACCATCGCCATCGCTCGATCAGTAGAGCACTATGTCCTCGCATGGGCACTCCTAGGCCTCCTCAACGCCCTTATCCGACTCGGATCTCGTCTTTCCGCCCGAATCTTCCCGGGAATGTGGGAGAGCGGGAAAGGGGGATTGGAGACTAGGCTGATACTGGGCGCGAGGCCGATGCTGAACGCCATACTATGGCATCTGGTAGCTTGGAGGCTGGTCATACTGCCCACAGCATCAGTCGGGGCAGTAGCATTGGGAAGAGGGTGGGACGTGGCGGCGTCTGTAGGGGTCATCGGGGGTTTGGCAGCGAGCTGGAGCGAGTTGTGGACTTTGCTGGCGTTGTTCGGGCTAGGAAAGGGTGAGCTAACGATTCTGTTGATACCTTGAGATAATCAGGTCATGGGGTTCTTAGCTGACCGTTGCAGATCCCCAGACCGGCCCCTCTTGGACACTTTCCATCACCCACGTCGTACTCTGTGCTCATCGCCTACTTCTCGCTATACGTATCCTCAGTACCGGTGTGACCGCCGCTATTGCTGTTGCCAGCAAGGCTTGAGATGTGACCTGCGCGTCCGAACCAGCTGTTTTGCCGTAGAGTGGCCTCTTGCTGCTGCTGATTGATGTATCTCGCTCACTACATATGACCAGCTGATACTTCTGACCGCTCGAGACCTTGTGAGTATGTTGACTAGTGGTCATCCTGATGATGTCTAGAGGATGCGTCACGTAGACAAGACGAGCGCAGGGATCGTGGAAAGACTATACGTTGCATTCTGACCGCTAGAAACCGAAATTATAGATTGTTCTTTGTGTTCCCTTCACCCCGCTCGACTGCTCTCCTCCTTTCTCCAAAGCTCAGGCACACCTACGCCACCACCACGATGATAATCGTGCGAAACGCCAGAGTAGACCGAGTGGGGGGTAGGGGAAGGACATGGCCAAGAGGGAATGACTATAGTGGATTGCGAGGGTCAGGGGATTGCGAGGGTCGCCGGAAGAGGAGAGGGGAAGTGTCTTTGGATGAGATGGGCGAGATCACTCCCATTTCCTGATTGTCAGCTGTGACCCAGACTGTATAACAAGTGAGGCTTACTGGACCCAGCTGACCAGCGACCTAGCCGGCACATACCCCGTAAAGCTCCCATCATCTGCCGTCTTGATCGGCTCCCACTGCGCCAGGTCGTTGTCATTGTTGGTGACGTACGGGATGGCCCACGAGCACCCCTTGGAACCGAACGAGGCGGTGACGTTGTACGCGTCGGTGAGGTTGTTGAGGACCTGGACCGCGACCCGACCGTCCGTGTTTTGGAAGGCGGTGACGTTGAGCGACATGGTGTTGCTGGTGGCCTGGATACGGCGCGCACCCGGACGGACGAACTTGCTGAACTGGGCAAAGACCCAGAACCGCTTGGAGGGGTAGACCGAGTCGCCGAGGGTAGTGATGAGGGCCGAGTTGGAGGTGGCGTTCTCAGCCCCGATCCAGTAAAGGAACCCCGAGACGTTGGCATCCCTAAAGGCGACCTGGATACGGCTGGCCCAGGTGAGACCCTCGCCCTCGTGTACGCCGAGACCCGAGGCGTTGTAGAACGAGTAAGGGGTCCACCGGGGCTGACCGCTGAGATCCGCCCATTCCGACTGCCAGACCTTGCGCGAGGTTGAGAGGGGGTAGGTAGGGGGTGAAGCGTATCCGTGGGCGGTGACGACCGAGATGTAGTCCTCTCCCGACTTGCCATCCGCCCCCTTGACCTTGAGCCCCGCCATGAGCTTCTCCTGCTGGTCCCACCCATAGTCATCACAGCACGTGATCTTGACATCGATCTGCTCCCTCTCAAGCGTCTGCCCGAGGATCTTGATGATCTCCGCCGCCTGAGTGCCGTTGGTGTTCATGCTGGCGTAGTTGGGGGAGTAGGAGGGTTCGTTGAAGAGACCGAGGTGGGTGATGTTGACTCCGCCGGCAGCGTAGTACTTCCACTCGCGGACGAGGTAGTCGGCGTACGCCTGCCTCCAGTCGCCCGACGCACACGAGGTGTTGGCGACGCCGCACAGGTACCCGCCGTTGTTCTCGTCCCCGTTGGTCTTCATGTATCCCGGCGCCGACCAGGCGTCGGCGTACAGGTACGGCAGACCCCGACGCTTGGCCTGCATAGCGAGCGGGTATTGACCCGAGGCGTACGCGTCCCAGGTGTAGTTGGTCTTGCCCGGTCCGCCGGGGTTGAAGGGCTGGATAGAGTTCATGAGATTGGAGGTGGACGAGTTGGACGAGCCGATACCGTTCCGGAGGATAGTGAAGCCCGCTCCCTTGTCGACGTCATACATGAGGTCGAGGAGGTAGGTGATGTTCTTGGGGGAGAGGCCAAACTTGCCCTGGAGGTCCTCGGCACGCTGGAAGGCTTGCGAGTTGCCCCAGCCGTCGACCTCTTGGAACTGCTGGGACGAGTCGACGGTGATGGTGGCCGTGGGGATACCGCCATTGTTGCGCTCGACGAGAGGGGAAGGGGAGGCCGAGATGGCAGTGAGGAGGGAGGTGAGGGCGATGATGGAAAGCATGGTGGGTGTTGTGAGTGGGTGGGCGAGGTGGGGGCTGCTTGTAGACTCAGCATGATGGCTGGGTACATATGGCCAACAGCAGGAGCAGCGTTTGTGGTGGACAGAATCTAAATCTGGATAACGGTAGATTGACGGGGCATTTGCGGGGCAGCATTTAAGCTTGCCGCCGGCCCGGACATGCACCGGGGACTCCAAGCAGCTGTCTCCAGCCCCGCTAGCGGTATCCATACCATCTCCAGATCTACACCGCGCTATACGCGCTGAACAGTCGGCGCCGGGTCGCCGAGGACGCATGGACAAACAGACTATTATAAGCTGTACTCGCGTTGCCGGGTGGCGGGGATAAAGAAATGAGTTGCTCCGTTGGAAGAGGTGTATGCGGAACGGGGGATAGGCAGACTTTCACTTGTCCCAACATTCTCCGCATATCTGGCGGGCGTTTTGTCGGTCTCGTCGACGCTCACGCTCAACTAGGCTCAGATTCGCTGCATAAGGCAGCCATAGCCTCGACTTCTCGCCCTCTTTCACAGCCAACGGCAACCTGCCGTTTCAGGAAATTACGGCATGGGTACTAACCTTTTGCACCGCGTTTCATCGTGTTTCAGCTATTCTTCTCAATGAAATTGAGATGTCGAGGTCCATGAAGGACATGAACGGGATCCGACAGCACACAGCAAGGGTGTTGTGGATAGAAGGATATCATAGGTACATACGAATGAAAGATTGGGTGAGATGCATGTAGGCATGCGACAGCTACGGCCGTTTAGAGATGCGCGCGGCACGTCTCTCCCCCACTCTTTCTCTGCAGTACATGAGCTATCTTAGTCCAGGGTTCGAGACGGCCCCCTATACCATAACCTATCATGTCATAGAGAAGCTGAAGACCAAGTAACGTGGAAGCTGGGCCAGCTGCGATACCAAATGTGTTCAAGACTGCTTTGCATACCCTACCACCCTAGAGTACTAATATAGACAAGCTACAGACGATAATGTATAATCTCGATGCGCAGACCTCCATGCGCTAGAGCACATACCTGAAATGAACGTTCTCATTTTCAGTCTGGCCCCTCATACCGTTGTCGGCAGCCTGGAGGGGGTCGGCGACACCGTGGACGCGGTCGCGACGCTTGTTCTCGCGATACATATAAAGCCACAATGTACAATGGCAGATGGTCTGTGCTCATCAGCATAGTCACACGAGCCGGCTGGAAGGCAAGACTCACCTTGAGAACGTAGCCAGCAAGCATACAGTAGGCTGCAGTCTGGTACCGAGGCGCCTCAGACTCAAGAGCGGTGAGGGGACCGACTAAAAAGTCAGCCTAATCCTAGTTCAACCTGCTGGATATAACTGACCAATGTTACCGACACAGTAGCCGACGAAGATGCAGGATGAGGTGACGATACGCTTGGAGTAAGAACCGATGTTGGTAGAGACCATGACGAGACCGATGGTGAAACCGACCGACTGGACGTTGACGAGCCAGAACCCAACGAGACGGGGCCAGTTGTTGGCGGGGGTGAAGGGGAGGAAGGACATGAGAGCGGTACCGAGGACACAGACCAAGTTACCGATGGTCATCATGAGGAGACGAGTGTTGGCGAACTGGAAGTCAGCAGGGCGCGGACGAAACAAGGAAAGGGCTCACCCTGGAAGCGACGATACCGGCAATGAGAAGAGAGATGACCTGGAGGGATCGGCCAGCGCAGTCAAGGAGAGCAGCGTTGAGGGTGCTGAAGCCGAGACCCTTGATGATGGAGCCGGAGAAGTTGGTGAGGACACCGTTGGGGACGGACGAACCGAACATGGCGACAGTGAGGAGCCAGTTCTTGGGGTCCTTGAGCGCCTGGAGACCGTGGTTCCAGTTGAAGTTGGTGGTCTTGACTCCGACTCCGGAGGCAGCGACACGCTGGACGGCCATCGGGCGATCCTTGGCCGGGAGCCACTTGGCGGTAGACGGTCCGTCGGCAAGGAAGAAGTAGAGGACGAGACCCATAGCCATGGTGATGGCGCCGAGGATGTAGAAGATGAGCTGCCATCGGGGGACGGGGTTGTCGGAGAGCTGAAAATCAGCGTAGCACTGAATGCAAGCAAGACATGTACTCACACCCTGGATACCAGCCGCCATGAGCGAACCGATCATACCTCCCCATCCAACTGTGACGTCAGTGCATGAACAAGATAGCGTACTGAGCAAGACTCACCAGCAGAGTACCAGATGGTCTGCCTCAGAGGGACTTCGTCTCGGCGGTACCACCAACCAGTCATGAGGGAGAGACCCGGAGTGACGGCGGCCTCGAAGACACCGAGGAGGAAACGAGTGACCATGACGTGGGTGAAGTTCTTGGACCAGACCATGACGAGGACGAGGACACCCCAGATGAAGGCGGAACCACCGAGGACACGACCGGCGTGCCATCTACCGAGAAGGTACGACCATCCGGGCTGGGACACCATGTAACCGCTGGATAGTCAGCGATGACAAAGTATGTTTGTGGCAGGTGACTCACATGTAGAAGATGGCGGCACCGAGGGAGAACTGGTTTCCGCTCATGCCCATAGCAGTCTCCATACCGAAGACCTTGGCGTAGTTCAAAGCGGTCTTGTCGAGGTACTGAAGGGTCTGGGTGATGAGGAAAAGGGGGAGGAGGAACATGTCGATCCGCTTGCGGATACGCTTGTTCTGCTCGGGGGTCTGGCATGTCAGTTGTGGTCAATGTGCAAGTCAAAGCGAAGAAGCTCACGATGTCACCCTGGAGCTTGGACTCATTGTAGGCGGCAAGACCGACGTTGGTCTCGTCCTCCTCGAGGATGGGGTCGGGGCGGGTAGAGTCGAGGTGCTTGACATCGCCCTTCTCGCCGTCAGTGGTAAAGTCGGAGATCTCTGACTCGTAGCGGTTGAGAGCCGGAAGAGGCGGGGCGGAGGTGATATTGTTAGACATGGCGGTTAGAAGAATGAGGGGGAAGTGGGGAGCGATGGGGCCCAGAGAGCGGATAGCTCCCTCTTCTTATACCTTTCCGCACTTTCCCTCCCGAGTGCGCGATACGGTCAATTCCTTCATGGCCCCAGCTGTTCCACCCTGAAAGAAAGCCAAGCCATGGCATCTGCAGCCATCTGCTCAACGCGGTAAGAAGAGGTAAGGAGAGTGCGGGTTACCCCACAAGGTCGTCAGAGGTGGACCACGCTAAAAAGCGGAGATTCGAAAATAGAACGGTCGATCCAGGGTCGGAATGTGGATCGCCAGTCTATAGCCGCCGACTTCCCCGAGGCATTTTCGAATCTTCGGGTGGGGTCGAGGGTTTCCGAGCTTCCCCGCATACACACACCGGTTCATTCCGATAGTAAACTTAGACGCCAAGCCGATAAAGTCGAGAATACCTGAATCGGCCCTATCTGGCCCAACTTCTGGCCGGTATTTCCCGGCGGGATAAGGTGGATATAGGATGGAATGGAGCTTATCGGGAACGACGTCGCTATTTTTGAAGCCTTGGCAGGGTGTCACCCTATGTCACCGATCGATATCTCGGAGAAACAGGGGTGGAGGTTCGGGTGGGGACAGAGCTGAATAAGGTGGAGGTGAGCTGGAGGTGTGGAGTTGGTGTGGTCATCGGTGCGGGAGGATGCGGAGGACACTCTGCCTTGGCTCGGGCTCGTGACCATGATGAAACACTCTTCCCAGCCTCGGTGCTCGGCGCTTCGGCCCCGGGCGGATCACTGCGGGGCAACATATCGGCGGGCGGATCCATTGAGGATGGGCATGAGGCGAGTGAGCTCGGCGGGCGAGCGAGCTTCAGTCAGCGGTCAGAGGGCAGGGGCTTCTACCAACTATCGTATGACGTAGTCAGTGGCGCGTACTAGCAAAGAGTCCGACTGCACGCTGTCTGTATTCAGGCAGCATGGTCGATACGGCCCCGCCATCCAATTACACTGATTGGCCTGGGCTTTTTGTAAGCGGCAGCCCCATGCGCAGCCATGTCCGCTTCTCGGCTCCCCTCATGATGATGTCGGGTGTCAATTGAGACCAGGGCCAGAAAGGTATGCCACATTAGATGGAAGCGCACATCAGCAAATGGCACTCGATGCCCAGCGCACGTGATCGCTGGATCGCTGCTGATACAAGTACATGCAGGTTCGAAGGTCGACCCAGGTGGTAGACCAAGAAACCGACTCCACTCCTGTCATCGCTTGGCAAGCTTGGATACGGACATCTGAGCAGTGGCAACAGCGCGTATGCCTCACAGCTGCCTCAGACGGATGAGATTCACTATCAGCCAGATCATAAAGCCTATCAGCCAGATCTTAAAGACACGGAAAGGCGGGAGGTCTTAGTGTCGAAGCGCGACCTGCCGGACTGTGGGTATCGCTTGCAACCTCTCAGCCACCAAATGACTTTCTCTGCTACCTGATAGGCTCAAAGTAAGTGTCAGTAATCCTCTGGGCTATGCGCAGCAGGGTATGGGGCAGTTCCGACAGTATCCCCGCATTCGCCACCCAGCTGCCACTCTGCCACCGTGCCTGGAAGAACACCGGCGATGACCGGCCCGGCCCACATGCCTCGACCTCTGCCGGAACCTTGCTGGTCGTCGTGCACGTTCGTCTTCCAACTGCACTAGTAACAGGCATGCTAGCATGGCCAGTACGGTACGTGGTATGTGGAACGGCGGCGGGGCCAATCAGAAACGAGGCATAGAAAGTGGAGGTGCTGCATGCCTTGGTCCATGCAGCGAGCGGGCAAAGTACAAGAAGGACTGGACCTGTCAAGCTGATTCCCCCATCCCCTCCACTTTCCCCTCAACTTACACAGCGACAGCACAGGCATGATGTTGTCCTCACTTCTAGCTCTCCTGCCGCTACTTACAGCCATTTCGGCCTCGCCCGAACTCATCTCCAAGAACCTCAACTACCGCTCTCCGTACAACGCTCATCCCGGTCTCGCTATTGACACTCGGGAGGTCCACGAGCGTCATCTCCAAGCCCGCAGCGAAGTGGATTCGGAGATCACCAAAAGGCAGCTTCAGACAGCCAAGCCCTCGGGCACTCCTGACGACTACCCCGTTCCCAATTACGGTCTGGGTGTGGCGGACTGGTCCAACGCCGGCTATGTCTATGCGGGGAACTTGAATTTTACGCACAGCGTGGCCTCCGGTAAGTCTCCTTCAGGCTCTGAAGGTACATGCTGATTCTCAGGCGATCCGTACGACTACTCCGTCCTCCTTTGGACTCGTGTCTACCCTACCGACGCCTTCCGCATCGACATCCCCCAGTGTGTCACTTACAAGGTCTACGACGGGGAGAATGGGCAGGGCAAGGTCGTCTCCGAGGGTTGGGCCTTGACCGGCCCGGATGTGGACTACACAGTCAAGGTGGGTCCATCACCTCGCTCGTCCTGGACTAGAGCTGATGTAGCAGGTCGAGGCCGACGGTCTGACCGCTAGCAAGTGGTACTCCTACCAGTTCGCCAACTGCGCCAAGCCGGACAACAAGTCGCCCATGGGCCGAACCCGTACCGCTCCTGGAAAGACCGCCACCAACGTCGCCACCCAGCGCTTCGCCATCTACTCTTGCTCCAACTACCCCAAGTAAGCCTTTCCCTTGTTGCCTAGACCGAGCTGACTCTTTAGCGGCTTCTTCTCTGCCTACTCTGGCCCGGTCGTCCACAACGATGCCGACTATGTCGTCCACCTCGGAGACTACATCTACGAGTACGCCACAGGTGGTGCCGGGATCGGTCGCACCCCCTCCAAGGCTACTGAGCTCGCCACACTCGACGACTATCGCCGCCGGTACGACCAGTACCGTACGGACGTCGACCTGGTCTCGATGCACCAGAACCTCCCCATGATCGCCATCTGGGATGACCACGAGTAGGTCTGCCCGTAGAGGTAAAGATAAAGAGCGTGCGCTGATTAGCAGGACTGCCAACAATGACTGGAAGGCCGGCTCGTCCAACTCGAACGACTCTGTCGCTACCGGTGGTTGTCGCTCCTCGAACGGTACCGTCTGCTTTTCGGACCGCGCCATCCACGCCAAGCGCGCCTACTTTGAGTGGATCCCCATCCGCCAAGTCGACCTCGCCGACCAGGCCCGTATCTACCGCGAGTTCCGTTTCGGCAACCTGCTCGACGTCCTCGCGCTCGACACCCGCAAGTACGACCGGGACATCACAGACCTCGACTACAATGTGGGCTACGTCGCCGAGCTCGCGCAGCAGCTCAAGTCGGACCGAAGTATCATGGGCCCCAAGCAGGAGAAGTGGGTCGAGGATAGCTTGTTGGCGAGCAAGAACAGGGGAACGACCTGGCGTTTGATCTGGAACCAGGTCATCTTTGGAACGTGAGTCGCTCAGCTCTGGGTGAGATAGTGGCTGATGATCAGTATCAACCACCGCTGGACTTCTCGTACTCCCGAGACCGCCTCGTTCATCATCAATTACGATGGTGAGTTGCTTTTTTCCCCTTGGACTTTGCTGACAGATAGCGTGGGACGGATACCAGGCCAACCGGAACCGCCTGCTTACCCACGTCACCGACAACAAGATCGACAACATTGCCCTCTTCACCGGCGACACTCACGCAAACTGGCTTTTCGAAAACTCCCTCGCCACCACCCTCCAGGGCACCAACGACACCAGCACCATCAAGAACACCAGCACCACCACCAACTCTTACCAGGCCGGCACGGTCGTCGAGTACGGCGGAACCGCTGTCAGCTCGAACGGCTGGGGCAACAGCTGGGGGAGCTACGAGAATTCTACGGTCGGCGCCAAGGCTATGGTCGCCAACAACCCGAGCTTGCTCTATGCTGATGCTTTCCGTTTGTTCCTTCTCTGACCAATAAGGTCCGTTGCTGACTATCTAGACCGAGGCTACATGACTGTTACCGTCAACTACACCCACCTCGAGACGACTTGGTACGAGTACCCCGGTAACCAGCAGCAGCGCGTGCCTGGAAACCGGACCATGGCTTTCCGTGCTACCCAGCAGGCGGGTATGAACCAGGTCATGCGGCCGTTGATGCAGCCCAAGTTTGGCGCAGTCAAGGCTGGGAACTTCTGATCTTGGAGATGTGATTAGAGAGATATAGATCTTGGAGAATTATAGAGCATCAGAATCAAAAGCAGAACTATAATCATGCAGATGCAGCGCTCAGACTCCTGTTCTCCCTAGTGCAACTCAAAGACAGCTTTTATCATGCTGAGGAGTGGCCGACATACAGCCTAAGATACACAAAGTACTTGGTACATACAAAGATACAACGCAGCTCGGTGCTACTCGTCTCTTCATACTACACACCGGAACTTACAGCATCGCCGTCCCATCTCTTGCCCGCTCACCTTCTAGTTCGCCTTTGCGCGGATGGGTAAACTCTTCGCCGAGACCGGCTCGGACTCCGAGCGTGTAGCGACCCCGTTTGGAGCCGAAGGGAGCAACCATGAAAGCAGCGCGTGGACCGGCCAGAGGATACCCTGAGCATGTATGAGCCGATAGCCGCGCGAACAATGATGGACTGGAGCAGAACTTGCACTGGTCTTGGGCACCTCGACCGCGCTATCGTCATGCGGAATGTCCCCGTCATCCTCGCCCCAAGCGTAGGCCGGCCGCTGGATCGCGTGGAACGGTAGGTTGAACTCCGACTCGAGCGCGCGCATTAGCGCCTCGACGGTGTCGGAATCGTCGAGAACTTCCTCCAGGTTTCGGATAATCTGGAAGCTCCATGTCGACCTCGGCCGGGACGTGTCGATAATTTTGGGGAGATACGGGTGGGTAGTGGTGGACATTGCCTGGTTGGCCACTCCTGGTAGATGCGTCCAGCAGATACGACATCGATGAGGCTGGTGAGGAAGCTGGATCATTCGACTAATATATCAGCTGCGAGCTTCTGAGCTTCCGGTCATACTGACGGTGGAGGGCTTCAGTCTACAATGTCAGTCAGGTCATGTCGCTCTGCTCGGGGTTGGATTGACGACTCACCTTGTCCGAGTACTCCCGCAATACATTGAGATCTTTCAGCTTCACGGGGTCTGCAGGCCGCAGATTGGCCCCCAGATCCAGGTTGGCATGCATGTAAGCCGTAAGACTAGTGGAGCGGTTGTGCATGTCTGCCGCTTTCATCCATAGTTCGACAATAGTCTCTCTGGTATACTGTGGCGTCAGACTGGAGCGGTCGCACTTGGAGAGGGAGGAAATGACTTGCCTCTGCTTCTAGAGACTCCCATCTGAGGTGCGTGATGAATATTGAGCGACTCCCCGATACTTTGCAGTACCGGAATGCTCCAGCGGTCTGTATGAATAGCTCGCCGCCCCTACCGGTGGCGAGTACGAAGGGTAGGGCCCTAGCGTGCCATGGGCTAACTGGTGGGCGTGTCGAAGCCGCCATTGCGATGAGGTCAGGAAGATGCTGGGTGGGAGCTCGGAAGGTCAGGTGGAATATCTATCAGTTGGTATAGGTTTCTTGAACTAGGCATTGTTGAGTTGGCGGACCATGGGCCATGCATGCATGCATGGGATGGATAGAGAGAGCTAGAGAGAGCTGGCTGAGTTGTTGTTTTGTCTTTTGTAATTGCCCGAAGCGGTAATTGTCCCTATAGTGGACGTGTTTCAGAGTTGGGCGCCTATCGACAGCAACCTTCAAAGCCCAAGCTCACTCTTTGCACATATATCACTACTCATATCATACATAGCGACAGCCTAGGGAGCTCCAGCAGCTCACACAATCGCTGAGACGCGTCGGAACACCGGATAAGAATGACCTGAGGGTTATCGGCGGCGACCAATCTCGACCGCCTTTCAACGCGTGCACGTCCGTATCAACCATCTCGTCTTTCGAATTTTTGGCTAATCTCGCTCAGATATCCGACCACCGACTCTCATAGAGCCGCTTCGGAGATGCCGCCCATCCTCCTCCCTCCCCCTCCGGCCGGAATCCAGACACCCACCGACGACTGGACCGATGATCCCTCTTTTGACCTCTCCCTCTCGCCCTCCCTCAGCACCTCCAACAACCTGATCACTTCGCCCAAATCCTCTCCTTCGCACTCGCAACCACACTCGCGCTCACACTCGCACTCGTCGTCCTCCTCGTCCAGGGGCTCAGGCGGGCACATGAATAGCCCCCTGCGCCAGATCTACACGTCGAAACCTACGTTGGGCAAGGGTTTGGCGCGTCGAGATACGCTGGAGGAGGAGGCGGAAGACGGTTTTGACTTTCCAGAGGATTTGTACCTGGGGGATGGGGACGATAAGGATGGGGGAACGCTGAAGCTCAGCGGAATGGCGGTGCAGCAGGCGAAGCCAGCCCGGGCGGGGATGGGCACGATTGGGTTGTCCGGAACAGTCATTGGTGTTGGACCGCAAGGGGTGGGGACGATAACGCGCCTTGGGCCGTCTACTTCCGCGTCGAAAGGCGCGGTCAAGTCGCTAGGAGGGAAGATGATGAACGGCGCGAGCGAGAAGGGGGATCTGGGGTTTGACGGGGACGACATGGACGGGTTCGACGATGATTTCGACCTTCCATCAAAACCCCTCAGCCTGGCCAAGGCCCCAACCGGTCTTGCCCTTCCTCCGCTCAAAAGTCGCGTCAGTGCACCGGCGGACGCGCTCGACGAGCTCGACTTTGACTTTGACGACGAGCTCGGCGAAGCGGAGGATCAAGCGACGCTCAAAGCTGGCGCTACCATCAAAGCTCTACTTCCTCCGCCAAAACCCAAATCGTCGTCGATCAGTACACCTCTTAATAACTCATCTGCACCGGCAGACGACGACGACATGGACCTCGTCCTCCCCCTCAGCATGACCAACCTCACCCTCGCCACCGCCTCCACCCGCTCCCAATCCTCCTCGAAACATCTCAAACCGCGCGCATCTACCTCTACTATCCATACGGACTGGGACTCGCCCTCGCCCTCGTCCGCCTCGGGCTCTGGGCCTAGCTCGGGCAGGAAGGCGATCTGGGATGACTCCAGCCCCTGGGGTAAACGGCCTGGACAGTCAGAAACTAGCGGGACGAGCACGGGTCTGTCCGAGCTGGGCACGCCGGTCCGGAAAGGGCGGGCGGTGGATGTGGAGGTGGAGGGCGAGGAAGAAGGAGAGGAAATGATGATGGGCCTGGTCCTGCCGGAAGTGGGCTTCTTTGAGGGGCGGAGAGAAGGCGAGCTGAATCGCATCCTCGATAAGAAACGGAAACCGCAAGACGCGTTCGTGTCGGCGGTGGGGCAGGACCAGCCGGGATGGGGCAGAAAGGCGGGACTGCTAGCGGACGAGAGTATGGAGGATGGGTTATTGTTTGAGGATCCGGGCCGGGAGTTGACGGGGCACCGGCTGCGGCAGCAGAGGAAGGTTCGGGGGATGGCGGGCGGGACGGTGAAGAAGGGGAGTGGGGGGAAGGTGTCTTCTGCGGTGGGATCGTGGGAGAAGGCGAGGGAAGCGGGTTGGGGAAGGCATACGCCTTTACCGACAGTCCCGAGGGAGAGGGAGAGGGAGAAGGAGAGGGTATCAGGCGGTCTGGGATCGGGCGGGATAGGGGGATCAGGCGTCAGCGTCGGACACCGGAGCCATTCGACCACCGCTGTTGGCACGCCCACCGGCTCGGGCTTACGCAGCACCGCGCCATCAAACGGAAATCGCGACTTCTCTTCCGCGTCAGCAATGGCTGGCTTCCCACCCTCATCCTCCTCCCGGGACGCGACTCGGCCTTCCACCTCTCATCGCGATCTGGATCGACATCACCTGGAGCGAGAACGCGACTCGGCTCCTCGTACCCGCACTCAATCGATGGCTCCCCCGCCCATCCCCTCCATACCCTCCACTCCGTCCAGCCGGCTCAGACACCAGAAAAGCCACTATCAAGTCTCTGCGCCATCACCTTCCCCTACCCACTCGATCGCGCGGAAGCAGTCCCTCGCCTCGCTCCAGGATGCGCTCGTACAGCAACCTCCGCCCGTACCTACCGTTGAGCGGAATGAGCAAGATCGGTCTCGGAGCGAAACGGCCACTCCATCGAAAGAGCGGTATCACGCCTCGACATCCCGACTGACCATGGGAACAAGCTCGTCACGCGCCAAAGTCCGGCCTCCTATTTCCGCCATTTTCCCTCGGTCAGAACACCCCTCCTCCACAGGCGGGATGTACACGAACCACTCGGCGTCGAGCTCGTCTACTTCTATATCGGGCTTGACGAGGGCGTCGGCATCGGCGCCGGGGCAGTCAAGTGGGACCGGGCGGAGAGTATCGCCCGTTCTGCCCCAGAGTCAGATGGTCGTCCCGCTCGGAGGGAGAAGGAAGGGTGGGCCAGGGGAGAAGAAGCGGAATTGGGGGGATGGGACCGAGTTGGAGGGGATTGAGGATCTGGAGGTGGATGAGCCGACTGTGCGGGCTGGGTCGGGGATGAGTGGGCATAATGGCATAGGTCTGGGCAAACCGAGTAGGAAAGGTGAGTACTGTTACGGACGGGGATTTAGCAGTAGCTGATAACGCAGGAGATAGTCTGGGCAGATCCGCCGTGCCCCCGCCAAAACCTGCTCCAGAAGCGGACAAGCGGAAAAAATCGAATGGGGGAAGCGTGTCGAAGCGGAGACCGAGAAAGGCGGCGGGTCTTATCAAGCACCTCGGAACGGTGGACAAGAAGAAGGGTGAGTTCAGCTATTATCTGCATGAGGGTAAGGCTGACTCGTAGTGGTCGGCGATATGACCTGGAACCCTGCTACTCTACGCTGGGAAGGAAACGAATCGATCCTCCGAGACTTTGACGCCAGTCCGTCCGGCACACCCACCACCTCCTCCGCTCCCACCCGTCCTGCTCTCATCACGCACTACACCGGCGGCGTTGTCCCGCTCGCTACGTCCTCCTCTACCCCATCGTCATCCGGTACTATGAGCCTCACCGCGGCGTCGACTATCCGGATCGTCGGCGACATGCAGTTCGACCCAGAACGGATGTGCTGGGTGTCCATAGGCGAAGAAGAGCCCGACCCATTCGCCGATATGGCAGATGACGAAGATGACGAGGGCGGTCGAGGTGGAAGTACCATCACGCGCGCGACGGGACGGAAACTCGTTTCGGTCGGTACGGGACTAGGTGTCTCGGCGGGCTCTGGGTGGAGTTCGAGGTTGGCGTCCGAGTCGTCTGCTGGGGGGAGCGTGATAAGCTGGGAAGAGCGTGTGCGGGTCCGCGAGGTGGACCGGAAGTCGTCATGGGATGAAGGAGACTGTGCGGAGGGAGAGGTCAGTCAGGAGATGTGGAGGGAGTGTAAAGAGGCAGAAGAACGGCATAGGCGGGAAATGAAGGGATGGGGTGGGGGGTTGGGGTCCAGAGGGCAAGATTTGAGTAGGGAGGAGAGGAGGGACAGGGAACGGAGAGAGGAGAAGAGACTGTGGGAGATTAGGTATCTAGCTATGAGGAGTTGACGGGGGTTGGGGAGTATTTCTCTGGATGAAATTCTGGGATAATGTGTCGTCATCGCTTTGGGCACTCGATGAAAGGAGTGGGTGTGGCCATTCCAGTGATGATGCATTGATAAGGGACTGACAAGGGGCACAAAGGACGGAACGTTGGGGAGCTCGTGGAGTATAAAGCAATGGATGAATGTCGAGTAGTCGTGAAAGTGCACCAGGTGTACCCAACGTTGAAGCTTTAGATTTGACAGCTCGCCTCAGACCTTGAAGCTCGTGCGAAGGAGTTCTACCCGATCAGAGTATTTCGATATCACAGGAATACATCAGTCATCTCAATCCCTACACAACCGAACTTCCGGCGCACCATGTCGTCCAAACCCTCCTCCTCCTCATCATCTTCATCCTCCAAAGCACCCCCCAAACCCCCCAACATGTCACAAACGGAATACGACGCCTACCTCGCGCGCAAAGCGTCCGACAAGAAAAAGGCAGAGGACGGGAGGCAGCAAGAGAAGTTTGATAAAACCTATGCGAGCGAGATGAAGAAGCGGTATGGCGCGAAAGCGGATCCGGGGACGGTGGCAGAGATGGTGGATACGAATGAGCTGGGGGAGGAGTGGTTCAAGGAGGGAGAGTGGAAACCTGCTTGGAGTAATGTCGAGTTTGTGAATCTGGGGGTTTGAGGAGAAGGTATGGAGAGGAAAAGAGGGGTTTGGAAAAAAGAAGATTGGGCTGATGGATACTCTACGTAGGATGGAGACGCTTGCTTGAAGAACGTGACCAAAGCGGGTAAGACGAAAGATGGATTTTATGCTCCAGCGGGAACGTGAGTATACCCAATGATCAGTCTCCATATCGAGTTGACAACTCAGCATCGTCCCGCTTGGTGCGGCCTTCCCACACATGACAGTACTCAAGTATGGCGGGTGAGTGATGTCACCGTGACCTACCTGCCCGGCGAGAATGAAGCGGACAGTCGCTGACGCTAACCTCTCAGCTACTTTCCAGCTGGGACATCCTTCCCCGGCGGCGTCATGGTCCCGATGCACGCGCGGATGGTCAATGTTCTTCCGCAGGAGACGTTCGTGCCCGGTGCGATGCCCGAGGAGAGCTTGTGTCTGGTTCAGTAGTGCGGGGACGCGCCAGTCAGCCAAGGTCAGAGTGAATAGCTAGGCTCGGGGTCGTATCGATCAGAGGGTGATTGCGTGTCGCCCAGGGCAATGGCATGTAAGCTTTAGATCAGTATGTAGGGCCGTCCGTAGCCAATGCAAGTATACCAGCTCCCTTTTGTATCTTCACTCCTCATACGACATTCGCCGCCCACGCGTTACAGGCCACGCGCCACGCCTCATCTCGCCCCCTGATGCTGTTCCGCCCACTTGCCCGCGGCCGCCTCATCCACTTCCTCGACCCAGCTCCCCCTCTCATCCACCGTCAAGACCTCCCAATCGACCTCGACCCCTTCTGCCTTGAAGATCCGCTTGATCTCCGCGGCGATGGTATCAAAGTTTTCGGTGGCGAGGGCGAGGATGGTCGGTCCGGCGCCGGAGAGGCAGATGCCGAGGAGGCCGGGGTGGGATTGGTATGTCAGGGTGGAGAGGATTTCGGGGAGGCCGGGGATCTCAGGATCAGCGAGAGCTCTCTGTGGAGCAGGAAGTACAAGCTATGAAGGAATTTAAGGACGTACGAGGGTCTTGCGGTAAGGCTGGTGTATCCGATCCTTCATCGCTTCGTAGATGAGCTCCGGGTCTGGTGGTGAACGAGCGAGGGCGGTCGTGAGTACGGCTAAACGCTGCAGGTTGAACACCTGCACATCAGCTTGAAGCACTATGTGCAGGAAGGCGAGACTTACCATATCTTTCCTGCTGTATGTCTCTGGCAACACTCCCCTCGCCTTGGCCGTCGCCAGCTCGAACCTCGGCATGACAGCTATCGCCCTAATCTCCTTTGCCCAGCCAAACTTGACATAATGCCCAATCCCCGTCGGCGCCTTGGGCGGGTCCGTCCCCCACTCTGGACCCGCATCTGACGGGTACTCTGGCAAGACCTCGGCCAGAGGGATACTCGCCGCTGACATATCCTCCGGGCTCAACTCGCGCAGATAAGACCCGACGAACCCGCCTACGAGCGCGGCGGTGACATTGTCTGGGTGCCGCTCGACCATGAGCGCAAAGTCTAGTAGTCGGGACAGGGGGAGATTGAGGTTCCCGAGGAGATTACCGAGGAGGACACCGGCGATGACTGCTGCGCCGGACGAGCCGAGGCCGCGCCCAAAGGGGATCTCGTTGTGCGCATGGATGGTGATTCCGGGAGGGAAGGACGAGATGTCGTGTGACCGCAACACGTAGAGTGCGACTCTCGTGAGAAGGTTCTTGTATGGTGATAAGGGGACGTTTGTGCTGTCGAGACCGGTGTAGGTGATCACGGGGAGTGAATGTGAAGATGAGTCGGAGGGGGAGGGGATGATGACGAGGAGAGAGAGGGATAGGGAGAGGGCAATACCGCAGACGTCGAAGCCGGGTCCAACGTTTGCTGTGGTCGCTGGGACGTGGATGATGTGGCGCTTAGTGGACATGGTGGATGTCAATGAGCAGAAGAGGAAGGCGGAGCTGCTGTATGAATGTGAATCTGACTTTTGACTCTTTGAGTCAGAGACTGACTGGAGCCGACGGGAAGCTGATTAAGGAATGTGACGGAACCAAACGGCTCTACTATTGTGACCTGCTTGATTGATGCACTCGCTTCTTTCTCGCTACTGATGGCGTGATGCCAAGTTGTGATACACCTGTGAAAGCTGCTCAGAGTACAAGCGAAGAGATGCATGCATTGCTCAACTGCGCACCAATACTGTAGCCTGGTGCATCACCTGGTGAGCCCTTACGAGAGGTGTCAAATCTGATTCCGCTCAACGAGCTTCTCTTTCTCCATCCACCATCAACCACTCATCAACCTCCATCATACTCATCATACTCATCATATCACCTCTGCAGCTTTACTCTCGCCATCGCCCAATACAGCCTCCGCAGCTGAGATACCCCACGTCAGGACCCTTCGAACTGCGTGACAGCGCCATACCGGAAAATAGAGCAGATTAGACAAGATGTCTGGGCGCAAAGTGATGGTCCAAGTGAGGGGATCTCCCTTCGTCATGAAAGGGGGTTGCAGCTGATCAAAAGCCCATCAACATTCTCTTCAACTACCTGCAAAAAGTGCGCACTATTTAGCTTCGATGGGCGAGAGGGAGCAAGGCTGGGCGGGATACTGATTGGGCAGCACACTCGCGTGGTTTTATGGTTGTACGACAACACAGAGTTCAGGATTGAGGCTTTCATCATTGTCAGCTGCCAGCATCGCGTTCATGGTGACGATGAGAGATAGCTGATCATCCGTAGGGATTCGACGAGTTCATGAATGTTGTGCTGGACGACGCGGAGGAGGTGTATGATTGTAGCGCAAAGGCAGGGAAGGAGCCCAAACCACGGAGAGAACTGGGTGAGTAGGGTTGAGACTTGCGATGAAGGGCAAGCGGCGGCTGCGGAAGAGGGACTGAAGGAAAGCGGAAGGACGGGCTTCATTTGCAGGCGCGGAGAGGCGCCCTCGAGGGATTGGGGCTTATGGACCAAAGCTGACCTCCAGGCCGGATACTCCTCAAGGGAGACAATATAACGCTCGTCCAACCCGCACAAGCATGATCCCTCGCAATCCCCGTAGAGCCGCTTTTCCCCTTCCTCTTCTCGCCTGGCCGACGATAGACTCCCTTCGGGATGGTCCCAAAAAGAAATGCGGCATGAATCGTGTTGCTCTCTTTTGGCTCGGCGAGACTAGAAGGGCAGAAGCACCGGAGCTGACCTTCATTACAGCATGACATGATCTAACCTTCCTTTACAGATACAGCACAGATGTTATTGCCGATACCCTCATCCGCTCCGCCCCCTACTCGATCGGATACCCCTCGTCTACCCATCCCAACATCCTCTCCGCCTTCCTCGTATCAAACAACCCCCCATTCCCCCTCATCCCCTCCTCCCCACCGCGCCACTCCACTCCACCCGCTAGCTCAGCTATCGCCTCCTCGCGCGTCCGCCCTCCGCACAGCGTCCGCGCAACGATAAAGAAAGCTTCGTGTCCCGCCGGAAATGTCGTCAGTGGCGCGGTGAGGGCGAGAAGAACAGCCTCGGACGCGGACGAGACGGATACCCAGCCAAAGAGGTCTTTGGGGGAGCCGAGGTGCGAGGCGATGGATGATGGGGTGGCGAGCGGGGTGGGGACGACCCAGTGGAATCGGAGCGAGGCGATTCGGAGGGGGAGGTGAGGGTTGCGACGGGTCAGGGCGGAGGCTTGGAGCTCGGAGGCGCTGGGAGTCAGCGAGGTGTCGAAGAGGATTGAGCAGGGGGAGCAGGGAGTGTGGTGATGAAGACAGAGGCGAAGCAGGCTTAGCGGAGGCGGAGGAGGGGAGGCGAGGGGGGAGGGGGGATTATGGCTGGAATCTGTACTGACTGCTTGGCGAGTGAGTACGCGTCTTCCGGGTAATGCGCGTGCTGCTCGTCCAGCGGGAGATAGTCGAACTGAGGCGTCTTGGAGAAGACTGCGGGTATCAGCGGGAGTGTAAGAGAGAGGTGAGGGAGGTCTAAACAGGTACTCACGCATCCCGATACTATTGACGCTAGACGCCATGACGACCCGCTGGATGCCCAGCTCCGCCGCGATACTCAAGGCGTTATACGACATTGCCGTATTCATGGTATACACCTCCTATCCTGTCAGCTCGCTCTTGCTTGACCCACCTTCCTTCCTCGGCAGCCTGCAGGACTCACACGCTCCTTCAATCCCCCATCGAGATAATTCCCAAACCCATCGTGCTTCCGACACGCCGCAGCGAGGTGGACGATCGCGTCGCATCCCCCTTCCTTGACGACAGAGAGGAAGGCGTCATAGTCGAGCAGGTCGACCTGGGTGTAGGTGTACGCCTCGGTGTGCCGGGCGATGGATTTGAGGAGGAGCGTCTGGTCCAGGGGCGTAATTTCCGATCCGAAGGGGAGGGCCGCCGACAGCCAGGCCTGGTCGTCCTCCTCTTCATGTTCGTCACCGTTCTCGGAGGAAGTAGACGAGTAAGGGGGCGTAGGCGGACCGCCAGGGAAAGAATAGACAGGGAAGGAAGAAGGCGCCGGTGCCGTCGGCATTCGGTCCAAGGCGACAATCCGGTGTCCTTGTTCCAGAGCGAGACGGATGAAGCCGGAAGCGAGGAGACCAGAGGCGCCAGTGACGGCTATGGTGTAGGGGTGGTCTGGAGCCGGGGAGGTCATTCTGGGTGGGTAAGGTAGGGTAGGAGGGGGAAGAGCCGAATGTGGCGGAAAATGTACGGAATGGGTGTGTGGGTGGGCCGGCAGACCGGCAGACCGGCCGAGGCGCGGAAAGCTTGTTTGGATTAGCTCGATCAGAGGCGTTAGCGCCATCAGTAAATGCACACAGGTCAGCTTCGATCAGGTTGGACTTGGTAGCTTACAGGACGACATGTACATGAGGAATGCTTTGACGACGATGGATGTTTGTGACTTTGTGCGGGACTGGCTCGAGCACGCGATTCTGCCTATTCTCCCTCAGCGGGGCCGAGTCTCGAGACCCACGGTGTGCGACAGCAGTCAGAAAAGGCGGAGCAACTCGCTGTGCTGAGCCAGGAGTTGTCGAGAGTAGCGCGGTGGGGCAAGATCATGGCGGACAGGACGGGCACGGATCAGGGGGCGATCGAGCTTGACCGCGGCCACAGATCAGATATCGCAGTTGAGAGACGCACTAGGGGCTTAGGTGCAGGAGTCGGTAGGGTAGGGGTTCGGATCATAGGACGGGTGTCGGGCAGCACAGTGGGATCCCGATTACGAGTCTATCATAATGACATCGAGCAAGACTTGTCAGAGTGATCACTTGCATGAGCACAGGTGTAAATAGATCACTGCAAGTCAGCCAATTTCGGGTGCAGAGCAGCAAGAGACATACCAAGAAGCTCCGCTTCGCCATCCTGCCTTGACAAGCTAATTGACCCCGGCGCGTCCATAATAGTGGATCTCGCCAGCCATACTGTCGTCGCTATCCTCATCCTCGTCCCTCTCCGCCCTCTCCTCCATCTCCTGATACTTCTTGTTCGCCGCATTCAGATTGACGTACTCCAGCCTCGCCTTCCCCTTCAGCCCCCTCGGATCCCCGTTCCTGCACATGTTCTCGTACCACTCCCTTCGCTCCTCATCATCCCGGGTGTCTCGTGGGGTGTTCTTGACCTCATACGTCCACTTGAGCCCCTTCCACCCATGCGTACCTCCCACATCTTCCGCCGCACAATGTCCCTTTCCGCCCGAGACCTGCCCAACCCCCGGCCTCCGCCTCTCCACCGTAGTGACATGCTCCCAGCCATCTCCCGTCTCGTACTCGTAGAACAGCACATGCTTGTTCGCGGTAAGATCATACCGCGCATCCAGCTCGTCCATGGTCTCGTCCGGCGGGAGACCATAGTCGTCGTCATAGTCCGCGGACCAGTGATTGTCGGGATCGTAGTCTGGCCCGAGATCCGGGCGAGGGTGAGGCACGGCCCGGCCAGAGACACGTATCTTGGGGTGGAGGTATCCGTCGGGGTTGAGATCCGAGACGAATGGTGCTTCGTCTCCCCAATCGCCGTCCTCTCGGCCCCGGACCGACCAGTAATGGAGATGGCCGCCCGCCCAGCCGAACGCGGAGAGCATAAGCCGATGGAGCTGGCTAGTGGTCATGTCGGGCGGGACGAAGAGCTGGCGCCAGATTACAGGATTGCTGACCCGCTGTAGGCGCGCGTGGAGGACGTATCAGTCCGTTGGCTTTGCTTCGGCGTAGCAGGTAGGGTCGTCGGCAAGGTCGTCGGCCATGATGAAGGGGAATGTGAAGGGGTGATGGGAGGAATGGGAGGAATGGGGGAAGGGGAGACCGGTGATTCGCACTTCTGCTTGTCAGTGTGGCACCCGACGAGCGAGAGCCGTCCTGTGTGGCGGGGAGAGACGAGTCGGTGGTACTTACGACACGCGAAGGGCGACAGTGTGATGGACAGATGGCAAAGCTCCGTCAATATCTCGGAGGAGGAATGTGGAGGTGACGCGACCGGCGTCGACATCCGAGACGCCGCGAGAGAGATGAGTATCTCTCCGTCCCCCTCCCTTGCCTATGCCCCATATACAAGGCCGGACGATATGACCTGTGCATAGCTCCCGGACACTGGCCAGCTCCCTCCACCTCTGGGTAGTCCTCCTCATCCTCACTGTCCCACTCGTCGTCCTCCATCCTCTCCAGCAACACCTTGTACCTCTGGTTCGCCGCCTCCAGATCCACATGCTCAAGCCTCGCCATCCCCTTGAGCCCCGCCGCGTCCCCATTACTGCACTGGCGCTCATACCACCTCCTCCGCTTCTCATCGCCGAGGGTATCCTGCGGAGTGTCCTTGACCTCGTACCCCTTCTTGAGGTTCTGCCAGCCATGAGCCCCGCCAACATCTTCCGCCGCACTGTGCCCCTTTCCGCCCGTGATCATCTCAGACCCCTCGACACCTGGCCGGCGCCTCTCCACCGTGATGATATGCTCCCAGTCATCGCCTCCGTCATACTGGTAGTGCAGTACATGTTTATTCCCCGTGAGATTCCCCGTGAGATTGTATCGCGCGTCCAGCTCGCTGATGGTCTCGTTTGGCGGAAGACCATAGTCATCGTCATAGTCCGACATGAAGTAGTTGTTGGGGTCGAAATCCGGCCCGAGGTCCGGCCGGGAATGGGGCGCGCTCTACCAGTGCAGCCGCATCATAGGTTGAACGTATCCTTCAGGGTTGAGGTCCGACACGAGCGGCGCCTCTGTTCCGGCCGCTGCGCTCTGCACGGCGCGAACGGACTAAATGTGGAGGTGTCCTCCCGCCCAGCCGAATGCAGCGAGCATAAGCCGATGGAGCTGGCTGGTTGTGACGTCAGCGGGGCGAAGAGCTGGCGCCAGATGACAGGGCTGCTTATCTCCTGCAAGCGCGCGTGGAGAAGGTACCAATCTGTAGGCGCGGGTGGCATGATGAGGGGAAAGAGCAGGGTGAGGGTCGGAAAGTGTGAAGAGACGTGTACGTTGACCTGCTGGTCGTCAGTATCAGGCTTTACAAAGTAGGCACGCACTCTCTGCTCTGCGAAGGCAGGCTGAGCGGCCGAGAGACCTAGCGAGATTACTCACAGAGGGCGACGTTAATTGTGTGATGTACGGTTGACAATGCTCGGCACGGTGAGGAATGCAGCGGAGTTGACGCGACCATTCAAAGCGCCTTGGGGCCCCGCAGCCGAGCCCGGCCTCTCTCGTAACCGAGATCGCCGAGAGCCGGAGGGACAGGGCTGAGCTATTAGCCTATAGCTGCTACCTATCTCCTCCTCATACACCATCCAGCCATGTCAGACAGCTTCCACGGCTTCTCGGAGCATCACGTCCATGTCACTTCGACGTCCCCGAAAGGTGGGAACCTGTCCATCCGGGTGAGGAGGAGCGGGAAGGAGGGAGATGGGAAGAAGGGATTGCTGTTGCTCCATGGCTATCCGCAGACGTCCTAGTAAGTTGCCCGCATTCCAATCGAAGGAGAATCGGGACTGATCAGTAGTATCTGGCGATTCGTCGCACCAAAGCTGGCCGAGAAGTATACAGTCATCTGCACTGACCTGCGAGGTGAGTCCCTCTGCTTGTCCCGACGTGCGCAGGGCTGATGACCGTAGGCTATGGTCAGTCATCCAAGCCTAAAGGCACGGAAGGACATGAGGAGTACTCGAAGCGATCTATGGCGGATGATCAGGTCCAAGTCATGTAGGTCACCGTCCAGGTGGGTGGCCTGACTGAAGCTGATGCTGCAGGGCGCACTTTGGCTTCACCAAGTTCTCGGTCTTAGCGCATGATCGTGGAGCTCGGGTAGCTCACCGGCTAGCTCTGGACCATCCAGACAAAGTGGAGGGTATGTGCCTCCTGGATATAGCCCCAACGGTGTACATGTACGAGAAGACCAATATGAACTTTGTGAGTTTGCGGCTGCATTGAAACATCGCTGGATCCATGAGCTGATCCCTCAGGCGGAAGGGTACTGGCACTGGTTCTACCTCATTCAGCCATCACCGGGTCCTGTAGGTTCTCTCTACCATCTCGACTTCATTATCAAGTGATCGCTGGAGCTCCAGCTGACACACAGGAACGCATGATTCTCGCCGATCCCGAGGCGTACTGGGGCACTCTGGCCGGCCGGGCTACTCACAAGCTCGTCCAATTCTCCGAAGACGCTGTGAAGGAGTACAAGGAGAATCTGTCGACTATGGAGGGCATCCATGCTGTACGTCCTCTTCCCTCGCCCTTCTCTGCCCGTTCCATCGCTGACTGAGCAGACATGCGAAGACTACCGCGCCTCGGCGACTATCGACCTAGACCACGATCGCGCCGACCGCTCAGCCGGCAAGAAGCTGAGCGTGGCTAAGCTCAAGATCATATGGGGCGGGAAGGGGATGATCGATCGGTATGGAGATGTTTTGAGCGTATGGAAGGGATATGCCGAGGATGGGGTGGAAGTGAGCGGGACAAGTCTGGACTGTGGGCATTATATACCGGAAGAGAAGCCGGAAGAGCTCTTGAAGGAGGTACTGGATTTCTTTTGAGCGTGGATACCACTTCGTACGTATCGTCCATGGCTGTCAGATGCATGTCTCATCTTTCGCTTGGCCAGTTTACGGTATTTCAAGTCCGCCTACACATTCCTCCGTCTGTGGGGCTCTTTACCACTTGCATGTCGCGCTCCTGATCCTTGGCCCCCGTCACCGTGCTGATCCAGATCTCCCTTAAGGGTTGAAGTAGCTGTACGGTTCTCGAGAGCAGGCGAAACGCCGCCCAAGATGCCACATTGCTTGTAGCCGGTCGGTGAAACATTTGTGACCCGCCACGTCCTCGATGTTTGCCCTTCTATGAGGAGAATTCCCACGTCCCAGTCTTGTTCCCACTATCACTCATCTACTCGATCAAAATTGATAGGCTTATCTTGTCCGATACTCAGGCATCCACCATCATGAGCGACACCACCAAACCCCCCGCCTCCGCCACATCGCTCCCCCAGACCGTCTCGACCAAGGTCGGTCGAGCTCACCAAGGCGTTGTCCCATTCGTCCTCGCTTCTGGGGCGAAGTGCGACTTTACCAAGGTCTTCGAAGCTCCAAGCTACCGGTACTGGAGCAAAGGACGGATGATCTTCATCACCCACCTCAAGTGGAGCTGGAAGGGGGAGGAGTGGAAGGTGAGTAAATACGCAGGAGCAGATTACTGACAGAACAGATATCCCGAGTCGCCGCTATCGCGACTTGGCGGGTCGCTTTCGACTTCATGCTGCGGGGGAGATATATCGTCAGGGAGGTTTGGGGTGATTAGGCAGCTAGAAATCTTCCGCATGACATGACGGAGCGAAGCAAGTTTCTGATGGCCTTCAGGAAGTTGGAGGAGGTGAGTGCTATGTTCGGTGCGATCATCGATGTGGCCTGAGCTGATCAGAACAGTTGAGCCGACGACTTCGTTCGCTCTTATCTCCATCAACAATCTCTGTTCCAGCTAACCCGCAGTGATCATCAGTAACCTCTTTGAGAGGCTGGCAGAGCACGAACGCCGCGGAAGGCTCGGATCCAAAGGCATTCTCTCCTTCAAAACGGCGTCCCTCTATGACCTGGACCCTCCCCTGCTCCCCGCGTTCATGATGCAGACCTTCGAAGATGTGCATTGTAACTTCTACGTCATGCTCAGGGAGGAGTGGCTGGGCCCGGTAAATGGACCGATGACGATCGATAAGCGATTCCTGTTGGTCTCCTTCCCGGAAGAGCAGGCCAACTGGGCTGAGCGAATTCGAGAGATGAAGAAAAAGCGCCCAGACGTAGGTTGTCTTTCCCTCCTCCCACGGCCACTCCTGTCCTTAGCTGATTTGTCAGGCAGATACCTCGGCCTCAATACCGACGAAGATCCAAAGTATCGTAGGGTCGTCATCTTACTTGATCCCAGAGAAGTCTCAACACCCTTTGGCTTCTGGCCGAAGCTGGGCGGCGAGGCAGTAGTGTTTGTATTGATGTGAGATGTGATAGCTTTGTCCTGATCACCTGATTTCAGCGGCATGCAACGATGCAGATGCTGTAAGCAAGCTGGGTCGTCCCTTCCAGCTTTCTCGCATGTGTCCGCCAGACGGCAAACAAAGTGAGAGGCTGGACACCATGGTGGACAGTGTGGCGGGTCGACATTCCTCAATGACGTACCGCCACACTCGTCATCAGTTCGCCACCCGGCCACGTGTATGCTCCGTGTTATCTCCGTTTCCGGCGCTGTAGCAAGCTAGTTAGTCTTACAAAGACACCATGACATGCATGCAAAGATGAGCGAGAAATTGAGCGAGTCAAAGACAGCGGGGGCGGCCGCGGCAATGGTAGAACGGGGCTACGGGGCTCTGTGGGGCATACAGCGGAATGAAGGAAGAGTGGACGAAAGAACGCAAGCGAGACGACGCGAGATGCGACTCCTGCGATCCTGGCCTTGTTGACATGGCTGACTGATCTTCCAACTCCTTGCATCTGCCCATATACTCTCATTGATCTCAGCTGCCACTGTATCATACACACTTGCATCAGCCTGCAGCAGCTCTTATCGCCCCCGCTCTGTGCCCACGCGGAGGTTTTTCCGATCAGAGTGAGTGATGTTTACCTTTTGAATTTTTGAACGCGGCCGCGGCGATGCGCCGGGGTCCCCGTCTCTTCATCCTTCTTCCCCGTCTTGTCTTCTTGTTCTCATACATCCTCACCCTGTACTTCCATTCACCCACCCTAGCCTGAGCAGTCTCGCTAGCCCTCGCTCCGAGACCAAGTGAGTATAGGCAAGAAGAAGTCAGCGGAAAATTTAGTTTACCCCCGACACTTTCGTCATCCATCCCCCAGATTTCCTTATCTTTGACCTTCTTCCCCACCACCTATATCCTTTGCCCCTCTTCTTCTCCTCTCTTCCCCGGATACTGTTAGTCCACCATTGTCCTCCATCATCGTATCATTCAGTGGCCGTGGCCGACTAGGAATCTACCATCCGGTTCACCAGTTTCGAAAGCTTTGATCGCGTCTCTCCCGTCCGTCAGCCAAGCACGTTTTACTTCGTCATCCTTCGAGTCATCAGTTCCACCTCTCCTTCTTTCCTTGGATACTCGTGCAAGGCTTCTCAGATTCTCTCTGTCAGTGGCGGAAGCTGACTCACCAGATATATTAAGTCCAACACTGCACACACAGACCGAAATAATCGATATCCCTCCCCCCCCCCCGTCCACCCCTTTTTCTCCCCCTACCCCCTCCCGCCAACATGTCGCACCACGACCATACACTCTCCTCCGGCCCCGCATCACCCGAACTACCTCCTCTTCCCGCACCAGATCCGATTACAGGACGTCTCGACCCCAATGACCCGGCCGTGCGGGCGAGCTTGGAGGCGGCATTGAACATGGATAAGAGCAAAATACCAAGGCCGTACAAGTGTCCGCTTTGTGATAGGGCGTTCTACAGGTTGGAACATCAGGTGAGCCGAATTCCGCGATTCAGCGGCGCCATGATGGACGGGAATTCTGCTAGAGAAGTTGCTGACACGCAGACCCGGCATATCCGAACACACACAGGCGAAAAGCCTCACGCGTGCAACCACCCCGGATGCGATAAGCGATTTTCTCGGTCGGATGAACTCACCCGACACGCAAGAATACACTTGCCGCAGGCGCAGGATATGAATGGGAAGAGCAAGTTGCGAGAAGACGAGGTGAGTCGAGACAGGCGAAAACTTCGAATTCGGCTGACTTGCTAGGAGGACGACCAACGACGACACTCTATGAGCCACCTCGGCCCGTCGTACAATATGGACTTTGACCGAGAATACGCCAATAATCCCTACACCCTCCCGATCAACGTCACGAACGCCGCCGGTATGAACGGGATGAACGATATCTCTGCCCTGGCCGCTGCCGCCTCGGACCAGCTGTACGAACTTGAGCGACACGAGGCGTTCCGGCGCGCAGAGTACGAGCTCCGTCATCGTCAGATCGCCTCGGCGCGGAAATCAAACGGGAATAGCCCGAGCGCTACGCCCAACGGCGGTTTTGCCTCGTCGTCCGCACCAGCCGCATCGGCATCCCAGGGACCGTACGGCTTTAGCGCGGAACGGCCGTCCTTCACCGGCATCCCCTCTTCAAATGGTGGTCAGATCGTCTACCCCACGTCGGCAGCGCAACCCGCAACCGCTGGCCACCCCGCTGTCCCCGCCGGAACGCTCGCAGACCCAACCTACCTCATTCCCCCAACGTGCTGCCACGAAGAGTGCCACAAGAGCTATCGGAAACGGCTCAAGTACGCCAAGCAGACCCAGGCGTGTCCTGTCTGCTTGACGCCGGCGCAGTCGGGCGCTCAAGCCAACGGGCACGGGAATGGGCACGGCGGTGTGGGCGGACAAGGAGGTAGCGGAGGAGGTAGCCATCAGTCCAGCAACTCCAACACCCCCAAAGACCGCTCGGGTCAGAACTCGTCGGATGATCTCGCCAAGATGGGCGGGAACGGCGGCGGTTCGCACTCGGGTCCTGGCGGGAACGCATTCTCGCAGCACCACCACAACCTCTCGCAGCAGCTTGCGCGACTCCAGCAGCAGCACGCCATGTCGCTCTCCAAGCAGCAGTCTGGGGGCCGTCAACCCATCGGGGTTGGCGCTGGCCCTCAGGCGTCCAACCGGAATCTCAAGCCGTACACACTCGACTTGCATCAGCACCGCGGTCTCGTTCCCGCTTCGGCCCATCCCTCGGCGCCGAACAGCCCAACATTTAGCGACTCGTCCGATGACGAGGAGCCTATGCCCATCACGGCAGAGGCAGTGCACCCGCACAGCCCGGTGCTGGGCGGTATGCGGAACATGAGCCTCTGGCAAAAGAGCATGACGGCGCCGGCATCGGTGGTGACTTCCCCTCAGGCATCGCGCGGTCCTAGCCGAGCTGGGTCACCGGTCGAGGGCCACTCTGCTACTTCCGGCAAGCACGGACACGGTTCGCACTCTGCGCGGGACGCTAAAAACCGGACACACCCTTACACCAGCGCTGGCCACTCGCACCTCCACAACTCGCACGGCCAGCATTACAGCAGCACCACGCCCAACTCCCCTCACTTCCACGCGCAGAAGACGCGAATGTCCCCGCCCAAGATGCACCGCACGCTTTCGGGCGGTCATTCCCAGGCGCACCCTCACCGCCACAGTGTTGAGGATATCCTCAATGCGTCTGGACTCCCGCACCCTTCGTCCCACTCGGACCGGACCCTCCCCGTCCCGCACTCGTCGGGCTACCACTCTTCCGGCGGCGTCCCCGGCGCCAGCTTCAGCATGTCTAGCCAGTCCACTTCGGCGCACAACTCCCCCTCGACCAGCCGACAAGGTTCGCCCGTTCACACTGCTTCCTACTCGCACTCGCACCAGCCACATTCGCACATGCAGCAGCAACAGTCGTACCAGCCGCATGCGCACTCGAATCTTGCGCACTCGCTGCACAAGGCGTTTGGGATGACGCCCATCGGGGTCGGAGTGGGGATGGGCGGATTGGCGGGGCAGAAAGCCGCGCAGGCGATGGGTCTGGGAGGTCCGAGTGGGATCAGCATGAGCAAGAGCGCGCCGTCTAGTCACAGCGGAGGTCCGACGCCTCCGCACAAGCTCGCGCCGCTTAGCGGGTCGGATAGGGATCGATTCGGTGCCGGCGGGCAGGAACATCTGCCGAGTTTGAGCAGGGGAGGGAGTCCGGTCATGATGGGGATGGAGGTGGATGGGCAGGCTTAATTCGACGAGAGGCCAGACAAACAGGCGGGGGGATACGCATCGGTACAAGAGGAAGATGAGGGTCTGGATCAGGAAAAGTGGAAGGCAGAAGGGGTTGATGGGGACGACGCAAGCAGGATGGTGACGAACAATTCAATCGGATGGTGGAGGAGAGGAAGGGCCCGGAGGAATCGAACAGGAGCAAGTGCGGAAGTATGAACGGAGATGGGCGGGCGAGCAGGGTACGGCGGCGGGGACATCGGCTGGGTGATTGAAGAGGGAAAGACGACATGGGCAAAGCGCAGAAGGGTCCGGTAGCCAGTGTCCTCCCTCCTCGCCAGATGCGAAGAACAACGGGTAGACCTTTATAGATGCGATATAGACGGAACATGTAACATCTCTAGGTACAGGATAGTTTATAGGAACTCCTTTCGCCCCTTCTGCAACCCAATTAATATTGCTGGCAAAACAAGTTGCAACTTACGGAACTCTGCACGAATGTGAAACATTGCATGGTCCACAAGCTGCGCTGCATCTTCCTTTCTTCATCTTTCTCTGCTTTGATTATTATACCTCCCACACCTCCCTGATCTTACCAGCACTCCGTGCGCTTCTCGACCATCATGTCAGATGCACAGCCCATCGCTGTTCGCTATAACATCGGGCCTTTGCACGCGAGAGCGCTGCCTTTCGTCCTTGCTACGGGTCACGGATGCGATCAGACGCCACACGTCGCTGGAGCATGCCGGTACTACAAGATCCCAACGACCCGCTCAATCTTCATCACGCATCTCAGATGGGATCGGCTCGACATAGAGGTGGATACATCCTCTTCTAAGACATCATTCCAATCTGACATCCTAGTACTCGAGAGCTAGAGTGGTCGACTTGTGGCTCCAGGCGGCGAACATGCACAATCGCGCCACTGGATTGACGCGGCAGATACTAGGCCGTATGGACGTACTGGGCCGTATGAACATCCAGCCTGCTGGGGAATCTCAGGAGTCTGAGGACTCCAAACGGCGAGAATGGTACAAAATTCTCCAAGACTACATCAACAAGGTTAGCTGAAGGTCTGGTCTGCGTAAAAGACGAGCCTAATGTGAGCTGACAATGCAGACTGAATTGCTCCACGGTGAGCTAGATGCACGGCCCCAGATGATGTTACCGGAGCTGATAGTACAGTCGAGTTGTCCAACTTCCTCTCTACCCTGGTCGATATCGAATCAACGGGACGCATCTGCCAGGAATTGCCCGAACCCAAAATTTCCGCTCGCCTCCTTCCTTACCTCTCCGAAGCCATCGATACCTTCGAGCCACAGACTACCTGGATGTCCCAGATCATCAGTAATCTGGAGAAAATCCTCAACGACACCGAGGCGGTGGACGATACGATGAAGACTCTCGAGTCCAAATATAACGTATCGTTTCCGGCGATAGAGCGCCCATTGTATGCGGGGGAGACAGGGAGGTGGCGCGAGGGGGTTGTGTGTGACGACGGTAGGAAGCCAAATGCTGCAGAGATCTACACACCAAGTGTCAGTCCTAGTTGTCTCCACGGACGCACTGATACGATCGCCAAGCTGATTGCCGTAGAGTCCCTCTTCATCATCGTCCTCACCCAAACTTGGCGGCGCCACATCGCCTTTCGCCCTACCCTTGAGGCTGCAACCTATCATGCGGCCTGTAAACGCCATGATCTCGTTCTTCCGACCGTCACCTGCAGACGCGCATCCTCCCATCTCCAAGTCCGACTAGCTCGGCAGCACTCGACGAAGCCAAGCACGTTTTACTTCGTCATCCTTCTAGTCATCACTTCCCCTCTTCGCTCGCCGCTTCGTTCTCCTGCAAGGCTTCTCAAGGTTCTCTGGTTGATAAAAGCTGACTCGTCAGGCAATGTCAATTCGAATACTGCATATAATCGTCAAACAACCAATACATCGCGCTTCGCCCACCCCCTGCCCCTCTCCCCAATATGTCGCACCACGACCGCACCCTCTCCTCGCGTCCAACATCACCCGAACTCCCTCCCCTTCCCGCGCTAGATCCGATCACGGGTCGTCTCGATACCAATGAACCGGCAGTACGGGCGAATTTGGAGGCGGCTTTGTACATGGATAAGAGCAAGATACCACGGCCGTACAAGTGTCCGCTTTGTGATAGGGCTTTCTACAGGTTAGAACACCAGGTCAGCTTTCCTCCATGTATAGGAGTAGTATGAACAGCTTGAGAAATTGCTGACAGGCAGACCCGACACATCCGGACCCATACTGGCGAGAAGCCGCACGCTTGTAATCACCACGGATGCGATCAGCGATTGCCCCGGTCAGCTGAGCTCACTCGGCACGCAAGAATACACTTGCCGCAGGCGCCGGATATGAACGGGAAGAGCAAGTTGCGAGAGGACGTGGTGAGTCGAACCTAGCAAAAGCCTGCATCAAGCTGACTTAGTTTGAGCATGACCAAAGGCGACAGTCGATAATTCGGCCCGACGAACAGGCGGGGGGGAATGCGCATCAGTGCAAGACGAAGAGGAGGGTCTGGATTAGGAGAAGTGGAAGGCGGAAGGGGAAGGAGGTAAGAGAAAAGGAAGGGCCCGAAGGGATCGGAACAGGACAGGCGAGGAGAATAAGAGGAGGTGGGCGGGAGAGGGGAGTGGGAGTTAGCGAGATCAGCCGGGGGATTGAAGAGGGAAAGACGACGTGGGCAAAGCGCAGAAGGGTCCGGTACACAGCGTCCTCCCTCCTCGCCAGACGGGCGGAACAATGAGTAGACCTTTATAGATGCGATATAGACGAAACATGTAACATCTCTAGGTACTGGATTGTTCGTGGCAGCTCCAGCTCCTTTCGCCCCTTCTGCAACACGATATTGCTGGCACACGAGCTCGGGTAAACGTTTTTGCCGACTCCGGAGCTCGGACAGAGCTTCCGTCGAGCGCGTCGAGCGTATCTCTGCGGCGCTCTTGCAAAGTAGCTCTCCTGTCTCAACATGTCGACGCCAGCAGCGCTCAACCTGGCAGCACAAGCAGCAGCGCAGGGGGTCCCGCGGCATATCCTCCGGCAATCCCTGTTCTTTGCGTTTTGCCCGGACCAGCCGGACGCGCTGGAACGCAGGATGAAGGTACGGGCGCAGCACTGGGCTCGAGCGAGTGAGGACAAGAAGGAGGGGATACTATGTGAGGCTTGTCAGGACCTGCCAGTGGCCTGGGGATGAGGCACAATGGAATTTGGCTGAGATAGCAGTCTTCGGACTGGGCTACCTCCCGCCTGCCGGCTCACCCCTGTTCAATAGCCCGCTCGTTCCAGCTGGGAAACAGCCCATGGCCGGGTCATTCATGATTATGCGCCAGCCAGATATGGATGCGATGTGGAAGCGGATCAAGGACGATGTGTACTGGACGGCGGGGGTGTGGGATCGCGAGACGACGCAGGTGGGGGAGTTTATCAGGGAGGGAGGATACGTTGATCTGGGTGAAGACTAGGCGAGGAGGATCGGGTTGTACGGGTGGTATCTAGGTGAGCTGCCAGTCTCACGATCAAGTAGGAGCTGATGCAAACAGGTAAGAAAGACAGAGACAATGTGCATGTACAGACGTGAACCCCCCCTTCGCCTTGACATCCACCACCTTCCCCCAGCCGCCGATCCGTACAAGCAGACGAAACCTACAAGAACCTACAATGCTACAATACGACCTTGTATGGGGACTACGCTATGGAAGATTCCCCTTTTTGGCTTAGCGGATCGCCTAGACCCCGACGTCCTCCTCGACGTCCATGTCGCCCTCGCCATCATCGGCGACGCCTTTGCCCTCGTCCTCCAAGCGCTTGGCCTTGACAAGAGGGGACATCTCGGCGGACAACGACCCTGGAGTCATGAGCTCGAACGACGTCGTCGGCGAGTCTGGGCTACCCGCCGACTCGTCACCCGAGTCGTTCGCCGAGCCGGCCTTACCGCCACCAGCGGCTTCCGGCGCAGCGGTGCCGACACCAAAGAAGCGGAGGACGGGGCGGAGGAAGGTAGGGACGAAGCGAGTGAAGGCGGTGTCCTGAGGAGGGGCGGGGACGATGATCTTGGCTTGGCCCTTGGCGACCTGGGACCGACGGTACGTGGACATCCGGGTGTTGATGGTGTACTCGGCATTGTCTCCGACGAGGACGGCGAGGTCGACGAAGCCGCTGTTGCGGGTGGGAGTGCGGTTGTTGGGCTTGGTGTCCAGCTTGTCATTGGTGTTGACGGGGACGGAGCGGACTGCGAAGGGAGGGAGGCGCCTAGCCCAGGTCTGGTCACGAGCGGGGGTAGGGACGTCGGTCAGGATGGGAGTGCAGTGGAAGGGGCCGGCATCGTCTTGGTAGAAGAAGGGATCGTGCATGTCGTCGGCCTATGTTGTGAGCTGAGATCAAGCGGTGGATGATGAATTTGTTGGGGTCGTGATCATCAAAGGTGGAAGGGTTTGTATGGCATGGGGATGAGAGCCGAAGAGAAGCAGAGAGAAGATCAGGGTGGCTGAGATGGGGGCCGATATCTGTAAAAGGAGACGAAGGTGGGGCAGATCTCGATACTCACAGGCATCTTCATAACTTGATCCAGATACACCTCATCCCACCCATTGACCTTCAGTACCAGCCTCTTCTCCCGCTGACACATGTATACAACTCCTGGGATATCGGTGTCTTCCATGGGCGGAGCGAGCCAGCCGAGGAGGTAAGGACAGTAGTACGCGGCGGCCTTTCGAGCGGCGAGGATCGTGGAGGGGATCTTGCGTTTAAGAGCGCGGAAGGTACGGTGCAGGACATAGAGCATGAGGGCGGCGGTGAGGAGCTTGACGGAGCCGACCCAGAACCACCGGGAGATGGAGTTCCAGCGGACGCCAAAGGCCCAGCCGAGGAACATGTGCGTGGCGAGGCAGATGGCGTCGTGCGTCATGGTGATGGGGTCCGGGAGGGGGTTTGGCATGATGCTTGTGGGCTCTGGTAGTGCGGTGGGAGGTGATCGAGTGGATTGGTATATCTGGATGATCGGTTGTGGAGCTAGGTAGGAGAAGGGAAGATAGAGGCTGGCATGGGTTACATATAGGCGGGTGTTGACTGCATGGCTGGCGGAAATTCTCGTGCCTTGACCAGCCCCTGGCTTGCTTGTCTCACCTGTAACGCCGATATCACGCCGCGAGGCATCGCTGGAGGGCGGCAACTTCCGCTGTGGGATCAACGTGTCATGTGACTGCCCAACATACATATCAGGGCGATGATCAACAAGGCGGAATGGAGGATCTGAAACTAGGCACGTGTTTCACCTGCTCGTCATCGTCATCGCCTTCGTTCCTGCGAATATGACGTCTACGCGAGGGAAGCTGGGGCCCCAAGAAGAAATGAGAGGTTCGCACCCCTAGGTATGTGTGCATAGCATACCATGAGCGCCCCTTAGATACCCAGTACCTGTATGATATACACGGCGCCCATGACAACGACCAACTCAGCGCACAAAATCTGCCAGCGAGCTTGCGCCCACCCCAAGATCTGGAACTTGGATGACGTCAGCGTCGGTCTGACATTCTGACAGGCGATGCGCTTGGTACTCACTGCAGGCACGTCAGGTCCGAACGGAAGATCTTGGAAGGCGACACTCAGCCAGGTCGTGGGCAAGGCGGCTGGATCACTTTTGCGGGAGTGGTCAAGGTAGTCCGGGAGCGTTGCGGAGGTGGGGGAGGAGATGATGGATGAGAGAGGGGTCATAGGCGAGTATAGAGGGCTAGATAGGGTAGGAGTGGGGCTGGAAGTAGATGAGATGGTTACTTCAAGTTGAGGTGCTTTGATGTCCTGATCACTCTGCCCGATCGGCTCCGAGGAGTCTCCTGAGCGGACGCGGAGGGAAGGGTCCTTCTCTCCGGGCTGCGCCACGAGCTTTGTGGGGGTATTGGCTGTCGGTGCGATGATAGTCAGGCTCTTTCGGTCAAAGCTCTGGCGTACTGGCCCCTCAGTCCGAGCGAGGTCAAGTCTGGGGTTCTCCCGCAGGTACGGGAGAGAGGAGTCCTGTTCTTCGGCACTGGCGATAGGGTCAGAGGTGGGGCGGGAAGAGGAAGAAGGATGTAGGTCGACATTGACAGGATGGAAGATCTGATCTGGCAGCCGCATGTCAGACCGCTCTATATCGGGAAAGAGAGATGTGGATTGAGCGGCGACTGCGGGGGGTTTATGGCGAAGCTCGATATTGACAGGTTGAATCATAGTCTGAAGTGGTGGTCGCGCTAGATCAGACTGCTCTGTACTGGGAACGTGCGGTCTTGACTTGACAGTCACCTGAGCTGGTCTCTCAGGAACCAGCAGGGCTTTGTGCGAGAGGTGTGGTTCTTTCACTATCCTTTTGGACGGAACGGGAGGTTGTTTTCTTGAGGGTATAGAGGGCAGCTTCAGCGTGGGAGGGGTGGGTCGGTGATCCCCCGCGACTTCGCTTGCCGGCGGAGTTGCCTCTTCTTGTCCTGGCGTGGGTAGATCCGCAGCTGCTGGAGCAGCGATAGGCATCCAAAGGTCTCCAAAATTCCCGGCTCCGATGCGGTGGGCCGGTGGAAGAGCGATGTTCATCTCCGGTTCTGCGAATGTCGCCGGAGCGGCCACGGCAGGAATCACATCATCGGAGGGCTTGGACCGCATGAATGGGCGGAAGAAGCTACTTTTGGTGCTCAGTTTTGGCTTCTCCGGCATTGGCTCCAGCTCTACTTGCCGGACGATCTGCGTGTCGCTTGCGCTTTCTGCAGGTCCCGTTCCGCCGCGGGCTGCACGGTCGAGACCTGTCTTATCATCGGGCTTGAATAGTTCTGTGCTTGTCGCGGACGGTCCTCCAGTAAGAGAAGGCCGGAACACAATCCACTCCTCTTCCTTCCCACTCCTCACCAGTTTCTTCAGCTGGACCTGCTTTGCATTCCCGAAGATCCGGAGAGACACCTGCACGGCTGCTGGAAGCACGTCCGCAGCGGAGAGGCCGGCCGTTGGCTCTACATTCGCCTCTATTTGTCGCATTGATATTGCCTGGTGCATATCAGCGAGCACTAGGGAACTGAGCAGATAGAGACTGACGGGGGCACCAAAGAGCAGACTGGACTTAGGAGCATCCCCGAGGATAGCCTGTATGGTCGCTTCGATCGCTTCTCTTTGCGTGGAGCGCGCCATTCTGGCCAGTCCTTCCAGATGGATGAGAGAGAGATATGGTAGCTCACATCACGACCGCCTATGCCCTATCTAGATGCTCTTCCTTCCACGTACCCCTGCACTGGCGGTAGGAAAGGATGATCGCCTGCCACTTTGCCCCGTGCGTTTCAGCTTGGTCACGTGCGCGGGGTCGAATGCGGGGACGGCGATGTCCGAAGGGATGTTGAGATTTTCAGCACGACAAGTCCTCCACCGCAAGCATCATCAAGAGGTAGAGTACCTATCCTATCATACATCCCTCTTCTATACACAGCTCTCGACAGGCTGTAGATTCTACCGATACATAAGATGGCATCCACATCAGCCATTCCCGCCGAATCATTCGGTACAGCCCTCCTCAACGTCCGCCGCTTGACAGGCTCGGGGCTGGCCCATCAATCCAAACCCGCTCAACTCCTGGTGGCCATCGAATCAGCCATCTCGGCCTCCCTCCCCTCTTCCACTCTTCCTCACTCGGCCACAGCATACTTTGCTGCTCTCCTCCAATGCCTAGAGAAGGCATGTGCCGAGGAAGTAGGCGGTGAGGATGAGGCAATGGCGGAGACGGAGAATATGGGTCAAGGTGCCCTTATCCCCGCGACGCTATACCTCCTCGCTATCGTCGTACCCGAGACACCCACCCAGGTGGTCCTGTCGAAAGTCTCGCCGCTTCTCGAGTGCATTCTGCCCCTCTATCAGACCGCTCTGGAACACCCACCCGCTCTCCGCTCTATCCTCCAAATCACAACTTCCCTCCTCACCCTCGCCCCTCCAGCGCTTCTTAACTCCTCCCCTCTGCTCAAGAAGGCCTGGAGCTACCTCCTGGAGATCAACGTCGACCCACGCCCCAAGGTCAGGCACCTCGCACAAGAAGGCGTTCGCAAGGTGCTCTGCACGCCTATCCCGCCGCGCGTGACCGTTGGGGCACACCCCTACCTCCCCCGCGCACGAGATTGGGTTATGGCGCATCTCGAAGAAGAAGCAAAGACGGGAGGGGCGAGCTCGAAGAAGAAAGCGAGATTCGCGGCGGATGGGGACGATATGGAGGGGAAGAAGGCGATTTGGGTGGTGCAGGGTCTGAGGGGATGGGTTGCTGTCTGGGGTGAAGACGTGAGTGTTCATCCGTCCAAGCAGCAGTTCTCTGCAAGGGTTGGCGTAAAAGCGGCAGCTGGAGGGCAATATGATCATGTGGAGAGGGAGAGCGGCCGGGTGTCTCAGAGGAGGTAGGGGCCATCCCCTTAGACTTCTCTCTCTCTCTGGCTCGCTCCTCGAGAGTTCACTGTAGGGGCGTCGGGGCGTCTGAGCTAGGGGAGGGGAAGGAGGGGAAGGAGACGTGAGAGATCGAGGGCGTAGTCTTATCTCAGAGGTCGCTGAGGGCAATTGAGCTGTATGGAGGGGCCAGAGGGGGCCAGAGCTTGAGAGGAGAACTGGCGTATCCCCTTCCCCCTTCTCGCCTTCGCCTTGCTCTTCTGCTCTCGCTCCTATCCGACTGGCTATCTGCGAATCGATGACTGACTCCTCAGCAACTGTCAAACCTCTGCACTCTGCTTCTCTCTCTTCCACCTCTCCCACACCTCACTCCCCAAATCTACTCCCTCCTAGCTTTGCTATTGCAGCCCCCACCAGGCGATGTCATGGCTCCGAAGCCTGCCGTCTTGCAGAACCTTCCGACCATCCTTGACTCCCTGATAAGCTCTCCTCCAGATCAGCAATCTCACCTCGCCGATATCCCCGCCTACCTCTCGGCTATCACATCTGCCCTCATCAAAATGTCTTTCCAGGATCCCGAGTCCCTGTCCGTCTACCTGGCAAAAGCCTTCAACCTCATGTTCAACACCATCATGCTCGCTCCATCCGCCTCGCCAGTCGTCCTCGCCGCCGCGTCCGACGCTATCGGCGGACAAGGCATTATCCGATACTGCATCTCGGACGAGATGATCGTCGCAGCGGTCAACTACCACCGCTCCGGCTCGGATCTGCCCGGGGCGCGACAAAAGCAGAAATCGACATTCTTGTCCAAACTGCTCGTTTCGCTCGTCGCGGCGATGGACAAGCACTCGCTCCGAATCCAGTACCTCCTCCCTATCTTGACGGCTATCGTGTCGCGGCTGCGATTAAGGGTGACGGACGGGCGGATAGCCGAGGTGGACCCGACTGGTCGAGGCAAGACAGCGGCAGAGGAGCTGGTCTTGGATTTGATCGGGGACATTGGGGACTTGAGGATGGCCAGGGGCTTTGATCATAAGGAGAAGGTGGACGAGGTTGTTGGGATGGGTATGGAAGTCATTGGCGTCGAGGGGATACTACGCGTGCTCCCGCTGAATATAGAGCCCGATGCGTAAGTCCGAGCACTGTGGTGAGGATCCAGCTGAATTTATCAGGGATGGGAACACCCCTCAACCCGGTCGAGCCCATCTCCTCCCCCTTATCCGCGCCCAAACGACCAATGACTCGCTTACCTTCTTCACGACGTACTTCCGCCCACTTTCCGAGCGCGTCTTCAGCCGGAAAGTCTCTGCAGAGGATGCTGGACGGGGAGCAGAGGCGAAGATCTGGGAAGTGCTGGTCGGACAAGTCTGGGACTGTTTCCCGGGCTTCTGCGAGATCCCTCGCGATCTCAAAGAGGTGAGCAGATCGTCCTGAACGTAACGGCACATTGCTAATCCGGTAGGGACTCACCGCACCCTTCATGACCCTCATCGCCAACCTGCTCAACACCCAGCCCCTCCTCCTCCCCGCCCTTCTCAAGGGTCTCGCCGCCATTGTCTCGTCGACCAAGACTCTACTCGCTTCGACAACGGCTCCGGAAGAGCTGCGCAAGCAGTTTGGCGTGGACCAGGAAATGGCGAAGGAGAACATGGCGTACTTGAAAACGATGGCGAAAGATACTACGTCCGTGCTGCTCAACGTATTCAGTCAGCTTCCGAGAGAGCAGAGGGGGATGGTCTCGGATGTCATCGGGCTTTGGACGGGGATTATGACCGACCAGGTGAGCATCCGCTTCGCCTGACCGTCAATCAGGAAGGCGCTGATCAGATAGGATATAATGGCCACCTTCACCACAGTCACTACTCACCTCTCTTCAAACCTCTCCATGGCCGCGCCGGTCGCTCCCGGCTCTTCGCCCATCTCCCACACCATGCTGGATCTCCTCATCATCTTCGTCCCGCACCTCCCGACCCCCCAGGCCAAGGCTCTCTTCAACGCCATTGCAACGACAACCATGCTCGAGCATGACGATGCCACCGTGCAGAAGAAGAGCTACCGGCTTTTGAAGCGGCTAATCGAAGACGGAAAGGTGGCTGAAATGGTATCTGGCGAGAAGGTAGAGGGGTTCGTGCGGGCGCTGGGGGAGTGTGCGGCAGGTGTAGGACCTGGAGCTCAAAGGGTGAGCTGGAGTCATCCGATAGAAGGCGAGATCAGAGCTGATAAAGCAGGACCGCCTTCAATTACTCTCGACCGTCGTGCAGAGTCTGCCCAAAGAAAAGCTCGCGCTCATCCCGGAACTCCTCTCCGAGGCCGTCCTTGGTACCAAGGAGGTCAACGAGAAAGCGCGAGACGCCGGATTTGATCTGCTGGTGGTTATGGGTCAGAAGATGGCGCAGGGCGGAGAAGTCACGCGTGACGCGGGCGACGAGGAGGGAATGAGTAAGTTCAACAAATCCTTCGACGGTGAGGACAAGCGAGCTGACTTCTGCTAGGCTCAGCAGCTGCTTCGGTGGAAGAGTATATCACCATGGTCGCTGCGGGTCTGACGGGGACGACACCACACATGATCAGTGCGAGTATCAATGCCCTGTCTCGCTTGCTCTTCGAATTCAAGGGTGAGCCTGCTTGCTGCGAAGGCAGAGAGAGGCTACTTGACTGACATACTAGACGATGTGTCCGACGCCATGATCACCGAACTCGTCTCCACCATCACCGTCTTCCTCACCATGAAGAATCGCGAGATCATCAAATCGGCTCTTGGCTTCATCAAAGTTGCTACCGTCGCTCTGCCCCCAGTCACTGTCGAGCCCCACCTTCCCGTCCTCGTACCTGCCCTTCTCGGATGGGTACACGACCACAAGAACCACTTCAAATCAAAGACTGTTCACATCTTTGAGCGGATGATGCGCAAGTTCGGAGCGGAGGCTATCCTGCTCAACGCTCCGGCGGGAGGTGAGCGGAAGGTACTCGAGGGTATCAAGAAGAGAAAGGAGCGCGCGAAGCGGAAGAAGACGGCCGGCGGCGGTGATGAGGATGGCGAGGAGGACGAAGAGGTAAGTTCTGGTAGAACTTGCTGGAAGATCAAAGCTGACAAGTCCGCAGAAGCCAAAGAACTCTTCCGGAAGCGCATTCGACGATATCCTGTACAACTCGGATACCGACGACGAGCTAGACAATGCGGAACCGGAGGTTGTTCGCGGCCGTAATGGCAAGCCTATCCTTGGCGCTAAGAAGGAGAGAAAAGCAGCTGGGACCGCGTATATCCGGAACGAAGGGGATCAACCCATGGATCTACTGTCGCGGTCGATTGCTGGAGGCGTCTCGAGTGAGTCAGGCTATCGCTGTGGTTCTGCTGCGTTCGCAAGTTGACTGGGCCTAGGTACCAACCCAAACGCTGCATCTCGGAAACGAAAGCCAGGGCAGGATGCTTCTCACTTCAAGACGGACGCTACCGGCAAGCTCATCATCGAGGAGGACGAGGCTGGCCCGAGCGGATCTGCTGGGCCTCCCCAAGGCGACACTCTGGCCGGCTCGGCCTTCATGACGGCGCAGCAGGGTGTGGATGGGCAGACAAGGGACGCCAAGGGCAACTTGCGGTTCAACAAGAACAACAAGCAAGCGAGGCAAGAGGACATGACGATGATGGACGACCTGGAGGAGGGCGACAGCCAGAGCAAGAAAAAGGTCGCTGAGCGGAGAAAGAAGAGGATAGAGATGGGCAAGCTCGGCGGGGAATTTAAGGCCAAGGTGAGTATCGCTGAAACGGATGGGGAAAGACCGACTGCTAATGATTGCAGAGGGCCGGAGGTGACATTAAGCGAGCTGGTGGACCTGATCCGTATTCGTATGTTCCGATCGGCCAAGCTGCGCGAGGGAACAACGGGACGAAGGGTGTCAGGGTGTCTTTGACCAACAAGAAGAAGGGGTCGAGGAAGTAAGTATTGTGTTCGTATCTTAATGTTTATCTAGCTCCTTCGGCATGACATGTAATGTATTTTGATGTTAGTATCCGGACTGGGTCTCTGGAGGCACGTGGTGAGCCTCACGGTTGTTCTGAACTACGCTTTCCTAGTCCCAGCCCTCGAACCTGCTTGATAAAGTCAAAAAGGCTCGGCATGACCTAGGAAGAACCAATAATCACCTCATCCTGAATCGTGAAAGCCTGCATGCCAAATGAAGCACGCTCCCACTAACGGCGGAAACGCTAAAGACCGATGAATATGAAAGGATCTCCCTCCTGGACCCCCACGCACCATCGCTGTAGCCGCACATCGCCCACCTCCCTACACCTACCGCCCTCTCCAACAAAAGTTATCGCAAGATATACTATACTATACTTCCCCCCTCGAGCTCGCCTCCCCATTATCCGCCTGCGATGCCCATCGTGATGTGTTCGAGTCGATTGATTATACGTTTCCCCGAGGCAGACCTGAATACTCGGCCCCTCGCTCGACTCCCTAGATATACACACGCATCTGATCGCTCCGCTCCCGCTCCTGCGTTCCCGTGGTAGCCCTGCGCGGTCTATCGAGTGGGGATCGACTGCCGTGCCTCGCGTCCCCGTTCCCTCGCCCGTTTGGCGGCTCGAACGAGATCGTTGACGGATCGTTTGAGCTGGGGGGATCCGGATGGTGCGGAGAGATGACTACCGCGTGAGCAAAACGGCCCTATTGGAGGATACCTAGACTTACGCTCGAACTCCCTCCAAGAACCGCTGCTTCTCCGCTAATGGCACGATATGCCCCGCAATCCCCCCTACCGCCTCAACGACCCATCCGTCTACTTCCTGTGCCGGCGCACACACGACCGTCGCTGCTAGCACCGTCTGTACCTGGTCCAGCCCATCCTCGACAAAGTCCGCCACCATCCCCTGAATCAACAACGCGACGATGGCCTTGCCGTACTGCGCAAAGATCGGCTGGAGGGTAGATTGGAAGGCCTGCTCGCCGAGGCGTTTCGACAGGATGGCGAGAGCGTCAAGGCAGACGAGATTGGTTTCGGGTGCGGGGCAGGAAAGGGCGGCGAGAGTGTGCGAGACGGCGAGGTGGAGTAGGGGTGATGAGAGAGTAGCGTGTGGCAGGAAGGTGATGTATGCGATGAACGTATGGACGAAATCCTCCATCACTGAAGTGTCAGCACCAAACGACCCGCTGGAAAAGAGGAACAGACCGTCGGGTATCTCTACTGCCGTCTTTCCATTCAACACCACGCTCAATTGAGTGGTCATGCTTTCGAATGTCCGCACCAGCAGCCCCGCCAATACCTCCCCGCCTGGCCCTCTCGTCAAATCCCCGAATTTGCTTGCCACCTTCCCCGCTATCCACAGGAACGTCGCATACTCGGTCAACTCGAAGCAGCTCACCATACGCTCGAGCAAGGGCGCAAGTACCGGCTCGAGCGCCTGTGGAGGGAAGAAGAGGAGACCGCGCCGAAGTACCGAGCCGATCCGGTCTGACATAAAGTACAGCTTGGAGTACTTTTGCAGTAAGCTGTCGAGAACCTGGTAAACGGCGAGAGCGGTGGGGTAGCATGATTCCGGGAGGCGATTGATGGTCCGGACTACACGTAGGAAGGCATTGATCTGCTCGAGCGCATCCGCCGCCTTTTGCAATTCCGGCTTGTCCAGTGGCGTTGTCGCCGCAGCGACTGCTTGGACGCGTTCCAGTAGCGGCTGGCAGAACTGCTGGAGAGCGGGAGCCGCCTGGTCTGGAGGCATCCCGTCGATAATGTACCCGATGGCCTCGCAGACCTCGATCATGTCCGGCTGGTCGAGCTTGTCGCCGACGGTAGCGACAAAGTCGTGTAATTGAGGGAGGAAGGGGATGAGGTGTCGGCTGCAGTCCTGGCACATGAACTTCATGGCCTGCGCTGCTGCCGCCGACACCTCCTCTTCCGCCATGTGGAAGCCGAGGGAGATGTATTGCAGCTGGAAGGCGATATTGGAGGGATGACGGTCGATCCATTGGGTATACCGCGAAATGACGAGGATGGCGGCGTACCGGATCCGAGGGTGATCAGGGAGATTTGGCAGCATATCCATGATATGTGGCAGAATCTCATCATCATCCGGATTTACCTCTCCTCCCATTGACCGCATGGAGAAGAGGGGCGCTTCCAGCTCCTGCCATGTTGGCGATCCCCTGGCCATCGCCGCCTGTACGAGATCGTACGATTTCCGCAGACAGGTAGTTGCGCCGAGGACATGACAGCAGTCCTTGAGCGTGTCGCCCATCCGATGACGGAACGTCCGGAACTCGTCCCGCTCCTGCGCCGTCTGCTGCTCGTTGTCGGCTGGAAAGTGGAGATGGCCGATGATGACAGATTGGAGATTGCTGAAAATGTCTAGGAGGGGTCGGGTGGATTGGTTGTCCGGATGTTGCCGCCCGAGAGCAGTGGCGAGGCCGTACCAGAAGCTGAAGGTGATGGGGACGATGTCGAGATCCGGGTACGCGGCACATGCCGCTATTGCCTGGACGAGGGGTAATAATGAGTCGATATGGGAGATGATGAGGTTTTTGTAGGTTTCGCCCGCTTCGCAGACTATCCGACAATACCCCCGTATCCGATCTGGGTCGTCCTTGTGCTCTTCCAGTTGTGACTGGAGCGCGACTATCCGGGGGACGATATTTTGGATGACGTCGACGTTCTCCTGCACTTCTTGCGTCTCGTGTATGAGGTCGCAGAGGCAGTCGACGGCCGAGTCGAAGAGCTGGTCGGAGGGGAGGGCGTCGAAAAGGGCAGGGAAGAGGGGTGTGGAGGCGACTCGGGACGCCATGACTTCGCCACCTTGGAGCCAGGAGCGGAGGGTGTCGAATACAGCGGCTTGTATTGCTGGAGTGATACCTGACTATCAGCATGAAGGCGATATGAGGCTCAATTTTACTGACCTGGCGCTTGTATATACATATTTAGAACCCCTATTACCGGTTCGGCCGACGAACTGATCATACTGTCCATATCCTAGCAATCAGCGAGGTTCCTCTAGCAGCTCGCCGCAACTTACCGATACCACCAATCTCGGGTTGCCCACCTCCTCCACCAACGCCTTCAGGAAGCCCAGCAGTATATTCACGGTCGCTGGATCCTTTCCAAAGCGCTCGATCATGCCGCCCACGATATCCGACCACTCTGGCATCTGTAGGGCCAGATCCGCCAGCGCCAAACAGAGTTGAATCAGGATCGCTCGTGAGCCTGTCGGAGCACTTGTGCCGGCGAGGGGTGCGAGCGAGGTCAGTATCGAGTCGCGGAGGGGAGGGAGCTGATCTCGGGGAAGTTGGGGGAGGTCATACAATATCTGCAAGGTCAGTCCTTCCCTTCCCACCTCATCCTCAAGGGACTCACTTTGGCTCGTATCGTCTGCGCAGCGAACAAGCGGCCTTCGAGAGGTGAAGCTGGAGAAGTGAGGAGGGTATGACATGTCTGCCATGCCTCGATCTACCCGTCAGCCTCTATACGATCTTTACACCTGCTGAAGCCTTCCATCCCCCTTGCGCACCAGCCTCCTCAGCCCCCTGCACCCTGCGACCACCTTCACACCTTGTTTCCTACAATTCCCGGCGCATTCGCCGCGTAGTATCTCTCCAGCTTCAAAGCTTGATGTCTACGCCTGCCCTGATATGCAAGCTATGCAAGTCGACTAACGCTGTGTTGGAATTCTTGAAGCCAATCGTTCGCCTTTCGCTTTCCCGCTGGTTCCGGGTCGTGGTATAATGATTGCAGTGCCTGCAAGACGGCTGCTGTCGCTGCGTCTGCGCTTGTTGATGCCATCCCGAGCAGAGAAGGTAAGGTATATGACGATATAGTGTATGTAGAGAAAGGCAGGAGGAATGCTAACAAAACCCTCTCCGTTGTCACCTAGCTCCAGGTTCCGGCGGAACCAATTTCACAAGAGGCTGGAGCGGGTGGCAATATCCTCAAGCTAGAGCATGCAGCAGAGGTACGGATGGGATGATGGTGAGGACGAGCAGGTACAAGGTACAGTCCCAAATCTGCATAATTAAACACCTAAGACAAAATCGACATCAAAAATCTACCGTGTCCGAACTCCCTCTTTCAGCTCCCACGTCGATACAAAGGCCGACCCGTTACAGGTAGGGTACTACATCCTCCTTACTCCTGCATGCTCTCCACGTCATTCCGCAAAATCTTGAGCGAGACAGGTTTTGTCCGCCATTCATCTAAAGGATCAGCCAAGTAAGGGTTACTCAAAGGCAGACTTACCAATTCCGCACTCCAACATTCCCCTCCGCTTGCTACTCTCCTGACTGAGCGCAGTCACAGCGATGATCTTGGCTCGTTTCCCGACCCTCTTGGCCTCAATCGCTCTCATCTCCGACGCAGCCTGGAAACCATCCTTGACCGGCATGTTCAGATCTAGCAGAACGAGGTCGGGCGAAAAGGAGAGGAACTGCTTGACGGCGTCGTCTCCGTCTACCGCTTCGGCATATCGACAAGCCTAGACGTTAGCTGGACCCTCTGTTGCGATTGAGTTCGCGTACCGTCCGCTTCAGCATAGCCACTACAATCCGCCTATTGACCGCATTGTCCTCCACCACCAGTACCCTCATCGCCGTCGGCTCCGTATCCGCCACCGTCTGGAGAGCCTTCTCCGAATGTAGACTCTTTAGCGTCATACGGGAGAGCGACTCGTGCAGGTGGGGAGAAGGCTCCGTGATGTGCGTCTCGATGTGTGGACGCTCCGCCTGAGGGGGCTGCGGGGGCGAGACGATATCCTTGAGAAAGCCGGTGGGTGATCCGGGTGGACGCGAGTCATCCGAGGCGTGTCGACGATGCGAACCGAGTTGGGACGCCGAGTTCCGCCGCGTCCCCACTTGGCTCCCGCTGCCTTCGCTCGAAGAGGTACTCCACTGATCACTCAGGGTGGCCATTGCCAATCCCATAGCGGGCGACCCTTGCTCGCTCGGCGAGGGCATAATTTGCTCCTCTGACGCGTCAACAAGACTGCCCCCGCCGCCGGCTCCTCGCTCATCTCGCGCCTCATCCCCGCCGGTGACGTCCGACACATACATCTCATTCGGCTGGACGACCTTCTTGGGTGGACGCAAGATCCGGCGGATCACGCTAGGGAATAGCGGTCGGGCGAGGTAGGTGATTTTGATCTGGTCCTCGAGCGTCGCAGGTCCGTCCGTTAATCCGTCCTTGTTGACAGACCCACTAGTCACGGACTGGCCGACGGGGAGGGATGAGGTCAATGCTTGTCTGGCAGACAAGAGTGAGATGACCTCGACGCCAGGCCTAGCGGCGAGGACCATATCTTTGATTTCCATCTGGGAGAACCGCCCCTCGGGCACAACGATAAGGCTCGCATACAGCGGGACGTCGACGACGCGGCAGAACCGGAGTTTGAGTTGCCGCAGTAGCGTCCGCCCGACTCGCCGTGTGCGAGGGTCGCTGTTGTCGAAGCCTGTAAGGTAGATACCGTCTTGCCGGGAAGGGGAGAATGCGCGGGAAACGTAGTGGTCGCTCTGCCGTATAAGGTCGTCCAGATCAGAGTCGTTGTCGGCATTGAGGAGATGGAGTGGGAGTTCGATATGGACCAGGGTGCCCTTATCGAGTGTCGACTTGATGGCTAGCTTGCCGCCGAGGATCTGGATCATGCGCTGGGCGAGACCAAGCCCGAGACCGGCGCCTGGAGTGAAAGGGTCCGCCTTGGCAAATGGACGCAGGATAGTCTGATCCAGGAAATCGGCAGACACTGACTGTCAGCTAGGTCCAATGTCAAGGATCACGTAGAACTCACTGCCTCTACCGGTATCTTTGATGTCAAAGACCACCTGACTGAGCTTGATCGAATTGTCGTACCCTCCCGGGAGGACGACATCTCTCGACATGTCCTGGACAGTGATATGGATATAGCCGGTATCGGTAAATTTGAGCGCATTGCTGATGATCTTGCTCAAAGCCCTACAATGTGAGCCGATACTCAACCTCCGATGTCCCAGGGTACTCACCTAGAAAGCGGTCCAGGGTCCGTCGCCAAGATCCACCTCCCCCTTAGTCTCGGCATCACCTCTAACAATATTTCGACATCCTCCAATCCCTTCTCGCCTGCCACACGCCGAGCCTTGCTCTCGTGCATAATAGCATTCTTGACCACCCCCTCCAGTACATCCGAGAGATTGTACATCTCATCAGGTACCATTGGCTGAAGCGCCGCCGCCAGGTTGAGCCCTTCGGGTCCATTCGGCCGGCCCGTGGATACCGCACGACCAATATCAAGGGTATCGATGATATTTTCGAGGATCTGGCCAAGCGCATCCCCGTTCGACTCGATGACCTCGAGATGCGCCGCTGCCTCTTTCCGATCATCGCGGGATAGTCTGCTCGGTTGCGTTCGCGAGTCGATGGGGGAGGTCGGACATCGATCGCTGAGGGGATCGGAGCGGCCAGTAGAACCGCTAGTGACGAGCGAGGGCGAGTCTCGCGGTGAGTTGCTAGGCGAGACGACCAGGCTAGAGTGGAGGACTTGTCGGAGGAGAGCGGCGGCGGCGTTGAGCTGATGAAGGGGTGTCCGCAATTCGTGACTGGCAGCAGCGGCAAAGTTGAGCTGGGCTCGCTCGGCTTGGTGTAACCGTTCCTTCATGACTAAGAAATCAGCCTTGTCGCAGAAAAGAAGCGGAAAACTCGCCTGAAGCTAGCAGACTCCCAGCAATAGTCTCCACGAACTGAAGAGCACCAGCTGGGTAGCTGAAGAGCGGATCCGTCCAGCATCCGACGACCGCAAACGCGACCTGGCCGTCAAAGCCAAAGACGGGCATGGCCAGACTAGCCTCTGTTCCGGGCGGCATCAAGTGTGTGATACTCTCCGCGACGCCTTCGCTGTCGTCTCGGCTATACCACACCGTCCGGCCCTATCAATCAGCTACGACACACGCTGTAAGCCTACCTTGACATTCCGAGCGATAAAGTCGGACACGATCTTACGACCAGCGGGTGTCGAGCTGAAGTTGAAGGCGAAATTATCCACCTCGCAACTATACCCCAGGATAGGTAGCTTTCCGTCAGCTCTCACCCCGAACGTAAACTCACATTATTTGCCGCATCCGCCGATGCGACCTTGTCGGACAACCGTCCGGTCGTCGTCCCCGCCGAAGGCACAAACAAGACCTGCGGCGTCCGACCGGCCGACATGGGATCCACGACCGCGTACGTCCTTCTCGCCGCCCGCCCATCCGGCGCCTTTTCGTATGGCTCCTCTTCGCCCGCCCCATCTGTTCTCGACGTGGTGTAGCTGTTCTGAGTGGATCCGGGCATCCGTGTGGCCTCGCCAGTCCGGGTGGTATAGGAGGATCTGCCTGTTGTTGAGCCTCCGGCGGTAGAAGATTGGTAGGAAGGGTAGAATAGGTGGAATTGTGTGAGATCGACAATGGCGACGGCGTGAGCGTCGAGGGCGAGTCGGATCTCCTGGCACGCCTCGTCAAAGATGTCGATGTCATCCTCGGCTTGTTTGCTATCCGCGCCTGAGTTGCGCTTCCCGCTGGAAGAAGTTCCCGTTGTCGCTACATCGTTTGTAGACTTGGTCGTCGCCGTGAACGTCCGCCGAGACATCCCCGCGCGCTCTTTTGGCCGATGTTTCAAAGATCGACGGAGAAAGTCTACCGAGACTGATCGTCAATTTTGCCCGGCGCGGCACTCACTTTGATGTAATTTGGCTGCTTCTACGGTCGCCCGTTGATTGTACAGCAATTCGAGCTGCCTGTAAGCTTCATCTCGCCAATCAGCGTAGCCGACTCACCTCTGACACCGCACACTCTGCAAGATCCGCCAATAGCCTCTTTCCCTCCTCGTCAAAGTCATGTCTGGGCACATCGTCGATGATGCACATACTCCCAATGATGGCTGCCTTGGGTCCTTGACCCACCCTCAACGGCGCCCCTGCGTAAAACTGCACGATCCCCTTGCCCTCGTCAACCAGCGGATTCTTGGCAAAACGCCAGTCATCCGCTGCATTCGGTACCACCATACAGGACCCGCCGTCCCCGATGATGGTATGGCAGCAGAAAGCATCCTCGAAGGAGGTAGACTTGGCGCCCATCCCAATCTCCGACAAAAACACCTGCCGCTCCCGTCCGATGACGGATACGAGCGCCCGCTTGGTCTTAAATATCGAGACCGCCAGGCGTGTGAATCGGTCCAGCGTTGATTTGTGAAGCTCGTCAGGCTTTTCGAGGCCGAGCCGTCGGATCACGCGCAGACGGCGCCGCAGCGCATCAGGCGCTTGGCGGGGCGCAGGCATGTATCCGTGCTTGTTGAAAAAGTCACGGACCTTGTCCCTATCCTCGGGACTGCTGAGATCTTCTGCTGTGACGGACGGGATGGTTGACGAGTTGCTGCCCGTCTCGGCGAGGATGTTGTCGATGGGGAGGGATTCGGCGAGGCGCTGGCTGGACGTATTGGACCGGTATGAACGCTGATGAGGAGGGGGTGGGGGCCGCCGAGTACGCCTGGATCCGCGCGAAGAGGTAGCAACCTCCACGTCATCTCCTGAAGACGAAGATGCCATTGAATGTGCGGCCCGCTCGGCGTTCAGCTCAGCACCTTGCGGGGGCTGGTGCCGCCGCCGTTTAGCCCGATTTGAGGATGGCACTTTCTTCTCCCCTCCTTCTCCCGCCGACGGTGACTCTTCTCCATCCGCTTCCTCCGCTGCCGCCTTTTGCTCATCATGCAATTGACCCATATGCTTCCGAGATAAGGTTTGTTGTGGTTTCTGTCCACCGCCTAGATTGGAAGCAGTATACTGCTCCTTGACCCTTGGAGCTGTAGGCTCGAGCTCTTCCGCCGCGATATTCGGAATGGATGGGTCCTGGTTGGCCTCGCCGGATGATGAGGTGATGCGGTGGCTATCCTTGAAGCCATTCTCGTCCGCCGAACTGGAGTCTGGCGATGAGTCCGAGCCTGAACGAGAAGGTCCACCGCCCTGTAGATGCCGAGGGTTACCATGCCGGCCTAAGGGCGTCGCACCACCGCGGCTGGACCTGGAAGGGAACTGCGAATCGTCTCTTTTCACCGGAAAGTCTAGCTGATGGACTTGGCCTGCCGCATAACTATTCGTCAGCGGAAGTCCCAGCATACCTCGTGGTACTTACTGGCCGAGAAACGTATCCCATTCCGCTTTCCCCTTTGGTGTCTCCACTCCAGAGTGCGGCGTTACCGCACGCGACTCGCGCTCCTGTACATCGCCTGACGGAGATGCCCCTCCATCTGCAAAGTCCGTCACCTTCACCGTCCTATCCGCCTCCGCGTTGATCCCTCCGCCCATCCCGTCTTCGGTCGGTCCCTTCGTCGATTCGATGATGGCGCCATCAACCGGCGCAGGATCGGCTCCATCAAGCGGTACTGCCGCCATAGTGATGCAGGGGACCGGGTAAGGAGAAGGTATGCGACTGCCCGTAGAGGCAGGGCCCGAACCGCCGCTAGATTGAGTTTCACGTCGACGCGATGTCCAGCGCTTATGTCTTTGGCTCGAGTATTCTGGTATATAAAGTGCAAGAGCTCATGCGTTGGTATATGGCTACAGTGTTGGTGCGTAGTAACTGAAAGAGAGATGAGATCCTATGAGATCCCTCCCGCAAAGCCTGGAATATTGCAGTTGGAACCGCTGGAATTCAGATTCAGGGACACCGAGAAACTTTACGTAACATGCAGCGTGGCTTGCTTGATAAGATATACACTCTCAACGTTCAACATCTACTCTGTATTCCCAGCTTCCGCCCCAGACCCACCAGCCCCTGCCCCATCTGCGGTACCGCTCGTCTCGCCCTCCGCTGTCTCCGGTGTATCCGCGCCGCCCGCGGTCTCTTCAGCTCCAGCTCCCTCACTTGGCCTCCTTTCCGCAGCTCCCCCGCCTCGTCCCGGACTCGCATTCGGCCCTGCTCCTCTCGGTCGCTTCAGTTGACGCGGCTTCGCTTGTGTCCCTCTCTGCTTGAGATCCGCCAAGACATCGGGCCTTCCCCCAGCCTGTGCCATAGAAGCCGCACCGCCCGACTCTCCATCGGCGATTTCGCCTTCTTCTGGCGCGGGCCGCTTGTGGGATCCGGGCGCGGTCGGTGGCGAGGGTGCGCTAGCAAGAGTGGATGTGAGTGTAGCTTTGACGGCTGTGGGATCAGCAGATATTCAAATCGGATGCAGGTCGAGACTTACCGGCAAGAACACCTCTTCCTGGTCCACCCCCTCTGGCCGCTCCACGTACTACTGCTGGCCGACCTCTGGCAGCATTCCCGCGAATGGAGGGTGCGGCTCCTACGAGCGTACTCGAAGGTATCGGTGTACCGGCAGGAGGGGTAGGATTCGACGGTCCGGACGGGACAGGCGCGAGACCCGCAGCCTCAGGCGGAATAGCGGTCGACGAGGGTGTGAATGCCGGTGCGTCCCCTGACAGTGCCTTACCCTCCTCCTTCGCCTGCTCCTCGTAGGCCTTCACCTTGGTCTCGGCCGCATCCTTCTGCCTCTCCAGCGTCTTTCGTGTCATCTCCGCCGTCCTTCCCTGTCGCTCCAGCGCCTTGATCTTGGCCTCTAAAGCCGCCGCCTCCCCCTTGAGCTTGGTCTGCTCCGCCTCCAGTTCAGTCTTTTGCTTGGCGAGCGCTTCGTCGACCCGAGCCTCGATGGTGGATTCCAATTCGTCCTCTTTGGCCTTGACCGCAGCGTCGATGGCCGCCGAGTTGTCGACCGACGAATTGTCCCCGATGGGCGCTGAAGGCGCTGAAGCTTTGGCAGCTTCGAGCGCCGCGTCAAGCTCGGCCTGCTTCGCAGCGACAGCAGCTTGGACCGCTTCGTCGATCTTGGCCTGGTCCACGACACCACTGGTCGCCTCGTCCGGAACGCTTTCCGTCTCGATCGCGGCCGCATTGCTGGCGTTGCCGAGCTCCGTAATCTTCCCCTCGAGCTCCGCGATCTTGCCCTCGAGCTCAGTGATCTTAGCGACAGCGTCGGACTTTTCGATCTCGAGGGCGGCGATACGACTTTTGAGAGAAACGTTGATGCGATTCACCTTCAAGACGCCGTCCTCGTATCTCTGTGCAACATCAGCTCAATTCATCTCCAATCCAGCTCAAGAATGACTCACTGCATCGTAACCTTCCAGCCTTTTGGTAACCTCGTCGTACTTGGCCTGAAGATCTGCCGACTCGGCGGTCGCATCCCCAGAAGCTGGAGCCGGTGTCGCAGCTTTAGCAGCCTCGAGATCCTTCTCCAACTGCTCGACCCTGCTCTGCAGTGTCTCCTTCTCTTTCTGCAGCGTCGCCTGTATGTCAATATTATCCTCATAACCAGAAGCCTGCAGTGCAGCCAGACCTACCATCGCAGCACCATTCGCCGGACTCGCGCCTGCCGACCTCGCAGCCGTCAACTCCCTCTGCAACCTCTGCACCGTCCCCTCCTTGAGCGCCTCTGACCGCGTCACATCCGCCAGCTTCTTCTCCACCTCGCCCATCTTCCGCCTCGTCTCCATCAACGACTTGTCCGCATCCGTCACCTTGCCCTTGATCTCGCCAATCTCCTTGTCCTTCGCTGCGACGATTTCGGCCAGCTTGACACGCGCCGCAGCAATCTCGTTCCCTCGGAATTCCCATCGCTGCTTAAAGTTGTTTGAGGTTCGGATGTTGGCCATGTCGCTCTCGCGAGACTTTTCCAGCTCGGCCTCGAGGTCGGTGATTTGCTTTTGGCGGGTAGCGGCAAGAGCCTCGGCGGTTTCCTTCTCCTTACGGACGGCAGAGACCGCAGCCTCGAGAGCAGAGTCGGCGCTCGCGACCTTCTCCTCGGCGGTCCGCGTGGCCTGACGAATTTGCTCGATCTGCGTCCGAAGGGCAGTACTGATCATCAGCTAGCGCCTCCTTGTCGATGCAGAATTAAACTCACGTCTCCTTCGTAAGCTCGTCGATCCGCTTCTCCAGCTTCTTGCGCTCTTCCGACCTCGACCGCTCGCTTTCAGCCGACACGTTCGTGTAATTGTCGATGAGCGATTGAAGCTTGGTCCGTTCGCTCTGGACCGAGCGGAAGTCGGACTGGAGCCGAGCTTCGGTGCTCTAGATCGTCAGCTGGACATCCCGCTCAAGAAGAACACCGATGTACCGCCCACTGCTCTTTCTCCGCTCGAAGGATAGCCACGTCCATCCTCAACCTGTCCGCCTCGGCCTGACGGAGCGCGACTTGCTCTTGAGCCTAGCGAGTGAGCTACTACCTCCGCAATACACGGAAGCAGACTCACCATCCTCGCCTCGTTCTGCGCCGAGCCGATCGAAGCTTGTATCTGCGCGATCTGGGACTCGAGTCCCGCCCCACGCTGCTTCTGCAGATTGTTGGCGTCAGACAAGCTCCTGCTTTGCTCTGCACCATCAGCTCCGACCATCCACTGCAGCCGGATGGACTACTCACCCTCAAGCATCTGCACCTTGGCCTCCGCCCGTGCCTTGGCCACCTCCGCAGATCCAACCGCCTCCTCCTTATTCCTCAACTCCACCTTCAAACCCCTGACCTCCTCCTCGGCCTTGACGCGAACCCCCTCAATCTCTCCACGCAGCATCTCGATCGTCTGCTGATGCGGTGCCGGCCCTTCATCATCCAGGGGTCCCGACGTCGGACTTGATCCACCCACACCCCACTTGAGCCCCTCTCCCCTCGCGAGCAACTTGGAGAAAAAGTCGCGCTCACGCGTCGCCTCATTGATCTTCTTGTTGGCCTCGAGGAGCTGCTTGTGTAGCCGCTCGATCGTTTCCGTGGCTTGGTCGAGTGTCGCACCAGTGTCCACATCCTCCTCTTCGGCCGTCGCGCGCCGGATCTCCCGCTCGCCAAGACGGGCAGAGAGCGCTCGGGTGAGCTTGAGGAGACGTTGGTTGTTCTCCTGCAGACCGCGGAGGGATCGGAACTCGAGCAGATGGTCGGTGATGATATCGCCCGTCTCGTCGACCGCCCCGCCGTTGATCTCGACATTGACGAGGGAGGGGTCGTCCCGGATGGCGAGTTGACGGATGAGGTTCTGGACCTGCCGAGCGAGATCGTCGGCCGTGCTCTGCAGAGCTGCAATGTCCTCGGTGTGATGGGCTGCGGCAGCCTTCATGGATCTGAGGACCTCCTGCAGGCCGTCTCGTGTGGTCATGACCGTGGAGAGTTCCGCGGCGAGGGCGTTAGCGCGGTCGATAGCTGCGGCGTGCTCGGCCGCTTGTTCGTCCAGGAGGGGTTTCTACATGTCAGCATAGCGGTACAAGTCTAAGAAAGGGGGGTGATGATAAGAGGGTTGGAGTTAGTGGGGGAAGTGTCGGACGTACCTTCTCGGCTATATCATTCCCAATCTCATCCAACAACTCGGTAAGGCGCATAATCTCATTCTCCGCCGACCGGAGTCTCCCCTCCTGCACCGTATACTCCGTAAAGAACTGTGTATAGCTCTTCCCGCTCCCCCTCATCTCGCCCGCCAAAGTAGCCGCAGGACTCAGATCTGTCCCTTCACCCCCGGCGAGTGCTATCCGATCCACCACCGCCTTGAGCTCTTCCGCCCGCTTATCCGCCTCCCGCCGCCTCCGTTCCTCCCCCTTCCACTTGGCGTCCCAGTCTCTCCGCTCCACCTCGTGCGTGCCCACAAGCCGTTCCAGCTCCGCCTCGCGCTCAGCGATCGTAGCTCTTGCTTCTTCGGCCCGGCGCTCGAGCACCCGATTCTCATCTGCGAGCCGGTACGATTCGGACTGGGACGCGGCTTTTCGCGAGGCGGCGGAAGAGGTCAGGTTGGAGATGTCCGCAAATGCCGAGGCGAGGCGGTTCGCCTGGTCATTGTATGACCGCTGCAGGGCTTCGTACGAGGATTCGGCGGTGGTTAGGCGGGAGAGGAGGATGTCGTAGTCGGTTTGAAGCTTGGAGAACTCGTGGTTCTACTGGATCAGCTACGCTGAAGCAGAAGCTAGATCCGACCCACCTTGTTGGCTCGATACGAGCCGAATCGTTCATCGAGGTCGGTATACGCTTTTCCGATCCGCAGGTTCTCTGTTCGAGCCGCTTCAAGCGCCTGCTTGCTGCGTTCTTCGTTGAACTAGATGTCAGCTCTTACTTTAATGAGGTAAGCTGGATAGCCCACCTTGGCAGACTCAGCCGCCATACGCTGCTCGGCCACCTCGACGTCTAGATGAGCGATCTTCTGCGCCGTGTCGCTCTTTTGCGCACGAAGGGTATGTAGCTCCTCTGTAGCAATCAGCTGTGTCCTATCATGTTGCCTCGTATCTTTGACTGACGGTTTCCCCTTGTCGACCTTTCCTGTAATCTTTCTGCTTCTTCATACAGCTCCTTCTTCTCCCGTTCGACAATCTGTCCTGTCAGCGGACGGACTGGCCGGCTGCGAGTGGGATATACCTGCATGCGCGTCTGCAGAACGGTCAATTCCGAATTTGACTGATGGTGACTCGACTGCAGTACAGATAGCTGGGTTCGCAGCTGATTCGTAGCCTGGACTAGACCACATCAGCCTATCATTGCCTCACCGGCGGGAATGACTGACCCGCTCCATCCCGCTCACTCTCAACACCCCGCTTCTCCTCCTTGACGCGCTTCACCTCCTTCTCCAGAACCTTCAGCCTCTTTTGTGCATCCGCCAACGCATGTTCCCTCTCCACCTGAGCCCTGATGGCCGCTGCGTCGGACTCGGCATTGTCGGCCATGTTGATATCCGATGGTGAACTCGCTGGCTCTTGTCGGGCTGATGTGTTGGGGTCCGACGATGCAGCAGGGGCAGCAGGAGCGACCGCAGCTGCTGTGTCTGTAGCCTGCTGCTCAGACATGCTGAGCTGAGCTGAGCTTGTGTGGGTTGATACTGATCAAAGAGAAGGGCTTGAGAAGGTGCATCAGTTGTGCACCTGTGAAGTTCAACGGTGCAAGGGTGACCTAATTCACCCGCCCCGTTAAGACCGTGGCTTTGCGGCCGGCGCTCACCGCTTTGAGGAATGCGGTGCTAAGGTTCTGCTCGTGTCACGCATGGCTCGCATGCGAACAGCTGATAACACGGTTAAGTTTGCCCTCAACAGCGAGGACAAACGCGCTGACAGACTTCCTGTGACGGAGCGCAGTGGACTAGGTACCCCATTATAGCGAGGCTATACGGCCCAGTGTCTTGTGAGAACTATGACAGCCAGTCTGCTTTCGCAGCCTTTCTTTGCATACAATTTCTGACAGAATTCTGCTCAGATCAAAGCGCAGCTCAACACACTTCATTCAGGGCACTGCGCGCATGTGCATCATCTATCATCTACCTCGATCCTCCGGCGAAGAGGGACTGGAAACGCCACATTCCTCCACCGCGGCCGAGCTATTTTGAGTTCAGACGCGCGACCGCGTGAACTCAAAATTTGTTTACACTCCGCAACTGTACGTGAAGCGAGTTGCTGACGGGCATCCCTTCACACCGTGATCCGCCAGGATGCTACTCGCTATAGGCTCTGTCTTGATATCGGCCATATCTCATAGCTCGTGAAGTACGGGGAAATTCGGACGGAGGTCGAGTAACGACCATGCCCGCTTACTCGCTGCTCCCCCTATCCGGCCTTCGGTCCTCCTCTCGACGGCATCGCATCATCCTCGCGTTGATGACCACCTCTGCTCTGCTCCTCGCGACCATCTACCTCCAGACCGACCGCCTAATCACATTTCCTCTATTACCACCCCAGCGCGCTCCAATCCACAACGATCTCGACCCCGAAGTTGGTCTCGGCGCAAACCACGACACGCCCAGACTGTGGGCGTACGTCTACGAGCAGGACCATGGAGAGGCCAGGGCAGATGCCTGGGAATGGGTAGCAAAGCAGCGGGTGGAGGGGTACAGGCGGCCGAGCTGGGGTGGACTGAGGCAGCAGGGTCCCAAGGCGCACGTGAGGGATAATCTGAAAGATGGGGAGTTGTACATCACCACCTTTCCAGAAGCAGGGTAGGTATCTTCCGGATCGGCGGGCATGTGCAACAGAGCTGATAGATTCAGGTTCAACAACGAAGTCATAGAAACATGCAATCGTATGTCCCTGCTTCCACGCTGGAGGCTGTACTGACGAGTAGTCATCGCTGTAGCCCTTCGCTCCAATCGCATACCCATCCTCTCACCTCTCCTCCCTGACTACCTCCACCTCAAGGACGAACGCGAGGCCTTTCTGAGCGTCACCGAGATCTTTGACTTTACCGACTTTATCGCGCGATACAATGTACCGGTTATCGACATGATGGAGCTCAAAGTGGGCCAGCAGGATTGGATCCCAATAGCTGGGCGACACCGCTCAGTCGTCTTTGACGGGGAGCATCCTCAAGGGTCGGCGGGCGGGAGAGACGGGCTTACAATAGGGGACTTGATCCGCGGGGAAGAGGCAGAGCTGGAGGAGCTAAAGTGTTGGAATACGTATCTCGCGGTGGATGATGACCGGGGAGAGTGCGTCAGTGCACTATGGCCGGTCAGTGAGTGATATCTCCCCTCAGGCAGGAGCCCAGCTCATAAGCAGCCTTTGAGGACACTCCCCTCCCCCTGTCCGCCTACGCCAACAAGTCCCACAACCTCGTTAACGAGATATCCCTCCCTCGCACCGCTCACGCCGTCGCTGCATATTCCAAGCAAGGCGATCTGCTCCCTGACGACTCTATCGCCAGGATGGCACAGCTCGGCCTCAAACCTTCAACTATGGTCCCAAACGACCCATTCGGGTGTATCCACCGGGCGTACTATCTCCATATGAACCCAGAGATCGAGGATGTACATGATGATTGGCGGAACGGGATTGGGGCGTGGGACGAGGTGGGGCGATATCTCAAGTTCCAGCCGGGATTGGTTAGGCTGGCTGAGGATCTGACGAGGTCATTGTTGGATGTCCAGGCGGGAGAGGAGATCCCACCTGTGAGTTATGACTCTCGCAGCGTCCAGTGGAGACCACGCGCTGACCACCAGTACTTGGCGATCCATATCCGGAGAACAGGCCAGTCCAAGTCCAGCTCCTTTACTGAAACGCCAAGCTGATCTCGACAGATTTTGGAAACAGCTTCAATGCCACTCAACGTCAATGGGCACATCAAGCCTGGACCCTGCGACGACAGGCAGCAACGCAGCACAACATACACGTGGAGCATATCGTCTTCACCACGGATGAGGAGAACGAGACCTGGTTGTCAGTTAGACACTTCGTCCGCGCGGCCGCTCGCATCGGGTTCAAGCTGATGTCTGCAGGAAAGAGCTCCGTGATCTGGGCTGGATACATGTCGACCACAAGAAGGCGCAGACTGGTGAACGGCTGGGAGGATGGTGAGTCGTTTCCGTCGATCAAGCAACCGAGCTGACAGAGGAGGTTCCCGACCATACTCGACTCCGTCATCCTTTCGTCGGCCAAGATCTTCCTCGGCGTGCCGACCAGTACAAGTGAGTGCTGCACCTTTCCCCACGTTATCCTCCCATGGGTGGGTGCGATGACTGATCAAGTAGTGAGCATCCTACCCTACCGGAGAGTTCTGGACTGGAACGGCGGGGTCGCACAGTTCGTGACTGCTCTCGAGGATGCTTGGAAGTATGAGGTACCTCCAGAGTGGGAGTGGACAGATGAGTCATGAAGGTCGCTGTAGCAGTGAGACGTGGCGACCGATGTAACGCGTTGTATCAAGGGCTCACGCACTGCTCTGACACTTACGCCCAGCCCCAGAGTACCGGATTCGGGGGTTGTAGCTGACTCCGGACCTTCCCCTCTTCTCTTCGCTCGATTGAGGAAGTCTCCTCCTCCTGCTGACGCGTGGTTCATTAGGATACATCATTTACATACCTGGCTGAAGCCACTTCTCTATACGTGAGACAGGATCAGCCACCGACCCGTGGCCCATTCGGCCCAGGCACAAGGCACAGTGCGCATGCGGCCGCCTCTGATAGCCTAGCCTCTGATCTCATATTCGACATGTCAGCCTTGGCAGGTATGTCAACACCCTGTATACTACCATTTCATCCACCAGATAGTACCAGAATCAGAGACCACCGCGTGATGATGAGGGTCCAGCACAGCGCCATAGAAGCGCCAGGTGTGCCACCTTAGACCCAATCCGAAATATATCCGAAACCTGATGACGGCATCCTGTGTTGAGTTTCGGCGCCGCCCTGTTGAATATCTCCGAGCGCCGCGGATAGATTACCGGTTCCGTCTACTTCTCATCTTGCTCCGTGACTCCGTCTCTCAGAAGATCAATCGATCATCCTCCGAGCTACATGGCGGAGGTACGACTGAGGCACGATACAAAAGGCTTCTTTTTCTGTTTCACCGCTTAAGCCAAAATTTGCGGTACCGCACACGTCGGCCTCGGCCTGCCGCTTCTGGACGTTCTCGGTCGACCATGAGGACAGCGGCGCTTTGGTGGCCCGTGGCGATCCCATGGCCGAGGTCTACAGCGGTGGAGATATAGAGGAGAGATCATCGTCTGAAAGGGCATCCTGATCGACTTGTCATTCGCTTACCCTCACCTCGATATGCTCGCGTCTATCCTTTCGCTCGGTATCCTCGCGCTATCACCATTGGCGGCTGCCCAGCTCTTTCACGGCTGTGTGTCGTCCTCTTTCAACAGCGGCACAGCCCAAGCCGCAGGAACTGGGTCAGTCGCAGCATGCAACTCCGCCTGCGGCACGAAATACTTTTACTATCGAGCAGCAGCGACCTCACCATGCCAATGTTCCGACACCGACCCCTATCGATTCACTCCCGCCCAGACGACACTAGTGAGTAGCATAGATAGCGCGGGTACTTGTCCGACTACGGCCTTCTCTGTAAGTCTGCTTCTGGATCCACATGGTGACAAGCTGAAGCAGATAGGTCTGGATGCGCCAAACGACATTTCAATTCGGCGGATGCTACGCTACCTCTGCACCCAACGGCGCCGCGCGCATCATTTCGAAAGCTGGGTCATTAGCGATTATCGCGGACTACTGCAAAGGGGAGCGCACCGTCGCCTTCAGCCTGGATCCTAGCGGCGACAGGACGTACAATGGATATTGTGGAGGGGTCGGCACGAATGTACCTTCCTCGCCTCAACCCTGTGCAGAAGGCTCTACGCAGAGATACTATACACGTATAGTTCTCCTCTACATCTAGCCTGATATCTAGCTGACTCGGTGCAGATAGCGCCATTGCAGCCGCTTCTCAACTCGCTCGTCGGAATGTACGGCTTGCGAGGCGGAAAGTCGAGGGTCCAAATTACTGTCCGGGATCGTTATCGGCGTGTAACGTGGAGGGTGTGGAAGGGTCATATGAAGTGAGTGAGCGCGTGTCCGGCATCGTACCCAGCTGACGACCAGTGTCTCGATACGAAATCCGAGCTCGGTGAGTAGTGTGGTCGTCGATTTTGCCCTATTGGGGCTGATCAAGCAGAATCATGTGGCGGATGTATCTATGGGATCTATGGAAACGCTACTGCTGTATCGTTGGGACAAGAGTGAGTCACTGGCAGGTCGGCGATCAGGCTTAGGGTAGAGCTGACTGAATAGCTGCACCAAGATGAAGGGAGCCAGACCAAGAAGCGCCACCTGTACCAGAGGGCGATGCGTAGCGATGGCTTGTCAGAAGGGGTTCAGACTGATTCGAGGGGAGTGTTTGATATGACCCTGCTTGGGCGAGGCCGCCCCGGGCTGCGACCGTGTGGGCGATCTGGGGTATGAGGATGGTAGACGCTTTTTGGGATTACAGGGCTTTTAATAGACCATAGAAGTTGAGTACCTGGTTTCAAGGAGGCTGGCCATAGCCTGGCTGACTACTGATCCTGCTCGAGGCAGACTGCTGATTGATGTTCTGCACTTAAGAGCGCTCCGAGAACGAAGCGCGCGGAGTCAACCTTATCAATCCCCTGGTCTACATTTGATTAGTCCATGGTTGCGAGCCTTCATACGACCTTCTCCCATTCGACCTTCTCAGACTACGTCGAGGCGTGCAATATGAGTCGGATATGCCCGTTTATGTTGATAAAGGTGGCGATGGGGTTGGGGAGGGTTGGGGAGTGCGATCATGCGGACATCATGAACCACAGGTCACCCTCTCCCATTGCAGCCCAGCGGACGACCTTGGCCGGAGGCATTTGAGCCTCGGATCCCAGTATGATCCATGTCTTACTGTCAGAATTGCGGCACACAGAAGTATGTGTCGCACGGTCATTCACGACGGCCTGTGTAGTGCGGTCCAGTGGACTGGTACCGACGACTCCACATTCCTGGTCGCAGATCCGCGCCGTGCCTGGCTGGATGTAGCCCGAAGAGGTAAAAAGAGGCGTCCAGTTTCAGGATATCTCCGGCGGATTTCCGTGCCGTGCGGAGAGCGGGAACGTAAACGTAGGAGTGCGACTCCTATGACCCTTACTTTTCCATTCTGACGCGCAGGACGCGCTGACTCGATTGTCCATCGTATATGAGGCAGGCGGGTGCAGTTGGCAGAGTCGGTGTCTTGACGGACATATCTTCGTCGACCTCGAGTACCTTGCCCCTCACTACCCGCCATGTCCTTCGTCCGCTCCATCACCTCCCTACTGTCATTCCGGCGGTTCCATGTCGGTGTTTACCTCTTATCCATCTCCACTCTGATCTTCACGACAATCTACCTTCGCCCCGATCTAGGCTTCGATCTTTCGGCTCTCTCATACGTGTCCGCCACTCGAGCTCGCGGTGATGCCGGAAGGGTCATTACCATAGCCTCGGACCCCTCGCCCTCGGAATCGCGCTTATGGGGATATGTCGATAATGATCTGGAGGAAGAGGTAGAGAGGGATACATGGGTATGGGTCGCGAACCAGCGGAGAGCGGGGTATAGGCGGCCGAGCTGGGGAGGTATGACGCAGCAGGGGCCCAAGGCACATATTAGGGATAATCTCAAGAAGGAGGAACGATATATCACGACGTTTACCGAGGCAGGGTGAGTCTGAACAGTACGATTCGAAGATAGACTGATGGATCAGCTTCAATAATGAGGTCATGGAGATCGCGAATGGTGCGCATCAGCATATCTTTCTACTTTGCACCTTGTCCCCACAAGCCCGCCGGACGCGCAATACTGATAACCCAGTGATAGCTGTTGCCATCCGCTCCAAACGTATACCCATCCTACCACCATTCCTCCCCGACTACAATCACCTTATCCACGACGCTGCCGCATACCTCACCGCATCAGAAGTCTTTGACTTTACCGATCTCATCGCGAAATACAGTGTGCCCATTGTCGAATCCCTCGAGCTCAAAGTCGGTATTAAGGATTCGGTACCAATCAGCAATCGGCATCGGTCGGTGGTGTATGACGGAGAACACCGTCAGGGCAAGCTTCGGAGAGGGGATATGATCCAAGCGGAGACGCCCGAGCTGGACCATATCGCGTGCTGGAATACCCACACTGCGATCGCCGATGGGCGTGGGGGATACATGGGTACGCTCTCGCCTGCAAGTGAGTCATTCGCTGGTGCCGTTCCAAAACATCAGCTAAGAAAGTAGAATTTGAGGACATACCCCTGCCAAAATCAGCCTACGCCAATCTCCCTTCGTTCTGGCACACCGCCATCTCGCTCGCACGCACGTCCGAAGCCATCGCAGCCTATTCCAAAGCGGGCGATTCCCTTCCCGAGGACAGCATCAGTCGCATGGCTGAACTGGGCTACGAGCCGGTCGTCATGCGGCCGGACGATCCTCTTGGCTGCATACACCACGTGTATCATCTTCATACGCGCCCCGAGGATTCAGACGTACACGACGACTGGCGCCGGGGTGACGGAGTCTGGGATGAGGTGGGGAAATATATGAAGTTTCAGCCGGGCCTGGTGGTCATGGCGGAGGATTTGCTGCGGTACTCGTTTGACTTGAAGGTGGGGGAAGAGATACCGCCGGTCAGTATTACGGAAATCGTCATAACTAGGCGGAGCTGATTTGATCAGTATATGGCAGTGCATATCCGACGGACAGGTGAGATTATCCGAATCATAGCGGTATCAGGCTGATGTATGCAGATTTCGGCAAGCACTGGAATGCAACACAGCGTCAATGGGCTCATCAAGCGTGGACGTTTCTCCGTGATACCCAGCAGAAAGAGGACCAAGGCGTTCGGCATATCGTTTTCGCCACCGATGAGCAGGACGAGGAGTGGCTGTGAGTTCATCCCTCAGGCAATGAGTGCAAAGCTGACGTGAGTTAGCCAGGAGCTCAAAGACCTGGGTTGGGTACATATCGATCACAAGGCAGCGCACACAGGCGATAGGTTAGGATGGTGGTGAGTAGAGCTTTGCAGTGTGGCTTGTCCTGTACGAGCTGATCCGGCAGGTTCCCGACTATCTTAGACTCAATTATCCTCTCCTCGGCAAAGGTCTTCCTTGGCGTGCCTAGCAGCACCAGTGAGTACATTCGCGGACACGTTTTGAGCAGTACACATTCTGATTATTCAGTGAGCATACTGCCATACCGTCGGGTCCTGGACTGGCACGGCGGTGCAGGGCAGTGGGTCCAGTGGCCAGATAGCTACACGGTTCCGCCAGAATGGGAGTGGTCAGATCCGTGGCTGATCGGGTTGGATGGAGAGGTGACATAGCGTCCTTGGTGCCGGTGCGCACGACTCATGCATGATTTTGGGCCTTTGCGAGCTGAGACGAGGCGACGGGAGCTCGATGGATATGCCCGCTTGCGAGCTGAACCAATCAGTATGGACTCTAGCGGGTAGCTCGGGGACTCACCTTCTCTCAACCCGGCGTTCTCTACCCAGCCACGCTATTCACCCACATCCCTTGCCGATCCCTTCCCGAAGAGGACCGTAGCGGGCTGTAGGTCATGGTTGGAATTGGCAGCTGATCTTCACTTCCCTTCCTCCTTCTCCATGCGTTTGATCCGCCGTTCCACAACGCTCCGTATAGGACATGCCGTGCTCTTCGCTTCCTCTGCACCGACCCCTCGCTTCTCAGCGTCCCTGTACATTGTATCGCAACACCGATAGAGCGCCGCAACATAGGACTGGCATTTTGCTTCGTTGTAGTTGTATTTGCCGAGGCAGTCTTGGATTGCGCAAGCTAGATGTCGATCAGCACTGTTCTTGTTCGCAGGAAGGAAGTTCACCTTCAGTCTGACAGTTCTGCGGAGCGGTCATGTTGGTCAGTATGGGTAGAAGATGGGATGCTTGAGGGCTGGCAATTGTCAGCTGGCGGCGACTTTGGCTCTTTGGCTGCTGGCGATGCTGACGTCACGATCCTTACGCGATACCATCCTCGGACTTCGGGGGATCCCGGCCCGAGGAATGCTGAACGCTGGAAGCTATACAGGCTGAAAGCACCTTGACCTTCCACCTCATCTTCCCAATAGCCATAATGTCTGACATTTACTCACAGACCGTACGCCAGCAGCATATTGACTTCTATTTATGGCTGAGAGCTTACACTTCAGGTCGAGCTCCCCAAGTCGTCCATTTCGCTCGCGGAATACAAGGACAAGACGCTGCTGCTGGTCAATGTCGCGTCCAAGTGCGGTGAGCTTACTCTCATACGAAGGCCTCAAGGTCAGACAAAGGAGACACAGCTGATACTGTAGGTCTCACTCCCCAGTACAAAGACTTGCAGGCACTGCACGAGAAGTACTCTGACAAGGGGTTGGTCATCATCGGCTTCCCCTGCAACCAGGTCAGTCCTCCCTGTGTTTTGTGAGGGAAGCGTCCCCGAAAGTCTGTCGAGCCGGGAGGAGAGGAGCGGGAACATAGAGCATGAGAGATGCAGCTTCACCTTGTGCAGGGAGGGTGGCTTTCCCGACATCCTGTTAGGCCGGGAGGAGAGGGTCGAGGACATAAAGAAGGGCAGATGAGACTCTGTCATACTTGCATGATGGACTGTCTGCTGATACACTCGCAGTTCAAGGCACAAGAACCAGGAACCGACGATGAGGTCCTCCAGTTCTGCCAGATGAACTACGGAGTCACCTTCCCTATCGCCAAGAAGGTGAGTTCAGCTCCAGCTAGCTTACCACCCTTTTCTTGATTCTTCTCTTCTAGCTGATTCGGTCGTTTGTGACCAATTGCTGACCATATACAGGGCGACGTCAATGGTCCGGAGACACAGCCCATCTGGAAGACCCTCAAGGCATCCGCTCAGCCGCCCATTCAGGATATCGACTGGGTACATCGTAGCTCCAAAGATCGCAATTCATTGAGCCTAGCTGATATGGCAGAACTTCTCCAAGTTCCTCGTCAAGGATGGCAAGGTCACCTTCTTCCCCGCTCGGACAACCAAAGTCGTGAGTCCACGTCCCTCCTTGTTCTCGCGTTATGGCTTACATGTATAGAGCGATGTCGAAGCGGCTCTTTGACTAGGCCGGAGCAAGCTGTAGAGCCACACTCGAGCGATCTCCTCGGGCAGCTAAAAGTAGATAGATGATAAACAAGGGATGCATTTCATCGATATTATAAAAGCCTACTTCTTATAGCTACAGACCCAATCACACTAACCTATCGGAATGTCCTACTTCTAGTGATTATAAGTGGGCGATGATTCGCTCTGATACATTGTCCAGTACAGAAAGTCCTGGTCTCAGAAACCACCTAACACCTCCAGCTGTCGTTGGGCTGCTCGGGCTGGCCAACGTACTCGTAAGGCCACTCGCCTGTCCAGTCAGCTTGGCTTTATCGACTGTGCCTATGCGAGCTCGGAGAAGGAAGCGGCAAAGGGACATACCTGAGTTACCGAGACACGTATCCACCGCGACCATCTGATACCCCGCATCCCTGAGCCTGGAGACACCATACCAGGTCGCGTCGACCGCAGAGTCGATGACTGAGTGGGAAAGTACCATCTTGGGCGCGGGATACTGATTGGCCACGTCGTTGAGAACGCTCTTCTGCTTGTCGAGGCTGTCACCGAGGGCGTCGCCTGGGGGATCAGCACGAGCTTCGGCGATATCAAGGGGTCTCGTGGGTGATGAGAGAGAGGATTGCACTCACCAGTCACGTCCGACCAGATGAAGGCCTTCTTGTACCCCCGCTGAGCGAGGACGTTGAGCACTCGGTCATTGTAGCTGCCGTAGGGAGGACGGAAGTAGCGAGGCTTGAGGCCTAGAATCTTGATGAAGGCAGTCTCGACCTTCTCGAGCTCTACATCTCATCAGCTGTGCTCTGCGAGTATATGGGGACAAGCGACAGAGCGGAGAACATACCCTGGTGGATCTGCCATTCCTCGAGCTTGGTCAAGTCGGGATGAGACCAAGTGTGCGAGCCGAGCGTGTGGCCCTGTGCGTTGAGATCCCGCAGAGTCTGGGCGTGGTCGTAGATACAGCCGTAGTTGTTGCCCTGATCTGTCAGACATGGTCCCCAGGTATGAAGCAGAGATATGGAGAAGGGAGAACATACGTTGAAGAAGAAGGTGCCCTTGGCGCCGACGCTGTTGAGGGCATTTGCGATGTCGCCTTCACGGTTGTTCGGTCCATCTGATGATCAGCTCTCATCATAGCCGCTGGGCGAGAAGCAGAGCTGCGACAAGCGGCTGGTGAGTGAAGGAGTGGGGGAGTGGAGGAGGGGGAGGTTCAGACTTACCATCAAAAGTGAGCGCTACCTGGCCGCTGTTGTAGCAGTTATTGACGACCGTCAGGCCGTTCTGTCTCTCGGTCGGAGCGGCAAAGGCGAGTAGGGGAACAAGAGCGAGGGCGGTAAGAGCGAGCATAGTGTATTATAAGGCTGGATACAAGGGCTGATTATAGGAGTGGGAAGAGCTGAAGATAGAGTGTAAGAGAGGCTGAAGGATGAGAAGTGGGGGTGTCGAGGGGGAGGACGTCCTCCCTTATATAGCTGACCCGGACAGCATGCTGACCAACGTACTCTCAAACCTCGTGTGTGCGCACCGCTCCCAGGTGGATTACCAAATAGAAGCGGAGAAGGCGGAACAGAAGGCAGTGTCCAGCCAAGTCCGATGGTTCGGCTTAGCGTCAGCATTTCCTAGATCTGTCGGCATGTCGGTCCTGGGAAATCTGGACCTACTCCGCACAGCCTGCGCCAGTATTGGAGGCTGGAGCGGCCGCTCATACTCGTAGTGTCGGTATGGCCCCATATGGCGCTCCTTAGCCCGTTCTGCGACAACGTAGAGTGGGGGGATGACGTGATGGCGGTTCGCGGGAAGCGAGCTGGCAAGCGGGAAGGTGGAATATACGCTAGGCAAGACTGGTATGCACTGCCCTACGCCGGATTGTGTACCCGCGCGGAGACGATGCCAGCGGGCTGTACGCTGCTGTACGCTTGCTTAGCGCCTGAATGAGAGCACACGTACTTCGAGTAAGGCCGAAGCCTGAAGGGATCAGAGGAGGCGAGGGCGAGGGCGAGGCGGTGCGTCGGAGCCTCGGAGGTACATCCGGTCCGGATCTCGTCTCGGTTAATGACGTGTCATTCCGTCGGAATGGAGATGAAACAGATGACTATCTGAAACATGCCGGCAAGGGGCGTGACTGCCGAATTTCTGGTAAGGCGCAGGAATGCCCCGGCCGGCCTCGCTGGCTATTTTGCGCATCACGGAGGAGGACCAGCACGTCCGGGACAGCTCCCAAGACATCAGCGGGCTATGTGAGCTGTCATAAGGGGACAGTATGGGGCGGGCGAAGAGACGGATCGCTATGAATGGCCTTGTTTGCGCTGGGCCGCTAGGTGGCAAAAGCGATCAACAAGTCGACTCGGCAAACTAGCGTCGACCCGCCTCCTCCCAGGTACCCGACTTAGCCGTCTCCATTGACAATCCACGAGTAGCATCGGTGGCGATACTATACAGTGACTTTTCAGACCGATCTATTCCTCTTTCACATCTATACAATCCGCAGAAGTGCCAAATTGCCTCTGTACCTTCAGACTCCCAGCTAGGTCAGCCTCACCATCTATACCTCTCGCGCACCAGTCACACGACCTCAATGTAAGCTACATCAGAGAGCTGGTCTCTGGGTGACTCTGGCAGCGCTGACTTCTCCAGTGAAATGTCCGGCCCTACTACCGAATCTGTTCTTGGAAGTGCTGGCGATAGGCTGTCCTTCATTGGTGAGTTTTCATGTGTCCCGGAGGGGGCAAGAGCTAGGGCTGATGTCACAGACGAAGAGCTCTATAGCATGCTTCTTCACTTTGCCAATGGGTACAAGATCTTAGGAAGGATGATTGGTGAGTCCCTCTGACGAGCACGACATGTCCAGACCGCTCCTTAGCTAATCGATCCTCAGTCAACCTCCTGTCCGCCTTCCAGATCTACTGCGCTTCCGACCTCTCCTCTGCCTTCGCCAAGATCAACCATCTCCTCTACCTCGCTCGCTCTGCATCCACGCACGGCATCACCGACCTCCACGTCCTCCTCACCGATCCGTCCCCACGCCAGCACCTCCTCCGCGCCTGTCACGCCAACCTGCCCTTCCTCGTCCTGGGCTACATTATCCTCGTCACTTCCCTCATTGTCTACACGACCGAGACCCATCGACCGAAGAAGGGCACTCTCAAGCGGAAAGTGGAGGAGTCCATCGCGATCAACAGCCGGATGATGGGCGTCCTCACTGGCCTATGGATACTCTCCTTCTGCCGCAGTCGCCACTTCTTCGGCCCCCTTATCCGCATCATCGCTATTCTGACCCGGATCGACGAGGAGGCACTGGCGTGGGCTCTTCTGCTGTATCGGTGGGTTGGGTGGCTAGCGATCATTGCGGTGTTTGGAGACATCGAAGAGGGAGCGCGGGAGTGGGTGGAGGATCGGAATGACCCGGCCTATCACCAGACCCGAGGCGCGTTAGCTTGGGCGCGAGGTGAAGCCGCTGCGGTAGCTTGGGAGGTATGTTCTCTTCTTTATGCCGTGACCTTGATCACCATTGATTCGTACTGATTGCTCCTATAGGACTATAAGACTCAGCTCGCCCAGCAGTTCGTCCTGGCGCACTCGGGCGCGAACGAGGAAGCCAAGAAGGATAGAAGGGACCTTGTCTCGAGGATGGTCTGAGATGCTGAAGAATGGGTCGTGCAGTCTTTTGGGATCCGGGTCTTGTCTTTCGTTTCGCTCATCCTCTTGGTCTAGCTACTTCTCTTCTTTGCTTTTTGTCGTGCTCAAGTTGTCATGATATCAGATAGCCTAATACACATACATCACTTGATCCTCTTCTGACTAAGCTCAACTGCAACCTTGAACGCCCCCAACAGCGCCGTCAACTGGATCTTCTCGGATCCACCTAGACTCAGCCTGTGCCTAAGATTATCAGTATCTCTTTGGCTTTCGTGTCGGAGAGGACTTACTCGCACGACCCCAGGTGATCCAGCAGGTAGATCCGGCTCTGATTTGGTAATTCCAGCGTCTGAAGTAGTTCGTATGCCCCCGTGATCATATCTTGGAGTGCCAAGCCCTTCTCCAGCTTGAGTGCAGTGATGACTGACTTGTCAGCTCATCAAGCTTCGTGGTGCACCAGCAAGAGACGGTAAGCTCACGAGAGAAGCTAGTCCCAAACTCGTCCGACATCATGCTCTCCACCACCCGCTCAATATCCTTCGGATGTGGTGTACCCGTACACGTATAAATGGCGTTCTCATCTATTGTATCGTATGCTGCATGACATGCCTGAGTATCGTCAGCTGCTTGACCACCAGAGAATTGGTGAGGGAGCTAACTGACCTGGAGAACATTCAGAGCTCGCCTCATATCGCCCCGGGACAGCTTGAGTAGAGCCGCCTTCCCGTCTGCTGTAAGATTGCACCTGCCTCGGTCAGCTAGGCACCTCTGAAAGAATTAAGGAGCTCTTAGCTCACTTTTCCCTTTCGACAACTTGGTCGACCTTCCGCGCGACTTCCTTCTCTGGTAAAGGGCTGAAACGGAAGCGGGTACATCTGGACTGGATGGCGGGGGTGATTTTGTTGACGTAGTTGCAGAGGATGCAGAAGCGGACATTCTTGGTGTGCTGCTCAATGACTGCGATGTCAGTTCTGAGGACCGGTTCTAGACCCAGGGAGCTGACCTCGGCGAAGAGCAGCTTGCGCAGCTTGGGTCATCATATCCGCTTCATCCAGAATGACCAGCTTGAATCCTTTACTGGTGGGGTCAGCTGACTTCACACTGCATTCCGTGTGGAAGCGTAAGCTGATCACGCACGAGAATAGAACTTTGGTCATGGCGAAGCTCTTGATCTGATCTCGGACGACGTCAATCCCTCGATCGTCTGAAGCGTTCAGCTCGAGGATGTGCTTTTTGTAGGGCGGACCGTACAACCTCCGAGCGAGGGCGAGGACCGTTGATGTCTTTCCAGTGCCTGATAGTCAGTTTGCGGTGGAGATCTAAGGTACAAGCATCAGATGGTATACCTGTCATGTCAGCTTCTACTGTCCATCCGGGTCGAAGATGGGTGGTGGGAGTAAGCTTACCTGGTGGACCGTACAGCAAAAGATGAGGGAGCCGGCCAGCATCGATAAACTTCTCGACTACAGTGGTCAGCTAGATATCCAGGTGCAATCCTCAGCTCTAGATGTTCAAGCTCACTAGTCGTCGTGATATCTTTGTGGGACACCACATCATCCAATGTATTCGGACGATACTTCTCGACCCTGCACAGTCAGCTCTATGTTGACACGCACATGTCAAGTGCGCCTGAAAGCTCACCAAGGCAACCCCTCCTTATCGTCCAGTATCCTCAGCCCCTCCTCACTCATGACCATAGGCGCGCCCCCCTCAGTATCCGCCGCCTTCTCCTTCCCCTTTGCTTTCGCGCCTGCCATGAGCGCCGCCATCGCGTTGGCGGGCTTGGGCGGGGGACAGGGGGTGGGGTCTGGCATGTCGATATCCATTATTTCAGACATGATGCTGCGGGAGGGTGAAGTACGATTAGAAGAAGCAGGAGGTGAGGGGCGGTCAGTTATAGGGAAGAAGCAAGAGAAGATGTTGCTTGAGCGCTTGAGCGCGATAGTGGAGGCGCGTCGCACGAGCCGCGCGCCTTTCCTGCTTCTCGGCTGCACGCCTACTTTCATGCGGCAGCTCGAGCCTATCTGCTCTAGACCCTCCACCTGCGCTGCCCAAGCTGGACCGCCAAAGCTCCCACCCTGATGTGCACCATGCATGTAATCTCTACGAGTATATCTCTATCGTCTACATAGAACCCATCGTTCGAGGAGGATTTACAAGATCAATCGAGCATGGCCTGAGTCGATAGCCATATCGCCGGCAGTATGACGTCCACACCACCTCATAATCCCGGTGGCAACTCGCTTCTCAGCCAGCTCAACCCATACGCTTCATTGACGCGTTCAGCATGGCCAAAGGAGCCAGAGAGCCCGTCGACTATGCTCCTCAGGGAGCTGCAGGGCTCGGATGATGGTCCGGGCGCTTCCGATACTCCAGGCACCCCGACCTCTGCCGCCCCAGCTCGGGCCTCCTCGAGCAGGATACCCCCTCCTCGCAGTGTCGCCGGCGGAGGACATACCGAGGAGGCAGAGGCAGGAAACGACGACCCCTCTCCATCCCTTCTCTTCGGAATGCAGGGCTCTGGAGAACGTACGCCTCGCTCCCCGCCTACTCCACTCCCAACGCACCGGCCCATGGCGCTTCCCTCCGGCAATATGAAGGGCCGAACGACCAGCCCAGGTCCCTTCCAGCCGCCCTCGTCGAGCGCGTCAGGTCGGAGCGGCAGTACAAGCCCCGGACCATCCAGTATCTCCGTATACGCGTCAGGTCTCGAAGCGGCCGATATGAGCAGCTCGTCAGCCGGCGCATCGCGAGACCAGTCTCAATCCACCTCACCGACCCGGGTCAAGCGGGCGCGGTCACCTACCTTTCGGGAACCGCCTACCGTCAGGCCAGCGGCACCGGTTAGGGCGAGCTCAGGCGTACCGGCCAAGAAGGCGTCTCCGAGGAATTCGGGGTATCTGGATCCTCCGGTCCAGGACGAGGCGAGGAAGGCGAAAGGAAAGAGCAAGGGCAAGGAGAAGGCGAAGAATCAGGGAGGAAGGCGATACGTCGCCATAGCGGCCTCGGCGGAGGAGGATGAGGGCGATCAACTGGATGAGGAGAGACCGGAGAAGAAGGTCGGGCTGGATCCGTACGAGAGGGCTTTATGGAGATGGGTGAATGTGGAGGATCTGGATGGGTATCTGCAGGAAGTGAGTTGTCAAACCCCTGGTGCGGAGGATTCGAACTGACTTGGCAGGTCTACGCCTACTACAAGGGAAAGGGCTTCTTCTGTATCGTGCTAGCTCGCTTCCTCAACCTAGTGTGAGCTGCTGTCTCGATTAACGGCTGTACCGACCGGCAGCTGATGACTCAGGACTACCTTCTTCGTTATCGGCTTCTCCACCTTTCTCTTCTCTTGCATCGACTACTCCAAGCTAGACTCGGAGCTATCAGGACCGAACTCGATCGGTCGTCTGGACGACGTACTGGTCAAACAGTGCCTGACTAGGTACGCCCATATAGAGTCCTCGTGATGAAAGCTTCAAGCTGACATGCAGCGGCTCATTCCCTCATATGGTCTTCATCGCCTCCGTTGGATTGGTGTACGCATTCCAGCTCGCCAGCTTCCTCGTGTCCATCCCGCGTCTCATCGATATGTACCGGTTCTACACCCACCTCCTGGGTATCCCGGATGTAAGCTTTCGCCCTTTGTTCATGCGCCTGGGCTGATCCACTTAGGCCGATATCCAGACGTTACCGTGGCCTGAGATCGTCCGCCTGATAGGCGAGATCAGGAAGCACAATCCCGTCACTTCCTTATCGAATGGTCAGGCGGACGCTCTAGCGGAGCTTGTCGGGGACGGCGCGGACCGCAGCGGAGTCAAGAAGCTCGACGCGCACGATGTGGCCAAGTGAGCTTATACACCCGTACCCAATGTATCAGCTCACCCCTCAGCCGAATCCTCCGACAAGAAAACTACCTCATCGCGCTATTCAACAAAGACCTGCTCGACCTCCGCGTCCGATTCCCCCTCCCCCACTCGCTGGTACCCTACATCCCACCCCGATTCCTCGCGCCGCCCATATCGGAATCGCTTCCCAAGTCGAGGAGCGATAAGCGCGAACGGCGCTTTGTCTCGTTTGGTCAGAATACGCTGACCAAGGCGTTGGAGTGGAATTTGCGGTTTTGTCTGATGGGGTATTTGTTTGATGGGAGGGGCCAGGTGAGGAAGGAGTTTGTGCGTGAGAAGAGGAGGAAGGATTTGGTTGAGGGGTGAGCTGGGTGGTCTGGTCGTAGATCTTGGACCGAAAGCTGACTGGGTAGACTCAAGAGACGGTTCATATTCATGGCTGTCCTCAACGCTATCCTGTCGCCTTTTATCGTCGTCTACCTCCTGATCTACTCGTTCTTCCGCTATTTTGACGTGAGCTCGAGGGTCTTCAAAGTTCTCGGGGCCAGACCAAGGAGCTGACAGAGACAGGAGTTCCACAAGAACCCCTCTTCCATCGGATCTCGGCAGTACACCCCATATGCCCAGTGGAAGTTCCGCGAGTTCAACGAGCTTCCTCATCTCTTCGAAAGGAGACTGGACCGGAGCTACCCTACCGCCAAAGAATACATCGACCAATTTCCCAAAGAGCGCACGGCCTTGATCATGCGGTGAGTCCTGCTCCACCTGCGTGCCCTCATCCATGATAACCTAGATCTATCAGCTGACCAATCAGCTTCGTGGCTTTTATAGCTGGATCATTCGCCGCCGTCCTCCTCGTCGCGTCTCTGATCGACCCGGATCTCTTCCTACGATTCGAGATCACTCCCCACAAGACGGTCTTGTTCTACCTGGGGTTATTTGGGGGTGTGCTGGCAGTAGCAAGGGGGATGATTCCGGAAGAGAATCTGGTTTTCGATCCGGAAGCGAGTTTGAGGGAGGTGGTCAAGTGGACGCATTATCTGCCGGGGGAGTGGCAAGGGAGGATGCATAGTCAGGCGGTGAGTATTCCCAGGTTGTGGCTCTGGCATGAGAGGAGGGTGGATCTTTAACTAACGCTGCAGGTGCACCAAGAATTCGGGACCCTGTTCTCGATGAAAATCGGCATCTTCTTCCAGGAACTTCTCTCAGTCCTCCTCACACCCTTTATCCTCTTCTTCTCCCTCCCTCCCTGCGCTGGAGCAATCATCGACTTCTTCCGCGAAACCACCGTCCATGTCGAGAACGTCGGCTACGTCTGCTCTTTCGCCGTCTTCGATTTCCGGCGGCATGGGACTGGCCCCCATCTCTCAACTCCTACGAGCGCGGCAGACAAGACACCTATGGCCGCTTCGAAGAGCAGTAATCCCCGGACGGTCGCCGATCGGGATAAACGAGAATGGAACCGGGCCAACGAGAACAAGATGGAAAAGTCATTCTTGCACTTCAAGGCGACGCATCCTGATTGGGTGCCTGATCCGAGTAGCTCGGTGTTCCTCGATAAGCTCGTCGGGGCGCACCAGCGACAGTATCCCCAGTCTGCCGGCGCCGGTGCACACTCAGGATATGGGGGCGGCGGCGGCGGTGGAGGGAGGGGTCTAGGGCTGGGCGGGAGTGTCTACCCCGGCTCTGGCTCGCCGGGCGCGACTATGGGGAAGGGGTGGGGGATGGACGAGGGGCGTATAGCGGAACGGAGCCGAAGCTACGATCGCGCATGGGCGAAGAGCAGTCATTTGCTGGCTTCGGGCCCGGGCGCTAGCGGTGGGCGACCGGGTCAGGGTCAGGGTCAGGCGCCCGGGATGTCGATGAGAGGGAGAGGAGGGTCCAGGGAGCGTAGAGAGGGCCAGCACGGGCTGGGGCTGGAGACTATGGATGAGGACGAGGAGAGGGAGGAGGAGCGGGTTGGGGAGGGGAGGATGAGAGGGAGTGAGGAGGATTGGGAGGTTGGAGGTCGGGGTAGAGGAGGTGGGGACGGGGTACAGGAGGATGGGGAAGATGAGAGGGGGTTTTTGAGGGATGTGGGGGTTGTGGAGATCTTACAGCAGATCATGGGGAGGTGAGCGCGGCTGCGTCACGGGAAGGAAGTCGCGAGTTGTATCAGCGCCATTCCGTCAATTGTATAAATGTCTTACAAGCTGTCCCCGCTGATCTGTCTAATTGGCCCCGCTGAGAGCTTTTCTCACTATACTCAGACCCGTAAGTCGCTCGTTGACGATCGCTCCTCCCACTCTGACGTCGAGCTTCGGTCGTCGGTGAGATACGTGAAGCCTCATGCGGCCTTGGCGCTGATAGGTGAGCAGGCGAGATCCCTTTTGGTTCGCTCCTGTTCTTTGGTGGAGTTCTGGGTAAGACCTTATCAAAGGGTGGATCTCGTGACGTTTCAAGGGGGAGCATAAAGGGAATATACGGGATGGACAAAATCTTTTCCTGCTCCGCAATCGCAGGGAGAGCATTGCTCCACCCTCCTCTTTGTCTCTATATCATATCATCCGATCTCAAGATGTGCGACCAGCGAAAGCAACACTCAGATGAGCCCCTCGGGTACTCACCTTACGACGAGGATCTGGATCTGGGCTATGACTCAGATGGCCTACCCATGGGAGGTTTCGCAAACATGACATGGCCGGCCATCGACCCAGCCCTCCCCGATCCCCCGTCGACACCCGACACGACTACCGCTGGACCCGCGATGCCTCAACAGACCCGTTCGGTGACCGCTCCATCCCCATACGTATCGACAGGTGACTTCATCAACCCTACCCTGCTGACACGTACAACGGACGAAGCACTGAAAGTTCACACAAGATCACACTCCACCAGTCCACAGCCGAGCACCGACACGACGCTTTCTCCGTCAGTACTAGGCGGAACAGTCTTGACGTCAGCTATCCGACCTCTCTCTTCCTCCGACCTCGGGGCCCAGGCATCCAGCACCTGTCAACGAAACGACGACATCGCAATCTCTGGCAGTACGCAGGACCCCTCTCGCCCTCTGCCGCTGTGGGCAGCTCACCTGGCTCCTCTTCCAGAAACCCACCCTGATGTCGTGACCGCAAACCTCCAAAGGGTCCGATATGGTTCGAAATTTCCTTCCGACTCTTCGGCTCAGGCCAGTACCCAGTCCAATAGATCATCTCGCAAGGCAGGCACATCGCTTGCTGGCATGACTTTCAACTTCCAGCTTCCTTCGTTGCCTGACCCCCTTTTGAGCCCACATACACCGCAGCGCACGAACACGGTCGCAACGGAGCCCAGGCGACGCTTACCATACCCAGGCTGCGTCAGGAAGACAGCGACGGCAAAGGCAAAAGCGGACAATTCAGGTTCTGTATGCCCGGTTGGAGGCGAAGAGGAAGACATGGCCACTTCGATCATGAAGGTCCTATGGGAGCACAGTTGGGCGACGTACCAGGGTCAAGAACGGCGTGTGGACAATTGGCGGACTAGCGTACTGACCCAGATCGATCGCATGCGGAAAGGGAGTACGCATACAGACGGCATCCCTACGTCCCAGTCGATACTCGCGGAGCTGCTCTACAAGTACGGCGATACCAAGACTGATGAGTTACGTGCGAGATCAACACGTATACCCCAGGCCACAGGATCCTCAACGAGCTTCCATGTGGAGGAAGCTCTCGCGAGACAGGACCTTGAAGAGACGGAATACCGTATCTCGCGAGCGGGAGAGATATGGTCCGATGACCCGCCACCTTGGATGGCGAAAGTCCGATTTTCTACGAGACAGCGGATTGAGGTGAAAGCAAGGGAAGCGGCCGACGTGGAGTGGCGAGGAGAACTGCAGCGTATGCTGACGAAAGGGAAAGCAGCCAAGCAAATACAGAAGAAGAGCTTTGCAGCGCGTAAGTCTGCCTTCATCGCTGAGTCCACGAAGAAGGCACGAGAGGACATCCAGGCGGGTGAAGGCGAAACAGATGAGCTTTAGCGCCGGCGTAGTCGGGATAGGGGCCGTATCTCGTGTGTTTCAATGTATAACTCGGATTACACTCTACAGCTGGAGGGTAGCGGATGAGCTGGGCACATTTCCAGGCACGATTAGCTACGTAGATGGCTAGCTCGCTCGCTGCCACCGGCCTCGCTCTCCTCAGAGGCTCGCCACCTGGGCTGAGGAATGTGGAGTCGCCCAGCTGCCACTAACGCGTTTCGGCGACCGGGTCGACCGTGGGAAAGGGTGATGCCTCGCTACAATGTCGAACCAAGTTGTGCTCATGCTGAAGTACCAACATTTACTGCACGCACACAGCATACATAATGTCCAGCGACACATTAGATGCGACCAAGCGGGCGCGCACATCATCGCCTGATGCTGGCCCAGCTCCAAAAAAGCAGGCCACAGAAGGCGCAGCTCCCGTGGCTTCGACCGACGAGTCCGCCTCGGCAGCTTCGGCAGCTTCAGCAATTGCAGCTCCAGACCTCGGCCTGAAGACTGATGCGAGCGCCGAAGAAGTCGCCGTCGCACTCAGCATTCCCGAAGTACCTACGGCAGGTGGATCTGGAGCGAAGCCACCGCGCGTGGACAGCAGAGATACGAGGAAGGGTGGGAAAGCGGACAAGGGGAGAGGAGGGAAGGATAGGGGCGCGTGGAACCCGCCTGCTGGGGATGGGAGGCCGGCGGGGGGAAGCAAAGAAGGGGAGGGAACCAAACGTTTGCCTAAGAAGCGGGTTGCTCTGCTCATTGGGTGAGCCTTATCTGCGTCAAGCAGTAGGTCGGCATGACTGATAGTATAGATACTGTGGGACCGGATACTCTGGGATGCAGATGTACGTCCTCCTTATATGGCTAGTCATTCAAGAGGAAAGTCTGACACGTCCTCAGCCAGCCAAAAGAGGCCACGACAATCGAAGGAGACGTCTTCGACGCACTGGTCAAAGCCGGCGCCATCTCAGCCGACAATGCAACAGATCACCGCAAGGTGGATGTCCAGCGATCAGCCCGGACAGACGCAGGTGTACATGCCAATGGGAACGTGTGAGTCTGTTCCACGAGGTGCGATGGTGCATATGCTGACCGTCTAGGATCTCGCTGAAGATGATCGTTGAGCCACCGCTGCCTGAAGGCGTCAAGACCCTGACAGAGCACGTCAACTCATTCTTGCCAGACCAGATCCGGATGTGGGGTTTCGTTCGCACTATGAACTCTTTCCAGGCGAGGACGTAAGTCCGCCACCATTGAACTCTCCAGGCCATGCTAATATAATAGCGCCTGTGACTCCCGGATATACGAATATCTCCTCCCCTCCTACTGCCTCCTCCCGCCAAAATCGAAAGACTCCATCTGCGTCCGGCTGAACCAGTCCTCTCCAGGCTGGCGAGATGGCCTGGGATCTGCTGCTGAATTTGCGGATGCGGGACAGGACGAGGAGGCTGTCGACGCGGAGACCTTGACACCGGCGAAGAAGGGGGAGTATGAACGAAGGCGGGGCTGGAGAGTTGATGAGGGCACGTTGGCGCGGTTCAGGGAGCTAGTGAAGCAGTTTCAAGGGACACAGTCGGTTCTTCGAAGCGCGTGTCACTGGTGTGGGCTGATAGAGCAGTAATTTCCACAACTATACTGTCGGCAAGCCGTTTAATGATAAGACGGTCAAACGGTACATGATCAGCTTAGAGGTGCGGGAACCAAAGGTCTACGGCGAGATTGAATGGATCAGCGTACGGATACACGGCCAGAGCTTCATGCTGCATCAAATCGTGCGTCTACCGTTCCTACCCCTTGCTAACGCTCAGCGCAAAATGATGTCCCTCGCCATGCTCGCTTGCCGCACCAACTCGCCCCCGTCCCTTATCGCCGAAACATTCGGGCCAAAACGGATCCATGTCCCCAAAGCTCCGCCCCTCGGCCTCCTCCTCCAACAACCACAATTCAAGTCCTACAACGAGCGGATCAAGCAAAAGATTGGCGGGATGCAGGAAGACCGCGATCCGGTCGACTTTACGGTATATGCGGAGCTCATGGAGACGTTCAAGGTCAAGTGGATCTATGAGCGATTGAGGCAGGACGAGCTCGAGACGAATATCTTCCAAAAGTGGATTCGGCAGGTCGACTGCTCTTCTAGTCCGGCGTTCTCGTTCCTCAAGTGCGTTCTTTTTGAGCTGGGCTCGGGCAGAGAGAGTCCAGCTGACAGAGGCAGTTCTCAAGGGATCATCCCGCCAGAAGCCGCTGTCTCGACTGGGAAGAAGGACAAGAGCAAGGATACATCCGGCACTGCTCCGGCAGGGGACGATGGGGTTGACAGCGACGAAGAAGAGGTGGATGCGGAGGCTCTGAGGAAGGGAGAACTGGAAGGATAGCTATGCATCCTACCACGTCTCTGGCCAGGCCGTGAAGTGGGTTGCAAAGTTAACGAAAGTTGGCTCTAATAAGCAATGACGTCATGCTGCCGCTGTAGCAAGGCGACTTCATCGCGAGGTCTTCCATCCACCTTCCTCATCATCTCTATCTCTATCCCCTATACACGGATCCCGCTCGGCTAGAGCTCCCGATCAAGGAGGATACATAGAGATCTTCCTGCAAGAAAACATGTGCGGCCGATACGCGCTCGCGCTGAGTAACGAGGAAGTCTATGATGGGCTTCAAAATCAACTGCCGAGATTGACGCAGGGTGGTCAACCAAGATGGGAGAGGCAGGATGACTATAGGGCAGGGTGAGTGAGTGGTATCTCTTTCGATGTATGCGGCATTCAACTCTGACAGAGTAGCAACTACAATGTCGCTCCTAGGCAAAGAATGCCGATTGTTCACCGTGATCCCGAGGATTCAGATCGCGTTGTGTTGCACACAGCGTGAGTTCTGCCTCATGGAGGAGGGGTCATGATCATTGCGGACGGAGCTGACGAATCCAGACAGTGGGGACTTATACCACATTGGACGAAACACCCGCCAACCACACCGCTGAACACGATCAACGCGCGCTCGGAATCGCTGCTCGAGCCGGGTTCGGGTGGGATGTGGCACGCTCTCAAGGGATACAAGCGATGTATCGTTCCTGCTCAGGGGTGAGAGATACAGTCGACAACCTTGTCGATATATCACCGAGGGAGAGGCTGATGAAACAGCTACTACGAATGGCTCAAACGCCCATCAGCCAAGATCGCCCATTTTACCCGTATACCGCCTCCCACACCTTCCGACCAGTCCCCTCTCATGTTCATTGCCGGCCTGTACGATACTGTCAAGTACGCCTCGCCCGTCGAATCCCACTTCACCCCGTCCGGGCCGGAAGATACGCGCATACCATACCCCACCGGGAACCCAGAACCCCTCACGACATTTACGATTCTCACAACGAGTCCACCCAAGGACTTTATGTGGCTGCATGACCGGATGCCTTGTATCTTGACGGAATGGGAGGCCGTGGAGAGATGGCTCGATCTTGGGGAGGTGAAGGGTTGGGAAGAGGGCAAGGCGGGGACGGGGCAGGTTTTGAAGGGGATGAGTGGGCTGGAAGCGTGAGTGCGCGGCTCGGAACCGCGCTAATATGAAGATATCCAGTACCTCCAGAAGTCGGCAAAGTCGGCACCAACTCTTCTACCTATATCGAGCCGGTCTCGGAGCGGGCAGATGGTATCAAGTCGTTCTTCGCCAAACAGAGCCCAGCCAAGCCGAAGCCCTCACCATTTGCCGTCACGCCAAAGACAGGGAAGGTCAAGTCGGACGCGGCCGATATCGATAGCAAAGCCAATATCAAAGGAGAGTCATCAACGACCGTGTCGAGGCGCAAGGGGCAGGAGGCGGATAAGGACGAAGGACAGCTTTCGACTACGATTGTTGAGGGCGATACGGAGGTGGGGCTCGGGGATGACTCGAATGCGCCTAATCCCGAGGTCAAGGCGGAGGAGGGGGTAAAGGCGGAGGAACGGTCGACGCCGGGAAAGCGGAAGCGGGCAAAGGAGGAGGAGAAGCCGGACCTTGACGAGGATGACGGCAAGAAGGCGAAACCAAAGAGAGCTGGACATCAGATTGAGGTGGTCCGTCGTAAAGATGCGGACGAGGGGTCGAAAAGCGTAAGTCGCCCGTCGCTTTGGTCCGAAGCTGCGGGCTGACGTGACAGCAACCATCCATCACCAATTTCTTTGGATCGCCGTCGACTACAAAGGCTGATAGCTCAGCTGGAAGCGGGGTAAAAACTAGAGGGAGCGCAAAGGAGGCCAAGAAGTGACGGCTGCTACCGGGGAGGGCTCTGACGTGAGGGACCGATATTGCTTTCGCTATTGTTGTATATGATCTGCTTATTATGGCTATCGAGTGGGGGAGTGGGGAGACTCGCCGCATCCCTGATGACTTCCTCGCTCGTTCACCGCCTTGACTGCTGTGCACCTGCCTGGACCGCGGTGCTGCTGCGTGTGAAAAGCCATCTACATCTATGTACAGGCTGACAGGGTACACGTGAGGCAGTTCAGAGGTGACTGCGGTGCAGAATGTGTGTGCCTCCTTTGACCCTCTCCCCCGCTTCCCGCATCACGCCAACCCTATATAAGACCGTCATTTTGCCTTCTTCTTCATGTCATCATCTACCTTCCTCTCCACCTTCATCAGATCAACCAGCACACACTCCAAGATGTCCTTCACACCCGCCATGCGCCACTTTATGCACGCAAAGGAATACGCGGTCGTCGGCAAAATCCTCACTGACACGGAGAGGTTTGACTACAAGGTGAGCTGCTTGTCTCACCGTGATGAGGGGGTGACATGACCAGCTGATGGATAGGTTCTCAAGTGGTACCAGACTCGCAACTTTCCGGTCACGCCTATCAAAGCCACCGCTACGGAAAGCGAGCAGATTGAAGGTCTGACCGCCATTTCCGACCCGGTAAGCCCCTCCATCGCTGCCAGACGACTACCTCCGCCTCAGCTGACCCCTCAGCACAAGCTCTCGGACCTCTCCAACACCTCTATCTCGATCATCATCCACCCCGCCAAAGGTCTGCCCCTCCTTAAGTCCCTCTACCCCGCCGGCAAGCCGGTCGAGCAAGGTCCGTGGGGCATCTGGTTCCAGCCCGGCGCGGCCGACGGTGCTATCGAGAAGTACGTCCAGGAGAATGGGCTGGAGGGGCGAGTGGTTCTGGGTGGACCGTGTATTCTCGTCAGTGGAGATGGGGTGAGGGCCGAGGAGGGCGTGGATGGGAAGAGCAAGAGCGCGCTTTGAGCGGAGGATCAGGTCACCCAGTCATCATGAGGCGTTCCTGCGGGACAGGGGAACAGGTCATCTTGCGTCCGGTTGTACATATTCATTTGCCTTCTTCCTTTTTGTCTCCGCAGACAGAGCAAACGAGACCCGTTGCTCCGAGGACCGACCTGTCACCAGCTCAGTGCCCCACCCAAGCCCCCACTTTATCCTGCCGAACCTACGGCCACCCCGCTCCGCATTCCTCCCATCCAACAAGACATATCACTTCATTCCAGCAAAACGGTGCCTGCCAATCTATTGATGCTTACCGCGGTGCTGTGATCGTCACGGGACCTCCATCATCGAAGCTCCGAACAGCTCATCAACCTACCATGATCGTCCGAGATCGTCCACCTCTCTCTTTGGCGAGACGGCTCGGTTTGAAACATGCCCATCACTTGTCTCAGAACTTCTCAAGACGGCCAGCTGCACCTGGGATACTAGTAACAGCCCCACCGCTCTGCGACCTCACACTCCACCTCCCAACGCCTAGGGGCTGCATCTCGGACCGTTGGACGTCGGACATTATCGTTCCTTTGACAGGTTGGAACGCGACTCAAGCGTCCAAACGGTAAGCGATCCCACCTATCCTTTCAGCCCCTATAGCGCTTTCAAGTCTGGGAGTCGGGTATGCCCAAGCCGGAGTGCAAGATAGGGCAGGAGGGATGGCGATCAGCAGGGCTCATCTGTACTGAAATCATGTTGCTAATCAGATAGTAGGGCTTTCGACCTGCTCCTAATCTTGCAACCAAGAGCCTTATCTTCCCACCCACCAAAAGCGCGTATCGACGAGACGACCCCTGAGCCAAGCCGCCATGCCGCTCTTCCCCCTCAACTCCTTCTCCTCCCTCACCTCCCTTGCATCCTTCCCTTCGGTCTCCTCCCTGCGCAATCTCCTCGACCCAGAACCCCAAGTCTTCTACCCGGCACCCAAATCCCCTACTCGCCGTCGAGAGCGAGAACGACGCGACTCTACCTCCTCCACGCGCTCGACCGCTTCTCTACAGCCTGGTGGGCAGTACGACTCGCCTGCCCGCCGGACGGGACTCGGGCGACTTGAGGGAGCATCACGCAGTGCGGTAGATGTGACGGGATGGGAAGGGGTCGAGAACCCGCTATTGGAGCTGGGGAGACGGCATTCTCTGAGTCTGGGGTCGTCAGGGCAGAAACCGGTCGGGCGAGCGGGCAACACGGAGGTGTCGTCGCCTTTGCGGTCCTCTCCCTCTCGTCCTTCTCATCGGCGCGCGCACTCGGCCCTACCTACCCCCGGATATCCATACCCTCGTCCCGCATCCTCCGCCGGTCCCCGGGGAAGACTCACCGAGTTCTCCCGGAATGCCCTCGCTTCGTCCTCCGCTATCAGCCTGCCCACGCTGTGCGAGAGCGAAGTGGACGACCCAGCCGACGATCAGGATACAACTCCACTCCAGACTCGGCTGTACCGCCGCCTCTCTACCCAAGCGACTATCATCATCCCCTCTCCCCCACTCTCGCCTACGTCGAGCTACGCGGGCTCCCTCCCCTCCCCTCTCAGCCTCAATATGAGCCTCGGCTCTCACTCATCCAACTCGTCCGTTGACGCCTCGGACTACTTTGGGCGCCCAGAAGAGGAGGATTCGGACCGGACGCCCCAGCCTAAACGCCGCATGAGCACGCTCGGGGTCTCGCTCTCGCCCAAGATGGCGTCGTCCGTCCCGCCCCCTCAGCGCGTTGCGCGGCTTCGTCCGCCCCCATCTCCACGATCACTATCGGATCAGCCGGCTCGGAGCCGTCAGAGGGTCCGGACCCAGTCATTGGGTCCCACCTTAGGAATGGCGTTACCGCTGGGCAGGTCGGTCTCGGCGGGAACAGGCAGTACAGTCTCCACCTCGGACGTGGCGGTCATGGCCACCTGGGCATTCCCGTCCTCCCCAGAGCGAATGGATCCGCAGCCGTCCGCCCACATGGGCGTAGGCGAACCTTCAGGTCGGCTGAAGGAGCGCCTACAAGCGCTATCTATGCTCGATACCTCTTCCTCCTCAGCCGTATCTGAAGCAGACTCCTCGACGTTGGACACGCCGGCAGAACGGATTACCACTCCGGCGCATACCACCCAGAATCGGGCATTCCAATTCCCTTCCCCTCACCTGTCGCATCTCGGTCACAGACACGCTCAGTCTTCTCCACACGCCCTCGCTGGACCTTGTCGGCCGGGACGCGAGTCAACATCCGGTCCCCCTGTGGCTCGCCCAAGCCACAGAAGAACCCTCACCCCGTCCCGCCTCCGAAGTCCGCAACTGCTCTCGCTCCCGCTTGAGCAGACCAATGAGGCGTCGCACACGCGCCATCCCGCGAGAGCGGGCATTGGCAGGCGAAGCTCGTCGAGTCTATTGCCGCCTTCATCTCACGCAATGACACGCACGCAGAGTGCGGTTGATGCGCTGCCTTCTGCGGAAGTTGGCAAGGCGGGAGGCGGATGGTGGCGCCTACCGTCGAGGAGAGCCAGTGTCGGCGGGGACATACCTTCCTTGGGATCGGGACAGATGGGGAAGTGGAGCGACGCGAAGGAAGCGGGACCAGAGGGCGCAGTCGGAGATAAGCCGGAAGGCGGAAGGGCGAGGCGGGAACCATCGCCTGAGACGGACAGGTTTATCGATTTTGACGACATGTAGGTAAATCAGCTAGGCCAGTGGATAGCGAGTTGTAAGAGTGACCGGTTGTATTCTGATACTTGTATGGCTGGGTTGTAAAGTATGATTCATGGCTCGCAGTTCTCGCTCCTACGCCTGCCTCAACCGAACCCCGCTGGAATCCCCTCTCTCCGCGACAAGGGAGGGAAGACCAGCTCCCCCTCGTATGTAGATGGGCAAGCATAGCTCCGTCCTCATTCCTCGCAGACCAAAATTCGAAAGGCTGAGCCTAGCCGGGCGAGACTTCGTCGTTGCGATTCACACATCTGCTGCCCAAACCCATGATTCTCGTACGTATTGTATACTATGATGAGCTATATACAACCATTTTTCGTCATTGATATTCTTCTCTTGCACCCTCTCTGCCTTCCGTCTTGTCTTCCGCTACTCGCCCGTCGGCCCGTTCGTCTAGCTCAGCTTGCCTTCCACCGCTTCCATGCCACACGCCAGATGACACCACCTCCAATTTTCCCCCGCGCTCCCCTTCCCTAGCCCCACCTTGCCCTGCTGTCCCCTTGCGGCCCCAACCCCAATTAATCTACCGCCCACTCAACAACCTCGCAATCTTCTCATTTACATCCTCCCTCTTCTCCCTCGCCCTACTCCTCTCGCACACTCTACACCTACACACCCTCAGTGGCTTCCTCACATCCCACCATAAACCCATAATAACCTCTTTCGCCAATACCCGCATCACCGGATCCTCCGCGTCTTCGGTGCCGGGCAAAGGGATATAGGGTATACTCCCCATGCTCACGTGGAGCTCGTGTGCGGCCGGGAAAGGTCCGGGGGTTCTGGACGGTGCCGAGGAGAGGTACGAGCCGTCGTCGTCCCCGTCGTCGTCGTATGATGAAGAGAGGGCGGAGGAGCCAGGGGTGAGGGATCGAGTGGCGGTATTCCGCCGTCGATTCTGGGATGCCGGGGGAGCTTCCACCTCGATCTCTTCCTCTTCCTCTTCCTCGAAATCCTCCTCTAGCTCATCCAGCTCCTCGTCCTCCGTATTCGCCGATAAGATCCGATTGAGACTCCGAGCGCCACGCGCATTCGCCTGGTCCATACTCTCATTCGCCCGCCGCAGCTCCAGATCTAGAGCCAGATCGTCCGCGTACATATCCGCATCGTCTCCGCCTTCGTATGATGTTTCATAGTGCCCATCCGCACCTCGACCAATCTCGCCCGATCCATCCGAGTCCACCGTGGAGGCATCGTCATCATTCTCCGCCTCCGCCTCAGCGTCGGGCATGGGTACATCCCCACCCGCCTGGGCCTCCCCGTCCACCTCGACCACCAACAGGTTCGCTTTGGCCTTGATCGGCGAGCCGACACGGACGCCGGTAGGTTTCTCAGCGGCCGTAAGCGCGTCCGGAACGTTCTGTAGCGCTTCAATGATAACATCCTCCGGCGTGATAGGCATGACCACGTCCTCTGGGGTCGACGTGGACGTGGCGGTCGTAATAGTCGATCCCGTGATAGGCGCCGAGCCCTCCCGAGATCTCCGGGCCTGCCTAGACCGGTCCGAGGCGTGCTCCCCTTCCTGTGCTAGGTCCGCAGGCGGTGTCTTCCGCTTACCGAGCGTAGACGCCGGGTTGACAATGACCGGCTCCTCGTGATGGACCTCGATGATGCTCGAGACGGGCGCGAGTCCCTCCTCTTCCTCCTCCTCAAGGACGAGCTCGACCCTCGGCGAATCCGGTACAGACTTGGCTGGGATATGTACCGTGATCGGCATGGGCTCGCCATCAATGTCCACGTCCAGCCCCTCTGCTTCCGTGACAGTAGCAGTTGCAGCCGCCTCCGCTTCCGCCTCCTTCATCGCCTTGAGAACCTCGTCCCTCTCCCTTCTATTCGCCGCTTTCTGGGTAAACCAGACCTGCTGTCCTCTCAATCCCTCCAAAACCTCCCGCACACTCATCCCCGCACATACAGTCTCTGCGGTCTGATCATCCCCCACTGCATCCACAATCCCCGCCATCAGCCGCCGCATCGCAGGCCAGAGAAGCCCGCGAAGATGGACCATAAACTTGGTATCGAGCGCCTGGACGATCGTGTGCGGTGGCAAGATGTACTCGGTCCCGAAGGTAGGGGCGCCGATGGGTGCTGGGGGATCGAGCCGGAATATACCGGTGAGTTTGGGATGGTCGACATCTGGCTTGGGGAGCGCGAGGATGGTGGGGTCGGAAGGGAAGGGGTGGACGACGGTGTGAGCGAGCGGGGCGAGGGGGAAGAGGTCGCCGGGTGGGTATCTGGGGTGGGCGAAGCGAGGGACGGCAGAGAGGATATCCGCTTCGGTAGACGGCAGAACCCAGATTCCTGATCTGATCCGCGCGGCGACAAAGTGGTTCATAGCCGCGTCGCTCACGACTTCTCTGAACTGCCCCAATCAGCCATAACCCCAGCCCAAGAGACAGAGAGACTCACCTTGGCATTCAATGCTTCACTCATTGCCTCCTCCTTGAGCTCTTCAATGAGATCCATCCCCCTAGCTCTCAATTCCCAATCCCAGTTCAACAACGTCTTCCTCTTGACCTCCTCATCCACCTCAACGTCAATCGACTTGTATGGCTGGAGCAGCACTGTTAACTTCCACCGGCGTGCCCTCGCTTCACGCGTCTCGCCGCCTTGCCCATTGTAGAACGACATCCGAGCTTGGAACTCCAAGCCTTGGAGTTCCCTGCCCCATCGAGTGAGATCGGTAAATCGCGTCTGACTCATGAGAGACCACATAGCCACCAGTACCTCAGCCGTACTCCGTGCCGTATCATTCCCGGTCGCGATATAGTCGGTATACTCTGAGAATCCGTTCCATTGGATCTTGTCGCCCCGAATCACGCCGCCCCCTCTGGCGCAAGACCGTAGTTGGCGGATAATGGCCGAATCGAGCGCATTGAAGCGGCACAGCTCGCACACGTACGCTTCGATCGACCGGTACTCGTCCGCCTCGTCAATGTCGCCCTCGGTAGACAGCTGGAGACCGACACTCCGACCGCGATCGTTCCCGTGAGGCGGACGATTACTGAGCAGACACGCATGGCAGAATTGGTCATCGTGCCATGCGCAGATTCTGACCCAGCCGAGTCTGTGAATCCAGATCGCCGCATCTCGGTGCGCGGCAGGAAAGGGATGGGGGTGAGTCGGATAGGCGACCGTGCAGGGTATGCAGATCTGACTGCAGACCCGTTTGGCGCGTTGGAAAGGGGTCGGGGCCCGGATGGTGATGGTTTTGGAGCCAGACCGGGCGCTTGGGTTCTTGGGAGGGGGATCGGCGGTAGCTGGATCGTATGATGGGTATAGGAGATTGATAAGAGTGTACCAATGGGGGTGGTGGTCGACTGAACAGTCAGGTTCAGCGCCAGACCGAGAGAGCAAAAGACATACTGGCTCGTCTCCAACCTGGCGATACGCGTCGAATGTTGGCTAGCCATTCTCGGCTGTTTAGAGCGACGATGATAGGCGCTACCAAGACGTCCCGCTGCCATCTGTTCCGTAGTGTGACATGTACCGGTAACGACGCTGCAGCATAGCTCAGTACGATACTGCATGATCAGCTGTTGTCGGGCGCTTGAGGTGCTGCTCCGTGTGTCAAACCTACCGGAGTAGATTCTGCGGGAGATTCCCCCATCCTGACCTCACCCCATCCCCCTTCCCACTGACCACCACGCCTGGCGCGGACGCGACGGACAATTTTGGCCTTGGATTCCACCTCAGCCCTTCACCGCGAGCTTGACCCGCCTCCTCGCCTTCGCCAGCTGGTGATGGAGGCGGCAGCGCGACCTCTCTCTTCTCTGGCGATACAGAAGTCTTGACGACGGCGTGAGGAGGGAATGCGGGGAGGCGTATAGAGGTCCCGGTCGGTGTAGGAGGTATGGCTTCGACCTCGGCCGCCGCGTTGATGGGTGCGAGTTCGGCGGGCTGAGCCATTTCGACGTCTGAAAGCGGGACAGTCGCGATACGCTCCGCCTCAGACGTTGTTTTGGGTGAGGCTGGGAGCGGCATTGGGGTATATGGGTCGAACTGAGTGACCCTCGAGGTATACAAGTACAAGGTGAAGAGGCAGCCACCGGATAGAAATCATGACGGAGGTGAGTAACGTTAGCGGGGAAATCTGATCCCGCTATTCAAAATCAGCTCGGACTTGCCTCTTCAGGACTAGATAAGCCTAATTGGCTACAATTCATTAGGAAACGCGCTAATAAGGTTGATTTGATCTCTTTACCCCACCCCCACCTTCTTTCCTATCCTTCTATACAAGCCCTAAGGAGTATCGTGGACGGCGATGAACGGGGACAGCGAGACGCTGGAAGCTGCTGTCGCCCAAGCGCAGCTCGACCCACAGCTGCTCGACCCATCTTTACGGGAACCAGCTGCCGAGGCTGAATCCTCCACCCCAAGCGCTCCGTCCGAGCTGCCCGCTGCAGGCCCATCCCGGCTACCGAGGTATCGCCAGCGGTGCAAGACATGCCCTCTCATCAATGGCGAGCGTCAGCTATATAAGACGTGCGAAGGGAACTGTTCCAAAAAGAAAGCCGCCAAGGGGGCCGAAAGTGAGAAGGCCCGGCTTCTGCGTTAGCAGGTTGGATACGCGCTGATCGTGGTAGAACGCAGGGCTTCCCGTGCTATTCTGCCCGCACCTGAATCGAGCACGTCGCCGGCCATAGCGCCTATATCTGGGGCAGAAGCGAACTACCATGATTCCGAAGTATCTCAGTCCCCCTCCGCCGTCCAGCGGGAAACCCCCGAGCTGGCCCATCCACCCTCCCCTCGCTCAACCTCGTCCTCCAGCAAGACGCTGTTGGCGGGAAAGCATCTCCTCCCTAAACAGGATCAGCGATCCCTCGATTCATGCCTACCAGCCGCCGCATCCTCGTCTGCTCCTGCTCCGACGCAAACGCAACTGCGCTTGACGGTATCCACCTCGCCGAAATGCGTTCCGAGCCAACTACGAAAGATAGGCTCTGCGGCCGGGGATCCTGCAGGGATCGGTATCGAACCATCGACGAAGCGACTGGGCAAGACGAGGAAGCACAATGGCGCGTCTGGGGATACGCCATCGGCGAAGAGGATGAAGAAGACGGGGGTGATGAAGGTAGCGGGAGTGGCAGAAGCTGGTGCTGTTGCTGTTGCTGGTGATGGTGCTGGTTCGACGGCGCCAGAGGTGATGACGGCGCCCAAAGCATCAACGCACGCTGCACGGATGGGTAAGTCTTTGACTTTGTTCTGTCTTCTATACGTTAGCTGATCAACTCAGCAAAGATCGCAAATACCACGTATACCTCGGGCCAGGAAGCGCTCACGGCTTTAGCATGGGAAGGGATCATCGAGCGCGTAAGTCCGATCTTCTTCCTTATCATTAGACGGGCCTCGGCTGATCGTCAGGGAGCTCTCATCTCCAAGCTCAACCTTCGCCGCGTGGTCCTCGTCGCATGCACGTCAGTCAACCGCCCGCCCTTTCGCCCATAGCGATAGAGCTGACGATTCAGACCCGAAGAACCCGTCGATTCCGATCCCAAACGTATCGGCAAAGAACCCGATATCTGGATGGCCCGCAGCCATACCGTCGATCGAGCCATTGCCGACTCGTTCGCTCGCCGCTTCACCCACGATATCAGGCGGCAGTATAGGGAGGGGCTGGAGGTGGTAGCAGGGGCGGAGAGCGAGGAGGGGCCGGAGAAGAAGGATAAGCGGCTCCAGGCGCGGATTGATGATCTGCTGGATGAGCTCATCTTCCTACAGAGTCAGATGAGCGGCTCTGGTCTTGAGGCAGAGGTGGAAGAGAGCGTTTGACTGATAGGGAAGGAAGGGTGAAATTTGGATATGGGGACATTGCGAGCTTGTAAATAAGTAGTTGTGAATAGCTGGTTGATACAGTAGCGTTGTATATATTGCCTGGCATGTATTCGCTCAGAAATACACTTATGTCGCTCGACAGGGTACCGATATCCGGATGGTCCGCAGCCATGCCGTCCATCCAGTCATTGCCAACTCGTTCGCTCGCAGGTTTACAAACCAAATCAGGCGATAGTTATGGAGGGAGACTAAGGCGTGGGGCTGGAGGCGGGGAAGAAGGATAAGCGGCTTCAGGTGCAGATCAATGATTTGCTGGATGGATCAGTCAGGGTGAATGAGAAAAATGCGCGGGCCTGGAAGTGGCGGTTCTGTGTATCCTTGGTTGACATGATAGCGTTGTATATAATGACTGGAATTGTATCTACGCAGGATTGTATCCGTCCTTGCGTCCCAAACATCGCACCATCCTCGCCCTGGAGGAGAGCAGCAGGTGTTGTATGCATGGAAACTATCAATATGACACCTAAGCCTACTCTAATTTGAAAAATTAAAGCTCGATAGTGGGCTGGTTACGTAAAGCAACCAGAGACGCTAAGGTTAGTTAGCAGATCGTGGGAGTGGCTGAGGCGCCCTCCCTAACTCCCCAGTCCTGGCATACGCCAGGTGGGACCCTAGTCACTTGCTGTCGTCTGGCTCGAGCTCTGGGTACCTCGCCTGCGCAAAGTTGAAGCTGCTGGCATTCTTCGGGAAAGGGGGTCGCGGTTTCAGGATATCGGGATATCCGGTGCCAAGCCGGTCGGACGCTGCGGCTGTTTGTCGGGTTGCAGCGTGAGTCCAGTAGGGTATGGAGGCCAACGAGGTCGGCAGCGATGATGGGGGGATGTTATGATGTCGCCGAGAGTGTAAGTGAGCATGGTCGGTTATGTATATGTTGGCTTATGAGGGGCAAGTTAGAAGGGGGTTGCTGGCTCGCGGGGTGCTCAGAGCGCTCAGGGCTAGATAATGAGTTCCGGAGGACGGGCCGGCCGAGATTGGACGATGACGTCAAGCATATTCCTCCGGCATCCTTTGGTCTAAACTTGCCTGTGGCAAGGGGGTGTTTCAAGTGGCTGGAGGGGCCCTTTGTTCATGCTGTAGACAGAGCCGAGGACTGAGGGTCGCGGCTGGGGCGTGGTAGTCGCAATGGCGAAAGAGCCCAGCGTGGTGGCGATGCAGAGAGTGGGCTGAAGATGTGCTGAGAGGCACGTGGGAGTGGTACTGTGGGGGGTCCGCTTTGCGAGCAGCTGTGTATAGGGTCTGGCTGACGGGGTCCTTTCAGGGGTAGGCCCGCTCGGTCAAAGGCGTTTTTGGAGATAGATAATGCATGAACATGGCGCATAACAGGGCGCCGCGGGGGTACAGATTGGGCTGGATGTTATATAAAGGGGCAGGTTACAGGGCGGTAGCTGGGCGGTGCATCCTCGGATGCGTCGAAGCTCGGTTGACGGTAAGTAGATTGGGAGATGAGAAGTAGATTGGGAGATGAGAAGTAGATTGGGAGATGAGAAGTAGATTGGGAGATGAGAAGTAGATTGGGAGATGAGAAGTAGATTGGGAGATGAGAAGTAGATTGGGAGATGAGAAGTAGATTGGGAGATGAGAAGTAGATTCAGGAAGATGAAACGCGGGAGATTGCCTTTTCGGGCAATTGATACGTGTGTCATCATGCGATCGTCAGCCATGCGCGGGAGTGGCGGCGGCTTTCCTCCCCATTATGAACTTTGCTGATCGACCTTGCACAGCTTGGCCAACAGGCACGGAAGCTCTTATCGAACAGACATGGGTGATCACGAAGAGGATCAGGTCTAGGATCGATAGTTACCGAAGTGAAAGGACGATCATGGCTCATTGGAAAGCTAGGTGTGCGCACGTGCTGGCACCTTGATCATGGCGGCTATGATGTGCTCGCCTGAAACGATTATGACCATCGCTCCTTTATCCTTTCCGGCCCCTGTCGGTCTGTTCAGATCCTCTCAGTACGCTACAAAAAGGGGTCGCCACCCACCGTCACTTTACCCGTTTACCTTTTCCCCGGCGTCTTCTATACATCGGATACTCATACTATTCACAACCTATCAATCAGCCCCTCCTCCACACACATCTTCACGATCATCAAAGTGATGTCCTCCCCTAACGAGCCAGACGATTACACCACAAACCGCACCTTTTATGAAGCCGTGGAGATCGCCAAGATCTGCGCAGCCATCACACACATACTCACTGGTGGCGACGCCACATCCTTGGATCTCCGCGGCCTCTGGAATATCCCAGTCACAAACTGGAGCGAAGATACAAGGAGTCAGCTCCTTCTTCCAGGCTTGACCGGAAGCAGCCCCGAGCAACTACGGCGCAGGCTCGACGGCCTCATCACGTACCTGAGGTTTGGTCCTGAAGCGCCCGTTCCCACCGAGATGTCCTACCATCCTGCCACGGTGGAGCACCACGCACATCTTTTGTGGAAAGCGCTGGAAGACGAGGGTCTTTTCGCTCTCATGCAGCAAGACCAGTCTGTCAAAGTGAGGATCTGCATGGAAGCTGCCAGCGACATTACCAAATGTCTGGTGGACGACTCCGACACCACCACAGACGGCCTCAAGGTTCTGGCTGGATCTATACAGATCAGGGGCTCCGAGTTGCAGGCGACGCACCGCGAATACATCCGCCGTGCGTACATCTCAAGCCTGGGAGACCTTGTACGAAGTATGTGGCCCTTTGACCGAGACGACGATCCTGCAGGAACAGACAGGACAGTGGCGGTATTGCAGGGGCTCCGATGCAGGACCACGCCCACCGTCGAGGGAGTGGTTGAATCGGCAAAGCGACTCTACTCCTCGGCCCGAGCGTACGAGATCGCTCATGCAGTTCCAGATATATAGTTGGTAAGGAGCGGGGACCCGGGGTTGACAAAAGAAGGGTGAGAGCTCAGGCTAAAGTTTGATCGCATATTGTGTATACTACGAGTGCAGAGACTATTACCACTTCTGTTCTCAAGCTGGTGGCATAATCAAATGCGTACGACCCCCCTCCCCTCAGCTGACAGTTGGGACTAATAACCGACTGAATCTGATTCGAAGCTGCAGCGGGAACGGCCGACCTCATTTGTGCCACTGCCATGTCGGCTAACAAGCCCCCTCTGCTGGCAGGGCCCTTAAGGCCCGCCTTCCTTCTAGCTCCGCACGTGCTGAGTATCTGCCGTGCTGTGAGGACCCCTTTGACGGTCAAAGGTTGGCCGCCGGAACGGAGACGTCACGGCCTACTCGCCGCAAGATGCTGATCGCACGCTATCTGTGGTCTGGATCCTTCTGAACCTGGAATCGCTATTGAGATTGTAATTATACTTTACCACCCTGGCCCCTGATCCCTCCCACCCAGAGTCGCACTGTCATACGTCCGCCTTTTACCGTCTTCCCAGCGCAAGTGAGGCATCAAGCACAGGTGCAGTCCGTACCAAAAATGTTCGCCCCCAATGTCCCGCTTACACCCCCGAGCTCCCCCGACACAGCATCCGCCACCCTGAGCGAAGCAGATTCATACCAGCTGGCCAGGCCTCTGCGCTGCACTGACTGATCAGCTCATCCCCGACAGAGCCGCTTCTTGGGACCCGGCCCTGTCCTGGGGCTTCCGGCGAGAAGAGCTGGACGGGGTTCCGCCTTCAGAGAACGACTGGACGCTGCGGTACTGCTTGTCGGAACTGTTCGAACCCGTCGCCAATGAGCCGGCTCTCACTCTCGCCGAGCTACGCAGCCGGCTCTACGCTTCCCTCACGCCCCTCCTGGTCCCGACTGACCAAGTCACATCTTACCCCTCTGAACCCCTTTTCCTGACTTACACGAAGGTCGAGCTCGCGAAACACCTCGCCAGAAGCGGTGCTTTGAGTCACGCCCCCAGAGAGGTCTGGAAGACGATCTGCGAGCAGTATGCCCCCGACATCGTTGCTTCGCGCATCCCCTTTGCACACGCTCTGCAAGACGCCGGTGATCTGACGCGGTCTGCGCATGCCGAGCACTCCTTCACGCAGGAAAATCACCGTGAGCGTACGCGCGACGGGTTGGTGGATGGCCTCGGTGCGCTGGTTCGCAACTTGTACGGGAGGCGGGAGTCAGCCATCCTACTGGCGATATGGATGGGGTGATGACGGCGATTAGTGGTTATAGCAGAGACCGCGATAACAGATCGGTCATCGCAGACAAGACTGCACAGGAGCTGAGTCTATCGAAGGTTGCAAGACAGCTGTACCGGCGGGCGAGGGCGGATGAGATCGCGCAGATGGTTCCCAACGGCAGGGATGACGCGCCATGCTTCTGTGAGAGGAGGCAGTGAAGATGATGCTATCGCCTGATGTAACACGCAGAAATGACCACGTACGCCACCGTATCTAGCCAGCCATCCTTTGCAGACGTCTAGTGTGGCGGCATTGTGGCGCGAAAAGACGAGCTGACGCCAATGTGTTTCAGCTCCTTTCATGCCTTTGAGGTCCGCTGCGGGCTCGCCGCCCTCGCTCTGAAGGTCGAAAGCTATCGAGACATGCGACCTCGATTCCACTTACTCTGTACCTCTATCTTACTCGATATTCCCATCCCAGCAGCACCCACAACTCAGGCGAACTTTCCCATTGAACGACATGTCAACTACAACCTCCCTTCTCGTTGATGACACTCGGCTGTCAGACCCTCTCGACGCGAAAGGGGAAGCTGCGCTCGAAGTCCTGAAACGATGTGCTGATCTGACTCACACCTACATGCCTTACGATGACGCCTGCACCCTTGCCCGTCTCTGGGGCTTTGACGAGAAGGATCAGTGCTTGCAGCCCTGCATGAAGGATCTCCTCGTACCGTCGAAACAGCGATCATCCTCATTCAATCCCGACACTTTGCACACCCTGCTACTCATATCGCTTTCGGAACTGCTGGAGGAGATGAGCAACGGGGAGTCTGGCCACACGAACCTTGACGCATCAGCGTTCGGTCTCCATGATGCGCTGACCGAGATCACAGCTCTGGTCGAGATCGCACGGGCAACGGAGGGCGAAAGCCGGTCCCTGTGCAGATACAGCACGGCGGGAGATTACATGAGGAGTGTCAGCAAGATCGCTCGAGACGTCTTTGGCACAGGAACCAGTGGAATCGTACCGGACGGAGTGCCAGATGTCTTCAGGATCAAAGCTCTGCCCAAGATCGTGTGTCGGCCAGCCGACGTTTCAGTATTGAAGGAGGATATCAAGGAGCTCCAGAGAACTGTTCTGGCTCACAAATTCGCCCGCATGCTGCCTCAATGAAGCAGTTGAGGGGAGGCTTTGAGGCTGGATCCTTGATTCGGCGACTTCAATTTCAGGTCGCCGTATTTTGTGAGATTGTGATTAGCTGCGTTATGAATGTCCATGAGATCGTATCACATGCCCCACATTCAGCTATACGCACTACCGGTAAGTATCGTCAGGCACAAAGTGTTGGCTATACATCAACTTAACCGCTCCCAAAATGTAGACAGGTACCAAGCGCGAAAGACTCCCGCGCACATTGTCCAGTCCCACCCCTATCTCCTTCTTCCCCTTCCCCTCCCCCTCGACCTCCCCCTCAATACTCCTCATCCTCCCCCGCCTGCTCCGCCAAATCCCCACAGCTCTCCTGACTCAACATCTTCACCTTCCCCGCCCGCGCCTTAACCCCTAGACTTCCAAACTTCTCCGACAACTTCGCCAGATCCATGTTGCTAAACTTGTCGCGCGTCATCTTGGCGCTCAGGCTAAGCGTGGCGATTCGGCCCCGAGTGTTCAGGGACCCAAAGTCGTCACTTGGCGCTTCGACGGTGAGGGTCGGTATATCGAATTGCGAGTCTGAGGTAGCGAGGCCGGAAGTGGGGGATGGCGGGGATGAGGAAGAGAGGGCGGTGTTGAGCCAGTCGATGATGAGGTGAACCTTCTCTTCGGCGTCTTCGCAGCGCTGTCAAGGTTAGCGACAGCCTTGGTCTGGATAGTCGTGTCGTTCGTGGCATCAACGAGGCTAAGGCAATTGCGGTCGTCACCCCTTTCTTCCCTTGCTACTTCCCACCGGCCTCCCCTACAGTCCCCCTTTGCCCTCCTCCCCGATCTCAGCAGCTTCGCTTTCGGTACCCCACACCCGTACTGATTTTCGCAGCCGAGCTCGCCATCGTCCGAACCCCGACTGTCACATTCCTGCCCAAGACACTCACCGCTGTCAATCGCTTATTCTCCGCCGTGACCGCCCGCACATTCTCGTCCAACCTACACGCCCAGATCTGCTTACTCCGCACCTGCTCCTGTAGCTTCTCCACCCTATCATGCCACTCCCTCTCGACGTCCGCCTTGACCTTTTGTGACGGCTGGAGTAGAAGTGCCTGGTACGCCACTGTTCCGTCAGCGCGGCTTCTGAGTGAACGGTCCCCCACACCCCGCACACTCACCCTCAAGCATCTTCAACTCGTCCACCTGGTCCTGCAGATGCATGATCCGCTCGTCTGGCCTGGACGTCCGAGCCTCCAGATCCCGGCGCAGATTCTTGAGCTCGGCGTCCTGTTGCTTAATTCGGAGCTCTGCGGCGTGAAGGCTTTCCTGAAGCTGTATCTGTCAGCTAGGCTGTAGGCCGGAAGTAGAGAGCAGACTTACATCGGCAGTGGATTGATCATAGTCCAGCTTCGGGTATTCAAGCTTGGTGGGGCTAAGTGGTCGGGCCTGTCATGTCAGCTTCGTCCACTTCCAGAATGCGGAAACTCACCTCATATCCTGTATCCCGCTCTCCCGCTTCTCTGCCAGTCAAGATCAGACTCTTGAGCTCCTCCAGACGCCGCTCCATATCGCCCTTCGCCTTCCCGCTCGCAGCCTTCCCTTTATCTCCCGCTCCAGGCGTCATCATCACGCTCGACGCGCCCTCATCCCTATCCCGGAGCTTCGCCTTGAGCTCCGCAATCTCCTCTTGGTACTGCTGTATCAAAGCCTGAGGATCGACGACTTCGCGTTTCTGGGCGCGGAGGAGGACACGCTTGAGACCTTGGGCGAAGGATAGGGTCGAGAGGGACTCGTTGAGGTTCACGGCGGACGGGGAGACGGTGCAGATGACGGAGATGAGGGCGTCACCGGAGAGGGAGGGTTGAAGAAGACGAGTACTGGGCTGTCAGGTTCGGCTCAATCCATCTAAAGTCTTCCCGTCCCACCCCGCCCCACCCAGCTTTCCCCGGGCCCCAGCCGCCTCGCTTCTCCCTTCTCCCACCCCAACCCGCTCCCAGGTCTACCTCACCCTCCTCTCGGCTACCCACTCTCTTACTTCGTCTATGGCGGCTACCTCGGGCCCCTTCCCACCGCCCGCCATGATTACTAAGCGATGACTTACAGCTTGGAGTCTCGGTAAGGAATGTGCGAGATATTGCGGCCTGAAGCCATATCGGCCAGCTTGGAAATGACGATTTTGAGAGTCAACAGTCTGACAAGTCAGCTTATCTCGTCGCATTACAGGCGAATATGACAACTTACGACTGATTGATGTGCTTCCCCTCGGCGTTCCTCTCTTTCGAGCTGGTATGCCGCTCCGAACCAGCTAGATCGATGATGGACAGGGTCGAGATCCGTGTCGTCCGATCTCCGCCTGTCTTGGCTCGACCACCAGGCGTGCGCGCGCCCACTGGTACGTCCGAAACGCCGGCTGCGCGAGACTCGATGACCTACAGAATCAGCTTCCTGTCTACGCCTGTGACGAAAAGTGAGCTTACCAAGCGGAAGACACAGTGACTTCTGGAGCTCCTAGAGTTCCAGTCTGTCCGGCCTACACTCCTATTCTCCTCTCCGACGCTCAACAAGCGCTTGACATCCTCCTCCGTCCGGACAGCAATCTCCGTCAATCCATTGACAATCACCTCGCCCTTCTTTTTCCCTTCGCTAAGGCTCAGCTCCTTCCCATCCGTGGAGAGCAGGTCCAGTAAGGCCTCGTTATACAGCTCGAGGTAGGATGCGCGGAGGAGAAACTCGCGGTCGGGAGAAGAGCGGATCTGGGCGAATAAGTCCCGGATCGAGAGGGGGATGATACCGGGTTCGGAGGGCGAGCCGGAAAGGGTGTGCGTCTTGCCCGAGGCCGTCTGGCCGTATGCAAAGATAAGAGCGTTATAGCCTTCCATCGCACCTGGAAGGTCAGCCCAAACCATTTCGATGAGGGTTGTGACGTACGTCTGATATGGGTCCTGGCTGACGTGGTATATGCCTTGCCGTTGTTCGACATTGGGTCGAGAATACGGTCTGCAAAAAGTCAGCTGGGTCTCTTGAGGCATTTGCGTCGACTTACCAAAGGTCCATTCCCTGTCGTCCCTCGTACCGATCGCCTCTTTCGCCAGCTTGATCGTCTGAGTGTTCCATTCATTTGTCTCCCATACCGAGCTTTGACTCCCAGGATGGGTCTCCGCGGGGTTTGGAGGTCGGACCCTATCAGGTCAGCCAAAGTCCTCCTTGAGGCATAGATCACAGGAGAAGAGGTATGGCACATACCTCACTGTCACCAAAACCGCCTCGCTCTCTCCCAACGCGTCCTCCTCATCCGCCATCACTTCCACTTCATGTCCATGACCCACATCCTCTCTACCCATATACTGCGGCTCCTCCACCCTCGCGTACGCCCTCAATGAATCATCACTCCCACTGGGAGTCATCCCCCGCTCCAATCTGCTCCTCGCCGGGACAGAAACCGGCGGCGCCACCCGCTTGATCGGGCGAGGGGTGACAGGCCGCAGCCCGCTCGGTGTCACGCCGATCCTGCTTCTCGCTTCGGGACTGATACCAGCCTTGACCTTGAGCTTGACGGCGCCATCTTTGGGCGCGAGGAAGTGGGAGGGCGAGTCGGCGAGGAAGGGGTAAGCGAGGTTGGGGGTTTGTGAGGATCGGAGGGGTCCCCCGGGTGTTGAGGGGGTTTGCACTGAGCGCGGAGCAGGTTTGGGTCGTGTCGCCATCGCTGCGGGGAGCACTAATGACAGGAGGTATACCTTAATCTAGGGAAAGAGGTATGATGATAGATGAACAAGTGAAGAGGTTCAACCAACGTTGATGGATGTTTGTCTCGGTGTCTCAGCCCGGCGAAGACCGAAAAGAAGTCAAACGCGTATCCGTGTACGTAAGCTGATCCGTGCGTCATTTTTGGCAACGGGCCCGCACTCACTCTTCACTCGACAGATTTGTATCACTATACCACCAAGAGGGCAAAAGACATAGACGAGGATGGACACGTCTTACAACCTCGTCGCTGAGAGTGGGTAGAGGTCCAGATCGAAGGGCCCTCAGCTGATATCCGAAGAGTGCGCGAAGCAGATGGCCGAGTATCAAGCCGTGAGTCATAGCTGAATGGCTAGCGGGTATCTCGTCCACCGGATAAGAGCTGCAGCTATAAGGGCAGACGTAACATCTGCCTCGGCTCATCATACTGAATATAGGAGCTGATCCGATAGTGCGTAGAGAACAATCAATCGTCCGATTGGCCCACCATCTGCCTTCCCCAGTCCCGCGCTCTCTCGCTCTGTGCCGATACCGCTGTCCCACACCTCGCTGAGGTCAAGTCCGAGTGTGCGGGCAGTATCGCCAGCTATCGAGCTTGTCTCGATCGGAATGCGTCCAAGTCGGACGAGGAGGTGGAGCGGGCGTGTACGGGTCTGATGAGGGGCGTATGGGAGTGTTCTGAGCGTGTGATGAACGAAGTCAAGGGGCGATGACGTGGACCCAAGACGCTGTCTAGGTGTCCAGGAAGAGCTTGAGCGTGTCCCAAGGTGAGCAGCGCTCACGATGAGCCAGATACGAGCGGACGCTTATCTCAAGGTCTCAAAGCTGAAAGGCTCGACTGAGATCTGGCTTCTAGGCCGAAGCTGAGATCAGCTCCAGGAGGACGTCGGGGAAGTCGCCGAGACTTCCGAGGGGAAGCTTACTGGTCACAGAAGGCGCGATCTTATACTTCGCTGTAATCTAGAAGGCTGATGCCAATCTACCCCTGCCTTCTCCCACATCATCTACTGAAACCAGCTTCTCGCCTCTGGACTTTCATACCTCAAAGGAGTACACTGTCTAGGCTGACATGATCTAAGCCCAGAACGCCTTGCTCCTTTCACCTATCAAATTCTGACACGCCAAGCTGATAGATTACGCCCTCACGTCAGCTATTCGAGATCTGCGATGCGTTTGACGAACGGCGGATTGACGCGGTATCTGACGGGCAGACCGGCGATCACGCCTCAGAGCTCCTTTGAGCAGGAAGCCGCGTTCTCGGGGTGTTCGGACGTGTCATCTGGCCCCTTTCGGCCCTGAGGCCTGCGCTTGGGGGGAATATAAGCCGAGGAGGATGGGCGTCTGTCCATTTCTCTTCGCATTCGCCTCTCATCTCCAACGACACTTCCCTTCCCACTCACTCACAGGCCCCTATAGGCAAGCCTTGCTCCACGACGCTGCCCATACCCTTTGGCATGCTCACATCGGAAACACCACGACGATCATCTCACCATCGAGCAGCTCGACTGGACGATGATCTTGACTTCAATCACTCACCCGGGCTGGATCGATGGGAAGAGGAAGGAAGCCAAACAGACCTTACGACTCCGATCAATCCTGATCTACCACCACTCACTCTCCCTCTGCCCGGCCCTCGACTCCTCCGGCGCACCTCGAGCTCAGAACACTCTGACCAGTCCGAAGAGATACGTACCCCCGCTACGCCCCATCCCCCTCCTCCCCTGTGCCATCACTATGGACCTCCACGCGCTGTAGCCGGCGCTGACTGCGCTCACAGACACGCTCATCAACGTCATCCCGATGTGCACCTCGCTCAACATCGCCTCCGAGACGTAGCGGCCATCATTGAACAGGTCCACATTTCGTACTCGCGCCTGAAACGTCGGGTCCAGTCACCCATCATCGTAGCTTCCCTCGCTGACTTCCGGCATCGAGTCAGGCGGCTGTCTCTGTCCCGGATGGAAGCGGGTGACAAGGGATTGGGATATGATCGATGCGAGGACCTTGCTGGGCAGGTTGACGATCTGGAAGATGACTGGTGGTCCTCTGAGGTGGTGGCGAACTGGTTCGGTCCCCAGCCACATACCGTCAAACGGCAGCAATGTACTCGGCCTACTCTCCACCATCACGGCTCTGGCGGCAAGCCGACCAAGACGACGGGGGAAATAGTTCAGAAGAGCACCCTGGTGATGGGATCGACGTGGTGATGAGCGAGCGAGCGGATGAGATACGGCGAGTGGCGAGTGTTGTCGGATTGTAGGATGAATGAGTGGCCAGGAGCCGAATTTGGCAGGCGTGAGTCAACGTTCTGAGAGCCGGTACGTTGATTCTGTCAAGGTCAGCCGACATGAGTCCAGCCAAGTGATGTGGTCAGTGGTCTAAGAGATGCATGGAGAGATACTTTCCATGTCAACCGACAGTAGCATCATGCCTCCACCCAGGCATATGGCTAAGATCTTTCGCTGGTGCTGCTCTCTTTGACTTGAGAGCGTCTCCTCCCGGCCTCCATCTCCACGCATGCGCTAGCTCAGCGTCTAAGCTCCCTTCGAGCATCGCTACCACATGCTTCCCTATACTCGGAAGCAGCTTGAACGAGTGTCTATCGTATTAGTATCTCCTCAAATCCCCACGACGCTCTCATGTAGACCGAACGGCGGACTCACCCACTATCGCCCGTAGCGACGTAAAATCCCTTCCATCCCGGGTACTCGCAGCACAGGAGCGCAGCATCCGCGGTGTCAGTACACCAGCACAGCCGCTTGTTGAAGAGCGGCTTGTCCACGAAACGAGGGAGAAAGGTGCGGATGGCGAGGTCGATGGACGCGTCAGAGGCGGAGGGGATCGTATCTGTGGGGTGTTTGGCGTGGGATCGGGGGACGGACATACGGGTGGGGGATGTGAGGGGGTAGGGCGTGTGCGGTTTGAAGCGGGTGAAGCCTGTTGAATCAGCTGAGATTGTTGACCCTGAGGAGGATGGGTAGGATCAGACTTGCGAGACGGGAAGCTCACCTGGGAATTCATCGCAGACCTTGATGACACCAAATCTGGAACACTCAGCAAAATCCTTAGGCGATACGGCTCAGTGATAAAGTCCGACGGCTGTCTGCTGACTCACTCATCCGGCTCGAAGAAGAACCCAAAGTCCTCGTGATACACAACCGGCACGCCCTTATACTCCGCCGCCTCTTCCGGCGTTAGCTGCATGTGCGCGTACACCCAAGCCTGTCAGTCAGCACAATGTCCCAAAGCCAATGTGCCATGACATCGGAACTCACCTTGGAGCAGCACTGTCCCTCCAGATCGACCAGGGTCGGGCTCCACGCTCCGGCCGCCAGGACCACCTGGTCCGCAAAGTATTGAGATCCATCTTGCGTTTCGCAGCCTATACACGTGGTCCCATCGGCGTCAAAGAGGGGCTTGACGAATGAGCCGGCTCTACGTTGTCAGCCAGGACGCAGGATCAGACAAGCGAAGACGGAGAGTATTACACTCACTCGCCAGAAGCAAAATTCACCCCTTGAGCTTTCAGATACTCTCCGACCGCGTTGATGGCGTATCCAGCGGCGAGCCATCCTCCGTCTTCGCTCCAGATAGCTTTCCAGCCCTGATATCATTAGCGCCTTCAGGTGTGATGTTAGAAGAACAGGTTCACTTCGATATTCCGGCGCTCAAGGAGAGGCATTTTCGCCAGAATAGCCTTCTCGTCGTCCAACCATTCCGTCGTATTCTCCAGCCCACTCCCTCCGCTCCGCATCTCCTCGTACTCTTCCCGGAGCCCCTTGACTCCCTCGACAGAGCTCGCACAGTCCAGCTGTGACATGTCAGCTTCTGCCCCAAACAAAGGAGCCCCCTCCCGGACTCCCTCACGGTCAGGTCAAGGTCAAGCTCACCCGGCCAGTGTTATGGAAGAATGGCCTAAACAACTCATCCTCCCTCCACATCTCCCTCGCCTCGAGGCTCATCCGCAGATCTACAGGATTATGTAGTCCGATCCCCATGATCTTGTTGAGGTCATTACCAGCCGATTGGGCCGAGGGGATAGGATACGTGTCGAGCAGAGTGATGTTGCTTGGGGTGTAGCCGGACCGGACGAGGTGGAGGGCCGTGGAGCAGCCGATGGTGCCTCCGCCGCCGACTATGATTATCTTGCTATCATTTCGAGAGGGCATGTCGGAGGGATGATAGTGTATCTGAAGATATGGGATGGTTGAAGGGGAACCCGAACAGTGTGGACAGGACAAAGGATCCTGCAGCCTATAACAGGTGCGGTCGGGCTTGGCCGGGGAAGCTTCCCCACTTTCCCCCACTTGCAGCGAGCTGAAGGTACTTAGTTGCAGTGAGGCAGTGCGCTGGACGCAGGACACTCGGTGGCAATTCTGGAGCAGTCCCTCTGCGTAATACACTACGCATATACCAAGCCCCTCGCAGCTCAGAGGGACTGCCGTCCAGATCAATACCCAGCGTCCGCGCGTGGAGCGACAGCTAGGACAGCGTAGTCTAAAGCAGTGTTGCTGCATAGTGCACGTCCAGTATCCGCCACTGTTGCGATAGGGCAAATATAGTACATCAAGAAAAGTACTGTACTTCCACCCCTACACTCCGAATAGGTTTCTGCCGACTGACAAGATCCGAGATGACGCCTATAGATACCAGGCAGTTCCGGATACGCGCCTCGTACAAAAGCGATATTGACTGTCTCGTCAGCCTGACTCTACAAGGCAAGGAGACAGACGTACCCAGTTCCCAGAGATCTTAGCCTTTAGTATTCCATCCCGATCTTCCGCCGTATCCCTCGTCGATTCCACTGTACCCAGTTCAGGCGTGGCGGAAGGTGTCGGTATGGGCGCAGCAACCGGATAGACTCGCTCATGCGCGAAAGGACCCGGCACCTCTGACAAAGCATGATGGTCCCGCCTCAGATCACCCTCCTCCAAGATCGCTTCCCTGCCTTGCGCCTTCTCGACCTCACCGGGCCCCTTCCAGCTGTCCCGACTCGGTTGCGGGTCCACCGCCGCAGATAAGCCGGGAGTGGTGCCGCTTTCGACTCGTTTCCCTCTTCGTCGGCCGATCCACCATTCCCCGCCGATACTCAGGTCGCTCTCGTACGAATAGACATTGACACCATATCTGGACGAAAGGGCGATGGTGGGCGAGATCTGGGCGGAGTAGGCAGTGGATACGAACCCCATGAGCGGGTTGTAGAGGAGGGTGAGTGTAGTCGGTGGGCTGAGGGGGTGATGGGATCCGGAGGAAGGGGTGGGCAGGGTCGAGAAGCGAAGTCCGGTCGAGACTGCGAGTCAGTGTGCGTCTGTACATAAAAGCCAAGGTGAACGCAGGAGGACTCACTACCGAAACTCCGCTGCATGGCAGAAAAGTAAACTTCGGCTCCAGCCGAGAATCGCCCCTTCAGACCTCCATCCATTGTCTCTCCATCCTCCCTCCCGGCCCCCTGAACCGCCACTTCCGCCAAAGATGGCTTCCCCACCGCTCCCGGTCCGGAAACGCCCTCCGACATCCCTTTCCAACCAAAGTTCCACAATCCCCTCCACCCAAACATCCCATCCTGGACACTGTAAGTGTACTCGGACGCATGCCGACCCGTGTCGTGTTGTAGAGATAGTATGATATTCCCAGGTGGAGGCGGACGCGACGCGGTGGTTGCTGTGGAAGTCTCGGATGGCTGTCGGGAATGGGACGGACCGGACGGGGAGGACGGGCGGGCCGACGGCGGCTGGGGATGTGAGAGGAAGGCTAGGTGCAATTGAAGGGTCGGAGTGAGGCGGCTGGTGGCTAGGCCGGAAAGGTGGAGGGAGGGGAAGTGGAGGCGGGAATAGAGTAGGTAGTCTGGAGGTGTTAGCGACAGTCACGGTGAGGTGGTATGGGGAACCGGGGTTGAGGGGGAAGCATACCCCTTCCTTCGACCCGTCTTCCGCCGAGCCAGAGCTCATCTTTCGGCGGCGGTCTATGTGGTAGTGGGTATATCCTGAATCGGTCGACGACATGCTTGAATGGCAGGTTGCGAGAAGGCCCGATCTGGAGTCATTCAGTACAGCTCTAGGGATTAGGCCTCAGGGAGTGGAGGGATAGTAGGACGGTGGTGTAGCACGTTGCTAGATGTGGTCGGGGTGTTGGCTTCCCCTGCTCCCTTTGCTCCCTTGCTCTCCCTCCGTGCCTACTAAGCCTCCACTCCCCGAGCCCTAATCCCTAGCAACTATCCCTGATCTGACCGCAAAGGTCGCAGTAACGGTCTACATTTGAGTATGGACTCACGTCTCTAAGCGCTTCTGAAGTCGTAATGTAGCTCAAGGACCCATTGAGCTGCGGTAGCGCGTCGAGGGCATAAGAGGTGAAGAAGATGGGTGTTGGAGAGTTTGCCAGTTGCAGTATGAGAGATTGAGGCAGCTGAAAGTCACTGAGCACGGTAAGTAATCAATCAGTAAGCAATACTGTTCGAGGTCGGGGAGTGTAGACTGACAGTAGTGCTATCCTATCAGCTGCACTTCGCGGACAAGAGGACAAGAGGACAAGAAGTCAAGGTGGACCGGACTTACCGCTCGAGCTCCTCGTCAGCTGCGAGTACGAGTTGTCTTCGTTCCATCCAATCGCCTGATAGTAGCTGCGGAGTATGAGCGTGCTGAAGGGCAGCATGGTGCTATCTCTGCATAGCAGTGGCAGTACAGTACAGTGCATACATACATAGCAAAAGACAGACAAGCATGATGATGGTGGAGGGCACGGAGTTCCGTTTGAACTCCGGGGAGCTTTGTTGTTTTGGTCCAGCCAGCTTGCGCCCCGCCCCCATAAAGGAGGATCCACACCTTCTCTTTCCTCGTTCAGACGGTCTATACACCCAGCCATCAGCCAGTAGGGCGTACCGCAAACGCCATGGGACATGCGGCGCCGGTAGCGCTGGGTATGCCCAGCCAGCCACGCCCGCTGTATACTAGCGCGACCTACCTGGTCCACCGACCTGGATCTATCCCACGTACGTCCCCTCAGTCAGCTCAAGAACGCTCAGCTGACGACAATGATAGGGCCAGCCCTTGTACTTAATGTCAGAAAAGGCCGACATGGCGGACAAGAAGCCTACATCTCCTTCAAAGGCCAGGATAAGCGCCTGGACACCTGGGTGCCTGAAACGGAGATAGGCGAGCAGGTCATTGAGGAAGCGGTAGCTGGGCCGAGTAGCTTGCCTATGAAGAGTCCAGGGGGATCTAAGCGGAGGAAACTCGCCAAGGTGAGCTACCTCGGTGAGACGAAAGAATGTCAAAACTCACCGCTTCAGCCTCTTTCGAGTCCCGCCCGCGCTTCTTCTTTCTCTGCAGATGGCGCCCGGCCTGCTACCCGTTCCGATAGGGAGGCCTCGGTTCTTCCATCGCCTGACAGAGAGCATGCTGCTATGACTCGTGTGCGAAACTTTGAAGATGCCCGCTTTGGCGAGTACCTGATCCGAACATGGTAAGTCTACCGTCCCCGTAAGCGGGCAGCGGGGCTGACCAGGTAGGTACTACTCTCCGTACCCGCTACCACCTGAGGAAGTACCCGCAACGTCAACGCATCAGCCTCCACATCGGCCACTGAGCGGTGCCGCAGCCAGAAAGGGAAAGGCTCCCGCTTCAGCCGCGGAAGTAGCGAGCCAAGAGATCAAAGGGAAGAATCAGGCCCCATCCCGCTCGATAGGCGATCTATTACATGGGGGAGTAGGTAAGGGCGGTGTGGGTGCGAGAGGTCGACTATGGGTGTGTGACGTGAGTTATCCTCGGTTGGGTTGAGAACCCTTCATGTGTCCGGAAGCTGAATCAACAGCTGTGCTTCAAGTACATGCGCTCTCGAGCCGCTTGGGAGAAGCATTCTGTTAGTCGCTAGTGTCGATTGAGTGCACACACTGATGTGTAGTCTGGATGCCAGCAATTCCTTCCGCCTGGGCGACGGGTATATCAGAGAGGCAGCTTTACTATCTGGGAGGTCGATGGAGCGGCGGCCACGGTACGTCTGCGGACTATCTAGAACCGATCCTAGGCTGATATTTTCAGTTATACTGTCAGAACCTCAGCCTATTTGGGAAGCTCTTCATTGACCACAAAGTACGTGGTCAACCTTAGCTTGTCATCCGTGAGGATCCCAGCTGACAAATCATAGTCTGTCTTCTTCCATGTAAGATCTGACCCCAGACCAATCTGACCATCTACTGATCTCTCGCGCAGGTGGAAAACTTCCTATTCTACATCATCTGCGACGCCTCCACATCCTACCGAGACCAACCTATGGCCTTCTTTTCCAAGGAGAAACTGTCGTTCGACGACTACAACCTCGCCTGTATAGTCACGTTCCCGCCATATCAGGGTTCTGGATTCGGCAAGCTGCTCATCGAGTTCAGTACGTGTTTGATTCTGCCTGAACGAACCGGAGAGGATTAGCTGATACCCAGGCTACTACCTCACGAAGCATCCAGCCACTCGCCCGATCAGCCTCTCTCCCGGGACGCCTGAACGACCCCTATCCGACCTCGGTCTCAAAGGCTACTTGGCGTACTGGTCGAGCACGATCTTGCGATATCTCCGCCAGGCACTCGCTGCTGCACCAAAACTCGAAGCGGCCGGAGAAGGGAAGGGAGCTGTTCACGGTGCGGCGGCTGTTGAGAAGAGAGGGAGAAGCACAAGGCGACGCCCCTCGACTGCTGTGGAAGGGGTATTGATTGATATAGCGGGGCACAGTGAGTTTTCTGACTTGTACGCCAGGCACAGGAACGAGGCTGATGGCCAGGTATGCTCAAGCATGATATCCCACGACATAAAGGTCAATACTCTCTGATTCTCACACTCTCAGCTCTCGCAGCGGCATGTCATCTCCGCGTGGACGATACAGCATTCGCACTCGCCGAGCTCGGTCTGCTGCGCCGTCGCCGGGCAGTGACTGTGCCGGCTCCTTCCAAGCGTATCCGGACCGGCGGCGATGACGATAAAGAGCAAGAGTACAGAGTGGATGCGGGAGATGGCTCGAGTGGAGGAGTGCCCAAGGAGGCAGGCGATGGGGAGTCGTTGGGCGAGTGGGAGGATGTCGAGGTTGTCATCCGCAGGGAAGAGGTGGAGAGGCTGTGTGGGGTCTGGGGGGTCAGGGAGTGTCCGATGCTTGATACGGAGTTTGTATTGCTTTGAGGTGATGCGATGGCTGAATACGATCAAGTGCCAAGGTGTGGTGAGACATAAGCGAAGGGAAAGGAGCAAGACGCTGCTAGCTGCTAGCTGTACGCTGCTTGGCAACGATGTTATCGATCGTTGGCAGCTCCGCATTCCTCGGATGACGTCACGTTGTCCGAGCTGGAACGTTGGAACTGGCTTCGCTGTATCACTCAACCCGTCTATCTTGCTTCTACTTTCATCCACCTCATCATGCCAGCCACAGGCACTGCGATGAGCTCACCGCTCCGAAACAACCTGCTGGAGAAGCTGTCGGCGTATCAGGCAGCCTCGTCAAGCTCAAATGTCCCTCCTCGAACATCATCCACGGGCGAAGAAAGCGATGCCGAGCTCGCTCTTAGGCTGATTCTCGAGTCTGGGCGCTACTCATCCGACGAGGCTGTAGAAGGCGCAGTCAACGAGTACATCGGCGGCAAGCCCCTTGCGTACATCACCAGTGAGCCCCTCCCTCTTCACCTCGACCTAAAGCTGACGCGCTGACGCGTAGACCTACACCCCTTCGGAGACCTGACCCTCGTCGTCCGGCCCCCGGTCTATATCCCTCGCGTCGAAACAGAACAATGGGTCCTCCTCCTCGCCTCCTCCATCCTATCTTCCCTTCCCGCATCACATCGACCTATCCGCATCCTGGACATTTGCTCCGGAAGCGGCTGCATCCCCCTCCTCCTCGCCTCGCAAGGCAAAGGGCGGATCCACGTCATTGGCGTAGACGTGGATGATCGTGCACTCGCAGTAGCGCGGGAGAACGCGGAGCGGAATAATCTGGCGGATGTGGCGAGCTTTGACAAGCTGGATTTGTTTGAGGATGCGGATGTGGAGGCGCTGAGGGAGAGGTTAGGGGGGTTCGATATGGTTGTGAGCAATCCACCGTATGTCAGCTCGGAGGATCTGAAGACGGTAGAGGGGAAATGGCATGAGGGGAAGTTTGCGCTACAAGGAAAGCTGAAGGGCGCTTCGGTAAGTTGATGGTCCCACCCATTCAGGTTTACCATGCGGTTCATACTGATCCGAAGGCTACGAACGATTCGACTACAGCAGACAATGACGATGGCTACTCCTTCTATCGTCGCATCCGATCAGTATACGCCGACTTCCTCCTCGCTGATCGGCCAAAGGAGATACCCAAGCTGGTACTCGAAGTAGGATCAAAGCAGTCGGGGCCGGTGCAGGATATGTACAAAGGAGAGGGCAGGATAGAGGTGTATAAGGAAACGGAGAGGAGGAGAGATATTGGCGCACCAAAGCTGGAAGTGGGGGATATGGTGGGCACGGAGCGGAGCTTGTGGATCTACCAGTCATAGAGGGGATTGTTGACATCTAGGTGTGGGCCAGTTCAAAGGTAGTATCGATGGCCTGGAATGAGACTGACTGCTCACGATGCTCATCTACCAGTCCATCAAGAGGACTCGATCCGCCGTCCTTACCACTTACTGATACCGAAGCGCTTTGGTCTAGCCTGTGTTCGGCCCGAGGTCCGATGCCTATCCTGGCCTTTCCGCTCTCTTTCACCTGGCACACACATGGCTCTCCGCTAATGTCAAAACTCCTTTCATCGATGTACCCCCTTTCTCCTTTTTGTCGCTCCTTTGGTGGTGTCTAGCTGCATTGTGGGCTTTGGTTACACAGCACAAAGTCCACAGAGCCTTGTCTCGCTCTCCTAGGGCACTGCCAGCCTACATAACGCGCGTGAGAGCTGACCATATCACCTACTTCACTTACACCGTACACGACGCAAGATGTTCCGCGCCGTGCTGCCCCTGACTAGCGGTCAACAGCTGAGTGTCCCGTCCATCCGTACCTCAATCTGGAAAGCGATCTGGTCGCACCGCAGAACACGTGCAGTCGCCATCATTCTTATGTCTGCCAGCTTGGCGCTGTTCATCCTGCTCACATCGACTACTCCACATGCAGACCCCCCATCCAGCGATATCACCCCTGTTCAAACGGGGTCAAAAGACGCCTACGTGCTCTTCCTTCCCACCTCAAGCATGGAACAATGGTATCTCCGCTCAGCGCTCGTCATGATCTTCGCACTGACAACTGATCCCCTATTCAAAGACCCAGCGGGACGCGACGTGGTCGTACTCACATCCAATATGACATCCTCAGAAGATATCGCCGAGCTACAGGCCGCAGGCGCCAAAATCCATCCCATCCCATACCTCATTGACGGACTCTTTCCGGACGTATCTCATACGTTTCCACGGTACAAGTACACCTTCAACAAAATCTGGGTTTGGGACCTGGTACAGTACGACAGGGTGCTATTCATGGACGCGGACATGATCTTTACGCGCCCGTTGGCGGATGTGTGGATAGACCCGCATGCGTGGCCCAAGTCGGGGTTGGCGGCTACAGCGGACCTCGGAGCGCAGCTGGACGGGACCTACTTCAATTCGGGGTTCATGATGGTCCGCCCGGATAGGGCGGTCTTTGAGGAGCTCAAGAAGGTGGAATTGGATGATGTCTTCTATCCAGATCAGGTGAGTGTTCATGGACTGCGGCAAAGATTCTCATACTGATACTGTAGAATCTACTGAACAAGTATTACAGTCGGCATGGCGATAAACCGTGGGAGCCGCTGAATCGGCAGTGAGTGTCCCCGCTGTGATCGGATCTCGTTATCGCAGTACTGATGAATAGCTTCCAAGCGCTACACCCCACAGCTAAGGATATAGCGGGAGGGGCATACACGTAAGTCCTGTCTACTCTTATCCCCTCCTATTCGAGGCTGATCGTCACGCCAGATTACAAGAAAAAGGCTGGAGCAAGGACACACCGTTTGAGGTCGGAAACATCTGGTGGACGTGGTATGGTCGTATGTTGGGCTGGCAGGAGGCCAAGGCTGATCAGACGAGGATGACAGCAGAGGCGCAGGAGATTAGTGTACTGAGGAGAGTTTAGGCATGGGTTTAGTATACCCATGTTGTATGTCGCATGCTTCCGATAGTATTCTACATGTATGACCAGGCCCATCTGTTAGTAGACTATTCATACCGATCATGATCCCAGCAGATCTCTGGTCGCAACGCTTAACTCGAAGGAATTCTTCGAGCCAATGAGAGTCGAGACGACATTGGGGCGGACGCTCGGAGCGCCGGCGGTCTCGTGCCACTCGACTATCCGTCATCATCATTTAGACAGCAACAGTCTGCCCCTTAGCACCTATTGACCTTGTCTCCTGGACCGCTGCTCTAAAGCTTTTAGTCTCTACCGGTTCATCTCGCAGCCTTCGCCAGACCTTTCTAGCTGTATACAACACCGTTCCTCCACAGGTCCTCTCCAACCTCCCTTGATGTGGGCGCAGCGGACTCGCCATTTTACCACCTGAGGCAGTCAGCTTGCTCTCGATAGCGTTCATCATAGCATCGCGGCTATCGCGGCCAATGCGAATGATAGCATGGGCCGGAAGAAGTCTTACGCACCTTGACAGATCAACTTTCGTGATCCACCTCGCACAGACAAGATACATCGCCCTCGATTTGGAGATGTACTGCGTGTTCCATCGTACCGTGCGATTGGTCAACATGAAGGTCGGCGGGCCAGTCATTTCTACAACGCTCTCATTGTCGTATAACTTGATCCTGCACTATCCTCAAATTAGCCCGATTTTACGAATCTTAACTATGAATCGCAATCGCTCACACTGCCTAGAAACTCCTCTGTTTTGCCACCAACCTGAGAGCTCCCGAGAAATTTCCACTCCTGCTGTGTGATCGGGGCTTCGACGGAGCTCCCTGTAGGCTTTTCGAGCTTCCCAAGTCCCCCGACAGTGATTTGCGGTCTGACTCTGCCCTCCACGAGGACGTTGTCGCCCCAAGGGTGGGTACCAGCCTTTCCCATAGTGGTCTCGCCGCTTATGATCTTGAAGTCCGGACCTATCATGATATCGATATTGTTGACGGGGCCATCACGAGCCTGGACACTGAGATCGGCGGCGACAGCGCGAGCATCTCCAGTGCTGAGGGCCAGCACCAGGGGTACAAGACCGTAAAATATCATACTGGAGTGCGGATGAGTACGTAGGGATGGGCTAGCGAGGTGTTTGAGCGTACTCGGTCTATACGAGTAACGGTCGCGGGCTGAGGTCGACCTTGAGAGGCAGTGGCAATTCGGTCTTTGATTGACTGTGTATACCGCAGATGGACAGTAAGCTGAACTGAGGAGACGGGAACGGGTATGCCGCGTTATACATCCCCACAATATTCGCCCCGAATCTCACCAAGGGCCGCGGGTCAGGTCTCCGTAGGAGGGCGATCTGAAAGGATCGGGCTCTACGTGCTGAAGGGAGTCGAGATCTCGAGGCACAAGTCAGCTCATCACATAGATGTCTGGGTGGACCAGGAATACCACGGGGAGCCGGCCCAGATGGGTATGGGGGACACGACTGCGGACTGCCAGGGGCCGTTGACAGCAGAGACATACAGCTGCTACTTCCTCGGGCCCGCCGCGCTTACTGTCTCACTGCTGACGTACATATAGCTGTTCAAAATACCAACGTGCTACGCTAGTTTGTCACCGCCTTCAAACAATTGAGCTTCTGAGGCTTGTCGTCGCAGCGAAGAGTAACACCATTGATGGTCACGTCCTGACAGTCCCCAAGTACATCCGCAGTATTCTTCAACTCATCAAGGGTTCGCAAGGTCAAGCGCCATTCGGCTCCCTGACCCTTGTCCTTCAGTTCCCCTTCCAGATGACACTGGTCTGCGTCAGCCGCAACGCGCATACCCACTCGTGCAGTACGACATGTGCTTACCTCTCGGACCACTTCCAGCCCCGCCGAGCCCGCTTGCTTCTCATGGAAGCTAAACACCCCTCGTCCTTTTTGCCACTCGGCTTTGGGGATCTTGATGGCGCTGCCCGGGCTGGCGTCGACGAGTAGGAACTTCTCATCGCCTGTGCCCTTCTCTTGGAAGTCAAGGTAGGTAGCGGTATCCACCCCAAAGATGTTCAGCCACGCCTTGTTGTCTACCCCTGTCGCTGACACCCGGATCGTCCCCGCCGCCGCCAGTACCGATGGAACAAGCATCCCTACGAGGGCTGCCGGGAACAGAATAGCTTTGACCATGTTGCGTTAGGTCTTTCGGGTAGTGCGATCGAATGGATGTATGCGAGAGGGGCTGGTAAACCGTTGATGTACAATAACGAAAGAGCAATAGCCCATCGCATACGCCTTAAAACAGGCCGATTACCGTGGGGGCGGTGATCGCGAAAGGAGCGGGATGTGCAAGGGTCGACAAGGGAGCGGAATATGTGAGATGTGTCCTCTCAGGGTCTCAAGGATGAAAGCAACCTCTTCGTCCATTCACAAGATGACCTCTCGATCCCACCTACCAGGAGATGGATCTCAGGGGACGATCCCAGACAAAGCAGCAGGCTGTGACAGGTTAGATGACAAGGGCTATCCCTTTCTAGGTCCTTTGTAGTTATTTGGGGTCACCTTTGTATGGCCAATTAAGGAGGGGCGACAATTGTGAACAATGAACAGCTCGACTACTGACAAGTCTGATCACTTGAACGGCCGACATCGCCGTACCGCTCACAAGCCCCTGGTCTGCGCTCATTAAGACCTATCAACCAGCTAATTATCGTTGCATTATGTGAGTGGGTGGCGAATCGCCGTTTGGACATTACTTGCAACTGTCTGGGCGAGACAAGCCAGACAGTGGACAAGAGTACTACATATGTGCTCTGGCTACTGAGTGACTGAGAGCATGCTCGCCCCATATCGGTATAGCCGTTAGCACCGAGCATTCCGGGTTCGGGTACGTACCCGATACGGCCTGATAGGACCGAAGGCAGTATCCGTATCCTACCCATACCCCATTTCTAGGGGAGTCTCGTACCCGTACCCGTACCCGAAATTTGGCCAATACCCGGTATATACCGGGTAAAACCCAATACCCATGGGCCAAGATAGTGTACCTCAGGTATGCCTTCCGACGCGCTCCTGCGGATCTTTACGGCTGTTATATCTCCCTCGTGAGCTAGCAGAGCCATATCAGCACTCTCCATGCGCAACAAGCGCATCGGCGGCACTTTGCCACTGGGTGGCAAATTCAATGATCCTCATTCCTCATCTCGTAAGCGCCAGCGTCCAAACCTTGATGATGTTCAGACGTTGCACCGGCCCGTTCCAGGGCCTTGTCGCCCGTGCTACATGACTAGCAACAGTGGTTCACAAGTCTCCGGGGCCAGCTATCCAAGCGCTGGCTTGACAGGTTTGCAGTGTGAGAGCCTCGGGTACGCCGGGTATACCCGGTATATACCCGCCCATACCCAGTTGCCCCTAGCTGAGACCCGTATCCGCACCTACCCCGAAGTCGCCCCGGATCTCGGACCCGCATCCGTACTCTTGAAAGGTTACGGGTATTTTTGGGGTATTATCCGGTGTATCCGTACCCATGCTTGGTGCTAATAGCCGTGTCCGTCTATCGGGCAATCGGCCCGTTGCGATCTAACGGGATTACCGTCCCGTTGCCGTCTCCGTTTGTAGACTCACTAGGGTGTTGCACTAGCACTTTGGGGTGGCGCAACACTTGTCAGATTGCAATCTTGTGCCTGACTTGGGCTCTCCGCCGTCCAAGGCCGTCTAAGGATCTTCGATTCTCGAAACGGCAACGGGAAATCCGTCCGAGCTCAACAGGAAATGCGCTCGACGGGCAACCTTCTCGATAGCCTCATTACTCAGACGTCGCTGCAACACCTTGTCCACCTTCTCCACCACAAGCGGGGAAGAAAGGGAAAAGCCATCATGTCATTTTACGGCATCTGTACAGTGGCTCAGAGTGGAGGAGGACAATGTGTGCAACCCCCACTGAGGATCGATCCCAACTACTGTACAATGAATGACGTAAATCCGAAAGTAGGGGGTAGGCTGAGTATATTGAGTCTACCTTCTCGACGCTCGTTGACTAATTCGACTCTCGAATTTCCGTTTCCGGCCGGGAACAGGAAAGCGGGCAGCGTACTTTGCTCTCGTATGTATATAAGCACGGCGCTCCGGGTAAATAGATGCTATGTGCGGAGACGCGAACACTTATTATGCCTCGCGGTCTCACATGCGCTTCACTGCCTCGGGGTCCGAGAGACCCACTTTCATGTCTTCACTCCCTCGGTCTCCTCCTGTCCCTCGCGGCTCGCCAGCTGATGACCCAACATCTTCCCTACTTTCATGCTCCATAGACTAGTCAATGCCCAGTCCCCACTGTCCATCCAGCATTTTTCATGTAGCCTATGCGTCAGTGCAGAATACTACTAGTATCGGCGAGAAGGCGCACTTACATGGCGATGCCCTTGGCAAGATCTTCGGCATCAGGCTTGGTCTTCATCCATCTGAATGTAAGCATGGCCCTGACAGAAGACGTAGAGTATAGACCCACTTTTCGTCTAGTGCGGACCAGGGATGCGGGCCGTCCTTCCGGAAGTACTTATCGAGTAGCGACTACATGATGAGTGATGGACCGTCGACCTTGTCAAACTGCAATATAACTCACCTGCCCAATGTCCTGCATTGGACCCGGGGAGCCTTGAACCAAGAGAAGCTCCTCGAACATCGTCCGATTGGGTCTAGCAATTACGAAGCTTGAGTCAAGATAGTCAGTCCCCGGATCCGAGTGGAGTACGGAACGAGCAGCCAGTCCCGTCTCAGCTTGAGATTCCGGCTCATCCCAGATCCCTTCGAGTGACCTCACCATCAAGAAGTCAGAGTCGGCGAGTAGGACACGCTCGTATTGAATCATATTCCAGACGAGGAGTTTATTGTAGCAATGTCTGCAGATGTGATCGCTGTTGATATCGAAGGGGTCCGTAATGGAAGGGATGAGGTCGTGGCGGAAAATGATTGCGCCATCGGCCCGCAGTTGGTCTTCAACCTCGACAGGAACATGAGGAGTCGTCATGACGATAACGTCCCGACTCGGGTCGCGGGTATAGTGGTCGTATTTGTAGCCATAGAGTAGGACGCGCAGAGCGAGAAGATACTCCTCTCGCTCCACGGAAGGTAGAGACAGGACATACGCTTCTTTGGACGTTGCCAGGCTCGTCTCGTGTTTAGGGAGGAGGAGAGTCGAAGGGAAGAAGCTCAGAGATGGTCGAAGGAGATCGTAGGATACGCTGTCCAGGATCCAATCGGCAGAGAGAAGCACACATGTCCAAAAGGACAGCATACCGACGAACATGCCGAAGATGCGGAGGTTGTGTCGAGGAAGGGTGACTTCGAGATCATCGACTTTTTCAGAGAACGCAGAGTCTTGACGCCAGTCACGTGCTATGATTTCCATATTATAAGAAGGATGTATGTGTCTTGTCAGTCATTAGATTGAGGCATCCCTTGCTGCGTCGGCTTAGATTGAAATCGAACTGGTGAATAGCTCAAGAACAAAGCACGTCTGTCATCAAAGGAGACGGCTTACCGCATTTGACATACTTACACCTTCAAAGCAGCTCAAGAACAGAGCACATATGTCAGAAAAGGAGTCAGCTTGTCTTCCTGTACGGATTTAACCGCGTGAAAGCGGCAGGAGAACAAAGCAGATAGTAAGGGACGAGTCAGCTATGTGTCAAGAAAGGAAGTCAGAAAGGCGCGCGGCGCCGCGCGCAGATCACAAAGGAGGGCTTGGAACAAGGGGACCAAAATCGGAGTGCTACCTGTCCTCCGGTCCGTCTACGGCGCGGCGGAGAGTTGCACATCCTGTCATTGATCCGATCAGAGTATTCATCAGCGCATCGCGTTGTCCCGTGCGTAGCGCCGTGATCAAATCGATCAACAGCGAGCTGCTCGGAGGACAATTTTCCTCCATGTATGACCCGCTTTTGATGGGCAGAATCGCAGGATTAGGTGATCTGAATACCCCAGTGCGCATCTTGACCTCTTGACGGCCCCAGAACCAAGAGAAATGCAGGTTATCAGTACATGAGCATGACCCGTACATATGCAGAGCGTTGCGAAAGCGCTATCGGCCGGATCGATGCGGCGTGCCGGCATAGCACGAACCGGAGAAATAAGAGAAAACCTCGCCTAGTATTTACTATGGCTGTGCGCGCACGCTTGCCCGCCCTGTAGTTCAAGTTACTTTCCTCTACCTATCTCCTCAGTATCCACAGCTGCGCCGCACACCTACGAGAAGACATACCCCTAGACTAGCCCTGCGAAGCCATCATGGAAGGCACAATCGCTGGCCCGTCTCGCCTGCCGACCATTTCCACTGACGACGAGGAGAAGACCGCCGAGAGCGGTGTCGCCGGTTCTGCGCAGCCAACTTCAGGAGGACCGACTGGAGACTTAGAGTCACAGCCACCCGCTCAGCCAGATCCCAACGCTCTACCGGAATCTGCCTGTGAAACGCTATACATCCAAAATCTAAATGAGAAGGTACAGGTGGATGGTAAGCTTGAGGTCTTTGGGACCAGGGAACACAGCTGATGTCCCAGTGATGAAGCACACTCTGCAGAACCTATTCAAGACATACCGCCCGGTTCTGCCCATCGTCGCTCATCGGAATGTCAGGATGCGAGGCCAGGCGTTTGTCAGCTTTCCAGATAGGGAACTGGCAAATAGGGCGAGGAAGGAGGTCAACGAGTTCCCGCTGTATGGAAAGGCGATGGTAAGTACTCGAGTGATTGTGCGGAGTCAGAGCTGATGAGTCAGGTGATCACATTTGCAAAGTCAAAATCTGACGCGACCGTCAAGCGTACTGCGGGCGAGGAGGCATTGGAGGAGCACAAGAAGGAACGTCTGGCCGACAAGAGTGAGTTCTGCTTGGCTTCAAGAATGGTCTCCGCTGACAATCAGAGCGCAAGCGAAGAGACAATCCTCTCCGCCGCAAAGCACTGGAAAAGCTCAAAGCAGGCGGTGAGTTATGCCTATTTCCCTGAGTGGATACCGCTCATTCCGCAGACGATACCGCAGCACCATCTGCGGCACCCGCTAAGAAGGCTCGTGTCACTATGCCTGACGAATACCTCCCACCCAACAATATTCTCTTCATCCAGAATTTGCCAGAGGGAACGACGTCAGACGATCTCCGCGAGGTGTTTGAGCTGTACGTACCCTTCCTTCAGCCTACATGTCGGTCAATATGCTGACAATGCAGGCATCCTGGACTGGTCGAGATCCGTACCATCCCTGCGAAGAAAGATATCGCGTTTGTCGAATACGCGGACGAAGCTGCGGCGACTATAGCCAAAGACATACTGCACAACTTCAAAATCGACGGCGAGACCAAGATGAAGGTAACGTACGCAAGGCGGTGAGAGCGGATACGTATGCCCAGTCATTGTAGTGGACAGGGTATGCGTCTATGGGATATAGACTGTACACCGCGATTTACTGATTATCGCTGACCTGGGCCTTTCGCCTCGCCTCCTTGGCCATGCGCCAGCCCCTCATCCTGCCCATCCGCTCAAACCACAGATTTTGCACCCCTGCATTGGTGATATCCCACCACGCTTTGGCTTGAATACTAGGAGGGTCAGTACAAGCCATGTCCCACCAAGACTCACACGTTCGTCCCTGCTTCGAGATCTTCTTCTTTTGCCATGTTCGAGTGAAATCTTTTGCTGATCAGCTCTGACCTCGCGTCTGGTCTGGATTCTCAGCTTACAGGTGGTCTAGTGGCACCCACGGGTGGGGTCCATCACGGGAGAAATAGATGTTGAGCAGGTCCTACTGTTCAGTGCGGGTTCTTCTCGGGGATCCACAAACTCACTTGGTCCGGCCATTGAAGCGAGGATTCTGAAAGATCCACCCTCAAGATCTCTTCGAATGTCTGCTGATCCGGTCGGATCATCATGAAGCCCGAGTTGAAGTACGGCCCGTCAGGCATCGGCGTCTGATAAACGCCTTGCCAGTCAGCCGTTGCCGCCAGTCTATGCTCCGGCATAGAGTTCCGACTCTCCCAAATCGGGTGGATGGGTCGATTGAAGACCATATCCGAGTCCATGTATAGCACTCGATCGTATTCGGTCAATGCGAATGCCCACACCTTATCCCATACGTAGTGGTATGTCTCGGGCCAAGAGTCTCGATGGGGGAAGACATTTCGGAGACTGTGCGGAACACGGAAGATCTTAGCGCCGGCACGCTCGAGCTGCTGGATGTCGGCCTCGGCGGTCTGGTTGGTCACCATGACGACCACATCACGATTGGACGGGTCGCGAAGCTCGGTATCAGTCTTGAGGCTGAAAAGGGTAAGGAGGTGGCAGTAGTCCATATAGTCTGACTGGATACTCGCCGGGTCGTACAGGACGTACGCCTCTTTGGGATGAGATGATTGGTGGGCTTGAGGGAAGGCTTGGGGGATATATGAGGGGTACTTGGAGGTGCTGATCAGAATATAGGTGATGCAGGCGCTCACGATGATGAGGAATGTGCAGAAAGCGGCGATCATCTGGCGTCGACTTGGGCGGCGGCTTGTGTCACAGCTACTGAAGGGCAAGTCTGACCACTCTGACCATGAAGCTCGCATAGCGGTAGGCATGTTGATGAGAGGTCCCGCTCCGTAGGTTGTTTTCGGTTGATGTGGACAAGAAATGCAGGCAAACTTGGAGGTCCGATTTCGCACGCAGTTCCTATTCGTGAACTCGCTTTGAGGTTATTCGCCCCGGATCCCTTGGTACGAGACATCTCTTTCTTAAGGCTGACAAAGGAATGGGACACCAGCAGTCATAACAAAGGCAGGGCCTCCACTGTTCTCCTCCTCATTGTTCCGAAGGTAGAGCCTCCACTGTCTTCTTCCCCTTCGTTCCGAAGGTATCGCCTCCACTGTCCTCTTCCTCATTGTTCCGATTGCGTGTTGATATAACAACGGAGGCTCCTTTATGTGCGGCCCTCATCGATACCGATCGGCCTTTGTGGACGACGACAAAGGGGCATGCATCATAGCGGCTAGATCAAAGGTGAATACGCCCTTATACATACCCGTGGAGTTACTTAAACGGCGTGGGCACTCCCTCTTTTCTACATCCAACCTTGTTAGCCTGATCGCCAACCCGCGAAAGAACTACAAACTTAGTATGTCCGCCAAGACTTCTTACCGTCCCCCTTTTCAGCCGAACATCGTCCGCAGTGCGTGCCGCAAGCCACGATGGGCAGCGGCCATACTCGCCGCCGGGGCGCTTCTGCTTATCGCCTCGGCCTCCTATCTGGGGTACCCGATCCTTGACGACGCGGATATCCTCGCTATCGCAAGGCATCATGGTCAACACTACAAAGCCGTCGGCCGGAGGCCCGATCACTCCCTCCTTGATCTCATGCTTCCTCTCGCCACCAACAGCCGTACGCGTTCCGCCGCTCGTGATGTACTCGAACGTACTAGCGGATACCTGACTGACCTCGACGAGGCGGCGATGAACGAGGTATGGGGCTACGAGCTCCATAATCTTACCTACGACGCCTACGTCACCGACCTAATGGACATGTATCAAGAATTCTTCGTCCCTCTCACCCAGGCCGACCCTCACGGCTACAAATCCAGCACATCTTATTTGAAGGACATAAAGCACCGACCACTCTTCAAGCCATTTCTGGACCAGATGGCTGCCTTCCTCTCCTTCCTACCGGTGCGCTCCTGTCCTCTAACTCGCAAGATCCACACCACTATGAAGTCATACCCTGCCGACCTACACGAGGAATTTGGAACGTGGACTAGCAAGAACCCCGGCTGGAAGCTCGACTACACCACCGATCCTGATTGGGACCGATGGCTTGAGGAGGAGTTCAGAGGTACCGGTCTGGCGAGGGAATTTGACGCGATCAAGGCGGACAATAGAGTGATCGGCGGAGACCTCGTGCGGTGAGCTGGGGCGATGTCTTCTATTGATCTGCGGCATGACAGTCGCTGAGGCCTCCAGGTACCTCCTAGTGTTAATCGAGGGGGGTCTTTACACCGATTCGGATACTGCAGCAGAACTTCCCGTCGCTCAATGGGGCGAGAAGTTCTTCGAACAGCCGGTCCCTCGCCTTCCCTACGACATACTGAGCGACATTGATGATGTGCTTCCCGCATGCGTCTCGCAGAAGCAGATGGAAGATCAGGATCAGGACAAAGAACAAGATGACCCGCCATCTTTCATTATCGCCCAAGAATTTGACTATGTGGACTGGCGGCATCAGGACAAGGCCAGCCGGCGGGAGGTGTCCCAATGGACCTTTTACGCTGCCAGAGGTCATCCGATACTCCTTGACGCTCTGGGAAGGTCTTTACGCGCAGTCAAGGAGAAACGCCTCCGCATGGGAGGCGGCAAGTGGGAAATGTCAGGGTTCCACGAAATTCTACGCCTAGCAGGCCCAACATCTCTGTGAGTTCAGTCAGCCGGGACCAGCCAGAATAGTAGCTCACCGAGGTCAGTGCGAACGCTCTCCAGCGATACTTGATCGTGCGTTACGGAATCACGCCCGAGAAGCTTCCCGGGATTACGACCTCCCTACGTATCGGCGACGTACTGTAAGGCAAGCTTCGACTTAGATGAGATGCAGCTGAATCAGAACGGCTTGCTTCCAGAGCGGTCTTTCCATGGCTACGGCATGGCTGTTGGAGTCCCCGCTTGCAGTCGGCACAAGTGAGCCTTCTTTTCCCGGGTGAGGCGCTCAACAGGGGGCCCTGCTAACTATGTCATAGGTTTTCCGGAAGATGGGGCGCGGCTCTACCACCTGGTGACGGCCATTAGACTTCGTAGAATTGCATACAACAGGCCAGGGCAGTCCTCATCCATGCCAAGATTGAACAGAGGCAGAATGTAATACGTATGCTCAGAGCGCGCGGGGCCGATTCAGCGATCGAACGACCAAAACCTTACTACCGTCTCACTGGGCTGTTGCTCACATACAGATGGACGAAAAACGCGCCTAAAATGGCATACCTGACTCAAGACATCGCCCTGTATGTGTGACGTCCTGCATCGAGTGGCTCGTACTGACTTATAGACTCCACGAGGAATGCCGGATGAACAATAGGGACTGGGAATCAAGCGGTCTATGGAGCGAGAAATTAGGGAAGATGTTGGGCTGTCAAGAGGCGAAGCGCGAGCGGCAGGAGAAGTCAGCAGGCGGAGGAGCACGAACGTAGGACTTGATGCCCCGAGGCCGTGAAGCCTATATGGGACAGTAAGAGAAACATGTGTGGGTCCTGCCCACAGCATCCAGCGCCATGCTTCTACATGAACACAGGACGCTCGCTGTCCGCGTTCATCTGTGGGAGTTTGATTTATCGATGACGCATACGGCGAGGCATGAGGAGCGGACCGATTCGGCACATCAGATCAGCAGATCAGTAGTCAGGAGGAGCGTTATTCAGGATCGTTGTTCAGCTCCCATTCTTGCTACCGGCGTTTACGTAGCGCATGCTGTCAGCAACCGTGTCACCCCCCTCCAACTTCCTGTCACCAATACCCTAACGTCTCGTCGACTCGCCCCTCCCCTTTTTTGCCTCTGACAGATACCTTCCCTGCACCCCTGACGCCTAGCTTCATACCATCGCTGACTGCAAAGAATTGACCCTCGTCGCTGATAATGAGACCGATCCTGTTCATAGTCAGCGACACAGTGTTATGGTAAGGGGAGTGACGCATGCGAAGACCTTCCAATCATGCTCGGACACTTCATGGACCATGACCATCCGATGGATTCGCAACGCGCCGACGAGTTGCCATTTTGAGACAGCGGCAAGAGGCAAGGTTGCCGGGTTGGAGACCTGAGCCGGTCCGAGGTCATGCGGTATGCCCAGCTCGTCGATCACAGGGTGTGTCCCCATATCTACCGTGTAAGCTGCGCGTCCGAGATTGGCATGCCGCACTCCCGTTGAGTTCAGGATCGTGAAGCCATCATCATGTCGACGAGGGCGAGCGAGTGGCGCAGGGAAGAGAAAGGTGGTCGAGCTTGTCAAGAGATAGAACACAAGGGCGCTTGAGACCACTGCGGCGCAGGCACCAGCCCATAGCAGCCGCAGAAGTGCTGCACGTCGCGAGCGCGTCGGCCCGCGCGAGCCGGCATAGCTCCGCTGTGGTAACATACACGAGTAAGTTGCCCGACTTGCAGAGGAGCTTGGAGTGGCGACGTGCACCCAGAACATGCGATTGTCTCCTGTCAGATTCGTAGTCAGGCTCCCAGACAAGGAATCCATCAAAGGAGTCATTAAATGCAGTGAGATGAGCTGGGTATCACCCTCAGTACGATCCTTCCTTTCTTCACCGGCCATGCTCCAGGTGGACACCCCGCCATGACATGGTTCCTTTCAGGTGTGCAGTGTCTTGATGGATTGTCCTGTGAAGAGGTATTAGCGGGCTCTTGTGCCTCCCTCACCGCCGACCGATTCTTGCTGCCGCTGGTAAATCCTGAACATGCGCTCACTCATCGACGTCAGCAAGTATGAGTGGCCAGGGTATCAGGAACAACGGGATGTCGGTCAGTCCAAGAAGTTCCTTGGGGACAACTTTCCTGTGTCCCGGCGTCGAGCCCGGGTGCTCCGCTATTCTGTCAGCGCAATACTCTCTGGTATAGGCTTGCTCCTCCTATTCCGATTGATGTACCCCGGCTTGACTCCCGCCATGCTCCGCCTACCATCCAGTATCCTTCCATACGCCCCCTCGTACGCCACGGAATCAGCTGGACTCACCACATCCAAGGAGGCGTATGTTCTCTTCCTCCCCTCAGTCACTCACGAAGAATACCTCCTCGGCGTCCGCGTCCTCCTTTTTGGGTACAAGTACGATCACGACACCCGCGATCCTTCACGGGACGTAGTGGTCATGACTACTCCCCAGGTACCGCTAGAAGTCGAAGAGCTGCTACGGTCGGAAGGGGCCATCATCTCTCGGAACGATCTGATCACTTCCATCCCCAGTACGCTCGATGTCACGGCGATCAGCGATACAAGGACATGTACAACAAGCTACACATCTGGAGCTTGACTCAGTACGAGCGCGTTCTCTACACCGATGCGGACTGCTTGATGACCCGTTCGCTCAAGGGGATCTGGGACGAGCCCGAGGCGCGCGGGGTGGCATCAGCGTCTAGGTCCTTGACGAATTCAGTGCTGGGCGATACCTACCTGGATGCTGGGTTCCTACTGGTCAGACCTGATCGGAAGAAGTTTGAGGAGTTACTTCTTGTCCGAGACTTTGCGGGTCTTCTGGGAGATATGGAGCAGGTTAGTCGGAGTCATACCACCTGCTGTCGGTCCGTGTGGACGTTGACATCTAGGCGCTTCTCAACAAGTACTTCCGCAAGGATGGCCCTCATCCGTGGACAACTCTGAGGCGACCGTGAGCACTGCCAGATTGTCAGCTATCATTAGTCTGACCAGTAGATGGGTCAAGGCAGCGCCAGATAAGACAGATCTGATGGCGCCGAATCCGCCGATGTAAGTGAGGAGACATGAGCGCGAAGATAGAAGCTGAGGTCTCGGCTGACCCACAGGCTGCACGGGATGTGCTGGGCTGAAGAGTGCGATTGGGAGCTTCGAAGTCTGTGGCATAAGAAGCTAGGCAAGATGCTGGGTTTCCATGCGGCCAGGCGGCAGAAGGAAGAAGAGGGCCAGCGAGACTTGTAATACAAATCTTTAGTCAGATGAGATAAGCAAGTCAGTACACCGCAACTCTGTTCAGCCTATATCGCCCGGCGTCAGTACAGACGAGATCGCATGCTTTCCCGCCGGTAGATCACCCCCATCCGACTTCCCACCACCAATACCCCAACGTCTCGTCCACCCGCCCCTCTCCCTTCTTGCCTCTGACGGACACCTTCCCTGCGCCTCTTACTCCTAGCTTCAGCTTGCGGGCAATGCCCAGACCCTCCCCGCCTGCCGCAACGCGAGCCGATAAAGGTGGATATGACGCCAGAGTTGGGAAGTGGGTATCGATCGACTCGAGCTCCGGGGCGAAGGTGGGGCGGAGTGGTGAGAGAATGTGCTATACAATCAGCGAGTGTCTTCAACGGTCTAATTCCTTGTACCGGAACAGATACTCACGAATGTGCCACCCTCATCCCCCTCGGCATCCTCGATCGGTAGTCTCAAAACCCACCCGGCCACATGCCGCAACATCTCCGCGTGCGTGGGGTCATAAACGCAGTCAGACGCTAGGACAAGCTCGAATGGCTCATCCATGAACCTCTCCGTCTCCTCTGACCCGTCCGCCTCGCTCGCGGGCGCACCTTCAACCGCAGGCTTCTCCGTACCGCCCGCACTGAAGCGCTTTGCCATGTGCGCGGGGAACGTCGTCCAGTCCAGCTTGGCGATATGTATCCCCGAGTATGATGACTGGGTGGAGGATGTGGTGTCGCTAGGGGGAAAGTTGAGATCAACGCAGATCTTGAGATTGTCGATGACCGACGGAAGAAAGTCCGTGGCGACGACCAGTCCGGGTGACACCTGCCGAGTTGACGGTTCCCCATGCGCAGCAGTCAGAGCCTGTAGATCAAGGATCTTACGGCACAGGATGGACAGCAGACCAGTGCCTGCGCCGAGCTCAAGGATCCTGACCCCTCCCCCTCCCCGTCTTGGCTGCGCCGAAACGTCTAACCCAAAACGTTGAGGCCGGAGCGCCATCTCCCTCCCCAGTAGTATAGCACTGCCCCAGGTCTGGACGCCGACGCTCAGATGGTCCCCCATCGGCGCGTCGTGCAGAAGGACCGGGATAGCTGGACGCCGTTTCCGCTGAGAAGATGCCGCCTGACCGGAAGAGCGGGACAGATTGGACGATGCCCTTCGACGAGTGACGACGGGTGGAGAAGAAGAGAGGGATAGTCGACGCAGTTGAAGAGGGGATGTAGGCGGGCTTGCGAGGGAGGCGAGGAAGGTGTGGGTAGTAGGAGATAGATTTGGGTTGGCGGTCATTTGCGACCGGGATGCTCGGAGGGCTGCAGCGAGGTCGGTGTGCACGGGGAAGAGGAGGTGTCGAGTAAGGGAGCCAGCGGCTGTATGATCAGCATCAAGTCTCCACTGCGCACAATTGATCAGTATATGAGAAACCTACCACTCGTCCCAGCCATCATCGCCAAAGCCGCCGTCGCAGCCTTCAACACAGCTTCCACCTCCCTCATCTGCAGTCCACCAGTCTCAGCTTCAACTTGCTCCCCCTGCTCCACTCCATCTTCCTCATACCCTGGGTCATTCTCCTCGACCCAGGTCTGCGCCCTTCGAAAGACACCTTCGAGCCATTTCTGCGCCCAGTCCCGCTCGAACGGGTCGAGATGGGCACGAGAGTCGTCTTCTTCCTGGTCCTCCTCATCCTTTTCCTCTTCGGACTGTGTATAGCCCTCCTCCTCCTGCTCTTCAAAGATCCCAGTGGTACCCCTTAACTGCAGTGACCCAGGTATAGGCCCCGGCTGAGCTCCCGCTCCACCTACTCCTGCGCCCCCTTGCTCCAGAGCCGCTCGCTTCGGTCTCCTCGTCAGCCGAGAGGGTCCAGCTCCACCCTCGTCATCACTATCGCCATCATCGTAGAACGCGTCCGACACGCTGAGTCCACCATGTATAGGTGGCAGGTACAGCTGGCGCAGGACCGAGATGTGCGATAGGAGCTCGGTCGGCGCGAGGGGTGAGAAGGTGGATGCTGTCCGGGGAAGATAAGGGAGGAATCTGGTAGGCAATATTTCGGGCATGATCTGCCATTGAGCCCCCGACTCAGAGAGCTACCGGGAAGGAGGATGGAAGGAGGGGATGAAGAAGCTATCCAGGGCAAAGACAAGAACAAGAAACGAAATTTTCCGCACGGAATGAGGTGCATCATACATTTGAGGCGGTAAGGTCTGTACATACATATGTTGTTTTTTTACTGTATAAAGGAGGATGCATGAGCAGCTAACTAGTTTCGCCCCAAGACTACCTTGCTAGCTACCGCTACAAACCTTCCCCAAAGTGACGTGGTATTTCGCTCAGAACAACACTCCCCTCGACATCCACGTCCCTACACAGCTGTTATCTAGTTTTCTAGCGACAGTGTCGATATACGATATCACTACATCCGGGAACAGATTGAGGCGGGGATCATCAGGGTCGACTACGTGAGGACCTCAGAGCAGTATGCGGACATTTTTACGGAGCCGCTCCCATTTTCTACCCATAAATACCTTTGCGAAAAGCTTGGGCTTACCTCGCCGCCCCCTCTCTCTCTCTCCCCTCCCACTCCCACCAATACCGGTCACGCACTACTCGTATTCGGCGCCATCATGTCTCAACGTCTTACCAAGAAACAGAGGCTCGGCAAGGGCGGCCCTTGTTGGCACTGCGGTCTTCCCGATCACGAACGGTACAGCTGCCCAACATACACCCCTCCCCCACCTCGGCCCAGGACTCCTCCTGGAACGCCCAGCCGACCGCTAGTCCAAGCTGCGGTCCAAGCGGTACCTACTACTGGCGGAACCGAGATGGAGACGGGTACTATAGAGCAGGGGCTGGGCGCCTCGGCTCAGGAGTCGGTAGAGCAGGGGCATGGCGCCTCAGCTCAGGTCACAGGGGAGCAGGGGCAAGGCGCCCCAGCTCCGGCGGCGGAGGGGCAGGCGGAGTCACACCCACCCCTCTTCTGGAAGCCGCGCTACGATGGTTTCGATCCATCTGCAGCTCCGGCGGCGGAGGGGCAGGCGGAGTCACACCCACCCCTCTTCTGGAAGCCGCGCTACGATGGTTTCGATCCATCTGCGTACTCTCAACTCGCGAGGCGGTGGATGGGGGTGATACCATGGAACAAGACGCAACTACTCAACAATCAGCAAATTAGCGCCGCGCTCCATTACCGCACCCTCATCCCCGGCTCCATCCACTGCCCCCGCTGCGGTACCCATTCGGCGGAACTCGGTCACAGCGAGACCTGCGACCCCTACTTCAAATACGCCCGGCACAACGCGGTCGTACATGCACTAGGGCACGCCGTCCAGTCTAGAGGTGTTCGGGTCGAGTACGAACCAACATCCACCGATAACAATCAGAAACGCAACGACCTCCGGGTATGGGCGTCGGGCATTATCGGTACGGCTACAACGAAACATGACATCAAGGTCTACTCCATCTTTACCGAGGACGCATACTCCTCGTTTGGAAACCCGAGACTAGAAGCGGGCGAGGTGATGAGGTCGACCAAGCGGCCCGAGTGGGAGCGGGTCAGGCTACAGGCGGAAGGGTGGCTGAAGAAGATAGCCAAGAAGACCACGGTGGACGCGCCAGGAGGGGTCGGGACGTTTACGCCGATGGTATTTTCAACAGGAGGATTCATTCAGAAGGAGGCGAAGAAGCAGATGGACGAGTGGCAGAGCGGGATCTCGGAGGGGAAGTGGGCATGGATGATGAAGAGGATATCTTTGAGCTTAGTGAAAATGAGGGCGCAGACGATGACGTGGTAATTAATTTGATAGGCTAGTTTAAATCCATAGATCTTGTTCAGTAGGATAAATGCATTAGCCACAATACATATATAGTACTTTCAGAGGACTGAACCGATCGAAAGAGACACAGTAATCAACCCGGGATTTCGTCCGGATCAGGTCTTCCATGATCCCTTGAAGTGAAGCTGCACCATCGCCTCTGAACCTGCACTGTCAGCAATGATCCTCCCGCTCCTTCACGCATGGACTCACTCCACACATCTCCCGCGCGAAAATTACCCACGCCCGGGCTAAAACCCGTCACTGGCAAGACTAGCACGTCCCCTACTCTTAGTGGCCGTTCCAACCCTCTCAGATCCCGCCATGTCATCCCATACCGTGCGAATAGGTAGCTCAGTACGGCATCTGTAAAGACTGAGGGGCCTGTCCAATTGATGACGCCTAGTGGGCCGCCATGCCGAGGCTCGCTGAGGACGTTGATCTCCCCCAGATGGGCGAGTTGGGCTTCGAGCTCGATCCGAAGATCTGAGGGGGGCGATCTGGGCAGCGAGGACAGCTGAGTGAGAAGGGAAGTATAATTGTTGTAGTGGCCCTGAGCAAATGTGATTGCGGTCGGGGTATTGTGCAGTATTCGGAGCACGGCGGATAGTGCAATAGGATGATACGGCGCCATAGCCATGGTCCACTGTAAGATCTGTAGCTGTTACTATCAGCTTCGGACGCCCGCGATAGGCCAAGCTCGCAAGTACAACAGCTTACAGGCCTGGGCCACCACTCCGCCCAATCTTCTCGATCCCCCACGTCCGCCTCTATGCCGACTACAGCCCTGGCTCTCCCCAACACGCGATCCACCTCCCGATCCCGCTCTTCCTAGTTAGAATATGAGTATGCTACCCCCAAGTGGCAATTGTCTTTTGGTACGGTGGTATAACTCTGACTTGGTAACGCCGCTCTTCGTTCACACTACCATTGGTCGCAGGTTCGAAACCCTCGATGTTGAAGACTTTAGCGATTCCACGAGGTAGGGAGAAGTCTCCCTGAAAACAACGTACATCAGCAGTAGCCTGCTTAAACAACGTGATACACCCGACCACTAGGTATCGTCGCATGGGGGAGAGTTAGAATATGAGTATGCTACTCCCAAGTGGCAATTGTCTTTTGGTACGGTGGTATAACTCTGACTTTCCTCACTTGCACCACGCAGCAGGTCTACGCGTGCGATATCTGTCTCGGTCATCCATCCTTTACCTCCCCGCCAGAGGTCGGCGCCTGCGCCCCAGCGCGAGGGGGGTTTGAGGAGGAGCGTGTCGGTGTCCGAATAGATCCCGCCGCAGAGGGCGAGGAGGAGGTAGCGAATCAGATCGGCGTTCTGAAATCAGCACGAGGACAGGGCCGCGGGAGGGGCGGAGGACTCACAAGTATGCCGCTGGGAAGGTTAGACCATAACTTTTCGAGTCTGGTTCCGGATAAGTTTTGCTTGATCCAAGCAGTCGCGGTACTGCTAATCAGCAACCTCCCCAATCACCATGGGCTCAGCTATTCCACGTCAAAAGCTGCGGCGACAGGACTCACTCATCCGACAGGAACCTCCACTCCCATCCCTCGCTCATAGCTGATCCCTCACTCCAACTCCGCATATCAGTCCCATTCACCCCGACCTCATCTTTACCCTTCTGCCAGATAACTCGCCCCTCGCCCACAGCATCCCACCCATGTGCCGGTCCCAATATACCGTCCATGGCCGTCGCTGTCTGATACTCCAGCTGAAGCCGGGGCGGGAGGACGACGGAGACGAATTCGTCGATTGCGTCTACGTAGGCGGAGTGGTTTATGGGATGAAGGTTGTATACCGAGTCGGGATGGACGGGAGCGCTTCCGGAGGCAACGAGCGGGCGACGTAGAGGGAAGGGAGAGAGTCCCGAGGTAAAGTCGGTGGAAGACAAGTTTTGACCCCAAGAGAGCAAACGGGGGAGTGACGGTGATGGTGCGATGAGGAGCTGGCTTTGTTCGGGATCGCGCGCGCCAGGTATTACTTCGATGGCATGCCAACTCCATCCTATAACGCCCAGGCAGAAGCAGAAGACGGCGGTGGCAATTCGACGCAAGGCGAGGCGGACACCTCGCGGCATCCGATGGGGAGAACGGCGCTTGAGAAGGCGACTGGCGGGCTGTAGATTAGGAGTGATGAGTCCCGAGCCGAGCATTTGCTTCTCTAAGTCCATAGTACCCATTCTGACCCTGCGTATGGATATTGGTGTGCAGAGGTGGACGTATCAGTCGCCCGGGAATGGATACACAACACAGTGATCAGCTTCCTCTGTTCTACCCGGTGTCAGAGGTTGATGGTCGCAAAGAAAAAGGAATGACCCCTTCTTTTCCGTAGACACTCCTTTCTGTCTATTCCATTCTCAACACAGAGTGGAGGGTCGTTCCCGTTTTGAACGGACTGATTGACGCTCTGGTTTCCACAGCGTTGAACGGACCGTTAGCCCCAAACATGTTCATGAACGGGGAGATCTCGCTGCGGCCTGACCGGCATCAATGGGCATCCAGGTTATTAATCCGTAAAGCTCAACCGGACCGCATCAGACATCATAAGAAATGCTGAACTGATCGGACGCACAAGTATAGCAGCCTCGTGCTGCAAGAAGGTAGATGGACAGGCTGATATCAGTGAATGCACTCCGTAATGAGCTGCAGCCGCGAGGCATGCTAGTGAGGTACGTCATTGGCTTTTGACCGGCCTAGTCGCGAGCCCGGCGCTGGTCTTCAGAAGGCGAAGCGTGAATTGGCCATCTTATCGATCGGCGACAGTGGATGTGGCCAACTGCTAAGCTCTGATGGGTACAACGCAAGGGTATAAGTCAGTACGCTGCAAGTGTCGAGCTTGAAATGTCACCTTCAATCAAGTCAGCACGTCCGGTAGCCGTGACTAGCTAGGCCCACGCGCGTGGACGTCAGTCTGTCAGCTTGTACTGCCCGAGAGTTGCATTAAGATCGAGATCGAATATAGAACAACACAGCGCCTACTCTACCTCTGAGGGTCACACGGCCCGGCGCCCTAGAAGACATCATCCGCTAATGGGCAATCCGCGGTTTCATGGTCTGTGCTCTGTCTCGTCAGCACCACCCTCGCCCTGTACAGCCCCGCCCCTCATCTCGCCTGCGTCCAGTATAGGAAAACCAAACAACTCACATCGCAATCCGCACATCTCATTCCAGGTACCCTACCGCCCCCCGAACCAATCGTAGGCGTAGGCAGCGCGTCCAGATTCCCCGCGAACACCGGACAGCTATCCAGCTCATGTGGCCCCTCACACAGCTCACACCGTACTTCCCCCTCTTCATCGTCTCGGCGGGGCGGAGAAGGGTACTCCTCGGCGGTATGTATCGAGCCGGTCTTGCTACTTCCCGTCGTTGAGTCGGGGGACGGTCTCCCGCTCCCCTTCGAGCCGGATACGGATGCCTGTGATGCGGCAAGTGAGGACGATCGGGTAGGCGTGCGGAGAGGGGCAGTACCGCCGCTGCCACTGGTGCTGACGCCTTGGCTGGCGAGTATCTGGGGGTGGCGAGGGAGAGGAGGGGCGGTAGAGGAGTGAGAGACGCGCAGGTCCCGCTCAAGCTCTTGGATCCGGGTTTCGAGGTCGTCCTGGTGGTATATCTTGGACTCGATGAGGGATTCCAGCTCGGATACTTCCCGCTCGAGCTGTATGTGTCAGCTCCAAGCCCTTGGTGCAGGTTGATATCCTTGCGCAGCGCCAAACACTGCATCCTCTCACACCGCCGCCGTTCGACCCATTTCCAGCTTCAAAGACGACGTCAAAACTCACCTCTTTGATAGTAACCACATACCCCTCCGCCTTCTCCCTCCATTCCGCCCCATCCGCCCCGTCCCCCCCAACATCCTTCAGATCCTCCAACAACCGCACCTCCTCCCTCACACTCTCCAACTCCCCCTCGAGCACCCTGACCCTCTCGCCCAGTTCCCGATTCTCCGACGTAAGCTCCTTGATGACATGGTGGTACCCGTGCATCTTTTGCTCGTCCCCTTCTTGGCTGCCCGTCGAGAGTCGGGGCTTGGAGTGGTGCCGACCCAAAGTGTCGGCGGTGGGGTTTGGGTGGAGAGATCCGGCCGAGGAGCGACGGGAGGGGACGGTGGGTGGGAGGGGGAGGTTGGGGTCGGGTCGGGGTGAGCGGCGTTCGAGCTGGGCGTCAGATGAGCTCAAAGCGCAAGGATTTGCAGACGAGAATTGCTAAGACTTACACTAGCCAGCTCAGCTTGCAAAGCAGCTACTTGCGCTTCAAACTTCTCGCAGTCCCTCCTCATCTCTTCGAATCGCGCCATCTTCGACCGAAGCTCGTCCACCTCCGCTGTACTCTCTGCGAGAGCAGACTCCGTCGCCGTAGCTTTCTGAAGAGCAGTACGAAGTGTAGCCGCTTCCTGGTATCCGTCAGCAATCTCTTCAACCCCGTGCCAAAAGAACCGGAACTCACAGCAGCCTCCCCCCTCAACCCCTCAATCTCAGACCGCGCACCCTCCAATGCCCCCCTCACCTCCGCCAGCGCGCCCTCCATCTCCCCCAATCTCCCTTTGGCGCCCTTCGCTTGCCCCTGCAACGTCGCAATCTCCTCCTTCAACCCCCTGGCCACTTCGCTCTTCTCCCTCTCCCCCGCCCGCGCCTTCTCCAACCTCGCCTTCCACGCCTCCGCCTCGCTCTCTAGCTGACTCCGTGCCTCTTCGAGATTATCCTCCAGGGTCGATATCTTCGATTGGAGGTGCACGATCTGAGTCTGGAGGGTCTCGTTGTCGATCTCAGCGGCGGACAGGCGGGACGTCGATGGCGAGAGGGAAGTCGGGTCTGTCGAAGGAGACGGGGACGAAAGTTTCATTCGTTCCGATTCGGACTTGGTGAGTTTATCCTCGAGGACCCGTATCCGATCTTCGAGCTCGTATGCTCTTGTCTCCTGGTCCGACAATTTCTGCTCGTACAGCGATATCGTCGCCTGGAATCAGCTTATCCTATGGATAAAACTCACCTGACCCGCCGCTCTAAGTTCTTCAACATTCCCCTCCGCCTCCCCCAATTCTGCCTCTACCTCTCCTACCCTCCCCTCCAGAGCCTTGACCTCCTCCCGCTTCGCCTCCAGCCCAGCCTCCAGCTCCCCCTTCCCCAGCCGCAACTCCCCCACCTCCCGCTTCGCAGCCTCCATCTCCTCCTCTACCGCCTTCTCCCTGTTCAACAACTCCTCCGCTAGGTCTGTAGCCTGCCGTGCATCCTCCTGCGACTGCGCAAGACTATGCCGAAGCTCATCCGCCTCCTTTTGCGCCGCCTCAATCTCATTCCGCAGTGTCTCGAGATTACTCGCTTCGTCCTCTGCGTCCGCATCGGGATCCACGGCAGCAGCGGCGGCAGCAGCCTCGGCGACATTCTGGGCAGTGACCAGTTCCGCCTCGAGCTCGGCGTTCCGGGCTTGCAGATCCCGGATCTGAGCTTCGAGGCTCGCCGTCGCTGCTCCGACAGCCGCGCGCGCCTTCCCCGGACTGGGCGGGGGCGGCATGTTTTCCCGCTGCTCCCCATAGCTGAGACCGAACGCCGTACTTCCCCTAGGCTTCGCTTTGGGAGTGGCCATATTCCCGCCTATACTCGGCCGCGTACGAGCAGCCGGCGTGCCGACGCCCATAGACACTCGGGACGCCTTCGGAGTCGTCGCGGTGCTTTTGTCCAGTCCGCGCACACTCGCACCTAGTGTGCCCTCCCGAGCAGACTGGAGCTGCTTGGCAGTCATTCCGACGTACTTGCTCGCTCGGCTCCCTGCGGTGATTTTGGCCGCGCCCGAGGCGGTGGGTGTGGTATTGGTCGAAGTGGAGATCCCGAGTAGGTTGCGCTGCGGCCGATTGTCTTCAGGGAGATCAGGAGGATCCACCCCGAAGCCCATGGTCGAGCGGGGAGTAAATCGGGACGCCGAGGAGACCGTACGTGCTTTGCCAGGAGTGGCTGTAACGGGTCGCAGACGCTCGTGTGCAGGTGTCATGCGGCCGCTGACGGAAGAGACGGAAGCGTGGGAGATGTGGGATGCCACGGAGGCCGGGCGGGAGGGGTGCGCGCTAGCGGCGGCAGTAGGTGCGGATAGGCGAGCGGCGAGGATGAAGACGCCGCATTTGGGCGGACAGGAAAAGTACTCAACTCTACCTTGTCAGCTGGCTCTTTCCATCCTGCGACCAGGGTAGACAAGGCGCAACTCACCCCTCTACGCTCCCGTCATTCTTTCCCATCCCCTTAAATCCACCTTCCAGCTCCACTCCCGCCCATACGCCCTCCTTGAACTGTGTAGCGCCCAAGAACCGCAGTATCCCCTCCATCCCCATTCCCTGCATCCGAACTTTGTCCCCAACTTGCGGCGCAAACTTCGCCCCTCCCGCACTATCCGTTCCGCCCTGACGCGATTCCGGCCGATTTCGATTCGCGTATGGCGTAGTAGAGGTAGTGCTGCTCGCCATGGATATCCGGCGTGGGGTGAAGGTACCGCCTGGAATGGAGGACCCGCCTATACTGGGCCGGCCGACACCGATAGAGGGTCGAGAGGACGAGCGGGAGGCACCAGGCGTGACGGGTACACCAGACGACCTAGGACCTAGTCCATTCGGTGTTCTTGCCCTAGCCATCGGTGTCCGTGGTGCGAGTCCACCACTAGGGGGCGCCAACCCGCCCGAGGGAAAGTTGGAATGAGTGGGCGTATCCGGATCCCCGCCCTCCGCGTCATCTAGCAGTTTCCGCATACTGCTTGGCGGCCGTCGCTTCAGCGCTTCTTGTAGATGATCCATCGCATCGCTATCTGCTGGTGCGGGAGCATTGTTGGCGGGACCCAGGGACGATCGTGGTCGACGATGGGTTGGAGTAGGGATTCCCGAGGGAGTAGGCGGCGTGCCTAGTCGGTGCGGGGTAGATAGGGTCGGGAGGCGAGACATAGCGGGTCGGCCGAGCGGCGAGAGACTATCGAGCTGAGACATGAGCAGTGACTCGCTTGATAAGGGACGAGAAGGCAACTCGAGGAGTCAAGTGGATCCAACTTACGGAGATGGCCCGAGCGTTTCAGAGTGAGGAATGGTGGAGAAGACACCCAGGCTGGAGGTTTCGTTGCCTCCTTGTACGATAGCGGGCTGCGCTGAGCAGCTGATCTGACTCTCGTCCGCCTATCAGGCACACCTATACCGTGACAGAAGGCTGTATGGGCTGAAGCGGTGGGCGAGGTATGCAGGTCGCTGTTTATTTACTTTGGCACACGGACCTGAATCGCTTCGCGTGCAGTGGAGGAAGCTTCAATCTCCGTTGAAGCCTGTTAAAATTGCCACTTCGGGACTATCAATACAAATCTCGGCTATTCCCTATCAGCCATTTTCATCAGGAAATTCAAGGATCAGCGGAATCAGATTACCCCGCGTTTCAGAAGTTACGTCACTGCTGCACGTCCTCTTGTCCACCGCGACACCCTCACTGATTGCCCTATACCTCGACACGTTTCATCCCCAGCGCAGCAGCCTTATTCTTCTGCTACAGCACACAATAGAGGCACCTTTGACCGATCGCTAAGAGGAAAGATCGCTATCCGGCACTATATAGATCGACTCGCCTGCCCCACATCATATCGCCCATCACGTCGTCCTTCAACATTCCCCCCTTCAACCCCGACATCGACAGAACAGTACCCAGACGATCACCAGTCATCCTCAACATGGGAGACTCAGAGATGTACGATGATGATGCCGAGTCGACGTCTTCGTACTCTCCGACTTATGCGAGCTATGGGGGAGCGAGATGGGGAGGGAGGTTCTCGCCGCCGCCGTCGCCGAAGAAGGCGGAGCCGATATTGGAGTATCAGTTGAAGTTTGAGGAGGGATTCTCAGGGCAGGGAAGGAAACAGATGTGAGTGTGAGGTCTGTCGTCCGATTGGGGCATCTGTGCGGTGACAGAGGGCGGAGGTCTTTGGCGGACACCTGGGGATCGAGCAGAAGGAAAGGTTGAAAGATGAGCAGGGAGTACAAGGAATTCTCTCGGGCCAGGAGCTCTTGACGATCGGCTAGTCGCCATTGATTGCCCTGTCGCTCCCACCCCTTGTTCCCCGTCTCTTACCTGGGCGACAATCTCCGTGATTAGGCTCGTGAAAGGGCTCTAAATCGCCCATCTACTCCTGCGTCTGCTCTAGCTGACACCGCAGCGACCTCGTCTTCGTCCTTGACTGCACCGGATCCATGCAGAAGTACATCAATGCGACCCGTGATCACGTCGTCGGGATCTGCGATATGATCCGCGGAGAAGAGGGACTAGGTGGGCAGGACGATCTTCGAGTAGCGGTAAGTTCCACCCCAAGCTGTCATCTGATCTCGGACATGGGTTGGGAGCAATGCTGACCCTCAGGTCGTCAACTATCGAGATCATCCTCCTCAAGATCACTCATACGTGTACAAGACCCACCCGTTCTCTTCGGACATTCCGGCGGTGCAGCAATATCTGAAAGGGTTGACTGGTGAGCTGGCCCGTACAAAGCGTGTACCTGGAGAGCATCAGCTGACTTGTAAGCGTGTGGAGGAGGTGACGGACCTGAAGCGGTTACGGCTGGGATGGCTGCGTGCCTGACTGACTTGACGTGGCGGAGAGAAGCGGCCAAGATGGTCGTGCTGATAGCGGATGCGCCGCCGCATGGTGAGTTGCCGAGCCTGTAGCTCGAAGACGAAGAGCCATAGCTGATAAGATTAGGAATCGGAGAATCTGGAGATCGTAAGCCCATATGCTGGAAGTCTTGAAGAATCAAGCTGATGTCCGCGTAGAGATCAAAGGTGGTGATCCAGACGGTGAGCTGATGATTTTCCTCCTATCTTATAGGGACAAAACAACTGACACATCAGGTCACGACCCGCTCGTCGTAGCTCGGACAATGGCTGCGAACGGTATCACTCTGGTAAGTCTACTAAGCTAGCCTGGCTTTTGCGAATCCGCTGACTCCTCAGTTCATGGTCGCATGCGAAGAGACCCTTTCGGGGTACAGCGTGAGTTGTACGCAGCTCGTTGATGCGAACTTCAGCTGATATCATAGCGCGCCGTGGACTTTTTCCAAGCTCTCTGCAACATGACCTCAGGCGTCATGCTGCCGCTCATGACGGCTGATATGCTCGCCATGACGATTGTCGGGAGTGTGCTCGAGAATATGGACATGGAGAGGTTGATAGGGGGTGAGTCTTCTGGCTGCTCCTTGATTATCCAGCTGATGAGCAGAAATCGGAACGCAGGTGGCTCAGCGGATCAGGGAGAAGGGCGAGACTATGCAGAGCGTGGAAGAGGTCGCTCAGTGAGCTCTTCGGTCTGATACGTCACAAGATCACAAGCTGACCCCCCAGGGAATTACACGAGCGTCTACTCCTCCGGAACGAGCAGACAAAGCAGGTCCACCTTCCAGAAGTGTACATTCCGTCCGATAATGCCAAGAAGAACGTTCAGACCTGGATGAGCTCCGCACTCATCTCGGATGCTTCGCCCAATATTCTCTATGTGAGTCCTTCCCTATCTCCACCATGACCATTATCTGGCCTTTTGCTGACCAAACCAGGTGGCTGGAAAACGCCTCACCGAGTCCTTCCGGAAACAGAACCGCGAGACCGGTTTCGCCTACACGCCCGGTGGCCGGCTTCCTCCCCGACGTCTCATGTCCCCTGGCACTACGGTTCCGTCCGAAGCGCCCCCAACACCCCTCTCGCCCGGAAACCGTAATCCAACTTCCCCATCCCGCGGCGTAACCTCCTCCCCCGGCCGGAAGATCATCGGCGACTTCAAGGCGTTTGGCGGTGGCTCTGCAAGCGGGATAGGCGGTAGTCCGAAATCGCTGAGCGTGTTTGGAGCGCCACTTCTCAAGACTGGACCGGGAGGGGGGATGTTTGGGGCGCCGGCGCCGATCAATGGGGGGATGAGGGGGAGGGCGGAGGTGGATGATGAGGATGAAGAGGAGGAGGAGGGTGGGGCGTTCAGAAAGGATGCGATCAGTCTGGATCAGGTGAGTGGCTCTCTGCTCGTGGATTGAGATGGGGATGGAAATGGGGCAGTAGCTGATGTACATAGGCAAGGCGAATCGCCACGCAATCGATCTTCCGGGCTGGACGACTGGGATAATCGGTTCTTCTCTTGTCCATTTTGTGTTGATGTGCCTTTCAGAAAGATTTGTTCGTACTGTGTAGAGTTTCCGCGGCATGTAGTGATGTAAATACTCTGACCCGCGTGCTGCGACCGCCAAGCTGCAAGCTGCCGGCGAGGATAGCATCCAACAGCATCCGAGCTCGGCCGAACCTTAGGCCTTATTCGGGCACGGCATACCGATGACGCATGATGACGGCATGCACACATTCCTCCCGTTCGGCAGCCTGCCGCGGAGCAACAGATTGGAGGCGCCTCTGTAAAGTTGCCTGTAATTGTCCGTTGTCCGCTCGAACTCCACTCGGCATGCCTCGGCTTGTCTGTTCTCGGGGTATCAGCGGTATGGAGGAGCTTATGAAGGCCTCATGTGAGGAAGCGAGGGACCTAAAGTTCGGGAAAGGAGGATGTTGGGGATCGTCCGAGCGGGATTGATGGCCGTTTGACTGATGTTGATCCTCATGCTGAACATACACGAACAACGAGTCTACTCACCGACCATAGCTGTGGACTCTCGGCACCTCTTTGTCTCCAGCTCTTTCAAAACGTCAGCAGGCGCCTATACAAGTGACACGCGACCCAGGCCATCAGAATGGGGAAGAAATGGACCAACTTTGATCAGAAGGAGCGGGAGGGGCTGTTTGGGAACGTCTACAATGATCTGATCGCGATGGCAGTAAGTCAACTCATCTGTTCCACTCGTCTCGTGTTGCCAGTAAGTGAAACTGATGGAACCAGGGAGAGTTTGTGGGGACTGTAAGTCGTCATCTGCTGCAGCTATTCACAAGAAAGGACCGAGCTGATTCTCAGGTCCTTTTCCTGCTGTTCGCTCTTGGTGTGAGTCCAGTACGGAGCTGTTTCCTTGCGATTCGCTTGCTCATATCCAGGCATCACAAAGCGTAGCGACAAATTTGCTCGAGACCACTGGCGCCACCCCCAGCTCCACCGACGCAGTGACCAAGCTACTGGTGAGTTTGAACCTGAGCATCCCGGCGGTAATGTCGCCGGCTGACCCTCAAGGGGTACTTCTACATCTCGGCCGCGTTCGGACTATCCCTCTTCGCCATGGCCTCCATCTTTTACCGATTTACCGGTTCCATCTTCATCCCTTCTGTAGGGCTCGCGCTCGTCCTGTGCGGCGTCATCAAGCCCGTTCGCTTCGTTCGTAAGTCTCCCCGTCTATCACAATCATTGCTCGTGGGAAGTGCTGGGTATTCGGGCATTTAGCTGACGTATGTAGTGGTCTCCCTCGCTCAACTCCTAGGTGGCATTGTCGCGGCATCCATCCTGGATGGCCTGACGCCAGGACCTCTGGCGGTATCCGTCACTCTGGCACCGGGCATGAGCCGGACCCAGGGGCTGTTCATCGAGATGTTTGCTACGGCTGCTTTAACGATGAGCGTGTTGATGCTAGCTGCTGGTAAGTTGCCTGACCTCGCGAACTCCTACCTCCCCAGACTGGCTCAATTTAGGCGGTTGTGGCGCACAAGCTGAGTCGCGCAGAGAAACACCTGTGCACTCCTCAGGCGCCTCTAGGGTTTGGGCTTACTCTTTGGGCAGTCATGCTATTCTCGATCCAGTCCACTGGGGGAGCAGTCAAGTGAGCCCCATCTCAGTCCCTTGGTCACCCCAGGCAACAGTACATGAGCGAGGACATAAGCTGACCACGCAGCACTGCGAGAGCCTTCGGTCCGGCGGTCATCTCTGGCTTTGATGACTATCACTGGATCTACTGTACGTTCATCATCTACAGAAGGGGAGAACAAACGCTGATTCCGTTCAGGGCTGGGTCCAACTCTTGGCTCCCTACTCGCCGCTGCTTTCTATATCATGCTCAAGCACTTCCACTATTGGCGCGTCAACCCAGGGCAAGACTCGACGGATGTCCGTAAGTCAGACCGGTCTGTAGTGTGCTGCGCTGAGAAGAGTGGCGATGAAGGGGGACTCCATGGATTGGCGCTGCGCTGATGATTCAGGCGACTCGCCAGCCACTCCCGTCCTGTCGCCCATGGGCTCCAATGTATAGATTGTTAATGCGTTGGGGCGGCTCGACTCTACGGATCAGTCAGACCAAATCTCGAATCATCCTCCGGAAATGATGCGTGTTGGACCCGCTCTGCGAGACACATACATACCGATGGACCTTACAATCCTCTAACCTGGTATGGACATTCGATCTTGTGGTCTACATCCAGGCTATCGCACACTATACGAGATTTTCTATTGCGCTCGTCGTCACACTGTCGTCTATACTTACTCCTTTGATGCTCGGTGTAACTCAGACTCCACCCGTTCACGTCACTGATGTTGTTTCCGAGCTGTTTCGGGGAGAGCCAGAAAGTTACCCTTAGCAGCTCCCCATTCCTATGTCCATTTCAGCCCCTCTCATGCTCACTACCCCTTGGGACCTCTTCCCCGCGTTTGGTCCGGTTCAGAATGCAAGAGGGCGACCGGTGACCCGTTGCGCGTGTTGAGTCTTTATGAGCTATAAGGAGGGCGCCGGTTCTTTTTTTCTTAACCAGGCCTTGGGCAGGGGTAGCCGAGGGGAAGAAAGGGGCCCAGGAATGACCGGATGCTTTTACCTCCCCGACTTCCGATCATCCAGAAGGGCTGTTTCAGGGGCTGCACACTGTTCAACAAGTTTCACAGCCTCATCCTTTATCTGTTGGTCCCTTCTCGGTGCCTCGCCACGGAGAACAGGCCAAACAGCCCCCGGTTTTTATGAGCTATAAGGAGCCGGCGGGATCGCTCGTCCAAGCCCACGATACGCCAACCGTGAACCGGAAATTTGATACAACTCCCACTCAAGATCCCTAGATCATGCTCGCCTCCAAATCTACCTTCGCGCTCCTTGCTTTGCTTGCTCCTTTGGGGCTGCAGGTGGCGAGCGTGGCTGTCGATACCCGGCCTATCGTGACTGTCACCTCGATCATTCCGGGCGGTAAAGGCCCCATGTACGCGATCGAACAAGGGCACAAGTTCGCGGTATTCAAGGCAGCTGGCATCATGCAGGCGATAGAGATGAAGTATGCGGTCAATGAGGGAGATGACCCGGAGAAACAGTTTACCTTGATCGAGTGGACAGACACTGAAGTGCGCAAGGTTGACGCGGCCCCTGCTAGCAACGCGACCTTCAGAGTCTCGACGGAGCTCGAGGGACCAAAGAGCAACCCCAGGGTGAGCTCTGCACGTTGTGCTAACCTCGTTTTTATGCTTGCTGGTGATAATTGCTGATACATTGCAGTGCCATCTCGTCAAGCAGCCGGGAGCCACAGTCAAGGACCAGACCTTTGAGTTCAAGGCAGAGTCCAAGTCATACATGCTGCCCTGCGACGCCCACAATGGCGTTGCGATGGTGTGCGGAGACGCATTTGAGGAGCAGTCTGATTGCCAGCCGGGCACCTGGTAGTGAGCCTAGTCATAGACACGCAAGATGATTTTGAGATGTATCAATAGAATCAGGACTTCCCTTTGTTTCACATAGCGGATCGGGCGGCTGCCTTGGGTAGCTGGAGTATCGTTGGTAAGGTCAACTTGAACCGCCCCATTCCAATTTGCCGCCCGTCTCGCTGTGGAGAAAAAGGGAGGAACCCGGATCGATGGCAAGCGAAAGACAGGATATCGAGGTGAACCAGGGAGGACTGGCGCACTGGAGAGGGGGAACAAGATGGATACGGGTAGTGTGCCGAACCGTATAGATGTCGATGGGAGTAGTACTCAGTGTCGAATGGTCAAGCTGCGGGTGAACAGAGCAAGATTTACATGAACATGTACGTGGCTCGTGCTATGTACGTTGCTTGACGATCTCCCCACCAGCTAAGCCATCCTTGGCTCTAGTCAGCCTCGCCTGTGTGCTACGCAGGGACCTCCACATTTCTCACTGTGTGTGGCTCCTTTGGCTCTGAGCAAGCGCTTTCCCCACAACGAGACTACATGTCAAACCAGGTATCGGCGCCAGCGGTCCCTAGTCTGCCTGCGTACATCTCGTAGGGCAGCCGGTCTGCGATGATCCTTGATTGTATGGTCCCTGCTCAGTCCAATCCCTGATCATCCCTTATGGGCCCGTCTCTCATTGATCCATTCAGTGACAAGTGAGTATGTCTGAGTGCACGTGCGTCTCTTTGTTCGACTGCGAAACTCCTCGGTTGTACCCCTGAAACGTCTCGTTAACGACAATACGGACGCATTAGTGGCCTGAGGACGTCAGCGATACGGAGGTAAAGGAGGTCAGCCTATGATAGTATGAGCGAAGAAGGGCGTTCGGCGTCAGCAGCCCCGCAAGACAGCGGTGGCATCTATAAATATATGCACGGCGACCCGCCAGAACACCGTCTAACCCCGTCCACGTCCTCACCGCTCCCTGCCGTCGGCCTTCTTGCTCGACTGTCTCTGCCTTTTCGGCAGCTTCGGAACGTACCCCGGCTCCTTCCTCTTTTCCTTCCACTTCCGCTTCTTCGCCTCTCGCGCCTCCTCCGCCTCGCTCATACCCCTTTGTGTATCTGGCACCGCAGTCGTCGGCACCAACGCCACCTCCTCCGTCGTGTTCGCCGTAGCGAGAGCTTCGCACTGCTCTGCCGAGTCTTCCTCATCATTCGGTCCAGCTGCAGCCCGTGCAGCTCTCCTCTCCGCCTTTTCCTCCTTCCGTTTCGCTTTCTCCGCTCGCCTAGCCCTTCGCTCCTCTTTGGTTTCCCTGACGTCCCCATCTCCCTCGTCTTTTCCGTCCCCCTGCACACTGTTCTCTATCGGTGTGGAGGGTAATCGACTCGGCCCCGCTTCCGCCTGCTCCTGACCATCCACTTCCACCTTCGCCGCACTCTCCTCCAGCTCTTCCTCCTGTACGACAGCGCCTCTGAAGAATTTGCTGTACAGCCCCCGCCGGGCCATATCCCTGCTAACGCGCACGCCGACGCTCAGACCTCCTTGGCCGCGAGGGGCAGAGGAGGAGGTACCGGACGTCTGCCATGATCCGGATTTGTTGGTTCGGGGATCGGCGAGTTTGGGTGTGATGGCGGTACAGTTTGGCGACGAGGGAGCAGGAGAGGTGGAGAGTGGGGTAGAAGGGAGAGAGAGGGAGGCGGCTGTTGCGGCAAAGATCCTAAGAGGATCAGTGCTACTCAATTGTGCGAAGTGGCTGACGAGATGCCATCAAGGAGGTAAGCGTACTGGTCCCAAAACGGTACGGCTTCGTCTCGGTCTTTGCCCACGCCGGAGAGCGTCTTCTTCTGTACGACGGCAAGGGGGCGGGTGAGGTGGCCCGTCTTGAGGGCTGGACCCGTCAGTACGTTCAGTGAAAGCAAGACTCGGAGAGGAAGACTGACCGGTCCCTTTTCCCTTCCATCCCTGCTTGGAGAGATGTTCTGCTGGATCGAAACGTTTCGACATGGCTCGGAGCGGGTTTGAGGAACGGTCCCAGTCTATAAAATGCTCTGACAGCGCTCGAAGATATGTACAACTATAAGAAGGTGGACTGCAAATTTTAGATCGCACAATTCGCGGCTGAACTCTGAGCAGGCACGCGCGGGTTTAACCGACGCGCCGAGAAGGAACTTTCCTCGAAGGTCCCTTGAGTACTGCTTTCCTACCTTGTCTGACCTACCTATACTCACCATGTCTGACATCCAGGAGAAGCTCAACGGGCAGATAACAGAAGGTACGCATCCGCTGAAGCGATCAAGACGATGACAAAGACGGGATGACAAAGACGGGATAGCTGACCTGGCAGATGAGGCCTCTTTGTACGACCGCCAGATCCGGCTCTGGGGTCTTGAGGCGCAGAACCGGTGAGTCCAGCTACTCGCGCTGAAGTTTCCCGCATCACATCTAACGAAATAGGATGCGGTCATCGACTATCCTCCTCCTGAGTCTGCGGTCTCTCGCGCATGAGACCATCAAAAACCTCGTCCTCGCCGGGATTGGGCGAATGATCATTATGGATGATGGGAAGGTGACGGAGGAGGACCTCTCTGGGGGTTTCCTATTCAGGGAAGAAGAAGGTGCTGTTGGAAAGCTGGTGAGATTCGAAACCGCGACTTCACTTGATGTGGTAGGTACATCAGCTGACGGTTTAGCGCACTGAAGCTGCCTTGCCTCAAATCGCCTCATTGAACCCCCTCGTCTCCTTATCCTCCTTCCCAACCCTCTCGCCTTTCGTCCAACCTTCATCGGGAGACAATGGTTCTTCCCTTCAGAATGGAGCCGCCAAGGCGGACATGCTGGAGTTCCTGAAGAGGGAAAAGGTGGACGTGGTAGTTGCGTGCGATATGACTCGCTCTGAGATTGTACGTTTCCTTCCTGTCTTGTGGCGACGAGTGATCAGTCGGGGCCTAGGCTTACTTGGGCAGGAAAGCATCAATGCTGCTACTCGAGATGCCAAAGTCGGCTTATACGCCGCTGGCTCATATGGGTACTACGGATACGTCTTCGCCGATCTTGGCCAGCACGACTTTGTCGTCACGTACGTCACTCCCCTTGTCCCACTCATATACACCATCCCTTTCTCTCCTCTTGTTCGTGCTGAGAGGAGGTGCTGAACATCAGACCGCCCAGCAACATGGGCAAGCCCGCCTCTACCCTTCTCAAAAAGTCGCTTTCATACGTCCCCTTCGAGGCCGTACTCGACCGAAGCGGTTGGGCGGCGCCGTTCGGCCAAGCAGGAAAGGGTGGGAGTCCATTCAGGGGTATGAGTCGGACGATGACCAAGGAGCGTGCACCGGGAGCTATGGTCGGTCTGCTGTGTAAGTCACTAAGTCATTGCTCTCCGGATCATGAGAACAGAGCTGATAGATAGCGCTGTGGGAGTTTGAGCGGAGACACGGTGATCTGCCCAGCGGGAAAGAGGGGCAAGTCGCGGAGCTAGGCGAGATTGCCGAAGAGCTGCGCTCGGCTCTGGGAATTCATTTGAAGGCTCTGCCGCAGGTCGAGGGGAGCATGATTGAGTAAGCCGCAGATCCCATCACTTCGTTCTGCGGGGGATATCAAGCTGATCCTCAGACACCTGGGGAACCACGCTACTGCTTTCTTTCCCCCAACTTTGGCCATACTTGGCGGCTGTCTCGCTCAAGACGTTCTCCGCGCGATATCCAAGAAGGACAAGCCAATCGGAAACCTTTTGGTGGTTGATAGCTGGGGAGGACAGGGGGCCGTAGCGAGGTGGGGAATGGAAGATATGCGGGATGCCTAGACGCCGAAGCGGGCTTTCCGGGCGACGGGGTGGGTTCGGGACCGTGCGAGAGAAAGGGAGAAGGCGATACATCTAAAATGGTACAACTGAGATCTATGATCTATATCCAGGTATTACCTCGCCCCTTCAGACTTGAGTAATGGTCCACCATTTAGCAATTGAGGTTCTGGCTTGACTTCCTCGCTACCAGACGGTGGTTGCGCGACTCGCCTATCGGTCAGCACTTGGTCTTTCCCCAAAATCGGATCCAGGGGCTGCTCACCATGTCTCATGATGCCTGACACCGATACGCATGAGCTCCGCAACGAAGACCGGGTCTGATAGCCTTTCCCGGAATGATGCCTGTTGAAGCAGGGTCAGGTATACTAGGCAAGTGGGGTATCTGCTAGTGTCAGCTGAACTCACTTGGGCAACGAGTAGCCAGACAACACGCGGACTCCAGCTGTATGGCGGAGTCTGGAAGGGAGATAGGAGAGCCAACATTGCCTCGTGGACGCAAGGCGGAAGAGACTCACACGATGTACTTGACATACTCTGGTTTCCGCCAATACTCTAGGTATTTCAAGTAATTGAGGAACTCCGGCTGGTCATAGTACCCTTGTATTGATAATTCTCTGAGATACAGCGGATTTGCGAGACATTGGAGGAACTACTACCGTATCAGCGAGTGATATGGGTAGGGGAAGGAGGGGATTGACCTCTAATTCAGCTTGAAATTTGACGAGATTGGCTGTTCTTTCGGCCGAGCGTGGCAGAGGTACGGTTTCACCGTCCAGAGGCGGTAAGGGGAGTATGTGAGGGTGCTGCTGCATGGCTTGTATAGTGTCTATGCGTTAAGGACAGTTTGAAGTTGGAGGTGGAGGTCGGGCGGGCGAAGGCGGCTTTCCCACGGTCACTCTTACGGCAACCGTGCCTGGCTGGAAATTTCAACCAAGAAGTACTTGCTCAGAGGTCTACGGGTAGTATTTACACCCCATCTAACTACTCACTATAGCTATACAGCACAACCACAATGTCCGCAGACGATCCGATGTCCGCCTCAGCCGCTGCTGCGCCAGCTGCGGGTCCCTCCCGAACCCTTCCTATCAATCTCTTCACGCACCACTCTCCCGACTCCATCCCTTCCTCGACCTACCTCCTCCCGGCCTCATGGCGCCGCTTCCAGCTCTCTGAGCTGATCAACAAGGTCTTGCGCACGGATGCGGAAGTGGAGGCAAAGCCGGTCCCATTCGAATTTGTCATCGATGGAGAAGTCCTGCGGGGCAGTCTAGAGGCGTGGGTAAAGAAGTACAGACAGGGGGATGAGGAACGGGTGGTGGATGTGGAATATAGGCGGACATTGCGGGTCCCGCAGGAGGTGGCGAGGCGGGAAGTGGAGGACTGGGTCAGCGGCTTGAGTCTGGCACGACCCGGGTGAGTGGTCCATGAGGTCTAGACAAGAGGAGAGGAAAGCTGATTGAATAGCTACATTCTGTTGTCGTCTTACCTCTCCCATTTGCAGCTCATCCCCCTCGCCTCGTTCACCTCGCCCGCTCAGCCGCTCACTCTCAACCTCCCTTCTCTTCTCGGAGCCACGTGCTGCACCTACCTCTCGCCCTCATCAGTGTTATCCAACGTTCGCGTCGCCGCGGGTGGCGTCGACCGCCTCGTCCACATCTTCGAGATCCCATCTCTCGACCCCTCAGCCCCGTCCACTTCCGCACGCGAGGTATACTCCCTACACGGTCATACCGGACCCATCTCATCCGTCATCTCGGGCCGTGAAGGCAAAGACGTCGTCTCAGGAGCATGGGACGGCGCCGTCAACCTTTACGTCCTCCCCGAATTCGAACCTACCGAGCATCAATTGGAGGCTAACCCATCTACGTTCCTCCCGGGCCAGAAGAAACGGCGGAAGGCGAATCCGAGTGGCGTGAGCATAGTGGAGGGTCTGAATGATGGGGATGTGGGAGAGGGAGGATGGAGGAGGGGACCGGATACGGTCTTCAGGGGGCATAACGGCCGAGTGGGTGCGCTGGTATGGGATAAGAGAGATAAGGAGAAGGTGTGGAGTGCGGGTTGGGACGGGAGCGTCAGGGGTTGGGACTTGGAGATGGGCCAGGAGGGAGTTGTCAGGGTGAGTCCGGGCATTCGGCTCAGCTGGCTAAGAAAGTGCTAGGCTGACTAGGACAGCAAGGACCGATGGACAAATCAATACTGTGCATGGATCAGTGGGCTTCAACGGGTACGCTGGCGACGGGTGCGATGGACAGGACGATCTGTCTTTGGGATACAAGAGAGGGTAAGACTCGCTCTCATACCAATACATACCCGGATGAAGCTTACGAGTAGCCACATCGCTCATCTCCTTGACTATCCCGACCGCCTCTCCTGTCCCTTCCTTGACCTGTCATCCAACCTCCCAGTTCACCCTCGCCGCCGCCACCTACTCGGGCCATATCCAAATCTGGGATGTCCGATCACCCAAACATGCCATCTTTTCGGTATCGAAGGCGGCAACGCCGGCAGCTGGAGCGGGAGGGAAGAAGAGGGAGGTGACGAAGAATGGAAAGGTGTTGGGCGAGAGACTATTAGCGTTGGACTGGGATGGCGAGAGGGTCGTAGCGGGAGGGGAGGATGGAGAAGTGGGACTTTGGGATGCGCGGGGGGAGTAAGGGAGGACCGTAGGAAGCGTGGAGTGGGGCGATCCCGTGTCGACGCTGCTGATGCCAGCGAGCTGCTATGCAGCAATTCCGACGTTATGGAAAGTATGGATGAGAGGCGGAGGGTGGAGACGCAAGTATTGGGCTGGAGACGCTTGAACTTCACACCATACTCACATTTCTCATACCAACCAGTCAATTTCAAGATCCGACCGGGCACTTGAGACGACCCGCAGGAGAGCGGTGATGCGCGCACGCAGTCTTGCATACCTGGTATACATGCACATACTGCAGAGACTACGGTTTTCTACAGTATTCTACCACCCGGGCTTGATACAATCGGCAGGCCTGTTGTTCTTGTCGTGACAAACCACCCAGACCAAGTCCCCCTCCTCATAGCAGTCTGACAGGTAGTTGGTGCCTTGCTTGAATTCGAAAACCACATCCTCGCCAAGACCGATGGTTGTACCGTTGAGATGGCACTAGTCTTTCTCAGCTGGTGGACGATCAGAGATCAAGGTATGCTCACATCGACAGTGCCAACGGCCTGGTCAATCTCGACCGCAAACTTGGCTTCGAAGGGCGCACTGGCGTCGCCCCCGGGGCCCGACGGGCGGCGCCACGGATCTCCTTCGGCTGACTCGTACGGACCTGTCTGAGTACCGGACCATTGACGGCTTCCAGGGCCGTCCCTGCCTATGAAATTGACCGCACTGCCAGACTTGCTCCGGACCGATACGGTGTGTCCGCCGTAGGCCAGATCAGGAACGAGGCAAGCAAGGGCGGAGAGGAGTACAGCGAGGTGCAGCATTGTTCTGGAACGGCAATATGGAGAGCTTCTTGCTTGCTTGTTCAACGTGCAGATGTCTCGGGTATCTGTCAAGGAGAGTGGGAGTCTCAGCGACCGCGAGTCTTCTATATACCCGAGGTCAGACACAGTGATCTGCCGCCCGCGCGGGATGAAACTGTCTCCTGAAGGCTGGAGCTGAGGGGAACTCGGGAGAGCCGGAGGTGCATGCCAATGGGAGCGCAAGGAGGTGACGAGAATTAAGGAGGCTTCGGATACGCACACTGGGACGAAACGAGTCCGAGCCAGGGCCGGGAGAGATCTCAGAAAAGGAAAGGCGGGAGTGAGACGGTGAAGCGTTAAAGTGTTACTAGGCACAGCCGGGAGGCGTGTCGGTGGGGACCTGGTGAGGTACAAGCGCATACACCCTATTGAACGGATCGTTGAGGCACGCACTAGGCATCGTCCGGTCACACCGTTGGAGGGAATTCGGATGAATTTCCTGCAGTTGGCATCCCTGAAACACTTACGAGGATGCACTGTGCTGGTACGTGTCTGAGTAATTCAGCTGGGGCTCACGCGTGCAACGGAACCACGGACTGAATGATGCACTCACCATCACACGTGGATTGCGCTCGAGGGGACACTTGAAACGCGCCTGGCCACATACCCCATATATCAAACCAGGTAGCAATCAGGTGGCAACCCTTGGACGAGCGGGAATCGGGACCCGATTGCAGCAGCAGGGTTGGAACCCGCCGGTAGAGCAAATTGGGTTGCGCCCCGTAGCCTATAGTAGTCGTGCCAGTGAGGCATTCGACGCGCGAACGCGGGCCCCTATCTGATTCAATGAGACGGTCTATGTCCTCTAGAAACAGGGCGGAGGGTCTCGAGTCAAAAGTGACTATTTGCTACATCATGATCCAGCCAGGCACCTCCTATACCTGCCACAAACACCATGCTCACTTTCCATCCATATCCGATGTCTTCCCTCCCGCCTGAGTCCACGCTTCCCGCATCGTTTGCCGCTCCGTCTTGCGCCGCTGGTACACCACTGTGAGGACGAGTATGATTGCCCAGACTACCAGCCACCTGCGAGTAAGCTAAAGACCTGTCAAAGTGCGCTGGGAAGAAAAACTTACCCTAGATTGACTGCGAAGTTCTGAACAAGGTGGTTCTTGGTGTTGAAGATGATGAACTTGGATGCCTCAACTGATTTTGTCAGCACATGTATGACATTGAAAGGACAGTGTGAGAAGAAGACATACCGAGGTTCCAGATAGGCATGATGTATCTGAAGATGTGAGCTACGTCCTCTGAGCTGGACAAGCAGTAAGGGGTATGGCTCACCCGTATCCATAGAACGCAGCCATGTCTGCGATGTCGAGGAAAGCGACCGAGACCTGCTCGGTCAGCTTTGACCCAGCCAGCCGAGTCCTCACCAGACACTCACGTTCAGAATGACCCAGAACAGCAAGAAGAACGGGAAGAATAATGGCCCGAGCCACAAAAAGAGGGTCTCCATGACGTATCCGAGAGCAGACATGGTGACCCAGTTGGCCATCCAGTACACCACGAAGCCGCCCTTGCCTAGAGCGCGGTTGAAGGTGACGAGAAAGGCGAGGGAGACGAGTGAGTAGTGTAGTGAGAGCCAGAAGTAGCCTGGATATCAGCGCGCCGCTGAGCAGGAAGGGTACATCACACGCACCGAGGAAGGGGACGAGGAGCTTGACGGCGATCTCGGAACCGATAGTGAGTTTGTCTTTGATGGTAGGCAGGGCGAGCTGATTCCACAGCACCGAGATGAGGAAGGTGAACTGTCACGTCAGAAAGTGTCCTCATACACTTGCACGAGCCAACTCACAATGATGAGGTAGATAGTGCCGACGGTAGTCGCCGGGATACCTGCAAGCTGGTCAAACGGAGCCAGAACATACTGGCTGTACGCGAACGGCGACGGTAGGGCCCCGCTTGGCGCAGCGGCAAGGACAGCGGTGGCATTCCCGAGGGCAAGAACTTGATTGGCGAGGTTGGTCGCTGCGGTGCTGCCGCCCGAGGTGAGGACGGACAGGGCTATGCGGCGGACATATTGCTCTGTGCCGTAGAAATTGCGTGCTTCTTGAAAGACGAAGGTCATTGCGCCGCCGGCTGTTGCATCAGCTTATGCAGCACATTATTCTCCAAACATGCTACAACCCACGCGTCCATTGTGTCCCAGAGGTCAGAGCGTTCCAGACACCGCTAGTCGCATTGGCATTGACGACGACCACCGCCCAGACATCCTGATTCTGCACGCGCTCCATCGCGTAAGATAGCGGATCCCGCCCTTGCCCATCGGATGTCAACCGCATCGTCCGCACCACGTCGTTATTGGCGACGTACCACCCTAGATGAGGATCGGTCGAGTAGCTGTTGAGTGCGGCCGACTGTATTGCCGGTCCGAGGACCGCAGGATGGGCGACGGAGCCGTATGGAGACGCGGCAGAATCGAGGTCAAGAAGCTCAACCGAGAAGTGGTCTGCCCGATAGACCTGGGAGTAGTAGGACCCGAAGTAGATGGATAGGTAGAGGAACATGAAGACCGAGACGAGGCCGAGGATCTGGCGAATCAGCTGGAAGCCGCAGGAGGAACCGGGGAGGTAGGAAAGTACGTACCATGAAAACCATCTTGAACCACTGTTTCCGCTCCTTCTTGAGATGTGGCGAGAACAGACCATATCTGCCTTCCCCCGCTGGTGTCTCTTTGCTCGTGAATACCTCCTTGAGGCTGGGAGCATCCCGGAACATTGCTGCGGAGCTCGTCTCGCGCTTGGCACAGGCCGTGCAGGAAGGCTCTGCTTCTTCGAAGTACTAGCTGCTGTTGGAAGAATCTTAAAGGTTGACAGGTCGAGCGTGGTACAGAGAGAGGTGGAAAGTCGACTGGTCAACACTGTCTGTCAAAACGGCGCCGATCGGTCAGCGATAACACAGGTCAGATCAGGCCGATCTCCTGTAAGGCACTGGTTTTCGGCCGTAGTTCTGAAGGAACGCAGCCGCTCATGCCGCTCGGCACCCTCTCTGCTGCCCTTTCCGGCGCCGCTGTCTCGAGAGGTGGACGTAGTCAGCCACAAGACAGCAAGAGGAGAGACACCGGGTGGTCGTACGCGAGGTGGATCGCTGGATTCAGCCTAAATTTGTTGACATGACGTCATTCGGTCAGAAACTGCTCAGCTTCAAGATGATGTCGGCTTCATGCATCATGCATCGTTGACATGGTCCACAGAGTACGGCAAGACGCGGCACAGCGGAGGGTAAGAGAGAGAGTCCTGGCGATGGAGCTTGTATCGATTGACCATCAGTATCTACCGTATCTCTGTACGACTTGCTACTTTAACAATCGCGGAGGCAGAGATGTACACCTCCGATAGCGCCGCCTCGGCCAGTCAGATTGACCTCGGATTCCCCCTCCCACCCGGCCATGTCCCGTCGAACTCTACTCAGACATTCGCCTCACACCCCGCCCAGCGGTCAGTCTACCCAAGTGGAGGAGAAGGGGGCCGAGCATCCACATCCACGGCAGCTTCATCACATGCCTCGACGTCTACCGCCCAAGATCGGCCGAGGTCTGTCAATGGTTCCCAAACGCACGAACGGGACCGAGAGGACGTTGAGGAAGAGGAAGCGAGGACTCCAGAGAAAGCACCAGGGGGTGCGGTGGACAAGGCGGTGATGGCGAGTGCACTGGTACCAGCTGGTGCGGGTGTCGCTGCTGCTGCTCTCACGCAAGATAGGGGCGGACATGGCGAGCGGGGAGATGGCGAGATGGCCGAGAAGCTCGGCATAGAAGACAAGCACCACTTCTTCGCACCTCAGCTCAAAAGCCAACGGCGATCAGTCTACAAAGTCCGTTTCTTCTTGCTTAATGCAAGGGCTGGGGCTGACTATGCAGAAAATCTTCTTCATCTTCCTCGGCATCACTCTCTGGCTCTGGGCCTGCCTGTCCTTCTTTTGGGGATCGACCTACAAGCTCACGTCTGGTATCTCTAACCTCAACGTCCGCTTCGTCACCTTCGACACGGACTCGTCGGCCCTCCTGAACGCCCCAATTACCCAGCAGGCCAACTATCTCGCTTCTCTGCCCTCATCGGTAACGCATCTCGGCTGGGAGGTACGATCCGCCTCAAACTATCCCAATGGTCTCGCAGATGTACAGCGGGAGGTTCTGCAACAGGAGTGCTGGGCGTTTGTGGTGGTCAATGCGAACGCTACATCGGCGTGGCGGGCGGCGGTACGGAATGGGGATGGGAGCTATGATCCGAATGGCGCGATCGGGATCTACTATATGGGGGCAAGATTTTATCAGGTACAGTATCTGTATACCGAGAGCTTGGTGAGTAACTCAATCCGGTTATGCTCGATAGGGAAGTGGAGACGCTGACCTCCCAGATCAAAGAGGAACTTTCGAATCCCTTATCGACAGCCCGCGCGGAGGCTCTTCAAGCGTTCAATACTTACGCAGCCAACAACGCTGGAGCCATCGCCGCTGCTGCTCGATCACCACAGACCCTCGGCGTTGCGTTCGGATATAACATCTTTGATTTGCGGCCTATCCAGGACTGGGCATGGGCGGGCGCTGCGCCAATGGAGGCTAGCTTGATCTACTTCGTAAGTACCTCATGGGCCTCCGCCATACGGACCGAGGATGGTATGCTGATCCCGCAGGTCATCTTCGCCTTCACCGTCGTCTTCACCGGCGCCCAGATCCGAGCCAAGACGGGCATCGAAGACCGTCTGACTTTCCGCGCCAAGGTCACGCAGCGGGTATGCTGGCCGCTCTTCGCGTTCTTCTGGATCGTAAGTTCAACTTGTCGAGTCAGTCTTTTAGGTCGAGTGCTGCATGCTGACTTGATAGGCGCTCTGGCAGACCTTGGTAGTCCGGGCGTTCCAGGTCCCGCTGACTGACTATCTCGGCCGAGGTATGTCTCGTTCTGCATCGGATGGCAGGTGTAGGCGATGCAGACGCTGACGATATAGCTGCTTTCGTCACGCTCTGGGCGCTCAACTATGTCACTATCATTGCTGCCGGCTTCGCGCTGGAGACAATGCTGTGCCTCGTTGGCATCCCGTTCTTGCCTGTGTTCCTGATTCTTTGGATTATTTGTGAGTAATTTTTACCTCGCTCATGCACAAGGCAGATGCTGACGCACTTCAGTGAACATCAGTAAGCCGACATTTCTTCTGCCTTTTTATACGACGCATTCCCCTCCATCTATGCCAAGCTGACTTTTCAGCGTCCTCCTTCTACCCCCTCGAGATGCTCCCCCCATTCTACACCTGGCTCCGCTGGACCCCCTTCATCCACAACGTCGAAGCTTTCAAGATCATCGCCTACGGCACCAACCGTGTCTCACGTCTAGGATACCACTTTGGTATCCTGTTTGCGCTGATCGGTGTCGAGGCGCTTACTTTGCCGTTGGCGATGGTATTTGAAAGGTGGAGCTCGGATAAGAGCAAGCGAAGGGAGGTGTGGGACAAGCGGGAGAAGAAGGAAGGGGCATAGTTGCCACGACCTCGATAGGAAGACGTGTAGGCTTGCGAGAAGTCCTTTCCGGGACTATGTACTGTGTATATGCTGACACTGCCGTCACCATCGATGATTCATGCTACTTATGTGAGATCTTATGGTATCCTGATGCCACTAAAGTCATGACCTTAAGCTTGGGGGCGGTCTCCTCCGACTGCTCCGGATCGCAGTAGCCGGCTGGAAGATCGCCGTCCGAGCCGGGCAGTCCATAACGCTGATAAAACGATGCTGCCCGGGCATTACCGGCTCCGACCTGGGTGATAGGGTGAGAGATGCGAGCAGGGTATCTTCGTGTTTCTTGATTTATGGGGGGGGTTCTGTGGGATACACACGGGTGCGAGAAGGTGAGTCACCTCATGACACACCCCGGAAGCGCAAGTCGGCTGGAACCCACGAGATTGTCTCTTCACCAAACTCCTCTTGGTTCATGCTATACGGTGGAGCGGGTTTGCCCCTGCGATACTGTTAGGAATACGACGTCTCAGCGGGAGCGATCCCGGCAGCGAGGCTACTCGGAACCGAGCTCGGTACCGCGTAGGAACTCCTACACGGGACAGAGTAGGCGCACCTACAGTATAGAGAATGCGACGCCTGAGTGGCGAGATCCCATGCCGTACTGCAGGGGCTGTATGGCAGGTCAATGTGGCGGACCAAGTGTGGCAGTGCAAATGGACCATGGAGGCTATGTAGGAACTGTAGGAAGTCCTACATAGGAGTTGCTACATAGGAAGTCCTACAATAAGGATTGTAGGAACTCGTAGGAACTCGTAGGGACTCGTGTAGGAACTCGTAGGAACTTGTAGGAACTCGTAGGAACTCGTAGGGACTTGTAGGGACTCGTAGGAACTCGTAGGAACTTCTGTAGGAAGTTCAAGACTGGAATATATAAGGAGGTCATATCGAGTCAGATGCATCCCCAGTCTGCTCTTGAAAACTTAACAGATACTCATACCACGTACGTGCATCGTAAGTGCGCTACACGTGGTATATCACTGATCAGCTTACATCTCCCTTGTTATTGACTCGAATGAAAGGTACCACGCACACACAAATATCCTTCGTCCTGTACGCCCTGACTCGGAGTGACCCCTTTTCCTTGAGGGTGTGTCTCACGATACTGCCCGCAGCGTACACCCCTGATCCTGCTAGGGGGTAAAAGGCCTGTGACCGGCAACCTCATTTTCCCACTCGACATATCGTTGTCCAGCACGTTTCTTGCTACCAGCACTCAAGCTTCAAGTCTATCAGCAGTCTATCCGACGATACCAATTACGATGCTTTCCTTCGTCTCTTGCATCATACCGCTACTCCTGCTCGGCTCAGCCTCAGTCTTGGTTGAGTCTCACATCATTGGAGACGTAGCCATCTCACCCCAGTGGCTGAAGAACGGACCCCTGTTGTCCTTCGAGATCCCAGAAGGACCCGCGGGAGCTAAGGATGGCTCATATGCCAACGTGACGTTACAATACCGGGCGGCTGGAGGCGACGGCAAGCTCTGGAAACTGTACAGACCGTGAGCCGAGGATTTGCCCACTTCCGATCCCAAAGCATGGTCCGACGCGGGAGAGGCCAGATTCAATATCAATCTCGAGAACCCCGGCGTCGAAGACTTTGGGAACCCTTCAGTGAGTGGCACTGTCAGGTAGAAAATTCAAACCCTTAGCTGACTTTATTCCAGTGCCGCCTTGAGCGAGCCTCGGAGCAGATGGGGGCTAATAACATCTTCATGATCAAAGCCGCTCCCTCTTACTTGTACCCTTGCCACTTTGAGGACAAAAAAGAGAGAGATGCCGTCTGGGTGGTGTGTTCGGGGAATAACAAGCCGGCAACGTGTATCCCGTGGACCTCGGCGGAAACGAAGGCAGAGATGTTACTTGCGGTTGAGCTGCCTCCCCCGATCACTAAAATTCCTAAACTGTAACACTGTCTGTCTGTAGTGACCACATACCTAGCTCAAATCGCAAATATACCCATCTTGCCACTCACTCTCAATATGTGCGTGCTCAGTGATTCAGCTGGCATCTTTCTAGGTACCAATACCAATCAAAGACAGCACACACGTATAAAGTAATAGCCTTCCCCCTCTGGCCCCCAGCAGTGAGCATGGGGCAGACCCTTGCTTTATGACTCTTATGAGTGTGCATCAGGAAACTGGACGCTGCGTGTACCCCTGACACCTACCAGCATCTTCGTCGTTCGATCACACTCCTGTCTGCGAGTTGGCACTCCTCTCCCCCGCTGGTTTCCTCAAACGACAGCTATCTGTTTACTGGAGGGAGCGAGGGGCAGCTTGGCCATGGGAGCTCAGGAGGCAGTCAAAAAAAAGTGTAGATGAGTACAAGTCGAGACTTTTCTGGCGACAGCTCCCTTGTTGATCGTGTGATAAGGGAGACTCGCGCAAGTTTGAGGGCCCCACCCCTGATCGCCAGCCAAGGGGGCTCAAACCCCCAGATTGGTGGAGCAGAAGGGACGGTGGCTCGAAGCAATGCGGACTCCAGGCGTGTCTGATCCCTGTCTCACCTTTGAAATGCCGGATAGGGAGGCCATACCCCTTACAGGAGAGAAACGAGCGGGCCAAGTTGACTCAACTCCTTTGTTCTGCGCTGTGATCCAATCGCTATATAAGCTAGGACAGCACTCACCCTAAAATGCCAGATCTTGCATATCAACAACATCCGACAGCAGACTTATTCAAAGCCCAGCCACAGAACAGACGCTACATCGGACTCCCTATTACATCTATCACACCATGCTCTCCTCCGTGATCTTCCTCTCACTTATCGCTGCTCCTGCCCTTATTTCCGCTAAGGGCTTGATCACCATTACCATGAAGCCGCAAGGTGACAGGCCATTCGAATCTCACCTCGAGATTGGCGGCAAAGGTCTTTGGGGCGTCCCGAAACATAAACTCATTTTCGAGGTGGTCGGCAAGAAATCCTTCCTGCTCGCTGAAGCGGACAACGACAAAAGGCCATCGGACGGGAGCTGGTTGGCGGGTGAAGGCTCCTTCGACGTCCATGCAGACGGTAGTCAAGTGACACGGGTACGTATCGCATGTTCAACCCCCATTGACCTCTGAAGGCTTTGCAGCCCGAGCTAAGGATTGTTGGCTTGAATGGGTCCACGGTAGAGCGTAAACAAACAAGGCGTCGCGTTACTCCCATCCATTGGGACAGTGGAGGAGTCGCGACCGGTCGCGACTCGGTCGCGACCCGTATAGACCGGTAGCGACCGGTATATACTCGTACCTACTCGCGGCGACCGGTAGCTATCGGTAGCGACCGATAGCGACTGGTAGCGACCGGTAGCGACCGATAGCGACTGGTAGCGACTGAGTAGCGACTCGTAGCGACTCAAGTTGATAGCCAGTAGCTAGGACCCCAGTCAGCACTATATAAGGAGCAGTAGTCAAGCCCTATGCATCCCCAGTCTGCTCTTGAGAAATTAACAGATTAGAAGTCTGAAACCCACACCACCAGTCACAGCAGACCCACCTTAATCGACCTCCCCCTCCAACACTCGAAGACATGTCAGAGTCCTTCAAGTCTGGAGATAAGACGTTGCTATCAGCTGTACCGAAGCTAGTAAGCACATCGCAGTTCACTACATGGCGTTTAGCCTTCCAGACCTATGCCCTTGCGACTGGGTGTAGGGGTATCCTGGATGGTACCATCGTCGAGCCCGGTCTAGTCGACATCACCCCCATTCTAGCTGCTGGTCAGCCAGAGTATGTAGCACCAAGGACGCTTGGCACACAGGATTCGACTACCGGTACCGCCGATCAGACAGAGGCTGCTATAGCAGCAGGTCAACAGATCATTGACCAAGCCAGACAGAGTCATGAACTCTTGGTACGGAACTACCAAGCGGCATTGATGGAAGCGGCGAGGCGCCTCCTTCCCGCCGGCACTATACCACCTTCCACGTTCGTCGGGGACGTTACCAAGAAGGATTGGGAGGATTGGGCCAAGAAGGAGGCCCATATGCAAGGCGCACTTCGCGGTACGGTATCCACAGGCGTCCTTGTCGATATTAAGGACTTGACCACAGCGAAGGCTATGTGGGATTTGCTGCACGCAACTCATCCCATCAATACCGCCGAGAATAGGGCCTCGATAAGGCGCGATCTCTCCATGGTCGTGCTCACGGACACGAGCCCAAAGGGGATGGAGAAGCATCTCGAACGCTTCGATAGCATCATCCTTCGGTCACAGGAGGCCGGCAATCCGATTGCACCGGCCGTCCGCGCACAGATGTTCGCGGATACGCTGCCGCAGCAGCTCGAGTCACTCAGAACCCTCTGGGGGATCAACTCGCCACTCCTTACAGAGTTGACAGCATGGCCGACGATGCTTAGGCTGTACAACGAGGAGATCGTCGTCGCCGTAGGAACGGCACGAACAACACTGCTATGGCCATCACGAATGGTGGAAAGCAGAAGAAGTTTGGCTCCAAAGGAGGCCAAAAGAAGGGCAAAGACCAAAAAGGGTCTGGTGCTCAGCAGGGTCAGCAAGGTCAGAAAGAAACCCGGACCGGCTATAACTGCGACAAGGTCGGACACCTTGCCGCTAAGTGTCGCGCTCCCAAACGGGAAAGGAACAGCGGTTCCAAAGACGGCGATCAGAACTCGTCAGGTTCGTCAACGAACTACGAGGCCATGGCGACGACCAGGATCACTCCGACATTGAGTCGTAAGTGGATGTGGGATGAGGATTACTATCGGCCTAGTCGGCGCGTAGCTCCTGAGATCCCCACCCCTAGTCTCTCTCCACCTGTCGAGGAGGAGAAAGCTCAAGTTGAGCTTGCGGTGTCCACTGCAGAGGAAGGGGAAGTGAGTTTACCCGACTCTCGGGGATGGCTCGTCGATAGTGGAGCCAATAACCACCTCACCCCCTCCCGCAATCTACTGTCCAACATCAGACAGTGTGATCCACCCGTCGATTTCGGTACGGCGTCATCTAAGAGCAGGATGACCGCCCGGGGAATGGGTCAAGCAACAATCGAGCTTGACAACGGTCAAATGGCCACACTATTCCCCGTATATCTCGTACCGAACGCTAGACTGAATCTCCTTTCAGTCAGCTCAGCGACGGCGAAAGGGTGGCAAATCAGTTTGTCAGACACCATGGGTCAGCTATTCAAGGGCCATCGGCGTCTTACATTCTCCCGGATCGAAAACCACTGGTACATTCCCCCGTACCTTGTGAGGCATGAGCACTAGCAGCCACAGGGCCAACATCCGGGATGATAAGGTCTAAGCTCGAGGAGGAGCATAGACGGCTCGGCCACATCGGCCGGACTAAACTGGAAGAGCTTGCCAAGGCCCGTCAGCTCCAGTATCCTTGGGAGGAGCTCAAGGAGGACAACTTCAAGTCCTCAGACTGCCCAACTTGCCAAAGTTGGAAAGCAGTTCGTCCTCCAAAGGACAATGCACCCAAGCACCCCCTGTCGCAGGGTATGCTGTTGCACGTCGACATCGCCGGTCCTTTCGATCCGTCCAGGCGTCTGAATAGATGGTTAGTAGTCATCATTGACGATCACTCGGATGCGATCGAGGTCGTACCCACCCGTCACAAGTCCGAGGCCTTCAACGTGCTCCGGGATACAGCTACACGCTGGGGGCGCCAATTCGGTAATGACGTTCGTGTCATTCGGTCGGACGGTGATTCAGTATTTCAGAGCGAGGCAGCCAACCTCTGGTACAAGCGCGAGGGCATTAGACATCATGTCACCCCTCGCTACACCGCCGAACTCAACGGGAAGGCGGAGCGCACGATCCGGACCATAAAAGATGGAATCCGAGCCATGCTCGGTGGATCCAGTCTTGGTCATCAGTACTTCGACTATGCGGCGCAGTGTTACCGTAGGGAATGCCACACTCAAATAGCCACTTTTATATAGCCGTTTATAGTTCCGCTTTTCACTTTCGTAGTTAGGTTAGTCAGCGTAGCGTAGCTTTCTCTCTTCTTTATCTCGCTCTCTCAGTATTGTCGCTAGTATCTCTATGCACTTAGACTAGTCCTGGTACCTCCCTCGCCCAGTCACCCCCCTCCCGTGACACATGGGTTTGGCGATAAAGAGGACGTCCGAGCCGGTAGAGGATCCGGCGTCGGAGCCAGCACTAGAGAGGATAGCCGAGTTGGCGGAAGATGGAGGGGGAGGGGGCGGCGGCATCTATACGTCAGCGATGCTCGCACCAAAGGGAGAAACCTCAGACTGAGTCGAATGGGAAGACTCACCCTCCCATCACCACCATCGGCGCCGCCCTTGCGCTATCACCGTAGCCGTCTGCAACGTCGTCTCCTGCATCTCCTTCAAGTTCTCCCACTCAAAATCCGCATCCTTCTTCATCTCCGCCCAGACCCTCAGTCTCTCCTGGGTGGTTGCGTTGAGCGACAACGCGAAGAGGGAGCAAGTGGATGCGTTGTCCGGGAAGCCCGACCTGCAGGTAAGGCGGAGGTGGTTCCAAGCGAGGATGTGATTGGCCGCGGTTGTGTCACGGGAGGGGGGTGACTGGGCGAGGGAGGTACCAGGACTAGTCTAAGTGCATAGAGATACTAGCGACAATACTGAGAGAGCGAGATAAAGAAGAGAGAAAGCTACGCTACGCTGACTAACCTAACTACGAAAGTGAAAAGCGGAACTATAAACGGCTATATAAAAGTGGCTATTTGAGTGTGGCATTCCCTACGGTAACAGAGTTGCGGAGCCCTGACGACACTTGAGAAGCGCCTCCCTCCTGTCCTTCCCCTGCCTGACCACTCCAAAGTACGCCATAAACTCCTCTTTGTACCCCTCCCAGGTCCCCTCGTCCCCCACAGTCTCCACCCAGACGTCATGCCACTCCAGCGCCTTCCCTGTCAACTTCATCCTCACCTTGAACGGCATCTTGTTCTTCCGCTCTGGTTTGGCCTCGTACCACTCGCGGTTGAGTCCGTTGATGTCAGCCTGGAACGTCTTGAGGAAACCCTCAGCCGCCTGTTTATCCGTCCCGTCAAACTTGGTATCGGGGAACTTGGGATCCTCATATCTGAGGGGCGGCTCTGACGCAGGCTGCAACGAGGGCGAGACCGATGGCGCCAGCGGAAGGGACGGCGAGGGCCACGGGATGGGCGGGAGCGGCCTATTGGCCGAGACGGAGGGCTGGGAGCGATTGGGGGTCGGAAGGGAGGAGTAGGACCACGAGCCGGGATGAGCGGGGGCGATGGCGACCGACGCGGAGCGGTGGGCGTTGGGGTGGGTGGAGAGATTGACGGGGGGAGGAGGGAGGGAGGTTCCGAGGTCGGTGAGGTCGAGGAGGTGGGAGAAGGGGTTGGGGTGAGACATGATGATAAGGTTTTTTCGGGTGATAAGGTGGGTGGGTGGGGTTCCGGGTCGCTAGTGCGTCTACCGGGGTCGTTTTCGGGGGCAAAGAGAGCCGGGGTACGTCGATTTGCCGCTCTTCTGTCACGGGGGACGGGAGTGGGACGTGCCAGAGCTAGTCTAATGCAACCACCCAGGAGAGACTGAGGGTCTGGACGGAGATGAAGAAGGATGCGGATTTTGAGTGGGAGAACTTGAAGGAGATGCAGGAGACGACGTTGCAGGCGGCTAGGGTAAATTTTGCGGCGCTGTACGGGACGGGCGGGGGAGTCAGGGGAAACAGAGCGACGGTTGGAGAGGGGACGAAGAAGGGCGAGCAGGGCGGAAAGAGTCAAGGAGCAGTCGGCGAGGAAGGGACGGCCAGCTCGGGGAAAGATTAGGTCTGCGGAGCATGCAATGCACACCTCTGTAGACCGAAATTTCCCTGAATCACTGTGCTCTCCCGGCCCCGTCCGCATCTCGGCGATGGCTATCTCTCCTTCTTCCTTTCCCAGTTCCGAAATGTTCACTATCTCCGTCGTGGCCCTTGAAGCTGGCTCAGCGCTGGTGGACAGTGGTTGCTCGGAGACTTTGGTCTCTCCTTCCTTTGCCTCGACTCTGCGTGTACCGCTTGTTTGCCTTCCCATTCCCCAACCTCTTCTCCTGGCCGACGGGCAGCTGGCCGACCAAAAGATCACCCACTCTGTCTCTCTTTCTCTTTCTCATCCGGAATCGGGGTTGAAGTGGACGGTGGAGGCGTTGGTAATGCCGGGTTGCGCTTTTGACATTATCCTGGGTCTGCCTTGGATACGCTCATACAGTAAAGTACTCGACTGGAGTTCTCTCACCATTCGTCGCCGCCAGGGCAAGCGTCGCCAACGGCGGCAACATCCTGGGCCCGCACACCAACCGCTTCCAACCTCTCTCTCCCCACCACCAGCCCCTCCGCCCGACACCTCCAATCTCTCTCCCACTCCTCCCGTCCAACTACCTACTCCGATCCACTCGTGCGCAGCCACGGTCGAACAGGCGGATGACTTAGACTCCCCTGTCGAGGCCTTACCATACGAGCCGGACCCACCAGACTACATCGAGAACGTCGTGAAAAAGATAGTGCCGCCGGAGTACCACGACCTCCTCGCCGTCTTCTCCAAATCTGGCGCAGAGACACCGCCCGCGTCCAGAGGCGTCCTCGACCACAAAATAGAGGTCCTCCCAGGTACCCGGCCGTTTTCGGAACGCATTCGTCGGATGTCGTCGGAGAAGCTGGCGGTGCTGGACGCCTGGGTGGAGGAGAAGTTACGGCTGGGGCAGATCGAGCCGTCAACCTCGCCCTGGGCTCACAACCCCACCTTCAAGCGGGAAGCGGACGACCGTATACGTGTCTGCATCGATCTGCGGGGGGTCAATCTGGTAACGGTGAAGAACAAGACGCCGCTTCCGCTGGCGGAGGAGTCGTTCAGTCTGATGGCAGAGGGGGACATGTTCACCTCCATCGACCTACGTTCCTCCTTCAACCAGGTTCTCATGGTGGAGATTTCCAGGGAGAAGGCGGCCTTTATGACCAGGCACGGGCTTTACCAGCCAAAGGTAATGCCATTCGGATTGACTAATGGCCCAGCCACCATGCAGACCATCGTCAACCACGCTCTACGCGGACTCGCCGACCGGATTTGCGTCAATTTCATCGACGACATCAGCATCTTCTCTCGGCCAAGCGACGGCTACGAGGGACACGTTGCCAACGTCCGGGCAATACTCCAGGCCCTCATCGACGCCAACCTGTTCATCAAGGCGGAGAAGTGCACGTTCCACACGCGCTCGGTCAAATTCCTCGGCCACATCATTTCGCCAGAGGGGATCACCATGGATCCGGAGCGCGTCTGCGCCGTGCGGGACTACCCATTACCAGCCAGCACCAAGGACGTCCAGAAGTTCTTGGGGTTTGTGGGTGCGTACCGCAGATTCGTTAACAACTTTGCAGATATGGCCAAGCCCCTCACCGCCTTGGACACTAAGGTAGCCAAGTCGGTGGCGTTTTCTGTCCCTCCGACAGCTCGAGCGGCATTCCAGAGGCTCAAGGACGCCTTCAACGCCACCTTCACTCTCCACCATTTCAGACCTCACCTCAACACCGTCCTCGAGACGGACTCGTCTGGCTTTGCCATCGCCGCCATACTCTCGCAGGACCATCCGGACGGCCGCCGGCCGGTGGCCTTCTGGTCTCGTCAGCTGACTCCTGCAGAAATCAACTATGACATCAGGGAGAAGGAGCTTTGCGCCGTGGTCCACGCGGTGCGGTTCTGGGCGCCAGTCCTAGAAGGTTGCGAGAACCCATTCACCATCTACAGTGACCACCAGTCCCTCTCGCACTTTCGGACGTCGCGCCCCCTCACACCTCGACAAGGACTCTGGTCTCAGGAGCTCAACTCGTTCGCATACTCAATCCAGTACCGTCCAGCACGTCACAACTGCGAGGCGGACGCCCTAAGCCGTCAGCCGGACTGGGAGACCGCTCATCGCCTGGCTCCTCCGGTCACTGAGCCAATCATCCGCCCCGTCTCGGTACTTCCTGCCTGTCACAGGAAGAGGCGACGAGGATGAGGGATGACTGCGCGGCGATAGTAAAACAACAAAGCTTGCACTTGAGCAACGCCTCGTTTGCCTGCGCCGCCGTGTTGACCTCCCCCCATGCCTTCATAAAGACCCTCTCAAACTCCTTGAAACGCAAGTCCCGCCTCTGCAAGTCACCAGACCACCGCTTGAACCACGACTGCGCATCCCCCGTCAGGCACTGCCCCGCCCGATACACCAGCGTACACTCCTCTCCCGGGAACTGGGCATACTCCCGCGCATTGACCATCAGGTCGTAAGCGAAGACCTGGACAAACGCCTCGGCGAGTTTCTGGTTGGTGCCGTCAAAGGGGGCGGGCGTCTGAATGGCGTGGTAGCGCGGGTGCGGGGTGACCGACCGGTAGACCTGCGGGGCGGCGGGGAGGGGTCCGAGGTAGTCGTCGTAGACGGGACGGGAGAGGGGATGACCGACAGGAGGGTGAGGTAGGCCCGGAGGCGGGTTGGGGTGGAGGAAGGGAGAAGCGAGGGGCGTGGGACCCGAGTAGACCGAGGTGGGACGGGGTGGGATGGGAGGAGGTCGAGCGATGAAGGTACCGGCTAACTGGCCAGTCATCTCAACCAACATCTTGATCTCAGAAGGAGAGCGGTCCAGCTGAGCACGAGGGAGAGGGCGGTGGTAAGAAGCTTGGGTATCAAAAGAAGGCGAGGCAGAGGTGGAGTAAAAGGTCTCATGAGGAGAGACCGGGGAGGTGGGGTAGGGCCCGGGAGGGGGGGACACGTAGTCCTCCCAGGGGTTGTGAGAGATGTCCATGTTGGGCATGGGAGGAGTAAAAGACATTTTGGAGGATTGGGTGGATGGGTTTGATAGATGAGGAGGGGTAGGAGGGTGTACGGGGCGTTTGACTTGCCTAGGAACGTGGAGAACTGAGGAGTGTGTCTCTACGCCTGAGCGAAGGATGGGCATTCGTATCGGGGGCAGTTGAGACGGTCCGCTTTTATGTCACAGGAAGAGGCGACGAGGATGAGGGATGACTGCGCGGCGATAGTACTAAGGTACATGAAATGCTAATGAGGATATATAAAAGCGGATGAGGGAAGAAGAGATGTGGCCAGCGATGTGAAAAGCAGTCGCGGTCAGGGATCAGGGTTCCGGGGTTTGGGGGTTATACAAAGTAAATATAAAAGGCCGTGCGTGTGGCATTCCCTTGTCCAGGTGACAATAGTGTGGTCTTGTGCACAAGCTAATGACATCAGCAATTTGTGTTGGGTCTCAAGCTCCTCCAGTCCTTCCTCGTTCACCGCCCAACCTCGCAATACGCCACATGGTCTATTACTTGTACTGGGTCCGGTGTCAACGTCGCCGATCACTTACCGGGTCTGGAGGCGCTCCAAGGCGGTGTCGAAGGTATCGACAACGGAGCGCCGCCTATTCATCCGTGAGTCGTTCCTGTGCTTCAATCGTATCCGCTGATTTGTCAGTAAGAGCACCCATGGTGATATATTCTTCAAGGCTGATGTCCCTAAGGGGGAGATCGAGGCGGCCAAGACGGCGGGGGAAAATATGTGAGTATATATTCCCCTAATCCCTTTCCACACCCGTGCTGCCTCCTTGATCTACACCCTCCTCCCTCGATCATACGCTATCCCTCTTCTATCTTGTCCTCCCACCATTCCTACATCTCGCTAGCACCCCGCTGACGAATCAGAACCTTCCCGAATGTCTACGACGCCAGGGGCCGCACTAGTCTCAACGGTTCGCCCCTCCTCACCAACCGCGCGCTCATTCAAAATGGGCCCGACGTCGCTGTGGTCTTTTCCGCTAAGGTCTGGAAGGGGGATGGTATTACTCCGTTCAACGGCGGAAGAGCTCACCGCGGTGGTAACCCCGAGGGCTGGAGCGTGTCGTACGGCCTTATTTCTCTCTTCCTGATCGGAAACTCAGCAGGTGGCGGTGCGTCCGAGGCGGTGGTTACTCCCAAGAAGCACAAGGCAATTTAGTAGTAATGGCTACAGTAGACAGCTCTTGAGCTAGGGATTGGTTAATGCATCGTGTGACCCTATTTGATACTTCCCATTGACGATGACGTGTTAACCACCTGACCACTGCGGACGTCTTGGCTTCGGACGGCCGCTACTGGATAAACAAACAAGGCGTCGCGTTACTCCCATCCATTGGGACAGTGGAGGAGTCGCGACCGGTCGCGACTCGGTCGCGGTCGCGACCCGTATAGACCGGTAGCGACCGGTATATACTCGTACCTACTCGCGGCGACCGGTAGCTATCGGTAGCGACCGATAGCGACTGGTAGCGACCGGTAGCGACCGGTCGCGACTCGTAGCGACTCAAATAGATAGCCAGTAGCTAGGACCCCAGTCAGCACTATATAAGGAGCAGTAGTCAAGCCCTATGCATCCCCAGTCTGCTCTTGAAAACTTAACAAGGATTAAGGCTGACTCCTCCTAGTGTCATCTGGAGGGAGAGCTGCCGAATGTCCCAGAGACCTCAACCGTGTCGTGGGTTCTGGATGTCGAATCCAGACCGACGGCACCTGGCACCATTCGGGCTTGCGACACGGCAACTTTCTACCTTGCTTGTGACCAGGATCCTGTGGGCTTCGCCACATACTGCACTGAAGCGTAGGTGAGATCAAGATAGAAGGCGGTCTGAGCTACAGCTTGGAGAGATTCTGCTGTAGATGAGGTAGAGGCATCCATAGAAGAGGATGGAGCGATCATGTACAATCACAGAAGCACTGGACCATACAGATCACCGCTTCCCTATGAAGCCCACTGATTATTTCCATCGCAATCGGCCCAGCCAGACCACTCCTATGTCCCTAACACACTTTCAAACCCCATTCTACGTGTTTGCTTCTATATACATTCTACTTGACACCGTAGCGCATCGGAGTCTCAGCAGTCTTTCTTCCAACATCATCCGAGGATCCATCCTCAGCGCCTTGGCAGAAGCGCTTGCAGGCCTACTCCGACGCCTCATCCTCCTCCTCGTCCGAGCCCCAGCGCGAGGTCTCCGAGTCTGAGCAAGATCATCAGATCGAGTGTCACTATGAGAGGTATGAGGTGATATGACTCGCCGGCCTTGGGCTTCGTGCTTCCGTTCTCGCTCGCCGATGAGCCGGCCTGAGCGCGGCGGTGCCGGCGAATGACGGTATCGCCCTCGATCTTGTAGTCGATGAGCCTCATATGGTCGGGTGCTTCCTCTCCTTATGAAAGTATGCGCGGTTACCACGAACGGAGTCATAAGATCCGAGACGTGATTAGAAAACCCTTGACCGAGATGCCAATCCTGACTCAAGGGTATATGGTACTCACCCCGAGTGTTACGGTACCCAGGCACTTTGATGCTCTCGCCGTCTATAAGGGTGAAGCTGTTGCATAAGCAGTCGGTCATGATTTACAGACCGGAGGCAGACGGAAAGCGGAGCATGTTATGGTTGATGTTGCACATGATTCCAAACTCACCGCGAATCCTGCATGTCCAGCTCATAGTAGTCACACCACTTGTCGATGGCCTTGGAGACCGACGTGTACGGCGCAATCGGCATTTGAAGAGGGAGCGTATGGACTGACCACTGTCGGCCGCGTACGTCGAGACCCTTGATCGGACGGTCCGGTCTCCCAGGGCCGAGGTATGGGGGATCAGGCTGCTGATCGTTGTTGAGCGCGTCGAGGTCGGGGCTACGCCAGCCTGCTGGACGACGACCGGCGAGTTTGTCTAACTTGCGGTCCGTACCCCCGATAGGCTCAAGCGGGGCCGAGACCTAGGCAAGTGTCAGCGGATATGAGAGGTCTGGTGTGTCCGCGAGGGGGTCCGAAGAGGAGGAAGGAAGGAAGACAGACCGCTGCGCTTCTCTGCAGATGAGCCGAAAGGATCACCGGTAGACGTAAGGAGGAACAGCAATCACACGGAGAACGTATCCTTTGATACCCACCCTGATCTTTATCTTTATCTTCTTGGGCGCTTGCTTGTTGGGTCTCCGGATAGGGACTGGTCGAGTCTTCGTTTTGGGGCGGAGTCGGGTCCTGGGCATATCGTGAACGAGTATTGTAGAAAAGTGGGCCGGTTGTTACGTACCGTTGATATGTACAACAGGGAGGCTGAGACGAGACGAGAAGGAGGAAAGACCAGATGTGAGAATTAGGGATGAGTCAGCTTCGCGCACAGACCCCGATCCGCATTAGTACGCATCAGTGCACGGACCGCCTCTTCTTCCACGGATCGACCCTGACTTACCGCCTGCGCATATGAGTCTACATGCATGTAGTCGTGCCATGGATCGCTGCTGATACCTAGAGAATGTGTAAGATTGACAACAACAGATGTATACGATGCGGTATCAGAGGAAGGGATGTGGGATGTGGTGGTGCCGATACCGAGCTGTCTCTTCTCCAGACTTCTCCTCTCGCTCGCCTTGGCATGGTCGCCCGCGTCCCCCTTGGACACCAGGTCTCGCAACCCCCAGCACACTCGGACCCGTCCCCTCGCCTGCTTAGGCTACAGCGATCCTCCCCGCCCCGCCCTCACCTTCCCTACCCAGCCTCTCCCTCTCCTCCGCCCGCTCCTTCCTCCAGCTACCCTTGGCGTCATTGATGAGCCTCAGCTTGTTGAGGCGGACGGTATTGATCGGAGGCCGCTTGGTAGGTTTAGACTGATCCATCCGGATTTGGTCGGACGAAAAGCCGGGGAATGTCCGACCGAGGATGTTTTCTAATGATCAGTACTGTCACCGGTTAGGAGGTCAAAATGACATACCGTATGCAAGCTGGACATCCTTCCGCTCGACGGTCTCGCTCTTTCGATGCTTGGCGAGGTTGCACGACACCTGCGAGATGATATCCATATGCTCATCGCCAATCTGAAGCAGAACCTACTACATCAGCAACAGATCCAACTCAAGTAGGCAGAGAACTCACATGCTCAACCTCCCCATCAATCTTCAACCCCTTATCCACATTATCCGCCACATCCTGTATCTTCCTCTTCTTGCTACTCGACAAAGCCGGATCGACCTCCTTCTTCTTTTGCGCCATCGACTCTCTATCCGCCTCCTCGGCTATCGCCCGTATCGCATCCGGAACCCGCTCGAGCGGGACATCTGACATGACCCGCCCTTGCGCAAACCCCTGCATGAGCGTCGATCTCCCGCCGACCTTGACTGGCGCTTGAAACTGCGCGAGCTTCTCCCTCAGCGCCGCGTCGTACGCCGCATCAGGCAGCCACTTGGCCTGCGCGAGCACAGAGTCCGACTTGTCGGTCGAAGGACCGTAGGTACTGGCGTTGACCTGCATCTCCGAGTCCCGGCGGGCGGCCATGGAAGGTGCGCGCGCCCGTTGTCTGTTGGGATCCATCTGGGCGATGATCATTTCCGGCTTGACCTTGGTATAGTCAACAGGCAGGCCTTGCGGGGGCACAAAGCCCTGCATCGCCTGGACCGCACGAGGGGCGTTCGGATTGGCAATGGGATACCCGGGATTGAGGCGCATAGCCGGCTGCTGCGGCGTACCGAGATTGGCAGCTTGAGGTATCCGACCAGGACTGCCGGCGGACCCAGCGGATGATCCGGCCGTTTGGTTCGGGAGGAGGTTGCGCGCTTTACCAGCGGGGATGTGGAGGTTGTTGGAGACTCGAGCTTGGTTGGAGATGGGGAACTGGCCGCCGCTGCCACCTGGTGGCCCGGGATTGGGCGAGCTGGGAGCGACCGACTGAGCGTGTGCAGCGGTAAAGTTCTGCAGATTGTGCAGACCCCTAGGGTTCTCCATCAAATTGTAGTAGATCGGTCGGTATTCGGGTTTCTACCTGTCAGCCCTGCCTCATCCCCCAGTTCACTCAAACCTACATTCAGGAAGAACTGCTCCTTGTCGGCATCGCTCATCGCCTTCACCGTCGCAACCATCTTTGACAGCTGCTGGGCTGTAGCGAGGCTCTGCCTATGCTGCTGCTGTTGTTGCGTTTGTTGCTGCTGCTGCTGTTGCTGCTGCTGGGATGGCCCCGGCATACCGACCGAGCCCGGCCTCGGTGACGCAGCGTAATTGTGCTGATCCCCGTGCTGCATCTGCTGATCCCGCAGCGACTGCACCTGCGCCTGCTGGTTCTGCTGAGCATGCGCCTGCGCCTGCATGGCTTGGTGGGCCGCCATCATCTGCTGCTGCGCCACCTGGGACCGAGCGAGTGCGACCGCCTGATTGTTGAGCTGCTGCGTTTGGGCGTTGGGCTGCTGGAGCTGTTGTTGCTGCTGCGCGAGATGGCCGAGGGACTGTTGGGATTGGTTCCGCTGGTTCTGAGCCATCGCTTGGAGCTGGAATTGATTGTTGAACTGCATCGGCTGCCCATTGGCATTGGCGAATTGGTGGCCCTGGCCGCTTTGCATCTGTTGCTGCTGCTGCTGCTGCTGCTGCTGCTGCTGCTGCTGAAGAGGAGCGAGCTGCTGCTGAGCCGCCAGAGCCATCTGCGCATGGGTCATTTGGGGTTGGTGATTCTGGCCGGCCCGCATTTGGCCCAGTTGGTTGGCGACGACCGACGCGTCCTGAGCTTGGAGTACCCCGAGTTGAAGCCGACCTTCCTGAGTCTGGAGCAGCTGGTCAAACTGATTGTCAGCTACCGCCACTCACCATCAAATCATGCTTAGACTTACTAGCTTCTCCTGATCTGGTGCCAGCTTCCCCTGGAGCTTCATCGCCCACAACATCGGGAAGTTATCAATGAGCGCCTGAGCATTGCTCGCCTGCGCCTGCCCCTGTCCGAGACCCGCCCCACCATTCACCTGATGCTGTTGCTGCTGCATCTGTGCCTGACCCTGTTGACCAGGGAGCTGGGCATTCGCCTGCACCGGCGTGGATATATTCCGCTGAGGCACCTGACCCGTTCCCTGGCTGGGCGATCGACGGAGCTGCTGCCCAATGACAGGCGAGCCCATATGTTGCTGCTGAGGAGATGGTCCGCCGAGGTTGGGCGGGACGGCCGACATGGCGTGCATGTTTGCATTGCCCGGGAGCTGCTGGGGGTGTAGTTGGGGAGTTTGCTGTTGGATGTGCTGCTGCTGGACGGCCTGCCGCTGGAGTCGCTGTGTGGCTTCGAGGACAGTTTTGAACTGCTGCTGTTGTTGCTGGACGGATCCCTGAGCTTGGTTGGCATGTTGGCCTTGTTGCTGCTGCTGATGCAGTTGCTGCTGGTACATCTGGTGATCAGCGCTGAGGACATGGTACAGTCGAGGTGCTTACCTGAGCTTGGTTACCGTCCATCGGCATCCCCTGCTGTATCCCCTGCATTGGCACCCCTTGCATCCCCTGCGCAGGACTCGGACCCCGCTGCTGTTGCGCCTGCTGAACCTGCTGCTGAGCCTGTTGCTGCAGGGTAGCATGCTGCGGTGCCGGGGTCCCGTTTTGCTGCTGCTGCTGCTGCTGCTGCTGCTGTTGCCGCTGCAACTGCTGCAGCTGTTGGTGCTGCTGCTGCTGGATGTTTGGCGGTGGCTGGAGTGGTTGCTGGTGCTGCTGTTGCGGTTGTCGCTGTTGCGGAGCTCCCTGCGCATGCAGCCCGGCGGCCGTGGCCGCAGCCAGCTCCTTTTGCTGCTTCGTCTTGGCCTGATGTTCCGCTACTCGGCGGCGGACGAGCTCGTACTTCTCCTGAGGGGGCAGACCGCGCTCAGCCGCCGAGAGGATGTTTGGGACTTTGGCGAGAAAGGATTCGTATTTCGTATAGTTGGCTTCGGTGAGCGGACCCATGGTGGATGTGACCGTGCTCATGGTGGACGCAGTGCTCATGGTGGGTGAGGTGGGGAGGAGGTCGAGCCGAGAGGCGCTTACTGGTGGATTGGCGCGGAGATGGAAATTGGGAAGGGTGTAGGAGGTGAAAGAGGTGAAAGAGGTGAAGGAGGTTGAGGGGGTATCGGCGTCCAGCGGCTGGGGTGGAAGTTGGAGCTCTGTACACGTCAGACAAGCTCCATCGTCAATACTGTCCTGAGGTAACCGCGGATGTCGGTGGGATAGCGGTATGAACACCGATTGACCTACCCTCGAGGCTTTCTCAACACAAGAGCTCGGAGGTCGGAGCCCTATGAGATGCGGAAACAAGCTACAGGAGAGTGTCCCTTGTCCTTCCGCTGCCCCGCTCTGCCACTCTACGGACCTGTAGGAGTGATTGGCGCCTCGGCAAGCTCGGATGAGGGTGGATGGAACGGTTGATAGAAGGAAGGAAAGGGAAGTTGGAGGCTGGTCGCAACTGTCAAACAAAGTGGAGGCTGGCGGAATTCTCCGTTCATGCGCTCAACCTCCAGACGCTCCTTGCTGCTCACTTCCTCCCCACCCAGAAGCGCCATGATCGGCTGATGCACATGCTCAGAGAGTGATCGTCCGTGCCGGTCAGACTCGTCGTTACATGCATATCGTTTCTTTGTACACCAGTAATACACCTCCGAGCTGAGGATCGGCTTCATGACTTCCTTTGTCCAGCCTTTTGCTACCCCGCTTGGATTTTGCACCTGCTCCTCGCCTACGAGGGTCGCAGCATATCCACGCCAGACTTGATGTCTGTCCTGACTGTTCATATGTCTTCTAATGCGGAGATGTAAAGTACTGCGGGATCAGCCCCAACCCAGCCTTCGGGATCGGATGACGCTCTGCGAGAGGGAGAAAGCGAGACGCAGTCCCTGCTCAAGGACGCAGACATACTCACCGTTGTTACCACGAACGAAGCAGTCCCCATACCTGGCCGTCACCCGTCCGTTCGCCCATTCCTCGGCGTCCTCGAGCGCGACGTTCATATACCCATCGAGGCAGGTCAATTGGCCTATCTGATCAGCCCGGGCATCTTGAATTACGCATCAGGGAGGTCAGTAGGGTCCATCGGAGTCCTTTGTCTGCTTGTCGAGTATCCTCAGGGCAAGCTAGCTTGGGGTGGAAAGAAGTAGAGTCCGACTTACCATGATAGTCGACCCCGCTTCCTATTCTGACCTTGACCTTCTTCCCTACGATGTTTTTCAGGAAGTCTGATGGTGATCCTGCCAGAGGAGCGTTGGCTTGTGGTTCGGGAGATGCCGAGTCCATTGTAGCTGGTGTGACGGTGGATGGGTGGATGAAGTGCTGCTGGACGTTGGACCCCACACCAGCCCGGTGAGTGGGTGAGCCATCAGCCAGGCACACACGGGATAAAAGCCAGAAAGGGCTGCTACGGTATTATCTTTTAGTCACCTGACCTACCTGATACAAGCGCACACGTTTGACCTACATCACCTGACCATTTGGTTCACACTCCAACATCCCGCATACATCTCGCCTGACAGCTGCTGCACTGGTCATGTCCCCTCGCAAGACTACCCGAAACCAAGGCGCAGAAGAGATGGGGCCCATGGACATCGAAGGGCTCGATCCCGCTCTGCGAGACCAGGAAGAAACCCACCGCTCCCCAACACCCCCCTCACAGCACTTCACCCTCGCCGCTGCGGAAGCCCACGGTCATGACCATGACACCACCGAGATCGACGCGCTCATGACGCCACCTATGCAAGAGCACGAGGCGGGCCCGCTCAGTGACTTTGCGCGGCAGGTCATCGAGTCGGAGAACCCCATGATGGAGCACGGGGAGGACGAGGATGCGGAAGAGCTGTTTCAGCCAGAAGCGGAGGAAGGGATGGAACTCGTTGCGGCTGTCCAGGCGATAGAGGCTGTGGAGGCGGAAGATCTGCGGTTGTTACGAGGGGAGAAGGCGGGTGGGAATGCCAAGGCGGGGCCAAGCGCCCCTGGGCCAAAGAGGCGCGGGAAGGCGGGTCAGGCGTCAGGTGGGGGAGGGACAGGGAAGCGGAAGCGGGGAGGCACGAATGGGTCTTTGGTACCAGAGGAGCAGAGAGATCTGTCGAGGATGAAGAAGGACAGTCATGTCAGTAGCTATGACCGCTTTCGCACTAGGTCTTGAGCTGATAGAGCAGAAAGAGGTGGAGCGGAAACGACGAGATTTGATTAATGAGGGTATCACCGCGCTGAGCAAGTGCCTCCCTCCAGGATCAGAGAAGATGGGCAAGGGCCAGATCCTCAGCATGGCAGCGAACATGTTGACTGATATGGCGGCGGGTCGGCCGATCAACACGGGCGGAAGCAGGGGGCAGGACGACGAGGTCATCAGCGCACTTCAGGTATGTTCTGCTTCACATTACCAGGCCTACCTTCCGGGTTGCCAAATGGGACGAGAACTAATATGTCTAGTCTGACTTGGCCAATGCCCAAGCCCAGCTCGAGGAGGAGCATACTCGCTCAATGACGCTCGAGACGTCCTGGCGGGAAGCGGAAGATCGGGCAGCGGCGAGTCAGTTTGAGCTAGAGCGGGTCAAGAGGGAGCTGGAGGAGGCCAAGATGCAGCTCTTGGAGAATAGGCGGTGAAGGGCGGTGAGCGATGGGGACCGGTTTGGGCTTGGATGTAGGGAGAGAGGGCAGGCGGTTTGTACATTGAGGGGTATACCCTCGTAGCCTCGAGAGTACTTGTTGTATAGACGGCATTGGAGTGGGGCATGTATAGCTATATGTCTTCGTCTCTCTTTCCTGCCCTGTCCCGCTTAACTCTCACAGCTGGACAGCAAATCCCATGCCCTTAGCGTCTTGGCTTGTGCCGCACACACAGCTTGGCCGTCTAGATCTAGCAAAATCAACGCACGGACCAGCAAGACGCGGTCCAGCCAGCGGTCCAGCTCGGCGTGTTTCCCATGCCTTGTCCTCCTTTCTACATAGCAGCAGCTCAGTACTAACCTCAACCACCACAACTAGCGGTCCGTAGCTCGACAGGAATCTCCAGGAGGCTCGAAATCACGGCAACACCCGCTACTGCCCCGCCGAAGATAGCGCCTACTTCGCTTACCGCGCCTAGAAACCCGATAGTCCTTCGACCGCTCTCTCCCGCCAGTCCGAAGTTCCCCTCGACAACCTGGCTACCATGTCAACGGCAGTACCTACACCGCCCGTAGAGGGCGCGATCAACCCACAGGACGAGGAGTTCTACGCATCGTACGTCCTCTCTTGTCGGACCTTCCCTTGCGCCTCGCAAACTCCTGCCTCCAGCGCTGACACTGATCTCGCAGATGGGGTCTCTGTATCCTCTGTGTGCTCCTCATCGTCGCCCTTTGCTCGTCGTACTACCTCCAAGTTAAGAAGATTCGGGCGGTACACGAGACGGTCGTGTCGATCTTTGCGGGGATGGTGGTGGGGCTCATCATCCGCTTGAGCCCAGGACATTTGATCAGGGAAATGCTGGTGAGTTTCATGGTACCCAAGCTACAATCAGGCTGTACGAGTATGAAAATGTACATGCCGGAGGTGGCTGTCATGAAGACTTGCAGCGCAGTAGGGCCGATGGGAGAGGTATATGGGCGACGAACGGCTAGGACTCCAATCATGCCTCTCGGATGTCCAGGCTGTGCTCCTCCTGGTCAAAGCTGATCACGCAGAGCTTCAAACATACCCTCTTCTTCAACCTCCTCCTACCCCCTATCATCCTCAACTCGGGCTACGAGCTCAAGCAAGAAAACTTCTTTCGGAACTTTGGCGTCATCCTCACTTTTGCCTTCCTTGGCACCTTCATTTCCGCCGTTGGTATCGGGTAAGTTAAGCACTCTCTGGCCGCGGAGTATGGGCTGGACGCTGATCATCCAGAGTCCTAGTCTATATCTGGTCCTTCCTCGGCCTGGAAGGTCTCAAGTTCACCCTCCTCGAATGCCTCATCTTTGGCTCGACCCTCTCCGCCACAGACCCAGTCACCATCCTCGCTATTTTCAATACGTACAAGGTCGACCCCAAGCTCTACTCGGTCATCTTTGGTGAGAGTATCTTGAACGATGCTGTTTCCATCGTCATGTACGAGTACGTCCCTTCTCACTTTTTGCGACTCCCGCTGGCGGAGCTGATGGCCAGGACGCTCTCCCAGTTCCACGGCGAAGACATTTACGTCTCGTCCCTCTTCCACGGAGTCGGGATCTTCCTCTTCTCCTTCTTTGGCTCCATGCTCCTCGGCGTCCTGTTTGGACTCGGCTGCTCCCTCGGCCTCAAGCACAGCCACCTCGCCTCGTTCCCGCATATCGAGAGCTGTTTGGTTGCGCTTGTGGCGTATACGAGCTACTTCTTTTCGAATGGTCTGAGCATGAGCGGTAAGTCTTAGTCTGCGCGAGCATGTGTGCAACGTAAGTACGGTGCTGATCAACAGGGATCGTCTCGCTGCTCTTCTGCGGTATCACCCTTAAGCACTATGCCTACCATACCATGTCGAAGCGAACGCAGCGGACGACCAAGTACATGTTTGCCGTCCTTGCTCAGTTGTCGGAGAACTTCATCTTCATCTACCTCGGGTTGAACCTCTTCACGCAGGACGTGCAGGTGTTCAAGCCGCTCTTCATCTTGGTCTCAGCTGTAAGCTGCCGGACCCAAAAGATAGCACAAGGAGACGTAGCTGACCCTGCAGATCGCCGTCATGGCCTCCCGCTACGCCTGCGTCTTCCCCCTCTCTGAACTCATCAATTGGATCTACCATACCCGGGGCCAGCGACACGAGGAGCTTCCGCACTCATACCAGATGATGCTCTTCTGGGCTGGTCTGCGCGGGGCCGTCGGTGTCGCCCTCGCCGCTGGAATCACTGGCGACAATGCCGATGCTTTACGAACGACCATCCTCGTCGTCGTCGTGCTCACGGTGATCGTCTTTGGCGGGACTACTGCGCGGATGTTGGAAGTTCTGGGGATCAGGGTGGGAGTGGAGGATGAGGATGCGTCCTCGGACGAGGAAGATACCTGGGCTGCGAGGAAAGGCGGCAACCTGGCCCTTACGTCTGGCGGGCGAAGATATTCTCAGCGAAGGGGAATGTACGGGGACGACGGGGACGAGATCGACCTTCACTCGCCGGACGATCCCAGTCCATACGGCCTCGACATGCCCCGCTCGCTCGCTGGCAAAGGTCCCTCCGGGGCCGGTCCGTCCCGCAAGTCCCGGCCCAACGCTCAGCGATTTGGCACCGCCGCATCCCGCTCTGGGTTCAGCACCAACTCGTCCGAATCAGAGGAGGAGCACCTCCCTTCGGCGACATTCGGCTATGACGAGGAGGACGAGACGGAGGCGGATCCGTCCGCTTCGGATCCGCTCACCGGCGCGGGCGGAGCGGGCAGTCCGGGCAAGGCGGGTATGGTGTTTAGGGACGGACAGTGGTTTACCGCTCTGGATGAGCGGTACCTCTTGCCCCTGTTTTCGAATTCGGTGACGGCCAGAAGAGCGGCGACGAGAAAGACGGCCAAGAAGGCTAGTTTGTATCCGAATACAGGGACACCGGGGGCCGGTGGGGGAAGTGGGGCGGGGACGCCAAGAGGGGCGAGCTTTGATTTAGGGCGGGGAGAGGAGGGAGGGTTTGAGGAGGAGGAGGAGAGTGAGAATGGGAAGAATAAGATGGCGCGGACATTTAGGTAAGTTGGTTATGGATATGGATGAGGTGAGGTGAGAAGAAAGCTGATGAGTCAGTGGATCCGTTTCGGACTTCTTCTTCTCCAAGCCGGAAATATCACCTGGTGTGCTGTCGCCTCAGCCGGAAGAACGGAGGACGAGCAGAGAGAGATTATCGGCGGGTTCGGCGAGTAGTGTGGTAGGACCAAGTCGTGGGGCAGAAGGGAGATGAGGCGGGTCTGGGCGGAGACTGGGCGTGAGGACGGGGACACGAATTGGGAGGGGTGTGTATGCGGACGATCTGTACTGAGTTTAGATGATAGAATGCTCGGCCTGGACGCTGCACGCGGACGCTGATGTCTTACATCGCTGCTCATGCTGATCTGACTGCTCACGCAGCGTGTAGCGCCCGTTACATCCAGGTCATGATGGTCATCGAGAACAACTGGTCGCCGTCAAACGAACATGTGCATCAAGGCATTGGCAACGTCGACTAAGAAAGTGAGAATCCTCCTTACACCGACCCCCTTCACTCCATCAAGCCGCCTGCGTCGAAATCTCCTCCGTCTGGACCGGCTTCGCCACGTAGGTCTTCGCCACATTGGCCCACTCGATCTTGTCGGCCCGGACGGACCCCGTCGCCGTCGGTATGTAGGTGAACGTGAACGTAGACGAGGCGTTCGCCTTGCCTTGGACCGTTGCCTGACTGAAGACCACATCGTCCGCATCCGGCGCAACAGGTGACGCACCGCTGCATGCCCCTCTGATTCTGGCTGATCAGCTGGCGTTTTGATAGCTGTGGATGTGTTCAGAGTCTCTTACAAGCGGCCAGAAAAACTCACCGCCCAAGAATCAGGATCTGATCCTCGGTGGAGAACCGTCGGTCCTCCAGCTCGACAAGCAAGGACTCCATCGTTGTCAACGGCCGCGTCAGCTTGGCGACAGACGACAAGCTGTTGGTGGGGTCCTGCAGCTCGACCTTGGTCTGCCTGTCGGGCAACTTGGGAAGTTCCCACGGATTTCGCGCGCTCGGGTCAGTCTTGATGGCATCGCTGTACATTAGCCCGGCCTTTCAAAAACTGGTATAAGGAGACGGAAGGTACTGACAAGATGGACGACGGGGCGATGAAGGTGAAGTGCGACAAGGGCTTCGATGGAGTTTTGTGGGCTGGGGGATTGTAAAGGAGTGATCGGTCCTGGCTGATCGCGGTGTATTTCTTGAGAAGAGTGCTAACATACCACTCGGAATCCGGTGACGCTCCTGCAGATAGCCCAGACATTTTTGCTTGGGATATGAGAGAAGGAACAGAAGTCAGCCTGGAGGGCATAGCGACTCGCTCTTATGGGCAGACAGGATGAGCCTGGCAAGGGCGATTTGCGTCGGTCTCCCAAATGCCGCAAAGGATGATGAAACGCCGTCGCCTCCACTGCATGTCCGACTGGTCAAGTGATGTCGAGCTCAGCACTGACTCCGCTCGCGGGGGATGCTCCGCCGTTTGGGCCTCTTTTGAGGATCTCGGTCGATACCGACATCATCAGGGGGCTCAGACACGGTTCAGTGCTTGGCCTTTCCGATGCCAGATCCGAACTCAGCCACCCTGATACTAATATATTCGATCAGACGAGCAGTCCAGCGTTTCGACCTCCATTGTGACTTCCCATAACCCAGACGAACCGGTGGTGGACGTGTGGTCTAAGGCGCCATAAGGGCTCAGCCTAGCTCTAGGCCTCTACTGTACATTGCTGTAGAGCTTTACTCGCTACGTGACACGGAAGCTCCGACTCTGTAACCTGTGAAACTTCCCCTCGCTGCCCCAGATCTCCCAGCTGCTTCCCATATCGCTGCTGAGCTGGCTAGTACAAGCAGGCGCGACGCAGGTCCTGTTACTCCTGGACCACCTCCACCGCGCCGTCGCCACTCGGCGCCTCGGCCAAGCGCGTGCCGTAACCGCTCATCGCGAGACGATCTTGCGCGTGGTGCAAGCAAGGGTGCGAGGTGATGCCCTCGTCTTCCTCATCTAAGCCGATTGACCATAAACCCCAATATAGCTCACCCCATTTCTCAATACTTCCCGACATGTCATCACCTCCACGACCATCATTATCACACCCCGCACCTCAGCTGAATGGAGCAGCTTCTGGTCCAAACGGTACAGCCCACGCTCAGCCTTTGTCTTCGTCAGATCCATCTCCATCCGTCTCTACATTACCGCCGGCGGCGATCGCCCTCGCAACGCGGCTATTTGAGGGTGCACGGCAGGGAGACGTTGCGCTATTTGAGGAGGTGCTTGCTTACAACTCGGGGATGAAGGATATGCGAAACGATAAGGGAGATTCTCTGGTGAGTCCTTCGATACAAGCCTATGATCTGGTTCGAATATGGCGATCTACCTCATCTTTACGACCACCTTTACATTACGGGAGGAGCACAGCATCATCTGCCGGCTCCATACCGCTTTTGACATGCTACTTCCACCTAAGCCAGGCACTGACCCCCAGGTCATGCTCGCGGCATATCACGGCCGTCTCCCCCTCCTCCGCCTTCTCCTCTCACACGGCGCCGACCCAAACAGTCTTAACGACAGACAACAGTCCCCCCTCGCCGGCGCTATATTCAAGGGGGAGAAGGAGGTGGTCGAGGCGCTGAGTGATGCGGGCGCGGACTGGGGAGTAGGGGAGCCGAGCGCGAGGGAGGCCGTGAGGATATTCAGGCAGGAGGCGATTTGGGGGGATCGGATGGGCGGTCAGGAGAAGGGAGCAAATGGGAGCCGGAATGGAGTACCAAACGGGGGAAGCTAAGGCGAAGAAGAGGAGGATATGGATCAGAGGTGCTATCCCGGTGGATGGCAGGCCGGAGGAGCTTGATCGAGCAGAGATTACCAGTCTGGCGATGCTTAGCCGTTGCGTACGCTGCCAAGACGGGCTGACTACCTGCAGCATCAGTCGGTGCTGTTTGTAGGCGGAGTGGAAGCAGGGGGTGGAGGCCAAACCGGTCGGGGTTCGAAAGGGGGCCTGCGTCCCGTGTAGCAATCCCAGTAGTTGAGCTAGTCGATACATACATGTTGACGAGACTTGACTGTACTACAATGCACTACGCAGACCCAGAGTATCTAGGCCATAGGAGCCTTCTCGACGCGCTCGACACCCTCGACGGCCGAGATCTGGGCCTTGCGGCAGGACTGGTAGTTGCCGGAGCAAGCCTTGCAGGTGGCGACATTTCTGCTTAGTGGACGGTGGTGATGTAAAAGAGTGATTATGTTGATATCGGAGCGAGGTATACGAGAGGAAGGCAAGGAAGAAGAAGGTGCGATCAGCGGTAGTCCCTAAGTGAAGAGAGTGTGAGGCAAACTCACCCAGTGCACTCGGTAGCGACGCAGCCCTGGTCCTTGCACACACCGCAAGAAGCGGGGTTGGCAGTGCAGCCAGCGACCTCATCCTTGGCACAAGCCGAGGGGGTGGTCTGCAGGCATCAGCTAGGCCTCTATCACCAGATAACAAGGCTGGGAGCGAGGGAGAGGTGATGGAACTCACGCCGCAGAAGTTGCAGTTCTGGGGGTTTCCGGAGCAGGCAGACATGGTGTGTTGTGTATGTGGAGGTGAGTTGGGGGTGGAGAGAGGGTGTGAAGTGATTGTGAGGATGAAATATGGAAGGAGGAACAAGAGAAAGATCTGGTAAGCTTTTGTAGGCGAGGGTGGACAGGTCCTGTGGAGGTCCGATCTCAGCTGACATTCGGCTCAAATCTGATTGGTCGGATCTCGCGAGCTCGCAACCTGATGTCACAGGATACGGTAACTTACGATACTCAGTCACAGTGACGTGACCACTTCCGGCGTAACGTGCGATTGAGAGCCTGGCAGCTGAAATGGTAAGCAGGACTTTAGATATCTTGGGCGTCGCTGACGAGCTCGGAGTCCATCATGCATCATGGTGGGTCTCGATGCCTCGATGACAGCATGAGGCCTGAGGCCTGAGGTAGCTTTCCGTATGGGTCTCGCTGAGTCACGGTCATGGGTTGCGGTGGGGGGGGGGGTGACCAACGGGTTACCAAGCAAACGGGGGTGAATATCTTCCCTAGGCAGGCCTATACCTACAGTTGCTCTCCTGCTATGTCCCCTGACCAGTAGCAACCTGCAAGTGGCTGCTGACCCCTGAACATGTAAGTACTCGTACAGCCACCTCTCCACCAGCCAAACGCCCAGCCAGATCGCGGTGCCACGTTCGGATAAGCCCGGCATCGCGTATCTCCGTCGGATGCCGTAACCTCAGTTTGCTCGCAATTGCCTCTCGAGCCTCTGCTCTCCACTTCAAACCGCGCTCGATAGAGCGCAGACTGTAGTTCTTTAACCCGATCAGAGGTAGGACGCAGATCAGATATCCTAGAGACAGGAACTGGTCAAAATCTCCCACCGGAATCATGCCGGCCGACCGGAGAACGTCCGAGGGTCCCACCTCCTACACCCCCTACCCTCCCCCTTCCCCTTCGTCTCCACCTACCTTCCAGACCCCTGCCATCCCCCAGCGCCCGCCAGCGTCCAGCCGTGGCTCCAAAGGCTCCAACAAGCGGAAAGCTGCATCCCCTCCGCGGTCTCTCGCCGACTATGCCGACCGAGAAGCCAGCCCCTCGGCTGCTGCTGCGACAGCCTCGGTCGACCAGGGGTCGTACAAGGTAGCAAGAGCCATCTCATCCTGTACGCGGTGTCGGACGAGAAAGCAGAAGTGCGATGGGCTGCTACCGAGGTGCTCGGCGTGCGAGAGGGCCAAGGTGGAATGTATTGGGTTTGACGCGATATCAAAGACCAACATTTCTAGAAAGTGAGTTCTGCAGTCCGGGAGAGGGTGTCGCTGACATGTAGCCATCTCCACACACTCGAACAAGAAGTAATCCAGCTCCGTGCTCAAGTCGCGGCGCTTCGGTCCGGCCACCCCGACCCCGGTGTCATGACCTTTCCCCTTCCTTCCCATCCACCCGCAACCCTAAACGCGTTCGAGGCGTCCCAGCGACGCGAATCACTCAGCCTCGCGATAGACCCGGCTCTATCATCCGACATTGACCCTGCCCTTCGATCCTCCTTCTCCCCCTCGTCGAGCGTACATCAAAGGCGTCACTCGGAGTTCTCACATGGCGGAGACCGCTCGCCCAGCCTCAGCAGCGCCATGAACCCCAAGAATCACAGCTTGACGCGGATGGTACATGACGCTGCCCTTCGCACTGGGCATGCCATCAACCAAACCAATGCCAACGCAGCCTTCAACGTGTCGGGACCGTTCGGATCCCACTCGGACAAGGGGTCGGTGCACTCGGGCCATGAAGGCGAGTATGGTCACGGGAGTCCGGACCGCTTCCACGCTCCTCAGCGGTCGGGGAGTACCGGCTCGCGTTTAAGTAATATGGCGCCGCAGAGACCGGCTTCGGCGCAAGCTCCAGGCAGCGGAAAGGGCAAGGTCAGGCAGTTTGCTATACCGCCTCTGCCGCCGCAACCGGCGGTGGAGCGGCTCGTGGCGGCGTATGTCGACTTTGTGGGGGTGACTGCACCGATCGTCCATATTCCTACCTTGGGAAGGCAGTTGACCAAGATTCGAGAGGGGAACGACGTGGAGGAGAGCGATGTGTTTGTCGTGATGATGGTGCTGGGTGAGCTAGAGCAACAGGAGCTTTTGTGGACTTTGCTGACTTGCAGCTCTGAGTACAATGGCTTCTGCTCGATTTGTCGATCCGCCAGACGAGCTCCGGGCCTGCTCTGAAGCCTTCCACGCTGAGGCGATGAAGCATCTTGATGCGGTCTTCGACGAGGGATCTTACGGTGAGCTGGAAAGTCCTGGAATGTGGGACACGTGCCGAGCTTACATCCTAGTCGGCCTCCAAGCGATCCTCCTGCTCATCTGGTACTCCCTTCTCAACCCCGAAAAAGGCTCAATATGGTACCTGGTCGGTCTCGCCACCCGAACCTGCGTCGACATGGGCTACCACAACGAGCACAATGCGCAGATCGAGCAACTCGACGCGCTCGAGATTGATATGCGCCGAAGGCTGTTCTGGGTCGCGTACAAGATGGATCGGCTCTTGAGTCAGTCTTTGGGTCGGCCGCCTAGTATCCCCGATGGGTTTATCAATGTCCCTGTAAGCTAGCCGCCCCGTGAGAGCTGTGATGCGATAGCTGACTATTAGCTCCCATCTGCTCTGCACGACGTTGATATCCACTCGAACCACTTTGGACCCCCAACAGGCGATGCCTGCGCCTACAAAGCCAACTTCATCCACACCATCAAGATCCGGCAGCTCCAGTCTGAAATCCTCACCAATACGTACGGTACCCACGGGATCGACCAGGTACCTACGCAGGAATGGTTTGATGATTGCTACGACAGGCTCAAGGCTTGGCTGGCGGCGGCGCCGGATCCGAGGGGGACAATGAGCGCTGAGGGGTATGCGATTAGCTTCCACAGTACGTCCCTTTCTTGGTGTATGGCGAAAGTGGGTGCTGACAGGGCAGACTCCACTCTCCTTTTGTACCGGCCAAGTTCGGGAAACCCTCGTCCGGATCGGAAGGCGCTCTCGGCGGTACTGGCGAGTTCTAGCTATATCATCCGGATCTATCGCAGGATGCAGCTCAACAACCGGATCTCGTGGTTGTGGATGACGGTAAGCTATCCTCCCCTCGGAAAATATGGGGTCCAAGCTGATCAACAGAGTCACTTCTCATTCATGGCTGGGTTGTCCTTTTTGTACGCCTTTTTGAACCTGCACACTATGGGTGGGGGAGAAGGGGTTCCGACTCTGGAGGAGGCGATGTTGGATGTGGAGTCGTGCTTGTCCACGCTGGAGTATCTCTCTCGTAAGTTGAGTGGGCCAGGATGAGCGACGTCACCAGCTGACAATATAGCTCGAGTACCCTCCGCTGGAGCATGCCACGACACTATGCGCACCCTCTCCCAGGCGATCCTCGAACAGCTCGCCGCTCCGTCCGCTTCCCGCTCGGCCACCGTTTCTGCCGCTGCGACCTTGCGCAATCTCTCTCGAGCAGCACCGGTATCGTCATCCCGTGACGACCCCCTTCCCAACTCCGACTACCTCGCCCCCCTTCCTTCCGTCACGCTCCCATATGAGCTATCCCTTCTCGACAACCTTTTCGTCAACCCCATGGCGACCCATCAGAAGGCTTCGGACTACACAAACGGCGCCAAGACACGCGCGGTGTCCGCCGAAGTCCGCAGCTCTATGGCTACGCTGTACAATCAGCACGCCAACCCAGGCGTCAATACTGCCAATCTCATCAACAGCGGTCCTTCATCCGGCTTTGGGAATGGCATCCGGCCATACTCGCTCGCTGCGCAGGTCAGGGCGGGGTATACCGACTGCCCGACCATCGAGCAGAGTCTCGCAGGTGTCGAGGGCACGAGGCAGGGCCAGCTGAGCAGCAGTGTTGACTATGGCCTGAACGGCAATGGCAATAACACTGGGAGTGGAGAGATGGACACATTGGGCGATCTGGGGATCCTGCTCGGCGCGATGGATGGGCAAGAGGCGTCAGAGGCGGCGGCACAGGCGCTTCAGGCGCAGGCGCAGCATGGGGTCCAGGTGGATAGTGCGCAAAACTTTGATTTCTTTAGTTTCTTGGATGAGGGGTTCGGGCAGGATGCGGGGCTGGATGGGATGGCGTTGTGGAGTTAGGCGGGAAGATCGAGGCGGGTCAAGGCAGGGGAAGGCAAGGGGAGGCAGGCATATCTGATTTTGGGTATCGTTCTCGGTTTTCTTCTACGGGTTGTAGTTGGTTGTAGATGGTCTATGCTGCTTGTAAGAGAAGCTCTGCTCTTGAAAGGGCTGACGGAACCGCTCTGCAGCTGCTCTGCTAGGAGCACGTTCCGCGTTCTCACAGCCTGGTCGACCGATTTGTGGGAATCCTCGGCCGATTTCGGCCCATAGTCATCAGGCACGCGGAATGCGGTCATTGGATCGGAAGCAACGTCATCAGCCTCCACTCCGCCTCGTCAACGCGTGCCGAGGCCTCAGGCTGACCTAGCTGCTGACCTCCACCGGGCAGTGGCACCGGCCACTCAAAGGGCCAAGGTCAGCAAGGAGGAAAAGTCTCCGAGCCTAGCCGTTGGAAAGGGCCGACGTCATAGCTCTCGGAGGTGGATTTAGGCAAACAGGAGACAGCGGGTGCCCCCCTGCCTCCCATCGTATCCCTTCTCCAAGCACTTCTTCATCTCACCAGCTAAATCAACCAAACTACAAACAAAATGTCTGCCCCTACTACTGCTCGCGGCTATGGTATCTCCGGTGAGTCTGGCGTGACTGTCGAGGAGAGGAACAGAAGCTGACAGAGCAGACACCAAGAAGTACACCGACTTCTCGGTCCAGGAGTTCAAGCTTAAGACTGCTGGCCCGCACGACGTTACTCTCGACATCGAGTTCTGCGGTGTCTGCGTAAGTTTTCTCTCCTTCTGCGCTGTGGAATCAAGGCTGAGGCTTAGGGTTCGGATGTTCATACGATCACAGGCGGCTGGGGCCCCCTCTCCACTGACTGGGTCGTTCCCGGCCACGAGATCGTCGGCAAGGTCACTCATGTCGGTGATGAAGTGAAGGAGTTCAAGGTCGGCCAGCGTGTCGGTGTCGGAGCGCAGGTGTACGCCTGTCTCGAGTGCGACAGGTGCAAAGCCGACAATGAGAACTACTGCCCGGAGCAGGTCGAGTGAGCTATATGGGTCCCATGTGATGTCTGGCCAAGCTGACTCTGTAGCACCTACAACGCTCCCTTCCCTGATGGCGTGATGGCCCAGGGGGGCTACTCGTCCGTTATTCGCACGCACGACCGCTTCGTCTTTGCTGTACGTACAGACAAGTGGGGCACAGGCTTGGGAATGAGTTCTGATGTATCAGATCCCCGAGGAGATCAAGTCGGAGGAGGCCGGCCCGCTTATGTGCGCTGGTCTCACCGTCTACTCGCCTTTGAAGCGCAACGGTACCGGACCGGGCAAGGTGAGCCATCCATTTCCCCCGCGTGCGATTTACGGGCGCTAAAGATCAGACTGTCGGTATCGTTGGTATCGGTGGATTGGGCCGTAAGTTCCTGCCGCTCGCTCCACACGTTGTGCCAGACTGACTCACCAGACCTTGCCATCCAGTTCGCACACGCCATGGGCGCCAAGGTCATCGTCTTCTCCCACTCCGCCAACAAGAAGGACGATGCGCTCAAGCTCGGCGCGGACGAGTTCGTATTGTCCGGCGAAAAGGACTTCGCCAAGCCCTACTTTGACAAGCTCGACTTCATTGTAAGTACAAGTTCACAGATTACGATTCGTTATATGTTTTTGCACACAAGCTGACCTCGCAGCTCTCCGCGGCGGATGTCCACAACCTTCCTATCAGTGACTTCCTCTCTATGCTCAAGGTCGAAGCCAAGATGGTCAGCGTCGGTCTTCCGGACAAGGAGTGGGAGGGTCTCCAGCCCCAGATCATGGCTAGCAACGCCAGCGCCATCGGGACGACCCACATTGGTTCCAAGGTCGAGTGGTGAGTGTTCCTTGGGTGAATAAGCAGGGTTGGGCTGACATTGAAGCAATGAAATGCTCAAGTTGGCTGCACAGAAGAATGTTAGGCCGGTCATCGACCAAATTCTTCCCATGAGCCAGGCGGGCAAGGCGATCGAGGGGGTGAAGGAGAACCACGTGCGCTACAGGTACGTCCTCAAGCAGGACTTGGCCTAGGCGCTTGGAGGTAGGGAGGGAGTAGTCAGTCTCAGTCAATAGTGGCCATCGTCCAAATGTGCATGTAGCTCCTAGTCAGTATATTCATCATAGCTAGCTGCCATCCTTGCGCCTCCTCTTCCTGATAGCCTTCTCCCTCTATACCCTCTTGCACCTCCCTTCGTCTTCGCACCAGCTTCATCGCTCATTGAGATGTCCCCACCAGCCCATCCCTCGCTCCCCTCGCCATCTCCTGAGACTCCTTCCGAGTCGATCAGACTGGCAAGTTCCCCCTCGCTGCTTCCGGCCTTTCCAGGATCCTCGGGACTGTCATTCCCGAAGCCTCATCTCCAGAACGCCTCATGGTGTAGACCTTGACGATCGGCTCGTCAAGACAAGGACGCCGAGGAGAGTCTGGGCGCTCTCCCTCCTCAACATCTGCCTTGCGATCGTCTGAGATGGGCGCGGTCGGGCATTCTCCTACGTCGCTAGACGACCACACGGCGGTGTGGGGGGCCTTGCGTCTCCGGAGCTGGACGGATGCGGATTCAGCGGAGGCTGGGAGCTCCGTGGCTGGCTGACGACCGAGAGGGGTGGGGGAAGAGTGGGGAAGCGAGGAATGAGCGGGTCCGGCGCGCGGCGGGCGAGGTCGGCTCTGGTTGTTAGCCGAGGCAGAGTGGACAACTGACCACTGTAGTTGAACTCACCATTGGCGTTAGATTCCTTCTCCGAGTCCGCTCCGACCTCGAACACACCTAGCATGTCAGCTGAGTCTTCAACAAAGGACGAGTAATTCACCATCCGCACGATCATCTCGAAGCAGGCCAACTTCTTCCCTATCGGCTGCCTCGTCGCTCTCCGACCCCTCCCTCGTTCCAACACCCTTAGGCGCCGCTGCTACTCCCAGTCTCCCCTCGTGCGCGATCTCCATCCTTTCCCCGCTGCCACTCGACACCTCGGTACCAGTTCGGCCGCCCACACCCATCGCGTCCTCATCCTCGCCTTTACCCTCAACCTCGACATCCGCGACGGCCGCCGTGTCGATGCCAATTGAGCTGCCTTCGGAGTTACCTGAAGGGCTCATCGGCAGTTTGCGGACGGTGCTCCTGCGCAGAAGGCTTCGAGGAAGAGGTTGGAGGCGGGAAGGGGGTGAGGCATACGGGTCCGCTTTTTGGTCCGAGATGATTCGGTCAAGTGCCGCTGAATCCCCTGGTACCCCTGTTAACCCCGCGAGGATGTCGATCCTGACTGGACGAGCCCGTAAAGGTGCTGGCTTGGCAGGTATTCTCGGCACACTCGCTGACAAAGGCGAGTCGAAAGCTCCGTCGTTTGCCATTCGGACTTGATCGGACGAAGCACCTGGCACGACGACGGACGATACGGTGACACAGCCCTTGGCCCAAGGCGCAGAAGTAGGTTGACTGGCAGGGCTGACCTACATGACATTAGCGCGAGCTGGCAGGCAGCATAGAGAGGACTGACCGCATCGTTCAAGGAAGCTTCACTCTGGCTCGTGCTCCTCCCTTCAAGCTTTTGAGGTAGCGCTGTAACGGGACGTTTGCGATTCGGGTCCATCCCGTCCTCGCCTCTGATCATGGCCATGACGAGTCGAATGCGAGCGTTTAGAGAGTAAAGCGGTTTCTAGGTTATGGTAAGCAGAAAGGCGAGAAGTTGAAGGATGATCTACGCAGTTGCCGGTTTAGGTTTCGCTGTCAAGCAGGATATGGAGGCGGGGAGTAGTCAACGAGGTCATTAGTCGAAGTGCAAGTAGCTCTTAGTCTTAAAACATTTACAGTCAGCTGCCTGCCACCTTGTTCGGTCGCGGATCATGTAGCCATTAGGCAACTATCGTATGCGCTGCCGTATGATTGGGAAAGCGGGAAGTAGGTGGAGTGAGGCCTGGTACTGCGCACCTGAGTAGTGTCCACTGCAAAGAATTGCATTCAAGCCCAGATGAAAGAGGATACCAACGAGATAAAGCACAAGCCTCAAGTCCACGCCCCGACAACACTCTCAACTCCACCCCATCCCGCGTCCATGCCGCCCGAGAGAACCGGGTCCAGCCCAGACTTCTCACATCTATTCGTACGCCTTGCCGTTCTGGCGCCTGAAAGTGAGGAAGGAGATGACGTAGGGGATGACCGATAGTGTCTGCGAGACGAATCCGACCCATACCAAGTCTGCCTATCAGCAACGAGCCCAAGACAAGAGAAGGAGGGAGACTTACACAAGGCTGCACCGGCGGTGACGGTCACGCCGACAGTGTTGGTCTCGGTCAACATCCGGGTGGCGATGGGTGCGTTCCGGGCAACGATCGCTGACCACATGGCGGCACCGCTGGCTTATCAGTCGAGCTCAAAAAGGAGATGGCAGGACTTACACCATGAGGAACAGAGCACTCCCGCCCGACATGATGGTGGCCACCAGGAAGGTTATCCGGGTCTTGAAGATCCCGACGACCAATGCGATACCGCACATGACCGTACCGAGCTATAAAGGTCAGCTCAAACCCTACCTCGTGCATTGAGGGAACATACGAAGATAAGGAGGTTGGCAGCGCGCGAAAGGGTCATGTTGTAGACACTGTCGGTGATAGCCTGGTCACCGCCGAGGAGACCAAAGAGGGTACCTCGCATCCCGCGGTCGGTGGTGATATCGGCTCCGATCTGTCCGGATGGGTCAAAGGGGTATCCAAACGAGGTCGCGTTGCAGGTTCCGCCGTTCGGGAGATAACCACATGCACCTATAGTCTCAGCTGCCGCTTGCTATGGGTGGAAATGCTGGGACGTACCGTAAACACCGTATCTGTAGTATTGCCTGCTACCGATACCCTGGCCAAGGGCTGCCTTGGGGTCACCAGTCGTCAAACCGCCCGAACCGCCGCCAGCGACGTCGTAGGCGGTCCCCAGGCCCTTGCAGTTCACCTCGGCAAAGAAGAGGCCCGAAGTGACGGCTCCAGGGCTGAGCTGCGAGATGTTGGCAAAGACCAACATGATCGCTGAGAAGAGGGAGAGGAGGGTCGCGCCGTACACGCAGTATTCGCCGCGCATTTTGAGATGAGTCAAAGAGGTGGGAAGAGGGGAGTGAAGGGAGGGTGTAAAGAGTGTGGGGGAGTTGGTCGCTAATCTATATACACAATCGGGAGTGAGGAGTAGGAGTGCGAAGCTGAAGGGGAGGGAGACGGAGAGATTGTTATCAGGAGGGTCTTACAATCTCCCCGCGCCAGGCCAAGCTTTTTCCCGTCGCGCTCTCTTTTGCCGTTCAAATGGACGCGTTTCACCTTGCACGTTAAGGTTCACGCGGTTTTTTAGCCGCTTCGGGTAAGAATTATGGCAGCGTTACCCTAGCGTGGCGTGACATGCTGACATCGGATGGCGTCCGGGGAGTCGTGCTTCTCATGCAAGAGTCGCTCGGCAGGTATACAACATACTGATACAAGCTGTACGACGTTGTCTGTACGAGCTATTGCGACCGCCTTGACGCAGACTTCCGATTAATTTACGAAGCGCAAAGCGCCAAAGGCGAAATTGATGGCCATACCGAGCAGGACTCCAATCTGACTGATCAGCTATGCCCTGCTGAACCAACTGATCTGATGACCCAAGACTCACTTGCACCCGCTGCGTGATCATAGAATGCACCTCAACCTCTCCCAGCCCATTCCCGATGCTGCCCTCAGCCACGCTAGAGGGCACGGTCTCGCCGCGAGCTTCGGCCTCGGCATCAAAGAAGTTTGGGAGGGGTACTTCGCGGAAGAAGAAGACCGGGAGGATGGGGTAGAAGAAGCCGGTGAGAAGGCCGTTCATGATGGAGCTGTACATCCCATCCGATGAGGCTGCGAGATTAGCTTATGGTGTACTACCTGACTTGGAACCGAGAGGCGAGAGCCTACTTGTTGCTGTATCCGCCGTTAGGTCTCCTTCGATCCATTGCTCCTCGAGAGCTCGGGCGTGCTCGTCATCTGCCAGATCAGCACATACCAACAAGCTCCTCCTTGCAGCTGTACTCACCAACATCACCCCTCTCAAGGCCCTCCGGTACCTCTTCGCCTCGACTCTCGTAGAATTGCCTCCTCATTTGCGCTACATCCGCTTGGGACAACCCCGCATCTAGAAGCACGTCAAATCCTCTTCTCCTCGGTGCACTCGGCTAGACAGTCAGCTCAGAATCCGCCTCCCTTCCGAGCAGGCTTCCACGGATTTGAAGCTCACCTCATCCTCCTCAGCTCTCCGCTCCGCCTCGCCCTCCTTCGGCCCGACTGTACAATGCAAAAACACCTTCGCTTCTTCTCTGTCTTTCCGCCCCCTTCCAGTCTCTGCAGCATCGTCCTCGCCCTCTGCAAGCCCTACATCCTTTAGCACCTCCTCCACGTCCCCGCCCATCCCGCTTGCCTGGCGCCGGACGCGCTCTTCCAGCGATCGAAGGCAAGGTACGAGAAGGATACCGTCTGTGAGGAGTCGGCCGGCATGGATGAGCTTGAGGGAGTTGGGCAAAAGGGTTGGACGGAGGTGTCGGATCTAAGCGAATTAGCTTTGACCCTCTCTGGGTGTCATCCAGCTTTCACACGTGGTGGATACTCACCTGGTCCTTGACACTGGCTACATTCTCCCCATCTTCCACCCACAGCTCCAAATTCCCTCCCTCCCCTTCACCAGCATTGGCAAACATGACCGTCACATTCCGCCCCTTCCTTTGTTTCGCCCTGACCTGCCCTCCCGCATAGACCGTCTCTGTCGATCCCGCTCTTATAGTCGCCGCATCAAAGTCATCCTCTTCCTCAGTGCTCCCTGAAGAGCCCGAAGACACTGTGTTGAGGGAATCACCCCGCACTGGCCGCTTTCCTTTGGCCTTCTCGCTCAATTCCATCCCATTGTCATGGGCATACCAGCCGGCCGGTGTGGGTGGAGCCGGCGGTAGCCTGCTTGACCAAGAGCCCTCGATCTCGGCACTGCTGGGCGAGGCGTCCAGAGACCGTAGAGGGCTCTCAGGGGAAAGGTAGCGCCGACCTTGCAGCTTCGTCCGGGATGCCGCGGAGAGGGCTGGAGTCGAGCTCGTCGGACTGATGGCGGCAGACGATGATACTGGCGGAACGGACTCCTCGGGATCACTGCTGATGGGCATCTTGTATTCTGTGAGCAGAGGTGCAACGCACCATAGCACTGTCAGAGCAACAGCTGGAGTAACGCTTCGGCCTTGGGCATCGCCGATGTTTCAGATCACATACACGTGGCGGTTGTTAGTGGCGGCCGCGGGGCGCTGGGTGGCGGCTTCGCGAAGCTGCAGCACTTGCGCTCATATCGCTCATCGGCAGCGCACTTCCATTGGAGGCTCGGAGCGCACAGCTCACCTACCTGATCGCAAGATACCTTCTCGCGCCACCACCGCCGCCGCCAAGGACTAGCTATCATATAAGTTGTCGTTGCTCTATCTCGTTAGCAGGATCCTTTATGGCTGCGCCCGCGTCTTGCTCGGTAAGACTAAGGCGCCCCCATACCGCGTGGCCGACATACGAGATACGATTGGCAGACATTCCATAGCTCACATGTATGACGCGCGTATCTTACGCCTCTGATTCCTTTTCTCCTTCCTCACGCGTGTGGATTCGCCACCCAGTGGCGACACCCAGGATCTCAAATTCTCAACAGCACCTAATGAAGTCACACGGCTTGGAGGACGGGCTTGATACGATACACATCGACAGCTCTGTACTGGGGCCTGAGCCATCGCCGATCGAGAAAAGCGGACCACAGCCAGAGTGGCAACATTCCCGGAATAGGCTAGCCAGTGACAGCCCGATACTAAACAGGTGTAAGATATGCATAGACGGAGCCGGTCAGTGGCTAGTGTACACGGGGAAGATCACGAGAACAGGAGAGAGAGGTGCTGTGGCGGGTCGGACCCCCTTTGCAGCAGATCTATTCGGTATCAGCCGGACGGGTCGGTGAGCTTGTAAACGATGGTACCTTTTCCCCCCCCTGGTTGAGCCGGTGTAGAGCTTGACACTGTAGTGCTTCGGATCGGCCGACTTCCAGCCGAAGCGGTAAGGCAGCTTGAACTCGGTAGGGTCATCGAGGCGGAGCATACACAAGCTATCGTTGTCAACTATACGCTTCGCGATCAGTCTGTACGCGGAGACTTGCCTTGTTTGTATACCGTCATGGTCAGAGTCCAGGAGTTCCTGTTCCTGCAGCTGAGCACGGAACGATTCGCAGAGTTCTTGCGTCCTCCTCACCTCGGCGGTATCCTCGGCCGAGACTGGAGTTGGGTCTCGGCAGATGTGGCGTGGCGGAACGGAGCTGGAACCAATCATCGCCTCGAACTGGACTATGGATCTGACAAATAACAGCTCAACATGGACTGAGGGATACCTCAGCAGTCGTACTCACAAGGAAACATGATCCCCATCCAGCGTGAAAGTGGTAATGTCGGACACTGTGCAGGGTAGGAGGGATACTGATTGACACAGAAGAGAGCAAAGTGAAGAGGATGGAAGTAGGGCATTTGTCCTGTATAGGTCCTCATCGGGGCTGGGGAGATGCTCCCTTTATCTGCCAGTGTAGCACAGCATGTAAGCAACATACCCGAGAACAAAGGCAAAGGACATAGATCGCGTAATCTAGGTCAAGTATGCCCTTTGGGCAGCTCGCCGTGGGTCACTCTACCGAGTTGAGAGTTTCATACATTGTGAAAGCCGGGTCTCTCACCTCGATGAGGCGTTCCTTTCGCGCAAGATCTGGTCCATGCCGGCCCTCCTGCCGAGGGAGATCTTGCGTATCTACTAGTAAGCTTGGTCCACAGATCCCAGGACCTTTGTAAGAGGGTGAAACGCGATTCGGGAGGTCCCTTCACCTGATCCCCCTGGCAATCTAGTCCCAGGCGCGCCTGCAGCCCACGATGCTTCAAGAGTTGATGGACCGGCGGAACGAGCTGTTCCCCCCACCCACTTGCAATCGTACATGCCACACTCCTTTTCCACAACCCAGCACACACTTCTGCTACGATCAATATGCCTTCTTCACTGAACATCAAGGGGTCCGAGCTGCACACGTACGTGTGATCTGCAGGCATTCCCTACAACGTGCTGATCGCATGACAACTGACGCAGTCTCAGCGCAGCCCTGGCCGCAATGGCAAGACTGTGTCATCCCGGTGCTGCCAAGTAGAAGACCATCTTCGATCTCGACATCGGCCACCTGTCCCGTCAGACGTACGATCGCGCTGCTGACGGCTTGTACCGTGAGTTCGTCGTGTTGACTCTTCTTGGCTTCCAGGCTGGGACGAGAAGCATCGATGCGACCGATTACGCCTCGATAAACAGTCGGTAAGGTTGCCCATATACGTATCCGCATCACCTGAACAATGGGCGGCGGTCATAGATCACTTCTGATTCGTACAGTCTGCGTGATGCTTCCGATTTCACCATTCAGCCGGACGGAGAGTACCTTCTGACATTCGAATCATGCTCCGGCGATGAAGAGACCACCGTCATCGACCTGATCGAGGAAGTGCGCAAGGTGACGCTTGTGCTCGAAGAGGATTTGCGGGCGCGTCTTGCCGCGCCGGGGCGCACCGCGTCCACCGAAGCGCCGCCAGACGCTGCCCCGACCGCCCGTGCTCCAGTGAATGAGGACGTTACCACACCGTCGCACTCATCGGCGGCCGCAACCTCCCCGTACCAGAAGTCCGCGCATGGTGGCAAGAGCCGGATTCCGCGAATTGCTGGCCGGTTCCCCTGGATCCGGAAGGCCTGATGGGATGGTTAGTGGACTTGTCAGTGTACTGGCTAGCCATGAGCCTCTCATCCACCTTCGGCGCTACTGCATGCAAAGTTCTCTCAGTTGATCACCTGAGCTTGTTTATGCGTACGTCTCACATCTCCTTAATTTACTTTGCAGCATTAGGTGGACTGCGCCGCGAAGGTTGGCGATTGTAGTTTCGATTCTCCAGTCGCTCCCTCAGTATCATCACCCAAGGGAAAATCAACATCTGGAGCTTTGCTTTTTCGCCGAAAGATACATCGAGAGGCTTGTGATTCAAAACTAGGCGATTGGTGCCTCATCCTGGCCTACTCCAGCACGTGAGAACCTGCCTACTGAGACCTACATGGTGCTGTGGGGTGTGTTCCACGCGGTGCTCGCGGTCTACAACTCAGGGATGTGAGACAGATCAATGCATCAGCGTACCGAGATCCTCTTGGTCAGCGAATTAACGCAGGTGTCAGCTGCTCACACCATTCGTCTGCCATACATCACTCAATACTCATAAGGTATAGTAAGAATACAACACTAGCCCGCCCCCCTGCCTAAATCTGCGCAATAATCTCATCCCCGTCCCCAAACCACCACCCGACCGTCTCTCCATCCGGCACCTCAACCGCCATCCCCCTAACCCCTTCGTCAAACTTATCACTGACAGTCCATATCCCCACTTGCTGGCTAGCATCCAGCTTGAGCGCACGATGTATCTTCTTTCGGAGCAGGGCCATCGGGGAAGCAGGGAGAACGGAGATGGTAGTGGCGAGCTCGAAAGTTCCTCTCGCGGACGGAGTGAATACCGACAGATCTGCTCCGTGAGTCTTGAGCACTTTTCGGGTGGGTATATAGCTCACCGTAGAGCCTTGATCGAAGATGACTCTTCTTGAGGTCTACTACCTGCGCCGGCGCGCTATCAACCCCATGTATCCGCTTCAACTCGTCATATCGCGCCCAGTCCTCCTTCTTGCCCTTCCCTGCGGCGACGAGCCGGTCCACCATGTTGATATAACCCATCTCGGCATCGCGCCTTTCCGCCGACTTGACCGGCGAAGAGTTGAGCATCTCGAGTGCTGGGAGCTTGGCGATGAGGATGGAGCGGTCCGCCGCTTGGTCCCCCGAGAGACGTCGTGCTGGACCAGCATCGTCTGCGGGTGCGTCGTGTTCGGACTTGGACGGAGGAGAGAGGGAGAATTTGAGAGAGGTGAGGTTTTCGCCTGTCCATTGATGTAAGGCGTCGATGGAGGTCCAATCGAGGATCGGAGATGATAGAAGGATGAGATGAGGTAAATTGACGGTTGCGTGCGATGGTGGAGGGGGTGGGATGTATTGGAGAGGGGTGTTGGAGACATCGAGCGTCTCGAGTCTGCCCGGTCAGCTCATCAGCCTGACACAGGGAGTCAGTCATGATACACGTACTTCTTGAGCGGTATCAAACTCCCCATGAGAGCTGCCCAATCCGCTATCGCACAACCTGACAGGTTCAGGTATCTCAGCTCGAGCAGGACGGGAACGCCATGATCGGACCGCATTGGCTCCAGTGTACTTAGAGGGGCGTTATCGACCAGGTCGAGCCTCTGGAGATGCAGGAGGAAGGGCGCAATGACCATGACCTGCAAACATCAGCGGGAACCCTCTCGTTTGACAGGCCGGATAAACTCACATCGGACCAGGACAAGTACGAGTTACAGATCTCCATTTCCCGGATATTCCTTAGCGCTTCGCGTATCTCTGCCTCCTTTCCCAGATCATGTGGGCGTCGGGTAAGCCGCTCTATACGCGAGTTGCTGATGTGTCAGCTGTGGGAATCTCAAATGATCCACAACACGCCAGCCGAGACTCACTTCAGAACGATCTTGCGCAACGAGGGGATACAAGAGACTATATCGGCGACATCTGACCAGAACGTCAGGAGGTTATTGGACACGTCGAGTGTCGTCAGTGCTGCACATCAGCGATAGAGCCTTCGGCACGAGCATATAAGACTCACACGTCAGGTTCTCCCTCAAGAAAGCCTTGGTCTCATCGTTCCCACCCAGCTTACACACATTGTACCCTTCCAGCCCTATACTCTGCAATCTCCCCAGCTTCCCCAGACGCTTCTGCACCTCCTCGATCCCTGGCGCCTGAACAACGATCCCCGTTGAGCCCAACGTGATGCCCTTCTCCCCTACCACCGCCTTCTCCCCTTCCGCCGGCTTGACCACTCTCGGGCTACCCGGTATGTCCACACCATACCGCTCCGATAGCGCCTCGGCGAACGTAGACCCCCTCCTTAGGTCTTTCGGACTAAGGAGGAACGCCCCCGCCCCTTTCCCCTTCTGCCGCGGCTCAAACAGCTGCTTTCCCTCATACACCCCCTCGTGCTTCCCTCTTGCCGCATCGTCATATTCGATTCCGTATAGGTAGGTCGTAGTGCTTCCTATGGGCGGGATGGCTAGGCGTACACTGACAGTGACATCCCACTGCATCCACCGTAGAGTGACCGGTACGCGCTCCCCGGATTTGGTGACCTTGAGAAAGCGAGTCATCGGTTTCAGGTCCTCCTTGGTGACCAAGAACGGATCTATTGGTGTGGCTGGATTCTTGCCGCTGGTGTGGGTTGATTCGGACGGATCGACATTGTACTGCGGCCCATTGAGGCGGGACACCTTGCCTAGCATTATGGAGGCTGGGGAGGCGGTGGGAGCTGGGTCTGACATGACGGCTTGTAGTGCTGGATTTCGAGCAGATGCGTCACATTTCACGTGTGTTGATGTAGCACGACCGAGAGAGTACACTATCTGTTGAGCTGTGTATTGACCATGATCAGAGGATGTTTCTCCTCTTCGCGCCGCACCGGCCGCTGAGGAATGTGGAGTTGGGTAAAACGGCGATCGCCGCTGACAAACACGTGGTTGACCTACTGAGCCATTCCCGGCTCTTTCCGCTCACTCACTGACCTTTGCCTTGCACATCAACCCCACCTACTCTTATACTCCCCATACCGCAACATGTCCATCCTCGCTCGCGCCTCCCTCCGCGCCGCACGGGTCGCTGTGCCCAGGCAGCAGATCCGGTCGATGCACGTCGACAACGTCGTGGACCAGTAAGTTTGGCAGAAACGAACAGCGGTGATCGGATGGTGGCATCGTCAACGAACACGGCCACGGGTCGAGAGTGAGGGAGATACGTCCGCAGAGCGAGCTCAGAGGAACGGCATAATTGGGGGGAACGGACCGTAGGGACCAGGACAGGACGAATCGCTGCCAAAATTATACATTGGACATAGCTCACACGCCAGCGCCCTCCCCACCAACGTAACCAACAAGCCCTGGCTCGCTGCCAAGATCATCATCTACGGATGCACCGGCTTCGGACTCCCCTTCTACGCTGCGCACTGGCACATGTGAGCTGCGCCACTCCGAACTCCGACTGTCGTTGGAGCAAAGCTGACGATGGAATAGGCAGAAGGCTGGGGCCGCATAGATCGTGTAAGGGTGTAGGAGATGCATGCTTTTGTGGAGTCAATGCCACCGGACTGGTGAAGCTGAGCTGCTATCTACGAGCGGCGCGGATCGTCGGGTGTTACACCACTGTACCTGCAATCAGTGATCTGCTCCATAGCCATAACTCGTCGAGATAGCAGATCTCCGGGTCCTAAATCTCAGTCTTCACCATCTATCGCCGTTTCACACTTCATCCACTTCTTTAACAGCTATTCTACATTTCCCTCCGACATGTCTCGACACGTAGCCAAGCTTGCCCGGCTCACAGCCAACACAGCTCGCCCTCTGGCGCTCAGAATACCGCTCCGCGCTGCGGCAATTGCGGGAGCGAGCTCCGGCAGGTCATCGCTCCATCTCTCGGCCCAAATCCAGAGAACATCAATCCGTTCGTTGCCTTCAGCTCTGAGCAATCTGCATGGGAAGCGTAACTTCCGCCCCAGGGACATTCTTCTGACATACAGGCTTCGCCTCCTCCGACGCGACAGCAGGAAGCACGACCGACCCTTCCCTCGTACGGGGGGACGAGCTGATGCAGCGCGCAGGGGCCGCGCTGGAGGAAGGGGACGTGGAGACTGCTCGGGGGCTGTATGAGGAGTGTGTGGGGGTATGCGAGGGGGCGAATGCGTGGTTCAATCTGGGGGTGAGTCTTCATAATGAGAGGAGCAGCGATCTAGAGGACATGGGTCGGGAAGGAGCGCAAGACAGGTCGGGAGATGCTGATCTTCAGGTATGCGAATATCATCTCAGTACGTCTTCTCTGTGAATCCTCGACTATCTATAGTGGCTACATACTGGGCTCAGGACGAGCAAGATCCCGGCTCTGACGCCGCAGAAAACACACCCGCCGCTATCAAAGCATGGGAGAAGTCCTTGGAGCACGTTCCCTCTTCGGACGCTCATACAAGTAAGTCCAGTCTTCCCAGTCTTCCCTGGCTTCCTCCCCTCCCATTCCGACCCTCTCGCAATGCGGAATATCAAAGCTCGATAGGATAAGGTACTGATAGTCTCAGATCTTGCCTCTGCGCACATCCTGTCTAAACCCCCTCAGCCTGCTCTGGCGGTCAAGCACCTTACTGCTGCACTAGAGCTCTCACCGGATGATCCAGAGGTATGTCTGAACCTCTCTCATCTCTTCGCTCCCTCCTCCTCAGAGGCTATGTCAGCTATGTCGCGTCCCGTCTCGTCTTGTCTGAAACGTCGAGCAAAGCTGAGCAGGTAGATCGCCTTCAACCTCGCCGCTGTACTGGAATCAAGTAAGTTCCTTCCCGCGTTGTCACGCCCTGCTACTCGGCTGGAAGCACCTCTGCTGACTCCCGCAGCTGGTAGCCTAGAGCACGCACTCAAACTGTACAAGCGCGCAGAGGACGGCGGGATTTCCCGCGCTAAACAAAACATCATCAGTATCTCCGCCAAGATCATGGGTCAAAAGTCCGCAGCGGCACTGGCGAGCTCGAGCGGGACGTCGCCTTGATCCCCATGTCCAGCAAGAGGACTTTGCTCCGGATCAGCACGAGGGGGGACTAGTACTCTCATGGGGTTCAGCAGAGGAGCGCTGTAGAGGTCTTGAATCAACGAAGAACTGCATACTTAGATCCCTACAGATGATATATTGATTCTATGGGCTACACTGGACCTGCAGTAGATACCCCTTCCCTATACAGATCGAACCAGACTAAGATCTCCACCTCGCATCCTCTCCCTCGGAACCAGATCAGAGCTTCACCGACCCCGAGTGGAAGTTATAGTTGTAGATCCCATTCTGCCCATCAGCCTTGTTCGTCCCTATGCCATGTGCAAAACGCAAGACCCAAGAATAGACTCACCCAGCACTGATCGCTAATATCGACCGTACTCGTCCCCTCCCTTGTCTTTCCCCCATTCGCCTGGAACTTGAAATTCTGCTTTCCCACGCCCATGGGCACCGAGAATGCGTGCGAGCCGGCAGGTACGTGGTGTGTTGAAGGCGGGTTCGAGCCCGAGGTTACGGTCACGGTGCCCCCGTTTTGGGAGAGGACGGTGACGAAGACAGAGTCGTCCAGCATCTATTGTGTCAGCTAACTCCTTCTCAATGTGAGAACGAAGGGGGTGGGTCAGCTCACCTCCCATCCCGTAGGCTTGCTCCCGCAATTATCTGTCGAATCGCACGAAGCACTTTTCAGATGGGGGCGATACCAGTAAACGACCATGTCCTGGGTGATGACCGGTTCTTTGAGTCCAGCACGGAAGGCGGTAATGTATGGAACGGCCATATCGAGCATGGCCGAGTGGTCCATCCCTTCGTTCCATTTCGAGGAGCCGTCGTCCGAATGCGCAGTGGTGTAGGGGCCGATGTGGTGGGACTCTCCGTAGTCGTTCCAGGTGACGACTGGTTGGTCAGCTTGTACCCGAGTAGATGCGAGAGAGCAGAAGGCGAAGAAGCGGGATTGGAAGTGAGAGCTGGGAGAAGACTCACTCTCGATAAAGTTGAGCTTGTCGCCCATGGCCAAGATCTGGTCCCATCGGGTCTTCCAGAGCAGCTCCGAGTAGAATACCCAGTTCTTGGAGTAGGGGACTTCTTTGCCGAAGTGAGTGCTGACTGTCCCGTCAGCTTGGGTCTTCCACACTCTAATGGAGTGTAAGCTCACACCAGGGAGAGACAGGGGCCATGTAGGTCTTATCCGCGCTGAGCAGCTCGGTCATGTATGCGTTGTCGCGGTCGAGGGTCATGTTGTGCCTGACGGGCTGATTGTCGAGCTGACCCGGCCATGCCGCCCTGCAGGTCAGCCAAATCGCAGCAAATTTGCACGGAAGACATACCACGAGAACAACCCCTTGATGTCCTTCCTATCCGCATACTCCGTCTTTGGCTGATAGAACGGTACCGCGTACAGCTCCTTTCCTACTCCCGCCGCCACCTTGTCCCAATCAAACCCATCCCCTATAAATGTCGACACAAACACCTTGCCCTCCACGAGCAGCTGCGCCGTCTTGCCCGCATACCGCTTGAGCAGCGCCGTGACTTTATCGTAGTCGTTCAGGGTGAACCAGTTGAAGTCGAACGATATAAAGAGGTCGAACCCGATCTTTTCGCCCGCGGCGTACGCGAGGTCAAGCTGGGCTTCGTTGTAGGGGTCGACACCGATATTGAGGGCGAAGCCAGAGATACCGGCCGCTTTGGCCAGTGACATGTCGTATTCCCATGACGAGGCGTTGTAGGTCGAGACGATACCGACCATGAAGTGGGCAAAGACGTGCTTGTCCCCGCGAGGCGTGGGGTGGCCGCCGTCGCCGCCGCTCGTGGCGGGAGGAGCGGGGACAGGGGGTGGGGCGGGGGCAGGGACGGAAGGGACCGTGTGGACCGCCGAGGAGGTATGGTGAGGACCGCCGAGACCGAGGGTGAGTCCGATCGAGATACCCAGGAGATCAGCACCTGCCTGCAGGGTCTGACCGGGAGCTTCGACGGGAGCGACGGTGGTGGTCGCCGTAGATTGGACCTGGGCGATCTTCTGGTGTACCTGGGGCTTGGCGGTGCAGGCCCGTTTCTTCTGCCGACCGAGCGGGGAGGCGACCGCGAGAGACGAGAGCGCCAGGAGGGAGGTGATGGTCGAGTACTTCATGTTGAGTGATGAGAGCGAGGCGAGGCGAAGGCGGATGGGGAGAAAGGTTGAGTGATGAGAGAGCGGCGAAAGAGCGTGGGGGTTGAAGGAGCGTAATGTTCAGTCCTGCTGAACTCATAAATGGTCAAAATAGCGTGGAGATGGATGTAAAGCAAGAGAACGGAGGGATAAAGCAAGAGATCACCGCTGCGCTGCAACCGGTGAGGCTTTGAAGGAATGGGAAGGGCGGGGAAAAGGGAAAGGGAAAGGGAGGAACAAGGCAAGGCGAGAGGCAAGAGGGGGAAAAGTAGAGCAAGACCCAAGAGAACCAGTTCTCTTATTGTATGATCTGATCAGTCAACCTTGGCTTAGCGCTTCAGCGGCGAAAGGGGAAATAAAGTACACCGCTACGTCCAAAAGGCGCCTTTGGCCTTTGGTCGTGTGGGCGGTGGTCCGAGATCACGGAGAAGCGGTGTTTCAGATGGGGCAAGCCGTCTCCGGTGGCTTTGTTTCAGACCGGAATGCCGAGGCGTTGAGGTCAGCGTATCGGTGTCTGCCAGCGCCGAGAGGTAGGGCGTAAGGCCGTGGTAGAGCGGCTGCTGCATGCTGTATGGGGCTATAGTAGCACCGTATATACCTTCAAGGTTAGGCAAGTGTGAAAGATAGGCAAAAGGACAGCGCGTTCGCAGCTGGTCAGTGCAGTCAAGTGAAACACGGGGTAATCTGATCCCGTCCTGCACGTGACTTTGGCGGACATCGCCGAGATGGAGCTGACTGGACCGCTGCGCGTGTTCTCGTGGACGCGACGCGCCTGGTCTGATCGGCTTCCTTCAACAAAGTCAAGACAGTCCATCAAGCTCGAGTATACCATACCTTCCTCCTCTCAATAGATAGAATGAGCAACTGTGAGCTGGTTGATCCTCGACCGCGGGGGGTCTGCAAGCTGATACAGTAGACGACGGACAGAACCCATACTACGGCGGCGGAGGCGGTGGAGGTGGAGGGTACGTAGCGGGCGGTGGATCGCCAGGCGGGAGTCAAGGCTCAGGCGACGGAGGAAAGAAGGTCAGCTTTCTTTTGCCTTGCTTTTGCTTCACAGGCGACAGTAACTGATACCCCGCAGAAAGGCGGAAACAACACCGCTCGACCAGTAACCATCAAGCAGATCATGTCGGCCGAACAAGCCCACCCGGACTCGGACTTCCAAGTGGACGGGCATGACCTCGGGACGGTGAGCTGGCAGTACCCCATGCGGTCGCAGGGTAGGGAGAGTTGAGCTGACTTGGAAGGTCATAGTAGTTGGCTCGGTCCGGAACTGCTCGACTTCAGCGACGAATGTGAATTATTCGGTGGGGGACGGGACGGGGTATTTGGACGTGCGGCAGTGGTTGGATTCGGCGGATGATGAGTCGGGGAAGATGGATGGGATCGGGTGAGTGGTGTTGCTTCTCTTCGAGGCTGGACAGGGTTGGGTGACTGCTGGGGAAGTGGAGGAGGCAGAGAGCAAAGCTCGGTTGAAGAGGGAAAGAAGGAAGGTCTAGCAGGGAAAGAAGCAGGAGAGAAGGAGTGGCCTCCTGGCTCTGCCAGATAGTCGGCAGAGGGGAGATGAGCTCCACCAGAAACCTCAGCCTGCTGACTACCCAGACAAGACCAATACGTCTCCATCATGGGCTCCCTCAAATCCTTCGCTGGCAAGCGCCATATTTCCGCCACCCACATCCGCCCCATTTCCGACCACAACGAAGTCTACCACCACCTCTTGAAGGCATTATGGGTCAGCCTGAGTCTGCGGTATCCCGGTGGAGCTGGTGGTGGTGGTGGAGCTGTACGTCTCTGCTTCGCCCCACTGCTTGCATACAGAACCTGGTTCTAACGCAATGTTAGGTGCAACGCCAACAAGGCATGCAGTCCGACTACGCCGCCGCACCCGCCAATAACGCCAACGCCAACGGCGGGGCCAACCCCGACTGGGCGCACCTTCCCGTGATGCAGCGCAAGATTATGGAGCTGGTTAGTAAGGACGTGACGGATGAGGGGATGCACGTTAGTGCGATCAGTAGGACGGTGGGCGCTGGGAAGGGAGAACTGGCCGTGTAAGCTCCTTGATCCTGACTGATTGAAAGCCAGATCACGAGCTGATAAGATAGAGGAGAAGCTATCGAGGCGCTGATGAGCGAGGGTATGCTCTTCTCGACGATAGATGATCTGGTGAGCTAAGGATTTCCCACACTGCAGGGGAGCAAGCTGACAATCCAGCACGTCAAGGCGGTATAGACTGCTGTATAGCGAATCAAGATGTGCTACTGCCTCAAAAGAGCAACGAGGTCGATCATCGACGGTGCAATGCTGTACATACCGATGGATCAGCTGAGAATCTCTACGCCAGTTCCGAACTGAAGCCCTCTATACAAATGTTGCATGATCTACCATATTGTCCAGCATGATACCGCCGCTCCTTATCCCGCCCGTTGCCCCTACTCTTCCGTTATATCCATCAAGGGCGATCCCGGCGCAATATCCCCCTCGTCCTGCATATCCACCTCCGCTTCCCCTTCCTTGCCCGCAGCACCGGCCCCTTCCCGACCGCTTCCGCCTCCAGCAGCATCGGCCGGCCCAACTGACCCAGCTGACCCCGCTGCAGCCGCCCCCGCTCCTTCCACACCCGCCAGCCTCTCCCTCGCCTCCGCCTCCACCGCCCTCGCCGCATCCATCTCCGCCCTGGTCCTCCTCTTCCTTTTGATCTTGCCCGTTATTCCATCCGCCTCCAATACCGCCCGGTTCGGCGCCGCCCCCAAGGGAAGACTATCGCCCGCATATGACATTTTGGGAGGCTTGTACTTTTTCCGGGGTTTCGGGTTGAGGGGGTCGTGTGATGTGAGCGTGAGGCCACCGAGTTGGACGTCGGGGGCGCGGTCGGCCCCTTCCTCGTCTTCTTGGTCCGCGTCCGCGTCCACACCTGCGTGCTCGTTCTCGCCGTGCTCGATACCAGCGAGTTCGGGTTCGTCGTCCGGCTCAGCGCCCGGAGCAGGGACGATCACCTCCATATCCTTGTCCTGCGCCTTCTCCTTGCCTTTCCCCTTCCCTTTCCCTTTACCCTTCGCCTTACTCGGCGCACGCGGTGCTCCATCCCTTGTCCGAGAGACAATGACATCCTCGCTTGGCCCCGCCTCTGCATTCCCCTCCATATCCGCCTCTTCTCCATCATGCCCTGACCCTCCAACTCCCGCGGCGGCGGCGGCTCTCTCCCTCGCCCGCCGTCCCGCCTGACTGACGAGCACCGGGTTCGACGGACCCGGGGTATCGTGGCTCCGCTTTATGCGATTCCGAGCGGTCAGGCCGAGGACGATACGTTCTGCTTGAAGCTTGGTCAGGCGGGTACTGGGCGCGAGGGGTTCGCCATGGACTGCAAGGGGTTCAATGTCGACTATGCCATCAGCCTCTTATCCTTTCGGCTGAGGGGATCATGACGTACTGATGATGTTGTCCGGCAGAGATCCGATATCCATATTCCGCACGTCCTCCTCGCTGCGTACGACGATCCGGGGTCGGCTCGTGGCGCCCTTGGGCCTCCCCCTCGGTTTGGGCAGAGCGAACGTCGCTTCTTCTGGGATAGGACCGCCCGGGGTCGCCGCGTCGGAAGTCGCTGGTGGTGGATTGATCTCGGCCTCAGCTTGAGACTTCAGGACGATGGGGCGGAAGAGAAGGTGTCGCGAGGCAGTGTGGAGTGGGACGTGGGATGGTTTCGTCGGGTTCGCGGGGTCTAGCGGTCAACGGTGTAGACCAAAGGGGAGGGAAGGCTCAGAAGGGACTTACCTCGGACCATACCCAGAATGACCTCGTCGCCAATCAATGGGCTCATTTCGCCCTGATATACCTGATTACCGAGCTTGATGAACGGTAGAGGCGTGTCCAGGCCCTAGGTGGTCAGCTTCGCGCTTGCGGACATTTCGGAAGCGGGCAGCGCACGATAAGCTGATATGTCGATTCGGACTGCATCTGCTGTCGATCGATGGCCTGTCCAAAGTCCAGTACAGCGTAAAGCTCCTGACCGATCAGCTTGGGCTACACGGAGCAGAGGGGCGAAGCTCACCTCCTCGTCGGTCGTGTACTCGTCCTCGTCCGTCAGATCCTCGAACGACTCGACCTCTCTCCATCCTGGACCGAGGAGGGACTGGCCCGTCTCCAAATGTGCTTGAGCGTCTTCGGACGACTGTAACATGGTCTATCAGCTAGAAGGGTTGGTGGAGAGACGCGTTTGCACGCGGTGGTCTGGTCAATATTCTGAAACCGGGGAATTCTCGGAGTAAATAGACCGAGGGTCTGCAAGGAATGCCACGTAAGGCAATCCTTATCAATCGACTCCGCTATACCAGCCCAAAGGTCCACCCTTCGCTGAACTATCTCTCTCTATCCCGCTTTACCTAGACGTCATACACACAATAGCCACCATGAGCGGCCAAAAGATCCGACAGACCGATGGGCTGCTTATGCACATCCACGACCCAGCTTCGGGGCCTGTGTGAGTCCCGTCCCAGTCACAGAAGAGGTCCGAGCTGGTGTACTTTGAGGGTCGTCGAGCTGATGGACAGGCTGCCGAAGAAGGGGGAACGGAACGTGCTCATCACCTCCGCGTTACCATGTGAGCTCGATAACGCACAAGCCTCGGCGCAAGCCGTTTGTGAACTCAGCTGACGCGGTAGATGTGAACAATGTGCCGCACTTGGGTAACATCATTGGGTGAGCTGGATGGTTTGCCGCTATGTGCATGAGGGACGACAGAGCTCATCGCTCAGGTCTACTCTATCTGCAGATGTCTTTGCGCGATACAGCCGAACTCTGAACGTACCGACACTATACGTACGCTATCTTCATTGGACGCAATGACACAAAGGAGGTTGAGCTGACGCCCTAGATCTGCGGAACAGACGAGTACGGTACGGCAACAGAGACGAAGGTGAGCTCAGCAGAACCCGTCTTCGATAATCGGGCAGTTAGCTGACTGATCAGGCGCTAGAGGAGGGTATCTCGCCCTTGGAACTCTGCACGAAGTTCCATCAACTCCATACCGAGATTTACAAGTAAGCTGATGCACCTGCCATGTTGGAGTGGGAGGCTGGAGCTGACTTTCTAGGTGGTTCGAGATTGGGTTCGATAAGTGGGGACGGACGTCAACGGATGAACATACCAAGTAAGCTGACTTACGCCGTCTGATGGATGCCCGAGCTGATGCGCCAGAATCACACAGGAAGTCTACAAGAACATCCACGACCGCGACTTCTTCCGGCTGGAAACGTCCGACCAGACCTACTGCGAGGATGACAAGCTGTTTTTGGCTGATCGATTTGTGGAAGGCACTTGTCCTCAGTGCGGCTACGATGTGAGCTATCTCCACTGGCAAACCTCACCAGGATTGCCGAGCTGACATCCAGGACGCCCGCGGAGATCAATGCGACAAGTGCTCCCTCACCTTCAGCTCCCCCACCTCCCTTCTCAACCCCCGATGCAAGCGCAACAAGACCCACAAAATCTCCGTCCGGCCCTCGACGCACGCGTGTATTCGCCTCGACAAGGTCCAGCCTGCGCTGGAAGATTGGATGCAGAAAGCCCGGGTCAAGGGGAGGTGGGGTAGCAATGCGGTCATTACGGAGAAGGGGGAGATTGTGGAGCCGAGGATGCTTGGAGAGGGGCTGAGGCCGAGTGCGGTGACACGGGATTTGAAGTGGGGGGTCGAGGTGCCGAAAGTGGGTGTGGAGGAGGAGGATTCAGCGATGGAGGGGAAGGTCATCTGTGAGTTGATCGGTTCGCATTGTGGAGCTGAGCACAAAGCTGACAGTGTAGATGTCTGGGTGAGCTATGCGTCCTGAACCCACTCGGAGCGGAGCTGACGTTTAGTTCGACGCACCAATAGGATACCCCTCAATCACCGCTGCGTATACCGATAAATGGCAGGAATGGTGGATGAACCCGAACGACGTTGAGCTGTACCAATTCATGGGCAAGGACAGTGAGTTGAACACCAGCGCTCTCTGGGAGGTTTCAGCTCACGTATCAGACGTCTACTTTCACACCGTCCTCTTCCCCGCCATGCTCCTCGCCGACGGCCGACTATGGACCATGCTCCACAACATCTCCAGTACCCGTGAGTCCGCTTGCCCGCCTCCACGAAGGTTAGCTGACCAAATAGAATACCTCAACTATGAAGATACTAAGTTCAGCAAGTCGCGGAATGTCGGTGTTTTCGGAAACAATGCGCAAGAGACGGGTCAACCACCTTCGGTCTGGCGATACTATCTCTTGTCGCAGCGGCCGGAAACGAGCGATTCGGCGTTTATGTGGGGCAACTTTATCCAGGCGAACAATAGCGAGTTGTTGTCGAACCTGGGCAACTTTGTCAACAGGGTGAGCTAAGGCGCGAAATGAGTAGTTCAAGCTTACATTCCAGACAATCAAGTTTGTCAATGCCAAGCTCGACTCGGCCGTCCCCGGGCCCGCCGACTCTCCCGGCGGCGAAGTCAAGCCTGACCCGTCCACACCCGGCGGCAAGCTCGATGCGGACTTTGTGCGCGACATCAACTCGCGCCTGACAGAGTACCGCGAGTACATGGACGGCACGAAACTCCGGAGCGGTCTCGCTACCGCCATGTCCATCTCTAGCCGGGGAAACCAGTACCTCCAAGATTCTGGTCTCGACAATGCCCTCCTCTCTGGTCAGCCCGAACGATGCGCCGAGGTCCTCGTCAACGCCATCAACCTCATCTACCTCCTCTCGGTCCTGTTCCACCCCTTCATGCCTACCACATCAACCGACATTCTGCGCCAACTCAACGCGCCCGCCCGCAGCCTTCCTACCTCGTTCGCAATCGACATCCTCCCCGGCCACAAACTCGGCAAGGCGGAGCACCTCTTCAAAAAGATTGACAACGTTGATGGGGCACAAGAAAAGGCATGGCAAAAGCGGTTCGGGGGCGATTCGGTCGTGGCGGACCAAGTCGACCCCTCTGGTCCGGGCGGACACCCCGAGGGTGGGAAAGTCCCGAATGTGAAGGATGTGGAAGTCAAGAGCAACAAGAAGGCGGCGCATGCTGCGAAAGCGGCGGAAGCGAGTCGGGCTAAAAAGGCCGCGCAGGCGGAAGCGGATGCGAAAAAGACGCCGGAGGAGAGGGAGCTGGAGGGACGGATAGAGGCGCAAGGGAAGAAGGTGGCGGATGTGCGGAGGGGGTTGGAGGAGGGGGATGCGGACAAGGAGATGAAGGTTGCGAAGGAGTTGAAGATGGAGTTGGCGGAGTTGAGAAAGAGGATGAAGGAAGCGGCGATCTAGGCTTGGGGATGTATAGGGGTGCTGTAGGACTCGGTCTGGTTGACGGATGGTATCCAGCTGATACTCCGTGAGGATGGCGCTTCATGGCAATAGCAGTTGGAGATCCTTTGTCGGCCTTCTCCCACGAACCCTCCCGACGGACTAAGGAGTGCGAACGAGTTGACACAGCTTGCGTATGGTCTAGGGTCCCCCACTGCCCTCCCATACACCTCATTCTCGCCTCCCTGATTTGCCATCCTTCTCTTTGCTCGAGATAAAGCCAATCTGAGACACTTGCGGCACGGACCTTCCCTTTATTGACGTGCCTGAAATTAATCGCGTCCGAACTTCAATTCGCGACCCGACCGCGCCGTTCGCGTCGACAAGACCATCCACTTTGGCTTTCATACATCACCTCAGTCATTCCACCTTCACAAGGTCCTCTCCCTACGTACTTTGGCCTGAATTGATACCAGGCAAGGTACAGCCCTACAGCATGGCGGGTCCGAATCAAGCCAGCGGCAGCGGCAGCGGGAGCGGCGGTGTCGTGCCTGTCCGCACCAACTTTGGGGGGTCCAACCCGGCCAATATGAAGTTCACGACGACGAGGAATATTCTCATGGAGGTGGGTCAGCTTACGGACCCAGGGACTGTGATCTGGAAAGTCGCAAGCTGACACTGGTAGTTGCGGAAGATATGTCAACATCCATACCTCACCGCGCCGATGTTGGAGGATGAATCGCTTCCTGCGGCGGAGCAGCAGAATCGACTCATACACGGCAGTGGGAAGCTGGTTTTTCTGAAACAGCTGCTGCCGAAGCTAAAGGAGAGAGGTCATCGGGTGTTGCTGTTCTCACAGGTCAGCTTCCTGCTGAGCTGCCATCAGTCGGTGGAGAGAAGCTGACGATCGTAGTTCAAGATAGCTCTCGACCGAAGTATGTATCCAGCTTGCCAGTGTACCATTACGAAAGCTGATGGTGTAGTCGAAGACTTTCTCGTTGGCGAAGGAACCAAGTTTCTTCGGCTGGACGGCGATACCCCACAGGCCATCCGGCAGAAATCGCTGGATGCGTTCAATGCGCCCGGGTTGGACTACTCTGTCTTCCTTCTGACGACGAGGGCTGGTGGTGTGGGGATCAATCTGTTCACTGCGGATACGGGTGAGTCATAGTCTACGAAGTGAATCAGCCGGGAGAGGGGAGCGAAGAGATGGGTCGGCGCAGAAGACGGAAGGCGTGAGAAGAAGGGAGAGGGAGGGGAAGAGGGAAGGAAGCCAGAGCTAATTGACAGTGATCATCTACGATCCCGACTTCAATCCTCATCAGGACCTCCAGGTAAGCCCAGACCAGAAAGAAGGAGCGGAGGCAGCAGCTGACGAGACCAGGCGATAGCTCGTGCACATCGATATGGGCAGCAAAAACCTGTGCTGGTCTTCAAGCTCATGGTCAAGGACTCTGTCGAGGGTGAGCTAATAGAGCCTTGAAAAGGTCGTCAGCTGACATGTCAGAGCAAATCTTCTTCAAGGGCAAAAAGAAGATGGTACTCGAGCACCTGGTCGTCCAAAATCTCAACACGGCCGAGGACGAAGTCGACATTGACGGAATCATCATGCACGGCGCCAAAGCACTGTACGAGAAGACCGACGAGGGCAAGGACCGGGGCATCATCTACAACTCGAAGAACGTCGACGAGATGATTGACCAGGTGGAGCGGCAAGCCAAGGAGGAGGCGGTCGTCCTTGCTGAGCGATGGCGATTGGAGGACGAAGCCAGGGAGAGGGGTGACAAGGCCGAGCCGAGCAAAGAGGCGCGGACGTTTGGTTTTGCCAAGATCTGGGAGGCGGATCAGGCGGGCTTGCGGGAGCTACAGGACGTGACGGACGAGATGGAGATGGAGGGGGCGGAGGGGGATATGGGGGAGCTCCTGAAGCATGCTCGGATGCGCAAGGAGGCGGAAGGGACGGGTGCGAGGCAGCGTGTGTCTGCCGTGCACGCGCAAGAGCTGGCGAGGAAGAAGGCGCAGTATGACAAGGAGCTGGAAGAGGTGTTGCGGATGGAGGCGACGCCGGTCAAGAAGAAGCGGAAGAGTAAGGGAAAGGGAAAGGGGAAAGAGGCGGATGGGGACCAGTCGGACGCGGACTTTGCCCTGATAGGCGGGGGTCACTCGAGCGACTCTGACTACGCCGGTGCGGTCGACGACGAGGGCGAACTCAATATTGACGGGACACCAAAAGGCCCGGTCATTGGCGGGATGGTGGCTCAGCAGCATGGGCCGGGGTCCAAAAAGGCCAGAGCGCTCGCCCTGGCCGATGGGGAGCATGTTCCCCCGCCGGTCCCGAAGAAGCCACTTACCGCCGAGGAGAAGGCGCAGAGGAAGGAGCTGCGACGGCTGCAACGGGCGGCGATAGCCTCTGCTCGCGCACAAGGCTCGGCGTCCCCCTCGAAACCCGCCGTCAATCCCGCCACGGCCTGGATCGAGCAAAAGAAGCTCATCAAGGAAGGCCAGGATGTCATCCAGTGGCTGTACCACACGATCAAGCAGTACGATGACGGCGGTCCCGAGGCGGCGGCGGATGTCGAGATGTGGGCCAAAATCGGCATCCCGGAGCTACCCGCGCTCGAGCGCGAGAACTTTTACCACACCCTCGCGACCAAGATGGACCGGCGGTTGCAGCTGCAAGGCGCGGCCGGATATTTTTTAATGCAGCGGCATCAAGACGCCATGTCCAGTCTGATCCGCTCCAACAACTCGGTCCTACGCACGGCGGCATCGAGGGATAGCGGCAAGGCGATGGAGGAGTGGCCAGAGAATGTGGCGGCTAGGGGTAGGAGGGTGGTAGCGTCCGCCAAGAGGATGAAGGCAGCCGAGGAGGCGGCGGCTCGGCTGGAGACGACCGGTACGGCCTCGCCTGTCAAGCGGCTCGTCTCGCCGACCAAACGAGTCGCTCCGCTAATCCAGGCAGCCATGGCCGGTCCGTCGACTGTACGGTCTGCTTCTGCGCCCAATCCAGCCATCCCCGCGGAAGCGACCCCCAGTCCAAACCCCGCAAACGGCTCTACCCTTCCCACTACTCCACGGACCGCTCGCGCTGCCGCTGCTGCGATCGCGTTTACCAGCAAAAATCCCACGGCGGTCAACTCGCCAGCGCCTGCTTCTGCTGCTCTCTCCGGACGGGCGGACGCAAAGCCATGCCCGGTCTGTCGACAGACAGGTCACACTTTTCTGGAGTGTGACGAGAGGGTGTCGCTGGAGAATATGCGCTTGATCAGGCTGGGGTTGTCGACATTGACGGATGAGGCAAGTCTGGTACGTCCGTCCGCTTTTCACAGAGGTCCTAGCTGATAAGAGCAGAAGAAGGGTCACGCCGCGCTGGACCAGTTGGAGCAGATGTATCGAGACGCCGGTATCCATGTTCCGGTCCATATCCCGGGACAGGCTAGCTCGGTCGGGAACCCCTCAACCACCAACGGTAGCAACGCAGCGGCGAGCGGATCGGGTTCGGGGGATCCCGTCAAACGGTCTCGAGAACAGGCGTCAGCTCCGGCAGGCCCTACTGCGGATGCGAGCAGCTCCAAGCGACAAAAGCTGAACACGACTGCGGGGGAAGCGGAGGCTCCGCCTGCGAAGGAGGGTTCAGTCTGTGCAGTTTGCAGCCGAGTCCCTTATCACCCCCTCGAGGACTGTCCGCTCCTCCGTCAGGGCAGCACAGCCATCAAAGCGTGAGTATTATTATTGAGGTATTGCAATTGAACACTGCTGATGGGTCACACAGGACACTGCGGACTATCGAGGCCAGCGACCCGCGGCACGTGTTGCTTGCGGCGTTGTACCAGTCTGCGCTCGCCGCCGAGCAGACGCTACCGCACGCGAGGCCAAACGGCCACTCGTCATCCATCCACACCACCCTCGATCGATACACCCAAGCCCGGGAGACGCTGGACCGTGCGCAGCAGCAGCAGGCGCAGCAGTATCAACACCAAGACAACATGCCGCCTGGCGCGATGGCACACCTCAACCAGCAACATCGGATCCAGCACGATCGGCTCGCAGCGCAGCAGCGACAGCAGATGGAGCTGTCCCAGGCCAAAGACAAGGCCCAGGCCCAGGCCCAGGCCCAGGATCGACCGGTCCAGCCGGTCAAGGCACAGCAAGCCCGGCAGCATGTAGAGCAGCGTGCGCAAACCAAGGTCTGCGCGTTCTGCTTGCTGCACTGCGGCGGGGACCTCCGGGCGTGCGGGACGGTGCATGGGGGCAGGAAAGTTCTGAAGGCGTTGATACGTAGATTGACGAGTGAGGCGGAGGCGCGCAAGGCGGCTGGAAAGCCCGAGCCGGCCCCTGAGATTGAGCGGGTCGATGCGCTGTTCAATCTGTACAATGCGGTAAGTTCCCATCCAGGTCCATTGGGGGAGTTTTGCTGATGGTGCAGTGGGAAAAGTAGGCGCAGAGATGGAGGCGAGAATAATCTGTAATATCGTTGTATATAGAGGCTATACCAGCCGCATATCATACTCTTATCTATCCTGTACATATCTTATGGATTCGACATATTCGTCAGTCAGTCTAGCGCAATAGCAAGGACCAGAGCGGGTAGTACTGTATACATTGAGCATGTCTATGCGTCTAGTGGGGGTGTCGATGACCGGGCAGAAGGCTGGGTGATGAACCGTGGCCGCCGGTCGGGGGTGTTGGTCCGGAATATCCGGCCGAGGTCTGCGCGGGCGAGGCCTAGACCTGTATTCCTAGCAATGTCCATCCCGGACAAGCGCTCGCCAGACTTGTATCGTCTCCCATGGTATGGTTCTGGTGTCCTGAGACGTCAGCTGCTGCTCTGGATCACATGGAAGGTAGCTCACCTAGCGACCTCTGACCACGCCTTATTCTCCAGTCCTTCTTTTGCTCTACGCATCCCCCCACTGGCCCTCTCCTCAGCCATCAACCGATCCATCCACTCTGTCGATCTCGCCTCCATCTCGACGCGCCCCTTCTCCCCTCTGTACTTCAACACCTTTTCCCTCCCCAATTTCGTCCTCGGCCTCAGTGCCTCCCACTCATCCGACCCCTCTGAAGAACCAACCACAGCGGCCACGCCCCCATTCCTCTCTGCGTGCTGCGCCAACTCGCGCCCGACCGCGCGAGCCGTCATCTCAAACTTGAGATCCCGTGGTCCATCCACCAGTTCCACGATCGCGTTGGGCGCATTGTCGCCTGGTCGACGCCCGAATTTGTGGATCCGGGTGTATCCGCCCGACCGGGAGGCGTACCGATCAGAGAGGGTCGTGAAGAGTTTGGGGAGGAGGGTGGTGGGTGGTACGAAGAGCTCGGGGTCGGCGTTGGGATCAGAAGAAGAAGAAGAAGAAGAAGAGGAGGAAGAGGAGGGGGAGGAAGGGTAGCCGGTAGGTCGGGGAGGAAGGACGGGACCGTTTGTTATTGATTCGGGATTGTATGAGTGGCTTGGCTAGACCGTCAGCTCTTGGAAGGCAGCAGCTTGCATGTGCGAAGGGGTAGCTGACCATCAAGAAAGCCATGGCTGCTCGACGAGCAGGATCGTTGCCCTTCTTCCCAAGCGTGATGATCTAGAATTCGTCAGCTATAGCTCCACGACCGCTTTCCCAAGGCAGCGCATCAAGAAGCTGACCTTCTCGGCCATCCTCGCTGCCTCCTTAGCCTTTGGCAAGGTCGTCTTGATAGTCTCATGGTGCAGCAAGGCGGACACAAGATTTCTAAAACCATCAGCTCCAGCCCTCCTTTCCGCCCTGTCCCAAGTTGGGGAAATTTCACCTCAACAGCGCCCATCGATGCGACGGCGTTCTCTGCAGCTTTCTAAGCTTGATACCGTGCTTCATCTTGCGTGTATATGTATGCGAGTCGACGATGTACGATGATGAAAGCTAACCAGATGGTGAAATGTTACTGGTGCCACATTGGGCGAAATCCCGAACAGACCCGCGCCCACCCAGCCAGAGACGATCACTCAGTCTACTCTATCATCCATCCATCCAGCTATCTATCCATCTACACCACTCCTACGACCCATACACCTCAGCAACCATGTTCCGCGCCGCTCTCCCCGCTCTCCGATCCGCCCTCCCCTCCGCCCGTCCCTCAGCTTTCGCCGCCGCAGCGCGGTTCCAGCAGCCAATCGCCGTGCGGACATATGCGGCCGCTGCGGGCTTGAGCAGATCGGATATCGAGTCGCGGGTCATGGAGGTCATGAAGACTTTTGAGAAGGTCGATGGGGGAAAGGTGCGTCTGGTTATTCGTGTACGGGAGGGGATGTGGGAAGGGAGGGGGAATTGAGAGATGAGAGTAAGGAATGGGGTTGGGCGTTCGGACGGGGGAGAGGGAAGCTACAGCCTGACATGGCTGGACATTCGGGATGAATCGCGGCGACCGTTGAGATCATAGGCCTGAGCTCACGCTAATCTCCAGCTCTCCGCATCCGCAACATTCACCTCGGACCTCGGGCTCGACTCGCTCGATGCCGTCGAGGTAGTCATGGCCATCGAGGAGGAGTTTGGGATCGAGATCCCCGACGCGGAGGCGGACGAGATTACCACTGTCAAGCAGGGTGAGCTGCCTCGTCCACGGTATTGACAAGAGGAAAAGCTGATAGGTTAGCGATCGACTATGTTGAGAAGGTATGCCAGGACAAGCAAGTTCTGGGGATGATAGCTGACCAAGGTCTTCCTTTTGATTTGCGACACTACAGACTCCCGAAGGTGGGTTGTCGCCCTCGTCTTAACAAGATACATTGAGCAGTTCCTGACTCTTTTTAGCACATTAATCAATTCTCGTCCGACAAAGTGGCATGCAGCAGTTTCTCTTCACCCATCTACTGCGACCCAGCCGTCCACAAGGGCTGCAAAGGCCGGCTAGCAGGACATCGGCCGCTATACTAATGCATGCACAGGTAGCGCCGACTAGATGACTACGCCTCTATCCCTTCCATCCCTTCACTCCGCTGATCCACATCCTCGTTCGCATTCCCATTCCTCCCCTCTTTTCCGTGCCCGTTCATTCCCGCTCTGTTACCATCTGCTTCGTCATCCCTGCCCTCACTCCCATTCTCCATCTTCTGCCTCTTAGCCCCCCTCGCTTCTTCCTCGTCCCCCGCTTCGACCGGGCTGGTCTGCCTGGACTCGATGGGCGGACTGCTCCCTCCGTCTCCCGTGTGCGAGACTGACGCGGCTTCATCGTTATTGTTCCGTCGAAGTCGTGCTGATGTGCGTTCGCCGGGGATCAGGGGTTTGCTCGGTGCGGCAGCTGCGCTCGGTTCTCCTCGACGGGAAGTCCGGCGGGGCTGCTCGTACTCTTCCTCGTCTTCTCCCTGATCTCATCAGCTAAAAGCACAAACCAGCACGATCGGACAACTGACCTCATCCCCGTCATACGAATAATCAATCTTCCGAGTCGTCCGCCTCGTCCTCGTCGACCGGAATTCGGCCTGCTCAAAGATTTTCGCCTGATCCGCAATCTTCTTTCTCGCCCTCGCTATCCGCTACTCCGTTAGCTTCCCTCCACACCAAGACACGACGAAAACTCACAGCATCCTCCTTCTCCACAGCCTCCATGAGACCACCGACCACCTCGGCCAACTTCTTCTCATCCTCAATCCCCTTGGCCGCCTTTTTCGCAGCGACCACCTCGGCCTTTTTCCCCTTGGGCCCTACTTCCGGCTTGGGCGAGTTGCCATGTGCGGCCCAGAGGTCGATCTGCGCCTGCATCTCGGTCTTGTTGGATGAGATGGCAAAGATGGGGCACGGGCGCTTGAAGGGATTGCCGGATTTGTATATCCTTCCAGAGTCTTTCGGTCAGCCTGACCCCACCGCGAAAAACGGAGAGCTCACTGTCGAATACCCAGATACGCTGCTTATTGCGGTCCATCCCGATCGGCTCGATCCCGACTTTAGCCTGCGACTCGGGTACGGTCACTCCTTTTGGTAGCGGCGCGTGGTTCTCCTTGTTGATGATGGCCCGGATATGCTCCGAGTGAGTCACTATCTCATTAGCTCTGCTTTACGCTCCGCGAGACACAAGCTGATTGGCAGTACACTCACATTGCCAATCCACCAACTGCCTTAACAGACCCGCGCGTTCTCTCCAATCCATCTCAAACAACCCCCCTCCGCGCTCCGCGGCCTTGACCAGTGGGTTCCGCGACACCCGCTCAGCCGGTGGCTCGCCCGCATATCGCAGTCGGCCAAGCTCGGTCCGGTCTGATGCTTGGGTACAGCACGAGGCTCGGGCTTCCTCGTTGGGCGCCCAAGGACGGTCCCAGACTGTGAATTCGCTAGGACCGAGGAGTTGGTCCGAGATGTGATTGGAGAGGTGATGTTGGATATTTGTAGGGCTGAGGTATCAGCAGGTGGACAGGAAGGAATGGAAGGCATGCAGAGATAGGATAAATGGGAATACAATGTTGAGCAACGCCCGCCACTTTCGGGAAAAGGAAAAGGGACGGGGACGCCGCGGACAGCGGCGCGGAATGGAGCCGAAACCGCTCCAGTCCAAGCGATAGCGAAGGGGATCGCAAGCGGGAACTGGAGACTTACTCGAGATTGCGCAAGCCAGGCTTCAGGTTTCCTAGGAAGCGAATGAGGATACCCTCCAGAATGTCATCAGGGCGATTCGCGACAGGTTCCATGAGGGACTGCTCAAAGCTGCTCCTGTCAGCTAGGGGACCGCGAGCTGCGGAGACGGACGGGGACGGGGGCAAATCGGCAAGGGGGAGAGGGGGGCGCGACGTACTCTTCCAAGCACTCTAGGCGCTTTATGCGGTCTTTGAGGTTGAACTTGACGATAAAGGCCCAGACGTAGGCGACTTGCCAACTATCTGTATCAGTTCATGTCCAGCTCTACACCCCGGAAACATCGCCTGGCTCTGCTAATGTGAGAGGCCGGGAAGCTCACTCATCCTGCGGCCGATCGGCTTTGGGGGCTTCATAAGCGTGCAAAGCCAAGTCGGCCTGATATCGCTTCTTCGCCTCGGCCTGCTGTTTCTCCTTCCTCTCCTCTCCGCCTTCAGCGCCGGCGTCAGCCTCCGAGGCGTCCCCGTTCTGCCCAGCCTTGCCGCTTCGGGGCGCGTCGATCGCCTCGATATCGTCCGATACCTCGGAGGCCGGTGCGGGCTTCTTGGAGCTGCTTGGTCGAGAGCGGGAGACGGGCGGAGGGGGGGAGAGGGGAGGTGAAGCCGAGGGAGAGCGGGGCATTTTCGGCGGTGGAGCTGAGCTCGACAGGATGAGCCGAGCCAAGGGGATGTGGCGATGCTACGCCGGAGCGTGGACGGTCTATCTATCTATTGTCGATGATGTATGCTGTATGAAAGCAGTGAAGGCAGTGAGATGATAGAAGAGGAATGAAGAATCTTTGGTTGGTTCAACGCGCGCGCGACGCGGCTGCACCAAGACTGGGGAATCTGGAATGTGGGGTAATTTTGCGGGGTAACGATCCTTTTGGCCAGAGATGCGGCTGTGGAGGTCCAGCTTCTGGAGCATCTCTACATAGGCCAAGAAGTGCTTACCGGGCGATATCGAATCGCCACGGATCCTCCCAGCCGTCACTGCATCTTTCATTGCATCTGAGAGAATGAGCTTTGCAGCGGGAACACGACCATTGCTCGGCGTTGCGAGCTCCAGTCGGCAGACGTTGAAGAAGGGGTTTCATGACTTTATACGAGGCCGGACACCTGGAGGTGAGTCGTTGTCAGGTACAGACCTACCTGATGGCGGCGAGGGCTTATGCTGCTCTCTCCCTATATTACTACGAGCTTTCAAGACTGTGCTGACGCTGTAGGGACCTACAAAGTCCCCCTCTCCTCCTCCAACATTGTCGGTGTCTACTCTTCACGCGGTCAACGGCCGTGCGTCTTTGACTCTTCTGACCGGTCGGGACCATAGCTGATCTCGGTAGCTATCAAGAAGACACCTCCTCAGCGTTCGGACTGCAGCTACCACCCCAAGAGCTCGAGGCGAGCTATCGAGAACGGCTCAAGACGCAATGGGATGGGAGCAAGGCCGGGAGCGAGTTCTTTGCGTCCCAAGTTGGGTTCTTTGGTATCTTTGACGGGTGAGCCACGCAATCCTCCCGACTGACGAGGTACTGATTGATATTGTTGTGGCTATTGCGGCTTTGCCTAGACAGGCTTTGCCTAGACAGAGAACACGGCTGACTGGCAGGCACGGCGGCCAAGAAGTCTCCACCTACCTGAAAGAGAACCTCCACCGCCTGACGGAAGAAGCGACCCGCGCTCAAATACCCGAGATTGTCGCGTTTACGCAGAAGCACGGGGGTTACTTTAAGCGATGGCGAGGTGGGGCATTGCAGCGGTGGACGAAGAACTCGTTGTCTGAGCCAGGGACGGGAATGAGCGTGTTGTCGATAGAGGAGAGGTTGACGTTGGCTTTTCTACAGGTGCGTCGAGCGTCGAGAATTGCGGCAGGTTGGAGTGTGGTCGAAGCTGACGTATAAGGCGGACAAGACGGTACTGGAGACGATAGACCGGGCGAGGAGGTGCGGTGCGACAGCGACGGTCGGTTTGCTGCATTCGCTGGACACGCCCGCGGAGCCATATTGGGCCGCTTCCAAGTTGTGTCTGACGATAGCGCATTGCGGGTAGGTCTTCTCGGAAGTGGGGCAAGCAGGCAAGGCTGATAAGCAGGGACACCCGCGCAATCCTCTGCAAGACCGCTACTGGCGAAGCCACGACCCTGACGGAGAACCACCACGCCGAGTCCCGTATAGAATCTGCTCGGCTCAGACGGATGGGCGGTGACCGACTCATCTCGGACAGTTTTGGCGAGAGCCGCTGGATGGGCGTCGTGGAGAATACGCGGAGGTCAGTCCATCGATGTTGCCCCTCTCTTGTTCAGTCTCTCGTGAGACCGACAGATCTGATCAGGTAGTATAGGAGACGGCGAGTGGAAACCTAGCGGAATCACCGCCGAACCAGAAGTCCGATCTCAAATCATTGACGGTAAGCCGCCGCCTCTTCCACTAATCCTCCACGCCAAAAAAGCGCAGCTATAAGCTATAAGCTGACCACCAAGGCGACGCCTACGCCTACCTCATACTGGTAACCGACGGCCTCACCTCGCTCATCACCGACCAAGAAATCGTCGATCTCGCCCGGTCTGCCCCTGATCCGTCCAAAGCAGCACGCGCGATCGTATCCTTCGGCGAAGACCTGAGCGCACAGGATAACTGCACGTGTGTCGTCGTGCCGCTCAAGGGGTGGGGCAAGGTCGGGGGACAGGATATTACAAAGGACCGGAGAGAGTATCGGAGGCGGCAGGCGGGGGCGCTGAGTACGCGGATGCAAAGGATGTAGTATGGGGAGGGTTGGATCTTTTATCTAGGGGTGTATGTATTGCTATTGCTATAAGATACAACGGTACAATTGGGTTGTCTACTCCCTAATACACAGTGTCCGATATGTGTACGCCAGTCCTGAAGGGCCTGCCCCTGCTTTCATCCGGGCCCACCCCGCTCGCTCCGCTTTGACCGCCTCTTTGTCCATACACCGGCCTTAGTCTGCCCGCTCGACTGGGATGTTTCCCGCCCAAAATACGATACAACTCAAAGTGGTGCTCAGTCGCGGCAGTCCCGGACGATGCATGGCATTTCTGCGATATTAGCAAGGCAGACTCGGTCACATCTTCAGACAATTCAATAAGACTTACAAGCTTTTCTCCCTCCCGATTGGGGCTCAGGTCTCGACACGCGTACGATAGCCGCTGTCATACTGTTCTCGTCAGCCACAGCTCGCTCCAAAAGGGACAAATGCCACGGTACTCACAGATTCTCCCCGCTTGCAGATGCTACTCCACCCTACTGCGCCATCAATTGCCGCAGCATCAACTCGGCATACACCTGGTTTGCCTCTGTGACGGGATGCGTCCCATCGTTCGTAATCTCCGTCCCATACCCCTCAAACTTGCCCGCAAAGTTGATCGTCTTGATGCCCATCTTTTTCGCCACGTTGATCTGGGCCCGGCGGAGCTCGGCGACCCGAAGCGGTTTGAACGTCGGCACCATCTGTTCCTCTGCGATCGCGTGGAGGTGCGGCGGCAGACCCATCAGCCCGCGCGCGACGAGACCGGGGCCCGTGACGTGGACGAGGCGGAAATAGATGGGGGTATGGGCGCCATACGTGTCCCGAAGAGACTGGATGAAGCGTTCGCAGATCTGCGTGTACTCTGCGATCCACTCGATCGTGAGCCCCGGTTCCCGATCCGCCGAGGTGGCGAGGTAGGCGCGCCGCTGGAATCCGACGAGATCCCAGAGCCCGAAATTGATCGTGATGGCGTCGTAGGGACGCGAGTCGTGGTCGTCCATCCCGCCACCGATGACTTGGCGGAGCGCCTCGACGCGGTCGCTCGCTTTGCCCGGAAGCGTGGGTTTGATGCCCTCGTTCATGACCCCAAAGGCAAAGACGAGGTCGATGCGGAATTGGTTGTCCGCGGAGGGGAGGTCGCGGGTGAGGGGAGGGATGAAGGACTCGGCGATGCTAGTTTCTTCCGAGGAGAAGGAGGGGGAAGGGGCGATGGGGATGATGGCGGTCGCGCAGTGGAAGCTGAAGGCCGTGCCTCGTTCCCCGAGGTGTCCAGCTTCGGCGGGGGAGGACGGGGAGGAGGGTGCTTCTGCAGGTGGGATGTAGGAAGAGAGGTCGTAGTTGCGATAGTGGGAGGAGGGGGAGGTAACGTCGACGAGACTCGCGATCCAGTTCCGGTCCAGACTGTCGCCAATGACGAGTATCCGCTTCCCCGCTATTGTCGAGATGTTTTCGTAGGTCCTGCTGAATTCCGCCTCCTGTGTCCGTTCCTACGCCATCAGCTTTGCTTCTGACAAAGCAGAGAAATACGTACCTTCTCCTCTATAACGTCTAGCTGAGCCACCTGTCCCGCGATTTCCGCCTCGACCCGAGCGGCCTCGTCCGCCAGATACCGCTGCTGCGCCTTGGTATTCGACCACAGGCTCTTCAACACGCTGATGGTATTCCGGCACACCGTTTGCCCATCCGCCAGGACCTCTGTCTCATCACACGAATATCCGGCCGCGTGCTCCTGGAGCAGGGTGTACTTGCTTCCGAACGCGACACCGTGCGCGTACTTGAGGTGCCCAGCGTCCGACAGCCAGGCCGAAGGTAAGGTCACGGAGGCTGCACCTGTCCAGCGTGAGGAGGAGAGGTGGTACGAGACCGTAGGGGAGAGATGGTAGATCATAAACAAGGCGGTGACTGTGATGGAGATGGCGAGGGCAGCCGAGTGACGCGAAAGCCGTGAGGCGAGAGTGGAAGCCATGTCGACTGAAGGCGGGGGGCGAAGAATTAGCTGGGCGCTGGGCGTCAGGCAAGTGTTAGAGATTGTAAGGATGTGTTTTCCCCTTCATCGTGATCAGCCTGCTCTTCTTATACCCTCTCGACCATCGTCGATCATCATGCGTCAACGTCAACAAGACCCCTGGTGGCTGTAGCTTATGGGTAGGCTAGCCAGTCCCGCCATTCTCCGCTGTTTGAAGGTTTACTTGCAGACGGGCCTGCCGCCGTGCCGAGCCCGTCCAAGGCACCATACAAATTCCCCCAAACCGGGAGAAGGCATTCCTATCGGGAGACGGAGCAGGGACGGCGTTGAATGGTGAATTGATAGGAACTGATCTAAAATGCTCAGAGTTTGAATGGAAACACCCAGGCACCTTCAGGCACACCCTGGTCGCCGCTCCCGTTTTCCCCGCCGGGAATATGGCCCAAAGGGGAAAATCCGGGATGACACGTGGCAGCTGAGGAATGCGGACCAGGACGCACGGACCAGCCTAACGACGAGCTCACCCCTACTCAACACCAAAGTACTGCCAATCCTCTATACCCTACTAACTCTCCCCATCATCCCAACACACAATGGACGCAGACGAAGAGCGCGACTTTGCCGCTCTCTTATCCCAGTCCACCGCCCTCCCCACCCGACCCACCTGGTCCCCTCAAACATCGGCCACCACCGCCGCTCAGCTCGACCCATGGGCCAACCCTTTCGCTTCATCACCTACCGACCCCTTCTCAGCCCCCGCTGCTACTTCTACAGCTCTCCCGAGCTTCACAAGCGGCGCGAATGGCGGACCATCCGGGTCGGGCTCAGGATACGTTCCGCCGGCCGCAAGCGGGTTCGATGATTACTCGTCCACTTCAGGAGGGTTCGGCGAGACCAGGTTCGACTATACCCCTTCCCCACCTACGGCTACGTACAGTGGCGGCGCGGGTATAGATGCGCAACAGGAGTCGGACAGTCCCTATGTCCAGAAACTGGAAGATGAGCAGATGCTCCCTTCTTCTTCTGGGGGGATACCTGAACCGCCCAGCGTGATCGCAGCGAGGGAGAGGGACGGGATGTCATGGGGAGAGACGGATATGAGTGGATTTGGAGCACCGGCGGTGTCCACCAGCTCGTGGGACCCTTCGGCCGACCAGTACCAGGTCTCACCACCCCGCCCATCTCAAGCGGAACCCGTACCGCCGCACAAACCCACACCGCCCCAAACGGCCGGCCGGATCCTCCCGTCTGATCTGATCGACGAGGACCTGATGGCCGCTTCGGACCCATCTATCAGCCTCAAGCGGGCATTCGTCAAGTCCACTCCGGCGGCCCCAGCAGCGACTAAGGGGAAGACGCCGGAGAAGGCTAAGCAGGGAGCTTATGTGTTTAGGCCGGCGGGGGTGCCGGTCAAGTTTAGGGGGCAGGCGGAGGAGAAGAAAGGAGAGGCAAAGGCGCCTGAGGCGAAGGTGGTCCAGGAGGCCAAGAAGGTGGAGGAGGATGGTACAGCACCGGTAGTTGAGGAGGTGCAACCACCGGGTGACGCGGCGGCGGCGGAGACGGTGGAGGAGGCGGAAGCGGGGGCATCTGTCGCGCCGGAAGATAAGCCCGCGGCGGACGTCAAAGGGGAAATCCTCCCAGCAGACCAAGGGAAGGAGGTGGCTGCTCAAGAGCCAGAATCTGCGAGGGCTGCGGCGCCGAGCCCGGAGCCAGCTCCACCCAAGGTCGAACCCAAGGCAGAGCCATCATCCTCAGCTGTCGAGCTTAACACTTCCGACGACTCGAAATCGGTCAGACCTACACCCTCGTCCCCGCCTCTCGCACCCGCCTCCATCCCCCTTCCCGCCTCTTCAGTACCCACACGCACCTCCACTCCCCTCCCTCCCTCTCACATCGCTCCCACTTCCCCCTCACCGCCTCTCTACCCTACCCAAACGCCCACACACGACCGCGTCGCCGTATCACCACTCGAACCGCCCTCTGCACACATCAGCGATTTCGGCTTCAAGTCGTTATCAATCGGCGCGGCGGGGATGATGCCTCCGCCTGCAGCTGCGGAAGAGGGGTGGGGTGGGGGCGGGAGTGGGATAGGGAGTAGGTTTGGGGGCAAAGGGTGGGGCGCGATGGATGCTGCGCCGGAGGAGGAGGGTCTGTTTGGGAAGGGAGGGCCTGTAGGGGATCCATGGGGCGGTGGCGGCGGAGGAGGTTGGGGCGGCGAGGCAGATGCGGGGCCATCGGTAAGTATCACCTTAGAAGCAAAGGATGTGGCTGATTCTCAGTCACCACCTGTCCAAACCGAGCCGGAACCATCCGTCGCCACGCCCAAACCCACTCCTTCACCTGGCAAGCCCCGCCGCCGTACTTTTCCCGTCTTCACCATCTCCATATCTGACCCCGCGCGCGTTGGCGATCCCGTACGCGGCTACACCGTCTACACTTTACGCACGCACACAACCTCGCCCCATTATCGTAAATCGGACTTCACAGCGCTTCGACGTTTCTCCGACTTTTTATGGTTGTTCGACTCGCTCATTGCTAATAATCCCGGAATCATCGTTCCCCCTGTTCCCGATAAACATACGTTTGGCCGGTTCCAGGAGCAGTTTATCGAGACGCGGAGATTAGCGCTGGAACGGAGTCTGAACAAGATTGCCGCGCACCCGGTCCTTCAGCTGGACCCGGATCTGAGGTTGTTCCTCGAGGCGGACAATTTCGGAGTGGAGATCAGGGGAAGGGGGCCTGTGCAGCCGGTGGATGTACCTGCCAAGTCGGGATTGTTGGGGGGATGGAACACGCCCAAATTTATCGAGAGTGATGACTGGTTCACCTCGCGTATGGCCTTTCTGGACGGGCTGGAGGTGCAGCTCAAGGCGCTGTCAAAGAGTGTGGAGCTAGCGTCCAGGGCGAGACTGGACATGGCGACTTCGCAGGCGGAAGTGGCGGATGCGCTGCAGGCGCTCGCCGAGTCGGATCTGGGCTCGGCGATGTGTGCGTCACTCGCGCAAATGGCGGATCTGGCGCGGAGGGAGAAGGAGGGCGCCGAGGAATTGGCGAAAGGGGATGTGGTGAATCTGTTGAATATGGCGGATGAGTATGTGCGGTTTGTGGGGAGTGTGCGGCGGGCGATGGGGGGTCGGACGAGGGTGTGGTTGGCGTGGCAGGCGCTCGAGCGGGAGGTGGCGCGTCTGAAGGGGGTGAGGGAGAAGGCGAGGGTGCAGGGTAAGCTTGGGGATAGGGCCGCTCAGACGTTGGCGGATATCAATGATGTGAGTGAGAGGGTCAAGGGTGAGGGTTGGAGGCAAGGCTGATGGATAGGTGGACCGGAAAGCTCGGGCGAGCCAGCAAGAGTATGAGACGTTGACGAAATTGGTCAAGTCGGAATTTGGGCGGTTTGAGCGGGAGAGGGTGGATGAGTTTAAGCGGGTGTTGGAGAAGTATCTGGATGATCAGATGGATAGGCAGAGGGAGATGATTATGTCGTGGGAGGAGTACCATGTGGGGGTATTGGGGATGGTCAGGAAGGCTCAGGGGATCAAGCAGGCCGCGTAGCGTAGCGCAGCCTAGAAAAAAGCTGGGCGTTATACTTGCATACCATCAAGGTCATTATCAAACGAAGTACGCGAAAATCTATTCCGGATACATCATCGTACACAGAGGACATAAAGGTACAGATAGATGCAGTCGATAACTGAAAGCCCGTGAGAAATGAAGAAGTGTCCTTTGTTTTGGGGGGTAGAGAAGATATGGTATGTTTACAATGCGACGTAGGCGGCGGTCCCGACGAGGATGGCCATCAGGGCGGGAGTGATGTTGGCAAGGGTGGGGAGACCGGCAGATGTCTTGCCGGTGCTGGAGGCGGAAGCAGCAGCGCCCGAGGCGACGGCGTTGACGTTGACCGCGGCGGATCCGGAGGCGGAGGGCTTGGCGGTGGATGAGGGCAAAGCGGAGGTGGACTGCAGGTCAGCGAAAGCTCGACAAAGCGCTGAAAGGACTTACAGTGGGAAGAGCGTTGACATCCTTGTTGGCATCCTGGACAGTCTGGTTGAAGGTACCGGTCATGCCGTTGAGGGTAAACCGGGCAGAGTAGGCCTGGTAGTTGTACTGGGGCATGGCCGAGTCCTTGAGACCGAGCGAGGTGAATCGGACAAAGTACCATGTGCCTGCAAATTAGCGATGTCCGACGGGTAAGACAAAGGACCTACCGGTAGTACCAATCGAGGGGTCGATGGTGGCAACCAGAGAGCTGGTCTTGGAGACGTCGACCGAGGCGGCGAGGTTCTGGACCTTGAATTGCGAGGTCTTGGATCCGACGTAGACGTCGACCGAGCATGGGCCGACGGCCGAGACGGACGGGGAGTTGCCATCGTCAGCTGAGAAGTCAGCTGGGTCCGCGCGTGAAGGGGCGAGTGAGCTCACCCCATCGGACCGTGAGGGTCTGACCACCAATGACACTGGCGCCGGTGACGGGGGCAGTCACGTACACGCCGGCGAGTGCGGACTGGGCCAGGGCGAGGACGGTGAGGAGAGTTGCGAACGCGAACATTGTAATCTAGTATTGGCGGGTGGGTTGAAAGGGGGGTCCGGGGATCGGGTTGATGAAAGGCGAGAGGTATGAGTTGGTCGGTCGTGAAGGTGAGGGTGGCGAGTCGAAGCGTTGGTTGAGTGGGTCGAGCTAGCGTTTCAAACGAGTGTGAGTGGCCGTGGCTGGCGAGCTTGAGGTGTCGGTTAGTGACGAGTAGTGAAGGTATGAACGAATGAAGAAGACGAGTAGAGAGGAAGGAGGAAACTATAATAAATGTCTGAGCGCCAGACGGGGCCAAAACGCAAGCCAAGACGGGCAAGAAACACACAATAAAAGGACCCCCTCTTCCCCCTGAACGCTTGGACCCAACCTCGAAACATATACCCCGTGAGAAGGACCCCGTGGCGCCGCTGGATTGCTTCTTGTTGCTCCTTTGCTGACGTCGCTGCGCCGAACTCATGGAGCACATGCCGCTTCGGCGTCGGCGTGTCCGAGCTTGTTGTTTGGCTTGTTTACTTGTTTGGTTCAGGTCGTGTTTCATCCGATGAAACACAAACAAAGGGAGTCTTGTAAGTAAGCTTAAAAAAGCACGGGGTATTCCGAGGCTGTTCCGACGGAAGGAAGCGGGATTTCCCGAGTGTGGCGGTTCTGAGCGGTGACGCGGGGTGCGAGCGGTGATCGCCGTTCTATGCGGGGCCGACTCGAGGGAGATTTCAGATCCAAGCGGTCAAAAGTCGAGCAAAGAAGCAGTTTACCTATATCAATCACTAGCCATGTCTCGTCCTACTCTCAGAAAAGTACTCGCCTTGAAGCCACGGTCCGCCGTAGGCTCGGTCCGCTTCACAAATGCCACCACCGCAGACAGACCGCAGGCGCCAAAGCCGATCAAGGACAGCACGTCCGCCTTGGAGTGTGAGTTGGAGCCGTGCCGGGGATCAAAAGATGAGGTAGAAGGTGTGCTAGGGGAGCTCCTGGTGGTCTTGGAGGAGGAGGGAATGCTCGAACGTGGAGAAGCGCTACTAGCGGAGGGGTAGGGACGATAGCAAGCCATATGGGCCGCAGACCGTTAAGAGACAGGCAGTGATGGGACCCTCAAAGCTCCTATTACTTAGCGCTTGTGGAAATATGGATAACCAAGACACTCGACGCATGTGCTGACTTTGCAGACAAGATGCACCGTCCAACTCGCGCCATGCCCCAAGCTTCCACGCCCCGCGCTCCATCAGCCGAGGAAGCTGTCACAAATATCCTCTACAACACTCCTCCGCCCTCAACCGAGCCCTACAAGAGGTGCGTCATTGTCGAACGCTGAGGTCAGAGCTGATAGTTAGGCATCTGCTGAACTGCCTGGTGCAAAACGAGCCGGGAGTGCTCTCGCGCGTATCCGGTATTCTCGCTGGAAGAGGCTTCAACATTGGTCCGTTACCTGGCCCCAGGATCAAGCTGTAGCTGACTTTCAGACTCCCTGGTGGTGTGTCAGACAGAGGTCCGGGATCTCTCGCGTATGTGTATCGTCTTGAAGGGTCAAGACGGTGTCGTCGAGCAAGCCCGGCGACAGCTGGAAGATATCGTACGTATCCCCCCATGTCATCGCTGACGGCAGGTACCCGTCTGGGCGGTCCTCGACTACACGTCCACCTCGATCGTCGAGCGCGAACTCCTCCTCGCCAAAATCTCCATCCTCGGCCCCGAGTACGCACAGGAGCAGCTTTCCGGCTCGTCGGGCTCGGCGACACACTCGGCGGACTTTGATCAGGCGGTGATGGAGCAGAACCCGGCCGACGGGGCGCACGCCTTTGCCTCGACGGAGGGTGAGCAGACGTCGACGCAGGCGGCAGATCGGGACGATAGGGAGCAGGCACTCGCACGGTCGTTCGAGGCGGGTGGGGGACCGGACGGAGCCGGATCGGGCGCGATTGGGGCGGGACGCAAGGGCATGTCGGCGAGCGAGGCCTTGATTGCCAAGAACCTACACCTGTCGGGTATCAAGATGCTCGTTGAGCAGTTTGGGGGCAAGGTGGTGGATGTGGCGGAGAACTCGTGCGTTGTCGAGTTGACGGCGAAGAGTAGCCGGGTCGACAACTTTTTGGGGTTGATGCGGTCGTTTGGTGTGCTTGAGGCTGCCAGGTCAGGTGAGTGGTTCCGACAGGCAGTAGGCTGATAAGCAGGTGTGATGGTCCTCCCCAGAACGCCGGTTGCGAGGTACGAGGACGAGGAGGAGACCATGGTCGCTCGGGAAGAGATGGATCTGAGTCTGCTTCCTCCGGGATAGGAAGCGATCGCTTCAGACGTGGCCCAAAATCGATGTCGGCATGCATCTCTATACACATTACACTCGTACAGGTTTCGGTCATGGCGCTACTGATGCAAACACTGGGTATGCCTTTTCGTACACGGTAAAGATGATGCCTCCGCTCATCTGTCGGTCAGCTCAGCGCTTGTATCCAGCAGTAGTTGGACTCACAATCAGCCGTCCCAGTCTTGGTACGGTCCCCTTCCAGAACCGCAGCACCCCTTCTTCCGTCGCGATCCGGTATGCGCAGTGCAGGGCATTTCGATATTCCTGCTTGGCCTTGAGAGACTGCATTCTGGTCTTGACGACACTGGCCGTCAGCTCCGCCCCTAGCGCATACCTAGAGGACTCACTCGAACGGCATGGTCGTGTAGACGGTGATAACCCCAGCGGTGGCTCCTATTCCAAAGGTCATCCACCCGGGCAGTTGCGAGCCAGCGACCACGCTCCCCTGCGCCAGCTGCTTGAGCGTCGAGTAGGACGAGAAGCGAACGGCCGAATTAGCGCCTTGTCGCAAGATCTGAGAGTCAGCGTCAGGCTATGAGAAGCCTCGGTGGACATACCACAGGTCCGACACCTCTGTACAGCCCCCTATATCCTTCTTCGGCGACGATCGTCCGGATCCCGTGCGCCATGCCGTTGAATCGAGGCTGGGCGAGCTTTGAGTCTTCAATCATCTTGGTCCTGCCCGTCAGCTTGGTCCGTCCGCACAGCGAGGCGTACTTACTTGATCGTCTCGGATGGAGTCACAGCTATCACCGCTTCCATCATCCCCGCTCCCAGCCCCGCCAACATCGACCTCGGTGCCGAAAGCTTCCCCTACGCTGTCAGTACAGCATCAGTACGCAGCGAGAAACCCACCTCGTCATCCATCAACGCCGACTTGAACTGGTCGTACGTCGTGAACCTCACACCAGCCTTGACTGCATTCCCGATCACGACGGCCGTACATCCCGCGTACAGTCCGCCTACACCGCGCTGCGCGATCGTCTCCCGGAGCGCTTGGTACGGACTCAGAGGCTGTCGTCAGTCTGGCCCGGGACGAGAGCTCACCTTGCCAGAAGCGCTGACGGCGGTCCCGAATTGGATCTGGGTCTTGACGGATTCGAGCGGGAAGGTTATGAAGCTTTCGACACCGCCAGCCACTGCGCCGGCTGCGAGGGACGCTAGTGGCTTTTCTCTTTCTTTGCCTTTGATCGAGGACATCTTGAGTGAACGAGGGAGATGGCAGATGCACACGAGCAAAGCGATGTAGATCTCAGGCGATGATGTCGATGAAACTCAGGCACGGTCTGCATTTGTTGATGGGACCAAAATTTCCAACCTCTCCTCTATCATCCATCCATCTATCAGCCCAATCACAAGACAACCACGGCTACCAGATACCATGCCAGCAGACAGGAGCTACAAGAAGGCCCGCACGGGTCCATCGGTACCCCGTCCAGGCCCAGCGGGGGCGACCGAAACGCACAAACCGCTGGCGCTGCAGCACCGAACGCCAGATGGTGTTCCGGGACTGAGCAAGCTCAAGGCTTCCATCAGGCAGACAAAGAGGTTCCTAGCCAAGGTAAGTCTACAGACTGACCAGTCATCAAGCGGACGTGGGTCCGGACAGTCAAGAAGCGCAATGGGCTGATCTGGCAGGACGGACTCGAACCTGGACTCAAGATCCAAACGCAGCGGAGGCTAGAGAGTCTCGAGGGGGATCTAGCCAAGGCGGAGAGGCGGAACGTCGAGATGAAGAATGGGACAAAGTATCACGCGGTGAGTCTGGTCCAGTCTTGGCCCCAGCTGGGAGGGATGTCAAAGCTGACATACAAGGTGAAATTCTTCGGTCAGTCAGACCTTCTTCGCAAGGCGGAACTGCATCTCCACAGAACCTGTGCTGATGAATGCAGAACGCCAGAAGCTTCTCCGGATCATCAAGAAGCAGCAGCGGCAAGTGGATAAGCCCGAATCGAGCTCGACCAAGGTTCAGGCGGCTGAGCAGAAGCTGGAGCAAGCAAGAGTTATGCTCAACTATGTTTTGAACTTCCCGTACGTTCCTCCTTGCTCCATCTCGGTACAGGCTGATGTTGCAGCAATACCGAGAAATACCTCTCCCTCTTCCCCTCTTCCAACTCTGACGACGCCGACGCCGACGCCGACGCCGACGCAAAAGCAGAAGCAGAAGCAGAAACTAAAGCCCGCCTCCCTCCCTACCTCGACGCATCAACGCCCACCTCTGAACTCGACAAACCAAGCAAGCGGCGCCTGGAGATTCTGCATGAGATGCAGAGGTTGATGGCTGAGGGGAAACTTAGCAATACGCCGGATGTAGGTCTTTCGGCGGGAGAGGGGAAGGCGAAGGTGGATATTGAGATTGGGGGTAGGGAAGCAGTACCGAAGTCTGAGGAGGGCGGGGCGACGGGGACAGCGGCAAATGCGGAAGTGAAGAAGGAGAAGAAGGTGAAGAAGGAGAAGAAGGGGAAGCAGGGTATGGTCGAAGAGAGCGGAGTGAAGGCGGCACCGACTCAAGCTGCGCTGAAGGTTGATGATGGGGGAGACGACTTCTTCGAGGATTAGGGGATGGATCGTTGATGTCATAAAAGGGGCGGGGCAGGGAGTGGTGCTGATACGTACTGACAGGATATGAGGGGATCTAGGGCGCTGCAGACTGACCAGGCAGGCCCCTGGTAACTACCAATGCTGACGAACAGCTGACAGGGCACGTGATAGGCCCTTTCAAGCCTTGTCAATGCAGCACGTGCATGCCCGTACCCTTCATTCTGATGATCCTGACCTCAGCCAGGAGAGAAACAGGGGATACCCAAGCCTCCTTTGTATAGGTACTCCTCACGTCCCCTGACTTTGGATCAGCTGGACTCGCACCAGCACAAAAGAGTCTTCTCACGGGGTGGCTCAAGGAGAAACAGAAGGGAGATCCAAGCCTCCCTTGCATGTTCCTAAAATCCCTAACGGAGGCCAGGCCTCCCTTACCCATCAGCACAAAAGAGCGGTCCCAACGCAGGAGGTGGGAGCGATATATAGCCATCGCAAGCTCGAATTGTATCGCTCTCTTCAAGTTCGATCATACTGCCTGACCGATATGAAGCTCCTCAGCATCAGCCTCCTCCTAGCCTCGGTGGCCTCTGTCAGATCGGCAAGCCGGTGCACGATCAAGTTCATGCTCACAAGCGGTATCACGATGACCGATCCGACGGGCAATCCTGGCAGCATGGTGGCCCCGGATAGTTTCGATCTTGTGGTCAACTCCAAATTCACTGCGTTTGAACGTAAAGTGAAAGCGACCGACAGCAGTACTAAAGTGTCGAAAGACTACTTGGTGAGCTCGGATTCACTGTCATGCGATGCGCTATGAGGCTAATCTCGGCAGTGCACATACTCTCCAGTTGCGGGCAAGGAGCTGGCGCCGGGTCAGACGGTGGTGGTGGTTCTTTTCATTGCACCGGACTCGACGGTCCTCATCCCAGCCACTGATTATGTGACCACTGAATGCAAGGCCGCGTAGGTAGTGATGAATACAGAGCTGCATATACCAACTTGAGAGTGTTCTGCGTGTTGCGCATCTGCGAGACCGCAGACGCGAGGGCGTCGACGGCGGGCAAGTCGCACAGCATTCACGTCCGCCCCGTGTGTGAGTACGTGCGTTGCACCCCTGACGAGGGATCTCCCTAATCGTCTCAGCACAAAAGAGCATGACCATGAAGTGGAGCCTCGGCCAGGGGAGAAAAGGGGGGCTCAAGCATCCCTTGTACATATACACCACCCCCTGACGGAGGAGGAGCGGGACTCCCTTATCCTATCAGCACAAAAGAGCGACCCCATCAGGTGGAGTCGATATATAGCGATTCAAACAAGCTCTCGCCCTTTTGAATCATACTGCTCGTACCCAGTATGAAGATCCTCAGCATCGCCCTCCTCCTAGCCTCGGTCGCTTCTGTCAGATCGGCAAGCACACTCAATCTCGTTTTTACATACGGAGTCACAATGGCCGACCCAACTGGCACCGCGGGGACTCTAGAGGGGCCGGACAACGTCGAGCTGGTGGTCGACGGCAAATTCGCTCCGTTTGAACGCCAAGTCAAAGTGACCGACGCCAGTGGGTGGAAGGAGTACACGGTGAGTCTCGCTGTCATGCAATTGGCTATGAGGCTGATCTAGTCAGTGCAAATATTCTCCAGTTGCGGACAAGGAGCTGGCGGTAGGTCAGACGGTGGTGGTGCCTCATTATGTCGCCGTGGGCTTGGTCCTCATGACCGATGGTAAGGGTTATGTGACCATTACGTGCACGGCTGCGTAGGTAGTGAAACTAGACACCTGCATGCGAAATGGTAGACTCCTAATTAGAGATTCTGAATCTTGCGGTCTCGCCAAATTTTTAACCGCCGTTGGCGAGCAAACCGCCATCGTAGTATCAAACACGTCCGCCCCTTGTACATGGGTTGCACCCCCTGACTGTACATGGATCGGCGGGTCTCCCTTGTCTTATCAGCTCAAAGCAGCACGTTTCAGAGGTGAGCCTCAGCCAGAAGAGAAAAGGGAGATTCAAGCCCCCATTGGAGAGTACATTCACAATATCCCCTGACGAAAGACCAGCGACTCCCTTGTCCTATCAGCACAAAAGAGCGAACAACAGGTGGAACGATATATAGCGATTGCAATTTCAAGATGTTTCGACCTTTTGAAACATCCTGCCCATACTGCCAGCCCAACATGAAACTCCTCAGCATAGCCCTCCTCTCCATCGCTTCCGTCAGATCAGCAAACACACTCAAATTCGTCCTCCACCCCGGGGTCATGATGACCGATCCGACGGGCACCACTGGGGTATTGGAGGGCCCGGACACTGTCGAACTCGTGGTCAGCCCCTCATTCACTCCGTTCGAACGTAAAGTCAGAGTAGCCGACAGTAAAGGATTCAAGTCATATACTGTGAGTTTCTTTGTGACGGGAGTTTCTTTGTGACGGGATGAAATGTGAGGCTGATATAGGCAGTGCAAGTACACTCCGTCGACAGGCGCAACGATGGCGGTGGGGATGAGCACGACGTTGTATCATCGAGCTCAACCGGGCTTGGTGATCGATATTGGAGGCAGCAGTTACGTGACCACTGTGTGCGCGGCCGCATAGATAGTGATAACTAGAAACCTGCATACGAAATCGTCCTAACTAATGAGTGTTCTACGAGGTATAAAGAGAGAGAGCAGCGGGACCACCACAGATCTCGGTCGAGTCACCGGCACACGCCTTGTTGCACATCTGCGAGACCGCCGAGGTGGAAGCGCCGTTGGCGAGCATGTTGCCACAGTAGCATTCACGTCCGTACCTGATTGTCAGCAGAGTCGAGGCAAAGAAGTAGTAGACTTACTCGAGACCGAACATCTTGAAGCCACCGCCCGAGCAGAAGGTGCTGCACTTTTCCACCGTCATGTCGTCCCCGGCAGTCATGGTACCGTTGAGCGCGCGACCGTTGACCTCCTGGATACAGCCGGCCTGGCTAAAGCCGTTGATCTGCTTGGCAGCGGCGGGTGTGGCCGAGGGGTTCGAGTAGAGCTGGATGGCGTTGGGTCCACCACAGAGCGAGGTCGAATCACCGGAGCAAGGCATGTAGCACTGGCCAGAGCTGAGCGACAGGGACGCGCCGTTGGCGAGGGACTTGGCACAGTAGCACTCAGAGCCGTACCTGGAATCAGCAAAGTCGAGGGGAAGGATAAGAAGACTCACTCGACACCGGCGTACGCCATACCCTGAGAACCACAGAAGCTGAGACATTGGTTGATGGTCATGCTGGAGCTGAAGGTAGCGGCCCCGTCGAGGGACCGGCCAGAGACCTCCTGGATGCAGGGGGTGGAGGCAGCGGACCAGCCAGCGGGGAGACCCTGGGTCTTGATGGTGGGGCCAGCGGGGGCAGCGGAGGAGGACGTGGGGGTCGAGGTGGAGGAAGAGGCGGCGGAGGATGAGGCGGCGTTGGAGGCAGCGGCCGAGGCGGAGGCGGAAGCGGAGGCGGCGCCCGAAGCCGAGGAACCGGAAGCCGAGGCACCTGAGGGGGAGGCACCTGAAGCCGCGGCACTTGAAGAGGCAGCACCGGAGGCCGAGGCACCCGAGGAGGAGGCGGCCGAGTTGTAGAACAGGCTCAAAGCACCGGGACCACCGCACATCTGGGCGACGTCGCCACCGCAGGCCATGCTGCAGCTCGAGGACGGGAGGGAGAGCGAAGCGCCGTTCTTGAGCGTATTGCCACAGTAACATTCCTTGCCGTATCTAAAAGTCAGCACTGCCAAGACTAGAGGCACTGCCTAGACTCACTCGACACCAGAGTAGGCGTAGCCCTTGGAACCACAGTAGGCCGTGCACTTGGCGGGGGTCATGTCGTCGGACGCGGTCATGTCCTCGGTGAGAGCGCGGCCGGTGGTACCCTCGGCTACGCACGAGGTGGAGGCAACTGCCCAGCCGTTGGTGAGGGGGACGGCGTTGGCGGCGTTCAATTCGGCGTTGAGCTTGCTGATGGCGGCCGAGGTGGCAAAGAGGGTGAGCGCGTCGGGACCACCACAGATGGAGGACGAGTCGCCAGAGCAGGCCATGTTGCACCGGGTGGTGGTCTTGGAGAGGGCGGCGCCGTTGACGAGGAGATCGCCACAGAAGCATTCGGAGGAGTACCTGCATGTCAGCGGGAGTCGACGAGAAAAGGCGGGTACTTACTCGATGGCGGCGAGACCAAAGCCCTTGCCGGCACAGAAGTTCAAGCACTTGCTGTAGGTCATGTCGCTGGCGGAGGTGGATGCGCCAGTGAGCGCGCGGCCAGAGGTGCCTTCGGCGATACAGACGGCTGAGCCAGACGCGGGGCCAGTCCAGCCGGAGGGGAGTACGGCAGCGGGGGCAGCAGAGGCGGCAGCAGATGCGGAGGCGGCCGAGGTGGCGGAGGTGGCAGCGGAAGTGGCAGTCGAGATGACGGCGGTAAAGTCGGGGGTGAGGTTGGAGATGGCGGAAGAGACGGCAAAGAGAGTGAGGGCGTCGGGACCACCGCAGATCGAACCAGACGCGCCAGAGCAGGGCATGTTGCAGCGAGTGGTGGTCTTGGTGAGAGAAGCGCCGCCGGAGAGAGTGTTGCCACAGTAGCATTCGCTCGAGTACCTGGAATCAGCATAACCCATAACGAATAGGCAAAAGACTCACTCGATACCGGCCAGAGTGAAGCCTTGATTGGCGCAGTAGGTGAGACACTTGGTGTAGGTCATGTCGCTGGCGGAGGTGGAGGCACCGGTGAGGGCACGACCAGAGCTGGCCTCGGCGATACACACGGCAGCACCGGATGCGGGACCCGTCCAGCCCGAGGGGAGGTTGAGCGCGGCCGCGGGGGTGGCAGATGCTGCGGCGGAGGTGGCGGCGGAGGTGGCGGCAGAGGTGGCAGTGGAGATGACGGCGGTGAAGTCGGGGGTAAGGTTGGAGATGGCAGATGAGACGGCGAAGAGGGTAAGAGAATCGGGACCACCGCAGATGGAGCTGGAATCGCCAGAGCAAGCCATGTTGCACTTGCCGCTAGTCTTGGTGAGAGAAGCGCCGCCGGAGAGGGTGTTGCCGCAGAAGCATTCGCTCGAATACCTGAGATTAGCACAGTCCAGGTGTAAGAGGAAGAGGTAGTCCAGGCGCAAGAGCAAAGACTCACTCGATACCGGCAAGGGTGAAGCCCTGACCCGCGCAGTAGGTCAAGCACTTGGAGTAGGTCATGTCGCTAGCCGAGGTGGAAGCACCGGTGAGGGCGCGACCCGAGGTGGCTTCGGCGATACAGACGGTAGCACCGGATGCGGGACCAGTCCAGCCAGACGGAAGGTTGAGCGCAGCAGAAGCCGAGGTGGCGGAGGCAGCGACCGAGGTGGCGGATGCGGCGGTCGAAGTGACGGAGGTGGCGGTAGAGATGACGGCGGTAAAGTCGGGAGTCAAGTTGGTGACAGCAGAGGCGACGGCGAAGAGGGTGAGGGCGTCGGGACCTCCGCAAATGGAGCCAGATGCGCCAGAGCAAGCCATGGTGCACTTGCTGCTGGTCTTGGTGAGCGAGGCGCCGCCGGAGAGGGTGTTGCCACAGTAGCATTCGCTCGAGTACCTGCAATCAGCACGATCCACAACCAAGGTGAGAGACTCACTCGATACCGGCAAGAGTGAAGCCCTGAGCAGAGCAGTAGTTCAAGCACTTGGTGTAGGTCATGTCACTGGCAGAGGTGGAAGCACCGGTAAGGGCACGACCGGACGAAGCCTCGGCGATACAGACGGACGAGCCGGAAGCGGGCCCGACCCAGCCAGCGGGGAGAATGAGACCAGCGGTGGGGGCGGCGGAAGCAGCGGCCGAGGTCGCCGAACTGGTGGCGGTCACCAAGGCGGCGTTGAGATCCGCGTTGAGCTGAGCGACCGACGAGGGGAGGACAAACAGCGTCAAGGCGGCAGAGGCACCACACATGGAGGAGGCGTCACCCGAGCAGACCATGCCAGCGTTGGACGAGGTCTTGGAGAGCGCCGCGCCGTTCATGAGCATGTTGCCGCAGTAGCACTCGCGCGACCACTCGACACCGGCCATGGAGTAGCCCTGGCCAGAGCAGTAGTTGACACACTTGGCAAAGGTCATGTCGTCGGCCGAGGTCATGGCGCCGGTAAGGGCCCGTCCGTTGGTGCCTTCGGCGATGGTGACGAGGGCGCCGTTGGAACCAGCGGCAACCCATGGCGAGGGGAGAGTGGTCGCGAGGGCGTGGGCTGCAGATGCGGAAGCCGAGGCAGAGGCAGCGGCAGCGGATGCGCTGGAGGCCGAAGCTGACGCGCTGACCGCCGAGGCAGAGGCGCTGATGCTGGCTGCGAGGCTGGTGGCAGAGTAGACCGACGCAGAGGCGCTAAGGCTGGCTGCGACCGAGCTGGCGACCGAGGCGGATGCTGCGATGGAGCTAGCGACCGAGGCGGATGCTGCGATGGAGCTAGCGACCGAGGCGGACGCTGCGATGGAGCTGGCAAGGGCGTTGGCGACGGAAGCCGAGGCGGACTGGCTAGCCGAGACCGAGTTGGCGACCGACTGAGACAGCGACTGGCTGGCAGCGAGGGAGCTGGCGGCGGCAGCGGACGCGGACTGACTGGCAGCAAGGGAGCTAGCGACCGAGGCAGATGCGCTCTGGCTGGCGGCGACCGAGTTGGCTACCGACTGCGAGAGGGACTGGCTGGCCGAAAGGGAGCTGGCGGCGGCAGCAGAAGCAGACTGACTGGCCGAGATGGAAGCAGCGACCGAGCTCGCGACCGAGGCAGAGGCAGACTGACTGACAGCAAGGGAGCTAGCGACCGAGGCAGATGCACTCTGGCTGGCGGCGACCGAGTTGGCGACAGACTGCGAGAGCGACTGGCTAGCAGAAAGCGAGCTGGCAGCAGAGGCCGAAGCAGACTGGCTGGCCGAGATGGAAGCTGCAAGGGAGCTAGCGACCGAGGCAGATGCGCTCTGGCTGGCGGCGACCGAGTTGGCGACGGACTGCGAGAGTGACTGGCTAGCAGAGAGCGAGCTGGCAGCGGAAGCCGAAGCAGACTGGCTGGCCGAGATGGAAGCAGCGAGGGAGCTAGCGACCGAGGCGGAAGCAGACTGGCTGGCAGCGACCGAGTTGGCGACCGACTGCGAAAGAGACTGGCTGGCCGAGAGGGAGCTGGCAGCCGAGGCAGACGCAGACTGGCTAGCAGCGAGGGAGCTAGCGACCGAGGCGGAGACGGATTGGCTGGCAGCGAGGGAGCTAGCCACCGAGGCGGACGCAGACTGGCTGGCAGCAACCGAGTTGGCGACCGACTGCGAGAGAGATTGGCTGGCCGAGAGGGAGCTGGCGACCGAAGCAGAGGCGGACTGGCTGGCAGCAAGGGAGCTCGCGACCGAGGCGGAGGCGCTCTGGCTGGCAGAGATAGAGTTGGCCACCGACTGGGAGAGGGACTGGCTGGCCGAGAGGGAGCTCGCTACCGAGGCGGAGGCACTCTGGCTTGCCGCGAGGGAGCTCGCCACTGATGCCGAGACGGACTGACTGGCCGAGACCGAGTTGGCCACCGATTGCGAGAGGGACTGGCTGGCCGAAAGGGAGCTCGCGACCGAGGCGGAGGCGCTCTGGCTGGCAGAGATAGAGCTGGCCACCGACTGGGAGAGGGACTGGCTGGCCGAGAGGGAGCTCGCTACCGAGGCGGAGGCACTCTGGCTCGCCGCGAGGGAGCTCGCCACTGATGCCGAGACGGACTGACTGGCCGAGACCGAGTTGGCCACCGATTGGGACAGGGACTGGCTCGCCGAAAGCGAGCTGGCGACCGAGGCGGAGGCGCTCTGACTAGCGGAGAGGGAGCTGGCGACCGAAGCCGAGAGGGACTGGCTGGCAGAGACCGAGTTGGCGACTGACTGCGAGACCGACTGGCTAGCAGAAAGGGAGCTAGCCACCGACGCCGAGACGCTCTGACTCCGCGAGATGGACGACGCGAGGGAAGCGGAAGCGCTTTGACTGGCCGAGACCGAGTTTGCGACCGACTGCGAGAGCGACTGGCTCGCGGAGACCGAGTTTGCGACCGACTGCGAGAGGGACTGGCTCGCAGAGAGGGAGCTGGCGACTGAGGCCGAGGCCGACTGACTGGCAGAGATGGAGTTGGCAATCGACTGCGAGAGAGATTGGCTGGCCGAGAGGGAGCTCGCAACCGAGGCGGATGCCGATTGGCTGGCCGAGACGGAGTTTGCGACCGACTGCGAGAGGGACTGGCTGGCCGAGACGGAGTTTGCGACCGACTGCGAGAGCGACTGGCTGGCCGAAAGGGAGCTGGCCACCGACGCCGACGCCGACTGACTGGCCGAGAGAGAGCTCGCGACCGAGGCCGACACGCTTTGGCTTCGAGAGACGGACGCCGCGAGGGAGGCCGACGCAGACTGGCTGGCCGAGACGGAGTTGGCTACCGACTGGGAGAGGGACTGGCTGGCCGAAAGGGAGCTGGCGACCGAGGCGGAAGCGCTTTGGCTGGCGGAGAGGGAGCTGGCCAGGGACGCCCTGGACGTTAGCGACATTCGGTTAGGAGGAAAGAAACTCACGAGGAGGACGCAGAAGCAGACGCCGAAATAGAGGCAGAGATTGACTGGGACCTGGCTGTCAGTCAAATCCTGATTGGAAAGAAAAGTACTTACAGACTACGAGATGCCGAGCTGGAGATGCTGGCGGAGAGGGAGCTGGCCGCCGCAATGCTAGAAGAGGAGGAAGCCGCGGCCTCGGCAGGAGATACCCAGGCAGGGTCGGCGTAGAGAGCCATGGCCCAGTCTCCACCGCAGTTCTTGGTGATATCGTTGGTGCAGGCGTAGACGGTGCACTTGGCGGGGTCCAGAGCCTTGCCGGCGGGTCCGATGACATTGTCACAGTAACACTCGACACCGTACTCAACACCGGCGAGGTCATAGTTGAAGCTCTGACAGTACTTGACACAGGTGAGGGGGGTGACGTTGCTGGAAGAGACGAATTTGGCCGCGAGGGTACGGGGGGATTGCTGGTCAAAGAAACAACCTTGGTATTTGAAGCCGTTGACGTCCGTTCCGACCGGCGGAGGGGGAGGAGCGAGAGGGAGACCGAGTAGACGCTTGTTGATGGGAAGACGCGCAGCGTCAGCCACAGCGGCGAGAATGGTGAGGGCGATGAAGATCTTCATCGTGAAGGAATGTGGGGGGAGGTTGGTCGGAGGGAGAGATTGGTCGGTGAGGAGGGGGTCGAGGGTGTCGAGGGGGGAGAAGCGGGTGGTTAAGGTGGAAGATGGACATGGTGGCTACTTATATACTGGCTTGTAAGCCTTGCTTCTGTGCCGATCACTTACTTCTCTGCTACCGCTTGCGGTGGACAGCTTTCATCAAAGTTGACGCCTCAATTCCGGACTTTGCTAGTATAGTGAGAGGCGCTAGTTGTGGAATTTGCCTGAGCTCAGCATACCCCGCGCGATATACAAGAGGCGTTGGGTAGTAGATGCTTGTATCCGCATCGAGTAGAGAGCCCATCCGAAAAGCCATCCAGGGACGATGATCAGGCAATCTTACGTTATTACATAGTTTTCAGCGGCCGGAACGGGAAATTCCGCCCGTTTCAGGTAATTTTTGTCTCGGTTTTGGGCGCGCGCCACCCTTATCCTTCTGCATGCCGCACAGATTAGATAGGTGACAGTGAGACATCCGGTCGATATGGCCGAGCGATGTCTCACACAAGCTCACACATTATACCAAGCAGAGACTTCCGACCAGATAACGTTCGGAGGTGACGGACTAACTGAAACCGGGGGGCAATTTAATCCGTGATCGCGGATCGCCGTCAGCCGACCTCGACCAGCTGCAGCCTGCTGCAGCCTCGGCCCTCAGGCCTCAACGACTCTGAGTCTCAACGATTACGTTGGTCTGACTTGATGCGCCAAATCCTCAGAGATCTCCTCGCTCTGAGACAGAGCTGTTGACCGGCTTGTACCTGTCTCAGTGATTATGCAACAAGCTGCAGCATCTTCTCGAGTTTCTGCGTGCCTCTGCGCCGCGCGGCGATCTGCGGAAAGATCCATACCTTCCATGAGCTAAGACATGGCAGATGCCCGTCTAGCAGGGCCAAGCCGACTCGAAGGTTTCCGGGGGGCGCCTTTCTTGCGGACAGTTGTGCTTCGAGTAGGCGATGATGAGGCTCACTGTTTCGTAGATCGGTGAATGGCCACATTTTGCGTCAGTGGCATTTAGTCAAAAGTCTTCGATACATAGCAGGCAGCAGCGCGCTGCAACAGCTTCTGCTCGAAGGCAATCTGTGTCTTCGATGAATCAGGCGTCTACTGAGACGAGAGCTGCACTAACGAGGACAGCGGCTGACGATACTCTGAGAGTGACGGTTGACCGGGATAAACCGGGATCGGCAAAGGCACTGCCGGTGCGAGGAATGTGGAGTTGCCAGGGTATGACGTAACCAAGTGCGACGCAGGAACCGGCCCAACCGTTACTCCCCGCCCACCCCCACCCGTACAGCCCCTACTCGGAAAGCGTCCTTCTCGGCAAAGCGCACGGTCATCAAGACGGCCAGGCAGCTCAGACCACACGCGTCCCAGTTCTTCACTGACGCCCTAGAAGCAGGCAGTGCGGAAAATCCCTCAACCTCGGCGATCGCCGCCACCACGGCCACCACCTCGGACGACCCGGCCCGTCCACAACAACCACCCTCCCCGAGTCCCGTTAGATCGGCTGGAGGTGATCCGGCCCCACTGGGGGCAGTAAGCGAGAGTGAGGGAGAGAGTGGGGGCCAAGGGGAGGCCGAGGAGCAGGAGGCGGTCGTAGATCTGGAGGAGTTACGGCGGGCGAGGGAGGAAAAGAGGATAATCGAGGAGAAGGAAAGGACGCTGAGGGGAGTGTATGAACGCCGGAGGCTGGTGGAAGAGGCTATGAGGGAGCAGGAAGCAGAGATGGAGTGGACGCGGGGACGGAAATGACCACTGAGGCAGATACCGCGCCGACCGCCCCGGCAGACCCGTCTGGCCCCACTCCGCGCCGCAAGGGCAAGGCAAACTACGCACCCTCGTGGAGGGCGAAGAAGGCGGCTCAACAGCTCCCCGGACCAGCTCGGGAGCCGAGGCCACCCATGTCCAACTCCGCCCTCCTCGCCCTCTTCCTCACTCTCAAGGACATACCGGCTATGCTGGTAGACCTGCCACCCCATCTCAGACCCGACTACACCCTCGCCGCCGAACGCTGCGCTCTCCGCTTCATGGCCAACAAGACGGCCAGCAACCTGCTCGACTTTCTCGCCCTCCCGAAAGTCGGCGTTCTGGCTACTCAATTGAAGGGGCCCGGCGCGGTGGAGCGTCTCAGGAGCTATCCGGACGTTCAGTGGCCGGAGGCGGTAAAGAGGGAGGGGCAAGGACTGGGCGGTAGTGGTGGAGATGTATCAACCAAGGTAGAGAAGCTGGTCGGGAAGGGTAGGGTGGGCACGGCGGCGAGGATTTTGGCAGGCGAGAGCAAGGTGGCGAGGTTGAACGATGAGGTGGTGGAGAAGTTAAGGGGGCTACATCCCGCGGGCGAGGAACACCCATTCGGCGACAGGGACGCATCAGACGGACCGCGGAACAGTGTGGTCCCGAACGAGGCGGATATACTAAGGGCTATCGCCAGCTTCGCCCGCGACGTGTCCGGCGGCATATCGGGCTGGTCGGTCTTCCTCCTCCGGCTCGTCTCCAAGAACGACGCGGTCCTCAAATTCCTCACCCTTCTTTGTTCTATGATCGCCGCCGGCACGGCGCCGGGACGCGAAATGCTCTGCGCTAGCCGCATCACCCCACTAGCGAAGGATGATGTCGGAGGGATTCGACCAATCGCGGTGGGCGACCTGCTCTTCCGGACGTTCATGAAGGCGACCGTCCGCAAGATGTTCAATCCCTCAATGCTGGGGGTCAATCAGTACGGTGTAGGGACAAAGGGGGGAGTGGAGCCGATTCTGAGGGTCATACAGCGAGCGGCGGATAAGAAGCTACCGGCGGAGTACAAGTGGGTAACCAGTCTGGACGCGAAGAACGCTTTCAATCTCAAGTCGCGGAGGTCTATCGCAGAGGCGGTCAAGAAGTACGCGCCGGGTCTATACCGAGCGGCGAAGTGGGCGTATGGGCGGAAGTCGATTTTAGTGGTGAACGGTCTGGAGACGAGACTGGAGGGGGACGAATGGGTAGACGTCATCTTCTCCTCGGAGGGAGTCCGCCAGGGGGACCCGCTGGGGCCGCTACTCTTCTCTATCGCCATGCGCGTCGTCCTCGAGGATCTCCAACGGGAGCTGGGGCCCAATTGCCTCATCCTGGCGTATCTCGACGACGTTTACATCCTCTCCACCGATTTCGACCCCCTCCCTAAAACGAAAACCTTCTTCCAGTCCCGCCCTCACCACCTTACCCTCAACGAGCTCAAGTGCCAGTCTTGGCTACTCGACGACGTACGGTCGAACGGGATCAAGGTGCTTGGCAGCTTTATCGGCCCCAGAGCAGGGAGAGAGACCTTCCTCAGGGCCAAGATCGCCGAGCTCTCCCTCAACCTTGACAAGCTCGATTCCCTCCACGCACAGCACGCCCTCCTCATCCTCCGGCTCTCGTATCAGCAGAAACTCCGCCACCTGCAGCGGTGCCTCGATACCTCGGACCTCGGACACGTCTGGGCAGAGCTAGACACCGCGCTCTGGAACAGCATCATCTCTCTCAGGTCGAGTGATGGGGATCACCGATTCCAAGACGAGATCATGTCTCTACCCATCAGGAGCGGTGGTATGGGAATTCTGTCCCACGAGGAGGTGGCGCCCATAGCCAGGGCGGCAGCGGATGAGATGGCGGACATAACCTTGAAGAGTCTGTTGGAGCCGGACGAGTGGGAGCAGGAGGGAGCGGCGGAGAAGGTCGTCGGTCAGAGCGAGAGATGTCTGGTGGTGCTGGACGCGAGGAGGGAGGTGCTGCTGGCGAAATTGACGGACAAGGAGAGGAAGGGAATGAGGGAGAACGGGTCGCCCTTGGGGAGATTATGGCTGTCTGCCATCCCCTGGACGAAAGCGCTACAACTTACAAATCAACAAATCAGCGTCGCCCTTCACTATCGGACCCTCCTCCCCCTCTCCAATCATTGCAACCGGTGCGGCAAAGATGGCCAGGGTCTCGGCCATCCGGAGACCTGCAACATTGACGGCAAGTACCCCCGTCACAACATGGTCGTCCGCGGTATCGGCCAAACCCTCTCGTCCGTCCGGGGCGTCAAGGTAGAACTCGAGCCTACTTCAACGGAAGAGTCCCTGAGAAGGAACGATCTCCGGGTCTGGGGTTCAGACGGCTCTGGTCTGGCCACCTCGGAACACGACATCAAAGTCTACTCCATCTTCAGCGAATCCGCCCTCTCCTCCTTCGGCAAAGATCCCCAACACCCAGTCTCATCCACCTCTACAACACCGATCTGGGACCAGATTGAGGCGCAGATGGACAGATACCTCAGGGCGGTGGCAGCGAAGACGAGGGAGAATGCTCCGAGCGGGATTGGGAAATTTTCGGCGGTCGTGATGACAAGCGGGGGGTTCATGGAGAAGGACACAAAGAAGCAGATGGATGCATGGGAGGAGGGGGTGAAAGACTGGGAGTGGGCGGCGTTATTACGGGGGCTATCGCTGGGGTTCGTGAGGGCGAGAGCTAGATCTGTAACTTGGGAATAGATAGTTATAGTATAGTTCCATAGACCTTAGTTGATTAGCTCGGATTTCCAACAGTAGGATAAATGCAAATTTTGACGACGCGTCTGCAGGCGAACCTGCAGACACAGACGCGTCTGTCCTTTTTCGCACCCCAATTCTGCCAGCCATGCCAATAGCTACCTCCCTCCCCTCCCGCAATGTCACTTTGCGCTACCCCGCCGAACTCCTAGAAGAAAACTACCAGCTCCTAGAGCTCCCCGCAGACATCCTTAAGCAGATTGAGGGAAAATCTGATGCCTTTCCGTGAGTCGCTGTCACACCTTTGCTGATGTAGCCTGACCATCAAGGGCCGTCCTTCTGACGATGCCGTCTTGTGCACACCTACATCCACATACCTCATCCGCACAGTCGGCATCTCCAACTCGCTCCTCGTCTGTCGAGAGCCCAAACTCCCAAACGTCAACGGGAATGACGAGCTGGAAATCCGCGATATCAGCCACGAAATTTTGGAGCTCGTCCCGCAGCCACCCAATCTGGAGCGGATACGCACCCTCCTCCGTCCGACCGCATGGAAGGGTATCGGCCATGGCTTGGAGCCCACGCTAGGAAAGCGCAAGCGGGGATGGAGCAGAGTCCAAATGGAGAGCGTCATCCAAGCTAGCGATGCCGAGTTGGCTGCTGGGATCAAGGAGAGGAACGTCGTAGAGATTGATAGTGAGTCAGTGCTGAGCGCCGCTCATCAGACCGCCTTGTCCTACTCCCCTCCTTAATCCTTGGCCTCCTTCTCCAAATCATGTTCAACCTCCTTGCCATCCACACCAAAGCAGGTGCAGCACGCGCGCCGTCCCGACCCATCATTCGCGCCCTCGAAGAAGACCACGAAGTCCCGCCCGAGATCAGCGCCGCAGTCATCCGTCTCTTCTCCACCAACACCGCTGGCGCGATCGAGGTAGACTCCTCTGGCGATCTCGACGTCGAGTGGATTGCCGATACCAAGAGAATGGTACAGGAGATCGGGCGGGGGCTGCTGGAAACTCTCAAGGGTGCAAAGCGGCTCGACCTGTTTGAGGGAGAATGGCGTGAGGCCGTGTCAGATTGGGAAGGCCTTGTCGATATCAACATGCTGCAAGTACGTCCCCGCTAGACTTGACTGACCCCAGGGCAACTACCTCCTCAACGCTCCACCCCCATCCTCCACGGCACACTCTTCTCCCCTCATCTCCTACTTTCCCGCCCATACCCTCCCCCTCGCCCCCGCCATTCGCTTTGCCGATCTCTTCCTCACTCGGACACCATGGAAACCAGAAGACATGGCGCCGTTTCTCAAAGGCCTGTATCGAGAGGGAGACACAAAGGAGCGGGACAAGCTGGTGTCCAAGTTTGTCCGGGTTGTCAAGGACAAGCAGGGGTCTTTGTGGTACCCACGTAGGAGCGGCTAGTAATACATATCATTGTGTCTGAACGAGCGGCTAGTAGGGTGTACATATTGTCTATGTCTGAACTTAGGTCAAGCCTCGTATACCGCTTCATGATCAGCTTTTGTCCGGCACAAGTGTCAAGTGGCTCACGTAGCGCTTCCTCCTCACCCCTCCTTCTATCCGCCTCCCATCTTGCCCTCTCCCCCTCGATCACCTTCCACACCCCATGACCCGCTCCTTCTCCAACGACCAGCTTTGCTTCCAAGCTCGCACCCCGCCCAGGACTCGGCAGATTTGTTTCTGTGACAAGTGGATCAGGCAGAAAAGAGAGCGTGATGTTGTTTGCCGAGAGTAATGGAAGATTGAACTTGCTCGAGACCAGTACCGGCTACAGTCAGCTGGGTTAGGTCTGCACTCACATAAGGTATGACAAGCGAAGCGATTGGGGCGGAACCGCTCCCTGATGCCAATGGCTGATCCCCGACAAAGATCACCTTGGTCGTCAGTACAATCAGTAGATAAGCGATCATGCCTACTCTCTGGTTCGTGGCCCATAGCCGACCCTTGGCATAGTCAGTCCGCTTCGGGCCCGCCATCGTGGCTGGTATTCGCAGCTCGAGATCGGCCGTGTTGCCCGAAGAGAGGACATTCTCGCCTGAGCGTCAGAAGGTTTGCCACACCCCAGGTGACGTCGCGATGCTTCTCACCTGGCTGTAGCTCAAGCTCAGAGCCCGACGCGAGGATGTTTAGTGACATGTTGTTGTGAAGGCAAGATGAAACGCAAAGGAGTCTCGGTCAATTCCGTCAAGTCAACTTACACTTGAAACGCTGTTGTTGATCGTTTGACTTCATATTCTCATCACTACTTATCTGCACTCACCAGATCAGCTATTGATCTACCCGCCTAGCGAGCCTGACATGTAACGCGTGCGACGTAAGCGCAGCAGCCCGCCCTCGTTCAGACTAGAGTTCACCTTCAATCTTGGTCGCACAGCCGCTGCGGGCTCGTGTTGAGCTTAGCGCGACGCGGAGAGATTGACCTTGCGGAGCGCTTAGAGGATCTTGTCTCAACCCGTACGTTCCGCCTCCAGGCAGTGAGCATTGGTCCTCAGCTAACGCACAGACCATCATGTCTTCCCTACCCGCCAGAGGTTCTCCACGGGTCTTGACGCCCCGCGCACATACCGCTACCCCAACTGCTGCTCGCCGTCGCCAAACTTCTCACCTCCGTCCATCTTCCACATCCACGTCAACAATGGTGAACCCGCTCTCCCCGCTGCCACCGCATCACTCCAACCAACCCACACCCGACGGCGAGGTCTTTCACCGGGACCACTCTCTGATCTCGTTCGAATGGCAGATCCAGGGACTAGACTGGCTCCGGCGCAGTCTGGAGGAGGTGCCCATCAGCGGATGGACGGTGGACTATGAGGTGGAGAATCCAGAGATCCTTCCTGAGCTGTTACGGCGGGGAGTGGTCATCGGGGACGGCTGGTATAAGCTAGATCTGGGTGAGCAATCAGACTTCTGAGCTGATGGCAGCACGAACCATACCCGCTCCGTGCAGCCCCAAGACGCCTCTGGAGGAGATCGCCGACTCGATCACTGTGCGAAGCGCAGAACCCTCCGCTCCCACCTCCCTCTCCCTCTACATCACCTCGCCCACTCTCGAGTCCGCTCCGCTCGACTACGCCTTCACCTCGTCCATTTCCATCGGAATCCGCCCGTCCTCGCCCGACGTCGGCCAGAGTCACTCCTACACGAGATGGGTATGGCATACCTCGCTGGAGCACGAATTCACCAAAGACTCGGAACACGCCACGGTCACCCTGCCTCCGCTGGAGGACCTCCTCGTGGGGCCAATCGGCGCGGACGACGGTTTCACGCTTTGCGTTCAGCTCGGCAGCCCGGCTCAGCTCAAGCCCGGCTTTACTGTCCCAGAGACGTTCGTTGGCCCAACCTCCATGCTGCATGCGCTCGGAAGTCTAGTCGACTCGTCTAGCGGAGATGTGCAGTTCATCTGCCTGGAGCACGATGCGACCTTATCTCGGAAGCGCGTCCTCTACGCCCACTCGGAGATCCTCCGAGCCCGCAGCGACTATTTCAAGTCACTCCTGGCGGGCGGTTTCCGCGAAGTCGAAGGGGGAAAGGTGGTGGTCGTGGATGATGCGGATTACGGGACAGTGTACTGGATGTTACAGTGAGTTAGAGTCCAACGAAGCTGACTCAGCTTTCTCTATTGTAACGAGCTCCGCTTTTCGCCTACAGACGACGTGCGGGAGGTGATGAACCGGCTTCAAATGGACCGCCGAGAGGTACAGCGCGTGCTGTCGGGTCGTCACCAGGGCTGGGGGTATCGCCAAATCCCACTCGAAGGCGAAGCAGACGAGGCCTCCACCTCCCTATCTCTCTCCGTCTCCGAGCTCGACATACGCAGCGAGCACGCCAGCGTCAGCAGTTCAGCGGCTGTATCGCCTCCTCCAGACAAGCGTACGCCGTCGGCCATGGTATCGACCGTAACGTCTCGCCGCCTCGCCACTACTCGCCCCACCCCGACCAAGGCGGAGGTCCCCAAGCGACCCGTCAAAACTCCTACGTCTCCTCCTGTCTCTCGCGGACATCTCCCCATGCGCCTTCCCGAGCCTGCTCCGGACCCGCACACCCACCCCTCACCTCCTCCCTCGCCTGCATCGCCTCTCGCCATCTACATGCTCGCGCATCGCTACCGGCTGGACGTACTGGAGAATCTGGCCAAGGAGAGAATCCTCAAGGGGCTGACAATCGAGAACTGCATGCCCATGCTGTGAGTGCACGCTCGTCCACGCTAATCTCAGCTTCTCCACCCACGCGTACGACGCACTCCATACCGACATCCTCGACTATGTCGTCGACTACTTTGGGTCCGTCCAGCTCTCGCCCGAGTTTCACGTCTGCATCAAAGAGGTCTCGTCGGGTGTATGGGGCGAGACCGGCGGGGACGTCCTGGTATCGCTCTTCAGGCGATTGTGAACCGAGTTGTATCATTCGCTATCTGTTGTGATCATTATGAATGCCTGCGATGTCCAGTCCGCCACCTGTCTCCAAGGCCAAGGTTTAGAGTTCCGGATGTTCCAGCGCCGTTCCGGAACCTCTCGGCACCGGCGAACGGATAACGGCATCTTCTGTGACCCTTCTCTTGATCTTCTCTTTGTCAAGCTAGCTTGTACGCGTTAGCGCTCATGCACCCATGATCAAGCACACGTTAGCGGCGATCCTCCACCCTGGATCTCCATCTCTCTCCGACTGTACAGGAGCTCCACTGTCACCATCGCCATCCCGCCTGGACACCCCATCTCTGGCATAGGATATAGAATCTAGAGCAGGCAGCTATTAGGTATGTTCCCCGGCGGACTTCTGGCACCAGCTGATAGACAGAAATCCATAATGTCCACATCCATGGTAGCCGGACCTTCAAGGCCCCGTCAGCGGACCTCGTCCCTCAAGCACGAGATCCAACCCCCCACTCGCCGGCTCAGCGCACACCAGGTTCTCCTCCTCACCCCCTTCGGAGGCGTCCCTACGGCCGTCTTTGACAGCGCGCCAGGCATGGCACGGGAACGAACATCTCTTGGCAGCCGGAACCGCGCTTCTCCTCAGGACGTGCCCATCGCTTCAAGCTCCATGGGCCGCGAACCCAGTCTTGTCCCTCGCGCACGTTCCCTCGCTGCCCCATCTCCCCTCTCCCAACCCCTCACGACCATCTCCACTTCGGACGAGGACCCCTCCTCTGCCGCACCATCCCGCGAAGCCAGTTCCCACGCCGAAGAGCCCACCATAGCGGCAGTAGTCGGGACAGTCGCCATGACGCGCTCAACCTCCCTTCCCGTCTTGACCCTCGGCGAGCTGGAAGCGATGAAGGACAAGGATACGGAGCTGGGGATTGCGCGCGGCGGCGAATGGGCGTGGGTCTGCAGAGACGAAGAGGACGACTCGGTCGAGGATGACATCACCACGCCTGGCGTCCCAGAAACCCCTACTCCTACCGCCTTCACGTTCAGCGACCCCTTTGCCAGCCATCGTGACGGGACATTTCGGCGGACCGCCGAGACCGCGGGATTCGGCTCGTACCGTCCCATCGCAACGGCCAGTGTTGAGGGGTACGAGTACGCCCCGTCCCCTGCTCGTCGGGCCTCGGAAATACCCACAACCCGCCAGAGCTTCTCCTCCAATACGTCCTCTCCCGGCTCATCTCGGACTCCCAGGCGCCCCAGCGTATCGGTCCGACCCGGCCTGGAAAGCCCGCGCGGGACGCACATATCCCCCCATCCCCAGCGTCCCCCTATCACGCGCTACAAGACCGAGCCTGCCCGCACGGCCGGTCTCGGTCTGGCGATCGTCGTCAAGTCTGAAACACCCCGGGTTGGTGTCCAAGTCAAGGACGACGCGGGAGGCAGTCTCGGTCGGAAAGGTGTCAGTTTGTCCACGGTGGAAAGGAGGGAGAGGCGGCACGCGCAGATGCGGGATGAGAGGGAAGGGGAGTTTGGTCGGCGGGGGTCTTGGGCGCCGGTGGACGTCGTGGATGGGCTGGAGGTGGCGCACAGTCCCAGTCGCAATCCCCGCGGATCCATCATCTCCCTCCTCACTGAAGGCCGCTTCCACTCGGTCTCCGAGTTTGGCGCAAGTCCACCTCGCACCAGGACCGACTCGCTCGACTCGGTGTTTGCTTCAGTCAAGCTGGGCCGAGCGGCGTCGTCGTTTGACGATACCAAGTTTGACACGTTTCCACGGCGCGGGAGCAGTGGTCTGGCGATGATCAGTCGGTTGAGGGTGCATCGGGATGAAGAGGATCCGGGAAGAAGAGGGAGCGGGGATGGCACGAGTGAGACGAGCTGGTATGAGCGAAGAGGGAGTTGGCAAAAGGAGGTCGCGTAGGTAGAGGTATCTGGGCGGTGCGGCTTTGGGGGGCTAGATCAGATCGTATCAGTTGTAATCGTTAGTGGCATCAGCAAAATCTATCTAGAATTCTGTACAACATGATCAACTGCATGATGGACCGAAGAATATACAATGTACAACAGATAAGGCATAGTCGGGGGGAACAATCTAGAAAGCTCTCCCACCGCCCAAAAGGATGAAAAGGTTGCGCGAATGAAAGTACAATAGGAATTTGTGGTGTACAGAATTGGCGATGGACCTCGACCTAAGCAACGACGGGGCTTGTCGCCCCGCTGCCCTCACCCCGCCTACCCAGCATCCCCAGGCCCTTGCCCGCCTTCTTCCTCGCCATCGCCTGGAAGTTGCGGTCGCCGAGCTCATTGGTCGGCGCGGGAGGACCGTACGGCTGGCGGATGGGCTTGAGCGCCAGCGAGACGGCGCGGGGGGCTGCATTATCGGTAGTGGCGGCGGGGAGGGGGAATGGGCTGGACTTGGCGCGGTTCTGGGTGGACGAGGCGGCGGGACGACCGAGACCGAGTGTGGACAGTCCCTGACGCGCGGCGAGGCGATCCTCGCTTTGTGTGGGGTTGGCCGCCGCCGCGGATGGGACCACCGAGGTCTTGGCCGTAGTAGGAAGGGTGTCGGTGGTGGCCTCGGCGGAACGACGGGCAAGGAGCGACGTGAGCTCGCCGAAAGGGTTGGTCGCAGTCTGACGTGCTTGCGCAAAACGACCGACCGGGACTTTTGGGGTGTCGAGGGTGGGAGAGGTCTTTTCGACCGACGAGACGACGGGAAGGCGGGTATTGGGCGTCTTCTCGGCCAGGGGCTTGGAAGGAGCGCGGGGATTCGGCTGCGCCTCAAACTTGGCTTTGAGATCCTCCGCCTCCTGCGCCTCCTCCTTGGCCTTCGCCTTCGCGTGCGCCCTAGCCTGCACCTGCGCCTGAAGCTGAGCCTGAGCCGCCATCGCCTGAGCCCGCAGATCCGCCTGTTGCTGAAGCGGCCCCCGGGACGCCTGGAGCTGCGACAAGAGCTGTGCCTGGATCCGAGGATCCACTTGCTGCTGCTGCCGCATCTGAGCTTGAAGCTGCAGCTGCTGCATCTGCTGGAATTGCTGCTGCCGAGCGGCGGCCTCGCGGGACCCGGGCTGACCGCGATTGACGGTCGGTTGCGGCTGCGACGCAAGGAGTTGCTGAAGGAGGTATTGCTGCTGGAGCGCCAGAGCCTGCTGCTGGAGTTGAAGCTGGTGCATGTGGGCCGCGGTGACGTTTTGGTTTTGGCCATACTATCCATCAGCTTCATTCCGGTTGTGAATGGGCAACTTACAAGTTCCATCTCCCTCATCCTGGCGGCAATGTATTCTGAGTCATCCCCGTCCTCCTCTTCGCTGAACACTGGACCGAGAGTCTGCTGGCGGACTCTCGCAGCGGCCGAACGAAGAGGAGGGGGCGGGGCGACGTAGGATTGGGGGTAGCTGTCCCGAGCATGGGCGTTCTGGACGGCGTAGGAAGCCATCGCGGATGGGTGGTTGGGGTGGGAGGTAGAGAGGGTCGTCAATCGGGGAAATTATAGTGACGGCTGAGCGGACTTTGAAGTTGGATCGAGGGGAAGGACAGTCAGGCTGGCGAGGCAGCGGCGGGAAAGGTGATGATGTAGAGGGCGATAGTGGAAAGTGGAAGCGATCGTGGCTGTACAAAGAGACTATACAAATAGGCCAGCCTCGAGCTCTGAGCGGAGAAGGAATAGGTAAGGGGCGGGCGGGAAGGAGGGTAGAAGATGGAAGGATGAAGGAAGGAAAGGATGCGAGACACGCTGTCACCATTGGTTTCAGGTTATGCTTGCTTGACCCAAATACAATCGTGGGAAAGCTGAGGCGAGGTGGAGGTGGAGGTGGCGACAACAGGTCCACATTCAACTTCAACTTCACTCAACCTATCAATACCCATGTCATCTATATAGCCCGCCATGTCCAAGGTGGTACACACCAGGACCAAGACCGCTTCGAGCTGTGAGCTACTCGTGGGGACAGAACTGATGTCAAGCCAAACCTCAAGCACCAAAGGCTGCTTCAAAGCCAAAGCCGCTAGTCTCGGTCAAGGCAGAGCCTCGTAAGTGTGTCTCGACACCATCTCGTGGTCATCACTGACTCTCAGTCTCTGAGGACGAATTCGAGGTCGAAAGCAAAGGCGAAGCTAAAGCCTACGCTGAACGCCAAGCGGTCGAGCACAAGCGGGCCGAGGTCAAGGCTCAGAATGAGCAGCGAAAGCAGCAAGGTCTTGCTTTGTTACCAGTGCCGAGGAAGGTGAAGGACCCGAAGAAGAAGGTACAGGGATACGAGAGTGAGGAGGAAGGAGAGGAGGAGGACGTCAAGGTTGGCGGAAAGCGGAAGCGAGACTTTCCAGACGAGGAGAGGGAGCTGGAGTATGAAGGACGTGAGTGATGATTGTGCCTAGATACTGACATGTAGAAATCAAACTCCCTTTCAACCCTCTCTTTTCGCTCGCTGGTCTTCCAGATCCGGACGACAAGTACCGCCGCGATCTTCGCGAGAAACAGGCTCTGATCGACGCCTACTTTCAGTCCTCCAACAGCGAGGTCGCCAAGGATGTCAAGCCGACTGGGGCCGCGGCTGAGACCGCTGAGACCGTCACCGCTACAGCGCCCGCTCCCGTTCCAGACGTGAAGGTCGAACCCAAGGCAGAAGAGTCCGAGGAGGAAGCAGAAGGAGAGTACGACGATGATGACGACGTCATCGTACCTTGGGGAGCCGCAATCCAGGCAGAGGCCGTGCAGGTGAAGGACGAAGCGGCAGAGGGTGAGGAGGAGGAGGCGGAAGGGGTCTATTCGGATGACGAATATGTTCAGGGTGAGTCTCGCTTCCACGGGCTTGTCCAAGCTGACTACCAGATACATCCTACGACACCACTCTGGCAGCTCATAGTCAGCCCTCGACGCAGAGCCAAAGCCAGTCTCAAACCCAGTCATTCAACCCCTCCGCTATCGACGTCATCTCCCAAAAGCCTAGTTTCCCCTATACCGACGTCCAGGCCCAGATCGGCCCGCTTCTGCTCGACGCAGCCGTTGGCGGGGTTTCCGTACCCGCCCCCATCAACATGTTCTTGAAGGAGTATCAGCGGGCCGGAGTCCGGTTCCTGTACGGCAAGTACAAGGAGGAGAGGGGCGGGATCTTGGGAGACGATATGGGTCTTGGCAAGACCATTCAGGTCATTGCCTTTGTGAGTGTTCTTGATTTATCGTGCTGATCCTGTAGTTGACAGCGATTATGAGGAAGAGCAATACGAAGGAGGATTACTGGCGGCGCAAGCAGTTGATCAGGGGCTCAGGTAGTGGCAGTATACCGCCAAAGCACTGGCCGACCGCCCTTATCGTTTGCCCGAGTTCGCTCATCCGGAATGTGGGTGCAGCCGTCTTGGTACATGACTACGCTGATGTGTAGTGGGACAGAGAGATGGACTCGGTCAGTTGGCCATTTTGTAGTCTGAATTCGCTTATGCTTCAGTGGGGATACTTCGAAAAGGCTATCCTGAAAACGGAGAATTGCGACGAAGTGAAGCGATCCTTCAATAAGGGATTTCTGGATGTAGGTGGGTGCGACTATCTACCCCTGCTGACGTCAGTCTTGACCTCGTTCAATCAGCTACAAGCCAATATCGAGCACATCAAAGACCTTCCCTTCTCGTAAGTCTATGCCTCGGCCAAGCTGATCCCCAGCGTTGTGATCGCGGATGAAGCGCATCGCCTCAAAGAGCCTCGAGCCGCCCGTACCTTGGCCATCAAGAAGATGCAGTGTACGTCTTGTTTCGGGCTCACCGGTACCCTAATCCAAAACCGAATGGAGGAAATGTGGAGCGTTCTGGACTTTGTAGGTGTTCAGTTATGCTTGAGCTGATCTACGGGTCCAACGCGGTTGGGCAGGGACTATTAAGCAATGGCGCGAATTTGCCATTCTTCCGATCAAACGAGGCCATCGGCTGGATGGTACTGCGGAGGAAGTCACCTTGGGAATAGTGCGTAGTCTGCCGACCAGAGCTGATAGCAGATGCGTCTCGGTCAGATTCACCATACTCTACTACGCCACTTCTACCTGCGTCGGGACAAGCGCTTGATCGCAGACGAGCTGCCAGAGAAGAAAGATATTGTCGTCTTTTGTCCTCTCGCCGAAAGGCAAATTCTCGCCTACCAGCGGTTGATCCAGTCAGACGGTCCGTTAACATCCCTCTAGCTCTAGCTCTCGCTCATCACATAGATATCCAATTCATCCTTCGTCGCAAGGAGCCGTGTGACTGTGGCTCGGAGGAACGGTATGGCCTATTTCTCTTACCTTTGCCCAGTATTGTAGCTGATTTCTCCAGCCGGCTTGATTGTCACTACACCAGGACAGCAGACGGCGAGACCGTGCCACAGGTCGTTCTGAAGAAGTTAGTCTTCCAGCTGCCCAGAAGTTAGCAAGCGCTGACGCAACAGCATCACCGCTCTGCAGAAGGTTGCGAATGTGAGTCTGTCATTTCAGATCAAGGCCACGGCTGATCATGCAGCACTTTGGCTTGCTGTACCACAGTATATTGTTCATTGCGAGGATCGATCGATGCTAACGTTCAGGCAAACATGATCCGCCAGATATGGTATGTCCAGACCATCGACCATATGAAGTTTGCTTACACTTTCAGCGCAAAGTCAACGAGCGCATCTTTGAGATTTGCGTAAGTCATCGAATGGTATACCGTAGCGCCGCTGATTCGCGCAGACCGGCGTCTCTTATGACAATAAGCAGGATAATCCTGCCGCCGCCGCCCTGTGAGTTGCTCCCTGCCAATAAAGAGTCACGCTGACCGGCAGCGATGTCAAGAACTGCGGGAAGTGGACCGTCAGTCCTTTCTTCTTCTCAAGCTGGTGCATGCTGAAGATCTAGCTGCTCGCCGAGCTCATGCAGCAATGGCGAGGCGAGTCCGAGAAGCGTAATAAAGGTCGGTCTTTCATGTGCAACACAGGATTTCGCTGACCATTTAGTATTGATCTTCTCAAACTCGGTCCGACTTCTCAAGATGATCTACGAGTTCATCAACCTCAACTGTAGGTCTTACAGCTCCAGTCGAAATCCAGCTGACGTAGCAGTCTCTGGATTCGAAAGCCAGATGTTCACTGGCGAAGCGAACGAGACCGACCGGATGGCCATGGTGGACAACTTCCAAGACCCGGAGCAGGACCACTTTGTTATGCTTATCAGCACCCAAGCGGGCGGAGTGGGTCTCAACCTGACTGCGGCGAATAAGGTCGTCATCTTCGATCCAGACTGGAGTAAGTGTTCTTCTCCTTCCCAGTGACACAACTGACATTCAGATCCCGCCAACGATCTCCAAGCAATGGACCGAGCTTTCCGCATCGGCCAACAGCGGACGGTCGAGGTGTACCGCCTGATCGGGCTTGGGACTCTGGAAGAGCTCAAATACGAGCGGCAGAGTGAGTTCGCCGGTCCGCTACTTCTGAGTGATGAGCTGATATCTATCAGTCCACAAGCAGCAGCGAGCCCGTCAGCTCAACCAAGGCACCTTTGAGCGCCGCATCCACCAGGGAATGGACGGTGGCAAAACCGAAGAGGACCAAGGAGAGCTGTTTGGGACCCATAACATCTTCAAGTTCAACCCGAAGGGGTTTGTCAAGAGCAACGTGAGCTACTTCAACCATCGAGTGGTCCTCAGCTGACAAGTCAGCTCGAGCGGGTTCAGCTGGCGGAAGATCGGTTCGCGCAAGATCTGATCAACGCGGAATACGATGAGGAGGATGAGCTCGGAGCTGGTATCGACGGAGACGATGTGAGTCTCACACATCCCCTACTTGCTGTCAGTGCTGATTAGGCAGGACGACGATGCGCGCAAAATGCGCGACACTCGTCGTAATCAAGACATGCAGCGCCAAGCTCGTTCTGCGACAGATCGCGCTAAACGCGAGGACAACCGCAAGGTCAGCGATGTGCTCAGCGATGATGAAGATCACAGTCAGTCGTCTCTGATGGGGTCTGCGGCCGAGCTGAAGACTCAGAGCCTGGTCAGGACCAAGATATATTCGCCAAGATGGGAACATTGGGTGAGCACTTGTCGTCTAGCGCCATGGTGATAGCTGACAGCATAGCCCAAGTCCATGATACTGCCTTCAAAGATTCGCCTGCCGAGCGGCAGATATACGAGATTGGTGTCCAGGTAAGCTACGTTAAGATCGTGCATGGACAGAAGCTCACTCCTGCAGCTCCTCAAGGACAATCCCGCCCTCGCCAAAACTATGAAGGCCAACGATCTCGGCAAGCTCGGCCTCAAGAAGCGAGCTTCGGGATCCGCACGCACATCCCTCGGGAGCAACGCCGGCACCGGAGCTGGCCCGTCCAAGGCCAGGCGGATACAGCCGGAGCAGGAGGACGACCCGTGGAAGGCGAGATTTACGAATGGGAAGCCGAAGAAGGGGGGAAAGTTGATTGCATTGAGCGATAGTGACTAGTGTGGGTTGTACATATCTTGGGTTTGGGACATACTATGCATGGCTGTACTAAAAGTCCTGTCGACATAAGGCTCAAGGGGACCAGGGGTCAAGGATGTTGATCGATCTCGTCATTGATTCTGTGACTCATTCCTCACGCGACGGTCGTTGTTCCCGGCGGATACTATTTTTGCCCTTCTGCATATAGCCGTAGAAAGGTCATTCGACGCCGTCGACTTGTAGGCTCGATGACATCCTCCCCTCAGCGCTCAGTATTGTTCTCCCGTCCCGCCCAAGTCGACTGGCTCCTCGCACTGGCAAAGAGCAGCTGTGAGGAAAGGCGTCGGTTCGTAGCCGATTTGGACGTGCCAAGAGAGGCAAAAGGCTCCTGGAGTCTAACCTGCCTGGCAGGCATGGCAGAGGCTGATTGATGCGGTAGAGGGGCGCGACCTTTGAGGAGTGGAAGATGTGATGGTGGGGGTTTCGCCAAAGCCCACGACGGCGGGACAGCGATGAGGGCAATTCGAATTTCGGACGGGTAGGTGAACGGAGCGGGCGTGTAGAGGTGTGGATACTCTTTGGCATAGTGATCTGAAGGGCCGACTTGCAAGGATGTACGATGAGGTGGATGGAGGACGGAGAATGTGGGTGGGTGGCGAGGGTCAAAGCTGTGGTCAACCCCAAAATTCAAACTTCGCATTCCTCTTTTACCATCATATCCACCATGTCATTCCAGGATCGCGCTTCCCGCTATGGGGCTGATGTGCCCACTCTCGAGAGATGTGAGTAGTAAGACGAGCAGCGCTGATATGAGTGTTTCCAGGTCCCTGGCCGGCCGAGCAAAACCGGCTCTTTCGCCTTGTCAAAAACCCCGAGGCGATCAAGCAAGCCGCCCTCGACGGAATCGCTGTTGACCGTCCCAACGAGACTTTTCGTCACTACTTTTCCCCTGACCTCGGGGAGACTCGAGCCGAGATCGCTGGCTTTGGAATCAGCATCTCCACCTACTGGCGGGGACAGCAGCACCTCGCTTGCCCGGTGACGCTGGTCAGAGCAAGGACCGGCACGCGCGCGATGATTCCAAGTGAGTTGAGTGATGGCGTCGCTGATATAGTCGCTGCGCTCTTGTCGGACGATGATCCAAAGCATCTCGAGCCTTTTCTCCGAGCCGTCTCTCGTCGCCTCCCCCTCCCCGTCACCAGAGTCACCATCTCCCCCTGTTCCAACCTCCTCAACGTCGTCAAAAAGCTCTTTCCCCGCGCCCACATCTCGGTCCCTTACGAGGTCGTGATACGCGAAGCGGCTCTTCACTGCGACGCGTCCGTCAAGGAGCTCGAGAGTCGCGTCATTTACGTTGCCGCTGGAAGGGAGGACGAGGCGCTGGGGATTGGCGGGTTGATGGAGTGGAAAGAGTTGTGGACTAAGGGGATCACGACTATGTGGGGAGTGGGGGACTATGCGAGGGCGGACAAGACGTTCGCCGAGCTTCTGGAGGGCAGCAGGTGAGTCTTGAGCGAGACCAGAGCTGATGATAGACCAGCCGAGCTGTGCGTCCTTCTCGATCAATGGGTTCGAAACGTCTCTCCTGTCGACTGGCAAAACGCTCTCAAGCAGTGGCGAGACGGGGAAGAGGTGTTTGGTGATCATCGGCGGTATTTGGCGATCGAGGTCAGAGGGGAAGAGATGGGCCTGGAGGAGGACACCACCTCGCGGGCGATGCTCAGGGTGACCGCAGCCTCCCAATGAGCGGTTCAAGGCTTACAGTATGCAGCGTCGTTGTTCGGTTCGGCACCGGCTTGCCCTGCACTTACCTATTGCGCGTACTATTTAGCTTTGTTCTCGCTTCGGTCCTGACGGTATCGACAAGAGCTTGAATGACTCCTGATTGGCCGCCTTTGTCCCCGTCCCTCGTACCCCCTCGTACCCCCTCCCCTGATACGCCCAGGAGCCAGGGATGCGTAAGTACGGAATCTGCCTGCGAGAATCACGTGATTGCAGCATGCGGAAGAGACCCGATCTCTCCGGTGCCCCCTGCACTGCTGCATGGTCCCATACCAGCGTAAATGGACATATAGCCCACACTCACGACGCCTGATCAGAGCTCGTTCGAGTGACTAGCGGAGTATGTTTGCAGGGCCGGCCACGCCCATGAGGTCAGAGTAAGTGACGTTCAGATATGGCCGAGGCAGAGCGAGGGTACGGTCCCAGCAAAATCTTCACAATATCCAGAACGCAGCCCTCGTCTGCCAGATCTCTGTGACTCATTCCTCACGGGGCGGCCGTTCTGCACCGACGACAGCCAACATCGCCTTTGAGTTCGTTTAACGTGGTCGACCTGGCAATCTCCACCGTTAACGGCTCCGTCTCCTCCCCGAGTCTCGCCCAGGTGGGTCACGAGCCAGCTCGCGTACCGTCAAAGACCAGCTCACCTGCGGCAGCTGCAGCTGCAGCTTCGTGGCGAGAACCGGCAAGGGCGATCTTAACGTAAGATGGCCAAAATTGCTCGTTCCGGCAAATTTCGGCGCACCGGCTGCATCATCGTGGAGGCCACAGGTTCCCCGGTGCCTTGCTGTCATGTTCGCTTCGGCGAAGACTATGTACCATAGACTACCATTACGAGCCATTACCCGGCGACAGCTGACGAGTCGACGACAGGGCTGTCAGGCATCGCACGGCTTCGCCCCTGAAAGTATAGCCAAAGGCCTGCAAGGGCCCGAATAGCCGCCCCAATATTGGCTGAATGACTCTGAATGGCCGTCCCTGAAACCGTTTCTTGCCCAGGCCTAGGGACGACCGAACATCCGCGGAGATTACGTTCATCGCGGCATGTGGAGGAGACCCGCTCCTTCTGCTGCTCCTTCGCTGCACGCTGCTCTCGTACCTGACTCCGCTACATGCCCTGGTACCGTGGGTGTGAATGGAGGTCGTGGGCTCGAGGCCACACTGACGACGCCTGATTCGAGCTTATTCGCATGACCAGCGGAGTACGCGTGCAGGGTCGGCTCCGCGAAGAAGGACGAAGCGAAACTTATCCAGACATGTTATCCGCACAGCGAGGGGGAAGGCGAGAGCGAAGTCTTCTAATCACTTTGATGCGCAGCTCCTGCCTGCATCTGACTGTCCACACCTCCGTCAGACAGAATGACCCCCACCCTCACCTCCAGGCTGTCCCGCTTCCCGCCGGCCCTCACCATTGCCATCATCGCCACCGCCCTATTCGCCACCTACTACCTAGCCCCGTCAACCCCCTATCATTTCTCCACCTCCAGCTGGTCAGTAACGCCTCCCACACTGCCTTCCGCCTGGTTATCGGACGACGGCCATCTGGACTTCCGTCTTGGCGGAGCCTTTCGCAGCAGGTACACCCTGCTCCAGGAGTACTCGGGCGGATACTCCTGCGACGAGGAGGAGATTCTGGCGGATGGACAGAGGGTGTGCCATAACACGGTCAGCGTTCTGAGGAGTCTATGGTCCAATGTAAGAGCGCAGCAGCGGTACCTGGCGGACGAAAAGGTTCGGGAAGATGCAAGGATCGCGGGGAAAGAGGAAGGAGTTGTGGCTCCATTAGATCACCTAGATGCGACGGTACGTCCGGTCTGCCGCGCGCGCGCACAACTGACAATCCAGAACCGGCTTCAGGCCGAAGAGTTCAGCGAGACGTTCCAGAACATCTCGTCCATAGTGGGGAAAAGAATACTCGTCATTGGCGACAGCCTAGACCGGAACTGGATCACCGAGCTCGTCGGCATCACCGCTCCCTCCTCACATCACCGCAACCACGACCTCTCCTCCTACGTCCCGGCGGATGCAGCGCCGTTAGCACCACGCTCGTCACCCTCCAACAGTACGGATCTCGGGACCGTGCAGGCCCTCGACAAAAGGCGGACCGGCTTCTTCGAGTGCAGCACCGCGGTCGTCCCTATCGCATCTTCCCCTTCCCTGTCCTCGGATCGCGTTGCCATCGGCGACACCTTTATCCCTCCCTTTAATCGTGACCTCCCTGGCGCGGATCAGCAATTCCGCATCGACTTTGTCTTTGCCTTTGGGGTCCTCAACGAAGGCGCCAAGCCCAGTATGCCGGGTAATACCAGCCACCGGGTTGAGGCGCTTCGGCAGGTTGTTGGAGGCGGTAAGAGAAACCACGACAGTAGACCGTATGACGCCATCACTGTCAACTTTGGGCTATGGGACCTCGTCGGGTTCCAACGTCGCGCCTACCTCGCCACCGCCGCGGACAAGGAGCCGGGCCTCACTTTCGAGTGGATCGCAGAGTACACCCAAACCTGCCAACGGTTCATCCAATCCCTTCGCGACACATACGGTTCTCACACCCCCATCTACTTTCGCCTCGCACATGTCACAGGTCCAGGCCTGATTGGGCGTGACCTGCTCGGTCTTCCTCCCAAACTCCACGCTCTGGCCGAAGCCGAGATGGTGCCAACATTCAAGCCGCTGCGAGTCGCTCAGCTAAGGCGTGCGCAGATCGACCTGGCGAAGAGTATGGGCGTGACTACGATCAACTTTGCGAGGCGGTTTGAAGGGTATGGCACAGAGATGGCTAGGGATGGGACACATCCCAAGCCCGAGGCGGACCAGGTGTATGCGGAGTTGTTGCTGCGGCAATTGATGACTCACTGAGCAATGGTGAGTAGATGGAGTATTGGTGATTGTTTGAGCGAGCTGATGAGAAACAGGAAGAGGTGTCGCGATGCATGACAGAGTAAGTGCAGGTGGACAAGTCGTAAGTTATATGTGAGCCGCTGATCAGAAGGTATTGTGCTGAAGATGCAGTAGGATCCGACTTAGGAGCGGCGAGCAAAATCACACGCCGGAACGGGCCCGGCTGAAGCGTGCTCCAAACGAGGACAGGCGGTGTACGCAAGGTGATCCAGTCAGGAGCGGATGGGGTCGGCGATTCCTACGACGGCGTCTTGGCGGAGAGGAGCACGGCAGTACTCGCTGGCCGAGGCCGCCGTTCGCGGGAAAGAGGGATGCTTGCATTATACTATTCTATCATGGACACATCTACGACTCTAAACCAAAATGTCCACCTACAGGCTCCTGACCTTGAACACCCTCGCACCAATCTCCTCCTCGCCATCCACGTGCCGCCTGACATACTCGCTCCGCATCACCCCAACCGGGTCCACCCTATCCAACACCTCCCTGAACTTGTTGAAGTCGGGGTACAGCGCCTCGATCTCTTTTGGCCGAAGCTCGTGCTCTTTGGCCCAGTGCGGTCTGCCGCCGTACTTGATGAGAACGTCGGCAAATTTGGTGTGGAGTTTTCGATAGGGAACGGCAAGGCCGTACGGGCTGGATATCAGCTGAGGTCTGATAGGACATTGTGGGCTTACCGGAAAGTGACGAGACCAATCCAGCACGTCTCCCTGCCCTGACTGGGACTGAGCCAAATGTCATCCTTGCACGACCATCTGATCTCAATGGGAAAGTGTGCGCGGAGACCCTTGGGGTCGGCCGCTTCTCGGTCGAGCCATTCGCGCATTTCTGCCAGACAGGCTTCGGTGTTTTCCGAGGGGATCGCCCATTCGAGCGCATACTGAGGAAACTGCAAGTTAGCAGGATCAAGGTAGAAACTTACCAAGCAATCAAAATTCAGCACCTTGTGCCCGTCATTTACGACCTCGCTGTTGACATTGGCCAACCACCATGCCCATCGACCGACCAGCGAGGTGAGGGAGGGGAATATCCGGGAGCAGAAGAGGAAGAATTGGGTGAGATGGTAGCCGAGGAGGACGGCCATGAAGGACGCGACAGGTTGGGCGGGCTATCATCAGCGAAGTCCGATAGATCGATACAAAACTCACCTCGTATGTCCTGTTTGCTCTCGCCACGACCATCCCCTTGCCATCGGGATACCACCACACCCTGACGTGTTCGGCACTCCCCTTGATCTCGTCCAGATGACCCAGCACCTGGTCCACCGGCAAAGCCGTCTTGATCTCCCTCAGCCTGAACGCTGGCTCAACCTCCACTTCTACTTTCAGTATTAAACCCGTCGCACCCAACCCGCACAAGCTCGCCGTGAAGAGATCGGGGTCTTCTGTCCTGGAGACCCGAACGATGGGTGCACCGGCGTGAGGAAGGGCGAGGACTAGCGACTGGACGTGGGCGGAGAGGACGGGAAAGGTGAGGCCGGACCCATGCGATGCAGTCGAGATGAGGCCGCCGATGGTCTGATCCGAGATCGAGCCGATGTTGGGGAGTGCCATCGGGGGTTGCTGCGCCTCGAGTAGCTTGTGCACATCATGCAGGACGGTCCCCGAATAGAAGGTGGCGGTGGACTTTTCCACATCGATCTAATTTATAAGCTCGATCCAAGCGGAGCACTTACGGTCTTCAGCCCCGTCACACCTTCCATGCGGACTAGCCACCCGTTCGTACACGCCAGATCACTCGGCGAGTGTCCCACGCCTACAGGATGTATCCTAGCCCCTTCCCTCCGCCCCATCTCCAGGATCTGGCGGCATTGCAGCGTGGTGGTCGGGGCAAAGACCCGAGCTGGACGACATCGGAATGTTTTGGCCCAATTTTGAAAGGTCGCCTTGGGGGAGGCGGTGGGAATAGAGATGGGCTCGAGAGCCTTTTGAAGGTCTGCGCTGCTAACTTGCGACAGATCCATGATTGATTATGGTGGTATGAGAGGAAGAGAGATTTGTTGACGCGGCGCACGTGTAGATAAGGGGGAAGCAACCTTGATCAGCGATTTTTTAGATCGATCGGGATGACGAATCTCCTCGGCGATGCTGTAAGACGCCATTCAGATCGCCGAGGGCGTGCAGGCTTGCACCAGTTAGCCTCTGTTAGCCCTGGGTAGATATGATGTGAAGAGCGACCAAGTACTCCTGCCTGCATAGACGACTCGCTACCACCGAAGCGTACTTTATTCCTCTACCCACACCCACTTGCCCTTCCGACCCTTGGTCCAGACATCGCAACCCGGTGCGACCTCCCTGTCCATATCCTCCTTCTTCAAATAGCCAGCCCTTGCATCCCGCTTCGCAAACGTCGATACGCCCATCTCCCTACAGCTAGTCAGCCTGACCCTGCACACTCATCCGAGAAGCTCACTCATCGCGCTGCTTGACCTTGTCCCAGTCCACCTGATCGTCACCAGTATAGGACATCATGCTGGCAGGCGGACCAAGCGGAAGGTCGGGATGGATATCGAATTGCCTTTAAAGTCAGCTTGAGAGTTTGCGAGACTCACCAAGTATGGATAGTCTTGCCATACGACCTATGCAGCTCCATCATGGCAGGTCGCTCCGCTACATCCGAGACCAGGCTGGCGGCGGATCAGCGGGTGCACTTGAGGCGTGTCGGGTCACATACTTGGGTACAAGGGATTTGGTGCCGAGCATGAGCTGTCCAGACTCTACTTCATATTTGTGCGAGTGCCAGAACTGCCGATGTCAGCTGCGGGCATCGTCAGGTAGAGCAGTAGACCCACCTTCTTCTCATCCTCCGGTAGCTCGAGGAACTTTGCTTCGGGTATCACATACTCCACCCCTGTACATCAGGGTCTGAGCACGCCTACCGATCGACGCACCTATCAGCCTGGCACCTGGCTGATCCGAGTCATACACTACGCATTGATGCAGATCACTTCGCAGGTGAGTGCAGAAGTGGTGAGCGCGAACCGCCCGGGTTGGGTCGTCCGAATATATGTGAAAGGCGCATAGATGTTGGTGTATCTGGTTGATAGGCTGGAAGCTGGTGATCAACTCAAGGTCTGGCGACAGTCCTCACTCTATCTCACCTCATCATGGCAGCACCAGCGACAGAGTACGCCGAGGTGTGATAAGCTCCGTGTTCCGCCTGCACGGCTGGGTTTGACGCGTCAGATCGCATTTCGGCAGCCAAGTCTGTGGATGGGGTAGAAGCTGTGATATCTGTGGAGATTTTCTCTTCTGGAAGAAAGAGAGCAGAGCGAAAATGCAGATAAACGAGGTGCTGACATCGGCCAACAAGCTCGATCGCTCGTCGCGTCATAGCATGTCACGTGCCTGATCTGTGGTCATCGTTCAGCATTGAACGCAGTATCACAAGTATCACCCAAACTTGTCAGACCATCTGGGCAGCTCTGCCTGATCGCATGAGCTCTGTGAATATGTGCTGTGCAGCCTGTGATAAGAGCGACCTATAAGGCTATCGCTACGAGAGGACTTCGAGGGGGATCATTTACGGCAGCTCCCGTTACCCCTGCAGCCCGCACCTCATTCCTCGCGCATCGATCTTGGTGAGCAGCTGTGAGCAGTGGCCTCAGACTCTAGATCTACGCACACGGAAGCGACCCATCTGGCAGGTCCACACGTGCGATGTCAGCTCGAATGGATGGTCTGAGAGCCACTCTGACCCTGTGACATAGCGCTAAGAGGTACCCCCAAGGCGATCAAGCACAGTTCGTAGTGGTCTCAGCGTGACCTGCGGGTGAGGGCTACACGAAGGGAGAGGGTGCGAGAGAGCAACTGGACGAGCTAGCTCTCAGAGTCTCAGCACGGAATCATCTCGCTTGTGACGGCCCGCGAAACTGCCTGAGTACTGGTATGTCACGTTCCTGAGCTCATCAAACCTTAAAAGCTTAAAAGCTCGGAGCTTCGGATCCAAAATCGCGGAGGATTGTACTAGGCTTGACGTCATGCGGCGGCGCCGAAAATCTTTTAGCGGCAGTTGAAACTGGTAAAGACTCAAAGTACATGTCTTCTTTGGGGCCGAGGGACGCCGTGGGACCCACGATCAGGCTACGAAGTACATGTCGAATGCCGACAAGATGGCCTCTTGTGTGTGCCATGCTTACCAGAGGGAATTCACCCAGAGCGGCGGGCTCAAGAAGAGATACAGTGCTTCCAAAACTTCTCAGCGGGCGGAGAGCGGATTTGCAATCCCAGAAGGGACGAGTCACGATTGCACCCGAGATGGACTCGTCCTCATGCATGGATCTCGCTACTAGAACTGCCAGATGTTAGCTGAGCTCTGTATGCCTACGCTCATGTCGGCCTCACGCCGAGAAGAAGTCGTGATGCGTGATGGCTCTGTAGAAGCGATCTTGTGGCGACCCCCTTGCGGCGACATCCAAGGCTGTGCCTCGAAACTTTTCCCTCGCTCGCTTGGCGGTTCCGATGAGGCACGGAGCAGTGACGTCAGTGTTTCACGGAGAAGAAGGTTTTGTAGTCCGCGCCGTTCGGCGCTTGAGGTCAGGGGGTCGAGCCAAAGGAGGGTTGGGAGGGAGGGTGGCGAGAATCATATATAGGCGAGGGGGGATCGCGAAATTTCTTCTTCCCTACATATCACAGCTATCAACACATTCTTCTACCATCTCCAACACCTCAAACACATCCTTACACTTCTGTACAAGCTTACATCATGGTGCGTTGAACGTTTCCTCCTCGACGATGTCAAGAGCTCATAGAGTCCAGGGAAACGTGATCAGTGCTATCGTCTCGGCCCTTAACTCGTTCGTGTCTGCCATCGCTGGTGTCTTCGTGGCCATCTTCAGTGGAATCGGTCGAGTCCTTGTTGCGAGTAAGTTGTTTTGATCAGTAGACGAGCTCCAGCTGACATATAGTCTGGAACTTCAGTAAGTAGCTTTGATCGAGAGATGAGCTCCAGCTGACCTCTAGTCACTTGCGGTTTCTGCCGCTCTGGTGGCCGTCGTGGAGGGAGAGGGACGGTCTAGCGGGCGGTGCGGTGAGTCTCTCGATGCGGTCTATGGCCTGTGCTGATCCCCAGGCTACCATCTAGTCGGTCACTGCCCTTTCTCGTCCCGTTCTCGACTCTGCCCTTTGCGTACTGCCAATCACCATATAATAGAACTGTCCATATGTAGCCTAGCAATACACGACATGCAATGATGATGCCTTAGCTCTTATGACTGCTGCCAGATTCTTCTAGGCTCAAGAGGCCCTCATACAGCTTGGACTGGGAACAAACTGGTCACGACAAAGTCAGGGCATCAGCGAAATACCTTGTATTCGGCCCCTATCACTCACTCCGAGCAGCCACGGATGATGACTCATGAGCGCTATGACTACTGCCGGACTGCTGGGCAGCAACCGATCTAACTTCTCTCGATGGCTTGAAGGAGCAAAAGTCAGATCAAGTAACTAGGACAGTAGGACTTGCTGTGCGAAAAGTGAGCTTTTCCTGTCATCAGTCCACCCTGCAAGACCGAGCTTATCAAACAATGAGCTCCGGAGACCTGCTTTTGACATAGCCGGTACATATAGGCGCTACAACTCGCTGTAAATAGGGTCTTGTTGACATCCGGAATTTGCAGCCCTCGACATGAACTACCGTCCCCCTTCCTGACCGTCAGCTATATTCTGGGCCTCTGCTCACCTGTCTCGCCATACAGTCAACCTCATATGATCTACCCGCCTTCATCTCCATCATCTTGGGCGTTCCATCGGGCTGCAGGTCGTTCCCGTCCATGAACAGTCTGAAAGCGGCTGGCCATTAGCGCTGGAGTGTGCACAACTCACCAGGATCTACTCCTCGCGCCTTGGCGAACCGGTTCAGTAGCTTGCCAAAGGTGATCGACATGGAGACCAGGACGAGGTTGGAATCACTCTCGCTCCCATTCATCTGATGTCAGGAGTATCGCATGCATGACTCACCTTCACTTTTATAGCCACCTTTCAGAGTCAGCAAGAACTCGGTGCAGCTGCGCTCCTCTATATGACTCACCTGGTTCTTGGCACGCAGCTCTTCCTCTTCCTCCCCAGAATAGTCATCTTTTTCTTCCGCCATCGGATGGTATGATAGCGGGGAGAGTCAGTGAAGGAAGTTTCGAAGCGCAGAATGTCGCGCTCGGGAGGGATAGCCCGGTGGTGCTCAGGCGCAAGAACTTGTCTAGAGAGGGGTAGGTGCTGGACGGATGGTCTCCAGCTGTAGGAGGGCGATGTTATGCAGCGGCAGAGACTGTCTGAATGAGAGGTGACAGTAAGAAGCTATGAAAGAAGGAACGTGAGATCCAGAGCACCGGCACCGTGCACCGGCGCGTACCTCTTTTACGTACATAGACGTTACAACCCCCGCTTCCCCACTAGTATCGGAGCCTGAGGCGCGCGGAGCTGCTCCTGCTTGTTGCAGTTGCCGGGAGTCGCGACTGCAGCGCCTCATTAGCTCATCCAGCATCAGCAGCGAGCCTCACGCGAGCAGTCATCATTATACATGCTATCGCTTAATCACCTCGGGGATATTAATGGGTCCCCGCGCCGTCGCCGCCACCCCGCTCGACAGCAGCCCCACATAGGGCATGAGGTCGTAATGAAGCGTGAAATTGGCCGTCGCGACACCCCTACCATCAGCTTCGCCGTATCAACACTCACTTGAACGACCCCGACGGCTGCTTCCATGGGTACTTGTTCTTGACCTCTTCCAAGCGGACATTCCCCCTCCCCCTCTTTCCGCGAGCGGGCTGCGCCTGGTTCTTCTTCGTGACGGCGCGAAAGTCCCTCATGTCCGCGCGCGTGACGATCCTATCCCATAAAACGACATCGTGGACATCGCCAGTGGGCTCGGCGTAGGTAGCGGTGAGGTACAGGAAGAGCTGTTTGGTATTGTACGAGTTGAGCAGGGGGTTGAGGTCGGTCCGGACGTCAAAGCGGAGCGTGGCGAGGTCCTCTTCCTTGGCACCCCATCTACGAAGGCGCCCTCTTTGTCTGAGGTCAGCTGGGTAAGCAGACCCTACTCACACAATGAGGTCCTTTATGTCAACCTTGCCAATGTTGACGGTGGGGAGGGTGATGAGGGAGGATATCGAAATTAGGCCTAGGAGGATGAGGATATAGGTTGTAGCTAGGGAGGAGAGATGGTTTAGGCGGTTCAGAGTGGAGTACATTATTGTGCATGAAGGGTGCACAGCAAGGAGGATAGCAGCAATTGGGGTGTGGCCCAACCGGCTGCACCACATTCCTCAATCTCCGGGTGGCTATTGGCGGGATCCAATAAAGGCTGCTGCCAGCACTTTCTAGAGGGCCACGTGATGTGACACGTCGGTCGACGTGGCGGTGGAATACAAGGCCATTCCTCAAATTCCCCCATCTCTCTCTTCCACCTCTATCACTTCCATCACCATGGCGACCTCCCTAGCCCCCAGGCGGCAACGCCGCGCGACGTCTTCCCTCGCGTCCAAGCTCGCGATCTTCGCTTGCATGCTCATCGCCCTTCTCTGTTTCCTCCCCTCTAGCAGCTTGGTCGCGGCCGAGGAAAAAGAAAACGACTATGGAACGGTCATTGGTATCGATTTGGGAACGACCTACTCTTGTGTTGCGTAAGTCTACACCTTGTTCGCGCTGACATCAGTGTGCAACGCGGAGGCAAGGTAGAAATCATCGCCAACGACCAGGGAAACCGTATCACCCCGTCATGGGTCGCCTTCACTCAGGATGAACGTCTTATCGGAGACGCCGCCAAGAACCAGGCTCCCCAGAACCCCTACAACACCGTCTTTGACGCCAAGCGATTGATTGGCCGCAAATTCGACGACTCGGATGTCAAGAAGGACACTGCCCACTGGCCGTTCAAGATTGTGAACAAAGGAGGGAAGCCCATGATCCAGGTCGAGCACCGTGGCGATCTCAAGGACTTTACCCCTGAAGAAGTGTCGGCCATGATCCTCACCAAGATGAAGGAGACTGCCGAGGCGTACCTTGGTCACAAGGTCACCCACGCTGTCGTCACCGTCCCAGCTTGTGAGTCAAAATCCGAACTAGCTGACATTAGACTTCAACGACGCTCAGCGATCCGCTACCAAGGACGCCGGAACCATCGCCGGCTTGACTGTCCTCCGTATTGTCAACGAACCCACCGCCGCTGCCATTGGTGAGTCACAAAGAAGCCGAGCTAATCCCAGCCTACGGTCTTGACCGATCCGAGGCCGAGCGCCAGATCATCGTCTATGATCTCGGAGGTGGAACCTTCGACGTATCGCTTCTTTCCATCGAGGGTGGTGTCTTTGAAGTCCTCGCGACTGCCGGAGACACCCACCTTGGTGGTGAAGACTTTGACAACCGTGTCATCGACTACCTCGTCAAGCAGTACAAGCGCAAATCCGACGTCAACGTGACCAAGAACGCCAGGGCAATGGGCAAGCTCAAGCGCGAGGTCGAAAAGGCCAAGCGCACGCTGTCGAGCCAGATGAGCACCAAGATTGAGATCGAGGCGTTTGAGGGTGGAAACGACTTTGCCGAGGTGAGCCGAGTCAAGACATAGCTGATATAGACCTTAACTCGGGCCAAATTCGAAGAACTCAACATTGACCTTTTCCGTCGCACCATGAAGCCGGTCGAGCAGGTCATGAAGGATGCTGGTGTCAAGAAGGACGAAATCGACGATGTGAGTTTTACATTGAACAACGCTAATTAGATCGTTCTCGTCGGTGGTTCCACCCGTATTCCCAAGGTCCAGCAGCTCCTCAAGGAGTACTTTAACGGCAAGGAGCCTTCCAAGGGTATCAACCCCGACGAGGCTGTTGCCTATGGTGCCGCCGTCCAGGGTGGTATTCTTTCCGGCGAGGAGGGCGGCAAGGGCTTGCTCCTCATCGACGTTTGCCCCCTTACCCTCGGTATCGAGACCACCGGCGGTGTCATGACCAAACTCATAGGCCGCAACTCGGTCGTCCCCACCAAGAAGTCTCAGATCTTCTCCACCGCCGTCGACAACCAGCCCACCGTCCGGATCCAGGTCTTTGAGGGCGAGCGGTCCATGACCAAGGACAATAACATGCTCGGCGAGTTTGACTTGACCGATGTGCCCCCAGCGCCCCGCGGTGTGCCCCAGATCGAGGTCACCTTTGAGATTGATGGTGAGTCTAGCTTTGAATCGGCTGACAATAGCCAACGGTATCCTCAAGGTTGCCGCGCTCGACAAGGGTACCGGCAAGTCCAAGTCGATCACCATCACCAACGACCAGCGCCGATTGAGCTCGGAGGATGTCGAGCGGATGGTCAGGGAGGCGGAAGAATTTGCCGATGAGGACGCGGCGCTCAAGAAGAAGATTGAGTCGATGAACGCCCTGCAAAGTAGGTCGACGTATGAACAGAGCTAACGTAGACTTTGCCTTCTCCCTTAAGTCCCAGGTGGCCGACACCGAGGGTATGGGCGGCAAGCTTTCGGGCGACGACAAGAGCACCATCCTCGCCGCCGTCAAGGAGGCGACCGAGTGGCTCGACGAGAACCCGTCTGCCGAGGCTGAGGACTACGAGGACAAGCTCTCGGAGTTGCAGTCCAAGGTTGCTGTAAGTATTGTCCTTTCTGCAGGTGGCTAAGCTGACAAGCAGCCCATCACGAGCAAGCTCTACTCTGGCGGCGGTGGCGGTGGCGACGAGCAGATGCCGTTTGGCAGTCACGACGAGCTCTAAGCTCTTTACGTAGCATAAAAATTGACGAGGATGAACGAGACGAGGAGGGGGCGCAGTAGATGTTGGGGGTTAGAAAGGGGATGTAGAGATGCAAAGGTGGAACGGAAAGGCAGCACATTAGGCCCCTGATCCCTTTGGGTAACGTAACGCCGCGTTCCTCCTGATGATCTTATCCGCATTTTCTTAAGCTTGATCTTGGATCCACATCTCTGCCGCAGGGCACCATCTACAATGCCTGGCCCATCTGCCACTGCCAATCGGGGCGCTAGCAAGGCCAAGCTGAATCCATTGTGGTATCACTATGCCTGCGCCACAGTCCTCGCCGCGATTGTCGTGGGGAACCTACTCCGGTGGTTGTTGATAGGTGGGTCTACGAGCTGCGTCGCTAACGGTAGACTGGGCAGACCCGTACCACTGCTCGGCCGTACTCAACAAGGGACAATGGATGGATCCTGGCGTATGGAAGCAATGGCAGCCAGAAGGTGAGGCCTGCAACGACTCTGCTTACACAGGCTGCTTCCACCAACCCCTCAAGCACACTGGCTACTTTTCCTGCCTTGCTCAACCCGTCACGTCGTCGCCCAAGCGCCAGGTCCTCTTTGTGGGCGACTCGTCTGTCCGGCAGCTGTACTTTGCCTTTGTCCGCTTGGTGGACGGAGGAAAAGGCGCGATACCGGCAGAGTGGGGGAGCGAGGGCGAAAAGCACTCGGATAGGCGTCTCACGTTCTACGATCAGGCGGGAACAGCAACGGAGCGGGCATTGGAACTAGAGTTTTGGTGGTAAGTCGGTCGACGAGCGAGCTCACTCAGGGACCCATACCTCAACACTACACGCACCATCTCCCTCGTCGGCTCGACCTCGTCCGATCCTTCGTCTCTACTTGTCATGGGGTCTGGGCTATGGTACCTCCGCCAGCCCACCTCTGGCGGCCTGGAAGCCTGGGGCGAAATGATTCATCAGACGTTCGAGTCGCTCAAAATCAGCCAAGGCTCGCCTCGTACCGCCCTGCAAGCCCCCTGGAACCCCATGTCCACGACTGGCGGCCCCGGTTTCGGCGTATCCGACGCGGTCGTCTTCCTCCCCGTCACCGACGCGGTCGAAGGGCTCCTTTCCCCGTCCCGCGCAGAGACCATCATGCACACCGACATCGAGGCAATGAACGCCGATCTCCTCGCGCGGCTCACGCACGATACGCCTCCTCCCGTCATCGTCCCCACCGTCTTCAACCAAATGCTGGTCCCGAGCGAGACCACGGACGGGCTGCACTTTTCCGACAAGATCATGAACAAGCAGGCGGAGTTGCTGCTGGGGTGGCGGTGTAACGACGTGACAGAGTCGGCGTCAGGGTGCTGCAAGCGGTACAAGTGGACTCGGCCCGTCCAGGCTGCGCTGCTGGTGTTCTTTATCGTCTGGGCGCCTCTCTCCCTTCTCGGTCCAAAGCTTCGTAAGTTTACGCATATCGAAGCTGATAGACCCATCGCTTTACCAATTCATGCCCAAACCCGCACTCGCCACTGCGCTTTCCTCGTTCGGCCTCGCCATTGGCTACCTCTTCTTTGCCGATCGCACCACCGTATTCCTCAAGGAAAACAAAGTGTACGACGCCAAAATCTTTGGCGGCTTGACCTTGGCCGCTCTTGTCGCTGGTCTCTCCACCATCAAGAACGGCGGCAAAGACCTCGGCTTCCTCAACCGGGACATTACCGATGAATGGAAAGGCTGGATGCAAAGTGAGTCCTGGTCGTTCGAGCTGACCCAGTCGCGATTCTCATCTATCACTTTTTCGGCGCATCGAAAATTTCTGGCATCTACAATCCCGTACGAGTCCTGGTCGCTGCCTATCTCTTCATGACAGGATGTGAGTAACCCCACGACACCGCTAATGTAGACGGCCACTTTTTTTTCTACTACAAAAAAGCCGACTTTGGGTTCGACCGAGTCGCTGCCGTCCTCGTCCGCCTCAACATGCTCTCGGTCGTCCTGCCCTACACTATGAACGCCGACTATGCGTTCTACTACTTTGCTCCCCTCGTCAGCTGGTGGTACATCATCATCTACGTCACCATGGGTCTCGGCTCGAAATACAATGACCGCGCCTTCTTCCTCGTCCCCAAACTCCTCCTCGCCGCCGGTTCCATCACTGCCTTCATGCACTACACCTGGATCATGGAGTCGATCTTTTCCTTCCTCAACACGGTCTTCCAAATCCAATGGTCCGCACGGGAATGGTCCTTCCGCGTCACCCTCGACCTCTTTATCGTCTGGATCGGCATGTTCTCCGCCTACGCCTACATCAAGGCCAAGGAGCTCCAACTCCCCGACAAGCCATGGTTCGGCAACGTCCGCGCAGCCACCCTCATCCTCAGTGCCCTGGCGTTGGTGTGGTACTTTTGGTTTGAGCTGTCATTTGACAAGTTTGCCTATAACGGGTATCATGCCTACGTCTCGTGCGTCCCCATCCTCGCGTTCGTGTTCCTACGCAACGCTACCCCTCTGCTCCGCTCAGTCAGCTCGTCCCTATTCACCTTCATCGGCCAATGCTCCCTCGAAACCTTCATCCTCCAATTCCACGGCTGGCTCGCGAGCGATACCAAGGCCATCCTCCTCGTCCTCCCTGCGACCAAATGGCGCGCCGTCAACATCGTGGTATCGACCATTGCGTTTGTCTGGCTCTCGCATCGGGTCGCGGGCGCAACAGGCGATATCACCGAGTGGATGGTGGGAAGGAAGAAGTCCTTGCCTATGCCAGTGACTGCGGTAGCGGGAGTGGTGGAAGGGTCGGCGGATGGCGCGCAGAGTGGCGTTCCAGAAAGTATCCCGTTGATGGGGCAGGAGAAGGACGGGGAGACTGGACACAATGTGAGTGGACATTTGAATGTGCTGATCCAGTTCACGGCGCGATCTACAAAATCATCATCATCATCCGGCAACGCTGTTGTCGACATCTTTGGGAAGATCAGGGATATGGCTGATAAGAGCAATGCCGTCAAGCTGGGGTTGGTACTGTTGGGTTTATGGGTCCTCAACTGGGTCTACTAGCTATGCAGACTTGAAGCTTCGACGTAGATGACGACTCTAACCTCTTCTCTGCGCCAGCTCAATACTCTCCAAACTCGACATCTGCCATCAGCCAAGCCGTAGCCGCACTTACGTCCTGTCAGCATCGCATGCTCCCTCGCTCCCTTCTCCCCCTTGAGGCCGATCTTGCACACTCCGCACCGCAGGTCGAAATTGGACGTGTCGGTATAGTAATGTCGCGCCTTGAGCTGCGATACTAGCGTGATCGCCGTGGAGACGATAGTATCGTCAGATACGGGAAAGACGGTGGTGTGGAAGGAGGGAGGAGCGGATTCTACCGGAGACAACGTGATGGCGTCGTAATCTCTACATCAGCCGAGCTTTGAGTGGACTTACGGATACCTGAGTAGACCAACAAACACCTAATCAGCACTGCTCGCGCCAAGGCTCACCTCGAGTCGTATTCTCCCTCGCCGAATCGGTCACATCGCCCGCTTGCCACGTCGAAGGACGAGATCTCCGTCTTGTAACTGGGGTGAGCTCCTTCTAGGGATAGCTTACTGCTTGGCAAAGATGGATAGTTCTGCATCAGCTCTGTCAACACGATACTTACCTATAGCCCCACCCCACGCGTCCTTGCTAGAAATCTTGCTTATATAGCTATCTCTCGGTTGTCTACATCAGCCAAGTTCAGCTTGGACTCACCCAAGGACGACCTCAGACCACGTCTCCGCGTCGCGCCGTATTTCATCCGCCGCGACCTGCCTCAGCTTTCCCGCTGCCTCCATACCCCCCTCAAACACCACCCCGAGCGCGCTGAACATGCACGAATTGTCGTCCGGCACGACGCGTAGCTGAAGGTACCCGGCATCTCGGCCGGGCAGCGGAATCGACTCGGCACTTGGCTGGGAAGCTGGGCGTGGCTGCGCTGGATGTGGCGATGGTGCTGAGATAGTCTCGTTGAGATGCTTTATTGATGGGCCTGGAGTTGGTGTAGGAGCTACAGGCGCGTTTGTAGCGGGCTCCGGAGCTGCTGTCGGCGGTACTGAAGTCACGATGATCTGCTCGCCGCGGGTGATGGGTATTGACGATAAAGGACCGTTTGTTGCTGGAATCGCCTTGGGCGGATACCCATACTTTACTGATATATCAGCCCCTGGCACTGTGTTTGCGTACATTCTTGCTCGTTGGGGGGTATCTCTGACGCGGAGAAGATGAGTACGCGGAGGTCATCGACCGTTTGGACTTCGGGGTCGACTTCGAGCGTTGTGACCCCTCTTGGGTGGCGAAGGCGGATCTGAGACAGTCAGCTGAGCGTGTGGCCTTTGCTAGCCTGGACTCACAGGTACCATCGGTGGGAGTAGCAGTATATAGAGTACAGAGTTAAGAGTCAGAGCATGGAACGCGCAAGTGGAGGTCTTTCCGCTGTACCGTGTTACGTAACCCTTCGGAGGCAGAGGGCGGTGACGCAATCAGTCCGCCTGATCTTTCGATCGATCACTCCTTGTCTCTACTTTACATGTATACTTGCAGCTCGGTCCTGAGTGCATAGTCAAAGCTCAGGAAATCAGTATACATAGAGCAGTGTAGTACGACGTCCGAGGGTAAACAGTCTCCAGCAAAAAATTGCATGCAAACTTGCTAGCGCGTTCTCAAACGCAAAGCCGATAAGCTCCAAGCTAGTTGACCCGAAACACGGCCCGCCTCTGCTGACCCTTGCTTTTTCAACTTCGTAGTCAACTATCCTTCATCACTTGACATTGGTCGTCTGAAAGGACCCCTCACTATCAGCATTAGCTCGCGCAGCACACGATGCTGCGACCAGCCTCTCCTTAGCGGCTCTCACGAGTCTCCTTTACCCAGCTGCGCGCCACAACACGCTCGCCGGGTCTTTCCAAATGTCGTTAACACGCCCCATCTCCACCCAGCGACCAGCTACCAACCTCGCGCCCCAGTCCAGTCCCCTCTCGCCCCCTTCATCCTCACCCTCCCTGTCCTTTTCCACCTCGACTTCGGCGTCCAGCGAATCATCCTCGGCCTCCCTGGTGGATCTCGTCCGGGGCATGGGTATTGACGAAGGGATTAGGGTGGGCAGTGATGACGGCTTGGACGTGGGAGGGGAGCTCTCCAGGGAGGGGCAAGGGGAGGCTAATTTCAAGCGACATCGGCCGTCCTTCCTCACTCGAAGCGCGGAGCAAACTGCGTCACCAAACACCCCCAACTCTCAAACCGTCAGCGAGAACGAAAGTCCCTTCCACAGATACTCTCCCACGGGCTCCGTCGCAAGTACCGCAAAGGACGGTATCACACCTCGCGCAGAGATTCCTCAGCCTATATGGCCGCTGTCAACGGTCAAGACGGACAAGCGGCTGGCAGCAAGGCGGCTGGATACCGAAGTGCCCCCTTCGGAAACGCCGAGGGGGACCGAGGCGGAGGTGAAGGGCGCGTCTGAAGAGAGGTGAGTGCTATAGTCTGTTCGCTCAGGGAATTGGTCGGTGCTCGCGGTTCAAGGCGAAGGGCGCTGGCAGGTTGCGGAAAAGAAACCCTGCCGAACGCTTGCCTTGCTGTTGCTCTACCCCCGCTGTCCTTTCCACTGACTGTCGCAGCTCGCCCACGCTCCCCACATTTTCTCCGCTTAGCGCACTGGAACCCACCCCGGTTACCACAGAACCCTCAACCATGCGGTATGCCTCGGGCGGACAAGTCCCAACAAAGAAGTCTCCCTCCCCTCGCCCTCAGCCTGGCTCCCACATCCTTGCCGCCTCCACCAAGACTGGCTGCTACATATCAGAGCCAATCTCTGCGCCAGAACACTACCCCCTCCCCATGTCCGCTTCGACATCCTCATCCTCATCCATCCATTCCTCGGTCACGTCCAACTCGTCGGCAATGGCGACAACCCCTCCGCCTCCACGCTGGGCTATGCCCCCAGCGCACACCAACAAGATCTCCGGGAGAGCCAAGAGCTTTGGCGACGCCATGATGGAACGGCCGGACGTGGACTTTGATCCTGAGCTGTTTCAAGTGCCAGAGTCTGAAGGGGATGATGAGATTGAGGTGATCAAGGGGAGCGGCGGCAGAATCGCTCTGCGAAGCACGAGGACAGTGTATGAGATCATGGTGTGGCTGCCGGGGTTCAGGTGAGTCTGACAGTCGTCGTCGCTGACGGTAGTTTGGAGAACATCACCATTGCTACGCGAGGCAGGGGGAACATCAACATTGTCGCTGATCGCTGGGAAGAAGGAGGTGAGTTGCATCCAGATGGTGGCTGATGGTAGATCATGCTCAGTGGGATGTCAAGCTTGGAGATGACGCCAATATGCGAGCCATTGGAGCCAAATTCGGCGGGCATGATCTGAAAGTCACCAGTACGTCTTGGTCTCGTTCCCAGCTGACGCCAGTCCCCCGAGAACAGCGCCACCACTCTTCCAGCAGCCGTCTGGGCCAAAGCCGGTCTGGTCAGAAGCCCAAACTGTCCATCTCCACGCCCGCCACCCCTAACGGCGAGGCCTCCGAGAAACTGGCCGACCCACCCGCCGACTTTTGGGCGAATCAATGGTCCCCCCACGCAATGACCCGTCGACTCCCAGCGAAAAAGACGTCCCTCAAGACGATCTGACCCCATACGACATAGATCTTTTCTGTAGCAACAGTCGTCTCTGCCAACTCTTGTATTATAGTAGCATCTTCAGTAGTCGAGTGCATCAGCATGTGTGCACAGCAACGGAAGAGCTCCCTTTGGCGGAATCTGAAACGGTCGACGCGATTGGCGCGTTTCACATTTCCAGAGCTGACAGGCACGATCAAGTGCTTTCGCCCTCGTTCCTGTTTGTGTGTAGCCTTTGGGTCAATTTTCGGACTCGACAACTCCGAGGGACCGTGCTAGGGCGATCGCTCGCTTCGGGAAAGGGAGAGGGGAATTTCCAACGCACGAGGGTCTAAGCGTAAGCTCCTCCCCTCTTCCCTCCTCATCCTTCACTTTCTTTCGACATGTACATATCATCAGCCAACCCAGAATCCAGCTTTGCCTGGACAAAGTCAGCCATTTCAGCTCCTTCCCTTGCAGGTGCTGACCCACAGAGACTCACCCGATGTCATCGCCCGTCTCCGTGACAGGCTCTATATACGACATGGACCTGGTCGATCTTGACTTCTCCGATACCCCCTCCTCGGCTCTATCCCTGACATTTGGCTCACCAACGCCCGATGGGACCACTCAATCCCTCCCTCTGACCCCCGGCTCATACGACCAGTGGATGCCCCTCGTCCCGGACGTGACGGGCAAGGTCACTCCCAAGGTTGCCGCTGCCCCGCTGGCTGTAGAGGAGGAATCGACTTCTGCTCCGCAACACGAGGAGGACACGGTGAGCGAGGCTGAGACTGCTTCGCCCGAAAAGTTTCAGGAGGAGCCGGAAGCGCCGGAACCGGACGAGCCATCCACCAGCCAGGCGGCGGCAAGCGAGAGCGGCGAATCAACCTCCTCCCACCTTCGCGCAGCCGCTGCACCCTTCCAGCACAAGTCCCCCTCGCCCTCGCAGAGCAAATCGCTCCGTGTAGTGTCGACTACATCGCCGCCATCCTTCTTTTCCGACCGCGCCGATGACGGATCGCAGTCCGCTCTCTCCATCCCTACCAGTCCTCAATATGGCATCGTCTACCAGCCATTCTTTTACGGCGAGGCCGGTTACGAAGCCGCGGACGTCGCCCAGGCCGCTGCCCTGTCCCCCTCGGCGGCTCCCTTCCAGCTTCCTCCCGGAAGTAAGCCGATCCGAATCACCTCCCCCTCCCCTACCAAATCCTCACCCACAAAAAAGGTCACCCCCGCCCAAGTCCCCCTGCCTGATTCACAACCTTCCTCGGCGCCTTCCCGGATCGTAGCGCCCGAGCGCGCGGAGACGCCCATCACGCATCTCGCTCGGACCATGTCGGGGATCTCCATCACCGAGGGCTCTATCCGGGTCGTAGGGGAAGACGCGCCATCGGACGCGAGCGACGGTCCCCAGACACCCGCGCTCATCAAGCCTCAGACGGCGGATATACCAATGTCCGAGGAGCAAGCTAAGGTGGAGCTGGAGGGCTTGATGGACAGCTTTGACGAAGTCGCCGAGATGGAGCAGCAGCTGGCCAAGTACGTGGATGCGTATAGCTTGTTCAAGGGCGGGATCGATGAGGTGGTGGCGAGACTCCGGTACAACCTTGCTGGGTAAGTCTACCTGATTCGGAGCTGATTCAGTCATACCTGCTCCAACATTACCCACTCGGATGAGCTCCACGCGGCCCGCCAACAAATCATCACCCTCCAAACTCAGCTTGGTGCCAAACTGCAACGCGAGAAGGAGGTCTTGGCGGCCGCAGCAAAGGTTCCCGGTCTCGAGGACAGGCTCGTCAAACTCGAAGCGACTGCCCAAGAGGCGAAGCTCAAGGAGGAGCTCTGGCGCAACAAGCTGGAGAAGGTGCGAGATCGGTACGAAGCCCTCGAAGCGGACCGCGGTCATTGGCATCAGCGAGAACAGGAACTCGGCAAGCAGTTTTTAGAACTCGAGGATCAGCTGCATCAGTCCACCAACGAGATCGGCAGGTTGAAGGCGAAGGCACCGGCGACCTTTGCCGTGGTCATGGTGGAGTTTACTGTCTCTGTCGTGAGTCACTAAACTCGTTCAGGCTGACGTGAGATCGACAGCTCCTTTATCAGTCGTGGATTCGAAGGAGGTAAGCCAGATCCCGATTGCGCTGACAGCAGGATCCGAACTAGGCCGGAACATCGCCGCGGCATCGCCAAAGGGGGAGCACCTCCTCGTCGTGCACATCTTTCTCAACGTTGTGAGTCCGCATAGTTGGCAGCGCTGATAATCAGCCTGAGCTCAGAAAGAAGCTCATACAGGTGCGCTTTTGGTCTTCAGAGCTGACTTAGAACGGTACTATTCAACGGGAAGCCGACCTTCACGACTTTCTTGATGGCTTCCGCTCGATCAGCGGGCTGTTTACCGTCATTGATGCGGACTCCCCTTCAACCAAGATACAAGGTGGGTCAAGCGCCGGCCAAGCTGACAGTAGACCACCTCAAACTGTACAGGCTCTTAGGCGCCGTCCAGATCATCCTCGCAAGCCGAAGTGTACGTTCACCTGGTTGCTCGGCTGATTTCAGGGCAAGCCGTACCAAGACCTCATCGAGTCGGCGAGCGCTTCCGGTCGAAAGGAGGTCTACGCAGTGCGCGGTGATGGTCCGGACCCATTCATATTCATCGGCGAGGACCATCTCGTCTCCATCTCTGGTCTGATGGGTACGAGCGAGGCGCGGGAGACAAACACCCCTGCACCTCGACCCGTCGATACGCCTACAGCTCGACCGGCCGATACGCCTGCTGCTCCCGTCGAGACCCCTGCAGCTCGACCAATCGCTACTCCCGCCACCCGACCGGTCGACACCCCCGCGTCCGTCACTACCGCCCCATCTCGCGGCCGACGCACTCCACCGCACATGATGCGATCCCTCTCCATCTCCTCGGCCGGGACGGAAACGGGAAGCCGGGTCATGTCGCCTCCCAGCCGGACTCAGCACATACCATCCATCCCTCCGACGCCGGCCGCAATCGCCCCTGCCCCATGGGCTCAGACGCGCGCCAGCGCCCCTCCACCCGTCACCCCTGCCTCCAAACTGCCTTGGTGGCAACAAGGCAATACCCTGAACGATCAAGTTCAATCGGGGCAGATCAAATCCTCAGTCCCCTCCACACCGGCCGACGACCCCACACCAAAACGCCCTGCACAAACCACTCGTAGCCGAGGCCTCACCATCCCCGTCGACGACCTCGGCTCGCTCGCTGGCAGCCCACCCGACAGCGACGAGGACCACCCCAATGTCAACCTCCCTCATTCTGCCGTCAAGTGGGTACAACGTCCCGTGGCATATAATCAAGACGCTTACCCAGCCAGCTCCACCAGATCCCGATCCGAGTCCATCTCGTCCTCATCGGTCGGCGGCGGTCCTTCCCACGCCGGCAGGGTGGCGGCGCAGAATGCGCAAGCTGCTCGCATTGCCGCGCTGGAAGCGCAGGAGCGGCAGGAGCGCGCGGGGAGTCGAAGTGTCTCGAGCGGCGCAAGGCCACCGGTCAATATCAAGGGACGAGGCGGTACGGGAACGATGTTCGGGTTTGGCGGTCAGGGGAGGGGTTAGGGAGAGGGGCTAGGATCACGACAGTAACACATCATATATCATTGCTTCTTCGCGACACCCCATGTTTGTACAAACCTATGACACATTCATGCAATCATCAATCCTGCTGCTCTGTCAACAAGAACCTAACTACACCCCCCACCACTTCGCCAATTGTCACCATCCCCTCGAGCACCTTGACCCGCCTCTCCACGTCCAGCCTCTTCTTTTCTTGCAATTCCTTGCCCCTGTGGAGGTACTCCATCATGCTTCCGGCGGTATGAATCGCCTCCTTGGTCTGGTCGGGGTACCGCTCTAGCGCCGTCTCGAGCTGCTTGACCAGTTGCTCCCGCTCCGCCTTGTCCACCGCCTCCCCCTCCACTTCGCCTCCGCCCTCAAGCGCTTCCGCCAGCGCAATCCCATCCAGCACCTTGAGCACCTTGGTGATGAACGCGTCTACCCTCGGAGCAGTGAATCCCCGCTGTAACAGCTGCTGCTCGAGCTCCCGCCCGGTGAGGAAGCCCTCATCCGTCGCGTATAGATCCGCCTGGAGGGCCCGGCGCGCCAAATCCAGCTCTACGGCGATAAGGCACGAGTGCGCGATCCAGTTGTTGACGTCGTGCCGGGTAAAGGTGTCCGAGACGAGGGAAATGAGGAGACGCAACGTCTTGACCGAGTACTGGATGGGGTATTCCTGGGGCTCGGCGGCAGAGTTGGTGAGGGGAGGCCGAGCTGGCTCCGCAGACTTGGCTGCTGTGGTGGGCGTGGGAAGCCCGTTGGGTTCCGGAGAAGCGACCTTGACACTTGGGCGCTCGGCCGTCTGGGGGGTGGGAGGAAGGGCGTGCTGAGGAGTAGTCCCGTTGGTAGTGGCGTGTGTGCTAGGAGGGGTAACGTGGGGAGGGGCCGGACTCGACTCGCTGGATTCCGCGGCCGGTGCTGCGGGTAGGGCGACGCTCGTGACGAGGTCGGACAACTGGGCAGCAAAGTTGACTGCCCCGGGCGAGGATTGGCGCGGACGCTTGGGAGATTGCGATCTGAATCAGCTCCATGCGCAGTATAACGCACTTTTCGGTATTCACTCCATCTGCACTCCTCGACCTCTTTGCACCCACATCCGGCTCCTTGGCCGGCACTTCCGCCTTCTTCCCCACCATCCACGGGGCGATACCCGGGAACAGCTCTTCGACTGGACCAGGGATAAATCGCCCCTCGCCATTCCTGACCACCTTCATGCTCCCCTGCCATCCCGCCCAGTCCGCCAGGTCGTCCGCATTCTCCTTGGCGTACGGGCTCGCAAAGTCGATCGGCCTGTCGTGCAAGGCGTCAATGGCCGCGGCGCCCGAGTCGAGAGTGGTGTACTGGACATAGGCGAACCGGGGGTGATTGGGATCGGTATGATAGATGTCCACCGAAGTTCTACGTCAGCCTTGCCAGCGTCATACTTACAAGTCGCCAAACTGTGCAAAAAGCACGCCGAGGTCTTTGGCCGAGAGCGCATCGGGAAAGCTACATCAGCTCTGCTTTGCTGACGCTCACCTAGTAACAAATATCGACTCGGCCGGGGGCGGGAGGTGGGTTTCGGTATCCCCAAAGAGCTTGCGGTGCCTCTCTAGGTCCTCCTCGGCCATCACTTCATCCTCAACGGCCGCCTCCACCTCGGGCATGGCCACGGGCGCGGGCTGTGGCCGCTCAAACACCTCCTTCCTGCGACTGGGGTCCGCATCGCCCCGCTGCCACGGCCCCGCTTCAGCGCTCCCCGACGGCATCGGTTCACCGCCTCCGTGCCGCTGGTACATTTGCGCCAACGTGCCCTCCTTCTTCTTTTTCAAGTAGGAATTACTCGCCGCCACCATGGCAATCTTGTCCGCCAATACGTGCCCCTCGATCCCGCTGTTTTTCGGCAACCACACAAAGGTGATGTGGGCTTTAAGGAATTCGCAGCAGACTCGGCGCCAGAGGGCGTCAAATCGCAGACTTTCCGGCCGGGACGACGTGTCGATAGCGACAATAGCGGCGGCTGAGTCGCAAAAGATGATCATCTCGTGCGACATGGGCGTTCCCTGCTTGATGGAGAGCTCGAGCAGCTCATGGAAGCCCTCGACCGCTTTGCATATGGCGCCTAACTCCGCGTCGAGGCCGTCACCGCCGGGAATGCATGCGCGCATCTTTCGCCCCGACTGGCCCATGTCGATGATCCACTCGATGGCGGCGCACCAGCCCTCGCCCGCCCGCGAGCATCCATCCGCATACCACACCGCTGAGCTCTTCCGACAGAGCGCTCGGTGGATATCAATACAGTCCCCGGGGTTGACGGCGATATACTTGTCGAGGGGGAGTTTGCTCGGCGGGAGGGAGTAGATGGCAGTGGTGAAGCTGCCCGAGATGGTAGCCGTGACGACCGGGGTGAGCATGTTGAGGTCCTTGCCTTCGCTCTGGCGCGGGGCCGACTGAGCGACGCGACGCGGGGGACTGGCCGGTCGAGCAATGGGACGGCTGTCCTGACGGGGAGGAGATGCATTGGGTGGGTAGCGAGAAGCGGGATATGCCGTGGAAGGCGAGTAGGGGTCGTACGAGTCGGCTGTGTAGGGGTCCCTCGGCTGAGGATAGGGCCCAGGGCGAGAGTCGTTGGTATAGGGGTCGTACGTCCTGTAGCTGGCCGTGGGAGGTGGCGGGCCGGAGTTTGAGTAGGGGTAAGGGGGATGTTCGCGCGGCGCGTTGTTTAGGGTGGGAGGGAAGGGAGGTCGGTCCGAGTAGGCTGGCCGACCTGGCGAGTAGCGACCGGAATTGTAAGGGGGCGGATAATTACTCATCTTTGCTGCCACGTCAGCCGCCGTTTCGCTGGATAGATGAGATGACTGACATGAGTAGTAGAAGTAAAGTTAAAAAGGCCGAAAACGTCAAAGCGTGAAGAAATCAACAAACATCAGCTGGAAGCCTTGATCGCTGTCAGTGGGACTCACAGGACTGTCGTGGTGCGTCTCTGTTATTGATACCGATGTGAGTGTAGCGGTAGTGGGGTCAAGAGGGTACCCGTAGGTATCAGGGGTGAGATGAACCTTTTGGGTCCTGAGAGTAGTAGAGGGGTAGTCACTATGTTAGAGCTGGTGTCTCTAGTTCTGTGTGCGCTCAAGAGCTGCTGCAAGAATGGGCTGTATGTATAAGAGTAGTGATGAGGAGGTTGAAAGGCAAAGTCAAGATGAAAGATGAAGCTGAAAGAGGCTGGCTTGTCCACCACCGTCAGCTTTCGGGTGGCAACTGTATATGAGCCCCCCCATTTAGATCTGGTGCTCCTCAGCTTCTCTTACGCATACCCACCTTTGATGTACACTGCATGTACAGCTTCATCAGAGCAGAGCACTAGCAGTGCGTCAAGAGCTATGGCGGGTCTCGCTCCGAATGCGAAGCGGCTAAGAGTGAGGCTGCACTGCTGATATTTCTGGTTGTAGCTGAGTTCTTAGACCATCATCATCTCTTTTCCAGTCCTGGTGGTGACCTCTGCAATTCTGTACAGACGGAGTGAGCAGAGTCATACGCTCTCACTGCACACATCTGATGAGTCCAGCATACATGGGAGAGGAGCAGCGTCGGATTCCAACAGCAACGCAGGAACCGGCTCTTGGCCATGAGCGGATCCTTGGAAGGGGTGCAGGGGAGATAGGGGGCGTGCCGTGGGCTGTGCAGGGGAAGCAAGAGCAGGAAGTGTTTGAAAGGGAGCTGGAAAACAAGCTCAATACGAGACCAAGATGACAGTACCTCCACCGAAAAGCTTAGTGGGCCCAAGCAGGGGTCCGATTTCGGCAGCGCTTTCCTCTCTATCATGTATGTCATATACGCTCGCTCAATCGCCATCCCTGCTCTGGTCTGCCAGCCATCCCGTCGCCTGACGACCTGCCGCGGCCATTTTCTCTACTGGTCGAGGCTATTGCCGGGCGGTGGGAAGGACTTTTGTGCCGGGAAGGACATAGGGGTTAAGAGCAAAGTTGCACTGTAGAATTAGCCGAGCGATCTTGACCAGTGGCGTCTGGAGCCGCCCATCAACCCTTTCGGCAGCTTTGGAATATACTCACGTTCGAATATGCTACGCCAGCACCAAAGCTGCTCTGATCAGTATGAATATTGCGAGATAGGTGAGTTTCGCCTTACCCAGTCGAAAGAGCGACGGGCCATCCTCTACCTGGTACTCCATCAGTTCCAATCTGCATTAGGATACGGCACAACTCACGCCTGAAAAGAAGGACTGAGGCTACCACACCGACACCGAAACCGAGACCAGCGTTGACGAGGAGGTCAGCGACCTTTACTGTCAGCTGCGGTGCGACTTTCGGCCGCGTCAGGTCTAGCGTGGTCTTCCGGGTATTAGAGGTACGTTCAGCACCATGACTGAGCACCATTGGCGCTATGTAGCAACCGTTGGAGCTGAGACGCAATGCTCGAAAGACCTACACAGTTGTCAAACTGCTCATCAGCTGCATCCTGCGAGCTGAGCTATCGACTCACCTTCCTGGCGATGACATCCTCGCTCGGGATAGGCTTGACGGAGGTGGCGGGAGCGGAGGCGGAGGCAGCAGCGGACATGGTATAGGGTGTAAGAGGGATAATTGGTCAATGTCAAGAGGTGGACACCCGATGACGGCCAAGTTGCTCCCCGCATGCCGCACCTGGCGGAACCTATTTTTGTTGCGGATCTCTTCGGATCTGCGGCTTGACCAAGAGCTATCTATCCTTCACCTTGTCCATTGGATAGCATACAAAGCCAAACCGACCCGATGAGCGTAGCGTATGCTCAGAACTGTATGCCAGAGTCGAAAACGAAACGAGCTTGCCCGGGATGGTTTAGGGAACTTCGCTGTTGGGACTGCTGCGGGCGTAGAATTTACTTCAACCTTGGGGCACACACAGATCCCTCCTCCCCTTCATCCTCGATCACTATGTTGACATCTGCTTGATACCCATCGCTCACACTACTCTCGTCTATCACTGATTCACGGACTAGTTCTTGTCAACCAAAACAGGTCAGATCTGCGTCAACGCCGACGACATCGCCGAGCCCGCACGTCCTTTCCGTCCGCCGAAATCAGCTTGACGCACCCTGCCAAAGGATCAGCAGCTCACTTGCCTTCGCAGGTAACCGGAAGCGGGAGAAGCGACAGAGCTGAAAGGGCCTTCGAGGAGACGTCATATCTCTTGCCCCGCCGACTTCTCGACCCGACCTCTTCCTCTCATCCTACAACATGCCGCCCCCAGCTCTCGAACCTCTGGTCGGCTTCCACAATCTCACTATCGCTTCCACGTCATATGCGGTACATCACTGGGTCAAAAGGGAGAATGTCGCTCCAAATCAGTATCGTAAGTCGCCAACTGCTTTGCCAGATCCGGGAGGCCTTAGCATATGAAGACGAAGCTGACTTTGCAGAGACAAATACAATCATCGCGGCGTGCATCATGTTCATCGCTATTTTGATCGCCTGGAATCTGCCCGTCTTGAGGGACATCATATCTGGACTAAAGGTGAGCGGCTTCAGATTTGTCGGAGACTCGCGCTGATCCCAGCTCTTCACTGTCGCTGTACACGAGCTCTCCCATCTCACCGTCGGGCTGATCTGCGGCGGACAGGTCGTCTCGATCTGTATTGATCCAAACGATGGAGGCGCCACACATATCATGGGTCTCATGCGGAACTACCCTCGGATACCGAACGACCCATACGCTATGCCAACCTACGCTCAGCTGTTTTGGAGTCCGAGCGCTCTGGCGACGCTAGGTGCGGGGTATGTTGGAAGTAGTATAGCGGGCTTCCTCTTTGTGGTGAGTTCTCCTCGATCAAGTCGAGCTCAGAGCTGATCTCGCAGTTCTGTTCTTGTGAGCTCCCACCCATACGAGTGATCTGCTAATAGCCAGTCCACATTGTCGCCTCGAAGATAGCTGCTCTGGTGATCCACCTTGGATTACTCGTGCCGATATTACGAGCAGATCACTGGGTGTACATTCACCAGCCCCCGCCTTGTGACTCGAGCTCATTTGCAGAGCTTTCGCCAGTATCGTGCTATGCGAAGCCGTTCTCATTGGACTGTGGTTCGGGGATCATGGCAATGTAAGTGATGCACGGAACGAGGGGGTACATGAGCTGATTAGATACAGGCTCTGCGATTCTACGGCAAGTCGATCAGCTCTGACTGCTGCTGGACCTCAAGCTGATCCGCAGTACTCTTTGTCGGAATGATGCACCTGTACTATGTCGTGTGGGATTACATCGACGAACGGCTGTTTGACAAGCGCAATACGTCGGACTGCGCGCAGTTCTCGGAGCTCCTCGGCTGGCCGACAAGCGGTGCGTTCGTCTCTTTTGAAGGGTACGCTATCGCTGACGGCACAGCATGGGTGTGCTTTTGGTTCTTGTACGACACCCTCGTCTTTACCGCCGCGATCTTTGCGGGCATCATCGTATTCAGGGTGAGTCCCTGTCCAACTTGCTACCGGCCAAGCTGATCGGGTAGCGAACGGATGCGCAGATGTACGACGAGGCGTCAAGATTCTTGCCAACGTGAGAAGGCGGAATGGGGTGTTAGCTTTGGGAAACGGAAGAACGGACATTGCCTGGTTGGGGGACTGCTTCGATGCAGTATAATGCTGTTGAGACTGTCTGCGATGCGTGCGGGTGCACAGAGCATTGTCCACTTGAGACCTCACTTTGAAGTCCACCACTACTTCCAGCGTAGCGGTACCAGAAATAGGCTTGGTCGCACTACCGTAATTAGGCGCGTCAGCGTCAAGCCCATGTATACCTTGCGCGGTTGTTGACTTTTGATTTCGTCGCGTCACTTGTTCATTCTCCTCTACCCATAAGCGATAACTCTGATGCCTATATAGACTACAGCGACACCTGCACTCCAGCATGTCCCTCCTCCCCTCCATCATGCCACTCCCAGCAAGCAGGGCTCGGCCAAACAAACCCACCCCAGGTCGCGCTCTCGGCTCGGTCGACTACAATGTCGGACTCGCCGTCTTTGGCCAGCCCATTTCCAAACCCCCTTGCCCCGCCCCCAAAGCGGATGTCTTTTCGACAGCATCACCGCGAGCTCAAGCACGCACCAATGAGAATCTTTTTCACCAAGCACGCGCCAAGCGGCCGCTCGAGTCCAAAGCCACCGCCGCCGCCAATCCGCCCAAACGTCCCAAGGTCGAGGAGGTCAAGCGCGTAGAGGAGGCTCGTCCACGCAAAGTAGATGAGAAATGGGTGGCCAAGTGGATCAAAGTCTTTCCCACCTTGACGCTTCACTTTGAGTCTGGGGTCGACGATGCAGCAGGGCGGATGTTGCGCCAGAGGGTGTTGAGATTAGGAGCAGTAAGTTTAGGCTAGGCCGAGCTGACGCAGTCTGTCGATGCCTTTTTCCATCACAAAGTTACCCATCTTATCATCCGAGGCGGATCTTCGCCCCAGAAGAGAGGCGCTATGGGTTTAGCCGACAAGGCCAGGGATATGGGCATGAAGGTGTGGGATATGAAGAGTAAGTTTGAGCAAGACTGAGCTGATGTAGAACTCGGCGAGCTCGTTTCCCACATCTCCCCCGTCGAGGTCGCAGCTGCAGACTCTCTCCGCACCCTCCTCGAGGATGAGCGCCTGCATGGCACAAGGGAACGGGACAGTACTGCCCCTCGCCCGGACCACTACTACTTTAAACCGGGAAGCAAATACGTCCTCATCGAAGACGCCATCGGTCGGCATCGGCCCATCATGATCAAAGAATACCCCGGCGGTCAGCCTGAATGGCCAGTCCTCCACGACACCTTTCTTCGCACCATCCAGTCGGACACCTCACCCGTCGATCGGCGGGCACGGGCATGGTCGCTCTACGTCGAGTGCAAGCCCTATGCGGGTGAGCGTCCTCCCGGCGAGCTACGACGCGCTACTTCCATGCGCAACATCTCTGGCACGCCCGACCTTCCCCCTCCCGCCCCCTACCAAATCGCATCTGGCAATAGCGTCGTCCTTACCTCCAATATCGCATCCACCTCCAACGCCAACCCCTCCCCCTTTACCGCTACCCTCGGCTCGGCTAAAGATCGCGCCATCAAGCAGCTGTCCAAGCGGGTACAGGTGCTCAAGGGCAACGCGCGCCTCGCGGCGGTCAAGCACAATCAGCCCAATGACCTCTTTGCACCTCAGCGACGAGCGTCCACCGGCTCGGCCCCGCCCCCAAGGCTTTTTAGTACGCAGGAGCAGGTGGTTGAGATGCTGAGGCGCACGCGGGAGCCCAAGGAGGAAGTGTATAGCAAGGAGATCAGAGTGGCAAACCATGAAAAGGTTCATTGTCAGGGCGGCAAGGAACAGGACACGGCGGCGGGGTACTGCGAGAATTGCCGATTGCGCTACCCAGATCTTTCAATCGTGAGTGGACCCGCGAATAGGCTGACATTAGCATCTAGCGTCCAAGAAGCACCGGCGGTTCGCCCATGACAATCAAAACTTTGCCGAGCTGGATCAACTCCTGGCTACGCTGCGGCGGCCCGGCGACATTGGCGTCTTTGACGAGAGCGATGAGGAGACGGAGCAGGACGCCGAGGATGACGATGAGGGGTCGGATGGGGCCTCAGAGTAATTGTATTTGTATATGCTATATACTATGCGCTCACTTACTGAAGCTGTTTCCAGGCTGATATCATATTGACATGACCATGGTCGCACTCGATCAAGCGGGCAAACTTCATCAACACAAGCTGCAGCAACTCAGGTAAGCGTCAGACTGGCTGTCGAACGTCGACGGCGCCCGCTGATCTGGCAGAGTTTGGTTGCTAATCCCTCGCAACATCTGATACCAGCCAAAGCGCGCCGTGTCACTGCCGTGTCTCCTGTGTCTCCGGTTCTCGGTAAATCGGCGCCGGTACGAACGTAATCCAGCCGTCACTAACCGTAACATCCATAGAGCCAGATCGGCAAGTAGTTGCCAAGCACTGCCCAGAGGTGACTACCTTCTTGGCGACTCGCCTGTTCCGAGATCACCCGATCAGAACCGACAACGACCGAATGATCACCGCGGCAAAGAGGGGCGGACACTGAAACCAGGCACGGAGACATTCCTTGGCATGTCGTAAAAATACCGCAATCCCCGCACTGTCCGGGGCTGTCCGGGGTAACGCTGCGGCTGATCTGCTTATCTGCCCAGATCTGCCCCATATTGACCATACGCTCACTAGCAATCAATGCGGGCTGGCGACCTGGAATGGGGCGCTGCCAAGAGAGCAATCCAAAATTCGAAATCAGTTGCGGGTACCCCCGCATACCGCTAACTGGCGATCAGCCGCTTGATCTGGGTGCAGCTGCCAAGACTGCAATCAGATATTCGAAATGAGGTGCGGATAGGATGGCGTCCCGATGGGCCCCTCTCGCATATATAACCAGTCGCGGGGCACCCCCTCCCCACACTCACCCCTCACGGCCTCATTCACCATGTCCACTTTCAACAACCGGCGCCAGTCTGGCGACATTGAGGACAAGGCTCAGATCGACATGCTCGAGACCGCCTACGATGCCGAAGCCGCTTCCATCAACGAGAAGGTCCTTCCTCAGGACAAGGTCGACTACTCTGGCTTCGCCCAAAAGACCGACCCGCGCGAGATCAAGGTGGGTCCTTTGTGAGACATTGCTGACTTTAGCTCGTCCGCAAGCTCGACCTTTACATTATGGTGCGTTCCACCTCGGGGTTGAGCTGATAGTAGACTTCGCTGTGGTCCATGTACTGGCTCAACTAGTAGGTCGTCCTCAGTCCCCGCTGACAAGCAGTCTTGACCGCAACGCCATCGCTCTCGCCAAGCTATCCACCCTCGTCCAGGACCTCAACATGACCGATGTCCAGTACCAGACCTGCGTCTCGATCCTCTTTGCCGGCTACGTCATCTTTGGTATCCCCTCCAACATGCTCATCACCCGCGTCAAGCCAAGTCTCTTCTTGTGCTGCATCATGATGACTTGGGCCGCCATCTCGATCAGTACGGCCTTTTCGAAGAATTTTACCGGTCTCCTCGTCACTCGCTTCTTCCTCGGTGTTGTCGAGGCCCCTTACTGTGAGTGTGAGGCTGTAACTTGGCTGATCCCAGACCCAGGAGCCCTCCTCATCATCTCCAACTTTTACACTCGGACCGAAGTCGCCACCCGTATCGCTATTTTGTACACGGGCAACATCCTCGCCACCGCCTTTGCCGGTCTCATCGCCGCTGGCATCTTCCAGCTCGACGGCAAGCTCGGATTCGCTGGTTGGCAGTGGCTGTTTATCATTCAGGTGCGTTGTCTGCATGCTCAGCTGACATCAGGGCTCGGCTACAGGCGTGGTCGCGATCTGCGCGTACCCCTTCCTGCCCGATTCTCCCCTCAACACCCGTTGGCTCACTCCGGACGAGCGACAGTTCGCCCATGACCGTCTCCAGCGCGACAGGGTCGACTCTCACGAGCCTGGATCAGTCTGGACCGGTCTCCGTCAGGCCGTGTCGGACCCGCGCGTCTGGCTCTTCTGCCTCATGCAGAACCTCCATCTGTGAGTATAGTCTTGGCTCTGCTGACTTCAGCTCTGCCAATGGGTTCAAGAACTTCTTCCCCTCCGTCATCGAGACCCTCGGCTTCAACCAAATCATCACCCTCGTTCTCACCTGCCCCCCTTACCTCATCGCCGGCATCTTTTCCATCACCGTCTCCCTCACCTCGGGCAAGTACAATGAACGTACTTGGCACATCACCGCCTGCAAAGCCATCGCCATCGTCGGCTTTGCGCTTGCGCCGGCCACGCTCAACGTGGGGGTTCGGTACTTTGCCATGTGCGTCTTTACCATCGGGACGTACGGTGTCAACTCCATCATCCTCGGTTGGGCGGCTACGGTCTGCTCGCAATCCCTCGAAAAGAAGGCCGTAGTCATTGCCATGATGACTTCCATCTCGAACGCCTCCTTCATCTACACTCCCTACCTCTTCCGCAACGACGATCGTCCCCGGTACACTATCGCCATGTCGGCTATGGCTGGGTTCTCGCTCCTCTGCGCTCTTTGCGCTTGGGGGATGAGGTTTGTCCTGATCAAGCAGAACAGGACTTTGGCGGCAACTGGGGCGCCGACCAAGTATCCTTACTAGTTGGGTCATGGCGGAGCGCGGCGCGGGGCGGGGATATGGTCCAGTAGGGGATAGCAGGGTTATAGGAAGTCGGAATGTAGACACAGTAGCAGCAGAAGTTTGTAAGGGTCAATGAATCTAGGTCTTTCCTGCACAACTCCCTGAGTATTCGCCGCGCACTCCATCGTGCGGAATGGATGCAGGCGAAAGCTTTACTTGTGTGCAAAGTCGTGCTTGACCGTGACCAGCCACACCTGACCGCGCAGGCTGAATCGACAAGGGAAGTAAACCACCGTGAAGATCGCCACAGCTACGGGCCCGACTTGTACACCACGTATCACTGTCACTCGTTGCGACCATTGAAACAAGCAGGTGAGGAATGAGTCGCACTTTGCTAAGCTCAGCACAAGCCCGCAGCTGCTGTGCGCCCAAGGATGCATTTTCCGAACGAGGGCGTGCTGCTGCACTTACCTTTTGCCCTTTTGCCCGTCGCAGAACCGATCTGCGGTCGTGCTCAGCTCCCGTCCACAGGCCATTGTTTGTTACGAGGTACAGACGTTCAGCAGTACTTGGCGCACCTTGCATGTTCAGAGCTGTCACGGGCTATATTTCACCCTATGCTCGGTCACTCTCTGAGATACACTCACTCTGGATTCAACTGCGAATCGGAATCTAAGCAGGCAGTAGTGACAGATTCTGCTTGGGGCGCTGCACGTATAGAGAATATGATGATGCATCTCAACCCCTAAGTTGCAGCCGGAAATGATTTTAGACCGGGAACTATAGAAGGCGTGACAAATGTTCCAAGATGGCTGTGGACCAGACGCACAATCTCCTCGGCGGTGGTTTGGTAGGCCCGCTTGCGGAGACCCTCGGGCAGATCCTGCTGGTCAGCAGGCGGCGCCACAGTGCTCACCTTGAGACATCGGTGCAGGCCTGAGACCAAATCGTTGACACAACGATACAGAAATGGTTTCTCGCCTCGCGAGGCAGTCGCAAATGCCGATCCGATGTTTGCAAGCAGGACTGCATCAGCAATGCCGGCGGAGGACTTACTGTCAAGAAGGGCAATGCGAGTGCCAAAAACGTCCTCTTGCGAGAGGTCGTTCCCCAGATGTAGAGCATGAACGCCGTCAAACAGCGGGTGTGCGAGAAGGGCCGGTGTAGCAAAAAGGGCCGAGATGAATTTGTGCTCGATGGTCATCCGTTCCGCGCCAATGACCGAAAAGAAGAGGCTGATGAATTCGGAGGGATGAGCTGCGAATGCCGTGGCGTCGAGCTGTATCACGGCGAGCATGAAGCGCAACCCCACCTGGACTCGGCCGCTTTCGTCGCTGAAGCGAAGCCAGGATTGGGAACCGAAAGGGCCAATGAAGGTTGTCCAGTCCTGTCATTAGCCAGGCCATGGGGCGACTCACCAGGCGGCGATGATCCACGACAAGAATGGCGGCGCAGTCTGCCCAGCAGGCAGAAAGACGATCGACCAGTTCTGAGCGCTCATTGCTTGACGTGCTAGTGCCGAGGATGTCCGACAGCAGGCGATAGATGCGAGGCGATACAGCCTCTTCCAGTATCTAGAGTCAGACTGTCCCTGCCGGAACTCACCGTTGCGAGTTTGGAGTCTTCGGTGACCACCGGCTGCCCCTCTCCGCCTAGCTGTGCAACTGTCGCCGGGTCCAGCTCAAAGCCAAACGAGCCGTAGTCGTCCTGACTCTCTAGGCGTTCCTCTCTGGCTCGCTTGGCGCTTGCAGGCAGAGCGGCCATTCGCGCATCAAGGAACGCCTGGATCGCACTGACGACTTCCAATCCGGACCGATAGTCCTTGGCCGAGAGGTCAAAGATGCGCGATGTCCAACCTGCCGTCAGCTCGCTCGACACTGGACTCACTTGGATCGAGCAAGCTGATATCGGGATAGACAGGCGGACCCGCCTCCGCTTCGAACGACTGCTGCAGAATCATTTGTCGAAAGCAGCTGACAACCAGTACCATGGTGCGGCGTGTCTCTACCGATGGTCCCGAGTCTAGCTCCGCCTGCAGGAGCTGCATGATTTCGCCCAGACGACTGATGATGGGCTGGACCGAACCGCGACATGCGACCGCGACGTACATCAAGCCACGGATAGTGACTTGGCGCGAGTCGAGGTCGGCCGATTCAAAGGCGATCCATTTGCGGGAATTGGCGAGGAGCCAAACCAGGATGGAAGGGGTAAAGTAGCATGCAGCGACCATGGCGGAATAGCGATTGATTAACTGGGCGAGCTGTCGCGGAGTGGGGGGGAAGAGGCGATTGAACTTGACCGGGCTGACAGGGGTGATGGCCATGATTAACCGCTGGATATCCTTGAGGTCATGCTGGACTTGGTTGGATGCGTTGACCGTGTCTGCCGCCGCGACGCAGACCAAGCGGAGGTACATTTCGAATGCAGTCTCGTGCTTGGATTCCGGGAGGGTGGTCTGGGCAATATCATACGCCACGATCCACTCGGGATAGTCGACCGGTGGTTCCGAGGGAAAGTTGCGGTACTGGCGCTGTTTGAAGGTGGTCCCGAGGTCGCGCGTGATGATGGGGAAGGACTCGCGGTCAAAGCCCCATTTCCACACCGCCGAGAGCCGGACGCACCGCGCCATCATGACGCGGATGTACCGGTCCCTTCCGCGAAAGGCATTGCCCTCGCTCTCGTCCTCGTGGGCGATCTTGATGGTACCGAGGGCTTTGCGGACCAAGCCCCAGCGGGCGAGGGGTTGGTAGCGTTCCGTGGTCCGTCCCTGCTCGTCGAATTGGAGAATGGCGCATAGGCCAAAAGTGATGTACCAGATGCGCTCGGAAGCGATTGGCCCGACGAGGTCAAACGCGAACGCCTCGTCTGCTGCTCGGAGCAGGATGCGGACGAGGACGTCGGGGTCGCCCGCATACGCCTCGACCGCGTGGGATACGGCTATCCAGTAGCACGTCAGGGTATCGGTCATCCGGCCGTTGATCGACTCGCCGCGAAGGCAGATTTTGAGGGGGCGGATGGCCTTGTCGAAGCCGGCCAAGAGCAAAAGGCGGTAGAGGGTGGACGCGGTGGTCTCGACCGCCGCTTCGCCTACCCCCCACTTTTTGGCCGTCACGATCCGGAGCTCCAGAATGTACCAGAGCATTCCCATGATTGTCCCCCGCCGGTCTCGGTCAAAGACTCCGCCCGCACTCTCCACGTGCAATCCGATCTTGGCTTCGAGCTGGTCTAGCTGCACCACGAGGTGCTGCGCGAGTGTTTCGTCGCGCTGCACCGCCGTGGTCAGGAAGGAGACCACCTCGGACGCCTCGAGGGAGACGAGCTCGTGAAGGAGCGCAAAGTAACGCTCGACCGATTCCGGGACCGCTTCTGGGGTTTCCAGATCAAACACGATGCCGAGATGCTCTGCGCTGAGCGTCTCGGCCGTGAGGCTCCCTTGACAAATGTCGACGAGCTGAGCGAGCCGGGGTATGGGAAAGCCCGAACATTCGAGACCGGTGGGGAGAGGGGAAATGTCAAAGTCTGACGAGAACTTTTCGACATTTCCCCATGATTTGGCTTGGCCCACAGTATCGTCGTGCGGCAGATCTGTGCTTTGGGGTGGGGGTCGTCGCGCAAAGATTGTCCGCTCCGTCATGCGGATGGTGGGGCGTTTGGGTTTGGGTTTGGCCTTGACCCGGCGTACACCCGACGGTTGCTTGCGCCGAGGGGCTCTACCGCGGATGATGGTGTCAAAGTCGCCCTCGTGGAGTCGTGCGAGGGTTTGGTTGTCCTCTTCCGCCTGAGAGGCCGAATTCGAGCTGGACTCTCGACTGAACTCGCTCGTCGAGCCGGGAGAGGGGATGCCAACGGGGGAGGGGTCGTGGGTGTCCCTGGGCCGACGCGCTCGACCAGGAGCACCCCTTGGCGGACCTCGTGTCTTTTTGGTCTTGTCCCGGGGTACGGGCGAAAAGTGCTGGATAGAGTCATCGCTCGACTCTTCACCGCCAAACATTTCCGCAATGTCCACCTCGCCATCTCCGCGACGGCGAATGGCTCGACCGGGTGCTGCCTTGGGCGACGATTGACGCTTGCTTTTCGGCCGAGCCTGCGCCTTGTTGGCGGCGTCACGCTCCAGCCGCTTGAGCAGAACAGCTGGGAGCATGCGCCCAGCGATTTTGGTCCGACGGTCATGCGTTTCTGATTCGTCTGAAGAGATGAGTTGGGGGGATTGAGATTGGGATTGAAGGTCTCCCTGGGCGAAATGGAGGGGAGAGGACGGCTACTGTCAGCGAGGTCTATGTGCCACTTACTTCCAGGCGCTCCTGCCTTTCGATTTCGACCCGTCCTGCGTTTGGAGATGGAGACATGTCTGCAATATTGAAGTGCAACGGTGAAGACGCAGGCTGTCATCAGCCACGTCGACGCAACACTCACCTGAAGCAGGCGGTCAAACTCCTCTTGCGCTCGGCGCTCAGCACGTGCCTGACGCCTGGCCTGCTTCTCCGCCCTCACCCTCCCTCTGGCGAGTTTTTGCAAACCTGCCTCATCATCGACCGGCGGAGCGCCGTGCTGAATAAAATATTCAGCACGATCGTCCTCGGTCACGGTGACATGGCGATAGGCCCGCTTGAGCACCGGAGCGTCCGACAGTTCCGACTCGGATTCGGGCTGCGGTTCTGCATCGGAGCTGGGATCTCTAGGCAGTACTAGCCTGCTCTTTTTGAGCCCGCCCTTGCGCAAAACCGCCTCGTAGACTTGGCGCTCGCGAGTGTAGGGTTGCAATTGTAATGCCGTGCGAGTACGGAATGTCCGCTCCGCGCGGTATTGCGGCTGGACAGGTGGGGGGCGAGGAGCTGCATTCTGTGATGCCATTGTCGTCGGAACAGCAGCTGACGCCCGGACAACAGCGCCCGGCGGTGATGACATGACCTGGGGCTGTTGCGAGTTCACGACGGCTGCTGGAGAGTGATGAGCGCCGAGCTGATTATATTGGCTTTCGAAGGATGACGGGGGAAGTCGCGGCGACATGGGCTGCGAAAATGGACGCAGAGGCGACACATTTGCAGGCATGCAGCGCCGCTTGGGCGTGGAGAGTGAGAAGAGGGGGATGCGCGCTGTATTGGCGGTTTGGGATGGACTCCGAGGACGCGGCGAGGTAGTGAGTATGGGAAGGCTGCCGCTGGGGTCAGGGTCGACGGGTTGAGATGAGGTGCGGAGTGTAGGTGTGTTGTGGCCGCTGCCGTGCGACTGCGGGACGGGGGAGGTTTCAAAGACGACGGAGACTTCTGGGGCAGGAACTTGGGCGAGGACCGGCCGAGGGGAGGGCGGAGAGCTGAGCACCGACGAGACCGTGCGATGGGCTATGATCAGTTCAAGCCTGGATCGTACTCACAGGTGTCGGAGAGAGCCAGTGAATCGTCATCGGAGAAGAGGCTGAACTTTGCGGGCGGAGGTTGCTATCGTCAGCCACGTAAGAGGGATGCTCACTTCCTCGGTGGGGGATGCTTCCCTCGCTCTCGCTATCGCAGTGTCCCTCGCCCAGGCATCAAACTCTTCCTCGTCGCTGGGCGGTACGAGATCCCCTTCGGCCAGCTCGACACCGCCTACGACTCGGTCGGTTGACCGCTGGGGACGGGCGTGATGCTTGACGCTGCGCGGCCTGTCGAGGGGACTGAGGGCGAGTGGGTCATCACTGTCGTCTTCGGCTGGTGTCCGCCGACTGCGTCCTGCAGTCTTTCGACGAGATCGTGGAGGCATCTAGGGCATTGCAAAGTGGAAGAACAAGACTTGGAACAAGATCAACTTTCAAACTCATCTCGACGCGTTCGTGACGGAGATGCCCGATACAGAGGGACGGATGCGCGTACAGTTACAACTACGAAATGTACTGCTTCCTGAGCAGCTTGGCAATAGTCTCGAGCTGGATGTTGCTGGTCCCCTCGTAGATTGCCCCAATCTTGGAGTCTCGCCAGTACTTTTCCAGTGGCAAATCCCGAGTAAAGCCAACACCGCCCGCCCACTCGATAGCCGCGCCAGTCACCTCGCCAGCAATCGTAGAGGCGTACCACCTGACGTCAGCTATGCCTTGCCAGCACTCACTTGGCCATGGCTGCTTCCTGGGTGAATGGCCGTCCCTCCTCCTTGAGCCTCGCAGCGTTGTACGTCAACAAGCGTGCCGCCTCAATCTTGATGGCCGCCTCGGCAAAGTCGTGGCCCATCTTTTGAAAGTCACCAATGTACTTGCCGAATTGCTTTCGCTGGTAGGCGTAGGTGACGGCGTGGTCGAACGCGCCTTGGGCGATACCGACCATCTGGGCGGCGATACCGATTCGGCCTTCGTTTAGGATTTCGATTGCGATCTATCAGCTATGGTCTGGGTGAACTTACTTTGTACCCCTTGCCAATTTCGCCGACAATGTTTTCCTTGGGGATCTTGACGTCGTCAAAGGAGAGGACACAGGTGGATGAGGAGCGGATACCGAGCTAAAAGTCAGCGGGTTCAAGGTAGACTTGCCTTTTTCTCTCGCTTTGCGATTTGCACGCCCATGTCTTTGGACATGACGAAGCAGGTGATACCCTTGTAGCCTTTGGAGGGGTCGACATTGGCAAATACCAAAAAGGTGTCGGCTTCGGCAGAGTTGGAGATCCACCTGATGTCAGTGGGGTCGAGGCGGGACGTACGATTTGCTGCCGTTGAGAATGTAGCCACCATCCGAGTCTTTCTTGGCTGTGGTTTGGAGGCCAAACGCGTCACTTCCAGCGTTCGGCTCGCTGAGGCAGAAACTTCCGACCTGGCATTAGCGCGGAAAGGTGTCGACTCACAGTGTTGGTGGCCAAACCGGGAAGCCACTTTTGCTGAATGGCTTCGCTACCGTACAAGCGCAGGACTGTGTTGACGAGGGTGTTGTGGACATCGCAGAGGACAGCGACGGACGCGTCGACCTTGGCGAGTTCTTCCACGGCGATAATGGCGCTGGTGAAGGAGCATCCAGCGCCGTCAAGCTCGGTGGGGGTTTCGATCCCCATGAAACCATTGTCAAACAAGCCTTTGATGATTTCCTAAAAATCAGCGCGATCGGTGTGATACGCACTGGGTCCATTTCTTCCCGCTCGTCCATGTCGCGCATTCTGGGTGCGATGACATCCTGGGCAAACTTGGCCACGGTCTCTCGGATCATGTTCTCCTCCTCGGTAAAGTTCCACAGACTGAGTGGCGTGTCGATCGCGGGGCGAGTGATTTCTTGTACGCCACGAGCGATCGGCGAGGTGGAGAAGGACCGGGCATAGATTGCGCGGGATGGGAGGGACCGAGCAGGGCGGAGGAGTTTGGAAAGCATTGTGGATGTTGAGGCCTGAGGAGAGAAGTTGATTGATGATTGAGAGATGAACACAAAGTTGTCGCACTACTATGACAAGGGCCGGCCGGTAACGCGGTAACCGGTTGGCCGGCCGGACCCTATTTTAGAGTTCAGGCACAGCGTTACGGCACCTCGGGCATCGCCGCAATCCTCATTCCTCAAGGTCAGCTTCTGAGCTTGAACAAGTTGTACATTAATTGCCTACAATGCCGACCTACCTCCTAGCCATCAATTGTGGGTCCTCATCCATCAAGGCGAAGCTGTACGAGGTTCCTGCAGACAAAGCGGAGCCCCTGGCCGATGTCGCATCCCTCAATGTCAGCAATATCAACGCCAAGGGCGAAAAGGTCAAGATCAAGGTAGTCTGGGCAGAGGGTGTTGATGGGAAGGATGTGGATGAGGAGGGAGAGGACGGAGACAAGGTTGAGCGTAGGTTTAGATATGATTAAGCTGATTAGACCTCCACCTCATACCGCTACTCCTTGACCAGCTCTCCCCTGTGGTCAAAAATGAAGATATCAAATACGTCACGCACCGAATGTGAGCCTGCTATCCTCTCCTGCTAAGTCAGTGTTCACGGAGGCACCCACAAGAAAGGCATCATGGTTACAAAGGACCATACTGAAGATCTGACCGATATGGACAAGCTTTCCGACTTTGCCCCGTTACATGTGAGTTGCCCTCGTTCGTAGCTGATAGAACCATCACGCTGTTCTCGCTGTACGGTCATGCCTTGACGCCCTTCCCGATCACAAGTCTCTGCTTTTGTTCGACACTCTCTTCCACGTAAGTCTTAGTGCGAGCTCGCTGATGCAGCAAACTATCCCCGTCGAAACGTATACGTATGCGCTGCCGCCCTCCCCTATCGACCAGCCAATGCCGCTGCGCAAGTACGGCTTTCACGGCTTGTCCTACGCGTCGATCGTCGACTCGCTCGCCAAACACTTGAACAAAGAGCCAAGCGCTATCAACGTGGTGGTGGCGCATCTTGGCAGCGGTGCATCGGCATGTTGCATTCGCAACGGCAAGAGCATAGATACCTGTGAGTTGCATCCATTCAGTGCTGATGGTAGCGATGGGCTTGACGCCCTTGGAGGGGTTGATTGGGGGGACACGATGTGGTACCATCGACCCTACGGCCATCTTTCACCACACCCCCGACGCCGCCGCAGATTCTGGGATGGAGGGTATGAAGGTTACCAACGCAGAGATGATCATGAACAAGTAGGTCACGTGTGGACTTGGCTGATGGCAGAAAATCTGGTCTACAAGCCTTGGCGGGGACGACCAACTTTGGCACCATCACCGAGCGTATGGGCGATTCAGACGAGGCCCGACTCGCCTACAATGTCTTTCTCGACCGGCTGCTCGGGTATGTGTCCCAATACCTGTGCAAACTCCTTGCGACGACCAAAGACATTGACGGGATTGTCTTTTCGGGTGGGATAGGCGAAAAGTCACAACAGCTCAGAGCAGACGTGCTCGAGCACTTTGCGTGGATGGGCGTTACCGTTAAAGCGGGGGGTGATGGTGTGGTGGAGGAGATTGCCAATGGCAAGCTGCGCGGGTGGGTTGTCAAGACCGACGAGGAGGGGTGGTGCGCACGTCTCGCTAGGGATGACTTTGACATATGATCGCTACAATTTGGCTATATCCCTACAACTTGGCTTTCTCCTCCTTGGCCAGCAGCCTCAGATCCTTTCTCAAAATCTTCCCACTCGGACTCTTGGGTATAGCGTCAATCAATACCACGCCTCCCCGCAGATTCTTGTAATGCGCCACCTTGCCCTCGACCCACTTGGCAATCTCCTTTCGAAACGCCGCCGCGTCTGCGGGCTTGGTCGCGGGGACAATGTATGCTCGAGGGAGTTCGGTCGCTTGATCCTTGGACCAGATCCCGATGACGGCTGCGTCGGCGACTTGATCGTTCGACAAGAGGAGCGCTTCCAATTCCGCCGGAGGGACTATTTCAGCTTTGTCTACTCGCAACACACCTTGGAAACCCTTGTACTTGATTAATTCCTTGACGCGGTCCACAATGCTGATTTTAGCCGAGCTTTTCTAGGACTCACGCAAAGTATCCGTCCTCCGCGACGACCGCCACATCGCCCGTCTTGAACCATCCTCCCTCGGCAAATGTGTTGCTCGTCGCTTCGGCGTTGCGCCAATACCCCTTCATCACGCACGGCCCCCTCAGCCATAGCTCCCCTCGTTCTGCATCCTTTCCGCTTTCCGCATCCACCAGCCGCGCCTGGAAGGTTGGCATCAACCGCCCGACCTGACCCGAGTGGGTTCGTGACTCGTCCAACGTCATGACGTGGGTCACCGGGGATGTTTCCGTGAGGCCATACCTAATCAGCGTGGATGCAAAGGGACTCACCCCTGGGTGACCTTGATCCAAGGGAACTTCTTTTCAAACGTCGCTGTGAGCTCTCGCCCGAGCGGCGCAGCTCCACTCATTAGCCCCCTCAAACTTTTGAGTTTGTTGCCGACATTCTTGGAGTGAATGAGGACGATGAGGACCGGCGGGACGACCAGGCCCCAGGTGATTTTGTACTTTTCGATCGCAGAAAGGACGGAGATCTCTTCGAAGCGGGGTAGGATGACGACGGGTACCCCGCGGGTGAGAGGCTGGTGCAAGACAACGCTGAGGCCTAGGTCAGTTGTGTTGTCGCTGGACCTACCGTAGATGTGCGAGAATGGCAGGATACCCAGGACCACGTCTTTATCCGCCAGAGGTTCGTACACCGTGTTGAGCGCCTGGATCTCACTGGTGATGTTGTGGTGACTGGTCTCGACTCCTTTGGCTCTTCCTGTTGTCCCAGAAGAGTAGCACAGGTAGGCTGTGGAGCTCTCGGCGTAGGGTTCCGGTGTGAGTGGCGCCTGCCAGAGGTCATAGATGGATTTGTACCCGGCCGTGGATGTATCGGAGAGGAGGACGATGCGGCTGGGGGGTATTTTGGGGGCGTCGGGGAGGGCCAAAGCCTTGAGTAGAGTGTCGAGTAGGAGCGGCCCGACAAAGATTAAGGACGCGGTGGAATCATTGATTTGGTGGAGTAGCTCTGGAGGAGAACTATCAGCCAGGTACGAGGTAGACTTACTAGGCATAGCTTGCTGGGGATACGACCACTCCGGCGGCTTGACCGCCAAGTAAGGCATTGATCCACTCGTAACTGTTCATCCCAAAGATCAACATGACATCGCCTTGTTTGACGCCTAAGGAGCGGATCCCTGCCGCGAGTTGACGGGCTTGGTGGGCGACTTGTTGTCGTTGGACCTTCTTGCCAGAGAGCCCGTCGATAAAGGCGATCCCCTTGGGGTCGGGGGTGGGGTAGCATTGGTGGTCGCCAAAGAGATAGTCAAAGATGGAGCATTTGGGGAGGAAGGGGGGTGGGTGGATGGATTCGAGTATGCGGGACATGGCGGAGGGGTTGTCGTTGTGATGAGGGTAGAAGATGTAGCCGGGGGGGAGGCGAGTGACGCGGTGGAGGTGTGGTCGAGGTGGCAGCCGCAGTCGCATGAGGTAGAGGTAATGCCGGCGATTGATCGCCGACATCCGGAGTTGGGATTGACGCGTGACGGGAGCTTTGACGGTCATCTCTTTTCATCATCTATCGCGGCTACCTTTTATGGCCTTGCCTTCCAACGCCATAGAGACTGACGCTACTCACTCGTCTTTTCAGCCAAACTTGAGTCACCAAGCACAGTGCTGAGATGCTCCACCACACGACATGCCAAGACAGTTCTTGAGAGGGACGAGGGTGGCACAGTGCTGAGATGCGTCGCCCACGGCACATAGGAGAGAGTTCTTGAGAGGGACGAGGGTCAGCAAGCACAGTGCTGAGATGCTCCACCACACGTACGTATAAGAGAGTTCTTGAGAGGAACGAGGGTCAGCAAGCACAGTGCTCATATGCTTCACCCACGCACATATAAGAGAGAGTCTCTGAGAAGGACGAGGGTGAAGCTGAGCTGAGCTGAGGGGTGGGTTTTTCTCTGGGCAGACTCTTGCATCTTCTGGAGGGGGTGAATATTTCTCTGGGCAGAGTGACGCATCTTCTGAGGGGGTGGGTATTCCTCTGGGCAGACTCTCATACCTTCTGACAGGGGGTGGGTATTTCTCTGGGCAGACTTCGTACTCAAATCTGGGGGGTGGGTAACTCCCTGGGCGGACTGATGCGTCTTTTGAGGGGGTTGGGTATTTCTCTGGGCAGACGCTGCACCAAAAAGGCGCGTGGGTTTCTCTCTGGGCAGGCTCATGCGCATCCAGGGGGTGGGTATTTTCCTGGGCAGACTGTTATCTCTCCTGGAGGGGTGGGTATTCCTCTGGGCAGACTGGTATCTCGCCTGGAGGGGTGGGTATTCCTCTGGGCAGACTTTTATCTCGCCTGGAGGGGGTGGGTATTTTCCTGGGCAGACTGTTTTCTCTCCTGGAGGGGTGGGTATTCTCCTGGGCAAGCTCGCCGCCCAAAAGGGGGTGGGTATTTTCCGGGGCATGACTTTGCAAGGTCACTGCACATTTACCCTGAGCAAACTGATCCTACTGATATGCGCATCTTCTGACCACTTGGCTCACCTCGGCTGGCACACGGGCAGATAGATCCTACACCCTTGATACTTGTCGGCTGTGTCTGGACATTCTTCCTCGGCGCTGAGACGTCGTGGAGACCATGTCCCGAATCGCCGCTGAGACGTCGTGGAGACCATGTCCCGAATCGCCGCTGAAGCAGGAGCGAATGAGTCGCACTGACCCATCCCGCTACAGCGGGGGTGAGGATCACAGCTCGATGGCACTGCACTAACGTCGCATAGGCCGGGGAAGGACGATACAGTCGCTGGTCGGCGATTTACAGGAGCTACCCGCTGCCGATGGCGAAAAGGCCAGGGCCGACTGGGTCGCGGTGGTGGTCACAAGAGGTGGACAAACAACTCGGCGAGTGCGTACGGGGTACCTCGTATTCGTTCGACGATGCGATGACTGGTGAGGGACGAGGGTGTACGACCGGGAAATGGTAGACGGGTCGATGACATGGTCGATATGCAAGACGCGTTGTAGCTGTTCTTCCCCGGATGTCTAGGCGGACGTTGACCCAGTCTGCTCGGTGACGCGGGGACCGATGAACGGGTCGCCGAGCTTTGATAGGACGCGTGGCGACATGCTCTCGAGTCCTCCACCAATACACAAGCTCGCTATCGCTCGAGTCCTCCAGCAATACACAAGCTCGCTATCGCTCAAGCCCTCTGACCGGGTTGATGCTCGCTATCGCTCGATTCCTTCAACCTAGTCCTGCTCGCTATCGCTCGAATCCTTTGAATCGGCCCTTGCTCGCTCCGCTCGCCCTACGCTGCTACCGCAGCGGCCACCAGCACAGTGCTCTATGCGCCACGCAACACAGTAAGAGAGTTCTTAAGACTGTCTCTCCTGTGTCGTGGGTGAAGCTATCAAGCCTGGCCCTCGTGCCTCTCAAGAACTGTCTCTCTCTTGTGCGTTGGTGAAGCATCATAGCCTTGTGCCTCGACGCCTCCTCCGTCAAACTCTGACCTGGCGAAGCATCCAAGACTCTAGCGTCTGACGGCCCAAGTGGCGACATCACCGCAAGCGACCCCAGGCCTCTAAGCGATATGGGTATCGGCGATGTCAAGTCATACTGTAGCCTAGGTACCCGTGGCGAGTATTCACCGCACTCGTGATAGTCCTCACTCGGCTACGAGGACGGCCGCCACCGTGACATCGGCTGAAGCGCTGCCTTGGTGACAGCCACACAGATCGATGCTCTATCTCTTAGCGTTGCGGGATGGACACCAGCAGGTACGTTGAGACAAAGTCCACCAGTCATTGCCCTAATCTCCGCCGTACCTTTGGCGATCATCTGTTGGCAAACGCGCCACGCTCATCCCTTGCCGTATATTTGCGGGGAATAAAGGCCAGCTCGCCGCCGTCTACCTCTTGGCCGTTTTTGTGTGGTTGGGAGTCGATGTGAGTCTTTCTCGCACTAATCAGAACCTCGCCAGCAACGGGGCATTTTACTATGCACAAGAACTGCAACTCTCAAGACGCAACGCGGCATTCCGGAATCCGGGTTGCCCCTCGTCAATGGCTACGCCACGGACGGCATGGCAGCCATCGGCTCCATCCTCATCGCCAATTTCACCACTCGAGGAGATCAAGCCGTTGCAAACGGTAAGTAATGTTAGACGAGGCTAATTAGCGATCTTTTTGACATTCGGTCGTTTCGGTGCCGCGCTCGGTCTCGCCCTCACTACTCTACTGCGCGAGAATTACGGGCTGACAGCCACCTTTTGGTTCGGGACCGGATCGCTTCTCCTCGGTAAGTCACCATATACATCGCTAACGATAGGCGCCATCATTGCCGGGCTTGGGATGCGGGGCTGGAAAGTCATCGGCTAGGCGCGCTTGAGCTTGTCGCTGTCATCAGCGCCGTTTGCTTGTTTGTTGCCTACTTGTTCAAAAAGACATAGCCTCCATTCAAATAAGTCGCTAAAGTCAGCAACATCTGGGGTGTACTCACCATAACCCAACCACGCGCAGTACGGCGCAAGGAACCAGGTAGTGCTAAAGTCCGTGTTGAGACTGTGCATCTTGACAGTCATCGCCACGACGGTCGACGTCAGGGCAACAATATTTCCCAAGGCGAGCTCCTTCTGTTTCGCTGACGTCAGCGGGCCCGGTCAAGACTTACCTCCAAAGAACAGCGGGGTCCACAAGAGGTTGAGCGCAAGCTGCGCATAGTAGAGCTGCAGCGCAGTGTCGGCTTGGTGACTGAATTAGCTTCGTTTGACAGGCACTCACGTCCCGCCGGGAGTAGCCGCGCTGTCCATGGCCTTGACCGTCATGTGGGAGGCGTAGCCCATCAATCCGTACAAGATGGTCCACACCGGACCGAAGGCCTGACGAGGGGGGTTCCCGGGGGGGGCCTGCATGGTCTAAACGTCAGGACGCTCGTCAAAAAAACTCACTGTGAACCAGCTGCTCCTTGCATTCTGGCCGGTGATAATACCGCTGATCGCGCCGAGGCCAATGGGCAATCCAACTGCGGTATCAGCAACACTCGCAGTGCTCATGACGTTCGAGGCAGACGCGCTCTGGCTGGCAGCTACCGAGAGGCTGCGCGTAGCGATAGATGACATCCGCCCACTTGCCTGGCCGTATCTAGTCGCGCTTTCCTCCTCAATCTCCGTACAAAGAAAAGTGATGCCGCAAGCGACTCACCCGCGAGGAAGGGATTGCGAGCGACGTCAAAGAGGATCTCTGGCAGAGGAGACATTGGGGTTAGTGTATGAATGAGGTGGATGTATAGATGGAAGTAGTCGAGTGTTTGCGGAATGAGCGACCGCGGCCAGGGGCGGCCGGCGGGCAAGCGCGGCCCTCTACGTCATCATCGATCATCCTTGTCACGTTCCTCCTCCGCGGTCCTATAAAGCTCCTACTGACACTGCGTTTCCTACTCGGCTGATAGCCAGGTTTCTGTAGCTCATGATATGCATGGTCATCTCACAGTGAACGAGCAAACCGCCGCCCTTCTTCTGCCGAACGGCCGAGCCGAAGCCGACGAGGAATGCAACAACAACTTGTTTTCACCACTCACCCTTCACGCTATGCAGGGCTTGATGGACCATCGTTGGGACCGAGTCGTTCCAATCTTCTCAGCGCACCATCCACACGTCCTATCTCCCTTCGTCCCCGCACCAACACCCGCAAAGATCGAGCCCAAGCGTCCAGCGGCCACACCGCTACCCACCCCAAGCTCTGGATCCAGCTTTCAATCCCAGCCTGCCCCCGCAAGGGAAGACGAGCATGGCTATACCGCTCTGGACCGCTTCGTAAGTCCACCCAAACCTCCGCTGATAGGCTTCCTCCTTCACGCCAGGATGGCTCCGAGACCTGCCAGCCCCACTCTCCACATACCGCCTCCCACTTTCCCCACCCTTCCCCTCTGTAAACTACGCCCCCATCATCCCGCCATCAACGCCAAACCTCGAGTCCGTCTGCCCTTCCCTCTTAACATCCCCTCCCTTCGACTCCCCCTGCCGTCCCCTAGACAGCGATCGAGCCGCAAAAGACTTTCGCTATTACGCCCAACACTTTACCCACCTCCTCTCCCTTCACCTCCTCGCTCAGACCATAGAGGCCGACGGGGCCAAGGTATACTCGACTCAAGTCACCCTCGACCCACTCGCAAAAGACACATTCCGGCTACACATACCTGGAATACGCGAGGACATTCCTCGACTGACCCTGGGGGATCGACTCCACTTACGCGGTCTCTATCCCCTCCTTCGTGCGCCGAGTCAACTAGCGGTCGAGGCCAACGTTGTCGGCCTCGTCAAGGCGCAGGGTTATGTTTTTGTACGGTCTCCTGCTCTCGGCGGCCTCCGCGACTAGCTTACTCAGTGCTTACTCATGCACTCAAGGCAGATGATCGATGATCGATGATCGATGAAGTCTTCATGCACCGAGACTTACAGTGCATAAAGATAGAGCACGACATCAGCCTCCTTCCGTAATAGGCTGGACCAGACGTCTCTAATCTGAAGGGAGGTTCCACCAGTGTAGCCTGAATCAACCGGTACTGGCCACCAATTTCAGCGGCGTGCCTCCAGCGAAATTATCCGCTGACTCGGGCTCGAGGATCACGATTGTGACTGTTTGTGACTTCCGCAGCGTCTGATACCGAAGCTCATCGCTCATCTATCATCTTGTACCATGTCAAGATCCACAGACGACAACCTCAGTACCTGCTGCGATTTTCTCCACCTGAGTAAACTGAATAGACGAAAACGCTCTCGAACGAGATCAGAATTCAACGCCAACATAAGTATGTTCGCACCCCATGCATTTCGTATTCAATTTTGCACTGCTCAGCGCTGAATACAGTAGCTGGAGCTGGTGCGCTGCTCCGTGAGTCAGGTTTCAACCTTGCGTCTCATTCCTCGCTTGTTGCTCGCTCCGCTGAGGCACCTCAGTCTTCGCTCTTAACTAGCTTTCACCCCGAAGTTGGGCTCGGATGTGGCTCCCACTGAGCGACTCAGCCGGTACGACGGTACGGATGGGGCAAGCAATGCGGTGCGGTGCAGCGCTTGAACGCGCTTGGAGATGGCAGATCTGTCAGCTCGGAACATCAGGGCCAAAGGCCGGAGTGGAGCACCTCCTCGAGCACACGAGCAATCATATCTCCGCTTGTGACCCTCATTTCAAGTCAAACTTTCCCCTCGATACCGTGCCTGACGTTGACCTAATTCTCGCCCTAATCGCCTTGACAGCCAGCCATCCCCCTCTGACGTCTCCATCTTGGCAATCAAGCGCGACCTCATACCCCTCAAGTCACTCCCTGTTCTGAGGCTTCACCTCCCCAGAAGCTCAAAATGTGTCCCTTTCCCTCCGTCATCCAGCTCACTGCTATGCAGGTATGCCCATCTCACTCTGCCTCGTTTCAACCTGAGAGCCACCTGCTGACTATCTCAGCGCGCGGGTGGCAATCCTGCTGACAATGGCAAGCCTATCTCAGAGAAGCACCTCGCATTGCCTACCCTTATCGAGGAGAGGCTATCCATCTGTCATCCGCTGAATATGATGAACCTGCTCCATTTCGTGAGAGAATTCTACTGCGGACTGGGCGGGGATGAGGCTGAGGCTGACGAAGAAGTTGAGTCTATACCAAGACTTCACGATCAGTGGCGATGCTGGATCTGGCAAGACACTGCAGTACGTCTACTTGTCTCCATCAGGTGTCCATTAATGCCCTCACCCGCTGACTTGACAGGCTCGTCCAGCTTCTTGCTCACGAAATGCCCAGCAAGATCATCATCCTCGTCATGCACAGTCGGGTGGATGCGGAGCTGGTCCACAAGTTCTTCAGAGAGCTCATGGGTGGTAAGTCGATTAGTCGCCCCAACTCCGATATCCATGGCGCTGATAATCAGTCGAGCAACCACCCAAGGACAAGTCGCAGGATCTCAGCCGAACCAACCGATCCAACAACAAGAAACGAGATTTCTACGACGAGGTCGTTTCCCTCCAAATTCGGGATGAGGTGGACCCCGTCTCCCAATTTACCAGGGTGATTATATATACCGAGGGCGCGAAGGGTCGCGAGGTCTTCAAGAACCCCAACATGTCGCGTATCGGAGCGATCATCCACGACGACTGTCACAAGCGATCGGCCTGGTCGGAGAATCTTATCGCGGACGCGAAGGCTGTGAGTTCTCTCTCGACTGGGCTTCTGGAGATCGTAACTGAGCTGATGCCCAGCTTCGCCAAGAGGGCAACCAGGTCCGTCTGGGCTTCGTCAGCGGCACCCACCACAACTTCTCCCCATTCCGCCATTACTTCCCCCTCCCCGCCCAAGCCCATTTTCACTTTCCCTCCATCCCCTACCCCCGGCGGATCCGGTACGTCCCCACCCGCGGCCAAATTCTCGATGCTTGGGTCGCCGCCGAGGTCAAGGAATACCTCCGCTGCTTCAACTCGGGCAATATCCTCGTCTTTGTCAGCGGTATGCGGGAGGGCGAGGCGATCCGGGACAAGATTCGCCAGGTCTTGACGCGTGACCAGCTCCAGGCGATCGAGATAAGCAGTATCAGCTCGGCTTCTCCCTGGGGCGACAAGGAAACGGCGCTGTCGACCAAGAGCAAGATCAAGGGTCCCTCCAGGCTCCGTATCGTCATCTCAGCCAACGTCGCGGAAAACGCCATCACGCCATTCCACGTCGGGATCGTCATCGACACCATGCTACACAAGGTCGGGACGTACGATCCAGAACTCGATCGGCGTGAGCTCTCGGTCGAGCCGATACCCAAGCAGAGCGCGGAGCACAGGTCGGGCAGGTCTTCTCGAGAGAAAGATGGCTGGGTGGTCAGACCGATGTCTGAGGCGGCGTACGAGGCGGATCTCGTTCAGGCGCATCGGCCTGAGATCGAGACGGAGGAGTTTACCCGCACCCTGTTGAGACATCTGGCGTTCGCGACTCTGAGGGGCCGTCAGTTCCTCGAGCCTCAGCGTAGGTCTTTCCTTTTGTGCGGAGTATGGCATCAAGCTGATACGTTCAGATACTTCCTCTCCAGCTCTTCAACGCCGCGCTATCATCACTCTCAAGCGCCTCGATGCCATCACCGCCGACGATGCCAACTCCATCGGCAGCGTGAGGATCACGTCCATGGGGCAGAAGATGGCAAGGATCGGCGCTTCTCCTGAGGTATGCTCAGTGCATCAGTCGCCGATCTAGTCGATATCGATGAGCTGACCTTTCCAGTACGCCCGCTCAGTCATCGCTGCCGCTGGGCGCGGGTTTTTGCCAGAGATGATTGTCATCGTCGCTGCCAATACCACTTGTACGTCTAGCTACTCCATCACGCGGAATATTGGCTGACACTTAGCTCAATCGATCTTCTTTTCGCGCGAGGAGATTGAGCAACGCCCGCGCCCCAAGCACCTCACTGGAGCGGCTCAAGTTCAAGCGGTCCTCGAGGAGCGGGCGGAGCTGCATCTCGAAGAAGGGGATCACCTGACCCTCTTCAACGTGTTCCGGATTTGGCTCGAACGTAAGTCCAAGTCATTGCTGGAGCGGAAAGAGATAGTGCTGACCCTCTAGTCAAGGCTGCCCGCAATTCGAAAGATGACGCCGAAGAGGAAGCAGCCGACGCAGAAGCTCGACCAGCGGAGGATGGCGCGGCGCCGCCCAATCTCACCAAGCTCAAGCCGTGGGCGATCTTCGCCAGTGAGCACGGTATCCGCGAACCGGCGCTATACGAAGCCGTCGATCTGGCGAGTACACTCCGAACGCATATGCGAGCGCCTGAGATGTGTGAGTTCTCGGGAAGTGATATCTCACTCAATCCGAGTCGAGCTGACGCGCTCAGTCCAAGGTATTGAGTCGAGCTATTCGGGCCAGAAGGATCTCGACGACTACACCGATGCTCTGCGCCTGTCTCTTCTTGACGGCCACCCGCACAAGGTCGCTATCTAGGAAGAGGACGAGCAGTGTGTGGACTACTACCGGATCATTGATGGCGAGAAGGTATGTCTGAATTCAGCTGGTGATTGACGGTTGTCGGCTTGAGCTGATCAAGCAGGTGCCCAGGGTCGTGATGGACGACAAGGAGCAGTCGGTACTGCATGGCGTTGACCCTCGCTATGTACTCTTCTCGGATGTGAGTCGGTTCAAGATCTGCTTGTATGTGACGGCAAAGCTGATAACCAGGCCAAGAGAGCAGAGTACTCCGCGGATTGGACCGTAAGCTTCCAAGCTGAATCTGGCTGCCATGGTCATCTGGAGGCATAGAGGCTGATGATGACAGATCATCTCCCGCTTGACGTATCTCGATCCGGAATGGTATGTTCGATACTTGACCTGACGGGATGTACTTTGAGCTGACATATTTAGGCTGGAGGAAGCTTGATCGTCCGGATCAGCCTCTATCTCGCCCTTGACTCGTATCACCACCCCGACCAGTCCTCCCTCTCGACGGAATCAACGGCCACCCCCGCACCGGCGCCTACCCATCTATACCCCATATACCCTCCTTGCCCTCGAGTTTCCGCATTACCAGCGTGCTTCTCCTATACCCCTATAGCCCTTTACTTTACCAGATACCCTGCCCAAAGACCAACGCCTACCTCTTTATACCCCTTTACCCCTCACCATGAACAAGACCAGGACTACCCCTTTAACCACTTTACCACTTTACCCCATACATTGCGCAAGACCAGGACTACCACTTTAGACGAGGAGGATTGGGCGGCGTAGGCGGTCGGTATCGAAGGAGATGAGGCGGAGATAAGACGAGGAGGCTGAGGCGGCGAGGGTCGGGCGTGAGGTCCAGGTTCCGGTAGGGAGGGAGATCTTGCGCGTGTAATAGCCTGGGCTCTTAGTTGTAATCGTTTTGTATGGGATATTGAGCGGTTCACTGCAGCTTTTATTTCACTCTTACATGGCTGGCGGGCCAAGCCCGGCTGGTGGACATACCGAGGCAGCAGAGCTGATCCGTGCTTCAAATTTTGGCTGTGCACCTCATTCCTAATTTCCTCGCTCGGCATCACCACCTCAGTCTTGGCTCCGAACTTGCTTTCTTTGAACTCGCATTTGATGTCGCTCACACAGCTCGGCCGGCACTACTCCTCAAATGATTCAAGTCAAGCACAAGTGCGGTTGCAGATGGCAGACCTGCCAGCCGAACGGTGACACGGTGTACGGTGGAGGTATCAAGGTTCAAACTCAAAGGGACCCTAGGGATGAAGAGCGTCCTCGAGCACACACGAACACAGCTAAGCGCTCATCAGTCATCACCCTCAAACTCAGCAAACCTTCCTGCCCCTTGATACTGTTCCTGACGCCCTCACGCAGATTTGGATCGGTCGATGAAGCTTTGAAGCGCAGTCGATATTACCCCATCTCACGTGGTCTTCCCCTTGACTCCTTTTCACGCGTATCTCAGCTCTCCACCTACTCACTTATTACTCCTCCTACTTACTGCATCATGCCCTCAACCCTGTCACTTCCTGAGCTCAAACACCTTCAGGTAAGTTCTCCCCTATTTGACTGAACATGATGACACTGCTGACTTCGCAGCTTCATGATTTCGCCCATCCTGAAAAGGAGACTTCTACACAACATCAGGAGTATGTGAGATGGCGATCAGGGTCCAGGCCTGCGTGGGCGGACGATACAGTGGAGTCTATGTTGCGCTTTGTGAGTGACTCATTACCACTCTACCGACGCGGGTCCATGAGTTGACGCCAAACAGATCAAGGAGCACGCGCACTTTAGTATCGGCGGCGCACCTGGATCTGGCAAGTCTACCATGTAAGTTTGTCGCTATGAGCTTATATCCGTTGGGTTTATGCTGATCCCCAGGTTTGCAGAAATTTGCGCGTACGCCATGCCCGGTACGGCGGTCCTTTTGGTCTGTCTGACCAAAGTCGGCGCGAGGATGATGTGGCAGTACATCAGCTTCGATATTGGCGGTGCGTATTTCCAGGACACTGGGCAGACCGCACTATACACATAGAAGCTGACCAAGTCAGTGCCGAGCAAGAAAGCGGTCAAAGCTACCAAGTCGGAGCCGGATGGACGGGAGAAGAAGGAGCCGCCAGAGGTGGTTGCTCTTCGCATCAGCGAGAAGAGCGAGCACATCGAGGAGGGGACTCGCATCGGGACCATGACCGAGGGGATGGTCTTTCGGGAGTTCCTCCACGATCCCGATCTCAGCCAATTTGGCCTCGTCCTCTTCGATGATTGCCATGAGGAGACGGGGTTGATGGATGTTCTGATTGGCCATGCAAAGCAGGTAAGCGATCAGCTGCTTGCCCAAACTCGCCCGAAACCTATAGCTGACGCTCTAGCTCATGTCGAGCGGCAACTCGACCCGCTTTGGCTTGATCTCCGGTCCGACCGAGCTCAGCCCCTATCACCACTTCCTCTCCCTCCCGCCCGACGCGCACTACGTCCTCGCCTCCCTCCCCTTTCCGCGCGAGGTCCGATCCGATACGCCAGCTCGGCCGCCGCGGTACTCGACCTCGAGACATGATCATTGACCAGCTCACCGTTTACCTCGTCGAGACCTCTGGCGAAATCATGGTTTTCAGCACCGGCTTGACCAAGTGCGAGAGCATCAAAGAAGCGCGTCCTCTCCGCCATGCTGTACGGTCTCGAAAACACGGACATCATCGTCATTGCCGCGGCTGTCTCCAGGCAGGAGAAGGAGAAGGCGATCCGCAAGCGAGGCGGGCACAAGCGGCGGCGTATCGTCATCACCACCAACGTATTCGCCAACACCATTACCCCGGCCGGCTTTACGCTCGTGATCGGCATATTCCAGCGCAAGATCAAAGTCTTCGATCCCGCATCACCGTCGCCGCCTCACTCGACGAGGCCAACTCCACCGCGGGTAGGATCGGCCGGACCCAGCCCGGCATCGCTCTTCGTGCTGCGACCGAGGCGGACCGAGGCGGACTTCGTCGCGAATACGGTCCGGTCGCACCCGCCCAAGGTGACCCGGGAAGAGTACACGGCGAACCTGCTGTACCAGCTGGCTCTGGAGGCGGAGGATCATGGGCGGGAGTTCGAGCTTCCACGTGAGATCACACCATCTACAGTACGGGCAAGACAGCTGATTTCTGCTAGATCAACCCACTCCTGCTCTCAAGCTTCGAGCTGTCACTACGCTCAAGCATCTCGGCGCCCTCACCCCCTCCAGCGGCCTCTCGTCCATGACCATCACCAAGACCGGCAAGCAGATGGCGCGATTGTCGTGCAGCCCCGAAGTAGGTCCCTCTGGCTCACATCAGGTAGCAGAACTGATCAAGTACAGTACGCTCGCTCGCTTGTAGCAGCCAGCGACAGGGGATGCTTGGCGGAGAAGATCCTCCTTGTCGCAGCAAATTGTGCCTGTAAGTCGTAGCACTTCACACTTAGGCCGAGCGAACGCCAGCTGATCAACAGCCCAAGCTATCTTCCTCACCGACAGGGAGCTTTCCGCGTCAAAACTACCCCCTCGGATCCGAAAGGATATCGTGGCCGCGCGCCGTAAGATGAAGATGCGCGAAGGGGACCACTTTGTCCTCTACAACGCTCTTCGGCTGCGTTGGCAATGTGAGTCTAGCTTCTTCCACCCCATATGCAACGTCACAATCGCGCTGGAAGCTGATCGTCTAGGCTTGGGCAAGAACGACCGGAATGAAGAGCCGGCAGACCCGGCTGCGGCTTCGGAAGCGAAGGCGAAGAAACCTATCAAGCCGACCACCAAGTTTGCAACGGAGCATGGTCTGCGCGAGGAGGCGCTGTACGAGGCGGTTGATCTTGCCAAGACACTCCGGAGCCAAGCTGGGATGAAGGGGATGCGTGAGTCGTCTCGTCGAGCTTGCGTATCGTCGTCAAAGTTGGAGCTGACACATCAGTCTGCAGCGGCCTCGGTAAACACCACATGTCCCCGTACATCTACTTCAACCGGGATCCCGTTCTGTACCTGAACGATATGCGCAAGAGCCTGCTCGAGGGGCATCCGCATCGAGTCGCTTATCGGGTCCCGAATAGCCCGACCAAGGAGTTTCATCGTATGATCGATGATCGTCTGGTATGTCGTTTCCCCCACCAGCATGACGAGCAAGTAGAGCTGACGTCGCAGGTCAAGGGCGTCCATCTGGAAGGACGGCCAGCTGAGCGGTCCATCTTATACGACTCCAGCCACTCCTACGTTCTCTTCTCGACCGTGAGTCCAGGATTGCTAGCGATTCGAGTTTGGAGCGGAGCTGACTTTGCAGGCTAGCAAGTCCGATAATGCGGATACGGTCGTGAGTCCTTTCTCTCTTCATGGAGATTCGATGATCGGAAGGGGATTCATGCTGATACTATTTAGACCATCAACAACCTAACGTATCTGGACCGAGAATGGTATGTCCACCACATTGCTCGCCCGCGCCAAATTGCAGAAGCTGACATGTCCAGGATCGAGGGAGCTTGATAACTCTTCCTTGCGGTTCTCACCCTCATCACCTCCCCTGACACCACCCGCTCTACCCATCGGGAAAGACCGACTCGCGCATCTTATACCCCTATACCCCTTTACAACCCACACTTTGATAAAGACCAGGACTACCCCTTTATACACCTTTACACCCTTCCACCTTGACCAAGACCAAGGGCCTACTACTTCATACAACTTCACACCATCCTCCTTACCATCCTCAACCCAATGATCTACTACTTCCGCATCACACTCCATCTTCATCATCGGCCCCCCGTTCCCCCTCCTCGCTACTTCTTTGTCCTTCTTCCTGCTTCAGTCCACTCTTTCTCTTTTGTACCTGTTTACAGCTGGGACATTTGGGTCGCTTTTGGGTATTTATGAAAGGGCAGAGACGTCAGGGGGATTGTACCAGATATATCTAGTTGTAGCTATATCTTATGTATCTGCCAAGGCCGTCACTTTGCCTACTTGCCACAGTTCAGAGCCCACCCGGCCCGCCACACCAATGGTGGCCTGATCAGCGCCTGATCCGTGCGTGATTTTTGCTCCACATTCCTTGCCACCTCGGTCACAGCCTCACCACCTTGTTTCTTCACAACTGCGTCCATCATATGCGAGTCATCGGGCCGGACAAGCTTCATGCTCGCCCTTCTATCCCTGCTCATACCCATCTCGCACGAATATGTAATTGGTCACACTGTAGAAGGGATCGCGGCCGAGCTCGCGCCGCCGGAGTCCGCAGCTCGCGTCAACCTCGACTTCTGCGTGCATCTGCATCCTCGACTCCCGCCTATCCTCTCCGCCTCGGTCGATATCGGATCCTCGCTCTAGATCTGCCGCTCCATATCGTCGTGCGGAGTTGTGGTAAAATCTGACTCATGCGTCGCGCTGCTCTGCGCCTTGCCTTCGGGACAGCCAAAGGAGGGCTCGGACTCCGGACGTCATTATATCCACACACACAACGACGAAACGGGGTCGATCCCCAGCTCTCGATGCTGACCGATCGTGCCTGTTCCTGGCTCCATTTCCCTCCCGCTCGGACCTTGTGCAACTCGGACATGACATCTCCGAATGCTGAGCTGAGCTTTCTGTGCCTGATAGGGTGAGAAGAAGGGGGAACGGCGCGCTCGGACTAGCTGACGATGTGGTATACGCCGCTTCTTCTCATCACCACTTCTCACTCATTCTCTCGTCCAACCCTCTCCTGCGCGCCTCTCTCTCTGATACACCTCCACTCACTATCTCATTGACGCATCTCGCCCACTATGGTCCTCACCCCTGCCCCCCAGCTCGCACCTCAGCTTCTCCGCTACCTCGAAGTAAGCCAATTTTTTGCCTTTTCGGCTGGAGTGTGAGGTTCCAGCTGACATGATTTAGCGGGTCGACCAAAGACTCTCGGGTAAAGCGAAGACGCCAGAGCAGCTCGCCTTGCTGGACCTCCGGTATGCCACTCTTCCCATCCGGAAGGAGGAGAATCTGATTCCTTTCATCCACCACGTAAGCCGCTCCTCTCGTCAAGCAGTCAAGCAGTATGGCCGACGCGATCAGTTCAAGACGTATCGACACTTCACCATTGGCGGTAAGCCAGGCTCTGGCAAGTCGACCCAGTAAATTGCTCCCGACCTGATCATAGGGTGTTAGCTGACTGTCAGGTCGACCCAAGTCCTCCTCCGCATCCTGGAGCTCGCTGGGGACGGTCGCGCGATCATGATCGTCGTCCCTGGACGGTTTGCTGCTCTACTCCTTTGCGATAGGCTACGAGCCGAGCTCGGCGGTATAACCCTCCATCCACCATGCTCGCGGAACGTGCTGATGATGTAGTTGAGATTGAAGATAATGATCAAAAGGGTATCGTTGTCCTCCGCTCTCGGGACAACAGCGGTCCCGCCGGCAAGGACGCCCGAATCGTCGTCGTTACGGAGGGTATCTGCGTCAGAGAGGTCATGGGCGACATCCGCCTCGGCAGGTACGCCGTCGTGCTCTTCGACGAGGTGCAGGAGCAGTCCGGCTACTCGGAGGTGTTGATCGATTTCGCAAAATGGGTGAGTGCTCCAACATTATCCTCTTTCCTGCTCCTTCATACCCGTTCCGAGATCTCATCGGGAGCTGAAGCTGATTCCTTTCAGGCGATGCGAGCCAGTGAAACCCTCCGAATCGGTCTCATCTCCGGAACGTCCGACCTCGCTCCCACGCGTAACTTCCTCAATATCCCGGACGCGGCTCATTGTACCCTTCCCGCTCCTACCTTCCCCGTCCAAGTCTCCTTCGCGGCCGAACCCGTCGAAGACATCACGGCATGGGTCATCGTGAAGCTGTCCGCGTTCATCCAGAACCACACCGGCGACATCCTCATCTTCACCAACGGCCTCAAATCCTGCACCGACCTCGGCAGGGCTATCAAGGCTGCTCCTCTTCCCGAGCCGGTCGAGGTCCACCCCGTGACCAGCCGGGTCAGCCAGCAGCGCAAGATCGACGCCACCGTTGTCCGCGCTCCCGACGCCCCCCGCCGTGTCATTATCGGAACCAACTCTCTTGAGGATACCATCACTATCCCCAACATCGGGCTGGTCATGGACACTCTCATGTACAATCTCGCGTCATACTCTACGGAATTCGACCATCGGCGTCTGATCGAACGGCTCGTCTCTCGCGTTCAGATCGAGCAGCGGATCGGACGAGCTGGGCGGACACAGCCAGGCTACGCCGAGTTGGCATGCACCAAGGAGATGTACGACCTCCTCCTCGCCACGTATCCCGAATTGCTGCCCAAGGTACAGACAGAGGAGTACACCTCGACGCTACTCACCAACCTCGCTGTCACGAGGATCATCAACGCTCGATACGGAGACTTTCCGACCGGGCAGATGGAGCTCAGCAGTAAGTCCGAAGCTGCCCTTTGCTGCACATAGCTGACACTACAGATGAGACTACTCCCGCACGCTACGCTCACGCCGTCGCGACTCTGAAAGTCCTCCAGGCGGTCACGGAGGACTCGGCCGGAAACATCCATCTCACCGACATAGGACGGCAGATGGCCAATTTGTCGGTCTCGCCCGAGGTGAGCTAATTTCTTCCGGAAGGGGACACGATTCATGCTAATGTGCTAGTTCGCTCGCTCGCTCATCGCCAGCGTGCAGTTCAACGGCGTCAAAGCCAAGGGCCAACTCCTCAACTGTACTGGAGCCATGATTGTGCTCGTTGCTGCCAACTCCACGAGTAAGCTGTCAAGTGGCTTGCAAAGCTTGTGTATGTTCTTAGCTGACGTCTTACGCCAATCAATCTTCTTCTCTTCCCAAGAGGACGCCGAGGGTCAGTATGATCTGCAACAACAATCAACCCTCATGTCGACACAGGGGGACCACGTCAGCGCATTCCTCGCTCTCAGAGGATGGCTCAATGGTGAGCTGGTCAACATCTGCTGGTATCCTGGCATAGTAGCTGATCATACAGCGCGCGAAAAGGATCACCGAAATGACAGTCCGATCGCCAATACCCTAAAGGCAAGGGCAACGGAACCGACCAGGCCGGCCGATCACGGGCTATTACTCCCTTCGCCGACGCGTATGCGACAAAGTACTGCCTTCGGAAATCAGCATTGTCCGACGCCGCTGATCTCGTCAAGACACTCACGGGCCAGATGAAGAGGAAGGGCATGTGTGAGTCGGTCGTTCTCTCTTGCTGCTTGCGGACTCAGGGGATTGGAATCGGCTTGGTAGCATGAGGAAGTAGCTGATCTTACAGTCCACTTCGATTTTGTCTCGCTCAGCCCAAACGACACGGTACATACCGAGGGCGTAATCCGGAGTCTGATCTATGGTCATCTCCGTAAGTTCGCGTTCAAGCCGGCAGGGGGGGATGTGGGGGAGTATCATCGCTGGAGTAATGGACAGGAGGTGAGCTTGCCAGTCCCATGTTCCGTGGAGGTCGTAGTTGATCCGAGCAGAGACTCTTCCTTGACGAAAAGTCTCGGCTTTACGCCGCTTCTCCCCAGGTTGTGCTGTTGTCGGATGTGAGCTGCGCTCTCAGTGCTAAGCTGCCAAGAAGAAGATAGCTGACGAGTCAGGCGCGAATGCCGCCCAAGCCCGCTTCGCCCAACAACACCGTGAGCTTCTTTCCTCTCCATAGCTGGATCTCGCGAGAGCGTGGAGCTGACGTGTCAGATCATCAATCAGCTGTCAATTACCGATCCAGAATGGTACATTCTCCCTCCGCTTCTTGTAGCCTGGAATAGTGCTGACTGCGTCCACAGGGTCCGACAAATCGAGCAAGAGGTCTTGGGACATACCTCGCTTAGGACACATCTCGCGTTAGGCAAGCAGCATTAGCAGCGGGCGTTCGTAGTCGGTCGGGCATCTTGTAGCGAGTGAAAAGTGATATCTAGATGGGTAGCGTTGTATCGAATAGCATGCAAGCCATGGATCAGCAGACCCAGAGCGAGAGTGGTTGTCTGTGTTGGAGTAGCTAGCCTTAGCCCTAATATTAGCTTCCGTCGGTTTCAGGTTTCACGATAGCTATACTCTTCAGATGCATCTATACCGCATTTCAACAGTCTGGCATAAATTTGATTAATAGCGAGAGGTATAAGCGTGTCACCCGCCCCCGTTGACCAAGGGCAAGATCAATGGTCCCCAAAAAATGCCGTATCGTCATCTGGGCCAACGTCGCGGACAACGCCATCACGCCCTTCCACGTCGGTATCGTCATCGACACCATGCATCACAAGGTCGAGACGTACGATCCGGAACTCGACCGCGGCGAGCTCTCGGTCGAGCCGATATTCAAGGACAGCGCAGTGGTCGGGCAGGTCGTCTCGAAAGAATGATGGCTGGGTGGTCAGACCGATGTCGATCTGGTTCAGGCGCATCCAGAGATTGAGATGGAGGAGTATACCCGCACCCTGTTGATCAATCTCGCATTCGCGAGTCTCAGGAGCCGTCAGTTCCTCCAGCTTAAGCGTAGGCCTTTCCTTTTGTGCGGAGTATGGCATCATTGACTAAGGTCAGATACTCCCTCTCCAGCTCCTCAACGCCGGGCATGCATCGCCCTCAAGCGGCTCAGCGCCGTTACAGCCGATGGTGAGTCAGTGACCATACGTTTGTTAGCGCTCGGATCACCAAGATGGGCGAGAAGATGGCACTGATCACGGCGTTGCCGGTGGTATGTCCGATACTCCCCATGCTCAGGCTTCACACTTATTATTGAGACGTAGCTGACGATACCAGTATTTCGCTCATTGCAGCCGTTGATCAGCTTTGTTCATTCTGCTTGCTGCGAACCTCACTTGTGCGTCTAGCTTCTTCTTACGGACGGTCCCCAGCTAATAGTCAGCCCATCCATCTTCCCATCAGCGAGAAAGCTCTTTCACGCGCCGAGACGTCAAGGCTGGCCCCTCCGAGGAGGGACGACGAGGCCTCACCCTCTCTCGATCCGAACTCCTCATTCCTCATCGCGGGAACAGAGGTTTCCGACACACACGGGGCAGCGAGATCTCTCGGCGGCCGAAGAATCGCCGCAGACTCTGCCTGCGGCGCTTCGGCTCGTGTCGCGTGTTGCTGGAGGAGGGCTATATTACAGTTTGCATGATTGTGATGTGTAAGAGGCTCTTCCTTTCCTCATAGTATAATATTCCCATTCGCGCCCATCATGTCCGCCTAAGTTCATCCGTCCTGATCTCCTTCCGGCGCTCCCTGCTCGTGCTGTTCTTGCATGATTTTTTAAACACTCGATACTTCACCTACCTTCGCCCGTACCGCGTAGTGTCACTCCGGCCGAAGAGCTCGCTCAGACGGGGTTGCGCGGCTTCAGCAGCTGGCCCGGAGCCGGTCGCCGGACGCAGCATCGGACGTTCTCCACCGCCCAGTCGGCCGGGGATGTGTCTGCGAAGGGGTCCGCCGGGTACTGGGCGAGCCATCGCGCCTCTTCGAGCTTTGGGTACCGGTCAAAGAGGTCGTACGTCCGAGCAGAGTCGTACATGGCCGGAAGAGGGCGTTTGCGAGGGCGGGGGAGATCGAGGGGATGGGGGCGAGGGGCAGGGACCTGGGCGCGGTATACCCAGGTGATGTGCCGCAATGAGGGGAGGCTCGTAGTAGATTCCTACGACCATCAGCTTCCGCTGAGCTTTCGGGCGAGCAAGACAACTCACGTCGTTCAGCAGATGATATGTCGCTGCACCATAGCGCGCACCGATGGCGGCGTTTCCCACGACCGCTCCACGACTAGACGCTCGAGATAGTCGAAGCCATCACCATAGTTGGGAAGACATCTCAACGCCATCATAATGGGGGAGAAGCCCCTAGCCGCCGTACCGTATAGAGCCAAGAACTTTAGTCGCTGTTTGCCTGCGGTGAGGTGCCGAAGGAGGTGGAAGGCGTTACATACCGGGAAGTTGCAGTGCTCATGGGCTGAGACAATGAGGGATTGGAGCTTCGGGGAGTGCGGGAAGATTCCGGTAGCGATATCGTCGACCATGAAGCTGCTGCCGATCAAGGTGAGCCTCCGAAGCTCAGCGTAATGGCCCGCTGCGCCGAATTCGGACGGAGGGAGTGGTGACATGTGCGGATAGCCGATGAAGGTAAGTGTGGATATTGATTTTGTTAAAATTGTTGGGTTTGGGGGTGAGCTTTGCCAAAGGTAGTAGAGTTGGCCGTGGTGTATCGATTGTTGAGGTTGAAACTGGTCCCGCCACCGCCAAAGCCAGATCCAGCGCCAAACGCTCCTCCACCGCCGAAGCCTGTCCCTCCGAAGGCCGAACCGGCAGGAGCGACTGGAGTGAAAGGAGGGAGAGGTCTAACCGCCGGCCGGACTAGGCGCGTTGGCGGCTGCTCCAAAGCCGGAGTTGGACCCAAATGCAGACAACCCGAAGCCAGACCCCGCCTGAGCAGGTTGAGCGGGCTGCCCAAATGTCCGCGCGTTACCCAGGGGCACAGAGTTGGAACTGCTCCCCGGGGCTCTTGCGGCAGAAAAGGCGCCGAACCCGCCGCCGCTTCCAGCTCCCCCGCCACCGAATGCTCCAGCCCCTGATCCCGCGGTCGAATGAGCTGCTGCGCCGAACCCGCCGGAGGGTGCTGCACTGGACCCAAAGGCGGACGCGCCGAATCCGCCTGGTCGGACCGTAGCGGAACTCCCGCTCGATCCCGTCGTGCTTCCGCCAGTACCGAAGGCGGACTGCTCAGACCCTACGCTAGAGCCGCCTCCGACAGGCGTGGAGTTTGAGCCTGAACCGAACGCCGACGCCGATCCGAAAGCGCTCCGCCCGGCTGCTGGGCCTGTCGGTGCCGATGGGTGGCCGAAAGCAGACTGGCCGAATCCGGACGGACCCGTTGGCGGAGTGGAACCGAATCCGCTCGTCGGAGCTGGGGAGGAGGATTGTCCGAATCCAGATTGACCGAAAGCTGACCCAGCGGCTGGAGTGGTTGTGGAGGCGCCGAAAGCCGAGCCTCCGAAAGCTCCGCCCGTTGCGCTGGCGGCAGCACCGAAAGCCGCCCCTGTAGTCGACGCAGCTGCCCCGAATCCGCCAGCCGTTCCCGCTGGTCTGGCTGCGGCACCGAAACCAGACGAGCCGAATGCAGAGCCCGCCGCTGGTGTGCTAGTAGCGGATTGCCCGAATGCCGAGGCGCCGAAGCGGCTGGGACCAGCGAGGGGAACCGAGTTCGTTCCCGACACTGGGCCTGCACGGCCGTTGGATGCGGAGTTGGAGCCAAAGGCGGATGCGCCGAATGCTGAGCCTGTGGCCGGCGTCGCTGTTGTCGAGGCGCCGCCGAATCCGGAGGAGCCGAATGCTGACGCAGCAGGTCTGGCGCCGAAAGCCGACGCAGCTGCTGGTGCTGCTTGGCCGAAAGCGCGAGTGGCAGGGATGGAGTTGGCTCCTGTTCCGAAGGCGGATTGGCCGAACCCTGCTCCGGCTCGAGCGGCGTCAGGGAGAAGGATCGAGCGGATGCCCCAGATCCGCCTGGCCGAGCACCAGAGAACCGAGCGAGGACAGCAGCTTCGCTGAAGTCTTTTGGCCGGTCCTGGTTGCGGGATTCAGGCGTAGGGTACCGAGGCCTTTGCGTCTGACAGGGCTGGTGCGAGGACCTCTTGGGCGGCCCGAAAGAGAGTTCTTTCTCCTTGCACAGTTTGCTCATCTGACAGAGAAGGGATCTCCGCGTGCAGATGAGTAGGAAGCCGGAGGAGCGACATGGTGGATGATGTAGGCGACGGTGGTGGAGGGGGGGGGGCGATGGCACCAAGGGTGTGGCTGGAGATCTCAGACTGGTCGGGCGCCCTTCTATTTGAAAGATACCGGCCGCGAGACGAGGAGGGGAGTACGTTGTAGAACCGAAAGATAAGAGGTTGACGAGGAGGGTGAAGGCACAAGGAATGCGGTGCGTGCGGTAGCAACGGGTACCGGGCCCGAGCGCAAAGCGGCAAGGTCGAAGCGTACCTACTACTTGATGTCAAGCAGGCGCTTAAGTCAACTACTCTGCGTCCTTGCTAGCATGTATTGTGCATGATGTATGTACATTCCAGCCGTACGACTCGCAATAGTATAATATGTATCCATCCCTCCCGAATCCACTATCTCGCCCGCTCTTGCCTCCCGCTATCACTTCGCCCTACTTCCCCTCCCTACTTCCCGCCTTTGCTGACCCTCTGCCTCTCCGACCTCCTGGTAGGTACCTTCGCCGCCGCCCTGGCCGCGACCGCCGCTTGATCGACTGTGGGAAGCGCCTCGACTCGGATCGGATAGAAAGGCCGAATGGGCTGGTCGTCGATAGGACGAGCGGCGTGGCAGAAGAGGTGTGCAGCGGAGCAGATGGGATCAAGCGGGTCCGCCGAGATATCGCTCGCATATGCGTCAGTCCAGTGGACTTTCTGGAGGGTAGGGTACTGATCGAAGACTTTCCGAAGTTCGGCGACGCCGATGGCGTGATTGGTGCGCATGCCTGTGGTATTGGCCCATCTCTGGCGGTGCGACCAGAAGATCTGCTCAATGGCTGGTAAGTCGGGGAAGGGGATCTAGCGCGTCAGCTCGGCATGTCGAAATCTCGTGCCAGGGCAAGTCTCACGGTGTCCAGCAGGTGATGGATGCTGCCTCCATCCGCATCCATCTGGATCTCGTCCAAGAACAGCCGCTTCAGATTCTCCAAACTAGCGCCCGGGACTCCCTGCTTCTGAAGCGACAATAGAGAAGCTCCGAAATGGTACGCGGCCTCGCCGTACAGAGCTAGAGTTTGGAGCTGCTTGCACTGGGCAGCCGAGCGTAGTAGGGGGACAGCCGAATGGAACCGCCAGTCCGAGTACTCGTTGGGCGTCTCATCCGATATCTGCAGGGTAATGGTGGTGAGTTTGGGCGAGTGGGGAATGATGCCCTCCGCGAGAGCTTCGACCGGGGCACCGTGACCAGCGAGGACAAGGTGTTCGCGATGGGAAAGGGTGCCGCTTCGGAGAGAGGCTCGGTAGAGATTTCCTCTTGGTCCGTCGCGTGCTCGCCCCAAAAGTGCGACGATATAACGAGACTTTTGAGGTGTGGGACGTGCGAGAGGATGTGAGCGGCGTGTTCCCCACCACGTGAGGTGGAGATGAGCTCGAGGTGCGTGAGGTGGGGAAACTGGATACCAGCCAGAACGTCGTCCCAGACGTGGGGCGTATCGACGGAATTCTCGAGGATGACCGACAGGACCGCATCGTCGCACCCTTCGTTGGCGACGGAGTCTTCCCAGAAGGAGTCCCGCATGATCACCGAGAGAGCCGTGAGCTGAGGAGCGAACCGCTGGATATGGGCAAAGCAGACCGCCCGCTGATAATCGTCGACCTCGACGGTGAGGCGTCTGAGTGACGTACCGGCCGATGGATGAGCGGCGAGGAGGTTGTCGAACCGCTGGGACCGCTTCGATATACCCAGGTCGCGCTTCGAGTCCCTCTTCGCGAACTTTTTGTGAATGAGCTCGAAGACTGAACGGGTCAGCTACCGCCGTCTATGCTGATCCAGTGTTCAAATGAGTTAGCGGAGATAAGTGACTTACTATCGGTTGTCAGAGGTGGACTCCCAACTATCTCTCTCTCCTCAAAATACGGCTTCAAAGCAGGCTCCGCTCCCAACCTGACCGCCCTGCACACCTTCCACATCCGCCATACGCTTTTCGCATCGCCCGTGTATGCAGCGATCGCATGAATGAGATGATGAGGGAGAGTATCGAGGCTGGCCTGCTTGTCGGGCATCGCGGGAAGGGGTGAGGTGGTCGAGTGGCGGGGTGAAGGGGAAGGCCAAGTTGACCGACCAGTCGAGCCGAGAAGCGTGTCGAGGCCGTCGTTCCGGTCGGCGTGACTAGTGCGATTTTTGGTGCGTGTACGCAGTAAAGGTATGTGGGCTGGTATAATGATGAGGGAACCCAGGAGGAAAGGCAGAAGAAGGAAGGAAGTAATTGATGGAGATGGAGGGGGTCGAATCTGCGCCGAGGAATGTGGAGTTGGTCAAAGCGCCTAACTCGTCCACCCCTTTCAGATCCCATGGGCCCGCTGCTGCACCTTAGCGTCGGGTCTGAGGACCGCACTTGTACAGACTAGAGTACATGCAGGCCATCATCATATAGACATATAAGCCCGGTGTGTCATCGCGATCCGCCCATCCCCAGCCCTATCAATCCAGTTCATCTAGAAGCCATACTTCCCTCCCTACGCCTGGATCGTCTCCCCCAGCTGTCGCGCGGATCGCCTGGTCGGCTCGCCGGCATCAACAGCAGCTGCGAGAGCTGATACTGTAGAATCAGAGGCCTCCTTGTCCGAAACCGACAGGTCCTCCGTGGGGTAGATGGGGTCCAGCGGCTGGTCGTTCTGGGGTCGACGGACCGAGCACGTGTGATGCTGCGATGCCCAAACCGGGTCCGCGATGCTGGCGAAAGGGTCTTTGGTCTAGCTGTTGACCCAACTAAGGCGCGTAAGATCAGGACAGTCGTCGAATGGGCTCCGAATTGAGTCGAGACCAAATCCCTTGTCTTGAAGCGGGGTACTCGGACTTGAGACCAAGACGAAGCCAGGAGACGTGACGGCGAAGTCAAGTTGAGTCCTCGTCTGACCGTCAGCTCCTGCCGCAGGGGATGCACCTCTTGAAGACCTCCTCCGGCCAGCCCGTCTTCTCGAAAGTGAAGGAAGATTTGGCTTACCTGGGCTGAGGGCTGAGGGATGATCGATGATCCGTGATTGGCCGCAGATGACAGGCTCGGCGAGGTAGCAAAGACTGAAGGCATCTAGAATGTCAGCGAGGCCGCAATGCGGAGAACGAGAGAATGAGGTCACCTTGACCATGTCTATCTGGACGAGACCTATGCTTGTTGATGCTTTGTCCGTTCCGAAGTTTGGGCTCGTGCGTCGGTATCGAGGCGCGCAGCGGTGTAGCCTATCGGTCAGCTCAATTTTGGCCAACAGCCGAAGGGACCTACTATGGAGATGTCCTTCGACGATCTGCCGAGGCTAGACCAGCCAAACTCGTTCGGCGGGTGATGCTCTGGATGTCAGCTCGGTCCAACCCGGTGGCAAGTCTGTGGAGCGGAGAGATTATCACCAAGGGTGTCTCGGTTCAGAGGATCACGGGGACTTACATTCATCCACTTCAATAAACACGAGTAGGCCGTCCCACGCCAGGACCCAAGAATGAGCAAGCAGTGTAGTTGAGCTTGTTGCTGAGGTCGTCGACAATTGCACATTGCGGGCGCAGGTGGTGAGGAGCAACGAGGAGATAGTACGGGCGGACGGGCAGCTGTGTGCTAGGCGAATGACGAAGTGGACGGCCGAGGACGGGTTTTCGGAATATCTGTCGTCGTCCCGTGGTGGAGGAGATGAGCCGTTTTTCAAGATCACCATTGTACTCTGCGGATCAGTAAACCTCCTTCAGCCCCGGACCTCCATGGGAGAAAGACTCACCCTGACCCCGGATTTGGCTGACGTCCATCGCGAACTGACGCCTCGGAGGGGTACTCGTACGCAGCCGGCGAGCGGACAGGTAGCATTCCTGGTGGTCAGCTCATCTTGATAGTTGCAGATGACAAGACTTACCGGCACTCGACTTCTGTACCCGTACCACATCAGTACCTCCGCCGATGTCAAGGGGACATGACCTTGTTGACTTCGACGGGCTTGTCGGATGAAGCGATCTTGAGGGAGACCGAGATCTGAGCGTCAGGATAAACCCTCTCATCCCCAAAATCTTGCACATACCAATTTCCGTCCAGCTCGAGGTGATTGTTCCAACTCAGTTCCGTCCCTTCCAGTCAAGTTTTCAATCCAAACGTCGGTCGAGCTAAAATGTCAGCTTCAATATCTGGAAAGCTGGTAAAAGCTCTGGCTTACTGGTCCCGCGTCGTATCATTGAGCTGCAGCTGCGCTTCCCACCGCGTCCCAAAAGTCCGCTCCTCCTTTCCCTCAACCTCGCCTGCTTTTCTCGTCCATGATCGACTCGGCTGTCCACCGCCGCCGCCGCCTATTACGCCAAAAGCTTGCCTGTCTGTCGCTATCCCACTCCTCCTGCCCGGTTGCCAGACGAGCAGGTGCAGATATCGCCGAAGGTGTTAGATGCTGCCGCAGAGGAGGTAGTTGATGAGGACACCGTGTATGGTCAAAGAAGTGGGAAGAAGATGGATGGGTCGGGCGGAACCAGGTACCGCAGAATAGCGAGTGTAAAGGGTATGGTTGAGCGATGAAGGTTTCGGGAAGCCGTATCGAGCTGAGACCAAGGGATGGTGAGCAGATATCGTCGTTGATGGGCGTTGGGGTCGGAGCGCTTTGCGTTCGCCTGGAAGATCAGCCAAAATTCTCCCCATAGAGCCAGCCAAGACGGACAAGACCTACGTGGTTACTGCCCGAGCGCGGAGGTCATACTTGCTTCCAAAATCATCCTGTCGAGAGGGGTCTGCAGTACTAGCTAGTATCCTGTAAAGTCAGCAAAGCCAAGAGGTATTGCGACTAAAACTCACTTCTTCCTGGCCCTGAATTGATCACCATCCAGCGAGCTTGTCCCTCTACACGCTTCCCTCCACCGCCGCTTTCCGCCTCCTCATCGTCGGACACCTCCATACTTTCTTCTGGCGTGACCTGACCGCTTCCTCGTTTCCCTCCATCGTTGTTTGCGAATCTTGGCTTGCTGGTGGACCCGTGCGATGCCGGTCCCAAACCGCCCGGCGTAAATGGTGACGTTTGGTTTGTGTAGCCTGATATGAAACCTGATAGACGTGGTGAGGTTGGTCGCCGAGTGAATTGATGACGATGAGGCCGACGCGTTCTGGCGTGTCAGCTGGATGCCAGCTTGAGCACCCCGATTCAGTACGCACGAGCTAGCCAAATCTTAGACATCAAGACTTGAGAGGTAGTCAAGGAAGACTGAGTAGCAGTGTGGCGGATGGGAGGAACTCTGCTTCGGCTCTCTGCTGAAACCACATAGACCGGGAGCGAGGGAGAGGTAGCGACCTGAGGACTGACGCGTCAGCCTTGAACCTCATCGAGATACCCCACTTGACACTCCCACCCGAGGAATGAGGCGAACTCACAGTATTGTACACCATGAACAGGAGAAGACCTTAAACTTTTTGACCAACCACGACTGTCGGGTCAGCCATTCACCCCAGATTCAGTATCGAGTCGATCTATTTCATCTTCCCCACTGACTCGCGGAGAGGCCGCAGCAGCTTGATAGGAAGCACTCACCATCACTGCGGGCACAGTGGACGACATGGATACCGAGTTCTACCTGTTGGTCGGCCGAGCGAATGGGGCGAGAGTAGCGCCGAAACGAATCTCCTGGGTTTTCCCGCTTGGATAAGAAGCCGGAGACCCCGCCTGAGCCTTGAGGTGACCGGCTGGATGGACTGTGGGCACAAGGAAGACAAGGATCTGCGATACCATGTATAGAAGGAGATCAAAGCTGGGGCGTTTGGGCTTGACTTCAGTCCCAGCTTCAGCAATGCAACTGCCACACGGAGATAACCGGCTATTCCCGGACTGGGCTCCGCAGGCACCGGACCATCATCACGTGTCCAGACTTCCTCTAGTCTTCTGCTCACATGGCCATCCAGCAGCGCTACACTCATCTACACCATACATCTCAGCCTAGCCACGCCATCCATCTCGTCGCAATGCTCAGCATCAGTGGCATGGATCAAGCAGATGTAAGTTTTCCTCGATCCCTGCCTCGCCGGAGCTTGGGCTAACCACCAGACCGTCCTCCAAAGGTGAATGCGACCGACTCAATGAAATCGGGATAAGGCAACCTGTGAGGTCTCTTTACCTTCATCATACCATATCATATCCGCGAGAGATCGTTGTTCTGATATCGTAGCATACGTCAGCCTTACTGGTACCTTCGACAACAGCTCTTACGGCCTCCAAACGGTACCTGCTTCGGGACGGGTCAAACAGACCGAGCTCGCCTCACCGCTTCAAAGGTGCTCGCGCGTACGGGCGAGCCGCTTTACTCGTCATCCCACTCCGTCTATGCTCGTCCCCCAAGCGGTTTTTGCTATCGCCAGAAGTCTGATCTGGAAAGCGACAGTAGGCTCGGCGGCGAAAGCGCAGGCGGGAGGATCCGCTCTTTGCCTTGAGGATGGGCAGACGAAGCGAGGTTGAGAGGGAGGCAAGGACCCGATGGTACACGATCAGAGGGGAAGGCAGGTAGGTCAAACAGGGCTGAGCGAAATATCAGGGGTGGGACTGAGCGTGATCGTTGCGCGGAAGGGATCTGAGCGAAGGTCGTGGAGGATTGCTCAGAGGAAGGGCGGGTGGTGGTATGAATGACTCATGGAGTGGCATCACAAGGGCAGGAGAGGCGATCTTGGAAGAGGGTGGACGTCGAGCTCGGCAAGGGATGAATGAAAGCTGATCTTTTTCGGTACCTTTATTCCCATTATCACCGATCACTCACCGCTCTCCCTGTCCAGACCGCTCCCCACTCTCATCGTAATCTTGACCTCCATCCCCCTACCCCTCTCCCCATCGTCTATCCAGCCCCAACGCAAACATCACTTCACCAATAAAATCATCGTCACCGAGCTCAACCCCCGCCCTCGGCTTCGGCGTCCCTCAGGCATCACGCTGGAAGGCATCTAGAGACGTACCCGGGTATAGACTCTAGTGGGCCAGAGGGGGCGTGTCTCTTAGTCATCCGATGATGCGCATGCAGGTCATTGACGGCTTCAACTTTGAGCTACGCGAAATTGGTTCGGAATTTGCCTCAATCGGGTCGCTCGGGTCCACTATTTCGAGGAGCGATTCATCGTCACACAGAGCGCAACAGAACGATATCGCACCGCGGCGAAAGAGATGGAGGAAGGGGGCGATCAGGAAGCGAGCTGCAGAGGCTGTCATCGTGTTCGGCCATCGGAACAAGGCAAGGTTATGGGAAGGTCTGCTTTATCCTCTCAGTAAGTCCGACCCCTATCGGCCTGCTCTTCTTCGAGCCACATCCAGGGTTATCCATTCTCCCTCCGGACTCGAGTTCGGCTTCCTTACCTTCCCCTGATCCGCCGAATCCTTGTCCGAGATCCGAGCTGATCTAGCAGGTGCCTCCGTCGCCCCCGGTACCGCCCAGCTCAGCAGCTGTATCCCCTTCTCGAGGCAAAATAACGAGGAGAAGGCAGCATCATGGCGTCCCGCACTAAGCGCTTGCCGCAAATGCGGTTGTACGACTGTAAGTTGCTTATCCGCGTCTTGACTTGGGCGAGAGCTTTCGAGGAGGCATGGGACTGAGCCTGAGCGGGATCTACGTTCCTCCTTCCGCTGAAACAAGGTGTACAATCTCAAATTGCTCGCAGCTGATCCCATTAGCGAAAGCGCATCGATAAACAGTGCAAGGTCAACGGCCACGCCTCGTACATGCTGTCCACCACCGGCACTACCACTCGGGAACATCCTCTTTGTCCTCCCCAATCATTCGAGTCGCACGCATCCTCTTCCACGGCGCCCCCACTCTGTCCCCTCTCTGACATCGTACGACGCTCCTCTTCCCGCTTCCACGTCGGCCCGGCCTCACCTCCCGGACTTTGACGACCGCGCATCCCCAAAGCCCACACTCACAGTCGGCTCGGCGGTCCCCCTTACCAGCATATCCCTTCAAGCGGCGGCTGCATTCCTTGTCTGGGTGACGCTGAAGGCAACGTCGTCCTGGGCACCCCGGTGGATCGGGCAATGTGGGCATGGACGAGATGGAGGACGGGGAGATCAAGCGAGGCTAGGCCGGCGGATAAAGTCTGCCCAAGATCCGCCGCCGAGGGAAAAGCGAGGTAGGTTTTTGAGAAGTTCAGAGAGCGAGGAGGAGGAGGAGGAGGAGGCGGGCCGCTCCGGCAGAGCGCAATATGGAGAGGAAGGCAAAGGGGGAGGAGGAGCGTCCGATCCGAGGAAGGTTCGGGTGGAAGGAAAGAAGAGGTCAAGCTCCAGAAGAAGGGTCGAGCTGAGGAGGCGGGCTGCAGCTTTCTCTGGGAGATGGCTCAGGTCCCAAGCTGGAAACGGAAGCTGGACCCCAGGAAGGAGTGGGCGATTCCGGCTCGGACGGGGAGGACGAACTCGAGCATCAGCAGTCGATGGTGCGGTATGGCTTCCGCGACTCAGTCGCCACTCACAACCTTTGGCCCAGCGCTTGGCTAGTGAAGTGGACGACGAGCAGACGGTACGTCACGTAGTGGTGACTCAGCTCTTCTGGTAACGGCATCTTCGGGTTCGAAGCTGATTGTGTAGTCGGCCATGGACACGCTTAATGTCACCAAGGCGGAACTCATCAACCTCACATCGGTGGTTGATCAGCTGGACAGGCGGCAACGTGGGCTGTCAAACCTTTGACGGGTGGAACTTGGGAAAGAAGGAGAAGAGCTCACGATGTTAGACCTCGACAGATGTAAGTGTGGACGTCCTATGCAGTCAAGACGCGTGGAGAACGCGCGATCGTCAGGCTGCACTGCGCAAGAGATAATGCGCTGGCGTATCGGTCTAGTGGCGATCGGATGTCATTCGAAACACATGTCAGTACCAGCTCAGGCTATGGATAGCGCCTGCTCAAGCTGATCCCCACAGGCGCTCGTATGGCCAAACATCAACGGGTCGTCGAGAAGCAAGCTCAAGAGAAAAAGGAGGATGGACGCTGGGGCCAAGTAGACCATCATCATCATACATTCCGACCTAAACCAATATACACCTATATTACACCCCTGACCAGTAACGTCCCAACCTGCTCTCTCTACTAACGCTGCCACTACAAGATGCGCCTATCAGAGTCAATCTACAAAAATGCGCCGTTGGTGAAATCTGGTAAAAGCAGTGTCAGCTATACCTGGGCGACTCACGATTACTCATCCATCTCGTACAGCAACATGTCCTCCTCGAATGAGCCGCCTGCGGTTATCGAGTAGTCCGACGGGAAGGGGAGAGGAGCGAGGGATTCCGCGGGAGGAGGTGAGGAGGTATGTGGCGGCGGGGATGGAGATGAAGGAGGTAAAGGGGGAGGGGGTGCTGCGGGGGGTGACGGCGTAGCGGTGGCGTATCGGGGTCGGAATGGCGCGCTTGGCTTGTCCTCTTCCGCCCAGAAGCGCTGCTGATATCTGCCCTTCTTCAACATTACAGCCTCCTTGCCACGGTCGTCGTCCGTGTAGTCTGCACTATAGAACGGGAACCAAGTCTGGCCTGGATGACTTTTCCTGAACTCCTCCAGCGCCATGGCATTTGAGACCCCCCCCCGCACATTCCACATCTCCGCCTCGGTCGGTATGTACCGCTTGAGGTACGCCTTCCCCCCGAGCTCATGCAAGAGTGGTGCGGTGAGCGTAGCCGCCAGGCGATCTATACCGACGGCGTCGCGCGCGCAGTTGGAGCCGGAGGTGGGTGCGCCGTACAGCTCAGAGAGGGGGTTCGTGTCGTCGCCAAAGCCCAAGCCGCGAGCGGCTTCCCAGTTGGAAAAGGTCCGCATGTTGAGCTCCGGGAGACGAGCATGCTCATACCGCTGGCGTGCGCCGTTGATGGTCGGTCCGCCCTCCGGGTCGTACTTGGCTGTGGGAAAGCGCCAATGGTTTTCCATCCACAACCGGTTGTCTGCCTGGTACTGCGCTGGCATGTGGCGCAGCAGCTCTCCGCTCAGGTTCCGAAGCTCGCCGACGTCCGTGAGCTGGGGCTTGAGGGTCCGCGCCCGACTGATTGACGGCTGTTGCGCGTCCTCAAGCAGCCGTATCACGACCTCCTTGGGCAGTTGGCGGAAAGGGGCGGTCGGAGGTAGGGGTGCTTGGGGCATAGAAGAATCGGGGCGGATGGAGCCATCGGCGAACTTCTTGTTGTTATTCTTGAGAGCTCGAGCAGCGCCCACTCCGGCACGGTCGAACAATACCTATCATGTCAGTTCTCCGGCCATATACCGCGCCACACTCGACTCACCCAGGTGACGTTTGCCTCGAATGCCCTCCACATGGTGGTAAGCTGCACTTTGAGTCCGCCAAAGTCGAGTACGAGCTCATCGTCCGTCTACATTTAGTAAGGTCCATCGTATGACTCACCATCCCTACTGCCCTCCTGGCTGGGACCTGATCGTAGAACGTCAGGAACACAATCCGACGGGGATCCTTGGGCGCCGGCTTGTCGGTCGCTTTTGAACCCTCGGCGTCGGCGAGTACGGCAGGTTTTCGGCCGGCCCAGATGCTGCTTACACGACGCTATTCGTCAGTTCACCGCACATCACTCGGTATAAGAGATGGACATACAATATAACCGCATCTCAGGAAGTGCTTTGCGACCGCCTTCTCGTACTCGTCGTGATCGATCTCATCCATAAAGGGCGCGCTGCACCCAACGGAGATGGACGTGTGGCTGACGCCAAGGTACCGTTCGACAATGTCGCCAGTAGCCTCATCCAGCCAGCTCTCCATGGTCCAACCCTGAAGCTGCTCAAAGGTGGATGTGTCGACATGGACCAGCGTCACCTCATTCCCGCCCTCGTCGAGTACGAGCTCTTCGCCATCCCGCCCTTCTTCCGCCTCAGTCCGCTTCCGCTTCCTATCCCGCGCCGCCTCCATCGCCATCGCCGAGTAAGCAGGCTGTACTCGATCCGCTTTAGCTCGGGGGTTCCCTGCGATGGGGTGTCCCCAACCTCCATCGTCGAGGTCGAGGGGCTGGAAGGAGCTAATGCCGCGGGCCGTGGGGGGTTGTCCGGGCGGTCCGTCTGGGCGTTCTGGGGAGCGAGCGTATTTTGCGCTACGGGACGTGCCGGAGGGGAGGGGCGCAAGCGGTCTGAAGGTGAGAGCGGAGGGGTTAAGAGGCGGGGCGGGGAGAGGCGAGGCGAAAGTTGGGTGGAAGGAGGTTGCGGAGGGGTTCAAGGAGGCTTGGGCTTTGAGCCGACCATCCACCGTCATACCGAGGCCGACCGTGCTGTGCGATGGCGACACGTTCGATGCAGACTGTGCAGGGTGTGGGTCGATCTCCATCAACTCGAGAGTTGAAGCGGCCCGCTCGACGTACTCCGAGCTGAAAGGGTCGTCGGCCGCAGAGTACGGCGCTGGAGTCGTGCGCGGGGGTGGGGTTCCCCAGTCTGCTTCTTCTTCGTCTGCGTTCATTTCTGAGTATAATGGTGATAATGAGGTATACAGGCTGATGAGATGGACGCGTTGTCGCGCAAAGCTGGAGCCAAAGGACCCCCCGTCCCACCAAATCTGCTGACCCTGAACAAGAACTGCTTCGCCTTCATCCAACTCATCACATTAACCTATACATCTAAACACTTAGCAGCAGCAATTATCATCATGTCGTGAGTGTACGGGTACCAGTGACTGAGCATAGCTGACGCCCAAGCTACCCTACCATCTCTCTGGACCAGTTTCTCGCCATGCAGGTAGGCTACGCTTTGACATGGCTGACGAGAAGGCGATTGCAGGGGGTAACCCGCACAAGAAGAAAGGGGAAGTCAATCTGCCCTTCTCACCACACTATGCCGAGGTCCACAAGGACAGGTCCAGTCTTCCGGGTTACGGGAGCGTTGGTGACTTGTTGGAAGCAGTACGTCTCAATCAAAAGCAACGCTGATTTTAGTTTGGGAAGCATCGAGCAGTGATCGTAGGCGGAAAGACTGGGTGTGGTAAGACCACTCTGTGCGTCCACTTCTTACCATACTGGACTCGGCTGACCTGATAGTACGCCCCAGGTCTGCGCTATGATCGAGGCACATCACTTCGAGAAGCGGAAAGCCGAGCGTCAGGCAAAGAAGGCGGGAGGCATGGACGTCGACGAGGAGGATGAGGAGGTACCGCAAGTGATCGTAGTGGAGCCGAGGCAGTACGCGGCACGCAAGTGTGCAGACCGATTTGCCGAGGAAATGGATCGTGAGTACCATTCTTGCTAGTCTCAACGCGGCTGACGATATTCAGTCGAGCTCGGCAAAGGAGTCGGACTCCATATGCGCCGTACGCGCAAGCTCACGGAGTCTGGTCCTGACCGGAGCAAGATCCTCGTCATGACGGATGGAATGCTGCGCAACTACCTGAAGAAGCAGCCGAATCTGCCGGGAGTCGCCTGCGTGATCTTCGACGAGGTGCATGAACGGGGAGTCAACAGCGACCTCGCGATTGGCCAGATCATGCAGGTGAGATTTATGATGCCGAATGGAGCTGATGATTCAGGTCATGAAGAGGCGAGAGGACCTCCGGATCATCCTGATGACCGCAACGGGCGAGTTCGACAAGTTCGCCTCCCATCTCGCCAAGTTTGACCCCATCAAAGTCGAGCTCGCGGGACAGGAACGAGTCGTCCACACCATCTGGCCGACCCGGAAGATACAGTCCTGGGAGGACGGCGCCTGTTCCGTCGTCGACATGCTCCTCTCCGATCCCTCGGTCTGGCCGGACGGGAATATCTTAGTATTCTGTCCGGGTGCCGCCGAGATCGATCGTCTTTACGACGGGATGCGGGAGGTCCTGAAGCGATATCCCGACCAGGCCAAACGCTTCGACGTCCTTCGGCTTTTCCGCGGCCACCAGACGCACGAGGAGATGGAGGCGGATCTCCAGACCAAGTACGACCGGGTCGTGATCGACGGCAAGACGGTCAAGGTTCCTCGGCGGTGGATTGCGCTCGCTACCAACATCGCCGAGACCAGCATTACCTTTCCCCGGTTGACCTACGTGATTGACTCCGGTCTCACTAAGCGATCCAGCTTCAACGCTGTGCGAGGTGCACAGGAGTTCCTGACTTGTCACGCAACAGTCAGTGAACTGGATCAGCGGAGGGGTCGAGCCGGTCGGACAGAGGATGGATACTACTTCCCAATGTTCGACGAGGAAACCTACGACAAGGCAGACGCGCACGCTCGTCCGCCTGTCCGCCGGGTCGACTATGCGGAAGTGCTGCACAGCATGATGGCAGGCGGGTCCGGTGCGGCCGATATAGTCGACTTTGACTGGATCAGTAAGTTCTCTCCAGGTCCGTGCTGATCTTCAGGTGCACCGTATCACGAGCAAGTCGAACGTGCCATTCACCTGCTCAGGGCTATCGGGTTCATGAGGGATGATAGCCATGTCCTGACTGCCGACGGGGTCTTGGCGGCTGAATTCGGTCTCAAGCCTCGAGTGAGTCTGAGCGTGGCGCCTAGCTGATGTCTAGCATGCTAAGCTGCTTCTCTCCGCACGGTCGACAAGTATGGTTGATGAAGTGATCAAGCTCGTCGCTATCTTGGATCGTGAGTGTAAGAGATATCGCAAGCTTACCCAACAGTCGGCGGGACGATCTTGGAATGCAAGACTGCCGAGGTCGAGCTGTACATGCACGAGTCCGGGGACCACTTGACTCTGCTCAACGTGTTCAATGCGTGGATTCGCGCCCGTCGACGTGAGTAATGGTTACAGTTAGCGCTGATGTACAGAAGGGAACGATAACGCCTTTTGTCGGAAGACGAGCTTGGTCTGGGCGCAGTGTCTTCTCGCGTACCAGCGGTACCTAGAGTTGATCCAAGTCTGGGAAGGTACGTGAAGAGGAGAATTCTGCTGACGTCTAGAGCACGTCGGACCGGTCGTCCCCCTTGCCGTTGTCGCGTCAGCACGAGACTCGTATAGCGCGGATATGCTAAGGATTCTGACTCTTGGTCTTTCGGTCAACCTGGCATGTCGTACCGCTCCGCCTCGCCCCAATGAGGGTGTCTTGGGCGGCATCTACGCCAGTCTCCCGGAGACCAACGAGAAGCTCAGCTCGTCAGCGGTGAGTTTGTCGAAGCCGTGTGTGTCCTCAAGCTGATCATTCAGTCCTTGCGCTTGCCCCGCCGGACGACCTTTGTGTCTACCGTGGCCCAGTACGTGCTTTACGACGAGGTGAGTCGCTTGCCCAAGGGATGGGCTATGGCTGATGCTGTAGCTGCGGTATTTCCCGGCGAAGAGGAGAACCGAGATGACTCTCGTCACCGTCATCGGCCATGATCAGATTCGCCTGCTCGATCCGTCGTTCCGGGACGAGCCGACCTATGGTCCTCCCCAGATCATCGGTGCCCCGGTAGTCCAGGCGCCCACGACCCTGACCCCGGACGTAGAGGCAAAGCTGGCGGCTCTCAAAGCGAAGATGGCGCCGGCGGGCAAGAGGCACGTACAAGCTGGACTCAAGTCGAGGGCCTATGACGACAAGAAGGAGGAAGAGGCGCGTGTCAAGAAGCAGCGAACCCAAGGTGAACCTTCTGGCTCTGGGTCTGGCGTGTGAGCTAAAGCAGCCGACACCAAACTATTTTCTCGAACGGCGCACTTTTTGTAGATTCTGGGTTTGGGTTGTCTGGGCGGTCAGGTGTAGGGTGGTTCAGGGGTGTACGATGAGCATGTATCTGTAGGCGCTTCTACGAGCTTGAGCCTGACTGGATCTTTGCAAGTCGGACTGGGAGTTGATCTCCTCCTCGACAGCTGACAGACGAAACCAAATTCTTGCAATATACAGTATGCATGGCCAATCTATGTTCTCTACCCTGGTCCTGGATACCCGCCTGAGAGCCTGAGTCACCCCTAGATCGACTTGAGATCCCCTACGCCCCGACCCGCGGAACTCCTAGCTCTTCCTGTGCCGTTTTCCGCGTAGAGTGTATGCTCCGCGTCCTAGCTATCCGATGCATCGCAGGAAGTTGGAAAGTTGGGAAGGTCTTGCGTTGATTTGACGAGGGCAGGTCTGGTGGTCCTGAGCTGTCAGCGCCCTGTACGAACCAAGCTCAAAAACAGCGGATGCCACTCAATCTTTCACACCTCCAGTACCGCCCCGTGCTCGTCGCTCCCAGCCTAGCCCCTGGCCCGCCTGTCTTTTCCTGTTGCCGCCACCTTCCTCGCCATCCTCGGTCCCCTCGCTGCTGTCACTCCCTCTGAATCATGGGGCCTGCCCCCGCCCCAGATCATCGTCCATCGGCTCACTGCTTGAGTGGGCTCCGTGAGCAGGGCGTCGAAGGATCGAGGTAGGAAGGCAACGCCGAGACCGCAGTAGTTCGAGTATGAGCCGGTCGACCAGCGCGCGGTCAACCGGGATAGAATGTCGAAAGGTGGAGGTAGATGCTGGTCAGCCATTAGCTTGACACTAGAGCTGGAGATCAGGCTCAGGCGGGGTGGTGAGGCGGTGGAAGAGAACGAGGATAGGCTTGCAAGGTGAATTGCGAGGGAACTGGGGGTGCTTGGTGGCGCCAGGAGGATGGAGAGATGTAGTAGGGTCTCCTGGCTGGCTACTCTGCATGCGGGCTGGTACTCACCTGTATCGATTATAAAGTAGAATGTGATGGATAAGAAAAGAAGGGAAGTTTTACGGCTCTTAGCGGATGGGTTCGGGTTGCTATGGCCATGTTGGAAGCGGAAGGTGATGGAGTGAGAGTTCTACGTATATCAGTATCTTGATCTACGCGTTTCGGTGTGGCGAACCTAGCGAGGAAGGACGACACTCCATGAGGCGGAGAGGTCGAGATGGAGCGTGTTTTCTTGATAGGCAGGCTCGACCAGAAGCTCGACGCGGGATGCTATGGCGACGCGAAGAGTCGGAGAAGATAGACAGGGATCTTCTGCACCAATCAGTATTTTCCAGTCTTTCGGACTCACGCACATCAAAACATAAGCTTGGGAGGGAGATTGATGGTCGATAAGAAAAGGAAAGAAAAGGTCGCAGCTCCACATTCCTCAAGAAGTTGACGGGGGCGGAATCAAACTTGAAACCCAGCCAAGGTGGAGGTGGTCCGTTCCCCTTTGCTCTTCCCCGAAATCCTTTTCGGGTTTCGGTGCCTTGACGGGTCTGCTGGATGAAGCTACTCTACGGCTATACTCTTCCACACAGTACGACTCGTCTGCAGCCGCTATCTGCATGGCTGAAAAGAGGGTAAGTAGATGTATCGCACAGCTGTCTCTGGGACTGGTAAATGCCTCTCTTTCCCTAGTAAGTGCCCGGGCTGGGTGACTAGGACGGAGGTCAGCTCTGAGCGAATACAGAGGCCATAAGCCCCGTGATGCTTATCATCTCCGCTTTGATGAGGGATCAAAGCCCTGAAATCTCGGTCAGCTGCCCTCCGCCATCATCACTCAACTTTTGCTTGGCCCTGAGTTGACCATTCGACTAGTTCTAATATGATGATGTAACTGTGTGCATACACACGTTTCAGCTTTCAGATCCTGCTCGGGTCAGCAGGAATCCCTGAGTTCTAGAAGTCCAGCACCGAAGACCTCGCTTACGACACGGCCAAAGGAGGTCTACCCTTCGGTGACCATGAAATATCGCTGCTGGATGTCAGTGCGCACAGGCCAGCTGGGGATCAAGGGGAGGAGAAGGAGGTGATGCAGCGTCTCAGGCCTTCTTCTTCGTCTTTTATCACTTATACACTGACATACAGCTCCATTGAGCTACACATCGCAGGATGTGAGGCATGCGGATCTTGCCGCCGGAATGCGGAGCCCCACTGACGATTCGCAGGAACATCCTCAATTTGTCCCAAGCTGACTCATTCCCTTCCTCCTCTTCGGGGCCAATCGGTGGTTTCGGCGCTCTTGGTGCTTCGGGTGGTGGACATGGTGGGGCTGGGCTGCAACCAGCCAGAGCGGTGAAGGTGAGCTTCCCTGATCTTCGTTGCCCAGGAGGGGCAGATGGAACGAGTCGAATCCTCCTTTCTCTGCCTTCGGATGGGAGATGACCTGAGCTGATAATACAGCGGGTGCACTGGGCCGACGGATATTGCTCGAGTGAGGATGAACTCCTTCTCACAGATGGAGGTACCGGTGACGTGAGCTTTCTCCTTCTTGCTGGGCTCGGGTAATCAGTGCTGGATTCACGGGGCAAGCGGAGAAAGGCCAGGGGACGGGTGGGGTGTGGAAGGTGGCGACTTCAAGTCTCGCAGGTCGGCAGCTTAGATGGCAGGGCGAGGAGGGGTCGAAGGTGGCCGAGTATGCCTTCTTGAGGGATGACCGTCTCGCCAGTTGGCTGTCCTCTTTCGAGTACGGGCGGAAGCTATCAATCTGTTCAGCCGCGTTTCCGCCTTGCCGCCTGGACTCTATCCTCCACTACCCCCTCTACTAATCTGCTCTTTGGTCCTGGCGAGATTATACAAGGAGCTGATTTAGTAGCAAAGGTCCGAAGTCCGCCCTCCTCCGCGGCGGGCTATCGTCCGCCCTGGGAGACCCACCGAGCGCTGGACGCCGTTCCCTCCGACTCTCGCAGCTGTCCCTGCGCTGCCAAAGACGACGAGACGGAAGAGGGCAAGGGTCGATGCACCGGTCGAGAGCGATAGTGAGGAGGTACGAGTTGAGGCTGAGGATGTGAGGGGCATGGATGAGGTCGCTGCTGAAAGCCAGCGAGTGAGCTTCCTCTCTGCTGCTCGACATCTGATGACTCTCAAGCAAGGACCTGGACTGACGCATCAAGCCCACAGAGGAGGTGCAGAGTCTTGACGAGCAGCTCCCCGACTCTTCACCATGTCCTGCCGAGCCAACATCACCACCCGCCGACCCATCATCAGCAGCAGGATCTCCGGCGGAGAGTGGTCCCGCCTCGCCTCGCTCCGTCGCTTCCTCGGTGTCATCAGGGCATATCCAGGAAGCGTCAGGCTCAGAGGTAGGGAGTGAAGCTTTGGTGTCCCGGTCATCGTTGGGAGTGGAAGAGAGCGAGGAGGAAGGGGAAGGAGAGGAAGGGGAAGGAGAGGACGGGGAAGAGATGGTTGTGGATACCGGTGATGTCCCTGTAAGCCATGTTCTCGATGTTGCAGCCTTGCCTGAGCCTTGATGTACTTGCAGAGTAGGCAGAGCTAATATGACTCTAGGACGAAGAGAGTGAGGACAGCCCGTCCCCTGCGCCAGCTCCTGTTCCTCGTCAAGCCGCTCGATCCAACCAGCGTCCGACTCGCTCAGCCGCTACCCAAACCCGCCAGCGCCTCCAGATGGTGGCGCAGTACGAGCAAGGCGTCGCCCGCGAACATCCAGAGGTGGACTTCGAGGAGACCGATGACCGGACGCACCGGACTGGGACTAGGAGGAGGATTTCGGTGAGTGGACTGCACCAGACTTGCATCGTACTGGGACATAGTGGGCGAGGGGGACATAGACGGCGACAGGGGGTATGAAGGGAGTACTGGGAGCCATGCTTATGTCCTGATATCTTTGACTGCGGCGCGGATTGTGCGTATGGATTGGGCTAACTCTCGCAGACGAGTGAGAAGGGCGGTTCCGACGAGGATGGCGAGTCGGGTGTGGAGCGCAAGCCGAAAGCGAGCCTGCCGCCGAGGAAGGTCACGACGTATGGTCGTCGACGTGAGGTAAGTGTTTCTACCCGTACCGTCTCATCTGCCATCACCATCGATTGCGGCACTTTGTGGATTTCCACCTTACATATCGGTACCCTCTTACCATCGTCACCTTCTCACAAAGAAGCCCTCCACGCTAGGATCCGCAGCCGGAAGTCCGGAGATCAGGGAAGAGGAGGGTCGGGCCGTATCCTGACGTTTGCAGACCCGCACGCCGCCTCGAAGCCTTCTCGTCGCGGTCATCAACGACGCTTCGGAGCCCGTTCTGACCCCTTCGAAGAGAAGAGGGCATACTGGGACTGACAAGGTGAGCAGGAGCTGGCTGCTCGTAAGCAGCGATGGTGAGCTGATACCGCAGACGCGCGAGAGGACGTCCAGGCGTAAGCAGCGGCCTGAAGTATCGACCGATGAGGGTGAGCAGGTCGGGCCGGTCGCTGCTCCCGAGAAGACCGCACTCGAGAGAGATCCGGGTGTGCAATATGTCAGTGTTGTTCTGGTCGGTCGGGGGCATTAGCTGATGCTTGCAGGCTCTGGAGGTGTGTGACTTCAATGCTGAAGGGGGCACTACTGACAATCGAGCGCCGGGAAGCAGTCGCCGACGAGATCGCAGCCTGGCTGCGTTCGGGTAAAGAGCAAGTCGGCAAGTCGTGGCTGGACCTTGGAGCTGTATGTTACACGCGGAAGTCATCGAATGGCGCTGAAACGTATAGCGGTACGACGCACTCGACCGGGCACTTCGGGTGCGAGTCGAGACGTTAAATCGAGCGGAGGACCACAAGAAGTAAATCGAGCGCATCATTCTCCCCTAGGCAGAGCTGATTGTGCAGCTTCGTCGACAGCTTCGCTGATCTCGCTTTGTCCAAGAAAGAGCGCAAGGCGAAAGCCGCACTCGCTGGTCAAATCACCTTGCCGCAGGCGGGATTCACCACCTCCAAGACCACGAGGCGGGGCAGGGCCAGGGCGGTAGTGGCGGAGGCTGAGGCAGAGTCCGAAGAGGAGGCTGCGGCGGAGTCCGAAGAGGAGGACGGGGTAAATTCGGACGACGAATTCTACGAGAGTGAGGGAGAGAGTGGGGCCGAAGGAGATGTGAGCGAAGAGAGTGGAGACAGCGAGGGAGAGTAGGCGGCTTGGCTTTGTGGTGAGTGTCTTTACAATGCGAGAAGATCAAGCTGATTCACAGCGAATGCGAGTGAGTCTTTCGCCTCTTGCAAGACCAGCTGATGCACAGTCAAACTAATTTCACTAACGGCGCATATTTTGTAGTAATCGTCTAGATTGAGGTGGAACATTGTGTATTGATGGCTTGTATTGTAGGGTGGATAGCTTGTATTGTAGGGAGGGTACGCTTTTGGGGGGATATCGGATCTTTGTATGCAGATTTAAGCGGTCCAGTCCAACTTTCTGGTGGCTCGAAGCCCATGTGGTCCAAGCTTTTGGCTTCCGGGCGGACCAACTAAGCGGAGAGTACATCAGCTATCAGCTAGCAATAGAGCAGCAGCCTGCATAGCAATTTATGCTTTCGCGATGCTCTCCGCAAGCCCGCTGCTCCATCAAATAGGAATCGAGCGATGTCCCTGCCTCTGCGTTGGCATAATAGCATCGAGCCGGGTAGAGAACGATATCACGCTGGGTGCTGCTGGAGGCGCAAGATACAGCAAACACACAATCATCTTGAACCTAATACCAGCGCTACGGAACACCTGCACATTTTCGAAAAAACCTGCACCTTCCAAACCCCTGCACCTTCCACCGATTGAGACTAGAGAATGCTACAAAATGTGCGCCGTTGGAGAAATTAGTTTGGTAACCGCGCATCAGCTGCTCAAGCGAAACCAAGTGAAAGGAACTCACTTGACCTCGCTGGAACCTCCAACATAGCTCGACCTGGTAACGTCAGCGTCGCCCTATTCCGACCGGAGGATACACTGACCTAGACACCCGTTCAGACAGTAAACTTCGCAGCGCCGTCCAGCTTGGATACATCGTAGGTGTCGCGGATGCCGAGAAGGAAATCGCGCTGAACCTGGATGGAGTCCATCCATGCCTTGAGTAGATCCGGCTGAGGTGATCAGCGAGAGCCATCAAGAAAGACAAGACAACAAGGCTCACTTTGCGGTAGTCAGCAAACCCCAGGGGACGGTTCAGAGGCGAGGGGCTGATGCCTTGACGCTCCTGGGATGATCAGTTTGAACACGCCGGTGTGTCTATTTGCACTCACCCTGTTGGCTTCGGCTTCGGCATCAACGAGCTGTGTCGTCAGCTCCACTCCTACTCCGAAGTCAGCCAGCTCACCTTCTTCCACTGGGCCTGGATGGATTTCGGGGGCGACGGCAAGAGACTTGGCGCCGACTGCGAGGGGGGAACCGACTGTGAGGGATTGACGGACGCAGGTACCGCCGCTGACGACTGCTGCTGGATGACCGTGAAGAACGCCAGGTCTCGCTGCGTCTGCCGTTCCACCGGGAGACCGAGAAGTAGCGCCATCGCTTCCTGTTGGAACTGGAAGGACAGGATGCCGCTGCGTTTGGTCCCTAGCCAGTGCTTCGTACCGCAGTCGACCATGTAGATGCCAAGTGGGGGGTTGCAGGGGTCGTAAGGCTGCCCGATCCTGTCCCTCGGCTCGAGCAGGCCGAAGCGGACAGTGATCGAATTGACTGGCGACTCTTTCGAACGCGCGGCACGGGCTGCCTTTTTCCACACTCCGTCCTGGTCCGTCCGCACTTCGGCGCGAACCGTGGCGTCCAGTGGATCTCTGGTGGGCCCCCAACGGTGCAGGTCGACGCCAGCAGGGCGAAGCGTGATAGCGGTCTCCGTGACCTGCCCGAGGACGAACATGTGCAGCTCGAGGGAGATGATGCCCGTGCTTTCGCTGTGTTTCCGCACTGGGATCTCCACATCCTGATCAAGTCCGGTGATGACGACTTTGTTGGCGCGGCCGCGTTTGTTGCTCCGCCAGTCCCGCGATATGGTGTGCCCCTGATGATATCGATGGGCCGTGACAAAGGCATGCGCGTCCCGCTCTCCTGTTTCGTTAGCTCAATCAAGCGTTGATCGGGGTGTTGGCTTACGTCGGTCAAATCCGAGTTGGCGCAGGCACAACGCGGTGCATACGTCCAGCTGTGGGTTCGACTTCAACACCGATAAGACATACCCCCTTACGACTTTTTCGAGATCTGCCTGGAGGGCCTCCGCGACGACGGCGGCGCGACCGATCGTCTCCCCGGGCACCAGGGGTGGGTACGGTGCGTCGCCTCCGGGCCAAGCGGAGTTCGAATGGCATGAGTTCCAAAACATCACCGAAAAGATGAGTTCGTCCCACATCTGGTGGATTAGCGGATAGAATCTCGAGCGCACCTCGACTCACGTATTTCTCCGCCCATGCGGCATGGGTGAGCTTGGTATAGTCGGCGAGCCTGTAGTACCGGAGCTTCGACGCCCCTCCTCCGACCTGGACGATAGTGCGCCACGCTGACTCCGCCGGTTTCAGCGGACCGAAACCTCGCTCACCCTGACGCCGATTGCCGACACCGTTCTTGAAACGGCCGGTGTGGTGGGCGTACACCTTGTTCCCGTACTTTTCCGCGCGCCGGAACCGCCGAGGAACGTAGGACGGGGAGGGGGCAGCGCAGAAGTTGGCAATCCGATTCCCGCAGGCTACCGTTGTCCCGTTGAGCGAGGCCTTTAAGACATCCGCGTCGTTGACGTCCAGGAGTTGGAACTTGAGATAGCAGGCGGATTGCTCGTAGACGGATTCGGCGGTCTCGTCGCCGAGCAGCTCGCCGGTTGAGAACCCAGTTTCCATGAGGAACTCCGGGGTGAGGTGTACGTCCCCCGACATGGCCAAGAGCTTGAGCTGCTCGTAGCTCTTGTACTCGTCGGTGCAGTAATCCTTCTCCCATCGGTCCAATTGGCGCTCCACGTTGCCCCGATGGAACTGGTCCGTGTCACCACGGTCGCTGCCCATAATCCGCTCGACAGCGTCGGCCTTCAGTTCGCGAAGGAGGCTGGCGCGGTCGTTGTAGACAAGCGTGCGGCGAGCTTTCAGGTTGTACCGCAAACGGAAGTGCCTTGGATCATCAGGAATCGCCCTCGCAGTACCTGTCAAACTCACGGGACATTCGGACCGGTAGCCAAAGCCTTCTTCAGCTCTGCAGCTCTCTCTCCCAGACGTAGCAGATAGACCTCCGCTTCAAAGGCGCTGCTGGCGGATGCGACGGGTCCCGTGGTGGCGCCGCCGAGAAGCTGAGGTGCGCGCGCTCTCACTTGATCGAGTAGACTTGCTACCGGCTCAGCTGCAGTTCAAAGACGGGCGTGGCCCATTGTCGCAAACTCACGCAATACGAGTGATGGGCGGATATCTGAAATGTCCTGCAGCCACCGCGAGACGGAACCGTGGCTCGTAATCTTCGATCCACCGTAGGTACCAAGGATCGGCGGCAGGTTCTCCATGAGCGTGACAGCGGTTTTTACGAGAGCCATTGACCTGTCAGGAGCCGAAGTGTCCGGATGGTGCCTGGCTAGCCAGGCTCTCGTCTGCGGGCTCCACGTTGCCTTATACGCCTCGCATAGCTGGTCTACCAGCGTACTCGACCGTATGGCGTCCAGGGGGCTTTCCGAGTACGCGTGGACGGCGAGGATGTCTGCGATTGGGGGAGGAATTGGGTTGGTCGGGATGGTGAAGATGGCCTTGATCTGGTCGGCATCGCCGAGGTCGGCGAGCATAACTTTGGAGAAACCGAAGTAGGGCGTTTTGGACGGCATTTCGAATTCGTCGAGGTGATATGTAGCTGAGGTGAGGTTGTAGTGTAGCAGTAAGATGTTCAGATGTGGATCAAGATGTGGATGGTTTGCGCTGAATATTCGCCGAGTTTCGCCATTTAGCAGAAAGTGTGATACTCGGCAGGTATCCGGCATCTCTCGGCGTGATGTGGCATCCCACCGAGGCGTCATTTGACAGGACTGCGTCTAATATCTGCTTGAGGAGATTGGGAGTGCTGACATAGATCCTCCCTCAATCAGTCACGCGAAGCAGAGGACGCTGGCATGTTCCTCGCAGGCGAGTTAGCTAGAACAGTTATAAGCGAATAGATGCATTTCCTTTACATAGCTTGTTCAACTTTCTGGTCAAGCTCTTGCTCCTTCGCCTCATATCCGTCCGTCTTGTTGGAGGAACGGGTGTATCCCTCCGAATCGTCAAGGACCTCCCCGCCGCCAATTGAATCCTTCAAACCTTCAACCTCATCTGACGTCAGCCAAGTTCGAATACTTACTCACCCTTGGTGACCTTGCCGGTCTCCTCGCTCTCTGCAACCTTCGCGTCCTCCTTTGCTGCGGCTCCATCATCCGCGTAAGGGACCTCGGCCCTCTCTCCCTTGGGAACGAACTGCTCATCGGCGTTGGACATGATGTTTGGGGGTTTAAGTTGGGAGCTTGAAGCTGGGATATGGGTTGATGTGATGTGGGTTGTTGTCTGCTACTTGTTGACCTTGGAGCCTCTTCTCTTATATTTCTGTGCGACTATGACGCAAGTGGTCTAAAGTGGACGTCAGCATCGGCTGATGTTGTCGATCGGGATCGAGCGGTTCCTGGCCGATCTAGATGACGTGATGCGTTTCAGATTCATTCGTGTGTTTCAGTCACCGTCACTCGGGAGACCGCTCATGGCGTGGAGTATGGACACCGGGCAGTCCGGTCTCGTCCGCGCCAGTGGGTCGCAGACTCAGACGAGACGCATGCGGATCTTCGAAACTCATTCCTCCGGCGCACGATGGCTGGAATCGTGGAGCCCCGCGAGGTCACCTCTACATTCCAACGCATGTACAGCTCTAAACGATACATGACCCAAACCTACTTGGCTGCCTTCTTTTTTATCAACCGCTGCTTCTCCGCCTTGGGCATCTTGGTCTTTCGCTTCTCCCTATTCTCCTCCTTGACTGCCTTTTTACGCTCCTTCTTATCGTCCCTATCTTCATGCCGAAAGCCGCGTGGTCGTGTTTCGCCGACATCGCCGTCGCTCGACGCTTCATCCTCGACTTCGACAGCGTCGCCTGTTATTGGTGCCTTTGGTCAGCCCGCCCAGGTCTAGACTCACCTCCACTTTCGACCCCACCCCCAATCCAGCCATCTCCGCATAGATCAACTCGTCTCCCCGCCCCGCATTCACCAAACCCACATCCCGCTCCGGATCATACACCTCGCCAAGACTCCTCGGGATGAATGACGCCATGAACACCGCATCATCGATAGGATCGTGCGGTTCCTCCAGCAAAGCCCTCACGCTGGATTCCGCATTCTCGTGCTTGGATCCAGTGATAAACTCCCAGGCCCGCTTCGATCCCAACGTCTTGACACCCTTCTTGCTGAAGAACGCCTCGACATTTCCAATGTCATGGCGAAGAAAGTCGAAAGCGCGTGGGTGGTCCTCTTCGACCGACTGAGACACGTCGATAATGAAAATATGGTCTTGGTGATACCTGCATGAGCTCCTTCTAGCCCCGACTCACAATAAGTTGTATTCGCTCAGATCCGCATGCACCAGTTTGCATTCTCGAAACATGCAGCGCACGCTCACCAGCAGCTCAGCATAGAGCTCCTGACACCGCTCCTGGGACAGTTCCGCATCTTTCAATCGTGGTGAAGCCCTAATCAGCCTCGCCTCAGTCCAACTCACTCTTCTCCAACACCCAAATACTCCATCACCAGGACATTCTGCTTGACCTCGATAGCCTTTGGCGAGCGTACGCCCCCCTGCTCCAACCGCCTCAGATTCCGCATCTCCTTCTCAGCCCAAACGCGAACCATCTTCCGTGGATTCCGGGAAGACGTATACTCGCCGCGGAACCGATGTTCCCCATCCATATACGATTGTCTCGAGCGAAACGCCAGGATAGAGGTACGATACACCTTGACAGCTAGCGGCGAAGACGAGCTGGACGATGGAGAGGCGTGATATACATTTGCCTAAATTAGCCCCGTCTCGTCTCCACGTACCTCTTTACCGGTACTGATACACCTATTGATCTTGCCAATGACATCGCGATTGACAAGGCCAGTCAATACCAGCCTCGTCCGCGAGTCGAGCACCTGCTCCAAGGTCGCCCTGTCGCTCTTGTCCTTATCGTGTGAATCAGATGCCTTTTTAGGATTGAGTGCCACCCCGCCGGCTCGAGCTTGATTTCGCGCGGGCAACATGGCTCCCACTGCGGTCCCCACTGCTTGCTGTCGCATCCGATTGTACTGCTTGGTAAAGTCTGATCAGCCCAGTCGGTCGCAAACCCACCTCCAGTAGCCAAATCCCAATCCTCTCCCTGCGCATCCCACTCCTCCCCCTCGCTCTCCGATTCCGCCAGACTCTCCTCGGTGACATCCTCCTCAATACTGGAGCCAGACTCATACGCCCCGTCCGGCACTGCGGCAGGCGCAGGCGCAGCTTCGTCAATGTAGCCTCGGCCGTCGCGAGATTCAGTCATAATGTATGGATGCAAAACTTGTCGCCACCCAACATGTCAAATCACGTAACTACATAATCTATCTACTCGGTGGTCTCGACGGTCCTGGCGTTGCATTCACAGCAGGCATAAAGTGAAAGCGCAGACGGTGGAGCTACCGTCAGCAGAGCTCATCGCGACACTCACAATAGGGAGTTTTGGAAACAAGACAAAGACAAGCGCGGCGAAATTCAGCGTGAATAGTACCGGATCGTATTTAGTGTAATGTGTCGATATCAGAAACCTGCCATCAGCACGGCCTTCCTTGCGACGTACAGTCCTATTGGCACACTGGTCAACCACTTCTTGGCCGGCGTGTAATGCGCCCCCGAGTCAATCTGCTCCCACAAGGTATACTCGTCATACACCCCGCCCGTGGTCATCCTGACATCAGCAACGCTCCCCCGACACTCACGTCGACTCGAAGGGTACGCCAGTGACATGGTGGAACATCAGAAAGGACAACTGCCATCAGCCCAGCCTCACCCGCCACCTACAGCCATGTACGCCAGATTGACGACGGTCCAGCTGACATCCTGCGTCATGCTTGGAAGCGCATCGACCAAAATCTTGACCAGCAGTATCAGGATAGGATGCATGATCCATGCACCTGACGTCAGCCAGCCCAGCCTCGTACATACCTGGCGCATTGACCCAAGCAGCATTCTCATTCGTACCCATGCCCGAGCGATCGACGACATTCTCAAATTCATCCCCGCCCACCTCCGTCACCGTCATCAGACTGGAGCTTCGAGCGCGCCCATGCGTGTTTATTGCCTCTATCGATTTGGTGGTCCGCAGCACCGAGTTTGATGATTGAGCGCGTGATACGCTCAACCTCGCTGGCTTGCTTTGGGTGGCACGAGCGATAATGTCCTGAGAAACACCATCGCGAATGGGCTGTGAGACTGACCGAGCTCTCCCCGATGGCTGTGGACCTGGCACCGTCGACATCGCCTCGGAGATGACAGGGAGTAGGGATATAGTGAAGGGCGAAATGATGGCTGTTGATGATGGATGTATGATGGTGAACCAATAATGAAGAGTTATATTAGTGGGACGTCCGCAGCAAGGGACGGAACCAAATTTGGTCGCCTCCGCTTCTGTTGAGCTCAGTATTCCCACTTATCATACATACCACAGCCATGGAGTGAGCCCAAGCATAGACCCCGCTGACAGACCAGATCACTCTCTCCAGAATGTACTCCGCTCAAGCACCGATACGACTCGTGCTTCAACTCTTGGTTTGAGGGTTATCTCCAGCCGGCTTTGGACGCAGACCCCTCCAGATTCACCCATCTCAACGACACACCTTATACGCCCCCTTCACAGCCAGTAGCGGGCCCCTCCAAGCCATTAGAGCAGCGACGAATCGTCACCAATTGGTCGGCGGCTTTCCCTGCCCGCACGGCCGCCCCACAGCCCATTGCTCCCGAAACACAACCCTCAGCACCGGACGACCCCGTCGAGGCCGTCCGCCACACCCCCTACATTGCCGATACCAAAGGCAAATCTCGCAATCAAATCAAGGCGGAAGAATATGAGCAGCGATGTGGATCCGCGTGGCGCAGCTACCAGAGCTGCCTCAAGGCAAGTCTCACCTGATGTCTGCGGCTAATCCATAGGGAGCAATACAAAAGAATCAAAATCTGTCGACATTATTGGAGCAAGCGCGAGAGGAGCACCCGCTGAGAGATCAGAATGGGCTGAGCGGGACGGTATGGGGGGCGGATTATACCTCAGAAGGGAAATAGAACTGGATTATGGAACTCTGGGGTTGGGATTATGGAGCGGCCTAGATTCAGAGTCCAGACTCTGACGATACGTTCGTTGCCGTGGTAAAGCGTCAAGCCTTCGCATACTCGCCGCGCGGAACAGCCGCAGTACCGCTTGAGAGTACATATAGCGAGCCAAGTCAGACGCACGGACTGGACCTGCTTTAACGCTCAACTTGACTCCGCATTCCTCGTTCATCCACCTCATTACCTCTCGGCGACCACTCCCTTCCCATGCTGGCCAGCCTCAGCCAGCTCGACCAGATATGGCGCCTCGCCCAGGCGGTCACTCCTGTAAACTACGTGAGCAGGCTCTATCGCCGGCGCTGACGCGCAGCTCCCTTTCATCTTCCGCCTGATCGCATTCCTAATTGCATTTCCCTTTGCACTGTTCATCGCGCTAGATGCCATTGCCTATGGTACGTACCGCCATGGCCATCCTCTGACCCGTAGGGATCGCTCGAACACTCCACCTATCCACATCCCAGCGCCGCGTACCTCGGTCACCCCTCTCCATCAACTCCCTCCCCTTGAATCCAGACAGTCACGTTGACTACTCTGGCGGAGTCACGCCCGCAGACAGCGAGGACGACCAGGAGCCCACATATCTCGACGGCGTATCCGCTCGTCTCCTCGAGCTACCGCACCTGTCCGACTCAACGCAAGGCCCCATACTGCTCGAGCCCCCAATCCAAACCGTTGGACGATAGTTCGTCCAGATCATAAAGTTGTACATGTGCATAGAATAGAGGGTTGGGTCGGGTGGACAAATTGGTGAGCTTAAGAGCCGCGCTGACTACGCAAGCAGCTCCAGCCGGTATGGAAGTACTAACCACGACTCACTAGGGTATCTGTTGGCACTCCGCGAGTATGGGAAGAGATCAGCCAGCCCGTTCGTTGGAACGTGACAGAGCGAATATGTTCTGACGGCCAGGCATGTCTCTCATCCGTCGAGGTCGATCCCGGCCTCTTCTTTTCGAGCGAGGCGAGTGCGAGAAGCAGACGCATACTATCTAGGCCTCACCCTGAAGATATCACACCACTGGTGCTTGAGTGACCACGAAAGGCTGATCTCCCCTCACTACGACCTCAAGCAATGCCGGTCTGCAGAGATCCAAAGCGGCACGCGCGATCGGCTGGCAGTGCTCAAAGCAGCACCTAGGACCGGTCGGGATGAGGCAGTCAATACATGATAGGGGATTGGTCAGGACGGTGAGAATCCACCCCGGTCAGCTGCACTGAACCCTCGGCGGGCCAAGTCAAGACGCTACTTTACAGCGCCAAGCGAGCAGCCGCGCCTATCCTGCGCCCAGAGATGGTGTGGACGCGGTGACCGGGTCCTACGCTGTGCTTATCTATTGATCGTGTACACCGGTCCCACTGTGCCCCACAGATGAGAAGGCATGGATACTGACGGAAGCCACGCCGAACGATCGGGCCGCCACGACCGACGGCGGGTAAGGCAAGACAGCATGGTCGCGCTTCAGCTCACCTTCGCTGCCAACGCTGATATACGGATCTGCGCCAAATCAGGAGGCAATCGTCTTTTGGTGGAGTGGGTTCGCCTGCGCGACGTCTGGTAGAGCCGAAAGGGAGAGCAGTGGAAGGAACAGGACAACTTCCGTGCGCTGACCCTCACAGCCTGGAATCGATCTTGCCGGGCCGTTCGCAAGTAAAGAAGCCGTCAAGGTCAGCGAGGAGCTGATCAGCCACAGCATGACACCACGTAACTTCAGCTCATTCGCACTGACTGATGCGGTGCATTTTTCGAATATAGGCATTCCCATGGCTGGGCTTGTGAGCTGCTTGGACTATCACTGACGCCCCAGGGAGAGCTAGCTAACGACCAGGGCACGATATAATCCCTCGAGCGACAAAATGTCCGGCATCCGTGACAGATTACGAGTGGAGTACGCGTGCACAGGTCGGCGGCTGTCATGGTGAAGGACAGGGTGATGTGATCAGAAGAATGGTAGTGGAGCGTGCGAGGTCTTGTGGATGATTGAGCTGGACAAGCCGGTCTTTGGGTGAGGTGGCAGGTTATGATGTATGCGGCTGACTTCTGACAGCTAGATCCTGGGCTTGGGGCAAGGACGCCTGGCTCAGTGGGGAACCCCTTATAGATATCTGTCTGCATCATTTCCGGCCTGGTGATTTCAGGCCTGATGAGCTGCAGTGACGTCTCTGATCACTCGGAGTCATCAACGACAGGTCATATCGCCGATGTGACAAAATGAGAAAACAACCTGCGGACCACAGTGAACCATTGCGAAACTGAATTGCGAGCCGGGATGTCTACTGAACTCTCTGACGGCAGGCGCAGAGGGCCGAGGTGGCACGAACCAATGCAGGTCCCAGCTGGGTGTGGAGTATCGCCGAAGGGGCCGCAAGAGCGGTGGGAGCCAGAACCACGATCTCCTCAAGGTTGGGACTTCAGACGGCGTGGACGGTGACTGATGGTAGAGAGACTATCTTAGACTAGCTGGAGGGAATGAGAGTCTATTCTCTGGACAGGTATATGGACGGAGATCGACGAATGGTGACTGAGTGGACACCGAGGTGTCTCGAGACTTGTGAGACGTGAAGGTGTGCAAGGCAAGGGCTACAATGAGCTGAGCTAGATGTAGACCAAGGAATGTGCATAAGATCGCTTGTACATAAGCGAAGAACCCATTTTAGCAGAGGACGCTCGATCTCCCCCCTGTATCAAATTTGCGCCCATGGCCGGGTCTGAGGTCGTCGGGGACGGCATGTCACGGTGACGGGTAGGAGTGGCGATGCGGGGCTGATCTAGGGCATGTACAAGTATATGGCAAGTATAAAGGGATAGCGAGATGGGGAACTGACAAAGATGACTGGTCTGCTAATATATCTACCACAGCTATTCTATCGGCCAGGATCATCCGACCATCAAGAGAACGTCTCCGGAGCTAGGTCCGGCCTGGCGAGGGGGTAGGGGGAGAGGGAGAGGGGTGATCAGATTGACATTAGCTGCGCTAGGACAGCCTGAACAGAGACACGTCACGGGATGTGGTGACAGGGCGGGGGATAGATTAGGACTAGTCTGATACGTTGTGCAATTGGCTACAATACTGATTACTGAAAGAGCGAGATAAAGAAGAGAGAAAGCTATCACAACGCTGAATGACTATCTACGAGTGAAGAGCGGAGCTATGCGGAGATGTAAAATGCTACCAAAAAGTGGCTATCTGATTGAAGCATTCCCTACGGTGACAAAACATCGGATGTTTGAGGGATGCGAATTCGCTATGACTTGCAGTACATGCCTTGTTCCTCATTGATTGCAATTGCAGGACCCGGTAGTGTACGGGATATGTCAGTATCAAGACCGGCGATCAATGCAAGCGATGCTCTCGCCACTGGATAGATCTTTGTCTTTATGTATTCGTAAGCTGGTTCTCCAGGTTCACAAGCTGATTTTCAGGTCTACAGAACAATCAACATACTGAAGGCGGGCGTTTGATGGAGACGACTACTTGGACTGAGACAGTCATCAAAGAGCTCGAATAGGAGACAGTGCATCCATACGATTCAGCCCCGTACGGTGAGCCGTGATTTCTTCTTCCTTCATCCATTCTTGGTACAGCTGAGACATCTCGCCTGATCTTGTAAGTATATACATAGAGCGGCGATCTTGAATGTGTTTCATAGTTGATACGCATAGGATAATATTGACACGTCATAGAGAACCATTAGATAGAGTACAAGTTCAACGTAGTTCTACTAACTTTATCTTCTGTACATATTTGCATCGATTGAGACCTGACTATGCGTCGACAACCCCGACATCTGATGGGTATGATGCGCTCCAAGGTCTGACATGGCGAGTGATGGTGAGGATGCCGTTAGCAGTGGGGTCGGTAGTAAAGGTAAGCCGATGTGAGTGTCGTCGATGTGAAGGGAGCCGAGGAAGAGGAGGTGGATCTAAGTGTGTCGGGATCCGCTGAGTGCAAGTGTCAGTTAAGGCGGGAGAGTGAGGAGTGTCTCTGGCGGTGAACGGAGTCGGGCCTTGCTATATGAGCTATGCGAGGCTGTACCTTTGTGTGCCGTAGACTTGACTCACTTATATTAGTCTTACTTATGTCTCGGCCTAGTTAGTCATCTTCGGTTGTCCCTCGTCTTCTACTGTATATTCTGTCTTGTAGATCTGGGGGATTGCTCTTTTATCATGCACAAGCTGAACTTCCAGATCACACAGCTTGAAGCGGACATTCCTGCCACATCTTGCAGAGTGGCTACCGCCTACGGCGATGTGGTCCATAGCGCGCATGGGCTTGAGATCTGCAGGTAGACCGGATACCCCTCGAGGAGATCTTTGCTGAGAATGTACTGCATGATGTACAGTTGAGACACACATGCCAAACCTTGTTTTCTCTTTCATCTATCCATCAAGCATGTGTTTGAGGAAAGTTGCCCTCTTTGCTGGCCGCTGTGGCTAATATCAGCTCTGGATCGAGAACAGTGAGCATTGTAAGAAGTGGCAGGATAATTCGCTTCAAGCTGGAGGCTCAGCTTGTGTATGATGAAGAAGCGATGCATTGACTTACCTGGAGGCTCAGCTTGTGTATGATGCAAGCAGCGACAAGCTGATCCCCCAGGCCTACAAGACGAACTATATAGCAGAAGATAAGTGTTTACTGAAGGCAACTAACTAGGCCGAGACATAAGTAAAACTGTATTGAAGTGAGTCAAAACTACAACCTAAAAGGGTACAGCCCCGTACAGCAAGCCCCGACTCCATTCACCGCCCGAGACACTCCTCACTTTCCCGCCTAGACTGACACCGGTACTCAGCGGATTCCAACAAGCATGCCCATCCAACCCGCACTGACCAGTAGTAGGATTGCAGCGCCCTCTGCGCCCGCATGAGCTCGAGTACCTCGTCACCCAACATACCCCGGCGGGGCGCGCAGAGGCGGCCCTCGCTGTTCATCCTACCTCTACATACATCTCGCCCGACCTCTCCCAGCTCGAAAAAGATATCCACATCCACATCAAGGGGATCAGCTTCCTCAACTGGACGCGAGAGAGTGGTTGCAACTCCCTTCCAGCCACGCTCGCCGTCGTCGAGGTTTTGAAAGGACGCATCAGCATTGGTGAGTGGAGTGATGACAAGAGCTGATCTAGTGGCGACGCTGGTAGCCGCGAATACGGTAGAGGAGCACCACACGTTCATTCGCACGCTGGTGGCCGCCATCCCCAACTGCCCGACCAATCTCCGCGTTGGAATCCCCCCATCCACCATCATCCTTGAGGCTGTCAAGTCGGTCCTGCCAGAGGCGCAAGTCTCGGTCCCATTCGCTCACGTCGTGCGGGCCGCCTGTCTCGCCTCGGACCGGCCAGTCGAAGAGCTCTTCAATCTTTGTGCTGCCGAGCGGAAGGGGCGGAAGGTCAGTTGGACAGGCTGGGACTCGGACTCTACAACTCTGCGCCCTGGTCCGGGCTATGTATGGCGCGAAGCGCCTGTGCGTATCAAGTCGATGATGGTAGAGTTGTTGAGGGTGGAGAGGGTGGTCCACGCGCTGCTCGAGGGTCTTAGGTGAGTCATCGGACCGGATTTTGGCTTACGATAAGGCCGCCGGAAACAGCCGTCGCCTTTCGGGAATTCTTCACCGACCCGGCTGAGCGCGCTGTCAACATCAACAAACGGCTCCTCGGATGGTCCAGGCCCGAGTCGGAGCACAACGTTGATCTCGGTGTCGACTGCGCCGTTTACGAGGCAGCACAGATCCGGGACATCCCTCCGCTCGGGCGCGATGCCAGATACGAACGGATCGCCCAATTCTCGCTTCTCGTCAAGGACAAGCCCGCCACCGCCGGTCCGTTTGCCCTTGCCGAGGATGCAGGCTTCGCACTGGAAGTTCTCGACGACGGACGAAGTGACTGCATCGAGACCTCCTATTTTACCAGCCCTAGCGAGTGCCATGATCCCCCCGACATTGAGATGACCTAAGCGGGAGTGTGCTTGTCCCAATACTGCCGGGGGGTCAGCGACTACGCTTGCTGATAGGGCTGTGAGAAGTGGCAGGAAGGTTCGCTTCAACCTGGAGGCTCAGCTTGTGTATGATGAAGAAGCGACAAGCTGATCCCCCAGGCCTACAAGACGAACTATATAGCAGAAGACAAGTGTTTACTGAAGGCAACTAACTAGGCCGAGACATAAGTAAAACTATATTAAAGTGAGTCAAGACTACAACCTACAAGGGTAAAGCCCCATACAGCAAGCCCCGACTCCATTCACCGCATGAGACACTCCTCACTTTCCCGCCTAGACTGACCCCGGTACTCAGCGGATTTCAAAGCTCAGATCCTTCCCTCCCGTGTACATATCCACAAACCCAACCTCTACCATTCACGAAAGCGACATGGCTCAGCGGGTAGGTAGCTGCCCCGTGCGCTCTGACCCGCGGTGTTCCTCCTCGCCGCTCCCTGCAGAGGGTGAGCTCCAGCCCTGACCCTTTGGCTGACGTGTAGCAGGCCGTCTCAGACCCTTTCGGTCAAGCGATAGCGTATTCGACGGTGACGTTACGCCCAAGCGGCCCCGCATGGACTGGTCCAATGAGACCACGGTCGAGACCGCGGGAGGCGCCGAGAAACCGGATCCTCAAACCCCTTGTCCTCCATCTTTGTCCTCGGTGATCGCCATCGCCCACGCTGGCACTCAAACGCTGCCCATGGCCTGTTACGAGGCGGGACGGCGAGCAGAAAGAGAGGAGGGAGGAGAGATTGGGAGACAGGTAGAGCGATTGGTGGCGGAGGTTGAGGCAGCCAGGGGGAGGGAGACAACATGGCGGGAACAGCTCATCGCGGCTGAGAAGGAGAGGGATGCGTGAAAGGGTAGGGCGGAGGAGGCGGAGAGGGTCAGAGCAGGGATAGAGGAGCGATTGGTCGACATGTCCAATGCGCTTGCGGCGGCAGTTATGGAGGAAGAAGGACTGAAGGCAGAAGTAAAAGATCTGAGGCAAGCCTTATCATCATAGGATAACTACAGCATCTGATGCAAAGATCTCCCTCCCCATCTCCTTGTTGATGGCCTTCCAGATTCTGCTCCTGGCGGCGCAAGCCAAAAAGTAGAACCCATATCTCAGACCGCGGGCGTCGCTGTCTGAGAGGAGTCCGGGATGGGAGAGACCACATCTGCGATACCTTGCTTGGCGACGAGCTCGAGTACGTGGAGAGCGATGAGGCCACAGGAATGATTGTCCTTTTGCTCCAAGATCTGGGTTTAGCCCAAAACATAATGTCGACTTGCCATCACAAAGTCCCCCGTCCACCCGTCGCCTTCCCCCACGGCAGATAGCAGATCCTTCACGTACTAACATCAGCCCGGCCCACAGCGCAGACTCACTCTTTCGATAACGCGTTGATTTTCCGTCCAGCCCTTGTCCTTCTCGCCCCTCTTGATCGAGTCAAAGAGCCTCCACTCGCGCTTCGACCGCTGGAAAGCGAGCACGGCCCAGTGGCCTGGGAGGGCACAGATGCCGCAGATCAGGTCCCCCTCCTTGGTCCATCTCGCCCGAACGTTCTCGATAGACCTTTGGTACTCTGGCTGACGAGGAGAGTCGACCAAGCATCAAGAGCTCGGGGAAGACGCCCTTGCAATGCGGATGGCGCTTGAGCAAGAGGACTCTTCTGCTACGGCGTCCAAGAGGTTGTTGCGGTGAAGCCCGGTGAATTCCTCGCCGGTGGCGCTGGCGACGTACCCGGTCAGGTACGGCGGAGTCGACCAGTGGGAGATGCTGGCGACAACCGGACGCAAACTGTCCGAGGGGAGGTTTGGTATAGCGCGGAAGAGGCTTCCCCCAGCCGGCCGCTTGTTGAAAGCGCCGGACTCCAGGATCGCAGGATAGATGGCCACATATAGAGCTGCGATCACCGAAGGAGGCTTTCGTCATCAGGCTTTCGTCACCAAGCAGATTTCCGTGCATATCTCTTCTTCCATTTGTCAACCTATGTAACTTCCGGATATTGATCACTTCCCCTGCTGATTGCTATTGACGCTCAGCTAGATCCAAAGAGATGTGGGAAAGAAGTGATTCATATATGGCTAAGTACTGGTCTACTCACCTATTGACGCTCAGCTAGATCCAAAGAGATGTGGGAAAGAAGTGATGGGAAAAGCTACAAGTCTAGCTAACACGGCCAAGCTATATACTGAAGGTGTACAATAGTGTCGTCCCGCTAGATCCCGCCAGTCTCCGCTCTTTCCCGTTTTTTCCTCCTTGGCAGTCAGCCTTCACGCCGTCTCCCGCCTGCTCCGCCAAGATACGCCAAGACAAAGTCGTCCGACGAATCCCGACACTTCGTCAATGCCTGTCGGAGTATAGTCAGGTATCACCGTAGCCGTAGATAATACATGTCACGCTATATTTAGCTTCCGTAGTTTTCGTCTCGGTATATCGGCAGATAGCAGTAGTCAGCCTTCTCTTCTTGACCCCACTCTCTCATTATAGTCGCTTATTCCATGCATTAGATTAGCTCTGGCACGTCCCACTCCCGTCCCCCGTGACATCAGGTCGCAATAAATGCAAAGATGTAGTTGAACTAGGGTGAACTTCTACTCTATCTGTTGGTTCTCTGTGACGTGTCACTATTGTCGCAAGCGTATAAACTATGGAACATTCCTCGTTCCGTCAATCACGACACCCAGAGACACCGGATATTGACAGGACCACGGTCACTCCTGTCTGGTCACTCCTGTCTGCAGAATTGTCCGATTTGGGTTCAAAATATCAAAATATCCGACAAAATCAGAATATCAGAGAAAGCTGGCACATCTGGGGTGAACTTGTACGCGATCTGCTGGTCCTTTATGACGTGTCTATATCATGGCAAGCCTATCAACTACAAACACATCCCTCATTCCGTCAAGCCACGGTTTGGACATTATCTCGGCGGTCCGCAAACGACGGAGACGATCCGCTGGCTAAGGCGATGGGCAGCCGCACCCATTTAGACTGCTCTATCTGATCAGCTCGGTCGGCGGACAGCAGTAAGGTCCAGTCCCGTATCGCAGATGGCCTGCCTCCCATCCGTATTCGGCCGGAGCCTTCACCCTCTCCCCGCTCTCAATCAGAACGACAATCCTCCCGGTCCGCTCCGGAGTGCCAGCACTTCTTGTCGATATAGGACCGCGGTCTCTCCTATCTGTTGTCCCTGGACCACTTTGATATTTCCGGCCTCTCAGCAAGACCGAAGGTCCCCGGAAATTTTGATATTTTCGGCGTAGAAGCTGGATACCAAGGAGAAACACTTGGGAATGAGCGTCGATAGCAATCAGCAGGGGAAGTGATCAATATCCGGAACGGGAGTATTCAGTACATATACCAGAGCTTCGGTCACGATCGACCCAGCTTTACCCCGACTACTGCTCATATCTTGCGTTGATGGCTCACGGTAAGATACCGTATCACCTACGACGTAGTGAGGGTGTTAGGATTCGCTATCGTTGTCAGACTAGGCGAAATGAGTCAGGTGTCCCGGGAATGGATGAAGTGGGAAAAAGTCAGTGCTTACTGTTCGGTACTGTATTTGTTTGGATCCGCTGAGTACCAGAGTCAGTCTAGGCGGGAGAGTCAGGAGTGTTTGAAGCGGTAAGTGGAGTCGGGGCTCGCTGTATAGGGGCTGTACCTTTGTATGCTGTAGACTTGGCTCTTTTAGATTACTTTTACTTAGGTCTGGGAACAGTTACGCTCTCTTCAGTAAACTCGCCTTTTGCAATATGGTCTGTCTTGTAGGCCTGGGGGATCAGCTTGTCGCTTCTTCATCATACACAAGCTGAGCTCCCCAGGTCTCACAGTTTAAGCGAAGCATCTTGCCGCTTCTTACATAGACTTCTTGGAGGGCTAGGTGAGGAATGTGAATGTGAATGTGAATGTAAATGTGAATGTGAATGTGAACGTGAATGTGCTCGGAAGGATCGAGTGTGCGAGCTATGAGATCAAGTGCTGAGTGAGTGCAGCGGGGAATGGCTTGATCTCTCGGGTCACGATAAGACTTCTGATTTTTATATTCTCGGAAGGACAATCCCAGACTGCATTTCGACTCTTCGAGTTCTCTTGTACAGTCCAGAGGCTGATCCCGTGGCCTCGCTATTGTCACGCTTCTGTCTCGACTCGCTCAACCAGCTATGCATGCATAGCCAGTGCTAGGCTTGCTTGGTGTTTTGGGGATAGGGTCACAATATGCTGTCGGAGAGCTAGGGCGAGCTACTGACTGTGGTTGACGTGAGAAGAGGATATGTCGACACGATCACCACAGTGAGGCCGCTGAGCTACGGAGATCATCTTGGCGGGCTGCTTGAAACGGCCCTACGGTCGATCTCCAACCATTCAACAGGAGAGTAATGATAGATGTCCATCTTGACGTCTTAGGTCCGCCATCTGTGTGTGACTCATCCCGGGACAACTGTGCAGGATCTGTCCTTCAGCTGACAGCGCCTAACACCTATATCAGCCACTGTAAGACTCCACCGTCTTCCGCGACTATTTCAGGTGCTGTTACAGCTACAGCCCCTCTCATCCTCGAGCTAGCTCGCCTCGTGATCAGTATGTGAAATCTATGTCTCTAGCTGGCGTCACAGCAGTATGATGGCTTGTACTATCTGCATTGATTCTTTGGATGTGAGTCGTTACTACCAGTGCTTCTAAGATTGCCAGAAGGCGGGAAGAACGACTGCAACGTCAGTCTCGCACTTGAGCACGACTTACAGTCTTTCGCCTTGAAGCTCCACCACCGAGGACCGTCCTCGGCCCCCATCAACGCCCACCGACCTCTCAGCCCCACCCCGACCAGGCAGGACTGGTCTCCCTCGAATTGGTCGGCCTCGTACCAAATCTCGAGCTCTTTGGGCTCGTCGATGGTCGCCTTTTCCTTTTCGAGCTCAAAGCCGTCGGATTCTTCGTCACTCTCCTCCCCATCGTCGTCCGACTCTACGGCCGATGCCCTCGCCCTCCATCGCTCCTCTACCGTCCAAGGGGCTGCGACAGTCACGAGACGACCAAGCTGCCCCTTGAAGGTCGGTTCCCCGGGAGACAGCTGAGACGACGGCGGCGAGACCGAGATGACCTTGCGACGGCTAAACGGGATGTAGCCGAGCATCTTGACGCTTTTTGGGTCGAGAGGTTGCAAGTGAGGCTCGAGGGACTTGCGAGCTAGAGTTAGTGGACGAAAGCTTTTCACTCACCATCTTCGGCGTTGGGCGGAGACGGTCGCAGGTCGGGAACTATATCAGCTCTGCTGCTCGGTGTACTTACTCTGTTCAACCTCCCACCCTCCGTCGCTTCCCGTTTCCTCTACCACTGGTGTAGTCTCACTGGCAGGCTCCAGCTCCAGACCACCTCGCTCCGGCCCCTGCCACTGGCCTCCATAGACGGCCCACAGCGCGCGATTGAGGTTGGTGCCGCGGCCGATAATATCTTCGAACATCTTGGCCTCCGCCAAGGAGTTGATCGCGCTGCGGGCCAATTGAGCGGCTTTGGCGAAGGCTTCGGCGAGCTCGGGCACGGCGTTGTGGTGTTCGACAAAGCAAATGAAGGCTGATGCCACGCCTCGGTCAGTGTTGCCAAGTGGGCGACTTACTTGCAAGCTGAAGAGCTGGTGCGATATCCCTGTCATCAGCGACATGCGCGACATAAAACTCACCATCCCGCTTCCGCGTCTCGCCGGACGAGAGCCATGAAACCGCGAACCGAAGTGACAGGATCCCGCAGAAGCGGGCACGTCTCCTCTTCGGCGTCCGGCTGCTCGATCAATGTCTTTTGCTGGGGTAGCTTTGCCTTGCGCCTCCGGTTCATCAGAGAGCTTGGGGGTTGATAGTTGACACCAAACTCTCCAGAGCCTTTACAGTGTTGGCCCGGGATTTCTGCACGGACGCCAAAGGCATTGCGTACCTAACATCAGCCGCGGCATGGAAGGCAACGTACCGAGTCCATCAAGCGCTTGGTCCGGTTGAACTGAAACTCTTCATTTCGTGAGTTGAGAAAGTCTCTTGTGGCGCTCATGACTGCTGATTAGGGACGTTCGGTTGGAACTTACGCCTGGTGAAAGGGGGAAGCGAGCTGCTGGGTCAGCCACGCCTAAATCTCGAACAATTCACGCACATATCGTAATCAGACCTGCTCGTTCCCTCTGGCTCGGTCCACCCAGAGTCTGGCAAACCGATCTTGAAGCAGTCCTCCTTGAGAACCCTCACGCCGAGCTTTCCCTTTTGAAGCTGACGCAGTTTTCGCTCCTTGGCCCGCTCCTCTGAAGCCTCGGGTGCGTTCGTATCGACGGACTGGCCAGATGCAAACGTCAAGCCATGACTGTCACGGTTGTGCTGGGTCGAGCTGGAGCGGACGGCGAGGTAGACACCTTGTGGCTGCCATTGAGCGAAGGGTTTGGTCTGGTGATTGGCGGGGCATGGAGGAAACGAGGGGAAGAAGTAGGCCGCTTCGGCACTTGGACCATCGTGACGCTCCTCGCACATGGCTTCGGCGAGACCGGATCGGATGACTGCCTTGACGTCTTCCATTTTGAGGTCGGATATGTATGAAGGGAAGGAAGTTGACTGATCTGCAAGCTTGTGAAGGTGAAACCATGGTCCGTGCGAAGGTAACGTAATTACTTCGAGACGCGACTGTCTTCTCCACGTGTCGCTTTTGTTTACACTTCTTGGCTTTCCTTGTGTTTTCATCTTCACTTTGTGTATATACACGACCTCATCATGCCTGTATCATCCCGGCGCACAACACAGTGGTCAGCCCGGGACCAGCGGCCTCTCAGCCAGCCAGGCTTCGACGGTCCAGCGCCGCCCTACACCAGCGGCGCGCCGCCGGCTGCGCAGTATGGCCCCTCCGGTCCAGCCTACCATCCAATCGCCCCCGGCTTTGACGAACATCCTATGCAAGCTCAGCAAGGATGGGGTACCACTCCTGCCGCCACGCTCCCTTTTTTCGAGGCTGCTCTCGCGCGATCGCGTGGTGGTGTCGCCCCCGCGCCTCCAGCACCATCCTACCTCCCTCCCCCAGACCCCAACCACCCCGACATCGCTGTCGGCTTCACCAGGCATCAGTCCACGCGTCAGGGCTGGTACGGTCGGTCCCGATCGCCTTCGCCAGAAGCCCAGACACGCTCCTGGACCAACCCCGTCGACGACGTCGAGAAAGGCCTATTGGCGGAGGATCAGTATGCCCCATACCACTCGCCATACCTCCCACTCGACGGAAAAGATGTCGATCTAGCCCTTCCTCCCTTCCAAGGCGAAATCTCTCCGCCTCGTTTACTCTCAGCTCTGCCTTCCATCCACCGCAAAGCTGGCTCGGTCGATTATGATCCAGAGGGCGACCTGGCCGGAGGGGTCACGCAACACTTTGGGCCCGCACCGACCGGTCGGATCAGCCGAAGAACTCACAATGCTGCCGGTCACAGGCGCATCAAACATACCGCCACTCTTGACGACAATGGATTCTTTGCAGTGGACATGCCCATCCCGACCCGGTTGGCGCAGTTTCTCCCGATCAAGGGTGTTGCCGAGCAGGAAACCACTCGGTACGTCCTAGCTCGAGTGGGCTGACCCAAGGTACACCGCCGTCACGACCGACCCAGATGACTTTTCAACGTCCGGCTTGAAGCTGAGACAGAATCTGTGTCATCCGCCCAGGCAGACGGAGCTGTTTATCGTCATCACCATGTATAACGAGGATGCAGAATTGTTCTGGTGAGTGACGAAACGTATGGCGCTGACGATAGTCGCACGCTGTATGGAGTCATGCGCAATATTGCCCATCTCTGCGGACGAAAAAATTCGAGAGTGTGGGGCAAGGACGGATGGCAAAAGGTATGTCCTCTGCGGGCGAGCTGACATCAGGTGGTGGTCTGTATCGTCCAAGACGGTCGCATGATTGTCAATCCTCGCGTGCTGGACTGCCTGGCTGCGTTGGGAGTGTATCAAGAAGGTGAGCAATGACGATGCGGCGCTGACGGCAGGCGCCATGACCAACAGTGTCAAGGGCAAGCCGGTCACCGCGCATGTCTTTGAGTACACGACGAGCTTTGCACTGGACGGCGACTTGCACTTCAAGTACCCAGACAAGGGCATCGTCCCTTGTCAAATCATCTTCTGCATGAAGGAGAAGAATGTGAGTCCTTGACTCGGCGGGGCTGACGAAAGGCCAAGAAGATCAATTCGCACCGCTGGTTCTTTAATGCGTTTGCGCCGCTGTTATCGGTGAGTATCGACGTGGGCAAGCTGACGATAGCCCAACGTGTGCATACTGCTCGACGTTGGCACCAAGCCAGAGACCAAGTCTCTGTACCATCTGTGGAAGGCGTTCGACTTGAATTCAAAGGTCGGGGGCGCGTGTGGCGAAATTGCGACATTCAAGGGAAAGACCTGGAGGGGGCTGCTTAATCCACTTGGTGAGTCTGGGTGTGGCTGTGCTGACGTAGTCGCCGCGCAGTGCTTTGAGTACAAGATGTCCAATATTCTCGACAAGCCGATGGAGTCGCTGTTTGGGTACTGTACCGTGCTACCTGGGGCGTTCTCGGCGTATCGAGTGAGTGGAAGGGCGAGCACGACTCACCCGCAGTGGATTGCTCTCCAGAACAATGCGGATGGCAAGGGGCCACTGGCGTCTTACTTTCAGGGCGAAGAGCTCAATACCGGCAAGGCAGATTCGTTTACGGGCAATATGTGAGTATGTGGGTGATCTGGCTGACGTTAGGGTATGTTATTGGACGTTTACCGCTAATGACAGTATCTCGCCGAAGACCGAATTCTTTGCTTTGAGATAGTGTAGGTCGATGCTGTGACATGGCTGATCAAAGTGCCAAGGCCAAAGCCAATTGGGTCCTGAAATTCGTCAAATCTGTCAGTGCAATGTCGATGTTGCTGATGGCAGGCTGTTGGCGAGACGGATTGCCCAGACACTATACCCGAGTTTATCGCACAAAGAAGACGGTAGGTGTGCGTTAGACTCTGCTGATGGTAGATGGCTGAATGGCTCCTTTTTCGCCGCGGTGTACTCGCTCATTCACGTCGGTCAGATCTGGCGATCCGATCATTCCTTCCTGCGCAAGGTGGCGTTGATGGTGGAGTCGCTGTATAATGCGATCAATCTGATCTTCACATGTAGGTGCTGGAGGTGGCGTAGCTGATCTCAGGGCTATCCCTCGCCAATTACTACATCTTCTTTGTGAGTTGTTTGCTGAGCAGAGCTGAATACAGGTCATCCTGACAAGTTCTATTGAGAGCCCGGTGTTTGGCATCCCCAATATCAAGGTCTTGAATACGTTTGCTCAGGTGAGTACTCGCTTGATTGACCTGATCCCAGTATGGCTACCTGGGCGCACTCGTGGCTTGCTTTATCTTTGGCATGGGGAACCGTCCCCAGGGGTGAGTGATGACTTGTGCGCACTGACTCCAGTGCGCCTTGGAAGTACAAGGGGACCATCTATCTCTTTGCACTCCTGACCACCTAGTGAGTTTCGTGTCGTTCATGGCTGATCCCAGCATGCTTGGGTGCGCAGTCCTCTGTGCCATACAGGCAATCAAGAACTTTGACAGTCCCATCTTTGTCCAGATGATCGTTTCGCTGCTTTCGACTTATGGGGTCTTTATCGCTTCGAGTCTACTCGCGCTGGATCCTTGGTGAGTTTCGCTTAAAAGGAGCTAATGTCAGGCATCTGGTGACCTGCTTTGCTCAATACATCTTGTTCTCTCCAAGTGAGTTTGACGAGTCGTGGTAGGATGAAGCTGATGGCAGCGTATATTAATGTGGTGAGTACCTTGATTGGGGAAATGACTGTGCTGACAACGTAGTTGAATGTCGTGAGTTATGCTCAACATATAGCTCTAACCTGCTAGTACGCCTATAGCAATCTCCATGATCTCTCCTGGGGGACCAAAGGCTCGGATACTGTCCAGGCGGTCGACCTCGGCGCCATCCAGGGGGTCGGTAAGCATGTCGAGGTCGAGCTTGTCTCGGCGCAGCAGGACATCGACATTGTTTATCAGGACGCACTCGACAACATCCGGCTCAAGCGTGCCAAAGTGGATGAAGAGGAGAAGCCAGCGCGGACCGAGGTCTCGGAGCAGCAGCAGAAGGATATCTACGTGAGTAGAGCTCTGGCGGCGCTGACTTTAGGCAAACTTTAGAACAAATGTGGGTCGGGAGAGATCTCTACTGACTGTAGCTTTTGCTGTTGTGGTCGCTATCCAACGCGGCTCTTGCCAGTGCCATACTGGCCGGACGCGATGCTTCTGCGACCTTTGAGGGGAAGGGTGATTCGCGGACGGGGATCTACATGATGATTGTGCTCGGTACGTGCTCGAGATTCCAAGCTGATGAAAGTTTTCGTTGCAGGAATGGCGATTTTCAGGTTTATCTGCTCGACCTTGTATCTTGTCGTTAGATTGTTTGCAGGATAGACATGTATTAGCATGACATGCCGCACTCTCGCAGCAACGCTTCATGACGAGCTCAGCGACGACAGCAGGATAGAGACTCGGCGTGAGTGTGGGGGTGAATCAGCTGACGAAAAGGACTCGCAGCCTGCGGTGACGGTGTATTGTCCTTGCTTCGATCGTCGCTCTTGCAGTTGCGCCCAGGTCCAGGGGCACTTCTTCGCCAACTGGCCGACGACCACATCAATGCCGTGCCATTTCAGCAGGTGGACGTCAAATGGCTACAGCTCTACACCGACGCAACCATCCTCGAAACCCTCAGCGGCCTCTTATCCCCCCATCCCGCAACGCTAGCTCTGATCTGTCAGCTTGACATGGCGATTATCATTGCTGGCGGTGCCAACAGGCTAGAAACTATCCACCTCCTCATCGGAATCGCCCAAAGCCGGCTCGAAGCACACTGCCCTCAGCCCACCCCCTCCCTCCCCAAAGCGCCGCTGGCCCCGGACCTGCTATACGCACCACACCCCATCCCCGAGCTCGACCCACCCAGCGTCGAAGCATTCATCACCTCCTGCTCTGCGTCCCCCTTCATCCTCCGCGGATTCGCCAATCGTGACTCAGAGGTCTGCCCCTCCTGGCCGGCGTTCGGTCGATGGTCATCGGCAGATTATCTGTTGGCGACTGCGGGACCAGGGCGGGTCGTTCCGGTCGAGCTAGGAAGGGCGTACGATGACGAGGGGTGGTCTCAGCGGATCGTGCCGTTTGAGGACTTTCTTCGTCGCGCGGGGTTCCTGGAAAATCCCACAGGGGAAGCCATGTATCTCGCGCAGCATTCGTTGTTCCGCCAGATGCCGGGTCTCGAAGAGGACATTGCCATCCCCGACTATGCCTGGTCGCTTCCGGATGCGGACTATCCTGCTTACCGTCGCCCTGCCGAGCCCGAGCTCAGCGTCTGGGTGGGCAGCGGGTCCAGCGAGATTGTCAGCCCGCCCCATACCGTGAGTGCGCTTGAAATCTCGCTGACGCCAGGATCCATTCTTCAACTGCTATATCCAAGTGGTCGGGGAGAAGCGGGTTTGGATCGCCCCTCCGCATCTGTCGCACCAGATGGAGGCGCATACCCCAGACAGCAACGGCTCGGTCGCAGCAAAAGAGTATATGGGCAACACCTCGCGGGTCCCGATTCTCAAAGCTTCTCCGGGAGATGCATGGGCAGCCCATCCATCCTTCAAAGAGTCCGTATATCCGCACAGTCGCGAGGCGGTGCTCCGGTCGGGGGATATGCTGTTCATGCCGCCCGGCTGGTGGCACGCGATGCGGGGTGAAGGGGCTGGGCCTGGATGGAGCGTATCAATCTGGTTCTAAGGCATGCATAGCTATCTCTGAGGCTGGTTCCAAGAAAGTACTGAACGTCAGCTTATCCTATGAGGTACTTACAGCTCATATCGCCCAATTTCCGAGGCTTGACCAAGTGCCGGACCAATCCGGCCACAGCAAGGAGGACGCAGAGGATGGCGGCGGCAATGTATGCCCAGCCCAAGAAGGGTTGCTTGCCGCCGATCCACGCGACGGTCGAAATGACAATGGACTTTGTGCCGGAGAATTGCTTGACGGGGTAGTCTACATCAGCACAGCCTCAACGAAACCTACTCATATTTGCAGTGATGCGATATGTTCCCTCGGCCATGACTTCGCGGTCGTTCCGTGCCCACAGCTTTCGGAAGGTAGGCAGTGCGGCGATCCGCATCCACACCTGGAAGTGCTCATTTTCTCGAAGGTTCGGGAACTCTGTATAGGTTGGGAATTGCGCTTGCCAGTTGGGTGGCGGAAGCACATCGGACGGAGACGCATAGCCGGGAGTGGCGACGTAGTTTTGAGCGATACCACCCCATGCGATTCCCTTCTCGGTAAAGTTGTACGTTTGGTCTGCTCCGCCATCTGCGTCAGCTCCATCGGGTCAGAACGTACTTGGTGCGTTCACGAGGACTACCGAGGGGTAGGTGTCTGTCGTCAGCTGTGTCGGGCAAATGCTCACCATTAAAGACGCTGTTGGCGATGAGACCGCAGGGATAGTATGGTTTACCCCCTTCCGAAGTGATGGGTTTGCAGTCTCCGCCGTCTAGGTCCGCCCTGTTGTCAGCTCGGTCAAACATTGACTCACGCTGAGCGATATTTCCCTTGCAGCTGGTCAGAGTCCATGCTTTGCACGTAGCGTCGATGGTTTTGGTAACTCGGTCAGCTCTGTTTGTCGGAAACTTACTAGTTGGTAAGACGGTAGTATAGGAATACGCCAGGTCCGAGGTTGTAAGGGACATTGAACTGAATCTCGCATTGGGCGCGCTGACCAAGGGGACGCGAGGAGACGTTACTGAATCGCCAAGATGGCGCGTTGATCGAGGAAGCGGAGATTTTGGACGATGTCGCGAGAGCATCTGACATCAGCAGAGTCGTTGCTCAGCTCACATTCATATGATCCGCTGGGCATGGCTTGGAAAGCATCGCCGGTCGGGGCGGCGGTGTCACAATTTGTGTAGTCTAGCGTGATGGACGTGACACGTCCGCTTCCCCAGACGATCAGCGCTCCGATGGGAGCAAAGATCAGACCGATGATGAAGAGGGTCGGTAGAACAGCCTTTGGCGTAAGGATAGGCTGCCAAGCTTTGAGCCGCTGTTGCTTGAACGCGGTATCTGCGGATGAGCTTTGTCAACAAGGATGACGCACTTGCTGGCCGTTTTGACCATTTGACCTTTTCTTTCTGAGTGGGGCCATCGGCCTGAGGCTCCTTGTCCTTGTTCTTTCTGTTGAAGATTGCCATTGTAGATGTATGATAGAGGGATGACCGAAGTAAACTACATATAGAAGGCCGAGGCCGCGCGACTGATTGATCTTTCTGATTTGATCCCGGCTAGTCTATTGACCTCTACTCTTGCTCTACTGGATGCATCACTCATTATGGATCTCGCAGCGGTACAAAACACACAGCGAGCAGAGAGATGTCAGTCTGCTTCAAAACGTATGGTCAGAGCTCACGATCAGGGGACAAGGGCATCAAGATTGGAGAGGGAACATTCGCCAATGTCTACAAAGGTTCATCCCTCCCCAGCAACGCGAATCTTCTAATCAGCAGGCAAGGAAAAGGCAACAGGTCGGACAGGTACGCTACCGGATGCTCATCGCTTACCCAGTCGCCATCAAGAAGATCAAGGTCGGCGAGATGAAGGATGGCCTCGACATGACGGCCCTGCGTGAAGTCAAGTTTCTGCAGGAATTGCACCATCCCAACATCATCTCGGTGCGTGTCTGCGCGACCCTGCTGACTTTAGCTGCTTGATGTCTTTTCCGTCAAGCAAAACATCAACCTCGTCCTCGAGTTTCTGGATACCGACCTCGAAGCGGTCATCCGGGACAAGTCCCTCATCTTTCAGAACGCCGACATCAAGAGCTGGACGGCCATGTCTTTGCGTGGATTGGAATATATCCACCGGAGCGGCGTGCTGCATCGGGTAGGAGCAACGCTGGCCAAGCTGATGATAGGATCTCAAACCAAACAATCTGCTCATTGCGAGTAATGGTGATTTGAAGATTGCTGATTTTGGGCTGGCGAGGGAGTTTGGGGATGCTGGGAGCAAGATGACTTGCCAGGTGATCACTAGGTGAGTTGGTGGTAGGACCCGCTGATCTAGGTGGTATCGGCCTCCGGAGCTGCTCTGGGGGTCCCGTCACTACTCGGCTGCTGTCGATATGTGGTCTATCGGGACCATCTTTATCGAGCTTATCCTTCGGGTCCCTTTCTTGTCTGGCGAATCCGATATCGACCAACTGAAAAAGACCTTTCATGCTATGGGGTCGCCGACCGAGGAGGACTGGCCAGTAAGTACAGGCGCGATCATTCTGACGCCAGGGCCATACGAAGCTACCCGACTATCACGAGATACCTGGCTACCCAAAGAATCCCTGGTGGAATATGATTCAGTCTATTGGGCGGGACGGGCAAGAGTTCGCGAGGGAGTTGTTGCGATATGATCCGATGGCACGACCGGCTGCAAGAGAGGTGAGATGAAGCGATGACGAGCTGAATCAGGCACTCGCGCATGGTTTCTTTACATCGCTGCCTAGACCGACGCCATCTCTTAACCTGCCCAAGCCACTGGCAGAGCTGCGGCCACGGGCGCTGGCGCCAGACGAGACGAGAGGGAAGCCGTTGACGAGCGGAGGGACGAAGCGAAAGGCCGAGTCGCCGACCGTGGAGCGTCATAGAAGTGTAGCTAGAAAATTATTCGCATGACATGCTATTTAGGTGTGGGTACAAGCGGCGAGTAGGGCGGGAACGGCGATACGAGTGGACCGGGACTGATGGGTGGAAGGCGAAGGGGGGGTAGTGTGATGGGAGTGGATTGGGATTGGGCTCGTTCGAGCGGGGGACGTATTGGAGGGAGCTGGATGTCGTGTGAAGGTAGACCCTGGGGTGAGCGAGGTTCTCGGCGTCACTCACTTGCTCTCGCCATCGTTTCCAATTCTCCAGCTCGCGGTGGAGCCGTTCGTTCTCCCCGGCTAGACGATCATTCTCTTCGTAGACGCCCCGTATTTCTTCCCGAAGCCGCCTATTGGCCGCCTCGAGAGACGCCACGCGCGCATCTGCCGATGGACCACCATGACCTTCTGCCGTCTCTCCCTGCCGCCTCAAGAGCCCGTCCCGTTCCTCCTCTAGCGCCTTGATCCGTTCCTCTAGGCTGTCTTGGTAGCCCTTCTTCCGGCTGCGAAAACGCTGAGCTGCCAGCCTGTTGGCTTCGCGACGCCGGACCGTAATGCCCGGCCCCGAACTCCCTTCCGCATGTACGTCGTCTTGGGTGGGGTCTAGCTCTGAAAAGGACGGGGATCGTTTGCTTGTCATGGTATGATGTTGACGCAAGATCGAGTCCCGATTCCAGCAAAGACAAACCCTGATCCAGGCACGGCTTACGCTGGCTTACGCAGCACGCAGATCTCACGTCACCAGATTGCATCCGTTGGGCTAGCCGGGAGCAGATACTACCTCTTCACATCTGGGACATAGCTCTTGTCCTTTGACAGGCACGGCATGGCGCCAGCATCTAGCGCAGGGTGTGTCTTTGGCGGGGGCCATGGTGAGTGTGAGATTGTCTGTGTGAGCGAATTCAAGCGATGACGTACCTGTGACCACGTCTTCCTGCCATCCCTCGAGGTCGTCTTTTGCGCGGACGCTAGCGACACCTAGTATTTGAACAATGTCGCGGTCTGGTCAGCTCGGCTCATCATGGACTCACTGTCAAATGGTTGGTCCGAGGCGATATCGAGTTCTGCGGGGGACCGGATACCGCGCGCGGCCATGGAGGAGAGCATCTGTGAGCGCAGCTGTAGCAGAGGTTCGATATTGACGGGTGCAATGACGTCCTCTGCCTTGCACTCGGACAAAAAGACCGAGTCGGTCTTGCCGTGATGATGCCACAGCTCTTCGGCGAGGTGTGGCGCGATAGGCGCGATGATTGGGACTAGGGTGTGAAAGGCCTGCGTCAGCTCGTCCAGCTGGAACTCACCTGGAAGAGGGTATGGGCCGCCCCGGCTCGCTCGGGGGACGACGCTTTGTTGCTGTACAGTGTGTCTTTGATGGCGTCAAAGTAGAGCGCCGACATGGTTTGCGATAGAAAGGTGGAGACGAGTGTGACGACTATGGTCAGCGGGTTAAAGGGTTTACTCACCCTTGCTGAATGCAAAGACGTCATAGTGTTGCATGGCGGTCTGCTTGACGCGGGATAGTTCTGCCAGGATATGTCGATCGATCTGATCAGTGTCGTCCTCTGCACACTCACTAGGGATGTTTGGCCGGGCTCCGGGGAAGCGCTTGCCAGGATGAAGCGCATGGCGCTGCGTATCTTGCGCAAGGACTCGGCCGCGTGGGCGATGGCTGAAGGCCCCATCGAGACGTCACGTGTGTAGTCGACCGAGGCGGCCCAGAGACGAAGCACGTCCGCACCGTAGCCTCTTGTGCTTTCGTCGCCTTTGATGATATCGATGGGGGAGATCCCGTTCCCTAAAGATTTGCTCATCTTTTGTCCCCCTTCGTCCAAGATGAAGCCGTGCGTCACCAATTTGCGGAACGGCGCAACGGGCTGCAGGGTCGAGCCGATATGCGTAAGAAGGGAGGATTGGAACCATCCGCGATGTTGATCCGAGCCTTCGAGATAGACATCTGCGGTGTGGTTAGGCAGCAGGGTCCAGGAAGATCCGCTGTCGTACCAGACATCCAGCGTGTCGGTGCCTTTGGTGTAGTTGCCTTTGAGATGGCTGGGGAGGAATGCCTCGACGGGGGCTTGCCACCAGTAATCCGTGCCGTGCTCCTCGAGCGTGGTGATGATGTGCTGGATGACGTCCGCGTCGAGGACCGGCTTGCCGTCGAGGAAAAGGGCGGGGATGGGGACACCCCAGCTGCGTTGTCTCGAGATGCACCATTCTGCTCTACCGTGGACAAAGGATTCCAAGCGATTGCGAGCTGAATCAGTGCGGTCCTGGCGAGACTTACATTGTGGGGGGTAGAATTCGACCTTGTCCAAGGATTTTTGGACGATCGGCTTGATGGCGGTGACGTCTGCAAACCACTGGGGAGTGGCTCGGACGATGATGGGCTCCTTGGTCTTCCAGTCGTGAGGGTAGCGATGCTCGATGGTTTGTTCGGCGAGTAGGGTGTCGTCTTGTTGAAGGAGACGTATCATCTCGCCGGCTCCTTCGCCGAGGACGGATTTTCCGACGAGCGATGGATGGATGTCGGTGAAGAGACCTGCGTCGTCGACGGGGCAGCGTAGGGGGGCCGAGAATCCGCTGGCCATATAGGCTTCATAGTCTTCGTGGCCGTGGGCGGGGGCGGTGTGGACGAGGCCTGTGCCCGAGTCGGATTTGACATGGGGGGATGGAATGACGGGGAGGTCGTCGGCGAAGCGGTGCTTGTAGCGGGTTCCGAGGAGGGCGGAGCCTAAGTCAGCGGGGCATTGCGGAACTTGCCTTTTATGGTCGACAGGACTTGGATATCGCCCAGGATCTGTTGCAATGGCTCGACGCGGTCGAGTGCGATGATCAGGGTTTTGCCTTGCGCGGTGACCACGGCATAGGTCATGTCGGCCGAGATGGCGACTCCCTGCTGTTAGCTTTGCGGTTGGGAGACTTGCCATATTCGCGGGAAGGGTCCATGGGGTTGTTGTCCATATCGCCAGATGCACCTCGCCTATCGCGCCGAGCGCTTCAGACTTGGTGGTGACTGGAAAGGCGACATAGACGGATCGAGACTTGTAGCCGTCCTTGTACTTGAGTTCCGCCTCTGCCAGGGCGGTTCGGGAGGATGGCGAGTAGTAGACTGGACGGAGGCGGTGGGTGATGAGACCTCTATCGACGAGTTGGGCGAATAAGCGCATTTGACGGATCTCAAAGTCGAGCGCTGGATCAGCTCGGCCGGATTGGACTTACCTAGTGTGCGATAGGTTCCAGTCTCGCTATCCCAATCCGCCATGATTCCGAGCTCTTTCATTTCCGACTTTTGCGTTTCGATTGCTTCCAGGGCGGTTCGTCTGGCGATTTGCCGGACTTGTAGGGGGTCGATCTTGAGAAAGGTGGTCTGAATCAGCTGGGTTGGGAGGTGGCTTACATTGGCTTCTTGAAGAGCTTTTTGCTCGATAGGGAGGCCATGGCAGTCCCAGCCGGGGACGTAACTTGGGTCAGCACGGTCGAGCGGTGGCTTACTGTACACGCCTTCCTCGTGTCAGCTGGTAACGGTTGATGATGTCTTTGAGCGTTCGGTTGAGGGCATGGCCTGGATTAGCCGAGTTTGGGGTGGGCTCACCCATGTGCAGGTTTCCGTTCGCATAGGGCGGACCATCGTGAAGGACGAATTCGTCGCCGAGTTTTTCGCGTCGCTACGTTAGTGGTGCCTCAGGTTAGGCTCACCTGTCGCTGATATAGATCGATTGTTGTTTTATGTCGGTACTTGAGGTCTAGCTCGTACTGACTTTTGGGTCGAAGGCGGAAGGCGGTCGATGGGAGGAGGAGGGTTTTGGAATACTTTTTCTTGTCGATTGGTGCTGAGGTTGAGGCTTGGCGGCAGGTGGTGGGTACTGGGCAGGAACAGAGTGTACGCCATGGCAGCGGCCGCCGCAGAGGGGTGTACATGCAGTGTGGGGCTGGATAGGTAAGGAGCAGAGATGAAATCTGGTAACGTTTGAGACTCTGACTGTGGGGCTCCAGTAGACAACGAATCAACCTTCGCATCTTACTTTAGCTATATAGGCCTTACAAGACATGTCAGCAAACATCTGCACCCGGTGTATGCGGACCCGGAGTCCATGGCCACTCAAAAGCGTGCGATCCTTCCACGCTGCCAACCCGGTGGTACGCGATGCGCTAGTACCCATAGTCGTGGAGCAGACAGTGAGCATGACCCCTGCAAAGCTGACCCAGGCGCGAGGCGAAAGAAGCTATGACATTTACTCTCGCCTCTTGAGGGAACGAGTCATATTTCTGGGTCCTGTACGTGTCCGCACGGCAGAGCTGATGAGAGGTCTCTGACATGCCATCCACGCTAATCACTGCTCAACTGCTGTTTTTGGAAGCGGAAGACTCGCGCAAACCCATCAAGCTGTACATCAACTCGCCCGGCGGATCGGTCACGGCGGGTCTGGCTATTTACGATACCATGCAGTATATCGCGTCGCCGGTGCATACTTTCTGCCTGGGTCAGGCTGCCAGTATGGGTAGTTTGCTGTTGGCGGGAGGGGAGAAGGGACATCGATACGCGCTGAGGCATAGCAGTGTCATGATACATCGTGAGTGGGGGAGAGACGGGGCTGATGTAGAACCGAGCGGGGGCGCATCCGGTCAGGCGTCGGATATCGCTCTGCACGCCAAGGAGATTCTCAGAATGCGGTCGGTCTTGACGGATATTTATGCGGATCACTGCGGAGGGGAGGGGGAGAGTAGGGAGGCAACGCGAGGGAGGTTTGAAGCGGCATTGGAGAGGGATTATTTTATGACGGCGAGGGAGGCGGTGGAGTTTGGGTTGGTGGATGAGGTTGTGCAGAGGCGGGAGGTGTGATGCAGGCTGTACTCTGTATCGAGGGGCTCCCTGCGTGGGCTTCCTCACCTCTCCGCCAAAAGGTTGCTGCTAGTACCGCTTCTCAGCCTTCGCTCTGGCATGTTCTACATCCTCGCCTTCGAGCAGCCGACTATATGTATCATACTACACTCTACTCTGTGTAGCCAAGGGGGTTACCCTTCGTTACGGCACATCAGCATTCCTCATCTCGCTCTCGACTTGAACTTGGCTCCAGCAGCTCCAACCTTCGCTACTTACCCTTCGCTCTCATCTTCGCCTTCATATTTGCTGCTGGTAGCTCGGCTATCGCTCCTCCCCTGCTCGCTGGTATATGCTGTACTCTGTGTACCCCAGGGGGTCGGGGTTTTACCCTTCGCTCGGACGCGTTCATCCTTTCAGCCTTCACTTCACCCTTCGCTCTTCGCTCTCATCTCTCATCTTTGGCTTGCACTGCTGAGCTGAGACGTCCTCTCTGCCTTCCTGAGCTGACACGTCCTGTCTATAGCTGGTACGTCCTCTACTCTGTGTGGCCAGGGGTTCGGGGTTTTACCCTTCGCTCGGCGCGTTTCATCTACGCCGTTCTCTACATCCGTCTTCCAGCTGCTGTCTTTGCTTCCCCTCACATCCTTCATCTCTCACAGCCTTCGCTTATCGATCTCCTGACCCCTTGACCAGGCATCCATCTGGTATATTCTGTGTGGCCAAGGGGGGGTCCGGGTTTTACCCTTCGCTTTGATTCCGTCCGCTTCATGTCTCATCTACCTACTTTGCTTCCCAACCTTTGCTCTCCTCCTCCTTCTCATCTCCCTTCGTTGCTCTCTCCCATCCTTCGCTGATCCATCCTTTCCCCAGCTTACCCTCTCCGCTGTACTTTCCTTCCGGCTATACTCCCCTTCCAGCTATCATCTACTATACTCTGTGTAGCCCAGGGGGGGTCCGGGTTTTACCCTTCGTTTTGGTTCCGTCCTCCACCTCTGCTCCTTGTCTCATCTACCTATCTTCGCCTACCTTCCCAGCCTTCGCTCTCCTCCTCCTTCTCATCTCGCTTCGCTTCCATGTCCCATCCTTCGCCTCGCTGATCCATCCCTTCTTCTAGCATCCCTACTCTTCCGGCTGTACTCTCCTTCCGGCCACACTCCCCTTCCAGCTATAATCTACTATACTCTGTGTAGCCCAAGGGGGGCCCGGGTTTTACCCTTCGTTTTGATTCCGTTCACCACCTCTGCTCCGTCCCTACCTACATCGGCGCCTACCTTCCCAACCTTCGCGCTCCTCCCTTTCTCCCATCCTTCGCGTCTCCATCCCTTCTCCACCTTACCCTCTTAGCTGTACTCTCCCTCCGGCTATACTTTAGTATACTCTCCTCCGGCTATACTTTAGTATACTCTGTGTACCCGAGGGGGGTCCGGGTTTTACCCTTCGCTTTGATTCCGCCTCCACTCTTGCTCACCCATCTTGACGCCCATCCAACCTTCGCCAACGCCATTATTCTCCATACCTTCTCCTCTACCAGCATCTCGCTCTCCCGCTCCATCCCTTGGCTCTCCTCTAACCGGCTTGACCCTCTGGCTATGATACAGTACACTCTGTGTATGCCGAGGGGGGTCCAGCTTTTACCCTTCGCGTTGTGTCCGTCACCTCCACCTCGCCTACTCCCATCTCCGCTCTGCCATCGCCAACCTTCGCCGACGCCATTCTTCTCCTCTGCTTCTCCTCTACCATCCCCTCGTTCTTCCGTCCCCATCTCTCCTCTCTCCACTTGACTCTTTGGCTATACTATAGTATACTCTGTGTATGCCAAGGGGGGCCCGGCTTTTACCCTTCGCGTTGATTCCGTCACCTCCACCTCTGCTCCTCAGTCTCTCTTTGGCTCCCCAGTCCCTCCCTTCGCTCTTCACTGTCCCTTCGCGCTCCCTTCGCTCTGAATCTCCTTCCTTCTCTTATCCGACACCTCTCATGTGTGCTGACTATGCATCCACCTTCTCCCTCCCAAGCTAGCCATCCTCAAGCTATACTCTGTGTACTCCATGGGTCCGGCTTTACCCTTCTTTCTGATCCCGCTTGGCTCACTCATACTCACTTTCTCATCTCAGCCAACTTTTGGCGCTTCCTATACTTGTCGCCAATATCCTTCACCTCCCCGCTACCAGCCTTCCGGCTGACAAGCAGATATTTTCCATGCATAACATAACCCCTACTGCCGCCTGACACGGCCATTGAAGCCAGAAGACTTTGAACCCAGCCCAGAGCCAAAGCAAGCGCCACCCGCCGAGCCAGCCAAAACCGGTCAATCCAGCGCTAGAAGGGACACATTATTGGCGGCGGAGCAGGCACAGGCTGCGGCGGAGCAGGCACAGGCTGCGGCGGAGCAGGCACAGGCTGCGGCGGAGCAGGCACAGGCTGCGGCGGAGCAGGCACAGGCTGCGGCGGAGCAGGCACAGGCTGCGGCGGAGCAGGCGCGGGCGGCGACCGAGCAGGATCAAGGGGCGGGCAGCAGGGAATGGGTCAGCCGGCCTGGATATGCTGTGGATGTGAGTACCCAAGAAAGCGTCGCTGATGTGAAGCGGAAGAAGGTGGTCAATGGCGAGGGCGAGCCCACCAAGCCGCCGGTCCAGCCGGTTGCCGGGGCGAGTGGAGCGGCCAGTAAGGCTAAGAAGGAGAAGAAGAAGGCTGCAGCGAATGATGGGTGAGAAGAGAAGTTGTGATCGAGATGTTGTATGTGTATTAGTATTCCAGCAGGTCAGAGAGAAGTCGTGATTTAGATGTAGTATATGTATTAGTATTCCAGCCAGTCAGGGCATCTTGTTAGGGCTATGGCTTTCGGCTTTCTCAGCCATCTTTCTCGGCCGGAAGGTGAGAGCTGAGGAAGGTGAGCAGGGTAAGCATGGAGGAAGGGGCGGGAGGTCACTGAGTAGAGCAGAGCGGAGGAAGATGCAGAGGTGGAGAGGGCGGTGGATCAGTAAAGGTGGATCAATAAAAGTGGAGGCACGGAATCAAAGCGAAGGGTAAAACCCGGACCCCCGTTAGTACCTAGAGTATATACTAGATGGTGTCGCATGCAGAGAGGGTCAGCATACCTAGCTGGCTGTAGAAGGATGATTGATGCATGGAGCGAAGAGAGCATGAGACGAGAGATGTAGAGTATGGAGGATAGATGTCTGGGGAAGGGAGGGAAGAGGAGAAGAGAGAGAAGGGAGAGAAGGGAGGGGAGAGAGAGGTCAAGGTTGAAAGCGCCAAGCTGGGGAAATGAAGGTGACGGGATCAAAACGAAGGGTGAAAGCCGGACCCCCTGGAGTACACAGAGTATGGAGTATATGGTGAAATATAGATGGAAGGGGCAGAGGATGGAGTATATGGTCATGTATGTGGAAGGGATGGAGGGATGGGAGAGAAGAGAGGCAAGTAGAGAAGGGAGAGAGGAGTAGGCAAGCAACGGAGATGAGAGGTGGAGGTGACGGAATCAAAGCGAAGGGTAAAAGCCGGACCCCCCCTTGGGTACACAGAGGATGGAGTATATGGTGAAATATAGGTGGAAAGAGTATACTGCATGGTCAAGTGTGAGTGGAAGGAGTGAATGTGCAAGTGCAGGGATGGGTGAGAGGAGAGGCAAGTAGGGAAGGGAGCGAAGGGAGAGATGAGTAGGCAAGCAACGGAGATGAGAGGTGGAGGTGACGGAATCAAAGCGAAGGGTAAAACCCCGACCCCCCCCTTGGGTACACAGAGATATACTAGAGTATAGCTGCAGAGTATACTAGAGTATAGCTGGGCTGAACGGGGGAAGGGAGCGCATACTATAGTATAGCTGGGTGACTGAGGAAGGGAGTGTAGGGTATGGACGAAGAGTCAGAAGCGACAGGTAGGGAGGTAAAATCGAGGCAAGGGGCGAGCGGTAGAAGAGCTCTGCGTTCGAGCGAAGGGTAAAACCGCGACCCCCTGGCCACACAGAGTAGGATATAGGATGGCCTGCAGAGATGCGAGATGGCGAGAGCGAAGGGAGACGGGGAGAAGATGCGCGATGGTAGCAAGATGGGATAAGAGCGAAGGTTAAAGGCGCAAGAGCCAAGGTACGAGCGCAAAGGTGGAGGCACGGAAGCAAAACGAAGGGTAAAACCCGGACCCCCCCTGGGCCACACAGAGTATAGTAGAGTACCAGAGTGGTGTGTTGTAGGGTATAAGGACGGCTGTAGACGAGAGTGGCATGAGAGATGAGAGAGCGAAGAGAAGGCAGAGGAGAGAAGGCGCGAAGGTTGGGTGGGATGGCAGCGAAGCTTGGAAGAGAGAGATGGAGCAGAGGTGGAGGCACGGAAGCAAAACGAAGGGTAAAACCCGGGCCCCCCTGGGCCACACAGAGTATAGTAGAGTACATACCAAGCTGGTGTATAGTATATAGTAGAATACATACCAAGGTGGTGTATAGTATGGCTGGAGACGAAAGCGGCATGGGAGATGCAAAGAAGGCAGAGGAGACAAGGCGCAGAGGTGCGAAGGGAGGGCGAAGGGAGCGAAGGTAGGCGCGCAAAGGTGGAGGTGGATGACGTACCCCAGGCGCGTCCCAAGCCCCGCGCATTCTCGGTGTGTCAAGCACGATTCTCCCAGCGGAACGGGAGTGGGCTTGGGCCGAGCCTGGACGTACCCCTGGCCACACATGGTATAGCATGCAGAGAGATCCTAAACAGAACGGTGCGGAGAACAAGAGTCAGCTCAACAGGCGCGAAGGGCAAGGACCAGTGAAGGTAGACTGCCGTAGGAGAGAGCTCCGAGCAAAAGCCTAGTTAGCCGACATCGGAATATCAATGATGACCGAATCTCTGCATCGCCAATGAATCTCCGTCCAGTCCTCCGCAAAATGTCTACCGCACCCCTCGCCCCTCGCCACGCTATCGAAGACGTCTGGAGCTACCCCCGCCCCCCCCTCCTCCAGCGCACGCCCAACCTCCTCCAGGTCATCTGGACCGCTCCCGATGGCACCCAAACCGTGCTCGCCGAGACCGACAAAGGGTACCGCGTATGCGAGACATCCCACCCACCTACCTACTATCTCCCTCGTGATGCGCTGCGCGTAGCCATCGACAAGACGGGCAAGACCAGCTTCTGCGAATGGAAGGGCGGCGCGACATACTGGAAGGTGGACACGCCCGGCGGCGCGATCGGGAACCGGGTCTGGAGCTACGAGAAGCCGACGCGAGGGTTTGAAGAGATCAAGGGGTATTTGAGCTTTTATGCGAGCGATGGGCAGGGGAGATGGAAGTGTTTTGTGGACGGAGAAGAGGTCGGCGTGCAAGAGGGGTGAGTACGGGAAAGATCGAGCTGATGGCAGCGACTTTTACGGCGGCTGGGTCACCAAAAACATTACCGGCAAGATGAAGGGAGGTGAGTGCCGGTATGGCCGAGCTGATGCAGGCCCTGGAACGTGGGGATGGTAGCTGCCTCTGCTACTTCAAGGATGTATCCTAGTTACAAGCTATTCTCCCCCACGACTTCATACTTCTTCCCTCGTATCCCCCATACTCCCCAATTCGTCTTGACCCCCACTCTGACGTCCCATTCGGCAATCTCCCACTTCAAACTCCCAAATTCATTCTTTCCCGGAGAGAGCACCAGCTCAAACTCGTCTGATACGCCTGGGATACGCGAGACCGGCCGAGTGGGGAGATTGACGTAGGAGGGAAATTCGGCGGTGCCAGAAGGGGGAGCAGTCCCAAACAAAGTAGAGACGTCCCGCTCGAGGTCAAGAGGGGAAAAGGCGGTAAAAAAGATGGGGCATTTGGTTTTGAGAATTTGGGTAAGGGGTTGGCGCCAGGATGTCTGCGCCTGAACGAGGGGCTGAGGAGATTCTACCGAGCCGGCGGCGTCGATGGGTGTGGTCGTTTCCGCCTCTGGGAGAGAGTAGGCGTTCGCCGCGGCGTCCGCGCTGGAGCTGACCTCTGCCGCCGGGACCTGCTCCGCCCGGTCCAACGTGATGTCTTCTGCTTCCTCCGGGGTAGGTCCCTGGTGCGGGAAGCCAAGCCCCGGGCTGAATGCGAAAAAGACATCCGTATAAGGGTCAAACGGACCCAATTGCTCGTGGAGCATCTCGTAGTTGCCCTTGAGACTGGTGAGCTGGAGCCGAGGCGAGACGTTCAAGGTGTAGCCGGGGACGCCGTATTCCGTGTCTTGGAATTCGTAGCCGATCCGCCGTGGAGACTTTTTGTCGAGGAGAGGAAGACCGACCTCGGGACCGATAAAGTAGATGTTAAAGTTGGTGCGGGGAAAGAGATGGGTGAATTGTTCCCAGATGGCAGGGGGAAGGGTGGATTCGGCGCGGGCGCCTAGAAGGAAGAGACGAAAAGGGGGTTGGGGTTTCTCGGGCGCCGTATCCGATGATGATCCAGGGGGAAGATGCAGAATCGAGTGGATCGCTAAATCAGCCATGCCAAATATCGGCTCACCTGCCATGCTCCGTCTGCCCTCGCTCGTGATCCGGCTATTCCCGTAGGTATAAGGGCCGTTCTGATGCAGCACCCCCGCGATAGTGATAGGATACGTCAACACCTTGGAGACGTGTCGTATCGCGCGATCGCTATCTATCGATGGAAAGTCCCGGGTGAAGAAAAAGTTGTCCCACGTCGAAAACGACACGGCCGCTTCGTATGGCTGTTCCGCTATCATCAGCCAGGTCTTACAACGGCTCACCTGGCATATTTTCAAACTCTGACAGCTTTCGCCCAGACCTAATGTCGTGCTCATCCTCATTGACTTCTCTCAACCGCCCGCAAAACTCGGAATGCTCCGCCCGCCCTTCAGTCCATCGCTGCTCGTCGCGGTGGGTGGGAAACCCGCAATCCGGACAATCAAATCCGGGCCTGACACGCTCGCCATACCGCTCATAAGACACTGGGCATAGTGAGGCCGCTTTGATCCGGTCCGCCTTTTCGATGAGGGCGGTAAAGGGGGAGTGGGAGAGGGGGTGGAAGAGATCCGTCGAGGATAATTGTGGAGTGGCGGTGAACGGGGATTTGGGGGCTGCTTTGAACCAGGAGAAGAATGTGCGTGTGCTAGTTGGTGCTAATGCTCTGCGTGCGAGGATGCGTGTATGGGACCGCATAGTGAAGTACAGATGCAAGATCGAAGATCGCTCAGAGGTCAACATTTCTCATTACGTCAAGCCTCATGGCCTCATCTATTCACCTTCACCAAATCTTCATACACACGCTCAATTCAACCCCGGGCCCGTGGGCATGGTCAAGCTGTACGATCTGCCAGAGGAGGTGAGCCAAACCCCGACATCGCTCATCAGATCCTGCTCCAAATCCACCTCTTAGCCCTTTCCCCCTTCCTCCCTCTCGCCCATCCCGCACTCTACGCCATCCTCCACAATGCCCCCAAAACCCACACCGCCCAGTACCTCATCCGCCTCTACGCCGACTATGGCGCCGACATGCTCGTTCGGGCGGTGCGGCATCCCATATGCTCCACTACGGTGGCCAAGGAGATTCGGCGGGTCCGTGACGACCTGACCTGCTCCGAACTTCCGAGGCGCCTGTTCCGCACGTTCGACCAGGATCTCCTCGACCATCTCATGACCACCTACTCGCCGTCCCCCAATTCGCACAAAGGATACCCCCTTTGCCGCGCCGTCCTTACCTCAAACATTGCGTTGATCGAGTATCTCCTTCGGTACGGCGCGGATCCTGGCGTCCAAGAATCGCTGCCGGTCCGGATAGCTACTCAGTTGGGCCGCCTAGATCTGGTCCGGTTGCTAGTAGAACCCGGGCAGGGCGGGGCCAAGCGCATCAAGCGCGCCGATCGGATCGTTATCGGCCCAGAATTGGTCGAGCTAGCCATCAAGTCTGGTCACGAGCCCATTGTGCAATACTTTGTGCACGACAAGGGTAAGCCGGCCTGCGATTGGGCTGAGTGCAGGTATCATGCCTCCTTTACGATCCATCATGAAGCTAGGCAAAAGGAGATAGTTTGTAGTAAATTACGTTGTTGCATTACCTTTATTATGAACACCAACAAGCAGGCTCAGGTGAGGCCGCTGCCCGTTCAAGCTGACCCCAGCTCGCCTCTGCCTATCAAGAATTAGGCAAGGAGCTGGCTTCGGAAAAGCTCAAGGTGGTGGGGGGATACACGATCGGCCGGGTCATCGGTGAAGGTGGGTCCATACGCGACGTTGCTGATCAGGCTCGTTCGGTGCTGTCCACATTGCCATCCACCGAGGGACCGGGACACGATGCGCCATCAAAAAGATCCCCAAGACCCTGTCGTCCCAGATCACCCGCGAAATCCATCATCACCGTCGTCTACACCACCTCCACATTGTCCAGCTGTACGAGATTATCGCGACCGAAACACATATTTGGCTCGTCACGGAACTGTGCTCTGGGGGAGAGCTCTTTGACTATTTGGTGGAACGGGGGCGAATACTAGAGGGGGAGGCGAGGCGGCTATTTGGCGAATTGACGGTAGCCGTGGGGTACATGCACGATCAGGGAGTGGTGCACCGGGATTTGAAGCTGGAGAATATATTGCTGGATGGGGATTTGCGAGTCAAGCTGGCGGATTTGGGCTTTGCGCGAGAGTGGACCAAGGGCAAATTGTAAGTTCCTCGTGGGCGTGGCTGATGTAGACTCGAAACACATTGCGGGACGACGGGCTATGCTTCGCCAGAGATGCTGTCGGGAAAGCGGTATCTCGGCGTCGAGACGGATGTCTGGTCTTTGGGAATCATCCTCTACATCCTCCTGTGTGGTGGTCTGCCGTTCGATCACGACGACGAGCGGGTCATGAAGGATCTCATACTCAAAGGAGAGTATGAAGAGCCCGAGTGGTTGAGTCATGGTGAGTACACGTCTGTTCGCGCTAATATCAGAGGCCCGCTCGTTGATAGCGTCGCTCCTTCGGCAAGACCCAACGGCACGCCCTTCCATCCAAGACATCTTTGCCCATCCATGGTTCGGCCTCATTCCTCCCTCCCCCATGCCTCCATACGAAGAGTTTGGCGATACTCTGCACTTACCCGTCGCGCACCGCACCCCATCCCGCACTAAGCGCCGCTCCGTCTCCACAATGTCTTTGGAACGGCGCCACTCCCACCACTCGGTCCATGCCCTCCCCGAGGACTATGCAGCCATGCTCCGAATCCAGCGCCCACCTCCCTTCTCCACTCCCTCCGAAAAATACCTCCTCAACCAACTCAACGATCTCGGAATCGACATAGGTCAACTCCAGCATTCGGTGGAGAATGACGCCTGCGACTCGGCGTCATCCTATTGGTGGCTACTAAGAGCCAAGCAGGCGGAGCGGGGCGAGACGGACGAGTATATCGCAGCCAAGCAGGCGAGTGATGCCAAGAAGCGAGACAAGCTGGCGGCGTACGCGAGGGAAGAGAGGGAAAAGTTGCGGACGCCCATGGAGTCGCCCCTGTCACCACCTGTGGCGTCGCCATCCAAACTGGTCAAACCCCAACCCATCCGCCCAGACTCCAAGCTCAAGCGGGACTCGATGTGGACCAGCTGGTCCACGTTCCGCCAATTCTTTGACCAGGAACGGAAACGCAAACCCCCCAGTATCGTCCTTTCCCGCGGTATCGCAGCGAGGACACCTCATGTCAATCGCGTCAACCAGCGGCGGTCATCTATCGATCGACCCATCTACTCACGCCGATCCTCTTCGGTCAACTCCCGCCGGTCCAGCATTACCTCTATCCACGAGTTTGGTCTCGGCCGTCGGCCAAGTCAGAAAAGCCACGGTTCGCAAACACCCACGTCGGATCGGGAACAAACGTACGAGTTTCCCGAACGGCGGAATAGTCTTCAACCGGCCAGCCCTTTGCATAATTATCAGCGCCGTCCCCCACAAGGCACGGCGAGCAAGCGGATACGTCACATTCGTGTCATTCCAGACCATCCCCCAAGTAATCAATCTAGCCGGGCGAGCTCTATAGACGGAGATGAGCGGCCGGAATCATTGGCTCGGCAAATACATCGCAAGGGCAGCCCGCTGCATAAGCGTGTCACGCTCAAACCGGTGCGAGATGTCTTTCACGGAAAGGATGACGAGTGGGAGGATGAGGATTATGCGGGAGGGTATGGACAGGGGGCGAAAGGGAGTCGGCGGGTGGAAACCAAGGCGGCGAGGTTTCCATCACAGGATAAAGAGCCGCGCAGGATTGCAAGAGGGGCGCCCATGCCAATAGCAGAAGAGGAGGAAGAGGATGCTTAATCTAGAAGTCTAATAAACTCTTGCGTGACCGCCGGGATATCGCACAGGCCATCTTTCCAGGTGACACACAGTCGCATCCCTTCGTCATGGCGCATCGCCGAGACGTTCATGGCTGCGCCAACCACTGGAGCGGGCTGCGCCCAAGCCATGTCCAGTGCCCCAGCAGGCAACGTGGTCTTGCCGAGATTGCTCAGTTCCCAGCTGTCCCCGTACGGCTTGCCAGCTTCCTCTTGCCAATACTCCTTCCACCCCGCAGGCACATACGCCAGCATGCCAACATTCTGGCGGGCCTTGTCGGTCCCGGTTTTGAGGCTGAGACCGACTTGGGTGGCGATCTGCCAGAACGGCTGCTGGAGGATGTGGGGGGTGAAGCGGAAGGCAGAGGATGTGACATAGTTGCCGAGGCAGTAGGAGGCCTGGCGCTCGCTCCGAGGTGTCCCGGCAGTGAAAGTGGCGGGGCCAACGACCGATTGGAGCGCCAGGGTCCACGCTGTGGTGATGACTGCATGGATGGAGGTAGTGGGAGCGTGGATCTTGCGCGCGGCCTCGACGCGATCGAGGAGGGAGGGGGAGAGGGATATTAGTGAGAGGCGATTGGATCCAGTGGGTTTGGTCTCTGGCCACACGGGTGTGGGCCAGATTTTGCCGAGGACAAGCTTGTCAAAGAGGATGCCAAGAAGCGATAGAGTGGGGACCTTGAGATTGACGACGTCTTCCAGGGCAGGGGGTGTGGATTCCGGTGAAAAGGTCTCGGTGGATAGGATGGCGTGGACCAGACGCAGCGCACCGATACCATCCGCCAGCTCGTGACGGATAGTGAAGCCGAGGTGAGAGGTGTAGCGCGTCACCTGGAGCATGGGGCCGTCTTTGTATTGGTTCTCCTCGCGGAGCATCCCTTCGAGGTCTTTGGAGGGTGATTCACCAGGTCTGACAAACGAGCAAGGTGTACCCGCTGCCCATGAGGGAGTAGCGTCCGCATCTACGATTTGCGCGTGAAGGTGGGGCCATACCGTCTGGAGATGGGCGAGGCGGTCTTCAAGAGACTGCGCCGTGGGGACCTTGTCGATGGGGTAGGTGACGACAATAGATATCACTGGACTGAAGCCTAGTTGTGTTCGTGTGAGGGCGTACCGCTCAAAGAGAGAGACTGAGGTCAGCGAGGCGAGGTCGAGGACTTACGATTTCTGCCCATTTTCTGGAGCTGAGTCGTGGTCTGAGGATAGGGTCGTCCTTGTAGTCAACGTCTCATCAACGTTCAACGTCTGGAAAGACGTCTTTGTATCGCTAATGTCGTTGTGTTGCGACAGATTGCGACAGCTATTGCGACCGACAAACTAACCCCGAGTATGCCTCCGGGCCCCGGCGCCCGGCCAAGCAGGGCCGGCCAAGCAGGGCATGCGCGCACCGCATTCCTTAAACCTTATTTCACGACTGCTGTTACGACTGTATTGCTAGCATATTCCTATCCTGTCGCAGAACACTATGAGCCCCGACCTCGAAGTATTCGCCCAGCACTGCCAGAGGTTCTACTTCTCCAGCGACGCCGAGTCGGACTACATCACGTCAACATTGGCAAAGGTTTCCCCGGCGGATCGGCCAGCCTATACCAAAGTCCAGGCGGAGATACGGTCGCAAGCCCACGCTCATCATTTGAGCGTTCGCCGGTCGACATTTCAGGCCTTCATCTCAGATCCTGGGCGCTCCGATACTGAGACTCTCGTGCGGTGGTACTCATCCGGAACCGAACCATTCTTCCATGGACTCAAAGCGGCGTTGAGACTGCAAATCGGGAAGGGACAACGAGTGGTGTGGGAGATTGACGATGCGGTGTTTCAACAGTCAGGGTGAGTCGATGTCAGGTTGAGCTGATGACAGGAGTTTGGATTTTATGCGGGACGCGGTCCAGACAATGAAGGGGTTGGGGTTTGAGCCAAATCCATTCCAGGAGGGACTCCGGCAGTGGGTGTTGACACGTACTCGCGATCCAGAGCTGGACGCGGCGGTCAGGGTGTTGGGACGAGGCGCCAAGCGGGGAACAGGACGGATGTGGGTTGGCACGGATGACAGGGAACCAGGGTGGCAAGGGAGCTGGTGGTTTCGGATCAAGTATTGGCTGCGAAGCTGGTTCTGAACGGGAAAGACGACACCCAAGATGGAAGGGGCTAGTGAAGCATTACTGCCAATTGGTTCTATTTGGGTAATTAGAGAGCTTTTGGCCTGGATCAAGTGCTGGTCGTAGTCTACAACTCTGTTCTAGCCTTTTTCCCCTCTCTTTCGTCCGCCTCTGCCGCCCGCTTCCCCAAGTTTGCTTCCAAATTCCCCTGCCGCTGCGTATTCTTTGCCATGACGATGGCCCTGAAATCGTCCTGCCCCTTGTCTCCACCCGTCAACGGCGCGAGCACCTTGTCCGCTGGAGCCTGGCGACCCTTGCCGAGGGCTTTGCCTTTACGCACGCGAGGCGCAAAGGCTGGGGCGTCCGATTTGCTCTGTTCGGTAAAGGAGATGGTGGTGTCGTTGAAGATGAAGGGTTCCGAGCGGAGCAAGAGCTTGCCAGTATCCTGACGTCAGCTCATTCAGGACAGTACTCACCGAGGCTTCTTTCAACTCTAGCAAAGCCTCGCGTTGCTTGGCAAACATTTCCAGCCGCTTGACGGGGACAATCTTTTCCAGCGCCTGCTGGAGGAGACCCTCCTGGGTGCCTTCGGGAATGTTGTGCAGGCGGATCTGCCGCTGCTTCTTGTCGACGAATTCCGGTTTGGGTTCCGGCTTTTTGTGATTGGGATCGCTGATGCTGACGTTGAGGAGCTTGCCGTTGAGAGCGGCCCCGTCGAGGGCGAGTGCGGCATGTGCTTCGGCCTAATTAGCGTTGTCACGTTGTAGCTCACCTCTGTAGACATGTGAACGAAAGCAAAGCCCTTGCAGATTTGTTTGATGGTATCGTAGCCGAGCTTGATGAATTTGACAGTCCCAAACTGAGGTCAGCGAGATCGCATTGGGCTCACCTTTTCAAATTGCTCCCTAAGATCCGCTTCTGTCGTCTGGGGGGTGAGACTTTTGACATAGAGCGATGTGGAATCGGAGCGCTTGGCCTTTGCCTGTGGGTCGGAGATCTTGACGCTGAGGGCGAATTCGCCAGACTGCGTTCCGTCCAGTGCTAGAGCGTTCATGGCGGAAGTCTATCAGCTAGGCTTGGCGTCGACTTACTGAAGAGTCCATGGTGACGTAGCAGAATCGCCGAGTGGCCTTATACTTGAGACTCGGCCAGCGAGTATCGAGCACTTGGCCGTGTTGCGAGAACAATGCGCGGATAGACTCGTCGTCGCCGTGGAGATTGGTCACGTAGAGGGTCGACCGCCACAACGCCGAGACGTTGATGACGTGCGTGTCGAGCTTTTTGCGATCTCGCGCAAGCGCGGCGGGGACGGCATCGACGAATTTGAATTCTATCAACGCGGCGTTGGGTTTGCTGATGATTTCGCGAATGGGCCCGCACTACATTAGCTTGAACGGGCGTTGACTCACGTCTGAGAAAAAGGCTTCGATCCGGTCTCGGTCGGTGTCGGCAATGCCGCTGACGACGACGGTGGTATGTTCGCGGTCACTACGATTAGCCTTGTCTGGGGCGACTTACCGTTGGAGTTTTTCTTCAGGAGCTGGAGCTGGAGCTGCCGCGGGGGCTGCATCGGCAGGCGCAGGCTGGTACTCGACGTACGCCTTTTGCCGGCGCTTGGCGAGCTTTTCCGATTCGCGCTCAATCAGCATCCGGCTAGATTTGATGCTGTCGAGATCGCCGTGGACAGCTTCGAGCTGGGTCAACGATTCGTAAACCATTTCTGGCCAGTCCAGATCGGACCGCTGCATGGCAGTGGTGAGGATGTGTCGGGATTGGGCGAGGTTGCCGCGGCGGGTCTCGATGCCGGAACGCAGCAGAGCCATCTGGTACGATGAGGAGCGCGCCTTGCTGGGTTTCTCTACGAGAGCGAGGGCTTGGTCCAGGTGGTCCGGGGAGCGGGTCTCGGCCCATTCGAGGAGGAACTTTTCCAACTTGCACGATGGGTCTGATTAGCGCATTCGAGTTGGACTTACCATTCAGTTCCAGTCCGCGAATGATGGTTGGCAAGACGTCGCCAGAGGAGCGGCTGAGGTGGCTTGCCCAGTAGAGGTGGAGCTCGGTACCGGTAATGACGCCAAAGGATAGCGCTTTTTCGTAGATGGCTTCGTCTTCCTGATATCAGCTGTGAAAAGCACAACTTGCCTTTTCTGCTAATAATCTGCTCCAGAGCATTCCGCTGCTAGGACACGCTCGAACCGCTCGCTCTAGTACCGCCTGCGGGTCGTCCGACGCAGCAGCATACTTGGCCCACACATCCGCCTCGGCCAGTTTGTACGGGTCCACCTGGTCGTCTGTGACCTCCACCACTGGCTTCTTCTTTCCTCGCTGGAGCTTTTTGGCCTGCTTGACGGCAGCCGCAGCCTCGGCCGCGGCGGTCGCCCACATGGCCACTGCTCGCTCAAACACTTGCTGTGCGAGGACAGGATTTGGCTGCTTGGCTCTGCTGTCGGTCTCCCAGTGGATGTACTCGTTGAAGATGGCGCCCTGGCTGATGGCATCTGGCGTTGCGATCTAATTAGCGACACATAAGATGCACTCACCAAGGCATCCTCAAAGTCCTGCCTGACTTTGCCGTATCGGCGCTCGCCCGACATGAGGTGTTTGGCTGGTTGCGAGGCTTGCGTCGCCGCGACAAGTCTATCCTCATAGTCGATTTGCGCACTGCAAAAGGTTGAATAGGCGTCGAAAGTGGATTGCATGTCTAATCAGCTTGAACGGGCATTCGCTCACCTGGATGGGGAACGGCGAGGCGTTCCTGGTAGAATTGGTGGATCCGCTCGTTTGAGCCTTGCTCCATTTCCCATTCTAGGCATAGCTGCCACAGCTGGGTGTGGGGAAACCGGCCGAGGATGGACTGCATCATTTCGCGAAGGGTGTCGGGCGTGAGAAAGTCGGCAATCTCGCCGGGGTGCTGTTGACGGAGGAAGCGGATATGTCTGGCGGGTATGGAGAGGACTATATCAGCTCGTTCTGACAAGGCTCACCTTGGTAGTCTTGCTCGGCGCGGTCATACTTTTCCAGCATGTCTGCGAGGCCGTCGAGCGTGGTGACCTCGTCTTGGAGGTCAAAGTAGGTGTTCCATTGGGCTACGATCAGCTTTTCCTTGGAGGGCTTACCTTCATTGAGCATGATCAGATCAGACAGCTTCTCCAGGGAGTCGAGCTGCTCGGAGGCGAGGTCGAGGTTGGCCATCAGGTCGATGGCTTTGAGGCGGTGAGGGACATTGTCGGGGGATTCTTCGAGCTCTGCCAGGAGCTGCGAGAGCTGTTCGATGGTGTCTGATTTGGGCTGTTTGGGTTTGGGTGGGTCCATGTTGATGTGATGGATGAAGAATGATGGACATCTGACTAGGGTAACAATATTGTGGGTGGCAAGTGGAGATTTACGTACAATACCTCAGCGTAACGTAAACACCTCATCATGCATTCAACCACCCTCTGGTCAACTGTTGTTACCCCCCTACATTCACACGCCTCTCACTAGGATGCCATCGCAGACTGTATCTACACTGGTGGTGGGGATGTTCCTCACCGGCTGCGCAAATAGTCTATTGTAAGCCCTTCCTCAACCGCACTGACCCCAGGACCAAATGGCAAGACAAGCAATGCGTCGAGCACTGCGATACCGCCCGGGTCGACTTTGAGCAGCCAGTAAGTCGAGAGAGGACGTAGCTGATGTAGGTATGGCAGACATTGAAGTGAGAGCTCGAGCGAGCAGGCTGACTGTAGCATGTTTATCGGCGAATTTCTGTGCTGTGTACCGCTCCTATGGCAGCGGCGCAACAAGCACCAGTACGCGCCCGTCGGCGAGGACGAGGGAGAAGAGGAGGAGACGCTGAGCGGATGGAGGATGGGCTGGATGTGGTTCCCTGCCTTCTTTGACAGTGAGTCTACCACCGACGTCGCTGATTAGTCTGCGGCACTACCCTCATGAACGTCGGCCTGATCCTCACTCCCGTGTCGGTGTACCAGATGAGCCGCGGGGCATTGGTCATTTGGGTCGGCGGACTTTCGCGGATATTTCTCAAGCGTTACCTCTACCTCTACCAGTGGGCGGCGCTCTTCATTGTCACTCTGGGGGTGTGCCTGGTGGGACTTTCCGGCAGTCTGGCGCAGCACGGGAGCGTTACTTCCCTCAGTGCAAACGATGACGAAGCGGCCAAGGTGGCCCTCGGCGTTGCCTTGATCTTGTTTGCGCAGGTATTCACCGCGACGCAGTACGTGGTCGAGGAGAAGATCATGTCGCGATACCACACCGAGCCATTGGTAAGTTGACCTTGACAATGCTGATGCAGGTCGCCGTCACTCTGGAAGGGTTCTTCGGTCTCATAACAACCCTTGTTGGCATGCCGATCCTCTATCTCTTCCGCGACCGGTCCGACTACTTTGACATTCCCCGCGGATGGCACCAAATCACCTCGACACCTAGCGTGATGTGGCTATCGCTTGCAATCTGCTTTAGCATCGGCGCCTTCAACTATTTCGGATTGAGCGTCACAACCAGGGTCAGCGCGACGACTCGGAGCACTATCGACACGTGCAGGACGTTGGGGATATGGGTGGTCAGCTTGGGAGTGGGGTGGGAGCATTTGGTCTGGCCATTCTCGCTGCTGCAGGTGGCAGGGTTTGCGATGCTAGTGTAAGTTTTGGTTGGGCGAGCTGACGTCAGGTATGGGACGTTTGTGTTTAATGGGCTATTGGCGCCGTTCTGTTCTGGGCGGCCTGTCCAGCTTGGAGAGGGGGAGCTGGACCCTGCGGAGAGTCGAGGGTATGATGTCGTACCAAGAGACGATTAGTTATCATATGTACAACCTATTTAGCCGCTCCTTCATCACCTATCGCCTCGTCATGTAAGCCATCTGATCAGAATGCGCCTTGGCGTCCAAGCTCTATCAGCAGAGCTCTACCAAAACCCACTTGTTGATGCGTCCCGCTGCTCATGCTGAATAACCGGTCCGCCTCGATATTGTCCTGCTTCTTTTTGGTGGCCGTCGTGTTGGGTTTGAGGTAATTGTCAAATCCCTGATCAGCACAGTCTACTTGGACTCACCTTGATGATGTTGCCTCCCGACGCGGCGGTCTCTTCGAGGTAGCTGCCTTCAAAGTTGTAGATTGCTGTTTCGAGGTTTGCCTATCAGCACGGTTGGCAGGGGGCTTACTAGGCTGGTATCGATGGCGCGCTTTTTCCGCTGCGCCGCTTCTAGTTCTGCTAGGGCGGCGGCTTGGGCTTGCTTTGCGTCGGCGGGAGGGCCGGATTGACTCATGATGATGGGTGAAGTGAAGTTTGATCACGCGCGGTGGAGGTGTGTTGTTTCGGCTGTGCGCGAGCTCTGGAGATCTGGAGCTCTGCCTTGGCCCCTTGCCTCGCGACACGCGCCGCAGCTTCTTTCGTTTTCACCTCTCACCCTCGTACTCGCGACCCGCCAAACCTACAGCCTCGATCAGGATGTGCCTACTATACTCTGTGTAGACAGGCGGTTTTGCGTTTACCCCTCCCGCGGCTTATCATTGTGAGCTTGTACAACGTTGACTGATCGGCCTCAAGGTGCCATTTACTATATACATCTAAATCGTGTATGATACTGCAGGAGATGCCCATGTATTACATCTAATATACAGCTAGATCGTATATGATGATGGTAGATCCATTCACAACTTGTCCCACTCGGCAAGAAGCAAGGTACCGACGTCTACATCAGCGCCGTCAATGTCGAACTCACTTGGCTCAACCTCTGTCCCGTCCCTAGAGATCTTGACCTCCCTATCCGAGTTCCACGGGTTCCGCAAGTGCTTGGTCTGCCCAAATGGTAACCCTTTGACCTTGACCCATTCAATCTTGAACTCGAACCCCATCCCCTCCTCCAGATCCAACGCCTTGGGCTCGGGCGAAGGGATCGTATCTTTCCTCAAGACTCCCTCATTGTCCATCTCCTGCTTCCGGTCCGACGTACCCGGCTCGGTATTGACGATGGCGTTGCGCTCTGCCGCCCGCAGAGCAGCGATAGGGCCGGCCATACCGGACCGTTGGAGGAGCTTTGGATCCAGTGTGGTAGGACGGAGATCTGCCGGCGCAGAAGCGACCGAATGATGACCGTGAGAGTGACGTGGCTTGACGGGATTGGTCACGCTCTTTATATCAAACGAGGGCTCCTCATCCGCCGGCGTCAGGGAAGTCGGCGATGACATTGGCACCGGTGAGGAGAGGAGGTCGACTTCGGGCGTCTCCTCCATCGTTGCCAACCTGGCAGCAGCACGCTCCTTGTCGATCGGCTCCACCATCTTGGCGTAGCCAAAGAACTCGCCCGACTTGTTGGCGCCAAAGATGAGATAAACCTCTGGGGCGGTGCGGAACGCCTGGTCGAGGATGGGCTCATTGTGCCGCTGTGTCCGCCAGGTCCCCTTGGCGACACTCTCCTCGAGCTCCGCCACGCTCGTGCTTTTGAGTATAAAGACACGCTTGGGAAAGTGACGGGTGAGGAAGGACGAGTTGGTCGAGGCGTAGCTGTTGGTGGATTGGTGCTTTTGCTGCTCCGCCTGCGCCTGGACGATGGATTCACGACGCCTCCCCTCGCCCTCTGGTGGTGCTTCCATCGCCGCCGGGCTCACAGGTCCGCTCGCCTTGACCCATTCCCGGTGCATTCCCGTCCCCCTCTGCGCTCCCACTCCCGCCCGCAGATCGTCATCTTTTCGCCGCACCCGACACACCATGCGGGGACATCGCATATCCCATCCCCGCAACGGTCGGCCGTTGAAAAAGTTGACCGCCCTGTCGAGGTCTTCCTGCGAGGAGAGATTGACGAATGCGCAGGACGAGCGGGATATCAGAAAGATGGACGATGGTCCTTTCCATGGGGAGTTGCCGGGAGGAACAGTGGTATTGAAGTAGCGCCATAATTCCTCGTGGGACGTGTTTTGGGGACTACATCAGCTCGTTCAAAGCTAGACTTACACATTGCCCACCCACATCACCCAATCGCTTCGCTTTGCCGGAGGCAGGGGGTGATACGGCTTTCGCTCGCGGTCAGGTTCCTGCTTGGGCCCGTTCCAGGACTCGCGATTGCGAAACTTCTGTGGAGGAGTCTCGAATTGGGGTTGGTAGGGCGTGTAGAACTGCGCAGGTGGCGTGTACTGCCAGGTCTCGGGTCGGCGCTGGACGGGGCTCATGGGCGGCGTCCAGTGCTGATAAGGGATGAAGGGTGATTGCTGAATGTGTGGGATGTAGGGCGATTGAGGGACGGGCGATGTGGGATAGGGTGATTGCGATGGGGCGTAAGAGGAGGATGGCGCATAGGGTGAATGCGTATAGGTGGGATACGCGGGCCGAGGGGAGAAGGCAGGGTTGAAGCCATCATACCGGAAACGTTCGTCGTCCATGGTGAGTTGACCGAACCGGAATCCGTAATCTTCCTCGTCGTCCAGTTCGTTCCGTGCTGGGATCACTGAGATTAGCAATGTCGAGTGTTGACTTGCCTCTTGATGGTCCAGCCATATTGAGCGAGGTTGCGAAGGGGAGAGTGATGATAGGGGTGAGTCCGAGCGGGACGGGAATAGCAGATGTGTGATGTCCGAGAAGATGAGTGTGGCTCAGCCTGCAGTTCCTGCTGCTTTGGCTTTCTTGCGCTTGGGGGTTGAAGTATGATCACAACAGAGAACACCCTCTTTTTTGATATGAGATCAGCTGTGGATGTGCCGAGTGAGTGCCGGGTGCAGATCTGACTCTCACTCAGTGACGACATCTCTGAGACCCTAATTACCTCCGAGACACGCGGGAACGTTAACCGGGAACCTTCTTCGCCTCGTGCCTGATGACTGCTGCGGTGGAGCCGTAAGATCTGGCCGCGAGCTGTCAAGCGGCCGCTCATGTCGCCACTTTGACTCGACCTGTCAAACACAGCGTAACAGACCTATATGCATACGCCATGTATTCGCGTCATTACCACGTCGTTAAATTATCTGGATCTAAGCACTGAAACCACCATACCACGCCTCATCAGGCGGCCCCCTCTGTACCGCCAACTTGCCCTCGCTGTCCATGCTCGCATACTCAGTGCTCGCCTCGACCTGCTTGCTGTTGATCCTGTCCGCCTGGTCCCTCCCCAGCCCCAACCCGTCATCCGCGATCCAAACCACTGGCTGCTTCTTCCACAAAGCGGGGTGGTCAAACGCCCGGTCGTGGAAACCAGAGGTGTTGCCGTACTGCGCGCCGGCCTCATCGGTGTGGGCGTCGGGCTGCGCCTTGGGCTCGGCGAGCCGCTCGCCTCCCTTGGTGTGGTGGGTGGAGTGGACGTATTGGAGGAAGGGGGCCTTGAATGCAAACCAGTCAATGTAGAACTGGAAGCAGGCAATGGCGACGACGGCGAGGGCGATAATGACACCGCAGGCCAGACCGGATTTGGACCGGTTCCCGAATTGATCGCTCGAGAGGAAGAAGAGCCCAGCGAGGCAGATCCCCTCGAGGTAGAGGGCGACAAAGACCGTACGGAGGGCGCGGATGTAAAAGAGCCCGCCGGTCTCGAGATAGTCGATCTGGTCGCAGCACCAGCCGAGTTGGTACTTGTACGCCGCGTAGAGGATGCAGAATGCAAGGAAGGTGAGGACGGTGATGATGGGTTGGATGACCGAGTAGACGATGGTGACGCAAATGAGGAGGCAGATGGGGGGGAAGATGGTCGCCCACATGATGTTTTGCATTTTGAACTGACGTCAGCAACGTCTTTGTCAGGACTTACTTGGTGAATGTAGAACTTTCGGGGTGTGTTTCCGCTGAGCAGGCCGGAGAGGAGGTACATGACGAATGGCACAACCCGGGCGAACGCCTTGGTAGCGTTGGCAAAGGTGGTGGTAAGGATGAAGGTCAAGAAGAAGATGGACGCCGAGGGCAGCTTCTCGGCGAGGAGGGTGGGGATGCTGCCCGCCATGCTGCCAATGTTGCTCAGAGCTGAGATGAGACCAGAGGCGAGGGTGACGATAAGGAAACCGTGGATGACCTGGAACAGCCAGTACCGGGTGAAGAGCTTGAGCTCGGTGTCACTATCGTCAGCTAATTCGGACTATGGCTCACCTTTTTCGGATTTCTCCCTGGGACTTGACAAAGATTCGGAGTACGATAGGGAGGAGCATGAAGAGAACCGCGAGGAGGACGGGAGGAAGGACACCGCGAATGATACCGAGGACGGGAGAGGGAAGGCGGCAAAGCCAAGCCAACCACGAGGCCTTGAGGCAGAGCTCGTCAACATTGGAGAGGACACCGACAAAAGCGACGGGGACCGCCCAAACGATGATGAGTCCGATGGTCAATGCCCAGGAGATGGCAGTGGCAACCTTGCGCTGAGCAGCGGTGCGGCTGATATTTTCCCACTGCACATCCTCCGGGACGACCTCGATGTGGCTCTTGACCATGCGAAGAGACTTGTCCGTGTCTTTGGCGAGCCGGGCAAAGTTGTGCGCCTCGTGCTGGCTTTCGAACCGGAGGAAAGCCGTGGTACCGAGCTCATACTCCTTGGTGCGCAGTTCGCGGAGCTTGTCGTTTTGCTCTGCAATAAAGACCGGGGACGTCTCGAGGTCCATCTTTTTGCCAATGAGACCGAGGAAACCCTGCTTCCAGCTGGGCATCTTTTTAGGGAGCACGTAGCGGTGGGCAGGGTGACCGCTCTCGGCGTCCGCCGTTCCCTTCTTCTCCGGTGACTTGCCCTTGCGATCATTCTTGGCGGCAAGCTTGAGCAGCTTGCCAACCCCTCCCTCGAGCCGAGCGCACTCGTCATTGCGGTCCCCCCAGACATCCTCCAGGTCATCCACCTTGCGCGCGAGCCAGATCTTTGGCCCGCCGCCGATAGTGTCCGAAGAGCCGTTGACGTGGGTGGTCCGCGAGTCCGAAGGGGTAAGACCGCCGACGCTTTGGGAAAGCTCCTTGAGGCTGGTCTCGTTGTTGTAGTTTTTCGGGAGACCCGTGACGGCGATGGTGCGGGACCGAGCGAGGGTGAGGTGCTGAGCCGAGGTCAACCATGCCTGGCGAATTTCGACAAAGTGACGGTACTCTTGGAAGAGAGTGTAGGCGGTGTAGGCCATGAGGATGAGGGCGACCAAAAAGTGGGCGATCCGCCGCTCGCTGTGCGCCGGCGAGACATTCCCAAAGGTGAGGATGTTCAATCCCTGTTGGCCTGCGGTAGGGGGAGCCGCTGCGACCGGGATGCAGATGACGACCGTGAGGAAGACGTAGGGGAGGAGAAGTTTGATGCCGAATACCTTTAAAAACCTTAAAAAAAAGTACGCGTCAAGACCGTTGGCGACGATGATGTCCTGGTCATGGGTGGTGAGGACCCGCTTCCAGAAGGCAAATATACCATCTGGAAGTTCGCTTGGGCGCTTGCCTTCCGGGGCGAGCTCGGTACGGGGTTGGTAGACCCGGCGGAGTTTCTTGTTGCCGTGAAGGACGATCCAGAGGGTCTGTTGATCAGCTTTGGTGCGAACATGAATCCAAGGGGCATGGCGTACCGTGAAGGCCACCGAGACGACGACTGCCACAACAACGGCTGCGACAAAGGTGGAAGTGTTGGCTGTGCTGGTGTCAGCAGTACCATTGGTTGTCGTGGCGCTCTACACATTAGCTTTGGAACGACCGCAGATACTGCATAAAGTGTGAGTACTCACCATGATGGCGCTGCGCTATATGACGAACGCAGGTGGCGATAAGAGACCAAGTTGAAGTACAGATGCAAAAGGTGAAAGGGAGGAAAAAGCTGCGGGTTTGAGCGTGAGCTTGTTTACCCGCCGTTCCTCCCATGACGTCAGGGGAGTCCAGGGGCGATCTGGATTCTGAGCCTATTACGAGCCGAAATTACCCCTTTGGATGAAACTCGTCTGAAACGTTAATCAAATCTCAGGGGGGAAGGAGCTGTCCCTGCCGATCTTCATGCGTCATTGTGATCAAGACATCTGATATCTGCTTGTCTCTGGCTGTTTCGCTCTTGAATCTCTGCTGGACAAGGGAATGCCCGACGCAAGCACCCACTCGAGCAACCGACCGCAACAGGAGCAGATCAGCAAGAATGTTGAGGCCCTGACGAGTCACCTGAATCATATACATCTCCTACGCCGCGAGCAGCTTGTACACCAGATTCTCCACCTCCAGCTTGGCCGCAGCGACCATGGGATTCCCCGTCGGCAGCATCTGCGTCGTCCATACCACCTGACATTAGCGCTGACGCTGACCTCACTCACAGAGATTTGCGCTGACGGGTCAATCCAGTATTCGGTCCCGGCTGCACCGCCCCATCCTACGCTGCCGGCGTGTCGGCCAAAGTCTCCCCTTCGCGCTCGACCCTTTGGCTGGAAGATGGCCATCCCAGTCGTCCAGTCTGCCTCTCCTGCCTCGAGCGTGTCGGCGCCGGTAAAGCCTCGGATCCGATTGAGGATGTCGGCCATGGGCTGGTAGGCCGATTCGGCGAGGGTCCCTTTGAAGAGCGACGCCACGGAGGCGTCGGACAGGAGGGGCGAGGCGGGGCGAGGGACGGACGAGTCCGAGAGCGAGAGGTAGTGCGCCATAAGGTGTTGCAAGAGGCGAGCGTAGTTTTCCGTGGTCGAGTAGACGCCTCCACCGCCGGCGGGGTATTCAATCTCTTCGCGGCTACGGTCAGCTTGGCCGGACAAGACTTACGTTCTAGGCAGGCAAAGACCTTCCGCACGCAGCCCCTTGACTTCCTCCAGCTTCTTCCAGTCGAGCTTTCCTCCCTCGTCCGTGCCATCGCCCCACCTCACCGGCAACAAGCGGTCCTCCCACTCGTTGCCAAACGGATAGAATGTGGTCTCCTTCATCCCGAGCGGACCGCATACCTCCCGCTGGAGATACGCCTCGTACTCTTCACCCACGACCGTCGGGAACATGAGCGCGAGCCACTCGGCGCCGTTCCCGTATTCATAGTGGGTTCCAGGCTCAAAGGTGATTGGCGTGTTGATGAGGTTTTCCTGTAATCAGCTGTGTTGGCAAGCGTACGCACCACTTTGCAGCTGTTGACGAACCCCTTGCCTACATCGCTGTACGCTTTCCACGCCTGCACTTCATCCCCAAACTCGCCGCCAAACCCGCTGCTTTGGTTCAACAACCATCCCAGCTTGACTGGCCCCTTGTACTCCCCCTTCCAGACCGGCTGGCCGTCCTTGACACCGCCCCAGATCCGCTCCGCGACCTTGTCGAGCGGGGCAAACTTTTTGCGCATATCCGTGTCGAGCGTCAACAGTCCCCGGTCCACGAGTTGCAGGTAGATTACCGAGGTGATGAGCTTGGATGTCGAGGCGAACCACATGGTGTCGTCCGGCTTGGTCTGGCGGGACTCTGGGTCCAGAGGGTCGAGGACACCAGCCCGGCCAGTGAAGAGGACCGAGGTGGGCGAGCCGACCGTGAGGTGGACGCTGGGCATGTGCCCCGCGGTGACCTGCTCATCGAGGAGGGTCTGGAGTTGGGTTTGGGCTTCTTTGCTGAGGGTTGGCGACATTATGTGGGGATGGGTGCCAAGAGGGGATGGACGACAGCTTAAGTACATGAGCGGGGAAATCGCGGATAATTCCCCACTTCGGGCCCGCCCGATAGCCCCGCTCGGTGCCGCCGGCCCGGTCTACCGGCGGTATCAGAGCGTCAAGAACTGTGCTGCGTTGGTCTTGCCGTTTCTCGATGGGCTTGAGCTTGTCACTATTCATACCCCTGCAGTCAGCTCTGCAGTCTGCCTTCGGCTCGATGATTGGAGTCCTCCGAGCTCGGAGCGGAGTTGAGCTGGTCGCGCAACGAGCGAGCTCCGAGAATATAGGATTTCCATGACGGCATGTCATCCGGCACGTCCCCCTCTTGATCGTTACTGACTTGTTCTGCCATCACTGCATTGACCTCCTCAAAGCTGACCTTGGCCATCATAAGCAAACGCTGACAAGAAAGGATCCCTCGGAGTTCATTAGTACCGAATTCATGTCACCACATGGACGTGCCTGAAGGCTTATCTAACGCTAGGCTGGGCGCGCCGTGCCTGCGCCCTGCGATCTCATCGGGATCGGTAGAGATCACAACTGCCGCAACTGTTATATCTTCACGCCTTGACTCTCCCTGATTCACCTACTTACTCCTCTCACCTCTCCTCATCCCTACCCAAATGGACCAGGCGGGACTTTTGAAATGGCTACTCTGGCAAGACGCCAAAATCCTCCTGGGACAGGTGTTTGCTGGGCACGTCAATTCCATGTCCTACATCGGCGGCTGACATGCAGTCTGGTCTTCACTTGCTTCCTATACGGTGTCTTTTTGTCATGCTTCGCTTCCTATCTCCAGTTCAGCTACAAGGCGGAGAAGAGGCCGATGCGGGCGTTGATTGTATGATCCACTGGAGGGCAGGCTGACGCTCAGTTGGCCGCTACTCTGGCAACCCTCACAACCATCTAGTAGGTCTGAGTATGGACTGTAGTTAAGACAGTGTCATGCTCTTCAACTGTCGACTATTCATAGTCCGCAACGGCAAGATACCCGTCCCCGAGGATACACTGTGTGAGTTAAGGTTGTATCCTGCTGATTTTAGGGACCGCGTTCAACTGGCCGCTTGACGGGGCTACTTATGCGCTCGTGGTCGTAAGTTCTACTCGAGCGCTGCTGACGACAGGGCTTCTATGCTCATCGGGCTTGGAATCTACATGGCCGATCGGTCTATCTCGCCATCCTGCTGTGCACTATGATGTAGGTCAAATAGAGACCAAGCTGATCGCAGCTTGATCACCACAGCTGCCGCATTGGGAGCCTCGGTCACCGTCATGTTGTTCATTTGGGTATACGGTGACCCTCATCCAGGCGGCAACAAAGCAGTAGGTTTGGGGGTTGAGCAGAGCTGAGAGCAGAAAATCTTCAACGCGTTCAACTATGTCTTTGTACGTTGCCGCTCATCCCAAGCTAACGCCAGATCTGCGGGCAGATGACCAGCGATGTTATTGTTAGCGGGCTTATCGTGTACAAACTCCTCAAGCTTCGGACCGGCTGGAAAGAGACCGACTCTTTGCTCTCACGACTCGCCGTGTAGGTTGATGCATGTTCAGGCTGACACTTAGCCTTGCCGTCGAGACGCAATTGCCTTCCACAATATTGTGAGTCCAATCCTTGGATTAGCTGATGTTAGTGCCATCGCCTTCCTTGTTGGATTCACCCAGGTGATCTCGGCAGAATATCTTTCACTGTTCATGTGAGTACTTACAGGGACTGGCTGACGTTAGGTGCTTTCCCCTGGTGTACACCTGCTGCTTCATTGCGTCACTCAACGCGAGGAACACTCTCTCCGCTAGCCTGTCCAACGAGCTCAGCGCGGTCAGCAGCCAGGTAAGTTTGGATCTTAGCTGTTGCTGATTACAGAAGGATCGCTCTTGGTCGACTGGCCGTTCTATCCAGGTCACCACCGAGACCTCTACCGATGTGAGTGGGAGACTGTTCAAGCTGATGATAGGCCGACACGATTATTACGCAAAAGAAACCGCTCAGGGGTCATGGTCGCTTGAGCTCGGTCGATTCGAACCCGATGGAGATGACTGCTGTCAAGAATGCGTCGAGGGAGGGCGAGATTGGCTTAGCGTAACGACCGCGGATTTTGAGTAGCCGAATAGAGACTTGCCGAGATCTCCCTGTAAAGTGCATGCAGATTACTCGCTCTCGCTCCCGCTCTCGCTTCCACTTTCGCTTCCACTTTCACTCTCCTCCGCCATCGCCGGCAAGCTCCTTCGCTCCGTCTCGAATCCCAAGTCCTTGAACCCCTGCTCAACCTCATCCGCCTTGCCAGATGATACAGTGACGGCGCAGATCGAGGTGTCGGAGGAGAAGATCGGCAAGAGGTAGAGCTTGATGACATTTCGGATTTGGTCGAGGGTGATGGACTAATCAGCAAAGTCCAAGCTAGACTTACTGGGAAGGTCTCGAGCATCTTTTTGTTTTGGTCCTTGCCAACTCCCTTGAGGACTTCGTCGAGGTAGGCGGTGCTCGCTGCGGCGCCGACCGTTTCTGAGCCGCGCGCGTAGGAGTATGTCAAGCTGGATCGGGCGCCGTCGACGATGTTTTGTTCGAGCTCGACCTACAATCAGCGGGGACTGATTGAAACCCACAGATCCGTCCACAAGACCAACGAGAACCTTTCTCGCCTCGTCGTATGCCTGCTTTGCGTTTGGGGACTACGTCAGCCGGGTCAACGGTGTGCTTACTCTGTAGACGCTGTACGACGTCAGACCAGTCTCGGCGCTGGCAGACACGCTCGCGCCGTAGGCAAGACCGCTCCCGCGGACTGCTTTCCAGAGATAGCTCTCGCTCGCGTTGAGGACAGCGATCGCAAGGGTCAAGGCGGGGAGGTCGGGGTGATCCCAGCCAGCGACACCTTTGGCGTAGTGCGCCGAGTACGATCCCTCGATTGCCGGCATTGGGACGATGATGCACTGAATCAGCTGGGTACAGCGCGACTTACCTTCTTTGCGGGTTTCTCGCCGAGCGCTGAGAGTGTATCTTTTGCTGTGGATATTTTGGTAAGAGGTGCAGCCTTGACGGGAAGGAAGGACCTGCCCAACGCGGAGCGGGGCTCGGGAAGGCCGAGAATGTCGCCTCGGACAGACACCCGCATGACCGAAGGGTCCAGCACTATCTTAGCTCATCCAGAGGTGAACTTACGGCACTGTCGGACCCCCTCGAGCTTCTTGATGACCTCGTCGGGTGTCTCTTTGAGCGCCTGCGCGGTGGCGGGGATGAACTCCAACATGTTGAGAAGCGAGCAAGATTCGGAGGTCGACTTGGCATTGTCGTATGCGAGCGAGTAGAGGTAGGCGTCCGCGACTCGCGCGCCGTCCCGCTTTTCGTATGGCAACTCCTGCAGCATTTTGGCGACAATCACCTCCAGTCTGGGGTTAGCCATGTCACACGTGACTCACCTATCCTTGGCAAAGATCAGCCCTGTCATGAGATCCTTGATCCACCCAATCGCCTTTTCATATTCCGCCTTTTCCACCTTCATCTCGACGACGAGAACTTCCGAGAACCGACCTCGGAAGGTAAAGTAGGTGTTTTGGCTGATGGTGAAGCTGGTGTTAGCAATGTCGATACAACACTCACTCGTCAAGCTGATCCACGACCTCTTCGTGGGAGAGGATCTTGCCGTCGCGCTTGACGCTGGAAGCGAAGAGTGAGTTTTGGAAGATGGAAAAGTAGCTATTATTAGCGTGTCCTGCTTGGACTTACGGTCTGAGCTCGGCCGGGACGGCGATGGTGTCGAAGAGTGCGGTGACCGTGACAAAGTTGGATTTGACGTGGGAAAAGTGGGTTTGGTAGGGGAGATCCGAGCCGTCCTGGTCGATGTGTTTTTGCACCTCGCCCTGGTCCGAGCGGACCGCGTCGCCCTGGGCATTATTGATCGCGGTCTCGACCGGGACCCAGGTAAGGCTTTTCGGCTATCGTCAGCTATGTCAAGCGTTCACTCACATCGGTAAGGGGAAAGTCCGATATCATCTTTTCCGGAGGCGGTCGGTCCGACTCCTCCTTGGCCGCATCCAGCGCTTTCTGGTACGCCTTGAGCTTGTCCTCGCCGAGGTCCGCCTTGCGCTGCGCGATACGGTCCTTTTCGTCTTGCTCGATCTTGGCGGAAAGCGAGGCGGACGGTTTGCCGATCGTGGTGAGGCACGGCTGGGACACGTAGTATCTGATTAGCGCGTTCTAGATGGACTTACTTGTCGAGAATGGAGATCCAGTCTTTCTCGGTGTACTTGGAGATGACGTCGTAATCCCGCAAATCCTCAAAGGCGTCGGGGAGGTCTTTGCCCTGCATATCGCCGTAGAGGAAATCTATCAGCGACGTCCAGGATTGACTCACCTCCAATCGCCGCGTCGGCTAACGTGCTCGAGATTCCCGTCTCCATCCCGTTCAAGAGCTTGCGCTTGTCCCGCCGGATCAACAGGCCCATCTTGTCCATGTCGATCTTGCCCTCCTGAACAATAGTTTTGAGCTTGTCCATGAACAGGTCCCGCATGGTGTCCAGGTGCTTCATCGGCACGTCGGAGATGTAGCACGAGAGCTCATTCTTGTTGACCCGGTCCTCGGCGTAAAAGCTGATTCCGGTACAGTAGGGCTTGGCGATCTCGACGAACGCTTTTTGGAGCGGGGCGGTGGCGGAGTGGGTGAGGTATTTGTTGATTAGGGAGAGGGCAAGGTTTGCGCCATAGTCCATCGGCGGGGGACCGAGCCAGTTGATATTGATGTCGCCCATGGATTCGTCCTCTTCCATGAATTCGATGACTTTGGTGGTGGAGGTGGGGATGGTGAGGGGGTTCGAGGTGGACGTTTCGACGAATGGGCGTTTCCATGCGGTGGGAGGGGTGAGGGTTTCCAGGATCATCGGCTCGACCTCTTCATTGAGGACTTTGAAGAGGTCAGGGAGGGGGACAGCGCCGTCGATGACCAGGCAGAGATTGTGAGGGACGTAGTAGGTCTTGTGGTAGTCGCGGACTGGATTAGCGGGTCCTATCGCGACTTACTTTGTTGGGCACTGAGGACGCGGAGGGCGGAGAGTAAACCTCCCGTCTCGCTTCTGTAGGCTGATGACTCCGGGTAGAGTCGGCGTTGAGCACTGATCAGCACCGTTGGCAATGCACTCACTCTAAAGACATCAAATCGCCAGCGGTGTTTTCCCTTGCTTGCATTTCGCTATACACCACGCCAGCGTCCTCGCCCTGGCCGTTGATGTGGTGGACCTCTGTCACGTAGTCAGCGTCCGTGATGGTGGGGTGCAGAATGTGGTCGACGTAGACTAAGTCAGCGAGGCCAAAGGGTGACCTACTTGGCAACATCTTGAGGAAACCCTCGGTCCCGGCAGTGGCGATCGTGTAGGCGGTGTGGTCGTTGGCGGTCCAAGCGTTCGTCCCGTTACTGCCCGCTCGGTTGGCGAGGTGGTCCAGGACGCCTTTGAAAGGGTACTTTTTGGAGCCCATAAAGACGAGACTTCCGTTAGCAAGGCTTGAGGAGACTTACTGTTCGAGGGTGTGCGGGCGGCCCGTATCATCGAAGACTGTCGTCAGCGAGACCTGAGTCTAGACTTACTCTCTGAAGCGATGGCAAAGTGGCCGTTAGTCTAATCAGCTTTGTCACCTTATTAGCTCACAATAGGCGCTATCATCAGCGACGGTCTCTCACAAAGACTCACCTTCATAGCTCCCGACGACCACGCTCAGACCGGTCTTTTCGCTCCGCCACTTTCCAATTTTGACCGGCGCATACTTGATGTCAAAGGAGGAGAGTTGCTTAAAGTTGCCAAAGTCGCCGTGCTCGAACGCAGAAGTTGAAGCCATCCTGTCCAGCCGGGGGCGCTTGGCTTCGGGGGATCTCGACAGATTGGGCCTGAGAATAGAAGCGATAGTGATCGCTGGTAGAGGTGTAGATCTGGTCCCTGTGCGCGGTATACGAGCTATACTGCTGGGTATCATGCAGGTGAAGGTATGGTGTGAAGGCAAAAGCTAGGTCGCTTTGAATCGTCGAACCTCCTCCACTCAACTTTGGGTGTACGTAAAGCCTGTGGAGACCCCACGGCTACTGCAACCGCGGCTGTGAGACCATCTCACGCGAAACAAGCCATTGACAGTGCATGACGCCTGGCCCCGCTCATGATGCATCACTCATACTATGCTCAGTATGCCGCTTGACGCAAGCAACAGCGCAGAAAAGTCATGGCAGCAGCAGTACTCAAAGTGGTGCGCTGATCGGCGGGGCCAGCATGGCTACAGCGGCGGGTAAGCTACACAGCTGTTGCGGAGAATACCATCGCTGACGCGCCAGGGATGAAGTCAACTACCACCGTCTACACCACTTTATACGCGACGGAGTACTACGCCTAGACTATCGCGCGCAAAAGCGGAAGCTTGACGACTCGGACGAAGCTCAGGAGGCGCTCGATCTCGACCGGGAAGTTCTGCGGAGCTCTCTCTCTGACGACGAGAAGTATGTCCTGGTGCGCTTGGTATCATGCAATGACACGAGCCCGCCAGACTACCGCATGGAATCACCTGTCATTACTACGATCAAGCAGAGACTAGAGCTGGGTAAGTTGATTTCTGGCGCAATGCTGACTGTAGATCAAGCGATACTTCTCCTCGCCTCTTGCCCTGTGTCATCGACAACTCTGGCAGAATGCGTCTCCTCCCTTATCGATGTGTGGGCGGCGCAATGTCAGATACCACCTGTCAAGGGAGAGAAGAATCCCTGGCTCGATAGGCGGACGTCACCTCGCAGCTTGACCATCGCCGTGCTCACTTTGAGCCTGGAAAAGGTGGAGCGGGCGCGGCGCAAGAGGGCACCTCGGTCAGAGCAGAGTGCACCTACAGGCGAGCAAGGTGAGTCATTGGGCGACTCGGCTCATGCCGCAGGCGAACGCTGTCGACAGCTGGAAGAAGAGCTCTCACTGGCGAAGGAGCGATGTTCAGACCTCGAGGCTGAACTCGCAGCCAGCAGAGACGCGCTGCAGCGCTACAAGCAGAGCGTCAACGTCCTCACGCAAAAGTCGGCGGTACAGAGCGATGGACAGCTCGCCTCAACTGCTCCAGCTACCGGGTCCTCATCGAGCGCGGCCGCACCAAGCATTCCCATACCCTCAGCTCGACCTATGATCTTATCCTCCTCATCGGCATCCTCTCCGGACGTTCCGCCAGCCAAGAAACCGCGCGCCTCCGGTCCACGCCCGACCATCATGGACCACGTTTCATTCCCGCCAGACCTCACAATCAAAACTGTACCCGACCTCTGGACGCAATATACCATCGGACTGAACGGTTCCGCACCCACACGGGCATTCTACGAGATCTTCAATCCGTATGCCAAGTTCAGTACGCACAGGACGTCCCAGGTCACGGTACATCGGCGACGAGCGGACATACTGGATCTTGTACAGGAATTGGCGGTGGACTACAAGGGATCGGGCAAAGAAGCTGCTGTGGTGCTGGAGGCTTGGCGATTGAAGCAGGGCTTCACCTTGACCGCGCTTGGCGATAAATTGGAGAGGATGTCGGTTGACTCTTTGCGAGCGGCTTTACGATCGTGAGTTTTGTTAGGGATTGTGCTAATTGCAGATGATACTTCGCTCACGACTGGTCGTTCTTGATTTGTAGAGTCCATAGTCTTGTACATAGCTGCATGGTCTATACTCTATTCAGAGGGGTGACTGAAGTGGGGAAAGTGGGGACTCTATGAATTACTACCGTGGGAAACACAGCTATCGCCACCCAACAGCTAATATGACTGATCTGCAAGATCACTCTTTCTCCCTCCTCCAGCTAGACATCTACACCATGACAGAGTACGCCCGCCGTCTTCCCGCTGAAAAACATTGCTGATTATACAGATACTGGGTTTCCAAAAAGCAATATTGGTGCAAATACTGCTCCATATTCATCCGCGATGATGCACCCGTAGGTCCTCCCGTTGACCCAGCTGACATCAGTCCCGGCGCATGCACGAGACCGGTCTCAAGCACTCTGGCAACAAAGAGCGCTTCATCCGGGACCTTTATCGCAACGGTAACAAGGCCAAGATTGAAAAGGCCGAGGAGGCGGTACAAATCGCCAGAATAGAAGCTGTGAGTCCACCCCCAATTCGTGCTGACCCCAGGCCGCAGCCGGGACTGGCGCCTCTGCATCACGCCTCTCCACTCTCGACGCCCTCCGCGCCCAAGCTACACACCGCCCCCGCGAACCCTCTCGTCCCGCCGACAAACTCGCCAACTACTCGTCCGCCAAAGACCTTGGATTCGACGATGAGGAGAAGACTTCCTACGAGATTGAGCAGGAGCTCAAAGGGAGAGCTGGGGAAGTAGGCGGATGGGAGACGGTCGAGTATGAGCCAACGGGGCAGTATACCGAACCCGCCGAGGCCAGCTCGAGCAAGCGGAAGCTGGGCGAGTACAATCCGGACGATGACAATCACGAGGGGTTCAGAATACAAAAGAAGAAGGATCCGTATGCGGAGGATGATTGGGATCCGCGCTCGGCGATCAAGGGCAAGGCCAAGGCGGTCAAGGAGGAGATAAAAGCAGAGGTCAAGGAAGCAACGTCGGAGCGGGGCGTCTGGGCGGCGGCGGACCCGTCAGGAGGGGAGTTCATCGGGACGTGGGATGAAGAGGAGCAGCAACAAGTGGAGGTCAAACCTGAGCCGGTCAAGGAGGAGCCCAAAGACACATCGGGCCTGTTCAAGAAGCGCAGACCACCACCTAGTTCACGTAAGAAGTAGCTATGCACATCAATCGCCTCGACCTGACCTAAAACTGCCTCGACTTGACCACCGTACTGATACCGGTCTTTTCTCCCGCATACTTTCCCCCCAAACTCGCCTGACCACCCTTGTACACCGCCCGCTGACTCCCAACCTTCTGCTTGGCCTTCTCATACGCCAACCGCTTCTTGACACGCGGGTTCCTCCCCGCCTTGCTCCGCCTCGGCGTCAACCCCTTGTTCTTCTCAATCGCCCGTGTCAACGACCGCGGCCCCTCGCCCGACGCCTTGTCAATCTCCCTCAAACCCTGCAACCGCTCCGCCTCTCCCGCTTCGTGCCTCGCCGCCCGCTCCTCCTTGGCCTCGGTCTTCTTCCGCTTGACCAGATCATAGTACCCATCCTCATCCCTGACTTCCCGCGCCCGCTTCTTTTCGCCATCCGTCATATCCCGCAGACTCAGCGGCTCCGACTCGACCTCATGCGACTGCTTGCGCAGCGCCGCATCCCTGCCCGCCTGGCGATCCCGGTAGGGAATATCCTCGTCGCCGCCGGACCGCTTTTCTCTCGCCGCCGCGCGACGATTGGCGGTGGACGCAATCTTGGACGTATGAAATGCGAGCGACCGCTTCCGCCGATCCTTGTCTTCGGCGTCCGCGTCGAGTAGCGAGGTAGGATCGCCGAGGTCGTACTCGTCATCGGCCGCCGGAGCCGCCTTGGAGCTGAAGAACGCAGGTTCCTCCAGGGTCGACATCACTGGCTCCGCCTTCTTCGCCTTCTTCGCCTTCTTCTTCTTTGGCTTTGGTTCCGGCTCGGCATCCGCCATAAGATCATCCAACTCCCCATCCTCCAATCCGCCATCCCGCCAATCCTCATCCTCTTCGCCACCCATCAATTCCTCCATAAGCTCCTTCTTTTTGAGCAATGCCTGCAGCTCCTCCTCCTCTTCATCCGTCGCCCATCCATTCTCGCTGAGCGGGTCCTCCTCGTCATCCGACGCCGCGTCAAAGTCCAACTCTTCCAGATCAGCGAGACCCTTCTTGAGCTCGAGAAGGCGTTGTAGGATGGGGAGGTCGGGCCTCTGAGCCGGTGGTAGCGCCGAGAGATGAAGATAGAAGGCCAGAGTCGACGCATAGGAAAGAAGAGTTTCTGAATCAGCTCGTCCAAACATCCACTCACGATAATGCAACCATCCCAGCCCCTTGTGCAACTGGCCCTCCAAATCCGCCTCCATCGCCTTGATCCCCTTCTGCGTCCTCTCCAGCTTTTGAACCGCCAGTGGCCACTCCCTCGCCAGCGCCAGCCTGACCGGCTCGTGCACTGCCATGTAGGTTAAAAGCACCGCCGGGTCGGTACTCTCCGGCACGGCAACCACTTCCTCCACCTCCTGGCGCTCCTCCTGCACCTCTTCATCCTCCAACCCATAATCCTCCGCCTTTAGCGCCTCCCTCGCCTTGCGCTGCAGCCTTCGCACCTCCCTCTCTTCTAGCTCGCGTTCCTCCTCCCGCTTCTCGTCGTAATCTCCCTCCTTTTCCTTCTCCCTCCGTGTGGACGGGACCGAGTAGTATTGCCGTCCCCATCCCTCCTCCTCTTCCGATGAAGATCCCGATCCTGATTCGCTCTCGCTAGCGTCCGAGTCGACGATGGGTTTACCGAACCGACCCTTGCCACTGACGTCGGCCTTGGTTTTGGCTTTCCGCTGCTTCGGCAAGACCTCTTCCTCTTCTTCCTCCTCTTCCTCTTCCACCTGATCCTTGCGTTTCCTCCCTGGAATCGCCATCACCTCCTCGCCGACATCCGCAATATCCTCATCCAAAACCTCGTCCCTTGGATTGAACATGATTTGATCTCGCTTGAACATGACTGGGATCAGCTTTGCCTCGAGTCCACTCACAATCATCCACGCCCCCCTCTTCGAGCGTATCCTCATAGCTCTCCATCCGCTTCCCCTTGCTACTCCCCTCTGCCATCCCATAAGAGGGTGTCTTTTGTCCTTTGGTCTTTCTACCCATGATGATGTATGGATGGACGAGTAGCAGCTGTGAACATTTTCATTACCTCATCTCATTCCGTGCGTGTTTGCTTGGCGGTGTCCCGATTCAGATTTCACCTCAACCTCTTACTTAGCTTATCTTGCCACTCACTCTTTGTATACAGACAGGCAGCTTCAGCGCTATCACACATGAGCCTCAGCGCCATCTTCCACAGTCAAACACCCTCCACCATCCAGTAATCACCATGGCGGTCGACGAAGGCGCACATACCGGGTTTTACCCATTCGAGGTGACCCCGGCCCATCTCGCATACACCCTCCTCGGCGGCTTCACCGTCGTCTTTGGCATGTTCTCTGCCTTCTTCAAGGAAAAAATGTACCTCGGAGAAGCCCCCATCGCCACCTTATTTGGCATCATCCTCGGCCCGCACGTCGCAAACCTTATCGACCCCTACTCGTGGGGCGGAGGTGATCACGCCGTGACGGATGAGATCACCCTCGAGATCACTCGGGTGGTGATTGCCATCTCTGTCTTTGCAGTCGGTGTGGAATTGCCCAAGGTGAGCATGCTTCCAAACCCGCTGATATCAGAAATACATGCTGCGGCACTGGCGAACCATGATCGTCCTTCTCCTCCCCTGCATGCTGTGGGGATGGTTCATCTCCGCCCTCCTCATGTGGGCACTCATACCCGGGCTCAAATTCCTCTCTTGCCTCCTCATCGCAGCTGCAGTCACTCCCACCGACCCCATTCTCGCCCAGTCCGTCATCGGGGGGACGTACGCCGAAAATCACGTACCCGCGCATATCCGACACATGCTTTCCGCAGAGTCTGGGTCCAACGATGGTGCCGCATTCCCGTTCCTCTACATTGCGCTCTACCTCACCCTCGACGCAAGTCCAGGACACGCCGTTGGCGAATGGTTCTACGCCACAATGTAGGTCGCAGTATAACGGAGCTGATTCAGTGCGTACGAGATCGTCCTTGGTACCGTCCTTGGCTCTCTGATCGGATGGGTAGCTCGCAAGGTCATGCAATTTTCCGAAGAGCGCAAATACATTGACCGACAATCATTCGTCGCGCAATACGTCAGCTTGGCTCTGCTGTCAATGGGTAAGTCCTCTCGCGAGCGAGCTAACCCCAGGCGGTACCGTCCTCCTCGGTAGTGACGATTTGCTCTCCGCCTTTGCCTGTGGATGCGCATTCGCATGGAAGTGAGTCCTTTATCGTTCAAGCTAACAGCAGTGGTTACTTTAATCGCCAAACCGAAGACGCCGTATTTTCCAACGTTGTCGATCTACTCTTCAACTCCGCCGCCTTCATCTACGTCGGCGCCTTGCTGCCGTTCCCTGATTTCAACAATCACGAACTCGGCCTCGACTGGTGGCGGCTGTTTGTCCTTGCCATCTGTATCCTCCTCGCGCGCCGACTTCCCAGTATTCTCGCATTATACAAGTTGATGCCCGACATCAAAAGCTTCCGCGAGGCCTGCTTCACCGGATGGTTCGGTAAGTCGCCCTTTAGCTCCGCTGACATCAGGCCCAATGGGAGTCGGCGCAGTCTTCATCTCCACCCTCGCCCGTCACAGTCTTCCCTACGGCGATCCCGACGCCGACACAGCCCAGGTCGACCGAATCCGAGAAATCATCAGCCCCATCACCCTCTTCCTCGTCTTATCTTCGGTCCTGTCTCGTAAGTCTCGTATCAACCCCGCTGACATCAGACGGCCTGTCTATCCCATTCTTCTCGCTCGGACGCCGTGTCCACTCCATCACCTACACCTGGTCCCGTCAACCCTCCATGCGCGACAATCAACCCGCCTGGACATCCCAAGTCCGCCACGTTCAACCCGGCCAGTCCATCATTGTCAACCGGGACGAAGACCCAGAAGAGGGCGACGCGGGGGTACGGCAGACGGAAAAGCTGGGCCATTCCAGCACTGGCGAGTCGTCGAGCGATAGGACGCGCCGAGATGATATAGAGATGAGGGAAAAGTCCCAGCGGTCATCCCGCGACAGCGGAGAGGACGAGCAGGAGGGGTCAGAAGGAGCGATCGGCGAGCGGGCCGGCGAAGATGACAACGAGCCGGGCACCCCACCTGTCGCCGAGTACCGCGAGGGGGACGACCTAATCATCGAGCGAAAACGCAAGGGTGAAGAGGTGAGCAAACACTCGACATTGCTAACTTTAGGTCGAGGTGGAAATGGTCAAGCACCACTTTAGCAAGGAGCGGGAAGCTCAATCCCATAAATTCACGCACCATCAGTCCCTCGAGGAGCACGAAGTGGGCAACCTCCGCCATCACCTCTCCAAATCCGACCGCCTATCGTCAGACTTTGACGGCCGTCAAGCCATGAGCCAACCCCCATCCCCACCCGCCGACGAATCCTCCCGAGGCGTCGCATTCGGCTCCACCCCCGCTCCCGCCCGAGGCGCCTTTTCGGGTCTCCGGAACCGCCTCTTCGGGCGGGACCATAACGAGCCCGCCAAAGTGGAAGAAGGCGAATCTTCCACTCCACCAAACTCCTCCCGCTCCCAGCTGGACCTCACGCGGACGGAGACCAACAGCCGGACCATCCGCTTTGCGGAGCACGCCACGAACGACTCGGACACGGCGCCGGGACCCCAAGGGACGAGCAATTATGGGAATAATCAGCCGGGGTTCAAAAAGTCGCCGGGACTGGCCATGTTTAGGACGACGAGTATCAAGGAGGATAACGAGTAGTGTAGCTGTAGTGTAAGTGATGGATATACGGTCGGAACGCTACAACCGACGAGAGCATGACGTGTTCACCGCAATCTATGTTTTGCACACATGATCGCCCTCGCAAAACAAAGAGGTGTCGGTGCGATCTGTGTACGCCAGCACCAAAGGTCCCTACATGCCTTTGATCGCGTGTGTAGGTCAGCACTGACAGAGCTTCCTAACACAAGACTGACGAGCGGCATGCCTTCGAGGTACCCAGACTGTTAGTCCATACATACTAAAGCCTCTCACTCCGACTCTCACTCATAGCTTGGGACATTTCCTCATTGACTATCAACCAAATGTCCCAATCCACTCCTCAACCCGCTCACGAGCTATCCAACACGCGCCTGATCGTCTTGGGCGTCGGAATGCTGATCACATACGCACTAGGTGTAGGTTCCACCTCTGTGTCTCGCTGACCTCAGTCCGCGGGCATCCTGGAGACCTCCTTCGCGCTCCCAATGATACAGCGCGAGCTGGGTCTCGCCACTGGCGACGCCCAGTGGATCGCATCTTCCACTGTCCTCATCTGGGTAAGCGCTATGCCGTCCCGCACTGACCGCAGGGTTGCTTCCAGCTCATCGCGGGCTGACTATGCGACATCTTTGGACGCAAGCGGGGCCTCCTGCTCGGTCTTGCCGGTCATCTCGTTTGCAATCTCGCGGCGGTCTTCATGCCAGTAAGCCTTGACCGACCAAGCTGACCGCAGAATCTCGCCTCCCTCAACGTCTTTCGCGCACTGACGGGAGTCTGCCTCTCCTTCATGTACCCTGCGGCTGCAGGGATAGTCGGCGTACTCTATCCTGCTGGTCGGCCGAGAACCCTAGCCTTCGTGGGAATCACCTGTGGCGGTGCCGCGGGGGCAGCAGGTGGTCAGCTCCTGGCGGGTGCATTCCTCGAATATCTACAGTACGTCAATCTGCCATCAGAGCTGACGCAGATGGACGTGGCGCGCCTGCTATCTATCTCTCGCAGTCATGTCCCTCTTCCCCCTCGCGATAAACTACTTTCTCGTCCCCGCCGATCAGCCGCTGGAGACGCTGAAGACCCTCCGCCTGGTCGACTGACTCGGTGCCGGCCTCCTCGGTTCCAGTCTGTTCCTGGTTCTCTTGACGTTGACGATCGCTCAGACGTCCCCTCAGGGCTGGAAGGTAGCTTGTAGGTTACAGTCATTCAGTGCTGATCAGACCTCCCTGCGTTACTGGTTATTGCAGCTACACTCTTCGTCGGCTTTGTCTTTCGCCAACGCCAATTGTCCCTCACCCACAGTCCACCACCCCTCATCCCCGCCACGCTCCTCACGCGCAAGAACCGAGACATCATCGCCATCTTCCTCGCCGCGTTCGCAACTTGGGCATCTACCGACGTGAGTGGCGGCGCGATCTCCACTGATACCAGTCCATCTTTGTCGGTATCAGCTATCTCTACTTTGATATCCTCAAGCTGCGCCCATTCGAGGCTGGACTCAAGCTCAGCGTGACCTTCTTCAGCGGGACCGTCGCAGCTGTGAGTTGGAGCCGGGCCGACTGACCGTAGGTATTAGTAGCCTTGACAATCAGTCATGTCCCGCCTCGCCTCTTGATCTTCGTCTGCTGTGCCGTGTCATCGTGAGTCTCTCTCTGGCGGCCGCTGATCAGTGTATCTTCGATCCTATTCGCAATCCGCGATGTCGGGTGGGCATACTGGAAGACCGATCTTTGGGCGTTCCTAGTAATCGCCTACGGTACTGATGCGTGAGTCCACATCAGGAGAGAGCTGACCCCAGCATCATCGCCGCCGGATCCACCATCATCTCCCAGACCGCAGCACCGTAAGTTTTCCTACTGCTATAGCTGATGACAGACAAGACCAAAGCGTCGCATCAGTTAAGCCAACCCTCGAGACGAGCTGACCAAGCCATCTTTCAAACGTCCTGCCGTCTCGGCTTTGTCGTCGGGCTCGCTCTCGCCACTGTGGTCAGAGACGCGGTACAAAAGTCCGCAGAACGCGCCTTTGGCATGGATACCCTCAGCGCGGCGCAGCAGGATGAGGCTATTCTCAAAAGACTACGAGCCTTCTTTTGGGTTTGCGCGGGGTACATGGTGTTAGGTAAGTGTGCAGTCGTGGGCATATGCTGATGTCAGCGTGCTTGATTGTCCTGTTTGGCATGTCAGGTTGGCGCAAGCTGGACCATAAGGAGGAGGAAAAGGAAGAGGCGACGGGTACGGATAATAAGGTCGAGCAGGAAGATCTGAAGGGCTGAGCTCTCGTCCCATCTCGCACATATGAGCGTTAGAAGTAGCAGGAGAGGTCATCGGTGTGGACAATGGCTTTGAGCGCAACGATGTAAGGATTGAGCTCGCGTCAGGTCGCACCGCCTGCGCAATTAGTCGTCAGGGTGAGGCAAGGGACTGGCTTGCGGGTTTGAGCGGAGGAGTCTGAGGTTTGAGCTCGCCTCGCATCTCACACCGGTAGCAGAAGTAGACATCAGTACTTGTCAAACAGAGCGCGACGCCAGGGCCAGCTCTCCGTTGACGACCGCAACAAGCCTCACTCCCCAAAACAGTCCGAAGCGCATAGCAACCCATCACATCCGTCGTGATTGATCAACCATACATACAGCCGCCCCTAAAAACCCCTCTATGCCTCGATAGCCTGGATCTTCTTGCCCTTCTTGCTAGAGCTGGCGACGTCAAGGTCCTTTGAGCGGGCGACCTCGGAGGAAGGGACGGAGAGGATGATTTCGATGTGGCAAGGGTGGCCCTGGTAGGGGTTGCTGATACGTCAGCTTACCCCAACACACCGAAAGCTAGACTTACATTCTACCGTGAGCACGGAAAGTCCTCCGCCTGGTCTTGGGGGCCTGGTTGACGACAATGTTTTTGATGATGAGCTCATCGACGGCGAGGTCCTTGGCGTCGGCGTTGGACTCGGCGTTCTTCAGGAGACGGGTGATGAAGTGCACCGACTTGACGGGCCAACGACCTGGATATCAGTTATAGCTCAATTCCAGCAGCGGTTCCCCTCACCCTTGGTCGTCTTGAACTCGGTAGCCTGGGCAGTCCGGCCGACAGCTCCGGCGAAACGGCGGAAGGGAATGCACTGCTTGTGCTCCGTGACGTTGCCGAGGTAGGTGTACGCCTTCTTCAATGACAGACCTAAAATCAGCATTTCGCCCTGTTTAGTCCGAACCTCCTCCGCCAACAGCCCGCAAACGCCTTCCCTGTTCACACCTGGCTGATTCCCTATCCGCCTCCTGCCCTCCCCGTGCGAATTACGCCTTCCATGTTTTTGACCGAGCTGCCAAACACAACTCACCGCTGATGGCAGCAGCCACTTCCCGCATGTTCTTGAAGTGGGTTCGGACATACTCTCCCCGAGCCTTCGCGACTGCAATTCGTCAGCGCCTCGTCCATACTACCTTATCCCTTCCTCGCCCTCCGCATCCCATCCAGACCACACCATCCCGTCTACGCCTGATCCATCCCATCTCCCTCGATCCTTCCATCTTCCCCATCCTCCCGAGCTGATTTCGATATCAACGTACACTTCTCCGGGTTGGTAGCGACGACGTGTGCTGAGGCGTATCGGACCATTTTGACCACTACAGAATAGGATGTATAGGGAGGAGAGATTGCTTCAGTCAGTCGAGTCGAGGCTCAGCGAAAACGCAGCGACGGAACCAAATCATCGCTCAGCTTGACAACGAGACGCACGGATTACAACGCTTTTTCGCGGAGTTTGGCGACGATAGCGGGAAATTCCCATGTGGCACTTTGACATTCCTCAGTTTCAAGCCTTGGGCTTCGGGCTATACTGGGCTATATGGGCCTGGTGGGTATAGTCCATACATGATACTTACAACCGGCACCCATCGTACTCAGCCTATAAGTGGCATTACATACGCTCCATCGCCTGCTCCAGATCCGCAATCAAATCATCCACATCCTCAATTCCTACTGACAGACGAATGAGACTCGGCGTGATGCCCAGCTTCTCCCTCGTCGCTGCCGGCAAAGACTGCTCATCAGCTACTGACAACTTTTACCCTCTGGTGGACTTACCGCATGCGTCATTCCGTAAGGAGCCTCCACCAAGCTCTCTACCCCGCCGAGACTCTCTGCAAGCGAGATCAATCGCAAGCTGGTCAACCACTTGCCCGTCGTCTCCTCGTCCGCCCCCTTTAGCCTGAACGCAATCATCCCGCCAAAGGGTACGCCTAGCGTACGGGTATGCGCCAACATCCCTTCTTTGCCTCCCTTGCTAGCCTGATATGGGAAGCTCCACCCGAGATATTGGAGCTCCTTTCGCGCATTTGCCGAAAGCAGGCTCTCGATCTGATGGAACGCTACCGAGGTCGCCAGGCCGGGGTACCGCACATCCTCGACGCCTGGGTGTCGACTTAGCCAGTCGGCGACCCGGAGCGCGTTGAGTCCGTGTCGGAGAGCTCGCACGCCCAGCGTCTTGATACTGCGGATCATGAGGTGGCAGTCTCGAGGAGAAGGAACACCGCCGAAGGAGTTTTGGAGGAAGCGTAACCCCTGCAGGACGTATGGGCGTGAGCGGACCAAGTCGGGCGACAGCGTCAGGGAGCCAAGGATGATGTCCGAGTGGCCCGACGAGTACTTTGAAAGCGAAGTAAGGATGACATCTGCCAGGGGAAGCGCATCGGGCGTGACGGGGACCAGAGGCGTGGTGTAGAATGGGGAGAGGAAGGTTGTATCGACCACGATGAGGGGGCGGGTGTCGGCGGGCAAGGAGTGGACGATCTTGGCGATGAGCGGGAGTGGAGGAACGAGGAGTAGGGGGTTGGTCGGGATTTCGAGCCAGAGTAGCTGACGGTAAGCTTAGCTCAACAGTGTGCTCACCCTAGTGTCCGGCCTGATCGCCGCTCGGATCCCTTCCTCCCCTGCCGCCTCAAAGTCTAGGTAGGTCACCTCCACGCCGGTCGCCTGTATAGCTCGCGAGAGGAAACGAGCTGTACCGCCATACTGCCGTCAGCGTTATCTCTTCAGAACTTACACAATCATTCACGGCAAGCACATGACCCCCTCCACCTTTGACCCCGTCCGTACCGCCGCCCCCACCTTCGCTCCGCTGCAGACTAGCCCAGTAGGACATAGCTGCTGTAGCCGCTGATCCCGATGCGAACACCAGCGCCTCGCCGCCTGAGGCATCATCGTGTCCATCGACCGAAGTCCGCGAGTCGGGACATGTCTCTAGCGATGTCAAGAGAGATTCCAGGGAGTTGCGAGTAGGATTGGATCCTCTAGAGTAGTCATGACCGCCCTGGGCGTCAGCGCTACCTGTACTCCACTTACGATAGGCTTGCCGACTCCAGACTGCTTGTAGGTCGTCGCGGTGTGGAGAGCAGGAATGATTGCGCCGGTGACAGGATCGGGCGCCGAGCCGACATGGATCGCTCGTGTGGCAAAGCTATCTCGATGGTCTTGGACGCCGTCTCCAGCGTGGCCGTTTGGGCTGGGTCCTTCCGCGACTAGCAACTGATCGTTTGCGTTGTTTGTCATGGTGGGTTAGCTGGGGTAGGGCGCGGGTCGTACAGGGAAGACGCAGAGACACTATCAGTCTGTCAAAAGTGGCCAAGGAGAGAAGTCAGCGATATATAAATGGACAGCTGTAGTCGCCTTAGTCAGAGTGCGGATCTGAGATACAAGTAGATGTGAATGGCGTAAGATGACGACAGATCGCGCTTACGGCCAAGAGCCGAGATTTAAGCTCCGCCCGGGGTCCCCTAAGTGAGGAATGCGGAGTTGGCGGCCCAAGCGCCCTGTAACAGCTCTAAATTGTGCACACAGCACGCCCTCAGCATAGGATTACACAGTGTTATATACAAAGCAGAATCGTCATCTTCGTTATGATACAGCACGATACCTTCCTTGCAAACCAATCTACAGCCCTATCCGCTGCCTCTCCAGCACACTCTTCTGGGACGCATCTCTTGATACCCGCCTACGATATCAGCTGGACTCGAAGTACGGAAGTCGAGGGCTAAGCTCACCAGTAGTATTCCAGAACATCATGCCCCGCTAGTCGCTGCAGGAACCCCTCGTCGTGCGTAATGACGATGAGCTGGAAGTTGTTCTGCCGGCGTCGTTCACGGATGATCCTGACTGGTCAGCTTATGTGCCGTCGTCACGGCTGAGAAAACTGACTCAGCAAGAGCTTCCGCCAGTGCGTTGATATTTTCCTGGTCCAAATTGGTTGTCGGCCTATTCCTGTCAGCTGGTGCCTACACTAATCAGGTAGGCTAGACTCACTCGTCCAGCGCCAACACACCACACCCCTGACCAAAGCTCTCCGCCAAAGCCAGCCGGATGATAATACTCGCCAACACCTTTTGGCCCGCCGAGCACCGTCCTCGCATATCCAGCTCGACATCATTCTTGACCATGACTACTCGGTAATTGTAGGATTTGCGTGTGGTGGTGGAAGCGACTTCGTCGGAGTCAGACACGATGCGGATACCGTCGATGTCTATCTGTCAACTGTGTCCCAAATCGCTCCCGTCATAGCTTACCTGTCCCCTGGTACGTCTTGTTCCAGAGATGTCCGATCGTATCATTGATCTCATCCATCTTGATCGAGTGGTATTTGAGGATAGCGCTATGTCGTGAGCTTTGCCTTTCTCCTTGTCGACACACCTCGAGCTCACTTGTCAAGAGCCTTCCCGTACTTTTCCAGATCGTTATTGGCGAATTCGCTGATCTAGACGATCAGCTACCTCCCGAACATGCAGGAGAGACTCACCTTGGTCTTGATGAGCTGCTCCTTGAACAGCTTGTCCGTGTTAGAATAGTCATTCTTCAAATACGACTCGAGCTTCTTCCGGTTCTCCTTCATCTGCATGACCTGCCCGCTCGCTAATTGCCACTGGCACATCAATCAGCTCACCCTTTCCGGTACACACTTGGTAGGCTCACCGCGTTCTGCTGATGGGTCTCCTCCTGCAGGTTCTTCGAGTACCGAGTGTTGAATTCTTTCCGGGCTTTCGCAGCCGACTCGATATCAATCTCATCCACCTGCTCTTGCACCTTGGCAATCTCCTTCTCGCCCTTCCGGTACCGGATATTTTGGATGATATTTGATCGGAGCGATTCCGACTTGGCAAGCTCGGCTAGTGTGGCCTGTAGATTGGTCTCGACGGCGGCGCGAGCTTCGGTTGCAGCCGTCATTTCGCGCTTGAGGTCCTCGATCTGAGATTCATTCTCTCGAATCTTGCGATCGTTCCCCTCGGCGACGTATCTGTTGATCAGCGCTGCAGCGGAGCGGTGAGGCCAGTGACTCACGCCTGACATGCCCGGTGCTTCCCCTCGATATCGCCCAAGCTGCTCTGGTAGATTCCAACCTGCAGACTAGCCTCACTCTCCGCGTTCGCACGTTCGGTTCGGTGTCGAATCAACGCATCATTCTTCTCTCGCCATGGCGCCTCGGCAGCCTGCACTGCAACGTCGAGATCCTGGCTATCAGCTTGGTCCTGACAGTGACCCACCTTGAGCTCCGCCTGCAGAGCGACCAGGTTCTCCTGCAACTCCTTCAAAGCCGCTTCTTCCCGCTGACGCCGTTCTTGCCGACTCTTGAGCTGACCCAGTCGCAATGTGCTCTTGGTGTGATCGTCCTGGTGCTTTCGGAGATTGTTGTTCTTGAGATCCTTCTCGCCCGACAGGTTGGCCTGCTCGCGCTGAATGTTTTTGCTGTTTATCAGCTCAACCTCCATGCTCACATACATCTCATTACTGAGCTGATCCACTTCCCGCTGGACTTCCTCGACCGTCTTCAACGTCCCGCTCGACTCGAGATCCCGCTCCAGCCGCTTGATATCGCTTTGCAGATCCTTGATCTCGCCGAGCGTCCGAGAGACCATGGCCGCCTCCGACTTGAGGGTCTGCAAATCTCTTGCGGCGACCTTGGCTTTGGCGACCTTTGACTTGACCTCCTCCACCTCCTCTGTCACCCGGTCCAGCTCCTTGCTATCGACAGAGACTTTCCTCTCCAAATCGGGAATGGTGCTGCGTCTGAGCTCGGCGATGGTCGCCTCGGTAGGCTGCAATTTTCGGAATTTGTCCAGCCGCTCCTGCCAATCGGCAATAAGTTGTAAGGTCTCCTGACGGTACTTGTCGGATCGGACTTCGACTATGCGGTCTTGCATCTGGGGTGTGAGCTAATGAACGTTGGAAACACAATGACGACCTTACATGCGCCTCGACCATTTGGGCCTCGCTGGATGGGACGGCCCGGGCGCACCCTCTACACTTGTGCTCAACCCTGGCGACCTGTAACGTGCGTTCCCACCATGTTCTCAGGACGCTGATCCCGCGAATGACCCTGAAGATATCAGCCGTGTAAAGATTGAGCTATCAAAAACTGACGTCTGGTTCTCCTCTAGCGTCGAGGCACAATCCTCGAGCGTTTCTTCGACAGTGTTTGTGTCGACATCGGCCAGTGCCTCGGAGATTGCATTCTCGAGTCCTGCGAATCAGCACAAGCAGACTGAGTGCTCACGCTTGAGCTCGGCCTTCTTGCTCGCCAAAGACTGCTTCGAGTAGTTCAACGAAGTTTGTAGCTGGGACAGGGTTCGATTGCTGGCGGAAGCGACAGCCTCGGTGTCACCCAGCTCCCGTTCCTTTTTCCTGAGCTGTCAGTACTGCTCAGTCTGCGCGGGTCGGTACTCACCCAGCAGCAGCGGTTATCATATCCTCCATCGTCTCAGGGACGAGATCTGCCCCTACCAGCTCCTTGAACCTCGAAGCGTGACTGACTTTCCTGATCATCAGCCCAGTCCGCCCCGTGACCACCGGAACTTACGAAGACATGATCTGGCGCTGCCTTCCCTGCATCTCATTCCGCTTGATGGTCAATTGCGCCCTCGAATCCGCCTGGCGGTTCAATATGCTCAGCTCCCCCTGGATCTTATCCTTCTCCCCCTCCTTCTGCCTGATGGACGCAATCTTGTCCCGGATTTGATCATCGTACTTGGCATCCCGGATGTCCGCTTCGAGTCTCGCCTGCGATTGGGCATTCTCGACGAGCTTGCTTTCGAGCAGCTGGATCTCGGCCTCGAACGAGGAGACCGAGTCGAATTGTGATTCGGCCGTTCTGATCTTTTCGTTCAATTTGCTCTAAAGTGTCAGCTGAGCACGAGTCTCGGCAGCCGCACTCACGACCTGATCCTGCTTGCTCCTCTTGGTGGCAGTAGCACCGCTCTTTATCCCCGCCAGTCGATCCAGCTCGGACTGCATGTCCCGCTCCTTCCGCGATCCATCCGCCTGACAATCAGCCTTGCCCGATATGTGTACCCACCTGCAGCTTCTTCAGGTCCGACTCGGCACCCCGCACAAGCTCGTGCACCTTGTCAACAAACTCGGCAATCTTGCTATCCGGCAAGGGCGAGTAGTCGTAGCCCCCAAAGTTGTGCGTCTTGGCGACTTCTCGTACAGCTGCCTCTCGTTCGCGCAGGTTACGCTCGTACGCCTGATAATCAGCATACAGCTTACACTTGACCTACCTTGCGGTTGGCGGTGAGACCACCCTGGGTGCTGGCCAAGTTCCGCTCCCTCCTTCTTAGTTCCGTCAAGCCTTCATCCTCCTTCTTCCGCTGAGCCTCCTGCTTCTCGCGCTTGGTGTTGAGGTTGCCCAGATGAGCCTCAAAGTTCTTGACCTTGTGCTCGAGCTCTTCCGTAGAATCTAAGATATAAGCTTAGTCCCCACTGGGTTCGGAGGAGTTCAGCTCACCGTCCATGACTTCCATGCCGTCCAGCTGCTCCTCGCGATTCGCCTCCAGAATACTCTTGTGCTTCTTCAGACTCTCGTACCGCTCAAACGTCCGCTGGAAGCCGGTCGCCTCAGCGTAGTAGAGAACATTCGCGTCCTTGAGCTCCTCAAAGTGTGCCTTGAGTGCAGCGGCTTCATTGCTCTTGCTCGTCTCCTTCTGGATCGCTTCATCGATCTCCTTCCTCATCTGGCTCGTCAGCGCTGCATCACGTCACGGCTGGTCTTAGCTCACCCGCTCCGCTTTGTCCTTGTCCGCCTTGTAATGCTGCAACCGCTCCTTGTCCACCTTGAGCTCTTGTGTCCGCTCTTTTCGAAGAAGCTTGATGTTATCGAGGGCTTTGGTGTATCTAAGTATCAGCTTCAGCGCTTCTTCTGCATACTCTGCGAAACTGACTTGGTTGCCTCAAAGATATCGTCAAACTTCTTCTTGAGCGCTGCCGGCTCGGACAGCGGCCAGTTCGCTTCTTCCTGGTGACAGAAGATGACATTCTCGAGGATAGCTTTCGACACACCGAGAAGCATAGGTACCTCCTCGTCCATCTCGGTGCATTTGGTCGAGATCACGTTTCTCTGGCTTGTCAGCTATGAGCATCACTCCAAACCTCCTGCTGAGCTGAGCTGACCTTGCCGTCCCCTCCGTCAATCTCAGCCTTCGCCAGGATCCCCTCCAGCGTCTTCATCGTCAGACCGCCAGCCTTCTTGACAGTGACTTGCAAGTTCCTCGTCGCCGTCATGCGCTGGCGGTTGACATTCCAGAACCGGAGTCGGACTTGCGCCTTGACTTCCTTCTCATTCGCCATTTTGGGATCGTGGACGAATGCTCCGCCCTTTGTGTTGGGAGGGAGGTCCCCTGTAGTGGCGTACTTGAGGCATTCGATGATGGTCTACCTGTCAGCATCCGTCTCACTTCGGTGCAGCCAGCTCAGGAGCTGCTCCCTGGTAATGAAGCGCCAGTATCCGACTTTGGAGGTATGTGTAGCTCTTGCCGGTAGTATAAGCAACTTACGGTCTTACCGGAACCATTGTGCCCCACGATCACGGTCAATGGCGAGTAGAACTCGATGACTTGGACATGCTTGTCGTCGAACGAGCGGATACCCCGGATGGCCAGCTTGTTGAGCGACGCCCTATTTCTTCAGCCCCTTTCATAAGCTGATCGCTGACTCACATCTTGGCGGGTAGGCAGGGTGATGTAAGAGTGAGCGAGTGAAGGAAAGGGTCGAAGCACCTTCTGACCCTCCTCCACTTTCTGTCCAGTCAACCAGACGCGTCCACGGAGTGTCGCGACCAACTCCGCGTTCTTTCCGTCGGAAGCTAGGTTTGGGTGGCGAGAGGAAGCTGCTTGAAAACATCATCGACCGCACCATATCAGCGTGGAGGAGTAACAGAGAGATGTCGTGGGTAGGTACACACTCGCTCGGACGCGCCCAGATCGCTGACAACTCAGCTGATACCTTCCTTACTGGGACTCCCCTCATGGTCTCGCTCAAGTCCAGCCTCGACCTCGACCTCCCCCCAGCTCAACGGGCATGACGAGTCTACGGAGGACGAGGACCTGGATATCCCCCCTCAGTTCCCTCTCCCAGACTCTGCTCAGCGGTCGCAAGCACCAGCCAAAGCTGCACCGGAACCATCCCCCGCATTCAACCTCTGTCCTCCCTCCCCTACCAAATCTGTCAATGACGAGCCGCCGTCCGATCTCAACATCGCCATCATAGCAGATGCTATACCAATAGGAGATATGGCTCCTCCTCCGTCTACAACCGAGAAGCCGGACTTTGGGATCCAGAATGGAGGTGGATTAGGAGCCAAGGAGGAAACGAAACCTGTCAAGCTGGCGCCAAAGTCGAAGAAGAAGGGGAAGGTCGCGCTTGCCCCTGGATGTTCAGCTCTGGACTGGGCAAGACTATGTCAGAGTGGGAAGGATCTCAAGGGGACATCGAGCATGTTCCCGATACGAGTCACGATGGACGAGCTGAAAAAGGTGAGTCTCGCTATTTCAGTGGCGAGTCAGAGCTGACATACAGCACAACACCCCTGAAGACGCTTGGTCGGTATTCAACGGAAGAGTGTACAACATCACTCCGTACCTTCCATTCCATCCGGGCGGAGCGGACGAGATGATGCGCGTTGCAGGGAGAGACGGCACCAAGCTCTTCAGCAAGTCCTAATCACTTTCAGCCGAAATGTGTACTGACCAACAGTGCTAACCCATTCATGGGTCAATATGGAGTATATGATGCAGGAGTGTATGGTAGGAATGTTGGTGAGGGGCTGAGACTCGAGTACTATTGCTCTATCCCCGGCGATCTAGGCTGTTTCACGCCTATTTGACGACAATTTGTATGATCACCATTTAGATGAGCACCTTCCATGATGTCGATGTATATTCTTCAACACAGACCGAGCACTGTCACTGCTAGTGCGATTCCAGGACATGAGTGAGACCTTGATTGATCTGCGTCTGATCTGCAGCAACAAGGATGTCTCTCACACCGTGCCACGGTCGGCGATCGCCGGAGGCTTGTCTGAGCCAAACAACCCGCGCCTGCTTTTCGTTCCCCTTATGAACTGCGTCACTCAACGCTTTACCTATCATTCCTCACACACCTTCTTCTAAAGGATCATGTCTAGACCGCAGCATCGCAAGTCTCAGTCGACATCTGCGCTCTCCATCATCGCGTCGAGTCCGGCCCGCCCGAGTCGGATGGCAAGAGAGAAGGCGAGGGGTGGATTGGAGCGCGTCGAGGAGGCACCAACGTCCAGTCCGAGAGAGTCGGTCGTGGCGCGTCGAGGCAGCCATGACAGACCGGAGACCAGTGCATCTATGTCTGGCGGTACTCCACGGGGGACGTCCGCTGCTTCGGGCCGGCGGAAGGCGGTGGACGTCACAGATGTCAAGGGTTGGATGAACGAGGTTTGTCAGCAAACTACGTTGGCCTCTCAGGAGAGTTGAAGCTGACTTGCAGATACTGTCGATGCCTACCTCTGGATCAAGACGTACGACCATACTCAGACATTTTGAAGAGACCCTGTTGAGGTGTTGTCTGGGGAATGAAGTGGATGGAATCCACCTGGCAGATCTCTTGGGACTGTACCGTAAGTGACCTCTGCTGGCGGTGGGGGCGGGACTGGGACCGACGGACTTGGAGAGATCCTGACCATTCCAGTACATGCGAACCTCCTCATCCTCCTGACTCGACATACCCAGCTATTGACCGCTCGAGCGCAATCACATTCCTCTCTGCATGCAACGGACGAAGTCGCTATCGCCCTCGTCCCAGAACTCACGTCGGTATTTGGCCTGCTACAGGGGCTTTGCCTTCTAAGTGCGAGCTGTAAGGCCGCATGCGCGGAAGCATGGACCATCGAGGTGCGCTAGCCATCGCATTCTAGTAGCACAAGCTGACTCGTAGATGTTGATCGATCTCTTACTGCTACTCCGGTCAATTCCGGTCAAGGACGGGAACGATCCGGAGAGCCGACCTGTCGTGTACTTCATCCTGGAGCTACTCTTCTGTATCCTCGTCGACTCACCAGAGTACTCGAGGGTATTTGAAAGGCTATCTGGACTCGAGGCGGTCACTCGCGTGTTGAAGGGATCAAGCGTGTCGAAGGAGGTCCGGTGAGTTGTCCTTCCCGTCATCGGATGCTAGCTGACGAATTAGTATGAAGTGCATCGAGTTCCTCTATTTCTACCTTCTTCCGGAACATCAATCCCGCTCGCTATCCTCTTCTACCCGCTCAGTCTCCACCGCGACCTCGAGATCTACCTCTTCCTCCGATTCGCTCTACCCCCCATCCCCCCTCGACCGCTCCTCCTATGCTAAGGAATCTCCCACAATCGTCCACCCTTCCCGCTCGCCAAATCCTACCGGCGATCTAGATCTCCACTTTGTTCCCCAAACCCCTCGCAAAAAGGTCACACCCAACCTCGGCTATCTCACACCTAGCAGCCGGCGCGGCTCGGGCGGGGCCAGTGCAAAGAGCACGCCCGCGCTGCAGACGGTCCCCGCATCGCCGATCGATCGGGGAGGTTCCACTCCAAAAGCAAACAGGCGGATGAGTGGCGATGCGGAAGTCGGCCTGGGGTTGGGGTTGCCAAATACGAGCGCGGGCGCAGGAGGGATCAAGCGAGACGTCACTGCGATTCATCTTGGCTCGCTTGTCGCGTCTCCTGAGCCAGTCAGCCCCCGGCATCGTCAAGCGGACGGTCGGGCCCCACGCTCGCCGACATCATCCGGAAAGATGTCTCGGTCGTCAACCCAGCCCAACATCTCTGTACTCCACTCGAGCCAGCGGCAGGCGTCGCTTTCCAGCAGGCGGGTCAGTCGGTCACCCCTCGCTCAGTCGTCTATACCAGAGTCACCTCAGCTCTCGGAGACGGACACGGCGGAAGGCAAACGCGCCAAAAGCCGTCAGAGCAGGTCATCATTGTGTCCCGCCAGCGATAACGATCGTCCCTCGACTTCCTCCGGCCTCGCACCGCGGATGAGGCATTCTCGAACATCTTCGCAACTATCCTCACACACCGACTCCCCCTCCTCACTCCCTCCTGCGCCTCATGCACCGCGTATCCGTCACTCGATGACATCCGCTCAGCTATCCTCTCAGCTCGACACCACCATTCCAGCGGAACCAAAATCACCACGTTTGGGACACTCCCGGACCTCTTCACATCTCTCCGCTCTCGCCCCAGACCCTCCTAGCGGTCTCAGCCGTTCACCATCCGCCCTCCTCGTCCCTTCTGCGTCACACTCGCGCGTTCCCTCCGCCGAGGGCGTGGGCATGGAGCGCACCCCATCGAAAGCCCGGCGAGCGTTCCCCTCGGAGCTCACGCGGGGCTTGTTACCAATGCCCACATCGTCTCCGAAGCCTACTCCGCTAGGTAACTCTCGGCGCTTACCATCGAGGTCGGAGCGGTCGGCATCTTCAATCGCTCCAGCCTCGAGTGGGCAAGGCCAGGCGGGACCGGACGGAGCAGTGAGGACGGTGGAGGAGAAGAAGGAGCTGTTGGGGCAGTGGTTGGGCAATGTCGATGCGCTGGTGAGCGGGGTGGAGGGTGTGGGGTGGTGGGGCGCTCAAGGAAGGGAGAGATAGGGTCATCTTATCGAAGGACGGGGTGCACGAGGAAGTCCGGAAGCGGATGGGGGAACGGCCTTGCCCGCCGGCCTACACGTCCGCCAGGAGATCGCTGGACATCTCGGGCGTATTTGCGGACCATACGTTGTCGAAACTCTCAGGATGAGTCTTCGATGCGAGATGACTGGTCGGAGCCGGATCGTCCTTGAGCGGAAGGGCTCGCGGTGGGGAGCATGAGGGAGAAGGGCGTTTGGGTTCTCTGAAAAAGTCGGTGGGGGCGGGGGATGAAGAGGCCTTTAGCGGGGAGGATATTGGCTGCATCAGCGTTTATAATGACCCCGGCCTATGATATACTACCTGTATGTGGTCTCCTCCGCTTTTCTGCGTGCTGTACAGATCAGTCCTGCTATGGAAGAGCCCCGATGCCACCCCCGGAAGCAATCTGAAACATCCGATTTGAGGTATGCTGCCGACCCCCTTCACTCAGCCACTACAAATTCTACCGCGCTCGACATCACAGCTTTCCTTTTGTACTTAGCCCTCGCCAGTACCTCGGCCCGCAACAATGAGCACCAAAGAAGTTCCTCCTCATCTCTGGCCGCTCTTCCTCCCCTTCCTACGCAAGCCTGTCCCGCCCCCGCTGTCGAAAGCTCCTCGTTCGGAATGGCGTCAGCATGACTTGGCGGTCGCGATGCGTGTGAGCAACGTATGTCACTCGCGCTAGGGACAATGTGGACCTCCACAAGCGGTCGACTGACCTCAATAGCTGTTTCACGCCATCTGCGAGCCGTACCTCTACACGCATATCGTTACAGACGAGTTTAATGAGCTACTCGGGCTGCTGGACTCGGCCGATGCGAGAGTCAGAATATACCGCCGACAACAAGTCGCTCGGACTAGGAGCCTGTACCTGGAGTATATTCCCGTGGAGGAAAGAGAAGGATACCATCTAATCTTCGCACTGGGTGGCTCGACGTGGCCGAGCGTCGGCGCGATGAAAGGTAGCGGGGCGGAGATCCGGGCGAAGAACGCGGCCTGTGCCGGCGAACTTGCTACTTGGGTCCTCACGCTATGGGACATGAATGAGGTGGGCCTACCCTCTCGATTCCCTAGTCTGGAGACTCTGGCCAACGCCTCGATAGGGGGCGAGCGCGACCCGGACCAATGGACAACGTACGAAAGGACAAGGTACCGACCTGATCAGCCGTCAGATTCGGACGTCCTCCACCACCTACCCTACTGCCAATCGCTCTTTGAGCAGCTCATCACTTCCGCTTCCCTACGACATCTCTGCATTCGCGACGCTTCCGGTCCCCTCTCCTTACCCCCCACGACCCAGACGGCCCCTTTCCACAATCTCCCCTCCGCTCAACACGTCACCACCATCCATCTGGGGGGGGGGTCGATTCACCCTTCTCCTTGGCGTTGATCGGTCCTTCCGATGGGTGGGGGACCTGCCGGCTACTCATGACTGGAAAGCGGCCATCCAGTCCATATTCATCCCGAAATCCCTCGATACGATCATCAACTACCGGACGGAGCGCGCCGGTGTGGCCTACCCCTCGGAGCTTGACGTCGACGTCTATCTGTCAACTACCCATGACCTGGACGCGGATTTCGTCGAGGCGCTGCAAGCTTTCACGCCAGGACAGAGCGATTTGACCCAAAGCTGCTCTAAATCGGCGATCGAAAAGCAGCGCAAGGTGGCCGGCGAGCTGGGTACAGCATTGCAGGGCATCCTCAGAGAGGGGACTGAACGCAAAGACATGATCCGCTGGCATGTCTTAGCAGACGCGCCCACATGTGGTGCGTGTGGATCCGGAGTGCCTACGTGACACAGAGCAATGGGGTGGGGTGTCTAGGGGAAGGCGGACAAAGGGTCGGACGGGCGGACTTGAGAATACGACGTTGGCTGGATGGGGTGTACAGTACCAGAATGAAAGTGGGGAGGGACGGAGGGCACGGGTAACACAGGCGAGAAGAGGAGGAGAGAGGCGGTATTGGGGAGTGGGTCGCTCGCTAGGGCGGCGGCGCGTCTATCTCCAGCCCGTACTTCACTTTTGATTCTGATCTTGAATGTCTAGCTGTGTATAATCTCATCTCGTAGGGCTATCGAGTGATATATTACAGCTGTACATCGTGACTTGGCCACAAGGCGCGCTCACAAGTCGGCCGGTGACAAAGGAGGTCAAGCCAGGCAGGAGGCCCATAGCAGTCTTCGAAGAAAAATCAGTCGCGTCTCGCCCGTTCCATCCTTGCGAGCGTAGCTTGTTGTACTTCACCTCTCTCAATCTTGTCTGCGTTCGTGTAGGGCATAACCATCAAGTAGCCCATCTATCCGTTGGGTTTAGATCGAGTCTAGTAACACAGAGCGACAAGCGGTCATGTCAACAATAGTCACCAAAAAGGGCCAACCCTCCAACTACTCTCCCCGAACCCTCGAAACCTCCCGCCGCCGCCTCGGCAACTTCTTGACCAGCATCGTATCCCTCGGTTCCCCTTTGGCCTCATCACGTACCAGATCCACCTCGGAGCTGCCAGAATTGCCGCTCAAGGCGAGGATATATCGGCGGGGAGGGGGGACGGAAGGGGAGCTGGAGGAGCAGTTTTCGGAGTTGGGGATAGTTGATCTGAGGAGAAGTAATAGCGGTGGGCGTATAAAAAGCGGCTCTGTGGGGATGGTTGGGATCCGACCTAAGGCTTTGAAGACGGAGGGTCTGTGTTTGACTGATCTGCCGGACGATCTGTACGTCCATCTCCGATATTGGTCAACTGCCCACAGGTAGATGCGCAACGAGCTGACTCCCCTAGGTTGCTCACAATTCTCGAGCATCTCCCCCTCTCCGCTCGTCAGATTCACACCGTATCACTTGTATCGCGACTGTTCTTCGATATCGCACAATCACCAGTGCTCTGGACAAGGCTCTATCGCTCAACTCCCGGTTTCCGGCTCTCGGACTCAGCAGTCCGGCGGGCGGTCGCTGCTGAGTCACCTTCGCCCGGGATCTGGGACGGTGATGACTGGATAGTCTTGCAAGGACCAGCTGCAGCTCTTCGACCAATATACACCACCCCGTCTCGACCAAGGCGAGGAGGGGCGCCGTCAACCCCCAAGCCCGCTTCCTCCCCGGCCGACGCAATCCCCATCCACTATCCCACCCTATACCGCTCCCGCTATACCTACTCCCGGCACCTCCGCGACCCCTCGCCGGCTCATCGGTCCCATACCGAATCGCTCACGGAACACACCGACGCGGTGTACTGCACTCGCTCAGCCGGTCCGTGGCTCTTTACAGGCTCGCGTGATCGGTCCATCCGGATCTGGCGTCTTGCGCCGCTGGACGAGTGGGGACAGCCGGGAAAGACCAGGCTGGTCAAGACCATACAGGATGCGCATGCGGGAAGCGTGCTGTGTCTCCGGGTGGAGCTGGACGAGAACGGAGAGGGGATGATGGTCACGGGCTCTTCGGATCGGACGGTCAAGGTCTGGGAGTTGTCTCTTTGGAGTGCCAGTTCGGAGCCGGACGTCAAGCTCCTGGATACCCTGTCTGGGCATACCAACGGCGTCCTCGATGTGCTCCTGACCGCCAAGCACATCGTCTCTTGCTCCAAGGACTGCAGTATCCGGATATCCGACCGCAGCGATCGCACGCTCCTCTTCACATTGCTCGGCCATACACAGCCGGTCAACGCCCTCGCTGTGAGTCCAGATGGGAAGCACATCGTCAGCGGAAGCGGGGATGGTTCGTGGCGTATTTGGGAACTGGCCGGCGGAAGGCAGTTGGATATCACCAATACGAGCCGCAAGGGGCCGGGGCTGGCTTGTATCGCTTGGCAAGTGAGTCTTGAAAGCTGAGTGAACCGTCAAGTATGCTGATGATCAGGACGGCTACATCATCAGCGGCGACAACGCGCGTAAGGTCAACGTGTACAGTGCAGAGACTGGGGATATCATTCGGACCTTGACGGGCCATACGGATCTAGTTCGGACCGTCGCAGCGGACAAAGCGGAGAGTCTCATCTATAGCGGCAGCTACGATGGAGCTATCAGAGTACGTTTGCGATCTTTTCGCTTGCTGTCAAGGCTGACGGAGCAGATGTTCGGTATCAAGACTGGACTGTGTGTCCGCAAGATCACCACCACGCCGCCGACCTATATCTTCAGTCTGGATCTTAGCTGGAATAAGGTGTTTGTGTGAGTGAAATACCTTTCAGTTTCAACTCTTTCAGCGACCAGCGCGGAGCGAATGATACTGATTATGCAGGGCTCGTCAAGACGGGGCCATCGAGATCATCACCCTCGTCACTGGTCTGCCGTACCTGCATCTTATGGATGGCTGATCAGCTACCGACTGCAATGTGATGGTATCCCTGCTATAATTCAGATATCTGAGGGACCCTGATGCATGCTGTACGGGTCTTCAATATCAGGCTGATGTTCGCCCACCCAGGGGGAGACACCTCAGGCGAGGCTCTTTTACCCCTTGCGTTTCAGAATCGCTGTTCGGACTTGTCCGTTGGTGTTCCGGGGGCGATCTGCCTCCACGTCCAACTTGCCCTTCGTCCTCTTCCTTTGTATCTCTAGCTTTCTTATCCCGCAGCAAGCGACGCTGCTCATCCAACCACCGACTCAGCGCAGGCCGGGAGCCAACAGATCCGAGGGGCAATCTCGCTCTTCTCGCGGCCCGACCAGCTTAAATCATGGCGCAACCGATCGAGCAATGGATCACCGGCATTCCCCCTGTTACTCGAACATGGGTGGCAGCTGCTGTTGGCGCTAGTATATTAGTGGTGAGTGTTCAATCACAAGCGCGACCGCTTCTTGCTCGCACTGTGATAGAACGTTCGTGGCTGGCTTTGCTGACCGAGCCAGGAATGCCAGCTCGTTGCGCCCGTACAGCTGTGGTTCTCGTGGAAGGCGGCTCTGGGCAATATGCAGGTAAGTTGAAGCCCTCCGCGACTGTGCCTTCGTATAAAGTGCGAAGCTGACAAGGTACAGCTCTGGCGATTCATCACCACGTTCTGCTATTTCGGTCCATTATCGCTAGATCTGGCATTTCATCTTTTCTTCATGTACGTCCATGCCTCCCTAGAGCGTCTGCTCATCCCTTGCTCGCTCGACCTGACTTCGACGAGCGAGACTCCACGGTCACGATCCCGCTGATCCGCTCAGAATGCGCTATTCGCGCTTATTAGAGGAAAACTCTTTCTCCAATCGTAGAGCAGACTACGTCTTCCTGCTCCTCCTTTGTGCTGCCTTCCTGCTGGTAAGCCTCTGCGAGCTCGATTCCGCCTCTGAGCTAGCGTCGCTGATGATGACCTTAGGCTATTGCCCCGCTCCTCACTATGCCATTCCTCTCGTCCTCCCTCGCCTTCTCATTGGTGTATATCTGGTCACGGCGGAACCCATCGATCAAGATGAGCCTCTTTGGGGTGATCACGTACGTCCGCTGTATTTGGGGCTCACAGGCTACTCAGCCAGTCCAGCTGACTCGATCAGTATCACCGCACCGTATCTTCCGCTCTGCCTGGTGGCGTTCTCGTGGCTTCTGCAAGGCGGCTTCCAGGCAGCTATCGGCGATATAGTGAGCTTAGCAGTCCTTGGCCTCGATGATGGTGAAAGGGACGAGCGAGCTGACTGTGTAGGTCGGAATACTAGCTGGGCACACCTACGTCTTCCTGCAAGACTACTGGCCCAGAGAAATGTGGAGCCGGACAGGCAAGGGCGAGGTGCAAACACCGCAAATACTGTGAGTATCTATACAAGCATGGCTGGGCCTGAGCTCATCTTCAGAAAACGGATCTTTCGACAGCAGGACGCGAGATAGCATCTAGTGTACGCCATATCTGTCATGTATCATAGTGCTCCTGCTGCGCGGTGATTGGTGATACATCTGACCGGCCGGTCTCTCTGGTATGATCTAGTCTACATGTCTTTTATTTGCGTGACAGTCGTGGGGGAAGATGAGTCTTTGAACTTTTAGATCGATGAACGGCTACCACTCGAACTCGCTTAAGTATCAGCTTGATCTACACCATCACTGCAGCATGTGCCAGCTCACCCTGTACATTTGGCGAAGAGGTAGTCTCTTCCGTTTATATGCACCATTCCATCTTTGAACGTCGTCTTCCACTTGTTCTTGACTCTCTGTACCTATACCCATCAGCTCACGCACGACTCCCCGAAGCACCGAGACTCACCTTGTCATAAGTACAAAACACGATATCCGTATCGCCCTCGCCCTCCTCATCGTCGGCGTCTTTCAGCTCATCATCACTGTCGTCTAGGTCGGAATCGATGATCTCGTCGCCTGGAAGCAGACCAGCTGCGTTTGGCTCAGGCTTGACATCCACTAATTCCTCGGACGGCTGTGATTCAGCGAAGGCTTCCCTGGAGGATGTTCTTCTACTCACAGCTCCACCTCGCATCCGCAGGACATCGTCCGGGTCCTGCTTTATCTGGATCTCCTGCCCAGACCAGCCCTGTATTGGCGGCTGAGCCATCGGTCGACCTGGTATTGCCAACCCCCCTCCGCTCGGTCCAGCACCTGAAGGTGGGTATCCCTGGGCCGCCCTCGAGCTTGGTCCAGCAGCAGCAGTTTTAGGCGGTGACGACGCGGTAGACGTCCGAGAGTCTGCTGGAGGTGAATCATCGATGTCTGCGGCGGATCCACTGGGACCGGCACCGGGCGCGCGATTAAAGTCGGCTACTCGGGTCTCGAGCAGCTTGGCTTCCCATTTCTAGACGTCAGCTACAATCATATGTCGGCTGTATGGAGCACATGTACAGCTTGTAGGGTCTGCAGAACCTCTTCCTCCATTCCATACTCTTCAAAATCGGCCTCGATGCTGGCCATCACATCGTCGATGATCTGGCGATATATCTGAGGCTGATTTGTCAGTCTCCGCCGCCACGTTTCGGCTGATGTCGATACCCACGACGATCTTGTTCGACCTGTTGATTCAGGTCAGCAGGATGTTCACTTCGACAACCTTGCTGCATGAAGAGCCACTTCGTCAAACATACATCTTGCCAGATACTCCTTGTCTCGTAGTCTCCCTCGTTATTCTTCTTTGCTTGACCGGTAGTTCTCGTTGCGCGTGAGCGTTCCGAATGAGCTGCTGGGCGTCGCTGAAGAGGGATGAGAGACTCTGAGAATGAATGATGAATGAGAAAGGGGGGTTGCTTATATAGTGCTTGCTCGCCACCCATAGCATTATCTCCCGCCGCGATTAATCGATTTTATCCCAGGCCGCGCTGAGATTATTTCAACTGGAGAGGTCAAAGGTGGAGGAGGTGCAAGCCATATCCATATAGCTTGTTGACTCTACCCGCACATTACATTCAGCAGCAATGAGGAAACAACTCGACCCGCGTATACCGGCGCTCATCACAAATGGCGTCAAGGCGAATCATCGTTCCTTCTTCGTCATGGTCGGAGATCGGGGCAGGGACCAGGTGGTCAACCTCCACTTTCTGCTTTCGCAGGCGAGGGTCTCGTCCAGGCCTAGCGTGCTGTGGTGCTACAAGAAGGATTTGGGCTTCACAACGTGAGCTATCCCGATCAAGATGATCGTTTGGAGCTGACGAGCTAGACATCGCAAGAAGCGGGAAGCCAAGATCAAGCGTGATGTTAAGCGGGGTATCCGTGAACCGAACGAGCAAGACCCGTTCGAGCTCTTTGTAGCAGTCACCGATATCCGGTATACCTACTACAAGGATAGCGCCAAGATCCTCGGTCAGACCTTCGGCATGCTGGTCCTCCAGGACTATGAGGCGATCACGCCAAATTTACTGGCGAGGACGATAGAGACGGTTGAGGGGGGAGGGATTGTCGTGTTGCTCCTCAAGACCATGTCGAGTTTGAAGCAGCTTTACAGTCTGGCCATGGTGAGCTGCTGTCATGAGAAGGTTGCGGGCTTAGCTGACATCCAGGACGTACACTCTAGATATAGGACGGACGCCCACCAGTTCGTTCAGCCCCGGTTCAACGAGCGCTTCATTCTCTCTCTCGGGTCATGTGCGGACTGCATCGTGCTGGACGACGAGTTGAATGTTCTCCCACTGTCGAAGGGAAAGGATATCGCAGTAGGGGTGGATCAGGATGACCGAGGGAGGAAGCAAAAGGCGGAGGAGTTGAAGGATATGAAGGAGAGTTTGACGGGCGTGGAGATCGTGGGGGCGCTGGCGAAGCTGGCCAAGACTGTTGACCAGGTGAGTTGAAGCGGGAAGGTTTGGGACCACTGCTGAGCTGACATAAAGGCAAAAGCGATTCTCACCTTTGTCGAGGCCATCTCGGAGAAGACCTTATCCTCTACGGTTGCGCTTACCGCCGCGCGGGGTCGAGGAAAGTCGGCAGCTCTGGGTCTAGCTATCGGAGCTGCTCTTGCGCACGACTACTCCAACATCTTCGTCACATCCCCCGACCCCGAAAATCTTAAAACTCTTTTCGAGTTTGTCTTCAAGGCGCTCGATGCACTTGGTTACGAGGAGCACATCGACTATGATGTCGTTCAAAGCACCAACCCGGACTTCCGGAAAGCTATCGTCCGCGTCAATGTATTCCGTGGACACCGTCAGACCATTCAAGTGAGCTGACCTCTCGGCAGGCGCGTCCCGTAAGCTGACTTTCCAGTACATCTCGCCCGAAGATTCCCATGTCCTCGGCCAGGCCGAACTCGTCATCATCGACGAAGCCGCCGCTATTCCCCTTCCCCTCGTCCGCAAACTCATCGGTCCCTACCTCGTCTTCATGGCGTCCACCATCAACGGCTACGAAGGCACGGGCCGGTCCCTCTCCATCAAGCTCATCCAGCAACTCCGGGAGCAGACCCGCTCCGCCATAGCGCCCACGGACCCTACCCAGACCGCCGGCGCCGGACCGTCCAAAGCTTCTGCTGCCGGCCGATCAGGTTCGGGTCTCGTCCGGTCTCTGCGCGAGATCAAGCTGGAAGAGCCCATCCGATACTCTCCCGGGGACAATGTCGAAAAATGGCTCAACCACCTCCTCTGCCTCGACGCTACCGTCATCTCGAAGGCGGTCCAGGGTTGTCCCCATCCATCCAAGTGCGAACTGTACTATGTCAACCGTGACACCTTATTCTCGTACCACTCGGCATCGGAGGTCTTCCTGCAGCGGATGATGGCGCTATACGTCGCGAGCCATTACAAGAACTCGCCAAACGACCTGCAGATGCTGTCGGACGCGCCAGCGCATCACCTCTTTGTCCTCTTGCCTCCCATAGGCGAGAATGATAATACATTGCCGGATCCGCTGGTGGTGCTGCAGGTGGCGCTGGAGGGAAACATATCGCGGGCGGCGATTCTGAAGGAGCTGAGCACGAGCGGGGTCAGCAGTTCGGGGGATATGATACCATGGGTCATCTCGCAGCAGGTAAGTTATTCGCAGGACGCTTCGCTGATATTACAGTACCAAGATAACGACTTTGCGATGCTGTCTGGCGCCCGAGTCGTCAGAATAGCGACACATCCCGACTATGCCCGTATGGGCTACGGATCACGAGCTATCGAGGCACTCAATTCTTTCTACACTGGCGAGCTGTACAATTTTGAGGATGTGCAGGCGGACACGAGCGAGTCGTTTGAGCAGGCGGCCAAGGTTGCCCCAGTGAGCTTGTTGTCTTACATTTCTGCAACCTCAGCTGACCTTACAGAACTCTACGCTCGCTTCAGACTCGATCGGCGTTCGGGACGTCAGCAAGATGCCGCCTCTCCTGCAGCGCTTGTCTGAGCGGAAACCGGAGAACCTCGACTATCTTGGCGTATCGTTCGGTCTGACAAAAGACCTGCTCCGGTTCTGGAAGAAGCAGGGATTTGTACCGCTCTATGCCAGCCAGAAGGAGAATGCCTTGACGGGCGAGTTTAGCTTCGTCATGCTCAAACAGCTGGCGAGTGCTATTGTTCGGGAACAGGGTTGGCTTGGTGCTTTTGCATCCGGTGAGTTGTATTCTAGGTTGACGGAGAACGATGCTGATGAGCAGACTTCCGCCAACGCTTCATGTCCCTCCTCTCCTACCCCTCTTTTGCCAAATTCGACTCCTCCACCGCTCTCTCAATCCTCTCCACCTCCCCATCCGGCTCTATGGCCACCGCCCCCTCCAACCCCATCACACCTGACGAACTCAATATCCTCCTCTCCCCCTTCGACATGAAGCGCCTCGAGACCTACACGGGCGGCATGATCGACTACCACGTCATTCTCGACCTCGTCCCTATTCTCTCCCACCTCTTCTTCTCGCGTCGCCTCGCCGACTGTACCCTCTCCGCCGCACAACAAGCGATCCTCCTCGCCCTGGGCCTGCAGCGCAAGCCCGTCGAGGCGCTCGAGGCGGAGTTGGGGCTGACATCCTCGCAGACCTTGGCGCTGTTTGGAAAGATCATGCGGAGGCTCGTCAAGCATCTTGAGGATGTACGGCGGGAAGGCGCCGGGCGGGAAATCCCGACTGAGCAGCCCGGCTTTGAGGGTGGATCCGCTGGTGTCGCGTCTGGCAGCGGAGGCAAGAAATTTGAGGCGCTGGACGAGACGGTCGAGGAGGAATTGAAGGGGGATGCCAAGGCCGTGAGCCAGGAAATGCGGACGCACAAGGGTGTGCAGAGGGAATTGCTCGATTCGGTGGATATGAGACAGTGAGTCCAGCTGAGCGGATCCAGTAGCTGACAGGTAGATTCGCCATTGATGACTCTACCGATTTCTCCGCACTTGAGCCCCAGGTCCGCGCGCTGGCCGATGCGCCCCCCGAGGTCAAGTCGAGGCTCAACACCACGATGAGTGTGCGGAGTACGGCGCCAGAGGTGGTTGAGCCGGCGGAGACCAAGGCGAAGGGGAAGAAGGACGAGAAGGGGAAGAGTAAGGGCAAGGACGGGGGAAAGGGGAAGCGGAGGGAGAGTGGGGGTGGAGATGGAGGGCGGAAGAAGCAGAAGGTGTAGATCGTGGGGTTTATGAGCGCGGGGGACATCTTTGTCTTGCTTAATTGACAATATGTACTGACTATTGAGCTATCTATGTACACTATACAACTGATTGCCTGAGCGATCTCAATCTTTCCGTAGCTGCCATGTCCACCTTGACCTCCTTCAACAGCTTCTCCTTCGTAGCTTTACCTACCGCAGATACGCCAGTGTTGTCATCCCCCTTTACTGCCGCATTGGCTCGGAGCACCTTGCCTCCGCCAGACCCCGTTTCTTCCGCATGACGAACCAGCATGTCCACTCCGGCCTCAAGAGTGTGAACGAGGGGCGAGTCCATCTGACCTAAGAATATAGTCATGTCGAGGAAGACCGAGCGAGTGGTTGTGCGCAACGGCTGCCGAGTCAGCTCATACAGCCAGGGGGCGTGCGTCCAACTCACCATATTGACGCAAAGTGGATCTAGTGAGAGTGAGACAACTCTCGTCCACTCCGACGCGATACCTGACCAAAACGGGTCTAGCGCCTCGATCTCATCCGCCGCAAGGAAGGCAAGTCGCACCACCACCAAGACGGCCGAAAGCATCTCCGCCCCTCGCCCCGCGGCTTCTGAATCCCGTATAGCCAGCAGATCCGCCACCTGCCGCAAAGTACCTCTCACAGCCCTCGAGATGACAGGATACAGGTCTAGCAGGCTAGCGTGCGCTATATTGACATCCGATCCGATGGAAGCGAGGAGTAGCGAGCTGAAGACGTCGAGTTGGTGATGGGGACCTTGGTGAGCGAGAGGGAGTAGGACTCGGCCGAGCATGCCATGTCGGTGCTGGTCGGCGAGGAGAAGGAGGGTGGCGGACCGCGTGAGAATGTCGCGGGTGAGCTGGGGGTCTGGTCTCGATGACGCCAGTGACGGATGTTGTCTGATGAGCAGACCAAGGCACCCTGATGCCGCTGCCATAAGCGTCGAGGCCGGTTGACTGGCAGCGTCTCCCTTGATGATGTGCTATCTCAATCAGCTCGGAATTCTACGATCAAGGGAAAAGAAGGGACAACACTTACGTTGAGAAGCGTCAATATAGTGGTAGGAGTGACGGCCAGACCTTGCACGGCCGACACCGCCAAGTCGGCTTTCACATGCTGGACGATGTCCTCGGCTTTGACCCGCATGCAGAGCGCTGCTGAAGCTTCGAGCAGCTCATTGAGTGCCGTTTCCGTCACGTCAAAACGCGCAAGAGTGAGGTGCAAGAAAGTCCCGACCTGGCTGAGAAGCGGCTACGAATTAGCTCGTGTACCCGTAGTGCGCGTCTGCGAGCTCACAACGGATCTATCTCCTTTCGCGACCCCAAAGACACTCGCGCTCGCTCGTAGTGCATGATCAGGGTCAAATTCCGAGGCGGTCCACTCTGCCACGTGCTTGCCCAGTCTGCTGATGAAGGCACCAAAAGCTGATGGTCAGCTTGACTTGTCCGCGTATATACGGCTAACCTCACCTTCAACTGCGTCGCCGGTCATGACATCTCGTATGACTGGTAGTAATCGAGACAGGCCCGCGAGTACTTGCTCCAAAGCCTGTCGTCCGCGCTTGAGCACTTCCGGTCTGCAGGCTATTTCAGCATCGTCCAGTTGACCACTGTGATCTCTCTTACAGATCGTGTAAGAGGAGAAGAGTGGCTTGTGACACAGTCACGGAGTCGGAAGACCGCGGTGCGACCGGGAAGAGATGGAGGAGGGCTCGGCCGGTAGTACTCTTGCCTGGCTCTGCAGAGGTATCGGCACCATCAAGCTGAACTGTCAGTTCTGCACTGAATCAGCCACCGACACACTTACCCGCAGGACATTGAGGAGTAGGCCGGCTCGACCGAACATCTTGACTGCACGACGAAGCAGAGTTGCGCCTATGGTATCAGTCCGAGGCTCCATTACAAATGCGAGAAGATTCTCACATTGCTCAGCAATTACACTGCTCCTGCCTGGCTTCGACTCATCCAGCATGGCCGTGGACAGCGATAGGAAGACTGCTCTACGTTCGTCAGCTTGATACCAAAACGGAGGATCTGCACTCACGGTACGACGCGAACGAGATCCTCCCGGCGCACATGGTCCAGAGCGGTCTGCACAATCGCCAGTGCCAAGATCCGGTTATCTGCGCAATCCGACCTTTCGACAAAGATCGCTATGTTCTGCAAGGCATTCAGGGCGGGATGAAGCACGACTGCAGTGTTGTGCTGATGAAGTCAGCTATTGCCGACCGACTGGTATTGGTCCTCGACATACCTTGTAGAACACAATGAGCAGGATATCCAAAAGACACCTCTGAGCGAGCACCGACTGATCTGCCAACACGCTACCAAAGTCGATCACAGCTGGAAGGACCAAGCTGCCGACCAACACCATCTTCTTGCGGCTCCCAGTGTCCATCGAAGAAGAAGTCGTGATCTGAGCGGGCGAGTCGAGCAGGTCTCGTAAGGCCGGTAAGACGATATCAACCATTCCCTCGTCTGGCTGTTGCCACGGCAGTTCGCACAGAGCGGCGACGTGCTGCTGTAAGCGTTGTGAAGCGGCGTAGGGTATGTCGATACCCGACGCAAGCATGTCGAGACCGAGAGCGACGAGGTGATACCGGACGAACTGAGAATCGAGGAGGGCGAAGACGTTTTGCGACTGAGAAATCAGCCACGTTCCCCCACTGTATTGATATACTCTGACCGATTTGCTAGGCGCCACCTGCTTGATGGAAATGACAGTCTCCGTCAAGAGCTCATCCAGGGAATTCCAAGAGACCACTGATGATCAGTCATGGACGCGGAGGGTACATACCTGGCCAAGCAGGGAAAGACAGTCTGAGCTGACGGAGGCGAACGAGCAAGCTGAGCCGCCGCTCATCACTGCCGGAGACGATGGACTCCTCGAAGCAGAGTGACCACGCCTGGAAGTGAAGCGGAAGGAGCGAGTTCCGTATGGCCATAGCAGACGGGTCCGAGTGATCGGAATCGGAGATAGCTTGAACGAAGATGAGGATCAACTCCGCCACCGCGCTGCGCCAATTCCGACTGTCGGATGTGACAGTGTCGTCGCCGAATTCGAGCGTAAAGCTTAGAAGACGCTCGATGCTCACACCCCTACGCTCGCTTGATAGACCTGCGCGGATGATCTCTTCCAGCGGAGTCGAGTGGACAGTGATGAGCTTCAGTAGTATCCGGATTCGACATCGGCGGGAGATATCGAGATCGAGGAGAGGCCAAATACTTGACAATCAGCTGACGCCTACAAGGAACATACGTCTTGTATAGGGTCGCCGCCATTGCATAGACCTGCACCATTTTCAGCTGAGCCATGATCCGCAGACGGAGAGTGTACATACCGTTTCATCCGCATTCGACACTGCCAAGGCTTGGGTGATGACCAGCCACAAGAAGTCAAGCAGCGCAGGGACGGCGTACGCATTCAGCTGGATCAGCCGCGCGATGCCTAGGATGACCGATTCGTCGAGCGGTAGCGCTCGCGGAGGAAGATTTGCAATTCGCCGACCTCTCGTTGCGCTGCACGCATCAGCTTGTGCAAACACTACAGTCTACATTGATCAAGCTCACGATGATGTCTGATGCGCTTCCGCGACATCGCTGCCGAAAGACGTGGATGCGAGATGTTCATTAGACACGCCGTATGCGCGCAGCAAGAGACTAAGCAGTTTGTCAAGATATGGGTCACTGGCAATGAGCTCGGGAACCTTAGGCTCCCGTTCTAGAGCGCTCACGAACCAAATCTGAGGCGCCTGGATCCGCCTTTCCTGCTCTCCTTTCATACCCTGAACACGCTCTACCAGCATCCCACCAACAAGGTCGACAAACGCTCTCGGCTCGAGGTATGCGACATTCGCTTGAATAGTAATCGCCAGATCGAAGCGCGCCATCTCCACCATTCCGCCCCTCTCCTGGTCGCAGAGGTGAACGAGCGATTGTACGAGCTCCCACGGTACCTCCGCACTCGAGAACGCCAGGACCCGCATCCACCTGCAGGCGCGGGTGAGGCCCTGAGCAGATACCGAAGCTGTCTCCGCAGCGAGGGAAAAGATGTCGGCGTAGTCGGTCGATCCCGGAGGACGAGATGTGTGAGGAGAAATCAAGCGAGGTAGGGATTTGAAGACGATATCCTGGATGACTCAGCTCGTGGTCAGGCAACAGTCGGAACGCGAAAGCTCACCTGATCTGCCAATACTCCTAGATCTTCCAGCCAAATAGTCAACAGCTCTAGCAGACACGAGAATGCTATCCCAGCATCCAACACTGCTACCAGCCTATCCAGCGCCAGATTGGCTATGGCTGCTCCATCCTCCGCCGAACCATCGGTCGAGGGATTGGAAGTAAATGCCGGCGCCTTGCACTCTTCGTACAGGATGTCCGCGTACAGCTCTGGATCTTGGGTGTAGAGCGCTTCGAGCCAGGGCTGTACGTAATGACGCAGCAGCGCATTCCGAGCTTCTTGATAGAGCTGTACCGGACCCGATGTGCGGGACGCCGCCGCGCCAGCGACCGTGCGGAGGCCGGGTAGTGGGCGGTGCCGGCTAGCATACTCTCGTACAATGCGATGCAAAGTCTCTTCCTGCTATGATCAGCTCGGGCAAAGGCGAAGATAAGACCGAACACACCTCGGATATGACCCAGCGGACGACCGCAGACCCCAGTTGCTCGAGAGCATGAGGGGTGCACAGCAGACTCGGCCAAGCCCGCTTGACGAGCAACAGAAATCCTTGCTCCACCATCGTCAGGTCGAGGCTTTCCAGACAAGCTGCGATGCAGCCTATCAGAATTTCTGTCGCCGGGGATGATTCCGCCAGCAAGGGTAGATCGAAGTGCACCCATGCCTCGCGGTCGTTGCCAGCCCCAGAAGCTGCCGCCGGTGACCGGATATACCCCGTGGTCTCCAGCCGCTCCAGCCAGAGGTCCGAAGCGAGCTCCGATGAGACAGATAGATCTGCTCTGAGGACAGCTCGCACCGCGCTGATTGGCAGGGAGGAGTAGCTGAGTTGCTCCCCTCTGGCGAACTCTGTTGTACTCGGAGATTTGACTAGGGCCGTAGTATAGGCGAGATAATCGTCCGAGAAGAGATAGCCCGGGCCGAGGGGCTGCCTGAGATCATGAACGTGGGCGAAATCCGATGCCGCCGCAGACGCCGATGAGCTGTGCTCTGACAGATGGTCCTCGTAGATCCGGAGAGCTGGCCGCAGGTCTAGCGGATCCGACCCGACGGCCTCCTCTGACGCGATGACCAGACTGCCGCCCACTAATCCAGCCTTTAGGACCTGGTATCGCGTCCAAAGCGCGCCGTAGAGGATGGCGACCTCATCAAAGGTGCGATTGTCGAGGTCGTATGCTCCGGCACAGAGATCGCTCGTGCGGTCACCGAGGGACTGCTCGAGCTCTGAGGCTGTACACTGGAAGTACGAAGCTGGCCAGGTTCGCCGAGCTTGGCAAGCCGAGTGATGATCATCGAGCGAGTCGATGCAATCTGCGTGGAAGAACGCTTGACACCCCCCGAAGCAGGCGAAGACCGACGAAGGCGACGACCAAATTGGTTTATGGCAAGCCGAGCAGGGGATAGAGCTGAACAGATGTACGCGGTGTAGCTCGTGCTCCCCTGCAGCTCGGCGGATGGCCTCTCGGAGATCGGTCCGCGTCGCACCCTCGGCCAAGCGCTCACCGAGTGGCATTAGCTGCCGCGAATATTTGACGAGTACGACCGGGGGTGTCTGACCGGGATGCTCGCTGTCGAGGAGATCGTACCGAAATGTCCCCTGCGATGACCGGTAGCAACCGAGATGCTGGACATCGCCACACAGGGTGCACTTGATGCAGTACCCGGGTATACCTCCCTCGCATACCGAGCACGCGGGAGCGGTACGGGCCGAGGGTTCTTTCGAGCTGAGCCGCCAGTGGACGTAGTGATGCCGCTCGATCTCATCCTCCCCTAGACCCTTTGATTGACCCGTCTCCCACTTGTCCAGACGCGCGCGATAGCTGATGTCTGGCGGACGACGGGAGACGATGTTGTGGCCTGTCATATGTGGGTAGTAGGTGGTGAGGAGGCTTATTGCGGTACGTTGTGATATCGGGGATGAGAAGGCGGCGATCTCGAGGAGGTCGAGCGAGGCATCTGGCCTGGAGGAGAGGATGAGAGTGACTAGCCGGTGAAGCCGGTAGATGGTAGTCAGAGGCGCATCATCCAAGTTGATTGTTTCGCATAGCGCGCCCAGGAGGCGGATGACCAGCGAGGAGCGGCGGATGGAGATGTCCGATTGGGCCAGCGCAACATCGTGCGGATTGAGGATGCCAGACGGCCGACTTTGGCTCGATGACGATGGGTTTTCGGGCGTAAAGCTGAACAGAGGGATGCTTGGTTCTGTATATCAGCATCGCCTTTTAAGCTGGATAGTGACTTACGTCGCCTTTTCTCCAGGGTCGCGCCTGTAACATCTCCCTGTACGGGCTCCAGCACGACCCCGACCTGACCTTCCAGCCACCCGTAAACCCGCTCCGCCATCCCCTCACCGAAGGTGTAAAGCCCGACTAGGACAATCTCGACCACCTCCATCTTGTCTACCCCGCGGGCAGTATGGCAGAGATAGGTCGCGATATCGAGGCATGCCGCTCGGAGCGCGTTAGGTGGGCAGAGGGGACCAAACGAGGAGACGCGGTGATGGCAGTCCGCCGAGACGAGTCCGCGTAGGATCACCAAGAGCCGATGTCGTGGTGGAATGTTCGGGCCTGGCTGAGCACGTAAAGGGTCCGCGTCGGTAAGAGAGGCCGTGGGAGGTCGACGACTTCGTCTCTGCTCTCCGCCCCGTTGCCCTTCTGCCACTTGCAGCAGATGCAGCCCTTGTCTGTCCGCCAGAAGCAGCAAGTCCCGAAGCTGCACCACCAGACTGTACGTGCCCTCCATATCCCAATCCACCTCCCCTTCGGCAGCATGATGCTCTTCGCTTCCGACAGCCTCGGCTGATGAGATGCATCGCACAGCTTCAATGCCTGCCTGTCCCACTTGGATCCCCGACTGAGCGGCGCCGACTACCGCGTGTCCCAGCTGTCGTACAGCTGTCCCGCTCTTGCGCTTCTCCTTGGTAGACTTGCTAGTCGCCTTTGCCTGTAGAGCCGCCCGCTCAAGGGTATCTGGCGGGACGAGCCGACTTTCCAGGCGGTCCAGGACGTGCGAAAGGAGCTTTTGCGACTCGTACAGCCCTTTCGGCGGCTCGCGATTGACGGGAGCTTCTTTCGGCCGGAGCGTTGCGCGCCGTAGACGAGCTTGGAGCTCGCCAACCCCAAGACTGGGAGACCGAGGTGCTGTGGGGCTAGTGGACCCTTGCCGGGGTCTCGAGATGGGCAGTGAGAAGTCGCGGAATGATGGCGACTTGTCCCCGGTATCTCGAGGATCCGCCTTTGTGTATGGGCTCGAGTCATCGGTGACATTGATCTGATGGTGTGAGTTCGGAAAGGCGCTGCTAAGGCCTGTCTGACACACCTTGAGCTGGGGGAGCTTGCCTGGCCGGACGCCCAGTCCCCTTCGCGCATCGGTATTGATGCTCATCCCGCCGTTCTCGTTCTGTCATTCTGGCATCAAATAATACCTAGCGGTCGTGCGTCCAGGGGGAGAAGGCTCCCGAGCGCTGGGACGTTGCGTAATCGCCCAGAAGAGTTGCTCGAGCGAAGGCGAGATAGAAGTCCAACGTCAACATACCTTGAGCTGGCTTGGTCGGACCACCTCCACTCAACTCGACCAATTGCAGCATCATCCTTCTGTCTATCATATATCAACCTTGCATCCAAGATATGGCAGACTCGGCAGTAGCAGGTCCATCTCATGCCCCGGGAGTGAGTGTGGCGGCGACCAGACAGAAAGCAATACTGACATCTTAGGGGGCCGCACAATCTTGGCGCCAATTTACCTTCTTCGACCACGAGGAGGTCAAGGATGCCGACGACCTCGCCTCTAGCCCCAGAGCGCTCAAAGTGGGTTCAGTAGCGTACCTCAGCGGGAACGTCCTGACATGGCAGGATCTCACTCCTCCGCTGTGTATCACACCAACAACCCCCGAATCCCCCCTACCAGCATCCATCATTGTCTCCTCAGGACAGACCATCACCCTCCTCGACCGACACTTTCAGCCCCTCACTTCATGGGTCGCATGGGAAGGCAATGGTCGGGCGACACACATTGCCGAAGCGGGCGGTATGGTCCTGGCTATCGGCGAGGAGGATGGGAGCCGGTACCCCGTGCTCAAGATCTGGGACCTGACGAGGGAAGAGAAGAAGCGCAAGGGAGGGGGACCGGTGTTGCTGCGGAACACAAAGATCCAGAATGGGCAGAGACCCTCCCTGGTGAGCTATGTGCATGGTCAAGCTGACGGATAGGTGACCGCAGTAGCGCTGAGCTCGACACTGTCCCACCTCGCTATCGGTCTAGGAGACGGAACGGTCCTAGTCTACCGGCACCTCCTCCAGTCACTGACTACCTCGCCGACTGCTCTCACCTCTCTTCCGAAAGCTCGAGTCATACACGAATCGCCAGAACCCATCACCGCCTTAGGTTTCCGGGAAGCCAAGCACCCCGCGAAGACTAGCGCAAAAGCGGACGGCCCGGCTGGACCCCTTCTCTACGTCTGCACGGTCAGCCGGGTGTTCATCGCAGAGCTCTCAAGCCGGAGTGGCCAGGCGAAGCCTATCGACGAGCTGGGGTGTGGATTGGGCTGTGCGGTGCCTGACTGGGAGGGAAAAGATATGATCATGGCTCGTGACGACGGGGTTTACACATACAACGCGGGAGGTAGAGGCGTAACGTATGCCTATGAGGGTGAGCTAGTCTCGTCGCCCTATCTGAAAGGGAGCTCATGATGGCAGGTCCCAAATCATCCATCTCTGTCCACAAGCAGAATCTTATTGTCGTTTCGCCATCGTTTGTGCCTTCCGCAAGCTCGAACTCGGCGACGGTTCGGCAATACGTCGCCAAATCGGGCGGAGGAGATAGCAGTCGGGACATCGCCAAAGTCACCATCTTTGATCTGCAGAACAAGCTCATCGCCTATTCTGGGACCTTCAAGGATGGGGTTAGGGCGGTGTTCTGCCAATGGGGTGATGTCTTTGTTCTGGGTAGCGATGGCAAGGTACGTTCGACGCGCGCTGGAGCTGATAGCCAGCTATCGAGACTGGATGAGCACTCTACTCAGGCAAAGCTCGACGTTCTATATCGCCGAAACCTGTATACCCTTGCCCTGGACCTCGCCAAGACGTCTGGTATGCCCACTCCCGGCGTCGCCGAGATACATAAGCGGTATGGAGACTATCTATACGGCAAGGGTGACTTTGACGGCTCGATGAGTCAATTCACCCAGACCTTGGGGCACCTCCAACCATCCTATGTCATCCGCAAAGTAAGCACATCTCGCCCCGCTGGTCCGCCAAAGCTGACAACCAGTTCCTCGACGCCCAACGCATACACAACCTTACGACTTACCTCCAATCCCTTCACTCACACAACCTCGCCAATCCAGATCACACAACACTCCTTCTCAATTGCTATACCAAGACGGGCGACAAGACCGCACTGGACAACTTCATCAAGACGGAGACTAGGCGCGCGGACGAAGCGGGCGGAGGTCTGGACGATCTACCATTCGACCTGGAGACGGCCATTCGGGTCTGCAGGCAGGCTGGATTCTTTGAGCACGCGAGCTACCTCGCAAGAAAATATGGGCGGCATGAGGAGTTCTTGCGGGTTCAAATCGAGGACGCGGAGGAGTATGGGGATGCCTTGAAGTATCTGCGGAGTCTGGGGCCTGAAGCTGTAAGTACTCGACCTGGTGTCGGAGCTGATGGGCAGTGCCAAGCAAATTTGATGATCTACGGCCGGACACTGCTTTATCATGACCCGGAGGATACCACGGATCTCCTCATCGATCTCTGCTCTGGTACGCTCGGCAAGCGACCGCCTCCGGTCCAGCAGTCCACAGACGAGGCGTCAAAGGCGAACGGGTCCGGCGGTCCCGCGGTACTGTCGTACTTGGGATACAACAGGGTCGCCGGGATGTTCACGTCGGAACCGCAGCCGGCATCGCCCATAGCGGAGACTGCTCGTCCAGCAATAAAGAACGGCGAAAGGTCTGCATCTCGCCTGACCCAGCCGGGCAGCAAATCCAGCGGGGACCCGGACCAGAAGATCGAAGTCCCAGCGGAAGCTGTCCCCTCATATACCCCTCCCTCGCCTCGGCAGTACTTTGCCCATTTCATCGACCACCACGACCTCTTTGTCCATTTCCTCGAGGCGGTCGCGCTCACCCTCTGGTCGCAAAAAGTCGACACGTCCGCCACTCAGCGCACAACCCCTATACAGGCCCCTCCTGCCTATGACACCTTTGGTGCGTCGTCGGACCGCAAACCCCCTTCGGATCCCAGAGAGGAAGATCAGCGAGCGGTATGGAACACCCTTCTCGAGCTGTACCTCGATTCCACTTCCTCCTCGGACCCCGCCGTCTCCTCTCTCGCCCGGTCTAAAGCCCTCGGTCTGCTGTCAAGCGATCTGCCGCACGACACCATGCACGCCCTCCTCCTCTGCTCCACGGCAGGCTTCACGGACGGGATGGTCCGGCTCTGGGAGAATATGGGGATGTACGAGGACGTCCTTCGGTTCTGGATGTCGGCGCCTGCTCCTTCATCGGGCGAGTCGCATCCGTCCGATGAGGTCCTGAGGTGTTTGCAGCTGTACGGGCCATCCAAGCCGCATTTGTACCCGCTGATCCTGCGCTATCTTACCTCGTCGCCGGAGGTCTTGAGCAGGCAGTCGGGTCAGCTGGGACGGATACTGGAGCAGATTGATGAAGGGCGAATCATGCCGCCGCTGGCGGTGGTGCAGCTTCTGAGCAGGAACGGGGTGGCGAGCGTAGGGAACGTCAAGGAGTGGTTGAGGAGCAAGGTGGCAGAGACGAGGCAGGATGTGGAATCGGTGAGTACACCCTTTTGCTTTAATATCTTGCTGATATACAGGACAAATCCCTCGTCAATTCTTACCGGACCGAGACCGCCCAAAAGACTGCCCAATTGAGCTCACTCGCCAACCCCACCCAACCCGAAATCTTCCAAGTCACCCGCTGCGCCTCGTGCTCGCAGCAACTCGACCTCCCGGCTGTCCACTTTATGTGCAAGCACTCTTACCACCAGCGCTGTCTCTCGGACTCTGAGCCAGAGTGTATCCTGTGTGCTAGGCAGCATGCGGTGATTCGGGAAGTGAGGCGGAATCAGACGCGGTTGGCGGGGAGGCATGAGCTGTTTGTGGCGGAGGTGGAGGATGCGGAGGATGGGTTTGGGGCGGTAGTGGGTGGATTTGGGAGGGGGTTGATGAATCTCAGAGTGGAGGGATAGGGAGATTCCACGTGTAGATGATAGAGTAAAGATGGGATACATACTCTATACAGCGGTTATGATAGCGTTCGTTGAGCTGGACTGTCAGCTTCAGGCCGGTACTTCGAGGCATAGATAACTCACCCATATCTCGATATCGCTCCTTGCGGTCCGCATCAACGACCTCTAGCCGCTCATACAGTCCCCTGGCTTCCAATCTAAGCTTCTCTCCCTCATCAGACGCCGCCATCGTTGAAAGAAGGGTACAATGATGCGCCAGCGCATTCATACACCCTGAAGTAATCAGCTAGGCTCTACATTCTCAAGGGTGAGCCAACTTACAATTCGAATCTGGCTCAGTCTCGTGCAACTCCCGGATGTTCTTGACTTCCCTCCGCAACACATCCTCTGGCGGAGCGGCACCGATCAGCCATCGATGATACAGCCACCCAGACTGATCGTTCGGATCTGTCCATAATGCTTGTGTGACAAGCTCAAATTCTGGTATGTCAGCTCTTACCCAGGAATGCTCTCGAGACACTGAGCGAACCTGCATCTTTCGCCGCTTTCACCTCGCCTGGATCCATCTCCTCCCAGAGACCCCCGAGAAGCTTCGTCCGGAGATGCCAAGCTGAAAAATTGGAAAAGTTCGCTTCGATCTTCTTCTGGGTGTAGCGGAGCTCGTCTTGCGGCGTCCGTTTTGGAGTGAAAGAAGCTGGGAGGGAGCGGACGACGTAGCGGCGGTATCCCCATGCGTGGACTGAGGCGTCAGCTACAGTTTACAGTCAGAATCTACAGTCCCGACAGCTAACAATTCCGAGGATCAGCATCCAGCATAGCCTCCAACATCCTCAACTCGGTCTTCCAGAACTCATTCCGCCATCCCTCGCGCCCTTCCTTGCCCGTCGTAGCTGCTGCCGAGCTTCCGGGTTCGTCAGAGGCATCAGGGCCAGGACCGAGGGGCACGTTCTCGAGACACCACATCCGGTGGTTCCATATCCAGTAAACCTTGGGATGTATTTGCAGGTACGCGGTTGTTAGTCTGAGGTCGGCCGCTAGGAGGTTGACTATTTCAGCTGGTGCGCTAATAAGTCAGCTTCATATGGAGTATCACACGACTCCGGCAACTTACCAGGACGGGAAGAGTCCACGCAGAAGGATATGCCGCCTGTAGTTCCAGACGGTATAGTACTCTGGGTTCAGGTCGAGCAGGTCAGAGGTCCGCTTCAAAGCTTCGGGGGTGTACTCTTTCGCCTGCTTCTGCCTGGGTATCAGCTTGTGCATTTTCGTCTGTGGGGACCGGATAACTGACTCTCTGCATCACCTCCGTCTGTAATGCGACGTATGCTTCAATCTTCGCTTGATCCTTCAGCCGCTTCGCCTCGGCCGCTTGAGGCGTGACTCGTGTTCGCTTGACACCGTGCTATTGAGGGTTAGCTGTGCCGAGCCAATGAGAGTGGTCATCAAGGCAGCGTACCATTCTAGCCTTAGTCCGATAGACTGATCCTGGCTCAAAGTTGTGAACGGAGAAAATGTCGAGCTCGCTGCCCGAAGCTCTCTCGTCGTCGCCCAAAAGAGCTCCGAGCGCGTCAGCCGGGGTCATTACGTCATCCTTCCCCTCAGCCAAAAGTGACGTAGGATCTGTTGTTGCGATCGAGCTGAGTCACTCTATACCTCTCCTACATCTATCATACAGCATGAGCGCTTCAAGACCCAAGCTGGCCAAGCCAAAAGCAAAGCCCCGGCCCTTCACCGTCGAAGATCCTCAGCTCGCATCCGCGAGAAGTACAGCTTCGCCCGTCCCCGCCTCGGCGGCTCCGAAGCCCCGACCGAAGGCTCCAGCCGCTGCTAAGAAGAAGCTAGCTGCTACGCCTGGACGTATAGCCGAGGCTGCTGCTGCCCGGCGTACGAATGGCGGAGGAACGAGCTCGAGTGTAGCTGCCAAGGGGAAGGGAAAGGTCAACGCAGGTAAGCCTGTCATCATTACCTTGACCTTCTGAACATAGCTGATGGGAACAGTAGCTGGACCATCCAAGCCTCGACGACCTCTGGGAACAGCCTCTGAGCCGGAAGTCCTCAGTAGCGGCGACTCCTCTGATGATTTTGAGGAGGTTCCTATCCCGACCACTCCTGGTGCGCGCGCAAAGTCCCAGAATGCCTCGGCAGGACCGTCGTCTCCATATCCCTATTCGGCCGCCACACCAACCACGCCCGGGACCAACGTTACTGCGCGGAACACACCCGCAGCTACCACGGCGGGTGAGACGGATGAGGATCCATATGCGGAGGACGACGATGAGGAGGAGGAGGGAGACGGAGTGATCAGGCTTGAGATTGGTGGAGAGACGCCAGAAGAAAAGGCGAAGCGGATAGCTTTGGCACTGAGGAAGTGAGTAGATCCGGATTCTGAACAAGAGTCCATGCTGATACTTAGGAAACCCATGACCTCCAAAGATCGGATACTGCGGATCACGATCCACAAGATGCACGTTTTATCCTTACTTGCCAATGCGAGAATACGGAACAAATGGGCGAGCAACATGCTACTCAAGGTAGGTCATGGTTCTAGCGAGACAGCTGACAGGCCAGGGTCGACTACTGTCACTACTCCCACATCCCCTCGTTGCTGCTTTTAGCATCCCTCCCTCCCGCTTCCCCGACCGAGCACAACGAGCCCGCCTCTTTGTCGACGCCCTACAATCGCTGGTCCTCTGGTGGACTCAGACCTTCTTTGACATCCCCGACACGACTATCGGTCAGCGTACGCGGCCATGGGACGAAGTCCAAGAGATCGTCGACAAGCTGCCCCGACTCTCTCGGCAGGACTTCCTCCCTGGCGGACCCCTCCTAGACGGCGGAAAGTCAGACAAGGAGAAAGAGAAGGAGGAACAAGAGCGACTAGAAAAATACGGCGACGGCGCGAATGGCGAGCGTCTCCGGACCGTCAACAGCCTGATGAAAAAGGCACTACAACAAGAGGGCTCACGGGACGTTTCGGCGATCCTCTTTGTCGCGCTCTGTCGGGCGTGCGGACTCGGCGCGAGACTGGTGGTCAGCCTCCAGGCGGTCCCGTGGCGCGCTGAAAAGGTGGTCGTGAAGAAGCCGTCCGGCGCGGGGAAGGGCGGGCGGAGCGTAGCGTCTCGCCAAGGGCAGGGCACGGCGGATGAGGACGCGGATAGTGACGAGTCGATGGAGGAGGTGCCTATACCTGGGAAGGAGGAGGATGAGGAGGAGGAGGGTGAAGGCGGACCAGGGGAGATCATGGAGAAGATCAAGAATAAGAGGATTAGGGGAGCGGGGAGGCGGAGACAACAGGATCCAGCGGACGTGTATCGGTTGAGGAAACCAAAACCTGCGCCACAGACCGTCGGGGCAAAGCCAAAGGTCAAGACCAAGCAAGGTAAGCCTTTGACTCCGGATGAGCCATACGGCGAGCTGATAGACCAGATTTGGGGAACCAGCCACCGGTCATTTGGGCAGAGGTCTTCAGCAGGCCTGACCAGAAGTGGTTCCCAGTCGATCCGACCCGGGGGACCGTACGAAAGAAGGGACATTTTGAGCCCCAGTCGGATAATGGTCCTATTCGGATGACCTATGTTGTCGCTTTCGAAGAGGGTGAGTCACAGCTACGCAGCGAGTCAGCATCGGCTGATACCTCAGATGGCTTTGCCAGGGACGTCACTTTACGGTATACCAAGTCGTTTGGCGCAAAGACGGCCAAACTTCGGGCTCCGCAGAGGAAGGATGAGCCAGATTGGTGGGAGGGTGTACTTGGGTTCTTGGCTCGTCCATATCGACTCGTAAGTCCGCGATATAAACTACCGAAGCAAGCTTACCAGCAGAACCGAGATGACCTCGAAGATGCCGAGCTGGAGAATAGTCAGATATCCGAGGCGATGCCCGTTCACATGAACGGCTTCAAAGATCACCCCTTGTCAGTCCTATCCCCTCTTCCCACCGCCGACGCCAGCTGATAGACAGATTCGTCCTCGAACGCCATCTCAAGCGCGAAGAAGTCATTCAGCCCAAACGTGAAGTCGGCAAATTCCGGGGCGAGTCCGTCTACCGCCGCGCCAACGTCTTATCCTGCAAGACCGCCGAAAGCTGGATGCGGGTCGGCCGGAAGGTCAAGGACCGGCAAGAACCGATGAAGTGGGTCAAGCAGCGTGCGATGACCATCAACAAGAAGAGAGAGGTGGAGTTGGCGAAACAAGCGGGGGAGGATGTTATGCAGGGCTTGTATGCAGAGGGGCAGACTATGATTTATCGGCCGCCCCCGATACAGGATGTGAGTTGGAGATTCTGTGAGATCCGGAAGGGATGAGCTGACGCGTGTAAGGGCAAGATACCGCAAAACGCTTTTGGGAATATCGACCTGTATGCGCCGACCATGCTGCCGCAAGGTGCTGCCCATCTAGCTTGTGAGTGTCTGTGTAAAGTCCTCTGGCCTTTGGCTGATCAGGCAGACAAGGGTATCGCCAAAGTCGCCAAGCAGCTGGGCGTTTCCTACGCCGAAGCATGTACCGGCTTTGAGTTCAAAAAGCAGCGCGCAATACCCACCATCACCGGTATCGTCGTTCCAGAGGAGTCAGCCGAGGCGGTCATGGACGCCTACTGGGCGAGTACGGCCGCTGCGGAGGAGCGTGAAAAGCAGAAGCGGATCGATAAGGCGTTGAAGCGATGGGGCAAGTTGATCAATGCTTTGAGGGTCAGGGAGAGGTTGCGAGCGACGTACGGGGACAAGGAAGGGGTGAGTTGCCACTCTTCCCAACGATACTACAAGCACCGTGTGTCGGATCTATCGGCTGACGTCTTCAGCTCCACGACCAGAGTCACAACCCCCTCGCTGAGGCCGACGCCGACGGCAACGACAAGTCCAAGGCGAAAGGCAAACGGTCGGCCGCCAACGTCTTGGCTCAGGCGAATCAGGAAGCCAGTACGGCATGGGCGGATCGAGCGCGGGACAAGTCCGAGTCTCCACCGGCGCGGGAGGATGCGCTGCCCGAGGTCGCCGTGCAGGACTTTGCCACGGGCGAGGTGGGCTTAAAGAGCGAGCCTGCCGGAGATAGTGATGATGAGGAGGAGGATGATGACATGGAGGAGGTCGACGTTGATGGTGCGCAACCTGCGGGTCCAATATCCCCGGACCTCCCCGAGCAGATCCCCTCGGCGGCATCGACACCCCGTCCACCTTACGTCCCCGTCGAGGTGGCCCCACCGGTCCGACCATCCCGCCGCTCCGCCCGAGAAGCCAAATCCCGCCTCGCTGTCGATAACCCATACGAGTCATCCGACGAGGATGACGAGAAGGCAGTCGTCTCGGACGCGTCTATACATGAGGTGGACGATCTAGCTGCGGGCGACGACGAGGATGAGGACAGCGGAGACAGTATGGCCGAGGTGGACTTTACGCCCAAGGAGCCTACTCCACTACCCGCGGCGCCACAGACGACTCGGTCGGGGCGGACCATCAAGCTGCGGATCGGACCAGTCAAGGAGGCGGAGCCGGAGGAAAAAGCGGAGACGAGTTCGAGGGTGACGAGGAGCAGTAAGCGGAAGAGGTGATGTACCCTCGTTGAATCAATGTATCTTGGCACACTCTCTTCGCCGTCACTTCTGCGCCTCTTCATCGTGTTGATGGCTTCTCTGTTCCAGCGAAGCTACATCATGCGCCCACGGTCGCACGGGTCACACGAGTACCGCAGAGGTGGAGGCATGCTCGTGGTTCCGGGGGATATCAAGCGGGAGCAATCTGGTGCCTTGATTTGGGCCAATTTCGAAAAGTTCACCAGCTGTAGCAGACACATACATCTACCTATATCTAAGCCTGCACAATGGCATCCACTAGTAAAGCAGCTATCCCAGCTGTGCGGACTACGTTAAGCTCGAAAGCAGGTACGCTCTCCTTCTTTCAGGTCCGAGATTGGTGGACCATGACCGGATGAAGCTGATTAGGAGTAGCGATCCCTGCTCGTCGAACCTTTGCGGCTTCGATCCGATCGTTCGCCGAAGGTGATGCGGCCGAGAGCTCCACAGCTCGGTCCACAGCACCAAGAGGAGCTGCAGAGGTAGGAGAAAGCACGGAAGATGCGTGGAAGCGGAACATGGAGGAAGTGAGGGAATGGCGACGCCGTCGGGATGTCCAGCGTAAGTACCGGCATGCTCTGGCGAACAGTGCGCGGTGCTGACTGGCTAGGCTCTAAACTACCCCTCTTCCTTCCACCATCAGCCACCGCTCCGAACGCCCCCTCCCCACTCCGCCTATCCCTCTCCACCCTCCTCGCTTCCGGCGCAGCTCTCGGACACGCCTCATCTGCTCTCCACCCTGCGTACCTCCCATACACGTATGGAACCCGATCCGGCCTGTCCATCATCGATTTAGACCAAACACTTCCCATCCTCCGGCGAACGGCGGCGCTCGTGCGCGATCTGGTGAAGGAGGATGGGGTGGTCATGATCGTGGGATCGAGAGCGGGACATGGAAAGTTGTTGAAGCGGGCAAGGGAGAGGATGGGGGATAGCGCATATGTCGTTGAAGAGTGGATGCCGGGGACGTTGACGAATTCCGTTACTTTGTGAGTTGGGCTTGTCTGCTTGCGGATGTCCCTCTTGACTGTATGCGGACGGCGGGATACGGTCATCGTCGAGATGCAGGCGGGAGGGCTTGTACGGTCTTCGTTCGGACGCCAGTGCTGACTCTCTTAGCTTCGGCGTCGCACCAATGCAAAACCAAGCACACCTCCCCGACCTCGCCATCTTCCTCAACCCTTCCGAGAACCTCGGTGCAATCCGAGAATGTACCGCCAAAAACATACCTACCATCGGCATCGTCGACAGTGATACGGACCCACGCATCGTCACTTATCCCATACCAGCGAACATGGAGGTGAGCTGCATTGTTCATATCGAAGTATCGGAGCATCAGCTGACGCAGCCTAGAGCATCCGCACAGCTGAGCTCATTCTTTCGACATTGAGCATAGCAGGCGAAGAGGGTCGTCGACTGCGCAGGTCGAAAATTGCAGGCGGTGGGAGCTCGTCGGGGTCATTGTCTTCAGCTTCTTCGGACAGGCAAGCGAGGATAGCCAGGACCGGAGGCCAAAGCAGGAGGTAGAAGGCCATGCATCTTGTTGGCTGGCTATCGGCAGACCGTGGAGGTCCTTGGACCGTTGATCACACGCTGAAGCTTTCTGCAGATATTGGGTCGGAGTGCATAACAGTTTGACTCCTTTGGTGACTGATGCCCTCGAGTCTCGCACTCGCAGACTCAATCACCTGGCCCATTTGGGAATGTCTAAATACTGACTCGACTTTGAGCAGCTGCGGTGCGTGGCCCTGATGCATGCTCCCTAAAGTCCCGAAGTTTCAAATAGGTAGTATAAGCTCGATGTCTGACAATATGATATACTATATAAGCGACAGGTCGGATTGCGACACGATCGCCCGCGCGCTCGTCCTACTTCATCGTCTAGTCCTCGTGAATCTCTCGTTCGACTTGGATTCGGATCTCGACCGGACCCCGGGGAGTCGGCTCGGAATGTACAGCTAAAGCTATCAGCTGGTCACTCTCGCGGCTGGAGGCAAAGACTTACCGATAGGCGACGTAAACTGGTCAAGGATGTGCGGGACCTGCGGGACATCGTGCACCTGGTGCCACTTCTCCTCTGCGCCTGTATTCCAGCTCGTTCCCCTCGCCTCGGCCGTCGCGAACGGCGCCTCGTCCTTGTCCAGTACGTCCAGCTCTGTGTCCCCCTCCCACTGACCGCCTTCGCGAAGGAGTGACATGAGCGCAAACCCGCTCGCCAGCTGGTTGGCCTGCGTTGCGTGCGGCGGCATCTGCCCGACCATGACCTTGTTGTGTACGGCGCTAGGAGCCGAGCGAGGGAGGTACAGCATGATTGAGAGCATCATGACGATGCAGAGGGAGCCGACGGTGGTGGCGCACAAGAGATCCGATACGATGGCGTTCATGTTGAGGGGAGCGGCAGCGGTGATACCATCGGCGCCGAGGACGAGCAAAGGCATGGTGAAGGAAATTCGGAACAGATTCCGGATTTTGTTGCTCTCATGATACGTGTAGAGGCGGATTTGAACGTCGGGACCGGCTCCGGACGCCTTGACGTCTTTCAGAAACCTGGGGAATTTGAGGACGACGACGGTGGCGGCGCATAGCACACTGGGAGTCAGCTGAGCCTTCCAGTGAGCACAGACACGTACATGAACTCGAGCCCGCCACCCGTAAGTAGCTCTTTCGATAGCTGTACCTGCAGGTTCGAGTTGTCTCCGATCCAGGGCACGGACAGCTGGATCGCCGCGACCAGTATCGAAATGACGATCCAGGCGTAGTAGTACTTGCTACCCAGCCAAGGCTTGCTGGCTTGGGGTCGACGTACGGCGCGCATGAGATGGTACCAGTACAGGCCCTCTTGCGCGTTGAGCGAGGCTTGGAGGGTGTAGCAGATACCGAGGAGGACGGTCAACGGCCCATTAAACCTGTCGAATGGGGAAGGGAATAGGGATGAGGGCCAAGGACGGGCGCCCATCGGTCCAAGGCGTACCCAGCCGAGCTGGTATTTGACATCTGCTAGTCAGCATAGGAAGAGGCGAGATGGTGATATTGGAGTCCATCGGAACATGTGGGGAACATGTGGACTTACAGCACCATCCGGACGCCCAAACGATGAGGCATACGTTAGACAAGAAGAGCATGTAAATCATCAATGCCCTGGGGATCAGCTCTTATCCAGCTCGACTCCGTCAGACGAGCTCACCTGAACCATTCCTTCCTGCGTGGGACGAGGCATCTGCAGCCGTCAAATTTGAAGGTGTGATACGTGAGGAACGCCAGCGACTGTCCTTGTCAGCTTTGTCTTCTGCTGAGGGAAGTTGGGCAGTCGGACGGGAGCACATGCTTGAAAGGGTGGAGGGCAGACAAAAGACAAACTTACAGTTGTTCCGAATAGCGCGACGATGCAAAGGTTCGGACCGTTGATTTCCGCCATCTTGAGAGGCTACTTCAGCGGGGTATCAGTGAGAAGGTCAGGATCGAGGAGATCAGAGGGGTGGATGGGCTTCGCAACAGCTCTGGCTTGGTATATAATCACCCCGCCTACTCGGCCATGTTACTGAGCCCGGTGAAGCTCGGAGAATTTGGAAACGCATGGTCCGCGTCAGCTCCTATTACATCGGAGGCCAGAGGGGGAGAAGTGAGAAGGATGTCTGTTGAAGGCATACTTGAGCTTGCGAAAGGGTGAGAGGGAGGTGTGATGGAAGGGAAAAGGGACGGAGTCAGTCCGTCCAACACATTCCTTTCAGGCACCGCCGAAAGGACACCCGGCCGCCGGGTGGCCCGCTCCGCGTCGTCTCTTGCTCCTATGCGTTCGGCAGTCTTTCAGCAGGGGGGCGATCGGAGCCTATCGATAGTGTAGTACTAGGTATGTAGTACTGGCTGCATCGGACGCTTATGTACAAAGTGTGGATATGCACAAGTGGGAATACCGTGTAGATAACTCATCCCTCTAGGGAGCCCTTGCCGCTACAGCTGACACCCTCTGGCCGCCTGCGCCCAGCGCGAGACGACCGTCTGCCCAGCTACTAATCCGCATAGACTTCCTTATCGACCCTCATCCTGATCTCGACCGGTCGAGGTCCTCGCGGCTCGTCCGTAACATCTGAGTCGGATCAGCACAGCCCTTTCACAGCGACAACGGTACTCACCGATCGGAGACTTGAAGTGTTCGAGCAACTTTGGGACCGAGTCCTGAGCCCTCGCCTGACCGTGACCATGCCACTTCTCCTCTCCGCCCAAATTCCAGCTGGGTCCTCCCGCCTCTGCCCTCGCAAATGGCGCGTCGTCTGTCCCCCTCCTCTCCCCCGCTTTGGCCATATCGGTCTCGTCCTCGTCATCCAGCCCCTCCCACTGCCCCCCTTCACGAAGGAGCGACATGAGTGCGAACCCGCTTGCAGCGTGATGGGGCGGCATCTGGCCGACCATGACTTTGTTTTGGGCCGCACTGGGCGCCGCGCGGGGGAGATACAGTACAATGGAGATCATGGTGACAATGACAAGGGAGAAGACGGTTGTGGTTGCCAGGATGTCGGTAGCGGGTGCATTGAGGTTGATGACTGCCGCTTTGGTCGTACCGTCTCCCCCCAAAATGAAGAGAGGGAGGGTGAAGGTGTAGCGGAAGAACGTCCTGACCGTATTGAGCTCGTGATAGAAATGGAGTCGGGAGCGGACTTCTGGACCGGCGCCAGAGGCTTTGACATCGTTGAGGAACTTGGGGAATTGAAAGACGACCGCCGTGGCAGCCATGAGGACGCTAAAGTCAGCTCAACCCTGTCGAGAAACTCACATGAACTCGACCGAAGCACCTGTGAGGAGCTCCACCGATATCTGCACCTGGAAGTCCGGGTAGTGAACCACCCAAGCAGCAGACATCTGGACGACAGCGATTATGACCGAAGTGGCGACCCATGCCTTGAAAAGCTTCGAACGTAGCCATGGCACTGCGTCCTGGGGGTAGCGGACCGCTCGGATAAGGTGGTACCAGTAGAATGCCTCTTGGGTCGTGAGAATCGCCTGAAGGGTGTAGCAGGCGTTGAGACAGACGGTGAGGGGTGTATTATAGCCTTGGAATTCCGGGGGGAAGAGTGCCGAGGGCCAAGGCCGGGCGCCCCAGGGGCCAAGCCTGACCCAGCCGAGCTGATACTTGACATCTGAAGGGGTCAGAGCGAGATGCGCCAGGAGATAGAGCCGGGGGAAGGGTCAGAGCGAGATGCGCCATGAGGTAGAGCCAGGGAGAGACTAGCCGCCACTTACAAGCCCAGCCTCCAGCCCAGACGAGCAGGAAAATCGCACTCAAAAAGAGCAGATAGGTCAGCAACACGCGATGCCATACCTTCCGGCGCGGAATGAGACAGCGACACTTGTCGAATCTGTATGTGTGGTATGTGAGGAAGGAAAGGGACTACAGTGGTCAGCATAGATACTGGACATAGATACTGGACAGAGCGGGAGGTGAGGAGAAGATCACTTACGGTCGTGCCGAGTATCAAGATGATGGTGAAGTTCGGTCCGCTGACTTCGGCCATTGTCGCTAGGGGTATGAAGGTGAGTAGTTGTAAGTCGTATGTGACGGATGGGCGATGTGATCATGAGGTCAAGCGAGCATCTTATATAGAGCAAAGGCTACCTCACAGCTTTTGCAGATGGGTCAAAGGCATATCCCCTTTGCGCGATCGCGAAGTCTAATCCTCACCGCATGATCCCGCGGCATCTTGTCCGCCACTCTGAAGCGAGTAAGGCAGACGTGGGCGCAATCCGTCATCGGAGGACAGCCGCTGAAGGCACTGGCATATGGCATAGAAAGGGATGTGTAGTGAGTGTAAAAGGAGGACCGGAGGAGGATGGTTGCATGGACCAGCATTCCTCGAGGACAGCCTCTTTACGGCATTAGCCCGGCCCAGTAGTACATGATCAGGGTATCAAAGTATCAACAACAGCTCTACTCGTAGATAAACTGGTACAGCTACGCGCTCGTCCGTATCCGCACAGGGAGCGCTGGCTGATGCCGCAGTTTGCCGCAGCACCAAAGACTTGAATTAGTACCTAAGAGCAGAGATTTTGCATACACTGTGTTAGATATGTACAACCTCGTCCGTCCGTCCGCCTCATCCTTCCCCGCTATGCCCGTTACAGATTATGCCTTGCGTCCTCCACTAAGGCGCAGACAGCTTTCGCTGCGGACTATTTCCCGCCTCATCCTTCTCCGTATCCGCCACATCGACAATCTCGTCCTCTTGCTTGCTGCTGGCCGTCTTTTCGATACTGGCCGCAGCGAGCGATGTTCGAGCGGCGTGGCGCAGGTCGGCGGGGTTCGTACGCCGGAGGGGACGCTGGAGTCGGCGACGAGCAACCTGAGAATCAGATCGTACACCGCCATCAGAGGATACAGACAGATGAAGACTCACCATGATGGGAACGGAAGACTTTTGTACGAGATAGTGACTGGTAGATCCTAGTAGGATACTGCACGATCAGCTTTGCCCACAGCAAAACACAGTGAGACTCACCCCTTGAGCTTGCCCAGACCACGAGACCCCACGATGCACATCGTTGGCTCCAAAAAGTCGATCAGATCCAGCAGCATATGCCTCGAATTCTTGGCGTGCAAGAACTGACAAGTAACGGTAATGTTAAGCCGAGTCCGCTGGAGCAGGCCCGTCACTTGCCGAGTGAGCAGAAGGCATGTCGTTTGACGCTGTTATCAGCTCTGCTCGCCAAGCCAACTCACTTCTTTCTGCACCCGTAGCTTTTGTGCCCGGTCCGATTCTGACCAGGATTTTGGGTCCACCTTGCTCTCGTCCTCCTTGACCGAGATCAAAAACAGCTCGTCTCCATCCCTCGCGACCGTCCCTACCGCCCATTCTACCGCATACCTGCTCTCCTCACTCAAATCGCTGAGGACGACATACCGCCGCAACCGCTTCCCGCTCTCCTCGAGCGCGTCGTCCGGCGACCCGTGCGTGAGTGTGATAGTGCACCGATCCCGAGCGTAGATCGGGCGAGAAGTTTCGAGCGAAAGCCCCGACTTGGTCGTTTCCTTCTTGGCGGGTTGTTGAAAGTAGGTGGATTGAAAGAGGGGTTGAGGGGGAACGACGACATTGGGTCCTTCGCCGAGGAGATCCTGCTCCGTTTCCTCTCCGTAGTTGTCGAGAGTATCCACCACTCCGACCTCCCCTGTCCCAGCTCCCGCCGCTTTCTCCCCCGGCGCAGGTCCTCCACCTCCCACCCCAGACGCATCTCCCTCGAAGTAAACCGCATTCGCCGTGGTGTTTTTGCTTGTCTCCTCGTCAAAGAATTCCCCATCCTCATTCCACAGCTCTTCCTCCTCCGCATCATCCTCCTCCCCATCCGTCAATGCCGCCGTATCGTGCTCATCCTCCGATCCGCTATCGTCCGTCTCGTACGCGCTCGCCTGCGGCCTGAAAGGCTGCATCGGCGCCTTGACCGACTCCCCGTCCGACTCGGCCTCCTTGTCCTTTGACAGCGCCCCTACTTCGGGTGATGTGTCCCTCTTTCGCGCGTCATCCCTCGATCTCCTGGCCCGGAAGAATGGACTAGGCGAGCGACGTCCGGTAGACACCTTGTTGCCGCCAACAGGTTGGGATTTGTGGATGGGTTTCGCCTCGGCAACAGCTGGCGCCGAGCCCGATGCCGCTGCCGCCGCGCGGAGTCCGAGCATACCGATCGCTCCCGCCGCCGGTTTCTTATCCGACGAGATGGAAGTCTTCTTGGTACTCCCGTTGAGAGCGCCCATGATCAAGTCAGATGCCTCTCCCGTCAGCTTTTTCGATCTTCCCCGCTGATCGCCTTCCTTCTCCTTGTCCGAGCCAGAGGACCGGCGGCTCGCGATCCTCCCCGGGAGCGACGAGAGCCGCTTCCACCGACTAGGCGTTCCCTCTCCCTCGTCCTCGACATCGGCATCGTCGTCAGACAGGGATGAGGCAGTAGCCACAGGCGACTCGATCACGTCGTGCTCCGGCACAGGATCAAGTTGAGGTCGGGACGAAACACGTTCCATAGAGGGGGCTCTTACCTGCCGAGTCAGTCAGGTATACTTCGGACACTTGGGATAGACCTACCTCGTCTCTGCCCGCATTCCCTGAGAAGACTTTTAGGCGGGAGACGCGGTCGGAGAGGGAGACGGGAAGGGAAAAGGAGCGGTTGAGGGGTGCCATATTGTCGGGGGAGGGTGAAGTGGGGTGGATAGAAGTGCAGAGTAGGGATCAAGCAGCAGGGGTATGTTGAGAAGGAGTATGGTGATCAGCTTGAGCACAAATTTGACGGTTGACAGCCGTGATGGAGCTTATCGCGATCGTTTGAACGCTATCTCCATCTCCGCGCGGGGGAGAAGGGGAGGGCCAAAGGGGGGTCCTTTAGGTGTCCCTACACGTGTGTGGCGCCCAGCTAACAGCCACATTCCCTGCATCCCCTACTGCCGGGCCGCTCGAGAGTGGCAAAGACACCTTGAGAGCACGCAAGAAGCGAATGAGACTCACCATAATTCGCAGCCCGATCCACATCATTACCCTCCCGCTATAGATTTGGGTCAGCTAGCACTCTTTTTCCGCACCACCCTATTCATCCCCGCCGCAGAATCGCCCTGCTCGCGCGCTTTCGCACTGCGCACCTGTAGAGCATATCTAGCAGACTTCTCCGGGATCCCAAGCTCCTTGAGCCGGTTCACGAGGTCAGCAATTGGAGCACTTGGCGCCATTTCTGTACGGTCCGAGGGATTGATTATCGCGACAGTGGTTCTCGTTGTGATCTGCGCGTATGCAGTCGCTCGAGATGGTCAAGGATGTCTGTCTAAATAGGTAAGGTCAATAAATGGTCGCAGGAGTTCAAGAGGAGTGATCGCAGCAAGGTGCCCCGGCCATATCGTCAGCCAAGCCAATCCGGCCGGTTCTATCCGATCCCGAAGAGATGACGATGGCATGGTGCAGGGTACAGTCATGGTGCCAATAGTGCACCTCATCTTTGCTGGCTTGCTTCTCGAGGCTTGTACTCTCTAGCTTGCCTTGAAGACTGTACCGGCTCGATCGTGCACGCCGGAGGAAGGATGAGAAGGGCCAATAAGCGCCACAAGCTGACTGCTCCATGAACCGCTTCTCCTCAGCGCCTCAGCCTCTCGCTCTTATTTCGCTCCCCGTCATACCATCCCAGTACCACTTTCAAGCCAGCGGTATATCGTGATCTACAGGTCTATCTTGTACACTACCCGATCCATCAACCCGCCAGTCCTTGGCTTCCGAGGCGCACCTCCTCCCTCCGGGTTCTGGCCCCCGTTTGCATGGTGCTGCACTGGCTGCCCGTCTCCCAAACTCTCCGTAGCCGACCTCCCCAGATCCGCCTCATCTGCCACGGCGCCAGTCTCAATCGCGCAAACTCGATCATACACCTTTCTTGCTCGCTGATTGCCAGACTGAGTCAACCAGTACACCCGCCCGCACCCCTCCGCTCCCCTCTTTGCTATACTCTCCACCTCCCTGATCAATCTCTCCGCCAGGTCCTGCCCACGATGCTCTGGCGAAACATACAGATCGTTCAAGTAGCACTGGGCCAGAGGGGAAGATGACCAAGCGGAGGAGTGGAATAGGTAGTGCGCGAGTCCGACGGGTTGGAGGTCGGGCGCCGGTGAGATCACGAGGAGACCGTAGATTTCGCCCGCGGCGGGTGTTGTCGGCGAGAGTGAGGAAGAGGGAGGATGGGAGACAGTGGTAGTGGATGGGTTGGCGTGAGCTGTGAGCCGGGAGAAGGTCTCAAGGTATTGCTGCTCGGGCAGCTCGGTCCCGTAAAAGCCCAGATAGGCTTTCCACAGTGTCGACCAGGCTGAGTAGTCGCTTGGCTGTGGAGACCGGATGGTGTATCCAGGTTCAGGAGACATCTCTGGCTGTGAGAATAATCGCAGGATAGGTGACAATCGCAAGATCCAGCAAGGAGGCAAAGCGAGCTGCGCGAGCTAGCGAGTGTAATGATCCGGATCGACATCCGCGTGGCTATCTATTTGCTCTTTCCTCTCTGTGAGTCCAGCGCATCTTTTCATATCGACGATCACGACCTCTTGGTCCTCGCGGCGTGGCGGCGTCCTCAGCACAGGTTCCGAGGTCCTCGGTCCAGGATATGCTTAGAGGCCGAATAAGATGGATCTGGCGACGACTTCGGAGGCCGAATAGCGAGATCCCTCTCTTATCGTCGTCGATTCACTCGTTCCACCTCCTTCACTAGACTCGCCTGTCCGCAGCAGGTGCATCGCTCTACGTTGACCCCGAGATCCCTCCCGGACCTATTCGTTGAGAGGGTATATAGGAGCTAATCCCCGGGGCGCAGCACTGATGGAGCAACTCACATTTCCTTGACTTACGCTTCTGGTACCGCTCCCGTGGCTTGCTGCTCACCACCCTCCTCTATCCTACCGAACGAAATGGGTCTCGCTTCCTGCTGTACTCGTGAAGTCGAGGATGGTACCCAACAGCGACTTCGTAAGTCTGCTCACAGCTAGCTGATCGCCAATTGAGAGCTGACAGCCGGGCAGTGAGCCTACACGAGCGGTTCGCCTACATCACCATCATCGCCAGACAGGCACACGTCATCACCTACCTCTATCGCTATCCCCTCGACGAGTTGCCGACCACCGAGTACCTTCACTCCGCCGTCAACAGAGCGCAGCGGGATGTTCACCATCTCTGGGCGGAGGTCGTTGATGGGGAGACGCCCCGACCGGCAATCCGCCTCAGGCCTGAAGGACCATGGCCGCCGGCAGAGGTCGTACGGGACAATACGTACGCCGCCCAACTAGGAGAAAGGGAGGAGGCGAAGGGGGAGCTGGTCGAGTCAAGACTGCTGGAGTCAGAGATCCGCCGGATGCAGTCTCGGGTGGGAGAAGGTGGACCAGCTTGGCAGGTCACTCGATACCTTCCTATATCTGGACAGGCGGGACTGCACAGCGGTATGGAGCCTCGCGACTGCAAATCAGGCGCGGAGGCCGGAAATCCCTTCATCAGATCCATCGACCCTGGCGCAATTTCCAGCTACGTAGCAATATCCTTCTTCCACCACATCATCGATGGTTCGGCCGGCCTCAAACTCTCCCTATCTGTCTTTTCCGGTACCCCCCTCATCCCCGCATACGGACTAGCTCCCCGCATGGAGGATCTCGTCCGCCTCTCCCCTTCCCTCCCCTATCTCGCCAAGGAGGCATACCGCGAGTTGGTCGCCCCCGCTCTCCCCAGTCTCCTCCGCGCACGGCTCAGTGGCGCTCAGTGTTGGCCGGGAGAGGGGGTCAAGGGCAACCCATCCACCTTTCCCGAGGCACAGGAAACCATCCACCTTCCCACATCCTGGGTGGCGGCGGTCAAGAGGGTCGGTAAGGCGCGCGGCGTCTCTACGGTCCATCCTATCCTCGAGGCGGCGTTCGTTTTCGCCATGCGGGACGTGCTGGGTACGTCTATGCCCATCGATGTGAGCACACCCGTGAACGACCGGGATTCGTCGAATCCGGGCTGTCCGCAGACAGCGAGTGTCATGGTATCGGCCTTGCACAAGGTGTATCCACCCCTCCCCTCCCCACCCGCGAGCGGCTCCACAGACAAGGCCTCTTTAGTCTCGGACCTGCCAGCCTTTTGGGCCACCGCTCAAGGCACAGCAAAGCACCACGCCTCTCGCTCCGCCCGCAAGGAGTCTCGATACCACATCGGTGTCCTCGCCCTCGTCCCCAATCCCAAATCCTTCTCCTCTCCGCATACCGACGACCCTCTGCGGCGCACCAAGACGGGATGGGAAGACTTCTTCTGGTCCACCCTGGAGCGTCCCGCACCTTATCGCGATTCCCTGGTGATCTCCAATCTTGGTCGGATCGAGCGGCTCCCGCCGGGATGCGGCGGAATGAGGTGGACGCAGAGCGCTGCGCCATTCATCTCGCCGTTATGCCTACAGATAGTTGGGCATGAGGCGGGTCTCGAGGTTTGTGCATCGTTCCGAGAAGGGTGTGCAGTGTCTAGGGAGGAGGTACGGAGGATCCTGGGGAGGTTCGAGGGGATTGTAGCGGATCTCATCAAGAATTAGGACATGAATAGAATGCTATCCTTCATTGTTGCAACAGGTCTCCCTACTATCCGTCCATCATCTATACTCTCCGGTCGCTGCTGCCGATGTAGATTGCCCTTCACCTACTCATAGTCAAACAGCAGCGCTGCATAGCCATCCAGGGGCTTCGTTGCGCTTGATTTGTGGGCCTGTGTAGATGGAGGGACGTTCCGTCCACTTTTCCCTTGACATCGTTTCAGCTCCACGTTGGTCAGTCTCCAGTAGTTGACCAAAACATGCGTACCAACATCCCCTTTATTTCTGATACCTCGAACTCCCGTTCGAGTTCTCGACCTGATCCTCATTGGTCGCAAGCACGAGAAGATGTTTCTCGAGTCCTGCTGTATCGCCGATGTCCGCGACCCTTCGCTGGGACGACCTCGTGAGCTTAAACCGACGTAGCTATCTTCGAGTACGAGCTGACAGTCTAGTGAGCTTGTCCGAGCGCTTCGGGTACATCACCATCATCGCTAGACAGGCGCACGCCATCACCTATCTCTACCGCTACTCGCGCGCCGACTTGCCGACCATAGAAAGTCTTTCTCCCAGTGTCGACCGGGCACAGCGAGACATCCATCATCTCTGGGCAGAGGTCGTTGACGGCGAGACGCCCCAGCCTGCCTTCCGGCTCCGGCCACAAGGACCGTGGGCTGCTCTAGAGCTCGTGCGAGACGATACGTACGCCGAAGAGGAGGACGGGGTTGGGGGAAGGATCAGCGTGGAGTCTAGGCTGCTAGAGTCGGAGATCCGCCGGATGCAAGGCAGGGCAGGCAAGGGCGGGCCAGCATGGCAGATCACACGGTACCTCCCTACGTTTACCGCACGCGGCCACGAAGCACATGCTTTGACGAAAGGCGGGTCATCCGGCCCCGTCGACAATACCGCAGCTTTCAGCTATCTAGCGGTGTCCTTCTTCCATCACATTATCGATGGATCAGCCGGCCTCGCCCTCTCCCTCTCCCTCTTATCCGGCACTTCTCTCGTTCCCGCGCATGGACTCGCACCACGCTTGGAAGACCTCGTGCGGCTCACCCCCTCCGTCCCCTATCTCATAAAGGAGGCGTATCACGAGCTCCTCATTCCCACACTCCCCGCCTTCATGCGCAGAAAATTGGAGGGCGCTCGCTGCTGGCCGGGCGAAGACGTCAAGGGGAATCCGGCCATCTTCCCCGAGGCTCAGGAGACCTTCCACCTTCCCTCGGCTTGGATAGCGGCGGTCAAACGGGTCGGCAAGGCGCATGGGGTCCATACCGTTCATCCTATCGTCGAGGCGGCATTCGTGTCTGCTCTACGGGAGGTAACAGGCACGTCGATGCTTATCGATGCCTGTACGCCCGTAAATGACCGCGACGCAGCGAATCCGGCCACTCCGCGCACCGCGGGCGTGATGTTCTCTGCTCTCAACAAGGTCTACGCCCCTTCCCTCTTTGCGGCCAGTTCTACCGCCACGATCTCGAATGCACCAGCTTTCTGGGCTATGGCACGGGATACTGCACAGCACCACCTCTCACCCTCAGCTCGTAAGCAGGGTCGATACCATATCGGCGTCCTTGGCCTCGTCCCCAACCCCAAATCCTTCTCCTCTCCGCATACCGACAATCCTCTGCGGCGCACCAAGACGGGTTGGGAGGACTTCTTCTGGTCTTCGTTGGAACGGCCCGCTCCCTACCGAGACTCCCTCGTTGTGTCCAACCTCGGTCGGATCGAGCGGCTGCCGCCGGGGTGCAGCGGGATGAGGTGGACGCAGAGCGCGGCGCCGTTCATCTCGCCGCTATGCCTGCAGGTTGTAGGGCATGAGGCGGGTCTGGAGATATGCGCGGCGTTCAGGGAGGGGTGCGCGGTATCTAGAGAGGAGGTGCGGGGGATCTTGAAGAGATTTGAGGAGATCATAGCGGATTTGATCGAGGAGGACAACGATTAGCTAGAAGATGATCAGATTGTAAATATTTGATTGATACAACAGCTCCTTCTGCGACTACAGTTATCCTCATTCCCCTCGTAGCTGGCGCTGCTGCCCTTTGACATAATCTCGCAGTGGCTCCTTGATGGCCGGATCGACGAACAACAGCTTGGCACTGGGAACAGCTAGTAGCAGACCGTCATACCGTTTCGCCTCTGTCTCGGTATCGTCGTACAGCTCTTTCGAAAAGAACTCGAACATTTCCGCTGAACCATCAGTCCCGAAGCCCTCGCCAGATATGATCAAGACTTACCGTCGTCCGCCTTGAGCCGATTCCGCTCCTTGTCCCACAAGTGCAACTGGTCAACTATAGTCGGATGGAGGATGGGTGGTGGCTTCTCTATCAGCTAGAGCGCTTACCACACATGCAAGCTGACTTACGGAGAGGTACATCTGGCTATGTGCATGACTGCCCAAATACGCTATGATCTGTGCCGCCGAGATTCCCTTCTCCATCGCGGCTTTAACGTGCTTTCGATCCAGCTTGCCAACCACCAAATTTGGGTATCGAATCCGGATGTCCACAAAGAGGTTCAGGATGGCTATTTCTAGCTCATTGGCTGCGATATCAGCTAGGCTCCTGCATAACGTGCTTAGACTCACAGGTATACGCGTAGATCTTGTAATTTGTTTCCAAGATCAAGAATCGCTTCTCCTCGCCCTCCGCTCCACCCAGCTGACCAGCAAGATCTCCGGAACACAGGCTGGTCGCCAGATGGGTGGGATAGAATGCGTCTGCGCGGGATCCATCGTCCGATGACTTTTGACGCCGGAGGATAAAGCCGTATTGCTCCAGGTCGGATAGGACGGCTTGTTGCGCTTGGGAAGCGAACGACGCCGAGGCAGAGTAGGCGTGTCCGAGTTGCATGGTACCAAGGGAGAAGAAGAGGGAAAGGATAGGCGCGGTATTGTGTTCTCGGTTCTGATGGATGAGCTGAGCACCTGAGCAGGAAGGAGATACTCACTTCGCGCAATGTGAGGTAGTACATGAGTATCTCCCAGACCTGTGTCTGTCGGTCTTCGAGAAGAAATTGAAAACCCTTCGAGGTGATGGTCAGACGTTCGAGGTTGGGTCGTTCCCCCGACAAGTCCGCGTTGTCCGCCATGAGACCCGACGAGTATAGGAGCTGGAGCACTTGCTGACGCGGTCGAATAGTGACGAGGCCGTTGGCCAGGCCTGAAGACACCATGTACTTGAGGATTGACTGGATCGTCAGACGTATTCGGTTGGGAGACTCACCTCCCACGTCTCCTCCCCATACTCTATCAGCTCATCCACTCCGGGTACATCCTCTTCATCATCTGGCTGGTATGGCACTCCGAAAGAGTTGGACGTTCCCCTGCGACCCATCAGCTCCAGTTGTTGCAGAGGTTTGTATCGCTCGCATTCCCGTCAAGGCATTCCGCAGACCCTTCTTGAACGAGTCATTCATCGACCACCTCATCTTATTCTGGGAGTATGTCATCCCGCCCAAGATCTTCCGGTCATGTAGGGGCTTGAGCACATCTTGGATTCTGGACAGTCAGCTGGTCCACCAAGGAGATGGACAGGAGACGCACAATTCCAAGCTCAGATCTTCTGGTTGTTGTATCAACAGCTTCAGATCTATAGCGGAGACACCCTGATGTGACCATAGGTAGTGAAGGACGATATGACGATGTACTGGTGGCAATAGTCTAATGAGCATCAGCAAGTGATCCTTCCATAGAGGCTGTGGGTAGTCACCTCAGGATACAGAGACAGACCGCCTCTGACTTGTATAGCTCTTCAAAGTATGACTGGTGCTGGTTGTCCAGGAAGACATCGAGAGCAGCGGTAGCTGAAGAGCCCTCTCCATCGCCAGTGTCCTTCTTGGAGGTCGAAAAGTTGGGCTGGACCATCGTTGATGACACCGTTAGAGGACAGGTCGGGGGTTCCGCAAAGGGGCGGAGTGGTCGTTATCTCGAAGCCCGGGTCATACCCGCTTCCGCCAAAATGCGAGGCCCTAACGAGCTGTTGGGATTCTTAAGAGAGTGCTTGAGGGCCTGAGGCAGCCGACGATGAGGCCTGAGGTATCAGCAGACTGAAGGATGAAGAGTCGATGAAGAGCAAAGTCAACATCTGTCGGCGGTCCGGCCAAGGTGGAGGTTGCTCAGAGCCAAATTCCGCTTAGACTCTACCATCTATCTCTCATCTCTACATCTACCTGATACTGTCCTGCATACCTACCGAAAGAGCGGCCCATCATGTCTTCACTCAGCCCCTCGAATCTCTCGATCCGCCAAACACTTCTACTGACCGCACTCGCAACATCGCTAGGCACGACCGCGGCCATCCTCTCATTCCAGGCCTTACGGCGCGAACACCGTACCGAGCGGCTCAAGAAGCAGGTGGGGGAGGATGTCAAGGAGTGGGAGAGGACTCAGAACCTCGATGACGATGAGGAGGCAGAGGGACGGGCGGAAAGGTGGGCGGACGGGGAGAGCGTGATGGGTGGGGGAAGGAGAACAGGGAGCTGGGGAGAGGGAGAGTTTGACGAGGGGCTGATCAGAGAGCAGGTGGGTCTAGCTGTCCTGTCTGCCTTCGAGGCGATGCTGATCATCTAGCTGACGAGAAATTACAACTTTCTCGGCGAGGAGGCAATGGCCAAGATCCGAAAGTCTTACGTCGTGGTTGTAGGCTGCGGAGGTGTTGGATCCTGGGCCGCTCTGATGCTGCTGAGAAGGTGCGACGCCAAGCCCTTGGGTCAGGCTGACACGGTAGTGGTATAAGCCATCTTCTCCTCATCGACTTTGATATGACTACCCTTTCCTCCCTCAACCGCCACGCCGCTGCGACGCTGGAAGACGTCGGCAGTCCCAAGGTCCTCGCGACACAGAAGTTCCTCAAGAAGATCGCACCTTGGGCCAAGTGAGCTCTGCCTGTCTGCATGCTGGACGATGTCTGATCGTATAGGGTGGATATCCACGTCGGACTTTGGAAGAAGGGTCAAGAAGGCGAAGACCTCCTAGTCGGCGCCGACTGGGTCGTAGACGCCATCGACAATATCGATACCAAGGTCGACCTGTTGACGTACTGCCGGAAGCAAGTGATCAAGGTCTTCAGCAGTATGGGGAGCGGGGCAAAGATGGACCCAAGTAGAATACAGATTGCGTGGGTGTCCTTGCTCAATAGTGGGCACGATCCAGCTGACCTCGCAGCGACCTATCAAATACCAACGAGGACCCGCTTGCGCGGAAAGTGCGACAGAGACTACGTCTGAACGGCGTATCTGGCGGTATCCCGTAAGTCAACCATACCACACTTGACTTCTTGACTGATATCTAGCGTCGTCTACTCTACCGAAACACCGTCCGACGTCAAGCTCCTCCCCCTCCCCGAAGAAGAGTTCCAAAAAGGACCCGTCTCTGAGTTGTCGCCATTCGACGAGTTCCGCGTCCGCATCCTCCCCGTCCTCGGCCCTCTCCCCGCCATCTTTGGTCTCAACATCGCGACCTATATCCTTCTCTCGCTCGCAGGACGTCCGCTCACCGAATACGCCGAGATCAAGAATCGCAAAAAGGCACATGCGGACCTCGAGCGCAAGCTATCGGAGCGAGAAGCCAGGTGGAAAGGCTTACCCACCCTCGAGCGGATCGGGGTCGACGCAACGGACATGGCGTTTGTCTATGAGGACCTGTACAATGGCCGGAGCTCATTACCGTCATACGTGATCGTCCCGCGTCCGCAAGCGGTGCGTTGGGAGAAGAGGAAGCCGTTGACGGTGGATAATGTGGTGATCATGGACATGAAGAGTGCGGAGAAGCACGAGCGGGAATGCCTCAAGGGTGATCAGACGGTGGAGGAGGTGTGGGGAAAGGAAGCGGTGGCTTTCGTCACGAGAAAGTCCGTGGAGGCGAGGCGGGTGATGGAGTACACGCGGAATTGATGCGTATCAGTGTAAGAGTATCAAGTCAATCAAAGCTGAACTGATGATACATCTGATGGATAGTACTTCACTCTGACTGATCTCGCTTCAACTGACATATCTATGTGAATCTCATGACCACAGACCCTTGCACGCCGCGATCTGTACACAATCAGCCTTCTCATTTCGCCTGATCGGCCGTTCCCACCATTGACTCTGTTCCATGCGCCGCTGCACCGTGTTCCTCTGCCCTCGCAGCGAGGACCAGTTTTCTGACACCCCATCGCAAGTCGTTCGCATTTGGGGAAGAAAGAGTGGTCAAGGCTGTGTTGGCGGCCCACCTGCGGTTCAGAAGGGTGCACAGCGTTTCGGTCAGGATCTGGGTGCCTTGTGGCATCAAGTCGAAGGGAATGTTGTAAGGTGATCGCTCATTCCATGCTGGCAGATCCGCTGCGGTTGGCATTGCTTGCAGCAGTCGACCTCCAAGCGGCTGGGAAGCAAGAGCTGATTGAAGTCTCGCTTCTATAGCGCAATCGGCAGCAAAGTCGGCAACTGACTGTATGGCGCTTGTGGTCACGGCTTTGCTGTTCTCTTCATCCAGCAACCTCGCGATGACCTCCTGCACGGCCGGTTCGCCGCCACTGACATCGACCACAAACGAGTCTGCCACATCGATCTGCGGACTGGGACGGTGACGGATCGAGGCAGTGAATCTGAGCTTCCCGTGGTCGTCCAAGATACCCACAGTGAGGGTTGGGTCCTTGAACGAGAAACGATGCGCATGGTAAACTTTGGTATCGAAGTCCGCGAATAGGGATAAAGCATCGGACCAGTGATCAGGGTTGGCGCTGTCAAAGTAGCAGATCTCTTCGCCGGCCACCCTCCGAGGATCGAGCTCTCGAGCTCGTAGCGTAATCGCTTCGGCAAACTTGTCAAGCTTGTGGAGCTCGTCCAGCATGGCTTGCTTGGTATGGGGAATGATGATGGGTTCTTGACCGTATCCGCTTCCGTACGTGGCGTCCGTGAAGCAAGACACCGCGGCGTCGGCGAGGATCGCCGCGGTTTGGGACTCGGATCTGGGGTCGTTCCTTTTCTCACAGATGTAGGCTGTGATCTGCGGGAAGGCTGTGACCGTGTCGGTAGAGCTCGCATCTGGGTCACGTTGCTCCACCAAGAGATTGGATATCAGGGAGAGAACGTAGGGAACGGGCTGAGAGTGGCGATTGCCGAGGATGAACCTGCGACCCGTTGTGTACTCCATGGATCGGGCCCGGGGAGGCATCGACGTCTCGAATTGCTGACTGTCCCTCGAGTTGAAGCGGTACAGCTCGTTGCATGGCGCGGCGGACGGCCAATCCTTGCGGCTGACAGGGATCCCAATCTCGGCAAGCTTGGTAGTGATCGTCGACATCTTGACTTTGTTTGTGCGTGATTGTCTGGAAGAGAGAAGAGGATTGAGACTTGTAGGAGGGTAACCTTGTCACCTGCCTGTCTCTTGTATCGCGCAGGGCATGATCGTCGACCCTGCCTCGCCTTCACAGTGAAAGGATCTCTTCAGGAAATAGCGATGACGTGCTCGAGCAGTCAAGGGATTGCGATGGCGTGATTGATCGTGATAAGGCGACATAGAGTGACAGGAAGGCCATGTAGGGCCTAGGCCATGTAGGCCTGTGGGTGGCGGGGAGGACAGCCACACTAACCGAATCCGCCACATGACACGTGGGGTCTACCCCGTGTGTTTCAGCAGCATCAGAAAGTTTTTGCATACCTGTCGCTCCCAAGCTCGCTTTTACAGCAAACCTCTCACCTCTCTGCTCTAGACCTTTCTCCGCCTCCCATCCCCGAAACCGGGCATCTCAGAACACTATGGACGGCATTCAGCCCACCCCCGACGCATCGGAGCTTCCAGTACTGGACATCTCGACGCTCTCAACCTTCAAATTCGAGCGCGTCTTGTCGGAAAGTAAGCCTTCATCACCTGTCGCGTCAGCCAACTTGAATAAAAAGCTGATGATCAGGCACTCTTACCGGGTCGATCTTCGTCCTCGGAACTCTAAACGATGAGCCTGCCATCCTGCACGTCCAGCGAACGGCACTGGTCGCTGAGAAGGCCGTGGAGCTGGTGACGAGCGGGATCAAGGAACTGAACGTTTTCCTCGAGAATAGGCCGGTAAGCTTCTTACCTTTATTTCGCACTCAATACCAGGACATATTACCTCTGGACGTGCTCCATATCGGTCCGCATGCTCTGCTGACACGTCAAGTACTTCAACTCCCACGCCCACCTACTTCCTTCAACGCTGCCAGATCTCACGCTGAAAGTGATTTGGCCAGCGACCGAGACCCTAATCAAGAAGTATACGGCGCAAGAGCGCGTCATGGTGCGCGAGACGGAGGAGGCCTTTAAGCGGATCGTTGTTCCGTACATCGAGAGCTTCGACGCCAACAAGCTGGACTGGTGAGCCATTTGTACTTGCTGACCAGGCCAGAGTTGGAGTTGGGCTGATATGTCTAGGCTCTACGCCATAATCCAGGGCAAGAAGGAGGTTGAGCGTGTCCTATACCGCGATGAAGACACGAACGAAGGCTTCCTCATTGTGCCCGACCTGAAATGGGATCAAACCTCGATGAACGCACTGGTGAGCTGCTGCCCACTCATCCTTGGAAGCGCATCACCGCCTGTAGTAGACTGAGCTGACAATATAAGTACCTTACTGTCATCGTCAAGACTGACACGATCCGGTGTCTCCGGGACCTGACAACGGCGCATCTCCCCATGCTCCGCAATGTCCGAGCGAAGGTGTTCGAGACGGTGCAGGCCAAGTTCGGAGTAGCGAAGAACAAGCTGAGGCTTTTCGTTCATTACCACCCCTCATACTGTAAGTATATCCCCCTTCTCAGCTAGTCATTCGTCATGACGCTCCCAGTCTGGGTTGACGTAGCTTCTCTCAAGCAGTCCAGCTAATCTACAGATCACTTCCATGTCCACGTAGTGCATATCTACCACGAGGCCTTGGCGGGCATGATGGCCGGTCAAGCGCATCTGCTGGACGACCTCATTTCCCTCGTAAGCTCCCAGCTGCTCCATGTTCCGCAAGAGCCTCAGCTTACATGACTCAGCTCGAGCTCTCCCCTTCTCCGCCCGAGAAGAGCATCCTCGCCCGGATGACTCTGACCTACGCCCTCGGGGTCGAACACCCCCTCTACGCCTGCTTCCTCAAGGCCGGCGAGGAGTTTGTCTGAGCCATTCCCCCAGCGGGATGGCTCGGCGATGTGTACAAAGGAGAAGACACTGGTGCTATGCCAGTGTGACGATCAGACAGATCGTTCTTGCTCTCGATGCAAGTGGACCAGGCGGTCAGCAGGGTCCTTCGGCAGCCGGACCGAGGCGTACAGACTCTGTGCGCGGGCGGACAGGCGCGGAGCACCCTGCTGGGATTGTCGAGTTCATTATATATCTACATAGGTATCAGAAGTAAGATGTATCTAGTCACTACAGCTGTCTACTCTATCTTCTGAGGCAAGCGCGAAGCGTAGTAATCCCCCTTACGCCTCGTAGCGTACTCTAACAACTTTCTCCCGCCCGGGACCTCCATCTTCTCCATCGGCTCACTACCTCGCTTCTCTGGCGCATCCTCTGACTCATCAAAGTCCAAGACCAGCTCCCCGACCCCTCTACCCAACAATGCACCGTATCCTCCTTCCCCCTTCGGAAGCTCCACCGCCTTGACAGCTTCCATGAGCCCCACCAGCCCTCCGAGACCCTTCAACAGCTCCGCCTCTTCCGCCGATCCCTCTTCCGGTGGGTTGAGCGCCGAAAGGCGATGTAGGCGATGTAGGGCTTCTCTGGTTATCGGTGAGGAGGGACCGAGGGAGGGGAGGGGCGGAGGGAGGGGTGTTATAGGTTGGGAGAGGTGATTGAGGGGAATGTCGGGATTGAGGGGGTCCGCGTGCGCTGGTTTAGGAGAGCTAGAGGGCTGGAGTGGGGCTGCGGTGGAAGAGGAAGATGATGGCCGATGGAACACGGCTGCGAGGGGAAGGCTAGTCCGGGAGATGGTGAGTCGTAATGCGGCCATTGCGAGGGACGACTGCCCGCAGAGAGCTCGACGGGTGGTCGATAGCATGCTCATGCTGAGGCGCTGTGCGTGTCCCTGGCAGTTTATGATTGGTAGGGGTAGGGTAAGGAGACTACTACACTGATCGTGGATGATGTATGAAGAGCAAGACAAGATGAAACTTCAACCAGAAAGTGAAAGTTGCGTCGTTCACACTGTCATCTTGCTCAACCACACCTCATCTGCCTACTCTCGTCTATATCTCCTCTCTCTCCATAGGGACTATATCCCAGACATAATGGACGCGGGACCCTCATATACCGTACTCCGTATCAAGCGAAAAGCGACCGAACCTCCCCTTTCCTCCCTCGGTACGTTGAACGTCCAAACGTCACCCCACGACCTTCTACCCTGTTCTTACGATCCTAACCCCACTGATCCTGCCTCTGGCCCCGCTGATCCCCAGTCATCCAAGACCAAGACCCCTCCCATCCTTCCTCCTCGCAATATGGTACCCCCAAACGTCGCCGCGATGTCTCATATCGTCCCAAAGCGCGCGGGATCTTCAAACTGGCAGATACAGTGCCTGACAGCTGGGTCGGGCGGGGAGAGGAGGGCGAGGTGCTCAAGGAGAGGATCAAGGGGTTGATGGACTCGGTCCCGGGCGGGAGCGGGAAGGGCAAGGAGAGGGAGACGGAGCAGGAACAGGCGGACGAGGAGGCGACGATGAATGAGCCAAAGGCACAGTTGGAGCCAGCACCAGCGTCGGAGTCACAGCCACGGCCGAGAACACCACCGTCTGCGTCGGCGGGACTGCAGTATCGTGTGGTCTCGCAGCTGGGGGCGGTATCGTCTTTACCCAAGCGCAAGGGGAAGGGGCTAGGGGGTGGGCTGAATGTACCACCTGTACTACGGTCTTACGCAGAGTGAGTCAGGCTGATCAGCCCTCTGGCCGGGCATGAGAAGGAAATGTGGCTGATGGATCAGCGTACAGGCCGAAGAACAAGCAAAATCACTGTTCCGCTTCATCGATGCCCAAGCCGTCTCATCAGCCAGTCCAAGCGGGGCCGGCGCTACCCAGCCGAGCAAAGAAGAGGTGGAGGATCCGCAGATGGCTGCATTTCAAAATATGCTGGATGAGTATCTGACCTGTGCGTTATGACCTCACGTTCTTGTGTCGATTCTGGATTCAATGGACTTGCTGACGTGCTCAGTGGAACGGACCGAGGCAGCCCAAAAGGAAGCCGAGGAGGAATACGTGTACGACCTGTACTACCGCGATATCCGAGATGCGTCCATCGCGGGCGTGAGAGCGGGGGACGGAACGTCCGCTACCTCCATCGGAGCCTTGTCAGTCCATCTCACACTGATGATTCTTTGTCAGGTCTCGAGCTGACCCCCAGGATCGGCTTCAGCGACCTTTCACCCCCGTCCACCCCTTCATCCTCGGAACCAGAGGACGAAGCGGACGAGGACTCAAACGACGAGGACTTCTACCGGAACGATTACCCCGAAGACGAGGATGCCGATGAGGATATGGAGGGGTTTGATGATGCGTTCGGAAGCGACGAGGACGGGAGCGAGGATGGCGAGGGAGGGGGAGGGGGAGAAGATGATGAAGGGAGAGGAGGAACGTGGGGATATAGGGGATGATGAGAGGTATAACGATCTGCAGGGCTCTGGTATAATGTGAAGACTGCATAATGTACTATACTACAATGGTCGGCCGACCTGGGCACAAGGCCCTTTTCCCAAAATCCATCTACGTCTACGATATCTACAATGAAACCCCTGGAATGAACCACAGCCGTACGTGTTTTCTGCTCAAGCCTTCCACTGCGCCTGCTTGATCTCCTCGAGGAGCTGCTCATCGCCTGCAAAGTCAGCTCTGTCTCGTGCCTGCTAGATCTCAAAGTACTCACTCATATCCCTGTACCTGGTCTCCTCATCCACACCATCGACCTGCGCGGCACGCACCACACCCCTGGCCACCTCGGCCGAGACCTCCCTGATCCGCCCTGTCCTGGGGTAGAGCAGCTTCAACTCCTTCTCCTCTGGCGTGAGCGACTCGCTAAGCGCCATCGCACCCGCGGTGATCATCAGATCCGTCACCTTCTTGGCCTTGCAGATGACCGCTCCGAACCCAATTCCGGGGAAGACGAGGAAGTTGTTGCCCTGTCCCGGTTCGCGTCGGACACCGTGGAACTCGATGGGGTCGTACGGCGATCCCGAAGCGAAGAGCACGTTTCCGCTCGTCCATTCCAATGCGTCGGCGTAGGACAGCTCGCATTTCGAGGTAGGGTTCGAGAGGGGGAAGATGATGGGCGAGGGGTTGAGCTCGGCCATCCGCCGGACGCACGGCTCGGTGAAGGCGCCAAAGGTGGTGGAGAGGCCGACGAGCGCGGTAGGTTGGACGTGCTCGATAACGGAGGCGAGTGTGGGGTATTCGGTGGTGGTGTCGTTGCGGATAAAGTAGGATTTGTGCGAGGCGAGACGGCCAGCGACGACGTCTGGGCGGGTGTGGGTGATCAGGCCCTGTAATAATATCAGCTAAAGAGCCTCTGGCGGGGCTAGAGATGCCAATTCACCTTGGTGTCGATGAGCCAGAACCGTTCCCGGGCCTCCTTCTCGGACAGGCCGAGCTGGGTGAAGAACTTCATCATCTCCTTGGCGACACTGCTTGTCAGCCATAGCCACAATTATATGTAATCTTGACTCACCCGACAGCAGCACTTCCACCACCGAGGAACACCACCTTGTGCTCCCGTGGATCCCGCCCGCTCGCATCGCTCGCCATCTTGGCAGCCCGGATGAAACCGCCCAAGATGACCGAACCAGTCCTGTCTATCAGCTCCGCCCCTCTCCGCGTGAAAATAGACTCACCCTTGAATGTCATCGTTGAACATCCTGTACTCTTCCCTGTACTTGTCCAAGAATGCGAACGCCGCCTCCGAGTAGAAGTCCTCGTGCTGGATCAAGACACCGGGGTAGGCGGATGCAGCGGAAGACATGAAGGCGTCCATGAAGGAGGTGGCCTCCTCGAGGGAGCACCGGGGGCGGGGGAGACCGAGGTAGAGCGGGTCGGCGCGAAGGGGCTCGTTATTGGTGCCCATGCTACCGAATCAGCTTGCGACTCTGGACATGTAAAGGTAGGCTCACTCCAGGACGACAGCAAGAGTCCGCTCCGGGTCAATCCCACCTCCAGCAGTGTAAAGGTTGAGCTTTCCCCTGGAGATGCCCATCCCGCCCAGACCAAGATCGCCCAGACCCAAGATGCGCGAGCCGTCGGTGACGACGATGATCTGGGGCGAGACCTCGAGGGTCTTGGCGTGGTCGGCGAGGATCTGATGGAGGTTGTCCTTGTCGTCGATGGAGAGGTAGAGACCCTCGGGACCTTGGTAGATCTCGTGGTACTTCTGGCAGGCTTCGCCGACGGTGGGGGTGTAGACGATGGGAGCGCTGGAGGTCAGCTGAAAGCCCTTTGACGCGCCTGGTCAACTTACAGGTTGACAAGGTCGGCGTTCATAGCCTGGAAGAACAACCTCGGGTCCTCACGCCGGGTCTTGGAGAGGTGCATGTGCTTGAGCAGCGAGGTCGGAAGGGCAGCGAGGTGCTTCTGCAGACGGAGGAGGTTTTGCTCGCCAGTCGGCTGAGGGGTAGACGAGGTGGCCATACTGGACGGAGCTGTAGAGTCAGCTGGCGCCCTCATAGGAAAGGAGAGATGTGCTCACGTGACTGCTCGCTTGACCTCGACTCCTTGGGGGTAGCAGCCGGAGTGAACATCGCGGCGATAGGGTTGAGAGCGTTCAAGATGGCGGACATGGTGCTGGAGTTGTGGTCGTCGTTGGGCGTAGGGGTGTGGTTGGAGACGGACGCGAAGGTACGGTATGGGTTGAGTCGTGAACGTTGGGTGATGGAGCTGGAGGGGATACGAGAGATGGTCTGTGCGAGGTGGACCCTCATGTGAGCTGTTGTCTTATATCTCTCTGCGTCGGGCCGGGTCGGGAAGGGTGAAAAGTCAGCTTGGCTGGGGGTCAAGGAGACTGTCGGTCGAGCTTCGGCGATACTTGACCGGGTACCCTCCCCCACAGCCTGGGCCCCCTTCCTTTCCCCATATCTTAGCGACGCCTTACACAAGCTCAAGAGGAATGATTTCGATTCTGACACGAGGATTCGAAAATCAGGACCAGGGCGTCGGAAGATCTCGGAGAATTTAGAATTGGGGTGGGGCAAAGTGGGGGTGAGCTGGGAGAGGTTTTTCCGGGCGCCTCTATGCCAGACAAGCAGCCTAGGCAAGAGTCTCGCGATTGATACCGTCTGAACACAGCTTGCTGGCAACGCCGTGCTGCCTGCTCATACCGGAGACGATTTTGAGGCCGACTGGTCGCTCAGACGGTCGCCTTGCTACCTGCTGGTGTCCCGGATCGTTCCGGTGCGTAACAAGCTGACGCGACGATGCCGAGAGGCGTTTCATCAAAGCTTCACTCTTACTTTCCACTGAGCACCCTCTGTAAGGTCAAGCACAGCGACGAATTGGAGCTAGGCGGCCGAGCAGGTACTCACGCATGCTGTATATATAGCGAGATCGACGCTATGGCGGGACAGGTTGGACTGAGCTATAAGGGTGCGTCAGACGCGCCGAAGGCACCTACCGATGGCTCTTTGCATTGAGAACACTGGGTACTTACCAAGTCCTCACATCGCTGACCTGATCGCAGAGACCGTCGAGGCATTAGCTTCGTTTCGTGAGTCCTCAGGCATTCTCTACCGCTGTGAACCCAGCTCATCCCCAAGTCGAAATCACGCTTCATACAATCCTCTACCTCCGCGCCATCTATCCACCATCCACCTTCGCCCGTCGCCGCGCACACGGCGTGCCGGTCTATCAGTCCCGGCACCCACAGGTCCGAGAGTATATCGCTGAGGTGGTCGGTCTGCTCCGGCGCGAGCTGGACCAGGGGAACTTACGGCGAGTGAGCGTGGTGGTGAAGAGTGCGGAGACCGGGGTTGCGCTGGAGCGGTTCTTGATTGATGTGGGGTACGGGGAGGTCGGGGTTGGAGCGGGAGGCTCAAAGGATGTAGGGTCAGTCCAGCGTATGAGCTAGATATGATAGGGGGGAGAGCTGACGCGCTGCAGGATGTTGAATAGTCCCACGGCGGATGAGCTCAGCTTGATGCTGCGCGGCTTCCTTATCCGGCTCACGGCGCTAGATGGTCAGCTGGAAGACAATAGAGGTGAATCAACATCGCTATGAGCTTGCTGGAAGCTCCAGTCGCTATGATCTTGTCTAGACCTGCACTAAGATTGCATAAGTGATAGCTGATCCATCAGGAGAAACAACATTCGCAGTGATCGTCGAGACCAAAGATGGGCTAGAACCAGCCTCCAACTCATCTACAGATGGTGTGAGTCCCGATACTGACGTCGGTATCACATGGTACAGTCAGACTTACTTCCAGAACCCCATACCCTGGATCCCGGCGCTCAACTCGGACACCCTTCATCCCGCCTCACAAGGTCTCGGAGCAGGTCAGGCAGGCGGAGAAGAGGGCTGCGTGGCGAAGCACGAGCCCCTACTCCACGTCAAGGCTGTCGAGACAGGGGTGATCGATGTAAGTGGATCTTCAGTCTGACCTTTTCGTGCGTGAGGAGGAAGTTCGACAGGGAGAGAAGCTGACGCACAGCTTCGCTTGATGGTACAGGAGTGCTTGGCCAAAACTGGAGTCCGAAACCTGCAGGCCTTCAAGCAGACATAGCCCCTCGCTGCTTGCAGCATCCGCTGGGCGTCAAAGATGAGGACTAACTCGGGGGTGGGACCGAGGGATATCCTCGATGGCAGGGGAGAGAAATCAGAAGAAGCGCGGCTCAGTTTGTATCGATTAGAATCAAATTTCCTTCGCATCTATTCCTGCAGAACGAGCGGTTCGGAGACGTCTATCTGGATTCTCGATGAGCACCCCCCGTCATGCTAGACAGAGGGCCGCACGGATAAGATCGAGCGACTTCGGTCCCATCGGCCGTCGGCCGGAGCCGACCGCATGACCGAATGGGCGAGCGGCGATCTCGCTGTCTCTTTCGCTCATCCATCCTTCTTTGGCTTCATACAGATTACACATCACAGCCTCATGATGCTGCTAGATCGGCTCGTCTCCGTCCTCTCTCTAGTCGCTATCGCGCAAGCCGCGGCGGTCGGGCAGCTTCCGCTCATCGCGAGGGAGACCATCGAAGAAGCTGGTCAGCCTTCCTCCACATCCGATCCCTCCGCTCTCCCAAGCTGATCAAAGCAGCTGTACACGCAAAGCAGCTCGTACATAGCTCTGTCACAGGCACGCTCGCCTCGGTCTTCCCTGCCAACTCGACACTAGCTGGGAGACCACATACGATCCTCGAAGTGGGTGACCCCATGGCCGTCGAACGGCCAGAAGATCGGAGCTGACAGCTCAGTATCATGCCCCATGTCACCATTCGCCTAGCCTGACCTTCCTCCTCTTCCCGATCTCTCTGTCTACCAAGAACATCTTTGGCGCCGAAGGGCACTATGCGGGATATACAGTCTCCGACCCGATCGACGGTGTCCGATCACCGATGTCTCGCGGTCGAGTCGCATTCACAGGCGTACGTCCTCCCTCCTCTTTGCCCCTTTACCTGTTGTCTTCTCCTTCGTGTAGATGAAGTGCTGAAGCTGACGATCGGCAGAACATGACCCTCCTTCCCGACCTATCAGCCAAAGAACGCGCCCGCCTCTCAGTATGCTACAAGTCCTATCATCCCGACGTATTCTGGTTCCCGCCCGCCTCGCCCGGCGAGTCGCACCATCCCTTCGACTCGGTATGGGCCCGGTTCGACCCGGAGGATATCTATTATGTGGGAGGGTTTGGGGATACGCATTATATTGGACATATACCGGTGGAGATGTATGCGGAGGCGGGGGAGAAGTAGAGATTCGAGGGGCGACCGGGAAGTATACTATCAGGACGACCGTGTGGTCCAGCCATTGCTGACTGAATGAAGTATGCTACAGAGACTTCGGCCCTCCTAAGTATGGACACATAGATGTCACTGACGCATCGTCACGAAATTCGCGCAAAAACGGACATACTCATCCCTCACCCCTACCCTTACTCGTCTCTAACTAGGCTCACGGGTATTGTCTCGGCCGATATCCCCACACGTGTCCAATCCGCTCTTAATCCCCTGTAGACGTCGTCTCAGAAGGAAGGCAACGGTGGTGTCGCACGCCCGTTCCCAACTCCCCAGGATCCTCTGCGCTCGTACAACGAACTTCGAATCGCTTTCTCGGCAGATTCCGTGAGCTCGCCGCGCTGTTCCCAATTTGAGAGATGATGTCTCATGAGCTGTGATATGCCGTCCGCCGAGTATCGCGTGCGAGTCTCCGACTCTGGATCGCCAGCTTCCGATGAGACCGAATCGGGGTCAATGGTGAGCGCGAGGACGACTTTGTTCAGCGAAGCCGCTGAATCGACCAGCAGGTTTGCGAGATTATCGGCGAGCCTGTCTGGATCGTCGTCTGGGGAGAGAAGGAGATACGTCAAGCACGGCACCCCTCCCCTCGGAAATAGCCACCCTCCCCTCTGAGTGACTTGGTATTTGAGACTCTGCGGATCACAGGTCCTGCCGCAAGCTGGGTGACTGATCTGAACGACAGCCTCGTACGGGGAGTCGTAAGTTTGGCCACAACGGAGCACGTCCCGATTGCATCGAAGTTTTCCGTCCACCAGGAGCCACTTGGCGGGAAGATAGCTCGACTGTAACGGGGGACGGGTCATACAGATGCCTTGGCCGGTGCACTCCCCCGCCTCGTCCCGGACCATCAGGGAATTGAATACATGGCGCCGGCTCGGGCCTGAGGAAGGTGTGGCAGCCGTGCCAAGGTCGGATATGCGAAACGGTGGGTTCCACACGCGACCCCGGGCGTAAGATTCTGCTTGACCCTTGATCCAGGAGGTGTCGACATTGAGCGTGACGTGCTTCGGAAGTCTCGCGACTCCTTTCGTGCAGCCGGCCGAGAGCCGACTGAATTTTGGGACAAAGCCGCTCTTTGAGACAGAGCACTCGACATGATCTGATGGATCGTGGTGTTTGACGACTGAAACGACGAGATGTCGAAACTGACGATTGGTGTCGCCGAGGACTTGAAGAACACTCATGTCCGAGCAAGCGATTGCCTTTTCCTGCAGCTCGACCGGCAACAGCTCGGTGAGCTTTTTCAACAGCGTTGAGGTTTTGGGCTCCTGCACATCAGCTTGCCTGAAGACGACCTGACTCTTTCGCCAGAGATTTCAGGACCCACGCTCAAGTCAGAAGGGCCTGCAGACATGTTGGGCATGGCGAGCAAAGGCAGAGCAGGTGTTGAAGATCGATGGGGACTTGTAAAGGGGCCGGGGTCAAGGCAGTGTAAGTGGCGAACGGTGAAGGATTTGGGGACCTGCTGCACAAACCGCCAGTATATACGAGCTTTCGAGCATGGCTACGAGCTACATACATCCTTTCAGCCCGCACTGAACACAGTCGCGCTCGCCGTCGCAGATAGGGCATCCTTTTTGGTTAGCCAGGGGTGACTGCGCACGCGCTACAGCAGCCTATAAGCTGTCACGCCGGCGACCTACAGACGGATCGAAGGCGGTGGAAGATCCCAACCAATGGGCTCTCCGACGGCCCTCCCAGCCCGTACGCACCACAGGCCAGGCGCTCAATCAGCTCAACTCCGGCGCTCCGCTAAAGCCTAAAGGCGATGCTACATTCCTCAGATATCGGAGTAGTCTCGGAAGAATCGATTTCGCCTCGAACCCGCTGCAAATCTGGTCGCAACCTTGTCGCTGCGCAGCGATCAGTGGCATTACCCGTATGGACCCATACACAAATTAGCACAGCCCATCAGCCCGTACACGAGCGCTGAGCTACTCAATGTCCCGTCAGGCTGCGAGAGCCGCAGTCAGCTCCTTCGTCCCCCATAAATTCGCCTCAATCCCTATCGTCCTTGCGCCTTCTCTCCGGCCTCGACCTGCTCGGACACCTTGTCTGCCCTTCTTTCGGGATCCCGCACATACTGTGCCCACAAGGAGACTGTATCGGGACCTTCTGAGGGCGACGTATCGGTTTCCCGTCCCTCCATCAAGCGGCGATCAATTTGCGCCTCAGGCAGCACTCGCAGCCGGTGCATCAGCCGATATGGCCCCCGCAACAGAAGGCAGAGGTCTGGTCGGCACGAGGCTGAGAGTCATCCGGGACTGGCACCGCCGAAGAGGCTGGACCAGTCCCTCCCAGACCCAGACCTTCCTCTCTTCGCAATCTGCCCTCCTCACCTTACTCCACAACACCACCCCTACCTCCCCCTCATACCCCTCCATCCTGTCCACTGATTTTGCACACCATCTCAGCCACACCCGCCGACTCGCACGACTCTCCCATGCCGCCTCTGCCCGGCAGGCGGCCCTCTCCCGCCCTCCACACCTCACAGGCGGTTTCCTCCGTCCATCTATCTTCAACCCCCCTCTCCCGCGCCTCCGCCCCCAGCCCCTCGGACTCAGCATGATGATCCACCGCCGCCTTCGCGCGCGGGAGCGGCGCCAGGCCAAGCGGCTCGAATGGGCGCAGTACGCGAGGGATATGTCGGCCGAGGTGGCGATGTGGAGGGACCTCGGACTGGAGGAGCGGAGAGGGGGGAAGGAGGGGTATTGGGTGGGCAGCGGGTGGATTGTGGGAATGAGGGAGATGTTGAGGATTGTGGATGAGGGGTGGGAGGGGGAGAACAAGCGCAAGGATAGGATGTATTCGGAGGGGATGGTGAGGAGGGTAAAGAGGGCCAAGGCAAGGAGGGAGGGGTGGCAGAGAGATCAGGCGGAGGCGAGGCGGGTGAGCGCAGAGGAGGGGGAGGTGTCCGATAGGGAGCGTACATGATCTCACAGGCGTCTAGACATCATAGGTATCTAGAGAATGTCTGATCCGGTTGTATACATAGACGAAAAGTAGACTAGTAGATATATGTAGCATTATACAACCTTAAGCCATATCCGCCTCTATAGCGTGACTCATAGCAATCAATAAATCCCTAGGCACGCCCGCCAACAGCGACCCCGCATGGCCCGGCTGCAGATCATACACCGCATCATCATCATCCTCCTCGTCTCCGTCCAGCTCCCCGTCTTCCCCTTCTTCCGCATCGTTAGAGTCATCCGCATCATCCTCCTGAAGCTGTCCCTCCTCCCCCACGCCAGCTTCATCCTCATCGTCACTTGCGTAGTCCCCCAAAGCGCCAAGCGCAGCAGTAGCGTCCGGTCGCTTCAGCTCCACCTTCTGCTTTTTCGCCACCGGGACTACTTGCACCTTCTTTCCCTTGATGCCCCACCCCGAATCCCTCTCTCCTCCCCACTGACGCGGCGTAACCGCGTCTATTCCAGCATCATCCGCGCCCCTCTTCTTCGCTTGAGCAAGCGGAACGACTCCCACCTCCCCCTTCTTGAGCCCACGCTCCCAGTCGACCTTGGACATGATGTGCACAGTAGGGAACTCGACCCATGCTGTCCCGCGGAAGACGTCGGCGAATGGTAGTTCCGGGTCCAGAGGCGGGAAGAAGAGACGCGCCGCTCGGGATGCGGTGTCCTCTACGGGAGGAGCGGGCCTCGCGGGCGATGGGAAGAATGGGAGGAGGAAGACGATATCGCTTGCTGTGAGCATGAGGGGAGGAAGGAGGCTGTGGAGGTTCGGGAGTGGCTGAGTGGGATGGGCAAAGAGGACTCGAGTATGGGTGAAGAGCTTCGGAGTGTTGTGATCTATGACTTCGGTACCAAGTCGCTTTGGAAAGTCTGCCTCGGTCGAGTCCGGTTTGTCTGGCGGGAGGAGGGGTTGGGGGATGGACAATTGGACGGTGAGGTTGACGGTTCCGGCTCTCATACATCAGCTACAATTCCCGGGTCGCACGACATGGTAGCTAGACAGCTCACTGTTTATTGCATGCAGACTGATTCTGCCTCCTTCTGGCCATACCATCCGGCATGAACTCTGCCCAGACCCCCTTGCTCCTCAACTCCATCTGCAAGATCTGCGACTTGCTCTTCTTCCCCTTGGGACCCCTCGTCCCTCCTCCCCGCCCTCCTCGTCCGCCTCTGGCCCCTCCTCTCCCTCTCGAGCCTTCCGCATCCCCGCCCCTCGGATCCGTCACCATCTCCTCCTCCCTCACCCCCTGCCCCCACCCTTCAACCCTCCTCCGCCCTTCTTCAAGATATCGATAATCCTCTGCCCAGTCCCCTTGCCCATATTCTCGCAGCGAGACGTATCCCTCCGCTTGACGTATACCGTCGCAGCTGTATTTGGCCTTATGGCCCGTCGAGCAGGGCAAGGAGCAGGTCCGGCGGGAACACCGGGGGCAGGTGTATTTGGGCGGCAAGGCGCAGAGGGCGCATTTGGTCGTGTCGACTTCTGGACGAGCGGCGGAGAGAGGAGGATAGGATATGAGGGAGGCGGAGCTGGGCCCTCCATGGTCGGAGCTGGAGCTTGAGATAGCCGAGGGAGGGGGCAGGAGCTGGAGAGTGGTTGTTGCCGGAGGTGGACCTAGGAAGGCCGGCTTGGCGGGGAGTGCGAACACCATCTTTTAGCGGGAGATTGATCCCAGCTGCTTTCGCTCTCTTCCCCAGGTATCTTCGCTGTCGCTGCGAGCCCTTTATGGACCATGAGTATATAGTACAGTCGATTCTACTGCGGATATATCGACGCTGATCGCTCTCTGCAAAATCCTGGTCCGTGCGCGACAAATTTGCGTGTTTCAGATTTGCACTTCGAGCGCGCCTCTTCGCGAGAAGTCAGAGATGAGCTTGCTTGTAGACTTTGGAGATCAAGACCAAAGGGATTCATCAAGCTAGTCTATAAATGACTATGTACTATGAGGGATGTCATCCCGTTGGTTTCTCCCAAAACCTCAACGCCCAGAGGCTTTAGGCAAGGATATGAAATAACAGGAGCGCCGCCATCTCCCCCTTCCTCAACCCCAACCATTCGTCGCCCCCGACACATCGACCCAGCGGGGAGCGAAGGAGACGACTATCCACTGCGAGCAGCAGGCAGAAGGGGGAAGAAAGGGGAGAGAGGCGTCTATCGAGGGGGTAGCCGTAAGGTACCAATCCGAGGATTCCCGTCGACGGGAAATGTACGTCAATCGAGTTCTCTGATCCCCTCGCTGAGGGGGGGACGGGTAGAGGGGACGCTTCCGATCTGTCGAGATGTCCCCGTAGCCACTCACGAAGAGTGGATCGGGGGACCGGGCTCATAAGGAAGAAAGGAGGAAGAGGAAGATTTTGCTTGAGCGCGGGGGGCAGGGCGAGTTTGGCTGGTGCAAGGATCTGCCACACTGCCGGCATCATCGGAGTTTCGGTGTTATCTGCTCGCTAGACCAGCTTGAGGATATCACGTAATCGACCGAGCCACTCGTTCCGTTGGAAGTTTCAGCTGCAGCTGCTCGGCCTCGGCGTGCTTGCTTCGTGAAGCGGTCCGAAATTATCGCTACCTCATAAACAAAGCTCAGGAGGTAGTACCAGCGCTGAGGCATAGGGAGGCAGCGATATGCCCCACGCCGATAGTGCATACGTACCGGAAGATATCAAGACGTGCGTCCGCTGTCGAGCTGATTGATCGTAGGTGAGCTGCAGCTGATCCCGGACAGAAAGGAGCAGTTCTACCACCATGTCACTGAACAGATAACAGCTCTACTTAATGGGAGCCGCTACTGGGTAGGCTGATGTTCCTCGTCTCTAGACTGTTGTGGGTACAAAGTAGCTAACGAGCTATAGGTATCCAATCTCGCCCAGGTAGCTTCCCTGCTATCCCACTCCTTCCTCTCTTCCCCTCTCTATGGGTACACCACGGTAGACACACCTAAGGTCAACTGGGTCGGTAAGTCTTGCCCTTCGTACGCGTCTGCCTGACTGATCTAGCGGTACCGCGACGTCGGAGCCCGAAGGGGAATGATTTGAAGCATTCAGGCTAACGTTCACCAGGCTTCTACCTCCATCCCCCACCACCCGCGCCTACGCAGACTACCGCTCCACTCCTGGTCGGGCCATACGTCGGCCGGCCGGCATGTATATCCATCACACCACGAGCTGGACGAGGAGTATGCGCAGACGCCTTCTTGACGGGGCGGACTGTAGTAGTTGACGACGTCGAGGCGTATCCTGGACATATAGGTGAGCTCTCCTCTTGTCGTCCTTGCCGGCGTAGCGGCACAGACTAGCACTCTGGTACGAGGGGTGCCAGTCATCGGAATCTCCGAGACGATCATGACCGTTCCCCCTTCTATACCGAGGCTGATCCGATAGCTTGCGACGGGGAAACCAAATCCGAAATCGTCGTTCCCCTCAGAATACCCCTTCCAGGGGACGAAGACCGAGTCATTGGCGTTCTCGATCTCGACTCGACATCGTTAGGGACGTTCGACGAGGCAGATCGGAAGGGCCTCGAGGAGATTGTCGCTGTATTGCGGGATGCATGCGACTGGAGCTGAGCTCGCGGGGCGCGGGGAGATACAGAGGGATGGGTCGTTGGCGGTCTGACCAGGGGAGTCGCTCACGCATTGCTGACCTGGATCCCCGGCCTTCAACGGACCGTGGGCTCGCTGACGGTGGGTGGAAGGTGGAAGATGGAAGGACCGATCCTTTGCCCCTCTTGCCGCGCCTTCCGGAAAGGACCGTTTCATCCTGATGGAATCCTTTGTCCTCTCCCGAGATGCGATACAGAGACACTTCTTTCGGACTTCTAGCTGATTGAGATCCTCACACTCATTTACTGCAAGCACAATACAGTCATTCAGCTCCTGCTGCCTCCGAGGCCTACGTCATAGCAGGTGCCCCAGCATTGATCGATACCGGGATCCGCTATGCCCATTCTCGGCGCACTGTCACAGGCGGGCGGCAGAGATTTGAGGGGCCGGGCAGCGGCGGATGCAGACTGGTTCCTCCAGCACTCCAGTGAGCACCTTAGTCTACCCGAATCCAGGACCATCACGCTTGATCTGAACCTCGCTAATTACCTCAGAATACTTCTACCCCATTATATCTGCCATCCTCGGCTCCATCTTCCTCATCTGCATCTATCTCCTCTGGCGCGGTCCCCTCCGGCGCAAGTTCCCCTGCTTCTCATCCCGCCAGTCGGACGCCGAGTCCGCGTCGGGTGAAGGAGGTCCCGCCTTCTACCTCGGATCCACTCTGACTCTCGACGCTGAGAAGGTCGAAAAGGAGCGGCAAGACGCAGGACGGACGGCCGGTGCAGGATGGAGAGAGGAGCACAGGCGGGCAAATTTCCTCCTCTCGGCGCTGGAGAAGGATAGGGAGGCAAGGCGGGAACGGGCGGTGGGACGCGGAAAGGGACAAGACAGCCCGGGCCTGGCGGCTGGTCCGAGGAAGATCACCAAGCTTCCAAAGTCCCCTATGACCCCTCGGACACCTCGGACACCTGTTAGCCCAATACCGGGTCTTGGACACGGCCGATCACCCTCCAAGGCCGCTCACGCGGTGTCGACCGCACCTACCACCTCGTCGTTTGGACACGCGCCGGATCAGTACACCCTCAGCACGCCTAGCACCAGCACGGGCACCTCGGGATCATGGAGCGCAATATCACCGGTATACGCATACCCACAACCACAAGCCCCTCGGCCTGCCTACAGCCCGGCTATGCGTACTCCGCGGACCCCATACTCCCCTCCATCCGCATATCCTACTACACCGCCCACGGCATATATGCTCCCTCCTCGCCCAAGCGGCCCAACATCGGGTTCTAGTCAACACTATCACCCATACCCCATCTTTGACTCGGCGGCGAGCATCTCGACACCTCACCTCCCACAAGCTGCCTCCCCACCCAGCTCTTCGCGGTCGCTCGAGCTCCCTCTTCACCTAGCCAACTCGGCGGCTCTCGATTCATCATCTCGCGGGACAGGCGGACAGCCAGCTAGTGCTGTAGAGATCCCCTGGGATGGCCGGCCGAACTTTTCCCGTCCGCTCGCCCGGCCGGCTCCGCAGGGTGGTGGAACCTCGGACCGCCAGACCGCCTTCTCCACGGCTTCAGTGTACAGCCAAGCTTCGGGACCTGCCTTACCTCCTCCCCTTCCCCATCCATCGGAAAGTATCGTAGGGGCAGCATCCGGCGTCGCACGATCGTCGCACGCCACTACGGCTTCACATTCCAGCACGTCCACCTCCGCGCCCTCTCTCACTTCGTCTCATACCACACCGCCCCGAACTCGCTCTCCCACATCCTCCTCCCCTACCGCCCTCCCCAGCCGCCGACAATCAGCCATCATGTCCTCCGTACCCCTGCCTTCCATCTTCATCACCGCCCCGCCACCCGCCAAGGCAAAACGCGCGTCCGTGGCTTCTTCAGCTAGACTGTCGATGAGGGGTGCGATAGCCCCGAGTCCGCTCAGGCAGTCGATGACGTCCCTCCATCTATAGCCCCACGGACACTAGGCATAGAGGTAGACAGGCATGTATATAGCATGCAGCATAGAAAGCATCGATACGGCAAGGAGATGACATACCGCTGGCAGTTCTGGACCGCAGCGGAACGTGCCATTTGACATCTCGATTCCTCGATAGGTCGAGTGGATGTAAGCGCTTCAAGCACTCGAACGTATAAGGAGTGCTGTCGCAGACTGCCATGTTTGTTCATCCGGTCTAACCTCTACTTGTCAATGATACAGGTACGGTCACTAAAAGAGATTCGGTACAACGTCCTGAATATCCGGCAGGACGTTACCCGTCCACAAACCCCAGAGCTCGAGTCCTCGGTGGCTCGGCGGGGTCATCCTCTGGAAGCCGATCCGCTGGTAATGCAAAGCGAGGGCTCGAGACCCTGCAGCGCGGTGGACCGGTCACGAGCGAGCGAATCTTCGAATTGGTCTTGTCCGAAGCCGCTCGGATTGAAGGGACAAGGCGCAAGGATGACCACCAGCTGCGCAAAGCTGGGGATCTGGGAAATGAGGTAGTCGACCGCTAGTAGGCCGATACCGTATCCTGAGAACGGTCAGCGTATGCCTTGCTGCTGTATGAGTAGGCTCACCCCGGTACCGCTCTTTCACGAAGATCTCCTCGATGTACATGATGTCGCCTGGAGGGAGATCAGCTCCGCTATAGGGAAGAACGCAGACTGTTGGGACAAATCTATACTCACCCAGCCAATCCCAAAAATCCCCTTTCAAGTCCTCCGTCTCGTGATCGAAGAGAGCGGTGCTCATCGCTTCCAACTCGGCAGACAAATCATCGCACATTATGCTACTCGGTCAGCTACCACCTCCCTACTGGCTGGTTTGCATCAAGCTTAGGCATTGTACCCACTGGAAATCCGTACCGCGGTCCGGATACTTCTGGATCAACCGCGCGTTGATTCGGCCAATCTTCGTTTTCGACCCCGTTTTGGGATCCCGAAGGTAGATTTTGCACGGCAGTCTGGCTACCGGGTACCCTTCACCTCCCTGTCGAGTCAGCGGGGATCTGAAGCTATGAGTACTGAGTGGCTAACCTCAGGACAAGGGGAAGTCCCGCCCATCGAACCGCTGCCCAGGCCCCCAATGTCGAAGAACAGATCTCCACCCGGGAATGGAAGTCGGTTCTTGACCTTATATGGCTCGGGTCTGACTCTTCCCACATCCCTGTTCTTCCTCCCTTCATCGTCTTCATCCTCCTCGTCTTCATCTGCCTCGTTTCCGTTGCCCGAGGCTGTGAGATCTCCCTCAGGAACGAGCGCGTTATTCGGGGTCGGCCTGTTAATAGGCGCTGCGGAGGCTTCCGCGCTAGCTGCAGAGATTCGGCTGGATGAGCGTGTTGCGGGCATGCTGATAGGAGGTGATAGTGTGAGAAGAGCGAATCAAGATCAAAGTATAGACGAAAGATCAGGAGTTGTGGCTCAAGACGCGGACGCGCCTGGGCGCCTGGATAAGATAAGGTTTTGGCTGGCGATGACGGCATGACTCGAGACGCGTCGAACAGCGAAGGCTCTCATGTTCTGTCTCTTCACTCGTCGACGTCTTATACTCGTCACTACTCATCAGTAACCGTTCAGACAAGTTACATCGACACCGGATCGACCGCTACTCGATAAAATATAACTGCTCGGCATGAGCTACAGAGTCAAAAGACCGGGGTCCTTCCCTGAAGGCGACCTTTATCTGGACAGCAATGGAATGGGGAATGGATATATGGGCAAGGCTGCAGTCAAGAATGTAAGTCTATGCCTTGGTGGCATGTCTGAGATGCTGGTTCTGATCGAGTGATAGCCTGCCGCGAACGGAAGCTTCCCTTTCGACGTTAAAATTCGATTCAAGCGAGATGGGGATGATGAGCATTTTGACGATGATGGTGACGATGAGGACGTACTCGACGGTCGTGAGAATGGTCCCGAAATAGGGTATATCAAGGGCTGGATCCTCAAGTGGGGCTCTGGCTTTGAGTAAGTCCAGTCAAGTCTCTCTGAGCTCGCTGCGCCCTCCGGTATTGTCAGAAAGTCAGTGCTGAAGATTATCAGCACCATGTGCGATTCCCTTGTCGGACCTTCTACAGATCAGGTACGGCTCATGGCGCGCACTCTCCTGAACGAGGAGGGAAGCATCAAGGACGAGAGCCACGAAACGACCTACGGTAATTCTCCTCCTCACTTTGCTTTGCAGGGATCTTGGCTGATGGGTCACTAGGAGATGTGATGTTCATCCAAGAGATCTACGTCCAGCCGGAGTATCGGGGTGAGCGCTTGAACCATGTCGGCAGAGTGTACTTTTCCGGTCAGTGCTGACTTGCATCACCATACGGCTTGTCATTACTCGCCGTGTACCACATGATGGTTCGGATACCGGGGTTCCAGTGTTTGAGGGTGATCATCGCTTCTAGGCCATTTAGCCCCTCAGACTTCACAGACAAGGCCGACCCCCTGGCCAGGACGATGACGACGGCGCAGAGAAAAAATGCGATGAGGTCATTAGCGGCTCATTGGAGGATGCTGGACTTTGACAAATGGGAGGGGATCGGGCCGGGGGACGATAAGGCCAAGGGCGAGGATGTTGAGTATTGGGTTCGGCATGTCGGTGAATACGAGCTTCCTCGTATCTGGAACCTTTTGCCTCATTTACATCGAAGCCGATATTGAGTAAGTTAGCGCAAATGCATGAGGATGACTACTGGTAGACGACTCTCGTCAGTCAGCTATCACTAGCTCGTCATGCCAGTCTCCTCTCCGCTCTTCGCAGTCGGGTGAGCAGGGTCTTCTGCGAGAAATGAACACGCTCAGCTGAGGGAATCAGTAGGAATCAGAGTAAGGGGCAGTCGGCAGGAGCTCATAGGAGCCATATGACGATATGGTAGATTTTCAAAGCTTTGTAGCTTGGGACTTTGTTCCACAGAATTGAGGAATGTGGGTTTTCCCTCATCCTTCGTACGATATCTTTGAGTATCTACGGCATCCACATGCCAGTCAGTATAGACTGGCTTGCTCAACACCTGCAAGATGAGCCGTACCCAAGTGAGCTACAATTACTGAGACGGACTTGCACGACGCGTACGTCGCAAAGGCCAGAGGCCAGAGCTGAGGTGTGTAGAGATATCGACCTATAATTGACCGCTCCTACTGAACCCAGTACGCACCGACTCCAAGCGTGCCGCTCACTCGAGCCATAAGAGGTGCCTCCAAACCGAGCGTCGGCAGGCCTGGCTTCTTCCACTTCCCGTTCCGTCCAGTGAAACAAGCTGAAACGTGGATGCCAGATGGTGGCGAAAGTGGCGGAATGATGACGGGCCCGCCTGAGCGCTGAGGCGCTGCGGGCTCCGATCGAGGTGTGGCTTGTCGTGGACACTCAAAGGATCACCAGGTCCAGGTGCGTATGACGCGCCTCACTGCTCATCCTGTGTCTACCAGTGATGTACGCTCAAATGCCCGACGACCGCCACATCCAGGGCTGCTCCGCTAGGGACACTCCATCCACACAAACTGTGTGTATCCAGATCAGGTGGCGACAAAAAGAGCCCCGCTTCTTGTCCGTGTCTCATCCCTCGTCAAGGTCTCTTTTGACCTCCATCTCTCCTCAATCCCCTCTTGCACCGCATAAAGACTGAAGAGGGAGTCGACGAATCTCCCTCCCTCGAACGCGCCACCCGACCCGAAACAGACAGCGTAGATTGACACCCAACCTTCGATATCTAGCCCAACATAACTTCCGCGCAATACAACCCCCTCCCTTTTCTCTTCTACCTCCAACAGTCCAAGCGCCATACCCTACAGACGGCCCTCGACAAGCTCCGCGAAGCACAGGAGCGCCAACGAGAAATCGCATACTTCCAAAACATCAGTGCGGGCAGTATGCAAGGCGGAGGGTACTATCAGCAGCCGCAGCAGGGTATGATGGGCGGGATGGGGATGAACGGGATGGGTATGAATGGGATGAACGGGATGGGTATGGGAGGTATGGGTCAGATGGGGATTAACCCGATGATGCAGGGTGGGATGGGGCAGATGGGAATGGGTGGGATGGGTGGAATGATGCCTGGCCAGCAGATGGGGATGGGCGGAATGGGGATGATGCCTGGTCAGATGGGCATGGGGATGGGCGGGATGGGGGGACAGCATATGGGCGGGATGGCTATGCCGGGAGGTATGGGCGCGATGGGCGCGATGGGAGGGATGATGGGTGGGAACGCTTGGCGGAACTTGGTGAGTCAACCTACCACGTCGCGATCGGCATGTTGGCTGACCGACAGGACTACGGGTATACCTTGCCTCAGCTGGGGTACAAGCCTGAAGCTGCTTGGAGCCCTTGGGATCTGGTAGGCCTTACTTACAGCTGGAGATCGAGTCGACGGCGTAGATGCTGATGATCCATAGGCGACCAGGGCGTATACGGGCGAGCGCCTCGAGCGCGGCTTCTTCGATAACATCGTATGTTCTGCTATTCTGTCATCCCCTGTCCCCAATTCGCCCCTGCGATCCCTCTACATCCTTCACTCTTCCCCTCATACCGTCCAGCGTCCCACCCAGCCGCCCCATATCCGAGCCCAGCTGACTTACAGGTCTCCACCCTCTCCAGCTTCTTCTCGAACCGCCACCTCTCGGAAGAAGCCGCCCGGAACGCCCATCGGCGGGTGTACCACCTCAACGAAGGTGAAGATAGCGGTAGCAAGACGCTTGGCGGGGCGGCAGCGTATCAGGCATTCCTGTAGAATCATCTCATTGGCGACCTGTCAGCCAAAAGGGGTATGAGCTGATACATCAGATCATGGGATAGGGACCATCATTCCCTGTACCATAGCTACCCGAGTAGCGAGAACAGGGAAAGGCTCGTCGCTCTCGCTGTGGCCGAGCGTGAGTAATCCCACCTCATTCCTCATCGGCGGGTGACGAGGATGTCAGGTCCCGCTTCTGTCCGGCGGCCGAAACAGCCAGCCACGTCAAAAGGCACAGCTGACCATCAGTGTTCCGACTCTGGGATGCAGCCCAGCCCCGGTCATCTCGCGCCAGTATCGAGGATGCTGCGCAGTATGCTGCCGCTACCGCCAAGTACCTCTTTGACAGGGTATGTCAGCTGGCAGATTGTCGCTGTTGATCTGGGGGGCACGCGAGCTGACCAAGCAGCACTATGATATCCAGGGCCAGCATGGACACCATGGGAGCATGAGCGGCCGAAACGGTGGTCGATGGAATAATGGAGGAGGGTACGGTGGGGATGATGAGAGCGATGGGGAGTCTGAGACTCGCCGCCGGCGGAGGAGTGGGTATGGTCGTAAGTCTTCAGCTTCGCCCTCCACCTTCTTCCTTATTCTCGTCCGTCCCTCGTCGCATCTCTCCAGTCAGAAACCGGCTCACCCGCAGAATCGTACGGCCAGATGGGCGGGAACCCCATGATGGGCATGTCCAACATGCAAGGGATGCCGGGCATGCCGGGCATGCAAGGTATGCAAGGTATGCAGGGGATGCAGGGGATGGGTATGCCACCCGGGATGAACATGAATCCGATGATGATGAGCCCGGCGATGTTGCCGCAGGGGATGCACGGGCAGATGGGCGAAGCTCAGGCTATTCCAGTAAGCTATTCCTTTCCTCCTTGCCTTGCCCCAATCCTTTCGCTCGGGCAACCCTGTCCCTCAACTTTTCGTCGAGCGAGCGAGCGAGCGAGCGATGAGAGGCACTTATCCGAACCGATGCTGATGGCGACAGGGGATGCACCCGTACTCGTATGGCCCGAACAGCGGCGTAGCGCTAGGTAACCAGCCGATCGACCAGATGGGTAATCCGACGTTCCCTGGTGGACCTGCGCGCGGTGGGATGTATGGGTACGGCCAGCCGAGGTATTATTAGGCGAGCTGCCGCGGGAAGATGGTGGCGCTGCGTGCGGCGGAGGAGAGTGCTGGTCGGTAGTATTGATGGAGGGCTGAGGCGTGCGCTGGACGAAGGGTAGCGAAGGTGAAACGATCTAATGCCGAGTCTTGATTGTGTCTAGCTAGAGTTAATGATGTCAATATTGCCAGTCTCCGCAATCAAGGATTAGCTCGTCCTGGCCTGCCACACCGGTATCCCCTAGCTCATGACCACTGAGCCTGTCCTGTGTCACCGCCACATCGCCCACACAGTATTCCCGTCCCCACTGCCGCCCCGCTCCGGTTCTCCGACGTCCAGCCACATCCCCTCGACCCCTAAGTCCATCCGTGCTGATCGATGCAAGGCGGATACATTCACACAACGAATGCGTAACGAAAACCCCAACCAGTCCCGAAGTATCGAAAAGATGCCTAGCTCCCTCTCTACTTCTTCTTGGCGGCGTCTCCGGCCTTCGTCTTGGCTACTCCCCGAACCTGGGACGTCAGCTCCATCTCCAACTATGTTCTTCAAGTGGTATAAACTCACCTTCTTCGACCGGTTCTTACGCTCCTTGCGCAGCTTGCGGGATGGCTTGACCACCTTGTCGGCGAGGCCGGACTGAACTGTCAGCGAAAATTCGGCAGCATGACATTTCAACAGGAAAAGGTTGGGAGTGTACGCCGTCCCCGCTGAACAGCTCATCCGATATCGGACTAATCCCCCTGCGCCATTTCCTCCTCACCACCACGACTATCCCTCCATACATCCCCTCCTAGCCCATATACCCAACCCGATGCCCCATATAGCTGAATCAAATGCGCCGTGACTCACCCTGACCAGCCTGTACTTGGGCTCAAACTTCTTCTGGCTCTCCTCGTCATCGTAGACCATCCCGAAACCCTGGCTCAAACCACCACCAAACTTGGTCTGGAGACCAAACACGACGACGCGCTTAGCATCCGTCTTGTACAGCGCGGCGAGCTTGGTGGCGAGTTCGGTGCGCGAGACGTTGGAGCGCGAGGGGTGGAGGACGGTGAGGACGAATTGCTTGCGGTTGAGCAGGCGGTTGGTGATGAATTTGGAGGTGCGGAGGGTGACGGCGCCTTGGGGGTCCTGCGGAGTCAGCAATTGCTCCACGAGTTGCTGCAACAGTGCCAGCGAGCATCTCGTGTCTGCCCTATCTCCTTGGCGTGCGCCCAACAACCCTCCCGCATAGATCTCCCAACAGCATGCCGCCCCCCTATCCCTCTGCCATCTCCCGATCCCTTCTCTTCCTATCCCAGCTCCACCTCCGCTCGGATCCGATTGTCGCTCCTTCATGCTTGTACGCCGATGTACCGCTGTCTGTCGTCAACTCACCATGCTGGGCAACGATCTATACAGCTAGTAAGGACTATTACTTGAAGGATAAGGGAAGGACTGCAAGATCGCTCGACTTGGTGCAGCAGCTCGCGGAAAGTCCAAAATCGCCACACTCGACCATCGCCGGCGAAATGCGAAAATGCGCACGGGATCGGAGTTTCGCGGCGTTTGGCTGGACATGGAGCGGGATCAGATCAACGTGGCGGTATGTGCTGGGTGGTGTGGCGGATTTGCCACCCTGCTGCTACAGACTGTGCATATGTACGATGCTTATGGCCTGTCCGCCTGCACGCCAAAAGCGATGTATAATGTGCTGCTGCATCAGCTTAGACACCGCGCCAAGGCCTGATTTCACAGCCTATAAGCCAGTTGAAGAGGAAGCGGCGCCGAGAGATGAGAATACTTGTTCTGCAACTCTGATGGACAGTGCTTTGTAAGGCAAGAGCAGAGCTTGTATCGCTGAGGCGCTGTTGTCGGAAATGGCGCCTTACTCGACAAGGCATGTAATTGTAAGGATCGCTTGGATGTGGCTCATGGAACTTTCCAGAGTGTACTGAGCTGCGACACAGGCTACAGAACTGCCCTGTCCTTGTCACATTGATGATCAGCCCTGTACTGTGGTATGGTCCGCCCCCCACCCTTGACTTGATGTGATCGGCCGAACCATTACATGAAAGCTACAGACCTAACTCAGTCCCCACCGTCCCCTACATCGATAACGCTTTCCTCACGAGTCACCACCGCATAATCTACAGTAAGGGTCCACTCGCACCTGTCACGTTGTCTTCCATCTCTTCGATTTCAGGATCTTGCAGGATATCATCTGTGATGTCGTGGAGCCTGTCACATTCTTGTCCGCTCTCAAGAGTGGTGCCTCTAGCGGAATCCGTCGAAGACGTACTCATTGATAAGGTTCTCCTCGCACTTGCCATAGCTGCGGAATGATTCTCACATACAAAGGTGAACCCGGTCACTGGAATTTCCCCTTCACCATCCTCACGTATGAATGTGAAGCTGGTCACTGGAGTGTTCTGTCCACCATGAGGACCGGCCCGTGCCGAGGATGGGTCAGCTTCGATAGACTCCATCGGCATCCAGGTGAAAAGTGAGCTGGGTACCGAAGATTCCGGCGTCTTGTTGCTTGACACATCGCAGGCGAAGGTGAAGGTAATCGTACGTGCCTCGAGATCGGCGGCAACTGCAAGAATCTGCTGGAGGGAAGAGAGCGACACCGAGTCGTAGCCTTTCAGTACATCCGAGTGGGCCCAACTTGCACTTCGGGTGAATATAAAGACAGGCGGCTTGACCGGATCTGTCTGGATCTGGTAGTCGTCGTCTTCACACTCGGTGGGGAGGGGGACCAGTAGATCCGGTGAGTCGGCTGGGTACCATGCCCAGTATCGAGTGATTGGCTGTTTGCATCTGGCTAACGGCTTGTCGGCGAGGGAGGAAAGTGTTTTCACCCCCATTTTGGAGCTGCGACCTGTGCACGTGATGATGAGCACTGCGGTGTGCGATGGACTTTCCTTGTTAATAGTACTACTGGCTTCAGCGGTATCGCTAGGAGTTTGACTCATGATGACCAGCTCGCCCGGTGCAAGCACTGTCCGCGGCGGAGTGTATCTGTAACTGCAGGGTATTCGAGCTCGAGGTGGCATCTTTGCCTGTGACTCTGTGGGATGTTGATGTAGGTGGGTAAGTTGAGTTATCCTGCTGTGAATAGTAATATGACTAGCAGAAAAGGGTTCAGCTTGTAAAGATAAGGCTCAGGGGCATCCTCCAGCGAGAGGCCAAGCTTCCGCCCGCAAAGGATATCCCTCTAAGGATAGCTGACGAGTGGCTCGTGGACGGTTCCAGAACTGATGAGCGACCTAGAATTTCGAACGCCATACTGCTGGATATGTTTGCAATTCTGAAGCCTTCGCTGAGGAATGCATGCCCTGCATACTATTATGTCCATATGTACGATGCTGAGCGCTTCCGTCGAACAATCCACCGCCGCCCTGCGACCCATCTATTCCACCGTACTCCAGTCAAATCCGTAAGCCGGAAAGAAATCTCCCAACCTTCCACCCTGGTCGGGAGGCACGGCGCCGATTTCCAAGTCAAGATCCATGTCATCGAGGTCGAATCCCTCGACAAGATCAGTCACATCGAATTCGTCCATGTCGGTCTCCCCCTGAATCCTCCCCTCTGCACTATAAGTGCCTTCGTCGGACTGCAGGAAAGCTTCCAGCGAGGCCAAGTCTTCCGTGGTCATGTCAGCTGAGTTGGCCCTGGCCATGTCTGTTGAGTCTCCAAATTTGTCCGGCGATCCCTCGTCCATGATGCTGTCCGACTCGTAAGCTGAGCCGTCCAGGACGTGAGGATAGTCGATCTGATACTGAGTCCCTCTCGTCTGTCGGGTTTCGAGGTCACAAGCGAACGTGAACGTCACCGTCTTTGCATCGTCGTTCCTGGTCACGCGATGGCTGCGTTGGATCGATTTGAGGGAGACCGACTGGAATGGGTCCAGTGGACTGGTGGACCATTCAGGCTTTCGTTTGAAATGGATGCGTATAGAGTCATCCACAAGCCGCTGTACCTCGTACAGGCTGTCTTTCCACAGGAAGGTATGGGCGAGACCGCCGGGATGATTCGCTGTTGGCTTTAGCTCCCACTGGCGTAATGTCTGTTTGGGTTCCATTACACCACTCAACTCATCCTGCTTCAGAGAAGAGAAGTACTCCACCGCTCCTACACCCCGGCCCAGACAGTGAAGCGTGAGTGTAGCAATATGAGTTGAGTTGGTCCCGGCGCCAGCGTCGAGATCCTCCCCTTCAGCACCGAAGGTTGCGGTCAGGCAGAGGAGTTTCATCTCGTTTGGGGACAAACGCTTCTCCGTCGGCCTGGTTGTCTTCCCCTTGATCACGCGCTTTCGCACCTTCTCTCCAGATCCAACCGGGAAGTCTGAGGATGATTCGACTATCGAGGCAAGGGGTGAATTTGGGACCTCAGTGGGCGTTCTCGTGCTCGAGATGGCTTCGGGCGTGAGCGAGATGGACGCATCGCACGTGAACGAGAAAGTGACTGTCCCTGCTGCTACATCGACGCTGACCGGAAGGTATTGCTGAAGTGATGAGAGCGATATGGCGTTGTAGTTCTGCAGGACCGGAGATTCCGTCCAAATTTCCCTTCGATTGAAGATGAACACAGGCGGCCTGACTGGGCCAGTCTTGATCTGGTAGTCTCGGTCTTTGCATTCGATGGGCAGGTGGACGGTGGGTGAGGCGGCCGGAGTCCACGTCCAGGTTCGAGTGATTGACACCTTGGATTTGCTGGGCGGATGGTCCCTCTCAGACAAGGAGGACAAGAATCTCACCGCCATCCCAGGGCGGACCCCGGCGCATGTGATGGTGAGGTTTGCGGTATCCGTCGGGCTTCCGTCAACGCTAGCGGGATCCCCCGAGCTGCGGTCCTCTGGGGTTTGGCTCATGACGAACAGCTCGGTCGGTGAAAGCTTTGTCCGCGATGGAGTATTGACACTGATCACCTGAGTTGACATCTCTCTCAATGTAAGGATGATGTCAGATTAGACGAATATGAGGACGGCGGTGTCTGTGTGCGATGTAGAATGAGGAATGTGAGGACTGAGCTGATGGACGATGGCCTGCCCTGGCAGGAGTTCGCGCTTCCGGCCTTCCCCCGACAAAGGATCATATCGTTGTAAAGATAGCCGCCATGTGGCTCATGGATGCTTCCAGAATGTACTGAGCTGCTACAAGCAGACTACAAGCATGCTCCGGCGGTGCTGCCCTGTCGACATCATCAGCACCGCCATACACCGCCATGATGCCACTGCCAAACTGCCACACTCATTAACCCCATCCTGAAACGCCACCAACTCCCCCCACGTTTCATCTTTTGACCCGCGTGTTGAGCTTACTTGTGCCTGGACGTCTCTAATTGTCTCTTGGGCCATAACATCCCCGAAGAGAAGACTAGAGGCATGTAGGATCGACGGTGTCTCATCCAAACTTCATCTTCGCTTCGACGCTTGTCATAGCCAACACCGTCCTTCACGCTTGACGCCTGATAGTCGTGCAATTTTCAACGACGCGCCGAGCCCATTCTGTGACCACGTCCCGGGCAATCTTGCCGCCGGGGCAACACTGGTCAGACGCGCATCAGCCATGTCGGCAGCTACTGGAGGATTCGGGCGGATGGTCAGCCTGGAGCTGCTTAGTGCAGAGCGGTACACAGGAATAGAGGACCGAGTGGGGGATGTAGAGCGCGTGAGGAAGGAATTACAGGTCGTTATCGATGGTATGTTTCTTTCTTTCCCTCTGCTCCTACTTCGAGCATGTACTGCTCACACCTCTTGTTGACAGTATTGACTCGAGTCATCGTTTTGTGAAGGGAGAGAAACGCTGATGTCCTATAGCTCTACCGACGCAAATACATCCAGACGAGAGGACATTATATCTGAATGCGATCCTATATGATCTCGAAGATCGGGAAGACGCCGCCTGGCCCCAGTGGCCCGAGGATGGTCAGTCTATCTCTCTCTTCGACTGTCAATCTGCGAGCTGACATCGCAGTCTACGTCCTCGCGCTTACTTGTATCCGGTACCTCGGCCGGAACCCTGTCGGATCGACAACCCTCCTCACCCCCGCTCACCTCTCCACGATCATCCACCATACTTCCCTTCCCTTCCCTCCTCCTGCTTCCCCGTTCTCACATCCTTCGCCTTCTCCTGCCAGTCCGCCCGCTATCGAGTCGCTACGAATCATGGCGAATCTGCTGGTTCTACACCCATCTGGGCGGAACGCGTTCGCCAAGGCCGGAGGGGTCAAGGCGATGTCGTTAGCGCTAGCGGGCAAGGATAGCCAAGGGGTGTTGCTGGAGGGAGATACGAATGTGCTGGATGGCCCAGATAGGGTGTTTCTGCTGGCGAGACTGGCTTTCCTGGGGACGGTGGATAGGCCGGACGCGGTGGGGCCTATGGTAGATACAGGCGGGATTGTCGAGTCTTTGTCATATGTGAGTAGGATCGAGTGCTTAAGGGATCTTGCAGCTGATACAGTAGCACCTAACACGTCTTGCACCGACCGACGCGAACCAGATGGCCATCGGGGAGCTTCTCAAGGTGGTCATGAACGTCCTGCAGTACTACAAAGCAAAGCCATCAGGATCAGGCAGCGAGGAATGGAGCGAAAAGCTGGACCCGTAAATCCCCTTTCTCTCCATCTACATCTCGCCTTGAGCTTATCTATCAGTCTCCTCGCGCCTATTCTCAACCTCTTCCACTCGATTCCGACTCCCACCCTCGCCCCTCCCCTCTCGACGACCCTCCACGCGCTATTCAGCATCCCGTTCCTTCCCCGCCTTCTACCCACATGGCATGCTATTCCCGAACCCCCTTCTCCCGCGAGCTCAACCAGCTCGGTACGAAGCCTCATCAACAAAATCTCGAATCTCTCGTCTTCGGGCTCCAACAAGCGCAACTCACTCATGGCCTCTCGGTCCAACTCCAGCCTCAACGCCGAAGACACCGGACTCGGACTGAGCGGCAGTGGGCTCGGCCCTCCAACCTCGCAGTCCCATGGACGCGTCCGGACCTTATCCGGGCGGTCCACGTCAGGGCCTCCTAGCCCCGCTGATAATACACGGCAAGCCAAAGCGCCAGCGACGATTATGGACACATCGGCGTTCCCCCTCAAAGTGCTCAAGGCGCTGGAAGGGTGGTTTGACGCGTACATCCCGTACCCGGAGGTTCCAGACGAGATTGATGAGAAGATCATGGTGGATGAGGTCTTGCCGCCAGTTTTGCTGCTTCTGGCGGCAGCGGCAGCGGGTAGCCCCGAGTTCAGGAAGGTCTTCAAGGAGCAGCTACTTCCCCAGGAATTGTAAGTTGTCTCGATCGCTTAAGAGAGCTTGTTCGCGATCATCCAGCTGATCAAATAGGGATCGCTCTGTCGCTGCTGGTCCACTGGAGAAGCGGCGCGGAATGCTAGGGTATATTCTTCGACTCATGCACTCTTCGACACACTTTGCGACGCGCAACTCGGCTGGAGAGTTTCTGTGGTCCGTATGCGAGAGTGACGGTACGCTTGCCGACCCTTCACGATGCGCTAGGGAATGAGCTGATACTGCAGCTACAACCCTTACCGCCGAGATTGGCTACGGCAACGCCGCTGGCTTCCTATTCCAGAAAGGCATCACCGCGCCTCCCTCCGGCAAGATCCAAGACATCCCCGATTCTTCCTCCTCGTCGTCCAACCCAAGTCCTACTCCCTCCACGCCCCTCTCCGAACCGTCCCAGCGACACCCCATCTCGGGCCTCTCGGAGCCCCTCCCCTCGTCCGCTGACGTCCCGATGACGCCGGACGAAAAGCTGCGCGAGGCCGAACGCCTCTTTGTGCTCTTTGAGCGCATGGAGAAGAATCCCGTTATCCGCCTCACGCCGGAAGATCCTGCTCATCCGGGGCCGGGGAGAGGGAAGGGCGTCAAGGAGATGATGGCGCAGAAACTTGCGAGTGGGGAGATGGAGGCGCAGGATGCTGCGGATGAGGCGGAGGAGATGGTGGAGCAGGAGAGGAGGGATAAGCGGGACGAGGCGGAGGTGGAGAGGGATATGGAGAGGTATAGGATCAGAATGCGGAAGTTGGAGAGAAGAGAAAAGGGGCCGGGGGTCATGAAGAAGGCGGCTCCAGCAGCGGCGGAGACCAAGGGGGACGCGGAGGTACAGGAACGGGTGGAGGGTGGACCAGAGACGATAGCGGCAGCAGAAGCGGGGGAGCCGAAACAGCCATAGTCGTTGGCGGCGGGCTGGACTGGGCGCATATCGTGGTGCGTCGGGCCTACCCCGCAGGTAATATCACGCGTAAAGCTTTGGGCGGTACATCACATGTGTACGATAGTGTCATAGATCAGATACCCAGATCGGAGGGATGTAATCTTTATATGCGTACATGCGGTCTATCATAACTCGTACATCCCGAGACTGGTGTTCTATCTTGCAGTCTCGTCTCGTTTCGCATGACACTGTACGCCCCTGCCACTACCGGCTGCGCTCCATGTCGATCCGCGTCTACTCCTTCATCGCCTCATCGGGTGCTCCGTTTCGCTCAGCAATAGCAGTTCTGCGAGATCAGCTTGAGATTCACCTTTCACCGGCGCGACCTTGGCCCGGCTGTGCAGTAATGAGGAGGTCGTTGTGGTGGATTCCAAGGCTACAAAGCAATACGACTCCGCCTTCATGGGCAGACCCAGTCGGAGATCCCATATCCTTCCTTCTCCATCCGCCGATTATATTTCGCCTCTCTATCCCTGCTTCTCCAGCCTCCCCCCTCTTACCCTTCGTTCCTCCCCCCAGCCGCCTATGTTTCCCAAACCAGTCCCTCATTCTGCACCCCGCTAAGCGGCACATGAACTCACCTTAATTGCTTAGTAAAATCATCCTCGACATCGTCGTCATCCCAATTATCTTCCCACAGCTGATCGCCCATGTTCTTGTCGCTCTTCTGAAGCTTGTCGAGGATATTGCCTGATGCTTCCGCTAGTACTATCAGCTCCTGCCTTGATATGCACTTGATATGCAGCCCTTTCCGCTGGTGCTGCTCCTCCTCAGTCTCGGCATCGGAGCAAGGGTCCGCTGAGCAGAAGACAGAGTGGGAGAAACGGAGAGAGGGTATGTACCGGTAGCTGGGAAGTCCTGAGTTCCATCAGCTCTCGTTCGGATGCGGTCGTCTATTCTCCCTGATCCTGCGGCCCTAGTATCCTAGGGCTGGCAGGCAGAGAAGAAATGTCAAGGCTCACCTCAAACTCATCGTCATCCTCCAATGCCCCGAGCTGAGGCAACTTCTTTGCTCCTGCCTCGTCTGCCTTCGCTCCGGTCGTTGCTGGACCGGCCTGAGCGGTACTAGCGGCGGGCTTGGAGCCTTCTGCTGCGTTGTTCTGTTGTGACATTGTCGGGGCGATAGGTGTAGTAGCTAAAGTTGAGGAATGAGTTGAAGTTGAGGTTGGGTGGAGGAAGACGCGACAGCGGTGGTGCGAACGGGATCAATTCTGCGTCATCTCTTGGCTGGGCAGCATCTTACTGCAGCAGCTTTGCGTAGAGTAGCTGGTCTTCCGTACCCCGTACCCCGTGCCGGCGTGCTACTGTTACGTGTACACAGCTAGGTCTGTCAATCCTGCATGAGACTACAAACGAAACCCTACAGACTGCGCTTATCGCCAACGAACCACAACCCAAGATCTACCTTGTAATTATAGTTTGATTGACTCTTTGATCTAACCACCCTACTCCCTACTTCCCTAATACGCCCCAAACACGTCAAGACACCGTCTACCAGTTCTTGATCTTGTAGAGCACCTTCTGGCCAAACGACATGGACTTGTACTGGTAGTCCTCCTCTTCGTCATCGTGCACATCGGCAAACTCGCGCGAGCCGGTGGAGAAGTCGATCTCGCCGACGGGGATGTAAGATGTCTTGCGAGCAATCTTGTAGGTGGCGTAACCGATAATGTAGACGGGGATACCGATGTAGTGGGTGATGAAGACCTTGTAGTCGAAGGGCATGAAGGCGTCGAAACCCTTGAAGAAGGAGATGAGGCAGGTGAGGCCGAGGGCGAGGTAGGTCGCGTACGGCTGGAAGGGCTGGGATATTAGCGATAGTCGCAAGCGTAGAACAGACAAAAACTTACAGCCTTGTACGGGAGAGTGTCACGCGAGATACCCTGGGCCTTCATGCCGCGCATGAAACCGACGTGGGAGGCGAGGATGGAGATCCAGGTGAGGGAACCAAAGATGGTGGTGGTGGATACAAAGTAGGAGAAGATGGTGTAGGCGTCGGTAGACACACAGAGGAAGGCCAAGCCCATGAAGCAGCCGGTGAAGGCAAAAGCGTAGATGGGGACTCCGCGGCGGGAGCACTTGGTGAAGATGCGCGGTGCGTTTCCGTCCTTGGCCATTCCGTAGAGGGTACGGGTAGCAATGTACTGGTCCGAGTTGGCGGCCGAGATGGTGAAGAGGAGGATGCAGGCGTTGATGATCTGGGGGAGGACCGTGATACCGGCGGCCTGGATGGCAACGACGAACGGGGAGGCGCTGGCACCACCGGCGGTACCCCTGGCGACGGCAGCCGCGAGGAGCGCACCGTTCGAGTCGACGACCATTCCGATGATGAGGATACCAAAGATGTAGAAGAAGAGGATACGGAAGAAGGTCTTCTTGATGGCGGCCGGGACGGTCTTGCGCGGGTTCTTGGCCTCACCGACAGTGACACCGATAAGCTCGGTGCCCATGTAGGCAAAGAGGGCAAGGACGAGGGCGTTGACAAAGGCAAGGAATTTGCCGAGGTCACCAGCGACTTTGTATGCCTTGAAGGCACGGCCGTCCATCCAGTAGGCGAATCCGAGACGCTGCTGGCCGGGAACACCTCCGAGGTCGATGATGAGACCGAGCAGGATCAGGCCGGTAAGAGTGACGATCTTGACTGCGGAGAGCCAGAATCTGAATGTCAGCCAAATCCGCCAGTACGAGAGCTTAAACTTACTCGATCTCACCAAACCACTTGATACCCAAGCAATTGACAGCGATGACAAAGACGATAAAGATGGCGCACCATACACCCGAGTTGATCGAGGTGTTCCAGAACCGAATGACGAGTGCACCGGCGACGATCTGGTTGGGCGAGATGATGAGGTATTTGCAGAGGTAGACGAGGGCGGTCGCGAAACCGAAGGCGGGGTCGACGCAACGGGTCGCGTGGCCTGCGAAACCCTTCTTCGAGGGGTATTTAGTTGACATTTCACCGAGGGCCATCATGACGGAGAAGCAGCTGCGGGGTCAGCGGAACTCGCTAGGCAGTATAGGATCGGCTTACACAGCTCCCATCACCGCGTAGGCGATGAAGATAGAGGCAGGTCCAGACCGCGCCAGCGACGTTCCCGAACCGATAACCAAACCGGTACCTTATCAATCAGCGCGATAGTCGCATTTTTTTTGGGTGGGGACGACTTACCGATAGCACCACCGATAGCAATCATACTAATCTGCCTTGGCTTCAAGGAACGATGTGTCTCCTCCTCTTCCTGCTCATAGTGCCCAGCGGACCCTACCATCTGGTTCGAGTGGTCATCGTTCCCGTAGACCTTTTCGGGGTCGGATCCATTGTATGCGCCTCCGAGGTGCTTCTCGTTGTCGTCGTTGTAGCGCGACATGGTGGGTAGGGGGGAGGGGAGAAGAGAGATGAAGGGGATGGGATCGATGAGGTTGGCGATGACAACGAAGGGGGGGGAAGAGGACGAGGTCGCGCGATGTTTAATAGTCTTTCGCGGCAAGGAAAGGAAAGGAAGGTCCCGTGCGCCGAGGCAAAGTTTGGTCAACCCATAGAATACTGCCCGATTGGGTAGATCTTGAACCTATCCGCCTGACTGATAAGCGTTTCCTGGATTTCCTCTCGTCTTACGCCGTGGGGATCAGCGAGTGTGGCGGAAGGGATTTTCGAATCCTACAAGCTTACCTTGGCAAATACCCGGCCCATGTGGTCACATCTCCGACCATGCTCTCGTCATTCTGCCCTACACCGGATCTTGCCCTGTGCCAGAGAGTCGGAAACACAGCCGGACCACCGCTGGAAAGCTTAACTTATCGGACAGCGCTTGATCCTTTTGCCTCTCGGCCTTCCATGCCACGCCGCTTGTCCGGTATCCACGGCAAAAAAGGCGAAAAGAGACAGGTTCCAGATTCTTGGCTCAGCAGCCCTGAAAGACGGATCCTGCGATAGCCGGGGATCGTCGTTTCGGGTTGGATGTCTCACTGGGTTCTGTGTTCTTATCGCCCGCGCGAGGGGCCTTGTCTCTTTGAGGTCTAGTCCTAGATAAGAGAGCTCCACAGTGATGAAGCTGTCTCTGCGCTAGTGCCACTTTACTCTGCTCCACTTCATCTCTGTACATCATCATCAATGATCGATCAATCCATTCTTCTCGCCAAGCTCGGCAAGGCCATGACAGCACGATGACGGTGCTGGCCCTATGCTACCAACACCTTTTCCCATCTAGCTCACGCTATACTGAATGACTGTGTACTCTATTCGGTATCCATTATCGAATTCCTGTCGCAGCTCGCGCTTCACTCGCTGATAATCGAAATCATCTCACAGCCTTGCCCCGCTTTCCTTCCCCAGATTCGAAATCAACGCACGCCGAGACCCGGCCCGGTGTGCGCGCGGAGGCGTTAGCTGGCCGAGGAATGCCGAAGGGCCAGGATCCGAGATCCGAGATCATCCGCGTCTGGTGTCACAGTGGCGGCAGTGTGGCGGTGTGGCAGCGTAGACTAATGCTATGCTATGAGTATGACAAGGCAGAACGACTAAATGTGGGGTTGCTCATCATCGCTCATCGATTACTCGCCAAGATTGCGTATGAAATCTTACAAGTCACAATTGCTAGCTATCTACTCTACCGCCTGCTCTACATATTCCACCACTTCGCCGCCCCCTGATGAGGAGGTGCGATCCGTCCGTCCTGCCTCACATCAAACACTTTAGCCCCGGCCCCGGGCCCTTTCCCCGTCAATTTCCATTCCTGCTCCAAGATCCGGATCCCCGCCCCCTCCTCCATCTCGCTGACTTTGACACGCGCACCGTCACCGCCCTCACCCTGCTCTGGCCATGTCGGTGCCTGTGCGTGGACTTGGACTTGGGCTTGGGCGCGCTCTTCGGGCTCCGGAGCCGGCACTGATCTTGCCTCCTCTGCTTGAACGCGCAGCTGCAGCTGTGTAGGCCGGATCGCACCCGGGATCGGCGGACTGATGGCTCGAGTGTATCTCTACCTTGATCAGTCTGCATCCGATCCAGTCTGCGCGCAGTGAGCTACTCACATTGTCTGGCCTGCTCAATACCGCGTGAAGCGTCTCCAAAGCCCTCGTGCCCTCCTGGGCAGTCTCGACCGCGCCAACACCAGCTGACTCTGACCTACCCGCGAAATCAGACTGCGGCGCTGACGCCGAGACCGCAGCTACTGCACCGTCACCAGTACCATTTCCTTTCCCCTCATCCCTCCTGTTGTCCATCTCGTCCTGGATACATTCCAGCGTCGAGCGGATCATCTCCATCTGCGCCGTCCCGCCAAAATTGGCGATCGTAGGGCTGAGCTGCATCGTCAGCCAAGCTCGGCTTCTCACTTGTCGCTCATACGTAGCCGACCGGCTTCCACGTCCTTCCTGCTTGAGTCCAGACCCGAACATCGAATCGGAGCTCCCAGACGTCCCGCTAGCGCTAGCGCCCAGTATGACTCACATGCTGAAGGTGGGCCGATACGACAAACCCCGCAAAGATCGCCTGGCACCCTTGAGCCCAGCGGGTCATTTTCGCCTCGGACGAGTCGGAGAGTGTGAGCGAAGTGTTCTCCTTGGCCCAGGCTGGAGCTGAGACTGGGAAAGTGAGGACAGGAGGTGGAGATGACGGACCCGAGGGTGTCGGCGCGCCGTCCGCGGTATCGATCGGCAAGGTCTGTGCGGCTGGTGAGGATGCCGTTACGGGTATCTGGGCTGCTGAAGACATGGCGCTGTTGAGGATCTGGAGTGGGTCGAATGAGAGTTGCATCTTTGCCTTTGGGCATGGATCAAGTCAGGCGAGACAGAAGATGAACAAAGGAAGTATCAGCGGGAGGGAAAGGCGGGGTCAGAGTCAGTATTCGCGAAAGGCAGGTCAGTCAGAGTATCCGTCAAAGGACCCTGTCTGATGTCCGAACACCCGGAATCGGTCAGTACAAAGCGGTCTCAATCCAGGTCGACCCATGCCGTACCGTCCGACATACCTAAGCAGTACATTTATACGATAGACGAGACCTATGAACAGGGCAGACGAGCCCGAGATTTATACACCGCGAGAGAGACCCAGGAAAAGAGTGGAGGAGAGAAGACGAAAGGAGGGGAGATTACGAAGATGAGAGAAGGTAGAAGAGACAGTCGGTAGGGCGGTCCCGAGACCTAAAACCCCGAAACCAGAACCAGAACCAGAACCAGAAACGAGAACGAGGACGAGACCATAGATCTTTCAGACGCCTAAGCGAGATAGTTGCTGCGCATCGTCAGCTTTGTCCACCCTGACCCAACTCGAAGATCCGAGGCAGGCGACGCGAACGTGTCAACTCACTAGGTATCGTTCGACCCCTCGGCACGCTCCAAATAATCCTTCTCAATGAGATGATCGATACCCTTCTTGATCTCCGGGATCTTGGGCGTGAACTTGGTAGAGATCGTAGCGGTGACTTCCTGGATCAAAGCTTGGTGCTTCATGGTCTATCGTGTCAGCTTCACTCAAACCCCTCTGAGTATCAAAGAGCAGACCCAAGAAACTCACCTTCCTCGACTTCATCAACCTGACGATCGTCGCTTGGTACACAAACTTCCTGTCCTCATCCACTGCCGCCAATGTCTCGGTATGCTCCTGTTTCTGCTCCGACTTGATTTGCTGGTTGAGCTGTACCTTGATCTTCTTGGCCTTGAAGTCTGTTTGGTCAGCTGGCTCCTTTGACGCCCATAGCCAGGGGATGCGCAGACAAAACTCACTCAGGTTCAACTCGTACGTATCGTCATCCTGGAGCAACACCTTCATCTTGACCAACACCACCAACTGGGGCTTGAGAATCCCCTCCGCGATCGACGTGGCCGTCTGCAGCTCCTTGAACGTATGCGTATCGCTCTCGTTGAACTGAGTGAGGATCGACATTTGGTATGCCGATGTCATGAAGATGTACTTCTGAGCGAGGTAGGTCGTCTTGAGCTCATTCTTGGAGACGTGCCAGAGCCACGTAAGCTTTCGACCGCTGGGATCGTTAGCGCATGTGCATGTCCGTCTCAAGGAGAAAAGAGGAACGTACGAGTGAGCCTCATTGTAGAACTTGACGAATCGGTCAAACGTCGGTGAAATCTCGCGAGGAATAGTAAACTCCGTCGCGGGTGGATTGAACGGCCAGAAGTTGGTCCCCAGGACTTGACACTGGAAGTCGACTATCTTGTCAGCTTTTGCCTTTCCGCTCATCGCAGGCCACGACTTACGGTCAGAAGAGATACCCTGGCTCCGCTCTTTCTCCTTGAACCGTTCCGTCAAATCCCGACTGAGATTGACATCTATATCATCAGCTCTGCGTTCTGTTTTCTTGAGCGGAAAACGACTAGCTCACCCTGGAACATCCTCGTGAACTTGTTGGTATAATCAAACCCTTGTTCCGCCTTGAGCTTGGTAATCATCGAACTCTCGCTGTCGTCCGAAGCAGACGTGTGGTTGACGAGACGCTTGGCGAGCTTCTTCCCGTAGAACTTCTGGAAGACATCCTTGTCGGTGACGAACCTGAAGACGACCATCTGGGAAGTCAGCTTGGGACCTTGATGATCATACGTTGGCCAGACAACTCACGACCTGTTCGAGCGCCTTTTCGAGGGTATCGGCATCCACCTCTTTGTTATTCTTCTGGAGGAGTTGGTCGGTGTGCGAAGCGAGCAATTCGGGGGACCGGGTCGAGTTGCTGGCCGCAGGGTTGAGGTTGACAAACTCGCGGCAGGCCTGATGGGTCAGCTCGGACCTGGTCGTCGAGAGGTTTCGAACTCACCCTGTCGAGACTAGCGTTGAAGCCAAGCTCGGCGCGGAACGGTCCATTGACAACGTCCGAGTACTTGGAGTGCACCTCGAGCAGAGCCTCGACGTACGCCTTGGGGTCCTGGGGTATCAGCTATGTTCCTTCGCCTTACCAGGGCAGCAATTAATCACCACAGACTCAGTCTTGGAGCTCTCAGCCCCCGCCGCAGGGGTAGGCATGATCTTCTGGACCGCCGCGCAGCCAGAGAGCTTGACGTGCTCCTCAAACTTCTTGCGGAGAGGCTCGAGACCGTTCGGGATACGCATGAGGAGACCGTACATCCGGGTCAGATCTATCCTGTCAGCTTGTGCCGTACAGTCGTCGAGCTTTTGAAAGATTACCATCGTTCTTGTCGGCGTTGAGGAGCGGCTGGAACTCGTCGACAATAATGTCCGAGTGAGCAGCAATGAGCGCCTTCTCGCAAGTCTCCTTGAGCTACGGAAGTCAGCTACGGCCCGATATCGATGTATCGCATCCAACCGACTCACATCCTTCTTGGTCGTATCGTTCAAGTACAAGTTGACACGATCCGCCTCCTCCTGAAGCCTGTCCTCCGCCTTCTTCATGTAGTCGCTGACCGAGTTGTTGGCGACAAAGTCGGTAGATTCGGCCTTGTAGTACGCCTGGGTGGCGGCGATGAAGTGCTCCTGGAAGTGCTCCTTGTAGACTTCGAGGTTGGAGCGCTGAGCGTCGGCTTCGTCCAGACCGAGAGAGACTATGATGTCAGCTGGGGTTCGTTCAATGAGAAGAGCCTGGCAGCCCACCGTAGCTGTCAATGACGCGCTTGAGGAGACCCGAGTCCACCTGCTCGCCGTTCCTCTGGAGCTCAATCTGCTTGAGAAGCGCCTGGGTGAGGCGGGAGACACCGCCCGCGCCCGGGTTGAGGTGCTTGAAGAAGTTCTGCTTCCACGCCACCAGGGCGAGCTGAAAAGTCAGCTTCCAGCACACCCTCGGAATCGGCCAAAGTCAACTGACAGTGTAGACAGTGTACACCTCCTTCCTTCCCTCATCCTTCTCGCGCTTGACCCAGTGCTTGTTCAAGTAGTTGAACATCTTGTTGACGTAGTTGGCGCCGGTGGTGTATCGGTCCCACTGCTTGGCGTAGAACTTGAGGAGCTCGAGGTCTGAGAGCTTCTCGCCTTCCTACAAGTTGTCAATTTGTGGCGTCCGCCGGACTGTAGACTCGTCATCAAAGCTCACCTCGCGCATCTGCTTGCAGTGGTCCGAGAGGTAATTGTGCAAGCTGCGGTACAAGTCCGCACCCTGCAGACTGGCCCCGCCTCGGTGTCCAGCACCAAAGGCAGAGGTGTGCGGGCGGTTCTGCGTACAAAAGTCGTAGATCGCCGTGTAGAGGAGAATGTAGTACGAGTAGCTCATTCCCATGTGGAGACTGAGGGTCAGCTTGGTAGGTCCAACCTTTGCGAAGGGGGAGAGGCATACCGAGTCATGATGTGCTCGACACCGACGCGAAGGAACGCCCAGGCGTGCTAAATCATCAGCTTTTTGATCGTCGTCAGTGGGAGAAGTGACGGTGCTCGGAAGCTGACCTTCAAGTCCGCATCCCTGCCTTATCAGCACTGCCATCCCATCCCATCATCAAACCTGGGAAAGAAAGGTGCCTCACTTGCTCGGCTTGTCATTCTTGGTGGGTTCAACCCAGGCAGCATCCGCTGCAGCGTTTGATGAAGACATGATATATCGCTGTGTGAAAGGATGATGTACGAAAGGAAAGGACAGCGGGCGGAGGATATCCCTAATGATTAGAAGAAGGAGAGACGGACAAAAGGCGCGAGATGCAAAAGGTGAGCGAGCACGTATCGAACGCGCTGGCCAGACTAATATCAAGTGGAGGAATGTGAGGGGGGTCCCTTACGGCACGGGTGGCGAATCCGATTCGGAGTTGGGCGAATGACTTGAGTTTCAGGTTTTTATCCCGGGAATACTCGCGGGCAGCTGGAGCTGAGCTTGCTCGAGGCTGCTTGGTCCAAATTTACATCGCCCATCTCCTTCTTCTCTTCCACTCACCCATCATACCAGTAAGTCTCGCCTTCCCTACTCTGGCCCACCTCACCCCTCCCCTTCTTCAACACAATGATGAACACAAGATGACGAGACGTAACCCCTCTTCTCCCGTTCTTGCTCTCCCGTCCTCTCGACGCGGGGTTGGTCCTGTGTCCGTCTTGGGCTCTGGGATCGATCTTTGCGTTGGGATATAGGATGGTGTTGGAGTGGGGATGTGGCCAAGATGTGGGCAATGCCGATTGTACCTGTAGTTTGGCGACTTTTTATTCTGACTCTTCCTTCTCTTTGGCCAATCTTTGACGAAACCTCAGGAATTCCGCGCTGACAAGCTAGATCATCCCAAAATGAGCCCGTCATCTCCCGCTGGATCCTCATCGTCCTCTTTGCCCGATTCAAGCGCCCTCCTCGCCCTCCCCGACGGTCCCATATCCGCCAATCACGCCGACCGTACCTCATACGCCATCTCCCTGATCGGCGGGTACCCGACTTTCCCACTCTCGACCCCTCCGCTCTCTTCTGACTTGGTCTGCGCATCCTGCTCTGCGCCCATCCCGCTCTTGGCGCAAGTCTACTGCCCGCCCGAAGGCGGCGAGAACGATCGGACGCTCTACGTCTTTGCGTGCCCGAACGGCGGATGTCAGCGCAAGGAAGGGTCGGTACGCGCCTGGCGTGCCAGTCGGCGGAATGACGAGTATGTCGCGGATGTAGAGAAAATGCGGGCGGAGAAGGAGGCAGAAGAGAAGCGGTTAGCGGACGAGAGGAGGAAGAATCCGTTCACTGTGCGTCGGCCAGTTTTGCTAGATGTTGTAATAATTTTGCTATGCAGTGCTGATTCCGCTAGATGGGTGCTGCGCAACCCGCTGGTTCTGCTCTATTCGGAGGCGGTGGGGGTGGACTGTTTGGCGCCAATCTTTTCGCCGCTCCTGCGTCGGCTCCAGCTCAGGCTCAACCTGTCCCGGAGCTGTCCAACCTCTCCATCTCCTCAGCCTCGACATCAACCCTCTCCCCTCCTCATCCAGCATACCAACCCCCACAGTACCTCTCTACAACGGACGAATACCTCCCCCCGCCCGAAGAGGTCGATCTCGATTCGGACGACGACGAGCAGTCGCCCGAAGAGAAGGCTGAGTGGAGGGATGAGCGATTCGAGCAGCTCTTCCCTTCCGGCGTGGATCCGCTGTTCGAGCGGTTCGTCAAGCGCATCAGCGAGGCTGATGGTGCGGGTGGTCAAGTCTTACGGTAAGTCCCAATCACGTTATCTGTCGTGCCCCGCCTCGACCCGCTGACGAGCAGGTACGACCTCGGCGGCGTTCCTCTCCCTTACTCAACCACCTCCTCACTCACCCAATCCCTCTTCCCCGGCCTGCCCGCAGCCTGCCGCGCCCAAAAAGCCGAAGACGACGACCCCTCCCCATCCACCTTCTTCAAGCCCTCGTCCTCCCTGGTTCCCCCATGTCCCCGGTGCGCCGCTCCAAGGGTATTCGAACTCCAACTGGTCCCTTCGTTGATCAATCACCTGTCGCCCGAGACGCTCTCGACGACGGGGGAGAAGGCGCCGAAGAAGGGCAAATCGGCGCAGAGCGAAGAGGAGAGGAAGAAGGAGTTGGCTCGTCTGGCGGGCGAGGAAGCGGGAGGGGAGGGGATGGAGTGGGGGAGTATCGTGGTGTTTGGGTGTAAGGGGGATTGTGAGGGGTTCGAGGAGGAGTGGGTAGGGGTGGAGTGGGAGACGACACTGGCGTAGGGGCGGTATAGATGATTTTGGAAGCGCACAGTAAAGGTTTTGCATGGATGCTCCTTCTCTCGTGGTCCTCCTACCTCGTCTGTTCCGCCTTCTCCGGAGATTCTGATCTGCTTCCTCACTCCCCTTCGTCTACCTCTTCGTCCCCTTCTCCGCAAACATCTGCCTCTTCGTCTTCGCCTTCGCCATCCTCCCCCTCGCCTAGTTGAGCGTCTTCCAGAATCCATGAGGGAAACTGCGGCCGTACGGGTTGAGTTTCCCAACTAGAGCACTCATCAGCGCTGACCCTTATTATCCCGCCTTCTAGGCAGATCACTCACCAAACCCTCCCAGTTCCGGCTTCAGCGGCATCTAGCCTGTCAGCTTCCCTCCCTTCTCTCATATTCTCCCTTTTCCCCCCTTCACCACCCCTTCTTCTCACCCGAGACAAAGACTTACCGGCCCATACTTTGGCCACCCATAATTAAAAGGCATGCCCTGCCCGGTAACCAAATGCCCATACATCCCCGTCCCCCTTCCTTCCTGCGCAGCCAACACCGCAGGCGGCAACCCCCAATCCATCGGTCCAGGGAGCTCCATGGGAACGTGCGCCCAGTAGCCGAACGAGTCCCCGCCGGACGCGGCGGCGAGGTGCGGGCCGTTCAGGTTGCCATTGTCGAATGGGTGCGTTTTGAAGGAGGCGCCGGGGTAGGTGTGGAGTAGGGGGTGGAGGGGGTGGTGCCCGAACATGCTGGGGGGCAGGGTGTGAAATGTGCAGTGTTACAGTGGGTTGATCAGGAAGTCAGGGAAAGAGGATGGCGAGATGAGTGAGTGAGTGTGAGAAGCCCAGCTGACCACTCAGCGAGGATGAGAACAAAGGAAGCCCTACTAGAGCCGCAGACGCTGTAGTGAAGGGCTGATGTCTGTCGGATTTCCCTCATCCGTCGATATGAGCCGGTCCTTTGCGTCCTTTGATGAGTTTAATCAGCAGACGCGCAATGTCATCCCTGGGATTGTCGTAGGCTGCCCGACGTGGCTCAGCCAATCCCGCTTTCTACACCCGCTAGGGCGTCGACAATGCCCAAGGTGTACATACAGTCCGCAAGATCCTTACAGTATATAAATACAGCAGAGGCACGCAGAATCATTAGTTTGCGCCAGGCAGCTGCACTCGTCAGCCACGCCCATATGACCCCATCCTCCTTCCCCTCTCGTCAAGTCTGCCCCGATGACACTCTCCTAGTCATACGCAAACGCAAAACCAAAGCACTCACCAAGACCATATCCCCCGCCGCGACCTCCCTCGCCTGCACATCATCCCCCTCAAAGAAGACGCGATACACCTTCCTCCCCGCGTCCGCTTTCGACCTCGAGGGCGGTACGAGCACCTTGGCTGGGTAAAAGGAGGTCGTTTCGGGATAGAGCGCGAGGACTTGGGTGCCTTTGGGGTAGTCGTCGATATTGGACGGGTGGGCGGAGGAGGTCAGTGGGAGGGAGGCATCAGGGAGGGGGATGATCGATCTGAGTGTGGTGTTGTAGGTTCTGGGAGTCAGCTCTAGCCGATCGATCGCCTAATCCCGCGCGACCTACATGTCAGTCTCCGTATCCGCGTCTCTGACGGTATACCGATTCTTATCCCCTCCAATGCACGTCACGATCGTGCCCACGATCCAGACCTCCTCCTCCCCTTCCTCCTTCTTGTCTTTCGGCTGCTTGAACAGCACCCTCCGTCCTTTCTGAAGCGGCAGCTGATCCGAGATCAAATCCCGCTTCTCCCGACCCGTCAACTGTCGCGATGTGGGCGTGCCGCTTCGTGATGGTAAGAGCGGCGAATTGGCCCGTACCGCCGCAGCAGCTGAACCAGGGAGGAGCGCGGACCCATGATGACCGGTATGCGAGTGAGAGGCCGACATGGGATGACCGCCTGGTGTGTTGGCGGAGCGCGGACCCGGACCGGCGTCGAGGCGCGTAGGCAGAGATAGGCTTTCGACGGGTGCGCTCTGGGGTGGGACCTGAGGAGCGGGGGAGACAGAGATGGACAGTCGCCGATCCCGCTTTCGCTTGAGCGTAGCGAGCGCCGCAGAAGCTGGTGATTCCCCTTTACTGTCTCCTTGACCTCCACTCCCTATGGCAGGACCGGGACCGCCCGTTGTTCCTCTTCCAGGCATCCCTTGTGCCCCGCCCCCACTCCCGCCCACATCGACGTTGAGAGACCCATCACTACCCCTCCGGGCACGCAAGAGGTTATTCACCTGCTCAAATGCCTCATCGAGCACCTTCTTCTCCCGCTGGGCGGCTTTCAGCTCCTTCTCCCTTTCCTTCTCAGTCTCAAAGGTTAGTGGACGGGACGAGGTGGGTACGGATGGTAAGAGGCGGAGGGTGTCGACAAGACCGTGCCATAGTTGCGTAAGGGCTGTCAGGAGGTCAGCATGGTCAGTCCGGATGAAGGCCCAGGGAGGCAGACGGGACGGGACATACGGTCAATCTCGGAAGGACGGATAGGTTTGGGCTTGGACATTGTGGCTATAATCCGGACCTAGACCCCGGACAATGAAGGCGTGATATGACAAGATGTTGATCCGATGTAGATAGGCAGCACAAGATATGGATATATGGACCAGAGATAATGGTAGTTTCAAAGTCGGTTGAGGCAATCACAACTCGAGGTATGGCGGTCAGATTCAGGCACGGTGTTTCACTTCAGCCAAGAGCGTTGACGACGCTGTTAACGACAAGGGCACGATGGTCAGCCAGCTGGGACCGGTACTCTGTTCTGAGACAGCATGTGCGAGTACTACTTTGGAGGCTATTCATCAAGCAACGCAGAAGCCTATCTACCTAGACCGCTACTATCTTTACTGACTACCTGAATCTGCCTTTTTGACTTCTTCTTCTTCTTCTTCTCATGCGCCGATCACCCACCACCCAGCCCCCATCCCTATTGTCTCTCGCTCTCCCGTGTCTCCCCGTCATCCAAAATGTCCTTCACCCTTCTACCCCTCACCCCTTTACCCCTCCGCTCCCCCGCGCCTCACGCCTCCCCGGCTTCCTCTCAACCTCCCACCGCCGCCCGCCGAGAATTGTAAGAATGTTTTGGTTGGTGACTTTGGCCGGATTGCCTGAGTGGGGGTGGTAGTTATGGTTGTATCTATAGGTTTTTGGTCGTCGTCATGTCGTCTACGGGAGAAGGGTGGTATTACAAGTATACTGTATAGCGGACCGGTCGAGGATGTGGGATGTAGGTATGTCGGGCGGGCAGGATGGAGCAAGAAACGAGGAGATTTGGTCCGAGGTAGACGAGAGCCCGTGGTGAAACCGAGTAGGGTCGACGAGGCGGAATGGGAGCGCGCCAGCCGAGGTAGGCGCAGACCCAGAAGGAGCGACCAACTACTGCGCCCGTTGAACAATCACCTGCTGTTGTCCCGCCAGCCTCGCTTTCGCGTGGGGTGGGAGTTTGAGTTGGAGGTGGCCGGTGGGGAGGGATGGGCTGGCGGTTTGCGCGGTCGCACCGTTCGCGTTGGCATTGCTGGCAGAGGGGTTCGGGGTGGAGACGTTGTTGGTGTTGATGGTGGGATTAGGTGGAGGGTTGGGGTGGGTGGCCGAGGAAGCACTCGAACTGCTCTGCGACATCGGTACCGCCTGCGCCTGCGCCTGTCCCTGTCCTTGCTGCCCCTGTCCCTGCGCTCCCTGGGCCTGAGCCAGCTGCTGCGCCTGAGCCTGGGCCTGCGCTGCCGCTTGCAACTGCCTTTGCTGCTGCTGCGCCCGCTTGCTATTGACATATGCCTGGGCATTCGGGAATCCCGCCGCCGCCGCCTGCTGATGGATGTCCATCACGCTCTGCCCGCCTGATCCTTGTTGAGCCCCAACACCGCCTCCGCCATTCTGCATTTGCTGCTGCTGCTGCTGCTGAAGCATTTGAACATGCTGCTGCTGCTGTTGCTGCTGCGCATTGTTGGTACTCGCGATCATCGCTGTAAGACTCGCGATATGCGAGTCCGACATGTCCGACCCGGCCATCCCGTTCCCATTGGCGCCATTGGCGATCGGACTAGGCATAGCCATCATCCCCTGCTGCTGCTGCTGCTGCTGCTGCTGCTGCATATTCTGGAAGAGTTGCTGCTGTTGCTGACGAGCAGCAATGATCCGCTGGGTCGTGGCCGCGTCGAGTGGCTGAGACTGACCGGCCGCCCCCATGTTGAGGGGTTTGCCGTTCGGGAGGAGTGGGGTGCCGTTGACCATCTGTGGGGACTGGCCATTGGCTTGCGAAGGGGGGTGGAGGCCGTTGCTGCTGGGCGAGGCAGAAGGGGGTCGGAGGGGAGCTTGGGAAGGGGGAGGCATCGAGCCCGTGGCGATGGCGTTTCCGTTACCGTTCACACCGGATATGTTAGACGCGGTGCGCTTGACGGGCGGACGACCGTTTGGCTGACCCTGGGGCGGTAGCATCTGGGCGTGCTGCACCGGCGTACCGCTCGTCGATCCGTTGGCGGCCATGCGGGATGCCGGAGGGGCCTGGAGGGAGGACGACTGGAGTTCCGGCGTTGACATCGCTGCCAGCTGCTGTTGCTGCTGGATCTGCGCGGCCTGTTGGGCCTGAACAGCCGCCGCATGCTGCTGCTGTTGCTGCATCGCCATTTGCGCCTGCAGCTGATTCTGCATTTGGATCCGGTGCAGGTTCTCCATCTGCTGCTGCTGCAACTGCTGTTGCTGCATTTGCTGCTGCTGCTGCATCTGCTGGCTGAGGAATTGATTGTTGATGGGCGGCCGGATAAAGATGGGCATGGGCGGTAGCTCCCGCGGCTCGTCGATGCTCGCCATAGCCTGCTTGATCGCCGAGGTGTCCGGTTGGAGCTTGGACATGTCGCCCTCGTGTAGCAGGGTGATGCGGTGACGAATGTACTTGGAGTCCATGTCGTCGATGATGATTTGGTCTTGGTCCTCCTCTAGACCCATCCCAACGCCGATAGCGCCCCCGCTGTCCGCATTGTACCGCCACGACTCGTTGAGCCGGCGCCGCTTCAGCGGGCTGCTGGAGGAGTCGTCCGATTCGTCGTCGTCGATCGAGGTAGGACGGCGGCGGGAGGAGCGGGATGAGAGGCTGTCTGGGAAAAGCCACCCCGGGAAGTCCGAGGGGGAGGAAGGAGGGGAGCCGCGGGATCGTTGAGAGACGTGTTGTCGACGATCGAGATGTTGGACCCCGCCACGACCGATCCGTAGCCGGAACGCTGGCGGCCGGGACGACGCATCCCCATTGTGCTCTCTGGCCCATTGGGAATCGAGCGACGTGACGGACCGGAAAGCATGCTCGGCCTGACCTGCTGGAAGGGGCTGATACGACATCTACCTTGTCAGCTTTGTCCATCCCTTGAGAGCTTGAACTTACATCGGTCGCATCGTCCCAATCGTGATCCCTCTCTCGCTTCTGCGCCATCTCCTCGTCCAGCCTCTGCCGCAATACCGACATCCTCGCCTTGAGCTCTTCGGGGGCATACCACCTGGCTCCCGCTCCGTTCCGATCCCCGCCCCTCGACGCCACTTCTTGCATCTTTTCCCTCTTCTCCCTCTCTGCCTCCTTCTCCCGATCCGCCGTCTTTTTACCATGTCGAGGGATATTCGGATGACTCGAATGTAACGCCTGCTGCCCGTTCAGGACAGACATGGAGATACTTCCGCCGTACGTGCTGGACGCGGCGGTGTTGGTTCCATGCGCCATTCGACCGGTGATGATTTCCTCCTCATCCTTCGTGATGCCCAGGCTAGGCCACCTCTTCTTGGTCTCAAACAACTTCCACTTGGCCTCCCACACCTCCCGCTCCGCATCATAAAGCTTCTTCTTCTCCTTTTCACGCATGACCACCATCTCCGCAATCGAATGCGCCGACCGCAACTCATACTGCAATTTTTGCAACTGCTCGACAGAGTAATTGTCGGTACGTCGAGTTTTACGAGTGGCGCGGATATCACGACGCCGGAAACAGACGTATGGGTCGCCATCGTTCGTTTCGTCGTAGTTGAGCTGAGGGCAGATGGAGCGGCCCTTGCGGCGTTCTCGGCGGGATTTCCAATGAGAGTAGATGGAGCGTGCCATGCGGACGAGCGCGGGGGTTTCAGGGAGTGAACGGGGAACCTCGTTGGAGGGGAGGAAGGAGGCGGGGATGGAGGATGAGAAAAGGGACTCGACCGAGGCGAAGGTGGGGAGGATAGAGAGGTCCTGTCGGTCAGCAATGCCGTGCCTCGGTGTGGTCGCTACTCACTGTGTGGAGAGTGGGAACATTATCATCCGTGTACTTTTCCAGTACACCCATGACATACTCAAACGCCTCCTCGGTGATGACCAGGGGTGGTGGTGGTGCCGCCTGTTCCCTCTCCTTCTCCTTATCTTTCCCCTTCCCCCGCCTCTCCCTTCCCGCCGACACCGGCACATTCTCCTTGCCCTCCTTCTCCCTCACCGGACTCGCTCCCGGGTCGGCCCCATTCCCCACACCCCCACTCCCACTGCCTCCCTGCTGCTTCCCGTTGAAATCGGCCAGCCACCGCTCATCCTCGTCGTCCATGCAATACCCGAGTCCGCCCCATCCGCCGGAAGCCTCCTCGACGGTATCGGAGAACCGGATAAAGTTGCTCGGCTCCTGATACCGCTGCGAGGGGGCCTGGTAGAGCCGGACATAGTCCGCGGTGACCGTGAGCCCTGTCGCGTCCGGCGTGGGGATGTGGTAGTTGAGCGCAGCGGGCGGGGCGGTGGAGGAGGAAGCGGCGGCGTTGGCTTGGTCCGACTTGAGGCGGGAGGAGGGGGTAGGAGAGGATGTGGTCGCTTGGGAGTGCAAGAGGGAATGTGAGGAGAGGGCAGCTTGGAGATGATGTTCCTAAGATGTCAGTGAGCGGTCCAACTCCACATTCCGCGAGTCACAACAAAGAAGTTGCCGAAAGGGGAAATTATCGCTCTTCCCCCTCCAGAGCCAGCATTGCATGGGCTCCTATGCACGCCAGACCGCGCATGAGATAGCCCTGCCTCGCCCGTACCCGTGCCTGCCGCCTGATCTCCCATAGCCGAAGCAGAAACAAAGCAAAGACGCGTCAAAGAAGGAAGTACCCGAAAAGCGGCGAAACTCCCTTTCCAGCCACTTTTCCGACCAGGCCCAACAACCGGCCCCTCCCCCTTCTCCCCCTTGTAGCTCGCCAGGCTACTAAGCCAATACCCCCGCATGCATAGGACCAAATGAAAGGCAGGAAGCAACTTACCAGCATCTCCCCACTTTCCACCCCCTTGGCCCCCACATGCTGATGTTTCGGCGCGCTTTCGCCATCCCCATCGGTCCACGAAACGACCTCGGCATGGGCCAGATCGACCTTATCCGACCCCCGGTAAATGAGCAATTTCGACTTGTTGGTGATCCTCCCTGCGCGCCGTGAGGAGGTCACCATCCGGCCGCTGCCTGCCATGGCTGTGGGTGTGTATGTATGGGCGCCTGACCGCCAGCTAAGGCGTCGGCTATGGCTTTCTGGGTGCACCAGAGTGCAGTGCTTGTGTTGTGCTTGACCCGAGCCATTCAACCAATCAGGGTAACCCTCCCTTCTTTCCCTTGTCATTTTTTCGCCACCCAAGCCAAATCTTCAACCAGCCAACTGCGGAATATAAAGTTTTTGCCCTCGGGAAAGATCGGGATTGTGCGAGTGTGGCACTTGAGCAGGCGAGCTCAGCTCTGAGCAGAGTCTCCCAGACTCGTTAGTATACAGCCATGCAACCTATATACAGCCAGACCTCCAGACATCAGCGTGCCGTTACACCTCAGAATAGAGACCTACCATGCATGCAGTATACCTTGCAGCTGTACCCCTGACTGGTCAGCTCCATACCTCCTGCCGACCAATCCTACTCACATCTACCACTTGGTCCGCTTCTTCCACCCCTTCCCTCGCCCATTCTCCATCCGCTTCCACTGCAGATCCCCAAACTTGCGCTTGGCATACTCCCCAACGCCCGTATCTTCCACGACACCTTGGACGAGCTGCGCCGCGGCCTGTACTTTTGTTCCCGAGTCATCGCGTCGTTTCCTAGGGAGGTGGGCGGGGCCGGTTCCATTACGGTACCGATCTGTGGGTCAACTCAGTCCCTGTAGGTCCCATACAGATCGTGCGCAAGAGATGACTAATGGGCCAAGGGGGCAAGTAACTCACAGCGAAGCTCTCGGGCACACGTCCAACCTTCTGCCCACCCTTCATGAACCGCTTTGGGTCCATACTATTCGCCAGCGCCAGAGCCTGGTAATCGCGCTTCATCTGCGGGAGGAGATCTGCGCGCGCCGAAGGCAGAGTCGACCATAGTTCTGACGGGGTGGCCTTCTTGGGTTGCTATAGTATCAGCTGGATTCCCTGTCATCCGGAAAGAGCATTCAGCTCACATTCGCCTTCTCCCGCTTGGTGAGCGGGCGCGCATACTCCCTGTTATCCAGCTCCACCGCCCTCTCTTTGCCTTTCCCGCTCAGACTCGGCGCAGGGTTCCCAGACGCTACCGAGCGAGGCTTGAGACGAGATGGTCCAGCTCGGGCGGTACCGCTGCTTGAGGATACGCGTGAAGGAGCCGGGAGGCCAGGGATGGTCATCTGCGGTATGGGCCTGAATTGTCAGCTCTGCTACTGTGTCGTCAATAGAGCAAGGAGAGCTTACGCATCCACTACATCCTCATCCGCGTCGAGGTGGAGGATATCCTCGTCTCCCATTCCCACTACACCCTCAGCAGGAGCAGGCTTCGCGCGCGAAATGGCAGTCTTCCTCGCTGCAGCCAAGAGCTTCTCCATCCTCTCCTCTTCTGCGTCTTCGTCCTCACTCTCCGACTCTGACTCTGACTCTTCATCCGAAGTGGCGGAGGACGAATCGGAATCATCCGAGTCTGATGCGGAGGAAGTCTCTGACCCAGAGGACGTGTCGCCGGTGGCATCGATCACATCGGCAGCGGGTGAGGCGGACCTGGAGGAAGAGACCGTGGTGGCCGAGGTGTTGAGCAGGGGGAGGTCGAGATCGGCGGATGTAGTGGTTGGAGTGGTCCCGCCAGAGGCAACGACTTGAGGGATGATGGCATCCTCTCCAATGCCCACCTGCTGCTCTTCCAGCATCTCCGGCTCATCTGGTGCAGAATCCGTCTCCGCCTCGCCCTGAGCAGCTGCCTCGAGTGGCAAAAGAGCCGAAGCCTGCTCCCGATCTTCCACCTCCTCCACCTCCTCTTCCTCTTCTTCTTCCTCATCCGTCTCCACTGACGCCTTGCTCTGCATACTCAGCCCACTACTCCTCGGGCCCCTCTTCCCCGCCCTCCCCACCGGAATCTCAACAACAACCTCCGACCTCGCCCTTCCTCTCGGAGACGGCTTCGGCGTCTCACTCCTCAATCTCCCCGATCTGAGCGCTGGGGAATCAAGATTTCCAGAACCGAGTATCTCCTCCGCTTCGGCGATGGCGAGCTCGTCCGCCGTCTGATGGTGGTGCGCCGGGGTGTGGTGCAAAATTTGCTCAGCCTCGTCAAGCATGATTTCGTCTGCCGAGCGATGATGAGCGTGGCTGTGACTGGTGTGGGACGCTTGCGAGGGCGTGTGGGAGAGGGAACGACGGGAGCGGGAGGATGAGGGCTTGGGAGTGGATGATGAGGCGGCGAGTGAAGGGGTGGACGGGCCGGCGGACTGGCGGCGTGTGGTCGGCATCTTTGCTGTACGAGGGCGATCGGTATCCCCCGAGCTGAGGTTTTAGGCTGATGGATATGACAGCTCAGAAGTCTGTGGATCTGTGAGGCTGCTTCGGTGTGTGACTGAGCGGATGATGGTGACAAGATGGTGAGGATGTTGGCCGCTCAAGACACCTCAGTGAGCTTGTGTTGCGCAGAAAATACCACCTCGTCATCCAGCTTAGGTAAGCCGCTGCTCGGACATGGAGTTCCATCTCCCTCCCCCGAGTCTTGCGGCTCCGCGCTCGCGAGCAGCCGAGCAGCTCCGAAGGCACGGCGCCATCGAATTCAGTTTCTATCGCCCTCATCCCTCCGTACCTTACACTTGATCATCACATAAGCCCCATCCTTTGATGTGTGTGGTGAGGAGGACCCCGGCTGCGGCCCTGATTCGAGCTGTGACAGTCTGATGCCGGGGGTCCCGGAAGCTGACATGAGGCTTGGGCTGATCTTGGCGCCCCCCAAAGTCCCGAGCGCAGCGCTGACGCTTTGACCCCAGCCGCTTGGTCCATGGACTTCACTGGGAGTGCCAACGAGATGCATCATCGAGATATCCAGAGCTGATAGCCCTCTAACACAGCCTGCATAGCGACCCGTCTTCCGTCAGCGTCATCAATCGGTCGTACGGGTAAAGCTTTGCGCGGGTCGTCATGCTCGAGATCGGATCTCGCTTGTACAAGGAGGACCCTCTTTTGATATCTACACACCCACACAGATCTAAAACGATTTAATCTGACCCCCCTTGATGTTCTTCGCTTCCCCCTCGCCGTCGTGCCTGAAACACCCAAGCAAAGGGGAAAGACGTCTCTACAATTAACGTTTTACAATCTCCGCCATCTCCGAGCGTGTACTGCAGAATGCTCCGCCTTTCCCGCTCTCACCATATTCTCGGAACACTTATCTCCGGGTATTGCAGATTTTGATGTTGGGGAGGTGACTACCCATCCGCCGTGAGAGGGAAGTCACCATGCTGTCCAGATCCTTGCTGCTCACTCAACATGTTGTGCAGGGCAAGGAGCAATAAGCTAGCGTCGATGTCAGCTCGTCAGATCGATAGGTCGCAGCATCGGGCGCGAGGTTTTCGAAACTCGAAGCGCCCTCGACTAGTATAGAGGGCGAGGATGAAACCCACTTCTTCCCTCAGCGATACCTCTCTTCAACCACCCTCACCTCCACCGCCACATCACCTCCGCGACCCCTTCGCCCACCCCCGACGCGCGCCACCTCCCTCGGTTGGCACCCAAAGTCGACTCACTCCGACCAGGTCAAGCGCCTTCCCGGGACCATGGCCGGCGACATCCCCCTCTTCCTCCCCTCCTCCCCCGCCCCTCCCCACCACGACGGCGACCCTCTCACCACCTCCCTCCCGCTCCACCCCGGAGTCGTCCACCGCTCCGGCACCAAGCGGAAACGGAACGGCGACGACGGGAAGGCAGAGGGCTCGGAGAAGGTAGCTCGGCGGACCCGAGGCCCCAACCGGTCGGGGAGGCGTACATCGGTGAGTCGACCTTTCCTCATTTCACCAGACATGGTGACTGACCCTCAGCGTCCAACCTCGACCGGATGACCGAGGCCGACGGGCCATCGCGATACCCTCAGCCAGCGTGGGCCAGGGCTCCCGCCGGCCAGCGCGTGGTCCATCCTCCGCCCTTCTCCCACCCTCCCCCCGCCGAAGATTCCCCCTCTCCCCCTCCCCATACCGCCCCAGCCCCCCGCCCGGATCCCTCCCTCCCTCCCAAAGCTCGCGGCTCCGGCTCCGTCTTCCGACAGCCGATCGCAGCACCAGCACCTCCTCTCCCCGCCCGCTCAAGACCCAGGGCATCGCGACGAGAGCGTCTGCCGACTCTCGCCACCTCTGCGCTCGGCCTCCCCTCCGTCCCCACCTCGATTCTCCTCCTTCCCCAAGTCCCACCCCGTTCCCATGCCCCACCATCGCCGCCACCGCGCCAACTTCGGACTGTGTCGATCGAGCGCCGAGGAAGCCTCCCCATCTTCTCGGCGACGGACCAGGAGCTCGGGATGTTGGCGGCGGAAGGAGAGGGCGGGTATAGGCTGCTAGCGGAGAGGTCATCTCCCGCTGTCTGGCTTGTACCCGCGGTGCCGACTGTACCGGTAAGTCCCATGATCATTATCCGGGCGGGATTCATGACTGACGCTGCAGGGTCTATACCCCTCATCCTTCCGAGTCTCGCAATACCCGGCACCCACTCACCCCCCACCTCCTTTTCCCCCTCCCCACCTCGTCCTCGACGAGGACTACACCACGGTACTCTCGTACCCATACCAACCGTACCAGCTCCAACCTCATCTTCCCCCGTCCACCTCGATCGGCACAGCCACGATCGACCCACTCCACCTCTCCCTGAAGAACGACGGCCGGACACGCTACGACTCGATCGCGCACGAACCTCCCTCTTCCTCCTTCTTGGGGTCGTATCATCTTCCTCCCGCCCCCTTCACCGCACCACTCATCGGCGGAATCTCCAACACCTCGGCGGTCCCACCTCGGCCGACTTTCCACACCTCTCTTCCCCCTCTTCCCCATCTCGGCAACCACCCCGCCGCTTCTCGCGTCTCGAAGGCAAGCGAATGTCTTTCGAGCAGGTCTATGCTCCCGCCACTTCCGAGCTGGACGGCACCGGACAAGCAAATCCCCTCCCTCGCAGCCGGAGACAACCTCGCAGCTGGAGACAAACTCGGCGGATACTTCTCCCACACCCCCGCTAACTCCTCCATCCCCACCTTCTTCCCCCTACCCCGCTGCTACGCCTCGGAAATCTCGCCAGCGGAAGTAGCGCTTGGTCTAGACGCCAACGCCTTTGGTCCCATCTCCTTCAACGGTTCAAAGTGAGTCTCTCTAATATCAATACTCGTTCTCGGCTGATGCGACAGCTTATTCGGCCCGAGCGAGATGACACCGGTCGATAAGTTCCCGCTCGACTATGGCACCCTCTTCACCGCCTCCGCTCCCCATCCACTCCAGTCATCCGGTATACCGAGCTGGATGACTACCCCTTCTTTCGCCGATCCGCCATGGGCTTCCGACGGCGGTACCAAGCATCCACCACCCCCATCCTTCCCACCTTCCTGATGCCCCAAGGTCCTCCCTCTCCTGCGATTCCGCCATCCCGCCGTCCCTTACCCGCCAATAACTTTCGCCGTCCTGCATCAGAGAATTGTATTGATAGAACCCAGTCAACACGCATCCTGGTATCGTCATCCGCGTAGCAGTTTGTAATCTGTACTCGTAGAGTTATGCATCAAGTCGAACGTATCAGCCCCCGCCTTCCACTCTAGTAAAGTCCATCAACTCCCACAGCGCGACCCGCCTATCTTTCCCTCCCGAAACGAACCACCTCTCCTTCCCTCCCCCTCGTCCCCCTGGCCCATCGTCGTCATCACTGTCCTCCTCCCCCAGCTCAATCGTACTAGGGTCCGGCAGCACCTCCGCCTCCCCCGTCTCCTCCTCCGCTCCCTGGGGAAAGGCCAAGCACTGCACCGTCTCGCGATGATATCCCAGCGTCCCGAGTGGCTTGCCCGATGCAGCTGAGAAGAGGCGGACTTTGCCGTCCCATCCACCTACTGCAAGGATGGTGTCGGACGAGGAGATTGCGAGGGACGCATTGCCGATTTGTTTGGTAGAGAAGGAGGTGACAAGATTCTGGGAGGAGGGGTCTGTGAGCGCCTGAAGGGTCAGCTTTTCTCTAGCCCGCCTGATCCCGCTGTGCCCGCCGGCAGAGGAAAGGGAGCGTAACTTACTCGCGCCATATCGTATTTCACCAGCAGATGGTCCGCCGAGACGGTATACGCATACCTCGCATCAGACGAAACAGCCATAGCCATCACTGTCGAGTCAGCTCCGACTCTGCCCTGGTATTAGCCATGTCAAGCGTACCAGCCTCATTATGCCCCTTCCCACTCCACATGACCTCCCATCCCCGCTTCCCCACCTGCCCGCTCCCATCTGAGAATGCGCGCCAGCTTTCCTCTCCTCCCTCGGTTGAGCCGGTATCCACTGGCATGCCCCACATGTCCACCCGTCCATCCTCGTATCCCAGCACAAGCACCAGCTTTCCCTGCTCCCTATCTCCGTGCTTTGACGACGACGATGCCATGGCCGCTTCCAAGCGTAAGAAGCGCAGATGAAGGGACATGATCAACCCCGAGCGCGTCGCGTCCGCCGGACCCGCCTTGGCCTTGCCCTTCTGGTTGGCTTTGGGCGTATTCACCCCCGCGTGTAGTCGGCGCATCGACGGTAAGTGGTAGATGTCCGCGAGCTCTGTATCGAGAAGGTTTGGGACTGCTAGGAGAGCTTCCGCCTCTCCGTCTCCTTTTGCCCGTGCACCGGCCGAGCTCGACCCCGACGAAGCCGGAACGGATGTCGAGACGGGGATGGGGAGCAAGGTGAATCCGCAGAAGTTGAGCGAGTTGACACTGAGGGATTTCCATATCTCCAGGCCGGACCCGGAGGTGGGTGCGCCATTCAGCTGTCCCGCTCGCCGGACAAGGGGGAGGCGGTCGTATATGTGGATGAGGTTGTCTCGGCCATGACTATCTTGCGTTGATCAGCTTGGTCCGCCTTCCTCCTTCCTTTCTCCTCTTCGAGATCTGTCCGCGACCTTCCATCTCGGCACAAAAAGGTTTTGGATGTGAAAGAGGTACTGACGTGATAAGACGCCCGTCCCACTCGCCCACACCCAACACGCCCCCTTCGTGCGCTTTCCAAAAGAGTATAGACCGCCGCGTTCGGAGATCCGTGATGGAAACGAATCCGTCCTGGCCTCCCGAGTAAAGAAGGGTGTTGCCGCCACCAAAAGCGATGGACGCCAGAGAAGCGGAGTGGGTCCGGAGGACGTGGAAGGGGTCGGGCGGGGGTGGCATCGTGAGCGAAAGTGAGGGTATGGACAACGGAGGAATGAGGTGTTGCTGGTTAGCATGAATGAATTGCCCCGTGGCGATTACGGCATGCTTTACGGCATACATCTTGGGTGGCGAACGAGTGTGGCGAAACATAGTCGAAACATCCGTCAAAACCCCAGATCTGATCTAATCATGCCGCCTCGCCTTGCCTTGCTTGAGCTGCAATGATCTCTTGACATGCAAGCGAAGCCAAAAAGGGTGGAGACCAGCAGCAAAAAAGCTGGTTCCACTCGGGGTCGAACCAAGGACCTTTCGAACTCGCAGTAAGCGAAAAGACTGGAAACTTCAGTCGAATGCTCTCCCAACTGAGCTATAGAACCGCAGCGACGAGTATTACGTAATGCACAAGGATTCATGCCTGCCTATTCACTATAGAAAGCGTAGTCTGATAGCGCGGCTCTCGCTGGGAAGATCTTCGGATAGACCTCGGAGTAATGACGCTACAATATCAGATTCCCCTTCCGGCAGAATATTCTAATGAAACCCTCGCTTCATTACAAAAACTGTTTTTCCGCTCCCCCACTCCCGCACGAAAGCCCCGCTGAGAGCCGGCCTCCGCCCGGATAAACCGTGTGGGGGGCAAGGCGCCGGATGGACCGGTCGGGCGAACGAGCCTTGGTGCGATATAAGAGCAGCGACCCCATTTGCTCCGCCCCCTCCGCCCGACAACTTTTACATCTCCCTACGCAGTCATACACCACCTATCGCCACTATGCCCATCAACACCGAGACCCAGACCCTTCCGGTCCCCCTCTACACCAATCCCAAGAAGGGCTCCCTCCGTCTTCGTGGTAACCACGTCGAGCCAAGCGCCGAGGCTTTCCCCGAGCTCGACACCAAGGGCGTAAGTCGCCACTGCTACCTTGAAGGCCCATCGCTGACAACTCAGTACACCGTTGTCAAGAATGTCATTTCCGCCGAGAAGGCTGCCGGCTACGTCGACCGCATGTACAACTGGCTCGAGGGCTTTGGCAACGGGTTCAAGAAGGACGACCGGTCCACTTGGCGCGTAGATAAGCTCCCTTACTTCTCCAAGGGTGGTCTTTACAACCGTAAGTCGTTTGATCTGCCTTTCGCACTTTGCTGATAACCAGGACACTGCGCTGGTCAGGAGCAGGTCGCTTGGGACATCCGATCCGAGCCCGCTCTCATCGAGGTCTTTGCCAAGATCTGGAACACTGAGGAACTCCTCTGCTCCGTCGGTATGTCCCTTGCTCCGCATCCCATTGGCGGAGCTGACGTACAGATGGCATGAACATCTCCCTCCCCCTTCCCGCCGAGGACCTCGAGGGCGACCGTGGATCCGCTTGGCCCCACGTCGACCAATCCCCTAACCGTCGCTTCAAGCACTGCGTCCAGGGCATCATGAATCTCGCTGAGAACGGTCCCAACGACGGCGGTCTCATGGTCCTAGAGGGCTCCCTTCCACTCTACAACGAGTACTTTGAGACTCACGAGAAGGAGTTCATGCCCAAGGAGGGCTGGACATGGCGGGATTCCTACCACTTTGCGGCCGAGGGTCAGCTCCAGTGGTTCTACGACCGCGGGTGCACCTGGAAGAAGGTCGAGGCTGGACCTGGTGATGTCATCCTCTGGGACTCGAGGTGTATCCACTACGGTGCCGCTGCCCGGGGTGACCAACCGCGAGTAGCAACTTGTAAGTCATTCTTGTTCCGACAAGGTCTTTTACTGATTTTGCAGATGTTTGCTACAAGCCCGCCGCCGACATTGAGCCCGAGATGCTCGACCTTCGCAAGAAGATGATGGCCGAGGGTCACCTCACTTCGCACGACCCCCTCCTCTTCCGCTTGACCGGTTCCAAGATCTTCCCCAAGGAGCGCGATGACGAGCGAACTGAGGTCACCAAGCCCGCCGTCCTCTCCGACCGGGCCTTGCAGCTTGCGGGTGTCAAGGCATACTAGATGGAGAAGGTTCAAGCTGTATCGAAATAGGGTGCGGGTGTAGCCAAGTTTGGTCTGGTCTTTTTGCCAGTTGTATTAATCTAGATTTTGATCGTAGTATGCACTTGCTGGATTTGGATTGACCGAGGCCTGCTCTTTTTCTTCACAGGACTCGTCATACATGATATTAAAGTGATGCACAATTCTCGTCGCAGCTAAGCCGGCCTACTCTCCAGTATCTCACTAATCACCTTCTCCAGATCTGCACCCACGACGTCTGGCTTGCCTCCGTAAAGACCCCAGTATTGGTCGGTGAGCGACTTGCGATCTGCCTCCCCGATTGGAGGCTGCTCGCATAGCACGAGTCCGGTCTTGAATCTGGACTGTCAGCTCGTCCTTCCTCCTCAAGTCCCCGTAGCGAGCTCAACACACCCATTGTACCTCGCAGCGGCAAGGTCCCAGGTGTGGCAGGCGACAAACCACCTGTCCCCCTGATCCTTCACGCCCCCTTCCTCGAAGCACACCTGGTGCGCGCGGGCGTAGACCCTCGCATCCGGCTTGGCTGCACCCACATCATCGCAGCTCGCTACCCGGTCGACCAGCTTCTCCAACCCCGCATTCTTGACGTATCCGCGCGTAGTGGCTTCCGAGCCGTTGGTGACGAGGATGACCTTGGCGCCCGCCTCATGTAGCTTTGTCCAGGCCTCAACGAGCCCAGGAGCGGGGCTGAGGGATGTGAGTGTGGACGTGATCTTGTCGAGCGAGGGGAGGGAAGTGGACGTGAGGGACACATCGGTGGGGTGGGTAGAGGTGAGCGCGTATGTGAGTGCTCGGGGAAGAGTGAGCTTGAGGATCTGTGCGATGGGCGGAGGGGGCGCAGAGATCACCGAGAGCATCTGGACATAAGTATCAGCCTATCAGATAGACATACGGTAAAGTCTCGCTGGGCAGAGTGGAACCAGTCCAGCACGACTGAGCGAGGTCCAGAACCAGCAGCGCGGAGCTGTTCACCCATCACTTCCTCCATAGCGTCGACGAGCGGCTCGAGGGAGAAGCATGTCTGTAAGACATCAAAGCAGACTGTGAGGACCATGGCTTGCAGATCGTACGGTGATTGTGGGTGGGAGAAGGTACAATATCAAGATTCAACTACTGGATACAGTACTTGACTAGCGAAGAGACGGCAAGATGCAGCTGACCTGTCGGCAACGTCATTTGCCGACTTCGCTTCCCGTTAGCCGGCTTCTGCTGATCAATGCAGCACAAGATGTCACATTCGACAGATACAACGCATCCGACAGTTCAAGCAGAAGTATGTACAACAGGCCAAGATACCCCTTACATCCCATGCACGATCCCCATTGACGCAAGACCAGACGGTCTCGGCTGAGGGGCCTGACCCGAGACTGACGGCCTCCTCGACCCCGGCAGGAGCGAGTTCCTCCTTGAGCCCGGTCTCGATGCTGTGCCCGTGGCCGAGTTGCGCCTCGAAGAATGAGCTGCCGAGTCTCGCCTGTTGCCCAGGAGACCGGTAGCGGAAGCGTAGGATAGTTGAGAACGGCATGACTCGCAGTACCGTTTTTCCATGGTCTCGACGTAGACTGCGTGGGTGCTGCCAAGTCAGCTTGACATCCGACGCCGCAGGTAAGCAGGGGTGTAGACTCACCCGCAGAAAGCGCCGCCACAACCACCGCAGTGTCTTCTGGGTTCTGATAGATTAGCTCTGGTGATGGGCGAGCATGGCACGAGCAACTAACCGAGCAAACCAAAGTGTCGCCCACAGCGCTCCGCCATGCAGGTATGAACCTGATGATCTGGGACATGCCGAGCATGGCCTTCGGGCAGAGTCCATTGATACAGCAGATGCTTGTTGCTACCCTCTGCAGGCTCAAAGGCGGCATAGAGGGTCTCGCTGGGACATCAGCAATGAACCCTCATCCAAGTCAAAACTCGACTCACCCGACAAACTTGACCATCGTACAATCTCCACCCAATTGTTCGTCTGACCGGCTCAGCCGTCCCTGTTCAACAAGCGTCCACGGCTTGACATCCTCGCCCTCGAAGATCCTCGCTCCGGGCACGCAGCGATACAGAGCAAGCTCGGATCCTATGCCGATGACGAAGAGCGCGCCAAAGCGGAGGAACTCGCGCTTGAGGAAGGTGATCCCGCCGGTGTACTCTGGCAGGGGCGGAGCGGGCTCGTCGCTAGTGAGACCGAAAGAGAATCGCGGGAGCGCGTTGTCTTCGACCCATGTGGAAGCGATGGGGTAGCCGTTGAGCGAGTAGAGGTAGATGTGGTGTGCGGTCGCCAGTGCAATCATACCCTGTGTGATCAGCAATGTGAGCAGCAGGAGCTAGAAGCTGGTACTTACGTCGCTCTCGTGCACGCTAGCGAATTTGATTGACTCATGCCGAGGAAGCTGTATCGTGCGGATATATCGCAGCCGATTCATATCCCACACTGTAGCGGATCCGTCCTGTCTCCGTTAGTCCAGTCGCCACCCAGTCGAGGGACAATGCTCACATCGCAGGCAGCAACAACCATACTCCAGCCCTTACTCGCTGTGACGTACGTCACCTTCCCCGTCGTTCCCCTCAGCGTTGCTTCCCGATGCATCGCGACATCCCCCTTCTTTGCGCCAAAGCCTTTTATGGTCAATCGCCAGGCGGTGATGGTGCTGAGCGTCGAGACGGTGATGAGCAGTGTGGGGTTGGCGAAGACGGCGAACTTCACGTCGATCCCTTCCACGACATAGACCACCTAGAATTTCAGCTGACATCGCCGCTCCAATCGACCAACTCACCCTCGCGAGCGATGCTTCTTGATAGTATACTCTTATAGAGTCGTCTGCAAATCCGTACTGGACCGACAAGAAGTGATGTCCCGGCACGGGCAGTTTCGAACTCTGCAAAGGTGCGGGCTTTTGCTCGTCCGTCCCTCCCAGCGCGTAGACGTCGTAGATGGGCGTCGTCGACTCGGCGATGGGATTGATACTTCGCATGAGCAGCTCCCATTGCTCTGCCACTCCAAATCTTTGACCAATCGGTAGTTCCGATTTGGGACTGACAAAGCGGGACGGGTGCGACGTCTTGAAGATCTGGACGGGTGTCTGACCAAAGTTGTGGATGATGGCTGTAGAAGCAGCCTTTTCGCTCTCATCCGACATGCGCTCGAGATCGACCGCACCGCGATAGGAGAGGGGATGGAAGCAATTGAAGGAGGCAGGGTCGCGTTGTTTGTAGCCGAATGTAAGGTCGATCCAGGCTGCCAAGTGGCGGGAGACGGCGTCAGACTCGAGGGCTTCTCGGTGCCGGTGGATGAAGAGCAGTGGGTCGCCGAGCGCCCAAGGGGGCAAAGCGACATTGTCGACGACTTCGCCCGTTCCTTGCTTCTTACCAAAGTCGTGGTGATTCTGCTGGTCAGCTCCTGCCATTGTAGATAGCAGTTTGGCTTACTATGTTCAGGAGGAACGCAGGGGTATAGTAGAACTCCGGCACGAGCTCCCTCACATCCCCTCGATTATCTGAGGAAGCAGAGTCCCACGCCCGCGGTATGCTCGAGAACAAGCGGTCCGCGAGGTCAAAGTTGCCGCCTTGGAGCGCGAGGAAGATCTCGGTGAAGGGCGACATGCGGATCATGAAGCCGCACACGATCATCGACGAGCTGTAGTGCGTCCCGTAGTGGCTGGAGAATGAGCTTTGTCTGGCTTCCTTGCGCCTCGGTTAGCTTACAATGGCTTCTCGCCGACTCCCTCTGTCGCGCTGTATCTCTCTTCGGCCGCTTCTTTCCTAGCTGGCGTGAGGGCTCCCATCGGTAATGTCAGATTCCGGAACGTCCCTTCCTTATCGAAGTCAAGGTGTGTCGAGGTATAGTCCGACAATACCCATGGAAACACTGGGTACTGGGTGACATCTGAAGTCAGCTTGGCCCGAGTCTTGCACGTACCATTCGGTGTTCGATTAGCGTGCTGATTCAGAAGCTGCAGATACGCAAACTGCGTTGTCAGCTCCATACAATCTCACAACTCGGCTGACTCACGTTAGATATCTCCCTCGACTGCCACTTCTTGGTGATGATCGCAAGTTGCTGCTCCGCCTTGTCTGTCGCCCTCGCCACGGTGTCCAGCACAAAATTGCCGATGACTGAGCGGGAGATGGCATCTCGCTGCTCATCCTTTGACTGCAACTTGTTGACTACCATGTGTCGCTCTCGCTGGTCCTTGCAGACGACCAGGAAATTCCGCTTATCCGAGAAGTATAGCTCCAAGCTGCAGGATCAGCGCTAATCTCCATTCTCAAGGCGGTTGTCACTGACGCAACGTCTCGAAACAGGAAAGCTCGCTTATTGCACTCAACGATCTCGTTGTACGACCTATGCTGTGAGCTATAGGTCTTTGCAACTCTCCAAATTCTGCTAGCTCACCATCTGAGACTCAGCTGGTCAGCCGGATCAAGCTCCACCAACGTCCCAGATGGGATAGACAGGATGTCTTTCGGCGCGTCCTTGGCATCGATGACCTCCCCCTCAGCAGTGTAGACCAGGCTGTCGATGAGGTACATGTTCTTGCGACCGAAAATGAGAAGACCAGCTATCCGATCAGCCCAGTCCAGGGATTGCGAGTTGAAGCAGCCACTTACGACATGCGTCAACGCCGACGATCCGAACGATGTTCTGCAAGGTCAGCAAGGCCCTCTCTAGACCATATCGACAGTCGTGCACGCACGTGTGCCTGCTCAACCACATCACCAGCTTGCAGAGTCTTGGCTATCCGACGCATCTTATCATCCCTCGCCTCCTCGATCTCGACGAACGAATCATCATCGGCAGGTTCGAGCGGAGTGACCGTGGTAGACGGCTCAGCCTCGATTCCAGCAAGAGTAGGCGCAGGTTCTATGGTGCGTCAGCTCTCGCTCTTCTCAATGGAGGAAGCGCTAGCTCACCTCCTTCCTCGGCGATACTAGCCGCATCACCTAGAGCAAGCGCAAATGGATCCTCCCACGGCGCCAGATTGATCCTCGAAACCGCCGAGGACAGCTCGTCCACTGCCGGTATCGCATCCCTGATTCTCGCTCTGGTCCTGGACAGTCCCGCCTCCGAAGCAGCATTGACTCGTTCGAGCCGGTTGCGCATTCGGAGGGGACCTTCGCTGCCGTCCAGCCGCCAGAGGACGGGCTGGTCGTCGACGGGCCAGAGTCCATTTTCCTGCCAGAGCTGAGCGGCCTGTTTGGGCCAGTCTTGCTGTCCAACGCGACGCCAATGTTCTTTCCTTTTCGCATCAGCCGACTACCCTGACCCAAGCGGAGAGGTGACTTACCGCTCCAACGTCATCTTGGCGTGAGCCTGCAGATCCGTCTGAATGATGATGGTCTTCCAAGCGGCATTCTTGTCCTTCCCACCTTCCAGCACAGACTCGCCCGTCAAGGTCCGCGTGAGCGGGATTCGCTTCTCAAATGTCCCGCGGAGACGACCAAGAGCAGCCTCTGTGGAAGGACGCCGACGAAGGGGGTCGAATCCAGAAGGAGAGGGGCCCATCCGACTAAGGCTGGTTATCGACGAACCAAAGTACCCGGCTGATGATGGCCGTGCAGCGGGCGTAGAGGTACTCGAGCTGAGAAGTACGGGCGAGGCGATTTGGGGCGACGCAGCAGACATCGCCATGGTGAGTTGTTCTCGAACGAGGGTCATCTGCCAAGGTCAGTCTCAGCTCTACTCGTGCCAGAAGCGGTAAAACATACCTGCTCGATAAGCGCATTGGGTAGCTTGGATTTGGCAAGTTCAAGGATGGCAGATAGCCAGTCTGCACACGCCCTCCGCTGACCCAGGGCGTTACCCCGACCACTGGAAGCTGAAACAGCAGCGAAGTCGGCAAAATACGGCAGCATCGCTTCGGCCCGCTTGGTTGATATACCTCGCCGAAAGGCAGCCGAGTCACGATATAGTGCCGTCATGCTCGTCAAGAGGGATCGTAGTCTATCATCTTCCTCCTTGCTGACGTCGGCTGAATAGTCAGCTACGGTCTCTTGAACATCCGAATGTACTCACTGGTATTGATAGCGGTAATGGTCATCGAGCGGACGGAGGTGATCGTCCCTGATCTCGTCCGTCCGTGCGTTGGTCGTACTGAATCATCCGTCTCCGCCGCGGCCTGGAGCAGGGTCTCCATTCCGGCGGTCACCACCGGTACCATCGAGGAGCACACTAATGGCCCCTCTCTCTGCTCCGGATCGACCAGCATCGCGAACACGAGCTCCTGTACATCCTCCCGCCATATGGGTCCCAGCGTGCGTCCGAGCAGCGCAAATCCGCCTTCGGCCTCGAAGGATCGCACGAAGCTCTCGAGGCCCGAGGTGGTCAAGCACAGCTTGAGGATCCGGAGACAGGGGATGATGACGTAGTAGGCGGGGTTACTAGAGATGAAGATGACGAGCAGGCGGTGGAGAGCGATCGCACGGTTGAGCTTGATCAGCCGTGGGGTGTCCTCGACGAGTCCGGCAACGGCCGCGAGTACTAGAGCGGCGGCCTGCTGAGATGGCGGTGCCTCCGTCAGAGAGGTCGAGCCGAGGATGGGGGTGGATTGGCAGAGCGCAGTGATGAGGTACGAGAATGTAGGCTTGATTGCCTCTTCGGCGCTCCACCGAGCAGCCAGAGCGAGCATCAGAGTATCGACCACCATCTGAAGAGCTGCGGCATCGAAGAAGCCGGACCGAAGCGCGAAAAGGATCTTCTTGATGATCGAGGACTTTTGAAAAGTCCGAAGAACATTGTACCGCGCGTGTTTGGACGTAGAGAAGAGATACTCGAAGTGCTGGAGGTAGACCGCAATCACTCCGAGAGGAGCAGATGACCAGAGCTCAAAGTCGAGGCCGAGCGCTCGGTATGCCACCGAATTGCTGACAGATGCAGAACTGTAGAATCAGATCCGCTCTCTTTCAAGCCTGATAACGCTTGGCTTACTGTGGTCGCTCCGCATGTATCCCGACAATACTGAGTATGATTCTCGCACAGTGGACATCAACCATGCCCGCCATCTTCGGCTTGAGTATAGCCGCTAAGAGCTCGAAGCCATCTGAGAGCTCAGCTTGGGCCTCGTTTACCTACTTGCAAACCTCAAGACTCACGTATTCGCTCCATCTCCTCACTTCCCGCCCAATTATCCTTGATGACGTCCCGCAGCATGCTCAAGCACGCCACCAGCTCCTCCGTATTCCTCGCCATATCCACCATTTTGAGCAGAACCGTTCCGCCGCCAACAGCCGCCGTGGTCTCGTCGATATTGGCCGCACTGAACACCTCCACCCGGCCTTCGAGCCAGACCCAGCCCTGTCGTAGTTGCCGTGCGCGTGACTTGTTCGGGATAGCTCCGTTGGTACAGCGGTCCAAGGCGCTGTAGGCGTCGGTGGCGTAGGCGTCTTTGGCGGAGAGGGAGAGGAGGACGTTCTCTTCGGCGATCGCGCAGCCGGTCCGGATGGCCTTGACGAGCACGGCAGTAGCGGGTTGCGAGAAAAGGCGTTTATCTTTGCTCTCTTTGGCGAGGGAGTGAAGGTAGATATTGATGGATGTGGCGGCGGAGTCTGGGGTGTTAGCTTCAGCTGAAAGCGTGCATCAGGCAGCTCACAAGTCAAGAACTTTCCGAGGGGCTCTTGGAGACTACCCGCATACCGAGGGCCCTTGGAGAGTCAGCTTCATCTTGGTGATCGCGATACCACGAAGAATACATAGCTCACCAGGTGGTACATGAGCAGTACGATGTCCTCCGCCACTGCATCCTCCAGAAGCAGCACCCTCCCCAGCAACCACTCATTCTCCTCCATCTTCCCGCTTGTTGGTGCTCCCTCAGTGTCCGCCTTGCCCGTCCTCCCTCCCCATGATCTCGCGATAGCCACCCTGATGGCTTCGGGCGCAACGACCGGTCTTTGACCAAGTAACGGCGCTGCCACTTGCGCAGGAGGCACGACGACGGGATACGGTACACGCATAACCCCCACTCTCGCCCCATTGATGTACAGCCGCACCTCGCCGATCTCCGCTCCCTTAGGCTGACGCAGGTTCATTCCGAAATGGATCCATTGGCCATGTGGGACCAGTGCGTCCGGGGCTTGACAGACGACTTCTTCCGGTTCAGTAAAGACAGGCCCGGCCTTGCCGGAGGTAGTCACGCTGATGAGTGAATTCTCGAGGATTTTGACCTGGAGGAAGGGGAATTTCGAGACGGATTGTGAGCACGATAGGAGAGTGATGGCGTGGTTCATTTTGGTAATGTATAGCCAGCACTGCCTGTCAGCTCAGGAGATCCAGCACGAGAAATAGCTCACGGTGAAATTAATTCCCCGGTCGGGCTTTGGCCACACTCTACCCATATCACGCAGCTCTAACCCGCCGATATCTTCTCCGCTCCCTCCGCTGAATACGAACGCGTTCGGCCAGCGGTGCTTCATTGCGTGACGCAGCAGTTCCAGCACTTCCGGGTTCAAGCGATCCTCGATTTCCGCCTCGCCGGTTGGCATCTCCAGCCTAAGCGAACCGGGACCTCGTCTTGCCGACGTGGACATTGTTGGTATACTCGGCGGAGCCGACAATGTAGGATCCGAGGCGTCTCCCTCAGCCTCGGCTCTCGATGATTTGGTGATCACCTCTCCGGTCGAGGCGTTGACTTCTCGCCTGACCAACCCGTACAGCCTCCACGTCATTTCCCTCGACACCCCCGCCTCCAGCAATCTCCGCAACATCCCAAGATACACCGTCCTGAGTTCCGCAGGGGGTGCCTTCCATTCATACTCGGGCTCGTCCTCCTCGCCAGCATCTTTCGGCGCCCAGTCGTACCGCGAGTTGATCGTCACTTCGTAGTGCCGCTTTTGCACCGGTCCGAATAGCCTCTCCGCAAGGATGTTCGGTAAATCGGGGAGGTATGAGTGCATGAGAAAGAGGTTGGTAGAGGAGGATGAGAGGGCGGCCGAGAGGATGCGGAAGGTAGTATAAACGAGATGGAGGTGTTCGGGGGTGAAGGCTTCAAAGTGGCCAGCAGCACCTTTTCGGGCGGCTTGGGCGCTTGTGGCCTTCTCTTTGCCTTTGACCGAAGTGGTAGAGGCGAGTGCAGGCAAGCCCCACAAGTATGCGATGAGAGTAGGAAGTGCGGCTGGCCAGCGCAAGACTGGGTCACCGAGCTTTTCGACGATTTCGGCAGGAGGAAGGGAGGGGTTGAAGAGAGAGGGCATGGTGTAGTAATTGGAGAAGATATGGGCGAGTAGGGCTGAGAGGATGGCTGTGGTCGGCCGTTGGATGGGTGAGGTGGTCATTGTATGTGGTGATGATGAGGAAGAGGCCTCTGCAGGCGACTCGTCACTCCCAGGCGATGGAGACAGCTTGTACAGCTTGACCAGGAGTGCAGGGTACCCACCCGCTCGCTGAACAGTCAGCAACTGGACAAGCAATCCTAAACACTCTCCTGGGCTTGAAGACTCACTCGGAAGCTAGCCTCCCCATCTCGGTCCCCCTGCGCCCACGCCAATAGCTCAAACGCCAGCCGTACGCCCTCCATTCGCTGGACCTCCTTGACCTGTGCAAAGTCCGCATCTTCCCCTTGGGCCGCACTCTTCCACGCCAAGCGACCCTCTAGTATCTTGAGGAGCAGCTTGAAGCCGCCATGCCGCCTGAAAGCTCGTCGAGTCTCGGTCTTGCCAGTAATCGACAGGATCTGGGAGAATGTCTACATTGTCAGCTCCTTGTACACATACGAGTACTTGCTTCCTCATATATGCTGGACTTACCTCTACCAGATCCATCACCCCCTGACTAGCTCCCAGCCCCTCCAGGAGCTGTACCACCCGCTTCGCCTCCGGATCCGTCTCCTCTACCGGCTTGAGCTCCTCCGTCGTGCTCGCCTGTCTACTGTGCCCGCGGGACCGGGCCGGGCTGCCCGTCCGAGGACTGGGCTGCTGCAGCGTTCCCGAGCGGGAGCGAGGCTTGTATGATAGGTCTCCGCCATCGGATGAGTGGGCAGAGTAGGGGCTATGCGAGCCGGAAGTGGAGAAGAGGGGTTCGGGCGCTTTGGCGAGTTCTTTGAGGAGCTTGAACATGGTGACGACGAGTCTCTTCTAATAAGGCTGGTGGACAGGAGAGGCGAGGGAGCCTAGGAGAGAGAGGCCTACTCGTCGGGGTCGTTAAGCGAGATGTGGAGTAGTATTTCCGGAGAAGGGAGGAGGATGGACTCCTTGGTTCTTCTCTTTTGACAGGAATCGGGAGGGTGCGCTATTCCGGCTGAGCCAGCGGAACAAGTCGATCCTCGGCCTAGCGAAAACGACGCTGTAAGACGCTAGTCCAGTGGTATGATGTGTGCTGAGAGCAAAGAGCTGATGTGGTGCAGAATTGCATGGTCTACCGGCGTACGGTGGACGGTGTGGGGCAAACGGCCCGCGCAGTCATTCCGCGGGGTAGACGCACGGATCACCATTTGCTCGGCCTGGTGAGAGATCTATAGCTGGAACCTGTTCATGGGGGCATCGATGATATCTGGTCAGTCTGTATCAACGGCGACTACTCGTGTCTATCTACAATACTGGCTGAGCTATCAAGAATTTGACACAGCAGAATCTCCTCTTCCCCCACCCATACAAGACTGACCTCCACGGCCGACCAGAATTCGAAGGTGGCTGATCGGGTGATGACGATGTGGATGTGGCAGGGTCATGACGTCCCAAGTTTGAGCATGAGGAGATTGGAGGAGTGGTAGTTGTACTTGTTCTTCAGCCGTTCGACGGATTCCGGGTCTGGGAGTCAGCTGCATTCGCCGTATACCTCTGTCTTATGCTACACACGAACCATTGTGCAAGCCCTCAAAGTAAGTCTAGAGGCATCAGTATCTTCCACTATAGCTACGGCCTCGGGCCTCTGGGAAGCTCACCATGCCAAGCTGAGTAGTCAGCGCTGAAAGACCCATACTCGGCTGAGGAATGCGGTACTCACCAGTGCGTCGGATTTGCGGTACCCCTCCATCAAGTCAAAGAATCCCATTCTGCGCTTCTCGAAGCTTTTTGATCAGCAATGAAAGCTTGTGCTATCGTTCTGCCAAGTAAGAAGCATACTATTGCTGCTCCACTGCAAAGTCAGCTCTGGGACCGCCGCATACGTCATGGGCCCAGCAACTCACTGATTCTCACTGCGCGAGGGTGCATTTCCCCCAACTCATCGACGTATAATGGCGAAGCGAAGAAGTCGTAGCTGCCCGTCAGCTCGTTGAAAGCAAGTACGCAAGATTAAAATGAGCTGCTCACATGGCAAAAAGGACATCCTCGCTGAACACCGCATCAGCTGAAACTCAAATGCTGGCTGAAATCAGCTCACCATGTGATGCCCTGCTCTGTCAGCTTTGTAATCTCAGCTGAGACAGCTCGGAAGCGTGACGGCTACTCACCATCCTATTTCTCACTCTGACACACCACCCGGTCTCCACATGCCCCAAATTGATCTCCTCGACGATCGGCGATGTGGCTGGTTGACCCCGTTCTTTGATCCCTGCACATCAGCACTGGCTCTCTATCTCATCGTAGAAGCATGGCCGTTGTGCTCACACTCAGTCTCGGTATCGTCGTAGTCGACCCAGATAGCAGCAAACATCGGGTGCTGGATCATCAGCGCCCTGCTTCCGCAGTATCGAGTGCGCCGTATTCTGCACTTAATACGAAGGCTGATCACTTACCTCGATACAGTTCCAAGCGAGGTACTTGCCGTACGGTTTCGGGTCCCAAGTACGCAGATTGAGCAAAGGATGGATCTTGAGTGGTGTCTCTAGCTGAGCAGCTTGGAGATAGGATAGTACGGGCCCGTAGCCGGGACGACTGTGACGTGAGCCTCCCAGGCTTCTGCAGAAGTAAAGTAGCTTACGAAGGCTTGAAAGGCCCGATAGTGATCGCTGTAAAATCAGCTACCACCCGACCCCGTGAATGCAGGAGCAGCGTGACATACCGGCATCACGAGGGGCACCACTTGGGATCATCGCCATCTTGTCTGATTTTTGTTCGGTTTCGACAGCGCGGGGGTCGAGCTTGAGTCCGCTACGAGACTAGGTGAGCGAGTTGTAGGGATCAGTCAGTGAGGTGATTAGTAAGAGGAAAGGCCCGCTGCTGTCTCTTGTTTGCGGCTTTGCTGAAGTAAGTAGAAGATGAATCAACCAAAGGGATACTTGCCTCCAAAGGGAGGTATGGTGGCTATTCCGGATCCGGCGCGTAGGAATGCGGACAGAACGAGAGGAGGACAGAGGCGCGTACTCTATATGCTGAAAGGAAGTAGCCTGAAGTGGTGCCGAGGTGGACCTGGCAAGGGTGGAGCCGCGCAACACGGAAGGGCAGAAGGCGGCGTGTCGAGCTGATCGACGTAGACATCTCGCCGACGCCGTTTCAGCCTTTGCACCTTTTACCAGCCGCAGATTTCGCATCGCTCGCCTTCCGAGAGAGTAGACGATCGCGGTGGCCGGTATATAGACAGCTGGTTGCATCCTATGGTTGTGCGGAGGCATGGACGGGACAAAGATTGAAGCGGTCGTGTGAGCGCGCCTTTGCCCCACTTTCCGGTTGGGTGGGGCTCCAGTCAAAATGCTCCGAATTCCGGGTTCAAAATCCGGGTCCGGGCTTGGCCCGGTGGCCGGCGCGGGACCGGCGCACAAGGAGGCCACCCAGCTGCTGGCTCGAGCTGGACCACCTCGTCCCGCCGATACTGTATACACCTTCAGCACACCGCTCTACCTAGACTCTAGAGCTTCTACACCCTCCTTCTGACTCCTTCGACCTCTCGCCAAAATGGAGCTCTACATCCCCCCTCCGCAGACCTTCCTGCCCCGTCTCCCACCTCCGCGCCCCTCCGCTCCACCTGTGCCCATCGTCCCCATCCCCGATCTCCCCGAGATCATCCATGCCCCGGAGGGTGCATACACCCTCACCAAAGACCTCTTCCCTTCCATTGGTACACCGGTCGCTCCGCTCCCATACGACCAATACCGGCCCCCCATGCCCACCGTCGCACAAACGATGCTTGGCGGTGCTGGTGGATTCATCGTCCCTCCGCCGGCTAACGCCCCTCCGCCCGGACAGACCGCCATGTCTTTCGGGACCTCGGTGGTCAATGGACAAGTCCAGCCCGCACATCCCGTCAAGATGTCTTGGGTGAATGTATGGTTCCCGCCGAAGGGGGCGGGAGGGGGCGGATTGGGGAGTAAATTGGGTATGGGCGGGAGTAATGCGCCTGGCGCACAAGGTGCTGCGGGTCCAGTACCCAATATGCCGGGATATGAAGCCTCGGTCTCGTCTGGATCAGACGATCAGCCAACGGAGGCACCGCCGATCATCGATGTACCCCTCACGGCGCTCCCGCAGGGCGCGACGAATAAGCGGAATCCGTTCGCGAGGGCCACGCCGGCCGTGGCTGCGAATGCGCTCGCGGCGCTTCCTAGACCCAAGACGGGGCTCAGGTCGTCCAATTCTACGTTCGTGACGAGGCTACAGGCGGCGGATAACCTGCCGAAGGTGATTGCGGAGAGGGGGAAGGGAGGGGGCGAGTGGGTCAGGTGGGGATTCTGGAACCTCGGCCGGACGTTCGGGTGGGGAGAAGAGGGCGGCAAAGTCAAGGCGGGTCCTTCTCTTGCTCTCTGACACGGTAGATCCCTAGCTGACTGGCAGGAACCCTTCGCCCGAGTCACATTCTCGGTCGTCCCCACATGTCACGCCGTTTCACCCATCACCGCCAGCCCCGATCGCCTAGACATCATCGTCGGGTTCGTCACAGGCGATATCGTCTGGCTAGACATCATCGTTGGCAAGTACTCCCGTATTAACAAAGGCGTACGTTCTCTTCGGTCCCTTCTCGCACCTATGCTAATGCTTCAGGGCCTGCTCAATAACACCGCCGTCGTATCGATCAATTTCGACCCGCGTCAGCCTCAACACTTCACTGCCGCTTTTGCCGATTCCACCATCATGCAGTTCAACCTATTCGCCGAAGATCCAGTGACGACAGTTACCAACTCGCCTCTCCCTTGGATCACCCACTTTGAGGGGCAGCCAACCCACTCTGTCAATGGCAACGGCAACGGCAACAGCAACAGCCACGAAGATGACGAGGGAGAGGAAGGGGAAGGCGGGTCGCTGATGACGTGGAAGAACGACGATTGGGCGCAGCTGGCACAAGCGCAGCCGGCGAAGCGAAAAGAGGGTGAGGCGGAGAGGAGTCCCTGGGCCGGCAAGAACCCTACTGCGGCGTACAAAGTGGGCAAGAAGCCTCTGACAGGTGAGCTGGCACATCGGACCATCGGACAGGAGAGTGTAGCTGACTTTTAGCCATGTCATACTCGCCCGACGGGAGACTACTCGCTGCGACATTTGAGGACGGCATGATGCGTATCATCGATATGAGCGAGCAGCGTGTAGAGGATACATTTGCTGGATATTATGCTTCGCTCAATTGCGTATGTCCTCTGTCTCTTCGTTCTGCCCTGATGTGGCGGGAGAAGCTGACGATCAGGTCGCATGGTCCCCAGACTCCCGGTTCGTCGCCGTCGGCGGACAAGACGACCTCATCTCGATCTACTCGCCGAGAGAACAACGGCTCGTTGCGCGCTGTCAGGGCCATTCCGCTTTCGTAACGTGTATAGCGTTTGACCCGATCAGGGGGAGCGGAGGTGGTGGGTATCGGTTCGGGAGTGTCGGGGAGGACGCCAAGTTGCTACTGGTAGGTCTACGCCCTAAGCCGATTGATCAAGACAAAAGCAGAAGACTCACTTCTCTAGTGGGACTTCACAGCCGCGTCACTCCATCGACCACGGCATCACGGGCACGTCCCGCACGGCTCGCAGCACCGCCTGCCACAAGGAATGGGCTCGACCGTGTCCTTGAATGCGCAGGGCGAAGCAGCCAATGGGCTGAAGGGCGGCCGATTCCATGCTGCACCGCCACGGAGCGAAGTCGCTCTTCTCCAGCCTGTACTAGTATGTTCCGTCCCACCTCTTCCTCTTTCCGCTTCAGCGGTGATCGTACACCAGAGCGTCTGAGCTGACCCTTTAGGCCCGCGTCGTAGAAGGCAACCTTCTCACGGGCGTCCACATGTCCCCCAACGCAATCGTCACCATCTCGCGCTCCGCCCAGGTCAAGTTCTGGGCTAGACCGCCAAGGGTCTCGGCGAAGACTACGGCGATGCTGAGGAAACGGGTCGGGAATGGGGCGAGCGCCGGTGCTGGAAGGAGGGAGGAGCTGGGTGGCGAATTGCGCGCTGGTCGTGCGGGAGTTCTGGCTTGAGCAGTCAGCGCAAGAGGGAGAGATCTACGGCCACATGGAATGTCGAGGAGGGGAAGCGGATCTGGCTGGTCGAGCGAGGTGCAGGGTAGACCGGAGAGTGGAGAAAGTAGAGATCTTGTCTGTTGCGCGTGCGAGTAGTGAAGATAATCAGAGAAGTATCGGAGATTGTATGCAGCTTGATATGCCTGGTCGTCTCGAGTCATCCCGACCATCAAGCATAGAGGTACAAATACTGTACAACGTGTTTGACCCCTTATACAATCTTATAGTCCTATAATTCTGGGTCCCGATCCTTAGCCCAATTGGTCATTCTCACTATGCCCCCTCGTCCTCCCCATCACCCTCATTCTGCCTATCCATCAACTCCTTGCGCTCCCTCTCCAACCTCTCCCGTTTCCCCTTCAACATGATGACCTTCCGCCTCTGCGCAATTGTCAATTCCCTCATCTCCAATCCGTCCAGCTTGCTCTTTCCTCCCCACCCGTCCCCCTCTTCCCCATTTTCCTCCTCTGTACCTTCCTCATCCTCCTGGTCTCCAGCCTCAGGCAGATCAGGCTGAACGACCATAGTTGGGACAGCCCTGGCCGACTGAACGATCGCCAGCCTCTCCTCCAGGATCGCCACCTTCCTCACTTGCGACGCGACCGCTCCTTCCGCCTTGGCTATCAGGTTCTCGATCTGCGGGGCGAGGGACGTGGATACGGCAGCTTGATGTGACTGGACTTGGGTAGTAGGGAGGACGAGGAAGTGCTAGGTCGAGTCAGCTCAGTTCTGGACGTCCTTCGGCGAGGATCAAGTATGGGGCCATGGAGCTCACGTGATTATTGGAGAGGATCTTGCTCAGCCTCGGCAGATCCCTGATCCCAGGCTCGAAACGCCCCAGGCTGGCCTGCAAGCTCGCAGCGGCAGCTTCGGTAAAGTTGACGCAGTCGTCTAGGTGGCTGAGGAGGTCCAGGGCGTTGGAGGGGTAGACGGATTGACGGGCCATGTTGCTGCTGCTGCTGCCGCTGATACTGTTTCTGTTCCAGGCGGTGATGAGATATGTGATGACAGTGACAGCTACTGCTATGGGTCTCGTGGTAGCATATACGATAGACTAGAAGGGGAGTCGTGATGAAGGAAGGGGCCAAGGGGGAAAGTCAAACGCGTCGCGTGGACACCGACTTCTGAAATACCTCCTATTGGGAATCTCATAACGCCGTTAATTCCCGTGTGTTGCGTTGGACCTGAACCGACCGACTTCGACCGACATCAATCTGCGCCTACCGCCACTTGCCTATCTCTTCACTTTCCTGCTTACTACCCACCAAGCTGATCTAACACACAATGTCCCAAGCCCACCGACCCACCTGGAACCCTACCCAAGGGCGCGAAACCAAAGCCGGCTCCCAGCAGATATCCAAGCACTCGGCCGCATCGCACACCAAGCTCAAGTTCCGTCAACCGGGGCAGACGTCCGCTTCGGACGTGGCCAGGCGGGATCTCCGCGCGGAGCTCGCAGAGGCAGAACGGATCGCAGCCGAGAAGAAGCGGAAAGCGGCGGGTCTGCCCGCTTTGCAGGCGCCGGCAGGGGCGTTGAGGATCGATGAGGGGGAAGAAGAGGAGAGGGTGAAGAGGCGGAAGGTGCTTGAGGAGGCGCTGCAGGCTGATCGGGATGATGATGATGACGATGAAGACGAGGTGGAGGTGCTCGGAGAGGGAGATAAGGGGAAGGGAAAGGCCACGGTGCAGGATGCGGATGATAGTGATGAGGAAGAGGAGGATGAGTGAGTTTGCTAGCATGTTCGCCGTTTTTGAGGGGCAGACCAAGCTGACGATTTAGCGACGACGATGACTCGGACGACGAAGACGACACGGCTGCTCTGATGGCTGAGCTGGCCAAGATCAAGCAGGAGCGAGCAGAGGAGAAGGCCCGAATAGTGAGTGTTTTGGTACGACTCAATACCACCCGGCCTCTTCGCCAACGGCAGGTGCTCTCTCCCTTCCCGACCCTTTATCTCTACATAATGCTTGTTGCGTATCTGCTGCTGGAGTCCCCGCTGACAAACAGGACGCCGAAACCTCCGCCGCCTCCGCCGCCTCCCGCGAAGCCGAAATAGCCACCGGCAACCCCCTCCTCAACCTCCAAGCCGCCCTCGGCCAGACCCCCGCCCCTTCGACACCCGGCACCCCCGCGTCCTCGTTTGGCGGATCGACCTCTGGCGGCTTCGCCGTCAAGAGGAGATGGGATGACGATCTGATCTTCAAGAATCAGGCCGCGGGGATGGACGATAAGCCCAAGAAGGGGGAGTTTGTGAATGATTTGTTGAGGAGCGAGTTCCACAAGAAGTTTATGCTCAAGTGAGTTACGATTTCCTTGGTTTCTAGACCGTAGGGAGTCGGAGCTGACTGTGATAGGTTCATCAAGTAGGCAAGCAGCGCGAGAGGCGCGAGAGGCGGTATGTTGTACTGGACAGGCATGGGTGGGGAAGGAGAAGGGACTCAGCAGCGAGAGTGATGTTTTGCATGTACAGTATCTTCACAGAGCCGCCGCTCTATAGTGTCTCCACCGCTACATCAGCTCCTCGGGGATGCTCAGGACCAGGCTGCGCGAGCTGCACAGGGTAGCAGATGGGGCTTTTCCAACGATCCTCTGCTGTTGGAAATGAGATCTGAATATCCGGCAGAAGCAGCAACAGCGAAGCTGAACGTTTGGACATTTCACCTTCAACCCTCTGTACTCTCCGTAGCTCCCACACAATCCCCCAGCACCGCTCAGCATCATGATTGCTCCTCTCCGCTCTGCTCTGCGACCCGCCGCTGGCCTGCTCCGGTCTGCATGCATCGCGCCCCGGGCGAGCCCCTCCTACTCCGCCTTCCGTTATCTCTCCAGTATGTCCGCTTCTTTCTGTCCTGCCTTCTAGCGGCCGCGCCTTCCGCGCAAGATCAGCAGACATACGCTAGGCTCCTCGGCCGTGCGACCTATCAATCACATTCGTATCATGCGCCGAGCTCTGGCCGCTCGTCCCAGCTCATCACCGACCGTCGCCGTCACACTGGCTTCATCCTGTATCCCGCACCTCGAACTCAGCTGACACCTCTAGCACGCTTTACGACCGACCACGAGTGGGTCAAGTTTGACCCGGCGACCAATGAGGGTACTGTCGGCGTGACCGACTATGCCCAGAAGGCACTGGGGGACGTGGTCTTCGTAGAGTTGCCGCAGAGCGGGACGGAGATTGCGCAGGGAGGTGAGTTTGGGTTGGCAGGATGGGCTGGGCCTGGAATTGGGCTTGGATTCGGGTGCGGATGGCCCGGACGGGATAGCCGGGTAGATCGGGAACAGGGACATTCGGGCTGAGCGTGAACTGAAGAGGATGCTGTGAGCCTTGAAGGTGGAGGGGCTCGTGGCTCTCCAGGACGTCATAAGGAGCGGGAGGAGCGATGCCCGGCCTGGCGATAGGAGAAAAGCGTTGGGGGATAGCAGCAGCGCCGGGCTCAGCGCATCGTTGGCGATATCAGCCTCCTTCCCATTCCCTCCAGCATCACCCCTGCCCACCCGATCCACAGCTAACGTCCAGACTCCATCGGCGCCGTCGAGTCCGTCAAGGCCGCCTCGGACATTTACGCACCCGTCTCGGGCATCGTCACTTCAGTGAATGAAGCTCTGGGGGAAAACCCGGGTCTTTTGAACAAGTCGCCGCAGGCTGATGGTGAGTTGCGTCTCTGCTTGCTGGAATTTCATCCCTGGCGGGGTGTACGCATGGGATGAGTAGGACAGAAGCCGCTCGGAAGGGGTGCAAGAGGTGCAAGGGGTCTCTGTGACGGCCGGAGCGGGGAGTCCAGTCCCTAGACTGGACATAACTGACTCTGCAGGATGGCTCTGCAAAATCAAGCTCTCGGACCCCGCAGAGTTCGAGACATTGCTCGACTCAGAGGCGTACAAGGCGCACTGCTCAGGTGCATAGTCCGCTCGCGGGCTAGCTCGCGGACTAGGGGAGGTTTAGGCAGGAACGAGATGCATCTAATCAAATCACACTCCTGTTCTTATCTATCTTGTTCAAAATACAAAGCTTCGACTCCTATCACCCGCTACTCGACGACGTCCTACTCTACTTTCCATCAAAGAGCGTCTGGTTGCCGCTTCCCGGTCCCTGCAGCTTGGTGGCATCGGCCCCCAATGGGCTTCCCTCGCCTGGGAACGCAGCGGGCGGGACGGTCGTACCCACATGACCACCCGTGTTTGGGTTGACGGGGAGGTGCTGCCCTTCTTGGCCCGGGACGTAGGCTGATGAGGGCACAGAGGACTCGTCGATTCCTTCTGCGGCTAAAGGGGTCAGCTCTTACCCGCACAAATGTCCCCGCTTGGACTGGTGTGGTAATTTGAAACGAACCTTCAATGATATCGTACATTTCGGAAGCGATCTCCGGGGCCGGCACTCTTCCGCTATACCTATCAGCTTGATTGGATCCTGACCCAGTGACACCTCTAGCTGCTCACGTCAGGATATCAGTCGACGAGATGGCGCTCCCGTAGAATTCCTTGTTGGCGTCTTTGCGCTCAACGAGGATCGTCCCATCCAGCGTCAAGCCCGCAAAGAGGCCTATAACCTATCAGCTCTGGTTCCCGGAGATGGCTGACGGGCACCAAGGGCGATCGAGCTCACCCTTTGAGCGAGAGTAGCTGAACATCGCAGCAGGGTTGGCGAGCGATGCGGCTACCTGACCACCTGTACCGAGCGGTCCGGCAGCTGCAGAGATACCTCCTGTCCAGATCAGCTACTGTCTCAAATACGAGCCACGGACAGCTGGGAAGACGTACCGCCTACTGTGACGTTCCCGCCGCGCGAGAAGGCCTTGACCGCCTCGTCCGAGTTCAGCACAATGACGACCTCGGTGATATCTGCGCGGAGTCAGCTTGGTCCGCCATGAATGACTCGCTGGTACAGTACAGAAAGCTCACCCGCTCCAATCTGCAATCCCCATCCGACACCGGCCGTGGCGATACAGCTGGGAGCAGACCAGCTCCCGTCCGGCAGACGAGCAACGACGAGCCCTGAGCCGGCTTTGCCTGAGAATACGAAGCCAGCCTTGAGGATGGTGAATACTGCCAGGCCTGATATGTCAGCTCAGACTTGCTCTCATGGAGACAGCGGAGCAAGCAGCTGACCTTTGGCGCGCAGGAGAACAGCCTTCGGGATGGAGTTTATGGCAGTTTGCGGGTTTGAGGGATTGGCTGCAGCTCGTCAGCGACTGGTCATACAAGTCAGGGGCAATGATCCCGTCCCGAGACTCATCCTCTTCGTAACAATAATGAAGACTGACCAAGGAAGCCTTTGAGGATTTTGGCAGCTTTCGCACTCTCGCCCGGCAGAGAGAAGCTCTGCATGAGCCCCGTCCCGCCCGTAGAAGCCCGAGATGAGCCTTCCTGAATGATCAGTACCATCCTCACTGTGCCCTTGCTCCCGAGCTGGGCAATATATAGCTCGACCAGGGGAAACGGGAGAACGTGCGCCTTCAGGCCTGGACCTCGGACCCACCTTGAGCATCGCGGACGCCTGGCCGCCTACGCCCGCTGCGGTATCGCGGGCTTTATTGATGAAGCCGCCGAATTTTGATTGCATGATGAGTGTAGTATCAGTCTATATTGTTTAGGTCAAGTCAGTAGGTCTAGTAGTTATAGATGGATAAGAGGTGGACTCGGGGGCTGGAGGCTGGAGCAAGCCTGGAGCGGTGCGGACGTCATTGTGGAGTCTCCACATAGCGGGAGTAGTTTTTGAGTCAGGCACGAGTGTGGCAGCTCCGCCCCACATTCCTCGTTCTCTCCTGCTTGTACAGCTGCTTGTACATCTTGTCAAACGGCTATGAGGCTGCCTACATCTGCTTGCAGGCAGCAGACGCAGCAGCAGACGTGAGCTGCATAGGCTCTGCCGATGATTGGATAAGATCTTGCACCGATGTTCCACATCGTCCCGGGCGGGTGCCAGAGAGATTCCTGCCTTTTCTTCCTGCTAGCCGTCTTGCACGCCCAGCCTCTGTGTTCCGTCGAGTGCTGCCCTGCTTGACGCTTCCTCTCCTCCCCCTCTCACTTGGATGCCACCTCTGTATCTCGACAGCTTGAGATCTCCGCCACCTCCGCGTCAGTCTCGGCGTCACCCAAGGCGAGACCCTAATTTATTTTCAGGGTCCCTCGACGCGTCGCGACGCGCCCAAAGTCAACTCAAAATGCGATCAACAAGTGGCGTGTCTGAGAATCATCAATTCCCTTCCGCACCCTTCCCTTCCCTTCCCTTCACACCTCTCCCTGTCTGCATCCGTTTCATTCCATCTTCTTGTTTACTCCTATCCATCCCTCAGACATCTAGTGGTGCTATCAACAAACGACAGCAGCGATCAGCGATCAGACCTAGACGGTTTAATTCCTGGTCCTCATCACCTCCGACATCCGCATCAGACGCAGCGCGTCTCATCTACATCCATCAACCCTTCGCGTCCCATCGTATCCCCGCACCAGCATACCCATGTCGATACCGGTGTTCCACCCGAACCATCCCCACAACCGCCCTCAGTATCCCATCCCCACCCCCCTCGCACCGGGATACGATACCAACATTCCCCGTATGCCTTCCGCGTCGGCGCGCTCGCGCAACCCTTCGGCGGCGCCACCGTCCTCCTACAAGTCTCCTGGTGGGATGAGCGATTCGGACGCCTCGGTGGGGTCCAGTCCGAGTAACAGGCGGTGTTTCTGCGGCAGAGAAGTTGTGGATGGTGGAATTTACTGCTCTATCGGTACGTATACCCCCTGTTCCAGGTGGACATTGGCTGACGTGACAGACTGCGCACGATCAGACGCTTTCACCTCATTATGCTACAAGCCAGGCGGGCCGAGCACTTCCGGACCAATTCCTACCCATCCACCCAGCCTCGGCTCGGCCATGCCTACCCCATCCGCGGAGTCCACAGACGGCCCCGACTGGAATGCCTCGCACTACCGTCGCATGGCGCGCGCGGATTCACGGCGGGATGAACGTCGAGAAGAACGTCGGCGGCGTCGCGCTGAAGGATCTATTGCTTCATCCGCCATCACCTCACGCTCCGCTACTCTTTCTACCGTCTCGTCATCCTCGTCCCGCGTTCCCGACCTCGTCGGCGGCTACACCCACTCGCGGAACGCCAGCACCGCATCTACCGCGTCGTCCGTCTCTGGCTGGTCCGGCTCGACGCTCTCGCGCAATCCATCCTCTGCGTCAAACATCTCTTCCGCGTCGAGGCGATACAGGGGCGACGCGGTCGGCGTGATCCAGGAAGATGACGATGAGGAGGAGTATCTTGATACTCGGCCGTATCCCCTCCCTGGGCGCGGCGCTGGCGGTATGGGGATGAGTCTCAGCGGGATGGGCGGCGGAGCTTTGGGTGGCCACAAGAAGAGCCGGTCTGGCCACACCAAGCGAAAAGGGGCAGAACCACCAATGGGGATGGGCAAGGATATGCGGGATATCCTAGAGGAGATCATTTCGATGGAGAAGAGCTTCAGCCTCGAGGATGAGATTATCCTCGGGGAGGACAGCGCAGTCGACACGCCCGTCCCTGCCCCAGGGCTATTTACCGCTGTATTCGACAAACCACCCAGAACGCCCTCGCCCATCTCGCATCGGCGTACACGATCCGTGGCTCCCGACGCGCCCCTTCGGGGCACACACCGCGCCTCCATGTCCCTCTCGCAACACCCCTCGGGGCTCGCCCCTCCTCCTAATCCCCAGCGGCATTCCCGGTCCCGCCCATCAAGCCTCATGGGGCTACACCAGTCCTCCCTCTCGGAATCGCATACCGCGCTGTACCTCGCCACAGCGTCCCCGGTGGCTCCAAGTCGACGATCCGCCAGTCCCAAATTGCGCTCGCGGAATTCGCTGTCTTTTACCCCAGAGTCAGCGGGGCCAGCCATCAACCTCTCGGCTGCGCGGTTCGGGGGCGGCGGCATCGACTCGCCCGCATCAGCTTCGGCGTTGACCCCGTCCGCGCGGCGCCGACCCCAAGTCTCGCCCAGTGCGGCATACGCGCCAATGGAGGGTTGGCGGTTTCCCGGCAGTACCTCTGGGTTTGGCGGAACAACCACTCCTCGTGGACCTCAACAACCATCCCAACCCATCGCCCAGCCCGCCTTACTCCCCGAACACAGTCTTCCTCCGCACCTCCTCTGGCCACCCCATCCCCAATCCCTCTCCCAATCGCAATCACAGCCCACGTTCCCCACTTCCCCCGGGGCCGACACGCCGACTTTTCTCGCGCCACTCTCGCGTCCGGGGCAAAATATCAACTTTACCCCTGGCGCATTGACGGGACCCGGTGACTTTACCCCGCCGCCGAGCGGTTTGAGGCTGGGTGTTCTGCTCGGAAGTGGGGATGAGATGGAGGTGGATGACGAGGATGATGGGAGTACGGCGCATGGCCATGGACATGGGCAGCCAATGGGGGCGAGGGAGTACTTGCCGGTCTTTCTCGAGGCGGAGGGGTTTAGGGGGCGGCAGTGGGCCTCGTGAGCTGGGCTGCCTCAAGGCGGGAGAAGGGGGAAGGAGGGAAGATCTTGATGATCACCTACCATCCCCTACTCGGGCGGACGCATGAAGATTGCGGACGACCGAGACACGATTTGACGAGCTACGATACACGGTATTACCCTCACCAACATGGTCCTACGTCCTACACCCTAGAAACGACCCATCTACGTATATCATATCGACAATCACGAAGGACGCAGCTGTGCTGTACGGAACGATAGACAGCTCGGCAGGTTTCCGAGCTGGATCACGAGGGGGACGGAAGGGGACAAGTGGGGAAAGGGCCGGGAGACGCGGGTTGTAGATCATCTTTAGACAGACCATTTGTACGCTTCAATAAATAGCATATATCTTTAGCTTAAACCCATATCTCTATATCTTCATTGTCAATAGACCCAAAATGCATTTGGATCCAGGTTGTACCATCTTCTACCAAGCGGGGAGATTAGCCGTCCAGTCCAGCATAGACGAGGAGGAGAGGAGCAAGCAGAACCAAGTCATTTTGGTGATACAGCTTGAGAATAGCATAATAATAAGCCCTCTAGCAAGTACGGCAATCAACCAGGTCAAGCAAGACGTAACAACAATCAGCCATCGAGGCTATACACAACCCCCTTGCTCTCCACTCGCCTCATCTGCCCGTCGCTCTGTGATCTAACGAACTCCTTCCTGCTCCCGCGCCCGCTCCTGCCGGAATAGGAGGCACCATCTCCCCCTCTTCTTCTCCGCCCCACCTAAACTCAAACCCGCCCAGCCCCTCACTCACGCCACTCATCGCCGTCATTCTCGAATTGGGATTTGAATTCGGATTGGCCGTCCGACCGGCTGTTTCGGGGATCCGGGCGGATGGGAGCGAGGCGAGATCGTCCGTATTGGGAGGCACGAATGGGAAGGCGCCGAGGATGGAGTCTGCGATGGATGCGGAGGTTGTGGGACGGGGTTTAGCGCCGGAGGTAGAGGAGGGGGAGGCACGGTAGGATGGAGGAGGTGGTGGAGGGGTGCGTGTTGTCGCTGCAGCTGCAGTTGCGGTGGCGGGAGAGGCAGAGGAGGAGGAAGGGGGAGCCTCAGGCCGAGGGAAGTGCGCCACGTCGAGGGTAGCGGCCGAGCTGGACTGGGGGAAGTGGTTGTGCGAGTTCGAAGAAGGGTAGGCGCCACTCGGAGGGATCATGGGGAATCCACCCAGGACAGAATCCGCCTCGCTCCGACTAGACATCATGCTCTCCCTTCCCATCTGGCCGTTGCCGTTACCGGTAGCCCACGGGGCGCGAGGGGGTACCGGCCCAAACGTCGAGTCCGGGCGAGCGAGGTATCGGTCCGTCGCCATCGAGCTCACGCTCTCGCTATACGCCAGCGAGCCCATTGAGAAGCGCAGGTCCGTAGGGGATACACCCGGCGGAGGGTGGTGGTTTGGATCAGGAGAAGGCATCTCTTCCGCCTCGTCGTCGTACCGCCGTTCCGCCGATGTGGGGGTGAGGGTCCGGTAGTTCCCGTCCGGCATCGGCTGGGGCCCGGGTACCGACCCCGATCCTGACCCTGACGGGGCAGAAGGGGGATGTTGGATTTGTTGTTGACCAAAAGACACGACCTCGGCCTGGTGGAACCTGCCCATCTGGACGTGTTTCGACGTAAAGATCTTGGGCGCGTCCGTGTGCAAATCCGTAGTGTATCCAGAGGAGAAGGACGGAGCGCCCGACGTTCCCGAGACAAAGCTATCCCTGATTCGCCCTCCAGCTTCGGCAGGGGACCGCTCATCTCCCTCCGCACCGTCCGGTACAGCCCCGCCATTCAAGCGCAGGTCCAACCCGGGTGCACGCGCAGGTCGGAGTGGCGCTCCTCCCCGCAACAGATTCTCCCGCGCCTCATTGAGTTTCCTTGCAGCCTCGCCATTCCGCCTCCTTTCATCCTCCCCGTTCTCTTGGCCGTGCCCGTGCCCGTGCCCGTCAAGCGGCGGACCCGTCCACTGAATCGGGATGATCCGAGTAGACATACTCCCGTCCGAACGCTCAGTTTGGAAACTCCCCCCGTCGCCTCCGTTGTTATCGGTGAAGGGATCACCGGCGCCGTTGTCTGGATGCCCGGACCCAGATTCGCCATACTGCTCTGCTTTGGACTTCTGGGGCGGGCGCTGAGATCGGCGCTGGCCAGAGGCGGAGTGGGGAGGCTGAGAGAGGGCAGATTGGGATTGACGAGATGAGCGCGGGTTCGAGCGGGCGGATGGGAGGGAGCGGGCTGAGCCGGGCGCAGGAGAACCAGGCTGGGAGAGGTGGAAGCCTGCGATCTCGGCTTTACGGGCTCGAGCGGCGAGTTCTTCGAGGCGGGCCAGGTCACGTCGCTGTCCAAATCAGCTATGGCCTGCAAATCCAAATGGGGACAGGAAACACGCGCTAGCTGATGCCAAGACCCACCTTCTTTCTGCGGAGATACCAAAACAAGACCAAACTCGCAATCACCAAGATTGCCACCACCGGTCCTGCAATCACCCCGGGGTTGACGCCTCCCCCGCCCGCATTGGGCTTCTTGTTGCACTGGATCGCAGGGCACTGGGAGCACGTCCTGGGATATCAGCTACTGTCCTCATACCTCTTACTGAAGAAGACATACCGGGATGTCAATACGCAGTTCTCGTCTGCTGCGCAATTACATGTCGGATTCTCATTGTCGCATGAGACGCACTGCCGGGAGTGGAGCTCGAAGCCGCGGTAGGTACGTGGCGGGAGTTGCGACATGCCTCTCCGACGATAGGTGTTCTAGGTGCGGGGCGAAGGGGATCCAGCCCGTTCGTTGGTTTGTTCGGACGAGACGAGACGATGATTATCGACGCGATATGTAGTCTGCTGGGACTAGAGTGATAGATGGTCGTCGAGTAAGGTGCAAGGCGGGCAAGGTAGCTTTGGGTGTCGGAATGCTAGTCGCTGAGGGTACAGGAGAGGAGAGGAGAGGGCGAAACCGCAGACGAGGTGTTCGACTGCCAGAGGTAGAAGGCTGGACCCGGGCCTGGACGAGGGAGACCGAGGTACACCTTCAAAGGGACCTGGCTCTGGTGCGCGTAAGAGGCGTACGGTGGGCAGACTCGCACGCGGGCGAGGTACGAGGGGAGAAAGGGGTAGTCGGGTGGAGAGGGGGAGGTGATGAAAGGAGGGTCTAGGGGATATGTGTGGGACGTGTGTTTGGTCCGAGGTGTGTTGTGTCGTAGCTAGGGTGTCGTGTAGCGCGTCACGGACGTGCAGAGGTCGTTATACGATAGCAGGGCGGGGCGAGTGGGTGCCCGGTCCGATGAGGTAGAGGTGTGGAAGGACGAGGGGTGTGCAGGAGCTGCGGTGAAAACCTTGCTAGCCCCTTGTGTTTTGAGTTTGTCGTTGTCCGAGCTCCGAGCTCAACGCGTTTCTCTCGGCCAGCGAGAGCGAGAGCGTTCGGCTCGTTCGTACGGGGTCGTGTAGAGTCGTGCAGTCTTCCAGAGACTGTGGGCGTGATGTCTATGTAGTTATTTATGGATGATGAGGTGAAGCTGACAGAGACCAGAGTGGTCGATCTGGCGTGGCGAGAAATGACAAGCGCTGGTCGTCAAGCAAGGAACGCGCCGAGGCCCAGAGATCAGGCCTTCAGGGCCCTGAAAATCCTTGCGCTTTTAGGGTGTTCGAAGGAGGGATCGTCGTTTAGCGCAGTACGCTAGGACAAGGCACAGCTGGAGCTCAGAGCTCAGAGCGATAGGGGTGCAGTCAGCAAAGAGATGCAGAGGCAACTAGTTGTTCACAGCTTATGAACAATGCATTATTTCCTTGCAATTTGCTTTTCCCCTCCTCCCCTGAAGGCCTAACCCTCTTCCGCCAAAGCTCCATTCTCCCCTTCTAGCCATTTACTGTCCCATCAGCTCTTCTCTCTGTCATCTCATCCCCGAAGCAGCAGCACTCACCGTAATCACATCCGGCTTGTCCCTCCCGGTAAACTCCTGCAACTTGCTAGTCGCCAACGCGACCTCAATGAGCGGCTTGAGCCCATCCTGCGCATCGTGCCCATACTCGCTCGCGTCCTTGCTATACTTTTCCACGTAGAGACGCACCGTCGCCCCGCTGGATCCCGTCCCCGAGAGCCGGAAGATGATGCGCGAGCCGTCCTCGAATTTGATGTAGAGCCCCTGGTTCTTGGAGACGGAACCGTCGATGGGGTCGGTGTATGAAAAGTCGTCGGCCTCTTTGACGGTGAATGACGTGGAGGAGGTGGTGGCCTTGAGGGACTTGCCGACGAATCCGGACGAGGCAAAGGTGTCGCGCAGGTGGGACATCATCTTTTCGGCGCCTTCAGACTCGCATTCCTCGTAGTCGTACCTAGGGGTCAGCTGACGCTCTGCGCAGGCTGACATCCATTTAGCTTACCTGGAGAAGAAGCTCCGGCCGTACTTGTTCCAGTGCGCCATGAGAACGTCGTTGATCCCCTGACCAGCCTTCTCCTTGTTGGCAGCGGCAAGAATCGACATCCACGCTGTCATATCAGCGAAAGCTCACACCGGTATCGAGCACGCAGACTCACCGACGACAGCCCACACACCGTCCTTCTCACGAATATGGTCACTTCCCGTCCCGAAACTCTCCTCACCGCAAATGCTCAACCTGCCCGCATCCATCAAGTTCCCAAAGAACTTCCATCCGGTCGGCACCTCAAACACCTCCAATCCCTTCTCCTTGGCGACGAGGTCAATCGCGCCCGACGTAGGCATCGACCTCGCCAATCCCTTGACGCCTCCCTTCTTAAAGTACGGGATGGCCTTCTCGGCCCAGTCCGCAATGATAGCGACCGAGTCCGAGGGGGTCACGAACGCGTGGTACCCGTAAATCATGTTCCGGTCGCCATCGCCGTCTGACGCCGCGCCGAACTGGATCTTCTCCTTGTCGACGCGCGCGACGAGGTCGTGGGCGTAGGTAAGGTTCGGGTCCGGGTGGGATCCGCCAAAGTCCGGCATGGGGACGCAATTTTGGATGGAGGATTCGTCGAGACCGAGCTCCTCGACGAAAATGGCGCGACCGTAGGGGCCAGTGACACCGTTGAGGGCGTCAAAGAGGACGGTCGGCTTGGGGCTCGTCTCGTGCAGCCAGGCCTTGATCATGTCAAAGTCAAAGATCTCCTTGAGGAGCTTGATGTACTCGGTGACCGGGTCGATGATGGACACGGCGAGGGGGCCGTGGGTGAACTCGCCGACTTTGGAGATGTCGAGCTAAGGGTTAGCGATGAACTCGAGGGAGGTATGGGAGCTGCAGGGAAAAATTGGAGGAGGTGCGAGGGGGGCATATGAACGGAGAGGAATGTAGGGGAACGTGCGAGCTACTCCTCTTCATATCCCGCACAACCTTGACCCTCCTTGAAGAACAGTCCTCTCTCTAAACATCAACTCACATCCGGAAGGTCCATCTGCTTGTACTCCTTGATCCCCTCGGAGATCTTGTAGATCCTGTTGGTCACCTCCTCCGGCGCCGGTCCGCCATTATCCGTGTTGAACTTGATGCCAAAGTCGTTCTCCGGTCCACCGGGGTTATGCGACGCCGTCAAGAGGATCCCGCCGTCCGTCTTGAGCTGACGGATAAGGGCCGATACCGCCGGCGTGGAGAGGATCGAGTCCTTGCCGAGGATGATCTTCTTGATGCCGTTTCCGGCGCTCAAGCGGAGGATGATCTGGACGGCCTCGGGGGAGAAGAAACGTCCGTCACCGCCAACGACGAGGGTCTTGCCTTCGGCCCCGCCGGGCATAGCGGAGAGGATGGCCTGCACAAAGTTCTCGGTGTAGTGCTCCTGTTGGAAGACCTTGACCTTTTTGCGGAGACCGGACGTGCCGGGCTTTTGACCCGGGTGGGGCTTGGTGGTGACTGTCTTGACTTCGTAGGACCTGGAAGTTAGCGGAGAATAGCTTGATTGTGGTGGTAGCTCACATTGTGTGGTGTGTGTGTGTAGTATGGGTAGATGATGGGAAGATTGATGGGAAGTGGTCGCGTTGGAGCAGAGTTGGAGCTTGGTTGGAGCGCAGGGTCAGTGCGGCACCAGCTATGTACTGCGTCATACCCCACAACGGTGATCGCCGCTCAGATCGCTAGGAGTTCCCTCGGATCTCCGAATGTGGCACTCTCTGCCGTCATCATATTTTCGCCCAAATCACGTCCACCTTGACAGCCCTCTCAGCTCACTCAACCACTCACTATCAGCTACAAGCTACAAGCTAGAGGAAGCCATGTCTTCCTCAACAACCACCTTCCCCCTCCCATCCTCCGACCTCGTCATCCTTCTCCTCGGCGCAGGCGGGCGGGAACACGCCCTCGCATGGAAGCTCGCCCAATCACCACGGGTCGCCAAGGTGCTCGTGGCGCCCGGGAATGGAGGGACGGAATTGATGGGTGGGAAAGTGGAGAATGTGGTGGTTGGTTATGGAGGGAGTAAAGGGTTTGGAGAGGTGGTGCAGCTGGCAAAGGAGAGCGGGGTGGCGTTGATTGTGCCGGGGCCGGAGTTGCCGTTGGTTGAGGGGTGTGAGGAGGTGTTTAGGAAGGGTGAGTTATAGTGCAAGACCAGAGTGGATTAGGTGCTGGGAGAGGGGGGAGGGATGATCGTGAGGGTAGGGGAGCGGAAGGAACAGGGGGGCGAGGAGATGTCGGAGTGGCCGTTGCTCCCAGCATACAGCAGAGCTCTTGTACCTTTAGCGATACTCGACCCGCCATCACACCGCTCCAGCTCACACCCCAGCTGGCATACCCGTCTTTGGCCCGTCCCCCGCCGCGGCCCTTCTCGAAGGCTCCAAAACCCTCTCCAAAGCCTTCATGGCGCGCCACTCCATCCCCACCGCCGCCTTCCGCTCCTTCACCTCATCCGAATACCCTGCCGCTTCCGCCTACATCCAGTCCAACCCCTTCTCGTCCGGCCGGTGCGTCATCAAAGCGTCCGGTCTCGCCGCGGGCAAGGGTGTTCTCATCCCCGAATCGACCGAAGAAGCTCTGAAGGCCTTGCAGAGCGTCATGGTTGACAAAGAATTCGGAGACGCAGGAGACGAGGTTGTCGTGGAGGAGTATCTGTCCGGGCCCGAGATTTCGGTACTGGCGTTCTCGGATGGGTATACGATTGTGCCGATGCCGGCGGCGCAGGATCATAAGCGGATAGGCGATGGGGATGTGGGGCCGAACACGGGCGGAATGGGCGCGTACGCACCGGCGCCGATAGCGACGCAGGAGGTCATGGAGCGGTGTGTCAAGGAGGCACTCGAGCCGACTCTGAAGGGGATGAGGCAGGATGGTGAGTTCAGCTTTCGTGTATGATGGTGTAGCCCGCCGAGCTCATGCTATAGGCCACCCCTTTGTCGGCATGCTCTTCACCGGCTTCATGCTCACTGCCGATGGACCCAAAGTGCTCGAGTACAATGTCCGCTTCGGAGACCCAGAGACGCAAGCGCTCATGATGCTCTTGGACGACGAGACGGATTTGGCGGAGGTCATGCTGGTGAGCTACAATCGTCTCTGCCATGTGCGAGGAAGTCAGCTGACCGTTAGGCCTGTGTCGAGCGTCGCTTGGACTCGGTCAAGCTGGGCTATCGCCAAGGATACGCCGTGTCGGTCGTGCTTGCCTCGGAAGGCTACCCCGGAAAGTACCCCAAGGGTGTGCCCATGCAGATCAACCCTGATCTTCCGCAAGGTAAGCTGTCGGGTCCACGGACGGAAAATAAAATGCTGATTCGCCAGGGGTCGAGGTCTTCCATGCTGGAACCGCCATCAAATCTTCCCAAGGCGTAACTGACGGCGGCCGTGTCCTTGCTGTCTGCGCCTTCGCTCCTACCCTCCGTCAAGCGGTCGACCAGGCCTATGCCGGCGTCGATCTCGTCGACTTTAGCGGCAAGACCTACCGTCGGGATATCGCCTACCGCGCCCTCTCCTCAGATACTTCCTCCTCCCCCGCACCCCCCGTCTCCCTCACCTACGCCGCAGCCGGCGTATCCGTCGACGCCGGTAACGACCTCGTGGACCTCATCAAGCCCGTCGTCAAGGCTACCCGTCGCCCAGGGGCCGACTCGGTCATTGGCGGGTTTGGCGGGGCGTTCGACCTGTCCGCCGCCGGCTACGCCGACCCGATCCTCGTCTCTGGCACGGACGGGGTGGGAACCAAGCTCCGCGTGGCGCTGCAGCACGGCAAGCACGACACGGTCGGTATCGACCTCGTCGCCATGTCTGTCAATGACCTCATCGTGCAAGGCGCGGAACCCCTCTACTTTCTCGACTACTTCGCGTGCTCCAAGCTCGAGGTCGAGGTCGCCGCGGCGGTCATTACGGGTATTGCGGAGGGATGCCTCGAGGCTGGCTGCGCGCTCATCGGGGGCGAAACGGCCGAGATGCCCGGCATGTACATTGGGGACGACTATGACCTGGCGGGTTTCGCCGTCGGCGCGGTGGAACGACATCTCATCCTTCCTCGGCCGGACATGATGGCGGGTGATATCCTCATCGGGCTGCCTTCGTCCGGACCGCACTCGAACGGTTTCTCACTCATCCGCAAAGTCGTCTCGTTGTCGGGGTTGGACCTGTCCTCTCCGTGCCCCTGGGCGCCTGACCAGAACCTCGGCGACAACCTCCTCATCCCCACCCGGCTATACATCAAGCAACTCCTCCCTGGGATCCGTGCCGGTCTTTTCAAGGGGATGTCGCATATCACCGGCGGAGGATTTACCGAGAATATCCCGAGGATATTCACGGCCCAGTCGGGGCTGGGCGTGACGCTCGATTTGGGTACATGGGATCTGCCGCCGATCTGGCGGTGGATGATGAAGACGGGCAATATCTCGGCGAAGGAGATGGCGAGGACGTTTAATTGTGGGGTGGGCATGGTGATTGTGGTGGGTGAGGGGCAAAAGGAGGAGGCGTTGAAGAGTCTGAGGGAGAATGGGGAGAGGGGCGCGTTTGTGATGGGGCAAGTGACGGGTAAGGCGGGGGTGGAGTATGAGGGCATGGATAGCTGGGAGATCTAGGGTTTGGATAGATGGGTCAATTTGGGTATTGTGTAGTATGGATCTTGTTAGTTGCTGGATGGAGCGAGGCACAGAGTTCTGATTGCGATCGCTTGCTGGCAGGATCCACGGCAGGAAATAGCATGGCGGACACAGGTAAGATGCATAGCCAAGCTTAAGATAGGGGATGATCACAGCTAGTTACAGATTCGTTATAGACATCAAAGTCGTAAAGCACGTCAAAGATCTCAGACATTCAGACACATTCTTCCGTCTCCCATCTGCCCTTCCCTCGATACCGACTCTTACTTTATCCCCGCAAGTAGCCTCCTCGCCGTCCGGACGTCCTTGGCCTCGACGAGGATATTGGCCGTATGGAATGTCGACGAGTAGAGCATCCGGATATTGGCCTGCTGCAGAAGCGTACTGAACCGTGTCACCAGTCCCGACTTGTCTATCTCGTCAGCCTGCAACCCGTCTTCTCAGGAGGAGAAGGACTCACCCAGATGATACACCGTGCTCCCATTCTCTTGCACCCCCACCCCACTCATATCCAGCTGTATACAGATCTTCCTCCCCTTCTTCCGCTGCTCCTCTCTCTCCTTTCTCTCTTCTGGCCCGAGCTTGCGGCTCGCACCTCCTCTGACATGGCCCTCCAGTGACAACCCCCTTCCTGGCGTCGAGCGACGCTTGGCCACTCTCCGTCCTGCGGATTCTGGGGACGCTAATTCAAAGCCCGCTTCGAGCTCGAGTGGGCCAGGGGTGGCGGGTACGGATTGGGTTTTGCGGTGTCGCGGCCTCGGCCGGTCGGCGTCGTCACTGAAAGGAGGACGGTGGAGCTGTTGATGGCTGAGGAGCGGGGCGGGGCGTCGGCGAGCAGGGCCTGGAGCAGGGAGTACAAAGTACCCTCCGGGCGATGTCGAGCCGGGATGCTCCTTCCTTGGAGGGTATGGGCTCGCTCGTGGCGTATCCTGATCCTCCTCCTGCCCTTCGTCCACATCCGTACCGCTATCCCGCTCCGTCTCCGACCCGCCGCCGCCCTCATCCCCCGACACACCCTCATCCTCAGTGCTCCACCCCACATCCGACCCTGACCCCTCTTCCCCCTCACCCATCTCATCCCCACACATCATGCCCTCTTCCAATCCCCGAAACATCCCCCGGATGACCTTGACCTCCGTCACAAGACTCGCACCGTCTTGCGTCCGCGTATAAGAGATGAATGGGCGCTCTGCGATTCCTCCGTTTGGCGAAGAGGCAAGAGACGGAGTGGGCGGAGTGACGTATTGCGTCCGACACCGGAGTGGCCATGTAAGGTATTTCTGGACCAAGCCGGTATGGAGCTGGAAGTTTGGGGAGGAGCGGTGGAAACCCACGAAGGCAAGTGGGGAGGGGAGGGGTGTGGTCAGGTGCCCTGGAGGAGAGGACGGGTGGCCGGTCGTGGGGTTGATAGCGGTGAGTGGCGGGGTGGAGTATGGGGCGGTGTTGGAGAGGGCTGAGCGGGGCCGGGGGGTCGAGGGGGTGGGCGGGGCAGAGGGGATAGGTGAGGAGAGGGAATGACGGGGTGAAGGGTTGGAGGTGGCGTTGATCGTCCCTAGTCGAGTCAGCGCTTCTCAGTACACCTGCAGCTTGATCTAGGATGGCTTACAACCGTGCGCTGCAAAGATGTCCGAGGCCAGCTCAAAGTCCGCCTCTTTTACCATGAGAAAGTCGGCGTGATAGCTCGACTGGTAGAGGATCGAGATGCCTGCTTTGGCGAGCGGCGCAGAGACGTAGCGGAGATGCGGGGAGTCTGGATATCAGCTAAATTCCTGTCGAAAGCGTAATCCACACGCGTGGTGACTCACCGTAATTGCCAGAATTATCATCCCCTACATCCCCCGAGTTGATCTCAAAAACCTTCCAGCCTTCGCTCATCCGGACGTCTGTGTGCCCCTCGGCCGCAGCGGCCCATTCGCGCGAGATCAGCTCTTTAGCCGCAAAGATCGCTACCTGGGATAGTCAGCTCGACGACCTTGGAGCCCGGAAGACAGTTTAGGCAAGGGGAATGGCAGAGGAGACAGCCTGGACATACCTCGATCCTGTTGCTCGTGATATTGAAGAACTCTTCTGATTCTGAGATGGCTTGCTCAATCGTCCAGTATACCCTAGATAGTTGTTCGTCCTCTTCTCCCTCGGCGGAAATCGGGATGTGGACAAGAGATACGGCGTCGTCTAGTGCGCTGAGGGATCAGCTGTGGGTCTACCACTTCCAGGATCCAGAAGGGGGGAATCTCTTTGGCCTGTTGGCAAAAGGACAGGCAAGAACAGGTGGAGGACTCACGTTATACTGATCGGGAGCATCCTAGGATCGACGCCTTCTTCAATGACCACGATCGTCGGCGGCGTGATGTTTGTCAGACTCTTAGGATGCGTCATTATATACAGTCCAGCCTTGACCCTAAGAAGCTCGACGACGCTCCACAGTTGACTCAAGCTCTCGTCAGCTTCCCGAGAGATGAAGAGGCAATGTCAATCGAGGAGAGCTCATCAGTGCTAACTCGCCCCGGCTCATCTCGGCTTAGCGGAAACTCAATCAGCGAGGACAAAAAGGAGCTGTTAAGGGGTTGCGAAAGGAGGGTCCCGAGTCGCCCCCTCCTTTGCTGCTGTAGAGTGCGGGGAAGAAGTACATCAGCGGGGATTAGCGCAGGGCCGAGGTACACAGGCACACACATACACATTCCTTTGACTTCGACTCCCCCGCGTTATCCCGCCCTGCTCGGAGTGGCGGCGAGCAAGCCGAGGCTGCGATGCGAAGTAGTGCTGTGCTTGCTTGGTGATCGCTCGCGCTCAGGATGCCCCTACATCCACCCCTCCTCGGTCCCCGGCCGACCCCCTCTCTCCCGCCCCCCTCCCGTCATCGCCGAGTTGAACTCGTACGAGGTGTCTCAGACTCTAGATGAGCGGAGACGGAGACGGCGGCGTCAGTACCTGGTGGACTGGGTGGGATATGGGAAAGAGGATTGCCAGTGGGTTTACGCTTCTGATTTTGACGAAGATGACGCACTGGTATTCGACTTCCCACGCCCAAAGCGCCCGTGGGGGTCGGGTCTTCTGTAACTCCCAACCTCCCAACCCAACAGCCAACCGCCAAACGCGATTTCCAGCCTTCCTCCCACCGCCTCCACTCCGCGTCGCTCGCTGCCAATCGTCCCAATGGCAGACCGCAAAAAGGTAATTTGTATGATGATGGACTCGTAGTCACTTTTCCAGAAATTGAATACTACGCCTTGCGACGAGTATCACGTTAGGATGTTTTTTTGCAACCAGCAACTGCTTCGACTCGGATTACTCCTCATTGTCAGAAGCTCTAACCCTAGCAGAAGGACTGAAAGGCAGAGGTCGGCGTCCATGAGGGCAGCAAAGGGCTCACACGCGAGTATCGGTGTCTCCGGCATTTTCTTAGTTGGCGAATAGAGTCCGTGCGATTTTTTTTTGCGTTTTAGGTGGATCTGATCATCTGGAGCTGGAAATCGACTCGAAAGAACCTATCAATAAGCTCGGGATGAGTCCCTCGACACACAGGATGGAGGAGAAGCAGATTCGGGAGAACCCCGAAAATTCTCATCGGCCTATTTACCCATCACTCCACTGACTTGTCATTCCATACTTACAGCTCACACTCAGCATGTCCAAACCTCACATCCTGATCGTCGGCGCCGGCGCGTGGGGTGCATCCACCGCTGTCGCCCTCCTCCAGTCTGGCAAGTACACGGTGACGCTCCTGGACCGGGCGGCCGTCTTGCCCGCCGAAGATGCGGCATCAACGGATATCAACAAGATCGTGCGATTTGACTACCAGGAGGAGGTGTATGCCGAGTTGGCGTTCCAGGCTCTAGGAGAGTGGAGGAAGAAGGAGTGGGAGGGAATGTACTTTGAGTGAGCATAAGAGTCAACACCGCTCATTACCAGATCTGGGACAGTCGTCGTCGCTCCGATCGTTGGCAAAGGTCTCGATCTCAACAAGACCATCGCCAATGTGAGCCGGCGCGGACCCGTCGTCACCCACTCCACACCGGAAGAGGTCCAGCGCGCTCTTGATCCCAAGGACAAAGGCGTCACGGGCGATATGACCGGTCGGCGGGGGTACAGCAATCCCTCTGGCGGATGGGCGGATGCCGCCAAGGCCACTGGTACCTCATCAGGCTTGCGGCCGAGCTGGGCGGGGAGGTCGTCCCCGCTGCTGAAGCTGTCGAGCTCATCATCGGCGATGGAGATGTCAAGGGTGTAAGGTGCAAGAATGGGCGCCAGTTCAAGGGGGACAAGGTGATTGTCTCGGCTGGAGCGTGGACGGCGGGGCTCTTGAAGGGTTTGCTGCCGGAGGGGTTGATTACGAGCACGGGCATCATGGTCGCGGCATTCAAGCTCAGTGAGGAGGAGTATGAGAGATACAAGGATATCCCGGTCATCATGGGGTTTGATGAGACCGGGTTCTACAGCATGCCGGTCAGTTGTCTCTCCCGGCTTACTGTACTATAGGCTTCGCTGACCGTACAGCCCACTCACGACCGGATGCTCAAGTTCGGCCTCGACGAAGCGGGCTACACCAGCCAGACTGGTACACCGCGGACCACTCTCACCCCTGGCGCTTCGGAGGAACACCAGAAGAACAACACCTGTACATTTACATTTCAGCTCAAAAAACCCCGGCCATGCCAGACCGGCGACTTTAGCTGATCATACAGCTTGGCTGCCTCGGAGGTCGCACGATGATATGCGAGTTGTCGTCAACATGTACTTTCCCGAGTTCAAAGATCGTATGTCTTCCCCTCGCTTGATCCTATCATCACCTTGATCCGTGTCCTCTTTGACCCCAGCTGCACTTTCTCCTCCTTCCCCTTCCCCCACATTCTCCTCTTGTCTCCGTTCTCTTACCACCGCCCAGTCTACCCGCTGACAATCCAGGCCCATTCGACTTCACTCGCATGTGCCCCATCCCCGCCTCGTTCGACGACCACTTCGTACTTGACTACACCAAGCAGTATCCCTCGCTTCTCGTGGCCTCAGCAGGAAGTCATCACAGTTACAGCAAGTTCACTCTTCGCCTCCTTGTCTCCTCTACTGCCTCTTCCGTTCGACATCCCCTTTGAGCGTAGTTCCCCCGTCCAATTATTCCCCCTCTAGAAGTTCTCATCCCGAGCATCCCCTCGTGGTCGCTCCTCCCTCTTTGGCTCTCTCGCACTCCGCGTCACTCTGCCTTGGAGTCAATACCATTTTGTCTGCTAGCGGCTTGAGCTGACTTCTCAGAGATGATGCCCATCATCGGCACCCTCGTCCAGCAGCGCCTCGAGAACACGCTCGACCCCGCCCTCACCGCACTCTGGGCGATCCGACAACCCACCGCAGCCGCCGACGAATTTACCCACTCCAAAGCTACTGGGAAGGTGGATATCGAGGATGTGGTCTTTGCGGGGGAGGGGGAGGTGCCACAGGTCAAGGGCAGTGCCATCTTGGGCAAGATCGAGGGAGCGGTGGAGGTCGTGGCGGTCACTGCCTGAAAGCGTCGCTGAAGGGATGAGGGGTCGGGCGATGCTTCGGAGTGTTCTGCTCAGCATAATGGATAGATTTACGAGTATTATGAGAGCGATGCAGGCACAGTTGATGACAGCGAAGGTGCCATGTATCACACTAGAACCGGATACGACCCTCCACTCCATGTGAAAATCTGACTCCTGCCTCAGCTAGTCCGTTTGCGCCACTCCACCAAGCTCCCTTAGATCCATTCCCCCCGACTGCCCACCCTTCGACCTACTTGCCTCTCGAAGATTGACTTAATGGCCGTACTTCTTCCCAATGGCAAGGCCTCCTTCCGCCCTTCCCCGTCTCTTTCCCCACTTCCGCTTAGCCCGAAGCAGCGGCAGAGGAGTTCAGAGGCCCAGCCACTGGCTGAATCTATGTACAGAGGCGGACGGCAGTCTGGGAACGTCTTGCATGTGATGATATGTGATAGATCTAATAGAACGATCTAGCGGTATATGTACGGACAGTTGTGAGAAAGAGGCACCATATGTAAATAGCTCGACCAGTCATATCCCTCCGCACAGCTCTCGCCTTCCCCCCTCTTTCCCCTTTTACCCTCTTTCCCTTCCCCCTTCCCGCCTCCTCAATCCCATCCACCGCACCCTACGCCGCCGAGATATAATTTTTCGCCTCCTTATCCATCACGTCCTTACAGTGCCTCCGCAACTTCGCCACCTCCATGTTGCTCTCCTTGGCCACCCCCTTCCAGTCTGCCTGATCATACCCCTTCGCCACCGCATGCCAGATGGCGAGACGATGCTCCTTGTTGATCCCACCCGCTTTGGTTGCCTTCTTGGCCGGCTTGCCAGCGAAATGAGTAGCGAGGTCCTTGAAGAGGACATCCCGCCAGTGTCGGGAGAGCTTGGTCGAGTCGGGGTCGTTGTCAAAGGAGGAAGCGACGGATTTGAAGTTGATAGACTTGAGGTAGGTTGGGGTGATGAAGGCCTCGAAGATGACGCTTCTGATTGCGGGGGTACTCTTGTCGACGGGTGAGGGCTTGGGGGATGTTGAGTTATCGGAGGGCGTGCGGCTGTCTGGTGCGGCCTGATCACGTCAGCTGAAGTCCTTGCCTTTTCGGACTTGCTGCACATACCTTAGCGACTCTCTTCTTACCGTTCGCAGGCGATGCGGGCTTCCTTCTCTTGGTCTGCTACAGTCAGCTTGTCATTTAGCTTTCAGGTAAATAAGGCAGGCGCTCACCGGCTCCTCCTCTTCCTCTCCGTCCGCCTGTCCATCCTCGTCCTCGTCATCGTCCTCTTCTGGAGCGCTATCCTTCCCACGTGCAGGCCGGCTCCTCCAGCTCATCCTCGGCATCATTTTGATCGGTAGTGAAGAGCTCCAGATCCTCGGCACATGTACTCGCCTTCTCGTTCTCGCTCTCCTCTCCATCCTCTTCCCCCTTCTTCGTACTGGTCTTGTGACTGACCTTGGCGGGAGAGTTCTTGCTCGCCGTTTTGCCCTTGCTGGTGCTTTGACGGCTGTATGGGATACCAACAGACTGTCCTCCCCATCATCAGACTAAGATTTCAGCTCCGTGTCTCCAGCTCTGTCATTCAGGCAGCAGGGTCCAGCTCACCTGATGACCAACTTCGGCCTTCTCCTTATCCTCCAATTCGACATCGCTGGCCTCGGCGTCCTCCTCCGCCTTCCCTTCCTCCTTCTTCCCAGCGACCGGTTTCCCCCCCCTCTGCTTTCCTGCTTTGCCTGCGGATGCCTTCGCTCCGCCTGCTTTGATCGTCGACTTTGACTGAGATGGCTCCTGCTCGTTCATCGCCTACGAGATCAGTTTCCTGCGAATTTTCTTACACTCCGAAACTCACTTGATCATCATCTGGCTGATCCTCCTCGGCGTGCTCCTCCTTCTCCTGCACTTTCCCCTTCTCCTTCTTCCCCCCAGCCCTCCCCTTCTCCTTCTTTGCCCCAGCCATCCTGTCGCCCGCCACCTTGCCCGGCTCCTCCGGCGCTTCGCTTACCGGGAGCACCTCCGTCTTTTAGGGCGAGACAACCCGTCCCTCGGGATCCCCGAGGCAGGCCAGTGGTCCCGCTGTAACCACAGCTGGTCGAGGTTATGTCCAGCGTACGTTCCGCGAGTCGCGGCTTGGCCGATGTCGTCGGACCTCTGAGAGCGAGATCTCTTACACCCGTTTCGAGCCAGTCTGCTTCCTGCTCAGGAAGAAGGGGGAGTAAAAGGTCGAGGTCGTTGGCCTCTGCATGTGTGTCAGCTGGAATCGCCACAAATTAGTGCCCCAAAGTGCTTACCATCCAGCAGCAGATCGAGATGTTCGGCTGATAAGAGGAAGCCAGGACTCTCGGCTCCTGCCAGGGATAGGCCCAAGTGCTCAATTTGGTCCTGCGGCAGTCAGCGATGTCCAAGACCTGAGTCTCAGCCGTAGTGGCATGCTCACCGCAAAGTCTGGCGACTTGTCCAGCATCTTGCGACCCAAGAAGCCCCCGATCGTCAGTTCCTCCCCAAACCAACCACTTTCACCATTCCAGACACTCTCACCGTCCTCTCTCGACCCAGCTTTTGTAAGGTGGAGTTGGGACGAGTGCAATTTTGGTGGGGTCCGCTCATAGGGTGATACCTATCCCGAATCAGCAGGGTAAATAGATGAGGAAGAGATACAGCTGAAGGCTATGGAGGAGAAGGAGGACAATGAGCTGGGAACTGATGAGGAGGAGGTGGATGAGTCGCTTGAGCCCTCAGGGAGAAGAAGAGGGTATCGGATGACCGGACAAGCCTATCCTCTCAAATCCGGCCGATACCCAGAAGGCAGCTCCTGTTTCGCGAATCTATCCCAGACTTCCGAGACTGAGGAAAACAGACGTACCAAATGTATCCGAATTCCGTGAAGAAATTCGTGAAAGATGGCTACTCCGAGGTGGAAAACGGCTGCGGTGTAGTGCGCGGATCGAACCGAAAACTGCATTAAAGCTTTTCCGGCAGAAGATACCAACTGGTCAGATCAGCTCTTCTCCGGCTCTCTTCCTGCCCCAATCCGTATCGTACCAGCGCAGACGTACCTTCTCATTCACGACTATCTCGAGCTTGGATGTGGCGGACTGATTCGTCTGTATACAAGCGGATGGAGCCTCTAGACCCGGCTCGAACGGCTGGATCTCGTCGACGAATATCGTCGTCCTGTCCTCACGATACCATGTCCGCACCAAGTCGACGGTCTCACTCTGATAGTCCTCCAGCGTCCACTTGTCTGTCTCGTGTCGAGCAGGCAAGTCTGCTGCGACCACGGCGTCGGCTTGCGGTGGGTCGAGGATCAGAGCAGCTGCCCTTAATCCCCTCTCGCTCTGCCCAATGCGCCGTGCCATACGAATCGCATGTGACACTGCTGCGACCTGCGAGGGCCCACACAGATCATCGTCCTGCAGGGTACTATAATGAAACCGATTTTTGCGAAACACCTTCTGAGCTTTGTATGGCTCAAAAGGGCGAGCCGCTTGGTGGGTTGGGGGAGTGATGTACCGGGAGCTCTTGTGGGGTAGCGGAAGAGTTGATGGTCGTCGGGGATCCCCAGGACCGGGGTGGGAGTTGGAGGTGCCGCCCAGGATACCCGAGTTGAGGTTATGGTTGTTACCGCCCGGGATGCCCGAGTTGGAGGAGTGGTTGTTGCCCCCGAGGATGCCCGAGTGGGAAGAGTGTTTGTTGCCAGTGAGAACGGTACCAGAGTGGGCGTTGCCGGTCAGGCCGCCAAAGGGGGTATCGGAGTTGTGGTTGCCGCTGAGGATACCGCCAGAGGTGTGGTTGGTGGGGTCGGAGCCGGTGAGGCCAGTACCGGTGTGGGAGTTGTGGTTGCCCCCAAGAACGCCCGAGTTGGAGTTGTGGTTGTTGCCTGTGAGTCCGGAGCCGTGGATGTTGCTCTCAGTAAGACCCGAAGCGTGTTTGTTGCCGTGGATGGCCTCGGAAGCACCGGCGTGGCCTCCGTGGAGGGGCTCGCCAGTCTTCTCGGCCTCGCCCTCGGCGACCTTGATGGGGTTGTTGGTGTTTGTGGCTTTGCCGACTGTGGGGTCAGCCGGGGTCCAATTCGAGAGGTATGTGGAAGCAGGAGAGGGGTTGAGCAAAGAGTAACTCACTCAAAAAGTTGACGGTGCCGGAGATCTTCTCACCCACAGTGGGCTTGTGGGGGAGATCGGCCGAGGTGGTGTTGGTATTACTTGAAGGTCAGCACGCAATCCAAGTCATACCGGACGGGGATGGTCGATGACAGGGGAGAAATTCAGGAGTGCACAGGGGAAGGCGCGGTAGGGTCAAGAACGGCAGGGAAGCAGTCGAGGGGCGCGGAGGCGGGCAGCGGAAGGAGGAAGGGTAGACTCACTTGAACGCCATGTTGAGTGTGTGGGTACGAGAGAGGTGTGAAGTGTGGTAGTGTTGGTAGTGTAGAGCTGATCCTACTGAGAGGGAAGTGCGGATGAGAGAAGGCTCTGTATATGTCCAGAAGGGAACGCAAGGTGCTCGACTGAACATAAATCATCATCACGGATCCGAGCGTTGTCGGTTTGCCACCGTACTTAAGCTTACACTTAAATATGCATTATTAAGGTATTCGCTGACGCGCGCGATCTCTACTGTACGGTACTAGCTGCTTTCAGCACCGAAGACTCCTTCTTCGCCAGCGAGATCCCGCCCCCTCTCGGCTTGCCGGCAGCGCTACCGGCGGGCTTGAGCTGAACGCCCATCATGGACTTGCTGCCGCTTGCGCTGGTACTGGTGCCGAGCAGGGGTTTGCCGGCAGTCTTCGGAAGAGCGAGGGAGGGTTTAGATGCGAAAGGAGCGGTCTTCGCTTTCTTGCTTGGGAAGGGGGAGGCGGGTGGCGTCATGAGGCCGGCCTGACCATCAGCCTCGACTCCATGAGAAGGAGAGGGAGACCTCACCATGGCGTCGTCCTCGTCGTCATCGTTCTTCAATGTCTCGGCGTCGGAGGCTGCAGGCGAGGCCGGACGCTTTGCCGGGACGGAGGTCTGAACAGTGTCAGCTAGACTCCAGTTCCGACCAAAAACATCGTGAGAAGTGAGCTTACCTTCTTGTTGGTGGACTTGCCCTCGGTCTATAAGAGTCAGCTGTACGCCCAGGACATATACAGTTCAGGGAGCTCACCTTGCTCTTCGGCCCAGGCTCCTTCACCTTCTTCACCACCTTCTCTCCATTCCCATCCTCCCCATCGCCATCCTCCTTCTCCACCGCCTTCTTCTGTACTCCCAGCTTCTTGGTAAGAAGCGTCTGGCCCAAGAGCTTGCCGGGCTTCTTGATCGCCACGGCGGTCCTCGAGGCGGCCGGAGCGGACTTGGACCCGCTGGCCTTGGTCGCCTTCCCCTTGCTGGGCTTGGATGATCGGGATGGTGCAGAGGCAGACTTGGTAGGTTTCGACTTCTTTGATTTCTGATCGCGTCAGCCAAGTCCATTCAGGAGGACAAGACCCAAGGAGTTCAGGTGGAAGAAGCGAGAGGGTTGTATGGCGAGGAAGGAAGAGGGACGAATAGGAAGGGGTCACATCAGCCACTACTACTCACCTTCTTCTTCTTGGCCCCTTCGTCATCCTCATCGTCCCCCGCATCCCAGTCATCTTCGCTCTCGTCAGCCTTGCCCTTCTTCCCCGCCGCTCCACCACCGAAGCTGTCCTCATCGTCCTCCTCCTCGTCCTCCCACCGATCATCGTCGCTATGCTCAGAGACGAAGTCCATAATGTCCTCCGAATCCATCACGCTTCCGAGCTTTTGGATTGTCTTTCGCTGGCGACCGGACCGAGTGGGCGGGAGGTCGGCGGGCGCGGACTGTGGAGTCCGGAGTGCAGTGGAGGATGGAGGAGAGGCGGACATGGTAGCTGAGTGGGGATGACAGGTGGTGGCTGTTGTGATGTCAGCTGAGACCTCCTGGATGGGTGGACGCTGGAGGAAGAGGAGGGGTGGGGGGCATATGGGCAACTCACGTCTAGTATACACTAGGCTGGTCTGTAACTTAAACTGTAACTTAAATAGTAATGAGTAGAAGAATGAGAACTAAGATGAGAGGCAGAAGAAGGAGGAAGGAAGTCGAAACGGCTCGTTCTTGATCCGGAGTGGACGGAGGAATCAATCGGAGGTCAGTGGGCACAGACCCCTCCTTTCCCCAACTTCTCGCTGACGCGCTCGGACCTCCTCCGCCTCACCAGCCTTGGCTCAGCTCAGATATCTGACTGACCAGTGACGAGCAAATATCAGAAGGCAGCATCAGTATGGATCAGCCTGTCAGCCATAGAGATGCCGACCGAGAGCTCTGGAGGAGAAAGAGGAGCATCTCAGCGACCCCTGCTATTGCGGCACCACTGATGAGCGCGCCTCTGCGTCCTGGGGAGAGCTGAGCCCCACTCGCCGCTTATGGACTGTGAGAAGCTGAGTTTGGTTGAGGGTCGTCTTACTTGCAAGCTGATTACAATTCCCAGACCGAGCTGATGACCGAGCTGATGACCGAGCTGATGTGAACGCCCCTGCCGAAGCAGCTTGAGGCCGGACTTGTAGACGAGCTCAGACTCCCACCCTTATACAGTCTCCAGAGCAGGCCGTCGCGCTGATGGAGACTCGAGCCTTGCTGACGGAGCAAGGGAAGCCCAATTTGCAGCCTGGACTTGAGAGAGATGGTGGAAAGAGGAAACGAGGAATGCGGAGCGTTAATCTCGTCCACTCCAGGTTCACTTTGAACCGCTGCTCGGTCGAACATCGACGACCGCTGCCTGTCTCGCACAGTGCATCCATATCTGTCGCATCGCCAAGTCAAGCTATTGAACCCCCCTACCCCAGCCGACCCGTATAGAAGAATAATGGTGGGATTAGGAGAAGGCAGAAGAAGACTCCCTCCACGCAGCCCCACTCGTCCAAAGAACCAAGAGGCAAAGAGAGGTCTTCTATTTGGTATGAGGATAGCATCGGCCGAAGCGTATGAAATATTAGATTACTGTCGGGAGGGGAGTACAAGAAGAAGGGCTCTGTTGGGATCTACAGATCGACTAGGTTTGGGGAGAAGGGGCGAAGGGAAGGATGCCTAGTCTATATGATTATGATGAGGGAAGAGTACCGATTACACCCTGGACGAAGCGCGCTGGAGAGCCGCGCCGGACTGCTGAGCCTGGATGGACGAGAACCTATGAATCAGTAAAGTCCACCTCCTCAAAAAGGAAAGACTAACCTGGAAAGCTCGTTCTTGGACATCGAGACCTTGGCACCGCCCTTGAGCCTGTTGGCAGCACGACCGAGGAACGAGGTACGGTTCGAGTACATGGACTCGTGGCGGGAGGCAGTGCGCTGGAGGCGGGACTCGGGGGAGGCGTCGAGAGCCGGGGCAGCAGCAGCCTTGGAGGCCTTGCGCTTCTGGAGGTACTTGATGATAGTGGCCTTGAGGGCGAACTTGACCAAGTCGAGCGGGAAGTACCAGATGATGCTGAAGGGTTAGCCAAATCCTCATATCTGAAAGACGAGACTCACTTCCAAACCCAGACAATTCCAATCCAGCCACCGGAAATAGCTCGGACCCAGGTGAACCACCAGTTACCGTAAGCGGCAATGATGGACGAGATGAGCTGAGCGATACAGAAGGCGACCATGAGGGCGGTGGACGGGCGCTCAGTCCACGAGGGGCCGTGCGAACGGGTGACGAAGATGAGGGCCTGGGAGATGATGGCGACCTGGAGGTAGATGACCATGTGTCCTCCCCAGTCGTTGACGTCGTCACCCTTGGCGAGGGGCTCGACACCGAACCGGCGCTCAAAGAAGTCGGTGTGGCGCATGACGGCAAAGAGGGCGACCGTGGAGGCGGTGAGGTAGATACCGTAGCCGATACCGTAGGCGAAGACCTCGGCGAGATCCCACGAGTCCGGGGTGGACGAGGGAAGCACACGGTCGACCGAGAGTGTCATGATGGTACCGTCGTTGAGGACCGCAATGATAAGGACCATGAACGCCGGGAAGTCAAACTCCCAGACGAACGCCATGATGGCGAAGCAGACGACGATACGGATGGTGACGGCGCAAGCGTAGACGGCGTAGTTACGCATACGCTGGAAGATGACCCGGGAACCGTGAATGGCGTGGACGATGGTGGACAATCCGGGCTCCGTGAGGACGATGTCGGCGGCACCACGAGCAGCGTCGGTGGCACCTTCGACGGCGATACCGACGTTGGCACGGGAGAGAGCCGGAGCGTCATTGGCACCGTCACCAGTCATGGCACAGAGGTGACCGAGACCCTGGATACGCTTGACGATTTCGAACTTGTGTTCGGGGAACACACCGGCGAATCCGTCCGCGTCCATGATCATCTCGTCGAGCGTGAGGTGCTTGCCGCCTGGGGGAGGACCCTCCTTGAGAACCTTGGCAGGGTACATGTGGTCACCGAGACCAAGACGACGACCGGTCTCCTTGGCAATGGCAAGCTGGTCACCGGTAACCATCTTGACCTTGACACCGAGCGCCATGGCGTCGTCAATGGTCTGCTTGGTGTCCGAACGTGGGGGGTCGAAGATGGAGAGGAGACCGACGAGCTCGAAGCCGTTACCCTGAGAGTCCTTCTCGTCGCCCATGACGTCCTCGTGGGCAACGGCAAGAGCGCGGAGACCACGACGGGCAAACTCCTCCACGTCGTGCTCCAGCTGGTCCTCCATCTCCGATGACTTGTCCCGGGAGCAGAGGTCAATGATGATACCGGTCATACCCTTGGTGGCACGCTTGAGCTTGCCACCGTCCGCGTGGTCCCGGTAGGTGATCTCGGTACGCTTGTCGACGGGGTTGAAGGGCTTGAAGTCAAGGAGGTCGATACCGGCGCGGGCGAGCTTGGGGTCGCTCAGGGTGCCAACGACGCAACCGTCAATGGCATCCTGGTTCTCGACACGCGAGGCGTACGCGGCGAGAAGGCAGACACCCTCGACGTCCCACTTGGAGTAGCACTTGACGTTCTCCTTGTCGATAGTGAGCTTGTTGGTGGTAAGGGTACCGGTCTTGTCCGAACAGAGGATGGTGACACCGGCGAGCTCCTCGATGGCCGTGATACGGGTGACGATGGCCTTGTGCTTGGCGAGCTGCTGAGCACCGACGGCAAGAGTGACCGAGAGCACAGTGGGCATGGCAATGGGGATACCACCAATGAGGAGGACGAGGATGTTGTTGAGACCGCGACGGTAAGAGTACCGGTAGTCGGCGTAAAGGACGAGGATTTCAAGGAGGACGAAGGTACCGATAGAGACCAGGCAGAAGGATCCGATCTGGGCGAGGACCATCTGCAAGTGTCCGGTCTGGTCGTTGTCCTGACCGACGAGGGTGGCGGCACGACCGAAGAAGGTGTTGGGACCGGTAGAGATGACGAGACCCTCGGCCTCTCCCTGCTTACAGGTGGAGCCCGAGAAGCACTCGTCGCCGAGCTTCTTGCCTTGGGGGAGGGATTCACCGGTAAGGGCGGCCTGGTCCATCCTGATGGTCAGCAATAGCCAAGCTGGGGAGGACTAGACTTACGAGACATCAACAGCGTCAACCAAACGACAGTCGGCCGGGCAGATATCACCGTGCTTGAAGGCGACAACGTCTCCGGGGACAAGCTCCGATGACTCAATCTCCCTCCACGCACCGCCACGCTTGACTCGGGCCTTGGGGGCAAGAGACTCCATGAGCGCCTTGACGGCGTTACCGGCGTTACGCTCCTCGACGAAACCGATGGTCGAGTTGACGAGAAGAAGGAGGACAATACCGACGAAATCGTACCAATCTGGTGGCTCGCCTTCACCGTTGGCAAGTGCGATAGCGACGAGGGCGGCACCCTCCATGACCCAGGACAGGGGGTTCCACATGAACGACAGGAACTGGAGGAGGACGCTGCTTGTCAGCGCGGAACTATTTGGTGGGGTAAAAATAGCTCACTTCTCCTTCTTCTCCTCAAGCTTGTTGGGACCAAAGATACCGATACGGTTGGTAGCCTCGGCATCGGTAAGACCCTCATCGGTACATTGAAGGAGCTGGAAGACCTCCTCCATGACGACGTGCTCGATATCGACCTTGTCCTTGTCGTAAAGGTCGGTAGCGGTGAATTGAATCTGGTCGTCAGCGATGTTGGGCATGCTACAACGGCTGAGCTTACAGTCTTCATGTCGACACGGGCGTGCTGGTCACCGGTAGGCTTCTCCTCCATGTCCTTGTACTCCCGCTTCTTCCTCTCCTCAACTGTCGGTCAGCTCCGATCGGCCAATCGGAAGCGAGGAAAAGGGGGCTCACCAGGTGCGACGGCACCAGCACCTGCGATGGGCGCATCGCCAGCTACCTTCCTCTCGGGGCTGATATGTCAGCTTGGATCGGAACGATAAAGGAGGATTGGGTCGATTGGGAAAGTTGGGTCAAGATGGTAAAAGAGGTAAACAACTTACTCGAGACCCCCTACTTTCTCGTTTTCGGACATGTTTGTGTAATGTTATATGTGTGTAGTGTGGAGTGGTGAGAGGGGAGGGTGAGGGGGAAGAAAGAGGCGGGCCGCTACCCAATAAGCGATGATGGATGGGTGCTGTAGCGGTCTTATCAGCCTTTGAAAAAAAGGGGGGGTTTGTTTGTTTGGGGGAGTCTCGGATTTGCTGGACCCGCGCACGAAGAGTGTGCAGATCACCGCTCAGCAAAGAGACGATAAAAGGGTTTAGAAGAGGATGGTTGTAGAGGATGAAGGAGGAAGGGGAGGTTGATGTAGAGATGAAAGAGAAGGAGTGCGGGATGGGTTGAAAGGGGCGGGAGTGAGGTGGTAGTCGTCAACGAGAACGGGAGTTTATAAGGCCGGTCGGTCAATGTGATTGGTGGGAGGGACCGTGGCACCCAAAACTAGAGCCAAACCAAAGCCAGGGCTTCAGGGCATAGGACCACTCACCCTTTCGATTTGGTAAGCGAGTTTGATAAAATAGGTCAATGGGTGGAAATAGCCGAAAAGGGTAATTATAGAGGTGGGACTATTTTGTCTTCGGCCAGACGGTGCCCGCGGAAGAGCAAGCGTAAGCCCCAAGATCTAATCGATAGGAAAGAAGAAGGGGCTGGTGAGAAGAAGAGGGGAAGGAGGGGAAGAGGGGGCACAGAGATGGGTGCTCTCCCTATCTCATATACAGAGCCAGACCATAGCCCAAGCGCATGCATGTTCCACACCAGCTGGTAAATCACGCCAAGAGCGTATCGCCACTGGTCAAGTATCCCGTTCTCCAGCTGGACTTGGGGGCTGTCCTCTGATCCAGACCAGCATCGTCCCAAATCAAATCAATTGAGACGGCAAGAGACGGCGACACCTTCCGGCGGTCTCGGCTTGGCCCCGACTCGCCGACTCGGGCCCGAGGTCAAGGTGTCAGAACGAATTCGAAAACAAAGTCTGCATCCGCCTTGCGGCCGCAAGCCGGCGTGTGGCGAAATCTGCGTCCGCTGGCCTGAAACACCGGGGGGATCCGGGGCAGGCGCGTTTCAGGATCTGCTTTGCCACGATGCCGAGCGTGCCAAGATGAAAAATGCGGGCTCTGCCTGTCCGTGCACCAGCGAGACCAAGCGAGAGCGCGCGAGCGACAAGCAAAGATGGCTGAGGAATGAGAACAGCCAAGCATGGTTTGCCAGGGGAAAGGGGCAGCTGAGAGGGAAAGTAAGGGAGAAAAAGGGGCCCACCTGGAACTCTGTTGCCCCGTGAGGAGTCCGTGAGGGGCATCGGGAATGTTCGGTGCGAGACGGGCTCACTCGTGTGACCGGAGAGGATCGCAGATGTACCGCAGTCGGGCGCATGCGTATCGATGGGCGGCCACGATGGAATGTGTACCGCCACAAGCTCACCTCTGTTTAGCTTTAGGTACCGATCGGGACCGACGAAGACAATTCACCTCGGAGCAGCCATACTCGCTTGGATGCAGAATGGCCACATCATGGAAGCTACATCGGGACTCGCTGAGCTTGGAGCCGCGCATGCAGGTGATACAAATACAACACAAATGTCCGCCACTATCGCGAGTGAAAATGTCCGCTATGCCCAAATGTGAGGGTAGTCCCGCCCGTGCCCCTCTCCACCTCGTCCTCATCCGACCAGCCCCATGCTATGCTTCCCGACCTTTGCTTCTCCATCCCTTCTGCCCGATCACCAAACGTCCGACTCCTCCCCAGCCTTCATGTGCGTCGCGTACGAACGCCTAACTGCCGGAGGTTGACGTGACGCGCGTACCTCCCTCGTCCGTGCTTGCGGCTGATATGGAGCCGGAGTGATGGATGACCGACGTGGAGGAAGTGACGTGACTGGGGCGATGACAGCGGGAAGAAGAGGAGAGATGGATGGGGAGAGTGAGAGTGTTTCCTGGACAGACGAGAGCGAGGAACCGTCCGCCGAGGTCGATGGTATAGTGGAGACCGATGATAGACGACGAGGTAGACCGGGTCGAGCGAGTGTCGAGTCTCCCTCCTCCTCATCTTCCTCGATGATCGTCTCCTTCTCGTCCCATATCGGCGAGCCGACCAGTGTGCCGCTCTCCGAGAACACCGGGCTCCCGTCTACTCTCGCCACCGCCAGTCCCAACCCTGACACCCTCCGCGTCCCGTGCTCCACCTCTCCAGCCAGAACGACCGGCGCCCCCGTCGCCCACTGCATCCCCATCGTGCTCTTCCGCGCAGACTCCAGCTGCGACGCCCTCCGCGCAGCCACCACCTGCTGCTTGAACTCATCCGCCACGCTCATCCCGTTCGCCTTGAAGTACGCGCTCTCAGCACGCCGACTCTCGCGCCGAACTTTGGCGTAGCTAGGGATAGCGACGGGACTGGGGACGCGGCCGAGTGGGTGGAAGCGCTTCTCGTCGTCGGTGTCTTCGGCGAGAGGGTCTCGACGGAGTCGGCGAATGAGGGAAGCGGGGAGGAAGGTACGGTGTGGGCCTCGCCAGATGGCATACCCGCCGATGAGGAGGACGAGGGCGCCGAGGACGCCAAGGATGGGCCAGGCTATGTCTGGAGAGTCAGCAAATGGTAGAGCAAAGCAGGTTCGGTCAAAGTCGAGCGGGGTGCAGCTAGCGGAATAGCACTCACGGCCATATTGTTGGAAGAAGCTCTGTCCTTCTGATCCAGCAGCGGGCATAGCGGTGTGGCGTGTGAAGAATGCAGTGTAGATATAGTCTTATTATATGTAGTTAGGCCCTCTCCGCGAGTTGTATACAGAGCTTTAGCGAGTCTGTCGATGGAAGCGTCAGGATCAAAGAGTGTGGTGTAAAGAGCGTAGTGTGAAAAGAGTGTGGTGGAGCGGGTAAGTGAGCGAAGTAGCCAAAGCCAGAGACAGTGTCAGAATGAAGAAGATGCAGAACCCAGGTTCGCATTGGCCACTATGGCCAGCCATGGCCACATGACCGGGACAGTTAACAAGCCTGAAACATCCTTTGAAGCCTCCGGACCTTCGGCTATTAGTCGGCTAGCTCAGAGTCAATCGCCCGAACTGTTTCCATCCAGACGGCTGCACCGAGGTGGCGGAGAGATGTAAACAAAAGGGTCTGTGGGAAAGCGTCAAAGATAGCGTTGAGTTGGATGGTGGGATGAGGCATGTCGTTTTGGCTTGAAGCTTGATCTCCGAGCTTGCCGAGCTCCGTTCGGTGAGAGTGGCTGCCGGCATGGTCCACTGATCTGAGCATGGGGTTCGAGAGTGGTTCGAGCGCCGAGCATCGAGCGACTTGTACTTCTGCATCTATCACAAGCAGTGCAAGAGGATCTGGATCTTCTGCACATGCGTGTGTATGGAGAAACACTCCAAATAGCCCAAAATTGCATGTAAGAATGACCAAAGCTGACCAAAATTGTCCACCCTACGACCCCGGCGCCTGCCCCCTAAACCTGCCCTCTCGCCCAGTACTGAGCTCTGCACAATCCGCACCGGTTTTGTCTGCGACGTCCCTCTCCGTCTCTCTCAATGATGCCTATACCGACCGCATATAGGCCCCATGCGCCGCCCTCCATCACCAGCCCACCCTCCCTCCCTCCCTATCCCCCGATCGCTGCCGCCTCACCACATATGCGAGTCCTGTCCCTCCTTCATCTGATGAGAGTACGGACCGGCCTTCGGGGATGGATACCGACGAGCCTCGCGCGGCCCCCTAGCCCCAAATTGACCTTGGGTCGATGAGCGCGAGTGGGGATGGGGGTGGTACGGGCTCGATGCGTCGGACCTGCGACGATTGGGGTATGACAGAGGAGCGGTAGCCGCAGGAGGAGGAGGGGACGGGTATGAGGGGACTGCCGCGATTACGGTACTGTCATTGTGGTCGTACTGGACCGGCTGGACCGCGTCGATCGAGGACCGCCGACGAGGGAGTTGAGAGTCCGGTATAGGCGTTGTACCGTCGTTGTACTGGATGACCGGTCGTTGCTCCTGCCCGTATCCGTGCCCTTGGTAGGAGCGATAGTGGTAGTCCGTCATCATCTCCTTCCCCTCCCCATCTCCCAGCGACACCGTAGACCCAACCAACGTCCCGCTCATCGAGACCGGACTCCCCTCCATCCTCCCTTGTTCCGCCTCTCCGCCATCGCGGGAATAGCCTGGCGGCGGCGGCACGCCCGGAGCTGTCCCCCAGTGCATGCCGCTCTGTCGCGCAGCAACGACCTGGCGCTTGAACGCATCCGCGCTGGTCAGAGAGTGCGCGCCACGCTTGCCCTGCCGTCCGAGTTCCTCCCGAGGTGGGATAGCCACGGATACTACTGGGCTGATGTCGCGTTTCCTGCCCCGGACATGCTTCTCGTCGTCAAGGTCGCGAGTATGGCTGGTGATGTTCTTGCGTAGCTTGGCGATAAGGCATGGAGGGAAGAATGGCCGGTGCGGACCGCGCCAGATCGCGTAGCCGCCAACGAGGAGGACAAGTCCGCCGAGGACGCCGAGGACGGGCCAGGCTATATCTGCGGTGTCAGCGTGTGAGCTAACGAGAGCAAAGGTAGATCCTGAGCGATGGCTTTACATGGTGATTGGAGGAGGGAGAGACAGGTCACTCACAGCCGTATTGCTGGAAGAAGCCAGGACCTTCAGCGCCAGGATTAGGCATAGTAAAGACGAGAGAAGTAAGAGTATAGGGGATGTAGCTAGGATCGTGCGGGGTGGTGGCGGCTGGAGAGTCGAGCCGAGAACGGTGAAGACTCAGTGAAGGCTTGTAGCGAGTGAGTAGCTTTTAGGGTGAGTGGAGGGTGCAAGAAGGGGAACATCAGCTGCTCCCTCTTATAAGCCAACACTCGCTTCCCTTCCCGTCTCCAGTCTTGCCAGTCAACACGAGTACGACGCCTCACCTAGCTGTCCCACTCGCATGATATCTCCATGAACCGAGCTGGCTACCGAGATAACGCAGAGCAGCATGCACAGGCGTAAACAAGGTTTCGTAAAGATAGTACGAAGAGTGGATGCTCGGATGGGGCATGTCGTTTGGGTCGATTTCGGCTCGAGAATGGCTGCCGTTACGGATCTGATAGGAGTCGTACCAGCTAGCGTATCGCTGACCTAGCGAGTGGCGACGAGACCAAAAGTTGGTATATGTATGATGTGCGGACCAGAGAGGAGGCATGAATGCAAATGCAAGAGTGAGAGGATGAACGGTATGCTACAAGATTGGTAGATTGTCCGAAGAAAAGATAATTGTATTGTCCTGCTCTACCAGCCCCCTTCTCCTCACGCCGTCCCGTTACCTGGCTGCTCCCTCATGGTAGAGCTTGCCTCATGGTAGAGCTGAGGTTCAGAGCATCATCACTCTGCCCCGACGCGCCTTCTTCGACCGCGCAAGTGTAGACCAGCACTGCTGGCCACCTGACACTGTCCCGCCCTGCCTCCCCGCCCTTTACTCCAGGCCATCTCCCCGCCTCAGACTCGTCTACCACATATTCGAGTCCTGCGCCTCCTCCATGCGGTGAGTGTACGCGTTCCCGCCCGCAGGGTTCGAGCGGGCATCGCGCACCTGCATCGATCCGGCCTGCCTGGTGGTATCCGATGGTCGATGAGCAGGGCTGGAATTTGGATAGTGCGCGGACGGGACGGGGTGGACCGAGGGTAGCTGACGTGGGAGGTGATGGTCCGACGATGCCGGGGTGGTATCGTAGGGATGCTGGTTTGCGCGCTGTGGGTGCTGGTGCTGGTGATGACCGACGAGCCTCTCCTCCCCTTCCCATTGCGCTGATCTCGCTGGACGTTGATCCCCTGCCTCCTTCGCCCATCTCCCACCCTGCTCCTCGGTCCCCTGGGCATACGCTCCTGAACCCATCGCGTCTCTGCGCGAGGCCACCACCTGCTCCCTAAACTCATCCGCCCGACTCATAGCTCGCTCTGCTGGCGTCCCCTGCCTCCCCCTCTCTGCTCGCCGAGGAATAAAGACCCCAACAGCCATCGGTCCCTGGCCTCCGGCACCGCCCGTCCGTACGCCCAGCGTCCGCTTCTCGCTATCCCCATCTCCATCGGCGAGGTTTCTGCGCATCCGGCGCGAGAGGCAGGTAGGGAGGAAGGATCGGTGAGGGCCTCGCCAGATGATGTAGCATCCGCCGATGAGTACGATGGCGCCGAGGACACCGAGGACGGGGAAGATAACGTCTGGAGAATCAGCAGGTGCGCGTCGCGTCCATGACGGGATGGTAGCCGAGGCAGGCTGGCGATCTAGCTGTCATGGGTCGCAGGGAGAGGGCAGAGCGACGGGACTCACCACCATGCTGCTGGAAGAAGTCGGACTGGCCAGTCGCGGGACTCGACATGGTGATTACAACTCTGGATGAAAGTAGGGTAGAGCTGCGAGACTTTTAGCGTCAGGCGTTGCTCGGCGAGCGTAGGATGATGTATATGGTGTGTGTCGTTGAAGGAGCGTCAGGCTGCAGTGTACAAGTATCGTGTGAGTGACTGATTATAAGGCAACGGAGCTGTTCAGTCCCGTTGGACCTGTATCTTTGTAGCTTGTTGAGTGCTTGAAGTTCATCACCTCTTGGCCTCAATCGCGCCCAGAGTTAGTAAACAGACGAACGCCCAGAATCCCAGATCGCCCCAGTAACGCCAGACCAGCTTGGTACCCTCGTCCGGTTCCAGATCCACATTGAACCAGTAGCCACCTGAGGTGCTGGGCGGCACGCGACAGTGACGCCAAGGTCGTGCTGGAAATGAGGGTCGCAGTGATATGGAAGATGGGTGGAACATTCCTTGGCCTAACCTCCGAAATCGACGGGCGAGTTAAGTGCCAAGTGGAGGCAGATGAGAGAAGAGGCATTTATAGCGCCCATCGTATTTCTGAGCTGCTTGACGGATCCCGACAGACAGTACATATATTCACAGAAGACAGCAAGCGTGGGTATGCATAGACGTATATGCAGTATGGTAAGGAATAATCATTGTAAAGCACAAGGAAAGAACGCAATGTCCGGGTCGTACAATCCCTCCCCTCTCCGGCCAGTCTACCACTTCCCCGTCCCCGTCGTGAAACCCATCCTCCTCGCATACTCTTCCTCCTCCTCCTTCTTCAATCCATCCCGCTGCCAGTTCCCTGAACTCGTCCGACTCCTAAACTTGCCCTTTTGCGCCTTGAACAGCTCCTCCATCGATAATGGTCGGATCGGCCCAAAGAGCTCATCCGGATTCTTGCTAGCTTGCGCTGCGAGCGCCGCGCGCAGTTCGGGACTCTCGGCCCATTGAGGTCGCTTGAAGGCGGGCGAGTCGTCCGTCTCGTCCCCCGAGTCCGAGTATTCCGAGGCGATGTCGGGAAGGACAATCTCCTCTGACGCGAGCTCGGCCGCTTCTGCCTCGAGCTGGTTCTGCAGAGCCAGGCGGGACTGGGTGAGGACCGACGCGGTGGATGACGAGCCGGCCTGGTGTTGGTGCTGCGAGGCAACAGCGGCTGACTGACGAATAGCTTGCGCCTGGTGGGATGCCCGAATAGCCGACGGGCGGGTAGGTGGTCCGAGGGGTTTCCGATCCGCTTGAGCCTGCTGAGAGGGCTGAGGCTGGGGTTGCGGCTGACCAACGAGCCGGATGGAGCAAGCGTGAGACATCTGGTTGGCTGGCGTCTCGGGCGGTACGGGTGCCGTACGGAAAGTAGAGGGGACGAGCTTGGACGAGCCGTGTGCCGAGGGAAGGGGACCAGAGGGTTTCGTGAGCTTCACGGGCTCCTTCATCTTGGTCGACCCGTTGAGAAGGTTGGTAGTCGACGAGCTGGCTGAGATGACGCGCTTGGCAGGCTGCATTGGTGCTTTGCTTTGGCTGCTCGCGAGCTTCTGCTTCCGGATTGCCTCGGCCTCCATCTGACAGTCAGCTCAATCCTTCTCAACCTCCCCAATCGTACTCACCTCGGCTCGCTCAGCGGCTTCTCGCTCCTTGCGCTCCCTCTCCGCCTTCTCTGCCTTCGCCTTCGCTATCTGCACCTTCCGCTCTTCGCCCTCTCTCCGCCTCTTTTCCATCTCAAGCGCCTTCATTCGCTTCTCCTCGGCTTCCCGCTCCTTCACCTTTCGCTCCTCCTCAGCCTTGCGATCCGCGATGCTCTTGATACGCTGCTCCTTGGTCTGCGCCCGACGCTCTGAAGCAGCCAAGTCCTGACAATCAGCTTTAAGCCTACCATTTCACGACAGAGACTGACCTTCTTGTACGCAGAAGCAGCGAGCTGGGTAGACTTGACCTGCCCAACCGTAGGCTTGACCCCGAGCGCCTTGTTGGCCATGGTCGAAGCCTGGCCAAAGAGGCTCGTAGCAAGGGAAGCGGAAGAGGTGGCCCGGCTGATCGTACGGGGTGAGGCGGCACGGCTGGAAGCAGGGTACTCGACCGGCTCCTCCTCTTCCTCCGGATCAGACGAGAGCACCCTCGAGCCCTTCTTGGGCACGGATGCATCATCATCGTCAATCTCGATAGCGTCCGACGCCTTGTTTCCGGTCCGACCAGGGGAGAAGACGAGGGGGCCACGGGTTGACTGAGCAGGGTGGGCATGAGAGGTAGAAGCGAGTGACGAGCCATTGAAGAGCTTGATACGATCATGTATCGTCTGCCCCGTTGGCTCCATAATGGACCCGTCCAGCCCTCGAGCAGGTCGGGTGATTTGCTGCTTGGGCGAGGAACGGAGCTGGCGCTGCGAGTCCCCAGCGAGAGCAGCGACGGGTTGAGACCGTGGTGGCGTCCCCTGCGGGGTCGTCGACTGGAGGTGCCGGGGAACGCGAGAAGGTGTTGACGATTTTTGGGAAGTAGGTGCCGAGGTCTGAGTGTTGGCTGGAGCGGCGGGGACCGGCTTCTCTGGCGAGCCCAGGTCCTCCTCTTCCTCCTCATCAATCTCGATCGACTCGTTCACCTCCTCCTCGTCCGTCTCCATCTCTCCAGCGGGCTGAAGATGGGCCTCTTCCTCGTCCATCTCCATGTCCATATCCTCCTCCCCTTCAGACCCCTCCTCCGCCTCCATCTTCTTCATGATCTCGCTGAGGTCCGCCTGGGCTTTCCGCCTCGCCTCCTCTTCTTCCTCCTTCTCCTGTTGCGTCTTCATCTCTTCCGCATCCTTGTAGCCCACCATCCCGAGACCCAAGCTCCGGCCGAGCGAGTTGCCCAGACCGCGCAAAAAGCCGGCGCCTGTTCCGGCAGTCCGAACAGGGGCGGATACAGGCGTAGCGATGGACACCGAGAGAGCGGCCTTTTGCTTGGCGGCGTCTTTGGCTTGTTGGCGCTCGCGCATGTCGTCCAGGGCTTTGGTGACCCGGTCCATGCCCGATGCAGGCTTTTCAGCGCTTGCGGTGGCGATAGATGGGGCGAGGACGGTCGGCTGGGCAGGGCGGATGAAGGATTCTTGCGAGTATTGTCGATCGAAGGAGGGTTTAGAGATAGGAACTACCGGCGCGGCGAGAGCAGGAGGAGGTACCGCCTTGACCACCGCCACTACCGGTGCAGAAGCGGCAACGGGAGGTACAGCCTCCACCCGAGCCATCTTCTCTGGCCGCTTCTCCTCGTCCTCTGCCCCCTCGCCTTCTGTGACGCCCTCGCCGGACTTGCGCTTCGCCAGCACACCGGGCTGTGCCAGACTCTTCCGCATGGTGGGGTAGTCGGCAGTAGATAGACGCTGCATCCCCGCTGGAGCGACAGAGGTGCGATTTGTCCCGTCCGAGGTGCGCTGTTGCGGCGCAGGATGAGGAGTGGCGGCTCCGAGAGCTTTGCTGAGCCATGATGACCGGACCTGCTTGGAGGAGACGGGGGCGGCGGTGGTTGAAGGGGCGGGCTCGGTAGATTCCACGGGTAGGGAGGGGGTCTCGAGGGGGATGGTAGTGAGGACGGGCTCGGGGATGGTAGTGAGGACGGGCTCGGCAGCAGGTTCAGTAGGTGCCGGGATGACAGATGCAGAGGTAGCGACGGCCGGAGGGAGTGAAGCGGGTACGGCCGGCTCCGGGCGAGACTGAGGGATAGGACGAGAAGGTGCGGAGGGGAGCTCAGAAGTAGGGATGGTGATAGAAGTCCGATTCTCCTCCGCCTCGGCGATGACAGAGAGGTCGACCGTGCGAGGGCGAGACGGGCCGGATAACGAGGTCGGCGTTGCTTTCGGAGGAGGAGCAAGTATCTCCTCCTCGGCTTCCTCCTCGATCCCCTCCATTGCTTCTTCCTCTATAGCCCCGTGTGTCTCGTGTTCGCCTTCGCCTGCGCCACCTTCCTCCGGCATCGGCTGGGACTGATCCTCCACCCCCACATTCAGCGCCTCCTTGATGACGGCGACCTCGGCAGGTTTGGGGCTGGGAGCAGGAGGCGCCGACCGTTCCGGGGATCGGGGTGGTCTGGGCGGTGTGAGTGCAGCAGGCCTGCTCGACGCCGGCTTGCTCCCCAGCATACCGTCCCCTCGACTCGAAGCGGACGTTGAGATAGCACTGCGAGAGCTCGTAGAGGTCTCCGCGTCGGGTACCGCATTCTCCTCGTCCGGGTTCTTTTTGGTCCGGGCCTTCTTGGCTGCTGGTTTGGCTTTCGCCTTGTCCGCTTTGACCGGGATAGGAGAGTTGGCTTTGTTGATGGGGCTCTTGGCAGGAGAGGCTTGGAACAGCCGGCCGGGGGTGGTATTGAGGGTGCGACCGCCGAGAGGGGAGAGAGGTGCTCGAGCCTGAATACACGTCAGCTCTAGTCGCCGTCTAAAATCGCCCGGGTCAGGAGACTCACAGAGTTAGACTTCTGCATAGGGCTGCCGAGTAGCTTCGCATTTGCGAGGGTGACCTTGGCTGTACGGTCCTTGACCGCGGTTGTGATGGTGCGGGTCTTCTTGGTGGTGTGGGTTCGAGAAGGCGTTTTCATGAGCTCGGTAACGGGCAATCTGACAATCAGCTCGTTTATCCTACCCAGAAAGGTCGAAACTCACCTCGATCCCGACGCCTGGTTCTCCAATATCCCCTCCAGATACTCATGCATCCACGTATACCCATTCCCCTGTACGAGCCCCTCCAAACCCCCCATCTCCTGCTTCGCCCACCCTCTGAACTCTGAGGACAAATCGCTCGCATACGCCTCAAACGAGGTGTGTTCGGTTTTTCTCGACATGGCGATAAATAGTTCTCGGTCCTATACGGTCGTGGCTGTCATATGTGGTCGAGATGGGTTGGAGATGTTAGTAGGCAAAGCAAGAACTGGATGTATAGAGGAGATGGTTGAACGAGATAAACAAGTAAATCAATCACGTTCAAGTCATTTGGTTCCGTCCTCACCCAACCTTGGACCACGTGTAGAGTTGTCAACAAACCGTCCGACCTCTCCTGTCCAGCGGGGACTATGCACCTGCGTTCATACATGCACCAGTACCTATACCCTTGTCCGGCCCTGCGTCCTACCAGCATATTGTAGGCGAGATACAGAGGGTATAATGACAGACTTCTTGGGAGCAAAGGTGAGTGGATGAGCCGCTTGGAACGGTCGATGTGTCTGGGCTAACGCGCCTGCTTTCTTTTGAATCCCTACAGACCAAGAAAGTGAGTGCCTCATACTCAGCACAGCTAGCAGAGCCCATGACTGACTCCCAGGTCACTACGTACGGTCGACGTGGCAATCGAGTCAACGTCATCCCCATCCACCATGATCTATCCCCAGTCCGGGCCGCCCGCGCCCTTTCTGACTCCCCATCCCCCACCACTCCCCTCCGGCGCCCTCCCCTAGGCTCCAAGCCGTCTCAGGACTTCGGCAACATCCCACAAGCGATATCGCCGATCGTAAGAAAAGAGGTCAAGGCAGTCAAGGCGGTGGTCAAGCCCTCTAAGGAAGCCATATCAATCGACTCCCCTCGGCTCGTCCGCCGCATACATCGACCCGGTCGAGCGGTGATCCCATCCACGCCATCCAGCTATGCCCCCACCCCAGCTGCGAAACCTCCACGGACGATGTTCGATTGCGTGGAGCTGCTGTCCACCCGGAAGAAAAGGCCAACAAGGCTAGGCAAGAGCCATCTCGGACGGTACCGGGAAGATACGGAGGATGTGGCGGAGGGAGTGGGGCGGCTCGGCCTGAGAGAGCGTCCGGTCTCGCCTGTCTCCGCTATCGCTAGCACCTCGACACCCACCCGTATCGCCTCTCGCGCCGAAGAGGACTCCGCTTCACTCCCTTCGCGCCCTTCCTCTACTCTGCCCCTCATCATTGCGGTCCCCACACTCGAGGGGGTCTGCTCCAGTCCGGATGTCAACACCTTTGACCATATCCTTGGTATCGCCTCATCCATCGGAACAAGCTCCACCTCTACTAGTTCCTCTTCACCGCTCATGACAAAGGCTGGCGAGGCGACCTACTCGGAGGTCTTCTCCGTCACCTCGGGAACGGAAGGGCGGATTGTCATGAAGGTGATACCGATCACTAGGGGCGCGCCGGTCACCCAGGAAGGGGTCGACTCTCCATACCAGTCTCCGGCGGAAGACGTGGCCAAGGAGGTGGAGATCACCAAGCGGATGTCCGGACTGGAAGGAGGTGGCTTTGTGACGTTTTGTGGGTACGTCGCCTCGCTCGTACATCTAAGCACTCAAGCTAACCCAGGCAGAGCATACATCGTACAAGGCACCTACCCCCGCCATTTACTGGCAGAATGGGACGCCTATGCCGACTCTCACGGCACCGAAAACGTCCGCCCGTCATGCTTTGACAAGACGCAGGAGTATGTGGTCATCTTCCTTCGGGATGGCGGAGCCGATCTCGAGGCGTTTACATTCGCCAAGAAGACAGGATGGGTGCAGGCTGCGGGCGTGTTCTGGCAGGTTGCAGATGCGCTGGCCAGGGCAGAAGAGTGGGCAGAGTTCGAGGTGAGCTTCCTTGTTCCCGCGCCTCCATTCTGAGAGGGGTGAAGCTGATATACAGCATCGGGACCTACACGAAGGTCAGATCCTCATCGAGACCTACCCATCCACACACGGCGGCTCAGATCCGCTCGACCCCTCTACCTCAGGCGTCAAGGCTACTATCATCGATTTCGGTCTCTCTCGACTCCGAGCGGCGGATGAAGCGCGGGTCGTGTTCACACCTGTACCGGATGACGTGCTCGAAGGGGAAGGGGAGCAATGGGATGTATATCGGGCAATAGATAAGCGGATCCAGGGGGACTGGGAGGGATATCATCCGATCTCGAATCTAATGGTCAGCTACTCAATGACCCTGCGTCGATAATGGGACCGTGAGCTGACTTAGCAGTGGCTCCAATACATCCTCAACCTCCTCCTACTTCGTATCCCATCCCTCAAGCGGCCAAAAACAAAATTTCCACCTCCAGCCGCTCGAACACGTACTACCGCTCGCGTCATCGTTTCCGCCCGAGCCCGTCCCAAGGCTGTCAACGCGGACCAAGAGAGGTCCGAGGCGGCGTATCAGCAGTTGAGCGGGGCGAAGGAGGCGGTCAACTCGGCGTTGAGCACGAGAGGTAGAAAGCCAGTGGCGGGAAAGATGGGGTCGGCATCGGATTTGATGGGCTGGGCTAGGGGGCGGGGATGGTTTGCATGAGTTGCGGTAACTGGGATACTGAGTGAGTTCTGGCAGACTGAGGTCGTCGAGAGTTGAGCTGAAGGCACGCAGGCTTCTTGTTGGGCTTGGGTAACAATGAGCTGGGAGGGCTGATGACGAGCGACTCCAGGGGGAGCGTCATGCCATACGTGCAGCAGATGGTACGGGGATCTCACCTTTGAGGCAGATACGCTGAAAGGATAGTCTGCTGCGAAACGGCGAAGGCACCAGGCCGCGCCGCTGCAGTCGCCGTTGCCCAACAATCACTCATCACGCTCTCACTTCACCTTCCACCACTAATCACCACGCACTGATGACTGACTCTGGCACCCCAGCTCAACCTATGCTTCAATTTGACACAACAATATCCGCGCCACCTATCTCCCTCCTCGACCTCCCCCACGAGCTCCTTCTGGACATCATCCGGACTCATCTCGCTGTACCCGGACCCACACCTCGTATCGTTTTCAACAGCCCGCTGACTGCTGATGCTGCGCCGCTGAAGATGACATGCCGCGTCAGTCTCGCTACTCGTTACTCCCTGTCCAGACCTGCTCTTCTCAGCTGATCGTCCAGAGACTCAAGTACCTGACTGAAGATGTCGAGAAGGGCAAGAAGGACCCAGTGAGCTCAATCCTATACGATGCCCTCACTCCCCTCGCTCAGCTCCTTGACCTCCCTCTCGAGGTCCACGCTCTCACCAGTCTCTCAGGCCTCCTCATCTCGGCTCTACCGGCTGCCCTCTCCATCCATACAGCGCTTGACAGTCTACCGACATTCGCGCGGTGCCTACCCACCGATACCATTCCCCGGCGAGAAGCATGGACCGTCCTCGTCCCGCCCGATATGTCGTTCCTCGAGATAGAGTACCGGCTCATGGGCTTGGCGTGTGATCTTTACCGTCGTGTGATGCGATGCGCGACGCCAGTATACACTGCGCGGATCATGCTAAAGTACGATCCGGAATTGATGGGTATGGAGGCGAGGAGGGAGCTCACGGATGTGATACGGCAGAGGATGATTGGGTTGATGGGCGGGGATAGGGTGACTACTGACTACAAGTCTACTATTTGTGTTGATATGTGAAAGCGATGGCAAATGGGCTTTGCAGTAAGAGAGCAATATGTAATCATGGATGAAACAGTGGGAGATCTTGTTTCTCAATTGCGACCGGAGAGTAGCGAGGTTCTCTCCTGGACGTGCTTGCAGCGCAGGGTCAGAGAAGTTGTCTTCAGGCATACTCCTTTCCTTACAACCCCTCTGATGTTCACGTTGACCTTACGGCGCTCATCACCGGTACAGAGGCGAACTGGCTCACAGTCGGATGTTTGGCAGGGCAAGCCCCTTGCACCTGTCATGTGGCAGTGACAGAGGCCTGTGCAAAGCATGGAGACCTCGGGAGGAGTGGTGGATGTCCCGCTTCGTGTCCTTGATATGTACTTGGCGACGCGAGTTGGGTTTTATCCGCAGCAGTACATCGACTGTACGACCCCGTTCCCGCAATGTCGAGCGCCTAGGACCGAAGCTGGTTACTATCGTGTCTGCTCAGATAAACTTCCAGGCAGCAATGTGCTTGAGCGTCAGAACTCGCATTCGAAGTGGCGGCGGTGAGTAGATGAGGAGGTCATAAGTGGCAGAAGTAGCTAGCCTGCATGCTGCACCTAGTCTCGTTTGACCAGCCGTGACTTCCAGATGTAGAGCTCAAGCATATAGATCAGTCAGAGGCTGGCCACGCGAGACTAGCTGCACCGTGATATCCCACAGTCTACAAAGTGTTATATCGAACCAGGATCTTAGCGCTCTCTCTCAGAACTGCACGGTTGTGAAGCTTGTGCACTCACTGCAGCCACTCTCACTTCGACCCATGGAACGCTGCGCTTGACGCACGGGTACATACAGCAAGGATCCACTGAAGAGTACTTGTAGAGCGCCTTCTCTGCCTCGCACGTGTCCTCTGTTCGCGGTCTATTCGCATTTCGCCCGATCCAGGCTGAGAATGGCGTCCAGCCCGAGCCATCACTGGGATCTCCCGCTCGGCTCGTACTTCGCTTGGTAGCACGAGCCGCATGACGCGCTGCCACCTTGCACTTTGCCTTCCACTTTCGGTAGCAAAATAGCCACCGACAGCGATGAGTCACACCATACCTCGTGATCTCCTTCCGCGTTTCAGGCACAACAATGACGTCACTGTATGTTTCACATGACTACCCCAAAGAGGTTAGCGCTGCTCAAGCTCGTCATTCCGCACGAGAAAGTCTCTACTTGCATCTACATTTCTTCAAGCCGCGGAGAATTTGAGCTGGCGATCGTGCAGCCGGAGGAGACTTGACTGCTGCAGAGTTCGAAGAGCTCCAAGCGCGGCTGAACAAAGGCGAAATAACATGGCATGACGTAGCTAGCTCGAGCTCTGAAACAAGGCCCTCCGCTTGGCAGAGGCACAGGCACTAGATTGCACCGCAACGTGCATGTGACTCCGAGGCCGAAGCGAGCTGCATCCACCGGCCGGCCACCCCGCTGCGGAAGGGACGGAATTCCGCTGGCCATGATGTCATCGCTTGGAAGGTACCTTTGGTTCAACTTTGCTCTTGGACCTTCTCTCGCCTTCCCTTTCTCATCCTATATAAAGCTGCATCGTCTGCCACTCCCCCTCTCATCCATACTTCTCTCTCCAACCACCAATACTACAACTACCACACTTCAACACATTTCTCAAACCCACACTTTCAACATGGCGTTCAAGTAGGTCTCCCTTCTCATCTTATACGACATGGACCCAGGCTGACCTCCCAGCAACAACAACACCACCTCGGCCGCTGTCCCCCACAAGCCCACTATGGGTGAGAAGATCTCCGGTACTGTCGACTCCTTGAGTAAGTTACAGGTCCCTCGATGTTTCTCTTGCTTCTTTCCCTATATCTCTCTACGACAGGTCTCTGCCATCTCTTGCCTGTTTTCCTATACCTTCCTACTACAGGTCCCTCGCTTCATCTCTTGCTCCTTTCGCTCGATTCGTCTCTTGCTCCCTTCTTTATACCTCTCTACTTGAACCATGGCTGATCCCACAGTCGGCAAAGCCACCCACAACCCCACCAAGGTCGCCGAGGGCGAGGCCAAGAAGACTGGCGAGCCCCTCCACGGTGTCCACGCCGGCGCTTCCGAGGCCATCCACGGCAACAACCACGGTTCGGGGCTCACTGGCAACAACAACCACGGCTCCGGACTTACTGGCAACAACCACAACTCCAACTCGGGCGTCCTCGGCAGCAACCACGACAACCACAACTCGGGCGGTATCCTCGGCGGCAACCACAACTCCAACACGCACTCTGGCGGCCTGACCGGCAACAACCACTCCGGTACCGGTCTCACTGGCAACAACCACTCTTCCAACTCGGGCATCCTCGGCGGTAACAACCACAACTCCAACTCGGGCGTCCTCGGCGGCAACCACAACTCCCACACCGGCACTGGCCTCACCGGCTCATCCCACACCGGCGGTCTCACCGGATCGCACAACGACCACTACGCCGGCGAGCATACCCACGGTGCTCCTCTCGTCGGCGGTGCCCACACCGGTCAGCACCATGACTCTGCCCTTGGCCATCACTCCCACTCCACCACTGGCGCTGGCGGTCTTACCGGTGCTGGCTCGCACAACAACCACGGTACCCACGGTGCTGACCACACCCACGGTGCCCACGGTGCCGACCACCACAACAAGCCCACCATCGGCGAGAAGATCTCAGGCGGTATGGAGTCAATGGGTGAGTTGCCTTTCTTCACCTTCCTCTACCTGGAAATACAGCACTTGGGAATACAGCTCACCATTTAGTCGGCAAGGCCACCAGCAACCCCGCCAAGGTTCACGAGGGCGAAGTCAAGCGCACCCACGACCCCATGCACGCCCAAGCCGCCGCCGCCAACGTCGGTACCGACTCGTACGGCAACCACCAGACCGGCGCCCTCGCTCCCGGCCAGCCCGGCTCCCACACTGCCGGCGGTCTCGGCCAGAACGCCCAGACCGGTTCCGGAGCCTTCCACAACAACCCCAACACAGTCGGCAACAACAACACTGGCGCCTTCGACAACACCAACACTGGCAACAGGTACTAGGCGTTGATCAGGGGAACATATATATAGGAGAAGAAGTGTATATACAAGGGGGAAATCAAAAGGGAAATAGCAGTTAACGACCATACACGCATTGTCATGAATTAGCATATCGAGCTCGCTTCTTATGCTTTGGCTGCATCTGGTTGCTGCTAATCTAGCTACTAAAACTTAGTCTCGACCGCAGACCTACCTATGCGGCTCCCGAAGGTAAGACAGTGTACAGTTGCTAGAGATTTATTTGAGGTGTTGAGAGGATTCTTTGATGCTGCCCCTTCTTTTGCCTCTCTCTCCATGATGCGAGACTACTAAAACTAATCGATACATGTCTAACATCAACGGCCTGACCTCTTGGGTCCGCTCCCTCTCGCTGGGGTTCTCGTCTGTGGTTGCCCCTTCACCCTGCTCACCGCCTGTGCCTTCTGTCCAGACTTATCCGCCGGTCTCTGTACTCCAGCTCCAGCCCCCATGCCTGCTACCCCTCTTTGCGTCGCAGCATGATGCGCTAGGGCTGGACGTCTCACACCCGGCCCCGCCCCTCCCCCGGGACCTCGATCCATCCTCTGCTTATCCCCTCTTGTCGCCGGTCCCGCTGGCCCCGTCGTCGCCAACCGAGCATACGGCTCGCTCACCCTCCTGACTTCTATATCCGCCTCCCCGTCCCTCCAGTGACCCCTGGCCATCCGGCCGCCTTCTTCCGTCTCGAGCCGGGATTGACGGTTTGCATAGAGGCAGAAGATGAATAGGAGGATGATCAGGATGAAGAAGATGCTGGATGCGCCTGATGGGTCAGCTGAGTAACAGGTGGGACGTACCTAGGACGCAGATCTGGGTCACCGTCAACTTCTTTTTGATCTGCTTTATGGTCTCCATAATCGGGGCTATACTCGTATGGCCGCCAACAAGTCTACCGCCATCGTATTCGTCTCTGGATGAGCGCAGCTGATCGGAGTGCAAGAAGTCAGCGTAAGAGCAGTAGCAGTGATATGTATCCACTGTTGATAAGTGATGAGTGAGCTATTAGCCCAGAATCGCACTTCCTTTGTCGATCACCTCCCGTTCAGACGGACCGTTTGGACTCCTTGCGGTGTTCCTTTCCCGCCTCCCTAGCGCGCATCGGCGGGGCTGTTACGAAAGGTCAGCTGGTCGACCCGAACGGACCACGCTCGGGTCGGGCAAGCAAAGGTGATCCATCGACGCATCGTAGCTTGGATGAGAGCGCGTCTACTTCGATATCTCGACACCGCCCGTCGCATTCAAGGCCTTCTTGATATCCCCGTAGATCATGACTGCTCGTATCAGCCCTCCACCCTTACTCTCGCTCACGGCCATTCGTACACGGGACTCACATTGCCCAGCACTCAAAGTTCCAATCATTACCAACCTCGCACTCATACCCGTAAACAAACCCCTTACGCCCAACTGGCTTGCCATACTGACCAACCTCGACGTTGTGCTCTGCCCTGGCGCACCCTTCGCTTTGTTGATCTTGGACAGGAGCGTGTCGGCCGGCTGTGAAACGACAGCGGCCGCCATTCCGCCGATCAGGCCCGAACCGAGGTTGACGGCGGTGGCTGTTCCGCTAGACAGCGATTCTTTGGTTTGGCCCATGGTCTGCAGGATCCGTTCCGAGGCCAGTTCAAATCTGAACATCAGCTCTAGCTCCATCGGGTTGGGGCTAGGTCATCAGGTGAGTGAAGGGGGAAGCGACTCACACGCCAAATTTGACCATCGTATACGGGACCTGCTTGAACAAGATGGGCCCAAAGCCCGCATAAAACGCCGCTGGACCTTCTTCTCTCAGAATCCGCCCGAACCCGCCCACAAGACCATTCGCGTAGCTCGGCTGGGAGACGAGCCTGATCCGAGTCGCCTCGAGAGGACAGAGAGCGATGTCCGCAAAGAACTCGGCGATACCGCCTGTGACGAGGTAGATGGCGGTACGGTATTCCCGGGCCGTCTCGAGCCCGAGGATGTTGACGGCTTGTTTTTTCCAGTATTCGTATCTGCATGTCAGCGACAGACCCGGGGGAGAGTCAGATCGATGGCCTACCCGCCGAATTTGAGAGCGCCTTGAATGGAGTAACCGACGATGGTAGGGCCGAGACCGGTCAGGAGGGCGCCGGCACCTTCTGCGGCGACAACTTGACGAAAGGCAGTCACCATTCCCTTAGAAATCAATACGGTCTCGTTTGATACCGCACTGCGCTTACATCAGACATACCCGGTTGTACACCTCGGGCTCGAGCTGGATCCTGGTCTTGATGACGTCGACGGGGGTGAGGACACCGTGGGTGATGGCACAGCCGAGCGCACCGGCAACGGCGAACCTAGCCATCAGCGTCTGTTCGTATTTCCATTGTCTGAGGCAACTCACCGGGAGTACAGATCAATACCGGTGGGAGGCACGCCGACGGCAGTATGAGTATCCGCCCGGATATGATCGGCTCTGACCGCAGCGAGCTCGTGCTGGAGGTGATCCTCCCTCGCGACCGCACCAAGGGCGAAGATCCGGTCTCGATTGAAGACCTCCTCAGCTCTGAGCTCGGCAATATGGTGACGGAGGTGGTCCCCCTTCACCTTGGCATCATGGGCGGACACCCGGTCTTGGTCGATGGCTTGATCCACCCGGTCACCTATGCTCGGAGCGAAGAAGGTTTGGGTGGTCGCAAAGAAGGGGTTGGGGCGGGCGCGCATAGTGGAGGGAGGTGGAGGGCTGGCTTAGTAATGAATGAGTATTCAAGATGGTCAAGGTGTACGAGTATAGAATACAGAGAGTCGAAGCAGATGCTTACAGTCAGTCAAGGACGGGCGACCTGTGCTGCTCCTGCTTATTCTCGGCCTCGGAGCTCGGCTCCTCGGCTTCGAGAATTCGAACGGAACTCGGAGCTTTCAAGGCGCTCCGCGTTCGGCGGTCAGACCGACAATGCCTATGATGTATCCGCGCCATTCTGCTCGACAGCAGCTTTGGCTGGCGACCGAGAGCATACGTTGCGCACGGCCAGAGGTTGGGGAAATGGACGATATATCAGCTGTGAATTCATTGAGAGAGAAGGTCAGAGAGAGGGAAGGCGGATAGTTGACGGCAATGGGGTCAACCCCTCTTAATAAGCATGTCCGGCGTGCCGCTGGCCAACAGTCTCTCTCTAATCTATCATTGCTTTGCGCAAGCCGAGACCCAGACCGTAGCAGCCTAGCCACGATAGCCAACCATGCCGATGATCTTGAGCACACTACCAGTAATGACACTACCGTACACTGCGGTGGCCCCGCTACGTTTCTGTTCACCTTATCAGACAAGCAAAGGAAATCCATCGAATATAAGCGAAAGAGTCGTAAAAGCGCATCTATTTGGAGATCTCGACACCGCCGGTCGCGTTCAAAGCCTTCTTGATGTCTCCGTAGATCATGACTAGTGTCATCAGCTTTGGCTTCACGCGTCTTGATCACAGCCAAAAACTCACATTGACCAGCGGTAAGGGTACCGATCATGACCAACCTGGCGCTCATACCGGTGAAGAGACCCTTGGCGCCGAGCTGGCCAGCCATGGTTACGAGACGCGAGGTGGTAGACTGTCCGGGCGCGCCCTTGGTCTTGTTGATCTTGGAGAGGAGGGTGTCGGCGGGTTGCGAAATGACGGCGGCAGCCATACCGGCGATGAGACCGGCACCGAGGTTAACGCCGGTGGCGGCACCACCGGAGAGGGACTCCTTGGTCCTGCCCATCGACGAAAGGATCTGCTCGGATGCGACCTCGAAGCTGGCGATTAGCCAAAGCCACATTCAAGGCGAGACCGAGACTTACACGGCGAACTTGGCCATGGTGTAGGGAACCTGCTTGAACAGGATGGGACCGAAACCGGCGTAGAAGGCAGCGGGACCCTCTTCCCTCAGGATACGGCCGAAACCGCCGACGAGACCGTTGGCGAAGGTGGGCTGCGAAACGAGACGGATACGGGTAGCCTCGAGGGGGCAGAGGGCAATGTCGGCAAAGAACTCGGCGATGGCGGAGGCACCGAGGTAGATGGCCGTCCGGTTTTCACGGGCCTTCTCGAGACCGAAAGTGTTGATGGCCTGCTTCTTCCAGAACTCGTAACTGGATGTCAGCTGGGCTATCTGCGAAGAAGGGGGAATAGCTCACCCTCCGAACTTGAAGGCACCCTGGATAGAGTATCCGACAATGGTGGGGCCGAGACCGGTCAAAAGAGCGCCAGCACCTTCAGCGGCAATAACCTGACGGAAGGCAGTGACCATTCCCTGCAGATCAGCAATTGCCCCGCATCAGAGGATAACTCGACGTACGCGGTTGTACACCTCGGGCTCGAGCTGGATCCTGGTCTTGACGACATCGACGGGAGTAAGGGCACCGTGGGTGATGGCACATCCGAGGGCACCGGCAAGGGCGAACCTGCAACTATCAGCCTCCAAGCTCCCATTCCTCACATTTTCGGACCGGGGCCGACTCACCGAGCGTAGAGGTCAACACCGGTGGGGGACGCGCCAACAGCGGTGGAGGCAGCACCCTTGGCATCGGCGACCTTGACGCCAGCCTTGTGCATGAGGTTGTCGCCCTTGTTGAGGAGCTGGTCGGCCTTGGCCTGAGCCTCGTGGCCGTACGCCTTGCCCTGAGCGATGGCGCTGTCGACCTTGTCCCCTACGGAGGGAGCAAAGAAGGTCTGGGTGGTGGAGAAGAAGGGGTTTGAGCGGGCGACCATTGTGTATGAGAGAGTGGTGTGTGAGTAGAAGGTCTACAGTTACTTTTGAGTGGAGGAGGATAGATAGATAGCAAAAGTTAGAGGTCTGGTCGTCGGAACGGAGAAAAGAACAGGAGCAGAGGCACGGAGCATTTCGGAGTTACTCCCGAGTGTGGCACTTTTGCCGCAAAGCATTATGTAACTGCCTTCTGCCAAAGGAGCAAAATCAGTCACGGGTAGGACAGGGTATGACGTCAATGCTCGCCCTGACTTAGACCATGCGGGGTACTGCGCAGTCAAACCATCAACAGCTGTATCAAGCAACCGTTGCCACTCCCGCTCTCACGTCTATACTTCATCTTAACAACAATTAAGACAACTCTCTTCACCTTCCCCACCCCACCAACCAAAACAAAAACACACAAAATGCGTTTCGCCACCGTCCTCGCTCTTCCCGTTCTCGCCCTCGGCGCCTTTGCTGAGAACGCCCAGGTTGACAAGCGTCAGCGTAAGTCCCTGACGACAACCATCACCGCAGTCGACCAATGCTGACAGTGCAGTGGGTTCAGTCCTCGCTTCTGCTACATCCGCCTTTGGCGTAGCCACATCAGGCGCAGCCGGTGTCGTCTCCTCCGCCTCGTCAGCTGTCGGCGTAGCTACCTCGGGCGCTGGGTCCGTCGTAGGTGCCGCCTCTTCCGGCGTGCTTTCCGTTGCCTCTGGCGCCTCGTCGGGCGTTGCCGCTGGTGCGTCAGGTGCCTCCTCGGTCGTCAGCGCCGGTGTCAGCGGTGGTGCCTCGGTCGCTTCCGGTGCCAGCTCTGGTGTTGCGGGCGGTGCATCCGGCGCTAGCTCTGCCGTGTAAGTTACACCCTTCAATCTCATTGTTCCAAAAACGAACGATTGCTGATGAGCATAGCGCCTCCGCTTCGTCCCGCGCCGCTGCCGGCCAGGTCGCTCCCTTCCCCATGTCGGCCGTCTGGACCGCCGCTGTCGGTGCCGTCGGTGTTGTCGTCGGTGCCGGTGCCGTCTTCGCTTAAGCCTTGGCTTTAATGCGAGCAGTAGGGGGAGTCGTTGAGAGGGAGTGCAGCAGCAAAGACCGATGTAGCCCAAGCAAACATACATGTAGATATTTGCAGCCTTGACCTCTCCTTGACTACGGATCCATACAACTCGACCGTCGGCGGCACGTATTTACCGGACCAAATTTGGCATTTCTCACATGACAATGTCCGCCGCACTGCCCCGCACATACCGTTCTATGATATGTAGAGCTCCTGTGGCTTGAAGTATGGGCTGCAGCTCATGCATGGCTCATCCTAATTCCGGCACCGCTGTCGCCACGCCAAGACCACTGACGTCATGAAACGACCGAAGATCAGAAAGAAGTTTCAGTCCAGCCATGGGCAGACTAGGCGACGAGCATCGACCTTGAACCGTACCACTACTCTCGCCGCTCACCCTTACACAGAAGCACCTACCCGTACTCCAGCTCGTTGCATCATGGCCGCCATTCGCGCACTGGAAGAGTGAGCCTGCGCCCCTTCCTAGGAATGTCAAGGCCCAAGCTGGCGCCCAAGCTGAACCCTGTAGGAAACACTGGACTCCTACCCGCAGTCAAAAGATAATAGCCTCGATCGATGGGTTCTGTATGTCCTCCTTCTCCTGACTTCAAGGACAAGCTAACAACCCAGTTGGTAAACTCATGAACAACCAAGCCCGGATCCTCGAGTCCCGAACCACCCGCGCTGGGATCCCCTATGGCCCCGGAGGGCCCGTCACCCCACCTGCATCCTTCTTCAAATCCCAGCCCCCAAATATCGGCCGGTCAGACTACGCGGCTGCCAACGCCGGGAATGGTGGGTTGAGCACAGCGTCGTCCAGGACTGCCACGAGCGGAGTGGAGGGCCTCGGAGTCGGAGCCAAGTCGGGAGAGAGCAAGCATGTGCATGGTGCAGAGACGGGGGTGGGCGGGGGTCATCATGGTGGGATGGAGGGGACGGGACATGGCCGGCAGAGGAGCAAGATCTCGGGGCAGTAGGCGCTCAGTCTCGCGTGGAGGGGAGAGGGACGTTCTGATGTCCAGCGAGGAGGGGCCTGTTCAAATTTCACTTATAATCGGTCCCGATGTCTCCAGTCTGAGGCGATTCTGTAGCTGTACCTGTATCCTACGCTCATGTATACCTCTTATAATGATCTCTTACTAAGCCTGTTCGCTCCTGTGCCTCCTGGCATACCTGGTCACCTCGCCCCGTGAGATAGCCCTTGACCCCTCCCTTGATATAGTCATATAGAGTGCCTTGACCTACCAAAATTTTGTTCCGCTCAGCCAAAAAGTCCACCTCCAACCAAGCTACACAAGTGAGTTACTGAGTCGACCACCTCCCATAGTATTCTCAAATTGACCTAGAACCAGCGCGCCTCCCTCCTTCTATCTCGCCATGCTCCCCTCCCTCCGCGCCTTGAACGCCGAAGCAGGCCCCTCCCGCCCCCGCCCACCCCCTTACGTCCCCCGGAACGTCGAACGGACATATACCGGGCCCGACCCCGCCTCGCTCCCTCCCAAGCGTGACAGATCGCAAGCGGAGAAATACTTTGCGAGGGTGTCGAATGAGAATATACTGCCTAGTAAATGGAGTAAAGTGATTGGGATAGGAGGCTGGGTGGTGGGTGGATGTGAGTCTTCCACAGCTGTCCTAGAATGAGCCTGTGAGGTGGGGGAAGTAGGCGGGCGAGTGAGTCAGTGGAGATAGAACTGATGAGGTAGTTGCGGTAGTGTATATGGCATTATATGCGGACTTTGGAAAACATGAGCATGTCTTCTCACCAGTAAGCCCCATATCTGTGAGCTGGGGGATAGGGAGCTGACAATGGCAGCTGAGACGAGCGTTCAAATCATACACCCACGACCTGGACACGCTCTCACCGGCTGAGCGGTCTGTCCTGGGTATGGACACTCCACCTCGACCAGCACCCAGTGGCCTATCAGCGAGTCTTCGCGAACCGACCAAAAAGCCACCAACATAGCCCTGGCTCTTCGGAGCTCTCCTTCGGTCCCCTGCAGCCCCTATGGAGGAAAGCCGAAGCTATGTCCTCATAAGAAGGTATAGAAATCTAGATGATACATGCAGACTAGCTCAAGCTACATACGGATACTCTACTGTCCATCCTCCTCTCTAGGTATCACACAAGCTTCAAGCCCAGATCCCCTTGATCGCCTCACTCCCCTCCTCCGCCGCCATCGCCCATACGTCTTCCCCAACGACCCCGTCCCACTCTCCCGCTGTACTGATCATGACTGTCCCCACTCCTCCCACTCCGCCCTCCATGCTCGCGCGCAGACTGAGGAGGGCGGCGGAGACGACCATCCCTAGCACGACCCAGGCTACTAAGCCCGCCACGGTCTTGCCCATCCCTTTCACCGACTTCTTCCCCTCCCTCGCGTCCTCCTGGATGAGACTGCCGCCGAGCGACAAGGGGTGAATAGGGGTTCCGACCGGCCCAGCTCCCAAGCCGTCCCGCCTACAGTCGCGCTGCCGCAGTGTCCGGCTCCCGGCGCGGACGAGCGTATCGGGCCGTAAAGACGCCGAGGGCGTGGGTGTAGCTGAGGGACTAGAAAGGGTGTTGATGATGGTGTATCGGGCGCTAAGGGCCCCGGCGGCCGGGCGCGCAGAGAAGGGGTTGGAAGGTGAAAAGTAAGGGGAGGTGGAGAGGGCAGCGGAGAGTCGGGCGCGGGGCGTACCGGGGGATCGGGGGAAGGCCGGGCGGCCAGAGTGCGAGTGAGGTTGAGAGTGGGGATGAGATTGGAAGGGAGAGGGAGAGAGGGCAGGGAGGAGAGTAAGGGGCAGGTAGGCCGTGTTGTCAAAGGCAGGGGAGAGCATTGTTGTTTCGCTTAGGCTTAGGAAGATGGCGTAATGGTGGAGTTGTAGCTGTAGAATCGTCAGGTGCGAGATGATGTTCGATGAGAAGCAAGGATATCCTGCATGTTATACATCTCCCCAATCCCTCTCTGACGCTCGGCGCCCGCTTGGCTCGAACGGTTCGAACGACTCGATCAATGGCTGGACGGTCGACAGGATGAGACATGTTAGTGCGCGGTGGCGGGGTGAGCTAAATTGCGCCGGTCGGTCATTTTGCTGCAACAACTCAACAACCCAAGCGCACTGTCGGCGAGCTGCGAGACATGTCTGGCTCCGTCGCTTGGTACTCGTATAGTTGGTGCACTGTATGATGCAAGTGTTTTACTGCCTATACTTTTGCTATGTACTTCTGAACTCGGCCCCGTCCTGATCACTGCGAGTATTCCCCCGACTCCCCCCGGAACTTTCTATGTATGTATGCTGCTCCCGCATGCCATCTGGTCCCCATCCTCCTAATTTACCCAAAGCCTCTTACTCCCTCCTCGTCCACACATCCCCACTCCCCGGCCGGCTCACCGCATCCTTCGGCACATCCAACGACCCCACTCTATCCCTGTCCCTCCACCCCGATCCCGCCCCCGCGAGCGGCTGCATGAAGCTCGGCGCAGGCGGGAACATGATGACCCTCGCCCCCGGCATCCCCGCGCGCGTCACTTGGCTGTATGCCGAACGCGAGCTGGTGCTGCTATCAAAGGACGAGATGGACGACACCGAATCGCGTACGTTGGCCTTTGCGCGGGGTGGAGAAGCAGGAACGAAGCCCTGTAATCGGCCAGGTTGGAGCGGCGTCGTGCCCTCCCGCTGCCGGTCGGATGGGGACTGGAAGGGGTTGGTATAGGTGACGGGAGTGGTCTGGCGGCTGAGATCGGGGTTAGCGAGCCGAAGCTCAGTGTGGCCGGTAGGAAAGAAGGGGTTGATGGCGCTTCCGTCTCCGTTGACGTCGCTGGGGGTCTGGAAGGAAGGAACGGGGCTATCGTGGAGCTGAGTCTTGGGTCCGAGGTTGTTGACATTGCCGCTGCCTTTGTTTGGGCGATGAGGGGGAGAAGGGGTGAGATCGCGCGATCCAGGAGGGGAAGTAGAGGGGAAGAAGAAAGCTTCGTATGCCGAGTATCCGCGCGTGGAGGGAGCGGTAGGCGCTTGGGCAGCAGCCGTGGTGGATGCGACGCCGACATGAGGCGGAGCAGACCCATCCCATCCCCCTCTGGTAGGCATGGCGGGGTATCGACTATCCGACCCGCCAGGTCCCAGTCCCTTCTCCGCGTCCACCCCAGCGCGTGCACTGGAGCCGTACGATGCATTGTCCCGATATATCGACCGGTCGTGGAACGACGAAGAGATGTCCCGGTCGGCGACGTCGATGAAGGAGGGGATGGGTTGGCGTTTATCGAACCGGCGTCGCTTGGTACAGCCCGAGAAGCGGATGACGAGGAATGTAGATAGGATAGCGATGAAGATGCCTGTACTGTCAGCTGTTATCTATTCTAACTCACATCATGAGTTAGATGAAGATGGCGAAGCTCACCTGCGATAGAAACAGCTGTGATACCGAGCGGGAAAAGCTTGTTCTCGGGATTGAAGATATTGACGGCCGGAGGCGACTCAATTCGCTCCATCGAGACCATCGAAGCTGAGGGAAGGGGCGAGAAGAACGGCGTAAAGGTTGACGTGGTAGTAGACAATGTAGGCTGAGAGGACGAAGTGTTGAGCCCAGAAATGGCAGATCTGAAGTATCAGCTCGGACTTCAAGCGGCCGACAATCAAGGTGAAGCCGGAACTGACGCTGGTGGAGGCTGAAAAGAGACCGTCTGGACCCGCCCCGCGGACACCCCAAACTGCGACGGCGCAGGCACCACCGCGCTCTCCACCGCCGCCACGATCGCCGACGCACTCTGCCCTACCAACACCCCCTGCCCCTGGGTGATGGCGCCCACAGTGATTACCCTGTTGCCGCCCTCCTCACCACCTGCGCCTGCTGCCAGCTTGGAGATGTTGGGCGCGACGACCGACCGAGCCTCCGTAGGGAGGGCGACGCCGGAAAAGGACGCGCTCGGACTTGAGCCGGCGATAGCGGCGCTCGAGATCGTGGATGATGCTACTGGTGATTTACGAGGATCGACCAAGGAAGCAAGCGCGGCAGATGTGGAGATGCCGCTGCTCCCCACCGCGGCCGGCACGACGGGGCTCGAAATCGCTGGAGGAGAAGTAGAAGTAGAGGCGGTCGAAAGACCTGCACCTGGCAGGTCAGCGCTAGAAAGGGGGAGAGCACTGCTCATTGTAGATATCTGCGCCGGGCAGTAAGGTAGATGTGACCTGCACGAAAGAATAAAGGGAAGGGGCGGGGTGAAGGGAAACGAGCGGGATATGGGATGTAAATGTAATCGGAATCGCCAAGGATGAGACCACTCACTGTAATCATCATCATAAGCATGTAGACTGGGCTACAGCTCCACTATACGACGGTCGTCGATGTGAGGTGAACTCGCGCGTCGTTGGCGGGCAAGATCTGAAACATGATTTCGGTCAGCCGAAAATGGTCCTTTCGGTACCTTGACGACCGGTGCCTGAATATCGTAGATCCCGATCCCGATCTCGGTCTGCGCGTCATCCGGGTTCCTAGTCGTGCGTGGAGCCGGACCACCGGCTACCTCGATCGTGATGATCGAGCGCCGGATCCCAAGACGTCCAGAGCAACAGCCGTCATCCCGCCCAGTCCCATTGCCTCCCTCGCCTGCTGGATGACCGCTTCCACCTCATCCTCCGATGCCTCCCTTTTGTCTTTGATTTTCAACTGCGCAGCTATCGCCCGCCGCATCAGTCGCTGCAGCGCTGGAAGAAGCAGGGCAGCCTCTCCGGACCGGTCGGCTGCGCCAGCTGGCCCAAAATGACGAGTAATGTCCGCGCCGTCCGTGACCGCCTGTTCGAGCTGGCGCCTGGGCGAATTGTCGTTGACGAGCCGAGCAAAAGGACGCCCGACGGGAAGCATAACTGCCTGGCTATGCGCAGCTCGATCGTCCCGGAGCAAATGTAGCTCCTGGGAGACCCTGTCCCAGTCTTGCAGACTGAGGCGGTACTGCCGGTCGCTAGTGTTCGTGAGATCCGAACCGCAAGATTCCGGGATTGAGAGAGAGACTGATATGGGGGCGGTGAGCCGCGGTATGACCTCGCCAAAGATCCGCAGACCTCGCACAGAAGCCCTGACGAGGCCAGCAGCGACGATGTCGAGCGTCCGACCGGTCGGTACGACCCCAAGCGCCCGGTCGCCCGAGCTGCACTTATGGAGCGGGGAGAACTGCTGCAGCAGAACCAGTGCCGCCGGGAGGTCCAGGACGGTGGGACCAGGCATGTGTCCGGGCGGTTGATGCGAAATGACAAACACCTCAGATAAAGCCGCATTGAGGGATTGTTCATCCATGTTGGCCGGATCCGATAGGAAGGAGCGTAAGAGTAGCCGCGTGGGAGACCTAGAAGTCCGCTTGAGAAGGCGGAAGAGAGCGGTATAGCTTGACGCGTCCGGCCGAAGATCTGGAGCGACCTGGACGGACGTCTCTAGCGGGACACGAAGATCCGGCGTGATCGCCCCAACGATTGCCTGCCTCCGAGCCGCCATCCCCTCCTTCTCTTCGGACGATAGCGCCGCCCCATCCCACCGCAATCCCGATATCGTCTCCCAGATCCGCTCCGCCCTCACATACTTCCCCGCTACTCGCTCAGCCGACATCCACGTGTTGAGCAGCTCGACCGGTACCGGCGCGCCTCGGAGTGTCTGGACCGCATGAAGGACGATTGTGCGTGGAACGGTAGAGTGCTTTTTGATGCGGGTGGGGTTCAGCTGACGGCGAGGGGAGGTTACGTCCGGATAGTTGGATTCGATCCAGTGGGACAAGAGCGAGATGTACGGCCGTACGATCGCCTCAGGAGTCGGCCCTCCTCCCGCATTTCCCGTCTGAGCTTGCTGCGCCCACACCGCCGCCTGAATCTCCGGCAGCCTCCTGATCCCCGCCCTCAGCTGCCCATCCGCCAATAAAGCCCCCATATACACATCCCACAATTCCAGATCCCACTCTTGCATCGGTACCGCCTGACCTCCGTACTTGTGCTCCATGCACCCCTTGATCATATCCTTGACCTCGTCCGCGGGCGTTTGGGCGTGCTTGACAGTCGTGCTCAGGATGAGCGTAAGGAGGTGCTTGTCGTACGTTTCGGGGAGGAAGGGGAAGATGGATGCGACGGTCTCCATAGGTGAGGAAGAAGGGAGGGAGAGGGCTTGTTTGAGGTAGATAGTGAGGACCTGTGCGGAGATAGGAAGACCTTCGGAGTGTTGGCGGTTGACGAGTTGATGCACCGCTGCAAGACTGGTGGGGGTGGGGTGATGGAGGAAGTGGTAAATGATCGCGGTGTAGAGGCTGATCCGGCGCTCCTGATGCTTCTCGACATCGCTAGATGACGAAGTGCACAGATCATCATCCAGCAGAGCCAAAGCTGCCTGATATGCAGAAGCAGGGTCCGCCGGAGAGGTCGACGCCCGCAGTCTCGCCTTGACGGCGGAGATCGTGAGCTGCAGATGATCCCGCCTCATCGACGCCTCCTTACGCGCCCCGCGGAACGTGTATGTCTTTCGCTTGGGTTTAGCAGGTTCCTTGTCCACAGGCAGAGCAGAGGCTCGAGGCGGGAGAAGCGGCGCCGCTCGTGAGGGCCGTCCGAAGCGGACCGATAGGGGCGGGAGGTACGGCTCCAGCAGTCTCTGCACGGGTGGCGGGATCCACGCCGAGCGCGAGGCTGTCCGAAGAGCCGCCATACCGCTTGCGGGGCCAGCGTATGGAAAGATTTAGGCGATGATGTATAGCAGACAGGAGAGAGAAAGGTAATGATGTCGGCCAGATGCTGGCCAGATATCGGCAGACGACAAGCAATTTTAGGTGGAGGCAGGGTGGAGGTTCTCCGCGCGGAGCAAAGCCAGACGACTTCAGGAGCATGCTTCTACGTCTCGAACCGCAAGCGAATAGCTGCAGAGTAGCTAGCTGCATACCGGTCGCCAGCTTCGCCCACAGACACAGCGCGTACTGTTTAACATACTATAAGCGATTGGAACTACCCACGACCCAAATCTGATACACCACAGCCGCTTCTCTCACCAACGTCTCCCCGGTCCGCACCCGCCTAGTAGACTCCAAACTCGGCTCCCTCATACCCCCAAGTGCCCCCTCCTCCGCCTTGTTCAGGCATCTGCCCTCCCGCCCCCGCCGCCCAAAACGGCACCGCCATCGCCGGCTCATAGAACGTCTGTAGCCTCGCCCATATCTCTGCCGTATCCATCCCCGCAAATGGCTGGTTGGGGTCCAAACCTCCAAGGCCTGAACTCTGGCTCTGAGTATTCTGATTTTGGCCCAGGTTGAGATTGTTCGATAGTTGCTGAGGAAGGCCGAATGGGGGAAAAGAGGTGTCGGGGGCTGGGGATGGCTGAAGCCAGTGTACGGGGAGTGGGTCGGAAGGACCAAAGTTGATCTGGTTCCAGAATGCTCCGGGCGTGGCTTGGGCGGAGTCGACCTTGGTATGCGCCAATTGAGGGGTAGGGGCGATGGAGGCGGGTGCAGACTTGTCAAAGTCCACCCGGCCGCCAAGGAGGACAAAGAGCATGTCTTCTCCTTGCTGTACAGCTGAAGTCGCCGGGCTGTTCGAGAGCGATAGGCGGGGGTACCGATTCTCGACCAGGGTGCAGAGGATTGGCAGTAAAGACTGGGCCATCAGCCATAAGTCGAAGAAAGCAATCGAGAAGCTTACTAGAACGCCTTGAGCACGATCACACCCATTATCCCGGATCATATCACAGCCGCCCCTCATCTCTTCATACGCCCGCTGAACAAACCCATCATCCATAAAAGGTCCACACCAGATCGCCAGCGCGGCTAGCGAGACCGCCGCTGAGAAAGTCTGGACCCAAGTGGACCAAAGCCGAGCGGCCAAACGTGGCTCATGCCGCGCGATAAAGCCCGAAATGGCGATGATCGATGTGGATGCTAGGAACGTCTGCTGGATGCAGGTACGTTCCGCCACTGTGAGAGGTTGACGGGAGGAAGGGGTTTTTTCTCGCAATCGGCCAATCAGGCGGCGGAGGGAAGGACGGTGGAGGAAGAGGAGAGATTTAAAGTGGCACATCGACGTAGTGGACTGTGTGAGGCTCTTGACGTCGACGTGGGAAGGGTCGGATGGCGGAGGAGGGAGCGGCGCCCCAGTCAGGACTGGACAGTGGACTTGTGGTTGTCGTTCCATACTACCGTCAGCTGTATCCAAAGCAAAGACACACCTGTACTTGTCCAGCATTTCAGCCAGTTGCGATACCCGATCCTCCAGCTCCGCCTTGGACACCGATTCTGGCGCGCATCCTATCTCAATGACCTGCCGCTTGACATGCCCCATGTACATGTACTTGAGCTTGCACAGCGGCATATTGTCGTCCGGATATGTAGCTTCGATACTGTCATGTGGGATCGCGGTCCGCTGACCGTGATTGATCGACATAAGGCAGTCGAGTGTGTATGCTTCGTGGAATACGCGACGGCGGAACGTCTGCTCCGTGGGCGATATAGACGGGTGCGGGTCCTTGTGCAGGCCGAGCTAATGTCAGGTATTGTCAATGGAAGGGTAGACTCACCTGTTGTGCTGCAGAGGTCATCTGTCGGAGCCAGTAAAAATTGCTCGCTCCGGCGCCTCGCCATCCAAATCCAACAAAGAGCGACGCCAGCCCGAGCGCCTGCACTCCCGCAACACTAGCGCCCCACCCAAAGCTTGTGTCAAAGCACTTCTGGACGCCTCCCCAGTACTCTCCAATCAGAGGATTATCCTGAGATCCGCCGACGTCAAAGTAGGTGTCGAGAGTGAGGAGCATAAGCACACAGGCGAGCTTGTGTGGAGTGAGCGGGTTGGATGGGGAGGGCGAGTAGACGGCCGATTCGTAGATTGCCTCAAACTCCTCCCGCCGGAGGATGTTCTGGTACCATGTCGATTGTGACCAGAAGCGCTCGGCCTGACGCTGGGTGGTCTCGCGGTCCGGGAGAACGCGAACAATGCTTCTCAGCCGGTTCAGGATAGCTTGGCGGTCGACCGAGTCTTCCGTGGTAGCAGCGTTTCCGACCTGATATCAGCGGATCCAACGGGTAAACTCACGATTAGAGCGGGCGCAGCGTTTTCTCCGACCCAATCATCCTCCCTCTTGCCCTCGGTCCCGATATTCCCTTCATCGATTAAAAGGTTCTCCACCGCCATTCGACCTTGCTGGCCCCTGTCACCAAAGTGCTCGTTTGGCAGTGGTGTACGAAGGACGAAGCTGCTGTGGCTGGATGACCGTTGGGTAGGGGAGAGACGACGCGCATCCTCCGCGCCCAGCTGTTCGCTTTTGATACTGGTCCGACCCAGTGGTGATTCCGTCCCGACAATCGCGCTCTCATTGTTCTCACCGGCGAGGAGTGGGTGCGGTGAGGTGTCAATCTGACGCTGCGCCAAGGCAAGGGCAGCCTCAAGCTCCGAGATACGATCATGAAGCTCTTCCGTCGAGGCGAGAACGAGCCGCTTTCCCTGCATACAGCTGAGGTCCTGGTCGGGACAGGCAAGCGCACACCCGCGTTTCCGGCCTGACTGTCAGCTCATCTTCAAGCTCTAGCTCGAGACTTACAATTGGAGCACGGGAATACCCTATCGCACTTGGCCTTCATCCTCCGACACTCCGCGCAACTCTTCTTCGCTAGAACCGGCTTAGGCTTGCCGGCGTCATCGGCCACCCTGTCCTCCACCGCTTTTGCCTTCTTGCCTCCCTTACGCTTTGCCGTTCCTGCCTCGTCCACCGAGTCCGAAGGCCTCCGAGCAGAGCTGTCCTCCGCACTCATGCTCGATCCCATCCCCGCCAAGGCCAGTCCCGCCTCCACTTCGCTCTCGCCGGATTGCTGACCAACGGACCGGCGGCGCTTTTGCTGCACGTCCAAAGTACCGGTGTGGTAGTTTGCGGGGACCGCAGTAGCGGGCATATGCCCTGTCGTTGGGCTAGACCGCCCGGGGGCATGTTGAGCGTGTCCTGGAAGCGGGTGGAAAGCAAACCCGCCGGGCTGGTACGAAGGTCCGTGAGGATACTGGAGAGGCTGCGAGGTGTATGGATTGAGCATGGCAGGGGACCTTGAAAGCCCGGGTGGGCCAAAAGGATGATCCATTGAGTGGCTGTATGGCAGTGGCGTCGGGAGTTGGAGTGGGAAGTGGGGATATGTCGGTGGAGTCTGTAATTGTCAGCTTTGACGTTTTCTGCAGTCTCGGACGGCCGGCCACTTCGGCAACTCGCCTGGGAAGGTTTACTGGTCGAGGTGCGGTTCAATCTCTCGTCAGACATGATGGCTATCGCGTGCCCAGTCTTAGGATGACTGCTTCTGCGTTGCTGTACTCGTAGGTGTAGAGACAAGATGTGGAGGATGATCGTTTTTCGACGTCCGAGAAATCCGGAAGGTCCAAGGATGTTCTAACCGGTGGCCGATTAAGCCGCTGAGCTAAGCAGATCGCCTTAGCGCCGCTTTCCCTTTGGTACCCTCGGAGGCAGGAGAAGGAATGCGGAGGTGGAGGCGAGTAGGGTCTAGTTGACCCTCCCCTGGAGGTAGTATGATAGGCGCAGAGTGGAGAATATGAGACGAAGAGACCAAGAGATAGAGAGAAGCACAGCGGCCTCTTCTTCGGGCAGTCCAAAGAGGATGCCGTTTTCAGCCGAGGGGTCTCCGCAGCCAAAGCCACGTGATCAGCGGGGTGAGTGGCGGTTGGCCGTTGTTTGCCACCCGGCCGAGTTGTGCACCATAACATGTGGACAGAACTGTAGCCGTCCTCTCCGAGGATGTCAAACCTCCTGCTAGTTTGCAGAGGGCGACGACTCGTCTGAGTCTAATTCTGCTTGTCGAAGCGGGATACTCCATGGGTGCAGGAACTCACTAACTCTGGCGTGTACTGCTGCTACCTCCCGCTGGACAGTGACGCCCTTCGAACAGCCCGTCGGAGCGTCGATTGTATATACAATCGCTACAGACTAGGACATTTGTGGGGCACTCCGGACCTTTACCACCTCGGATCTTTGCGAATACCAGGCCCCGTGTCCTTGGTGGGAACGTCCCAACTCAGTGGGGCGGCCGACGGCGAGTCTGACATGCTCAGGTCGGATCCAATGAGTACCCAGTGCAGCCGATCGGGTATATGTGATACATCTGCCTAAGGACATTGGACTTGACTATGCAGGCACGCCAGGACTGTATACAGATGTGCAGTCGAACGACACCTTCGACTTGGGATCATACTGATGGATTTTCTCCCCTGCGAGGCTATCGAGAGTGAAGACGACGGGAGCTTCCTGCCTGGTAGCATCACGCAGCGTCATGGTGCACTACAGGGGTAAGTTGTTGGTCTTTCTACATGTTGCCTCTTGGGAGACTGGGGAGAGACAGCAACTCACTTGACCATGCACCGGAATTCTGGTCGGCCCGCCGGCTGAGTCAGGCCCCCTGTTGTATCCTTCGTATTTGAAGGTTTGCATGGTGATATCAGTTTTGGCTGAGGCCCCAGTAGGGGTATCGGGCATGCCAATACCAGCGATCCAGATCGACGAGTGGGCACCGATGACCTCGGGGCCCCATGCGTGGGATCCAGCGGAGCCCATGATAGTCTCGCCTGAGATGACCGTGAGCTTGTCATGGATTTCGATCTGAATGCCGCCGACGGAATCAGTCCGAACTTCCATGAGGGGGGTGGCTGAAACGAAGAGGAAGGTCGCAAAGAGGGCGACCAAAGCTGGGAAGGTTGAGGCTTTCATCGTGGGAGCGTGAGTGGTGTAGTCGAGGGATCGTTGGCAATGTCAGCTGGCGCTGGTGTGTTTCGAGGCAGATTCGAATTTCGTAGGAGATCCGAGAGGACGCTTAATCTTGTCTGATATGCGGCGTCGGGAAAACGGACTCAGAGGGGAGTCATGGTAGTTGCGCCTTATATAGGTGTGAATCGACACTGTGAGGTTGCTTTTACTCCTGAAGTCGCAACCCCCGGATGGCAGGGACCAGGATGAGAAGTATGAAAGGATGATGGGAGGCTGATTAAAGAACTGATGCTCGAGGCACGCATCAGTCTCCCCTGTGACATGAGGGGGCGATGAAGGCGGGACCACGGGGTAGGTGAAAGGGGACCATTAGGTTGCCCTTTGTCGTTCATGCGAGCCGGTCTAGATCTGGGGCAATCACGTATCAGCACGAGCGCTGTCCATACCTTTGCAGGGATTGAAACGGGATAGGGGTTTCAGTATGTACATTCCACGTGATCAGCGGGGAGTCTGGGGAGTGGCTGAGTAAGTGGCGGTTACTTCCACTCGAGAAATCCCCTGGCTGCAGATACTCGTCATCCCCTTGCGCATGCGGCCTCGCCACAACGAGTACATCTTGAGTCAGGTTTGGAGTAGCAGTCTCGTCAGTATTGAATCAGTAACGCTCGACACCAGATGTGCGTGCATTGATGGGCCCCTCCCCCTTGACTAGATCTTGACGTCGTTGGCAACCACACTCCACTCATGCTCGATCTCCCCCGTCTGGATACCCACTATCCGGTCGAGCATAGCTTTCGAGATAGCCCCCATCCCGGCAGGTCCAGTCGGAATGATGAGGTCACGTCCTTCATATCCGATTCTGCCTGATCAGCTCTGCCTCTGACTCCTCGTCTCAAGAGACTCACTTGTCCACGCTAGAAATGATAGCGGCGGTGCCTGTTCCAAACACCTCGAGCAGCGTTCCGTTCTTCTCGGCATCCACCAGGTCCTTCATGATCAACTTGCGCTCGCTGACTTTGATGTCGGCGGGAAGTCCGGGGATAGGGGTCTTTCCGGACGCGTGGTCTCGGGCAACCTCGAGCACACTGCGGGTCAGCTATGCTCAAGCTATAAGATGGTAGGCGGGTGACCCACCTGTCTCTTGTCACACCGGGGAGAACGACATCGTCCAGCGGCGGTGTGCAGAGCTCGACAGACCCGTCGGCCTGCTTGAACGCGACGAATAGGTTCATCGTGCCGACCTGGACGTCAGCGAAGCCTCGAATCCGGATTCTACAACTTACCTCGGTCAGGGCGTGCTCGTCACCCAAGAGCCAGAGGTTCTGGCTGTAGCCCTCCGCCATGGCCTCTTTCTGGGGCACAATACCCGGTGCGTAGCTGCAGGTCAGCAACATCCTGATTGCGGTAGACTTTGGCTTACTTTGCGCCGAGCTTGTAGCTACCGGTACCACCTGGCGTAGCGCGGACATATTTGGTGGTAGCAAGCAGTTGTACGGGCTTGAAGCCGCCTGGAAAGTCAGTTCTGCATCCTGATGCGGGACGACAGGAGCTCACTAGCGTAATATGGGCCGACGGGGCAGCAGATGACAAACAGCAACGCATCGCTGGAAGGTCCAACGCCAAGGGCTTTCTGAGTGGCAATGAGGGTAGGGCCTGGAAGATCAGCAGATCCCCTTCTCCGGCCAGAAGGAGACACCTACGGATGTACAGTGAGAATCCCTTGTCCTGCGGAATCCAGTCCTTGTCAACCATCACCAACTTCTTGATGAGTTCGGTGAGTTCTGCGCCGTCGAAGGTCTGCACATCAGCGGAGCTCAATTAGTAGCACCTCATCAAAACCTACAGGCAGGGCAATACGAGCGGCACTCTGCACGATCAGCGCGGGATCCATCCGAGTCTACATACAAACGTACCCTGTTCATCCGGGCCATATTCTTGTCGGGCCTGAAGAGCCGAACAGTCCCATCAGCATTCCGATATGCCTTCATCCCTTCGAATCTGTCCATCAGCTTGGACCCTCGCGAGGTTGACTCGAACATACAGGGTGAAAGCATAGTGGAAGACGGTACATGATGGGTCGAGGTCAAGCGGGCCGTCTATCGATCAGCGCCAGCTACGCACGCGCAGCTATGTCCCCATGAGCACTTACAAGGCCTGATCTCGGGGTTCGCCCACCCAGTAGCAGAGTTCCAGGGGATAGTGAGCATGTGGTCCGTGAACGTATGGCCAAAGACGAGCTTTGACGACGCCGGTCTCTTTTTGGGAGAGTCGGTGAGGGTGATTTTTGTCAAGTTGGACTGGCTGTCAGCTTAACCTTCCAGCTCGGCCTTCAACGCACGTCAATATCGGGCAGCTGGATGATCTCCCCGGTCATAGCGTCGCGAGCAGGGTCGGCCTTATAGGTCCTGATCTGGGTTCGGACAGCAGGGAGCACACGAGCGCGGCTGACGGCGCCAGACCATCGTGGAGCGCTCAGTCGAGCGAGAGAAGTGCGGAGAGCCGACATTGTCGCGGTTGTAGTCAGATGGAGGGCAATGTAGGGAGGCTGTGGGGAAGCCTAGTCGCTAGAGAGAGGTGAGGGTCGCTGGAGAGAGGTGAGGTACAGATTATAGGCATTTTCGAGTCACACCGAAGCAGGATCCGCCCGATAGCGACCATGCCGAGAGATACCGCGGACGACTCATGCAATTGTCAATGAGCCCAGCCACTGTGCGAATACAAGCTGTACATCGATCATTGGGCGGACTATGCAGTGCGACGCGCGCTCTATAGCCCTGCAGGCATCCTCGCTCCAGCTGGAGCTTTGTTCCTCTCCCTAAAGTCCCTCGCGATCTCCTCCATCGGCACCCACTCCACCCCTTCATGTGTGTTGACCCACTCGATAAACCGCTCCAGCATCATCAGCACGTCTGGTTATCAGCTCGTCCATAACGCAAGCTTACGAGGGCGACCCGACACGTCTGGGTGTATAGTGATAGGCATGCAGAAGCCATCTGGATTCTCGCGATAGCAGTACTCAAAGTGAGCCTTCCACTTTTCCTCTATCCCTCGGACGTCGACGAAGCCGTGCGAGTTTTTCGAGTCTTTGATGAACATGAGCGGGGGAAGGTCGTCCAGCTAGACCGTCAGCTTGATCAAGCGAGGACCAATAGGGTGAAGAAAGATACGTACGTCCCAATTAGCAGGTATGGAGACCATCCCCGTCACTTCCCCTCTCTTCAGCGGTTCCATCCACGTTTTGGCTTCTTGGCTGTAGTCGATAGGTTTCCAGGTATCCCCGATGCGCAGCCAGTAGGCCTGACAGTCGTGATGCTGGAATGAGTGGTCTACTATCAGCGGGGACTCTATGGCACGAATTGCAGAACAAGATAGTCTCCGCAAGTTGAAATTTTGGATTTTTGGCCGCGGAGACCACTCACCATACATGATTCCCTTGTCGAGGAGCATCTCTGTAGCCTCTTTACTTACTTCCCACCAAGGAGCGACCGAGCCCACCGGCGACTTCCCACAGAAATCAGTGAGCTGCTTGAAAGTATGTTCCAGAATTTCCAACTGCTGCTCGGGCGACATCGCAGTGGGGTTCTCGTGCGAGTACCCGTGCAGACCTCTACCATCAGCTCCGCCCCTCCCCATACGTACATCTCATGTCCCTGATCACGGACCATAGCCATCTCCTTGGGAAATGTATCGAGTGAATGACCGGGGATGAACCATGTCGTCTTGATACCGTATTTGGCAAACATCTTGAGGAGCCGAGGGGTGCCGACTTCGCCTGCGAACATGCCGCGTGAGATGTCCCCGGGGGAGTTCTCCCCACCATACGAGCCAAGCCTGGAGTCAGCGGTCTCCAGGCTACAAGGGACTCGGTATCATTCCAGAATGTCCAGATTTCGAGATGTGAGGGTCCCTTTGGATTCGCAAGTCAGAGTAGTGAGTGCAGAGGGGTCATACTCACCAGCCAGCTACCGCATCCACATCTACGCCGAAGGAGATTAGCTTTCTGCCCATGATGAGAGGCTCTGCGGTATATGTAGTGTACTAAACAGAGAGGGAGGGAGGCAAGAAAGAAGCGACAAGGCGGACCGATAAGAGTGGAGGCCTATCGGCATCTCTTGCCGGACTGCACTCCGTCTCTACTGTATATATGTAGTCTGTCGGAGCCGAAGTACCGTGCTTGATCAAGAGCTACTCCTCGAGACTTGATTATACATTGTACTTCTAGATCTCTTATCTCGCTTGCGTATATACCTTTGCCCTACACGGTCCAATTATTGACTCTCTCCGCTCAGTCTGACAGATTACCTCCACTTGCTCCCCCTCTGCCTGCCCCCTTGTCTTGCCTGGCCAAGATACGCTTCCTCCCTTCCTTCCTAGTCCATATCGACATCACTCTGCCTCCTCGTCCTTGCCCCCTCCATCTCTTCATCCTCATCATACTCGTCCTCCTCCTCATCTGCCTCGTCGACCGCGTGCTCATGATCCGACCCATCGTCCATTGCGTCGTCGCGGCCAGCATCCAGTATAGATTGAGGCTATGAAGTCAGCTTCAGCACCATCTGACGGGCGAATGAGCAGGGTGAGGGAGAGTAGCGCCTAGGCAACCGCAGCAATAATGGCAGGAGCACCAACAACTCACCATGAGAGACTCTCCGGTATAAGTAAAACCCCTAAAGTTCTCCTGCACACTACTCGTCAACATGCTCCCTTCACCTCCTGCCACCCCGCTTAGCCCATTCCCACTCGGCTTCTGCTGAATCGCCACACCGCCTCCCGCCCCCTTGGCCAGGTGCATGTGGCTCGCATCCCGCAGACTTCCGCCAGGACCCACAAACATGTGCTTGCCAGCAGCTTGCGGCTCATACCCATCATCGTCCGTGATCGGCGCGCCCGCTTCCTGGAGTGACGCGTTCGTAAACTCGGGATCGAAATTAGCGACCGATTCGTCCGAGTCGACAATAGGTTTGAAGGGAGGGGTGATTTGCTTGTGATACAGTAGGTCCCATTCGATACTGGCAAAGAAGGGGTGTTCTTTGAGTTCGGCGGCGCCGCGCTTGGCGCCGAGTCGGTTGAGAGGGTTTCGGTTGAGCAGCTAGACGTTAGCGATGCCGTGAAAGAGGACTCACTCCTTTAACAAATTGTTTACCGTCCTCGCCGATCACTATAGCACCGAGGTGGTCTGATTAGATTAGCCTTTCGACGACTGCCAGGCAGCTTACCGTGCTTTGGGAAGCGGATTTTGCCGTAGCCTATATATCAGCTAAAAGCCCTCGACATAGCAGAAACGACTCACAGATCAAACGGTACATCTCTTGGGTTTGCTCGGCGTAGAACGGACTCCATCCGCAGCACATCTCGAAGAGCAGAACGCCAAGGGACCAGAAGTCGACGTGCTTGCCGTATCCCTTCTCATCGAGCAGAACCTCTGGGGCGAGATATCTGAATCAGCCCTGCCCGGACCAGAACTCACTCGGTGGTTCCGCAAAAGGTATTGGTGAGCTGGTCATTCGAGAGATCAGGCTTGGACAGTCCAAAGTCGCACAGAGCAACGTGGCCCGTGGCGTCTAAGAGGATGTTTTCCGGCTTGAGATCCCTGTTGTCAGCCTGTCCCTACCTCAGACTCACCTGTACACGATGTTGTACTTGTGGAGATGCTCCAGCGCCAGAATCAACTCGGCAATGTAGAACCTCGCCCGGTCCTCCGAGAACCGCCCCTCCTTCTGCAAATGCCAGAACAGCTCCCCGCCGCACTTGTAATCGGTGACAAAGTACAGCTCCTTTTCCGTCTGGAATGAAAATTTGAGGCCGACGAGGAATGGGCATTCGAGGGACCGCTGCAGGATCTTTCGCTCGCCGATGGTATGCGCCACCTCCTTCTTGGCGACAATCTCCTTCTTCGAAAGCACCTTCATGGCGTAGATCCGCCTCGTGTCGCGCTTGCGTACTTGGAAGACCCGGCCGAATGTTCCCCGCCCGATGAGCTTCAGGAATTCGAAATCTGACGGTCGAAGGTGGACTTTGTTCTATTGTCAGCGGCGTTGCGGGTGGACTCACTCTGATGGCATTGTAGGTGAGCTGAAGCCACACTTCTCCAGTGACCACCTCCTTTCCTCTGGTCGCGAGCTTGTGCCACCCGTCGAGAGTATACCCATCCTTCAGGACCGGCTTGATATCGAGCATCCCCAAGAACCCTTCTCCTTCCCGCCCGCGATCATACACCGAGAGGTGAAGTGCCGAGTTGGACGACGTCAAATCGCTTTCATCAGCTCCGCCGGCACCGCCACTCACAAAGCGACCTCTTCCTTCCACACAGGATCCCCCGGTCCTGGCTTGCCTAACCAGCTTCCACCTCCCGCGGGCTCCTCCGCTTTAGGCGTCTGCAGCCCGCTCTCATCCTTCCGTCCCTTCCCCCTCGACATGGCATCCGCAAATGCCCGACTGATCGTCCCCACGCCGAGCGCACTACTACTCCGCGTCAAATTGGGGATCATCGGCTGCGCCGTCGAAGTCGTGAACGGCACGCTAGCCGACGAGGCGGGATGCGGGCCGGCCGAAATGAACTCGTTCTGCTCGAACTGCATGACGACGTAGGGCTCGGACGCGGAACCGTGGAGTACCGCGAGCCCCTTGGCGGATATGAGCTTGACGGTGAGCATCCCGCGGATAGAGCCCTGATGTGGCGGCGTGTGGTGCTGGTCCTCGTCCCGAACCTGCTGAGGGGAGACGCTGTCCGCCGAGCCGGGCTCACCAGACGGTGCCGGTCCTTCCGAGCTGAGCCGGCTCATCGCCTTGCGCATCTTGGGTGGTTCACGCAGTCCGAATCCGATCCCGCCGGTCTGTCCCATCTGGTCCCCGACTGTCACGCCTGTAGTGGGCTGGCCCGCTCCTGGTGTTCCGAGGGGAAGAGGGAGGAAAGCCGCGTGGCTCGTAGGTGTCCGCAGACCACTGTTGATAGAGGGAGCGGGGGACTGGGGGCGGCGAGACGGATCGAGGGATAGTCCAGCCGCAGACCGAGATAAGCCGGGAGACGGCTGCGCATCGAACGGGTTGGGTGTGGTCTGCGCCCGAGGTGTCGCCTGGTCCGAGGGTCCGCCGAGAGTGGTAAAGGAGGGTGAGGGGGATAGAGTAGGAGAAGAAGTGTCCCGAGGGGTTTGGGAATTGGCAGATCCCGACCCAGGCCAGAGTTGCTGAATCATCAGCTCTGCAAACAAATGTTAATCGCTTAACCAACCTTGACGCCTTTCAACATGATGAGCGCGAGAGACTAGCGTCGTCTATAGACAGGTGTAGCTGAGCGGGTCGTGGGCGATCTTATAGATATGGTCCGGTTGATTCGGGTTCCAGAGGCAAGAAGGGCGGAAGCGGCGGGAGCTCCTCAGTTCCAGCAAGTCTGATTTCCGAAGGGCTTCACTAGCTGCTCTTTTTACAGCGTTTATATAGGCAGTATAGTGAGAGTCACAATAATGGAAGATGTACAGATGACTAATAAAGATAGCAAGCTTGGCTATACTGCTGCGGGTACGAGTAAAGCTGCAGGCTGGTCGGTCAAGTGACGTTGGTGAGCCCGAGGATAGCCTCTTTCGGACACGATGCCGAGAACGCACGGACCGCTCACTCGAGGTGGCGCTCACGAGCTATATCTCCGAGACGCATCGAGCCCATCTCCAAGCTTGGGACATTGCTGCAGGAGCACGCATCCTTCGTCTACAAGAAATCTGTTGCAGCATACTCGCTTCCTTCTTCTTCAATTATAAGCACCCAGTCTCACCACTCCCGACATAATTCCGACCCAACAGCTCCGGCGCAAGGCGTACACCCCTCTCACTGCTATATCAGCTCACACTCGCTCCTACTGCCCAGGTACTCACATCTCGTCGATAGCCTTGGCAAGATCATAGTTGATCTCGTCCGTCACCTTGGAGTCCTTGTTGTATTTCGGGTGCGTAACGATAAAGTTCCGAATCCAGCTCGCGGGGGTGATCAGTTCGCCTGATCGTCAGCTGTGCCCGAAACGGAAGCAGGACCTACCCTTCGCCCTGTACTTGATGAGATCGAGGTACCGCCTCAACTCGCACTTGGTCGCCAGGTCGACATTGACGCTGTTCAGATAGGCATTCACCAACCCCATGAGACCGGGATAGTCCCCGCGACCATTGATGACCTCATCGATTGTCATTTCGACGATCTCCTCTTCCTCCTCTTCGTCCGTAGGCGACGGGCACGTCGAGGCGCGGGACGAGTCCCGAGCGTGCGGGTCGCGCGAGAAGCCATTGTTGAACCGGGTCGGACGGGGCGAGGATGGGCCAGCCGCGGAGGTCTGGCGCGAGTGCTGTGCCGAAGCGACCGAGGAAGACCGGCCGTTGGGTGTGGAGGCGGAGCGAGGGGGAGAGACGGGACGGGACGACATGTCGTATGCGGGTGTACGGGGAGTGTTGGCGGGGAAAACGGCACGGCGGAATGCGTACTTGTTGACTCTGGCACCGTCTCGCTGTTGCGCCTTTTGCATGTTTTCATCGACCTAAAGTCAGTCAAGCTTTCCATCGACGCACCTGTGAGATCGGCATGTAAAAGCCAAGATCAAAGCTGATGATGGCCCTCGATAACAAGACGATAAAGATGCTGAATGCGGCATTCTCAAAGTCCGTCATCTGCACCTCCATCGACCTAAACTCGACTCGCCAGCCAATAGGGCTGTTGACGGGTGGTGGCTTGAAGCGGATTGTCTGCCAGTTTGTAGATTGGATGTTTTCGAAATGGTCCATGCTTTGCTCGTCGTACTGATCGATGGTCTCCGAGAACTGGACGAGAGGGTCACGGATGTAGAGGTGGGCAATGTGCGTTGCGAGGGGTTCCTCCAGGCCTAATGTCAGAAGGGGTCAGAAGGCGACTTACCATTCTCCATCAGTCGCTCCTTGACGCCTTGGTCGATCGGGACGTGGGTGTCCTGGTATTCCGGCAGGTTTCGGGGATCGTTCGAGATGTACAGACTGACAGAGTCGTATCGGGATTTGGGGATGAGGTATCGGTCGTTTTTCAAGGGCTGGTTGTCAGCTGAGGCCAGTGTATGCGAATCATGATCCAGCTTACCTTCAAACCTCGTTCCTCCTCGGTCCGATCGTCCACACTCGCAGCAATCACATTCCACCTCGCGTCCACATCCGCCAAGTATCCCCTGTACGCCGGACTCGCAGCTGTCAGGGCGAGCTGGTAGTCAGCTTCTGCCACGAGCGTCTTGTGGGATTCATAGCTCACCATGATAGGCGCGATTGGAACCAGCGCGTCATACACCCTACTCGCCTCCTCCACATTCCACGCCTGGAACGTGATCTGGAGACAAGAGCAGCCCATGCCGAACGCCATAGCGTCCATGTGGATGTAAGGCATCCCAGCTGGTGGTTTGGCCGGAGCTGAGATCAGCTCAAGCCACGGTAAGAACCTACGAGGCACACCACCCGACAATTCCTTCTTCATCCCCTCCGGCACTTCCGTGTTCACATCGATAAACAGCGGTAATCGGATATCCACCAGACTGCCCCTTCTCTGCCGGATGTTGGCTGTGAGTGTCCTGCTTATAAGCCAAGCCCATCACAGTGGAGAATGGGCTTACGGGAACCGGGCATGCGGGTTCGTAATCTCATCTCCCACATACTGGCTCTTCGAGCTGCTCTTCTCGCTCGGGAACGTCGGCGGCTCGGTAAACCCCCCCTCGTCCGCTCCGAGGCGCGGCCAGCTGGTGACGGTGACGGGAAGCTCGTGTGGCTTGAGGTATGACCGGATGATCTGTCGTCGGAATCGCATGTCCGCTTCGACCGTGACGAGGTCCCGCGGGTTGCCGGTGAAGGGACACCCGGGCGTGGATTCTAGCATGTACCGGCCGTATTCAGGGTGGAAGGTGGGGATCGTTGCGCTGAGTGTCAGCATGAGTCCGAGGTAGTACGCCCGAGACAGGGTGTTAAGCGGATACTTTAGCTCACCAGGACGCGGGCTTGTGCTTCTCCAGCGCCGGATCAAGGGTGACACTTTGCAGCTTGGTCAAGATCTCGGTCTGTCGCAGACTGAGCAGCGCCTTCTTCTTCTCGTCGTCGAATGAGACGACCATGTACTCGATCTGAACGTCAGCTCACTCGGTCCTTCCGCTCCGTCCGCTCGCCCTAATCGCTGACGGCCTCCCGGCTCCCACAGCTCGCTGTACAAGCTGCATGCACCTCATCCGCGCATCGCTTCTGACTCACCTCATCACCCCATAGCAGCCCTTTCCCGGGACTATCCTTCCATCTGTTCCAAGTATGCAAGAACTGCGTGATCCCATGCGTCCGGATATGTTCCGCGAGCAGTTTTGTCTCTGGCCAATCCAGGGGAGTTCCGAGCGCCAGGAGACCCATTTTGGGCTGATGTGTTCGCTAGAAGCAGGGCTATCGTCTGAGCGCCGGGCCAGCGGGTGGACGGAAAGCTAGGGGTTGGAGGAAGCTGGACGTATGATGTGTAAGCTGAAATCGCAAAAAGTCAAGCGCGATATCGATAACCGACGGAGCATCGGGAAGCAGTCCGTGCGCGCTGATGTCAGCACTAGAGCAAGCGCCGAGGCCAGTGAGGTCGTATGTAGAAGGAGCGATGGAGGAGGGAAGATAGAGGGACGCGAGCTCGCAAGCAGCATCTGTATACAGCTCAAGATGTCCAGGTACCCCATAAGATACCGCATGGCGTGCTGACCCGCAAAGCCTTATCAGAAGCTTGACCTTTCGAACGCCCCGTCCTCTTGTGTGTCCGCGGTGATCAACCTAAACTATGCTCATACTTACTACTAAGCTACAGATATACCAAAGTGTCCTGACTCATCACTGAAGCAGACCCCCCGCAGCCGGTCTCGGCGTCTGCGCCACCTCCTCCTCCATCCCTATGCTCCGGGACGTCCGCCTCCCCTTGATCGTGCCCTCATCCTTTTCTCTATGCAGACACAGCAAGTCCGGGGGAGGTGTCCCAACCGGCGTCGTCGGCGTGGGACCCAACAGCGCCTCAAGTGCGCGCAGCTTGGCGTGGAGGTCCACCCCGCCCGTCAAGCTGACTGGACGGGCCATCTTGGCCGGAGCGCCAAAGATGGAGCTGACCTCTTGGTCTGGGGTAGGCGGGACGACATGGAGTGGCCGCCGGTCCGCGCTGAAGGTGTGAGAGATGCCGCTGGAGAAGGGGAGGGATTGGTGCACTGGGCGTTGGAGGGGTGGGGCGGCAGACCGGCCCCGAGGGGAGGGTGGTGTGGTGGATATGGCTGATCTGAAGATCTCGCGGTTCTCCTCCTCTGTAGTTTCCGCTTGGACCTTCTTGCTCCACGCCTGTACCCTCCTCTCTAAGTCACCCCGTTTCCGCTCCAACCGAGCGAGCCGCTTCGCCTCGTACTCTTCCTTCTCGTCGTTGACGCCGCGGAGTGGCGCGCTGCCCTGTCTCGAGACCGGGCGTGAGGATACCCGGCTCGTGCTGGCGGCAGTCGCGGCGGCAGTATCGACAAAGGACGATACCGTGGGTAGGGCGGGACTGCGACTGACGGATGAAGCGGCGACGCCCGAGTGGGATGTGGTTCGACTTTCCGCCCGTCCCATTTGGAGCCTGTCCATCCCCTCGGATAGTCCAATCCCTAGGCCCACCCCCGCACTCCGCGAAACATCGCTCCCCCGCCTGGGCGTTTCCAAGTTGAGCGTGAACCCATCCGGCATCGTCCGCCACACCTTTCTTCCTTCCGCCTGCCACGCCGACTGCAATTCCTGCTCTCTAGTTTCCGGCTCGCCCGACATTGACGACGCGGCTGACTGACCGCCTGCATGCGCCGTTTGGTCTGGAATATGCAGGAGCGACCGCCGCGGAACGAGTTCCGGTCGTGCGGTGAGTTCCGGTGGGCCGTCTTCGGCTTCCCCTTCTGCTTCTGTCACCGCCTCCAGTCCCGTCTCTGTCGATGCCACGCCTCCCGTTGAGCTGTACATGCTCTCCCCCATTTTCCCGCTCTCCGGCGTGGTTCCGCTTCCCCTTTGGCTCGTTCCCGTCATGCTGACGCTCTCATCCGATGTCTTTCGACCCGCCTCAGCAAGCGGCGTGGGCTTCAGTGATGTACCGGCATGAGGTGCGCCGGCCGAGCGAAGGAGAGTGTGGATATGGGAGGAAAGGTTTTGATGGTATGCCTGGACGGATGGGTTTGCGTGGATCCCAATGCGAGGGGATGTGCGGGGCGTGATGACCTGGACGGTAGCCATGGTGGGCGTGGCGAGGCTATCCGGGCGAGAATCGACTTTATGTAGGTCCATAATGATCGTCCGTCGATCAGCTAAAAGGGTCAGCTGATTGCATTTAGTCGAGACAAACGGAAAAATGCGAGACACGGAGTGACGGAGATGGTTCACTCACTGCATGGGATCTGGCCTGATATCCAAGATACGGTAACTTTTATCAAGCTGAGACTGGAGCGAATGTAGCTGTGGGCTGGAGGAGGTGATCGTCACAGTGAGTGAATGCGTTTGCGTTGGTGTGCGAAGAAGGGAAGGAGAGTCGGGAGCCGAATAGTGTGACGGAACCTCAGGGGTCCGATTCCGAGGCGTCTTCTGAATTCTCCAATGAGGAATGCGGCTTCTTACTCGTGCGAGCTTTGATATGCCTGGGTCGAACAAGTCATCATGCAGTGGGATATAGGCAGGCCAAGTGATGAGAGGTGATACGATGCTGATGCGAGCAGCAAAAGATCCTCCCCATCATCATCATCATCCTATTAGACTTCGGCAGACGACGGCAGAAGAAGACAAGCAAAGGGTAATGCCGTAACAGGAACAACAGGCACATGAATGCATGACGCGGCTGATGTCGTCCGCCCGACGAAACGGAGACCGAAGATCCGAATCTCATACAGGACCTCCCGTCCGTCAGACTTCAGTCAGTGCTGTATCAAAGTTGAGGACAGTCAGCGAGAAGCAGCAACTGCCCCATCTATCAGCTACTGCATAGTGCTACATCTCGCAGATCCTCCCTTCACCAAAGATCGCATCACCTCTGCACTGGCTGATCGGTCACCTGATAACCCCTCCCCGGTCCAGCTCCGTACCCTACCCCTTCCTGAGCTCCTTGCGCCTGTCGCATCGGCTCTGCATACCCTACCGCCCGCCCATCGTACCCCGCCTCGGCCGATGGATCATAATGCGACACCCTCCGCCCGACGAGCGGCCGTTCCGGTGACGACCCCGTCGAGTGCGGTTGAGGCATAGGGAATTGCTCGATGGACGCGTTGGGATTGTAGCCAAAGTCGATCTGCTGATGCTCCCGGACGGGCGGTCGATCGAGGTCGTATGCTGATCCTTGTTCATGCCCGCTGGAGAAGTTAGCTTGCAGTTCTTCGTCAGGTGGCGACGGGAGAGTGCCCGAGTCTTGCCGGGACGACTTGAGCTCTGATCTTGGGGTGGGACGGGGCGTAGCTGTGGGGGACTTGTAAGACGGAGGAGCGGAAAAGTCGATAGAAGATGGGGAAGGGGCTTGAGGTAAAGTATGGACTTGCTGTAGCTCGTAGGGCGTATTGTATGCCTGTCGCATTGGCCCGTGAGCTGTGGGGTCCCGAGCGAGCATCGGGCTGAGCGCCTCGATATCGTCCGACGACTCGGCGAGCATGGCCTTGTAGCTGATCCGGCGGTTGACTTGGGCACCATCGACAGCCAAGCCCTCCGCCGCTGCGGCTCTCCGAACGAGTCTAGACATCAGCTTGACTCCCTTTTAACTGATAAGACCTACCGCTCTTTACGCCAAATCACGATCCGAGCTCGGTTCATCTTCCGCCAGATATACCACGCCGACCAAACAGTGAGAACTGCAGAGTCAGCTGCTGCCATATCCTCCGCGAAGACTCACCCAGTCCCACAGCTAGAATGGACCACTTGATCGCCCTCTCCTTATTGCTCTTTTCTCCGCCATTCGTCACTGTCGATCCGAGGTAAACAATGATGAGCTATTCGTCAGCACGGCGGCAAGGGCCCGACTAACCTGTTTGGGCAGAGTCAGAATAGTAGATATCGTAAACACAAAGATGCTCATCCCGCACGTCGCAAATACAGCTGTCGAAAAGTGACCGGGGACGGCGGAGAAGCGGATCACACAAGCGAGCCACTACGCCGTCAGCACGACCCTAGTCTCTTGCGTTCGTACTCACCATCCCGCCGTTCCTCACGATATACGCCAATGACGCATAGGACGGGCTGGTCTCTTCCATCTTTTCGGCTCTACCGCGCAGGCAGTACTTGAACGCCACGTAATTGGCCAATTCGCCGACGACCGTTCCTAATTGTCAGCAAGGCGAAATCCCCTGGCAAAAGATCTCACCGATCGAAGCAATCATAAACCCCCACCACAGCCCCCAGACAGCACCTGCTATCAACAATACCAGCTCCGCCCCAAACAGCGGCGGGAATGACAGTATGACGAGAGCCGCAATAGGTATAGTGAATCCTGCAGGAAGTTCACGCGCTTTTTGCGCCCATGGCGTGAGCCATGCCACAATCTGACATCAGCTATAGCTATCGGATTGTACTCACCTGATCGTTGTACAGCGTCATAAGTCCGACCAGAACGCCGATGACAATAATCAAGAGATACCAGTCTGTATCGTCAGCTTTGCCACATTCACAGCTGATCATCACTCACACCACCACTGCGCCCTCAGCCACCACCTCCACCGCTTCAACTGCTTCCAGTCAAACATCCCCTCCTTGGCAAATGCCGCTTCCGCCTCTTCATCCTCCTTGGTCCAAACATTGGCATCCGCGTATTGACCCTTCCCTATCTTCGGTCCCCTTGCCGCCGGTCCGGGCGGTGTACCCTCCTCCTTACTCCTCTCTTCTCCTTCAACAGGAGCTGTCACGTCTATCCTTGGTCCCGGAGCTGTCCGCCGGGGATCATAGGGGTTTTGGGATTCCGAGTACGATGGATGATGTACCGCCTGATGTGGGCGCCGGTTCTGGTCGTATGCGTAAGATTGGGACGGTGGGTCCGAGGTTTGAGGGCGATAGGAAGGAGGATAGGGATGAGATATAGGGAGAGCCGAGCCAGCACCAGGCTGTCTGTTCTCCGGTGCATCATACCGAGGGGCGTACCCACCGGGTTGCGACGATGAGGGATCCATTTTCGCGAAGAGTGACTCGTCTAGTGGTCGTGTGTACTAGGTGGAGATTCAGATATGATGATACCGATGGAGATAAAGTCGACACGCGAGTGGACAGCTTAGCAGGAGCGCCGCTCCGCTGTTGTGAAGGAGCGAGCGGATGAAAGGACGCGCAGGGACGGAGGTCTGTAACGCTAACCAGGCGGATAGGCGGGACCTCTTCAGCAGCTACGGTGCGGCTGAAGCGACAGTATCTGTCTGGGGAGAAAGCGCAGCACAGCTGATCGATCAATGGCGGCGAGGATAGGACAATAACAAAAAAGCTGTACAGTTCGAGATGGACGTGATGGTGGACAACGTTCACGGCTGTACGTAATGCGTTTCATGTAACGCGTCGCTGAAACTACCTCTTTGGGTAAATCTTGGCAGAGTGGCGGTGGGTGTGGCACTTTGGTCTGAACACATTGTGGGCCGATCTGGCTCTCACTGAAATCTGACGCTGTACATGATAGCTAACGGAAAGCTCTCTATCCAAGCTACGATATATGATGTCTATGTACACCTCACTCAAAGGGGTGATCTGTCACCTGTCTCGTACAGAAAGCACATCATTGTGAGGTCTACACACGTGCTCCTCTTCCTGCATGGTTCTGTGATGGCAAGACTTGCGGGGTCGGCGGTTCGTAGCCCCCGCCCTTTTCTTTCGCAAGACGCTCGGCTTCGACTTCCAGTATGCTTGCTCATTAGCTAATCATCCTATATCCCTTAAGAGATCGTTCACCTACCGCTTCTCTCGCCAGATCATAAGCTTGGCAATGCGCATCGCCCTATAGATGTACCACACGCAGGCAATGGATACCACTGAGGAGATCGGCAACTGCGCCACAGATATCTCGACTGTCAAGACTTACCGACTATCACCGACAAGCTAGCATAGTTGGCAATTTCCTCCTCCTTGCTCGTTTCGCCATCATCAGCCATGAGAACTCCGAGATAGACAACCACAAGCTGCTCCATCAGATCCAAACCTGGTGAGTATCGCTGATCTTACCTGCTTGGGCATGGACAACAACGTGGCGGCTGAGAATGTGAATACGTCCATGCCAACTGTGGCAAAGACCGCTGTAGCAAAATGCCTACCAGCTGTCAGCGTTGTAGTGCATGACAACACGCCATCTCAGCTTACCCGGGACAGGCACTGAGACGAATCACGAACGCCAACGGGAAACCACCATCACGGGTGATTTTCGCCAGTGCTTGGTAGTTGACGTTTGTCCGCTCGAGCTCTTCTGCCCGTCCGCGAAGCCAGAACTTGAAGAGATAGTAATTAGCCAGCTCGCCCAGGTAAGTCCCAGCTGTGACAATGCCAAATCCGATCCACAATCCCCAGACAATGCCGACAATCAAAATGATGACCTCTTGGCCCATCAGCGGCGGGAAGGATAGGACGATGAGCGCCGCTATGGGTATCATCCATCCGACTGGTTTTTCCCTCATCCACACCGCCATCGGTTGGAGAAAGTCGATGATCTGACTCATCAGCTGGCGGTGCTTATCAGTCAGCACAGAAAGACCTCGCCTGATCTTTGTATATTGAAGTGAGGACAATCAGGACAATCACTACCGCGGCCAATATGTACCAGTCTGATTGATTAGCTTTAAATCCAGGCTATAGGTGTTGAGATCTCACACCACCATTCCGCTCGGAACCAGGTCCTCCGCCGACGAAGCGAGCTCCACTTGAAGGCGCCGGCGGCAATGAATGCCTTCTCCGCCTCTTCATCTTTTGTCGTCCACCCTTCGGCGTACCGATCTTTGCCCAATTTTGGACCCTTTTCATCGGGCTTGTCTTCGAAATATTTGGCTGGCTTTCCTACGCCCGCAATCTCCGAGTCGTCCGCCATCTTCTTCGTCCGACATGACCACATGACAGTATGAGCCAAGTGTATGGCTCCACGCAAAGATCGAGCAACCTTGACGTTAACTTGATGTACTCTATGTGCCAGAACCGTCTGCGTATATGTGTCGAAGATCGGCTGATATTACTCAAGGATAGTGATAAGCTTGGTACAGGCCGAGAGGAGATTCTTCAGTAGCGCTCCATATTGCGGCCAGACGCGGACCGTACTTATGCTCGATCGGCTAACACAGGGGACGCTTCAAACTGGCTGACGGGTAGTCAGGGCTCGCGATATCTATCCTTCCAGCAGTAAGGCTGGTGACTCCAAAGGATGTTGAGCTCCTGCAGGAGTCCAAACTGACATCAGCCAGTGTTTAACCCCACGCTCGTTTCCACTTTCAAGCGGCTTTACCGCCCAGCACCACTGGTCCCCGCTTCAGACATAATCAAGTCGCCACTGGCACGGTCCCCTTGGATCTCGCTGTCTCCGTGGCGGCGTCAACATTGAGACCAGATGAGAATGGGTCCGACCTTTTTTGTGTTACGAGCAGAAGCGGCATCTACAGCGTACTCCTCATTCCTCGCTGGGGTGAGACACCTTCGCCACACTGCCCTGCTTCTCGGCGTCGAGCCTCGGATTTCCTGCCAGACACAATACGACCGCGTTCGATCAAGAGATACATCAAGTACGTTTCGAGCTACATTGCTAAGTGGTAAAGTCCATATTTTCACCCCACGCCTGATTCGTAAAGAGTCATAATCTCCCCGCGGCCCCTTCACCCATCAGCACGTGGGAATAGTGATGTTCTTGAGGTTGCGGTCCTTATCAAACAGCCCCCAGTACGGCTCCACCCCTCCATATTGTGCCTTCCATGGCTCGTCGAATGCCTCAAAGTAAAAGTAGTGCGTCCCGTTGGCGTTGGCTTGGCAGACATAGGTGTCGAGGAAGGCTGTCCATCAGCTATGATACCCAGCCAAAACAGTCAACTCACTTTGCAAGTTTGCCACGCTAGCATCACCCTGTGGACTCCCAGCCCCACTGTTCGCCGCACTCGCATTCATGCTCTGACTCGGCCATCCCACCTCCGCGATATACACCGCCGGCTTGTTGACTGATGCCTGGGCGGGCGCAACATCAAACTCCTGGAAGAAGTCCCATGTCCACTTGGCAGCATCCGCGATAGCCAGGCCTCCGAAGTAAGGGTGGACATTGGCCATAAAGTAGTCGATGCCTGCACCGAGGGTAGTCGACATGACGGATCCGGCATCCGAGGTACCGATTGGTAGGTGCTTTGAAAGCTTCATGCTCTGGATCGTAGCGTTGAGCTGCTTGATCTCCGAGTGGATTTTGGAGACAGATGCGAGGTAGGCCGAGGAGCTAAGGGAGTTGGTACCGGCCGTATTGAGAATGTACTCGTTTCCGACCGTGATCTGAAATCAGCTGGGAACATCGCACCGAGATGTCTACTCACGCCCTCGATGTGGTCCGTTCCGTACGTTGTGATAGCCTCTTCGATGGTCTTTGCCTGCGCCTGGTTGAAGGTCTCGTCCGAGTTGATGTCTGCTGATCAGCCGAAATTCTCCCATGACAAGACCACACCTGCTCGAAGGCCTGTACTTACAGATCGCGGGCCATATCTTCATATCCACCTTTGCCGCCTTGATGCCCTCCAGAACCATAGCGGTGATGTTGCAGTTGGCGCTGTATAGCCTGATGCGAGTAGTGAGCTGAGACAGAAGCTGCATGTCGCGAGTGACATTCGCTTGTGTTGCGCCGCAGTTGGGTGGGATCGAGCCCTGTTTGTCAGCTGATCCCATACATGAAAGCGACGTACTCACTTGGGCGGTATAAGCTATCCCCCACATGCTCTGGTGTAACCTCGAGTCCTTGTCGAACACGCTCGGATCATTCGGATTCGACAAGACCGCATTGTTCCCGCTAGAACTCGCCGAGCTCGACGATGAACCCCCCTTGTTCTTCTGCTGCGATACCACCACCCCCGCCACAATGGCCGCTATCGCCGCTGTCCCCAACAACACCCCTCCGATGATCCACCACTTCTTTCGGCTTCGTCTCTCTGGCGTAAAGGGCGCAGCCCCACCCGCCGGTGTAGGCCAGTACGACTCTGACGGGACGTTCTGGTACGCCAGTGACCCCGAGCCAGAGCGAGGCATCTCCCGCATCTCCGGTCCGGCATACGGGTTCGAGTAAGCTGCGCCAGCGCCGAGACCGGTACCGGCTGCGATGCCGGAAAGCAGAGGGAGGTCCTTCTCCTGGTTGGCCGAGCCGTGTGTGGCGTAGCTCGAGTTGCGGGAGTAGGCCATGTCTTGCGAACCTGGGCGGGAGGCGAAGGGGTTGGAGGTTTGGGAGAGTCGATTTGCCTGGTCTGTCATTTTGCGACTCAAGGGGTATGTACAAAGTGTGAAAGGCAAGCAGAGCGAGCGAGATCCGAATGAATTGTCCTTTGACCTCGCCACAGAGACCTCCACCATGGCAGCTCTCGCCAAGACCGCTCAGTATGCCATTACGACACCCCTTGTCTTGTCTACACCGCCATACACCGCCCCGCTCTGCAATAAGACTTGCGAGACAAGAGGAAAGTAAACTCACAGCAGACACGTCTCCGTGATAATAGTCGTCAGAATCTGTTGGATCGAAGGTGATTACCGAGTATGAGGGGTGTGAGGCGAGCGATGTGTGCGATGAGAGCAAGTCGAGCCGGCAGGGTATTGAAGTGGACGGCGATAGTCCGTAGTAGGAAAGGGGATGGGTTCGGGCCAGCCGAGGAGTAGAATGCGTGAAGAATTAGGTGAATGACGGGCGAAGGAAAAGATACAGCGTCAGCATATGCCTTTCACTTGGCTTGATCGATCAACAAATCCACCTCCGGCGAGACATGTTCCAAGACATGTTCCACACCGCCTCCTCACTTGCCTGCCCCCCGAGCTGGGGTCCGCCTCAGGTTCTCAATGCGCTCATAATTCCTCCCCCCTTTGACTCCTTATCCCCTTCGCCATCGTCCCCGAAGTCGGATTCGACTAGACATTTCAAACTCACCTGGATGTGCCTGACCACTGTACTGGTCGTACCCGCTATGCCTCTCTGATGAGCCTCCGAAGCCGGGTACAGGAGTGTATCTTTGTCCGCTCATCTCGTCCGCGCGATGGTGAGGTGTTGCTTCACGACTGATTACAGACCAAGGGGTGGGGTTGAGTGAAGCTTGACTCGAGTCGGAAGCGGATCTCGGGTGGAGTAGAGCCTTTCTGCTCTGCAATTTCGCTGATACGTTTCAGCTGCGCTGGATACTTTTACTGCGTGCCCTGTATCGAGTACTACTGTATAGACGTTGAAGGTAGCAAACAAGTAGAGAGGAAGTTATAAGGTAGCGTTTGCACCGCCCGTCGTCGCCGCACCGCTTTTCTCGCCACCGGAGCTTAAGCGCGCGGATGACGTAACGTCGATCGAAAAGCAGTCGCGCGCTTGTCGGCGGTAGTGTGGCACTCTAGTACTTTACCGTGGCGGCTTCGCGAGCAGCTGTTGACCTCTGGGGCATCCTGTCCATATTACAGATCGATCGGGGGAGGGTAGGCTGAGGGCTATATTGCACTGAGACTGGAAAGGACATACAAGTACCCAGAACAGTCTGAGAGGGTGGCGAATCCACACCCCTCTCATATGTAAAGGAATGGCTAGCTGATAGCCTGTGAATCGGCTATCTCCCAGCTAGCTCGCGATTCCAAACCTTCAAGCATAGAAGAGGTCGAACATGCATTCAGATTTTCTAAGAAGACCACTTCCAAGACCATTGTATCTCCCCCAGGAGTCGACAAAGAGCCGGAGCCGGCGCTGGACAATGTACCGATCATGCAAGAGTCCATAGGACCATAGCTTATAGGGAGTCGACTTGGCTTGAAGCCAGGGAGAGCAGCATGAACGTACATATTGGATGGTAAGCATGACAATATGAGTGATCTATCTCAATACAGTACGGGAGAAGCTGGAACTCTTGATTTAGGTATTGAAGGCTGCCTTATCGCCGAGTCGCTCCTAGTTTGACGGCGGCCCACCGGGACTCCTTTCCCTTATCTACACTTTCCCTTATCTACACAAAAGAGTGTTCATATGAGGTGGAGGATAAAGAAGGGAGATTTACACGGGAACCTCCCTTCAAACATATACAGCTCTCCCTGACGGAGGATCAGGGGGACCCCCTTACCCTGTCACTACAAAAGAGCGTTTCTACGAGACGAAGTTGATATAACATATATGGCGATGGCTAGCCCAGAACACCTCTCACACTGCCGACTCAAAATGAAACTCCTCACTATTGCTCTCCTCTTAGCCTCGGTCGCTTCTGTCAGATCGGCAAACACAATCGAAGTCATTCTTCTCCACGGATTCTCGATGACCGATCCAACGGGCAACGCTGCGACGGTGGTCGGACCAGCTGCTTTCGACTTACTGGTCGAAGCCGATTTCGCTCCGTTCGTTCGTCAAGTGAAGGTCACTGACGCGACTGGGAGCGCCGCCCACTCGGCGAGTCTTTCTGCGATGCAATGGACGATGAAGCTGATACAGGCAGTGCACATACTCTCGGCGCACAGATTATACCCTTCGGAAACGCGAGACATTGAAGTTGGTTCATCAGGTACTACCAGGCTTGCAGTTGTCTATTACGAGCGACGATCTTGTGACCGTTGTCTGCAAAGCCGCATAGGTAGTACCCGTAATCGATATGGACCTGCGTACGAAACTATTCAAAATGAGGTCTTGCTCAGACTAAAAACACCTAGAGAATCAGATCTTGAACAGAGTATTAGGCATATCTACAAGTACCTTCCATACCAGCTGTAGGTAGGTGTGTACGCTTCTTACCATTCACCCGGGATCACACACCGGCTCCTTGCCATCTGTGTCTTTGCACAACACCCAGACGATGTCCCCCTCCACATCACACTCTGACAGATAAGCGGGTTGTTTCCTGAACGAGAAGATCTTGTCTTTGCCCAGTTATGTCGAATTCCCGTCCAGGTAGCACGACTTTGTCAGCGTGTCTTTCGGATGGATCGAGGCCTTGGCATACATTGACAATGCCCAATTGCAATTTGCTGCCTAGATCCGCTGTGAACCTGACTTCGACCGGCTGCCGGTTGGCGGCGCTGGAAGCCTGGCCGTCCTTCCAAGTCTTGAGCCACCACCGGCCATTGGACGCATTATCCGTTGACTCATAACCCTCAGCAATCTCGAGGGAACCCTCCCAGCGAGCATTCTCGACGGTGAACTTCACCAAGTCCTCGGGCCGGGTGCCACTGCTCCAGATGGAGACCGTCTTCCCCGCATTGGCCAGCAGAGGAATCAGTCCAACGAGGACGGTAAGTAGGGTGAGTGGGGAGATCATAATTCCGCGATTAGTTGTACTTGCCGAGAAACGTGAGCGCTGTAGCGTTTGGAGGGGAGAAATATAGGTGCAGTCACCTATGTATGTACCCGTATCCGCTAGTAGAACGGCAGACAGGTCCAAGCCCAAGGGTGTCAAGGATGATGACGACTAAGGGGACACATAAGAGCCAGCGAGGCGCGCAAGAACAGTTCAGGGGACAGACTGAGAGGATTGAGTTACAGACGTAAAGGATATCCCACACGGAGAAACGACCTTGGCTCTCGGACGGACCGAGTGTCACCGGGCAAGCCTTAGGACGTGAAAGACAAGGAGAGAGGAACAGACGGACAAGGAGTGAGACTCTGTCAAGGGATACCGCGTCCGCCACCCCTGCCCGTCTCAACGTGTGGCAATCCGCGAATGAGTTGACGGGAGTTCTGGAACCCGCAACCCCCTGGCTTCCGCCGGTCGATACGTCTTGGGTGCAAATTGCCTTCTGCCAGTCAGCTGGTATATGTATATGGCTACCGAATTGCGTAGTCAGCTGTACCTCAGCCTGCCGAAGCCTCCTCACCTCATATCAGCGAACACCACAGCGCCGTCGGAATCGACGTCCGTGCGTTACACTTTGAACCGGGCCGGGGCTCGGCCTTTCCCCCGAAACCCTGAACGCCTGCCCCGCCCCTCGGCAGCTCCCCCGCACCGACCCATGGATATCTACCTCATCTATTGTCTATACAAGGCCTAAGCAACAGCGGACATGGCCAACCCAACGACCATCCATCGGCGGGTATCGTATATCCTGCCCGCGCCGAGTGAGCCGCCGCAGTATCTCTCCCTGCCGTCGCTCGACCAGCCGCGCCGGGGCCATCCATCGCCGTTCTTCATCCCGAAGAACGGCCAATCGCGGAACGGCAGCGCCGACTTCCAGTCTCGGAACCCCTTCCTCTCACCCGACGAAGTGGATGAATCCGCTCCGGCACCGGCACAAACCAAGCAGAACCAACCCAAGCACTGCCTGGGTGTTACCTCACTCGCGCTCGACACATCGACTCTTCTCGAGAACAACCAATCTCCCGGCGGGATACTCTACTCGGGCGCGCGGGATGGCCTGGTATGCTCGTGGGAGCTGAATGTGCCGCACAAACGTAGGCGAGGAGGCCGGTACGAGATCCAGCCGGGACGAGGGAGTAGGGTCAAATGGGAAAAGGTCGGCGATGGGGCCGAGTTCTTTGAGGAAGATGAGGACGATTATGATGATGAGGACGGATCGGGCGAGCGGGACCGAGACAGTTCAGACGACGAGGATGAGGCGGTGGTCAATGGCAAGCCGAGGGGCGAGGTGCCGTATGAGGACCGGTGGGAGGTCGATGCGGAAGCTATAGCTCAGGCAAAGGTGAGCTCAGCGATGAACATTGCTGACTCCAGCCCCGCGAGACGACGCTCCGCCAGTCCGCTCAAACGCATACCGACTGGGTTAACGCACTCCTCCTCTGCAACCTCAACCAGACCGTCATCACAGCCTCGTCCGATCGTACTATCCGCGCCTGGTCTCCACACGCCGCAAGCGATGCGGAAGGTCTATCCCCCTCGCTCATCGGTACCCACCGGGACTATGTCCGATGTCTGGCCTGGGCCAAGCACCCCAGCCTGCTCTTCTCTGGATCGCTCGATCGGCGGTTGAGCATCTGGGACGTGCAGAGTCCTCATCCCGACGCGCCGATCCTTAGCATCAACATGGACGTCATCGACGATTATGGAGGTGTAGGTATGGAGGGTGAGCGAGGTAGCGTCTACGCTCTAGGCACCGGTGAGCTTCACCCTACCTGACTTTGACGTAGCTGATTGCAGACCCTGCGGGTCAGATCCTCGCGGCGGGGACACCAGAGAACGTTATCCGACTCTGGGACCCCCGGTCTGGGGACCGGAGCGTCGGAAAACTCATCGGTCATTCGGATTGCGTGCGAAGCGTTCTCGTCAGCGATGACGGTCGATACGTGAGTCTAGCATTCACCCGGCCTGGGATAAAGCTGATTCCCAGTTATTATCTGGAAGTTCCGATACCACCATCAAGTACGTCCCATACTGCGCAGCCCAAGTGCATGCTGACGTCTAGACTCTGGTCACTCGCAGCTCACCGCGCCATCCACACCTTCAATCACCACACCTCGTCCGTCTGGTCCCTCTTCTCCAATCACCCCAACCTGGAACGCTTTTACTCTGGTTCCCGGGACGGCCATATCTGTGCCGTCGACGTCGAGCAAGTCACCGATATCGCGGACGGCGAGTGCGCTGTACTCGGCCGAGAGGCTCCTCTCGACTCTGCGGGCTACACTGGCGAGTCCAAAGTTGGGGACGAGGGCATCCGGGCTATTGTCGCGATGGACGACGAGTATGTCTGGACCGCCAGCGGAGGTGCGGATATCAAGCGATGGCGGGACACGGGTCGGCGGATCAATCGCTCTCAGAGCAGCTATGAGGGTGCGAGCTACGGAGAGCGGGCTGGACCAATCAACGGGAACGCCGAGCTGGCCCAGCCGTTCGTCCAGACCGACATGCGTGAGCGGACCGTCGCCTTTGCTCCGCCTCCCCGGATGCCCAACGGCGCGTCAGACGGATCCCCCATCAACGCAGCGACCGCTTCGCCCTCCCGTGATCGGCTCGGTATCCCTGGACCTAGGCGCACAACCATGTCTGGCGAACCTATCGCTGGGTCCATTGCCATCTCCCTTCTCTCGGACATGTCCATGCACGACCACGACGAGCATCACGGTCCATCGAGCGGTCCAGACACGCTCAACGGTCTTCCATATTCATCGCTTGTCTGCCTGGGCATGCCGGACTCGCCCTACTCGTTTGGCTTTTCCCGGGGTGTCAGCCGGACGTCGATCGACATGCGCCCAGAGACTGAGCTCGGTACACCTCGTAAAGCTCATGGTCATGAGCAGACCCCCGCCCAGATGGCTCGTCGTGCATTCGAAGATAGGGAAATTGCCTCGGAAGCCACACCCCTTCGAAAGCGTCCAGACGAGATCATCGCTGGTCGACCCGGACTCGTCCGCTCCCTCATGCTGAATGACCGCCAACACGTCCTTACCGTCGATACGGAAGGCGAAGTCGCCGCGTGGAACATCATCAAGGGGATCTGTATCGGCCGGTTCTCGGCCGCAGAGGTGGCGGCTGCGCTTGACCTCGAGCGGGGTATCGAGGCTGGCTCGGCTATCCGCAAGCATAGCAATGAGGTGCTGGAGATGGTGAAGCAGCGAGTAGAGGGGGAGACGATGGTCATCACATGGTGTCAGGTGGATACACGGATCGGGAGCTTGGTTGTGCACCTCGAGGAGGGCCGAGCGTTTGATGCGGAAGTGTACGCGGACGAGCTAGATGTGGATGCGGGTATCAAGGAGGATATGCGAGGTGCGTTTGGCGTGTCAGAGTATCAAGCCGAGCTGACTCCCAGTGAATCTCGGCAAATGGGCACTGGCGAATCTTTTCCAAGGTCTCATCAAGGCCGAAGAGAAGGAACTCGTTTCTTCCCCAGCTACCTCGTCAGCACCGAGTCTCTCCCGCTCGCCCGCTCCCACCCATATCTCCATCGAGCGCCCCGGCGGCAACACCCCCAAACACCGCGCGCGGGCTCTATCTAGCCTCTCTCAGACCCCATCTCTCAACATCATCGGTATCGCCACTCCCGCATCTCGTCCTGCTGTCCTCCCCGACGTCGAGTCGCCCCTCTCGCGCTCGGCTCCGGGCAACTACCAGTCGTTCCATTCCTTCCGGAACGGCGACCACCTCTCTGCCATTCCGCAGAGTCCCGGGCCCAACTCGCTTGGCGCGGGAACAACCAGTCCCCAGCCTGCCGACGCGCGCGGTGACTACTTTTCAGTTCGAAAGCGGATGGACAGCAGTCCGAGTCGTGATGGCGACAAGAAGGACATACCGCCCACTCCGGGTGGAACTACCGATAAGACTCCCGCTGTCAACACGCCCGCACCGCCGACGCCGGGTGGGAAGATGATGGGCAGGCTCAAGGGGTTCGGGAAGAAGAAGGAAAAGGAGGTGATGAGTCCTGTGGTGGAGAATGAGCCGTTAAAGTTGGAGGAGGATACCGTGAGCTAGTTCCTCCGAGCACGCTGGAATCAAGCTAATGTCCGCAGGGTCCAAAGCTATCCGAGAGGGAAAAACAGCAACTCCAAATCCTCGATACGGTCCGCTCACATCCTTTCCGCCCTCCTGGCCCACAAGAAGCTCCTCCAGTCGCCTTCCCCCCGTCGACCGCCCTCCTCATCTCCGAAGAGTCAAAAGACGCCGGTGCATGGGTCGTCACGTACCGCTCGCAAGTCTCCGCGACGGACAAGGACCTCGAGGCTATCGAAACCAACAGCCCGCTCTGGTTGCTGGACTACCTTCTCACGAGCCGGAGTAAGGTCAAGGAGCCTGTCAAGTTGACATTCATCCTTGAGCCTGCGCCGGGGTGCGGACTGAAGGAAATGCCTGAAGGGTGAGTCTTGCTCTGCAGAAAGTGTAACCGAGCTGACATCTCAGGACCAACCGTCTCTCCGCATCCCGTATTCTCCGCGCTCGCAAGGTCATGGGCTTCATTTTTGAAAAGCTCGAACTAGGCAGCACCCGTGCCCGAGCCAGCTCGATCGTCTCCCTTCACTCGCGCATCACCACTCAGCCCCGCAAGTCCTCTACACTCCCCATACCCGTTCCTGGCCTCTCGGGTCGGCGTGGCTCGGCTGCCGAATCCGCCAACACGGCGCCGCACGATGACGTGGATATCGTGTACCCCGAAGACGCGCTGGAGCTTGTGTGCGGGGATACGGTGGTGGATCCTAGAATCACCCTGGCGACGCTCAAGCAGTACTATGGGAGCGGAGGCGATATGCTCTTACATTATCGCCCGAGAAAGGGGGTGGTAGTGCAGTAGAGGAGGAAGGTATGGGGATCTGCCGGTTGTAGGTAATGCGTCTTGTAATGCGCGCTTGTCGAGTCTGGAGGGAGGAGTCGAGTATGTAGGGGATCTCAATGCAGAATGAAGTGGAAATCTTCGTTGTCAGCGGTGACCTTGCGGGAGCCGAGGAATCCTTCCATGCCTTCCCCTGCGACAAGGCCTTTGCGAGGCCTACATATCCTTGTGCCTGCTACCACAAATCTACTATGCTTTAGTTCGACATTGATCTATTGCCTATACAATTTAATGCTTCCTTATCTACGAGGCCTACAAGGCCACTGGATCATCGTTTTCGTGGTCTTCCCCGTCCCCTCCTCCTAGCGCATCCACCAACTCCCCAAAGTCATCTTCGTGCGCCACCCCAAGGTCTTCTCCCCTCCGCATCATCATCTCGATCAACTTGCTGACTAGGGGCCCAAAATCGCACGGCATGAACACCGTAGCGATGTCGTCCCCGTATCCGAAATCCGACAACAGATCCCCTATCTCCGACATCGCCTTGATCCCATTCTGCCTCGTCGCCGAACTTCTTCCCGGCTTATAGCACTCCGCCACTATCGCCTGCAGCATCTCACGGGCCGTGTCCATCATATCGAACTCGGCGTCGCGGACCTGATTGCGATTTGGCTGCCGCGCAAAGCTGTACTGGTTGGAAGTATTTTCGACGCGCTTGACATGCCCGGCGAAGGTGAGCGGGGCATTTTGGTGGGCTGTGATGTGGGCATTGATGACCTCGGCGTTACGAGGGTCAAGAGCGGCGAGTGCGAGCTGGAGGGCGCGGGTTTGGAGGGGAGGGAGAGTGGAGAGGGTAGCGTCGGTGACGGGAGGTTGAGGAGGAGGGAGTGGTGCTGCCTCTGCAGCCGCAGCAGGCGGTGAGGAGGTACGAGCGCGTTTGGCAGGCATGTCTGGGTCTTGCTTGATGAATATATTCAAGCCAGGGAAGAAAGGTTGAGCAGAAATTCAGATGAGTCACCTCGTGCAAGCATGAATGCATGCATCGCAACTCCGCATTCCTCGTGCCGTTACTAATGACATCCGATCGTGTATCACCCCGCTGTCTACTGCCGTTCTACCAGCCCTCGCGACGCTCTTCATGATGGTGTCCGTGGTGTCGCCACTCCCGTTCTCCCTGCTGACCCCCATACTGCCCCTGTCCTTGCCCGTACTGCTCCCCGCCCCCGTAGCCCTGATTCGGACCGCCGTATCCCCCGCCTCCCTGCTGATTCCCATATCCTCCGCCGTATCCCTGCCCTCCTGGTCCCTCGTATCCGCCTTGAGCGGGTTCCCCGTACCCCTGTCCCTGCCCTTCGTACCCCCCATATGGGTTACCTCCTCCGCCATACCCTTGCCCCATGCTCTGGTTCTGCCCGTACCCTTGGTTCTGGCCATACTGGCCCCCTCCGCCTCCGCCACCGCCCCACTGCGGCTCACCGCCATACCCACCCTGAGATGGCCCGCCGTACCCCTTCCCTTGGCCTTCGTACCCGCCGTACGGATCCCCTTGACCGTAATTGACGCCAGAGCGCTCGTTACCGTATCCACCGCCTCCACGATAGCCAGGCCCCTCTCTGCTGCCTGGGTAGGGCTCGCGGTTGTAGCTCATGTTACCGAACTCCTGGGACTGAGCGAGGGCGTGAGATGCTTGTTCGCGCGCTTCATGCTTGGCTCGAAGGGCGTCGACCTCGTTCAGGCCTGGGATATCAGCCATGAGACTAGGATGAGCAAGCGCATTTGCATGCAGTTGCTGCTGCTTGAAGAATCAGGCTCAGCGCTCACCCTTGGTCTCGATCAGCTTATCCACCTCAGCGCCGGCAAATCCAGCGATGATCTCCTTTGCTATCGCGAAGGATTGAGGTTTACTTCGGTATCAGCTAGGACTGTAGGCCTGAAAGTATAGCGGAACCCACCCGTTCTGAGCTTGATGCTGCTCGTATGCTCGCATGGCCTCAAAGCTTGCGGCGCCGGCGATGAGTTCATGGGCTGAGGATATTAGCCGAAGATCATGACCGGACTGCTCGGTCATCCTCACAGAATTTGGCTTCATGCCGAGGCGTGTTGTTGACTTGCTCGTAGGCTTGTCGCTGCTCAGTCAGCGATGGCCTACGCGCTCACACGCCACGCTCGATATAGGCAGCGCGTCAGAGCGGACGGATCGCGTGGAGGTGCCGGTACGTGATGAGGACCTACCTCGTAAGTGTCGTCGTGCTCGAAGAAGCCCATGTTTGACAATGTACTCGGATGAGAAGACTTTGCCAGAAGTGAGCTGTGTTCCAGTCTACTGTTAGTGAGTAGGTAGCTGATATGAGTGCTATATGGAGCGGAAGGCGGTGCGTTGGGCGCCAGGGTCTCGGATGTGCAGGCTGAAGTGGACACGCCGGATAACGGGGTCGCCGAGATGACGCGAGCCGCGATGAGAGGTATTTCCGTCGGAATGGTGTTTCAGAAGTCCTCATACGAGACGAGCATTGAGTATTGAGCACTAGTGTGCGCCCCACATAAGGTCCTCGCATTACGAAGCGGTGTGTTTCGTGGGGAGTGCCGGATCCACAGGAGGCCGCTGACAGGTGAACCGTTGATGCATGGCACTCAGTCACCGCCACACTCGGCGCCACTGTTCAACACATGGCGGCATGTCGTAATCTCCTGGAGCTTATCACTAAATTCTCCCCCGGGACCCTGACTTTCATTCTCATGAAACGTTCCATATCATCAGCCAGTCTCCCCCACTCTTCGCCCACCCAACAACAGCATTACTCATACAATAATACCCACAGCTATGGACTCTATAGCCACAGCCAACAACGACGAGTTCGTCGCGAGTCAGCTCAGCTTCGATCAGGCCAGCGGATCCGGTACAGGCGGTGGAGGCAACCCATCAGCCGTCGACGGCGGTATGCTGATGAGCCTCTCGCGTGAGGCTGAGCGCATGTCCAAGGCGGACAGGAAGCGGAAGAGGGCAGAGAGGAAGCAAGAAAAGGCGCAGAAGGCGGTCCTGGAGCAGGCACTCAAGGCGGCGGCGACGGCAGACCCGGATATCGACCCCTCACTCCAGGACGCGCCGGTCATGATCCCTCAGGTCGAGGCTGAAGCAGAGCCCGAGGCGGAGGCTGAGGCGGAGGCGGAGCAGCCTGCCAAGAAGAAGAAGAAGAAGCGCGCAAAGAAGGCTGCGGCGGTGCCGGAGCCGAATGACGACGTGCCAATGCCGGAGGTGGGGAACGAGGAGGGAGCCGGACCAAGCGAGGCAGGACCCTCTAAGCGTTCGAACGCAAAGCCGGCGAAGGGTATGGTCAATAAGTTTGGGAAACCAACCAACTCGCTCGCCCGCCCGGACCGAAAGAAGCACGCTGCGGACGAGGATGAGCTCCGCGCCCAGTTTGCGATGCCAGGTGCTATGCACGCGTATCTGGCGGAGAGGTGGATGACGACTGTGGAACTGAGGAAGCTGGAGGCTGCTGGAGGTACGTCTTGCCTTATTCGGCGGAATTCTTGGCTGACGATCTAGTGATATCATACAAGAAGGGCAAGTTCTCGGATGAGGAGGAGCAGGCAATTCGGAAAGCAGTGGAGTTCTTCAGACAGGTGAGTCTCCTTGGGTGCATCTGGACCTAGCTAATCCTCCAGTCGAATGGCTTGACTGAGACTCAATTGACGGATCTCATCATGTCCAAGAAAGAGAAGAGTAACGAGTATCCGGGATTCTACAGCGACCTCGGTGAGTCAGATCACCTTTGTCAAGGCACACAGTCTGACTTTCAGCCGCTGCGGTCACCGGAAGACCCGTACGTTTCGTACAGAAGTACGTCAAGAGGCTGTATGATACAAGGGCGAGGAAAGGAAAGTGGTCAGAGCAGGAGGATGACGAGCTGTTGCAGTGAGTTGATAGCCTATGTGCGATGATTAATCAGCTAACTCGCCAGAGCGTACAACAGCAACTCAGGTAGCTGGGTCAAAATCGCTCTTGCAGTGGACCGACCAGAGGAGGATTGCAGAGCGAGATGGCGCGACGTGCTGCGATCCAAGTCGGGACGAGACGAGGGTAAATCTGGCCCTATCTACGTCTGGGCGCGCGGCTGACGTACAGGTCGATGGACAAAAGAAGAGGAAACCCAGCTCGTCGAGGCGATCAAAGAGGCCAATCTGGCCCTGGGCAAAGAAGCAACCGCTCGGGATCCCCCATGGGAGGTGGTCACGACCAAGATGGACGATAAGCGGACACAAATGCAGTGTCGCAAAAAGTGGTCAGTGCGTCTCCTCCTCGGATCCGGCGGTGCTGATGTATTAGGCACAGTAAGCTGTGGCCAGAGCTACAGGGCGCGCAAGTCCCCGCAGTCCGTGTGCGTATCGGTCAGAGCGGAGATGGTAAAGAGGAGGCGCTCAAGGTATCGGCCGCTGACCGGGTCACGCTCGTCAGACTGTACGTTGGCGTTTCAGATCATCGTAATTAAGCAAGCTGATAGAGCAGCATCAAAGAGCTCGACGTGGATACTATCTCCGCCATAGACTGGGACGGTCTCGCGACCGAACATTGGCCCGAGTTGGGTCCTGGACCCCTCTCCAAGGCGTTCAAGCGGATGATGGGCAAGGCGGGCGTGGGGAAGAACATGGCGACACCGTTGTCTGGTGAGTTTCCAGTATCATTCTCATGTAGTTCGAGGTCCTGAAGCTGATCTCGTTGTAGAGGTGCTCAGCGCGATCGAGAAGAGCCTGTCCAAGGAGAAAGCGGCGACTTTCAAATCGCCCAAGCGCGTTCCAGATAACGCTGATGATTGAAACCCTTCCGGGATTTCGATGTGATCGTACAAGGAGGTCATTTTAGGCGTTGTATGGTCTATACCTGGTGGGGAATATAACGAATGTGTATGTGTGACGCAGTAGAACCAAAAATGGAATAGCACTGCATACAACTCGTAGTCATCCAGACTCCGCGCTCCGGGAGACGGTGGGGCATACACAGGGTGTCCATCGGCCGTCCAGCTTTCCCTAGCTACGAGCGCCCAACCTCATCCACTTCCGTTGATGGCGCCGTACGACCCATTCTTCCCGCTCGCAGCTGATCCTAGGGACGAGCCGGACGGGCTGCGCACAATGTTGGCGCTGTTTCTGCGCGAGGCAGTGAGCCCGTTCTGTGCATTCTTGGAAGGCGTTTGACCTGGCATCCTAGCAGTGTGTTGAGGTCTGCTTTATCAGCTTCCGGAGAGGAGCCATTGTAGGTCGGAGGCGAAAGCTTACGGGTTTGACGAAGTGTAGTCAACGCTACGGCTTTCAGCTATGATCCTCGGTAATCATCGGGAAGCTACTCACTGGACGTATGCTCGCAATATGCCGTCAAGGCTCTCCAAACAGCATCTACACTCTCAGCTACGATGACGCTCGGGGCACAGAAGGACCTACTGGATAGTCTCTCCGACGTCATGAGCGAAATGCAGAGTGCTCGATCTGGGTAGGATGACGTCGATCTCAACAATCAAATCATCGCTAACAGGATCAGTTTGCGGACCGGTGCACAGCAGGGGTTGGTTCAGAGCTCACCCGATATGATAGCACTCTACATCGGCAATCTCCAATACCGGGTTGAAGCGGGTGACGAGATACAACACTCTCGTTACTTGATCCTTTGAGGCCGACCTTCCAGACACTGTGGATTCAGCGGCACATCCCACTCCCCTCCCGGGCCATTGCTAGGGTCAGGAAGGCTAGACTCACAGTTTCTAAAGTTCTCCAAGAGAGTCTTGACCCATTCCACAATGATATATGTGCTCAGTACCATCCCTCCTATCGGATCGAGGAGGCGGAAATTGAACAGGCCGCCCAGGAACTGAATGATCAGAGGCGGTCCTTGAGGACAATAGCCAGGCATCGTAGCTTACCGGGAAAGCAAGCGACATGATGTTGAAGAATACGTCGTTTTCTGCATCCTGGGCCAGGGCTTGAACACCTGAAGATGGGATACGAGAGCACCAGACCCAGCTGCTCGATCAGCTTGCGTCTATTGCGATAGCTAACGAGGACTCACAGGATAGCCTTGACACCGATAGTGGCCAACATAGTCCTGCATGATCAGCTCTGGTCGCTGGCTTGCAGTGTTCGAGATGACTGACGCTATCCCTACGTTACTCAGATCTACCGGAGACTCGTCCGATGGCGCTCTTGCCCGCTGGAAAGACTCGATGAATACCTGAACGAAGGATGCTATCATGGCGACGGAGAAGATGAGCTGGCCGATGAGCTAAGCGGAATTTTTAGGTAGAGTTTGAGTGACTTACAACTCCCAGAGGCTCGAAGCGTTTCTTCCCTGCGGGATACTAAATGTCAGCTCCATGCTTGACACAGCAGCACGGCGGATGTGGCTCACGACATGCGCGTCGCCCTTCATCCCGATCGCCCAGGTCGTGCCGAGGATGATGAAGGTACTGAGCAGGTCTAGGACCGAATCGACGAGCGAGGCTGTGAGCGAGATGGAGGCGGAGTAGAGTACTGCGAAGACCTTCGCTATCACTAGGACGATATTGACTGCGGTATTGACTGTTTATCAGGTTCGTCCTCTCCTGCTACAAGTCTCTGGCTCGTGGTAGGCTATCCACTCACCGTACACCGCAATCTGAGCGATCCTATCCCTACGTTCCTCCCGCTCTTCCCCACTGAGCAAAGCCGTTTCCTCTCCTGCTTCTTCGTCGCCCCCTTCTGGTCCGCGCGGTCCAGATGACCCATCTCGGATATGGACTGCGCTCCCCTGATCACTCTTCTTCTGCTTCTGTATTCTCCATGTCGATCCCCGTCGCATCCACTCCTCCTCCGTGCCTCCCTCCTCGCCGCTCGTATACGCCTCATCTTCAAGATCTCGTAGGAGTTGAGTATACGTCTTCTGCTTGGCTTGCGATCGATGACCTGTGCCTGCATGAAAGGAGGTAGCGACAGCGTACGGGATGGAACCCGAGAGGATACTATCCACCTCTTGGTAGTGCTCCTGTAATTGGGCGAGATGTTCGTAATACGGTCGCAGCTGCCTTATAAGCTCATATCCACGACCTGCTTCATTTCTGTTTCGCTGCAGCTCACCTTCCGCTTCAGCTTCTTGATGTCCCCATCCTCCAATCCAATCCCCTCAAATAAAGCGCTCCCCTCCTCCGGATCAAGGATCCGCCCATTCCGCACCTCCTCGAAAGTCATGGCTCTCCGCGAACGGCGTACCACCGCTGAAGAAGAAGCGGCAGCAAAGTCATACGCTGACGGATGTTGATGTAACGCCGGAGGTGTAGGATGCGGGTGGGAGGAGGCCGGCTGTTTTCTCGCTGCGGTACTGGAGGTGGAGCGGGAGACTCGAGGTCGGCCTGGGGAGGGCGGGCCTTGTGAAGTTGTTGGCGGGGCCATTGTGGCTGATGATGAGTCTAGCTGCGTACCGGACTTGCTTCGCAGCTATGTGTGAGGTGTATGGACCCTTATAGCCTTATGGAGCGGGATCTCAAGATCCACTCAGGGAGTTGTTCAAAACTCTATTTTCGAACTCCACATTCCTCAGAAACCTCGAATGTCACTCTTTGTCATACATGATCAATAATGCCAGTACCAATCCCCTCTAGTCAGGACCAGGAGCCCTCGCTCTTCCCAGAGATACCCAGGTCACAGATCGATGCAGCGAGGCTGTCAAGCTGGTACCACTTATTCCGGCGGTTGACATTTCCCACCTCCATCATCGACTTGGACAAGCTCGGCGAGAAGGAGGCTTTCCTCGAGGTACGTCAGCTTCCTTATGAGCTTCAGGAGCTGGGAACAATCTGACAGCTCTAGTAGTGGCTTGACTCGGACTCGATATTTCTGCCAGTCGAATGCAATCCGTCAGCCTGCCGTCTACTACATGATGATGGACTAGACGACTGATATCGCAGACCATCGGAGCCAGTAGCGGATAATGAGGACGCCTCATCCTCATCCTCGTCGAGCGATTCAAGACAGAGGAGAGCCTCCGATGCTAGCTCATCGTCCTCGGGATCTGAAGCTCCGGTGTATCGACTGCCGAAGCTGACGGAAGCGATCCTGCAGGCGATCAAGGTGCACGGCGGTTTTGTCTTCCCAAAGCTAAATTGGACCAGTCCCAGAGTAAGTACAGGCTTCTCCATGTCTCAAAGCGTCGGGGCCAGAGCTGAATTTCTAGGATGCAGCTTTCATTATCCCCCAGACCCGTGGTCCTCTTTGCTGCTCCGTTCCTGCCGACATTTACCTCCTCCTCAAATCTAGCGATCTCATTCAGCATGACCTCGACTCATCTCGCGCGTACAGCACATCACACTCCGAGGCAGAAGTAGACTCAGACGATGAGGAAGCAACAGCAGCGGCCGAAGCAAGAGCGAAGGATATGAAAGTCGAGCTGGTGCTGCGGAGCTTTGTGGAAATGAACCCCTCTAGGGAGTTGAGGTGTTTTGTCCGGCACAACATGCTTCTTGGTAAGCTAACAGCAGAGTAATGATGGCTTTCTGCTGGAGCTGATCTCTCAGGCATCTCACAACGTGATACCAACTACTACGATCATCTTCAATCCGCAGACTCGCGGGAGACCATTTGCGATACGGTCAGGGCGTTCTGGGAGGATGAGATCCGGACGCGGTATCAAGGCGGAGAAGACTGTCAGTTCGCCTCAACGTCCGTGACGCGACAAGCTTACCCTCACAGACGTCTTCGATATATACCTCTCCTCCGATATGAACTCGTCCTTCCTGGTCGATTTCAACCCTTATAGGCAATCCACCGATCCCCTCCTCTTCACATACCCCGACCTGCTCGAGATCCTCCAGACCGCCCTTCGACCTCCTCCCGCTGCACCCTCTGCGTACGCCCGTGATCTTACTCGCCAACGCCTACCTATCCTCCGGGTTATCGACTCCCAGTCCCATCCACTCTCCAACTCGGCGGCACCGGCTTTTGGGAGCAATATGATGCCGGTAGAGATGGTCGAGATGAGCCAGGGACGGAACATGGCAGAGTTCAGTCAGGCCTGGAACGACGCGGTAGCGAGGGGTATGCAGCGGTAATGCCTGGTGGAGCTAGCACTTACCAATGTCCGTCGACGTTTTCCAAGCTATCACTAGCTCCACTGATGTGCGTTGATTCTGGGGTTTACTCAATACATCGTTCACAACATCCTCCTCGCTCAGCTCGCTAAAGACCACCCGCAATATCAAGCCATCTACAACATATCAAGCCATCTACAACTCATTCCGCTTGACACCATCATGCGCGCCCTGGTTGGCTCCTCCGAGTGCACCCACAACGGCGTCCTTGGCATCAGTCACCTTCTGCCCGATCGCGCCGAGGACGCCCTGGTTCTGGCTGACTCCGGGCCCGTGGGGCGTCAGGGTCGAGTCGTGACCCGGGGTCAAGGCGTCCTTGGCGTTCTCGGTGGTCGTCTTGCCGGCGTTGGGGGTGACAAAGGCGGCAGCCCTGTTAGTCAGCATTGACGTACAGGAGTGTGAGGATAGTGCAGGGGGGAGGTGGACTTACTGCCCGAGGAGACCGTCGTCGCCGTTGTTGTCGTGGTGGTGCGTGGGATCACGCGCGTCGGGGTTGGCGACGTCACGGGCCTTGGACTGGCCGGGAAGGTAAGAGGCGACACTGATCGTCAGTGTTCGATAGCGGTTGCACACCCTCGATCTGTTCAAAGGTGGACAGCTCCGAGATGGGTGACTTACGTGTCTCCAGCATGGGCAAGGCTGTCTCCGACCTGCTCAGTCGACGACTTTGCGAATTCCGGCTTCAAGGCAGCCTTGGCTAAGCTGATCAGCTTTCGGAAAGGGGTGACGATACCGTGCGACGAGAACGGCCATGTACACCTTGATGATGCTGATGGAAAAGGAACTCACCTGTGCTCACATCACCCCGGCGCAAGTCAGCGTTGTCGCTCATGTTTGTTAAGAGGTAAAGGCTTAGACAAGGTATGTAAAGCAGTGCAGAATGAGTGAGCAAGTAGATAAAGATCGGAATGAGGATGGTCTGACCAACTAGGTACCCCTTCTTATACCTCTCACAGGCGTCCTTGGGTTGAGATGAGATGACGTCGTGTTGCGAATCAACAATGCAGGACGTGGAGCGGAGAACAAAGGAAGGGGAGTATGACGTCGCTAGGCCGATGAAGGACAAAGGAGGTGTTCGCAGTGTGGAGCGGGATGGTAGCTGCTAGAAAGCACTGGAAAGCGCCGCAGGCTGAAAGAGGGGCAGACGCAGGTGCATGTTGCGGGAGCTGACGATCTGGAAGATCCTGCCGGCCAACATATAGAGAACACCCTCAAGACGTCCACTCAAAAGTGCTCTTCTTTACCGCTATTTCCTCCTTCCCTCTGATCGCGACGTCCACGCACCGCCTGATCTGATCCTTCATGCCTGCCTCATCCTTGACTTCGATGCCTTCAGTACGACCCTCAGTTCGTGAACAGGTTGTGAACTGGCTCATGGCGTACTTAAGCGCTTGATTCGTGCCCGGTGCAAAACGTACTTTATGGTCTTTGCGCGTATCCCTAGCTTTACACTCGGTCCTGAAATTCTCGAAGAGCACAGTGATTAGCAGATCGTCGATCTCGGTATTTCCGCCGGGCTCATCAGTGCGCAGAGCGTAAAGCGTTGTTTCGGCCCGAGTCGTGTACGACAACAGGTGAAAGTAGGAGTCTGCTGCACTGCTCATCAACGCGTCGCGGTGGTTTCGGGTCCGATGTCGGTCCGCGGCTGATCAATGTGAAAGAGCAGCAAGCTACGTCTAGATGACGCTTGGTTACTGCAGGGGTGCTCATCGTATTTGAGTCGTTTGAGCAACTCCGACGAGCGATCTGTAAGGCGTGCTCCCCTCTAGCCGGCTCTGGGATGTGAGCGAAGGCCCGTCCCAAGGGATCAAAGGATGAGCGTATGGTCATTCCTTTGATGTTCGATCAGAGTGGCTCATCAGGCTTTGCTCCCAAGCGTACATTTATAGGTCGGAGTCAAGCAGTGACCGCCATGGTGTGCGATGCGCGAGCGAGCGTTGCTCGTTCAAAAAATGGTGAGTAGGATACAAAGGGATCTCAGGTGAAGGGAGTATTCTGTGCCACGCGAGACGTTACTCGGCCTCTGGATCCACTGCTCATCAACAGCGCCGCGCTGAATGAGTTCCATCGAGAGCAAGGTCCCGTCAGCTGCCAGCTCCAGTCTGTCAGTGAAGAGAGAGTCTGTATATCGTGCATGTCATTATCCGTAAAGCATAAGCTAGATAGCAAAAGTCGTAAATTTGGGCGTAAAGATTGAAGAACGAAGGGTATAAGCAGTCCGAAGATATATAAAGAGATAAGGCATGGAGCTGAAAGATGGGGCGTAGGAGTAGGAAAGAGAAGTAGGGGTAGGAGGTAAGGTATACTGAAGAAGAGAAAGAAGACAAGCGAACCGAAAGATCTATACACACCCTGGCGATGAATCCCCGGGGCCACTCGCCACTCCGCCACTCCCCCTATCCCCCACTCGGCCCTACTCTCAGCCCCGCCCCGACTCCGGCCCTCCCCCAACGCCAGCTTGCGAATCGTGGCCGGCATCTACGCATGGATCTCCTCCACCTTATCCATCCCCCTCCCCTTCTTCCCCAGCCCTTTGAGGCCCTTCCAGATCCCCCACCCCTTCTGCCCCCCACCTCCACCCATCGACGTCGACGTCCCGATGGTCAACACGCTCCCTGCTCCGGGCATATTGGGCCTGCCCATCCCGCCTCCTCCCGCGCCAGCGCCAGCTCCAGCCGAGAAGGTCGACATCGCCGCCGAGTTGGCCGTCCCGAACTTGTCTCCCTGGGTGGACGAATGGACGAGGGGCTGCTTCGAGTTCCTCCGTTCTTGATTCGCCAAGTCGATGATATCCCGCTTGTTGCCGGTCGTACCCGTCGTGCCAGTGACGCCGCCGATGGAGGTAGGGTTCGGAGTGAACGTGTCGCCGTGCAGCAAAGCCCGGGCGCGTTCCCGAAGACTAGCCATCGAGCTCGGCTTGGCGAGTGCCCTTCCGCTAGACAGGCTACTCCAGCCGTCCCCTTGACGCACCACGCCAGGCGTGGAGTCGAGGAACCGCTCATATAGTCTCCGAGGGGACCTTGGGCTTCCTGGCCTTCCACCGGCGGTAGAGCGGGCCTGACCGCGCCCATAGTCCTCATCATCGTCATCCTCGTCGTCCGAGAATGCAGACTGCTGCAGGATGTCCGAGAATGTGATGTGGGACGAGGCGGGGAGGGTGTTGAATGCCCGGAGGTTGGATTCCGACTTGCGTGCGGGGATGCGAGTTGTAGCGGCGGCGGCGGATGAGTCGGAACGGAGCATAGGTGTGGAAGGGGTGGCGCGGAGTGCGGGCGCAGGGGGCTTGAGGGGGATGTGCATGTTTGGTTCGGCTGTTGGTTAGCTTTAATCCTCATCCGGGCGTATGCGGGAGGACGTACGGGTAGAAGACCGAACACCACGCTCCTTCTCCTTCTCCTTCTCCGCCCCAAACAGCTTCAAAACACTAGCCACTGTATCATCAGCTTCTTACCCTTCCTGAAACCAAAGAAACCGTAATAGAAAACTCACCGCTTCCTCTCTCCTTCTTGCCCATCCCTGAAACCCGCTTATCCGCCATCCCCATAGCCACCCCCGAGCTCGGCCTACTCCCTCCCTTGCCCTCCCCCATCCACACATTCGCCTTCCGGATCTTCTCTTCCGCCTCCGCATACGTCATCCACTTGGGCGGCGTCGCGGGCTCCACCTGGACAGAGGACGTCCGGAGGTGCTCCGGGATCGCTTTGGGCGGGGAGACACCGAACATCCGGTTGCGCTCTTCGGAGGTCAGAGCGGGGTTGGTCGCGGTCGCAGAGCGGGGAGTGGGAAGGTTGGTGTCTTGTGCGGTACCGGTGATTGTCGAAGGCATAGATGGGAGACCGGGAATACCGGCCATATCCGCCGGAGTGGGGATAGTGAGGAGAGGAAGGGGAAGCTCTCGACCCTCCGCGAGCGCCTTCCGAGCCTCGTCGACGATAGACTCGACAGTCTTGACCCATTCTGAAATCTTATCGAGACGATTGTCGAGAGCGAGCGCTTCGATGGACTTGCGGTGCTGTAGGCTCGGCTCAGTCGTGGCCGTGGAGGCGATGGCGGGAGCGGTGTTGGTAGCGGCTGGAGCGACGGCACTGGCTCGGGCAGAAGAAGGGGTGAATTGAGCAGGGGTAAGATCAGCCGAGATCTGCCTGAACCGGCCCAACTTGTCTTCTGTCTCAGTCAGCTCGTCTCCCTCAAGATTAAAGTACACCAGCAGAAAGGCGGGCTCACCATCCTGTGTCATCATCTTCTCCTTCTCGACCCGATTCGGCGACCCCGCCGACTTCTTGCCGGGTGACACAAACGCCAGTCGGGGCGGAGGCGCCCGCTCATCTGCATGCTCGCCGGACGCAGCCGAGTCGGGCACCGCGGGCTTGGCGAGCCGCTTCCGGGGCGGAGAGCCCACATGGGCCATAGGGGACTGAGTTGACCTAGGCGCAGTGTGGAATGCGACGTCGACTCGAGCATCGACTGAAGATCAGCTACGATTTCTTGAGAGAGATAAGGATAGCTCACTCGTAGTCTTGTCACTGTCGGAAGAAGTAGATACCCTAACTTCGAGATCCATAACCTCAGCTGCATGATCAGCTAGATCCCCGGGTCGTGAAATGGATAGCTCACCAGGCTGCTGCTGCTCCTCCATCTCCTCCACCTCCTCCAGCGCCATCGCCCTCTCCGCCGCCCAACTCCTCCTCTGCGCCTCCTTCTCCTTCTTCCCCTCCCCAGTCTCAATTGTACCAGCAGACCTGGGCCTCGGCGGCTCCGGCGCCGGCCTCGAAATAGCCGCCAACACATCCCTCTTCTTGCCTCCCGCGCCAGCACCGGAGACAGACCGGACACCCTCGAGGGACTGCAACGTATGAAGTCGAGCCTCATCCTCATTCTTCTCGCCCTGGACTGTCGAAACGGTCGACAGAGTAGACAGGTTGGAAGTCCGTTGAGAGAGCGTCTTGGTCTTGGTGGACTTGGAAGGGTGGAGGTTCTCCTTGGACGTGGTCGTGGTGAGGAGGGATGACCGAGTCGAGTTGGTTCCGCCAGTCTTGGACGTAAGTCCCGAATCGTGCTTGGCGGCTTTGGCGTTGGCATTGGCGACGGCCCGGAGCTGAGCTTGGGACGGGCGCGAGATGAGCTTCTTGTCGGCTGGGACATCAGCAACGGCCCGACATCTTTTCTTTGACAGCAGGAGTGGGCACTCACCCTTAACAGCAGTTGTTTCCACCATTTTGAGTGGCTGAGCCGGCTTGACAATCTTGGTGGCTACTTTGTCAGCTCATCCCCCTCCCTGCAAAGATTTAAGAGAAACTCACGAGTCGGGTCCTCCTTATCCTTGACATCCCCACCGACCACCTCCTCACTCCTCATCTTCTTAATCACCAGTCTACTCCCCTTCTTGGGGCTCGGCGTCAATCCCTCGCCGTCTTGACCCTGACCCTGACCCTGCTTCTTCGGGCGAGGCATAGACGTATGCTGCTTGATGCTCTCCCCAAGCGGAAGAGCCGGCGTGACGCTCCTGGCTCCTTCTTTCGGCGCAACCTTCTTCTTCTTCCGGCGCTTCTCGACGTTGGGATCCGTACTTCCGTTGGCGTAACCGCCGTACCCGTCGAGGGCGACACCGACGGGCGCAAGCGTAGGGACGGGCTGTTCAGCGTACGCGTCGACGTCGAAGGTGGCCTCGCGGATAAAGTGCGGGGTGACGATGACGGAGGGTGCCGCGGGGTGGAGCGCGGGGTGATGGTAGGCGTTCATGGCGGTCAGGCGCTGCTGGGCGTCGGGGTGAAGCATGTTTTGGAGGAGGTGAATAAGGTCTGGGAGTCAGCTCTTGTCCCCTTCGATGAACGCGGGGCAGGCAACTGACCATTCGGGATGTAGTACTCGCCGAGCCACTCCCCACTGAGCGCGCGCTCGAGATATACGGCATACCGCCCTTCCTCCTGGAAGTCTTCCTCCTCGTTCTCCTCGAACGGGGTACGGCCGATAAGGATCTCGTAGAATGTGATCTGGAAGTCAGCTTCTGCTCCTCGCGTCTCAGCCAAGGGTTGGAAAGCTCACAGCAAGAGACCAAACGTCTGAGGCACGCTCATCGTGCGGCAATCCTTGAGCGCGATACGGGTCCAGATACTATCTCGTCAGCTCCATATTCCCTTTTCGTAGAGGCGGTAGCTCACCTCTGGCGTCCCCCAGCTGATTGTACTCAAGAAAGCACCCCTCCCATCTGTCGGCCACTTGTGTGCAAACCCAAAGTCGACCAAGACGGGAATATCGTTGTGGCTGATCATGACGTTGGCGGGCTTGATATCGTTATGGGTGATACCGCGCTCGTGCAGATATCCGACGGCGGAGGCGAGTTGGCGAAAGTAGGGGGTGGCGCGCTTGGGAGGGAGACAGACTTGGATGAGGTGCGAGAGGTAGGGCATGATCACGCTGAGGGTCAGCGTGGATTCCAGGAGCGAAAGCCTAAGGAGGTAGATGCCGGAGCGAGGGAAAAGGTTCACTGAAGAAGGACGGATGTAAAGACGGAGGGAAGGACAGGCGAGGAACAAAACCTACACGGCATAGCTGGGAGTCAAACAGAACGCCTCGAACTGGATGATAGACGGGTGAGGCTCGTGCCTCAGTGACCGGACGATCTTCATCTCGCCCCAGAGCGCTCTGATGCGAGCTGCAGTACACTGAAAGTCAGCTTGATTCTCGCTGGAGCGTTAACGAAAGGAAGCTCACCGAATCCTGCACCCTGTGCACAATCTTCATTGCGACTTTCCCACCCGCTCCGCTTCCTCCGCTCGCCGCTGCCGCCTTGCCCAGCTTTCTCACCGCCTTCTGACTAGGCGTCATAACGCCGTTGGAGAAGTAGGTGGAGCGCGGCCGACGGGGTTTGGCGAGCCATACCGACCCCCAATTCCCGAATCCTACTTCCGCGACAAAGTGGAACCTATCGCTGAGCTGCGCGTCCGAGACGAAGAAGACATCGTCGGACGCCTTGATGGTGTTCCGAATGTTCGGGTAGGCTTCGAGGGAAGGCCGGTCGAGCCCGTCGCCCTGGTCCAGGAATTCCAGGTCCGTCTCGCCATCCGCGTCCGCGTCGGTATCGTCGCGCGTGTCGTACCCGGAAGTAGAGGGGGTGGGGTAGACGCCGTGTCGAGGAGAAGGAAGGATAGCGTGATTGAACGCGAGGGAAGAGGGGGAGTTGGACGCGTAGGAGATGGTGTCGAAGGTGAGACCGGTCGTGGTGATCCCGTTGGCGTTGCCGTTGCTGTTGGCGTGCCCGAGGGAAGAAGGGGAGGTGGAGTCGTACGCAAACAGACTTCGCGAGTCGGGCCTGCTTGTACCGGTACCAGTGGACGAGGTGGACGACGTAAGGGCCGCGATGGCGAGGGTGGATGACCGAGGCGGGGAGGGCGCGACCGGGAGTGGAGGAGCTGGTTCCCGAGCGGACGAGGTGGGTTTTGGGCGGGCCGGTGCGAACCCCAATTTGAGCCGGAGGTTTGACTTGGACTTGTGGAGAGTGGGTTGGGCAGGCATGATGAGCTGCAGGCCCAGATGGCGAGGGGTTGGATCGTAAAGACAGACGAGGACGTAATGAGCGTGATGGACGTGATATGTGCGAGAATGGGGAGGCGCGTCGTTTGTGATGTTGTCGTGATATAGGATTGATGGTGTCGATTGATAACCAGCAGTCGATAGCTATCCTGTATAGATGTCAAGAAGGGTAAGAGGAGGAGAAGGAGTAAACATGGGAAAGGAATGGCAAAGACAGAATCAGTAACGGTGAGTGAGCTATAGGGTTGAGCGAAATTCTACACCCCTCCTGATGGACGCGTCGGCCTCGCATCGTCACGCTTGTTGATCATCAAAGCTAAAGGAAGGAGAGAAGCGCGTAGAGGATTACTCAACCCTGGACACACACATCCTCCTCCCCATCCCCACCCATCCCTTTCACTCCACCGATCGCGCGGTAACGGCCAAGGACGGCGGCGCGCTTGTTGGGGCGACCGTCCTGCCACGGACAGGTGCACGAGCATCTCCGTCGCCAGCAGGGGGAGGGATCGGTGTGCTTGTATGTAAAGTACGGTAATAAGAGGCAGGGGAAAGAAGCAGAGCTGTTAGTGGACCCAGCTGCTGAGCGAGCGGAAGCAAAAGAGGGGACGCGATTCTGAAACGCGTGCGTCCGTGCGTAGTGCGAGGCTGAAACACGGAGCGCGGCTGTCGAGTGACACAGCTTGAGCTGAATGGCTATCTGTCCGGTGGGTCCAAAGGCGAGATTGATCTGATAGCACATTGACACCTTTGTACTGACCATGACGGGGGGTGGGCGGTAATCCCTCATCCTATCAACGCAAAAGAGCGTTCCCTCAGCCAGGAGAACAGAAACGGAGGTCGGCCCAAGCCCCTCCTTCAGTTCCCCTGGGATCAGCTGGGGGTTGGGCCTCCCTTATCTTGGCAGCACAAAAGAGCGTTGTCATGAAGTGGACTCGGTATATACATAGCAATGGCCAGCTCAACCTCTGCAAACATACCGCCAGCTCGACATGAAAGTCATCAGCATCGTTCTCCTGCTTGCCTCAATAGCTTCTGTCAGATCGATCAGCACGCTCAAGTTCATCCTGTCCCACGGAGTCTGGATGACCGATCCGACGGGCAACACTATGACGCATTTAGGACTAGCCAGCTTTGAGCTCCTGGTCAACAATATCTTCACTCCGTTTGAGCGTGCACTCAGCGTGACCGACGACAAAGGACAAAGAGTTTACACGGTGAGCGCTGCTGTAATGGGATGGACTATGGGGCTGATTTATGCAGTGCAAATACTCTCCGAAGACAGGCAGTGGGCTGGCGGAGGGTCGGAGCGTGACGGTATTTCATCAAGTCCTTCCGGGCTTGGTGATTGATATCACAGACGGAAACACCAATACTGTGGCCGTCTCGTGCACGCCCAGAGCCGCATAGGTAGCGTCATTTAGGCGATGTACATGAAAACGCCTTAGACAGAAAGTTATCGGTCTGTGGACAGAAAGAGAGGGGCGAGAGCACTAAGATCCACTAAAGGGATCGGGCGAGAAAAGAGCCGAATGCGGACGGGTGGAATACGAGAACATCACGCGCTGTGCAGATTGAACGCTAGCCGCTTTGCAACAAACCCCCTCTGTAATCTGATGTCCCTGATCTCAGACAGGAGAAAGAGGAGAATCGGTTCCTTTGTACGTGTGTCACATCCCTTAGGAGGCTGACCGGGACTTCCATGTTCTATCAGCACAAAGGAGGGGCCTATGCAACGGAGAACAAAGACGAAAGACCCAAACGGTAGCTTCCCTTGTTTCTTGTACAACAGTTCCTGACGGCTTAGGTGGTGAAGGCATCACAAAATCACCCACATCTTCAGTCATCTGTCATACTGCCAAGTCAAGATGAAACTCTTCAACATTGCCCTCCTCTTAGCCACACTCGCTTCCGTCAGATCGATAAACACACTCAAATTCATCCTGCTTCCCGGGGTCACGATGACCGATCCGACGGGTACCGCGACTGTTTTGGAGGGGCCGGCCAGCTTCGAGCTACCCATCGGTGCCATTTTCACTCCGTTTGACCGTAAGGTCAAAGCGAGCAGCAAGGATGGCTACAAAGACTACTCGGTGAGCTTTGCCGTCATGATGGATGATGATGCTGATCTAGGCAGTGCAAATACTCTCCGAAGACTGGCAACGCGCTGGCGGCAGGTCAGAGCGCGACGTTGGTCCATCAAGTCCTGAAAGACTTGGTACTTGATGTTGGAGGCGATGGTCTGGTGACTATCACGTGCACATAGGCAGTGAAATGATCAAGCTTTTGTATTTACAATCGTCCCAATCGTTGTTCTACCAGGAGTGGTGGGAGGGGATGCAGCGGGGGCACCGAAGATCTCGGCGTTCCTGCATAGAGCCATGACTCATATCTCATGCCGAGGGACATTTTTCTCTCGAATCCGCAGCGTCGGTTCAAGCTTTTCCTGCCACTTCCCTCATGATTGATTCGCACTCAAGTGTTCCTCACATTGTGTTCCCCATTCTTTGCTCTTCCCAATGACAGGTGATCGCAGGTGGCCTTATGGACTTGTAGAGGTTGCAATAAGACGTGTCTCAAAGATTGCTGACTATATCAACGCGGAGTGCAATCAGGGAATCGAATGAGGAATCGAATGAGGCTAGTATACATTGTGTCCGATGGGTATCACGACCAGAGCTTGGTATGTAGCTACTACAGGCATGAGTAACTCTACTTGGATACGGGTATCTTCTTGATTGGGGGAGGCAGCTCAAGAACGCCCGTCCCGAACCCCAAGGCCGTCATTTCCGCCGAGTCCCATGGGACACACGTCGCCCGCTTTTTGTTCCCCTCACAGACCACCCAGACGGCGTGTTCCTCGACCTTGTCTCAAAGTGGCAGGGGTACAGGTAAGATGGAGCAGCTTTGACCATGAAGACGTTGTTGCGGCCGATGTCCTCGGTGGCTCGCTGTATGTAGCACTGAATACTGTCAGCTGATGTCATTGGCATCCCTTTCTACAGACTCGAATGGGCACTGATACTCACTGATGGATTCCCAAAGTCCTCGACAGGCTTGTCAAATTTGACTTCGAACTTGGCCTCCCGTGTTAGGGTTTCAAGAGCAGACTGGGGATGCATACGACTCGTTTGGCTCTTCTTATATATTCCAGACCTATCGATAGCTAACCTATCAAGCTATCGATACCTAGCGACCTACTGATAGCCTATCGATAGCTAACCTATCGATAGCCCTAAGCTATCAACCTAGCGATAGCTAACCTATCGCTAGCTATTGCCTATCGCTTCGATAGTCCACTGATAGCTACCACTTCCGGTATGCCAAGCTGATGAGCCTTATCATGCGCTAACTTTAACATTCGGGATCGGAAGGGGGCAGACCCTTCATGGGCCTAAACTTTTGCCAGAGCTTGCCATCCCCTCCTGCTGCACGGTATTGCAGCTCTTTCCCAGATCCATCCCACTGAGTCTCACCGTAGCCTGCGGCGCCGGCCGGGATCTCGAAGTATACGTTCGACAAGTACTTCCCGTCCGTAAATGATGCGATGGTGACATCCCCGGCCTGGTCCCATATAGCCAAGACAGAGACCGAGGCGAGCAGAAGCAATGGGACGATAAATGAGGGGAAGGGGAGCATTATGTGCTGATCGTTGATCTGTTTGCTTGTAGACTTCAGTGTTGTCGTTGGCGCTTGAAGCTGTACGATGATATGTTGGGTTGCAAGATGGGATTGGCAGCCATCGCGCCCTTTGTCTTCTGACAGTATGGAGGGTACGCAGCTGTCGGTGCTGCGGCACGCGCCCTCAAGCCAGAAGGATCTCTCCCTTTAAGCCAAGGGGTCACTCCGTCCCGAAACTTGCAGGGCCAAGGCTGTAAGGCCTGCCTTTCTGTCAGGCTGGTGACAATGGACCTGTTGTTGAAGTATCAAAAGGTAGGCTAGCCCTCCCCAGGCGATGCGAGGGAGTATAAATTCCAACACTCCCCCTACTTCCTGCATCCCCGTCTATCTGGTGCGGATTTGAATGTCTTTCCGCCACGGAACGCTGTTTACGGCATCTCCGCTGGTCCCAACCACTGCTGTCTCAGTGGCGCCTTCTTCTGGGCGAACCCGAGCTCTCCGAGCATAGACCGCAGCCAAGCTGCTTCCTTAGCTGCCTCGGATAGGGCGATGTACTCAGCATGCAGAGTCGATGACGCGACTGTCTGGTGCCGGCGCGAGCTCCAGGCGACGATTGAGCCATTGATGGTGAAGACATAGCCCGTCGTGGACTTCCGAGTGTCCAGACATCCTCCCCAATCCGCATCTACCCACCCTTCTAGCTTGACTATGCTAGCAGCACGTCCGCCAAGCTTTAATCCCGTCTCCCTCGTGCTGCCCAGATATGAGACCACCCGCAGCGCCTGCTGCCAGTGTCCCTCTGTCGGCTTTGAGCTGTACCTCGATAGGTAGTTTACAGCGTATGCAATATCTGGCCGAGTGCTGCCAGCTATCCACATCAAACTGCCGATGACCTGCTGATAGGGTGTTAGGGCGAAAGCTTCCGAGCTAAGATTATCGGTGGTGAAGGGAAGAGGGGTTGCAAACTCTCGAGTAGTGGATAGGGGGAATCTAGCCAAGAGGGTATCGATGTACCCAGGCTGCGTAAGCCTAATGATGTGTCCGGACCGCTCTCGGTCTACTTTCATCCCGAGGATGGACGTGACGACGCTGGTATCGGTGAGGGTCCAGTGACGCCTCAGATCCGCCAACAGGGTGGTGATGGTTGAGCGTTTGGGCGAGATGATCACGTAGTCATCCACGTACAGCAAGCAGACGCAGGGGTTCGCGCCGCCCCTATAGTACAGTCCCCACTCGCTCTCCAATCTCTGGAATCCGAGCTTCTTCATAACTCGTCCGACCTCTTCCCACCAGCACTGAGCTGCTTGCTTCAAGCCGTAGAGTGCTCCGTCTATCTTGACACAATTCTGCCCCTGAGATACCTTGTATCCAGGCGGCACTTCCATATAGATCTCTTCCTTGATCTTGCCATTGAGGTACGCTCCCTCAGCATCCGCCTGATGGATCTCCCAATCTAGCGTCGCCGCCATCGTGAGAAGTAGTCTGAGTGACACTAGCCTGCTTACTGGCGCAAACGTATCCTCAAAATCTACTCCTGGCTGCTGCGAGAAGCCTCGGGCGACTAGCCTAGCCTTCCGCTTTGTGATGATACCGGCAGCGTCTCGCTTGGTTGTGAAAATCCATCGACACGAGATAGCTTTGCGACCTTTGGGAAGGACGCATGGTCTGAAGACCTTCTTTGCTCGCAAGCTGTCAAGCTCCTTGTCTATGGCTGGTTGCCATAGCTTAACGTTGGACGAGGATGTGGCCTGCTGGTATGTGGTGGGGTCGGGATCGGCCGATGCCGTAGTTACGCCGAGCGCTGACTCGGAAGCCAGATAGGCGATTCGCGCATTTCGACCATACCACCTATCCCCATCTATATGAGAACTAGGTACCTTCTTTCTCTGACCTCTACCAAGTGACTCCTCCTGCGGCGGTGCCGCCTCTGGAGCCGCTGAGAGCTGATAATGCTTCCAGCGCTGTAGTAGACCCTTCTCTTCATCCGTGAGATCTAATCTCTTCTGGTTCCGATCCTTGAGCTGATCGATCAGGCTCTCGGTAACGATGATGCCGGTCTTATCGACCTATTGCTGCGTCGACTCGTCATATCCAGGTTGTATGGGACCTTTGACCCGCTCGAAAGATATAGGAATTTGAAAATGGGGTGTAGGTGGGGTGAACACATCGGCTGACACATCCGACAGTGGATCGTCCATATCCGGTGCTCCTCCTACGTCCTCATCTCCCTCTGCTTCCTCATCATCTCCCTCTATGACGACATCATCTTCCATCTCCTCCTCGTTGGATACGGATGTGCGTACGCCAATTGCGCTCACTTCAGGCTCCTGACTAACTGAACCTGTGAGAGGTTTGACGTCTCTAGATCTGATGATCTCGTTCGTCGCCTCGACGAGAACGATCCATCCACTGACGTCTGGATCTTGACCCAAGATCCTGCACCTCATAGCACTTTTCGTATCAAACGAATTTTTATGTCGGATTTCCGAGGGGATTTGGACGTAATTGACCTGACCAAACTGACGGACAGTGTGGAGGTTTGGATGGCGCATCGTAAGCACTTCCCAGACGTTCTCGTCTGACTCTGGGATGACCGTGGTCTTGTTGTGAATGACCGCGAAGTACTGCGCCGCATAGTCGAAGTACTGATGACCAAGACTGGATCCACCGAGCATGGCTCGGATTCCATCTTTTATGGTCCGGATCGTGCGCTCCGCCTTCCCGTTGAGTTCGGCGGTGTAGCGAGGGGTGACATGATGTCTAATGCCCTCGCGCTTGTACCAGAGGTTGGCTGCCTCGCTCTGAAATACTGAATCACCGTCCGACCGAATGACACGAACGTCATTACCGAATTGGCGCCCCCAGCGTGTAGCTGTATCCCGGAGCACGTTGAAGGCCTCGGACTTGTGACGGGTGGGTACGACCTCGATCGCATCCGAGTGATCGTCAATGATGACTACCAACCATCTATTCAGACGCCTGGACGGATCGAAAGGACCGGCGATGTCGACGTGCAACAGCATACCCTGCGACAGGGGGTGCTTGGGTGCATTGTCCTTTGGAGGACGAACTGCTTTCCAACTTTGGCAAGTTGGGCAGTCTGAGGACTTGAAGTTGTCCTCCTTGAGCTCCTCCCAAGGATACTGGAGCTGACCGGCCTTGGCAAGCTCTTCCAGTTTAGTCCGGCCGATGTGGCCGAGCCGTCTATGCTCCTCCTCGAGCTTAGACCTTATCATCCCGGATGTTGGCCCTGTGGCTGCTAGTGCCTCATGCCTCACAAGGTACGGGGGAATGTACCAGTGGTTTTCGAACCGGGAGAATGTAAGACGCCGATGGCCCTTGAATAGCTGACCCATGGTGTCTGACAAACTGATTTGCCACCCTTTCGCCGTCGCTGAGCTGACTGAAAGGAGATTCAGTCTAGCGTTCGGTACGAGATATACGGGGAATAGTGTGGCCATTTGACCGTTGTCAAGCTCGATTGTTGCTTGACCCATTTCCCGGGCGGTCATCCTGCTCTTAGATGACGCCGTACCGAAATCGACGGGTGGATCACACTGTCTGATGTTGGACAGTAGGTTGCGGGAGGGGGTGAGGTGGTTACTGGCTCCACTATCGACGAGCCATCCCCGAGAATCGGGTACACTTACTTCCCCTTCCTCTGCAGTGAACGCCGCAAGCTCAACTTGGGCTTTCTCCTCCTCGACAGGTGGAGAGAGACTAGGGGTGGGGATCTCAGGAGCTACGCGCCGACTAGGTCGATAGTAATCCTCGTCCCACATCCACTTCCGACTCGATGTCGGAGTGATCCTGGTCGTCGCCATGGCCTCGTAGTTCGTTGACGAACCTGACGAGTTCTGATCGCCGTCCTTTGAACCGCTGTTCCTTTCCCGTTTGGGAGCGCGACACTTAGCGGCAAGGTATCCGACCTTGTCGCAGTTATAGCAGGTCCGGGTTTCTTTCTGACCCTGTTGACCCTGTTGAGCACCGGACCCCTTTTGGTCTTTGTCCTTCTTTTGGCCTCCCTTGGAGCCAAACTTCTTCTGCTTTCCACCATTCGTGATGGCCATAGCAGTGTTGTTCGTGCCGTTCCTACGGCGACGATCGATCTCCTCGTTGTACAGCCTAAGCATCGTCGGCCATGCTGTCAACTCTGTAAGGAGTGGCGAGTTGATCCCCCAGAGGGTTCTGAGTGACTCGAGCTGCTGCGGCAGCGTATCCGCGAACATCTGTGCGCGGACGGCCGGTGCAATTGGATTGCCGGCCTCCTGTGACCGAAGGATGATGCTATTGAAGCGTTCGAGATGCTTCTCCATCCCCTTTGGGCTCGTGTCCGTGAGCACGATCATGGAGAGATCGCGCCTGATCGAGGCCCTATTCTCGGCGGTATTGATGGGGTGGGTTGCGTGCAGCAAGTCCCACATCGCCTTTGCCGTGGTCAAGTCCTTAATATCGACAAGGACGCCTGCGGATACCGTACCGCGAAGTGCGCCTTGCATATGGGCCTCCTTCTTGGCCCAATCCTCCCAATCCTTCTTGGTAACGTCCCCGACGAACGTGGAAGGTGGTATAGTGCCGGCGGGAAGGAGGCGCCTCGCCTCTTCCATCAATGCCGCTTGGTAGTTCCGTACCAAGAGTTCATGACTCTGTCTGGCTTGGTCAATGATCTGTTGACCTGCTGCTATAGCAGCCTCTGTCTGATCGGCGGTACCGGTAGTCGAATCCTGTGCGCCAAGCGTCCTTGGTGCTACATACTCTGGCTGACCAGCAGCTAGAATGGGGGTGATGTCGACTAGACCGGGCTCGACGATGGTACCATCCAGGATACCCCTACACCCAGTCGCAAGGGCATAGGTCTGGAAGGCTAAACGCCATGTAGTGAACTGCGATGTGCTTACTAGCTTCGGTACAGCTGATAGCAACGTCTTATCTCCAGACTTGAATGACTCTGACATGTCTTCGAGTGTTGGAGGGGGAGGTTGATTAAGGTGGGTCTGCTTTGACTGGTAGTGTGGTATTCAGACTTCTAATCTGTTGAAGTATCAAAAGGTAGGCTAGCCCTCCCCAGGCGATGCGAGGGAGTATAAATTCCAACACCTGTCAGCCAGGCGCGGGGTACATTAGATCGAGTGTGCTGATACATGCATCGGCATTGCTCGTGGGGCCTATCCCGTCTCGTTTAGGGATAGCATGTAGGCCGTCAAGCTACGATCTCAAGGCTTTCAGAGCTTTGTGATGGTAGTCGCCAGTTTACATATCGTCGTGAAACTAATCTTGCCACTTAGATCTGGAACAAGGGAGGTGTCCTATCTACGAGTACAGTAGCAGCCAGACTTTTAGGGCGAGTCAACCCATGCCATATCATTACTCACAGTCGTCCGAGACGCCAGGTGAGGAGAGTGGACGACTGCTCGTCAGACTTCAAACACGTCGTATGCGTCTTCCTCGCGCCAGCTGAGCCGAGCCATCACCATTCAGGGTGATTCCTCATCACCTCTCCCACGCCTGTATATATGTTTCATTTGTGACTTGTGGATCAATACGCATCCCGACCGTCCCTCTCCCGTCGCCGCGCTGCTGGACAAAGAGCAAGAGCGTATCTACCTACGCAGCAGTACTGGCTGAGGCATGGGCCGAGCGAACCCGAAACATGACGCACGGACCTCGTCGCGTTTCAATATTACAAGCTGCGACGCGTCGAACCAAATTCCAAATTTCACCACCCACCTCTCATTTGTACATCGTCTATCAGGCTATATACTTGCTATACCGCTGTCAACACTCACAATACTTACAAAACCAAGTACAGAAGGCAGAATGGCTGAAGGCGGAAACGGTGCGGCTGGCTCGAGTGTCACTTATGAGCTCACAGTGAGTTCTTCAGTTCTCACCTCCCTTCCTTCTCCCTCGACATGGAGATATGGACCCGGCCTATCATAAGCCTAGCACAAGCTGAGTCCGCCAGATATGCGACAGTGCCAACATGTACCCCCTAGCTATCAAGGTCAAGCCTCGGACCCAGATCCACAAAGTGCTTACAGCGTGGGCGAAGCACAATAAAGTGGCTCTGATCGACTGGGTGTGAGTGTCATATTCGCTTACTGACTGAGGCTCGCTGGATCTTTGGGAGGCCAAGATGGTAGGTCAGGGAGGGGTCGCATCGAGGCGGGCGTATACCGCGGCGGGACTAGCCGCCGGCCACTGGGATCATCCCTTTCCAGTACATTCTCCCCACCCTCATCTATAGCCTCACGATTCTGACGCAGTCAAACCCTTCCTGGCGCTCTCTCTACGTCTCCTTTCCGTGTCTTTATTGGGCCCGCTGACACTCCTCAGGTTCACTCTGGACGGCAATCCTCTGAAAGCGACAGATGACGATGTAGGTCTATGTCCTTTATGTCTGAAATCGTGCTAATACTCAAGGGCAACCCTGTCACGACCACTGTAGAGGAAGTCGGGATCGACGAGGACTGTCAGCTCGACGCCTTCATACATCGTGTGTAATTTCTCGCTCTCCAACCGCATCAAATCCCATCCTTCTCCGCACCAAAACCTGCTTTTCTTCGGTGATCTCTGGCTGACAAGAGTAGAACAAGGAGGCTCGCGGTAACGCCCTGCGACACATTTCGGAACGACCACGTCCTTGTCACACGCGTTCGCATCGCCCCAAGAGCGTGTACTACAACCGCTCTCCGTCCCAACATGTGCTTCACTGTGCATCATAGCGCCCTCTCCATCCGCAACAGCAGCGAGATACATTGTACATTATCATATATGGCATTTCATGTGACGCAACATCTCGATGCCTAGCTAGCGAGTTGCTGTCAAACCATCTCCACACAGAGCGCTGTACCGAGAGCGTATCTGAGGTCGGCTCATTCCTGCGCTGGACGCAGGGCGATGACCGCTCGAGGTGGACCTGGGTCCTGTGCATCTGCGGGCTGTCGAGCAGGCTTGGACAGGGGCTTGACGCTCCAGTCAAATATGTAGTCGTACGCGATCCCCTCCCTCGCCATGAGGTCCCGAAACAGCCGGCGTAGATAAACATAGTCGGGGTCCTCATCGAAGCGGAGTGACCGGGCGTAATTGAGATAAGTGGCGAATTCAGTCGGGTAGCCTCTGCAGAGTATCTCTGGAGGTGTTGACATTTCTACCGGGTCAGTCACCTTATTGCAGTCTCACTGATGTTACTGAGGCCTCAACTCACTCTTGAACTTCATCCGGTCAAATTTCTCCTCCATGCTGGCGCCCTTGAGACCATACCAAGGTAGACTCCCTCCTCTGAGGAAGTACTGGACAGTCAGCTCGCCTCCCGGCTCGCCTCTGCCTCCTTGTAGTCGCCTGTATGCACGACTCACCACGAACACATATCCCAGACCCTCCAGGTCATCCCTCCTAGACGTCTCCACCCCCAAATGAGTATTCAGACTGGCATACGGAATCGTCCCCGCCATCCACGTCCTATTCCCGCCATACGCCACATGCACCCCCGTCTTTGCATCACGATACGGCTTGGCCAGCCCGAAATCGATCACATTGACTTGATTCCCGCGTTTCCCGGTGCCCATGAGGAGGTTGCCGGGCTTGAGATCTCGATGGACGATGTTCCTAGAGTGGATGTATTCGGTACGCGAGATGAGCTGGTCTGCGAGGAGGAGGACGGTCTTGAGGGAGAAACGACGATCGCAGAATCGGAAGAGATCTTCCAGGGAGGGGCCGCTGCTTTATCAGCTGCAGAACAGGATATCGCGCTGAATCAAGGAGGGAATCACAGGAGATCCATTACCATGGCGTGGTAATCGCCCTCGATGCCATACCACCGGATAGCTGATATTCCGATGCCGCCTGCTAATGACTTCATCACCTTGGCCTCGTTTCCGAGCTGTGAGGTCCGGTTAGTCGTAGACTCGACCTTCACGGCCACTTCTTCTCCGGTGACGAGGTCAATAGCGAGGTGGATATCGCCTACAAGTAAGGGGTAAGCGGCATCCATCGAGGGCGATTGAGAGGACGGGTGAGCGTTCAAAAGACAAAGTACGCTCGGAACGTACCGAATGAGCCCGCGCCCAGCTGGTGACCCAGCTGGTACCTGCCCCCTACGCGTATGTCCATTACTGTAAGCTCGCTCGAAGGATCCATGGGCGATGACATTCTCGACGAGGTCTATTTTAGTGACATGCTGAGGCCAGCGAGCTCGGGCAGACATGATCAGGTGACGGACGGTAAGCCAGCTCAAGGGGATATCAAAGGATAAGACAGGGGTCAGCGAACAAACGGGTGTCCCCGTATCTCAAACACTGGCGAAGATAGCTGTAAAGGAGGAGATACGTGTCACGATCACCCCACGATCACCGACATCCTCAAGAGTCAAGCATCGGCAGATAACATATATACATTGTGGGGGGAGTAGAACACAGGTACGTTGACGGGCTGAGGATGGGATCTCAGAGTTGAGACGGTGAGTATTGAAGCAGTATCGACAGCTTTGAGACGCACGACGGATCAGTTGCAATTGTCGAGGTCGGAAGGAGTCTCATCATCAGTCGTGCAGCGCGTCCGTGTTGGAGGGGGCGAGGGGGATCAGTGACGAATGAGAAGGTAAGGTAGATCAGTGAGAGAGTCAGAAGGAGTGAGCGAGAAAAGGACAAGGACGATCCGGCGACATCATCATGTAACTTGCACCGAAGCTGGAGCTGGAGCGGGCGCAGTCTCCTGGTCTTCGACCACCTCCGACTGAGGCTCCGAATTAGGCTGAGGCTGCGGCTGGACCAGAGGTGACGTCTGAGGCAACGGCTTGACACTCCAGTCAAAGATGTAGTCGTAAGCGATGCCTTCGCGGGCCATGAGGTCTCTGAAGAGCTTGCGGAGGTAGATGTAGTCGGGCTTGTCGTCGAAGCGGAGGGAGCGGGCGTAGTTCAGGTATGTGGCGAATTCGGTGGGGAAGCCTCTGCAGAGGATTTCGGTGGGTGTGGACATTTCTGGGTGTCAGCTAGGCGAGCTGCAGGATGAAGGGGGACGATGATAGGGGGATAGACTCACTCTTGAACATGATGCGGTCAAACTTCTCCTTCTTGGTCGCTCCTTTCAGACCCTGCCACGGCAAGCCCCCACGGAGGAAGTACTACTTTGTCAGCTACATCCTGGTCCGCCCGATCCCCGGCCATCCGGTCGGTACTCACCATGAACACATACCCCAGCCCCTCCAGATCATCCCGTCTCGACTGCTCCACCCCCAAATGCGTATTCAAACTGACATACTGCGCCGTCCCCGCCAGCCCCTTGTTCTCTCTATACGGGATATGCACCTCGGTCGCTGGATCGCGATATTTCTTCGCCAGGCCGAAATCGATGATATTGACCTGGTTCCCCCGTTTCCCGATGCCCATGAGGAAATTGTCGGGCTTGATGTCCCGGTGAAAGACGTTGCGGGAGTGAATGTACTCGGTGCGCGCGATGAGCTGGTCCGCGAGTAGGAGGACCGTCTTGAGTGAGAATTTGCGGTTGCAGAAGCGGAAGAGGTCTTCGAGGGAGGGACCGCTGAGTTGTAAGCTTGGTGCCCGATCGCGAATCTGAGAAACATCCTGGTCTTTTGTTCAACGTACAGGAGATCGACGACCATGGCGGTATAATCGCCCTCGGTACCGTGCCATCGAATCATCGGAACCCCCACCCCGCCCGCCAGGGTCCTCATCACCTTGGCCTCATACTCGAGCTGGGGATGCTTGACCGTCACCGACTCGAGCTTGACCGCGACTTCTTCGTCGGAAACGACGTCCTTGGCCATGTAGACGTCCCCTGAGAGTCAGCGCGGCCACCACCAGCGGCAGCGATGGAGGGAGAAGAGGCAATGGTGGAGGGGGACAGCACGACTCACCAAAAGCCCCAGCGCCAATCTTTCGGCCGATCCGGTATCGCCCGCCCACGCGCACATCCATCGTCATCATCTTACCGGAGGGCTCGGGAGGGGGCATACTGAGAAGATCGAGACGAGAGGTAAAGTCGTAAACAGCAAGTAGGTGGTAGACTGGTGAGAGTCAGGTCAGTACGTCTAGTGTAAGAGTCAACGAAGAGGGATGGGCACCCGGAGCTGCGGTATATGTACGCAGTGTTCAGTGACGAGTCAAGCGGGGTGGAGCAAGGGGCGAGGAGGTACATGAAAGGACTATGCAGGGGTCAAGGGTATCAAAGGAGTAGTCTGCTTGAACGAGGACGAAAGTGCTCGAAGGCGCTGGGCTGGGGTTTGGACGAGAAGAAAGGAGTCGACCTGACGATCGCGCACGTTTGCCCTCCTCGCCTCGATTGCTTGTTGATCGGGACAAACATCAGTAGCATCAGCCCCCTCCACTCTCACTACTTGGGTCTCTCGTCAGCCCCCGTACTCACAGCACAGAGATACTGATTCATACTGCATGGAACGCATAGTTGTTGATTGGTTTGGGTGGTCTATAGACGCCTAGAGTATGCTACTGTGAAAGAAAAAAAAAGGGATGTACGGAATGTCGCACACCCAAGGTTTGAAGGGAAAAGAGACGAGGGGGAAGGTATGAAAAGTAGAAAGAAACTGATTATAATAAGTGAAGGTCTGATAAAACTCCGTGCCCCGCCACTGCCGCCGGCCGACCTGACCTGGATAGCCTGCACGCGGGTGTCGTACCCGCCTATAGTTCCCCGAAGGTCGTAAGAGCGAGCCGAACCGATATGATATTGCGTGACAGCCGAGGACCGGGGACCACGGGATGATGACCGAGCGGACGCCGCCTCCTGCGCATGGGACTGAAGGGTGAAAAGGGGATACTGTGAAATAGCGATAAGGCTGACGCGGGCCTGTAGTGAAGACGATCGATAGCGTCTGATTGTGTTAGTCGGCGAGAAGTAAAGGATGCCGGGGTATATGGGGTTGGTGGTGTACGTCGGGGTATAATGTGCGGGGGCGGACTGAGCGCCAGATTGTGATAAGGAGGAGTGGGTAGGGTGGGGGTGTTCGTTGAATTCGTATATCCGAGCCGGGAGATCAAGAGCGGGGCGGAGCGGGGCGTGGCAGGTAGCCGAGATGAGCGGGAAGATAGGTTACTCGAGGTAGGGAGTGTACATTTAGACGGGCGGAATGGGGGTGGTTGAGGTGATGAGGGAGGGCGGCGCGTAGGGATGTCCCGGGATCCTATTATCCGGGTACGCAATCCGATTGGCGAGCCGAACAAATCGGCCCTGTGCGCCGAGCTCCTTCTCTCCCTATGCCTTCCTCCTCCCTCCCCTGCGCCGAGAGCGCGGGTAATCTACTCCCTCCCCGAAGGAAAGGGAGAAAATTACCACTGCTGTTCCCTGACCTGGTTCCTCGTCGCGCTCCGCAGCTGCCTCTGGTTGTCCATCGCCGATGGCATCCCCGGCTGCTCCTCTCCCGGCATGACCCGCCTCTTCTGCTGCGCCTGCATCGCCTGGAGCTGGGCATGACCGCTCATCTGGTCATTGTGCTGCTGCTTGCTCGGGTCGGGCTGGACCGACCAGTCAAAGACGTAGTCGTACTGGAAGCCTTCGCGGACGAAGAGGTCACGGAAGAGCTTGCGGAGGTACGAGTAGTCGGGCTTGTCGTCGAAGCGGAGTGACCGGCAGTAGTTGAGGTAGATGGCAAACTCGTTGGGGAAGCCTCGGCAGAGGACCTCGGTGGGGGTTGTCATCTCTAATATTGTCAGCTTTACTCGCAGGGATTTTCTCGCGATTGGTAACTCACTCTTCTCCATGATACGGTCATACTTCTGCTTCTTGGTCGCCGCCTTGAGACCCTGCCAGGGGAGCTGACCACGGAGGAAGTACTGTTATGTCAGCTTGCGCCCCAAGTTCAGGGACCAGCCAGCTCACCATGAGGACGTAACCCAAACTCTCCAAATCATCCCGCCTGGACTGCTCCACCCCCAAATGCGTGTTGATACTCGTGTAACGCGCCGTACCCGTCAAGTTCTTGTTCTCCCGGTACGGGATGTGCAAGTGGGTCTTGGGGTCACGGTACTTCTTGGCGAGCCCAAAGTCGATGACATTGACCTGGTTGCCCCGCTTGCCGATACCCATGAGGAAGTTGTCTGGCTTGATGTCGCGGTGGAGGAAGTTGCGCGAGTGAATGTACTCGGCACGCGAGACGAGCTGGTCGGCGAGGAGAAGGACCGTCTTGAGTGAGAATTTGCGGTTGCAAAAGTTGAAGAGGTCTTCGAGGGAGGGGCCGCTAAACATTCAGCTCTCATTCCCGGGTACGTGGGCTTCGGAACTTACAGCAAGTCCAGGACCATGGCGTTGTAGTCGCACTCCGTCCCGTACCACCTCACGAATGGCACACCGACACCGCCCGCGAGCGACTTGTACACCTTCGACTCATACTCGAGCTGTGGGTGCTTCGCCTTGACAGACTCTAACTTGATGGCAACCTCCTCGCCCGAGACGATGTTGACGCCGAGGTAGATATCACCTGTCTTGTCAGCCGGTGCCTAATTATCGCCTCAACCTAAAAGCTTACCGAACGATCCACTCCCGATCTTCTTCCCGATCCTGTACTTTCCGCCCACCCGCAGATCCATACTGGTCATTCTTGGCGCTGCTGGATAGAGAAGACCGGTCATTGAGTCGAGTGGGTGAGAAATTGATTTGGCCGAGGATCAGAGGTTGTGGGATGGGCGATGAGGCGACGCGGATCAGATAGCAAGTAGGATGATGAAGGAGTTCGAGGCAACCAGACCAAGAAGAAGGCGATGGGTTGCGTCGGACCAGTACCAAAGGCGGTGCGAAGAATAAAAGGAGGGCGAGGGCGACATGCGCACGTGGGTGATATCGAAGAGTAGGCGATACGGCACATATGGAGTAAGCGATGGAGAGGGTGGGGATCAGGAGAGGAGCAAGGTCAGCTTAAATCCCTCAACAGTAAAGTTAATCGCGCAACAGAAGCTTCTGCCACGCCGACGCGCTTCTCCTGCTTCTCTCCTGTGTGCACCGCACATCCACCTCGCCGAGTCTGCGCTTGGTCCGGTATCGCATGTCCCCCCGGCAAATACCCATAATGCACTGCCCGCGAGCAAAGGAAGCACGAAAGTGAAGGGTAGGGGAATAAAGACGCACCTGATCCTGCGCCTTATTGCTGTTCCTTTCCGACACCTAATCTCCTATTCCTTCTTATCCACCAACACCTTTGGTTATATGTTCAAAGTGAACAAAGACGAGTCCGCCTGTCGAGAAGCGCCTTGAGGAAGGTTTGACGCGCTGACCCTGATATCCTAATCCCGATATGAAAGGGGTGTTTCAGACGACAAAAGGCGAATTCGAGTCGATGTATTTCGGCCAGCGGTATCGTGGGTTTGCGAGGGTCGGAAACGAAGAGATATAACGCATGAGAGAGGCGAGGGAGGCAGTTGATAGTGAGAATGAGCGATATAAGCGAGATGAGGAGAAGCAAAGGAGATTAGTCAGCTTAATCCCTTAAACTCTCGACTCAATCAACCCAGGAAATCGATTCGAATCCGACGATTTCCCTGGCCGTTTAGAGCAGCGACTCACCGTGATACGGAGAGAGAGGACAGGGGATGACTATGAAGTAAGAGGACACGACCAAGACGAGAGAGAGAAGAGAAGGGAGAGAAGCTTCGCGTTGTCGGACACGACAAGGCCGGATCATGAATCAAACGAGTCCGATAACGGCAGAGGGCAGGGGACCGGCATTTCCGGCGATATTTCCGAGTGTGGCACCTGTGTGGCGACGCGCGTGCCTCTGCCTCCACCCAGCAAGGCTCACTCAGTCAACGTTGATCCTACTCTCTATAGCATATACAGTTCAGTGTAGCCACCATGGTAAGCTGGCTAACTTGGTGACGTGTATCAGGTAATAGCTGAAACCGCAGTCCATGCGCCTTGTTCCCGCTACCACCCCCGTGTCGAACGAGCAGCACCTCGTGTCCGTTGCTGTGCGTCAAGCTCCCTTTCGCTCAGCTCGAGCTCAGACTGATGTCATAGGCCACAGCACACCCCGTCACTGGGACACACGATGCTATGCGGTATGGTCTCAAGACAGCCGCTCAGGGTCTTGCTGCTGGGAACCAATCACCACTTCAAGCACGATTGGAGAAGGTCAGCTCGTCATGACACACCGTTGGAGCACCAGCTGACATCCTCAGTGGGCTTCAACCCAATCATCATTAAACCAGACCATCCAGCGCGCCAACTTTGGTCTCGCAGTCCCATTACGCCAAGCCATGGAAATCAAGCTTGTCGCCGAGGTACATCTATCCACTTTGCCCACCTGCTCACAAGAGGGTTATGCTGACCCACTAGAACCCCCACAACCCCCTTATGCTCTCCTCCTCCGCTCACCCCGTCGGCGGGTCCCACAACCTCGCCCTCGAGATCTTGTCAGGCGCAGACGAGACGCTCGACGCGCAGGACTTTATGGGCGGGGATAGGCTGCTGGGCGAGGTGGTGGATGTTACGTCGGCGATGGAGCGGAGTCGGGGGATATAGCCTGTCGGCAGAGCGGTGTGAGGACGAGACTGTGACTATACGATGACTAGAGAAGACCATGATATCATTTGTACATTTCCTACTGAACTCTTTGAACCTGTAAACTTCCTTCTGATTGATCCCTTTCCTCTCCCGACTCAAGCTTCACGGCAAAGCTAAGCGATGCTAGAATACCCATTCCGCCCTGGCGCGGGAACAGGCGGCGGCGCGCCCTGTCCATCTTCCTCCCCACCGAGCCTGAAGCCGCCGGACGAGGGGAAGCTGGCCGGCGGAGCGTTGGAGTTGCTTGGTTGTTGAGCGTTGGGCGAGCCGCTAAATCCCCCAGGCATGGTCGGCATGGCCGGCATAGACGGGACCCAGTCTGATCATCAGCATCATCCCCTTCGTCTCCACTATTGATGCTGGACGACGACTCACTGCCCTGCCCGCCACCTGCACCTCCGGCCGGCAACCCCCTAAACCCTCCAAAGCCCCCAAACTCCCCCCGCGCTCCTTGAGCACCGCAATGCTCGTGACCACGATCGGCGCCTTCAATACCAAGAGGACTAAGGCGAAGAGGAAGGTGAAGCCAAAACCGGCCGAGAAGAGGGTGAGGAGGTCAAAGATGGCGCTGAAGGTGGTTAGGGAGATGAAGTGTCGGAGGGGCTGGTGCGTCGAGGGCATCTCGTGCGCTATCACGCCGAACAGCTGGGGGGTCAGCTCCTTTCACCAAATGGGTGTCGTGGTGGATGGGATATGGCCTCCTCGTCTGCAGTATGGTCCATGCCCTCGTATAGGCTCGTATGCCCCTCTGCTCAGGGCAACTTGGATCCCGCAGTTACGGAGCTGAGGAGACCTACCATCAAAGGCAAGTTGTAACTCCAACTCGTCCCCCCTGCGGCGGTCGCCAGCGCCAGCCCCGACGCGAGCGTGAGTAGCTGGGTCGCATCCTGGGTTCCCAGTCGATCTTGGAGCGACATCTGTTTTGTGTGGCTCGACGCAGGTAGTAAACAAGACAAGGGGCAACGCGTTCATCAACGTTCCTCGTCCTTGTCCTTGTCCTTGTCCTGCTCGGCCTCGGCCTCCACCGAGGTTGTCCAGAACGGTTTCAAGCCGTTTCAAAGGGGTATCTTTCGAATGGCCTCCTCTTGACTCTGTACATCTAACTTTTATCCATACTATCTGCAGGATAGAAGGCTCGATGCGCCTCCCGAAGACATACGGCCTGAATCAGGCATATCTCCTCCTCCTCGCGCACAGCGCGCTCGCTAGTCATCGCGCCGAGGCTGGTTCCGAGGGGGAAGGGAGGTTGCCTGTTCCGAAGCGGGAGCTTGAATGGGGAGATGCCAACTTCTTAGCTATATCTGATACGCACGGTACGCCTACCCCTTCTTCGTTGGATGTTCAGGGGATAGGCACGTGAGCTGATCAATCAGGCTGGTTATTGGGACATCAACATGTGAGCTCGTGCCCTGCGGACTGCCCTGCGGACTGGGGAAGATAAGGGCAGGCAAGGCAAGAGGTTAAGCTGACTCGGCTAGGCGACCTGGCCAGAACCAGTATGTCCAGCTCTGTGTCTTACTAGCAAGAAGACTGGAGCTGATTATGGACAGAACTACTCGGGCGACTATGGCGACCTAGCGTCGTTCGTGACCCACATGCGCGAGATCGCAGCTTCCAAGGGATCCGACCTGCTCCTGGTGTAAGCTCCCTCCCTCCCGTCACTCCGGGTCCGGTATTGACCTAGACTGAACCTATACACTGCTCTGACTGTACCCTCGGCCTCGGTCTCCCGCTGACCAAGCAGAGACTGCGGAGACCACCACGACGGCTCCGGCCTCGTCTCGTCCTCCCCATCAGGCGCAAACAGGGCCGACGAGATATTCCATCAGCTCGAATTCGATGTTGCGACGATAGGGAACCACGAGCTGTATAGCTATGAGGTGGCAAGGGTGGTGCATGAGCAGGCTAAGGGATTGTGGGTTTTTTCCGCTTGGGCCGAGGAGAGAGAGGCACAGGGGGTGAGGCGAAGAGCTGATAGACAGGGGAGGACGGTATTTGACCTCCAATGTGAATATTACAGTGCCGGGGAGGGACGGAGTGTGGGAAAGCGTGCCTATTGGAGAGAGGTATAGGAAGTTCAAGACGCCGCAGTGAGTCCTGGTGTTCGGGTGGATCTGGATGAGGCTGATGGGGTAGGGGACGGAAAGTGACTGCTTTTGGGGTCATATTCGACTGTAAGTCTCCTTGTCCTATCTTGGAACTGCTATCAGCTATCTTGGTACATACAGGAAGCTGATCCACGCCAGTCCAGGCACATGACCTGTAAGCTGATCGTAGCGCTCCTTCCTCGAGACTTCCAGACCGACTAGCTGACAATTGCAGGAATCTGACAATCCAATCCCCTACGCTCATGTCCCAAGAGCCATGGTTCCTCGAGACACTCCGCGATGCGCCAGACTACTTGTAAGCTTACGTCCGCTCGTCTCTGGACTACCGGCCAAAGAAAGGATCAGCGTGAAGCTGACTTCTCAGCGTTCTAGCCGGGCACATGCCTGTCCGAGGCCAAGGAGCGGACTGGACACCGGTCTATGATGCGATTAGGGCGCAGCACCCCGATGTACCGATCTTCATCTTTGGTTCGTCGACATCGGTCTTCGGGTATGGAGGCTGCGGGCTGATGGGTCAGGTGGACATACGCACGTCCGAGATTGCGCGCAGTATGATGATCGGTCTATCGCGTGAGTTTCCCAAACCCCCACCACCTTCCATACTGGGGAGATCTGGAAGTGTAGAAGCTGATGCAGTAGAGTCGTACCGGGTCGATATCTCGAAACTGCGACATTCGTCTCGTGAGCTATCCCTGCTAAGACAAAGGCGAATCGCGGGAGCTGACATGACCAGCTCAGACCTGCCTGGCAAAAGCGACAGTGGAGACCCGCTGAATATAAACCGGCGATATATCGATGCAAATCGGGTATCGTACCAGTTCCACACGCACACGAACCACAGCACGTTCGACACGGTAAGTACACCCACCCCCCACTTCTCTTCTCTCTGAAACCTCGTGCTGACCCTCAGCCCCTCGGCCAAAACATCACCTCCAACCTCGTCCACCTAGCCACCGCCCTCAACATCTCCACACCCCTCGGACACGCCCCTATCGACCTGTACCTCGCGCGGTATCCATACGGCCACCGCAGGTCCGCATTGACTGTGTGGACGAATGAGGTCTTGCCTGCTACGGTTGTGGATGAGGAGAGGAGAGGGAGGAGGATCATCATTGGGAATACGGGGAGTCTGAGGTTTGACTTGGTGAGCTGATCGTCGCTGTTCGCACGAGAATGCAAAACGAGAAGTGAGAACTGATGAGGTAGTTTGCAGGACGGTTCGATAAGAACGACGAATTGACTATATCCCCTTTGTGAGCTTATCCCTCTAGCTACACTCAGGGCGGGTTTCCGCGTCTAAGGACGAAGCTGATATCGCCAAGCAAGTCGAGGTTCTGGTACACCCGCCTCCCTGCAAGCTTCGCTCTCACCCTCACACCCGAGATGAACCGCGCTGGCGCGTCTAAGCTTCTCCCGGCGTCCTTCAATGCATCCGACGGACGAGGAACAACGGTCGACCGGGAGAGGATGATGTATGAGGACGATCTCTCCGTTCGGCGGGAGTATGACCGATGGCTCGCGGACCAGCGTGAGGCTTATGAGGCGGAGTATCATGCTTTGGAGGGAGACGAGGGAGCGCGCAGCGGGCAGGTGGTTCTGGGAAGAACGAAGGGGCTGACGCCGGGTTATGTGACGCGGGACGCTTGTAAAGGAAAGGGAGACGATATTGAGCATATCCCACGTGAGTGTTCCGCTCAGGATCTGACTTGCGCGGACTGGAGATGCCCGAGCAAGGGGGTATGTGCTGATCCTGGCAGTACCGCATTCTCTGAGCCAACCGTGGGCTTCTCTAAGCGGAATCCTACGAGATCCAGATGGCTGACTTGATAGCGACTTCTCTCAGACCCCATTAGAGCACGGGGAGGAGGACGAAATCATCGACGTGGTAGTCATGGATTTTGCGCTTGACGATTTTAGTAAGTCACATCCGTCAGCAGTGCTGTTGTGGGCATTGATGGTGAAAATCACAGAGGAGCTGACTTGATAGTGACGGCTGTACATACCCTCCACCCTGGATCGGAATTGTCCAAGAAGGATTTCAAGCCTTATGCGGAGGGTACGAGTATCGATACACTTTGGGGCGCGTATGCGGGGATGAAGTGGTAGCCGGCGCCGTTATGAGGCGATCATCTGGGGGGGGATCAGGCGGGTTAGCGGGTTATGGTGCGGGCCGTCAAATTGTATGTAATACCAGAGCATATCAGCATGGATGGATTGTGCATTAGACCATCAGTGGTCCACCACATCCTGTCAGTTCGCAGCTGAACGCAAGGATAATGTGGCATGTGATGTGGCATATGCCTGGCGAGATCAAACACACACCGCGCTCATTCCGCACGAAGCAGCACGAGCAGCTTCTCCGCCCTCGCCTTGATGACCTCCCGATCCCGCTTGGCTTCTTCTGGCGAGACGACTGGCGTTGCGGCAGCCACAACAGCCGCGGGCACCGCCGGAGTGGGTACCGCAGTCTTGGGGTCCGTACTCGTAGCGGCTGCTTCGGGTGCCACAGCTGGAGCTGGTTCTGGCGCATCTGCGGTGGATGCGGCAGAGCACTTCTCGGCCATCTCGATCAAGGCCTGTGAGTATCAGCTCGGATCCCTCGGAGAGTCTGGCGCGAGCCGGGGAGTGTTGACTGACCTTTCGTCCACCACCCTTGATAGTGTTGAGGTATCGCATCACAGCATCAACATGTTCCTCCGGTACCTACAACCTATCAGCTTTCTTCCGTACAGCAGAGAGAAGATGAAAGCTCACCTCAGACTCATTCCATACGTTCCGGATCAACCAATTCTGGTTCGCCTTGTTAAACTTCCATCTTTGCCCCTCGGCCGGTGTGGGGCCTTCAGACAAGTGCGTGGCGGCGTAGGACTGGACATACTGTAGCGCTACTTCATCAGCTGCGTCCAGGAAGAAGGCGGGGGCGGACGGGAAGCGGACCTTTTCGGGCTGGTTCAGATAGGACGGGCTCCGACGGTCCTGCCGGTTCTGTTTCTGCCGCGATGACTTCGGGAGGGGGCGGACCGCCTACTGCTGCTGCTCGGCTTGCTGCCTTCTCCTGGGCAGCGTCAGCTACGTGCTGGCCCGACTTCGATGAGAGCAGACTAGCTCACTGCTTTTCTCGCCGCTTTGCGAGCTCGTTTCTCCTCTTGCGGATCCACGACCGCCTCCACAGTTCCAGCCTTCTCCGAAGCAGCACCCTCCTCTGGAGAGACATCTCCAGTCGGCGCTGGTACCTCTTCCGCCCGCTTCCGCTTCTTGTCCTTCTTGCTCTTCTTCTCACTCCCTGCGGCTCCATCGGCGGCATGTTGAGCCACCTCCGATGACGGACCAGCTGCTGGGACCATACCAGTCGACTGCCCACTCGCTTCTGCTGATGCGACCCCTTTCTCCTACGACCATCAGCTCCCGTTCCACTCGTCCTTCTGAAACGTCGAGACGTACAGCTCGCTTGGCCGCCTTCCTCGCTTTCCGCTCCTCCTTGGTCTCTTCCCGCCCATCGATCATCTTCGGGGCTTTCACCCCTCCCGTCTTTGACGTCGAGGCCTCAGCCGGCATTGTGGTGGTCGCAGTGATGCTCATACTGCTCAGTAAGGTCTGATACAAGTTGGCAAGGACGTTATGATGCAGACTCCAGAGCCGACCAAAATTCTTTGGCAAGGTGGAGGCGGGGTATCTTGTAATAGCTCATTAGCGGGATCAATCTGAAACGCGTCGTTTCCTAATGCTTTTTGTAATAGGACGCGCGTAGTTGACTGGACCCTGAGCCAAATAAGTTCGCGTCAGATCAGAGTCGCATGAGCTAGCCCAACACCTGCTCTCACCTGCTTCTATACCTCCACTGACTGCATAGCCATCATGGCACCTCATCACAAGGGCCACGCCCGGCCCGGACACGGCGACGACGGCTCCTCCGACGAAGACGATGGGATCCAGTTCGTCGAAGCCCGATTGGCGAACGGCGGTTTCTCGCGCGCGAAGCGGGAACCCGGGGTCGTGGACACGTTCGATGATCTGTTCGGGGATGGGGATGATGGGGACTTTGAGCCAAAGAGTAAGGGAGGCGGAATATGGAAGGGGAAGGGGAAAGCCAAGGTGAAGGCTAGACCGTCGCTCAAGGCGAGGGGGAGCGAAGTGAGGGATAAGGCCAAAATCAAACCGGTGTCCAAGGCGGAATCGTCCTCTAGCGCAGCGGCAGCTTCAGCGACGGCGGCATCCGTATCGTACCCTACGCCGACAATGAAGCCCAAATCCAGACTCAAGGTCGCTACGAAACTACCGGCATCATCGCCGGCCCCTCCGAGCTCCAGCTCCAACTTGCTCAGGGTGAACAACAACATCCCGCTCTTTGAGCCAGGACCGTCCGATTCGGAGGTGGATCAGGGTATGGAGGAAGGCGAGTCAGAGATGGATGACTTTGCTCAGGAGGTAGCAAGTGAAGAGGAGGAAGAGGTGGTGGAGGTGAGACCGAAGGCGAAGAAGAGGGGACAAGGGATGTTATGCGTGGAGATGCCTTGGTTCCCGTGGGAGGTGCTGGATCAGTATAAGCTCTGGGAGCCGAGGGGTCCAGAGGGGGCGAGGGAGGAGGACGAGGAGGAGATGGAGGCGGACGAGCCGTCAGCCGAGCTGGTGGAGCCGGCATCAGACGAAAGGTCGGAGGTCGCAGCAGTGGAGGCGGGTGAGGAGGCGGCAGATGTGCGAATGGACCAGGAGGTGGCAGACGAGCCAGACCAGGAGGTGCCAGAGGACGAGGTGTCCACAGCGCCGGGCTCGGGCTCGGGCTCTCCGGAAGTGAGGGAGGCGCAGTTCCTATCGGCGCTGGCGCGGGAATTCGAATCGAAACAGGCCAAGGCGGCGACGGCTTCATCGGTGGGAGTGGATGAAGGTCCACCGTACGAGGCGGACGCTCGAAAGTCAGACCTGCCGCAGGCGTCAAGCGACAACGACGAGATGGACCTCGGGGACCTCAACGAGGATGACATTGACGCTCATATGCCACCTTTCCAAAACGACCTCGTCGAACCGGAACTCATACCCCTCGCTTCTTCCCCTCCCCGTATTCTCTCTCCCTCCACATCACAAGCAGCTACATCCCCGCTCAAACCTACCCATCGACATGACCCGGACGACTCGACCTCCTCCATCGACCCGATCGCGCAGGACTGGCAGTCCGCCGCTGCGCCCAGCGAGGCCCACTATCCCGCTGACGCGGAGGAGGTCGCGTCGGAGTACGACGAGGATATGATCGAGGAGGATGAGGCGGCGGATGATGAGGACGAGAGCGAATACGAAAAGGAGGATGGCGTGCCACTTCAGACGCGGCAGAATGCGCGGACAACGGAGGAGCGACGGGAGGCCTCAAAGATCTCTCTCAAATTGCGCTTGAGAGGGAATGAACCGACGAGTGGTAATCTTACTGTAAGTTTGATTTCAAGCGGCGCACGAGCCCCCCTCCTTCGCCCCTCTGTTTCGGGTTCTCGAAGTTTTTCTCGCATCACACCACTCCTTTGACTCGTTCATACAATGGAGAGATTGAGACGTCGACATGGGCTGACAGCGCAGGTCAGTACTCGCAATACCTCACGCTCATCCCTCAATCCATCCGAGGTGTCCGAGTCCTCCATCAGCACCAGGATGACCCGCTCCGCTGTCCCACAGAAGCGCAAGCACGGGCAAGTCTCGAACGGCGATAGCGAACCCGGCTCGTCCTCTAGCCCCGCGGTCGACAATGAGGGCGAGGACGAGCTGGATGAGCTGGACCAGATCGACGCGGACGAAATCGGGTCGGACGACTTCCAGATTGAACCGGAGGGGAGACAGCCAAAGAAGGGCGGGAAAGGCCGTGCGTCTCAAAATGCTAGGGGAGGCGGAAGGAGACAGCGGAAAGAGACGACTGAAGAGGAAGAGAGCGAGGAAGAGGAGGAAGAGGAGGATATCCTAGGGAGGCACAAGGAGTTTTGCGAAAAGTGTAAACTCGGCCCGGCGGATGAGCTGCTCGCTGCGGCACTGAAGAAGAATAAGAAGGGAGGGAGGAGGAAGAAGAGGCATGAGGATGAAGTGAGCGAGGATGAAGCGGCGGAGATGTTGGAGGGGTGGCTGGAGGTGAGTTGATCTATGCGCGAAACGGACGAGCTGAGCTGACGAGATAGTGCGAATCATGCGTTACGTCTTGGCATTGGGTCGGTTGGCCTCTTCGGGTACTGCGGGGCTCAGAAGCTGATGTAAAGGGCTGTCTCGGTGCGCTCCAACAGGCCGACGCGCTTCAGTACCTCGCCGCGATCGAAGGTCCGCCCGTCGAGGGGACGAAGAAGCGCAAAACGGTCCGGATCGACGAGTCGGTCATGTTCAAATGTCGGAAATGTCTCAAGATGCCCAACTGCATGATATGCCAGCAGGCAGATCTGCCGCGCGAGGAAGTCGTCGGCGCGGACGGCGATATTGTCATGGGTAACGGGGAGAATCCGTCGACACCGACACCGGCGGGGCCTTCGGTCGTCGGCCCGGATCTTCAGAACGGGGTGGAAGCGCCAGTGGAACAGCATCTTAAGTTTAGATGTACCCGGTGTACCCAGTCTGCGCATTATGAACATTGTAAGCTCTGTCCAGATGGGAATTGGGAAGTCGTGCTGATTAGCAGTACCGAGCCCTTTCATCACAGGCCCAGGTATCGAACCTACCCTGCCCCAGATTGCCGAGTATTATCAACATCCAGAGGCTCGACATCTGGAGGTTTGGACTTGTCATCAGTGCCGAGATTGGGTGTGGAAGGTCGACATGGTGAGCTAGAATATGCCCAGGCAAGGTATGGCTCAAGCTGACTCACAGGTACTTGCGTGGCGCCCTCTTCCGGCCGACGTCAAGGAGGCGGATCTCGGTGGGCAGTCACTCTGGACGGCGGACCTTCCCAGGGAGTATCTGGTCAAGTTTGTCGATCGTGGCTTTAGGCATGTACGTAGCATCTCCGCCATCATGTATGCTAGCAACTGACATTTAGGTCACCTGGGTCCCTCACGCTTGGATTAAATCCATGTCCCCTCAACGTCTCAAGAACTTCCTCGAGAAAGGCCCGGTCCTAAATGTCGTTACGGACGACACGCTCGCTGCCAAGGGGGACGAGATGGCTACTCCGACAATCGCCAATGTGATGAGCCAGTCGCAGCAGGAGGAAGAGATCTTGGGGACGCCAGTCAAGCGGAGGGGACACCATCATTCTGGTTCTTTGGATGTCGGCTATAAGAAGAAAGAGGTGTGGAGAGGGGAAGGACCGCCCCCTGATCAGAATGCCGAGAGTGGACTTCCTGTTGCCTGGAGTGTGAGCACTGCAGCTTGCACGAGATTCGCGCTCAGCTAAGAAGACAGACCATCGATAGGGTGCTGGACATCTACCTCTTACCGCCACCGCCAAGGAAGAAGAAGGGCCGAGGCAAGAAGGCGAAAACGTCCCGGATCGAGTCTGACTCGGAAGCGGACATGCCGACCTTCCAAGGGATGGACGGTGTGGAACCCATCATGGAGGAGAAGGTGTCGATCGACGAGTGGGAACGACTAGCGGGTCGGCAGCTTGAGCCGGACGATACGGACATGATCGCTGGGATGGTGACTTGGTTGTTCGCCAAGTGGGACGATCTGCAGTATGATCAGTGTAAGTCCAGCTGGATTCTTAGGTCCTCTGCGAGACATGGCTGATCCTCTAGCGACGTGGGATACGCCCCCTCCGCTCACATCTGAGCTGTACCCAGCGTACAAGCGCGCACTGCGGAGATACCTCGGCGCCAGAAACATCAGCATTCCGATCCTGACCGAGACGCAGTGCAAGAAGCGGGATCTGGTTCGGCTGCAGGACGTCGACCCGCCCAAGTCTCAGCCAGATTGTGTGGTCGGAGGCGTGAGTGTATCGGTCCACATTCGGATATGGGCGGGGAGCTGACTTGCCAGAACCTGTTCCCCTTCCAGGTCAGTCTTGGGCTCGATGGCGCTGTAGGAGTGAAGCTGATATTCTAGCTCGAGGGACTTCAGTGGTTATTGACCAAGTATTACAAGCGGGACTCTGCGATTCTAGCGGATGATATGGGTCTCGGCAAGACGTGAGCTCAATCGCGTGGAATGGTATTCACGAGCGATGAGCTGACAACATCAGTGTCCAAATCGCCTCCCTTCTTGGCTATCTCGGATCTGAGGAAATCTTCCCGTGTCTCGTCGTGGTCCCAAATTCGTACGTTCCCCGCCCCGGCCCAGATCCGCCCTGCTGACCGCCAGGACCATCACGAACTGGGTGCGCGAGTTTGAGAAATGGGTACCGCATATGCGGGTAGTACCTTACTACGGCGAAGCTAGCTGTAAGCTGCCCAGACCTCGGCTGGTAGATCGAGCATGCAGCTGACACCAAAGCCCGGAAGGTCATCAGAGATTACGAGCTGTATCATAAGGGTAGAGTCGGTCGCCCGGAGGGACTCAAAGCGTAAGTCGGTCCGAGAACGGCAATTCGCACAGCGCAGCTCACCCCTGTAGACATATCGTCTTGACCACGTACGACATGATTGTTAGCAGCAAAGAGTTCAACATCTTCAAAGCTATCCCTCGATGGGAGGTGCTTTGCGTGGATGAGGGTCAACGGCGTACGTCCAGCTTCCTGCATCTTCCATCCTAGGAACGAAAGCTGATAGAAACAGTCAAATCAGACAGCTCGCTCATCTTCTCGAACCTCAAAAAGCTCAACTCGGTCCACCGTCTTCTCTTGACTGGTACCCCGCTCAACAACAATATCCGGGAACTCTTCAACTTGCTCAACTTCCTGGATCCAAACAATTTCAAGTGAGTCCGCATCCGTTGACGGCCGGAAACGAACTGACGGGACTTGCAGAGATCGAAATGATCTGGAGAAGAAGTTTGAGCAGGACAAGCTGAATGAGGATCTGGTCAGGGAGTTGCATGCGCTTGCCCAGCCTTATATCCTCCGGCGGATCAAGGATGATGTGTTGAGGCTTCCACCCAAGGTGAGTTATTTTTGTGCTCAGATGGGGCTAGCTGACAGTATAGGTGGAGATCATCGTGCCTATCTCCTTGACCAAGATGCAAGTCGAAGTCTATAAGCTCATCCTCGAGACGAACGCGGAACGTATCCAGAGCGCGATGGCGGAACGCAAGAAGCGGGCCTTGCGGGAAGGGAGACTGCAGCCGAAGATCACGGGAGGGGAGGTCGTGGTGACGGAGGCGGCCAAGGAGGTTGTGGAGGCTGTTGGGAAGGAGGATGGGGGTATGACGGAAGCTGTAGTGCCAGAGAATGGGGCTGGGGAGTCTGTGATAGTAGCGGCGACTGCAGCGGAGGCCATGGGTCAGGAGATGGTCCAGCCGCTGGCATCGGGGGCGGATGGCGTTCAGGCGGGGTAGAGAGTAGAGATGTAGATAGGTTGTATGGCTACAGAGAGCCAATGTATACATCTGACGGTCTCCGCTGAGGGATGCGAGAGGGATGTCCTCTTCCGAGTTCTCGGATCTCTGCCCGATCTCCTCTTCTAGGGCAGGCGGTTCTAAGCCCAGGCGCATACAATTGCTCTCTCAGTGGCATCCTTCCTCCGTCTGAGCACCTGATCCGAACCCCCGTCTACCTCGCTAAGATAGTGAGAATAGCTGGGGCAGCGGCAGGTTTGCTCCACTCGTAGCGATTTTGGACCCGGCTGCTGCTTGATCATCCGCCTCAGCTGCGCAGCTGGAAATCACCCGGCCGAAATGCTGCCGAGCTGCTTCGAGTGGAGGTTCTGAGGAATGAGGATGCATCGCTGACTCATCAAGATGTGTCATCCATTCGGCTCAGTCATCAAAGTCAGTGTCGTCATCGCAGAAAGTGGAGGTCATGCGCAGAGTTCTGCTGCGTATAAAGGAGAATACTCTTGCTGTGTTCCTCCGCTATACATCATTTTGACCTGAAAGCTCTCACTCCGAAATCTCATTTATCATCACCAATATGTCTTCCATCCCCCAAACCATGCGCGCTGTTGCTCAGCACCCCGAGGCCTCGGCACCCAACTCGGTCCCCTTTGGTCCCTCCGAGGGCCGCAAGAACATGCACGCACTCGTCCAGGAGGTCCCTGTGCCTCAGCTCGACGAGAACGACATCTTGATCAAGGTCGCCTACGCCGCACAAGTAAGCCTGGCCGTATGGGTGCCGGAACCATCACTGACCACCAGAACCCCACCGACTACAAGCACTCATACTGCATGTCCCCACCAAAAGCCCTCATTGGGTGCGACTTCTCCGGTACCGTCGTCAAGCTCGGCAGCAACACCAAGAACGCCAACATCAAGGTCGGTGACCGGGTCGCGGCGTCTCTTCACGGTGGTCTCTTCACGGACAAGGGTTCCTATGCCGAGTACTGCAAGGCCCCGAGCGACCTCGTCTTCAAGGTGCCAGAGAAGATGAGCATGGAGGAGGCCGCGACATTCGGTGTGCCATGGGTCACTGCTGCGCAGGTGAGTCTTGTATGGCTCTGGCTACTGGAAGGAATCAAGCTGAGATAGTTAGACTCTCACCCACAGCCAGGGCCGGAAGCTCCCACCAGCGCAGGTCGGAGATGAATGGGTAAGCTAACTTGTCCGTGATATCTTTGACGAGGACGAAGCTGATCCTGTCAGTTCCTCATCTATGGAGGCTCCACCTCGGTCGGTCTGTTCGCCCTCCAGCTCGCCAAGGCTATGGGCTACAAGGTCGTCACTACCGCCTCCCCTCACTCCTTCGATCTCGTCAAGCAGTACGGCGCCGATGAGGTTGTCGACTACCACAAGGGCAAAGAAGCATCCGAGGAGATCAAGAAGATCACCGGCGGCGGTGTCTCCCGCGGTCTCGACTGTATCGCCGAGGGCGGGTCGTTCGACATCTGCCTTGACGCCTTCAAGGCGGGTGACGGTCAGCTCAACCTTGTGCTTCCCGCCAGCCCCGAGGTGGAGAAGAAGCGCCCGGAGATCAAGAAGCCTTTCACCCTCATGTACTCTCTCCTCGGCAACGTAAGTCCTGGTTCTGCCCCGCAATCTTAGCAAGAGCTGATGGATAGGACTGGAACATCACTCCTCTCGGCGAGAACAGGACCCTCCCTTCGCCCAAGGAGGACCATGAGTTCGGTATCGAGATCTTTGGCCGCACGGCCGATATCATCGAGAAGTACAACATCAAGCCCTTGCCTACCAAGGTCCGCGGCGGTCTTGAGGAGGTCACGAAGGGCTGGGAAGAGCAGGCAGTGAGTTTAAACTTCTTTGACTGTCTGGTCAGCGCTGATGGTCCAGGACGGGAAGGTTTCCGGCGTGAAGCTTGTGTACAAGATAGAACAATAGATAGGTGATGCTTTACATGACTGCATGGAATACATTGCTTAGCGGAACATATGCCTTCGCTCGTCTGAGTCTCCTCTCGCTTTGATGCGGTCCAGTTACCGCAACGAAGCGGCCATGAGGACCTGGGAGCGGGAGCACCAGCCACATGTACAGCTGTCGAGCGGGAATCACAACGTGGCAAGCCTCCTTCCCCATACCGTAGCTGCCTCCCTCGATTATCCCATTCCTTCCGTACTCATATGCCCGAACTACACACTGCCGCGGTCCAGAGTTGGGCAGGCTTGAGTTGTGATGTTGCGGATGCAGGTCGCAACCTTCAAGCTGATCTTGATCAAGATTCTGAGATCGGCAGCGGTTCCGGTGCCGCAATCGGCATGCCGGAATCTGCCGTAAACCGGCAAGCCACCAACCGGCAAATCCCTGTAAATTGCTCCGATAAGATCCGGAACTGGTACTCCTTGCCCATCCAACGCGCTATCTCATCTCGTTGACCCCTAATCTACACTGTCGATCATCCGCTTCAAGGAAAACAAGATGGATGTCACCGAACCAAGTGCGAGCTGACGAAAGAAAGCAAGATGAGATGAAAGTTGCTGGACTGACAAGACTGGGTCTGCTCGTTGCTCACTCTCACACCTTCATCCCTCTTCTCGCTCCCCCACTCCTCTGCACTAATCTCCTCAACCCATCGCCCTCCTCTCACTCGCCATCATGCCCTCCCGCCGGATCAGCGAAGACTCGCTGCATGACCCCAACTACCCGGACGTAGGACGCGGGTCGTCCTCTCGGGCTCGGCGTCCCTCGGATCGCTCCTCACGGTCATCACGGTCGGTCCAATCAAACCTGACCGAAGCAGAGGCGGACGAGTGGAAGCGGTCCATCTCGGACATCCACCAGCGGAGTGACGCTGGAGAGGACGGCTTTTCTCCTCGCGCACCTACACAGCCGACGGTACAGAACGATGTCCCGCTGGAGAGCTCGAGAGAGCTCTCGCGTGCCCCGCCTCCTCGGCCCCTCATGGTGTCGCAGCCTGGCGGGTGGGACGTCATGATCAGTCCCATGACGTCCACGTTTGCAGCGCCGCACCAGCCCAGGTCACCGCCTCGACAGCAGCGCCAGTCGTACCTGCAGCAGCAGCTACAGCAGCCAGCAGATGCCGATAGTGACGACGACGAGCACCTCCCATCCTTCAACCAACCCTCACCTGCCTACCAGCAGCCCGCGGAAGGCTCCCCCAGAAGCGGTCCTACCATCTCGCCCACTCGTCCCACTTTTCACTCCACCTACTCCAGCGCGCCCCTGATGCAGGACACATCGGCAGTAAACACCCCCATGTCGGTCGTCAGCGACCCGTTTAGCGAGCGCACCATCCGGCCGTCTCACTTCACTTCGCAATCCCCTGGGCGCGGGCCCGCCGACGCCCGTTCGGACTCGATCGTCACGAATCCCCCTCGTATCCATATTAACTCTGTCCCTACCTCCCCCGCAACCCCCTCACAAGCTACCATCAGCACCGTTCCCCAGCCATCTACGTTCAGCGCTATCCCCGCCGGAGACACCTATACCGCCTACACGTCCCGGACGCCTCGGTCGGACCAGTCCCCTGGGAACCGGCGACCCTCCTATGCTGGTACACAGCAGTCTGTCTCTGGTGTCTCGGTCACCTCGGCGCTGGACAGCGTCGGCGGAAAGCTGACTGCGGCGGAGCGGCGGAATCTGCGGATGAAGCAGGTGATTGGCAAGAAGGGCAAGAAGGAGAGGGATGTCAAGGGGCCAGGCGGCGTGCAGATCAATCGGAAGCCGTTCCAGAGTACTCGGCTGAAGGAGGAGATCTACAAGCCGTGGTTGGAGAAGAAGGACCCGGCGCAGAGATGGGCGAGGTGGATCACCTTGATCAGTATCTTGGTTGGTGTGGCCGTCATGGCTGTCAGTGAGTGACGTCTCGCTCATATATGCGTACAAAGCTGACATCTAGTCTGCTGGGATGGCTACAACTCCGTCCCGAGATTAGGCAATATGTGAGCTACTGCCATCCTGATTACTTGAGATGGGGAGCTGACGTGCCAGCTGCCCGGTTCTCACCGAAGACTTCTCCAACGGGCTCAACACCAACGTCTGGACCCGCGAGGTCCGGGTAGACGGGTACGGCCACGGCCAGTTCGACTACAGCACCGGCTCCACCAACAACTCCTTCGTCGCCGACAACACCCTCTACCTCGTCCCCACGCTCACCTCGGACGTCCTGGGCGAAGCGGCCATCCAAAACGGCTACACTCTCAACCTCACCGCGGACGGTACCTGCACATCCACCAACGTATCGCAGTGCGTCGCCGTATCCAACACTTCGCAACTCACCGTCATCAACCCCGTCATGTCGGCTCGGCTCACGACGCGAATGTCGATGAATATCCGGTATGGAAAGGTCGAGGTGGTAGCGCGATTCCCGACGGGTGATTGGCTCTGGCCGAGTATATCCTTGCACCCGGTGAATGAGACGTATGGGAAGGGACCGAGGTCAGGGTCGGTCGATATCGTTACAGGGAGAGGGAACAATGCGTCGTATACCCAGCGAGGGGTGGATTATGCGCAGTCCACACTGCACTGGGGTGAGTTTCCCGTTGCACACGTAGGGATACAAGCTGATTTGACAGGCCCCACTAATGAGCTGGACCGGGCGTACCTGACCTGGGGATACCGCGAGCAGAGGCGATCAGCGTACAATCAGGGTTTCCGGACTTTCGGCTTCGAGTGGAACGAGAACTACCTCTGGACCTGTACGTCAGATTCGACTATGTCATGTAAAGGCTAGAGCTGATGGTCAGACATCGACTCGCGTGTCGCCCAAGTCGTCTCGCTCAAGTTCGACCAATCCTTCTGGAACCGCGGCAAGTTCCCTAGCACCATCACCAATACGACCACGGGGGACGTCGTTCGTCTCACCAACCCCTGGATCAACTCTATGAACAACAACGCGCCGTTCGATCAGCGTAAGTAACCCCCCGTCTGCGTCGGTGAGAGTCTCAGCTGATATCCTAGCCTTCTATCTGACCCTCTCACTCGGCGTCGGCGCGACAGACGGCTGGTTCCCTGATGGCGAAGGCGGCAAGCCATGGCTTGACAACTCCCTCTCGGCCATGTCGGACTTCTGGAACGCCAAGAACAGGTGGTGGAATGCCTGGCCGAGCGACCCCAAGATCAGGGGATTCGCGATCAAGAGCGTCAAGATGTGGAAGACCTGCTGAATGAGGTGAAGGGGTTGTTATACGAGGCGGGCGGAAAGAGACGCAGAGGATAGGGAGCAGGATATTCATAGCTGCAGGTTCAGCCCGTTATAGTATATAGGACATTCTCGTAAATATGGACCTTGGATAGCTGGCATTCACTGCTCGACAGCTAGATTGTGCATGATATAGTCAAGATAGGCAGGCTACAGCTACATCCCCTTCCGCATCAGATTCCGCCTCCATCGTCTCCTCTCCACTCCCACCCCTCCGGCGCCCGTATCAAAGAACGGCACCTCTCCCCATGGCACGCCAAGCACGCCGCCCGCTCCTTCCTCCCCGCGATCCCGCCAATCCAGCATACCCGCCGTAGGCAGCTCCATCGCCCCATTCTTCACGATAGCATTGACGCGCCCGAGCGTCTCCGCCGAGAGGGGCGTAAGAAGGTGGATCTTTGATCCGCGATGATCGGCGGCGACGGAAGGGGAGATGGCGCGAACGATGCCGAACCCGAGGAAGTTGACTTCGTCGAGTGAAGGGAGGGGACGATTTTGGGTATACACCGGATGCTCGGGGTCTAGGTTGTCTACCTCGACGAGGGCGATGAGACTGCCGTTGAGGGCGAGAGGGAGGTCCTCGGGCAGGACCCCGTCTGAACCTTCACCGATGATGTAGACAGCCTTGACAGCATCACCGAGCACCACTTCGTATGGCGTCCTGGCGATGAGAGGGGCTGAGAAGTCCCACGAGACTGATGACGGAGATAGAGGTGGAGGGAGGGAAGAGTGAAAGTAGGATAAGGTGGAGAGGGTACGGTGATCGATAGCTGTGTACCTCGCCTGGAGCGCGGTAGATTGCGCAGGCTCGACTGTGTAGACCTGAGGTGGCCGGCCAGTAGATGTAGGTGGAAGAGGGACAGGGGGTAATGTAGGACTGCTAGTCCAGCCGGGGCGCTCTAATGACTCGTCCGCCGCAGTATCAAACGCGAAGATATGGGTGGCTTGAGCGAATCCTTCCAATGCGCGCAGCAGCTCTTCGCCGAGACCCTTGACCCATCCTTGGGTATTGATGACGAGGGGGATGGTATCGGTGCACCTTCCGGAAGATTTGGGTGTAGATGAAGAAGGTGGATATTGGAGTTCGTACCGATAGTGCTGGATGAGGTGGTCTATCGCGGCGAGGTACTCGTCCGGACAGGTGAGAGGGGTGTATGTACCAAGAAAGTGGGCGCGGTTGGCCTGACAGGGATGTGTGAATGGAGGTCCTGGGACGTCAGTTACTAAACCCGCAAGGAGAGGTTCCTGGGAAGCTCACCGAATACTGGCTGATCAATCACCCAAAGACCGATAACGCCACCACATCCGATTTCGCCTTGTCCCAGATCGCACTCCAGCCAAGCAACCCTTGCAAAGTCACCCAAGAGCGTATTTAGTGCTGCTCTGGCCAAAGTCGATTTTCCGCTCCGCTTGGGACCCTTGACGAGCACGATGGGACAATCCTCGGCTTCATCCGCTGCTGAGGCGTGATGAGTGTGTCCGTTCGCCTGACCGCGCGATATGAGGCTGTCGAGGGCCGTAGACCAAGAGGACGGGGTAGTATATGGGTAGCAGGTTGAAAGAATCGAACCGGGAATCTGCACTGTCAGCTTTCACAGCATGACCGTGGTACCCAACTCACAGCATGAACCCCTCTCAGACCCAGCCAGCCCTTCTCATCCCCCCAAATGGTATTGAACCCTGGTACCGCCCCTCCCCGCATACCCTCGATTCCAGTATGTTGCTCCAGTATCAGAAAGACAGCACGAGACGATGCTATGTCAAACGCCGCTGGAAGTGGCAGTCGGGCAATCAGCGGTGATTGCGCTCTTGCCGGGGCGGTAGCGTGCGAGATGTTTGGGATAGGGTGCGAGATGGGTGCAAAGACAGCATGCCGAGCTTGTGGATCTGGAGAGGGCGAGAGTGTGGAAGAGAAGATATCGATAGGTCGCTGGAGAGGTACGAGGTGGAAGACGCCAGCAAGGGATATGTTCTATTGGTCAGTCGCAGCAAGGCAGAACCGGCGAAACCAGCAAGCGTACCTCATTTGGGGCTAAGCTGACTATGAGCCCAGACCCCGAGATATTTTGCAGACCCGCCTTAGCCAAAGCAGCCATTGATAGGAGCTCGACATTGACTCCTCGCCTAGGTGAGAAGTTGGTTGTAGCGAGCTGGCCGCTTTCTTGCCCGCTATACTATCAGCAGTGGTCCTGTTCAGTACGCAAAAGTCAGGCACACCTTCGCGCCTGAATAGCCGATGTGGACGCTGGGCGTGGAGTAGTCATCGTAGATCCATAAGGGGCATCCTCCATACCCGTCTCCTCTTCACCCTCATCGCCTGCGGCGGAGGAGTCCTCACTTCCATCGCTGTCGACCGGGGCGCCTGGCGAGTATGCCCGTTTCCGCTTCGCCTTCCTTGAAGGTGCCGCAGATGAGCTGGAATCGCCCGGCTCTAGTACCTCCGCAGGAGCCGCATAGTACCGAAGCTTCTTAGCGCGGTGGGCTGGAGTCGACGATGTGCTGGGCCCGGCCTCTGATTCTTCACCGCTGGCCTCTGACTCTGCAGATTGCGAGCTGGCGGAGCTGACAGAAGCAGCTCTTGTGCCAGTCCTCGTCGCGGCGGCAGCTCGAACAGGAGCTGGCGATGAGGAGCTACTCTGTGCTGTCTGAGCTGCTCGCCTAGCTGCTAGAGCTGACATTATATCAAGGTGGAGAGGTGGATCTGATGAAATTCTCAGCTGCAGCTGTCACCGAGGTGGAGGTCAATTGGATTAGGATTTATCTGCTTCCGCTAATACAAAACAGCCCATTCTCGTTACGATCACCCATTCCTTGCGCGTCGCACCACCTTCGTCGCGGTCCACTTGGCGCTTTAGTTCAGCATTTGAACTCTACCTTGTAAATCCAGACACCCAGCCCAGTAGCCAGACGCGTCGTGCTCAGGTCCTCAATCGCCCAATTTGCTGCGGATAGACTCCTGTGCCGCGGCGTCCGAGCTAGACAAGGCTGCGAGGCCTCTTCCAGCTGAATCAGCCTCGCCGACACCCCAAAGACTCCGTCAACGATGGGCTTATCACTCTCCCGGATATACTCGTCACTATCGTCACTGTCATTCTGGGGAAAGGATAAGGAGGTCCGGATATTGATGGTTGGACTGGATTCGGCTGGAAAGACCACTATCTTGTACAGATTACAAGTGAGTTGAGGGGCCTGCCTTGCCGCTGGACTGTAAGCGATGTTGGTTTTGTACTGACGAGACAGATCGGAGAGGTGGTGTCGACGATACCAAGTGAGCTGACTCGCGCGATTTGTGGCGTGCTCAAAGCTGACCATCCAGCAATCGGCTTCAACGTCGAGACGGTCACATACAAGAACATCAACTTTCAGGTCTGGGATCTGGGCGGACAATCAAGTATAAGACCATACTGGCGGTGCTACTATGCCAACACCCAAGTACGTCCCTTGTCAATTCCTCTAGTCACTCAGGAGCTGACATCCAGGCAATCATCTACGTTATAGACTCGTCGGACCACGCCCGCCTCCCCACATCCCGCTCCGAACTCCTCACCATGTTATCCGAAGACGAACTCAAGTCGGTCCCCGTGCTCGTGTTTGCAAATAAGCAGGACGTACCCGGCGCGCTGAAGCCGGGAGATATTAGCGATAAGTTGGGATTAGCGGGAGGAGAGAAGGGGCGGGAATGGAGTGTGAGGGGGAGTTGTGCGTTGAAGGGTGAGGGGCTGGAAGAGGGCTTGGATTGGTATGTTCCCTCTGCTCGTGTATGGCAAGCGGGGGAACAAGAGGCTAACCGTCCAGGCTGGTAAACACAATACAGAAATAGGGCATTGATTGCATGTAGCCCTGTTGACTCGCTAATCAGAATTCCGACGAGCTCGCAGATCGCCGACTCAGGCAGCTGGATCTATGCCACGAAACACCTCAGGCACATGGTTTTCGTTGGCGTCGGGCAGCACACATCGTTAGCTCCACCTGAAAGGAAGCACGCCTGAATGCGCGTGGCTCTCATTCACGAAACACCCAAGGCCGATCCAATGGCCTATCGCGAGCAGAGCACGTCATTCGCTCCACCTCAAAGGATATGCGACTGAATGCGCACAGATTGCGGTCGACAAGACACATTGTCGGCCTTGCAGGCGAAGAGGTCGGAGAATTTGCCGCCCCCTTTCTTCACTTACCCTCTACCTGCTCATCACCTACTCTTATCTACCACGATGTCTGCCGGATGCGAGTCCACTATCGAGCGAATCCCTTCGCGGATCGAGTTACTTGCCAACGAATTACTTGGCCCGACACTGAACGAAGCCCTGAAAGACACCCTGACCGACGATGCCCCAGCGTCATACATTCTGGTTTCCGAAGGCTCTCGCGACACTGTTCTCCTCTACGGCCGACGACGAGTATTGGCGTTGATGTGCAAGGTAAGTACGACTTCCCATACTCCTTTCCCGGCTGGGGCGTGAGAGCTCATTATTCGCGGACAACCTTTCGATAAGGCACAGTACTGATGGCTACAGAAATTTCGCGAAGTACTGTCCGATTCATCGGCTATTCCCAGCAGCCATCAACTGTCGAGGATGTACCTACTCAAAGATGACGGCTTGCGGTTCTTCTTCGATGCCGATCACCAAAAGGTTCAGGCCCGACTCGACAGGGCTTACGAGGCTCACATGTCGCTGCCCGAGACTGAAGAATCCAAGTCCATGGGGTACTATCCCAGCGGCATCGGGTTTCCTGATTGGTACGATAACTTTGTGAAGGGGACGGGTGATCCGAGGAACACGACCGACCCGGAAAATACGGCAAGCACGGAAAGACTGGAGGAGAACAACCTGACTCACCTCGTTGTGCTTACTCCCGTCGCCTCGGCCGTCGAGATCAGCAGCGATCCCAAGAGGAGCAAAGCTTTCTCCTTCGCTCATGTCGACAATCTGGCGTTCAGCTTCTATGAGGCCGCGGGATGGCCTTCGCGGGACAAGAGCGATGTGTCACACATGTTCCCCTACCTGAAGCGGGTCATCCTTCCGAGTGCATGGCGCGGACCGGTGGAGAAAACTGAAGCGGCTCACGAGCTCAATACCCACGCCTCTATCAGTACTAGAAAGACCACACCGAATGTGACGCTATGGGACGCTGTCGAAACAGTTGGAAACAGGTGAACAGTGGCGTGTTGTACCGGTCCAATACCTAAGGGAGCTTCGTAGTCTCTGGGATAGGAGAGTACAGAGTAGTGCATAGATCGACGATAGAGAGAGCTACAAGATACAGTGGGCTAATCTATAGACGAGAGCGCGATACGGTATTACCTAATAGCTAATTCCGACTGAAACCCTGGTGTATGAGCTGAATCAAAAGATCGGGAGAACTCCTGATTCGAAGGTGGAGCTGTCGAGCGCTCTCTCCGACCGTCCACCGGACTGGCCAGCGTAGAGCGACGACGAGAGCGGGTGTTAGGGGTGGCTCGGTGCAAGTCATGTCGAGTGTCGTGGAGCTTTGCATATACGCAAGTCCTGGATGTACTCGTATGTTAAGTACTGATTACAAAATGTCCCGTCGCGCCGCCAGATGTAGAACCACCATCATCCGGTCTAGGCACGCCATGCATGTAGGCCTAGCCCATGTTCTTAACATGCTGTACGTATCGTTCTCTTTCCTTTGATCTGACTCTCAAAGGAGCGAGATAAAGGGAGGTGTCAGACTCCGGAGCGAGTCAGACAGAGACATTCGGATGAGGGTCAAGGCTACGCTCCGCATGGAATGGTGCAGGCCGAGCTGACTTTGATCAACGACGGAAGCTGACAGATTACTGACCAGCTGTAATATGAGTGCGTCCGAAGTCGTAGAAGCCACTGCCAAAGCGTCCGCTAGTATGCTTGACGAGCTGCCGACCGAGCTGGTCTATCGTATCATCCAGCACGCCGGTGTCATCCCCTGCCAGGAAGGTCGTCGTGACACGACCAAAATGACGCGCGCTGAGCAGCTGATCCCTGCGCACTCAGCCCTCAGGCTGGTCTCTTGTGAGCCCTGACCGGAATTGACGCGACGGATGCTGAAGCTAACCTGTAGGTATTCAAACCCCACGTCGACCGTATCGAGTTTCGCCACCCTGATCAAGCCATCCACCTCGGCCCAGCCTCAGGCGATCCCAGTTTCCCTGTCACTCGCCACGTCTCCGACATCCCCTCTTTCTTCTTTGGACCCAGCTGCGAGACCGTCATTTCGGCCTGGAACAGACCCTTCGACGCCGTAAAGACCCTCGACGGGGTCCAACTCGCTGATCGATACATCCTCCCCCAATCTGTCCTGGATGCCTTCAGAGCCAGTCGGAACAATTCGGGTTGTTTCGAGCAGATGAGGACACGCCTCTTTGTGGACACTGTGATACCGCTTGGCTTTTGGGCTAGTCGTCGAAGCTATGTTGGTAGAATAAGTACAACAGTCAGAACCATCAGTGATTCGCGTTCCTCGCCATGGATAGACGTAATGTATCTCTTCTACCCCAAAAAGTGCCTACTCCAACCCCTCCTCAGAACCCATTCCCGCCCATATAGTCCTGCCCATTAATACCGCCGTTCATTCCGCCCATACTCATACCCATACCTCCGCCTCTGCCCATGCCCATCATACCCATCCCCCCTCCGCCGTCTCCGCCACCACTGCCTCCGCCACCACCTCCACCACCCATGCCCATCGGCATGACCGGTCCCTGACCCGCCAAGAACCCCATGAGCTCCATCTGACCCGCCTCCCGCCCTGTGGTTCCTTTCCATGCGAGCGCAAGCGCCGCCCATGACTCCGGCATCATGGGGTTGAAGGAGGTGATGTCGAATGTCTCGAGCCGAGGTCCGTTGCCCATACCGCCTGGGGCTGGGCCGGAGGATGGAGGAAGCTTGTTGGGCGCGGATACAGGTGGTGATTGTTGCGAGGGTGGTGCAAGTGCGGACAGTGCCGCTCCGATAGCAACGGACGGGTGGGTGCCGTCCGAGTTGCTTCTGTCCATTCCTGCGCCGACGCCCATATCCCTTCCTGGCGGAGGTGGTGCCCTCGCATTCGCATTCGCATTCGCATTCGCATTCGCATTCGCATTTGGGAGGTCCCGACCCGGTGGGGGCGGCGCCCGACCTTGAACCTGAGGAGCTGGTGGTATCGGCGAGCGAGCCGGCGGCCCCGACCCGGGCCCGGGCGGCGGATCGAATCGTCCCGGCTGATTCTTGAACCCGCCATAATTCGGCCTGACCCCTCCTCTTCCCTCTCCACCCCCGCTCCCGTCCCCTCGGTCTACACTCCCAAACGAGTCGGCGCCCCTCGTGTGCCCGCCCATCCGCCCACCGCGCCCGCCTCGATCAGAGTATCCATTATCGCCTCGCCGGCCATATGCCCCGTCTCTGGGAGGAGGCCCATCTCTTCGACCTCGATCGGGACTGCGGGATCGGGACCTTGGTCCGCCGTATCCGTTCTCCCTGGATGGTCGCCTAGCTCCCCATCCTTGATCCCCACCACCACCACCGCCCCCACCACCCCGGTCGAACGTACGTCCACCATCTCGTCCCCCATCCCTGTGGTCCCGGTCCCACCCGCCAGGCTGAGGTGGTGGTCCGCGGTCGTCCCGTCGGAAATCACGCGGACCGGCATCGCGATGCCCATTCATGCTCATCCCGTCTCGTCCATCCCGCCCATCCCTCCCATCTCGGCCATCGTATCCACTACTTCCATTACGAGCCATATAAGGAGGCGGGGACCGAGCGCCACTTCCGCGTCTGGGCGGACCGCGATTGTCCCCGCCGAAAGGGCGATCTTGGGGGTATCCGCCATACCCCGCGTGGCTGCCATTTGGGGCATACTGCCCTGCGGGTGGAGGTGGACCGGAGGGCGGGAACGGTGCTTGCGAGGATCCTTGCGCAGAAGGAGGAGCGAGGGCGGCGAGAGCAGCGAGCTGCCGGGGGTCAAGGGCGAACGGGAGACCGGCACTTGGACCAGATGTCCCCGATGCGCCGGGAGCAGGCGGGAAAGGTGGTTGTTGTGTATACCCCGAAAGACCCGGCTGAGTGGCGAGGACCGGGGACTGGACGGGCGCAACGGGTCGTACAGATGCGAGCAGGGTCGCAATGTCGATCTTGGGCGCAGAAGCTCTGGAGAGGAAGTCAGTGCGGAACCAAAATTACAGATGAGGAATGAGGAGTTGGTGAGGTGGGGGTCGCGAACTTACTCTGCGGACGGGGGAGCATCTTGAATACCGAGAAGCTTGGCGAGTTCCGAGGGGAGGCCGGGCTTGACCGCTGTGTCGATCGAGGTCGAGGCGGACGCGGGTGGTGGTAGTGCTGTTTCGGAAAGCGGTAGAGTGGGTGAGGTGGGGGAGGGTGCGAAGTGGGTGTCGATGGATAGGGTGGAGTTTTGGGAGAAGAAGGTATGTCTCAGCTCATGTCACTTCAGATGTAGCACTCGAAACCAAAGAAAGCAAATAGAGCATGGAGAAGGCGCAAAATATCCCGTTGGTATGATGTATACCAGATCCGCCTCCTTCCCATCTCCCGCCCTAGTCGCTCCTGACTTGCCACAATCTCGCCGCCCTGCGCTGCACTACCCGTGTTTCCATGCTCCGCCACTACCGCGCCATGCTCGGACTTGCTTGCCTTGCCATCCGGCAAAAGCGTACGTGCGACAAGGCACCCGAGGGTAGATGTGCGGCTTTGTGTTTTGGCTAAGAATACCGCTCTGCGCAAAGGGATGCATGCCAATTGCGCGGGGGAGTGGTTCCCCTTTCTTCCTGAGCGCCGAGGGGTGAAGTACATATTCCGATACTGATCTAGCTGGTTAGTAGCCCTATCTGCGTTTACCTTGGTAGGCAAACGTGGCGACTGGTCGGCGAGGTGGCGAGCTTTGGCGAAATCTCGAGAGCGTGCTATCTCCCAATCCAAAAGAAGGGAAAAGAACAGAAACGATCCAGAAACAAAGACAGTAAAATCACCTGTAGACTCTCCCTTGACTCCAACTCCCGGTAGACTGAGCGGTGGCAGCACCGGTGAGAACATTGGCGCTGGCGGCGTGCCCGGCGGTGTAGTGCTCGCACCGGCGTAAGAGCCACCGTTCGTGCCCGCCGTGACGAGTGGCGGTCGACTTGGACCCGGATCGGAAGCGGCCAGTCGGGCTTGAAGGCGGTCGAGCGTTGCGGGAGGAAAAGTCGCTCCTTTTCTCCAGATGTCGAGAACCTTCCGGACCTTATCCTTGTGGAGTCAGCTAGGATTTTGCAAATATCCCATTGGTGAGGGAGCAGTTCTGAGCTCACCTTCCCTTCCGCCCAGACCCCTCCTTTTCCATCATCCACCAACCCCGTGACCCACGCATCCACCACGCCCTCCATCTTGGTAATCAATCCCGTCATCCCCCTTCCCTCCCTCGCCTTCCCCTTCTCCTTCTCCTTATCCGCATCCTTCCGCGCCCCGCGAGCGATCGCGTCAAAGACGTATAGACTCGATATCCGCCCTTGGCTTGCGGGGAGGAGACCGGCATTGACGCGATAAAACGTCGTGACGACCTCGGTATCGGCGTTTTGGGCGGTCAGTATTTGTGATAAGGCCGTTAGACGTTGCACCTTGGAGCCCGAGAGGCGTGGAGCCGCGACGGTCTGTTCGAGAAGGGACGCGAATTCGGTCTGGGGAGTCAACGGCTGATCACAGCAAACACTGGGAGCTGAATTACCTTTGGGTCCGCCATTTTGACCGAGGAGGTTCGTAGAAACTCCGGATCTCTTTCCTGTTTGGCAGAGTGGTATCGCAGGAAGAGATGTGATAGATGATGGCAGTCAAGGGTGAAGTGAGAAAGGAAAGTCAGAGGTCCGCTGGTGGTTAGCCAAAACATGCTGGCGGCGTTATGATTGGAACCCAAAGCGGTAATATCAAGCAATGTGGCAGTTCTCATTTTGAGGAATGGGATGACGTCGTGGAAAGCGAGAAAGAGAACTCAAGGGAGACGACAAGCTGCCCGACCTTGCTATCACCCATATACTATCACCCTAGCTAGCTTACAGCTACAATCCGCCCAACATGACTGTGAGTCCACGCCTCTGCCCTCTGGGCATGCAGTAGTAGCGCCAAGCTGACTCTGCAGCTCTACTACTCCAGTGCGTACAAGCGGCTGTGCAAGCTGCGAAGCCCAAACTGACATGCAGTCTGCTTCGTGCTGCTCATGTCTGAGCTGTCACTCTTCGCGACTATCGTCTGTCCTATGCCATTCACACTGAGGAAGAGGTAAGACTCTTTGCTCTATACTGAGGAGAGGCTGGTCAGCTGACTATCGGCAGGCTCTTCCACTTCCTCAGCGAGAACCCTATCGTAAGCTAGTAGCTTCGCTTGGTCGTAGAGGAACATAAGCTCACTTCACAGATCGCAAAGATCCAATATGGTGTACGTCAAGTTCTGAATCCTGAGGTGTGATGACGAGCTGACCTTTGCACAGCTGAAAATAACGTTCATGTGAGTTTCAGCTGCCTACCCGACGAGCTATAATCAGGACTGACACCCTTAGCTTCGTCGCGGTGCTGTTTGTGGATGCTCTCCAGAGGATGATCCGGATCGCTCAGGAGGGAGCTGCGGCCAAGGCCAAGCCTGAGATGACTGATGTGCGGACTGAGACCAACTAGTGAGCGGGCTTTGTTGGCCCGACACGGGAACGAAAGCTGACCGACAGCGCTGCTCGTCGTTTCTACGCTCAGCGCAACTGTACGTCCGCTGCTACCAGGATATTCGCTCCGACCACCAGCTGACGTCTAGTGTACCTCACCGGCGCGACCCTCTTCCTCTCCCTCATCCTCGCCCGCGTCTTCTACATCATCCTCGACTTCATCCACGTCCAGGAGGCCTTCACCGCGCTGCAGCAAAAGACCGCCAAGCAGTCTGGCGTCAACGGCGAGGCCGACGAGATGCGCAAGCGGATCACGGAGCTCCAGCGCGAGTTGGACGCGAGCAACAAGGGCGGACGGGACTTTGAGACCCTCAAGAAGCAGGCCGACCAGCAGAACAAGGAGTACAACCGTCTTGCGGATGAGCACAACAAGGCTGTAAGTTATGATTATCGGTTCGAACGGAATCGGATAGTAGCTGACAGGGATAGACCGGAAACGTGTCGAACAAGCGGACCGACTAGAGCGTTGTCTTTTGTCGAAGAGCGCGCGTCGGCTCAACGTGTACACGACCACACACGATGCACGCCCTATGTCTTGACAACTGTCTGAGCTGCGAGATGGCAGGTGCAGAGGGACAGGGAGGGTGGAAAAATGTCCTAGCCCGCCCATCCCTCTTGCCCTCTCCTCCTTCCCTCTTCTGTTTCCTCCTTTCTTTCCTTCGCTTCTCCTCTCCAACCCGCTCTGCGCTTCCAGCGTCGCTCACTGAGCTGTGATCCTCCTTGTGCCATCACCTCCGCGGACTCCTTGAGCTAGAGGCCAGTCGTCTTGCCAGCGCTTGGCGTCGCTCCTTATTCAAGCTGCTAAGTCCTGACTACGCCCTTTTCCATTGCCCGCGGTCGTGCTTGCGCCCTCGACATTGTAGCTTCGAAACCCTCTGGTGAGACTGGACGGATGAGATCCACCGCTTAGAGGTGATGGACGATGTCTGGCCCTCAGGTACAGGAATCGAAGCACGTGACCTAGGTAAAACGCGTGGGATTTTGGTGCGTTGCGGTCGCCATATCTTTCTACGCTTACTGTTCGTCCTAGATTGGTATGCGGTATCCATAGCAATGTCGGACTCGCTCGGAGACCTCGAGCTCGACCCGGGGCGTGGGAACCCGCTCGTCGCTCTAGCCATCGCTATAGTCAAGGCGTTCCTGTACATCCTTGGCTCCATTCGATATATGGTCGGATGGGTCACCATCACTCTGCCAGGGTAAGTCTGCCCGACCTCGTTCGGGCGATAGCAGTTGTTGACAATCTCAGGATGATAGTCCGAATGCTGCAATACTCATTCACCATCTCCCTGACCTTCCCTGTCCTCCTCACCCTCTTCCTCGCCTCGTGCGGCGCAGCCATCTTTGTCATTCGATACCGCTACCTCGCACGCTATACGCTATACAAGGAACTCGCACTGCCTCTCCCCTCACCCCCTAGTATACCCACAGACCTGTCCGAGCTGGGCCTGGGCGACGCAGGCGAGCGTAGGGCCCCAGCGTTCCATAATTACCTGGACGACTTTCTGGCTGCTATAAGGATATTTGGGTATCTTGAGAAACCGGTGTTCCATGAGCTGTCCAGACACCTTCAGACACGGAGGCTGGCAGCTGGCGAGACGCTGGAGATTGGGAATGGTGACTTTTGGTGTGTCGTCGAAGGCAAAGTCCAGGTGGTGAGTCGAATCTTGCGAAGTGAGTCAGGCTCGGAGGGAAGTTGACGAAGCAGTTCGCTCCGTCGACGACCAGTACCCTGTCCCAGCCGCCCTCGCCGGATCCATTCGGCCTCGGCACCCACAAAGCCTTCAATGGATATCATCTTCTCAACGAGGTGTCGACCGGCGGGACTCTCTCGTCCCTCTTCTCCATCCTCAACTTGTTTACGGAGGATATCAAGCTCCCATGGGACTCCCCACCCTCGGCGGACGGCAACGAGATGGCGGAGGAAGCCATCGGGAGTGACGAGGAGGATGAAGAGGCGGACAGGACACATACATGGCCAAAGAAGAGCAGGGCCAACTCGGACGTCTCGCAGCTGGACGTCGGGGATCGTGCTTCCCCAGAGAGCATGACGTCGAGTACGTTCGGAGCTACGTCCAGTACCTTGGGACCCATCGATGAGCGGCCTGCAAGGCCCCGGTCGAGCTCCCTGGGGAGTACAGTCCGACAGGACGAAAATTCTGATAACGAGGGTCCGGGAGCTGGAGAAGCATCCTCCTCGGCGCCAGCTACGAAATCGCCCTCCCCTATCCTCTCACCCTCCCTGCCCGGCGTACACGACCAACCTCCTGCATCCTTCCCTCCGTCCCCTCTCCCTCGAACTCGGGTCCGCCAGCGCTCCGCCCCTGGCGAAAGGCGGGGCACAGCCATGCCTCGCCCGAAATCAGCTCGGCATGCCCACAAGTCCGGTGCGGAGGCTCTCAAGGGGACTATTGCGCGAGCGACGGTTGATACGACACTGGCGGTCATCCCTGCCGAGGCGTTCAGGCGGTTGACGCGCAAGTATCCCAAAGCGAGCGGGACGGTTGTTCAGGTCGTTCTGGAGCGGTTCAGCCGGGTCACGTTTATGACGGGTCAGTTGAGAGTTTTGTGTGTAAGGACTTATAGCTGATAGTGCAGCTCACAAATTTCTGGGTCTGACCCGCGAGATCCTACGGTCAGAGTCGTCGCTCAACGCGCTGGTCTCCCACCCCCTTCCCCGGGCCTTCTACACCGGCGGCGGCATGCAAGCGCTTCGAGACCGTTTCCATCCCCCGCCAAAGGGAATGAGGCGTGATAACACCTCTACGCGCAAGAACAGTCCCGACAAGTCGTCCAAGGACTACTTCAACTTTGTCCCTGTCAGCCCGACTGTCCGCGCCCCCTCCCTCCCCTCCGACACGCCCAAAAACGCTACAACCCCCGCCACGTACTCCAGGGACCTCTCCATGACTGCCGCCGCTGAGCACCTGGCGAAAGAAGGCGTCCCTCCACCCGAAGCGGCCGTCTTTAGCCCCGATACTGCTGCCCGTCAATCGAGCGCGTTCGTCCGTCAGAACTCGGCGATGCGGAAGCAAGTCGCCGCTGGGGATCTGGCTATGACTCGTGCAACTCAGGCGAACGATAATGGCGGAGCATACTATCGGCACACTGCGCAAACGCCCGGATTGCCTCGGATGGATACCTGGCGCGGGCGGATGTCAGCTTCGGCCCAAGGAAGCCACAAGCCGAATGCCGCGGCGGTCGAGGTGCCCCTTGATCTCTTGGAAGACGAGTATGAACTCCGCGAGGCGGTCTTGACGTGTATCGCCAAGTCCATCGGACTTGTCCAGCCCCAGTCCACCGAGCCTACCCACGCGCACGACCACTTTGGCGGCCGCTCGTCCTTCGCGCCATCCGTATCCAACCTCTCAACACCCAACTCCCCCATGTTCCCACCGCACATGGCGCACCGTCCCAAGGGCGCGAGCCCCAGTCAAGGTGGTCAGGGTCATTTCGGGAATGTCCTGGATATGATGAATGCCTCGAATCATAATGATAATCTACTAGGCGGGATGCTGAGGGAGGCGGTGATGAAGGTCAAGAATGACGAGGATGCGAGTAGTATCTCGGCGAGTATACAGGAGAGTAGTGCGTTTGGAGGAGAAAAGAATGTGTTACGGGATTTGGAAGGGCATGTGGAGGTGTTTTATTACAAGAAGGGGACGGCGCTGGTCAAGGAGGGAGAAAAGTGTCCGGGGTTGTACTACGTGATCGATGGGTTCCTCGAGGTGAGCTGACTCTTTTTGTCTAATACCTGGACGGCGAGGAAAGCTGATGTGACAGGTCTCTCTTCCCGTTCACTCTCCATCCCAGAGCACCGATTCCGCCTCGTTCGGCAATACAGCGACCGGTTTCTCCAACGACAATTCCCGCCCCTTCAGTGCCGCCCTTGGCCTGGACGATCCTCAGACCCCACACAAACCCTCTCACTCGTCCTCATCATCGACCTCGCATGACGAGCCCCTCTTCACCGTCAAGCCAGGCGGAATCGCCGGGTACCTGTCCTCCCTTTGCCATACCGATTCCTACGTCACCATTACGGCCAAGACGGACTGCTATGTCGGCTACCTCCCGAATCACGCTCTTGAGCGGATCCTCGAGCGCCGGCCTATCGTGCTCCTCACGCTGGCGAAGCGGCTCATGAGCCTGTTGAGTCCGTTGGTTCTGCATATTGATGCGGCACTGGACTGGATCCAATTGGGCGCGAGGGAGGTGCTATATGAGAAGGGAGATAAGGCTACGGACTTTTATATCGTTATCAGTAAGTGCAGCAAAGCGCGGACTGGGGATGTACCTGATCAGTATAGACGGACGGCTGAGATCCCTTAATGTCAAGGGCGACAGCACCGAGGTCGTCCGCGAGCATGGACAGGGCGATTCGATCGGCGAGCTGGAAGTCATCACCGGCGTCAATCGCTCGGAAACCGTCCACGCTATCCGAGATTCGGAACTCGTACGGATACCGGCTGCTCTCTTTGACGCCATCAGCACCCGTCATCCGGCCACGACGGTCCAATTCCTCCGTCTCATCGCTGGACGGGTCCGCAAGGCCGTCGGAGAGCAAGCTTTACCTACCAGTACGGCCGCCGGCGGACCAGCGGGCGGATCCACAAAGGATATGAATCTGAAGACGGTCTGTATCATCGGAGCGAACCGGAATGTCCCTGTGGCGCAATTCGCCGGCAAGCTCAAGACTTCTCTGGAAGAGCTCGGCGCGTCCACGTCGTACCTCGACCAAGGGACCGTCATGCGTCATCTGGGCCGGCACGCCTTTGCACGGATCGGCAAGCTTAAAATCGCGGGCTGGTTGGCGGATCAGGAGCAACATCATCGGACCGTCCTATACGTCGCGGATACGCCACCAGCCAGTCAGTGGACACTTACGTGTATCCGCCAGGCGGACCTCGTTCTCATCCTAGCCATGGGCGATGAGCCCGCTCTGGGCGAATACGAGAAGCTTCTGCTGGCGACCAAGACGACAGCGCGGAAAGAGTTGATCCTTCTTCATGACGAACGGACGGTCGCTCCCGGTTCGACTCGGCCGTGGCTCATCAACCGTCCCTGGATACACGCCCACCATCACGTCGAGCTTCCCGGTATCATCATCCCCCATAAAGCCCGAACGACGATCCACGATCCGGCCGCAATCGCCGCCTTTAAGCATCTTCGGGAAGAGGTCAAAACGCGTCTCAAAGCTTATCGTGGCTTGCGCCCTCTTGGTCGCCCACGCCGCCCTCCCCATTTGAACGACTTTGCGCGCCTCGCCCGCCGGATATGCGGCAAGTCGATCGGGTTGTGCCTGGGCGGCGGAGGCGCAAGGGGGGTCAGCCATATTGGGATGTTGCAGGCGCTGGAGGAGTATGGGATCCCTATTGATGCGATTGCGGGGTGCTCGATTGGGAGTTTTGTGGGCGGGCTGTATTCTCGTGAGACGGATTTGTTGGAGACGACGGGGAGGACAAAGCAGTTTGCGGGGAGGATGGGGAGTGTGTGGCGGATTTTGAGCGATGTGACTTATCCGTTTGCGGCATATACGACAGGACACGAGTTTAGTGAGTTTGCCCGCTTCTTCTGCCACTATCTCGATCGACATAACGGGGACCGAGCTGATAATCTGCAGATAGAGGAATCTGTCAGTCTGCGTTTGCGCGAATCTGAAAGGTTGCACGCGGGGAAGCTGACAAGATCAGATAAAGCATTCTTCAACACGCACATTGAAGACTTTTGGATCCCCTTCTTTGCCAACTCGACCAATATCACCCACTCGCGTATGGAGATTCACCGCACGGGGTATGCGTGGCGGTATGTTCGGGCCAGTATGACCCTGGCTGGGCTGTTGCCGCCATTTTCAGACAACGGGAACTGTGAGCTAGCTCATGCTTCAGAATCCAAATAGGCCTCAGCTGACCTTGCAGTACTCGTCGACGGCGGGTACATGGACAACACCCCTATCGGCCCGCTGCAATCCGCCGGTATCCGGGACATCTTCGTTGTCGACGTTGGCGGGCTCGACGATACCTCTCCACGCAACTATGGCGATTCCGTCTCTGGCTGGTGGATCCTCCTGAACCGCTTCAATCCATTCTACAAACGGAACGTCCTTTCCATGACGGAAGTCTCGTCCCGGCTTGCCTACGTTTCGTCCTACAAGACACTGGAAGAGGCCAAGTCGAGCCCGGGCTGTCTGTACATTGCGATGCCGGTACAGCAGTTTGATACGTTGGGGGGGTTCAAAAGTTTCCCTGAGGTGCTAAAGGTGGGATTGGAGGCGGGGAGAGAGCAGCTCAGGAAGTGGAAGGCGGAAGGGGTGCTGCCGACGGGTTTGGTGGATGAGTCGAGGGGGGCGACGGCTATCCGAAAGGGTAATAGGCTGAGGCGGATGTCTATTTAGAGCGTGGAGACGTCGCTGTGCATGGAAGTCATTGGGGCTGAGACTAGATACGATTCTGGTGTAGCATAGGCTATGTTACACGTCACAGATACAACAACTGGACACTCCTGGCTCTGGCACGCCAGATAATCAATAAAAATAGTGCTACAACTCATCGATCGTCCACGCTATCCCCCGGTTCCTCCTACCTCCACGCGAGCGCCCCCTACCGTGATCGCTCCCCCTCACGGCCTCTTCCCACCAAGCACGCCCCCGAATCTCGGGCTGATACTCATCCCGTCAAAGCTACTGCTCAGCTCTCCTCCAGCCCTCAACATCCTCCTTCTATCCGCAGACGAACTGAGCCCCTTCGTCTTCCCGCCCGCCGCCTTCGGGATGATCCTCGGCGAAAGATGATCAGACAATGGCGAGTCACCCATCATATCCTCCTCTTCCTCATCCTCCTCGTCCTCTTCGTCCGAGACGCCCGTCCCCGTCTCTTCGTCCGAGTCGTCATCATCGGAATCCCCATCCGTCTTGACAGCCACCTCCCTCCATGTTCTGTACAGCTTCTCGATACTCGCGCCGGACCGAGGAAGGTCGTATGGGTCAAAAGGAAAGTACGAGTCCCGGCCGGCGTCAATGTTGACTTGTCGGGCTATCCGGGGAGCGGCTAGGTTTGCGGGTGTGGATGAGGATGTAGTGGATTTGCGGAACTTGTCAAAGGGCTGAGTGAATGTTCCGGATGAGGAGGAGGTAGGGGTGGAAAGGGTACGATTGAATGTTGAGTGTGGTGGTCGGGCGAGGGAGTTGAGGGAATTGGACGAGGCGGATCGCGCAGCAGAAGCGTTCGATTCGAGGATGGAGTAACAGTATGCGAAGTTCGTTTGGTGTGCTACTTTAGCGAATGTCTGGACGATAGTGGGGTTGCAGCCCTGTTGATCAGCTTCACTCCCAGAGAGACTACGGGACGTATAGCTCACAAGTAAAGGGTTCAGCTCGCTCGTCAGAGCCCTTTGCAGAACTTCCAGCTCGCGCATCCACTTGCCATCATCCCCCATCCCGCCCTCCTCCCCTTCCATCTCCATCTCCCCAACCACCTCATCTTCCTTTTCCAGCGCGAGAAACGCCCTCCACCTGAAGCAAAAGATCAACATCGCCGCCTGGCATACCGCATAGAACAGCGGGAGCTCATCCACCTTCGCCAACATCTTGGACTGCTGCATCTTGCCCTCCATATACGCCAACAGGTACGTCATCACCTGCCGTGCCTGTTCGTCGTGCACGAATCGGGCGCGGCAGACGATAGAGCCTATATAGACCGTGGCCGCCACGCGCTGGTTCTGGGATACAGGCTGGGCGAGGATTTGGGCACCAGGGGTCGTGCTCGTTCCATAGAGCGAGTGCGAGACGAGGAGGCCGAGGAAGAGGTCGGTGTGCGCGGGGGAGAAGGAGGAGCAGAGAAAGAGGAGAAAGGGGATGTGCTGCGTTGCGGATGTAGGTAGGATTTGGCGAGCGAAAAGATTGAGGAGAGTCTGGAAGAACGCCAGGCTTTGCGCGGGTGATGTAGAGGGCCGGCGCGTGGCGGAGTGGATGGGAGGGGTGGGTAAAGGCGTCTCGTTGGCGGGTGTGGAGCGGCCGGAGGACTGCGCAGTGAGAGTCGAAGCCGCAAACTCGAAAGCGGGTGGCGAGGCACTGCGGTACCCCATACTCTCCTCCAGATGGCGGAAGAAGTATACCAGCATCCCGTCCAGCTTCCTCCGCATCAGAAGCAAATGCAGCTTCTTCTTTGCCCTCGCCAGAGCAGACTTCGCCTCGTCCGTCGGACCCTCATCGTCCGATCCGCCTTCCCCATCCGATGACAGATTGTCCAGATCCAGCTCCTCGTCATCGTCCTCATCCTCCCGCTGGTCCTCAATACTAGGATCTCTAGTCACATCCTCCAGCACCGACTTGTCCCACGGATCCCCTCGGAGATCGCTGGGGGCACACAGCTCCGCCAGCCTCTCATCTTCTTCCTCTTCGTCATCGTCATCCTCCGCATCCACCGCCCGGGTGATCTCCACATCGATCCGCAGCATCCGATCGATCACCGCATCCCATATCCGGGCGTTGAGCTCGGGGCAGTAGTCCGACACTTCGCAGATGTTACGGAGGTACGTGATCTGGGCAACTTCGCGTTCGCGCTTATTTGGGAAGTGCTTGATGAGGAGAGGTGAAAGGAGGTTGGGGAGCGTAGGGATGAGCGCGAGGAGGTGTGTGATGAGGAGGTGATGCCGAGCGTGTGAGGTGCGGCGGGCGACAGGCGAAGGGGTCGACGAGGACTGCAGTGGTGGTTCTGCGAGGTCAGCCTCGCCCTGGGAATGCCGAGCCGAGGCACTCACGCCATGTGAGCCCTCTGACAGCCATCCCGATCACCTCCTTCGTCCAGTCCGGATGAGCCGAGATGAGAACGCCCGCCCAGCCTATGTAGGCCTTGACGAAGCGCTCCTCTGTCGCCGCCCACGGCAGATTGATGATGGCCGTCACGAGCCGTCCGTGTAGTGTCGGCGAAAGAAGGTTGACGTTCGCTGTGAGCGACCGGATGAGCGGTAAGAGCGGACCGAGCGGTGGGACCGGTACGAGCGGAGTAGGGAGGAACGACGCGAGCAGATCATTATAATTGCCCATGATGCCCCGAGCGGACTCGCCCAGAGCCTTTGAGACAAAGACAGCAATGAGACCCCTCTGGAACGCCTCGCGATCTTTCGACTTGGCTCCATCGCGCTCGGAGGTGGACGGTCCGCCGACCGATTTGGTGCGCCGAGGGATAATCTTCGCGTCCGCTCCGTCCGATTCGCGAGCCCGTTTCCGGCCGGCCAGGCTGGATGTCCGCGACGTCGCGAGCGGGTCGGGTACCGGCATGCTGACCCCGGAGCTGCTGAGCGGCAACGGCGCGGAGAGGAGTGGGGGAGGGATGGGGCGAGGTTTCTGCTTTGTCTGCTGTGGAGGCAGCTGTACTCGCTTGACCTGATGCAGTGACGAGTACGCTGTCGCCATTTGAGCAAGAGCTGTAGCTGTAGGTATCTCGATGACAAGGTGATGTTGATGGTCGTGTGAGGCAAAGGTGGACCTTGCAGAGCCAGAGCTTCCAAGTGGACCTAAAAATCGCAGCTTACGTGGCATTTACAGTGCCCGCTTATCACACACCTGTAACAGTCCTCGTCCGTGCGTCCTGTTTCACTCTTGCTTCTCGGTCCTGTGAGGCTTCTCGCGGCTTTGTGGCGCTCGGACCACCCCAGACTGTCTATATATCGCCGCCACCGCCCTTAGAACTCCCTCTCATTATATCTTCATTCTTATTTAACTCCTCTGTCTATCCTTCCCCCTCTTGACCTATCTTGACCTTCCTTGATTCAACCCCACATATCTTGCATTATGTCAGGCACCTCCACCCCCAACTCCCGGACCCGGTCCCCAACCTACCAGATCACTGCCTTCGGCATTCAAGACCTCCCGCCCATGGACTTCCCTCCCCTTCCCCCTATCACTGACCAAGGCCTATACGATGTCGTCACCACTCACTCGTCCATGTGCCAAGGACCAAAGACTCCCATGGACTTCGACCCGAAGACCATGGTTGAAGATTATGAGAAGCTGGAGCATGTAGGTGATGGCATACTCGGTAAGTCTGGCCCGGCAGCTGCCTCTGCGACATCAGAAAACAGCTGAGAAAGCAGGAGCGATGATCACCGTCCTCCTCCACGACCTCTTCCCGCTCCTCGGCGAGGGCCCAGCGACGGTAAGACGCCTCTCAGCTTTCAGATGCTTGACGTGTCACGGACCGGTCGAAGAGAAGCTGACCCCGCACAGACCGTCAAAGGCTGCCTAGTCAGCAACGCAACCCTAGCCCGAATTTCGGACCGGTACGAGATCCCTCAGAAGCTCCAAGCGCACCCGGCCGCTATCCGGATGACGCGCCAACAAGTCAAGACCAAAGCCTCGATGTTTGAGGCCTGGATCGCCGGAGTCTTCTACTCGGTCTTGAATGGCGGGTCGGCCAACAAGCTTATCGAGGATAAGGGGTACGAGGCCGACCAGGAGGGCGAAACGGACGACGAAGACGACAATGAAGGTCCGGGCACCGAAGCTCAAGAAGTCGACGATACACAGCAGAAGGTCGATGAGACACCGGCCGCGCTCGTCCCTGAAGTCTCGGTGTCGGACGCGCCGGCCGTCGAGGAGCCGGAGACAGTCAAAGAGCTGGACATGTCAGCCGAGGTCAGCCTACTCATGAGCGTCATGTCAGTTGAGGCGAAAGCGAAGGGCCCCAGCGTCCAGGTAGACCTCCCCGTCGAGAAGAAGGATCCGTCTCCTTCCGAGTCCACCAACCCGGCAGGTCCGATCCCCGCTCCAGCAGCTCCGGCGCAAGCAAGTCCAGTCATCGAAGAGCCCGACCAGGTCCGCGCTACAGTCACCGGAACCACCCTCACCATCACCACCCTCCCCGACCTCCCTGCCGCTGCCGATTCCCGGCTCAAGTATCGTTGGCTCGCCATGATCGCGATCGACGAATGGCTGCGCCCCCTCTTCACTCCTATCGCCCACTACGCTCTCGACCAGCTCCGCATTGAGCAAGCCCGGCTCGCCCTGATCCCCGTTGTCCCCACCGAGAAGCCCGCCCTCGCTCCGGAAATCATCAAGGAGAATCTTTCCGCCTTGGGTGCATCGCCGATCCTCAACAGCTACGTCCAGCATGCAAAGGCGGGGTCGGTCAAGTACGAGCATGTCGAGGTGGAGGAGGGATGGAAGGTGGTTTGTACGCTCACTCAGGGTGATGGGAGCGCAGTGTGAGTCGGTTGCAGCTGCCTAGCGCGACGCGATGAGTAGTCTTCGTGATTCGAGCTGATACATCAGGCTCGGGGAGGGCGTCAGGAGGAATCAGAAGACCGCCAAGGCGCTAGCGGCTCACAGGGTCTGTCAGCAGCTCGGTATCTGAGGAGCTGAGAATGAGAGTAAAAGGCAAATGAAGCCATCGAGGAGTAAATATCATTAGCGCGTCACAGTACAATTAGCATGTATCACCTGTCCGACAACCCACATCCTACACGGTTGGGAGTCGTACCACCACCAAGAGGCTGAGTCATCGTCTCCGGGCTCTGATGAGCGGCTCTCAGCTCCCGCTTTGCATGCTCTCCTCCTCCACCAGCTGTTTCCCAAGCCCCACTATCCGCCCAGTCCGCCCCAATGCTTCTTCCACCTGTATCGCCATCCCCAACGCTCTTCTTCGCATCGCCCGCAGCTCGCTTTCCCAGCCAGTGGCATCTTCTTCCGTAGCTCCCCCCAGCCCCACCGCCGGAGACAGCGAGCCCGATTTATTGACGTCCGCCGGATTTCCCTCCTCTCTCCCTCCGCTTCTCTCCTTCCGCCGCCTCTCTATCCCCTTCATCGCTCCCCTCGTCCAGTCCAGCACGATCCGCAGCGCCGCGTCCGCCTGCTGGGTATATCCTCCGCTCTCGCCCGTCTGCCTCGCCTCATTCAACTGGACCTCCGCCAAGTCCAGCCGGGTCCGCATTTCCGGTATCCGCCTTTCATCTCTTCCCAGTCCGCCTGATCTCGCTCCGGCCGCATCAATCTGAGTCACGCTGCTAGGCGCAGCAGAGGTCGGACTAGATGATGGTGTCGATGAAGAAGCCTGTCCTGTGGCTGCGCCTGGTGTGGGCTCATTGGCGTATAGGTGGATCTTGGCGGAGAGGAGATTTATCCGGTCCTGTGCGGAAGCGGGCTGCGAGAGGAGAGTATCGAGCACCGAGTGCGTCAGAAACGGGGAGGAGAGGATGGGAGGGGGCATGTGGGGCTTGGGTACTAAGACGGCTGGGTGGATGGCGTAGGGAGGCGATGAGATGGTGGTCGGACCTAGATAGATGGGTGGATGGTTGATGCAGATGGTCGAAAGCGGAAATTTCGGAGAGTTTCAGCAAGAGAAGCACCGCCTCCAACTCGAGGCTCGGTGCCTAATTAGGCACTGCGGTGCCTCTTGCGCGTCCAAGCCGTTACCGCCCAGGATGTCTCTTTGACATTCATACTTCATTTTAGAATCCTGCTGACTTGATCGCCCCAATACTAGCACTCACGCCATTACTCAACCATGTCTCAGAAGATGACCGCCCCGCCGGTCGACCGGATCTCTACGTCGGACGACTCCGCTGAGGCGCCTCCGCCGTACTCGGTCGAATCGGCAGAGCCTTCTCCTATCATAGCAACACCCATCGCCCCGGCTCCCCTTGCTGTTGCCCCTTCACCCGTCAGTCCAGCGGGCCACCATTCAGGCAGCGAACCCGTTCATCAAGGTCAGTGACCGTCACACCCAATCTATCCTCTGACCTCACTGCCTTGCGCGGATCATCCTTGTAAGATTAATGTCTCAGCAGCCTATCAGCTGACTCTCTCAGGACCAAAGCCTGTCTTTCCCTTCCTTGCCTCCATACCTCTTCCCTCTCCCAGCCAGAAAGCGCCCAAAGACAAGGTCACCAACTTCCGAGACGGCATAGCAGAGGGCGGCAAGGGCGCTTGGGCAGAGATCAGGGAGGGTCTCAAGAGACCTGCCAATGGGATAGCTGAGAGCGTCAAGCAAGGCAGCGTACTGGGTGTCGTCGGTGGGCTCGTTGAAGGCAGTACGTTACCTTCTCAAGGCATAGCAGTGTAGCAGTAGGGAGATGGGCTGACGCTTCAGCTATCGGCCTTGTCGGCGCCACGGTCCGCGCAAGCGTCGTACTCGGAAACCATACCTCTCGAGGCGTCATACGCGGTATGCGCTCTCCAGGGGATCATACTACCCCTCTCCCCGAAGCGTCCGGTTCCTCGCCCTCTCCCGACTTTGCGCCCGAACACAAACCCACAACCGGTCCTACGGCCGGTGCGTCATCCTCAGCCCAAGCGGGATTCGGAAGCGGCATACCCAACCTCAATGCGAATGGGTACCCGGCAGACGAGAAGAGAGAGGGGGCACCGGCATATACGCCTGCTGCCAACTCAGGCGGAGGAGACAGTTCCAGAAGGGAGGCAGCTGAGGAGGAAGAGAGGCTGAGCCCGATCGAGATGGATACCAAGTGGGGCGCTTCGCGACAGGATTGAAGTGGGAGTTGGGCTCAGGGGTGGGGGCGGCCAAGGTATAGACTGGTGGCAAGTCGGCATCAGAGCTTGGGTTTGGGGATGGCAGGTCAGGGGGCAAGGGGTCTGAGAAGTAGTAGCGCGGAGCCGGTGTTCATAGACATACTAGAGATTGTGTAGCCAGGGACTCGTTGTACATATCATGCACGTTATAGTATATACCTGCAGTCCACTTGTCTTGCCGATGATTGGCCTCGCATGTTTACTCGGTGCTGGAGCAGATGGGGGACGGCCAAAAGAAGCAGTTTCTAGAGGTTTCAGAGCTAATTCCTCCGCTCATCTTCAACAACCATCGACATGATATCACGAGAGACCTAGCAGCCGTTCCTGATGACTGGGACAGGTCTCAGGCCCAAGTCAGCCGGTCTCACTCGTCGAGGTCGAGCTTGACTAGCGAACCTTGTTGGGGGAAGCGAACCAGATGCAGCCCAACCAGGTACCGCTCCCCCTCGCGCGAGCCAATGGCGGGATGTCTCAGATCGGTTCCTCGGCCGGTCATCGCTCCATCACTCGACTCGCATATATTCCTCATCTCTCAACCTCAACTTCTTCTTCCATTCATCATCCTCATCACACTCCTCCCCGTCCTACAACCCAAACACACCCAAAATGCCCCCTTCATCCAACCCGAACCCGTCCGCAGCCCATCAGGGGCTGGCGATCCTCGGCGGCTTCAATGCCAATATGACCATCGTCTACCCCGAGGACAGCGATGACGAGGCCCTCCCCATCGCCTACCCCTCGCCCGGCGCTTTCGCCTCGGCCACACGGGCATTGCGGTACCCCGACGGGCGCGTCTTGCATGGTGCCCACATTCCCGGCATGCCGCCGTCTCCAGCGCCTCCCCACGCAACCGTCGGGGATCATGGCGCACCCACACCTTCGGCGGCCGCTACAGCGTCCACTACCGCTGCGGCTCCCACGGCGGCGAGATCTACGGCCCCGGACAAACCACTACCCGTGTTGCGATTGACGCGGCCCTCGACGTCCACGGTCAACACCCTATCCCCACAGGTACAGGTGCCCGTCATCGACTGTGCGGACGCAGACACGACGGTACCCGAGGCTCTCCCAGCCCCAGACCTCGACAACAATGCTATTGGGCTCTTCGTCGAAGCCAGCGGCAACAGGGAGCTGGACGTCCCGCAAATCCCTTGCACGGCGCCAGTCCCAGTTGAGGTGGAGCCAACTCCAGGTATGTGGTACCCTCCTCTATCCATCTGCACGCTTCATCCCAGTAGACCGATTCGCTTTGCCTGCCTACGCCCAAGCCTGCAGCTGACGCGCGCAGCCCCACCCCGCCGTTCTTTGCGCGACCTCCTCACTCCCATACTGCAGCCACTCGGGCCGATCCCCATCACAGGTCTGGGCCCTTTCCGCAATCTCAACCGCAGCCTCGTCCCGAACATCCCCGAGGCTACGATCGAGGGTGTCAAAGAAGCTGTGCGACAGCTGCGCGAGGGGCTCAAGGCACCGGTCGTGCAGACCATGGAGATGATGGAGAGTCAAGGAATTCTCGGTGCGCCAATGGGGCTCGTTGCAGGCAGTGAGTCTGATCCTCGGTTTGTCAGGTTCAGTGGTGGCGGCGGAGCTGACGCCTCAGCGTGCAACCTCGTCCTAAGCCCGGTCCGGGCTGTCTGCACGCTCTCGAACCACATTATCCGGGGCGCTGGAAACAGCTTGTTCAAGCCTACACCTGCTGCCGCGCCTGCAACCACACTCAGTCCCGGACCCGGCTACATCCCTCTCGACAGCGACAGCGACCACTCTTCCACTCCTACCAACACGGAGCAGCTAAACACACCCATCACACCCCGACCTCCTCTGCAGCAAGAGTCCGAGACCAGCACCGCCGCCGCCGAGGATCAGCCCCACTACAACGACGCCGGTCCCAGCTACCCCCTCTCGGAGTCGCCGCCCAAGATGTCCCGGCTCGAGCGCTTCCAACGGGCGGAAGCGCGCAGGGCAGCAGGAATGACACTTCCTGGGGGATCGGACTGGACGTTCAGCAGTGCAGGAAGCAACTGGTCGTCTGCCGACGAAGACCAGTGGCAAAGGGAGTCGCAGGAACGGCAGAGGCTGACCAGCCGGGAGCCGGACCAGATGTCGGGCAGGGCTGGGGAGTCGGGTGAGGGAGGGCGCGGACAGGGAAGGGCGGAGCAAGTGTAGCTCGGGGTGGATGGAGTAAGGGGTGGTCTGAGATGTGAATACGAAGTGTGTCAGTGACGAATAATGAGTAACGAGTAATGACCGGCTTGATTTGTAGATAGTGTCCGTATTAGTACTCGTACATGTAGCTTGTCAGTTCCCACAGTCCTAATCACCCGCGCTAGCAGCGGAGGCGAGCCAGCCCGACAGGCTGCAACAGCAAGGTGAGGCCCTGCCACATCGACCTGATCGACGAGCACGGTCCCAAGCCAAGTCATAGTCGATGTCGACTCGTCGAGCGAGAGATCGTCGAGCGAGGCGGCCAGCCCCAAAGCTCAATGCAGAGGCGAGATATCGCCGCAGATGTCCGTGACACGGCTCTCACGCTTTTCTCGCGCTTCTCTCGATAGGCGATGTTACCGAAATGCCGAACTTGCCGAGGCCGATAACGCCGCTAAAACCCGTACACGGGACCGCACCTTTCCACCAGGTAGGTAGGTGGTGGCGACCAGCGGGTCGCCAACTGGTCGCCAACTACAATGAGATCCGCCTTGTCAACTCGTCAAGTGTATTCGAGCAAAGAATGACAGGGGACGAAGAGCATGCGCATCCGACCAGTCCTTCCGCCGCAGACGGGCTCGGCGTTCATGCGTTTCGACTTGCGTGCGGCGCAGAGCTGGGCGATCAGGCAGAAGCTACCGTTGCATCTATGGCAGAGCACTAGCAAAACACAATGATTGTCCATGTCCCTACTCCTGTCCTATTCTGCCCCCTTCCCGCTTAGAGCCGCTTCAATCCCCTCTTCGCTCCACCAGCCACGGCCTTCTTCGCACCCGCTACCTTCGCACCCACCACGACAGGCGTCACAGTCAGTGGCCTGAGCGCCCTCCCGTCCACTTCTGCTGCATCCGCCATCTTGCCGTCTGAGGGCAGGAGCGGGGACTGCTCTTGCCGCGTGTTCTGGCCGAGGGGGGCGAGCTTGGCTGATGTGGCTGTGAGAGCTGATGCAGGTGCAGGAGCGGCGTCGAGCTTGCTGGAAGAGGTGTTTGTGGCTGTGGTAGCGATAGTAGCGACGGATGTGGTCGAGTGGCTGCGGGACGAGCTGAGGGATGCGCGGAACTCGGCTGGCGGGAGCTGGCAAGTCAACTACGGTCTTTAAGCAAGTGATGATATGACAAACCTTTGGTGTGGCGTGGATTGAGGTCATTAGTCTGGCGTACTGGTCTCATCAGCAAAGGAGACAATCGAGAGATCTCAGTCTTAAGACCAACCTTGCAGTATCCTTCGTAGTCCGCTAGCAACTGCTTTCCTGCCTCCTCATCAAGCGCACTCTCGGGGTTAGGGTAGATCAACAGGCACTTCACAGTCTACAAAGCATAAGCTATCACCCTTGGCTTTTGATCAGGATTCCTGCTCAGACAACTCACGACCAGTACATGCCCAACTCCGTATTCCCGCTTCCAGCCCTTCTTGAGCGTATCGACACAAATCTCGCCTCCCTTGGAGACGTTGGGGTGGAAGATCTTGGTCATCATGGTACCTGTTACGATCAGCTCCGGTCCAAGATGCAGCAAATGGCTCATAGCCGCGCCCTTCGCGACGAGAAGCCGGCGCCGGTTCACCAAAGTGGAGAAGGGTATGAGCCTTACATTTTGGCGGGACGTTTGGGTAGTCGGACGTGAACTCGAACCTGACGCGATAGTAGCCGCCTTCGTATGGTGTTCCGACTGTCACGTCAGCTTCAATTGACTCACGCTGGTCCCACATTCCTCTGCCCCTTCGTGCAAGCTGTTCCCCCTTTCGCGTCTGGCAACCGGCACGACTTGCCGAAGCTCGTCTCAGGCCTTCAGTGGCATACTCTGGGACCCTTGAGCCTCGCTAGCGTCTCCTACGCGGAGTCTTCGCGTTGTCCGAGCTCAGAGCTGGCCATCACACTCACCGGGCCCCTGTATCAGTCCCTCCAAACACGTCAAGTCCTCCTCATCTACAACCACCCTGACCCCTTCCGGCGGATCCGAGCGAAGCGTAGTGATCTCTCGCGAGAGCTGACGGAGGGCCTGTGATGACAGAGACTGCCTTAGGTCAGCTACGTATTGCCATCAGACGGGCATACAGCGGCTTACCATATCGCGACTGTAATATCGGCTTTAACTCAATTGCAGGTTTGATCCTGTGGTCGAGCTTGGGTGTACACCTGACGGATGGGGTGTCGCAGGTAGAGGCGATGAGCTGAGAGGTGTTCTTGCTGATCAAGCAAAGTAGCAGAGCGAAAGGTAAAGGGCAAAAGGACGCATCAGGCTCGCGCTGAAAGCAAGACAAACAAATCCGGCACGTCGAAAGGACGCGCACGGATCAGGTAATTCCTCCAAAGCCACGTGGAGCACGGTGGCACATGTGGCGGTTTCGGATTCGCCACCAACGAGCCTGTGGCAAACCGTCTGGCTCGGGCCCAACCCCAGCTATCTGTCACTGAGCCATCAGAGTAGATCTTTTCTCGGGCCAGCAGCTGGGGTCACTTGTGCAGACATATCTGGGAATCTGGGCTAATGACACCAGCGCCACCAAGCACTACGAGACACGATGACCTTCCACAAATGGCGCGAAAGGTGCGCATCCCTTGTTGCCCGCAATAGGCTGACTCCGTCCTGAAAGGTACACAGCAGGCTGACTCCGTCCTGAAAGGTACACAGCACCTAACAGACATTCGAGGCTGTCACATAAGCTGGACGTCCTTCCCCCTCGTTTCTTGAATTCCCCATATCCTTCTCTTTTACCCTTTGAAGCTTACCTTGTCTGACGAACTCCAAGCTGCGTTACCTGATCCTCCAAGATGCCTGTTCCCATCACTACCCACTCCCGGGACACCATTAATTGGCATCACCTGTCAAAGTGCTACAGCGATCAGAGTCTTGCCGTGTCCCACGGCGAGTTCGGTTGGCTTGACGGACTGCTCACAGGAGATGGAGATATAAAGGACCCACCGCGGCCCACATCGGACCCCATTCGGGCCGGACAGCTGATCGCGCTCCTCCACAATGAAGTTTTCCAAGTACAGAGTCAGCTACACCACCTCTTCCATACTCAGCCTACCGACGGAGACCTTTGGAGGGTGGCGCAAAACCTTGAGCCCGACTCGTGGTTGTCGACCTATCGCACAGGTCTTCTGCAGAATGACCGTCAATCGCTGGGTGAAATCTCGCACAGTGTCTGTGCAGTGGTCCGGGACGAGCTCGAGTATCTCAATACCTTGATCAAGACGATTGTGGAAGGGCATCAAGGCTTTCTCACAATCACCAGCTGCTCGGAGTGTTCAGACCAGATGACGTAAGCGGACAAATTTGTCGAGCAGGCGGGATATCTTCACCTCGCCCTGGCGTCAGCCAAAGCTGTCTGTGAGGGAACCCTGTGGGGCAGGCCCGACCAGACGACCCGTGTCAAGGCCATCATGGGCGGACAAAGTACCGGACGTCAGGCGTGAGGGGTTGGAGATGTGCATGCGTCATTATTCGAGGCAGGGGTAACGGAGGCGGCTCCTCAGGGCAACGGATGCGGCGAATTGACAAGGTGGATTTGTGGCCGAGGCGTGATATACTTACTGATCATTACCATTATCCATGTGCATTATCATCTACCAGCAGTCTGCTTCTACTTAGGCTCACTTATTCACAGCCAGACAGGGCCACCGAGACTTTGGTGAACTTCATTCGCCTTAACGTTGACTCGGCTCGCTCTCGTACAGAGCTTATCCGCTATGGGTTTAGTCGCTAGCTACGGGTTTGGCAGAAATCGCTACGGGTTGTGCTTTACGGTGTGCAGATAGCTAGAGATATGCATTCTATCGATTTAAATAGGTGACGACACTTGCGCTCAATCCGGCGTAATCGACAGTAGTACCCTTCTAGGTCTTGCCAGTCTGTAACAGCTTCACCAGATCTGTACCGTTCACCTCCGTTGCCTAGCTCAGCGCATGGGCAGCGAGGTCTTTCGGTTGACAACATCTCCACGGACCGCGGATCACTCTGCCAGTAGGCTGGTGCAAGAATCGGAGTTGACCAGGTCGATAGTGCCCTTCCTTTGGCAACGACTCGACATGAAAGGTTGCTCCTGTTCTCACTGTAACCCACCCACACAGGCTGACATTGGTTATCGCGCTTCCTCTTTCAGCTTTGCCACCTTCAATATCTGGCCAAACAGCATCTACATCTGACCTCAGCTGCGAGCCACGACCGCGCTGGTAGTGCAATATGACCACTCAAGCCGCTCGCCGCTCACACCTAGACATTGACTGTGACACTGTCATGGACAGTCACTACACGGAGATTTTCAGCGCTGCCGCCGATCGCTTCAAGTGGATCGAACAATTACTGGAAGAATACTACCAGCTGCAATCCCCACCTCACCCCGACTCGGATCTCGCCAATGCTCGCCAATTCTTTCACAATACACTGCGTCAGGCAAAAGAGTCACTGGATCTTCTCTTCCACGGCGAGATCACCGATGAGGAGCTCGCGGATCTGACGTACATGCTGGAGTCTGCATCCAGCCTGCATACTGCTCGGAGTCGTTTCCTATCGCACGACGAATACTGCATTTCGGAGATCTTCCGGAATGTCTGCCAGGCCGTCCAAGACGAGCTTGTCACCCTTCACACCTGGGTCGAGAACGTGTCGGCTCATTTGACTGGCCAAGTCGATTTTGACGATTGCGTGTCTTGTATCGCCGAGGGGCAGACTTGCTTTCAGACTCTTATCGAGCAGGCAGCACGCCTTGATCTAGCGATCCTCTCGGCCAACGCAATCTCGGAGGCGGATATGGGCGACAACACGGAGAAGCACCGGCTCTTGAGGATCGTACAGGCACAGGCTGAGCGCACCCTCGAGGATAGGGATATGATTGAAGGACTGATCAGCTTCAGAGGTTCCACAAGTCAGGATGGGTACGAGTCGGACGTCAGTATGGAGGAGGGTGAATGGTGACCCGAGCCAAATCAGAGGTATGAAAGAGGAGCGATAGGTGCGCCAAATATTTCGAGCTTGTTACATGTCTACTTATTTGAATGGGGCCTTCATTGCGCACCCCTACTTAACAGGACGGCGAGCGGCTGTTACTGACCGCAAATTCGCCGCCTGCAGCCACATTCGCCACCTGCAGCCACATTTGCCACTCTGATGGCGTGCATCCTTTGTCGGCGGGCGTCAGGTGTGGAGTTCACTTGAAAGGTCGACCGCCCAGATCTGACAACTTTGACTGTCACATATATAAGGAGGAGACTCTCCGGCCAAGACCTCATTCCCCCCACCCTTTCCACCATTACAGGATCGTACCCTGGAACTCAAGCTCCCATGATGTCGTTCAACGCACCTAAGGGATCTACCCAAGGCGACGATCGGACATCATTCGACATCCATCACGAGCATATCAAGATCTGCGCAGACGCTGAAAGCTTCGCCGCATCCGCCGAAGTCTTCAGCATTTTTACCGATCTCCCCAAAGCTTCTGTTCATCCGATCAGGTTGCCCCGTGATCTGACGACAACTGTCCAGACTACCATGGAACGTGCTGACCCACATTCGCCTGTCCTCGATCCTCCCGTCGACTGGACCTCCGCCAGGATCTACCAGAAACTTCGTGGGGAGAAGTGCAACGCACAGAGGAACCTGGACAGCCTCTTCAGCCGCAACTTCACTACTGACGAGTACCTGCATCTGACGCGAGACCTGGTCCCTGGATCTGCATTGCAAGAAGCTCGGGCGTTTCTCAAATCCACTGAGGCTTACGATACTGAAAACCCGAAGATTTTCCCGCTAGTCTATCGGGCAGTCGCAGAGCAGTTGGGCATTTTCCACGAGTCTCTCAAGAATGTTGCAACCTACCATTCCGACGCCTCCACCATGGAAGACTGCGCCAAGTGCCTGCCTGAGCAGTACTGTGAGCAAAGGCTGATCACCGAGGCCGCCCACCTCAGCCTTGCCCTGCTCGTTGCATCCACAATTTCTGAGGCTAGGATGTTCAGGATGGCCCAGAAGAATAGCCTCCTGCAATTCTGGTCGGAGCAGGACGCCATGAAGGACGATGAAGGAGGAGTGGATGGCCAGACGATCTTGTATGATCTCAGCGATAGCGGAGAAGAAACGGAGGTGGGTACGTGTACGTCGGACGCGGATGAATCTGTCTAGCTGTGATCTACCGAGTATACGTGTATAAACACGCCTCGGCCATGTGTATTTCTCTATTTTACGTCCCCCTGTATCTCCCTGAAGGTCCCATCAATCTTGGGGTCGAGTCACGATGCCTTACTGTCTATTTGGAAGAGCAGACCTCGCCATATAAGGGAGTCAGGTGGCAAACAAGGTCTGGGTGGCAAATACCCCGCACTCCTTTCGCCCCCTGAACCGCTGGCACACGTATGAGCGCCTCGCAGGGCCCAAAGAAAGGACCGCTGTCCTGCAGACCTCTCATAATCACGCCTGATATCTTGAGACTCGGCGCTTCCTATCCATCAAATACCCATCGATCACTCTGAACCCCTGACCTATTTTTCTTCCATTCTCGAGCATCAGCATTTACCATGTCTTCCCTACCAAACACAAGCCCCTCCCTCTTCAGCGGCAAAATCGATACCTCGGTGCTCTCTGAGGTGTCCAAGACTCTCCATGATGCTGCGACACATCTGCCTCAGCGAGGTTTCCACGAGCCCGTCCGTCCCCAATCCACTCTGCCTCGGTCCGAGCCCGCTGTGAGCCTCGACAAGCAGATCAGCAAGATTCACTCGGCGCTGCAGAAGATGTTTCCCCCTCAGTCGCACTACGATGAAGCTTCCGAATCAGTACAGGCTGGAGATCTGGCTCAGGTCCATGAGACCTTGCTGACGGAGCTCGTCACTGTCTTGACATGCGAGGACACACAGGGTTGCCAGCCTGCGCAAGCCAAACAAGAGACGTTGCGTGTTCTGGCCGAGGAGCTGTGCCACACGTCAGATGACATCGACATCCTCTCCGATCCACTGACTGGCAACGACCTCAAGTCCAACTTCCAAGCCTTCCGTCACCGGATGAGCTCCCTGATCAACGATGCGGAGAACAACTTTCGCGAAGCGATGATTACTCGAGGCGCAAATGTCGACTTGTCCGCCATTGGCACTGAGACCATTGCGGCTGCGTGGTCTGCGATGCACCGAGAGACTGATGGACTGGCAATGGAGGCGACGAAATGTCTGCAGAGCGCGTGCAGCGATTTTGTGACGTCGAATGCGGAACCGTTGCGTTTGCGGGCGTCGAATGTTGCCTTGTGCTGTGCCGCCGCTCTCGCTGCCGACAAGTGGGTCAGGGGAGACTCAGGCGCCAAAGACGCACTGGTCGAGAGATTGAGGAGTCAGCAGTCCGCCAATCGCAGGGCGTGGGAGGAGTGGAGAATCGACTAAGACGACGATGGTGAAGATCAGTAAGACATCAGTTGAGCTTGGAGATGTGGAGTGAGAAGGGGTGATGTCGCCATCCATGCACATATTTGTAGACTGTACGTTACTGCAAGCGACATCCGCTCATTTCGTCTCAGCAGACCGAGCCGGTATTGACCAGTGCAAAGTCATGTGAGGCAGGGAAGTGCCGCAAGCTATCACGCTAGGTACCGATCTGGCGTCGTCCGATGACCTACCTTTGAAGTTCGTGCATACTGTACGCAATGCCAGTATCTCTCAACGGGGCCATAAGGAGGTCGCACTCCCCAGCTCTCCATATGAAACCTGCCTCTCACTGCTCATTGCAGGATGGTGTGCGGTGAAGGTGGCGGAAATTTGTCTGGGCGGCAAAAGCTACAGACCCTCTATCGTTGACACTTGTATGACGGAGAGGAGGTGAATGAATCCAGACGTAGGTGGTCGAGACTATCGAGCGAGAAGGTCAAGGCATTACCGGCGGTGGCGATCACGACCCCAGGCGGTCTCTTGGACGGTGACGAGGTCAGCGCGTGTCGAGCTTTGGTAGCGAGATGGGAAAAAGTTCTTGCCTCCCGACCGCCGGCGTCAGACCATCACCAGCTAGTTGTGGCGGGTGATATGAGTGTACGAGAGTGAACCTCTCGATATGCAGTCAGTAGGTGGTGAGCCCGAGATATCGACAACGGTGCATTGCGCAGCAATCATCCGTATATACAAGTTATATGAGGTGGGTAGACTAGTACGCGCGGTACTGCGCCGCTTGTGCGTATCTGCCATATCAGCCTTGTCCCCCTCCGCTTTCGAGCTGGAGACTTACGGTCCATCCGCCCCTCCTGTCGGTCTCCCGAGGTACTGCCCCGACTCTGGGAACGTCATATCGTCATGATACACATTCGCCGTCGGGGACGTGACCCGCTGCGTATGGCTATGCTGATGCGCCGACCCATCGCTGTTCCCCCGCTGGAGGTCCGCGTAGCCCTGGGCTTGGGCGTGGTCGTGGTCATGGTCGTACACCTGGTCCTGGGTCGGCTGATCATAGTGTCCAGCGACGGGGTGACCGTATTGGTCGTACGTCTGAGGAGGGTACCCGTGCTCTCCTTCGCCGCCGTATGCCTGACCCTGACCCTGACCCTGGGGTGGGTAGTCGTACGCGTTGGTATGCGCGAACGGGTCCGAGTTGTACATTCCGTATGTCCCCGCGCCTGCTCCCATTGCGGCAGCACCGGCCCCAGCACCCGCCATACCGTATGCGGATCCGGCGGTGAAGTCGTGTTCGGGGATACCGGCCGTGAGACCCGGCGCAGAGTCAAACTCCTCGGCCATGAGGGCTTTCCGGTGGCGTTCGGCGCTTGATGCGGAGTCGGACCGGTGGTGTGCTTTCTCGAAGCTGGGAGTCAGCACCCAGCCTGTACTTTGATAGCGACTAGACTTACAAGTCATCATCGTGCCCACCCTTGGGCGCAAAGTCAATCGCATTCAAGCGCTTCTCGAACCTCCTGTTGCTCGGCCTCAACTTCCACTTCCTGAACAGCGTGAACCCGATCGCCGCCAATCCCACCACGGACGCTACCACGATAATAGCAACAAGCGCCGTCTTGCTCAGACCGCCAGATGACTGCGTGCCGGTCTCGGCGGAGGCGGAGGATGCGGCGCTGGACGGGATAGCACTCTTCATGGTGTTTGTGATGGAGGCGAGTCTGGTCGTGGTGAGGGTGGACGGGGTGACGAGGGAGGAGGGGGCGATGGAGGATGCAGAGGAAGGGACCGAGATGGTAGGTACGAGGTCGGTGGTGGATGATGGAGCGACGGAGGGAAGGGCGGAGGAGGAAGCAGCGGCGGACGATACGGGAGCGGAGGATGAGACCTCGACGGCCGAGCTGGACAACGGGACGACGACCGAGGCGGACGAAGCGGGTGCGGTGGGTGATGCCGAGCTCTCAGCCGCACGCTGGCTGCTGGAGGTAGATGAAGCGGTGCTTGCGGCGCTGGAAGAGGCAGCCTCTGATGAGACTGGAAGGGATACCGTTGACGAGGCGCTGGCGGGTGGCTCGGACCATGAGTCGTTCATGTTTGGCCGGCCCATCCCCTGCCGCTCGACCAGAGCGCGATGCAGGCGCCGGTGGTCGACATCGTGGTTGGCGAGAGCGAAGGAGGAGAGGGAGAGGATGGAAAGGAGGGTGAAGGGAAGCATGTTGAGTGAGGGACTGATGGTCAGTGCAGCTAGTAACATCGGGTGGGATCCAGCTTACGATACGACAAGATCGAAGCAATTCCAGATAGAGGGTCCTGCAGATACTCCTTCGATGAAGGAGATACACCGGCTACGCGGGGCGCCAGAACACTAGCGCGTAAAGCGAGTGGAGACTTTGATTTGTTTGCGACCGTGTGCGAGTCGTGTGAGACTAAAATGAACGTGATGGGTGTCAGGTGGGGGCTGGTTGACGATCGACCGGGCCAGTCGGCGACCTTTCTTTGATAATTTGGGCGAGATGAACGAGTGTGGTGTAGTATGTTGAGATGAAAGGGAGATGATGCGCAGAGATGCTCTCTCTCTCAGAGGGATCGCTACAGAGCTAAAGCACAAGATGAAACACAAAGGAGGACTCGGAGGGAGGTGTTGTGTGCAGCAAAGCTCAAAGGGTCCAAGCGCGTATTCCGGGGTCCCCTTTTGATTTTCCTTAGACCGGACGCGTCATTACGGCATCGACCCCTTTTCGACTTCCCCGCGCGCTCAATGTTCGCCTTTTGTACTTGTAACTCGACCCCTCGGAACCCCTACGGCTGGGTGTATCATGTACTAAAGGCGACCCAGAATGACTTGACTGGAAGCTGACCATGTACTGATACATCTCAAAGAGGGAATGGCGGGCTTGTGTGCTCGACATACGGGCTGAGGAGGGGGAGCGACAAGCGGCTCTTTGTATCTGATACTCACCTCGACCTGCGGTCACGGGGGTCTTTTGCCCCGGTCCCACGCCCTGTAAGTAGAGATGGGTATATAGCACTCATTGAGACATCGCCACTCTTCATAGTCCTATCTATATCTATACAGTCTTTACAAGCTTCCCGCTCGCCGTCGCTGGCCTAACCCTGCCTGCTCTCTTCTTCGCCCCCATTCCGGCCTGACTTACAATGTCCAACCTTACCCCATTCCTGCCCTCCCGACCCTCCGGAGTTGTCTTCATCTCCCTCAACGTCCTCCGCGTGCTTTCGATCTTGGCCCTTACGTTGGTCTTGTCAGCCAATATCGTCACTATGGCCAAGTACGTTCTTCTCCCCAAGTCCCTACCCTTTCTATCTCCACACCGTTGGCCTATGCTAATGAGTCAGAGATATCAAAGCTATAAAGAACCCTGCACCGGTCAATGACGACTGGGATTGCGAGTACTATGAATATTCGACGGTCCCGGACCAGACCGGCGGGCCATTCTGGAGTGTCCTCCATCGGATCTTCATCAGTGCGTTCCAGCTCTATTATTCGCCTCCATCAGCATGGATCCAGAAGCTGACGCAAGTAGCGCTAGAATGCTTGGTACTGATCATGTCGGAAATGGGTATCCCCCGGTCGCTATTCGAGTCATTCTTGCCCATACTTGGGCCAGGACACGGTCTCGGCTGTCTTGGAGTCTTTCAAGCTCTGTAAGTCCAGCTTTGGTCTGCCTCCATTCGTCAGCATGGTGAGCACGGACAGAGCTGACAGTTGTCAGTATCGCCACCCAGATGCTATCCCACTATTGCGAGCTCTTCCCCCAAGCGACCTCCTGGCTCCTCTTCATCGTCGGCTGCTTCAATGCCATCGCTGGGATCGTGTTCAGGCAGAAAGCAAAGGAGAGGCGGTTGATCTTTAGCTGGGAGAATGCGTCTTCCTCGTGAGCTGTCTCCCTATTGCCCCTTTTCCCATCATCATCTCATTTCCCCTCCGCCTATGCTGTCGTCAAAGAGGTAGCTGACCCGCAGAACACCCCAGACTCGAATGGCAGCCACCGCATGGGACATGGTCCATCCCCCTTCCCCCTCCCACTCCAGATCCAACGCAAACGCGAATGCGGGTGGGAAATACGACAAGATGACCGACATCCCCCTCTCCCGCTCGTCGACCGCTCACTCGGCCAAGGAAAGCCCACTTCTTCCGCCTGGCGTGAATCAGAAATTGGGCGAGCGGTTTGCGGGGCTGCAGAAGGGAATAGGGGCGTTTGGGTTTGGGAAGCAGGCTACGGGTGCGGGGGTGAAGATAAGTAGGCCGATGGAGACGCTTCCTAGTGAGTCAATCCAGATCTGGATTGGGTGTGATCAGAATAGGGAGGAAGGGTGTGGGCTGATATCTAAGGATACGGGAACTGAACTCGGCGCCAGGTGAAGCAAGAGGAGGACAGCGATGAGATATACCCAGTGTAGCAACGATACCCAGCTTCATGATACCCACTTGCACTTGATAGGATGCCCCAATCCAAAAATACCAGCGTCATGTCACATGCATATTTGATACCCATGTGAAACCTACCATCGCTCTTGTATCGCGTCTGAAGCGACCCCTGCCTGACTTGAGCAGAGAGAAGTGGTAGCGCAGTCATCTGAATTCAGATACATGTCTCAACTCCTCCTTGGGATGCTGAAGTCTAGGGACTAGGAGAATAAGTGAGTGGTGATTGGTGAATATATCGCGAAAATCCCTTTCCGTCTATCAAGGTAGCTTAGATGACAACTCCCTTCCCTCCTCTGCCCTCGCATCCCCGTCCTCAGACTCAGACCATAGATAACCCCCCTAAGTCTAGCTCCGAGACAACGCTCAAGCCGCCGGGGCTACCTTGTTGGAGCGGTCGAGGACTTTGATAGAGTTCTGGCTAATACTATCAATATGCTTCCCCGATACGCGTGAGGGAAGGACATACCTGAGCACATTCTCAGTCCGACCTTCAGAGTCGGTCTTGTTCTGGAGTGTGGCTGGTACGTCAGCGAGGGCTCGGAGCAGCACGAAGTGTGAGGTGCTTAAGAGGTGGATGTTGAAGGGAAGGAGACCATAGACTCACCCTCGACAAGCACGAGATCACCAGAGTGGATGTTGGGCATCACGGCGCCGGCGTTCTCGCGGAAGTTAAAGACGGAGAACCAGTCGGTGTCGCGGATGGGGTCTGCTAGTCAGCTATGCCCTAGAGCCCGAACAAAGCGAGAGGGGTCTAGCTTACTGCCATCTTCACCACGAAGGAGCTCTGGTCCTATCAGCTACTGTTCACATTGACTGGACGCGGACACCTCGGAAGGGGAGGAGTGGATATGAGGTGCTGGAAGATAGAACTCACGCCCAGTAGCGTCCTTCTTGGGCGGCTTGGCCACTGCGACCCTGTACAGGTAGTACTCGCGCTGCTCAGCACCGGCGATGTCCTTCCTGGTCGGCTCTCCGCCGAGGCGACCGACAAGGGTGACCTTGGCGAATCCGCGCGAGGGGACGGCGGTGGCGGACTGGCTAGTCAGTATGTGACGCAGATAAAGAGGCGGCGAGGGGATGTAGCGGCTGAGGATGGAGTAGAAGATGGATTGGGCAGGTGAAGGGGAAGGAGGAGGCAAGACGCGTACCTTGAACGTAGAACCGACCTTGGCGATAGATTGACGGAACATCTTTGCTGAGTGATGAAGTGGGAAGAAAGAAGAATGAGAGTGAATATCAAGATCAAGACGGGGCTGTACGGTGTCTTATATACCTCTCTAAAGATGAAAGAGCTGAGTGAAGGGGTGAGATGTAACCTTTAACCCTGTCAACGTTCACCACTTCGGCCCTTCGCTCACTTGAGGATGTCCTCCGCCGCGCGCCGTCCGTCTCGGAGATTAACGAAATTACGCAATTCGGCAAGTCGCGACGAGTGGCGAGAGTGGGGGTGAAACCTGCGGTGTGTTTCGTCTTTGGCGCGCGGCTTGCATGCCTTCGCCCCTGCCTTCATGCACACAGGTGCGAAGGCGCGCGAGAGGGAGGGCAAGGAGGCCGGGATTGGACTGGAGTGGAGAAGTAAAGGTCGGGGGAAATGTCGCATACTGAGCTAGGTGCGGCATGGAGCGAGGTGGACAAAAGAGGATGAAGGTGTTCACGGGTGAAATGTAGCAGATATGCGGCTCCTGGGAGGCGAAACACGATGACGCTGACAAACCGGACCGTCATTCGGCCAGAAGGTCAGAACAATACGGAGCATGGAGAGTCCAGACAGGAGGGGAACCACAAGCGGAACCTCGAATGGGACCAAAGGCGTAAAGTCCCTGAGCCACTGGGACGTCGGTGCGCCGAGAAGGCAGGCTGAAGACAGAAACCAGAGACGGGTCCGAAGAGCCGAAGAGGTCGAGCAGGATGGATGAGCAACGCGCCAGAGCGCCCTCGGCCGAGGTCTGCCCTCCGTCCACTCCAGCATGCCCACGACCCCCACGATTCCAATGCAGACCCTGTCGCACATGATGGTTCCAACCCGGGTACGTAGGTCGCAGTGAGAACAGCCATGCATTTTCCCTTTCGCCTCTAGCCCAAAGGTATAACGCGGACTCTATCGGGAGTATGTCCAGACGTTCTTCAACACTGAGATAGTCAGCTATAATTCATTTTGGGCGATATCGGATAAGGTCGGGGCCGGGGGGCGCGATAGATAGATGAATTCCTCTCCTCCGCCTTCCCTCTAGCTCGTTTCTCCACCTCTTCTCAGCATGTCCGCCGTTCCCAATGGTAGCCTCTTGCTTGATGAGGCCACCCCACCGTCGACAGACGTCTTTTCCCTTTGCGACCTCCCGACGTCTTCCCTCTTATCCCCCATCCCCGCCTTCACGATCCCCATGCCACCCTGGCTGTCCCCTCTCATTCACCCCGATCCATAACGGCTCTACACACCTCCCTTCCCCTTTCCCCCTTGACGCATTCCCCATGACCTGACCCCGACCCGACCCAGACAGAGCAAAATCCTCAAAACTCACGACCCTCCTTGGTCGCGATCCGGTTGATCGAGTCATCGCTGTCCCCCTGTGCCCTTATCCTGCCGCAAATAGCAATGGTGGTCGCCTGGCCCTTGATGGCCTTTCCGTCGGCGTCAACGTCGGCGATCTGGATCTGGATCGAGGCGTGGTCCTTGGCGGTGATGAGCCGGTCTGTGGGTGAGCCAGAGTTCACCGTGTAGGTGATATATGTTCCCCCAAGTCCCTCGACGGTCCCTTTTGTTCCTCTCGCGACTCTCCCAACTCTTCTAGGCTGTCCCTCTTAGGTTCCCAGCACCCACATCGCAGCCCCACGTGTCCGCCGTCTACCATCCTCCCATGAGTCGGCCCCTCTTGTCCTCTCCTCCTATCCCCGACCAAATCCACCTTCCACCTTTGACCCAATTCCGCAAATGCAAATCTCGACGTACTGGTGGCGGAGCAGTGACGGGGGATGTAAAGATCAACGAGGGCGCCCTTGTCGTTCTCTGCAGGATCAGCATTTCCCCCTATATCCTTTGTATCCGTCCGTCCGTCCCTCTCTGTCCCGCTCGCGACCCAAGGATCGGCTTCCACCGCTTGGAATTCGCTAAGACCTCGAGGGGACGAGCAGCCGGAGCAGAACGCATGACTGACCCATTTTGGCTGATGTATATGACGGTAAAGAGTGGGGTAGAGGGTCGGTATAGGGCAGGTTCAGCTATCTCGTGCACGGCAGCCAAAACCTCGAATTCGCGCGCCGCGGGGGACAGGGGCGGACGGCGATATCCGGCGATACAAAAGGCTCAATTTGGTGTGGCACGCTGTGGCAGAGCTGATCCGTGCGTCCGATCGTGGATCTCGTAGTCATCTCGTAAGATCTCAGACAGATCTATTATCGGCAACGCAGCGCTCGTCTCGTCACGATCTATGTTGAAAGAGGATGAAGGCGAGAGGCAGGCGGTGCAGCGACAGACACCGCTCAGAAGAGAGAATAGCGGGAACGATCACTTCGCTACTGGTATGCACTTGGATATATAAGACGGCTTCCGCTAGACCGTCGCCAAGAGGACAAAGGAAGATCTATCGCTCTCTGCCCAGCCACGACGGGTCTCGGACTAGAAGATATGACGCAACCGGTCACCTCTTACTCTGCCTCTGCTGCTCCTCCATACGACGTGTACAACGCCAACCCTCAGGCCAACGCCTACCCTCCAACACCCCTTTCAAACTTTGCACACCATCATCAGCGAGAAGGAACGGACGCCTCGGATCGGCCCCTCGTCCAGCCCTACTCCGCGCAAGCGCCATATCAGGCGTACCCCGCCCCCACCCAACCATACCCCCAGGCGCAGCCATACCAGTACCCCTCCGCCCAAGCCAACCCCGTATCAGGTATGGTACACCCCGCAGCGGGGTCCGGGAATGCGGACCCATCCGCGCCAGTCCATGGCCATCCGCACCATGCGCATCCGTATGCCAATATCATGCACGAGACGGAGCAAGAGTTGACGGAGGATGAGCGGGAGGCGTACGAGAATGGGATACTGACGTGGGAGAAGGCCAAGAATTGGAGGTTCTGGTTCAGGAAGGAGTGGATCTGGTACTATGTCGCACTGGTGTTGCTGATTGTGGTGGTCGCGTTAATGGCGATTTTCCACCATCAGGTGAGTCTTGCATGGGAGCGGGACCGGTAAGGCGAGGAATCTGACAGGGCAGATCATCAACTGGCTCACACCCTTCACGCGGAAACTACAGTCCATAACGGTCGGATGGCTCATACCAGTCGCTATCCTCTTTGTACTCAGTTTCCCACCGCTCTTCGGAAATGGTACGTCCCGGTCCCGCCGATTATACCTTCACTGTGGAAAGAAGCACTGACCTAGCAGAAATCGTCATGATCCTCGTCGGCATAGTCTGGGGACTGGGCGTGGGCTTCGCCATCGTCGCGGTCGGTATCAGTCTCGGCGAGATCGCCAACTACTTGTAGGTCTCTTCCTTTGGCCGAGGCGCAAAACGGCAGGGTCAAGGCTGACTCATAGCGTGTTCAAATACTGGTGCTCTGCACGAGCAGAGCGGATGACCAAAAAGTCCCTCAACTACGCCTGTTTGACACAGGTCGTGAGGGACGGCGGGTTCTGGATGGCCTTTATGATCCGTCTCAGTGCTATTCCAACGTGAGCTCCATCCCGCTTCCATTTCAGGATCAACAACTGACTCATCAGGCATTTCTCGACCGTCCTGTTCGCTGTCTGCGGCCTACCAGTATGCCCCCTCCCCACTTCCCATTCCATGATGATAGCGAGCTGACTCCCAGTTCTGGCAATACTGCCTCGCCCTCATCGCCGGCCTCCCCAAACAGCTCATCGCGGTATACGTCGGCGTCGTCCTCGCCGGTTCATCTGGCGACACATCCGGCAAGACCCCATCGACAGCCATCTCCGACTCGGTATTTGCCGTGACGGCGATCATCACCCTCGCGTCCCTGTACTACATCTACCGCAAGATGATCGCGGTGAGGAAGAAGGTGTTGATTGGGATGAGGACGGATCTGGCCGGGAAGGGAGTGACGAGTGTCGGGGAGCTGCCCGGGGAGGGAGGGAGTCCGGTCTCGGAAAGGCAGGCGCTGAGGGCATGAGCCCATGAGCCCATGAGACGAGCAGGGAGCGCTGAGGCGGGAGATCCTTGAGCGGGATACATCTGAATCCGTTGGTATCTAGGATAAGCGGGGGCGGCAGAACTGGGAGTGGAAAGTGATCTTTGTAGACCTGTTGTGAAGCCATGATGCATTATAGAATCGTACATCGCAACATTTAGATATCCCAACAGAACAGATTCCTCAGACCCATTGGACCCAAAATCGACACTGGATCTCCGAACTACACATCGCACCGCCTATCTCCCCCAGTCTGACGGCTCCCACTCTTCTCCACTCTCACTTCCACTCTCCCCCCGTCCCTCCGCATGCCCACCCCAGTACCCATCCCTCAGATCCCCGCCATCCTCCCTATCTTCCCCATCATGCTCCCTCCCTTCTTCCTCTTCTTCCTCTTCCTCCTCGCTCTCGTCCAGATCAACAGGGACGACACCCTCCCATCCTGCTATTCTCGCTGTTCTCTGTGCGAGCCTGAATAGCGCATGGGATGACGCCTGCAATGTCGAATTGTACCAACTACCATATCAGCTCACATCTCTCATCTCGAGCCTGCGGTCGGATGGGTGACGTACTAGTTGACAGCCACAGCTAGCCCACCAGCCCCCTCTGTCTGTTCTACACGATGCCACCAACCGGACGGGAGGTACAGCGTGTCCCCCTCGTGGAGCGTGACCACGAGTGGCTCGATCGGGGAGAGGAACAGCTCAGATTCGACCCAGGGCACAGGGTACGCAGGGGGCGGGTCGGGGATGGGCTCGAGGGCGGAGGAGGAGGTGGAGCGGCGGAGGGTCGAGGTGGGATGGAAGTTCTCTGCGTGATCAGCGAAAGGCAGGCAATGAAGACACGACAAAGCGTGTGTGCCAGTCGGGAGAGAATGGGTGGGAGAAAGCGAAACGTACGGGATAGCCAGAGACCTTCTATGGGGGATATAAGCGTGAATGTCTTGGTACCAGACAGGACGTGGTAGATGTTCTCATATCTGGCGGAATCAGCTGAGAGTTCTTGATTCGAACGGAAGAAGAGGGCAGCTCACGGATCATGATGTAACGAGGTGACGCTCCGACTAGACCCAATCCAAAGGTTCACAGCATCCGCTGACTCGCCTGATTCCGTCAGCTGCCCTTTTCCGCCTCGAAAGCGACGCAGAACTGACCTATCGCCTCCCTCATCCAGCTAACGTCCCTCTGAAGATACTCTCGCATCCCCTCGAGCTCATCACCGTCCAAACGCGGCTCAGAGCGGTAGACGTTCCCATCCTGCGATTGGAGGTACATAATCTCGGTGTGTTCCGGGTCACCTGCTTGTCAGTTCCACTTCCGTACACTACACCCAAGTATAGCGGGGGGAAGAAGCGTACATAGACTGTCAAGGAAGTCTGGGACCGCCATCTTCTCTTCAAGAGGCTTGACGAAGGTGGTGAATCCATCCGCTAATCTCCTAACCGAATCAGCGTATCTCTACCGTCAGCTTTTGCTCCTTACTACACACTTGCGTGTCACCGAGCTCACCCGTCGTCAGTGACTGCAATAGTCACCTCTCCGTTCCCCAGTATCCGCCTATACGTCTCCGCATCCTCCCAGTCTAGCCCGTCCCCGGCCGGAGTAAGCGGGTTACATCCTGCTTATATCAGCTCGACGTCTAGCCAGCCATGCACGAGGAAGGGGGAACGTACCGTGTATGATCGTCGGATGAGCGGCATTTACCATCCGTAGAGCCTCCAAGGCGTTAGGCGGCGCTTTTAGCCGAGTATGTATGGGCGGCTGTAAAGCTGCACACGATCAGCCCCGTATTTGTACACTGTCCCCTCTCCTCCGAGGGCGCGCGCTTTAGCTCACCTCGATAGTCATCGAGCAGCCGATGCAGCGCCAGCTCAGTCCGGGACTGCCGCCGCCGATAGTCTTCATCGTAGTCATAGTCAAAGTCGTCTTCGCTCATTCTGGGGAGGAAATGTCGAGTGCGTACCTCCAGCCTTGGGTGGACCAGATTTTTTCGCGCGGATGACGATTACGGCAGCCGAGATGAGGAATGTGGATCTGTAGTTGGGGACCCCATGACGCGTCGATAGGTCGCGTCTCGCGAGGCAACGGAGAGCCTTCAGTGCTCGACCTGCTCGAGCTTGTTATTTTGCTCATACTATCGTCTCCAAGCTGAGCTCAGAGAGAGACGCAGGGACGCGGAGGGGCTCGGAGTAGGCAGAATTTGCGTCCGACCTCCGCACCGCGCGGTGCTGTGCCTGAACGGACGTCCGTCCTCGTTTCAGATGTGATTGCGCGCCTTTGCGCGCGCATGGTACAGCCAAGAAGGGACGCTGACCCGCTCGGGGCCCGAAGGCCGCCGTATGGGCGTCTGTGATCCAGCACCGCTTCACTGAGCGGTGGAATCGTGTATCCTATTTAAGATCGATACATCCTCACTTTACCCCTCGACCTCACTGACTCGCTCACTGTTTCACACCTCTCCCCTTTCCGCATCCCCAATAAATCTATCCATCATCATGACCGACAAGTTCACTCCTGAGCTCTGGCTCACTACGACCCCCTCGGAAGACATGGCCGGTGCGGGTCACGACGGTGGCCTTGGTCGCGACAGCAAAGAAGCCAGAGTAGACATGATTCATCTATATCGTTTTGAGTTCATGCCAGAGCTACATTACCTATCTATACCCTAGCACAGCTCGTGAAGCAACATGATGATCCGTCCGCGATCCGCTACTCGAGCAGGAGCCATGAGCAAGCGGACGCAGCAAAGCTCCAAGCCGCGCAGCGTAACCAACGAGCTAGACTGTGGTCCCGCCCAGACTGCAGACCGGCTGGATCGCCCTCAACCCAGCCAGATGCTCTTATGGCTCGCTCTCCTTCCTCACTCCCTCCAGGTCCCCGGGTACATCTCCCTCCTCTACCACCTCGTCCATCTGCCCAAAGTCGTGGTCTGCGAAGCGACGCTGTATTTCGGCCGTCATGGCGGAGACGTAGGAGGGGCTGATGGCGATGAGGAGCGCTTCGAGGGATTCGAATGTTTGATTTGGGTATGTTTTGGTTGTGGTGGTGGTGGCTTCGATGAGCTGTAACATCAGCTTGGGTCCCAGTGTTGGATCCCCCCTCCTTGCTAGTCCGCCTCAGGGCCAGCTTAGACCAGCACAGATTTATCCGTCCCGTCATGGAAATGACGCTCACGGTATATCCTCTCCTATCCAGCACTATGACCAGATTCCCCTCCCCACCCATGAGCCCCACTTTCGCCTTGGCAGTCACCCCCTCTCCAATCTTGCCCGTGCGTATAGCCTCCACACCAACCCGCTCCCTGTCCTCCGGGGTGATAGGGAACGATTCCTCGATGACGATGGAGGTCGTGGCAGCGTCAAGGCCAAAAGCATTCATCTGGAGGGCGGAGGCGAGCTCTGAGACAGGGTCAGAGAGGATGTTGGAGGGTGGTGGAGAGGACATGCTGGATGTGAAGGGGCTGTGCGCTTTTGTTGGTTATGAGAAGAGCTCTGGTATGCACGATTGAAGCTGGCACGGGCTAGTCTCGATCCAGTACCGCTACAGCTCCGAGAAGGGAAGACAGACGCTGTAAGGGTCTGGTAGAATTGAACTATGCAGCATGTATGTAGCTGGCGGGTTTTGGGGATCCCAGCCAAAAGTTGGCCGCGTTGGCTGGGAAAAGGGGGGCACGTGATCTAATTTGCCTGCCGTAAATGCCTTCGCCACCCAAAATGGGTCCCAAAAACCGTGAGCTCTTGGCTGCAGCTGGGTCGGTTTCGTCCAGACCCTTACGGAATGGAGAGTCCCCTTTTGATGCTGCCCCCTCTTTGCCCTCCAACTCTCCATAAAGTAAGGGGCTGGAGCGCGAGACCAGCACGGGCAAGGAGATCTCGGAAGGAGACCGCGAGGAGAATATGGAGGGAGGAGCTAGGAGTTTAAATCTTAAAGTTAGTGGCGCCAGCGCGCTCGCCACCAACCTCTCAAGCTACAGTCATTACAAGGTCGAACTTGAGCGCCGCAGTGTGAAGCGCGGAGTAGCTCCGGATGGCTCAACTTGGATGCCGTGCGACCTATGAGTGTCTATTCGTTGGGTGAGACGCAGAGCAGAAGAACATTGCACACGATCGCGAGTGAGAGCTCCGAGCGACGGCCTTCTTAAGCTTGCGATCGGTTGGTGACAAAGACAGATCACATCGATCGCCATTTGCTTCGTTGAATCAGGAGTAGGGCTACGTCTTCCCATTTGACCTAGCACCGTCGTTCGACCCATTCGGAAGGAAGGAAGGAAGGCAGGCAGGCAGATAACATGACCTACAGTCCGAGCCGTGTTTGCCCGTCATCCTCTGCACTCGCCACCCGCTGCTCGCCTCCGTATGTACCAGGTGCCGAGGTAAAAGAGGGTTCGCCGGAGGCCAAGTTGCCATAAATTGCTGGAGACGGCGGCCTCTGAAGAATCTAGAGACAGTGACGCGCAACGGTCCGCGCATCGGCAGCTTCTGAATCATTTCTCGTGGCGAGTTTCTTCTCGCCTCACTCCCCGGCTGCATTTGCTCGAGAATCTCGATCGTCACCTGAGCGGCTGAGAAGGACCCAACAGTGAATGGTGACGCAGACACGCAGACACAATAGTGATATGTACAGTTGGTGGCGGGAATACGGCCAGCGTCAGAGGTACACTGGCGGAGTTTCAACCGGACAGCGTTGGCAAAGTGTCGCACGGAGAGGCAGACCCCCGAGTCGTCGATGCTGTCAGGCTCTCATATATGATAATCCTTTGATATACAGCACAGCTTTCGTCAGACCGAGTGTTTCAGAATGGCAAAGATCACGAATAAGCACCCCTGGGCAGTACTGGTGGGGGCTTCGTGCCACCAATGGCGCCATCGTCCCGGCGTCCGTCAGTGTCATTTGGCCGGACAATCTAGCCAAGAGAACCTTTCAGCTACACATATTGGGACAGACGCTTTGGTAGCTGTTATATATACCAGCTTTTCAGGCAAGGCTAGGCCTCTTCACCTCGTATTTCCCCACCCTATACCCTGGCCTACACCGTAATATCTTCGCCTCATTCACTTTCACACATCTCTCAACGGCGCCCCGAAATGTCTGAACTTCCGCTTGATATTTGGCTGCTGGTAAGGGACATCTTCCAGGATGACTTGACGCTTGACCCCCACGGCAAGGTCTCCCAGGACATCGTGGATTCGCATGCCGCTATCATGAACCTTGCTGGCACGTCTCGGGTACGTTTTGCTCACTCGTACTTCTCAGCCTCCCTTGCGTCCGGGATGCTGACTCGACAGAGACTGGCTCATATCAGCAAGCTCCACACCCCCTCACAAGGACGACGATCGATTGTTGCTTTCAATCCCGGAAAGCTATTTGACCAGTCGCATCAGGACAATTCCGCCAATGATACTCTGGAGAAGCAGACTCTTGCGAACGTGATACAGATGTACATCACGAGCATCACCGGCCCTTCGTTGGATCGTCGCCTCACGGGGTACTCGGCTCGCCATGACAATCTATACAAGGACTGTCATGCGATCTTCGAAGCAGCGCGAGCAAGAATGGAAGCTGATCCCACCTTTCTGTCGAACATTGAGTCTTTCGTCTTTATGTCGGGCGCGCGGTGGTGGATGTCGGATCAGAAGATCAGGGAAAACCTCTCAGACTCGACGACCCCTCACGAAACATCCTTCGATCTCTTGCAGATGGCCAACGAGCGGGGAGCACTTTTCTGCCAGCATCTGTCCGAAGGCGTCAACGAAGTATCGAAGCGGACCCGACCAAGCGCAGATGATCCCACAAAAATGGTCAGCATCGCCACGGTCTGCCCTCGGGCATCGTATGCCCTGCACCTTTATGGAGGCATCGACCCAAAACAACGGAGAATGCAAGCTCCACTGACCCGAGGCAGGCTGCAATGCGGGCCCATGACCTGGTACTGGGAGGGTCCGATCCTCGAGAACAAGGAAAGCGATGTGGAAGGCACTCTTGTCGGCCTGCACCTCGATTCGCTGGCCAGGCAATTCAAGATCGGGGGACTGGAAGTGCGAAGCTTCACCGGCTACTTGCCAACGCTGTCAAACAAGTCTGAGGAGATGAAAGCCTGGCTCGCGGAGCTCGTGGAAGACATGGAACACACCGTGTCTGAGAATGACAACCCGCTCCCGCTGAAGAATGAGCATGGAGAACCCTTGATCACCCTGAAAACGATCGATCAGGCTCGGGAGAAGCCGTGCAAATGCGGCCATCCCCGTTTTCATCCCACAGAGATGAGCGTTACAGGTGATGATGAGACCGGCGCCATCATGGATGACTGATGAGCGTAAGGTAGAGGGCAGGACACGAGAGTCGGGCGGAGTCGGCAGTGCCGTTCGAGGATGACCTGGCTAGTACCGAAGCGAGGTATGCTGGTCAGACGGTGGTTCTTTGCTTAGACGAGGGTTGGTCAGTAGATCGCGGGGCCGTATACATGGGCATGTGAATAGATGCGTCTCGATCAATGTACCCGCAGGACCATCAGGATGAGCTCCAACATGAGTATCTACAGCCGGTCACCTGATCAGCCCAAATCATACATACATCGCCTCTGGGAGCGTACAAGCCTATGCTGGCGAGGCAATCGACCGCCGAGCATCCCCACCGAGATTGTCAGGAACAGCATATCGGGTATCCGTCTCTGACAGGAGCTTGCCGCCGAAGAGGACCTGGCCGTTCTTGGCGTGGAACTGGGCGATACGCTGCTCAACCTCGGGTCCTAAAGGGTCAGCAGTAGCCTGAGAGTGTAACAGTAAGCAGGGACATACGGAAATGTCTCATCAGACCCTGGATGGGCCATGCGGCAGCATCACCGAGCGCGCAGATGGTGTGACCCTCGACCTGCTTCCTGCGGTATATCAGCAGCTGTATGTCTGTTGAGCAGAGATACGCACGTCAACTCCAGCAACATGTCAATCTCCCGCTCCTGCGCTCGTCCCTCCACCATCCTGTCCATCATGTTCATCATCCAAGTGGTACCCTCTCGGCACGGTGTGCACTGACCGCACGACTCGTGCTTGTAGAACTTGGCGAATCGGGCGATGGCTGAAATCATGTCGGTGGTTTGGTCCATGACGATGACGGCGCCGGTACCGAGTGATGTCTGAGCGTCTTTGAGGGAGTCGTAGTCCATCCTGTACCGTCAACAAATTCCGCACACGCGGGGAGAAGGACAACTCACAACACCTGCTCACAAGTCTCCCTTGGGATGACTGGTACCGAGCATCCTCCCGGGATAATCCCCTTCAAATTCTGCCATCCACCCCTGATACCTCCACAGTGCTTCTCCAGCAGCTCCTGCAGCGGGATACTCATCTCCTCCTCGACGACACAAGGGTTGTTGACGTGTCCGGAAACGCAGAACAGCTTGGTCCCGCTGTTCCGCTCGCGTCCGAATCCGGCAAACCAGCTGCCGCCTCGACGAGCGATCGTGGGGGCGACGGCGATGGTCTCGACATTGGCGACGGTGGACGGACAACCGAAGAGACCGACATCGGCAGGGAATGGGGGCTTGAGCCGAGGCTTCCCCTGCTTGCCCTCCAGCGACTCGATGAGAGCGGTCTCTTCTCCGCAGATGTAGGCTCCGGCACCTCGGTGGAGGTAGACGTCAAAGTCGTAGCCCGAGCCGCAGGCGTTCTTGCCGATAAAGCCAGCCTTGTACGCCTCGTCGATCGCCTGCTGGACGTGTCCGGCCTCCTGGTAGAATTCTCCTCGAATGTAGATGTAGGCTACAGGTCAGCAATGCTACTGAAGCGGACGGGGACAACTTACCTGCTGTCGCGTTCATGGCACGTCCCGCTACGAGACACCCCTCGACGAGCTTGTGCGGGTCACCTCGCATGATCTCGCGATCCTTGCAAGTTCCCGGCTCTCCCTCATCGGCATTGACGACCAAGTATCGTGGCCGCTTATCCTTCTCCCATCCAGGCTTGTTCACTACAGCGTCAGCTGCGATCTGCCATTACCCGATCTGCTAGGACCTACTGAAAGACCACTTCAAACCACTCGGGAACCCAGCTCCGCCTCGACCTCTCAGGCCCGAATCCTTCATTGTCTGAATAATCCATGAATCGCCCTTCAACAAGATCTCTTTGGTCTTGTGCCAGTCTCCTCGGCTCTGCGCGCCCTTGATACCGTGATCATGGCGGCAGAAGAGGTTGGTGAAGATCCGATCTTGATCCTTGAGCCCGCCGTAGCGGCGCACTGGCGGATCGGCGACTGTGGCAAGCGATCGAGCGCGCACCCCAAGTGATGGTGCTGATCGGGGGATGGTGCGCGGTGTGCGCATGAGTAGTGTAGCGGGTCGCATGGTGGGTGTAGGTTATAGGTTCAAAGTAAGATCGGATGGATCGAAACGGTCGTGATTGGTGCAAGCTGAGCGGGAGCAAAAGTCCCACCACAAGAGCACAGAGATCGGCCACGTGGCTATGAAACGCAGCTGAAAGTGGCGCCGCCGGCAGTGAGGTATGCGCTGCCTGTAGGGTGGACGGGGCTTGACCGATTGTCTCACTGCAGCTGCCTCATGAGAAATCTCCGCTATCCCCGATAGTCGCGTCTGAGCACTGCGGCAAGAGGTGTGAAACATGGTACTCAACAGGGATCTCTCGGCGGCACATCTCTCAAACATCATCGAGCCTGGTCTCCCATCTCCCAAACATCTGAGGTCTCAGACAACTCGGCATCCCGGTCTTCACATCACAACAACATCTATCGACTGCCCATCAAACACACGGTCTCGGATACGGAATACTCTCTCGGACTTTGGACTCGGAAGGACGGATAGCACAACTGCGGACACCTTCGGATATCGGAACTCGGAACATCCCCGAGCCAAGTCTCCATCGGCGATATCTCGCCAAAACATCTACAGCTATACCGGTGGTGCGGTAGCCAAGTTCAAACAATGTCTTCGGGCTGGACAGGCGGAAAGGCGGAACAACCACAGGAAAGGCGGATGGAAGGGAAAAACTACAAAGATATCTACCAAAAATCGACCAGCATCTTTTTGCTACAGGACATGATGCGTCTGACAGAATGATGCGGACAGTAACGAGTCACATAGTCCGTCCTGGGAAATGTATCCCGCAAGTTCAGCTGATGGTATCGATACAAGCCGTTACGCCAGGCTCGACCATTTTTTTTGGCAGTCTTCGCGTTTGGCTCTCAGCAGATCTCACGCCAGCGACAAGCTTTGAGCCTAATAGAGGGCACAAGTATGCATCAGTGCTATAATACCAGCTGGCTCAGCCGAAGCCGCCAACCTAGGAGTTGACTCGCCACCCGTGGACATCCACGATGATCAGGAATGAGGTCACGTGATCATCTGAACCATCTTTACGTACCCGTTTTCTCGACCTCGCATTTCGCGTCCAACTTTCGGTCTTCAATATTCAATAGCGACTGACTCTCTGCAAGCAGGACACAGATAGCCGAAGATCTGAGGTGGGGATGACCTAGATCATGCGCAATGGCTTACTCCTGAGGTACGGTTGTCTCTCGCCGCTTTTGATGCCAGACTGACTAGTGCAGAAGCTCCCGGTCCCGACACACCGGCATCGCTTCCCCTACCCTCCATCCTATACTCTCTCCTCGAGCCGTCCCTCCCTATAGCAGAGCCTCTTCCGCTGCCGTCGGCTATGCACGCACAGCAGCTGCTCCGCTCCGTCCTTCGGTGACCTCTCAGCCTCCCCGTCGCAATGCCGACCCTACTTTTCATTCCGTCGAAAGCCTACTCGCGGACAAATGGGTCCGACCCCTCTCCGTACTCCTCTCCGCCATCCCGGACCATGCGTTCACGGACAGTTCGACGAGATGGTACAAGACGACCCTCCTCGGTCTCCTGGCGGCGCCGGCGGACGAAGCCTCCGTCATCCGCTTGCTACCGATCATCAAGCGGGTGATTGATGGGGAGCAAGTCCGGGAGCTACGAGACATCTCTCGGCCGGTCATGAAGCGATTGAGGATGAGACGGATGCTAGTGGAGCTGCCTGTCTTTATTGATATGGCTCTGGGTCGAATGGAGGCGGCGGCGGAAAGCGGTGAGGCCAAGCCGGAGGCGTTGATGCGAATCATCGCATCGTTACTGGGCGGTCTTCGGCGGTTTCGGCACTTCTCCACGCTCAACGACAGAGACGCATACGCAAATAGTCTACCTCCAATCGTGAACGACCAAGCAGTCCGTCTCGCCGCATTCGCTATACACCTCGCGGAGACACAGCCGTCCTCTTCCCTCGCGCCCAGCGTGATCAGCGATCTGATCCGGGAACGGCTATTCGATCGGGTCCTTCTGACGGCGGAGATCAGGCGGATGCTTCTCGCACATCTGCCGAGGAAGTCGACCACGGCGGGCGAGTTCAGGGCATGCGCCATGAGCATGATCAGGGAGGGCAAGGCGGACACTGTCAAGCGGGCAGAGGGCCTGATCGTCAGGGCGCAGAAGGCGGATAGGAGGTTGGCTTTACCCCCCAGAGTGTACCCCTTTGCGGAAGAGGCGGAGGATGAGGATCCGCAGCTGGAGCTTGTACATGCAGAGGCAGAAGGGGCGTCAAGGCAGATGGGGACGCGCTCACCGAACCTGGTGCTGGATGCGGTAGAGGCGATCGCGCTCGCTCGGTGCGGGTCGACCGCTCGTGCCGTCCTCGGAGCGCTCGAGCCGTATCTCAACTCTCCAGAGCCCGCCGACGCAGGCGGACCGGTCAGCGCGGAAGCGTCGGCCAGGCAGCCCTACGCGTGGTCCATCCTCATGCATCGCCTATCGGGGTCCTCTCACACCACCGCCGATGACCTCTTGGGTCTCACGTCCGAGCTCTCGGAAGAGCTCATGATACCCCAAATCATGTCACCGCTCATCGCCGGCCTCATCTCCCGGAGGGACTTGACGCCAGCCTGGGACATCTTTGTCGATCTCTGCGAGAAGCAAAGAGCCGAGAATGTCCCAGGACGGTATGTAGACCGTCAGCTGCTAGCTGCGGCTACCCCTCTCTGCGCTCAGCTTTTCGGCCTCGACGCAGCCGTTCAGCTCGTTGACGAGTGGGCTCGTCGGACTACCGGTCCCTCCCCCACAGACTGGCGTCACTCCATTACCATCGATTCGGTCAACCTCAATACCCTCCTCACACAGTGCGCTCAATTCAGTCGTCCAGGCATCGCCCTTCGTCTGTTCGCGGCCGCGCAACGTCGCTGGGGACTCTGGCCAGACCATATCTCCCTCAACATCCTCGTCGATTGCTGTCGGTTCTCACAGACCACAGACGCAGACGAGCCAGACAGTATCCGGTCACGCCTCCGGGACCTCGTCGGCGAGATGCGGCTCTTTGGGTCAAAAGAGCTCGACAATCCGGGCGATAGCTATATGGTGCATGATATCCCGGAGCTGGCGGATGGGGACGTGAGCATCCTGCTTGATCGAGAAGGGATGAGCTGGCGGGAGACGATGGGGGACATGCGGCCCTGGCAATTCGGTCGTCGGATCGTCCGGGATGTCATCCTCGGAAACTGGCCATACCTCGTCGATGTCCCCTCTCCACTCGACTTCGGTCCCTTCGCGAAGCTCGATGATATCCTCCGTCCATATCCTTCTGCCCATCCCGACGAATTGCGCCTCCCGCTCCTTACGGCGCGATACACCCATATCATCCCTTCGGCGGGTACGTTCCAGTCATACATCACCCTCCTCGGCTTCTATGGGCGCACAGAGGAGATCCCGGTGGTACTCGCCTGGGCGCGGGAGCTGGGCGTGCAACTGAACGCAAAATCGATGTGCTCGGCGCTGGCGTATATTGGGGAGGTGGAGGGTCCGAGGCGGCGCGTCAGGGGCTGGAAGCCAGAAGGCGGGTCGGCGTTCGTCAGGGATGAAGAGATCATGCGGAGGTGGTTGCAGGAGTGGATCAGGGGGGAGGTACCATCGGAAGGGGACGTGGCGGCGTTTGTGAGGGAGGTGAAGGTGAAAGGGGCGGCGCTGTCTGCGCCGAGATGAACGGACGATGCTTGAGGGATATACAAAGGGGTCAAATGTATCCATAGATCTATCTAGATTGGTGTATTGAGACAAGGAATGGCCAGTCCCCGGCTATCGCGCTATGGCTAAGGTATGGCTAGGGCTACTAACCCCTCCGCCGCTTCGGCCTCCTCCCACTGCCTTCGCCTTCAGCTTCCATAGCAACGTCCCCGCTCTTATCCCTCCGGTCCTCCTCCCACGCCTCGAATATTCCCCTCCGTAGCCTGACGCTCACGCCCCGGCAACTCGTCAGATCGATCCGGCTCAAAAGCGGACAACCGTCGAGAATCATATAGACCTCTTCCGTAGTGATTGCCGTACCGCTGAGATCGAGACTACGGAGGTTCCGGTACTTCGCTATGTACAGGGCAAGCCGGGGCGTACCTTCGATGCTTGCGCCTGGAAGTGAGAGGGACTCGAGAGGCGGCACGAAGGAGCTCCCCACGCCCTCTTCGGCCTCCCAGGGCTCGATGATGAGGACATTGGGGTAGAATCTTTGGGAAAGGGAGATGTGCAGATGCAACAGCATCAGCGGTAGTCTCATACGATTAGTCCAGAGTCCTAAACGTCATGGCACTCACTTTCAGCGTGGATTGCCACGGGCCGCCCATAGCCTCGCCATAGGCTTCCACCGAATACCGCTGCATATCCTGGCCGCTCTTTCCCTCGCAAGCCCATCGGAAGTCCTCCATCTTCGTACACTTCTTGAATGCCATGCCAAGTTCCTCAAACCCCCTGCCGGGGCCGCGTTGACCCTCGACATGGCCCAAGTGGACTGATTTGAGCGATGCCGTCTGAGAGTGGACGATGCCGGTGATGAAGTCGACAGGGACAGGTGATCCGCCCAGGTTGAGGGCGAGCTTCTGCAATGTGCCTGGAGCAAGGTTCGCGACGGTGTTCACTGGAATGTCGGGGTGGAAAGGGTAGAGGTGGGTGACGGATGAGAAGATCTGGGAGAAGTGCGCCCAGTCGAATGGGACGTCTCGGTCGGATTGGGCTGTCGAGGGAACCTTGTTCCGCTTCCCTGCTCCGTCCAAGAAATACGCGGGGATGCAGAGATGGGTGATTTTCGGGTATGTGGAGAGTGCGAAGAGTTCCTCGACCTGAGATATCAGCATTTGTCATACCCGTTGTAAGCTGAGCAGACCTACATTCCGCGATGTTACGCCGTCCACTTTGAGCCGCTCAAGCTGGCCTCCGAACGCATCCAGTAGCAGCTTCAGCTCCGCCTCCCTGATCTTCGTCTGCTTCAAATTGAACCCCTTCAGCTTCGGACAACGCTTGACGAGCGCATCCACCGTCTTGCCCGCGACAAGGGAGCAGCCTTTGAGGTTGAGGAGCTCAAGGTTCGGTAAGACTGAGATAAGACCAGCGACTGCGGCGTCGGTCATCTGCGGACAATGTCGCAAGCGGAGCGACGTGACTGATACGGCGATATCCTTCGGTGGATGTAGGGCTTTGAGTGTGGTAGCGGTAGATAAGGCGGCAACGAGGTCGCCCGGAAAGTCAAGGTGGGGGGCGATTATGAACAGCTTCACTGACGCCTCAGCTTAATCCCCTTACCGAGAAGGGCAAACTCACATCTCGAATCACATCCAGCTTCAAGACTCCCCCATATCGCTTATACATGCCCTCCCTGACCCTCAACCTCAGATGGTCGGGCATATCCTCCCACTCGGTCTCCCACCAGCCCTTCTCGGCCGGTTTTCCCTCCACGCGGACTTTCCCTTCCTCGTACAGCCGCTTGAAATTCCGGACGGCTGCGTGCTCGGCGCATACTGCCAAAGTCTGCAGTCCGCGCGGTCGGGCAGGTCGGGTCGAGACGGACGCCGTGGAGAGTTGAGAGGAGGCGACGAGCTCGTCCCAGTCGTCAGTGGAGTTAAAGACGGACCGGTTGGTACGGGCTCGTTTGGCCGGGCGGAAGGACGGATTCCATGACGGATGAGAGAGGACGCCGTTGACGTAGAGACCTGATGCTGAGCCTGGCATGATGGGCTAGTGAGACGGTAGTATGGCGAAGTTGCAAGGGTAAAGCAGCGCTCTTGGCCATGCGCGCACAGTCCGTCAGCAAGCTGACGTCATAACACCCATACCTTGGCCTCTCGCGTCGCTCCGTGAAGATGGACGTCGGAACAGCGAGTGGAAATTGCATTGTCCATCATCACGAGCACCGGCACAATGTCCGACTGGGCTGAGCAGAAGGCTACGGGTGTAATAGACCACCTCACTCTGGAGCCTTTCGGCGGAAGACTGGCTCTTTGACCTGAAACACACAGACCTTCCCCCTCAAAGGACCCTGATGTTTCATCCTTCAACCTATTCCAGGCCGCACCATTCCACTAGGCTCTCTTACTGATATACCTCACCTCCCGCTCACCATGTCTAGTACCGTCGACCCAGCAGTGGAGTCGGAACAGCCAAAGCGGGAGGTTCTGTCACCGAAGGGGAAGGAGAAGTCGCCCAAAGCGCAGGGGAAGGTGAAGGAGGAAAGCGAAGGGGGTGCGAAGACAAGCATGGTGAGCTAGGAAACACATCCACCACTTTGGTCGAAGGTGGAGCAGCGCTGACATGTCAGAGTGCAATGAGCATGCCCATCAACGTCCTTGCTTCCCTGCTGAAATTGCAAGATGTGGAGGATCACAAACCGAGGGTCAGCTATCAAATACTTCGCCGTAAAGGTAAAACAGCTGACAAGCGACCAGCTCTCCAAAATCTCCTGGCTTCCCGATGTACTGGTCTGGAGAGGGTCCATTATCCCGACCGTTGCCGGGCCAGTACTCAGCGTGACCTTGTTCTCGGCGTGCGTCGCGGCTGCTTCGTTGATGTATGGCAAGGAAGTAGGGTTGACCAACAACGTTGGTCAGTTTTCGTGTCTTCTTGGTCGCTCAAGATCCAGAGCTGACTGCTCTAGTGCCTTTACTATCTGTCGTGGTTGCGCTGCTTCTTGGTGAGTTGATGAGGTTTCCGTACTGATCGGTCTAGTCTTTCGGAACACTACGGCTTATGAACGATTTGCAGAGTGAGCTGCCATCTGCGCGGGGACGGGGAGGTATACGAAGCTGACTATCGTAGGGGTCGGAAGGACTTCACCACCCTCATATCGAACGCGCGTAATCTGTCCCGCGTAAGCCATATGCTCTGATCAGGACGAAGTATGAGCTGATACAACAGAACATCTGGATCGTAGTCACCCTCCCTCCCACCAACCCCTCCACCCCAGATGCCAAGCCAGCTATCTCCCGCGCTCGCCTCACCGAGGAGAAGAAACGGATCATCCGGCTCATCGTTGCTTTCGTGGTGGCTACGAAACATCATCTCAGGGCGGAAGGCGGGGTGCATCATGAGGATCTCAAAGGTGAGCTGATCCAAGCGGTGGCATCCACTGACTAGCTTACTCTACAGGCCTGCTACCTGCCTCGATGACGGGCGCCAGCATGCGCAAGCTACACAGATCAGGTATCATCCATACCGCTTCAACCCACCACTCTACATCTCGTCAACCCTCAATATACCCCCTTGCGGATAGTCCATCCGGCCTCAACTCCGAGACCGACGAAGAAGCGCATCTCGGCCTACATGCGACCTCTCCAGTCCATATCTCCCAGTCACAGTTCCACTCTAATGGCTTCAAAAACGCCTTTTCTCGCCTACGCGAGAGAGCACCACTCAAGCGACGCCCTACGGCGGTGCGCGTCTCGGAAGACCGGTACGACCATAAGTCGCAGCGAGAGCGGTCGTCCCCCCGGATGATCAGGCCGAGCGCGAACGAGCGGACACCGTTGATCAAGGCCGGAGTGAAGCCGGATATAAGATGGACGGCGGAGGAGGGAAAGGCGGACATAGGGTTAGGGAGGATGGTGGAGTTGGGATTGCCGCTTATTATGTGCGTCACATCTCTTCTGATGTAAGAGACGGGCCTGAGGCTGACGGACAGTGCGCATGAGATCAGCCGGACTATATTCCGCTTCAGGCGGATGGGTTGCTTGGAAGCTGTCGGACCAGCGGTGAGCTTGCTGTCGCACCGGCTCATATTGTGGGACCTCGAGCTGATATTCTAGGGCATGAACGCAATGCAAGCCTTGGTGCAGAGTATGACCGACCAGCTCGGTGCAATGGAACGAATGTGAGTTCTTGAACTGCTGGATAGCCTGGTCGTGGTCGAGATAGCAGCTGACCATCTCAGTGTCCAGACGCCACTCCCGGTCATCTTCGGCGTCCACCTGAAGCAGACCGTCACGCTCTTCCTCTTCATCCTCCCCTTTACTTTGGTCGATCTCATGGGGTGGAAGATGGTGTTCATCGTGACGTGCTGTGCGTTCACTATGATGGGCGTTGAGCATATTGCGGCGCAGGTGGAGATGCCGTTTGGAACGTGAGTTTGCGGCTGGCGACTCCGTCATTGATACTCAGTATGGACTCAAGCTGATGAGTGCTAGGGATGCTTGTGATCTGAACCTCGACCTTTACTGCACTGAACTGTTGTGCGAGTGCGAGTGAGTTGTCGAATACTTGTCTGAAGCGAGTCGAACGAGAGCCGACTGTTCTAGGGCTATCCTGGACCGGCTCCCTGAAGGAGACGAGGACGATTTTGAGCCGTTCACTCGCTCGGACCAGCAGAGGGAAGTGGACTATGCCGCGGATGATGATAATGCGGACGATGGAGATGCGGATTAGAAGCTCGTCCACCTCTTGCTTCCAGCTTCACAGCCACTTGGACCGCATGTTATGAATCCCGTGTCTGTCCAGCAAGCGGGTCATCGGGTGATTGAGTAGCTAATTTACTCATGCTTCATCTAGATACAACGCGGGGAGCAGATCCCGTCCCGGACTGAATTGCAACGGAATATGAATCTCTCGATGGACTCGAAGGCTGTTCGAGTGGTTGGCTAGTTTATGGGTTTTAGAATTGCTTGACGGTTGACCTGGGGGTAGGCGTTCGTGAGCCGTTTATGTCGACCAGGATGCTGGGATCCTCACTGTAGCGATGTCGGGCTAGCACGGATTCATTGACTGAGGATCACTCAGGACGCATGCTAGCTAAAACCCGTACAGTCTGGTACCGCGTAAGACTGCTATATCAATGCATAAAGGACATAAACGATATCTAGTTGAGAACGATATAGGCTAGAGTTGAGGTAGCGGTTATGGCACAACAAAAGCTGCTACCGGTGATAAGCTACAGGTCAACGGTAACGCACTTTCCAAAAGATTTGGCGATACTGTACCCAGGACTGCTCTACTCGTACACCATTCCCATACCCCTCTTCAACGCGCTTTACGCCGTGTCGTCTCGCTTCCCCTTTCATGCTGCCCTGCAACATCCTCATCGCTCAGTACGGCTAAGCCGAACGTGGCAAAGAGGGGACCGTGACCACTCCTTCAGGAGGAGCCACAACATTGATCAGGAACGATCCGGGAGACTGATCTTCAGCTATATCTCTCAGAGTTCTTGGCCGGTCCTGGGCACCCCATACGAGAACATGCACTCGCGTATGAAGGTCTACGTATGAGATTATCCACTAGTCTATACTACAGCGCTAGGGAAGGAGCCGATGTCCACCGACTGTTGGCGCTTGCGTCAATTGCCGCCGGTATCTACTCTATCGATACTTGTGCACTCCGCCGCAACCTCCCCCTGTCTCCCCCTGTCTCCTTCTCCACCATCTTCCACCCATCCTCTCCCCGGCCGCTTTCACCCCGTAGCTCTTTCCCCTCCATGTCTCCTTCCCCATTTACTCTTCATCCCTCTGCGTCCTCACCCGCCTAGCTATCTCCCCCTGCAGTAGATGCTTCCCGGCCAGCAGCACCTTTTTGGTCTCCATCAGATCCTTCACCCGCTCTGCTATTACCAGCCTGTGACTGAGAAGCTTGTGCAAGCTATGCTCGGACTTGGTTTGTAGAGCGGGTTGCGCGAGAAGTTGGGCGTAGGCGGTGGCGGTATGGTAGATCGGTTGAGAGAGGAGGGATGGTCCTTTGGGGATCGGGATGAGGGTGGACGGGGGAGTGCCGTTATGAGCTTGAGTATTGTCCATGTAGGCCTGGCAGTAAGCTTTGCTCGAACGAAGAGAACAGGGTAATCCAAGCGGGCTGCAGGCTGCGATAGGTCGAGAGGACGAGGCAAGCTAATACTATATAGGACATGAAGAGGAGATCACTTACCATCCATTTCTGTCTTCGTCTCCTCGATCCTTGGCCTCAACTTCCACCACTCCCCGCAGAGTCGATTAATCTCGGCTTCCATTGCGGGTACGGCCTCTTTTGTAAGGAATCGCAACCGCCTACAAGTTAGCTCGATTTCCCGTTGTGTACTCTGTTTAGCACCACGATTGCCTGACTCACTCTTAGAGATTCTTACGCTGTAAGGCCATGAGCTTGGTAGGTGAGGTAACGAAGTCGAGCTCCATGTTGAATGATCGCCTGAAGGCTGAGGGCGGTTTGGAGGGAGGATGGACGCGGGGTGAGGAGCCGGGCGAGAAAGGTTGGGGACAGGGCAGCGTTCAAGCAGAGGGGATCTCTCGGTGGAAGGAGGCGCTTGGTATGAGCTTGAAAGGTGGAAACGAGGGACAATGTCGATGTACCGAGAAGGCGCGTGATCCGCTTCGCTTCGGGCCTTCGGCTCATGAGGTGACGTAATGTGAGACATGAAACGCCCGGGCGTGTTTCAGATTTTGGCTGACTAAGCTCGAGCGGATCGATACTCGCTTCACTTTCATTTCACCTTTGACAAGCGACACCTATGATAAGCACACTCGAAGAGCACCCCACCCAAGCCTTCGCTTCGTCCCTTGCTACCGAACTTAGCCTACCTCGGTGACCAAAGGACCTTTTCCCGGCCGTCCCTTCCCGACTAATAAAAAACAATCGGACGATTACCTGCGCCGCTTAACCCGCAAAGGACCGAGATCTCAGTAACGGACGGCTTTAGAGTATACTCGTATAGACGCAATCAAGGGGAAGCCCATCAAGGGCACCAGACCGGCATCGGCAGCACCGGTCCGCGGCAGAAGCAGGTACCCCGCCAAAGAAGACCATAACCTTATCTCTCGACACCGCCTCGCCTTTCCACGTCTTCGTCCTTTCGTTCTCGCAGATCTCGGTCTCCACGCCTGTCCCACTTTGGTCAGTGATGCAAATCGCGCATCGAGGGATCTGGTCAACTATCGAGTTGCCAATCTCATCCTCTGGCTCGGCAGGGGAGAGTGGGGAAGTGGGGCCTGAGGGGAATTTGCCACTCGTCAAAGTGCCGTACAGCGATACCCGACCAATCAGAACAGGCAGATAGGCAGGGGCTGTGCGACCTTTCATATCCAGCCCCTGTGAGCTGCCGCTTCGCTACAGGGCAGGAGGAGAGGGTCATTTGAACGGTTATTGACAAAGGATGACTAATCCCGCTGTGAACAGTACGTCTTTCGCCACTCACCCTTGCTCCTCTCCTACGTATACCCACCTCTACATATATCTCCCACTTCCATCTGTTTCTTTCCATCTCCCACTACTCCGCATCAGCCATCATGCTTCAGCTCATCTCGGCAGCCACCCTCTTCCTTACGCAACTCGCACACGCTGCGGTGCTAGCCATCCCGGTGAGTCCGGATCAGGTGAGGTATGAGGGTTCCTTCCTTTCCTCTCGCCTCACCTACGACACGCATCCGGCGATTTTGAGGGTCGCCAAAGCTGACACCTCGCAGGTCACACACCCTCTTCCTCTCGTCTACACATTCGACGCACAAATCACTGCAGCTGGCCATGGCGCCGAGATTCAGGGAACTCAGGCGGCGGGAGATGAGGCTAGACGGGTGTTCGCCACCCGAGATGAGCCAGCGAGTGGGATCAGCGGAGGCGCTATTGGCGGTGCGTCCTTTTCATTTACTACTGTAGACGACATAACTAACTCGCAGGTATCATTGCAGCCGTCTTTATCGTCCTGATCATCGGTACCCTCCTCATCGTCAGGTCCCGTCGAACCGGCCAAGGCCCGCAAGCGATCAGCCGCCCCACCTTCCTCCATCACCCGCCGAAAGCCCCTATCTACCCCCATCCCCAAGCCTACGTTGGGCAGTACTCTCCTCCTCCCGCCTACAGCCACCCTGCCCAGCAGCAACCCTACTACCCTGCCATTCAGCATGGCCAAGTGCAGATGCCCCAGACGGTCCACCTGGGTACGAGGGGCAGCTACTACATGCCGGCTGTGCAGCAGCAGCAGCAGCAGCATATGACAGAGGAGCAGAGGGGAGTGAGGTTCGGGCTTGTTGGGGTGAGGCGGTATGGGTAGGCTCGCGCGCAGACATCGACACCCCAGCACATATCGTACCACCTGCGCGATCGGCATACGAAATCTAGCGGTCATGGCAACTCGTCTCTTTACTTCCCGGTTACGCTTCTTCCTGCCTATCGTGACGACCTCCATGACGACGACCAACGATTGCGCCAGGCTCCTTTCCGACGTACCGGACCGACGTGTTGTGGAGGAGGATGGTCCAGAGTGTCTGAAGACGGGGGCTTGGTGGAGCGAGGGGCTCAATCCGGAGGGTGAGGGGGCTGGCTGTTCCAGGCATTCTGTCATATCTTTATCTGTAATATCATATGCACTCCTTCTAGCCATAGCTTGGACTCTTGCCACCGCCGAGGTGTCTCAGATTCGATGCACACGCCAAGGCACACAGCTGTCAGGAACGGAGCTGACATGGCTGAACCTAATCAAGTCACACGACCGGCGACCAGCCTCACCTTCCATCTTACCTTCTTCCACCTTCTTTCTTCTGGTTGTCGACACGTAGGAAGCCCCCCTTTGTCCTGCACCCATACAACGCTGAAGTAGGCATCAAACACTTCCCCGCTTCAAAGAAGGTCGTGTGAGCACACGCCACAAAGCTACACATCGTCAGCCTGCGCTAGGGAGTCACATCGCTTTGTCCTCTTACACCTCATCCTCACATCTGCATCCATACCCGTCTCTGTCATCCAACAACATCGCAGCAGCCTTACTGCTACTCCAGTACGCTCACAGACACCTCACAGTGAGTCCAGCGGAGCTGTCCGCGGTGCAGACTCATAAATCCCAGCTGACGCTGTAGACCATCATGGACTACCTCACTATCCTCGACACGCGCTCCCTCCTCCTCTTCGCCACCCCTTCTGCATCCACCTCTTCCAAGACCTCCCACCGCGACTCACCTCCTACGACTCCCACCACATCCCTTCCCCCCCCCAACCCATCGCTATCCCCCTCTCGAACCTCGTCTGCCCCGACACGCACCTCTTCTTTTTTCTCCAAAAGCACTTCCTCGGTCGCCCGGAACACCAGACAACGCGGGACGAGCGCGCCGAGGCGGAGGTACTGGTCTGGCGGGAGTTGGCCAAGGCAGGCACGTTCATTCGGGATTTGGGGATGGCGGCGGGTCGAGGGGAGATCCGGGAGGAGGGACTGAGGAAGGGCGCGAGAAGGTGTGGGCTGGTTCTAGTGCGGCCAAGGGAGCAGGGCAAGAAGGGAAATGCGAGGGCCAGTAGGACGGGGTGTGCAGGTGGCGCTGTGGTGGAGAACGAGGGGGTGGTGGCTTGAGATCCACCACCTCTCATTGCCCAATCGTACCGAGCTCGAGCTCCTCCTCAACCTCTCCCGTTCATTGCCCTTCCCTCATCCGCTTCACACGGCATCCTCACAGCTGCTACCTCCCCAAGCTTACACCCCAACAATCCCCCGCCCTCACCCCCCCGCATTCCCAGACGAATCAGCTTTCTCCCATAATCAGCCCATCCCTGGTCGACGACGACAACCACCCTCCGTATGGCGCATGGCTGTACGTATTGTTCATCACACACTGTACCAGTATCATTTGTATCATAAAGCCAGTAAAGCATAACTGCACGTATCAGCTCCTCTCCTTCTCGCTCCAGCTCTTCCCATTCCGCGCACTTCTCCCCGCCTTATGAGCAGCAGTACTCACCCAGCCATCATCACCGCCCCGCCCAGCGGCGTCATCGGTCCCGCTACCTTCCCAACCTTCTCCCTAGCCAGCACCAGCGCAAAGATCGTCCCGCTAAAGACCGCCCCTCCAGCGGCGATCATCCCCGCCGCAACGCGGTACTTGCGAATGCCCGCAATGAGTCCCGGATGGAACGAAACGACCAGCAGCCCAAGACCGTTGTAGATCATGTATTGTGAGGCGGTGGTCCATGACCCGATGGATCGCTCTGAGAGGGCAGGGGTGCGAGACCGGAGACCGTGGGCTCCGAAGGCGCCGAGAGCCATACCTGTTGCGGCTGGCTGATCAGCTCGATCATGTAAGTGGCATAACAGAGGGCGCACTGAAGATCGCGCCGGTGCGCCAGGCGAGCTGGGAGGTTATTGTAGCGGACATGATGGTGGGTGGCAGAGAAGAGAAGGCGAGGCATCATCTGCCCCTGTTCTGCAGGCCAAGGTGGGCTCGGTGATCGGTGACCGCTTCCGTTGGAAGTGATAGTCATGAGCCAAAACCTTGCGAACTTGCGAAAGGATTGAAGTAACTTCTTGCAATACCTCTCTTCTTTGCATAGCATACATCGCCATACTTAACAGCATCGACTAGCCAAGATGCAGACCCTACACGTCAAGGACAACTTTAATGCCGAAGAAGCAGCGCATGCAGCCGCAGAATTTGTCTCGAGTAGGTCGCCTTCCCGAGTTTCCGCGCCCTCTTCGCGACAAGTCACAAATGGACTTAGCTGATCGAGTAGGCCTCGATAACCTGCCTGGAGAGGTCGCGTTCTTGCTAGAAGAGATCAAAGAGAAGGACCTGCGGATCAACCGTAAGCTAATGCATGCCTTGCTGTGTGGCGGCAGAGCTGACGCACCAGAATTACTCAGCCGAATCAATACCCGTCATTTCGGGCTAACAAAGCACGCCCGGTCCAGCATCAAAGATAAAGACAAGGACTCCGCATCTGCTACGGGGTCCAGTACACCGCCCTTCCCCCTTCCACTCCCGCCCGGAACACCACTGCCGACTGCGCATCTATCGTCCAAGGACGCACAGGCGCTCACCAAGATCGCGTCGGAATTCGCCAAGGTCCAGGCGCTGCAGGATGAGAAGATTGCGCTGGCGGAGCGGATGGAACGGATCACGGGGAGGGCCAAAGAGAGGGGGAGGGCGGAATGGTTGAAGGTTGGAGGGATGGATCTGGAGGAGGTGGAGAAGCTCCGAGAGGGCGAGGAGAGCAGGGGGAGGGAGGAGATTGCAGGAGGGATGGTATTGTTGCCTAGTATGGGCTTGGGAACGGGCGAGAGGCCAAAGAGTGAGTCCTACCTCTTCTTCCTTGCAGAGTTGCCCAACGGTCCTGCTGCGACCGAGTTTGCTGACGATCAGAACGCAAACCCCACGCTCTGCCCATGGCCCCTACTTTCCACCCTCCAGGCCACACGATCCACCCTCCACCCCAACACACAGCCATGCTCCCTCCTCCCGCTCCACACCGAGGTCCCGGTCGGCGCCGCAACGACCGCCACCAGTCTTCCACCTCGCGCTTCTCCGAGCCTGACCAGCCCAACGCTGGCGCATCAGACGCCGACGCGGACGGGGAGGACTACGATCCCGACCAGGACGCCGAGGGCGAGGGCGAGGTGGATGGGGACGTGGGCGATGATCCACGGCTGTACTGTATCTGTAATCAGAAGAGCTATGGGGAGATGATTGGGTGTGATGCGGATGATTGTGCCATAGAATGGGTGAGTCTGGCTCTGGCAAGGTTTTGGATCCGCAGCGGGGGGAGAGTGTACTGACGCTACAGTACCATGTTCGATGCGTAGGAGTCACAGGCGCGCTGCCGGAGCATTGGTTCTGCCCCAGCTGTGTCATGCGGCTGGGCTTGACTAGCTCGAGCGGCGGAAGAAAGGAAAAGAAGGGGCGGAAAGCACGGTGAAGCAGGGCATGGGAGGAGTTTCCGAGCTATCTTTGGGACGTATCGCAAATAAAGTCTTGGGCCATGTTAGACCCCTCGTTGTATTTCAGTATATATGCGAAGCTTATAGGCCGGCTACCTGCTGGGTAGCCTGGATTGCCCGGATATCGCCTACATCTGAACACTCATGACGCGACTCAGCTCAAGTTGCTGTGAAAGGAACCCCAATAGCAGCAGAGGTCCCTCCTAGTCCGCATCGCCATCATCCGCGCCGTCGTCATCCGCAGCATGGTCCACCTCCCTCTGCCGCTCCGAGCGGGTGAACGGCTCGAAGTCGTCCTCGTCTCCTTCTGGAAGTCGCTCCAGAATAGCCCTAGAACGGTCAGCTCTGGCCCGGCCAATCGCGTCAGATAGCCCTGCAAAGCTCACTCGCACTCGTACAGGAGCTCGTTACAGTACAGATCCAGGTTCAGATCACACGCATCCCTGACCTGGTCAGCTCGGAGACTCAAGCAATGATGACTGGATCCCGGAGCTTCAACTTACGTCCCAAAAGGCATCTCCACCTGCGCCGCGATATGCTCTACACCCATCATAGTGAACGCACCGCACGTCACGATGAATACCATCTTCCACCCCATCAGATCAACGAGGGTGAATGGCAGGATGAAGAGGAAGAGCGTAACGGTCTGCTTGAGGTGGACGCCGAAGATGACCGGAATTGGAGTTTGAACACTACCACAGTCAGCTTTTGTCTTGGCTGTTGGCAGAGCTACTCAAGGGAGCAAGAACTCACATTCGCTCCATTGCGCCAAGCTGGTCCGTCATGCTTTGGACCAAAGCTTGCATAGCATTCATACCCTTAATTGTCAGCTCAGACTACCACCCCATGCGCTAAGGCTTCTGTGAGCTTACCGCCGGTCCGACCGCTTCCAAGCATCCCATCCGCCTGAAACGGAAGATAGTCCGACTGATTTCATGGGCACTGTACATGAGCCCTAGCTCCGCTTCACAAATGCGGAGCAAGGCAGGAACTTACATGATGAGCGGTAGGCCCAGCTCTACCATCCTCCCCAGCCCCACCTCCGCCTTCGCTTCATCCCCCGTCCACCTAGTATCCAGCTTCACCCCCGCCTTGATCAACGGTGTCCGCTCATTCGCGCTCGGCCTGATTATCCGGGGAGATGACCGCTCTCGCTGGGACTTGTGGTCATACCGGTCCTCCGAGACACATACGGCCGTGGGACGCCGCTTCAATGGTGCTCGCTCGCGCAAGCGGGAAAAGGCGTTCTTGAACCCGTTGGATTGGGATGGGAATTGCGAGAGGTGAGTGGGAGAGGTAGGACATAGGCCGAGATGCGCCTCTGCGTCTGTTTCGGAGGATGCCGGATGGACTGATAGCGAGGGGGTAAGGGGAGGGTTGGTGAGATCCATCTTGGGGGGTTGAGCCGGTATTGACGACGTCTGATCTGTGCAGCTCGCGCATACCCGCTCCGGTCATTGAGGCAGGCAGCAGACCTGAATAATCAGCTGCTTGCATTGGATACTCCGAGACCGCGCTTGACCAAGCTCACCTTCGAGATCCTGGTGATGCACCCTGCCTTCTGCCCGGAGATAATGCTTCATAGCCACCACAAAAGCGACGATGAGCCGATTGAGCCGTTTCTTCTCTTCCGTGGGGCGCATGCGTGAGATGGCTGGCTTAGCGTCTGGGGTAGCAGGATTGACGGGAGGTGAAGCGAGTACAATCCAGATATTCTGTCAGGTCAGCTCATCGCGGGGGAGAAATGGAGTGGAAGATGGCATACGCGGGAGAGGTTTCGTGCATTGGGGAGAGGGTGTTGACGGGGATGGAATAGGAAGGATCGTAATTGAGGACAGCGACGAGGGGAAGGAGGCGGCATGGAGGCTGGAACCGAGAGGAGATCGGAAGGGCGGCGACGGACGACGGTGAGCTGCGAGCCTCACGCGAGTCTCGGCTCATGACCGGTGAACGCTGCGATCCGCTGGAAGAGGAACTCCCAAGGAGAAGCGTAGCTGATGTCCACTCCCTTTTCCAAAGGGAGATCGTTCGCATGCCCGCCAGTCCCCATCCCGATCAAACGCCCGCCCAAGTCAACGACGGTTGATCCGGAATCCCCTCCCGCAAGGAACTGCTTGAGGGGCACCTTGGGGAAAATTGGTATTTCCCAGGTTGCCGAATCAGCCCTTCCGTTCCTCCGAATGAAGGAACGTATTGGGCTTGCCCATCCGAATGTCAGATCCGAGGCGGCTCCTCGCTTGAGCACCTTCGTTGACCGTTCCGACATCTCTCGAAGAGGCAAGAAGCCCTGGACAGGGAGGCGCAGATCATCGGGCAGGGGATCTGGTGCATACTCGAGTGCGGCGAGTGCGGGGAGCAGTATGGAGTTTATCTCCGTAAGGTCCCCTCCAAAGACCGCAGGATCCAGCTCGATCAGACACCAGTCCTCCGTGAACCCGACCTCCTCGATCGGAGAGTCGACGCTTTGATCGCGGACGTTCAGGCGTATCGAGGGATATGCCCATACCTGCCCCAGGATCCTATCCTCCACCTCCGCTAGGTCCGAGGCGAGCTTCCGCTTCAGCTTCGCGAGGCGATCCAGCTGAGCAGTAACCTCCTCCAACTTGCGCTCGTCCGTCTCCAACGCCCTTCCCTTGACCAACCTGGAAAGGGGGCCTCGTTCGGCCACGCGAGCAACCGTGGAGGCCTCATCGATGGCCATGATGCGCTTCCGAAGGGCAAGGGGGCAGAAGAGGAAGATATTCTCCCCTGGCTCCACCTCAGAAGGCTGCCGCTGCGATTCGGCAGACGACGCTACGCAGTGTTGGGCCATTAACATGTAGAGGCCCGGCAAATCGCCCAGGCGCAGGTACATGCCCCCGGTTGAGCGAACGGTTTCCTGCGAAGCTCGCGCGATGTCCAGGCCGATCCCTCGTGACAAGCAGATCTCCTCCGTCCGCGCCGAACTCTCTGGGTCGTCAAGAAGCAGGCTCGGGGCGGCCAGGAGCTGGACCACACACGTATGGACCTCCACATGGAGATCGACAAGACCCAGATCCCGCACGAAGCTTGCCACCTCCTCCACCAGCTGACTTGCCAGGTGACAAGCTCCTGGTGAATCCCTGACTCCGACCCAGACCACCTGTACAGCCGCCGAGTCCGCGATGTCCGTCTCCGCCTCTAGTCCGTGCGGTCGAGCGACCCGGGCCAGGTCGACGGTTGACAAAACGAGTCCGAGCCGGTCTGACGCCGCTATGACGGCGGGTACGATGGATCGTACCCAGACACCAGCCAGAACGCCGCTTGTCGGCGACAGAAGTCGGGCTGGCACACGCATTCCATCGTACATGACCCGGCAATCGTCCGAAATGGAAGATGCCAGGCACTTCGTGCCCGAATCAAACCCGTACCAGCCGCTAAGGTCCCTCGGAGGAGCATCTGGACCGAGAGGTACCAGAGATGACGCGAAAGCGGGTACGGCGGATGGCGAGGGGGATGGGGGACCCGGTGATCCGGTGAGAGTCACGCCGGCCACGGGAGCGGCGGGTGTCCGAGGAGACCGAGGCCGCCGATCGGGCGTGTAAGCCTCGATGTAACGAACCGGGCCAGTGGGGAGGTCGTCGGACGCATTGGTCGCGCGACTCGACGTGGATGCGGACAATGGCGAGCTTGAGCCGTGCTGACTGTCCAGCCATCGCGGGCCCGGTAGGTGGGAGACAGCGGGACGCGTTACCCCGAGAGAGAGATTGCTGATTGCCTGCTCGGGCAGCACCGCAGGTGGGGTCACCGAGCGAGATTGCGGAGGCTGTGTCGGTGAGTCGGACATATCCTGTTGTGCCTTCAATGTGTAGATGAAGTGTGCAGGTTGAAGATAGAGTGTAACGCAGAAGGGGGGCGCGAGAGTGAGTGAAATGGAGTAAAACGGAGTAACTTGTCACGGAGATATGCGGCGGTATCTCCCCTTCGCCTTGTCGGTATTTCGGAATCAGACCGCGCTTGCTTTCCCTTGCCAGCGCCAAAACAACAACCTCCATCCTCCATCCTCACTCAACCTCCCCATAGCACATCGCTACATCTCGCCCAACATGGCGAACCCACTTTCCAACATGATGTCTTCCCTCTCTCTCGCGCCGCCGAGCTCTCCGCCGCGCGCCGGCGCTTCCTCAGCCTCCGCATCCACATCAGCATCCGTGTCAACAAACAAACCCCCTCGCCTCGGCGGGGTGATGACCAAGTACATGAACCCTGACTTTGTACGGCCAACAAACAAGGGTCTGTTCACTCGTCCACCTGGTACATCTGCCACTACGGACGCAGCTGCTGCGGCACGAGCACCCCTCTTCAAGCTCGCTGGCGTCAACACTACCATTCCCCCTCATCCACCCATCCCGGCTGGTGTGGCCAAGCAGCACCAGCAGCCATCGGGAAGTACGCCTAAAAAGCACGGAATCACTCAACATACCGCACATGGTTTGCATGGGCCGGCGCACTCGACGGCGGGTCGGTCGATGGCGCCGAGTATACAAGCGCGGGCGGGATTGGCGTCGAATGGCGGGATAGGGAAGTATGACGGTGGGCTTGAGCGGGACTGGGAGGGCAAGGAGGCGCCAACGGGGGAAGCAGCGAAGATCTTAGATCTGGATGGTATGAATCCTGGGTGAGTCCACCGATCTGTCTCCGGCATGGGCTCGCTGACCAAGCAGCGGAATCCTCAACATCCGATATCTATCAGACCTGGAAATTGGGCGTCCGCTCGGAAAAGGCAAATTCGGACGCGTCTACCTGTGTCGCACGAAAGGCCCTCATGAGTTCATCCTCGCGCTCAAGTGTTTGCACAAGCAGGAGATCGTGCAGGGGAGGGTGGAGAAGCAGGTCAGGCGCGAGATTGAGATCCAGCAGAATCTAAGGTGAGCTCATTGGGAACCACTTGATGGGCCGGCCAAAAGCTGATAAGATAGACATCCCAACATCCTTCGACTGTACAATCACTTTCACGATTCAAAGCGGATCTTCCTGATGCTCGAGTTTGCGCTGAAGGGCGAGCTGTATAAGCAGTTGTCAAAGACGGGCACGTTCGGAGAGAAGCGGTCCAGTCGGGTGGGTCATCGGTTCCACATATGCTGTGTCCGGAGCTCCAGCTTACCCTGAGCAGTATATCCAGCAGATGGCTGATGCATTGCATTATCTGCACGGCAAGAACATCATGCATCGGGATATCAAGCCGGAGAACATCCTCATCGGCAAGTCTCGGTAGAGGGATGATCAGGCGCGAAAGAGAGCATGGGAAACACCGCTGATTTATCAGGCTTGAACGGAGAGCTGAAACTCGCTGATTTCGGATGGAGCGTGGTGAGTTGGCTGCTGCATGGATGGCATTTCAGGTGACAAAAGCTGACGATCCCAGCACGCACCAGGAGATCGTCGAAACACCCTCTGCGGGACGCTCGACTACCTACCACCAGAGATGGTTGAGGGTCGGGTGCATACCAAATATGTGGACCTCTGGGCGCTAGGGGTGTTGGCGTATGAGTTCTTGGTGGGGACGCCACCGTTCGAAGTGAGTCATATTCCTATCTTGCTCGGATCGTCGAGGGCACACTTGGCGGAGTGGCTGGCCGGGGTGGACGAGGGGGATTCAAGGGACACAAAGCTGATCTGTCAGGACCGAGCGGGCACGCACGCGACATATCGCCGGATATCCGCTATCGACCTCAAGATCCCGAACACGGTCTCTCCTGAAGCTGCCGATCTGATCAAGCGAGTGAGTACACTCTCCTACCGCCTGCTTCCCGTATACTCCAATCCGGTACTACGCCTCTAGGTTCCCGCCCATATCACCTGAATGAGTAGCGAGCTGACGCACTTAGCTCCTGCGATACAAGCCAGAAGACCGACTGCCCCTCACCGAAGTCCTCAAACACCCCTGGATCAAGAAGTATGAGAAGCGGAAGACGGTCAGCGGAGGTCAGGCGACAGCGGCGCACCGGGAGTCATAGGCTGCCAGGCCGAGAAGCAGTAGGAGGGGGGGTTTGGGGTACGCATTAGGACATTGCGATGCATCTCAGTGCCGGCGTACAGCGAACTACCAGGAAGTGAAGCCAGGAAATGAGAAGCTCCTTGGCGGCCACATGTCCACCCGCACCGGCCGATGTGCATAGCTTGAATGATGAGCATCCTCACTGCCTTACCGCTTCGAAGACTTTCAAGACTCTGATAGAGCCGCTCTTTTGGCACGCGGGATGGACCGTCCGAGCTTGTGGTCACGGGTAAATAGCGAAGCCCAGCAGCCTGATCTGTGGTCGCAGTGACGACAGCACTATGTAGCAGTACGGAAAGGCTGGAGGGGTAAACAGGGGTCGACGTGTTTCAGGTTCGCGAAGTAACGGCATCACGCGAGCTAAAATTAAACCCTTGCCAAGTATCGCTATTTCGGGTGATTCCTCATTGACGACTCGCGTTTCAGCTTTTTTTTCGACCGGAAGCGGCCCCGCATCTACTGTCTTCCGAAGCCACCATGTACGCCTTGCAAGACTCGCCTTGTTCTCCAGGCTGACATGTGCGTATGCCGCGCCACCGACCGCTGTGTCTATTCGTTGTTTGTATGCATCGAGCACTTATCGCAGTGACAAGGTGTGACAAGACAAGCTTCATTCTCAGGCACGAATGCACCACCGGATGGGATGACGTTAGTGTAGCGTGATTGTGCCGCGAGACAAGGAAGAGACACCCTGTCCAAGCGCGCAGAGGACCTCTGTCCTGTTGCGACTGAATACAAAGCTGTCTCGATCGACTCTCCTCCTTCCTTCCTCGACCCATTCGACCCGCCTTCTCTCTAGCTTGGTGTAGCGTAGCTCATCTCTTTTCTCTTGACTTGTCATTCTACAGCTGTAGACCCCCACACTCTTTTTGCCCTTGTCCTCCTTTTTCTCTAGCCATATCTTCGAGACGTGACTGGTTCACGGTGCTCCTTTTCTAGCATATTATACCAGCTCTTACGACCATCTCGACACTCGCCCACATATCGAAGCCAGCAGAAGATCTCGAACTACCCGCCATCCTTGTGCCACACTTGCTCTGGACGCGACGGAGTCACGCTCGGATCTCGGAAGCTAAGGTGTGTGTGTGTTCCTGATTCAGATATACGGACAGCGGTGTGTAGCGCGTTGAGAGAGGGAAGCACATCGGGCAGAGGGACGCGAGCGTTTCATGTACAGACCATCGGGATGACAGCGAGAGAGGGCAAAGGATGGGCAAATGAAAGTTCGATGGGCGGACGGGATCCCTTTATATCCTTCCCCCCACTCTCCACCTCTCCTATACCTCCCACCGCGTCCTTTGATAGGCGAATCATCACCTCTATCACCTCTTCCTGTCCACCTCCTACCCCCTCGCGTCGCGTCTCAGTACAACAGCGGCTGACCTTATTATCCAGCCCCGGACTCGTAGCCGAATCATCCAACCCGACTCCCTTCAACAAGTCATAACCCACGGCCAGCCCGACCTATCGACTCCACCCTATTCCTTCCTTTGTTCTCCCTTTTCACCCCTTCTTCTACCACCTCTTTGTCGTGTTTGAGACACGCTTTCAGCTCTTTGGCGGCTTTTTTCAGGGGGAATCACCACAAAGCTATCGCTGGGATCTCGCGTTTCGCCTTCATCAAAGGAATCACCCCACTCGCTCGGCTTACCCCTTACTCGACCTTATAGTTGAACCTCCTCCCCGCCACCCATCTACACCTTATACTTTTACGAACGACCGGGCTCGGGAAGCCTTGAGCTGGACTCAACTAATCAACTGCGATATCGACGCACCGACGACCTCAACCTTACGACCAATAATCACATCATCCCTCATTCAACATGTCCACCGCTATCCTCCTCCCCAATTCGTCCCTGCAGAACATGATCCCTGCCTCGCCCGACCCCACTCCCCTTCGCATGCTCGCCTTCTCTGTCGCGGAAGCGGCGCTCTCGTCGGACCCCAACTCGCCCATGTTCATCTCGGAACACAAGGTGGCAAGCGGGCCGCGCTTCATGGACCAGCATGGAAACTGGGAGGAGGCGTTCTCGGCGGGATGGAAGGAGTGGAACGGAGGCGTCAAGACGGTCGCGCAGCGCAGGGGAAAGGTCTGGGATGTCGTGGAGAAGGCAAAGGAGCGCAAGGAGCGAAGTGAGTATGCAGTTGTCAACTCATCGACAATTGCTGACAGTCCAGGCAACTTTATTGAGAACGCCGCTCCTTCGCCTCCTATCGCCTCGCCGAGCGCGTACAACTTTACCCTCCCGGCTACCTCTCACCTGGCGGCCAACATCGCTCGTCAGCAGTCAACCACGGTCTGCAAGCCCACTACGCCGTTCACCAAGCGGCAGTCCGTGCACTATGAGACACAATCGGCCGAACCCTCCCCTACTCGCTCCACCTTCTCGGGCTTAGACCAGAAGCGTCCCCCTCCCGAGTTCGTACCCCGTCTTTCTGCGGTGCAATTCGTCCAGGAGGCGCAAAAGGTCTCGGTCGACGTTGCTGCTGTGCGCGAGCGCCGGCGTAGCTCCATTGAGCCGTTGAGCACTGCAGCGCTGGCTCAGCACACCGCTGAGACCGCTACAGTGCCCCCTGCCCGGCCAGTGCGCCGATCTCGCCTCCCCAGCCTGCAGCAGATCCAGGCTAAGGTCTCGGGCACTGGCCGCCTTCGTCGGTCCGGCTCGGACGGCGCTCTGCCTGCTATCCGCCCCACGTCGCCTCGTACCCAGTCAATCGACTCGGTCGACTCGGTCGAGATCCTCCAAACACCTACCGACGAGATCCCCAACCCTCTTCTCAACCGCCGCTTGGCCCTTCAGCGTATCATGCAGAAGCGCCCGGCTACTCCGCCCAGCCCGGTCGGGAATGAGCCCCGGCTCTCGTCTTTCCTCCGGGAACGCACGAACGGGCGTCTCGCCAGTGTGTCCAAGGGGGACGAGTCCCGCACGACTCCGGACAAGCTTTCCAAGCCTGTCCTCAAGGTCACTCCGCCTTCGCTGGAGAACCGCCCGGCCGTTCCACCACTACACCTCGGCCGTGCTACGCAGGTCTCCCCTACAAAGGGTACCTTCGCCTTCCAGTCGGGATTCTCGACACCCACCGAATCCCGCTTCGCCAACCCCTTCTCCCACCTCTCCACCCCGCCCCCTCGGACCGGCGCCTCCTCGCCTGTTTCACCTACCGCATCGATCCGGTCACTGCGGTCCGGGTCTTCCGGTATGGCTGGCTCCCCCACGCTGCCGCCGATCATCACTTGCACTCCGGCGCCGGGCGCGGATCACGAGTCGGACAGTGGGTCAGAGGCGAGCGAGGAGATACTCGTATGGCATCCCGAGACGGAGGAGCTGGAGCGTGCCGAGCGGGAGATGATGGGGATGGCGATGCGGGATAAGCTCTCGCGTCGCCGCTCTTCGGGCTTGGTGTGAGCGATGAGAGCGCGCAGGGATGGGATGTGTCCAGGAGATGAGATGGACGCTTGAGGCGAGGGGAGGAGTAGAAGAAGATGTGTAGCTGGTCAGACGCCAGACGTTATAGACCGGACATTCGTAAGTAGAGCAAACCGATAGGTAGCGCAAACCCGTATCGCCGTAGTACCACCCCCCCTTTCTACCGGAGCTCAGTCTCCACATTTTTAGCTTTCCTAGAGTAGTAGCTTGCTGTATATCTTGACGACCCCGCTGTGCCTACATGTATAGCTTGATGACCTATGCCATTGCCATCGCCGCAGAGATCGGAGGAAACCGCCACTTTGAGCTGTTGCCGCCACCGGTGGAGGTTCGATTATGAATCGTCATTTCGCGTTTCGGACGCAAGCCAAGCATCGTCCATCTTACTGTTATCTTCTGCTTGTGTATTCTGTACTAGACAAGCTATACATCTCCCGATCCCCACATCGCACCCGTCAACACCGCCCTACAGAACCTGGAGCGCAGCATGATTCCTGTTCGCTCAGCAATCCGATCGGGACCTTATCGGCGATGTCGGCCGAGTACCCTCTCACCCCTCTCGACCCCCTCCCCACGAGCATCGCTCAGTACGGTCGCGCGGCCGCTGGGTACCGCGCAAGCTGCTCCATCCTCACGCGCCTTGCCACTGGCGATCCGGAGCCTCCACTCGACCTCTTTGCTCGGGAAGGACAACAAGCGATGGGTGAATTCTGCGGAATCGCCGAATGGCAAGAACGCCGAGGATGGCGAGGGGAGTTCAGAGGTGTCTGAGACGACAGAGAAGGCTGTAGACGGCGCAGAGGAGGCAGAGAGCTCCAAGGCCGCTGAGAAGCGTGCCAACGCTCAAATCGACGCTGCTGGCGAGGCGTCTGCAGAGGTCAAGGCTTCTGCCTCTGGCTCTTCCTCCTCTGCTTCATCCAGCTCCGCACCACCCGCTGCTGCTTCGTCAGCGGGCTCAGGCTCCGGATCGGACTCGAGCTCTTCCCCTTCTCCCGATTCCACCCCGAAAACAGGCAAGGAAATAGCCAAGCCCTCGATCCCGGAATTTTACCCCCAGGTGCTCGCTCTTCCCATTACCCGCCGCCCCCTCTTCCCCGGCTTCTACAAGGCCGTCACCATCACCTCCCCGTCAGTCATCAAGGCCATCCGTGAGCTCCTGGCGCACGGTCAACCGTATATCGGGGCTTTCCTCCTGAAGGATTCGGCGTCCGATTCGGACGTCATCACCTCGATGGACCAGGTTCACCCCGTAGGTGTCTTTGCGCAGATCACATCGGTGTTTGGGTCGGCGGAGGCGAACAAGGGCGGAGAAGGCGGAGAGAGCAAGCCCGAGACGCTCACGGCGGTGTTGTATCCCCATCGACGGATAAGGATTGACGAGCTCGTGACGCAGATCCCGGCACCGAGCGGGGAGCCGCTGAAGCTCGCGGATGTGGTAGATGCGGTGCATAGGCAGGAGACGGAAGAGGATGTGCCGAGCTTTGAGAAGGGGGTGCCGAGTGTTGAGGAGGTCAAGGAGGATCTGGGATCCGCTGCAGAGTCGAAAGAGCAGTCAGGTGAGCTTTCCGGTTGACGCTATAGACTTGCCAAGTAGCTGACCCCTTCAGAAACACCTTCAAACCCACCATCTCCCGTTGCGTTCCTCCACGGGCTCCTCCCCAACATCTCCCTCACGAATGTTTCGAACATGACGATCGAGCCGTACAAGAAGGACTCGCAGACCGTCCGGGCGATTATGAGCGAGTTGATTTCGGTGTTCAAGGACATCGCTCAGCTCCAGCCAATCTTCCGAGAACAAAGTGAGCACTACCCATGTCGGTTCAATGACTTGGCTGACATGACAGTCACCAGCTTTACCATGTCCAACTCTACCGCCAACGTCTTTGACGAGCCGGATAAGCTCGCTGATTTCGCTGCCGCCGTATCGACCGGCGACGTTCACGATCTTCAATCCGTCCTCGAGTCCATGTCGGTCGAGGACCGTCTTCAACAATCTCTCCTCATCCTCAAAAAGGAGTTGATCAATGCGCAACTCCAGAATAAGATTTCGCGCGATGTGGAGAGCAAGATCCAGAAGCGCCAGAGAGAATATTATCTCATGGAGCAGCTCAAGGGGATCAAGAAGGAATTGGGGATGGAGAGTGATGGGAAGGACAAGCTGGTCGAAAGGTTCAAGGAGAAGGCGAGCAAGCTGGCGATGCCCGAGGGAGTACGGAAGGTGTTTGATGAGGAGATCAATAAGTTGATGCACCTCGAACCGGCCGCGAGCGAGTTCAAGTGAGTCAGCCCGGACTCAAGACGTTTTCATTGCTGATATTTAGTGTTACACGAAACTACCTCGACTGGCTTACGCAAGTCCCGTGGGGCGTTCACTCGCCCGAGAACTTCGACATCAACCACGCTATCAAGGTGCTGGACGAGGACCACTATGGGTTGAAGGACGTCAAGGACCGGATTCTCGAGTTCTTGGCGGTGGGCAAGCTGAGGGGGACGGTAGAGGGGAAGATTATCTGTCTGGCTGGACCTCCAGGTGTAGGAAAGACCAGTATTGGGAAGAGTATTGCTCGGGCACTGGGACGGCAATTTTACCGGTAAGCTACCTCGATCGGAGTGCGAAGTGCGTCTACGGAGAAGCTGACTTTTTAGGTTCTCCGTCGGTGGTCTGCACGATGTGGCCGAAATCAAGGGTCACAGGCGGACATATGTTGGGTAAGCTGCCCGTCCGAAGGAATGCTAGAGCGTAGCTGACGGTCAGTGCTATGCCCGGAAAGCCTATTCAGGCGCTCAAAAAGGTGGCCACCGAAAACCCTCTGATCCTGATCGATGAAGTCGACAAGATCGGACGGGGACATAACGGTGACCCCGCCTCGGCCCTGCTCGAGATGCTCGACCCCGAACAAAACTCCTCTTTCCTCGATCACTACATGGATGTACCCGTCGATCTCTCTCGCGTCCTCTTTGTCTGTACCGCCAATGTCCTCGACACCATCCCCGCTCCGCTTCTGGACCGAATGGAGGTCCTGGAGGTCAGCGGATACGTCTCGGCGGAGAAGATGAACATTGCGGAGAGGTATCTCAGTCCCCAGTCCAAGGAGTCGAGTGGGCTCAAGGACGTCAATATCGAGTTGGAACCGGCGGCGATCCAGGATCTGATCAGGTATTACTGCCGAGAGAGTGGGGTGCGGAACCTCAAGAAGCAGATTGAGAAGGTGAGTACTGACACCTCATCGGGAAGGGATAGTGCTGATTTGTAGATCTACCGGAAAGCCGCCTTCAAGATCGTCTCAGATCTCGGCGAGCTTGGTCTACCCGAACCAGAGGCGCCAACACCGTCCACCGCAGCCGATGTTCGGACAGTCGACTCTCAGCTCCCCGACACCAAACCTACCGATGAGCTCCTCCCTGCCGATGGTGTCTCACCTACCGTCAAGCCCGCGGCAGAATCAGACGCAACAGACAAGGACGGCAAGACGACCGTTACTACCACTCCTCGAGCACCGCTCAAGATCCCCGAGACTGTCACTGTCCGGGTGACGCAGGAGAATCTGAGAGACTACGTCGGTCCCCCTATCTACCACAAGGATAGGCTGTATACGTCGGCACCGCCTGCGGGAGTCAGTACGGGTTTGGGATACCTGGGTAATGGGTCTGGAGCGGTCATGCCTATCGAAGTGACTGTGAGTTGTCTTCAGCCCGTGTAGGTGCAAGGGAAGAGCTGACGCTGTAGTCCATGCCAGGGAAGGGTGGCCTGCAGCTGACCGGTAAACTCGGAGAGGTCATCCGTGAATCTGCCCAGATTGCGCTTTCTTGGGTCAAGTCCAACTCTTATGCTTTGGGCGTGACAAAGTCGGAGGCGGAGATGATGCTCAATGATCGGGATTTGCACTTGCACATGTGAGTTATCGGCCCTAGATCGGGCGGGGCATGTAGCTGATATCTCATAGGCCTGAAGGGGCAATAGGCAAGGAGGGACCATCAGCGGGAACGGCGATCCTTACTGCATTCGTGTCGTTGTTCACAAAGACAAAGGTGGATCCTGATGTGGCGATGACGGGGGAGATTTCGCTCTTGGGTCAGGTGCTGCCTGTTGGCGGACTGAAGGAGAAAATGTGAGCTGCTCGTCCCTTATCTAGGTTGTCAGAGTGCAAAGCTGACTTCTCAGATTGGCAGCGCACAGAGCAGGCATCAAGAGTGAGCTGCTGAGCTGGCTTGTGCACTGCGACCGTGCTGCAGCATAAGCTGACCAATCAGAATTGATCGTCCCAGCTGCGTGCAAGTCGGACATCGACGAGAACGTCCCGGATTCGGTCAAGTCGGGCATTGAATTCGTGTTCGTCGAGGAGGTCCGACAGGTTATACATGAGGTGTTCAAGGGGTCGGAGTCGGCCAAGAGGTGGTTGGAGACATTACCGGCCGAGAAGGAGCCGGAGCGGGTCAGCGTGCCATGAGTGCGTGAAGGAGGATAGGTAGGGGAGCGGACAAGAAGCGCCGCCCCGGGAGGACGAGTGGCCTAGGCCAGAGACGCAGTAGCAAGGTGGTAGGCCCATCTAGTCTTGTCGGTACTAGTAGGATTCAGGAAGTAGAAGACGTATAAACTCGCATCTCATGCAATGATTAGCATCGTTGCAATTTTGGAGGGCATTGGGCGGGGATAGAACGCGCGAGTGTGTGGGTGAGGACAAGCTGTGTGGCGACATGGAAGGCCAAAGGAGGTGGTGATGAGGAATGAGGAGCAAGAGCTTTTTGGCTGGCGCATAGAGGTTGCTAGTCTCTCATGGCCATACATTAAGCGGATCAGACCGGAACTACACCACTTATTGCATCTCAGGCGGGAACGGTCTACAAGTACTGAACAAAGCACGACTACAATCCGTTCCGGAACTACGAGCACCGTGAAGGCTAGTATTCGCAAACTTGGTCTAGCGTAAATCCCGCTCCCCACCCAAACGACAAACTCACACCGTCTCACTTTCCAATTAAGCAATCCTTTCTACTCAAACTGACTCCAATCTCAGCGCCACACCCACTGCCTAGCTGGTAGTGAACAAGGCACGAACGACGCGCCTCCACAAAGGCGCAGTGGCCCGCTCGGCCCGGTACGCGCGCATCTCCTCGACGGTGAGCCAGGTCTTGCGGCCGGTATCGAGATCGATCTCGGATGCTCGGCGGGGGAGGGTGCGTTTCCAGAGGTATCCGGCGATCCAGAAGGCAATGACGATGGGGGCAGCGAGGTAGGACACTGATTGGCGTCAGCGAGAGATGCAGATGAAGGGAGGAGAAGGGGGACGTACGGAAGAAAGCCTCAGCACGGTTCTCAACTTCAGAGTAGCCAAGGGGCCAGACAGCCTGTACGTCAGTTTTCTGTTTGAAAGATTAGGCGAGTGTCGACGTACAATGTAGAATTGGGCGATAAGGACCAAAGCGACCAAGATCGCGCCAACCCAACTACCGTACACACCACCGAAAGCGCGGAAGGGGAGTTCCTCGAGCGAGTGACCTTGGACCTTCCAGGCCGCCCTGAAGCGGATGTGAGTCACGCAGATGGCGCCCCATGTGAAGAGTGTCGAGAGACCCGAGAGAGCCAAAAGCCAGTTGAAAACGTCGCCACCCTTCTCGGGGATCAATTGGAGATACGCGAGAGGCGAGAAGGCGAGGATGAAGAGGACCGACATGAGGGGCCTGGAGGCCTTGTCGACCTGAAAACATCAGCTTGGGACTTGCAAAGGAAAGATTGGAATGACGCACGTAGGTGAAGATCTTGGGGGCGTACTCAGTCTCGGCGAGGGCGGTGAGGGTTCGAGAACCGGCGTAGACGCAAGACAGAGCAACCGAGAGGACCGAGAGGCAGATGGTGATGTTAATGAGGTGCTCAAGTCCCTTGATACCCGCGAGGGTAGTGATAAGGATGAAAGGCGAAACATCACGGCCAGATTCACCGCCCTGAAGATCGGGGTTGGTGTACGGGACTGCGAGGCCGATCACGGTAAGGGAGGTGATGTAGATGACGACCACACGCCAGAAAGTCTGCTTGACGGCGGCGGGGAGGGCCTTCCGGGGGTTGGGCGTCTCGGAAGCGGCGAGACCGACGAGCTCAGTACCGGCGAAAGAGAAGGCAGCGGAGACGAAGACCTGTGAAGTTAGCTGCGGTGCTCAAGGCGTGACAGGGCTGCGACATACGGTGCAAACACCCTTGAAGCCGTTCGCAAAGGCTCCGGGGTTATAGTAATTTTGCGCTCCATAGTACCTGCTCTTGTAAGTCTCACGATTCAGTTTTTCGATGGCATTATGGTGGATAAGTTGGTGATTATGGTGGATAAGTTGGTGAAGGAGAGCAACAGGCAGGATGTAACTTACGTGTCAAACATGCCAGTCGCAGGTCCTCCACCGCAGATGCAGATGATACCTGTGATAATGACGATGGTCTGATACGTTAACCTGATTCGGGTTCAAAGGATCGCAGAGATAACTTACAATGACAACCAGCTTCAAGATGGAGACGAAGAACTCCTCCTCTGCGAAGCCGAGAGTACCAAACACTGAGATTACCTATCGGTTCAGCTGACTCCCTTACACGATAAAAGGTGCGGAGGGCGACGTACCAGTACTATAACGAGGAAGATGGTTATCCAAGCGGCCAAGGGAACCGGCGTATCCCAGTACTGCGGCAGTCAGTACAGCTGTGAGATCGTACGAACCTCAATAACTTGTCCAGCCACTACTAGCTCGAGCGGAAGGACTACGGCCCACTGGAGGACGTCTGGAGCGAGTCAGTACTCATCGAAAAACAGTCGAGAGGCAAAAACGTACAGTTCCAGCCCATGGCGAAAGCGAAAGACGGGTCGAGCATGCGAGAAGCCAGGGTATAGAAACCACCAGAGACGCTGGCGGGTGAGCTTAGATGCAAGGCGATATGAGATCAGGAGACTCACGGGAAGACAATAGCCATTTCACCAATAGCCTGAGTAACCTAGGCTGTCAGCTGCTAATTCCATTGTACACTGGCTCAGACCAGTAGCTCACGTTGACCAACATGACACCGATGATAGACCAGGCGATGACCACACCGGCGGGACCACCAGTGCGGAGTGCACCACCCGAAGCGACCTGCTTGTCAGCTTTGCTGTAGAAGATAAGAAGGTGAGACATACGAAGAGACCAGTACCAATGGAACCTCCAACTGCGATCATAGCAAGATGCCTGCAAATCAGCCTGACCTGGAGCAGGAAAGGGAAGTGGAGTGGGGGCAGGCGAGAAGAGGAAGGGGAGCACGGGTTGGAGAAATTGGGTCATGCGTTTGGGTTCAAGTAGGGTTTGGGGATTGTAACCTGCCCCGGATATCGTCGGGACTTACCTGGGCTTCATCTTCTGCTGCAAGAGAGGGTTCTCATGGCCGACGAGCTCGGGAGCGTGGGCTCCGTGCACGACCTGCTCGCTGGTCCGTTAGCTCTGGGACGCCGGGGGACCAAAAAAGTGCCTCATCTCTGGAGCAGCTCTGTACTCACCGAGTAGTACCCGGAGCGCGCTTGAACGACTCCCAGTTGATACCCAGCCGAGTGGCCCTCGATTCCAGCGACGGATCGTAGAACTCATCCTTGGCGATATAGTTGCGCTCGTGGTCTGATCCAGTAACGGTGGTGTGGTCACCCGCGGCGTAGACGCCGGTGGTGCCATCGATGTTGGCCTCCTTCTTCTCCACCATGGTTGATGAGGGATTCGAGTATGGAAGGTAGATGAGGTATGGATGCAAGATCAAGAGTTATGCACAACAAGCAGGGCAGGTCAAGGGACCACGATGTCCGATGCAATCCAACGGGATGTCTGGGCGATAAGTACCAAACTCTCGGCGCGGGATCGATATCAGCCAGTCACAAGACGAGAATGGAAAGATACGGGCGGGTCTCAGCCCGCAGCCCTCGTGCCTTTGGCCCCTGTTCCCCCGTCTGGAAATCGCGCTAGAAGAAGTCTGTGCATGTGGAGCCCAAATCCAAAACAACAAGATGGAACCGGAATACTGCTCGGCCCCGGCCAATTCTTGTCCTCCCGCTGCCTTCCTCGCCTTCCTACCCCTCCCTTCCTATGGTCATGCGCTCATAGCCATCCTCTCCTCGTCCTCCCTTCCACTCACTCGCCACAGCTTTGGGACAATTTCGGCTCTCGGAATTGGGCCTTGGGAAAGTCTGCGTCGGCGCTTTCGGCGGAAAGGAATGACGACGACGCCACTTTGCCCCCATCCCGTAATATTCGGATTCCAGAGGTCCGGATCCGGAGTACCAGTGTCGTAAGAAATACGCATGGTGACATCACTTGGCGGAGTGAAGCTTGAATCCAGTCTGCCGCCGACGGCGCCGGCGGCCAGCGGCTCGGATCCTGTTTGTACAACGAGGTCCGTCCGTGCACTGCACCGCACAGCTTGTAGAGATGTGGTCAAGTGCTGCAAGCTGCTGTTGCGCAGTGACAGCCAGACCTCGGCGCGCGTTGCCTTTCGATGGAACATCGAGCGTTATCGTGCACCCACCGACTACTCCCCGATCAGACACCCTTATCGCAGCTCTTATCACAGAAACAGATGAAACACGGAGAACCGACGTGGTCTTTGCGCAGTGTCAACATCCTTATCTCTCTCATCTACCTGAAACACCCATCAGCCAGGAGATGGGATTCATGTCATGCTGATACAACGCTCAATCTACCGGCTCGCCATAACTGAGAGGTTCTGCTTTCCGGCTCGGATCTACATGCGCATACGCATGTGAATCATGCAAGATAAAGTCTCTCATTTCAAGCGGCCGGAGCTTAAAGCCCTAGGACATTAGCTCAGGCCCCGATCTTATCACGGATACAAAGGCAGGACTTACCTCTAATCTCGCTTGCTCAAGGCCCTCCTTCCCCTTGCCTCCCTTCTCCCGCATCACCTCCCTCACCGGCGCCATCGCTGCATTTCGGCACGTCTCGCGCAGATCCGACCCGCTCAGCCCGTCTGTACGCCGGGCAAGGTCCGAGATGGAGAAGGAGGGCGAAAGAGAGGTGTGGCTGAGCATCAGGGAAAGGATCTTGGTACGTTGGTCGAGATTTGGAAGGCGGATAGGGAAGCGCTTGGGCATGCGACGGAGAATGGCGGGGTCGATGTCATTTGGGCGGTTTGTGGCGCCTAGGACGAGAATACGGGTGTCAGAAGCGGTTGTCAGACCGTCCCATAATCTAAATGTCAGTTGAGTTGAAGGGAATGTGGCATACAACACGATTGTGTGTAGAGTAGGTTGAGGGCAAGCGGGCTCACGTCATAAATTCGGCTTTCATCATCCCTGTCACCTCATGGTCGCCCGAAGACCTCTCCCGCTGCGGATGTCAGCAGATTTTCATTGATGAAGGATGATCCTTGAAGAAGGGCGCTCACAAACAAACTATCCACCTCGTCGATGAAGATCTGTAGCACGTCAGCAAGGACCCAGTATGCACTCAAGAGGTTGCTGCCCATTCCCAGCTGCATCCCTGCCGATGCCCACCGGTATATTTTTGGAAAAAATGACTCACTATACTTGGCTGTACTTTCCGTGCTAATGAGAATAGCCCAGCGACTAGTTTGTTCGACTCTCCGAACCACTTGTTCGTCCTGTATGATCAGCTTTGGTTCACCATAAAAACAGACACCAGAGCTTACAAGCTAGACAATGGCAAATTGATAAACGTCGCCCCACTCTCCTTTGCCAACGCCTTTGCCAGCATAGTCTTCCCGCACCCTGGATGTCCATACAGCAGCACCCCCTTGGGCGCCGACAGCAGCCCATTCGCAGAAGCAAACAGCTCCGGGTATGTCAAGGGGTAGATGACCGTCTCCCTCAGACTGGCGATAATCTCGTCCAGCCCGCCTATACTTTCAAACGTCACATCGATAGATGATGGCGGAATGATCTCGCCCGCGATGGTAGATTCGTATTCGTCCAGCTGGAGGTCGTCTAGCTGGGCGGCAGACAGACCGGTCTTGGACAGGATGGTTTGGCCTTTTTGCTTGGACTTCTTGTTAGAGTCGGAGGAGCCGGAGGTGGAGAGGGCGGAGATGGCATATCGGAGGGTGTAGAAGAGTGCGACCTGATCGATGTCAGTATAGGTCAATAGATCAGTACAGGTACACTCGCCTGGGAGGCAGCAAAGAAGGTAGCTGATTGCGATCAGCTCCTCTTCGACCGATCACAGGAGTGGAAGAACGATAAGCTCACTTTCGATAACCAGTCGTCCTACGGACCATTCCCTGGGCATCTTGGAGAGTGCTGCACCGTGAGTATGCCGGTACTATAGCGATAATCTTGTGGTAGATTAGTTTACAGTCTTTCGAACTTTGCACCTGCCACAGCAGTGAAGATCGATGACGTGTCGAAGGTGAGATCAGCAGCTTTCCCACGATTACCGGCAAGACGCGACCGGACATGACCGGAACTCTGCCGTCATTTGCCGTAAGTGAAGGAAAGTCGCGTCGGATGGCCTGACCTGACCCTGCAGGTGACAAGGTGCATCTCTAACTCTGACTTTATCCTTCCTCTTCTTTCGTATATCATCAGCCTGTAAAGCTCAGCAAAGAGTATCACGTCCTACATCACAATTTGCCACGAAAAATAGCGACTAGACGACCCCGCTTGCTCGCGTCCAAATAGCGGACTCTGTCCTCGACTTCTCCGGTCATCTTCTTCGCGCTGTACCCTGCCTAGCCTCCTCCCTCCCCAATGCCAGGAGCGTCAAATGTCTTCTTCTCGGACGATCTCCCTGAGGCGTCTGGATCGAATATCCAACTCCTCCCTGGCTCATCACCCTCCGCTCGCTGCTCAGACGCGGCGAGGAAAGAACTCGTTCAGCTGAGTCAACCGTCAAGTGAGCTGCCACCTCATCTCGCAAGGAAGACTGAGCTGACGAGCTAGACTCTCGACGCCGCGGTATCTCCTTCGCAGAGCAGCTAGAGCACGTTCGTGTCTACAACAAGGCCGAATCGATCTTTCCCTCTCCCGAATCGGCGCGGAAAGCTTCAGCTTCGACCGGGAGTCCACCCGCGTCCATACGGTCCTACCTCGTCGAGCAGGACCTGAACACTGCCGACTCTCCCCAGGTCACTCCCCCTCTTTCACGCTACACACTCAAACTCCCTTTCTCACCTCTTTCCGCATCCTCCTCCTCACCCATCGTTCCGCGAGGTATTCTGAAACCCATCGTCTCGCAGATCCTCCTCACGATCAACGCGGACCACGGCAAGTGGCTGAATAAAGAAGAAGCGCGTCTGAGGGTCTGCGGCAAGCGGCCAAGAATCGTCGCGCGCGATTCTTTCCAGGTGGCGGCGATGCGGAGTTCAGGAGATGGCCCGGTGGACCTGAAGGGGAAAGGGAAGGAAAGGGCGCGGGATGAGTCAATGCGCGGGTCAGATGAGGTCAATGGCTTTGACGGCACGATGGAGGTGGACGGGGATGGAAAGAGGGAGAGGGATGGAGAGTCGGACGAAGAGGAAGAGGAGATTGAGGCGGAAGGCGCCTTGATGACGGAATCTCTCGTGGATATCATCCTGAACGGCGCCGAGGACCTCTTATCCCTCGAAGAAGCCTACATCACGCTCTGCCTTCGGCTCAAAACCAAATTCGGACCAGAAACCTCGTCCGATAACGCGCTCAGCAACGACGAGGGGATCCGGATCGCCATCCAGCCCATCCGGGACGAGGCGCCCGCCATCGTCCGGGCTCTCCAGCGAGACCTGGCGCGTTTACTCGGCAAGTTTCCCAGCGCCGAGCGGTCTTCCAGCCCTCTCGAGCGGGAGAGCTCACCCTTCGCCCACATCCTCCCACTCCAAGACGTCACACCCACCCGCCGTCAAACCTCCTCCCCCCTCCCCGGGTCCAGCAGCCGGTCCCGCTCCGGCTTCACCGAGGCGGAAGTCCGATACCGCCGCGAAGCCTCTGGGGTCGGTCAGGCCGCCCTCAAATTTCTGGCTCTCCTTTTCAACAAGCAGCAGCTGTATAGCTGCTTCTCGGACGCAGACCTCACGGCGCTCCTCGACCAAGTACTCGCTATCCCCCGTACCCCCAAAATGCCCACGCCAAATCCGAAACGGACCTACGTTGCTGCCATCACGGTCCTCGCACATATCAAAATCCCTAGCGCGGATGTCTTGCCATGCAAGGAGAAGATCATCCGGGTGCTCGAGAGCGCCGTGGCGGACGGTCTGGGCAAGGGGAACTTTGCGACGGGTGGGGCGGATATCGTCCCCACGCGAAAACCGGGCCTCATTGCGGTCGCCAATATCGTCTCGACCTATCCCCTTCTCTTCGTCCCGCACTACGCCGACCTCCTCCCTGCGGCTCTGCGAGACCTCTACCACAAGTCACCCGATATCCGAGGCAAAGCGGCTGCTGTCTGTACCGCATTCGCTACGGCTAAGTATGGCCTTGTGTCGGGAGCGGCGGATGCGCTCGAGCGGTCGCCATCGGCGCAGACCAAGGAGGACTGGCAAAAGATGAAGCTCTTGGCGCAACGACTAGAGATCTCGGTGGTCAGCCATCTCAAGTCGTTTGTCAAGGTTCCGGGACAGGCGGGGCCGACGTATGGGCGGACAGGAGAGAGAAAGACGGAGGCGACGACCATAGAAAGTTTGTTTAGGGATACGATCGGGTCGGCGGAGGGGGTGCTTTGGGCGTGTGCGACGTATAGTGCGCTCATCAGTCTCATGGGCGCTGCGTACCCTGCGAGCGGACATACCTCGACCTTCACATACATTATGGAGGTGAGTCTATCATCGTACTTCGCAGAACTCCGCTGACGAGGGTAGAAAGCACTTCATATCACCACCAACAACACCCGGACGATCTTTGCCCGCACAGCATGGTCTCACATTATCCACGCCTACTTTTCGGCGGTCACCACCATCTCTCTTTCCGCAGAGAACCAGCTCATCCGGTCATCCAGTACCTTCTCGTCTGGCACAGCGACCGAAATCGTCGAGCGGCTCCGGCTTATACAGTACCCCGTCGATCTCGCTCTCAAGGGCATCAACGCCCCAACATCGGTCCAGAAGGTGCTCACCTCTGCGACCGAGGGCGCACCGGAACGGTACGCTTGGGACCGGACGGAGAAGGGCAAACGGTACAACTGGCTCGTCACTTGCGGCTCGGCAGCTGCGGATGTCATATACGCCCATACCGGCGTCGCCCTCTACCACCAGTCCCTTCCTACCCCTACCAGCCCTCCTGCCTCAGGTACTCAGACGCGACCCGAGGTGGCCGGAGCGACGCAGCTCGAGCGCCTGGACGTAGCATGGGATAAGGTGGTCAAGCCTATCCTCACCGGTCTCCTCGGTGTCAACGGTATTGACAGCCTCAAAGTCATCGGCTGGCAGTCTCTCCACGCTATCACCTCCCCCACATCTTCCGAATCGACCTCGTGGTCACTCGACCGCCTCCTCTCACCGCGTTATCTCTCCGGACGCGCCTTCGCGGCTGACGCCGTCATCCTCGTCGACAAATCCCTCCAGGGCGTCGAGGACGAGGCGATCAAGCCTAGCGAGATTCCCGCGTGGGGCGCAGAATGGGTGGTCCATCGCCTCCCGGAATTGCTGAGCTTGTTCCAGGAGGCGTTGAAGGGTGTAAACGGGGTGTCTAGGATGGGAGTGTGCAATTGGGTGAGGACGGAGCAGGGGGACCGGGTTGTCCCGGTCCAGCTCGTCCAGATCTGGTCGAACCTCCTCCGAGCTCTCGCGAGTACGCGCTCGGAGGGTGGGGCGGGAGATGCGGCTTTTGCACAAGGGGTTCAGCAGGTCGTTTCTGCCATCAAGGCGATATGGGACCTGGAACCCGAGGAGTACCTTCCCATCGGTCTTTCCGGGGTTGAGGGGTGCAGTCAGGATGTCGACTTGACCCGCTTGACCCTCCTCGCCAAGCTGGTCGATACGGCAATCGAGCAACTCGGTCACACTGCCCTCGCCAAGACGTCTTTCGCCTTCCTCGGGCCTCACTACCCCGATCTCGGAATGGGTGTCAATGCTCGGTCTACGGCTGCAGGTGTACTGCTCTTCCAACTCCTCAATTTCAGCCCTTCCACCTCCCCACTCTCCGGACCAGCCCAGATCGTCTTGGACGGCCTGGTCACCAAGCTCCTCAGGATTGGAGTGGCCACTTCGACCGCCTCCGAGCTCCTCGGCGACATCACGAACGGCCTGCCGACTGTTTTCGAGTCGGACGAGCCTGTCCAGCTGGATATCTGGCGTGCACTCGCTTGCGCCTGGTGCGAGTTCCTTGGCAATGGTCAGGTGGCACCTGCCCCAGCGGTAGACGGCCAAGTACAACCAGACATTACCGGCGCGGTACTCGTCGACCTGATGGTCGCTCCATTCCGAAACAAGGCGGTAGAGTCGGCGTGGCACTCGCACGCCGGTAAGGTGGATTTGGGGGCGTGGAAGGGGCTATTGGAAGCGACGGGGCGGAGGTTTAGGGCGAAGGCGGTGGACAGTAATGAGGGGTTACTGGATGAGGTGGCGAGGCAGTTGATGGGGATCTTTGAGGAGTATCCCAGGACCAGGTAAGCTGGCAGGACATGTTCAGTGACCATACATGGAGCTGACATCCCAGTTCGTCAACTATAACTGTGTCTTGCTTGACCGCAATGATCGAGGAGATGAGCTCCGCTATGTCTCAAGGCCATTCATCACACGTCCCAGTCGACTTGCTCAAGGTCGTCTCAGCCTCGCTGTTTGAGTGTTATCCCACTCCCGAGACACTCGGATCGCAGACGGAGTACCACCTCCATCCTGCTGTCAACGACCTAGTCGATGCCTTCACCTCATTGCTTTCAGCGGCTTCACCCTCAGCGGCCAGTCAGCTCCTCGACCCAGAGACTACGGCCGGTCTCCGGATCTGGCTGAGCGATTCATCGCAAGTCTCCTCCCCCGAACTCATCACGTCTCTCGACAAACTCTACTGCGCCAGTCTGGATCTCCTCTCCCGCGCAATCTCATCCGGTGATATCGCAGCCACCGGTCACACTCTCGACACCTACATCGACCTCTTCGCTCCCCGCCTCAACTGCGCAGGATCAAGCGACGTACCGCAGCGCTTCGTGCAGTTCTGGCGGGCCGGGTTCGAGGGTGTCGACCTGGACATTTCGGACGATACCCGTGGATTCCTACTGGGGTTCATGGCGGCTGTACCGGGCACCATTAGCGTCCAAGGTCTGGCAGAGTCGGAGCCGATGGATGAGGAGGAGAGTCAAAGGCGTTTCCCCCATTCTCAGGCTGTACGGGCTGCGCCGTCGTCCCCTATCGTACCGGCATCGGATCCTATGGCCATGGACGTCGACCAGGTGGATGTGGAGCCAGAGCAGGAGGCAGCCGAGACGATGGAGTATGAGGCGGATATCTCAACTTCGTCTGTCGAGGCGCTTGTGGATGAGACGGTGGCGCCCATTCAGCTCGGGGCAGCTATCAATCTCGGATCCGACGCTGCTGCTGCGGCATCGCCAGCGGCGTCGGCTGAGGCGGACGGCCACCAGCGGTCAGACGACGTCTTTGGTCCGCCGGCTATGGTCGCTCCCCGAAAGCGCTCCCGGTCGAGCAAGAACAGAGCTCTCGATGCCACTCAATCTCTACCCGAGATCCCTCGCAAACGGACCAAGCGCATCGGCGGGAAAGATCACACTGTCATTCCCGACTCGCAAAGTGACACTGGGAGCGGTGACACCGAGATGGAAGATGAACAGGCGGAGGAAGTTGTGCAGAAGTCTGCTGCGGCGCCACCATCCGGTATCATCGGGCGATTCCTTACCAAGGCGTCTTCTAGCCTTGGCTTCTTCTCGCCTAGCAGGAGGGCAGACGAGCCTGCCGCGGGAATCGAGATCATCCCTGCTACAGCGGACAAATCGGCGGTGCCCGCGCCGGCTCGGACGTCCAAGAAACGGTCGTCCACCTCTTCGTCGGGTTCTTCGAGCAAGAGCAAGAAGGCGCGGCCCGCGATGGTGCCTTCGTCTGTCGGGTCGCAGTCCGCATCTGGCTCAGGCTCGGGGTCACGCTCAGGCTCCGGGTCAGGGTCAAGTCGGTCCGGATCACGGTCATCCCGCTCCTCGTCTTCCCGAAGTGACGCTGTCGAGCCCGCGCCGGCCGCCATTGAGGAAGATGACGACGACGAGGAAGAGGACGAACTTCTCCTCAGTCCTCGGTCGGCCGCAAAGCGCAAAGCCGAAGAGTCGATGCACGGCGGTATCCTCCATAAATCCCGACTCAAGGTCGCTTCTCCCGCTCGACCCAAAAAGAAACGTTCGGCTCAGCTTATCGCTCCCCAGCCTGTCCTGCCTGATTCACCGGTCCACTCTGTCCCGGTCACCCAAGGTCGGTATGACGACGCCCCGGAGGACATCTTTGGCGCGCCCGCCCTCCCCAGCGACCTCCGGCCAGCGCCTAACCTCAATGCCTCACCGACCCGGACAAGCCAGCAAGCGCGGGTATTGGCCATGGTGGAAGAGGCAGCGAGGGCCAAGGCGGCAGTGCAGAGTATGGACTTTGATGGAGTCATGAGGTTGATGAAGGCGGTAGATGAGCTGAGGGGCGCGGCGACTGCGAATCTGCAGGAGAGGGCGATGAGGGAGAGGGGAACGAGAAAGTAAGAATGCAGGAGTCACATGAGTGGGGAAAGTGGGGAGATGTGAGCAGCAGATAAGTTAGATCGGTGTATTCTGTACTCGTAAGCTCATTCGTAGTTGTTGTTTAGCTGCTATCGTAGTCTTGTTATTCGCTATCTAACCAATAGATAATGCATGTATGTAGATCCACTCCAACAGTACCGCCCAGCACAAGATCCTGGCTGAGCTGGCTCTGCCTCTCGATCAAAGAGCTGAAGTCAGGGTCCGGGGATGAAGATCGTAGCAGGACCAACGGAGGGACGGAGCAACAAATGCGAGATGCAAAGAGCGTATATACAGCTTGTGGTGGATGGTACCGACAGATTAGACAAGGGAAGAGACAGCTATGATGAGAACTATAAACATAGTGATATATGATAGGGGTAAAATGAAGCTAGCAAGTGTCCGTGTCACTTTCCCGTCTCCTCTCCCAAACCCTACTCTCCCCTCTCTTCTAGCCCTTTGCACCCCTCCCCCTCGTTTTCGATTTCCTCGACTGATCTGCCGCACGACGAGCGTTCACAGTCCCCATAATCTCCTCCATGCCCGAATGACCTTGCCTGCCGCGAGACTCCAGACCGTCCACCAGCTCTCCCCGAGCCCTCCTACCCCAACCGCGCATCCGCCTAGGTAGCAACATCCCCTTCCCTCTTCTCCGCCCCAGCTTGGTCAGCCAAACTCGGCCCTACCGGTGCTACAGGGCTACCCGACAGACCAGACACATTACGACGCCTTTCTGGACGAGCCGGCGTGGTCGTCTGCGTGCTCGTCGTCGAGACCGTGCGGCTCCGAGGTGACTCGCTGGCTGTGGGCGACCGAGGAACATTGACAGGCATGCCGAGCGCGAAGGGCGCGAGGACCGGCTTCCTCGTGTGCGGGGTGTCTTCATCTTCGGCCTGGATCGCGGACCGGGCGGGCGGAGTGGCCGGAAGAGGACGGGGTATACCGGTACGGATGGGGTCAGAGGGGGGCAAGCTCCTGGGCGTAGGTACGCCGACCGACGGGTTGGAACTGATAGGTGTCCGAGCCACGTCGTGGTCGCCAAAGAACCTGGGCGTCCGGGGCGGCGTTGTCAGCCCTAATACAGCCTCCTCCCCCTTGTCTGTCATATTCACCTCATGGCCCTCCGGCAGACCCTTGGACGCGCCCGAGATAGGCGACGTCTGCTCCACGGCAGGACGCGGCCCAAATGTCGGCGAAGACAGCCCAATCTCCTCCCCCTCGGACCCGACTTCTTCCGTGATCGATGACCCGCTGTACGTCTCCGCCGTCTCCAGGCTCTCCCTCGATAGCGCCGGGGACGGCGACGGCGCCAAAGACCGCTGGAATCGCGCATCTCCAACGGAATCGGCGACGGACTCCACGTCTTCGATGAGCGAATCTGTACGTTCCAGTGCGAGTGACTCGGCCGAGAGAGCCGTGGAGGGAAGAGCGAGCGAGTGGTCCGTCATATCGGGACTGATGAGGCCGACAGTCTGCTCTGCAACCGAAGGGATGAGTGTAGACGACCCCTGCATCGGAGTATCGCCGTCTGCAAAGGGGTCGGCGGTATGAGGACTGACAGTCCGCCCATTTTCCGCCAGAACCTCTCGGACTGGCGGCTCCCGCCTCGTTGGATGGGAGGGGACAGTCGGGAAGTTGAATGCGCCCGGCACCAACGGGGTGGAGAGGGCCGAGCTATACGCAGAGCCTGCGCCTGGGACATCCTTCTCCTCGACTTCGTGATTGGGGACCACCGGGACATCCCGGTTGGAGGAGACCTCTGGTTCCTTTGTCTGCAATACCTCCTCGAGGTCCTCACCCGCGTTGACCGAGTTCAGCTGGTTCGTGGCCGCAGATTTGGGGAGATGCGGATCTGCGCCGAGGTTCGGCGCTGGTACCGTTGGGGCGATGGCTGCATCCCCGAGCATCGAACCGGTGTTCAAGCCCGGCGTGGCAGCTGGGACGTCCGGTATGCCCGGAAAGCCGCCGGGAACTGAGCGTTCGGTACCGATAGCGGGCGTAGGAACGGGTGGAATAGACATCCACGCTGGTCGAGCGGATATTGCGTCTGACGTCTTCTCCTCATCTCCAGGACTGGCCTGCACCTGAGATGCGGCCGCGTCCAAGGGACCTGCTTTCGCTTCCGCCCCTTTCGTCTCCGCCCAATGCTTCCAGATCTTCTCATCCAGCTCTGCCCAGTGACGCATTTTCAGCGGCTTCAAGTCCAGGTCCAGTAGCTTCACTGTAGACCCCTCATCCTCGATCGTCCACCCTTCTTCCGAGCCAGGCGCGAGAACCGCACGGACGATGATGGAGCAATCCTTGAAGATGGCGGAGAGGGAGTAGGCGATGATGCGTTCTCGGAGCGTCCAGCTGTCCGAGGCTGATCCGGCATCAGGGTCGGCGAGGTACTTGGTGGTGAAAGCGATGAGCTCGTCGGGCCGGATATCGGGGACGGTGGACTCGTCGAATAGCTCAGTGTCCGGATGGGCGGAGCGGTATCGCGCGACGATGTCCGAGATGTCGGTTGGATCGAGGCTGGCTTGTAGTTTCCGGAGGATGGGTAGCGCATCGGACTTGCGTAGGAGAGGGATGAGGATAGGCGCAGTGACTTCAAGCAGAGACCCTTGCGTGTCGGCCTTTGATCATCAGCTCTTTGACGCTGCAGAAGTGCTGGTCGCGAGAGCTGACTCACCTCGTCTGGATGTACAATGTTCCCATCGACAAACACCCTGAAGCTGTTTGCTTGCCCGCCAGTCTCCCTCCAGATACCCCAGAGTCCAGCCAGAGCGTGGCTGATCCGCCCCTCATCGCCAGAGAACAGGTCGAGAGGGTCGTAAGAACCCTCCCCGGTGGATTTGCCGCGGTAGTGTTGATGAAGGGTGTAGCGGCCGATCTGGGATTTGATGGCTGCGGCCTCGGGAGGAGAGATGAAGGATGCGGAAGGCAAGAAGCCCCATTTCGGCTGCAGAGTAAGCTAAGGGTCCTCGTAGCCAGAAGAAGGAAGCTTACCTTGATCTCGACCGCTAAGACTCGCTTCCCCGCTGAGCCGCCCGGAACCATCCGCAGGTTCTCCATCATGCTCACCCTCGGACTATCGCCGATCTCCTTGATCAAGCCACCCGCCTTCTTCCTCTCTTCCGCGCGAGACCCCTCCGCGCGACCCAGCAGCTCCCGCAGCCATTCTCCGTCCATCTCAACCGCGCCCGCTTCCACGAGTAAAGTCGACGGTAGTACTCGCGGAAGCAGCTGGTGCCGCCAGACGGCCGAGCTTTCTTCGAGCGGGTCATCCCGATGCGTGCTGATCTTGCGGATCCGGAGCAGCTTGCCGATATATTTGGGCGAGGTACCGGTGTAGACAAAGACGACATGGGCTCCGCCTTCCGCGCCATATGCCCAGTCCGAGGAGGAGGTATCGCTGGATGGTCCAGAAACCGGCACGACGGCCGTGGCAGTGACCGGCTCAGGATTTGGTACAGCTGCTACCTCGGTCTCCTTCGGTGCTGGTGTCTCCTCGGCGAGAGGCGGACTTCCCGGGGCATCTAGAGGCGGCACAGCCTTCCTCGACTTCTTCTCCGCCGTACCAGACACCGAGCTGGGCGACTTTGACACCATCTGCCCCAGCTCATTCACCGCCACACTACTCGCGAGAGCACCCTCTCCCGCTCCCTTCTTGTATATGGTATCCCCCTCCGGGAGGAAGTCCGACCCTTTGTCGTCCTTATTGAGCGACCGGGACGACCCAAAGATGGTCGACCGGAACCCCGGACGTGAGGTGGACCGCTTGAAGCCGAATGACCCGAACCGGAAGGTAGACTCCCCGCTGGGGGAGGAGGACCGTGGTGGCGTGGCGCCATTGGCCAGGAGTGGTCGGGGTGTGGGAGTGGTTGGAGGAGGAGGAGTGGGTGCGCGGTACTCGACAGTAATGAGGAGTCGCTCAATCGCGTCATTACTGGAGTGAGGGATGAATGGGGATTTCAGGCGGAGGAGGACGTAAGTTGGCCAGTTGGCCGATGTAGAGGGGTCGAGCAGGCCTTCTTCGCTGAAGGCGGTGAACATGTCGTCCGTTTCGGCAACTGCCTCTTTTACGATGGAGTATGCAGCCGCGGGGGTAAAGGTAGCTTTGCGGCTGGGCGAAGCGGTCGGAGTCGCTAGAGCCGACTTGCCATTGGCCCGCGGGGTTGTCGAGCCCTTGATGGCCGAGGAGAAGGTCCCCAGCGATGGCGAGGGTGATAGAGCGAGGTCCAATGTCTTCTCCCCGTCCTGCCCGAAGCCGGACTTGGTAAAGTCGTCCCAAGTCGACGAGCTCTCCGGGAGTCGCAGACGGCTAGCAGAGGCCTGCCGAGGTAGTGCGAAGGGAGAATGGCTCTCTGCGAGCCGGCCGACCTCCTCCGCGAGGGAGTCGAGCAGCTTTGCGTTGCTCGGCACGCGGGACAGAGCGAGCATCTCCGGTCGACCGCCTTCGAAGGTACTACTGTGCTGAGAGACAGATGGCCGCTTTCGGTCGGCGACAGACTTTCCGGATCCGCCTGAACAAGAGAGGAAGCTGGACGAGTGATCATCGACGAGAGCTTCCGAGGATTCTTCCAGCGAAGCCAGTAGTTCACTCCAGCTCGGCGCAGAGTCTTCGGCGGCTACTCTGGCCGACAGAGCGGCGTGGAGGATGTCTGCGGGCTTGAGTGGTGACTTGAATAGATGCTGGTCGGTCTGCAGGCTGAGGTGCAGCGTCCGACGTGTGAAGGAGGAAGGAGGAGGGCTTGGGAGGGTTTCGGCCGAGTACTCGGACGGGCCAAATGGGTATTTGTCGACCAGGGCCATAAGGCGTGTGGGTAAAGTATGTGTGGTAGACTGATATCTATCCTTGTCAGCTCTTGGATTCCATTTCTTCGTCATTCATGACTCAGATGAGCCAGCTTACCTGATCCAAGCGAGAAACAGGTGTTCTACTCTCCGCGCTGCCAGTCTCCAGCTCGCATACATCTCCTGCCAGCCCGCATCTGTCCCGATGTTTGGCTGCATGATCCACCATCCCAGCAACAGAGACAGCTTGCCGCCCAGACCCGACCGGTCTTCCGCGTGCGAGGTCAATGCCGCCCAAACATCGAAGATCTCGTGCAAGAGCTGGGAGACTTTTGGGCCGAGGTGGGGAATGAGGATGAGGGAATATGCGTCGGCGGGATAGGAGGCGGCGTGCTCGGCCTGGACGAACTTGATGTACGTCTCGAAGGAGATGAGGGGGGCGGACGAGGAGGATGAAGGGAGGGATGGCAGGCGACGGAGTGCCCATTTCAGGGCGGCAGCGACCGCTTGTGGTGAACACGATTTGGTGGCGTCTGTAAGACGTTCCGACCATATTGTGGAGGGTGACTCGGTGGATGATGAAGGATAATGGGACGATATTGAGGGGAAATCGGACAGCTTGCCGGGTTGAGTGACGATGAGGAGGAGGGCACAGAGAGCATGATGTTGGTCGTCATGGGCGGGCGTTGCGCTTTCGAGGATGCTAGTAGGATTGGCTAGTGACATCAGCGAGTGTACTTTAGGCAACGTTGCTGACTTCTGCTTACCAGTATCCTTCAGAGCGCCCCCGAGCAGCTTCCATGCCTTCGCAACCTCTTCCGCGCTCAAAGTTGCATTATCCAGCTTCCCCTGTTCCTCCTCTTTGAGGGATGGCATTCTCCCCACATTATCCAACCCTAGCCCAGACTGCCCTTCGCTCCCTGCTTCAGCTTGAGCCTCTGCGAACCCCAGATTTGGCAGCTCCCACTCCTTCTTGGCATCCACGCTATTCCGCTTCTTCCTCCCGATATCTGCGCTATTCCGGCGCTGTATCGCATCAAATGGAGTCGCCGAGCTACGCCTCTTCATAGATAGAAAGCGAGATGGCGCATCAGGTCGAGAGGTTGGGCTGGACGCTCGGGCCTTTGTCGACGTCGGCGGGGAAGTTGAGCCGGGCGATCCGGCTGTGGGCTTTTTGGCCCGCTTCTTTGAGCCGAACAGGGAGGAGAGGATCGACATTGCTACTGGCGAGTCCCCACGGTCTGCGGGTGCGATCTCAAGAGCAATATGATATGTGTGAGGGAGCTATAGCTGCAGAAGGTTGGAGGGGCATTTGACTTTGAGGCCATCCCATAGCGGCTAGATCCGTGCGTAGAGTGTCCGCATTGCGTAATTCCCACGGCGGCAAAGATGAAACACCTGTCAATGGAGGAATGTGGCGATCAGCGGTTTCATGTGCAGAGGGACAGCAGTGGAGATGGCAACTGCGATGCAAAGACCCGGAAGAGATGCTACAAAGATATGTATACTACGCTGTGATCTTGGCATTCAGTCTCCGAAGCTCCTGCGGTGTGAAGTGAAGGATGACCGCTAGGACCTGAACGAGCTGTCTCCGCATCAGGGGGTTTTCGAGGAATTGGAGAATGACGTTTCGGAGATACTGTTGGTTGAGCGAACGTCCTGACTGGTACAACCGATCCACCCACCTCGAGATTGACTTCTTCCTCATCGTTACCCTTCACAGCCCCGTTCTGGCCATTTGGCGCAGACACCGGTCCGGCACCTTTCGCACCCGTTTCGGCAGCGGGAGCGCCCTTCTCGCCAGGAGTGATTGGAGTGGCTTCTCCGCTCCTTGCCGCCGGTGAAGGAGTGGCCGCTCCGCTCGGCCCAGCAGCCGCAGAAGCAGACCAGTACCCCACCCCCGGATTCCGCGACCGTTCCATAAGCTGAACGCTGGACTGGACTTTGCGCATTTCCTCTCGGAGCGTCTTGTTGGCGGTTCGAAGATTCTGGACGAGCTGTTTCTGCTCTTCGAGCTGGGAGCTGTATGTTTGTAGCTGAAGCTTAATTTGCGATAGCTCATCTTTGGCCATTTTCTGTGTGATCAGCCCATCCCGGCTTCACCAAAGGATTCGGACTCACTTCTCCTTCCTGAGCGGTAGCAACGTCCTCCTTGGCCTCTTCTAGCCTCGCCACCATCCCCCTCAACTCCTTCTCCACCTTTTGCCTTTTATTCACCTCGGCTGCCGTATTGCCTCTCTCGATCTCCACCCTTTGTTCCACCTCGGCCATCTCGCCCGCCTTCTCCTGTACCGCCCTCTTTAGCTTCTCCAGCTCAAACACCCTTTCTTGCAACTTTTGCCCAAACTCCTCCTCTTGCTCATTTCGCTCCTTCTCTAGAGACCGGACCCTGAACCGCAGGTCTGACAGCTTGGCCTCCGCCCTAGCCTCCGCCTCGGCGAGCAATCGCTGCACTTCCGACGCCGAAGTCCCACTGCCCGAATTCTGGCGGGACGGACTCGGGCTCGGACTGGAGTTGAAGCGATCTCCCGCGTCGAGATACTGCGGTCGACCTCGATCTGGTATCCTCGGCGTATCCTCGAGCAGAGTGATTCGCTCATTCGCCTCTCGAAGCTGAAAGTCGAGCTCTTTGGTCCGATTCGCGAGAGTCTCGGACTCTGCTCGCGCCGATTCTGCCTCGGCCTGCCGGGCTTGGATGGTGTGGAATTGCTCGTCCTTGGTGGCGCTAAGTTCTCGAACGATAGCTTCGAGCCCATTCACCATGGTCGTCTTTGCCGTGATATCCTTGGCGTGCGCTGCCTGCTCTCTCAGCTCCAGCTCCCCAGACTACTCACCTTGGTCGTAATCATTTCCAACTCCCACGCGCCCTTCTTCTCCTTCATCTCCCTCTCCGCCCTCTCTTTTGCGCTTTGCAACTCCCTCTCAAATCCTTGCCTCAACCTATTTACCTCCCGGTCCCGCTCCGCCTTGACCCTCTCCACCTCTTCCATCGCCCTGCTCCGCTCTGCTCGCTCTTCTGCTCGGTCCCGCTCCACCTCCTCCTTGTCCTTTTCAGCCTTGACGAGTTTTAGCCGCACAGTCTTCAGTAGCGAGATTGCCTTGGTCCGCTTTTCCTCTTCCTCCTTGACCTGCGTCTGTGCTTTGGAGAGGTCCATCCGGAGCTGGGGGATCGCGGCAAGGTCGGGTGCTCGAGTAGCTAGGTTAGACTCGGCCGTCGAGAGCTGGGTGCGAAGCTTGGAGACGAGGTCGGTCTGGGATGATGATTCGAGACGATGCGTATCCCGCAGCTCTTCCATGCGAGAGTCTTGCACTGTGGGTTTAGCTCAATCCAGCTGTTTTCGCCGCCCAGACTCACGGTCGAGCTTGGCTTGTAATCGCTTCATCTCATCCGCCATGATCCCCACTTTCCCTGTAACATTTCGGACCCAGTCCTCGAGCGCTTGTGGGTCGGACAAGCCGCCTTCGAGTGGTGTGAGGTCGCGCAGAATCTTGTCCGCCGCCAGAATCTGAGTTTGGAGCTGACTCGTATCGCCCAGACCTACAAGGTCAGAATGGTCAGAAGGGCCGAAAAGGGACTCACTAGGTTGTCGAACTGCAGAGCTCCTATCGCTGTCACCGGTCGCCGAGAGTCCTAGCCCGAGCCCTTCCGGCTCTCTCTCCACCTCCGGAGTCGCCCCTTCTACCCCTAGAACCGGGACCGGCTGATCCGCTGACGCCTCCATTATGGGTGATGCGCCCAGAGGATCCGCATAGCGTGGGGTGGGGGGAAGGAGCGGAGTCGTGCTGGTGGTAGGGGAAGGAGGCAGGGGGTACGAAGCCGGATCTTCCGGATTTGGAGGTGGTAGTGATATCGCAGCCTGCCTAGGGCTGAGTCGAAGATGGCTAGGACCGGGTGATCGAGCGCGGAGCGGCGTCGCCGACACGGACGATGGGTCGGACGACGTCCCGATCTGAAAGGAACCAGCTTGGAGTAGCCGATTCGGCGCTGGCGAGGTGGACCGGGAGGATGGTCCCGCCTGGGGTTGGGGTTGAGGTATTTCCTGCAGCTCCTTCTCCTTCCCCTCTCCCGCTGTACCCAGCTGCGGCGACGCCGAGGGCGAGATAGCTGGCCTTTGACCGTCCAAAGATGTCCGGGAAAAGTTGAAGCCGCCTCGGAGACCCCGTAGACCGCTCAGCGCGCCTTCGGCCAGATGGCCCGGACTGAACGCGGCGCGAGTGGGACTGGCGGCAGCCTCCCCGCTGTCCAGGATTGGGGTGCGCGGCTCGCCCGCTAACTGAGGGGACGCTGGGAGTGGTACATCTCGAGCGGTAGTCGCGAGCTGGGCAGAGGAGGTCGAGGGGGAGGCCGCGCCTTGTTGTTGCTGCTGCTGCTGTGCTGCGAGCCCGGCTTGCGCGCGGGCTTGGAGGGAAGTCCCGGTCGCTTCCAGCTGATTGACCGCGGCTTTCAGGCGGTCGCTGAGGGAGACGTTGAACATGGTCCTCCCCCTCTGCGCTATGCGTGAGCTAGGAGTCCTAGCTAGATATAGGTAGAGGTATGCAAGGAGAAGCAAGGCAGTCAGCCTGCGCACAGCGGAGAGCGGATGGCTTGGCGCTTCCGTCGGAAAGGATGGCAGCATGATGTCCGAAGCGCCGAAGGGTTGTTGACACTATCTCTTCACCTTCAATCGATGCTGATAGCACCCGAGAGACACGCAGCACCATGGGCTTCCTCAAGAACGCAATGATATCGGTAGGGCTTGCCCAGCCAGGTCCGAAAATCACGGCTCATGATCGAGCTATCCTGGAGTGGGTCACCTTTCTGACGAGTTTGTGGTGTCGATGGGCTGCGGCGGCGAAGGATATGAGCTGATGAGTACAGCTTGAAGGTGCAGAGAGATAAGATGAAGCAATATCAGAAGCGTGTAAGCTATCTTGCAGACCTGTCAAGCGAACTACCGTTAACGAGACATAGTTGCAGAGCGTGCTGGACCGGGAACAGGAGATCGCCAGGGAGTCTCTAAAGAAGGGCGACAAGGTGTGTGATGGACCTGCCCATACTGCGCTCGTATGCTGACGGACCAGACGCGAGCTCTCCGTGCTCTCAGACAACGGAAGTATCAAGAGCAGCTCCTGGTCAAGACGGACGGACAACTACAGACCTTGCAAGAACTGGCAAGTCTTCCTGGACGGCTGTGCGGGACTCCTGGCTGATATTGCACAGGTTAGCTCGATCGAGTTCACGCAGATTCAGGCGACAGTGATGAAGGGGCTAGAGATGGGGAATGAGGTGCTCACGCAGCTGCATAAGGAGATGTCGCTGGAGAAGGTGGAGCGGTTGATGGACCAGACGAAGGAGGGCGTGGCTTATCAGCGGGTAAGTACAGCGAGCTCAGGTGCTATTGACAAAGGATATGAAGCTGACCTTGTGTAGGAGATAGACGAAGCACTCATGTCGACTATGTCGCCGGAAGAAGAGGAGGCAGTACAGGCCGAGCTGGAGGCATTGGAGCGAGAAGCTATGGTTCGTCTTGCCTCCCTCCGCATCGGTAGCGAGGTCATGTCTGACTGTCGCAGCCTGCTATACCCAGCGTCCCAGAGGCCACGCCCGTCAGTCTACCAGATGCGCCACTGGAAGAGCCGGTCGAGTCCGTGCCTGCCGTGGAGGAAGAAGGTGAGTATTCTGGAACCGAGACCTGTGCCATGCTGAACTGTAGCATCGCGTACGAAGGTCAAGGAGGAGCGAGTTGCGATGGCAGCTTGAGCGCTCCGAGATCATATCAAGCATCATTACTTGTACACTATAAACTACGAGAGTCTACGTTGTACATCAGGGATTCTCAGAGCAGATGGCCTCGTACGATCTTGCTCTTCGACTATATGCCTTCCTCGTCGTCCTTCCTTGCCCAGTCCTCCTTGAGCCGCTCCAACACCCTCTCGTTCCGCCTCACTACCGCCTCACCTCCCCACACCTCCTCCGCAAACGTCCAATCCCGCTTCCTCCTGACTCTTCGCCCCTTCCGCTCCGCCTCTGTCCGCCTCTGCCGATTCAGCCCAGCTGTCGGATCATGCGCAAACCCCTGGAACCTGCTCGGTCCCGCCGTACCGCCTGTCCCCGCCACCCCAGACCCTGGCCGTAGAGCAAAGAACGCCTCCATATCCTCCTCTTTATCCCTTCGTTTTCGCTTGGATCCCTCTCCCGCCAAGGGCTGCGCATTACGAGCCTTCGTCGGCGTCCCCATATCCACATCCTCCACTTCTTCCCTCTCCTCTTCTTCCTCGACCTCCCCTGCGTCGGCTGCTTCCCAGCCCGGCGTCCCCGGGGCTGCCTCGGCCCGTCTCCGAGGAGTCACGCTCTGCTTTAGCGGACTCCCCTTCGTCGGCGTATGCTTCCGCAGACTCGATATGTCTACGCCGCTGGTGTATTTGTACTTCTTCTTGGGGGTCGAGAAGGGCGATGGGAGGTTTGGCAACACGCCGGTTCCCGCTGAGGTGGAGGACGATGCAGCAGCATTGGAAGCGCGGGTAGAGGTACGGCGGGATGGAGAGGGCGCAAGATCGTCCGCTGTCTGAGAGCTGAGGAGGGTGCGAGCTAGTCTAAGGGCAGATCTGAAGTGTGCGGGGGAGACGGAGGATGCCTTCTGAGCGGTCTTCTCGACGAGGTCTTTGCTGTGTACTCTACACTTGTCAGCTTCTTATCCTGACATAGTAGCAGAATGATAGCTCACTTCTCGCATGCGATCAATGCACTGACACCGACCAGAGCAGCCCTTTCTTCAGCTTTCAGGTCATTCCCCTTCCCCGGTCCAGTGAGGTTGCGCAGCGTCGAGAGCACCGTGTGTGCGACGCTCAGCGCCGGATGATTCGACAAAGGAAAGAATGGGGCGAGCTCGGAGGACATGTCGCAGCTCGGCTGGTACAATGTCAAGGGAGAGTGAACGCGACCGAGACCCGGACGCGATTTTGGTGAGGAATGTGGAGTTGGCAAGCCACTCGAGCTTCGGCCGCAAGACCTTCTTATAGATTGTTGACTCTGAGCTCCTCATTGACACCACCGGATCCGCACTTCTCGGAACGGACTGAGATAGCCCGATATGTCTGAACGCGCCCGTATAGATAAGGCTACCGCGGTGAGCGGCCGCAAAGCTGACTCTTCATACGGAGGCCCTCGGCTGATCTTCCAGGCTACGATGTCCGAGCTCGCTCCTGGCTTCCCTCGACAGATTGGTCCTGCTTCAGATACTTCAAAGCATGACATGTGAGTGTTGTTCTCCGCTTGTCCCGTCTGGTCAGGATAGCCCGAGAGAGTCAGGGCTGATCGGGCAGTATAGAGCTACAGCTCCGGCCAACTTCACATCTCGGTCAAACCGCCAGAGACACTCTGTACACGCTGTGGGACCATAACATTAGGCCCCTGTACGTCTGCACAGACCAGGCCCAGACATGAGCAGACCGAGCTGACCTCGTAGCGCCAAAGGTACGGAGTTCGACGTGCCCGAGGCGGACAAGCGAGAAGAGTTGTTCGATGCGACCACTCGGTTCCTCTTACTTCTACGAAAGCGCTCAGCAGCGGCTGTCTCAGTCGACGAGGCAAATACATCACCGCATCTTGGGCCAGAGAACAATACAGCAGCTGCAGGTACAGACGAGCAGGCGAAGCCAAAGAAGAAAAAACGGAAGAAGGTGGATAAGCTGGACTTTGGACCGGATGAGCTGGTAGGGTACTGCTCCTTCCGCTTCGATGTGGAAGAAGATGCGGAAGTCATCTACTGGTGAGTAGCTCTCCTGCATGGTAGGCTGAGAGTGGGCGCTGATAGGGCAGTTATGAGCTGCAGCTCGCCATATCTGGCCAGCGGAGAGGGTTTGGTCGGATCTTGATTGCGGAGATGGAGCGGATAGGGCGGGAAAGAGGGATGGAGAAGGCCATGCTGACGTGTATATCTGGTATGCAGCTCATCTTGGCTGATGTGTGATGAGAGAGAGAGGAGTGCTGACCCAGCTAGCCAATGTTCCAGCTAAGGCGTTCTATGCGAAAATGGGGTACGTCCAGCTGATTCCTAGACCCCCCAAGTTCTGTGGTCAGATAGGGCTTCGATCCGACAAGAACCTGACAAAGCCAGGTATGACCTCGATGAGTATGACCTAACAAGAATAACCTCGCCAACAAAGGCGTCAAAATGGGCAACGACATCGACCAAGGTCGGATACTACATCCTCACCAAACATCTCCAAACTCCCATTTGATCACAGAGCGCGAGGCGGTATATCGGCCGAGGGAGCCTGCGCATGGCCCATAGGCTCGAGAGCGGTGCTAGAAGGGCACGCTGACATGTGCCGGCGGGTCGTGGGCAGCGGAAGGACAGGGAAGGATCGGAAGGGGTCGGCGCACACAACCTGTGTGCATCGGAAAATTTCGCTCGACCTCTCAAATACCTTCCTCGACCTCTCCAATGCCTTCTCATCTTCTCGCCCCCAATTGCTCATACGATGCTAGTCAACATATCACCACCTCTCCTCCAACATGCCCGTCCGACCCCTCCGCCCGAAACAGCTCGTCGAGGGGCTACTCGTCCCGCTCGTGACCAAAAGACTGAAGGAGAGCTTTGATCGTAATTTGATCATCAAGATGCCTCAATTTGAGGAACCAGTGGCGGTGCAGGGGCAGGCCAGATGGGTTATGGTGAGCATCCCGCCTTGATGAAGGGGAAGAAGGCATGAAGACAACTGCTGACCGCTAGACGCGATGTTGCCAATGCGCCAACCTGTATCTCGTCGAGGATGGGGTGATCGAGGCGACGTATACCGACCCTGACGAGGGCGGGATGGAGTTGCAGCTTTGGAAGTTCGGGCTGTTTCCTTTGAGACCGATTGAGGATGGGGAGCGCCTTCGATGGCATGTCGGCAGGGAGGATATCCAGTCAGTCACATCTCTGAGGTAGATGGTATCCCGGCGGACGTGATCATGACGGAAGTGATGATGGAGCCGAGATAATGCAGCGGCTGATCTACCGCAGACGCGACATACACCTCGACTCCGAGACTCGAGCGCGGATCGAGCTCGATCCAGAGCTGAAGACTCCTCGGCATGACTGCTACCGGGATTTCATAGCCGAGCATACCTTTGCGACCGGCGTCAGGCTCTTGCGTCCGCTCGTGCATGGCTCTGGTCCAGCGCCGGAGGGGTCGAGAAAGCTGAAGTCTGGGGACGCTAGGGTCATGCTCATCAGTGGGAAGCGATACATTTTGGATCAAGGCGGATGCAAGAGTCAGTATTAAGAGCTGCTCGAGAAGTTGAGGTGGGCTGATATTGGGCAGACACGCTGTCAAGCTTGTGCCAACGTCAAGATATGCCCGGACTCCCTTCATCGATATCCGAATAGCATCCAGCTCGAGCTCATCACGACTAGGCGGGTGGAGAAGGGAGAGGCAATTAAGTGGTGGGCATCAGATGGCTGTGGGGATCAGGATGTGTGAGTCTACGTATAGTGGATAAGAGACGGGGAAGCAGCTGATCTGTAGGTGTTATCATCATAGAGCTTTCTAGTGCCCTCAAGCACGACTCGAATACCGCATCCCATGACCCAGTGTTTAGCAGATCCTGGTTTGGGTTCGGTGTAGCAGCGTATAAATATGCCAACCTATTTATCCGAAGTGTATCTCAAGTAGGTATTGTCTAGGTCCGGCCGTTTAGAGTAGGTTGATGACAGATATGATATCGACCATGCATACAGATCTCGAATCCCAGAATAAGTTGTCCCATGTCATCCCCTTGCGATGCGATTGATAGATGCCCACGTTTAGGATGCCCCGCCCCGGTTCTTCAGGCACCGTCCTCCTCTGGCTCTGGGAAGTCTTTGTACTCGTCGAAAGCTTTATGAGCATGGATGTCTGCCTCGGATCCCAGCGATACATCGGCGGGATCTATGTAATGGAAGTCCTGCTCTGTGAGCTATACCCCTGTGTTGGGCGGGGGCAAGACTTACCATATCCACTCCTTCGTCCGCTGCCAACCTCTATGTCGGTGATCAGCTTCGCTCAGTGAGCCTCCAGAATAAACTTACAGCGTATTCGAGAAAGAGGCGCATCATGTACGCCTGCAGATCTTCTATCCGGAACATGCGCTGAACGAAGCATTTGCCGTTCCGCGCGAGAGCTTTTGCTGTCTCGTCAAAGCCGAGATCGGGGTGGTGGGGTGTGCCTCGGAAGCTGCGGTGTCAGCCTTTTACTATTTCAGACTGGCTGGCCCACTTACAAAGCAAGGATATCAAACATGTCCGAAAAGTCCAGCTTGGCGGGGACGTACATGAACCATCTACGAGGTCAGTCCATAGCCGAGTCACAACAAGGATGGTCGTAGAGACTGACGGGATAAGATGCGGCTGGAACCATTCTGTAAAGATCCCGACCTTGATGACGAGCGAGTTGGTACTCATAAGCCTCCTGAAGCGGCCACTAACGATCAGCTGTGACCGAAAGGCCTAGCATACTGGCTCACCTCCATCCGTTTCCATCAATATCTAGCAAGAATTTGTGGCGATTCAGGATTTCTGCCCGCTGCCTCGGTGCCCAATTAATTTCGTTACTGATATTGTCAGCTATGCTGGATGTAAGCGGGCATGGGACTTGCTTCATCTCATCGCAGGTCCCATCTTCCTCGCTACACTGGATAGGTCCTCCAGCCAGCTTGGCATCGACAAAGAAATTAGTCGCCACCTTGGTCTTGACCTGCTCCCGCTTGTACGCCAGACCCGGCTCCATCTGCACCTGCCGTCTCTCCCGCTCTCCGTCCTCCTCTGCCTCGTCCACCGTGTCCTCGATCTCGGATCCGTCGTCTGACTGTCCCAGATCAGGCATGATGTAGCTAACGCCATCTAATGTCCGATTGTTGGCCCAGTGGTGCAGCCTGATACGGTGAGAATCTCGCCAGGGGAGATCTTGGTTCATCATCGAGATACCGGTCGGGCTCCCTCGCCAGGCGAGTTTGGAGGAGCGCTTGTCTTCCCAGCGGAGATCTCGCCCGGGCGGATCGAAAAATTGGTCGAGCGGGGTAATAAGGATATCGGAGCTGTGTGATCAGCACAAGCGCTGCCTGGAGAGGAGCCACCTACTTGATGGAGGTCTTGGCCAAGCTGAAGAGCGGGAGGAGTTGGGTATGGGGTCGAGGATGAGAGTACTGGTCGTGCGCTTCGATGGTCAGGCCATGCAGGGGTACGAGGTACGGATCTAAGTAATTAGCTTGGACAGTCCAATAGGTCAACTCACTCTGACAGAGATCACCGGCTTCAAGGGGGTCGTAGATCAACGAGTGGCCTAGAACTTTCAGTCCGAGCGGTATACCTCACGGACTCACCCTCTGTCATGTCTGCGTCCGTCCGGAAATGACTGTCAGGAGGGCAGCTCCTTGATAGCTTGACCACAGCGTCGTCCGTTTCTTGCAGATGGGCAGTGTCTGCTCAGTCAGCCGAGTCCTGCCTAACATAAAACACCTCACGTTCTCCTCGCAGACCAAGCTCGACCAACGATCCTCTTCGAGCCCAAGACAGGTAGATCTGCGGTTGGTCGAAGATCGAGAAGGTGGCTTTCATATCGGGCAGATCCTGAGCGAATGCAGCGATCAGCCTGGGCATCAGTACTACGAGCATAACGGACTCACGATGCCGCATCCTGAGCGCGAGGCCACGTCCCGCCCCATTTCAAACCGCCTTTATCCCTGATCTGCTCGTTAGCTCCCTGCAGTGCCGCTACTCACCCTCACATCGACCCTTCCGTTCTTGACGATCAGTGTGAACGTCTCTTTCATCTCCTCCACCATCCGCATCCGCCTCTTCATCTCCTCCTTGGGCAGCGCAAAGAACGGCGCCAAGTCGAGGTTGATCCGATCGTACTCGTCCGGCAGGATAAGATTGAACTCCTTGACCTTCTCCCACCAGATATCGAACCCTTTTGGCGGCTTCCGGCTATATCTCCGCTCATACTCCCTCACTGCTTCCCCCAGACTCTGACTCTGCCGGCTGAGCAGCTCCTCCCACCGCTTCTCGCCGAGAGACAGGAGGAGAGGGATTGGATGAGGTGATCCCGGGGCGTCCGAGATGAGGAGATGACCCGTGTGTGAGAATTGATGATGGTGGGACCGAGCGGTATGATTAAGCGTCGAGGGGTGGACGAGGTCAAAGTCGTATTGGTCTGCTACTTTTCGGCGGAGTCGCTTGAGGTCCCGATGATACGCCTCGACGGGACTGACGAATCGGCAAGGCCCGCGCTCCTCTGGATCGCGATACAGGTTTCCGAGGTGAAGCTTACCGTCACGTAGCGACCCGATACCTCCGTTGTTGACAAAGACCCTCTTTGCTGCCATTCCCACGCATCCCAATAGAAGCAGATAGATCACGACCCGCCTGACGGACCACTCCCGCTTCCCTCCCTTGAGCTTCTTCTCTGACTCATCATCATCGTTGAGGGAGTAGAGCGTCTCCTCCTTGTGCGAAGCGAGAAGACGACGAGACGCGTTGCGCGTGGGAGACTCCGGGTAGTCCTGATAGGAGGCAGCGAGGTTCAGGAGCGGAGGTAAGTCCAGACTCGAGCGTTGAGGAGAAAAGTTCGGCGTGGACCCTCGTCGGAAAGGCACACGACGAGCGGCATCGCTGGGAGATGACTCCATGGCCCGTGGCACCGAGCTCCTCACGCCACGACTCGATCGGCGGAGAAGAAGTGGGATGTGCGGATGATTGAAGGCGGATAATCCAGAAGAGTGATGATATCAGCAGGCACGGTCAGGGTTTAAGACATGTGCCTGGGTAACGTAACGGATCTCCGCCGGCTTGCATGTGGCCTCATGTGGCAGGCAGGGTTACTACCCAGCGAGGCAGCGAGGCTCACCCGCTGTTGATGCCCTGCACAGCCATGGCCGCTACAAACGAGCCTGTCATGGAAGACAGAGAAAGCTGTCCAATCGTGGAGGTGGATCAGACCTTCATTGTATGGGCATTCACCTTCTAGCGATAAGGCTATCCAATCTATCTCGCACATCCTCCTCCCACTCCCTCCAGGTTATACTCGCTAGCCAGCTATCTCGAGACATCTGTCCCGGCTTGGAATCACCTAGTCGTCCTTCTGATTGCTGTCAGCTGCCCATCCTCCTACATATCAATCTAGGATCAACATCACTCACCCTGCGCGCCGACTTTACCGTGCGGAATCGTCCGGTGGTTCCGCAACAATCCTTCAAAGGTGAATCCCAGCCTCAGTGCCGCCTTCTGAGATGCAAGATTGAGGGATGTAGTGAACCACTGACACCGCCGTAAACCGAGCCCACCTTGGTCTGGCATGTCGAGGATGTGGTGCATGAGCGCTCCGGCAGCATGAGTGAGGACATGAGTGCGCTATCTTTCAGTACATCTCTTACAGTCACAAGCGGGGAGGCTCACCTGATATGGAGGGAAGATCACTATCCATCCTGGTTCTGCCACGAGGTCATCCGCCGACGCGTTGATACACGAGACTGTCCCGGCGAACTCATACTCCGATGGATCAGTCGGTGGGGTGTCGCTTCCAGGCTTATCGGTATAGACGGCATATTGCAAGAAGCCCTGCCATGGTCAGACGCTGCGATAAAGCCTCTCAATTGAAGAACTCACTGGCTGCCTTCGTCGCGTCTCCGTGCTGCGCAGCACATCCTCCAGAGTGTGCGTCTCCATCGGTAGCCACTGTTGCGTCTCGGGGTACTTCATGAAGCCATCATATAGCAGCTTGGCATGCAGTGAGGGCTAGTTAGTCAGTGCAACCCTCAATCCTTGGTCATCTGACTGACCACGAAGGGTCGAAGCTCGACACGATCCGTCCGGAGCGGCTTGACGTCAAAGACAAAGTTGAAGTCATATTCTTCTGGAGGGATGGACATGACATCCTCCAAATCTGGAGGCGTTGGTGGCTTGTAGGTGTTCTTATAGATGGACATTTTGATTCCACGGGTAATTATGATAGGTTATGAGAGACTATGTTCACTGCACTTGATACGGTCAATTGAACCATCCATCTCGCTTCGACTCGAATCGCCTTCGGACTCTCGGAGCGAGATCCCGAAGATTGGCGAAGTAAGCGAGGGCCCCGCATGCCGTCATCGCTCTGAGCTGAAATTTCCGCCAGCCAGAGCAGGTCTCTCTCACAGCTTCACCTGACTGCTATATTCAATGCGGACACCCAGACGAGTCCCATGGACGAGCCAGTCGGAGCTCAGCGAGCTGTATGAGTGGCTCTTTGCGCCATCTGCGGACATTGCGTCGCGTCGGCGGGGACTGGCGAGGGTAAGCTAGCTTTACTTGTGCTCGCGGGTCCGAAGCTGATGTCTCCAGATGAGCGTGTATATCTCTTCGCCATCATGTCCGGCTTTCATCCATCTTCTGCATACGCTGGTATCGGCGGACCTCCTGCCCCCGCCAGCAGACTCGGCCGCTGCGCACGCTACGCGTCTGACGTCCGCGATGGCGGTTGTGAGATTCATCAACGGCATGGTGGATCCGCTTCAGACAGGTGAGCTGGCCCCTCAGTGCCAGTACCATGCTGAGATCCTAGGACCATATGCTAGACCTATATCCCATCTCGCAGCGAGCATCCAGATCCCCGCCTCCCTCATCTCCCTCCGGCATCGCGCGACACACGAGGACCTCCCCCCTCTCCCGCTCCTCCGCCAATCGGTCCTTCAGGCGATCCATTACCTTCATACCTTCTCCTTCCTCCCTCTCCTAGCCTCCAGCTCGACCCAGCCGGCATATGAAGGCCGTGACCGCGCCGAGAAGCTTGTCGGGCGGTGGAAGCGGTTGATGAAGGATCGATTGAGGGATCGGGAAGTTGCGGAAGATACCGCCCGTGCAAAAGAGCTGCGAAGAGTCCGAAGGGGTCTGGAGTCAGAGGAGGTGGAAGATGTTGTGGAGGCGCTGTGTGGTACGGAGGGGATGATACCGCTCGCGAGGAAGAAGAGGCCGGGAAAGACGGATACTGCCCCCCCGACGGCATTGCTGCAGGTCTGGGCACCGCTCCTCGTCCACCTGACGGCTGTGCGGCCAACGTATCCCGCACTGCTCGCCGAACATATCGTCTCAGCGCTCATCGATGACGAAGGCCGCCGGACGCCGGAGCATCCGTCGCAGGAAGGCAGGCGGGAAGGAGAGAAGGAGAGGCAGTCATTTCGCTGGACGCTAGCGGTATGGCTTATCTGGCTATGGGAGGGACTATCGGGACCGGGGCGTATAGGCATCGCCGAGGAGTGTAGGCGGCCTCTTTGGAACAGAGTGGTGAGCGCGCTTCTTGCGGGGGATATGATGTGAGTAAACTCCATCGTGCAATGGGGAAACAGCTGATCGTAAAGTCTGCGTAGACTCGCTGGTAGTCTCGCTCAGATCGATGGTAGCTTGCAGGACAGCTGGCGGTCCATCGCGCCGATGCTTCTTGAGCCAGACGAGCCAGATCTTCTGAGCGGGCTGGACGACGTCAATATGGAGGGGATGAACGAGGCCGATCGGATGTTGGCGCAAATGGAGGCGCGTCTCGGGCAATTGCAACGGGTGAGCTTTGGCAGTCCCACCGGAGGCATAAATCTGATTGCTAGGTGGCTCAACCAATCCTCATGGACGGCGCCCGATCTACACCTGGGTCTACGCTGCAGAACGGTCACGACGCGGCGACGGCGCCGGGGTGGAGGAAACTCGGGCCGAGAGAGTGGAGAGCTTGTCCAATGGGCGTGTGGGGTGTCGCATGACACTTGACGCGATAGGATCATCCTTTGCCTTTCTCTTACATCAAGGATGACTGATACACCGAATTCATGACACACTGACGTGACTCTGACCTCCCTTTGATCTTTTCGCCCCGCTCCCGCCCCACATCGCTCACTGCGGGAAATGACTCTTTCTCCCACTTATCGACCACGGTATCAGTTGGACCTGATCATCATTCCGCCTAGCCATGTCTTTCTACCCCTACCCGACTGGGCCGGTATGGCCGCCACCCGCGCCCTCGAGCAGCGCGCCCGCACCCGTCTACACGATACTGATCACGGGTATGGTGCTCTTCATGGCGAGCAATGTCATGCCGAATCTGATACCGACGCCCGATAGGATCTTGTGAGTAGCACCGACCGTCCTATGGCCAATTAGCTGTCACTGATACAGAATAGCAACGTCGCTCCAAGAGTCCTGTTCTGGGGTTTTTGGCTGATCATACTGACTTTGCGTACGTCCCGGACCTCTACCGCTCGAAAGGGTGCTAGCGCTGATGGGCAGTTGCACAGATGACCGGCTCGATCCCTGGCGTACCTCACCTCCATCTCACATACGTCCATATGACAGTAGCGGCGCTCATGTCCGTTCCCTTCATCCTCGCCGGTCTACAGATATGGCTGACCCGCAGATTCGTCCTGATGTGGAATCAACTCGCAAACGAGGTCCCTCCCGCCGCGCCCGACGCCAGACCCTCTTCCTCGTCATCATCCTCGTCCCGAGAGAAGCCCAGAGAGTCGAGCTCCAAGTCAGAAAAGAAAGAGGACAAACCTCCCGATCGCCCATCGCCATGGGAAGATCTGCGCGCTCATCCTTCGGCGTTCTTGACGACGAGACTGAACAGGGCGGCGATGTGGCCGTTCCCGATGGGCAAGGCGGGGAAGACTGGGCCGGAGTTGTGGTGGGAGAGCGGAACGCCTAGTCATGTGTACGTCTCGTGTTATTCTGCGGATTGTGTTGGAGCTGACGAGACAGGGGCCACTTCAACAAGCCAGAGGTACCGCCTGAGCCGAAAGAGGAAAAGTCAAAGTCCGGTGAGAAGAACAAGGACGGGGACGGAGATAAAGAGAAGGCCAGGGCCAAGGAGAAGGAGAAGCTCAAGGAGGCAGAAAAAGCCAAAGAAGCTGAAAAGTTGAAGATGGCCGAGAAGGAGGCGGCGGCCAAAAAGCAAAAGATGATGGATGCCAAGAAGGCCGAGGGTGGGTCCTCTACTGGGAAGGCTGACGTGGCCGGAAAGACGACCGGCAAGGAGGCAGAGGAGAGGTGAGATTGTAGCGTCAAAATGGTCGTGTACAAGCTGACCTGGTTAGGCAAAAACAGAAACTGTGGCGAACGAAAGCGCTGATGATGATTGTCGGGATCAGCTTGCGTGAGTCCTTTCGCTCCGGAGTGCAGCTCGCGGCTGACCCAGTGTGCAGTCAGCAAGTCCCTCGGCTTCCTATTACTACTCTTCTTCAGCCTTCAGATGATATCGCAGGAACTGAACGGACCGGCCTCGAACTCCGCAGCACCGTCAACGTCGTTGTCCTCAAGTGGCGGTTCATCTTCTCGTCCATCCGATCCCGACAAGGATGCCGAAAAGGCCAAGCTGGCAAAGATGCAAGCTATGAAGGAGGCTGAGAAGGCCAAGGCTTCGGCATCGGAGTCGGGCTCTTCACGCTCCGGCTCAGGCGACCGGGAGAAGGAAAAGGAGAAGGCAAAGATGCTGGCTGCTAAAGAGGCTGAGAAGGCCAAAGCGGCGGGGAAGCCTTCCTCTTCGTCTTCCTCGTCGTCCAGGGAGAAGTCGTCGAGCTCGAGTAGCAGCTCCAGTAGCTCGAAGGAGAAGGATCTGGTGACGAGCGATGCGGTCCGAGAGGCCGCTGGGAGCAAGACCAAGACGCCAACGGATGGAAGTGGGGATGCGCCGACGCCTTACTCTGTAAGTCTGCCTGCGCCTTATTGATTTACTCAGCTCATACTATAGCTTGGCATGGGGATGAACTACATACACACCAGAGGCGCAGATGGGAACTTGGACGGGTCGGGCGCAGCGTTTATACCGAGCGAAGGGATCTCTCACCCGCTCATGACGAGCATGATGCGAGGCTGGGCCGGCTATTGTGATATGTAGATGCACTATGAAGAGACGCGCTGTGGGCCTCGCCGCCTCGCACCTACCTCAGACCGCTTGACAGACCGCCTAGCTGCCACAACCACACCCAAGACACCCGCCACCCTCGAGCCTCCGCCACCTGCGCACGGGCATGTCCATCAACAGCTTAGCTCAAGTCGAGCGCAAGCCAGAACATCACTTCTCCACCATACATCTTTCAGCAATCCAGCACTATGCGGTAACGCAGCCCGCTACCCCGCCTCAGCAAGCCGAGGGCCTGCTCTTATATTCTCGGCTGATCGCGCGGAAATGGCGTCCTCCAGCCGAGCGCGCTCTTCCAAACAACCCGGACCTTCCCTCATCCACGTGCCCAACCTCTTCTCGGTGGTCGAGCCTGGCGTGTATCGCTCTGCCAGTCCTACGCCCGCTCAGGTAAGCTGTCTCGAGCTCAGCAGGAGTGCAAGCTGATATGGATAGGTCCCATTCCTGGCTTCGCTGAACCTCAAGACGATCATTTCCCTGACGCCCGAGTTCCCCACGAAGCAGCTTCTCGCTTTTACTCGAGCGGCGGGAATCGACTTTGTGAGCTGCTCGTATTTCTGCCCCCAAGCATAGAGGAGAAGCTGATGCTCCAGCTGCATTTGGGCACGACATTATGGAGGCCACTCATGGACTGGAAACCTATCCAGGATGAGATCGTCAAGGCAACGCTGGAGCTGTTACTGGACAAGCGGGTACACCCTCTTCTGATCATTGACCCGTAAGTCCTTCCAGCCAAGAACTCCTTTTTCTTCGCGGCTGTCGAGCAGCCGACAAGGGCGACCGAGCTGATACCGCAGTCTGGGGATACATCAAACGGGTATCATCGTTGGCTGCCTTCGAGTGCTGCAGGGGTGGAACTTCGCCTCTACCCTCGTCGAGGTCAGCTGATGACTTGACACTGTAGCCCGGACAGAGCAGCTGATTGTATGTAGTATCGAGCGCATTCTGGGCCGACGAAGCATCGGTATTCGGACGAGCAGTATATCGAGGCGAGCTGGAGAACTCTTGGGCGATGTACAACCCAGAATGAAGCTAATACCCCGATAGCTGTTCGATCCGGACCTCATCAATCTCCCCCTTCCGGATAACATCCCATCTTGGTTCCGTAGTCTAGACGAGTCCGACGAGGAGGATACGGACTACGAGGTGGAAGAGGCGGACCCGGTGGACAAGAAGGCACAAAAGGGAGCCAAGCCGGGCAAGGAGAAGGTTATAGAGCCGAGCAACACAGCGGAGGAGGTCGTCGGGGGTAGAGATCCGGGTAAAGGCGAGCGAGGCGTGGGATAAGCATGCGGTTTCTGTCGAGGAATCATCAATGTATCTTACCGGCCCATCTAGAGCTAGTCCCCTCCTGTATCTCGCCTGGCAGATCGAGTATCCTTCAGAGACGATAATGGAGCAGGGTATTCGATACATGTTTCTCATCCCATCCTGATTCCCTGACGCTCCCCAATCTACCGCCCACCAAACCCTCCCGTAGCCTGTGCCGTCCCGCCCATCGCCTGCATCCTCTCCCCGACCACCTTGTTCACCTCGAAGAATTTCGCGCTACACCGGTCGATGCAGACTGCTTCGCCCTTGAGGAGCTCGCCCTCTGCGTATCGGTGTGATTGGGGGTTGGGCTGGATGCATTTTTGGTGGCATGAGGTGACGAGGCGGTTGCTACCGAGTCAGCTCTGTATATCGCTCTAAGCATATCAGAAAGGCAGAAGCAGATGGGAGTGCTCACAAGACATCAGTGATCATATCCAGCTCTGCTACGGCCATCTCCATCTTGACCGGGTCGACCGCGCCCGTGTCCTGCTCTGTGCAAGTCAGCTTGCGAACCATCCCGATGGAACATTTTGCCATGAAGGAACCCACTTGCTCCACCGCCGAAAAGGTAAGACATGTTGCTGAAGTGATGTGTTTGTGAGAGGAAACGAGGCGGATGGTACTCTGATAGCTCGCAGACCTTGGAAGTGATGGATATGAGTTATGCGCAAGAGATCAAGGTGGTCTACCGACTTTTGGCTGGTGGATCTGTGGTGGCAAAATATACTCCCGCTGAGGAATGAGGCGTTAGTGCTCTTCAACGGTCGGGCGAGAGGTCCAGCTGGGAAGTTTGGGACCGAACGAGCTTGTGGTAACAAGGCGACTCTGCTTGGGACGGGCTAGAAAGTACAAGCATGATGAAGCGCTACATTTGTATCATTCCATCTATCCGCTTCTAGAATGCCGAAGATCCAGCTAAGCTGGGCTCTTTCCCTTGATAATCTTGCTCTCCGGCCGACTCGCATACCCGGTCCAGCTCTGCATGGTCAGCTCGGAGGTGTCTCACTCCACACCAGCTAGCGGACGTACCTCATCATATATCGCCGTCTTGACCGCCCCACTCCCATCCTCTTTAGCCACCTCATTAGCCAACCACCCGACCGCAGCCGTCATGCCGCTCCCGCACGTAAACACCACCCCATTCTCCCCCTTGGTGACCGCTTCCCATGCCGACTCACCGCCCACGCCCTGGATGAGCACCTCGCGAAGCTCCGCAGGGGACTTGAGGGAGGTGTATGGGACGGAAGAGGAGGAGGGGTTGAGGTAGGATGAGAAGGGCAAAGGGAGGGAGTGCGGGATGTGCCCTGTTGAGAGGCCGGCGCGGGGCTCGGGGGCTTCAGCGGTGTACCTGATTAGTATCAGCTTGGCACGGGTTCCAGTCTGTGACGAATCTGAGTGGGATAGAGTGAAGTGGTGATGATGCGTACCTCGGTAGCGGTCGATGATCCAGCACCACCTCGCCTTCCGGCCCCTTCTCTGAGTTCTCCACGACCTGCTCGTACGCTATCCAAGTCAGCTTCCCGCCCGATCACAGGACTTCGACATATGGCAGCTCACATCGGATGAACTCCGCACTCCGGTCTTCCGCCCCCTTGTACTCGCTCGCCGCAACCCCCTCAGACTCCTTCGTCTCGCCCACTTCTACCTCCCCGCCATCGGCTATCCACCTGGGCAGTCCGCCGTCCAGTATCGACACTTTCTCGTGGCCGAACGCTACGGGATCAGCATGCCTCGGATAGAACTCCAAGTAGGGCAGCTGTGACCCACCGATGAAGGTGAATGCGCCGCGAGGAGACGAGAAGACACCGATAGAGTCGTACAAGACAACATGGGTATCATCCTTGATCCCCAGCTTGCCTATCATATCAGCGCATGCACTGCATCGCCCTGCTCGGCCAGCATAGATCCTTCATCCGACCTAGTCGAGCCCAGGCTGACCTGCTCAAGTCCCACCGAGCCTTCCTGGCCGTTGTATTGGACTAGGGGGGTACTCACGGCACTTCTCCACAAACCTCTCCTTACTAGGCAACATATGCGTCAGATTCAACAGATTCTTCTCGCCCGCCAGCTCGGCCACTTCGTCCAGGTCCCACCGGCGCGCACGGGGCAGACGGGGCCCAGAGAGGTATTCGGACATGGGCGACCGGGGGGAGTTGGGCATGTGCCATGAGGCGTCGAGGGGGATGGTGGAGGACTGGTAGATCAGCCTGATGTTCACAGTGTTCCCAATGTCATGACAGAGGCGGTCAACGCTAGCAAGGCCAGGCAGCTGCTACCTGCCGTCCCTGGTGGCTTGGCTGACTGCTGGATCTGTTTGACCCGCGGACATACCTTCGGGAGCTTCTTGTACGCCTCGGGAGTCAGGAGGAGGGGCACCTTCCGGGCCGAGGAACTCATCGATCGTTGAGATATACTAGACATGATGCTTGAGGCTGAAGTGAGGCGCATATCACTTTCTCTTACAGGGCTATCAAGGTGAAGAGAGGACAATGTACAACTCAACCAGTCTCGAGCTTGGTCAGTGAGCATCTCGCCCGGCCGGACCACTCCGACTCCACATTCCTCGCGCTTTCGCCTGACTCAGCTCTGACTCGTCGACTCAGCGTATACCCCGTAGATTATCCGACGTTGCAAATCCCAGAAGCCGTTGTTCGACACTACCAGATGACCCAGAACCACGTTCAGACTCTTATCCAAGCGATCTACAAACCCCCTGACTCTCTTAATCTAGATAGCACCCATAACAAGCCTGACCACCTCCTCCTTCTCCGCCCTGACCGCCAGCTCAAGGGTCACGCCCGCGCCCGAAGCATACGTCATCCGACAGCGCGCAACCACCTTGCCCCCACCACCACTGACCATTCCCGAGAGATTGAGCGTGTGCACCGATGTCGAGGTGGGCGATTCGGACCCGCCGAGGGCTTCCATATTGAGGACTTCGATCAGGGATTTACAGGCGTCTGACGCGTCAGCTATAGCAAGCACACGGGCCTGAAATGAATCAATGACATACCTTTCAGAGACTCCAGTGAGGACAGAGCAAACGTCTCGGTCGAGCTCGCTGCGGATCCCAACTTCTCCCATTCGTTCTGGAACGTGACATACGTGGGGGTGATGTACTACTTTATCAGCTTTCGGTCTTCCGTACGAATCCAATAGCAGACCCACATCGCCCGCACCCAAATCACAATCCTCAATCTGGTACTCATCCTGGTATCCCTCCTCCTCTGGCTCCCCACTCGTCGGGTCCACCTCCTTACTGACGAACCGGAGCGTACACCCAAAGCTCCCGCTCGCGTAACTTTCGGGCTCTTCGCGCGTGAAGGACACATACACCTGACCCGAGCCGGCGGAAGCAGTCAGGCTCTGAATGGGGATAATAAAGTCCTCGACGAGTCCCGATCCTTCCGAAGGTGTCATGAGCACCGATACCTGTTCCAAGACGGTATCGGGTATAGTATTCGACACGTTGAATTGGAAGACGATGTTCTTGGCAAAGACGTGCTTGACGACAGAGACGACGTATTCCGTTTCGCTCTCGGTGAGCGCGGTCGGCTTGGACGTGGAGCGGAGGATGGGGCCGTAGTTTTCCAGCTCGGGGATGGCGGAGAGCTGAGCGGTGTACGCGGACTGCGTCTCGGCGGCGGTCGAAGTAGAGGCCACTGGCTCGGCAGCCTTGGAGGGGCCGGCGTTGATGGACTCGATAGCGGATGGGCGGGCGGCAGCGACTTGCGCAGCGGCCTGGTCGCGAGAGATCTTGGGGATAGAGGTAATGTCAAAGGCGGTGTTGTGTCGGCCGGCGTCATTGACGTACGAGACAAGCTCAGACTCGAGCGCGGCGAGCGAGAACGTCGCCTCTGGCTGATCAGCTCGACGACCACAGTCGGGCCTGGTTAGCTCACCCTCGCGCACGAACACATCCGCAAGTCGCTTCTCCTCCAACACCTTGATGTACATCGCCGCCCGATCCCGAACCTCGTCATCCACATCGTCAAGGCATCTACCTCATCAGCTAGTTCCTCTGCACTTGATACACCAGATCGACCTACCGCCTGAGCAATACATTGACGCTCTGCATGACCCCCTTGTCCTCGACACAAACACCAAACTTGGCGAGACTCGATACCGCCGCGGCCCGGACGACCGCATTCTCAAGGACGACCCGGTTGTAGATGTAACGGATGAACTTGGTAGGGTTCTTGGTCTTGGGCCCTTCAATACCGAGGAGGTGCAGGATCCGGACAGAGAGCTTGGTGAACTCGCAATCCTCGATAAACTCGCACAAGTGCGCTAGGGCTGATCATTAGCATAACCCACATCGGTGAAGTATAGACGTACCAGCCTCGCGACAGTCGCCGATAAATTTGATCATGTCAAAGATGGCCTCCACGACAGCATGCTTAAAGTCATACCCTCCCTCATCGCGCAGAACGCCAGAGAGGAAGGAGAGCATGACTGCCTGTTTGGTCGGAAACTTGAGGCAGAGCGAGCGGATAGCGTCGACAACGATGATTTTGAACTCGTCGGTGATGTCGGCCATGAAGGAGGAGATTTGCTTCATGAGCCGGTCGACCGAAGCTTCGTTGCCAGTCTGCAATGTCAGCTATCCGTCGCCGTATTCGAGATGTCGGGAGCTCACCTTCAACAGAGTAGTGATGGCGTAGGTAGCAATGCTCCTGTTCGAGTCGGTGATGAGGTTCTCCATGTCCAAGTTGCAAGCGGTGACAGCAGCCGGCTGGGTCTGCGCGAGCTTGTTGAGCGTCTTGATCGCGGCAAATTTGAGAATGGCCTTCGGGGAAGACAGGAATAGCTGGAGGACAGCGACGGGGCGGAAGAGCTCGGCGGTGGAAACGTTGCGCATCTCGCAGATGGCGCGAGCGGCTTCGATGTTGACCATGTCGGATTTGTGGCGGAGGAGGGATTCGAGGTACTCGTGCATTTGTTTCTGGACACTGAGGGATCAGTTTAGCGATCCTCATCCCGATTCCAGGGCGTGTGCAAACTCACTTGGGGTCCTCGTCCATCACTTTCCTTGCGAACCGGATCAACATGCAAATGGCCATTGGGCTCTTGACGATCGAGCTTCCGCCCTTCCCAGCCGCGCCAAACTGCTGGATCATCTTGGTGATGGCCATCCTGTCCTTTTCTCGGATGAGGTACAGCAGCCCGAGCGCGTGGTACTGCATGATGTAGCTCGTGCTCGCGACCGCCGAGAAACCGCCCTGTGAGCCGCCGGAGAGATAGCCCGCGCCGGCGCCATATGACGAGTTGGAGACAGCTTTGGCATTGACGGCCTCCTGCGCTTCGTTCGACCAGCGCTTGATGATGGAGGGGGAGAGGTGGTAGAGGTGGTAAGAGGATACGAGGGAGGCGGAGGAGATGGAGGAGGAGCGGTCGACGAGGGCGGATTTGAAGAAGCGCTCGACGGACTGGACGGATTGCGCCTGTAATGTCAGCTACCTGTCTCCGTCTGACGTGTGGGCGGATCAGCTCACATCGATGATGCGCGCGAGAGCTCGGATAGCGTTCGGGCGGTAAACCACCTCTAAATTCGGCTGCATGTCTTTCATGATGGACGAAGTAACCATGATGACGTCCTCGGCAATAGTGGACAGCTCCTTGATGACCAGGTAGACCATCTGTCTGAGCGCGCTCTATATCGTCAGCTCTGGGCACATTGTCCAACACCAGGCACTCGCGAACTGACATCCTTGTGCTGGAACAACTTTGTCACGCCAAAGAAGAGCGTTGTCGCCTCTTGCGTCGTGAATGTTTCACCGACGTAGAGGAGGTACACGATCCGAGTGAGCAGCGCCCTGCATTTTCGCGGTTGGATGGGAGACTCGTTGAAGCAGCGAGCTTCTTGTATGACGGTGGATTTGTCGTGGTAGAACGCTGAGAGGGTCAGCTTTGGCTCAAACGCCTTTGTGAGGCTGGGAGGAGAGCTTGCCAGCTTACACATTCCGCCTGACTCCTCATCCTTCTTGAACGACATGCTGGGCTAGAGATATAGGCTGTAAGGAGAGGTATACAGCGAAGAGTTACAGCAAGGAGAGCTTTGTTGCTGGCTGCCGCTGCACCCACGGCCAACGCGTCAAGAGGAAGCGGAATCATTTCAACATTCCTCAACCGCCCATATCTATTCGACCCCCCTGTCTTTCAGACGACGGTGTGGCGGAGCTCAGCGCTCAGCGCTCAGCAGCAGAGCCCACTAGAGGGGTGGGCGATGGGTGGAAACAAGTGGAGGATGAGGGAAGGGTAAGGGGATCAAGGGATCTGAGGTAATGTGATGTACGGATATGGGAGTTTGTCAATCGCTGGACCGGGTGCTCGCCTTTCTCCACCCTTGCCTAATAAGACCCCTTCGCTTCGATCCGCCAGGTCTTCCCCACAATCCCCCACCTCTGGCCCCCGCCCTTCCCTCTTCTCTCTCACACCGCTTCTTCTCCACATACAGCTGAACAGGGTAATATGATACATATTCACTTTCAATCCGTCTAAACATCATACTTCACACTGCCACCCTTCACCTACTTCTCCTACTCCCCTCGACCATACTAGCCTAGGACAAGTGGAACGAGCCACCGCCGTCGAGGATGGCCCGGCGGAGCTGCTTGTCCAGAGCTTCCTTCGACGTATAGTCCGGCATCTTCAAGTACTGTCTTATCAGCTTCTAGCACCACCAATTTGCGGCACCTGCCAACTGACCTGAGCGCAAGTCATCACACTAGGCAAATAATCGTCTGCCCTGAACGGCGCTTCGTGTGGTTTCCGTACGACCGTGAAGGGCGGTGTGAGGCCTCGGAACCCGCCGATAGGTAGCTTGGGAGCACCAGTGATGCTGCATCATCAGCGCTGTCCATACCAGTCCCAAATTAAACTCACAATTGCAAAAATTGCCGCCTCTCCTCTTTATCATACCCCGCCATGACCTCCACCAGGTTCTGCACCGCCCTACTCTCGAGCGTATACCCATGGTCGGCCTTGATGGCATGCTCGATCGCTGACTGATCAGCTTACTGGTCTTTGCACCTCATCCAGAAGCTGATACTCACTCTCGCGACTCCAATCCTCATCCGCGTTCCCAATCAACAACCCCAGCTCCTCTGGCGCAAAGATCCGCATATCCTTGATCGGGAAGATCATCGAGAAACCTTCCTTGAACGCCTGAGCTTGCTGAGTGACGCCCGCGCCCAGCGTCTGCTCGAGCACGAGCTCGAGGAATTCTTCGAGGTTGGAATCGTCCACGTCGATAGCGGATCCGCCGGGCTGTACAGTCAGCTTACCACCCAGGCTCAGCTAGAGTTCCGGTTAGCTCACCTTCAACTCGATATCGTACCCCGGAAGCGTAAAGTCCAGTGAAAGATCCCTCAACTTGGCACCGTTCACCGAGAGCGAGTTCAGCTTGTTTCTCTTGGCAGGTGTTGGCTACCATATCAGCTTCTTTCTCTCATCGCACATCAGCTTTGAGAAAGCAGACATACCAGCGCCATAGCCTCAATCTCCTTCCTTGCCTCCGCGTAAGCCTGAAGCCGCTCCATCGACCTCGCAATAGTCGGATCCACCAATTTCAGAGTCGCGATATTCTTCTTGACCGGCTGGCCGAGAATGAGGCGGAGGAATACCTTGTTGAGGTTGATATCGATGATTCGGGAGTCGAGGAGTGCTCGACCCGCAAAGAGACCGATGGTCTTGAACCACGCCATCTTGGACCTGGATCGTCAGCTCTTACTTCAAAAATTCCTCAATAAGGCAGCTCACCCCGGTGTACTAGACGACTCCTCCGCTGGTCCCGCAGGCGAAGGGTACAGTCCCTTCGGATGGAAAACATACGCCCCCGGCTTGGTCTCATCCTCGTCCCTCCAGAGCTTCAACGTCCGCCTCGCAAACTCCTTGCTCGCCAACGAGTAAAACTCGAGCGTCGGACCGAGACCCGTCCCAATCTCATCAAAGTACTCTACCTCCAATATCCCATTACTCGTCCCGTACAGCTCCAACACCTTGGCCGCCGATTCGAGCAGTTGCGAGCGCGAGATCCGGACTTTTTGGCGCACGATACGCGAGAGGTGCGAGAGGTCGTCTCGCCGGTGGTTGCTTCCCGCGGATCGGGCGAGTTGGGCGGCTTGGTATCGGGCGATAAGGCGGCCATAGCCGAAGGAGGTGGCTTGGAGGAAGGAGTATCGGGTCTCGAAGGGGAATAGGAAGGAGAAGTGTTTAGGAAGTTCAATGGCCCATTCGGGGAGGCAGTTACTGCCGGTCAGCTTCAGACTCGTAGACGAGGCTCAAGAAGCTCACCTGGCGATGATCATAATCTCCTCGAGCTGTCTGCCGAGCTTCGCAGTGAGTTTGTTATTAACAAACAACGACCTGTCGACCTTGCCATCGTCCCTGACCGCCGTCTCCTCCATTACAAGATTATGCAGCACGCGCAACAATCGCAGAATCTTGGACGTCGGCGCATCGGGCTCGAAAGCAGACGGTAAAGTAGTCCCAGTCGCAGTCGGAGGGGACGGCGCATCAGCCGGGGCTTCTAGACATTAGCTCCGCCTATACTGATAACTCACTAGTAGCAGGCCCGTCGACCTTCTTGAAGCGCAATACAACCGCCGCACCGTGAACACCGCCCAGAGACGCGGGGCCGCCCCTGGACTTGTGGACCGCACCGTAGATCGTATCCTCGAGGGAGACGGGCTGGCCACCGAGGCTGAACTCGAGGTGCCAATCTACCGGAGCGGTCTTGACTGCACCGGCGTACGAGGCGGAACGGGGCGTACCGGCCGAAGGACCCGCTTGGGACGCGAGAGCCGCTTGTGAGGGCGTAGCGACTCGCGTTCCTTCGGGCGTCTTGGCTTCGACTCGCGAGCCATCTGCATGGGTCAGCTATAGCTCACCGGTATGAGTGGCGTGAAGCTCACCTGGCGCAACCGACATATTGACCACCTTTTCGGTAGGCCTGATCAATTCCTCTTCCATATCCTCTTCGAACACCTGGTCATCAGCACTGCCCAACGCTCAAACACGAAACGCTAACCTCCTCCTCGTACTCGTCTGAATAGTCATCATCAAAGTCCAGATCCATCGGCATCGCCGGGAACATGGACGCTTCCGGCGCACTTGACGATAAAGCCTGGATCTGCGCCGCAGCCGGAGCCGGAGCCGCCGAGGCAGACGGACCAGGCGCATCCTCGTCAATAGCATCTGCGCCGGTCTGGGCGGCGCTAAGTCGGGCAGACCGACGCCTCTTTGGCGCTTCGATAGGCTTTGGTGCCGAAGCCGGTGCGGGCGGTTCCATCCTTCCACTCTCAGGGGCGGATGAGGCGATACCAGACGGTCCGGGTGCGCCAAACCCTCCGAGAGCAGCCGCAGCGCTACTACCGCCCGGATGAGGTACGCCTCCGAGGGCCGACAAGATCCGACTCGCACTGCTTCCTAGCCCACTTCCGCCGGGTCCGCCTGCACCTCCCCTGGGGATGCCCATCCCACCGAATCCAGCGGCCCCAAACAGCCCACCTGCCGAATGCGCCATATAGTTCGGATCGGCGACTCTGGGCCTGAGGAAGTCGTGCAGCGCCTGCATCGGCGCGATAGCCTGGATCGTCACGCTCAGCGCGTTCACTTGCTTGGGCACGTCTTGCCCGTCCTCCGCTTGGAGACGGATCCGCATCGTCCGACCGAGATTGTACGAAGACGGGCGGGACGAGTCCGAAATGCCGTTAAAGGCAGCTTCGACCTCAAAGTTCTCCAGACGGCCGAGCGACTCGTGGAGGCGTCGAACGAGCATGACGAGGGGACTGGGCGACGAAATGGCCGTATCCGAGAATACCTCAAAGAGGAGGCTTCGGCGATCTTCCGAGTTGACCGTCCCGTCCACTTCGACATAGTCGAGCAGACCATCGATGAGGCCCGACTTGAGCAGCTCAAAGGAGGACAGCGATCGGTCGACGCTCGCAAAGTTGGACGCGATATCGCCCAGGGCGTCCCGGAGTTCCCCGTCCGAAGCCGCGGGGGCAAGAATGGACTTGACCTGGTCCGCGAGCTTCTCGAGTACCTCGACCGCGGCACTGTGGTGGTCACCGCCGACTTCAAACAGCTTCTTGGCGACGATGACCCGCGCGCGGAAGATGTTGACGTCCAGGGGGTTGACGAGACCGTGTCTGTGCGGCGAGTTGGGGTCAGGCCGGGCATGTTCCGCCAGGATGGCGCCGAACGACTCGGGCAGCCCAGAAGACCCAAAGAGGGGTTTGAGGTCTTCTAGGATATGCGTGATGGAGGCGGTCCGGCCGGGACCGGTAGACGGCCCAGCGACGGGGATAGGAGCTGGCGAGCTCGACTCTCCAGGTTCCGTCTTGACCGCCGCATTGAGTGCGGCCTGCTCCTTCTCCCTAGCCGCCTTGACGGTACTTGGCTCCTGCTTCGCCAACGCTTCAATCTCGAACACCACCCCTTCTCGCATGAAGGAAGTCTGGTAGATGTCCTTGAGCTTAACGACGAGAAGCTCGACCAGTTGGAGCGCGCACAGAACAAAGTAAGGATTGTCCTTGGACGAGATGATGGCGCCGAGGAAGCTCGCCATAGGTACAGACTGACGTCAGCCTTAGTCACACCCTGGACTTACTTGCAGCGTAGCTCGCAAATGATCCGACCCGCCAAATGCAATCGCCTTGACCAACCCCGTCAACACCTTGGTTCTCACCCTCGCGGCCACCGAAGCCGCATAAACATCCACCAGCACCGGCACGATCGACTGGATGAACCGACCGATAAGCTGCGGGTGCTCCGAAAGCAATTTCAGCCGCTGCTCCGTCTGCGTCTCGGCGTCCCTCTTTTGCTTCAAGAGGGCATCCTTTGTCGCTTGGCTCATGCCCGACGCATTGAGCGCGCTGGTCAGAGCCGATAGATGCGCGCCGGGCGTCGACTGGGTGGATAGAACAGTCGAAGGACCAGCAGCTGCAGCTGGCAAGTCGAATTCGGCGCCGATGATCGCCTCGGTGTCCGCCTTCTCCTTCTCCGCCGTCCGGCTACTCCGGCGGGTAGTCTTCTCCGGCTTCTCCGGCTTGTCACCCTTGCGCTTCATCCGACTCAACCCTTTCTCGCTGTACGCCTTGGAGTCGAACACGCCATCCCGCGGAGTTGGCGGCAGGAGCTCGCAGATGAGCGCCAGGGTTTCCTCGACTTGGTCCTTCGGCCGATGGGCCAGGTTCTGGAGAACCGCCATATCCGCCACGCCACCCGCTAGTCCTTGTCCGCCGGTCGACTCTCCCTGCTCCGCCGAGTTGTCGGACGGAGGGAGAACACCGGTGAGGATCTGGTAAACCGTGTTGGTCATTCCAGCTTCGAGGAATGCAATGGTGACGGTCGCAGAGCAGCGAGCTGAGGAAGTAAGGGTCCGGAGGAGATGAGTGTAGGTAGCAGGGGAGACGAGTGGGGATCCGCCAGAAGGAAGAAGGAGCGAATTGATAGCTACTACCGTAGGGAGATCGAGGAGACCTTCAAGGTGACTCGTATTATGCCGGTATGCCTCCATGGTCCGAACGACGGCGAGTGTGGCCTGCTCGACGAGTCGCTGGTCCGCCTGCGTGAGGGTGTCCCGGAGGATGGAGAAGACCTCCTTGACTTTGGAATAGTGCTCGCTTGCGATGTCTCGGCAGCAGTTGGCGGCAGCAGTGAGGGCGGTACGCTGGACGTTGGTAGAGAAGAAGGGGAGGTAGTTGAGGAGAGCGCCGAGGCCGCCTTCACGGACGATTGCGGCAGGGTATTCGGCCGAGATCTTCTCCATGGTCTGCATGTCAGCTTTGATCTAACGAAGAAGGAAGACCCAGAAGCTCACGCTGAGAGTCTGTTCTGCCAGCTCGATATACGCAATCTCGTTCAACTTGGAGCACAGCACAGGCACAGCTCCAAGATGAACCAGCGTATGTCCCGTCCCCGGCAAAGCCTCCATCAGATGCGCCAAACATCGACACGCCACTAGCTGACACTCCATCTCCTCCTCATTATCGCCGCCAAAGCCAGCGGGCATCGCCCCGCCCGTACTCATCGCGAGCGCCGCCGCCAGCTGCGCATCCTCGTCCATCTCTTCGACATTGCTCGGTCCCGCATCCTCCCCGTTCTCATCGATATTCGGCTGGCCCTTCAAGATAGCGATGAACTCCGTGGCAAACGTATTGGTCGAAAAGGTTCCGCCGAGGGTGTCTTCGTTACTGACGAGGAGGAGCTCGCTGCACTCGCGAAGGGCGCTGAGGCGGGTGGAGATGTTTTTGGACCGGAGGTTGTTCTTGAGCCGCTTGAAGCGACTGCTCATCCCGGTGGACATGCCGCCAAAGTTCCGGAAGTCCCCGCCGAATAGGGCCATGGCGGTTGCTTCGTCCAGGTGCATCCCGCTCTCTCCGGCGAGACGAGCGAGACGCTCGTAAGCGGTCCGACCGGGTCCGCTGGCGGGTGGAGGAGGCATTTCCTCATTCTCGCTCCCGTCCTCGTCGTCGTCATCCTCATCGTCGTGCTCCGACCCCTGCATGTTGTCGTCTTCGTCTTCGGACAGGCGCGAGCGAGAGGGCCCGGCTCTCTCGTCCACCCATTGACTGTCATCGCCCTCCATATCGTCGTCGATAAGCTGCTTGGGTGCTAATGGTCAGCTTGGCATCGCATGTACGGCTAGGTACTCACTCGAATCCCCCTTCTTGTTCCTCTCAACCGGCAGACCAGTTTGTCCTCCTCGCTTCTTAGGCCTAAATATCAGCTGAGTCCATCTTTTTCTGGAGTAGTAAGCTCACGTAGAGGTCTTCCTGGGCATCTTCGCCTTTGTCTTCTTGACCGCCGCCTTCGCCTTGCCTTTCCCCTTACTACTGCTCGCTTTGACCGGTTCCAGTTCTTCTTCCTTCACGCTGCGTCCAGCAACGGATCTCCGGAGACGTTTCGCGGGTGGCTTCGTCACTTCGGTATCGGACGGACCTTCAGTCAAGGGTGAGGAAGGAGGGGAGGGTTCGGCCTTCTTCTTGCCCTTTCGGTCGACTGGAGGTTCGGGAGCGTTGGGAATAGGGTGAGAGATGGTCGCTCGGCGTCTGAGGAAATTAGCATATAGAACGAGTAGTATTATCAGGAACCACATGATGATATGTGTAGAGCAGAGAAGGAGGGGAGATGAGTGAAAGATGAATCAGCCGCGAGGGCCTCCTTTCATCCCATCCACCGCCTCGGTTGGAGCTTGCTGGGTCTCGCTGGAAGTGCAGAGAAGGGCGTAATGTGACTCACTTTCTCTTGCCAGCTGCAACTTCAGACTCCGCCTTCTTGCTACCTGCAATGCTTGCGATCTCTGTCTCGGAAGGAACGCCGGCTAGCGAGATACGGGCGGAACGGCGGGGACGGGGAGCACTGGATGATCCGGCTTGTGGCGCGCTGGTGGTAGCTTCCGTATTGGCGACCGTGGACGAGGTAGCCAATTGAGACTTCCGGCTGGAACGAGTAGGTCGGTGCTGATTAGAGCTTGATTCGGTCGTGTGTTGTACAGTATCGCCTGGTCCGGATAGGCTAGAGCTGCCTCCGGCGGCGGTGGTAGGATGTAGAGCGGGCGCGCGAGAGGTGGTAGATAGATCTTGATCAAGATGGGGTCCGTCTATACCGTCCATGGAGGATTGAGGCTAACCGGAAAGCTGAGAGAGGTATGAGCGCAAGGTGGGGTCCATGAGGGATGAGAAAGTGGCGATCGTCACGTCGAGGTGGGCTGGGAGGTGGGTATGAGGGTTTCGAGGGCGCTGTGGGCGTCGCGATACAGGTGAGCTGTGTGCTCTGTAATTCTATAGGGAGAAGAATGATGTAGAAAGGACAGAGAAGGTGAATGGGTTCGGAGGAGGTGAGTGAGCTGAGCGAGAGCGAGTGAGGGCCGCCACAGGACCCTAGAATGTAATCCCGATTAGTAAATTCACCTCATTTCTATTAGAATTCAATTTAGATTAGGAATTCGGGGGTGCCCAGGAATGTGGGGAAGTGCGGGGTACACCTGGCTGCTGCTCTCGAACTTTTGACGAGTCGGTCATATATCGTTCTTCAGCAGTCTAGCCTAGCACCCTTGCCGACAGGCTTACACAGGTCAATCGCTAGATACAGCAATACCTCATCGCCTCTTCTATAGCCAAGACCCTTGACTGCGATGGCCGAGGTCCCAACAGCAGAGCAAAAATCTGTACTCAGCCAGAAGGGCGATGCCCCTCCTGATCGATCAGTCGCACCAGTGCCTTCCCTTACGGAGACCACCAAGGCCTTCCAATCCCTCGGTATCAAAGACAAACACCCCGAGTCGGTCCCAGCCCTCCTTACCTCCCTCTACCACCTCCGCGAAACCAACCCCAAAGCCGTCCGAAACACCGTCCAGGTTTACCCAGCCGAGCTATACAGCGATAACGGCGAAGGGAGCAGTACGGGGCAGCAACGTGATCGGCGGATCACGAGCTGGAAGATGACGGAGCACATGTACTTCAAGGCGGATAATGTGTTCCCGACACTGGCGAGGGGTCTGTTTACGGAGGAGCTGGAGGAGGGGGATGAGGTGCCTCCTGGTCTGGAAGGGGTGGAGGGTAGGGAGGTCTCTGAGGTGAACGGAGAGAATGTGGAAGGGGTAGAAGGAGCTGGTGTAGATGTCAGAGAGGATGGGGGTGAGGGAGCAGGACCGACAAAAAAGCGGAAGATTAGGGAGAGGATCGTCGCGAGGGGATACGACAAGTTCTTCAACATCGACGAAGTCCCGTGGACCTATGTAAGTACAGCTCTGTCTTTGCCAGTGCTCGGGTAGGAGAGGGATCCTGCGAGTTCAGTCCTTCCTCAGAGTCTCGCACAGCGGCAACAGAAGCATGGACGAGCAGAGAGAAGATCGACAACGAAGATCAGGCGGGGCGATGGGAGTGCTTCGGGAGACTACAGCTGACATCACAGTGGAAAGCAATGGAAAAGCACACCCAAGGTCCATATCACCTCACCCTCAAGTCCAACGGCTGCCTCATCCTCATCTCTGCTCTTTCACCCTCCCATCTCTTGGTCGCCTCCAAGCACTCCTTGGGCACGACGACCGAGGGAGAAGCCGTGACCCTCAAGGAGGCCGAGTCCAAAGCAGTGAAAGGCGACACGAAGGGCAAGAAGGCTCAGAAGGCGAATGATCAGCCGGAAGCAGAGGAGGTCAAGGAGGACCGGGCGCATGCGGCGGTAGGGCGCGAGTGGGTCAAGCGGACTCTGAAGGCGAAAGGGAAGAAGGAAGCTCAGCTTGCGAAGCGGCTATGGGACCAGAATCTGAGCGCTGTACTTGAGGTGAGCACGTAAGCACATGCAATAATAATGTACGCAGCTGAATGCCAGCTCTGCGATGACTCATTCGAGGAGCACGTCATTGCGACTCCCGAATACTGGACCGGTCTCCACCTACACGGTCTCAACCGCAATACTCCCCACTTCTCCACTCTCCCTCCTGACGAAGTCACGGCCTTCGCCTCTGACTTTGGCTTTATCCCTACCAAGGTCGTCACCCTAGACACTCTCGATGAGGTCCGCAAATTCACCGACGATGTCGCCAAGACAGGCTCGTGGGGAGGCGACATGATCGAGGGTTTCGTCGTCCGCTCGCTCGTCCGTGAGGTCCCACATTCCCCCGAGGATCGGCCGCCATACCGACCCGGCGCGCCCTTCTTTTTCAAGGTCAAATTCGACGAGCCGTACCTCCTCTACCGACAATGGCGGGAGGTGACGCGGACCATGCTTCCTCTGCACAATGCGGAATTATCGCCGGAGGGCAAGGCGGAGGTATGGCAGAAAGTCAAGCGGAAGATCAAGCGGGCGGAGGTAGCGGTCTATGCGGACTGGGTGGGACGGACGCTAGAGTCGGATCCGAGCCTATTTGACGACTTCAACCGGAGTATCGTCAGGGTCAGGGATCAGTTCCTGCGGTGGACGGAAGGAGAGGGGGCGGAGGTCTGGGCCGCGGGACAGGCCGGAACGTACAAGTTCCAAGGGCTGCCAGAGACGGCTGAGCAGAAGAAGGAGAAGGGGCAAAAGGGGAAGAAGGAGGTGCAGAAGAAGGAAAGGGATTTGGCGGCGCTGCCAAAGAAGACGATCCTTGTGCCGTGTGCGGTACCGGGGTGCGGCAAGACGCTGGTGGGGTTGGCGATGGCGAAGCTGTATGGCTTTGGTCATACCCAGAGCGACGATGTGACGGCCAAGCGATCAGCTCCGACCTTTTTGAAGAATATCGAGAAGCTGTTGAAGACAAATGATGTGGTGTATGCCGATCGGTAAGTCCTTCTCGCCATCAACGTCCATCTCGCTGATAGGCAGAAACAATCACATAGACAAGCACTACAACGAGCTTGCCGACCTTCACAACTCGCGCGATCTTCAAGCGTACAATGTCCGCCTCATCGCCATCCTCTGGGACGTCGAGAAACAGCCGTACCACCGTATGCTGCGGATCTGCTCGGAACGCGTCAAGGACCGGGGCGACAATCACCAAACCCTCCGTCCAGACCTTACGGCGGAAGCGGAGCACGAAGCGGTAGTCAGCAACTTCATTCGGGACTTTGTCGACCCGGACGAATCAAAGTTCGACGCTATCGTCGATGTCAGTCTGACAGATACGCCGGAGCAGACGATACGGCGGATCGTGACAGACCTCTCGGTGTCACTCGGGCTGCCAAGCGTAAACGATGAGCAGATCCGATCTGCTCTAGACTCTGCGCGGGGATACAAGAGCACGACGCCATACCACCCGCCAGCCAAGGTCGGCCGGGCGATCCGATACTTTGGGCTCGCGCCCGAGATCGATCTGGCGGGTATCGTCGAAGTCGCCATCTACTATATGCGACCAGACCTCGCTCAATCGGCGCAGCGGTTCCTCTTCGCCCTCCAGGCAAAAGAGAGGGTTATCACCAAACCCCACATCACGCTCGTGCACGAGACGAATGTCGCGGAGGAGAAGGCGGCGCAGGGTGGTGAAGCTGGGATCCAAGCAAGGGCATGGGATGACTGCGTTCGCCTAGCGGGACAGACGGGTAGTGTGATGTGGGACTTTGAAATGACGCATGTGGTGTGGGATGGGCGGGTGATGGCTATCGTGGTGGAGAAGCTGGAACCGCAGACGAAGGAGGGGATGGAGAGTCTCGCGAAGCTGGTATTGGAGGAGACGAAGGACGGGGTGCATATTACGGTGGGGACGAAGGAGGAGGACATACGGCCGTATGAGGCACGACCGTTGGTGGAGATGGTGAGGAAGCGGATTGTCGCAGGGGAGCTTGATGGCGAGACGGAGGAGTTTGTGGAGGGTGGCGGAAAGGTGAGGTGGGCACAGCTGGGGCCGACAAAGGGCGAGGGCAGGGTGAAGGGGATGTGGTAAAAGCTGGTAGATCCTACCCGCATTCTACATGATGTACATCCCATGTATGGTCGCGATAAGTGTTCTTTCCCCAGGTGACCATCGGGATCCGGATGGTAGAAAATGATTTGACTTCGGACGCGTTGAACTTTCGACGCGTCTCTCCACGAAAGTCCCTGGGCCTTCTTCACCTTCCTCACTTTATCTCTACCAAATTGACACATACACCCTTGGTACCATGGCTCCCACCTCGCGCAGGCGCGACAGCCCAGATGGGTCGGACGATGAGGAAGACGAGCGTAACAAGCAGGTGAGGGAAATCCTCAAGTGCGCTGAACCTTCCGAGCTGACTCAACCAGACCAAACGAGTCAAGCACGAGAAAATGTCCGGGACATCCCGGCGCAATAGAAGCGTGGACGCCGAGGGCGATGATAGGATGGGCGATGCATCGTCAGAGGAGGAAGAGGAGGAGGATGATAACAGATTCGATGAAGAAAAGGCGAGGGCGGCGTATAATGCTGTTAGGCAGGCGAAGAAGGGGCATGAGGGTGTACGTCTTCTCTGCTGCTTAGAGCGAAAGCGCGCTGATTATCAGATGGCATCCGAAGCCGGCGTGATCAAGAGTCTGGTACTGGTGGACTTTATGTGTCATCGGCATCTCACCGTGGAGTTTGGAACGAGAATCAACTTCCTTGTCGGACACAACGGAAGTGAGTTCCCCGCTTCGCTGCTTCGGGCATATACTGACGCCGAAGGTGGAAAGTCCGCCATTCTTACCGCTATTTCTATCGCCCTTGGCGGCAAGGCAGTCAACACGGGCCGAGCTGCTGGTCTGAAAGATCTCATTAGGAGTGGCGCCGAGTAGGTTCTCATCGAGGGCATTGCTGACGGCAAGTCGGGCCGTCATCACACTCACCCTCTCAAACGAGGGAGATAACGCCTATAAGGTGCGCGGAAAAGATGACATATACTCGCCGAGCGTCGTCATTGAGCGGGTCATCAATCGCACCGGCGCTTCTTCGTGGAAGTTCAAGGCTTCCAAGGACGGCAAGGTAGTCGGCAAGACCAAAGCGGAGCTCGACGCAATCTGTCAAGCCTTCTCGATTGACGTCGACCAGCCGCTTACCGTCCTCACGCAGGACATGGCGAGAAGCTTCTTGCACAATGCGGACGATGCTTCGTTGTACAAGGTGAGCTCTCTTTCCTTCCTATGCTGACGGCCAGTTCTTCATGAAGGGTACCCAGCTGTCCGATATGGAGACGAGGTACGATGAGGCGACGCGGAACATCATTGGCGTGGAGAACACCGTCAAGAAGATGAAGGCAGACATACCGGACAAGCAGGCTCGGGTCGTCGAGCTGGAGAAGAAGCTAGAGGCGACCAAGAAGATTGCGGAACAGAAGGAAAAGCAGCAGTATCTGAGGGGGGAGCAAGGCTGGGCGCTGGTCATCGAGAAGGAGAAGGTACGTCGTCGCACTGCTTCGCGCTGACAGCAGCTCCGCGACGCCTGCAGTCAGAACATGTTGGATGCGGAAGCCAAACTTCAAGGTATCCAAGAAAAGTTGGACGGGCTCGAGGTAAGTTGCTGACGGAAATCATGCTGATGCATAGGCCGAACTTCCAGGTTTAGAACAGCAAATCCAGGAGCAGGAAGCAGCCATCACGGAATATGACGCGTCCCGCAAGCCTTTCGACCAGGAGCGCAAGGCGGCCAGGGCAGAGCATGATGCCTTGCGCCGACAGATGTCCGAGCTGCAGGTGGGTCGAAAAGCAAGCATGGCTGACTTTTAAGGAAACTGTCGACGACTACAAGAAGAGCATCGCCGATGCCGACAGGGAAATCGCCCACCACGACCGAGCGCTACTTCGACAGCGGCAGCTCCTGGCCGGCGGAAACCAGGCTGTCCACGACAAGCTTCAGGCAGATCTGGACAAACACGTCGCCCTAGAGCAAAACCTCATGCGCGACATTCCCAAGAAGGAGGAAGGTGTCGAAAGGGCTTTGCAAGCTCGCAAGGATGCCGATGCCGATGTGGAGCGAACGAAGGACGAAGTTTCGCACTTCCTGAATGTAGTCCAGGTCCAGCAGAACGCTTTGGCGAACCTCAACAGCCAGAGGACCGATCCACTCGCGGCTTTCGGCAAAAACGTGCAATCGGTGCTACACGAGATCGACCGGGGCAGGTGGTACGGCAACAAGCCGGTCGGACCCCTCGGGCGGTACGTCAAGCTGAAAGACCCCGCATACAAGGATATCGTCGAGGCGAATCTCGGACGCCTCCTGTGCGCGTTCGCCGTACAGGACCCTCGGGACAGGATGCAACTGCAAAGGATTCTCAATGATTGCGAGAGGTACGTCTAAGTGCGCAGTAACGCTGACTCCAGGCGTGGTTATAGTCCCCATAGTGGCGGCAGTCCGTCAGTATACGTCTCGTCAAATGACATGTTCGACTACTCGAGTGGCGACTATTCCATGTACGGCGAGACTGTGCTAAGCAAACTCACGGTAGGACTCGCGTATATACCTGTCTGACCATTGTAGTTCACCGACGAATACGTCAAGCGAGTGCTCATCAATCACGCTCAAATTGAGCGAAATTTTGTCTCGATGGATCAGAGCCTGGCGACGACCGAGATCGACCGGCTGGTAAGACTCGGTCTGGACAGGGTAGTCGTCTTCTCAGTCAACCCGACTGTGCGGCAGGAGGGTACCAGACGGCCCGGCAGCGATGAAATGTTCGTCTTTACACAATGTGGCGAAGCTGATCGTCAGAAACATGGACGCCACGCCACTTACCCTTCACAAAGGTGCCCCAATCTTTGTCAAAGACGTCGCCGCAGATTACAAGTAAGCACACCGGCTTGGCTCTGCCTGACCCTCCAGTGCCGCCAAGTATGCTCTGGAAGGCATGCTGCGTCAGCGGGCAGAAATGGACGCCCACGTCCAGCAGCTTCGCGATATCCGAGATCAGCACCAACAGGCCTGGTCACGCGAGACTGTAAGTCCAAATCTATCATCGCTGATGATCAGGGTCTGCTGCAGAAGGTCCGGAACGCTATCCCGGGCGTCACGGCCAAGATCGCCCAACTGCGCGATCAATTGCGGGTGGAAGCGACCGATGAAACTACGGCCCTTGAGATGATGAAGCAGGTATGTGCATTTCAGCCGCTACGCTGACAAACAGGAAGCTGCGCAGAAGAGGACCTTCGCGGAGATCTCGCTCGACAGTACTCTGACCGAGCTGCAAACCCACTCTGAGAATACTAGGGCAGCCAAAGCTCGGTTAGACGATGTCAATGCTCGGATCGACGACTTTGGCCCTGAGCGTACCCGAAAACAGGTAGGTCTTGGTCTTCTGCTTCTTTAGCCCTTTCTGACTGCTCAGGAACGACTACACATTCTCACTCAAGCGAGAGCTACGAACAAGGGCCATCTCGGGCACTGGAAGAAGCAGCAGGCTAAAGTCGAGAAAGAACGCGCTGCCGCCGAGGCAGAATACGAAAGTGCCAATGAGACGGTGGTGGTAAGCTGCTTTCGTGTATACGGGAGGGAGCAGGCTGACGAGCTCAGCAATGGACCGAGCAAATTTGCAATGCTTTCCCGGAGCGTATCATCACCAAGCGAACTCCCCAGGCCATCAAGAAGGAAGAGGAAATGATTGCCAAAGCGATTGCCAACGCCGAGAAACGGTACATTACATTCATTGTGCTGGCAATCGCTGAGCTGACGATCCAGACAAGGCCTGAATGTGGACGCTGTCCGCGAGCAGTACGTCAGAGCCATGGAGGAGCTTCAGGGTATCGACCACCGAGTGTCAGAGTTGGAGGACCTGATTGTGGTGAGTAGAAGGATGCGACCGCTTGTGGGACCCACAAGCTGATCTGGACAGTTCTCACGCCAACACCTGGCGAAGCGGGGGAAGTGGTTCCTCGACATGCGCAAGTGCTGCTGCATCAAGGTGATGAGCGCATTTGTCAGCAACACTGGGCAGCGTGGCTTTGATGGGCGTCTGGCCTTCGATCACCAACACGGTCAACTCAAATTGACTGTCAGTATCCCTTTTCGCGACGATGTGTGGCCACCTGGCTGATGGTACAGATTCGAACGCAAAAGGGCGCAACGCAAGACGCAGCGGCTCTGGCGCTCATCAAGACCGCCAAGCACCTCTCGGGTGGTGAGAGGTCCTTCTCTACCATCAGTTTCCTCCTCGCGCTCTGGGAGACGGCTAGCGGACCCCTACGATGCCTCGACGAGTGGGATGTCTTCCTTGACAACGTCAACCGAAAGTTGGCGGCTCATATGCTGGTGTGTATTGGTCATTGTTTCTGCTGTTACGCTCAGGCTAATCATCCAGATCGAAGGAGCGAGGTCGGCCGAGTTGAAGCAGTACATTCTGATCACTCCGCAAGATATGGGCGGTATCACTCTCGAAGGGAAGAACTCGAAGATCATCAGGCTGGCCGACCCTGCGCGGGACCAGTAAGTCTGATCAGCTGCAAAACTAGACTTTGATAGTAGCTGACGTTCCTCAGGGGTGTATTGCCTTTCCAGGCGGCAGCTGCGGCGTGATTTCGGCGTGTCAGGCAGGTGGGCATTGGAGTGGGCGATCTACAATTATGTCGTTTTTGGGTTGACGTTTTCACTTGTGTATATGACTGTATGCAGATATCGAATCGTTGTGCTCGTCGGGGTGATCGCAGACACCCAGGGTACCGGACTGCTCCTGCGCGTTGAAAGGCCATACACGTTGACGTCTCATCAACCGACCTCTGACCGGACTTATCTGGTGGGCGTTCCCTTGCTGAACACCTTGGGGTGACGGTCGAGTGCATGATATGATTCGGCGGCTACAAAGTAAGGTGTACGAACTATCTGAACATGAAGAGTCGCGCCTGTTGGGGTAGTAAAAGTATCAACACGGGGGAAAACTATATGAGAACTGATAGTGAGGTTGAAACTGGATGGACGAGCTCGAGATCAGAAGAAGATCGGCATGGGACATGGCTTCTCGCCCTTCTTCAGGTGATGCAACCTTTTGTCTATCCTCGACTTCTCTTCCTGCGGATATCAGCTCGCTTCATCAGCGGGAAGCAGAGCAAACGCACCTCGAGCAGAGGGCCGCATACTTCGGGATGACAAGGGATGTACTTCCCGTCAATCTCGGTGTAGGCCGTCTCGTATAGCCTCTGCAGCCGTTTAGCGAGGGCAGGATGGGATGGTCCGCAGACTAATACAGAGTCAGCTTTGTCTCCCTTGGAATCGCCGGGACAGACTAAGCTGAGAGTTACGCACTATCCGTCACCTGCTTCGCCCAGATAAAGTACGCCTGGACCCGTCGCACGCCCCATCCGACAGGCGGTGCTCTCCTGATTGATTCGAGGTTGTGCAGTTTACTGTAGTGTCAGCTATATCGTCTGGCCAGTCGCCAAGAACAGAGTGGGTCAACTGACTCGGCAAGCTTGACCTGTTGAGCCTCTTTCGACTTGTGTGGCGCAGAGCGGACCTGCTCGGCTTTTGCGCCTTGGCCTGAGAGGTTTGGGTTGTCGGTGCATTCTTGGACGATACGAGCTACGTCGGGTCCGAAGTGTTCAGCGATCTCCTCTGCCTCATCAGCTGTGGCTCGAGTTATTGGTACTTGCTCCGATCGTGAGGCTCATCTCAAGGCGCTGTGTCCGCCTCCCCCGGAGCTCATTTGCCGGCCTCTTTGCAACAAAGTTCAAAGCAAGACTTACCTATGGTGGTGGGTGTATCTTCCACGGTGTCGTGAAGTATCGCAGCTTGCAGGACCCGTACGTCCGTGATACCGGTGGACGAGAGGAAGTTCGATACCGCCTAAGATCAAGTCAGCTCGTCTTCCGCTGTAGCAGGCATGTTCAGCTTACTATTGGGTGATTGATGCTGGATGAATCAGCTGAGATCCCCTATCTGTTGTGGAGAGGAAGTATAGCTTACTATGGTGTTTGGTCTAAATCCTTTCTTCTCTGGCAAGTATGTTTCTACCTCCGTCAGCTCCAGTATTCACTGCGCCCTTCAAAGATCATCTGAACTCACCCTCGCCGCAAAGTCCACAGTCCTCATCAACCTAGCCACCTCCCCTTCATCCTCTTTCCACAATCTCCCCTTCTCATCCAGGGTCCGCTTCCCATTGCCCTTACACCTCCCATCGACCTCATCTCCCTCTTCCTGCTCCCCCTCATCATCATCCTCATCCTCATCGCCGCCGCCACCGCCATCATCAACCGACCCCGCCCGACTTCTTGGCGGACTAGGCGTCAGATTCCCGGGCCTAGGCGTCCTCGAGCCATCTCCGTGATGCTCGGTCGTCTCGGACAGGTCCATTCTGTGCGTCTTAATCGACGTGAAATGAGCGGTTGATAAGCCAAGTGCGGGCGGCGCGAGAGGTTTCGTTTTTGACGGTGTGGAAGGGCCGGCTTTTGGCTGGGTGGTAGTAGAAAGGGCCATGGGTGACATGGCGAGCAGGTAAATCGGTATTAAGGCTATATAGCTGAATAGCATATGACGGTAAAGAGACAGAAGAGCAGGGGTCGAGTGTCGCTGGAATCGTTGGATGACGTAGAAACTCAAACTGAGGAATGTGGATTCGCAGCTGACCCGGTCGACCCATACCGACGATCTCCTTTCATCCCAGCTGATCAGAGACCCCAGCACTCCCAGGTCAGTCATCAAGAAGCTCGAGGAGACTTGTCATGGAGACACGTATACATCCACATCACATAGCTACAGCATATTCACTAAAGAGACCAACTGCCAAACCTTCTTCTTTTCGCACTACCGATTTACACGTCAAACGCATCCGACCTCCAGCCCTCCTTCTTACCCTCGCGCCTCGCCTTCTCTTGAGCCGCGAAACGGAGATCCTCTCCCTCCTTCTTGGCCTGGTACTTGGCCTGCTCTCCCTTGGCCTTGGCGGCACCGGCAAAGTCGTCGGCGGATCCGACGGCACGGCGAGCCTGCTTGGCCGCGATCTGGGCCTTGGCCTTGATCTTCTGGCGCTGCTTGTTGCTGATGTCCGCTGGGGGCTGGTGTGGGAAGAGCTGGATGTCAGTGAGTGTTCACGAAGATACAGAGAGGATAACTTACAGCCTCGTCCACACCGATGTGGAGCAAGTACTCGCCGCGACGACCGTACTTGACAACACCGCCCTGCCGGGCCTTGACGTCGGCGAGAGCCGAGCGCTGGGGGAAGACCGAGTCCGAGAAGATGGCGCGGACAAAGTTGGAGGGACTTGGGGGTGCGGCGTTGGTGGCGGCGATAGCACGCTGCTGGAGACCGTACAGCTTGAAGTCGGCCTGGCGGAGGTACTCGCCGATCTGGGTCTCGAGAGCGGAAGCGAGGTTGCGCTGAAAGTCAGCTTTGGTCTGTGTCACGAAACGCATAGCTTACCTTGACAAAAGCCCTGATGACGGGCTTGGCGAACCAAGTGGCAAACCACTGCTTGTGCTTGGTGACCGAGAAGTCAAAGTCCTGGAGGTTGACGTCGACCTTCTTGACGGTGAAGAAGGTCTCGCGGTCGTCCTCGTCGGCGTTCTCGAGAGTGACGTCGAACGAGATACCGTGAGGCCCGAACTCGAGGGCGAGCACACCAGAGTCCTCGAACGGCCAGAAGCCAACCTTGCGGTTGACCCAGAAGGCGATGTCCTTGGCCTCAAAGTGGAAGCCCTCGACGCGGAGGCGGAGGGTGGCATCGTACTCGGAAGCGTCTGCTTATCAGCTTTGATCCTGAGTCGCTGGATGTTAGCTTACAGGTGGCGTAGCCCTGGGTGAAGCGAAGGTCGTTGTGGGCTACCAAGCGGATCGAGTCGGGGATGAACGAGGCGGACTCGAGCTTGATGTCGTCAATGACGAGGTCAATTTCTGATTGTCAGCTCGACTTCGTCAGACTAAGACTCAGATAGCTCACCCTCGGACTTGTACTCGATACGGGGGACCGGGATCTCCTTGATCAGACCGATGATGCGGGGGACCATGACATCCAGGATGTCGCGGTACAGGCCCTGGCTCTCGGCGCGGAGGGCGTTGATGCCGACCTTACCGGCGTGCTCGACCGACGCACCGAGGTCCTCGAGAGCGTCGACGAGGTTGTTGGTGGTCTCGTCGTTGGCGATGCCCTTGCCGAGCTGCTCGAGCTGCTTCTGGAGCTCCCCGGCGTCCTTCTTCCACTGGTCGTTCTCCTTGAGGAGGGATTGTCCGTCGTCGACGAGCGAAGTGGCCTTGTTGTAGGCGCGCTGGGACACGACGTATCCGGGGTCGTAGAGGATCCGATCGAGGTAGTTGGTGAGCTCCTTGAAGTAGGAAGAGAGCTTCTCGTTGTCCTTGACATCGTTGGCGGCCTAGAAGTCAGCTTATGCCCCGGCCGAAGATCCTAGAACTTACAGTCTGAACAGCGGAAGTCAGGTCGTCCAGGCTCTTGCCCGACAGCTTCTCGACAAACGCCTTCAGGTCACGGCCGGCCTGCTGGACCTTCTCGTCCTCGTCCGAGATGTCGGACTGCTCCTTGACCTCATCGACAGCCTGCTCAGCCTTGTTGGCGTACTTCTTGACGAGGTCAACAATGGCGGTGATGGCTCGGCGGTACTCGGGGTTCTTCTGGGTCTGCTTGACAGCCTGATAGTCAGCTATGCTCTAACTCTTCTAGGACGTCATAGCTCACCTGTTGGAGACGGTTGATGATCTTCTCCTTGGCCTCATCGCCGTCGGGAAGCTTGTCATCGAGGTACGACTTGACGTCCTCGACCTCGCCCCAAAGGCTGTCGGTGACCTCCTTACCGCTGGTCTTCTTTGCCTTACCAGCGGCGTTCTTGCCCTTCTTGGCAAGCCCGTCAAGGTCGACACCCTGCTTGCGCTCCTGCTCGGTCGGGCGCGTCTTCTCGGCGGCCTGCTTGGCGCCGTCCGCAGCGGACGAAGCGGCATCGGCAAAGATGTCGCGGGCGAGGAGGATGAAGTCAGAGATGAGGTTGCGGAACTCGGGGTTGGTGACGAGGAGGTTGGCAATGGTGCGGAGGGAGGAGATGGCGCGCTGGCCGTCGCGGGAGAGTTCCTTGGAGGAGGGGGTGGAAGCGGCGTTGACGTCAATGTCGAGATCGGCGGTCGCGGCGTTGTACTGGATGTCAGCGGGGTCGCATCGAGCAACACATTTGTGATTTACGAAGAAGTTCTGGATCAAGTCATCCCCGTTCTTCTCTTCTCCCCAAGCGTTGAAAGCGCGGAGGACATTCCGGACATTGTCCAAGACACGCTGACCCTCGGGGCCCATACGAGCGGTCCTGGAAAGGGGTCCACCGCTGGCCTTGAGAACGTCCGACTCGGAGACGATCGAGATCATCTTGGAGATCTGCTCCTGCGATCTAGGATATCAGCTCTAGGCTCCATGAAGACTCGATAGTGATGGACATACGGGAGCTTGCCAGCCTGAAGCGCACCAGCGGCCTCGGCGACGTGGATACGGGTCTCCTTGCTGGGGAGCGCGTTTTCGACATCGCGTCTGCTGGGGAGGCTGGCTGTGCTGGGACCGTTGACGGAGCCAGAGAGGAGGGGAGTGCGTTCAGACATAGTGGATGATACTGATGATTATATGAGTGATAGATGAGAGGTAGAGGCCAAGGGAAGAGCGAGAGGTAACTGAATAGAGGAGGGGGAGATGTCATAACCGGACACCAAGCGTCAATCCAAACCGGTGACATCATCGGACTGACCCTGAATCAAAGGAAGCAACTGCCATGACGCGTGCATGTGACAACGGTTGATCACAGCACCGCGTACCGCATGCTGCGCATGGATGGCTGGCGAGGCTGGCAAGGAACAGCCTTGCGAGTACGGGGGCCGGGACATGGGACGAAAGGGCAGTATACATGACAGCTACGCCTATCCCTCCCTTCTTCTCATCCCACCTAGTATCTTCCTCCCCTTGACCGCCGGCGGACTCATCGGCCGTCCATGTCCCATAGCGTTCATCGACGCTACTGCCCCACCTATAGACACCCCTATCGCCGCCCCGCCGCCCGAGCCTGACCCTGTGGTAGGTCCTCGTTTCGGATTCAGAGGCGACATGCCGCTCAGTCTGCCGACAGTAGCGTTGCCATCGACCGAAGAGCGGGAAGTCGGCTTCTTTTTGATGCCAGCGGTCTTGGGAGGGAGGCCAGCGGTATTAGGTGCAGAGTTGTAGATTTGGGAAGGGGATGAGTAGTGCATGGACGAGATGGAGTGTGCGTCGGTTGAATGGAGCTGACGTCGGGCCTTCTCGTGCCGTGTCTGTACTGATCGGAAGTCTGACAGTGTCAGCTCCTATTTTTCTCCCGGTATTGAGATGCAGACAACTCACGTGAAAGCAACTCTTGCCACTTGATCTCGTCCTTCCCGCCTAGCTTTCCCCGTACACTCCCGGTTCCAGAGACGAATGAGCTTCCCGGCGCGGATCTACTAGTAAGCACAATTAGCCATCAAAGGAGAGGTGCACATAAGCTTACGATTTTGGCTGGATCGGGACGTATCCGCTCGAGTGCACCACTGACAATCTCGCGCGAAGCGAGACGAATGCGCTACTTTGCGGTAGGATCATGAGGAGGCCGTAGAGGCATTTCGGGAGGTATGGGTACTTGTCCGGCTCAAGCAATTGCAGTCTCAGGTCTGGAACGGATCAGCTGTATTCTGCGGTTATCCTATTAACGTTTCGGCTAGCTTACTGGTGAAGACCGGGCTCTCGATGAGCATGACCAACTTGTCAATCTGGACAAGCAGACTGACCGTCAACTCCAGCTCGGCAAAGATCTGGAGCAATGTCGAGGCGTGCTCGTAGGCTTGAGCGAGGAGGCAGAGGGCGAAGACCGCGACCGCATTATGGCACCATGAGCGGTAGAGGGAGGAGAAGAGCATCTGTCCGTCCTGTTCTGTATCAGCTGCGTTCCAGACCGTGCTTCGGCCTGACGAAGATAAAGTCCGGGTGGGACAGTGTACAGTGCAGGTGGGAATAAAACTGAAGGGGTACCTCTCGGCTCCAGCTCATTCGCTGCCAACCTAGAACAGGGAAGAACAACGGTGACTGCAACTCACCTTAGATTCCAGATTCTTCAGCCTCCTCCTGAAATCCGCCAACTCAGGCGAAGTAATCAAGATCATATTAAGCTTGACCACCATCATACTCGCAAATTCCAGATCCTACTTTGGTCAGCTCATTCCAGGCCAACCAATCTGAATGCAGTAGCTCACATCGTCCTTCTCCAGAATCTCCGCTATACTCCTAAATATCCTCTCGGCGTTGAGATGCAGGCACAGCTGCCGGATAATCAGACTACCCCGAGTCTCGAGCAGCCGACGATCCGTCGAGAAGAGTTCGAGGACGTTGGACATGAAGGACGTAAAGTAGGCTTCTTCCGAGCTGGCGGAGATTTGGGCGAGAAGCTGGAGGTCGTGCTTGACAACCTGGGTTGTCAGCTCGTACTCCAAGATAAGTCGGAAGCAGGTAGCTCACGTCTTCGGACGGGTCCGATAGTGTCTTGAGCAAAGCAGGGAACGTCCCGCTATCCCTAGACAGAATCTCCGTTGTCAGCTACTATCACCTTCTCCGCGGTGAAGAACAGAGCTCACCTTATTCGGCGCCTTCAGGTGCAACATCAACAACCATTCCAACGCCGCTATTCTCGTCTCGGCATGATCGCTCAAGAACTGTAACGTCAAGACATTGACCGTCTCGCGCACATCAAACGGATCATCATCCATCACCGTCTCCGCCGTCGGCGACATCGGCTGCTGCTGTCCTGGCGAATCTGGTCGTCCGGTCCCGCGTGTCTTCACCCCAGGTGGGAATTCGGACGTTATGGGCGTGACGGGTTCTCCGGCTGCAGGGGTTGGTTTCGTCTTGATTGCGGGTGAAGTAGACGCTATTGAGCTGGACGAAGGGAGGGTAGAGGATGAGGCGCGGACGGTGGTGGACAGGCTGGAGGCCGAGGCGGTGATGGATGAGCTATCGAGCGGGTCTTGCATCGATAGAGACCGCATCGTCTCGGGCGCGTCGGATAGGGCAAAGTCTTTCCGGATCGGAGCGGGTGAGGCGGTAGGCGGTGAAGAGGTAATTTGGGAGAGGGAGGGTCCGCCGGCGGTAGGTGGTGGGATGGTAGCGGCTGTTTGGGGCGGTTGTGGGGGTGCAGATGGCTGGACCTGCAGTGGGAGGGACTGGATGACGCGGTAGAGGGAGGAGTTGGTCTCATGTGCGGCGAGCTTGATATGGCGGCTGTTTGTCAGCGTATTCTCGAGTTCGAAGACGAGGATCAGCTTACTGTTGGGAAGCGAGGTTGGGGAGGATGGCAGGTACAATTCTTGGTGTGAACGCGACTACCGTATTCTGAGCAAGATCCAAGAATGTCAAGATCCACTCCATCGACGTCGACTGTACGAGCTCATCTGCGTCATCAGCTTCCAAGTTCGGACCCAGGAACCCAACAACTGACCAGGATAAGACAGATGCTGGATGATAATGTCCATAATCGCCGCATGATCAATGAACACCCCTTGACCAGGCTGCCACAGCCCGCTCCCCTCGCCCTCCCAATCCTGATCCGTCGTCGTTGCGTCATCCCCGTATGCAGTCCCTTCTCGTTCATCCTCCCCCTGTTCCCCTTCTTCCTCCGCGATCGCCTCATCCTTGCCCTCTGCCGTAGACTGCATGGTCTGCCGAGATGTGCGCCTCTTGAGCGTACGCGTCTCCCTTCGTTGACGATCAATCTCGGCCTGCTTCTCTTGGACTTCGGCGATGCACTTGATCTCGCGCAGAAACTCGGACAGGACGTTCTCTGTCGCGAGCCGGACGTCGACATTGCTATCTGCGAGATATTTGCTGTAGTGTCAACTTCTGATACTTCGTTGACCGCAAAACTGCGACTCACAGTAGTCCATCCAAGAAGTCCGGCAACCAAGCGACCAGCTCCAGATCCGGTATCGAATCCAGCACCATGATCCAGCTGACGAGGTGCATCCGCGTATACGGCGAAATCACGTACACCCGTTCCGACAGCAGCGGGATGAACCGAGCGAGGTTGAACGCCCGCTTATCCTCCGCGCTGGCTGCAGCGGCGGCAGCTTCATCCTGCTTCTCCTGCATCCCCTCGGATCGAACGGGCGATATCTCCGGCTTGGCGATTCGCTTGATATCAAGACTAGCGCTGGCGGAGGGTGAGACGTACTGCCCTTCCTTGTCCAGACCGATATTGGCTAGTCGATTGGAGAGGGATGAGGATCCGGCGCTTGTTGTGAGTTGAGGAGGGTCCGAGTCGAAGTGGCGCGGAGGGGGAAGGTTGGGGTTGATATTGCCGGGGTAGATGCTGATGTACGTAGGGGCGGCTTCAGCGACAATGTCCTTCATGAGTCGGTCGAGAAGCTCGGCGCCGTTCTTGACGGACATCTCGGAGTCGGCCGAGAGCTGGCCTGTAAGCTTTGGCTGCGCGTCAAACGATGAACCGGCGAGCTTACCTTGCTGAGCGCATCGAAGATCTCGTTGAAGTGCACAAGTATCTCACCCTTGCTGACTTTGGCTCTACACGTATCAGCTGTGAGCCGTATGGATCTCAACAGAACCGCAGCTGGAGTTGTGACTGACATGTTATACAAGCTCTCGCAAGCATGATACCGCACCCTACTCTCCGGATCCTGGAAACAAGCCAAAACAGGCGTGATGATCGTACCCAGAAAGGGCGCTACATCCTGTCCTAGCGCGATAGCAGTCGCGGCGAGTCCTATCAGTCCTACAAGCGTCAGCTGGACGTTCCAAATACATGCGTCAAGATCGCAATAGCTGAAGAGCGGCTTGTCCAGTCAAGTCCTCCCGCTCGATGGGTTGGGTATATCGAGAGAGAGCAGACCCACCTCCGTTCCTCGCGTGCAGAGCCGAGTTGGAAGAGCTGAACATCCCGCACAGCTGGTCAATTATGCTGGATATCCGCGAGATATCCGATGAAAGGACCAACCTGTTCAGTCAGTGTCTGGTTGCGCCGCGTCTTATAGCCTCGGCCCAGATTCTTGCTGTCGCCATACTGGTCAGACAGTACAGGTGGCACCATCGGGCTCATGCCCTTTCCAATCCAATACCTAGCAGTCACGGGACTGGACTCACTTCTCCAGCTCGAGTGCAGCCGCCTTTCGGCGATCATAGCTGTCTATGTCAGCTTTTGCTCGACGGAGCGTGTGGAGAAATGAGCTCACATCTTATCATTGAGTCCTATAAGTGGTCAGCTAGACGGCTGGTCCAAGCCTGGGTCAACTCACCTCGTAATATGGAAGCGTCTGAAAGGATCAGCTCGACCTCCACCTTCGCAATAGTCCGCAGGATCCAGCTTACCCATCTTGTCAAAGCTCGGCTACTGCGCCTTCGATACAGTGCCTCGGTTCGATAAGACGCTCGGCGGGATAGCTAAGAGTTTGGCCGGCCCAACTTCTGGTAGAGAAAGGAGTGCAACGGAGAGACCTAAAGTCGACGCGTTGCGTCTCGAAGCGGACCGAGCACCGAGCGTGGTGACGCTCAGACGCTTCCGACGGAACGGGCTCCACATTCCTCAGTCTCTCTGAGCTCTGAGCGCCTGACTGAGCCTTGTCGGTTGTAGGTAGCCCTGTAGGACTCTCAGAAGCCATTGTCCTGACAGGAAGATATGCATGATAACAGTTGATACGTAGCTCTTGATACAGCGAGCACATCTACAAACCGAACCGAAGATATATGTAGATATTTATCAAGAAATGAACCTTCCCCGCTCGTTCCGCGCCGCCTCAATATACTGGCACCCTCTGAATCCCATCCACCCTCGATATTCAATACCGTGCAGATCCACACCCGCTCCCAGCCCGGTCGTCCCCATCAATTCCTGCCCTTCACCCTCAGATACCCACTCGAATCCCCGCCCCTCTCAACCCTCCACCCATCCTTCTCCAACGCCTTGGCCACCGCCGGCCCCAACACCCCTCGTCCACCGACCGAATGGTTCCCTACACCCGTGATAATCTCCATCGGCTTTCCAGGCACAAACACCCCCTCTCTGCCCAATCCGGTTCCCCACGCCCTCTTTTGCTTTTCATACCACGTCGCCACCGCCTCCTTGGCCACTGTGACCGCCTCGGCCGTCGTCAGGCTGTGCAGATCCACCACGTGCCCGCTATTCGTCAATTGGTTATTGATGACCATGCGCGCTGCTTTCAGGTGCCACTCGCGCTCCATATTGCCCGCATCGCGCGCTTGGGTCGCGTAGTGACTGGCGACCGTCCGATTGACAGCTTTGCCTCCCGGAAGGTGTCCGCCGCCAAAGTGCAGTCCGGCAGCCCGGATCGCGGTGGTACGTTTGTGCCGTTCCAGCTCTGCGTTGGCCAGGCATTGCTGTACTGACAGTTCCGCCGCTGATGTCGAATAGGCATACGACGGTCCCGAGGCGCGGTTGGACTCGCGCGGCGCCGGACGATCATGCGCGACGGTGTGCCAGTTCTTGACATGTCTTTGGCCCTTGTTGGAAGGCCTGGTGCTGGGTGCGGACCGAGGAGATGGTGCACCAAAGTCGTCGTAGGCCGTAGGAAAAGCCGCAGAGGACGCAGCGGGTTGCGCTCCGGGGATGACCTTCGGACCGAGCAGCTCGACCGGCTTCTTTTTGGCTTTCCGAGTGAACCGTTCTGGTAATTCCGGGGCTTTGGAGCCGAACCCGACGCGCAGTGCAGATGGCGCCGAGGGATTAGGAAGCGTCTCGAACGTGCCGGACGGTATCTCATACTCGTCCTCACTGCCTCCATACCGATCTTGCACGTCCTCCGTGGCCGCCCAGTGACTGACCTCCTCCAGGAGCTCCACGAGATCCATGACCGCCCCGATATCTTCCCCGCACACCCGCATCGCCGCTTTCAGGTCGTGCTGCTTGCGCTCCGCATCCCCTTCTGTGAGACTCACGCCGTACAGGTCCTGCAAGATGGACTCGCATGCTGAGTCTGCCGGGAGGGGGACTGCAGGCAGGCGGGCGAGGGCAGCGTGTACCGCAGTGTGCTGAGATGGGTACTCGGGGGAGTGGAGGAACGAGGTGAAGTAGCTTTCCGGATGCGGGTGGAGGAGCTTGGCGAGCTGCGATGCGAGGGATGCGAGGGTGTGCCATGCGTTCGGTGCGGGGCCGGAGAGACCGTATGTCCGCGTGAGAGGTGCAGGGGTCGAGGCGCGCGATGAAGAGTGGGAGGAGGGAGTAGGGATTCGCTGGAGGGTGTCGATCAGTGCGTAGTGCTTTGGCTTGGCCTTCTTTCCGGATAAGGATGTGATGGAGGAGCCGGAGCTATCGCGGCTCATAGGTATGGACGTCTCGAATGACGCCCGGGATGTAGTCCGTTTGAGCGGAGTGTCGATAAAGGCCTCCTCCTCCGCGAGAGCCTGGTCCTCCTCGCCTGGCCAGGCGCCGCTGAGCTTGACATTCTCGATGAGCTCGACGGAAAGTAGCTGGTCGATAGCAGCTTGGAAGCTGACGGCTGTGTGAAGAGCGTCTCGAACATCCGCCTTGGGACTGAGCGTTCAGTTGTTGCCCTCAGCAACTTCGACAGGGAGATGAAGACTGACAGGTTCGGGAATAACGACCTCAACAGCCCCATCTCGTCCTCCAACCCCACCTCCTCCGTTTCCTCCGGTACGCTCGTCGGAGATGTGCTCCCTCCCGCACTCTGACTCCGCCCGCTCCCACTTCCACTCCCACTCCCACTCGCAACTGGGCTAGGCAGCATCCCGCCCTCAGACCTCTTCGCCGACGCTGAGCCCGAGCCCGAGCCCAGGCCCGAAATCATACTGACCTTTGTTGATGTACTCCCCGTCCCGGACGCCCCTGATGCACCTGACGCCCTACTACTCCCCTTCCCCTTTCCCTTCTTCTTACTGACCTCCCTCCGGCTGACCTCTTTCCAGCTACTGGGCGGAGGCGGGCTCGGCCCATCCGCAAAGTCCCTCACCGAGATGGACTGCCGGTCCATCAGGTCCGTAAGATCGCTTGTGCTGGTCGATGTGGAGGGGTCTACGTCGGCGGCCGCTCCGAAATCTACGTTGACTTCGTTCTCGTCCGGTACTGAGCATGCTTGGAGGATAGCCAGTTGATCCCGTATAGCCGGGAGTTCCGCTTCGATGGTTGATGGTGGGTAGTCCGATATGAGTGCAAGGATGAGTGAGGAGTCAAGTGTATCGAACTCCGCCTGTTCATCAGCTCTTACTCAAGGCTTCAAGCAGAAAATCTATTCGATGCATCGTGTTCAACCGGAAAGCAGGACTTACCTGGAGTGACGCAGTGATAGCGTCCATATTCTTAACCTCCGCTTCCTTCTCATTCGCAGCCCCTACGTCTAGCGCTACAAGCGATTGTTTCAGAAACGAGAACGGTACAGTCGCACCCGTCGTCGTCGCTCTCTTCTTGCCCATCGCGATGCTAGCAGTTGGGCGCTGGGCGCTCGTTCCTGGTTCCTGGTCGTCGCGCGTCGCGGAGTCTCAAACGTGTGGATGTCTCAGACGATAAGGACTAGTGTGCAACGCGTCGTAATCTTTGTCGATGCGGGTCTCGAAGGTATGTCGGCGTATGGAGTGAGAGTGTGAGGAGTTGGTGTCTGGGTGTGGTGGTAATAGTAGGCATGGCTTGTGATATGGTCGACAAGAGAGACGCCCCAACCACCGATCTGGACGCCTTTTGATCGCGATTTTGGCTGAGGCGGAGCATGACGGAGAGGGATTACGGCATCGCACGGACTAGGGAAATATTTCTGCAGCTCACACCTCCGACTTGCCTCCCATCTTGACCTCTTCCCAAGCCGGTAGCTACTTCATACAGCTAGCACCACAGATACAGGCAGCAACGAAGAGACAGATACAGAATGCCTCGAGTTGCCAAACCCCAAAAACCAAGGCACGACCCCCTGCACGTCGAGCTCGAGGCGGACGACTCGCTTCGGCGCTTTGGGCGAGTGAGCAAGTCGGCTCGGCAGAAGCGAGCAACAGATGAAGGCGAGGAGGGGGTAGGAGCAGTGAGCTACTTGGTTTCCTCGCTCGATATCAAGAGTGGAATGAACTTGTAGCTGATATGATAGCAGTCGGAAGATGCGCGAACGAGCAGGCGGATCTTGGACCTGGCGAGGGAACAGCAGGACGAGATTGCGCGGGAGATAGGGAAGGAGGACGACTGGGAGGATGAGGATGCAGGAGAGCCGTGAGTCATCTCATAGCAGCTGGAGTCCCCATCAGGCACCTTGGACCGGAGCTGATTCGACCAGGTCATTCCGGCAGAGAGATGCGCCGAGGATGTCAGACGACGAGGAAGAGTTTGAAGATGGGAGCATGTCGGGTGGAGAGGAGTATGCGGAGCTGGTATGTCTGTCTACCCTGTACACGAGGCTTCTAGCTGATATACAAGGACATCGACCCGGCGGACCACGCTACGATGGATGCGTTGGGGGGCCAGACGGAGGCGGGCGATATGGGCGGGCGGACACTGGCAGATCTGATTTTTAGCAAGATGGAGGGTGGGGCAGTGACGCAGGGGCAGGACGATGATGAGGCTGGTGAGTTGAGCTTTGCACCGGATTGGGAGATGAAGATGGGGACAAGGTAGCTGACTAGGCAGATGACGGACCACCTGATCCGAGGAAAGGTCTGAACCCTAAAGTCGTTGAGGTGTACACCAAGTAAGCTGATCTCAGCCCACAGACTTCCTCAGTGTGAGTCAGCTAACACTCGAAAGAGTCGGCTACCTTCTCTCCCGATACAAATCCGGTCCCCTCCCCAAAGCCCTCAAAATCCTCCCTTCCCTCCCGCACTGGGCCCAGCTCCTCGCGCTGACCGAACCCGCCAAATGGACCCCACACGGCACCTTTGCATGTACCAAGATCTTCGTGTCCAACCTCAAGCCCAGCGAGGCGCGGGTGTTCCTCGAGGGTGTATTGCTCGATAAGGTCCGGGAGGATATGCGGATGAACAATGGGAAGTTGAATGTGCATCTGTATGAGGCGTTGAAGAAGGGTCTGTACAAGCCGGCGGCGTTCTTCAAGGGGGTGCTGTTCCCTTTGTGTGAGGTGAGTACGGGACGTGAGGACGAGTTGGAGAGGGGCTCGGCTGATGTACAGACTGCTTGTTCGTTGAAGGAGGCAGCGATTGTGGCCTCGGTGCTCTCGAAGGTGTCTGTACCCGTCCTGCACTCGGCTGCTGCCCTGCTCCGTCTCGCTCAGATGGACTATACCGGTGAGCCTCCTACAGCTGATCCTCCCTTCCCTGCTGTGCACTGCTGACACCCCAGGTCCCAACTCCCTCTTCATCCGTATCCTCCTCGACAAGAAATACGCCCTTCCCTACAAAGTGGTCGACGCGCTCGTCTTCCACTTTATCCGGCTCGCCAACTCGCCAAGGAGTAAATCAGGGGACGACAAGCTGCCTGTATTGTGGCACCAGAGTCTGCTTGTGTTTGTGCAGCGGTGAGCTTTATCCTAGTCCGAAATATGAGGCGCTGATCAGTAGATATGGCTCCGACTTGACGCCGGACCAGAAGGACGCACTGCTTGATGTGATCAGGGTACGGCCTCACCCGCCTATCAGTGCCGAGATCAGAAGGGAGATTGTCAGCTCGGTAGAGAGGGGCCAGATACGGCCGGATGATGAGGGGGATGTGGTGATGAAGTGAGCGCGGATAGGAGATGGGATGACTATAGCTGGATGCATCTTGCTTTATGTACCCCACTGCCTGGTCCAGGACGCGGCAGACAGACATGTCCAAGTCTGGTATCGGCCAAGAAGAGCAACGAGAAGAGAGGCACTGGTAGAAGGAGGAACGGGGACGAAGACGGGCGAGGATAAACAAGCTCATGCAGGGACTGAGGTACACGAGGGATATAAGCCGACGCGTCCTTGGGCGTTGCGCCTCTGTTGTGTGCGCTGAGTCAACAAGGAAGGCAAAGGAAACGCCTGATGGACCCTTCCAGCCCCCGGCGCGTCGAAATCTCGGCGCGCGGCTATCATCAATTGGCAATCCTCCCATGTAAACAATGGATTTTGGTGCCGTCGAACGTCGAACCTCCACCGCAGCCCTCCTCTTCGCGTTCCTTATAATCCCCCGCTCTTTCTTGTTTTCGCCCCTTCTCTTCTCTTTCATACATATAACAACCATCCATCCAAATCAACACATTTCAACTCCAACTTTTACCTCTCCACACTCCCAACTAAGCCAACATGCCTCGTAAGTGCATACATTTCTTCCCTGCGCGCATCGCGTCCCTCGGTCCACTCCTTCTCCCGCTACCGGGGAGGGGGCGGGTCGACCAGCCACCAGCCACGTCCGAAATGAATCTTGGCTGATCATACTTCTTCTCTATTGCTCTCTCTGCGCATACATTTATATATACAGCCAAGAAGAGTAAGTCGCGTCCCCTCGTCTTCTACTTCAACCTCCTTCCCTTCCTTCCTCGACGCGACTTTCCTCGAGGAATGATCTCCAGCTACGCCAGGCTTGATGGTGTGACCGCAGCTGACCCTACCAGCCGAAGGTGCCACCAAGAAGGCCGCTGCCCCCAAGGGCGGTAAGAAGACCTCCGCATAGTATGTCTACATTCCTTCCTCCTTGTCCTCCCCATACCCCCTTGCCCTTTCCATTCCTCCATCACCCTGAGACATCGCTGACCCACAGCAACGACTACATGAAGGTCCAACTCGCCAAGCTCAAAGAGGAGCAGGCCAAGTCTGGCAAGACTGCTGTTCACAAGGAGAACTTCAAGACTGTTGCGCAGATGTGGGCTACTGCGTGAGTTCACCAACCCTTCCTGATATTCGCGGGCTAAGCTGACTTCTTCAGCCCGGAGAACCCGGTATGCCCTGCCCCTGTTCTGACGCCTACTGACCAAGCTGACCCCTCGCAGAAGAACAAGAAGTAAACACCCCCCCTTCGTGTTTCCCTCTCTTCGACCCCTTCGATCACATCTTCGACTTCGCTTTCTTCGGTTTATGTCATCTACACGTCGTTGTATTGTAACTGCCTAGAGGAGGGAGGAGTTGCAGAGGGGAAGGGGGGAGTAAGCAGTAGTAGTGTATATAGGGGGCAGTATATGAATATGCTTGCCAAGGTCAATTCATGATTGAGCTCATCGTTCGACTCACCCAAGCAGACCCTGTCTCTCCCCAAGTTGCGTGCTCTTCCTCTTCCCGTTCAATAACCTACACGTTACGTGCGGCCGGGATGCTCTCCGCGCGTCTCCTGACTGTTGCTCTCCTTACCAACGACGACCCCGATCATCAGTTGGGGCCCCGATGTATGAAACGCCTTATGAAAGTGGAGGGCACCCTAGCCAAAATTTCGGTGAACGGCCATCGTCATCCTTCTCATCCTTCTCGACTTCACATCTACTTGTATATCATCTCCCGCTACGATATAGAGTGTCCCTCTGTCTATAGAGTACATAGATCAGCATATTCATACCCCTTGCAACACCAAAGAATAATTGGCCATGTCAAATTTTCCTCACTCGACCACCTCTTTGGCCACCTCCCTGTCTGCCTCCCCATACGGTAAGTAGTAACCGTTCTCTCGACCCCACGCTTGTACTAACTTTCTAGCCACTCAATCCAACCTCGAAGCTCTTATCCAAAATGCTCGAGCCCATCCCCACCCCCGCCGTACCTCCCAGTCATCAGCGTACGGCCGTCCCTCCTTCTCCATGACCTCCGCCGCCCAATCTCCCGATCTGCCCATCCTCTCACCCTCCGCCCCACAGCCCGCAGACTCCCAGAGTCGGCGACAGAGCGAAGCACACCATCCGTCCACTCGACCACGGATGGGCGCGATCCGCGAGGCGTCCTATAACGAAGGAGCGGCGATTCTCCTCGATGACTCGGACGACGCGGACGAGGGGGACGCCTTGATCCCTGCCGATCAGCAGGTCGGCGGGCATCACCGAAGGGACAGCAGAGCGAGCCGTACGAGCCGAGCCAGCCGTAGCAGCCGTCTGTCCGCTACTGCCCGGCGCAACTTTGGAGGGGCGTCCGATCCTGTTGGGTTGACGCCTGTCAATGCTCCGGCCAAGGCTCGGAGGGGAAGCAATGAAGTCTCTGGCCGGACGGGTAATTCCCGCTCTCGGTCCACAGCGCGGACACCACCCAGACACGGTCGGATGAGTATGGCCAAGCCGGGCGATTTCGGCTCGGACCACGAGTCGGATCATGGGGAAGCAGGCGAAGAGGGGTACTTTGATTTTGATGAAGCCCTGGAAGGTGCTCGGTCGAGGGATCACAGGGGTCGAGGTACCGAGTCCAGGCCGCTCTCCCGCTCGTCCTCCCCTCTCGACTCGAGGAGCGAGCTATCGTATAGGCGTGGACCCGCAGGCCGGCGCGGATCCATGGCGACCACTACGCGCTTCGCGGAGGATTCGTCAGGCGACGAAGGGGGAGACGTGGCGCGTGGCCTGGTAGGGACCGGAGGTGTGGGGATGTTGGGTACTCGAGGGGGAAACGGGATGATCCCGGGGCATAGTCAAGGCGGGGGCGGGATGATCGGGATGGAGGTCGACCCCGCGGAGGAGTTGCTTCCAGAGGATCTGGAGGTACCGCTCGATAAGGACGGTTTGGAGATTCGGGATTGGACCGAGGCGCTCAGGGTGAGCTGAACGTAGCTCGCGGACTTGAGAGAATAGAGCTGATGAGGCAGAATGAGATGGCGATTGTGCTAAGGATGAGTGTACCGGTCTTTACGACCCAAGCGGCCGAGTGGAGCTTGGTCCTTGCCAGTGTCATCTCGATCGGGCATCAAGGGACGACTGAGCTGGCTGCTTCTTCGTGAGCTTCCACGCTGATTTACTTGAGGCGGGAACAAGCTGATCTGATAGGTTGGCCTCTATGACGGCGTCGGTCTCTTCGTTCTCCATCTTGCAGGGCCTCGCTACAGCTAGTGAGCTATACCGCGTACCGGCTGGGAAGGCAGGGTAGATAGCTGACATCGCAGTGGACACTCTTCTTCCTGCTGCCTGGGCGTCCTCTGAGCCCAGCCGAGTCGGTCTGTGGACACAGCGAATGTAAGCTTGCTCATGCGCTAACACTGGGGGCATATAGCTAAAGAACGTTATAGGGCTGTCGTGCTAGCATTCTCCACAATCCCGATGTATGTTCTCTGGTGGAACGTCGAGGGCGTCCTCCTCGCTGCTGGACAAGGTATGTCCCTCATGTGGCGATGATAAAACATGGCTGATGAGTAGAACCGAGAGTCGCTTCTCTTGCCCAGACGTATCTGCGGTACATGTCGTTTGGTATTCCAGGATACGGAGGGACCATCGTTGTCAAGAAGTAAGCTAGTCGATTCGTACGCGTCGGACAATAGCTGATGGGATAGGTACCTCCAGGCGCAGAATTTAATGAAGGTTCCGACCTATGTGCTGTTCGTCGTCTCGCCGATGAATGTCTTGCTCAACTATCTCTTGGTATGTCCTATATACTCCCCTAAAGATAAAGCGCAAGCTGATACAGTTAGGTCTGGGGTCCGGAGCCTATCCGGATTGGATTTGCAGGAGGTGCTATCGCAACAGCTATCAGCTATACCTTGAACGTAAGTTACGAATTCCTGAACATACCAGCGGCACCACAAGCTTACGTCTACAGTTTGTCCTCCTCCTCATCTATGCGGTCTACTACGGTCCCAAAGAAGCCATGCACCCCATCCAGATGAAACACCTCTTCTCCAAGCTCGGCACGGTCACCTCGCTCGGTCTCGCCGGGACCATCATGGTGAGCTTGCTCCCTCGCTTCTCTTTGATTAGGGAACCAGCTGACCCAGACAGGTCTCGTCCGAGTGGTGGGCATGGGAAGCTTGCGCTCTCGCTGCGTCCCTCTTAGGTCCCGTCAACCTCGCTGCCCAGTCGGTACTGTTGTCAACCACCTCGACCTTCTTCCAGGTCCCTGCGGCTCTGGGTATCGCCTCTGCCGTACGGGTCGGGAACCTCCTCGGAGCCGGACGGGGCTGGGAAGCCAAATGGGCTAGTCGAGCTTGTCTCTTCCTCTCTGTTTTCTTTGCCAGTATCAACTGGTGAGCTGAAGTCCTCCTGAAGTTCCTTGAACTTTGAGACATAGGATGCCGAAGCTAACTTCACAGCCTCATCTGTATCCTCTTCCGCACCAACTGGGGCTACCTATTCAATAACGACCCCGAAGTCGTCTCCATCGTCGCCCACATCATGCCCTACATCGGCCTCTTCCAAGTGACAGACGGCATCGCCGCCACCTCCGGCTCGATCCTCCGCGCCCTCGGTCTACACACCACCGGCGCGCTCATCAACCTCACATCCTACTACGTCATTGGCCTCCCCTTTGGCCTTTGGCTCACGTTTGAGCCGAAGCTCGCTCTCGGGCTCATCGGGCTGTGGATCGGTCTGAGCGTAGCATTGGGGTATGCGAGCGTGGTGAGCTTTGTGATGGTCTGGAGGACGAATTGGGGTCGGGCGGTTGAGCGGGTGAGGGAGAGACTGGGGTTGCCTAGTCAAGGCCAAGTGGGGGAGGATGGGAAGTGGGAGGAGAATATGGGTGAGGGATATGAGGGGTATGAGGACGTCGATGGGCAAGGGGTGCCGGAGGTGGAGGTTACGAGTCCGGGTGGAGGACAGGCACAGGCACAGGGGGAGAGGGAGGGGCTGTTGGGTGCGAGACAGGAAGGTGGGGAGTACGGAAGCACGAGGGCTTGATAGGAGGGGTGCTTGCTGCGCGCGACAAGATGGAGGTAGAGACCGTGGGGAGGTGGGGGAGGGAGGGCAGGACCAATCAAAGTCACTAACGTCGACATCGCATGACATTACGAGTGTAGCATGCCTTTTCTGGGGCCAAGTGTTTCAGACACTCACGTCCCCGGCTCGCTGATGAAAATGCCTTGGCTGATATACTGACACCGAGCTTCGCCCCGCTTGCACACCGCATTCAATCACGCCACCCAGCTAAAGCCCAGTTTGGCGTACTCATCACGGGCGATCGATGCCATCTCGTAGGAGGCGTCGTGCGGCACATAGGAGGCCTCGAGCGACACGTGCTCGGCGTCCTTTCTAGCGTACTCTACAAGTGTCTTCGAACGGGTTTCGTGCTTGATGGCGATGGCGATGGCGATGGCGATGGCGATGGCGATGGCGATGGCGATGGCGATCGTCTGACCATTCTACGGGAGACTGATACCCGGTGCGAATCCGCTCTGATCTGTTCTTCGTAAATCACTACGATCATCCCACACAGCACAGACACATCTTTGCTCAACCATGTCGTCCAGATCTTCCACCGGTTCCGTCCGATACTACAAGTACGAGACCGACTCCAAGCCCTGCGCCACCGTCCACCTCTCTGACCAAGTCGTCCACAGGGTCCTCACGCATGAGCAGAACATCCGATACCTAGACGTTCGGTCCAACAACTACCACGTCTCCCTCGACAAGGACACCATCCGGGATGCTGAGAGGCAGCTGACTTCCCTGATGCCTGATGATCCGGAACTGGTCCAGTCGGCGCTGGCCTTCTTGTCCGGGAAGGGCGTGAAGGCGAATTGGGGTATGGTGAGCGTCATACCCTCACAGGGAGGCAAGAGGGGGATGTACTGTTATCCGATGAGGTCGTAGGTATCGGTGGCCCTGTATGAAGGAGCCCTCCGGTGGTGACGGGGTGTGGGTTTGGGAATGGCGTCCGCGGAGATCTCCTGAGCTATTTATCCTAGCGTCCCTCACCTGAGCTAATTGCCTACTGACCACCTCATCGGTCATCGATCATCACCCAGATTTATCAGGGCAGCTCCCGAGGGGAAGCGGACCGCCGCTTTTACCGAAGTAGAAGGTGAAGAACCATATATACCGGCCTTCTTCTGACGTGCTCTTACGATTGGTCTCCAGGAAGCCATGTTCAGTATGGAATAAAGGATCTCCACGCATCAGACCACTTGCCCTGCGCCTCGAGGCGCGAAACGTACGTATATAACGGTGCCAGATGCGTTGCCTATATGCCCTACCCGGTTATCCTGTCGGATGTCCTGCGTTTAACTTTGAGCATTCGCAATTCTCTCCCCAAGGATCCTGCTCTCTCTCGCATCAGATCCGCCACAGTCGCTTCACCTACACAGCCTGCCATGTTCGCAAAGCTCTTTTCGACATCCACCCAACGTGGATCTCTCTCGGTCAGCATCCTCAGAACCAGAACGACACACAGCATGAGCATGGACACCTCATTGGCCCGCGATTACATCGACGGCACCGCTGGGATCATTTCCATTCCAGCCGAATTCCTCGACAACGTGAGGGCCATGTTGAGGGGTGACGTCGAGGCAGCCGAGGCGGCTGCGGGTTTTCTCTCGGGAGGGACCATGTCCTCCGTGCTGATGAGCGTGCAAATCCAGCTCCCTGACGAGGAGGGGGTATCGGGAAGCTGGTTCCCTGGTTCCAGGTGTCGGATCGCGGAAGTATGAAGCAGCTGGCGACGCTCCGGCAGGGCAGACGAGTGCGAGGAGCGGTTCAGTCATTAAGCATGCCATCAGCTGCTGAGCGGAAGCGTGATCAAGTACACAGTACCCTTCACGTAGAGATCTACAACAGCGCTAGCGCCTTCCAGCTCATGCTAGCTGTTCATCCGAGCGTGGTTCTCTGTGTCACTGTGAGTCTGTGATACCCATCGTTGGGTGTCTAGTATGTTCCATAGTCGCTGTGGTATCGTGTGGCGACATCCTTTCGCTTCATCGAAACGCGATCGTGCTTGATTGCAAGGGGTCTGGCAAAGGATGACGGGCAGTTGCAAGCTTGACCGGTCCTACTTGGACGACTTGGGTACAAAATGGATAACGGAGACTCTTGTGTCTTTCGTTTGTACATCACTCCAGCACTGACGATCGCACACTCCCTGTCGATCGACATATCGCACGCAGTCGTCAGTTCCTCAACATGGGCAAACAATCGCAGACTGAAGTCAGCGCTCTCCGACCCAAAGACACCGCCTCCCTCGGCTCTGCTCCTGACCAGAACAGTGCGCGCGGCAGCATCACCTTCTGGATGAAGGATCCGAGGCCACACGAAGGAGACGGAGATTCGTTCGACGTTTCGCACGAAATCACGGAACACGTATTATAAGCGAACGAGGTGCACAAGACATTACCGACTGAAGCTCAGCGGAAAGGTTTCCGCGTGATCCTGACGAATGAGATGATCGGTGAGGTTCGAGGACGGATGAGACTGCAGGGCTTTGATGCGGATTCGACTGAGGCCGTTGTGAATACTCTCAGTGGCAAGCAGGAGGCGGGAGGCGTGTACTCCATGGACGTCCGCAGGTTCGGCGGTGGACTGATCGAAAGCAATCCGGGGCGCTATCGTTCGAGCGTGGACTTCAGGAAGTGAGGTCTTCAGCGCTCGCGATCCTACTATTCTCTCCATTCTCCAGCTGTCCATGCACTTCTGTTCGGGTCTTAATGCTCTCTCCAATCTACTTATCGGACAAGGTGCTGCTAAACTCTGTTCTGTACCATCCCATGACCCAGGTTTGGCCGACGCAGTCCCCCCTAGCTAGGCTTTGCGGCGGGGTGGCGAATACTTGCAGTCTGTCTTGTTCCAGCGGTACCGAGTTCATTAGACCTCGAATAGGTGACGCATGTAACCCAATATGGATGATGAACATGGGTCTCTACGCTATGCCGGTCTAGGAGTCACGATGGGGCCGGCCCCTTGACTGGGTATAGCCCGGCGCTTCGAAGGACTCACGAGTACTCCCTCTCACGCTCGAGTGGCTAACTCAAAAGCGCTTGCTACCAGCTTAGCAGAGGGGCTGCATGGAGCACGTAATAATGTCTACAGCTCTGTCAGTATGAAGTGAGACCTGTAACGATAGTGCATACCTTCCAATCGCAGGGACTGTACTCAAGGTGAGCTGAAGTACCTGTTAGCCTAACCGCCCTTTAACCACGACATTGACAGACTGCACTGGAGCCACCAAATATCTCCCATCGGGGCCAGAGGCCTTCGCATTGCCTGCCGCTCCAAGTGACGTCTTACGCTGCTTGTCGTAGCGGACTAGTCCAGCAGTATCCTGGGAGCCTACATGTACAGTTACTGCGCCTTCGGCTGCAGCTTCCAACGCCACGGACCTCGCCACAGATGACGCTGAGCCCTCTCGGCATCGGGTCGTGCCTTAAACCGCATTGACTTTCCCTTTGCAGCCTATCTCTCTCACGCACGTTCGTCGACTATTCAGCCTGTCTCAGCGTATCATCTCATCCAATAGCCAGCAGCTGCGGCGCAGAGAGCTTCCATACCGCAGCTACACCTCCCCTGCTATAACTCATCGAAAGAAAGGCAGCGCCCGCCCCTCTACAAGCTTGGGAACAGCTCGATCGTGCCGGTCTCACCTCCGTCCATTCAACGCTTCTTCGACCCCTTTGCCTTTGCCGCACGTTTGTCTGGTCTCCTCGCGCCGACTACCTCCCCCACCGCCACATCCACACTCGCGCGCGTGTATCCGAAACTCTGTGCTCTGTTCGGACCCGCCACACGTGCATTGTAAGTTCACCTCTTCGGATCAAAGTCAAATAGCTCCGAGCGGCAGTGACATCCTCCCTGCCAGACTTTTACCAGGACTTTTACCTTCTATCACTACACCTCGTGTATATCAGCTCGACTCCGCTCAAGCTTACCTGTCCAGCTATTTAAATTGTGTATATAGGACCATCTACAGGGATCTAGTTGGACAGGATGAAGTTCGGTCGCAGAATAAAGGTGAGCTTTCCAGCCCCTAATACACTCAGGTGCAGAAGCTGACCCCTCAGGACTCGCTCTACTCGGAATGGGCCGACCACTACATTGCCTACTCTGCGCTCAAGAAGCAAATCAAAGCCAACCTCCCGTGGTCCGACACTGCCGAAGCCGAATTCCTCCGTTCACTCCGGGACGAGCTCACCAAATGCGAGACCTTCCAGGCCGACAAGGCTGCCGACTCGATGCGCAAGATTGAGGCGCTCGAGCGGGAGGTACATGCGTTCGTGGAGGAGCAGGAGCTCGCGGAGCAGGAGGCGGAAAGTAGGGACGATGAGGATCCCGAGTCTGGGTCGAGGGAGCGGAATGCGCGGAGACATCGGGACGACGATGGCGGTTCGGACGACGACGATGATGATGAGGACGACGATGGAGCGAGTGCGATTAGCGAGACCGAGGCAGAGGAGAAGTTCAAGGCGTTCGAGGATGAGGTGGCAGTCCTGGTCGCGGATGTGCATGATTTGGCCTTGTTCACCAAGTTGAACTTTACGGGATTTCAGAAGATTGTCAAGAAGCACGATGTGAGTTTGCCGTCGAGATGCTGGAGTGGGGCTGATGAGTAGAAAATCACCGGTTGGCAGCTCAAGCAGCGGTTCAACAAGGAGTACCTCGAGCAACACCCGTTCTACCGCATGAACTACGACCACCTCATTGTCAAGCTGTCCAAGCTCTTTGATCTTGTCCGGACGCGAGGACATCCAGTGGAGGGAGATGCGAGTGCTGGAGGAAGCCAGAACGCTTTCGTCCGAAGTACGACCAAATACTGGGTGAGCTGCCTCCCTCTTGAACATGGGATACAGCTGACAATTAGGTGCACGACGAGAACCTTGTCCCGCTCAAACTCGCCATCATGCGACATCTCCCCGTACTCGTCTTCGATGCCAACAGGGAATGGGTACCCGCCGACTCGGCCATCACCTCGATCTACTTTGACAACGAGGAGCTCGAGCTGTATCTCGGTCGGCTGGAGAAGACGGAAGGCGCCGAGGCTGTCCGGATGCGGTGGTACGGTGATGTCACAGGCAAGACTGTCAGTTACGTCGCACGCAATGGCCTCGAAGCTATAGCTGACGATCGCAGGTCTTTGTGGAGCGCAAAACCCACCGAGAAGACTGGACTGGCGAAAAATCCGTCAAGGAGCGATTCACCATCAAGGAGGACAAGATGAATGACTTCTTGTCGGGGAGATATACTATGGACGAGGAGTTTGATGCGCTAGTAGCCAAGGGCAAGAAGACGGCTAAGGAGGTCGAGGGGATGAAGCAATTGGCGGCGGAAATCCAATACGCGATCATCACGCGGAAACTCAGGCCAGGTGAGCTAGACAGCTTGAGCGTCTGAGCTATAGCTGATATCTAGTCATGCGGACGTTCTACAACCGTACTGCCTTCCAACTCCCCGGAAACGCCTCGGTCCGTATATCGCTCGACACGGAACTCACCATGGTCCGGGAAGACAACTTTGACGGTTGGGACCGAACCAACGGAAACTGGCGCCGGACCGACCTGGGTATTGATCACCCCTTCGATAGCATCAAAGCGTCTGAAAAGGAGCCGTTCCCGTACGGTGTGCTGGAGGTCAAGCTGGCCACCAAGGTCGGGGAGGAACCGCCCCAGTGGATCCGGGACCTCATCAATTCGCACCTCGTCGAGGCCGTCCCCAAATTCTCCAAATTCATCCACGGTTGTGCCACGCTTCTTCCGGAACGCGTCGATCTCGTGCCTTTCTGGCTGCCGCAGATGGACCAGGATATCCGAAAACCCGTCACTGCGCGCTCGCGGGTCCTCATCGAACGCCCTCACTCGACTGCCCACTCGTCAGCTTCCGCCCAAACGTCCGCGCCGGACTCGCCGGACATCTCGCAGCCTACCAGCTATCACGAGCCGCTCTCGGACGGCGAGGACGACGAGGAGTACCTCACGCACGCGGCGAAGAATGAGGATGTCCACCTCCGGCTACCGCCAGGTGCGGCGGCAGAGGCAAAGGCGGCGCGGGACTTCCGGGAGAAGAAGCTTCGGGACGAGGCGCACGCCCAGGCTGCGGCTGCTGCCAGTGGGAGCAAAGGAGAGGTGGGGGCGGCAGCGAAGCCCGCCAAGGATGCCGGAGGCGGAACCTCCGCTGAGGCCGGTAACGGCCAGACGTCGGATGCCAAGCAACAAGCCATCAAGTCGAAATACGACCCTTCGCGCCGGATCGACCCGCTGGCATCGGCCGACCGCGTTGTCGATAGCAACAAGAACATTTCGCTGTTGGACGAGGCGAGCCTGAAGAAGCTGAATGATGCGCAAAAGAAGCGGATCAAGGATGTGGCGGGATCAGGGAGTGAAGGGGAGGAAGAAGAGGAGGAATTGGAAGAGGATGACGAGGAGGCGAATAGGGTGGTTTATGTGGATCACTTTAGGGCGCCGGCGGGGAAGAAGATCTCGATGCCGGTGAGGATAGAGCCGAAGGTTGTGTTTGCGGCAGAACGAACATTCTTGAAGGTGAGCACAATCCCTCTGGATCGTGCCGAGGATAAGCTGACAGAGTAGTGGTCACACTTTGCAGTCCTGCTCGGCGGAGTCTCCATCACTCTCCTCAACTTCATCCCCGCCTCGGACCCCATCGGGATGATCTCCGCCGGCTGCTTCACGCTCACCGCCCTCCTCGCTATCGTTTACGCCGGCGGCATGTACACGTACCGTATTCTGAAAATCAGGAAACGGCGGGCCATCGACTATCACGACAAGTACGGCCCGACCCTTCTTACCGCGGCGCTGTTCACGAGCGTGTTGGTAAATCTGGTGCTGCGGCTGAGGGAGTTATAGTGGGAGAGAGACGGGTATCAGAGGTCTAGGTGTCGGTGTCGGCGTGCGCACATAGGCACAGTAATGGTACTTTTAGGATATCCAGCATGGAATGCACCTGTCTGCTTTGCATTAAGCGGCGGCTCTGGTCAATGTGACCGATCGCAGCATTCGACATTATAATTTCATTTTGGAGTCACACGATACCCATCTATATAGAGCTCATCTACATTGGGACGACCCATTCATACCTTCGCGTCCTCGATTATTACCCCCTCGCCCTTCCCCGTTGCCGCGATCCTCGCCCGTGCCAGCGCATGCTCCTCCTCTGGCGTTCCCGGCCTTCTCCACAGAACCCTGTACTGCAGCCCCAGCACCGCCACCCACGCGACGATAAACCAGAACGTCCTCCCGGCGGACGTCATCCAGTTGCTCAGATCCTCCGTCTCGAACGCCGCCTGTACCGCGAGCGCCACCGCGCCTCCCACCTGCGCGACCACCTGCACCCACGCCGAGATGACGCCAGACATCTCAGGCGGGGCGTACACGACGACCGAGATGGCGCTTCCAAAGTAGGCGAGCATGGCTCCGGCAGAACCGAGAACGTAGGCAGGGAAGACGAGGCGCCAGTAATCGTACCCTTGGCCACCGTACGAGTAGATCTGCAGAATCTCGGCGACGATGATGAGGACGACACCGACGGGGATGAAGATCTCGGGCTTGCTGACGATCTGGGGAACGACTTGGGAGAGGACACCGATAAGGAGACCGACGATGCCTTGGGGAAGGATGGCGGCTGCGACGTGGACTGGGCGGTCAGCTCGGGCCGCGAAGATTGGGAGGGCAGGACTTACGAGGCGTCCATCCGAAAGCCTGCTGGAAGAAGGTAGCGTAGTAGATTTGGCTAGTGAACCAGAATCCGGTAGGGATCATGATGACCAAGCTCGTAGGGATGAAGTTTTTGATTTGGTAGACCGAAGCGGGGAGGAGGGCGGTACGAGCGGGAATGGAGTATTCCCAAACGAAGAAGCCGATGGCCGAGACGAAGGAGATGATAAAGGGTGCGATAAAGCCGGCGGATCCCCAGCCGTCAATAGGGCCGTTCGTAAGTGAGAGGATGAAGCAGATGAGGAATCCCATCATCAGGATGACACCGGGGATGTCGAGGCGTTTCCACTTGGGCGACGGGTCTGAGGAGAGAGGGGCGCCGATGCGAGGAAGGAGGAAGATGGCGGCGGCGGAAAAGATGAAGGAGAGGATGGCGACGATGCGGAAGAACCAGTGATAGCTCGCCAGCATGGCAAGGCCGGCAATTACCCTGAGGCTTAGCTGAAGTCGGAGACAAGTGATGATGAACTTACAATCCTAGTACATTGCCCAGACCGCCGGCCATACCCAAAAGCGCGAGCTTCTTTTGCTGCTCTACCGGGTCGGGGAACATGTGTACAAGCATGTGGTAAGAGCTCGGGATGGTGAGAGCGCCGCATAGCCCACCGAGACCGCGAAGGATGAGAAAGCCGTACTTGTTGGTGGTGACGAAGGAGGTGATAAGGGAGAAGATACCGAGTCCGGTGAAGCCGACCTCGAAGATGATGGTGGCTGGGAATAGGTCCGAAAGACGGCCTGCAAAGAGGAGGAGTGCAGCAAAGCAGAGCGAATACGAAGTGATGATCTGAAGATCAGCTCGAGATCAGGCACGATCGGACGCGTCAAGACTGACCCATGCGATCTGGTTGATGGCGAGATCGAGATCCCCACTGATTTGAGCGACCGCGAGACCGACACCGCTGACATTGCAGATGTCGAGGAAAGTTGCGATACCGAATACAAAGAGGAGGAAGTTTTTCCTGCCCTGGCCAAGTTGGGCGAGAGGGTGGGCGTGGTCCGGTGCATGGTGGTCTTGCTTCTTCTCCAAGGCGGGGGAAAGCGAGGTCGGCTCGTGAAGGGATGCAGCCTTGGAGGTGGGTGCTGTCGCGTCGAGTGTGGGAGAGGAGAGATGTGACATGGTGATAGAGTACGGAGGATTGATCGGGTCAAGTGGAGGGAATGTACTGAGTCTCTCTTCCCTGGCTAGGGAGGGATCTTTATATGTGGACGCGCTGTTCGGGCATACAGCTATCGCTGAGTAAGTTCAGTACAAAGGTGAATAAGGAAAGTGAATCCTTTCGCCAAACCTCGGTCATCAACTACATATCACCGCGCGTCAGCATGTCCGCGGCGACGGCGCGGAGGAGTCATCGAGCCTCGGGGGCGGAGGCCCTTTGGATGCCCACGCCGAGTAAGGATCTCATCCGAGGCGATTTATAAGCGTCTCAGTGAGACGGAGCAAAAAAAGGGGCGAACAAGAACACATCGGGCGAGATCTTATCCATGCCCGAGTACGGAGTACAACGTTAACTCCGCTGCCCGATTAGCAGCCAGACCACGTGGACCGGCCGGTATCGGGTTTCCGGCCGAAAGTCTGTTGGCTCTGGGGCCGAAAAGTTGGACGGGGTCCTCATGAGGGGTTGGGACCTCTTGCAACCATACTACTACAGTACTCACTTGTCCTACCTATACTCACCACACCTCGCAACATGGCTTCCGTACTCAAGCGCAGCTCGCTCAAGCTGGGGATGATCCCCGCGGACGGAATTGGAAAGGAGGTCTTGCCTGTGCGTTCGAGTTCAAGCCGTCCACGGTTTATTCAGGTTGATCGCAGTACTGATAGACCTACAGGCTGCTCAGCGAGTCCTGGAGGCTCTTGGCTCTGCTATCCCGAAGGTCACCTTCGTGCCTCTCCTTGCTGGCTGGGAAGAGTTCAACGCACGCGGCAAAGCACTTCCAGAGGAGACCATCAGGTGAGCTTATTCGCGTGGAGCGGCGAGAAGCAGCTGACCTTGAAGGGTGCTCAAGGAAGAATGTGACGGCGCCATGTTCGGCTCCGTATCTTCTCCCTCGCACAAGGTCGCCGGCTACTCCTCCCCCATCGTCGCCCTCCGCAAACACCTCGACCTGTACGCAAATGTCCGCCCCGTCTCTTCTGTTCCCGGCATGCCTGGACCTAAAGTCGACATGGTGATCGTCCGCGAAAACACCGAGTGCCTTTACATCAAGAAGGAGGAGATCCACGATGCGCCAGGCGGCGGTAAGGTCGCGTACGCAACCAGGCAAATCACGTCGTATGCCAGCGAGCGGATTGGTCGGATGGCGTTCGAGATTGCCCTGAGGAGGGCAGAGGAGCGGAAAGGCGCGACGGAGGGGATCTGGGCGGGCAAGGAGGGGAAGGTGACGATTGTGCACAAGTCGAACGTGCTCAGTGTGACGGATGGACTGTTCAGGGAGAGCGTGCGGAGTGTGTACGATGCCGAGCAGCGGTTCAAGGCGGTCAAGGTGGAGGAGCAGCTGGTGGATTCTATGGTGTACAGGATGTTCAGGGAGCCAGAGTGAGTAGATCGCTCTTCATTGTCAACTGCCTGGTCAGCGAACACTTTCAGCTGACTCCGCTAGGATTTTCGACGTCGCCGTGGCCCCCAATCTGTATGGAGACATTATCTCGTGAGTTGCAAGCCGTCCGTATCGACATGCTCAGAGAACTGATGTCAATGCAGGGACGGTGCTGCCGCCCTTGTCGGATCTCTTGGTCTCGTACCGTCTATCAACGCCGGAGACAACTTTGTTATGGGCGAGCCGTGAGTTCTGGACCCCACTCTCAGCTCGACAACGCGCATGCATTGCAGAGAACGGTTGAGCTGACTCACCAGCGTACATGGCTCGGCACCCGATATCGAGGGCAAGAACATCGCCAACCCCATCGCTTCCATCCGGTATGTCTTGAGGCCCACAGCTGAGGCTGCTTGCTGATCTCGTAGATCCGCTTCGCTCCTCCTCCAATCCCTCGGTTTCCCCGAAGCAGCCACCAAGATCAACGCCGCTGTCGATGCCGTTCTCCTCGAGGGCAAGTACCGCACGCCCGATATCGGGGGCAAGTCGACCACTACCGAAGTCACTGATGCGATCCTGAAGCTGTTGTAGACATGGACTTGATGTTGAATTGACCGTCCTTCAGGTCTCATCTATTCATCGTGCTCCAAGTCAGAGATCGGGCTGAGCCGTCTGAAGTAAAAGTGTGGTCCCCAGCTTCACTTCCCTACCCTCGGATGGTCGTGCGCCTGAGCTATGCTGTACCTGTCGGCTGCTATCAAGATCTGCCATGGCTCGACTCGGTCTCAGAAACTTAGGCTGAAACCTTCAATCCTGATGCCGGCATTATGGCGTTCCGATACGGGCAATTCGGAGCATTCCTCAAAGATAAACGCTTCTTCGAGGGTCATTTTGATCTTTGTTGTGATCACCGCCAACTAGTCTCCGAGCTCAGCCCATGAGGCCACAAGGAGCTGGCAGCATGGGTGCGATAGGATGCGATTGAGACGCACTCTTCCCCCTCTCTCCTATACCTCGTCAACATCAATCCATATATCGGGTCTTCGCTTCTCCGACTCCCCTCTTCGATCCTCCTGAGCACCGCGACATCCTCAAATCGTCCAGGCTCGCTCACATCGTCATGTGGACCAGCACCGCCCTCCTCCCCATTCTCCTTCTCTCAGTCGCTGCCCGTAATGATCGCCGCCAGATAATCCCCTCAACCACCTCCTCCGCGCCCGCGCCTACCACCTCCTCCGCGCCCGCGCCTACCTCCACAGCAGACGCGTTCCGCGTCGGTCTCGCCATGAACACCGACTCAAAGGCCGACATTGCGAGCTTCGGGCGGGGCAAAATAGGCTGGTACTACTCCTACAATACCGAGCCGCTGGCAAATACCGATGGGCTGGAGTTCGTGCCGATCATCTGGGGCGCTCAGGCTGCGAGGGACTTTACGGGAGCGGTAGCGGTGGGGACGACCCATATCTTGGGTTTCAACGAGCGTGAGTAGGGTCCAGAGCTACAGGTCGAGTCTAACTGACGGTCACAGCGGATATTGATGGATCAAGCGGTGGTTCCAATATCGACTCGACGACCGCTGGCGATCTCCATAATTTGTGGACCAGCAAGGTCCCCGCTGGAATACTTATCGGTTCTCCGGCGGTAGCGAGGGGAAGTAAGGCCTACTTCCAGGTAAGTATCCCTATACCTCGTCCCCTGATATGTATGCTGACCCTGTAGCGATTCCTAGACTCTTGCGGTCCCAACTGCAAGTACGACTTTGTCCCCTTCCACTTTTACGGAGACAATGCCGACGACCTGGTGACCTACGCCGAAGACTTTTATGCGACGTATGGGAAGCCGCTCTGGTTGACTGAATTCGCGTGCCAAGTGAGCTGCTTGCCTTATACCGCAGGCATAAAAGACTAGTCCGGAGCTCCTGCTGATGTGCGACAGGACTACGTTTCGGGCTATGTCTGCACGAAAGACCAGGTGGAGACGTTCATGGATATCGCCATCACATTCTTTAGATCTCCTAACAGCCCAGTGGAAGTGAGTGCCCTTTCCCCTGAGTATCCTAGGCTCGAGTATCGAGCCAGGTATTCTTTAAGCTCTTGCTGACGCCAACAGCGCTGGTCCTGGTTCGGAGCTTTCCCCGACTACGCCGTCACCAACCCGAACGGGATCCTCAACACGGATAGTACCGCGAACGAGCAGGGAAAATTCTACGCAACTCTCTGAGTGGGCACTGCAGGTGAAGAGAAGGGGAAGAGAAGGACAATCTATAGATAGCTAGACCCGGAGATGACAATGGACAAATCTGCGACTTCCTGCTGTGCTGCTCTTGACCAGCATCTGGCACCAGTGAGCCTGGCTTGCCTCCCGCTTCACCCAAAGTGTCTGCCACAAGCCGACCATCACATTGATCATCCAACATCAATATGCATATCACAAAGATTCAATTACTCGTTACTTCACATCCCAGGTCGAAAGACGACAATCCGCCCAGATTTCAGATCATCACACCGATAGCTGACTTCCTCCGATACCTATCTCTATCAGCTCTTCATCCTTGCCTCTCTCCGCCTCTCTCCTTGTCAAGGACAGCAACTCACCCCTCGCTCGACCTGCATGACCCGCAGCTTGTGCTTCTTCTGCTCCGACTCGGCAATGACCCCCACTAACGGATCCTCTACGGAGCCGACGTGCTGGTTATAGCTCGAGAGCCCCTTCTTGCCCTTCAGCTTGGCATCGTAGAATGCGGCGATATCTCCTGCACGGGGCTGTTCCATCAGCTTGCGACGGGCACGGATGCAGATTTCAGATCTCACCTCGTCATACTTCTTCATGACCGAGCCGCCCTCCTGCTCGAACACCACCTGTCCCCAGCTCTGCTCGGGACGAGGCAGCTTCGCTTGCTCGTATACTACCATGACGAAACCGGCTGGACTCCCATCCTACCGAGGTCAGCTTTCCCGAGCATGCGGTCCCGTTCTGCCAGCTAAACTCACACCCATGTACCCCCTCTTCCCCTGCCCGAACAACCCCTGAGCAGCGCGCAACACCCTCGCCCCCGCATCCTGACTCGCCGCCTGCAGCTCGTTAAATCCCGGTCGATTACCCGCAAAGCTCGATCGACCACCTTGTTCAGGCGTACTGCGCATAGAGTCCTGCCGCGCCACCGCGGGAGACGAGGGGGATCGAGTCGACTGGAACGACTGCCTCGATGCGATCGACATGGACCGCCGAGCGATGGGGCTCTCGGGTCCTTGTTGTCCCGCAAGAGAGGTCTGGCTGGGGTTGGTCTGGATAGGAGGGGGCCGGGTGGGAGTATCCGGCGATCGTGGAGCCATCTCGCTAGGCTCGGCCATTGTGCTCATACCGCCCAAGACGGGCTGAGACAAGGACGGTGGGCCCGGAGTCGAGGCATCTAGGGTCCGAGTAGAGGTGGATCGGACTGGAGACTGCGGGACGTCCGAGGTTGCGGTCCGCATAGGTCGAGCAGGCGGGGGAGGCGGTGGTGGTAGCTCGTCATCATCCTCCTCGAGACCCGGTGTAGGAGGCATCGGGCGATTCGACGGGACTGGCGGCCTTCCAGCCGGAGGTGGCGGAGGCGCGCCATCTTCCTCGTCGTCTTCCTGGGCTGATGGAGTTGGAGCAGAGGGTAGAGGTCGACCAGCTGGAACCGGCGGACGGGCAGTCACCGGTGAGACCGGCTCTGCGTCTTGCACCGCAGCGGGAGTCTCTGGCTCCTCCTCGACTGGCGCCTCCTCCTCTTCCACCCCGCGCTCGTCCCCTGTAGCCTGTGCACCCCCGTGCCCCTGCCCAAACATCCCATACCCCAGCGTACCGCCCGCCCGTAATCTAGCCAGCGTCTTCCGTCTACGCTCCGACTCCTGCTCGGGCGTCTCGTCCCCTTCTCCACTCTTCTCCGGCTGGGAAGCTTCCATCTGGGGCACCGCTTTCCTCGTAGACCGGATTGGTGAGGTCGGTCCCGACTCGGTACCGCCCATTGGAATATCCGGACGAGGGGCATTGACGCCAGGCGAAGAGGGCTCGGCGTTATCGCTGGTCATGGTCCGCTTGACTTTGGGGACAGGAGGAGGAACGCCAAATTTGATCCCTCCGAGCTTGGCCATCCGCGCGGCGATGCCTTGACGGCGGGCGGCTTCCTCGTCCTCGCCTGTGGTCTCAGGCTCGGCTGTGGTCGGACCGTCCTCATCAAGCGCATTGGAGCGAGTCGGCGAAGAAGCGACGATGGGTGATTCTGAGTGATCAGTATGTACACATGAGGGTTGGGTAGAAGCGAAGACGTACCAGCCGAAGACAAGATGGGCGACTTGGGTCCTGAGGACATCCCACGAGGAGGCATCTGGATAGGAACGGGCACGCTTGGCTCCCTGCGCGGTGGGGGTGGTGGAATGCCTTCTCCTTCCTCTTCTTCCTCCTGTTCCTCCTCCTCCTCCTCTTGAGCTGGGGGAGGGGGCAGGGTCGTCCGGCGTACGGGCGGAGGTGGCGGAGGCGCCTCATCACCCTCCTCATCCTCGTCCGACTCCGCAGGGACGGGGACGGGGCGGGGAGGCAGAGGCATACTCGGCTGACGAGGTGGTGGAGCAGGTACATCGTCCTCTTCATCTGCCTCTCGCTCCTCCTCATCCTCAGTCTCATCCTGGGGCGGAGCGACTGAAGCCTGCGTGGGCCGAGGTGGTAGAGAGCGGGGAGGAGGTGCTTCCCCGGCAGGCGCCGAGGGGAGCGGTCTGGGCCCGGTAGGACGGTCCATCGCCACCCGTTGCGGAGGCTGAGGCGGTGCTTCCTTCTCCTCTTCATCCTCTTCCTCTTTTTGTTCCGCCATCTGAGCGTCATGCTCATGCTTCATCTCAATCTCGTCTTTCGGAAGACCGGGGATGGCGTGGGACGGTGACATCGCTGGTCTCGGAGAATGGGGCGGCTCGACATCGTTCACCGACGGGGACGGTGCTGGCGGATTGATGGGGATCATTTCCGGCGCCTGACTGACCGGAGCGATGCCCTCTCCGGCCCCCTCCTCGGACTCCTCTGCGTCCTGCGCATCCACATTACCGGATACAGGCGCGAGGGCGATTCCCGCCGCCTGAGCTCCCTGCATCCCCTCTGGGCCTTTACCCGCCTTCTCTTCCTGTCTCTCCCGCTCTATGTGCTGCTCAGATTTAGGCATTGGCTCCTCCTCATTCGCCACCATGACCGCAGGAGGGGGCGAGATTGTGCCATCCGGATGAACCTTCTCGAGCCGATTCTCGTCGTCCGCCGGGTCGGGCTTGGCCGCTGCTGGTCGAGCAGCGCGGCGGGGCCCAGCTGTCCGACGGGGAATAGCAGGCATCGCGACCGATACAGGCGGTGAGATCGCACTGCCTGGTGCGACTTCCTGCTCCTTCTTCTCGGCGACGGGTGAGGACGGGACTGAAGCTTGCCCCTCAAATGGAGTAGGCACCGGGTCGCTCTTCTCGGCGGTAGGGCTGCTGGCAATATTATCGCTAGTTGGCTTCCGAGCAGGCTTGGGTGGAGGCTGAGCAGCCATGCCCATCGGTCCTCGTGCGCCGAGCTTGGCCATTCTGGCGGCAATAGCTGCTCGGCGAGCCTTCTCTTGCTCCTCTTCCGTCTCCTCGGTAGCTTCCTCACCGACGACCTCTGTGTCCCCCGTCCCCGTCTCCGCTTCCCCCTTCTGGTCCTCACTCGGCCGGGCGGCTCCTTCGTCCTCTTCCTCATCCCCAGGCTGAGGCTCAGGAGCAGCAGGACGGCTCCATACTTTCCCACTGGCTTTTGGTGGTGGTGAGGGTGCAGCTTTCGCTTCAGGCGCGCCAAAGGCGCCTGCGCCACGCAGAGCTGCCATCCGTTCTTTCAGGGATCCGCCCTTCCCAATTGAGTTCTGAGCGTCCGCCGCCGATAGTCCAGCTCCAGCTTTGACCTCCCCTTCCGTCCCGCTCGCAGCGGGCGCAGCCGGTGCTGGGGCAGCGGAAGCAGCGGCGGGAGTGACGGCGGGACCAGCAGGAGCGGCAGCTGGTGTGCCACCGCCCTCCTCCCTCTCCTTCGCTTCTTGCTCCTGCCTCAGCTTCTGCCTCTGGCTCCATGTCAGCCCACCCGCTGCCGGCTTGGGCTTGATCGGCGGGGGCGGCCCGGCTTTGGTCTGCGCGGCAGCAAAGAAGGCGAGACGGTCCTTCATGGACCGCTTGGCGGGCTCATCGTCGTCGCCAGTGGGGGCTGACGGGGCTGGCGCTGCTGCCGCCGGGATGGACGGAGCGGGAGAAGCCGTCGTGGAGGGTGGTAGGGAGGCAGGAGTGATCTTGGGGGAGGGAGGAGCGGCCGCTTCCTTTGACATCGGAGGGGGGTCGTCCTGGACCACAGCAGCCGCCTGGGAAGGAGCTGCAGCTGTGGTCTCGGTCGAGGCCGGCTCAGAGGCTGCTTCCCCTTCGATGGGCACGATGAAGTCCTGGTTGTCAGCTTGTCACTCGAGGACAAAGGGGGGTAGCGTAGCATACCTTAGGGAAGCCACCGCTCTTCGATCCGTCCATAGTCTCACCTAAAAGCCAATCCTCATCGTCATCAGAGGGACCGGTCACGCGGATCCTGGCAGATCAGCGCAGCTCCATGAGGCTGGGCCAAGTCAAGGTACTCACGTCTCATCCTTGGCAAAGGAGAGGTCGGTAGCATGAGGACTCTTGTACTTGAGCCTACAGATCAGCTTGATTGGAGATGCAGATGTGGGCGAGCGTTGTTTACTCACGTTGTCCTCGCAAGGTAGGGGAACGTTGACATGGCGGCTGGTCGGTGCACAGCCCGGTTGGTTGCTGACGGAACCCCTCGGACCGGTAAGAAGACAGAGCTCGAGCGGTCTTTGACTTCAGTTGATGACGTGCTTTCGGCGCTCAATTCAACGCGGCGGCGTAACAGTCTATGCTTCTGTTGAGCGATGGTATGAGCAGATGTAGATGGAGGGGATAGGCATAGGACGGATCAAGGCTGTCACCCTCTGTCACCTCGGCTATACTGATCATGTGAGCGCGATCGACGTCATGCCTAAATCTACCCAATTCGGCAATTTTAGGTAGTCGCAGAAATCTTGGTCCGAAGGGTATCTTCTCTTCACGCTTCCTCATACCATGTCCCTCACTCGAGCAGCTAATACAGCGCTGGAGGCATGCCCACGCGCAACTCCAGGGCCATCGCGACTCCCAGCGATCGTCGGGGCCGCTTCGGTCTGGCGGGCGCCCATCAGACCGCGGTCTCGATTGGTCTCCCGACCTCGTCAGGCGAGATGGAACTCTACGGCCCCGGCGGATGGTGTCCTGCCAGTGCAGCCTGTCGGCCCCGGGACGCCAATACACAAGGAGGCAGCGTTCGATGCGCTGAGTACGGCGCTGTCGGCTTCGCAGCCGTGCTTTGGCGCAAGAGGGGACGAGATTACTCTTTATACCACACCGGAGGAGTTTAAGCGGGCCATGCTGGAGATGATCAAGAGGGCCAAGAGGAGGATATTGATCAGTAGCTTGTATATTGGCGCGTCTCAGGCTGAGCTCGTAAGCTATCTCAGGGATGAGTGTTTAGTGGGAGCTGACTATCAGATTGACGCCTTGAGGACAGTTTTGACTGCCAATCCTCATCTGCGGGCAGGCATCATATTGGACTATCACCGCGCCACTCGGCTCTCACCCTCTGATACCAACCCAGCATCCACAGCGCACCTCCTTCTGCCGCTCGCAGAGGAGTTTGGCGATCGGTGCGAGGTGTACCTGTATCGCTCGCCGAATTTAAGGGGGGTAATGGAGAAAATCGTTCCAGAGCGATACGACGAAGCATGGGGTACATGGCACGGCAAGTGGTACTGTGTCGACGACGAGGTCATCATCAGCGGGCAAGTCTATCCACTTTCTGATGCGGACACTGCTGATTCTCAGGGCAAACCTCGCTTCATCCTACTTTACCAACCGGCAAGACCGGTATATCCACTTTCGCTCCCATCCGACACTCCTCTCATACCTCTTCTCCCTGACCCGCCTATACGCGCACTACTCGTATCATCTCTCCCCGAACCCGTCTGGCGCGCTCTCACCACTCCATTCTGTCCCTCTTCCTACTCCCAAAGGCGCCCCAGCCTCAAAAGCCGCCCTGCTCTGGCCGGACAGGTCGATACATCCCCGGAGCTTTCACTCCCACGCACTGGCGACACTCACTGCTTTCCAGAAATCCTGGAAGGCGGGCAATGTACAGCGTCTCAGACGCGTTGACGTGGATACCTGGTTCTGGCCGGTGATTCAGTCTGGGGTGTTGGGGCTGAAAGAGGAAGAGGCGGCGCTGGAAAGGGTGTTTGGCGCGGTACAACAGGCGTGTCAGGGAGAGGGGACCAGCGTGGAGGTAGACCTGACGAGCGGGTACTTTGGGCTGTATGACAAGTATAAGAAGATGGTGATAGCCTCGCCAGCTTTGACAAGGGTCATTGCTGCATCGCCCAGAGTGAGCCTATTCATATTCTGCCGTGTGCTTTGGCTGATTCCAGGCGAACGGCTTCTACGGCTCGAAAGGCTTCTCCCGGCTCATCCCCGAAGGCTACACCCTCCTTCTGTCCCGCTTTCACCGCGCCCTGGTCCAGCACCACCGATCACATGACCCACACACCCGCAAGGGTGTCCTTCTGAAAGAATGGACTCGCCCTGACTGGACATACCACTCCAAAGGTCTCTGGGTATCTCCCTCGCCTCCCGCTTCCGCCGCTGTGTCGAGCACCGCGCCCCCATCTTCAGCGGGAACCTACCCATTCCTCACCTTCGTCGGGTCTAGCAATTTGAGCACCCGAAGTCTCAAGCTCGATACAGAGCTGTCCATGGTGCTCATGACGTCTTCCCCAACACTGCGGCGTGCGTTGGGGAATGAGGTGCGGAATCTGGACAAGCATGCGGAGGTGGTAGGTGGCGAGACGTGGAAGAAGGAGGAGCGGCGCGTGAGCTGGTTGGCGTGGTTGTTGGTGGCTTTGGGGGTGGAGGGGATGTTATAAATCTAGAAGGTAGATTGATGGAATACCCACTCACTAGGCGAAGTTTCCAAGGGGCGTGTCATCTTCAATGGACTCCCCTGAACTCCCCCTCAGGCTATGGCCCACGCGCCCATGTCTGCCCATAAGGTGTTCAACAGCGGAAGGTCCTTTACGTACACTGCGGTAACGGCCCGGCCGATCCACCTGACTTGAGCGGAACAAGTGGGTCAAGTTCACTCATCTCTGCGTGTTAGACCAGTCCCGCCAGTATGGCCCAGCCAGATCCCAGCGGCTCGAGAAAGGCGGAGAAGGACGAAGAGGGCAAAACATTCTATCGCTGCAAGTACTCCGGTAGGTCCACTTTCTGTTGCAGGCAAGGAGAGTGGGGGAGCGGGGGATCCACCTGTGTTTGTTGCGCTGGTATGATCTTGTCACTGCAGGTGGAGCAGTCCTGTGCTTCTCCTCAGAGATCGAGTGGACCAGACCAGTGGATGGAGTCCGCCAGACCTCCACTACCAGGGTCCAACGGTCTAGACTCGCCCAGTGGATTCTGGCTGATCTCCAGGATGCGAGAAGACTTTTGGGACTGCAGGTCATGCTAGAAGACACGAGCGATCTCGTCAGTTACCTTCCTCTTCTCTAGCCATCTATCTGCATGGCGTCGGGGAGGAGGCGCAACACGCCCTCTGATGGACCCGTTCGATCCACCGCACGCCGCTACCACTCCCAGCTCCCTCGCCGCCCCTCAACCTGTAGCCAGTACCCCCGACTTGGCAGAATGGCTGACCACCTACTTTCCAGACAATGACGCCTCGCCCTACCCCTGTCTGCACTGCGACAAGGCGTTTAAGCGGAGCGATGTCCGGTCGAAGCATGTTCTCACCATGCACCCTGGTGCGGACGACGCGGGGTCTGCCGAGTCAGAGGTACCTAGGTATGCTAGGTTACCGGTAGTAGCTGACGTCCGAGGAAAGCGCAGAAGCGAAGCCATGATACATCCCCACATTCCACTTTCTCCCAGCCCCTTCCGCCCGAGACTCGGCATCGCAGCGAGTCGAGTATCTCGTCGACCTCGCAGATACCTATCATCGCTCCGGATGGGACCATCAACCCGCTCTGGACTATCGAGACGCCTTCGGGTGCTAGCTCGAACGGGATGTACCCTCCCCCGCCGCCTGCGCATGGACCCATGACGAATGGGACAGGCGTTATGCTCTCGTCAGATACCAACCCCTTCTCCCTTCCTACCCCCTCGTCCGGGTTCTTGGATCCCAGTCAGCTGCACACCGGCTCATCCAACAGCACGAACAGTATGATCATCCTTTACAGCCCAGACCCAGCTAATCTACAGACAATCTGCTGACTTCCGCCCCGGCGGACCTGTTCGACCCCCTGTCCACCAACTGGCCGTACTTCTCGCACATCTTTGGCTGGGGTCTCGACTCGGATATCGACGCCGACCTGGGAATCCAGCCCAACATGTTTGAGAATAGCGAGTCTGGGCCCATCTCATCAACCGAAAATCTCAGTGCGGCGTGGTTGTTGAGCATCACGCCACGAGGGGGAAGCCCGACGGGTGAGGGAAAGGAGCAGGAGGAGATGAAGCGGGACCCATTCGGGAGGAACCATGATAATCCATGGGTGAGTCTAGACTGGGCCCAGCTCACCTCCAGCCCAACATCTTCAAGCCAAAGATGCCCGATCGACCCCTCACTCTCGGCGGCGTCAAAGCGTCCCCGCGTACAGATCGAATACGCGGCCATCCCTCCGCGATAGAGGCCACTTCGCGGAACGCCATGCTCTCCCTCGTCTACCTCTCACATCAGGCCATGTGGCTCATGCCTGACATCGAGGACTTTCCGGATCAAGAAACGCTCAGCGATTTCGTCGACCTCTACTTTGAGCAATTCCACGCGACCTTCCCAATCCTGCATCGACCCACGTTTAGCGTGGACAACACGTCCGCGGTATTGCTTTTGGCAGTAGCCGCGGTGGGTGCGACGTACGCGGACAGGGAGTTCAGGCCGCTGGCGGTGGCACTGAGCGAGCTGGTCAGGCGGATCGTGCAGTGGATGGTGAGTCCGCTTCAGAGTTTGGACTAACAAAAGCGTGCATCAGACCAAAGATCCAAATTCGACCGCAATCTCCTCGTCTCGTACATGCTCCAATCCCTCGTTGGGGTCGCGTGCGGATCCAGGGAAATGATGCTCCACGCCGAGATCTCGCGGTGCTCCCTCGTCACTTCGCTTCGCCGGCTACACCTCCTCCGACCTGGGCGATCAGCATCGGATGACCTCTTGTCGAAAGGAGGCCAGCCGAGTATACATGACAAGTGGCTGGCATGGGTTGAAGACGAGTCGAGGAGAAGGTTTGGGTGGGGTGTCTACGTAAGTTCAGCTAGAGACACGTCCGGGCAGACGAGCTGACAGCAGCTTCTCGATGCGCAAATGGCGGCTCTGCTTGGTATCCCGGCTATCGCTTCTGTCAACGAAGCAGGCGTCCAGCTCCCGTGCGACGACAGACTCTGGGACGCCCCAGACGCGGCGTCATGGTGGACAGCCATGCAGGAAGTCCAGGCGAGTGGTGTCAATCACGACTTGCCTTTCTTGACTGTCTTCCGAGGGATCTTTACGGGACAGTCAGAGGTGATTGGCACGAGCGATTTCGGGCGGTCTATCGTCTCGCACTCGATGTACAGGTACGTCATTGAGCTAATCGAGCTGACAGAAGGCTTTCGCTTGACGCTACGACCCTACGGGACACTTTGACCGGTGTGAGCAAAAGCGAGGACATGGCGCAGCTTCTGCAGAGCAGGTAAGCGATATCCCAGGCTACTAGCTGACAAACAGCAAACCCTATCTCGCTCTCCAGACTTTGGCCAAGGATACCAATCCCCAATCCGATCCCTCTCACCTTCGCCTCTCAGCCGCAGCGCTGTATCACCACTCGCGAATCGCCTTTTCATTCCCTGGCCTACTGAACCACGTTAAGGTCGCGTCTGGCAAGTACGAGCCGGATATCAGCAAGGCAGAAGCGAAGGCTTGGCTCGAGAGATGGGTTATGGACCTCAAGGATGTTAGGAGGGCGGTATGGCACGCCGGAGTCTTGAATGCTTTGCTTGCTGAGTTCCCTCTCGGGTGAGTAGGACATCCGCGTCTTGCTGAGGGAGCATGAGCTGATTAGCAGGGCATTCCCCGAGGCATTCTGGGCGTTCGACTGTGCGCTGGTGCTCTGGGCGATCGTCAAGTATGACGGGGACCGGCTCAGAGCAACAGGACCAAGACCCGCCCTTTTCGCTGCCAACTGTGAGCCACCTTCCACTGACATCAGTACAAACACAATGCTAATTCGCAGGGTTCGACGTTGAGCCGCCACCCATGTGGATAGATCACGGGGGGCAGCTCATCCTCCCGTTCCTCGGCAGCTCTACCGGCTTTACGGTACACAACATCCTCGGGCACTTCATCGACCAGCTCAGACAGATGCCATGGGGCATGGCGGGGATGTACAAGCAGGTCTTGGAAAAGCTGGTCGAACAGGAGGGGGCATTAGTGGCGTAATTGTATCAAGGGTGGCGGGTTGTATCACATGCAGAATCTGTAGGCTGGGGCGTATATGATCTTGGTGACTATCAGGCTGAGCAGATCGCCCATTCGAGTCGTGCAACCCTGTCAGGGTTGGTGCTGGTGCTCTGTTGCAAGCTGAAGCAATTGATGGGCACCAGCTGTAGTCTCGCGCTCCAGCCCCTTACTTTATGGAGAGTTGGAGGGCAAAGAGGGGGCAGCATCAAAAGGGAACTCTCCATCTCTCTCCATACCGACCAGCTGCAGGTTTCCAGGCGCGGATAGTGCGCGGATCGGTGACCAGTAAAAGGCAACCCGCCCCGGTACGGCAATTACCGGCGTTATCGCATCCAAAGATCCCTCTCAAATACTGGTGCAGACGGGAGTCGCTGTTCCCGCAAAACTCCGCACCCCCAGAAATTCCTCTCAATCTGCCAAGACGCCCGTCCAGCCTAGCCGGAGCTTGACGGCGTTATCTCTCCCCTTTTCGGTATTCGGCGGGTTACTTGTGCCGAAGACACCGGGGCGACCGGGCCGGTGGGGCTTTCGGACGCGTTTCCCGGCCCACCAGCTGTCTGTCCCACCTTGTGGGTCCTGCTCGAATCTCTTGTTCCCCTCTGATCTTCTCAGCTGATCACCTTCTCAACCACAACACATACAACACAAAATGTCCGCTCCTACTGAATTCAAGCTCAACACTGGCGCCACCATCCCCGCCATCGGCCTCGGGACATGGCAGGCCAAGCCGGGAGAGGTGCGAGGTGCGGTCTCGCATGCGTTGAAGTCGGGGTACAAGCACATTGATGGGGCTCTTGTCTACGGCGTAAGTGGAGATCTCTCCCTGAAGCAAGCATAGAGCTGAGCAACAGAACGAGGACGAGGTCGGACAAGGCATCAAAGACTCCGGTGTCGACCGCAAGGACATCTTCCTCACCTCCAAGGTCTGGTGCACGTTCCACGACCGCGTCGAGGAGTGCCTCGACAAGACCCTGGCCTCGCTCCAGACGGACCACCTCGACCTGTACCTCATCCACTGGGGCGCGCGGATGATCCCCAATGAGACGAGCGGGATGTTCCCCCTCAAGCCGGACGGGAGCCGCAACATGGACTTTGAGTGGTCTCAATCCCAAACATGGGAGCAGATGGAGGCCGTGCTTGCCAAGGGCAAGGTCAAGGCGATTGGTGTCAGCAACTTCAGCGTCTTGATGCTCGAAGACCTGAAGAAGAAGTGGAAGGTCGTCCCGGCTGTGAACCAGGTGAGATTTTGAGTCAATCATCGCTAACTCCAGGTCGAGCTCCACCCGTACTGCCCCCAGCACGAGCTCAAGAAGTATTGCGAGGACAACGGTATCCTCATGCAGGCCTACTCTCCCCTCGGATCCACCTCATCCCCTCTCCACGCCGACGCCGACCTCAAGGCTATCGCCGAGAAGCACGGTGTCTCCACCTCCACCATCCTCATCTCCTGGTCGGTCTGCCGCGGTGTCGTCGTCCTCCCCAAGTCGGTCACTCCCTCGCGTATCGAGTCCAACCTCCAGGTCGTTACCCTCAGCAAGGAGGAGATGGCCAAGCTGGATGGCCTCGCGGCGGCGGGCAAGCAGCAGCGGGTCAACACCCCCAACTGGGGTACCGACTTTGGCTTCTCGGACTGGTGAGTATATTGTCGGTCTGGATTGAGGTTGATGCTGACCATCAGGTATGGCGTTGGGAACAAGAACGCCCCGGAGGGCGCCAAGCTCTTGGCTGGGAAGGCCTGAGGGTAGAATATAGATGAGCATGCATATGCTCTATTCGGACGCACGTGATCGATGTCTGACGCGAGAAAGCAGAGCCGAAGCACATCGCCCGAACCCGAAGGAACGTGTCTGATCTGACGGCAAAGCCGATACCTCGAGGCGCCAAAAGGACCCGCAGAAGCCACCCCTTTTGCGCCCCATTCCTCATCAGCTTCTCGACCGGTCCGCCTTGACCCGCAACGACCACACGACCAGTATCGACTGCCCCGACCGATTCTTCTAGGCAGAAGCATCCGCGCTGCACCGCTCGGACCTCCTTTGGATTCTTGCGCTTACTTCGCTAAAGTCTAGGCTAAAGATTAAGCGCGTACCTGTGTGTATTGGGCGTGTGGAGCTGAATTTGAGGCGCTTGGACGCTGACATGTCGAGTCGCTCGGTTGAGCTATATAAGCGGATGTCATCCGCTCCTCTTACTTGCCGCCACTACCCTCGGTAATACATCACACCAACATCCTACACGGCAACCTTACTCACTAGCTCAAGTACAACGAACCAAACTCCACACCGTCCTCACGTTTCAGATATCGGCTCTGAAACGCTTAGCACCGCCTCCACTTGGTCCAGCACCCCCGATCCACACTCCCCTCCCTTCGTCAGGCGACACTAGCGGACTTGGTAGCATCGGCTTCATTGAGCAACCACCCCGCCTTTCGAACTTATCTCCTGCCTTGCAGATCTCTCGATCGCATCACCCGCCGCGGCAATCTTCCACTTCTACCAGAAAGGTCAGTACCCTCTTGCTTGATCGTGATCGCTTCTATGACAGCTGACCAAGTCAGACAACCCCACCGCTATGACATCCGCCTCCTATATCCTCTTCCCCCAGATCCGGCCTGGAGATACACCCTACCCCCGCCCCAACCCGGTCCCACCCATGACTCCCACCGGACCAGGAAAGAAGCCCGAGCCGCTCAAGAAGGGGATGTGGGAGTAGGTGAGTAGAGCTTAGTGATGCGGGAAAGGGACCGAAGCTGATACATTCAAAGGCGTATCGAACCCACCCAGGCAGTTCATCACACCCCTGTAGCTATATCCGCATCGGTATCCCATCGCCCAACATGTAGTCTCGAGCGTCCAGTTTCGTGCGGGGATGGGGAAGAGAGTTATAGTTAAGCGACGGGACAGAGCTGTGGGACGGCACCGGTGGGCAGAGAGGAGTGTATCATATCTGTAGTTCATCATGCATAGCAGTGATTTACGTAGTCAGAACTTTGCCTCATACTGCAGAGTCTTGCGCCTGAGCGGTAGATGCTGCAGCCTTCTTGGGCTGGATTTTGAGCGAAAAGTCGACATGCTGGCAGCTCTGGGAACGGTAAGCGTACTGCACTCGATACTGTCAAGAAGTAGACATACCTGATGGACCGCACTCGTGCTCAGCACATCCACCCATTCGCTCAATCTCCCCTGCAGCCCATCCTCCGTGATACCACCGCTCGTCTCAATCAAGAACTGCCGCTTGCCCGCCCACTTCTCCTTGAGCTGCTTGGCAGAGCCGTGCAGCTCCTCCCCGACCAGATTGTCCAGCATGACAATGTTGGCGCCGGCGGTGATGGCCTCGTCTGCCTCGGCAAAGGATTGGCATTCGACGTTAACGAGAAGGGTGTGGCCTGCGACGCGCCGCACGGATTGGATGGATTTGGTGATTGAGCCTAGGGTCAGCACTACCCTCAAAAGAGGACATACCGCTAGCCCAGATGTGGTTGTCCTTGAGCATGACCATACTGCTCAGATCGTGCCGATGTGGGTCGACCCCACCAACCATCATCCCGTACTTTTCGACCGTACGAAAGCCGGGGGTAGTCTTGCGGGTTCCAGCGATGGTGCCCTTCCATCCCGTCGAGGCGGCCAAATCACGGAAACGACGAGATCTAGGAATCAGCTCAGAAGCGCTCTCCGACTCACACTGTCGCTATCCCGCTACATCTCGCGAGGGTATTGAGGGCTACCCTTTCGCCGAGAAGCAGCTGCCTCGCCTTGCCGCGGACGATGGCGACTTTTGTCTTGCTATTGGACGGTACGACAGATCTCTCGGCCATGAGCCATTCGACCCTGCATATCAGCCGGATGCTCTTGACTTGGGGGCAGAACGGCTTACTCGCACCCGACATATCGCATGATCTCCTCAAAGAAGGGTACACCTGCCAAGATGCCCTACCAATCAGCTGCAGCTCTTTCATGGACTTAGACACCTGCTATGTGGGTCCTAGCTCACCCCGCTCTTGCCCCAGAGCACCGCCTCTTGCTGCTCCTCGCCAACGACGAAACCGGCCCAGTCGAACGACGGGGTATCTTCCGCAAACCATCGCGGGATGTCCTCGCGCCATGATGGCGGAAGGATGTGAGCAAGGTTCTGGCCAGGTGCGAGGCCTGTGTCGCCGCTTGCGGTAGCTGACATGTTGCAGTGCAGTCTGATGGGCAGAAGATGTACAATCACTTCCTGTGCTCTTGCTGTGATCTGAGGTGAGATCGACCGGCTCGGGTGGTGCCGGGCCAGGTCCGTGCGTGGAGTTTCAGATTTGCCTCAAAGCGGTGGACTCATAGGCAGTATTGGCCGAGATCGAGTACTATCAAAGCTGAGCAGGGCGCTTTCATCCGTTCGCCAAACGTCCTCCGCCGTCACTTATGGACGACCCTTACTGATGTACTTGGCACTTGCTACAGGCCTAGGATATGTAGTGAGGTGGTATGATTGATCCCGTTAGTGGCACTTTTGCTCCTCATTCCTTGTTTTTGCCACCCGTCTTCGCTTTGCTTCAACACAGGTGACGCAGCGAGCCGCTATCTGACTGCGCAGAAGCCGTGTAGGAGCACAGAGAAAGCGATAACCACACGCCACATACCTGAAGACTACGTCAAAGGGACTGACTACGCTTCTTGAGCTTCAGCCACACTACGCTGATCCTTTGTAATCAGACTCGAGGGTTGCTTCTTGACTCTTCTGACGCTTCGTGTTGGCATGGGTGTGACCGGAGAGTGTTTGCTTCATACATATACCTTATAGCCGACGGATATTCTCACACTTCAAGATCTCTCATCCACCACTCCACCACTACCACCAAGAACAATCTGATGTCGCAATACCAGACCATGAATGCCCGCGGCGGTTCGGGCAGCTTCGCAGACTGGCAGCCGCCATGGGGAACTTCAGCGCCCGCTCCTCGACATGATCATTCACCTCATCCTCATGCCTCCCCATTCCACCCCGCAGTGCCTGGGGGCCATTCTATCGCTTGCGCTGACCAGGGCCCAGAGATGAGTGATACGGACCCGGATACTGACCGGCCCGTCTGTCCGGTCGATCCCTGGCTATTGGACGGGCTGGGGGGCACGTTACCATGGATGCGCTTCCCACTGTGGCCGACAACGCCGCTGGGTAAAGCAAATGTGTCAGAGACTGACACTGTCATCAAGGAGGCCCTTCCGAATCATGTCGCACAAACCCCCGCCCCAGAACTCGCTGGCGAGAAGAGGGACTGCGACATGATGTCTGAAAGCGATAGTGGCGCCTCCACTGTCAAGGGCGCCACCCCTCCGAGAAATCATTCGTCCGGTGGCCAAGATACTGAGTCAGACATGGGATACGATAGCGAGGACCGTGTTGGCTGGGACAGAGACATCAGCGACTCGGGCAAGGAATACATCGATCAGCCTGAAGCTGGTCGATCTGTGATCCCGCATGCCACTCAAAGTGTTACGACAAGGTCAGGGTGGAGGAAACGCACTTATCTCAAGCCGAATCGAGGTCCCATCTCGGCGTCCGCAAGCCGAGGAGATCAGAGGGAGAAGCGCCACATCGAGCGTGTGAGACTGCTAAACGCTCTGATGGATCGGGGCATCGAGAGGACGACGGCCGTTCCGGACTGCACGAGAATCCCCATCGGCTTCTTGAGGGAATTGGTGGGGCTCATGGGGATAACAGCTGGCAAAGAGCGCTATCGCGGGTATGCAGTTCACGTCGAACGCACAAGCGACAAGGCTCAACATTGGTCTTTCTTGTCAAGAGCAGGTATCCGCAACTCTTTGATAACAACAAGACCTCTTCGCATCAGGGAGCCGGGCGAGACCATATCATCGTCGGGCTCTTTGACCAGGCTCACTGATCCGCTTGCGGGCCCGCGACCAGGCGCACTTGGCAGCAGACCTAGACTATCGCGGACGAGAGCAGGTACGACCTGGTCTCATGTCCCAGGGATTTCATCGCGCGGACTACTTTTGCCGACCACCACCGCCGGGTCAAAGAAGAAACGACGACTTTGGCAGATCCTCGAGCTGTGTAAGGTCCTCGAGGCGCGAGGAATACGTAGGACAACCAAAACCATCTCGATGACTACGAAACTGGGCTTCCTACGGGATCTGATCGTTCAAACGGAGCCAGAAAGCCCTGATCTAGAAGAAGGATCATCTGCTGGGCTCGTTATCGACGATCCGGCAACATCCGGGAATGCCTCCAAAGCCGCACTGCTGGACTGGAGGGACCCTGCGTCGCGCGGGAAAACATACTCCCTACTTGCCGCGCGGTGGATGAGACCCCTCCTGGAAGCAGAAAGTAGTGGCGCCAGCGGCACTGGTGAGCGCTAGCGGTACCCTTAGCATCCCGGTCGCTGCCAGTCGCTCCGGCCCGGCCACAATGCCAGAGTATGTCGAGAGGATGGGAGCTGTTGTGACATAATATGACATCAGCATAGGGTCGGTGATGCCGACGACATGTACAGGCCGCCTTGCCCGAGGTACAAACTGGCCAACGCAGTTTTAGGTGCCTATCTGTCTCCTCGCTACGACCTTAGCTAGGCTCGTTACTCGACACTATTCGGGGAAAGGGGTATGATTGATCCCATCAGTGGTGCTCTTGCTCGTCATTCCTTGTTTCGCCACCCGTCTCGCTCAGGTCACGATAACAGAGGTAACACAGAGAGTTGCTATCTGATCCTATGTAAGCTGAGCGCACAGTATGAGCAGATCCGTCTCATACTCTGACAACAAAGGCATAGGTCGTGCTTCTTCTACTCTAGCCACAAACGATCCTTTATCTTCGAGCTCGACGTGATGCTTCTTGAGCTGGGCACCTGACGCTTCTCGCCAGCCTCGGCCTCGCCGGGTGGAGTTCGGGTCGTACATATGTCCTGTAATCGACTACTACCTAATCAACTACTACCTATCTTACCCTGTCTCCTCGGTCACTGCGACCCTACCAAGGAAGTCTATCTGATGCAGTCGCAAACCGACCCCGTGAACAGTGGCTGGTGGGCCAGCTTTCCACTCATGCAGCAGGGATTGCGGGGACCTCTGCCAGCCCCTCGAGGTGATCGGTCCGCTGGCTCATCCCTGCCTCATCAATCGACCCCACACGGAGTCGGTTCAGTGGGGACTCTGGGGACGAGCGATACCGACCCTCACAACAGACGGTCCGCCACCAACAGGGACCCTTGGCTTTTGACTGCCACGGAGGAAAGGCTCCCCTGGATGCGCTCTCCCTTGTATCGTTCGATGTCATTAGTCGGAGCGAAACACGCCCTTGAGCGTGAAGCAGCGGAGACGCGTACTGTCGAGCCCGCCCGTGTGAGTCACTTGATGAACGAACCCTCCGAAAACCAGTCCGATGGCGCGGACACCGCATGTGACATGAGGTACGAAAGCGAGAGCGACACCGACACCATCAAGATGAAATTCTCTCGGCCGGACGCGTCGTATTCGGAGGACGGTGAGGAAAAGTCTGACTGGGACATGATCTACGCAAGGGGTGTGCACGGCGAGAGAGGCAGCGATGAGTCTGTCGACGACGAGCAAGAATCTAGCCCCTCAGGGGACACGACCATCAACAGAAGTCAACCTGGCCGCTTGGACTTTCCGCTCAGTCCGCACGATCCCAAGGGCGCGTCGACCCTAGGCCGTGCAAGAAGGTCGAAAGGAGGCTCCGCTTCGATGTCAGCAAGCCAAAAAGACAATCTGCAGCATCGTCGCCGCGGCCGGGAATATGCGGAATTGCTGAACATCTTGATGAATCGGGGCATAGAGCGTACCACCGCCGTAATCAGCACCAAAGTACCCATCAATTTTTTGAGAGACCTGGTGGAACTCATGGGTGTCACTGCTGATAAAGCGCGGTATCACCATCATGCGCTCCACATGACGCGTACAGGGCATCACGACCTATTGCCGATATCAAGTCTCCCCAGAGCGTCCAGGAAGACTAGACCTCTCCGCAGCGGACATTCCGGCGCGTCTGACAGCGCACCAAGGATACCACACAAGAAGAGGGGAAACGTCACCTGGTTTGAAGCCCATGGGATTTCGCCAACAAACACGTTACCCATCATCGCCAGATCGAAGATGAACCGTCATCTGTGGCAAGCAGCTGAGCTATGCAAGGTTCTTGACAATAGAGGAGTACGCACCACGTCCAAGTCTCTCAACAGGGTCACCAGACTCGGATTTCTGCGGGGTCTGGTCACCCGGACAGCGCCGGAAGACCCCGAACTAGAGGAAGAGTCATCAGCAGGCTTCGTGATTGACGATCCAGCACCTTCGGGGTCAGCTTCACAGGCCGTTCTGTTGGACTGGAGGAACCCTGCGTCGCGCGGAAAGACGTATTCTACACTCGCTGCGCCATGGATGAGACCGTTCCTGGCAGCAGATAGTAGTGGCGGGAGTATTGACGGCGAGCGGTCGCGGTACGCTGAGCAACCTGAGATGTGTGATATTGTCAGAGCTCGATGTACGGTTCTGCCGGCAGCATGTATAAGTTGGAGCTGGCTCTTTCTCGCAGAGTTTGGTTCAGAAGCTTTGAGCTTGTACATCTGGTGTAAAAGATTCGTCGGCCAACAATCAACATCAGATGTAAGAAGAGCAAGGCAACGAAATGGGCGAGGCGAACGAGTCGGGGTGCCACAGCTGATGGGATCGGCCAGAGTACTGCAGATGAGACGCTCCCTTTGCTCGAAGCATCATCAAGAGCGTCAGGACAGTGGATCGTTCTCGAGTTGTTATCAGCGACGCACATGGTCCAGATCAATCGATAAGGCGCGCTTGCGGCCATTCATTTGCAGTTGCCGCAGGGGTGAATGGCGGAACAGGTGGCGGAACTCTAACTTTGTCGATCATCCAACCGACGCGACGACGCGACGAGGAATGTGGACCTAACGAGCTTGCTTGTCAATAAGGCCTCCCGCCTTGTTGTGTCAGCTCCAAAGAGTGGTTGTCTAACCTCTACTTTCCATCTTCCCCTCAACCTACTTCTGCAGCTGCGTCTGAAATCAGCACCTCGCCCGTCAAGCGATCAAGCTCATGACCGCGGCGCCGGCTGAACCGTAACGTAACCCTTCAGGAACCCTTACGACCCTTACGGCAACCCTGGTTTGCAGGATCTCGCTGCGAGCACCCTCTTTCTAGCGTAGGGACGACTTGGGCTGCGCTGCTTTGCGCCCGAAGGCTCTGGACACCACTGTCGGACTCGTGCTCGACGCGAGAGTACAGTCTATCATCTTTCTCGGTCGCTGCATCAGATTCAGGAGGAACGACACGCACACCTCGAGTGCCTCCCGATCTACCGGTGCCTCTGCCCTCATTTTCGATTGGGGTGACGATACCTTGACCTTCGAGACGGTCAATACTGGTCAATAGGGAGGAGCGAAGGCGCGGACAGGAGGAGAGCACAGGCAAAGGCTGGACCGAGTGCCCAGGAGTAGGAGATTGGTAATTTTCAAGGCAGGACCTCAGGTGAGTTATGCCTCTCAATCAGTAGCGGTTCGCTATGGCTCTGGTGACAGAGGAAGCTGGGGAGCGTATTGGCGCTTGGTGCGAAGAGAGCAAGAAGTATGACGGGACCGCCGAACCCAAGCTCGAATGTCCCCCATACCTCCTTCCTCCCAGCTGAGACATTTTGCAACTGAAATACGTCTCTCCCCTGCCGTTCAGAGACAAAATCGCAAACTACCTTATGAGCCTGCCCAGCCCCGCCCTCCTCTCCCCATCAATGCTGCGACGGGTCAGATGTTGTGTTGCTCCTGTCCTTGTGCTGCTTGGCCTTTTGACGATCTTTTGGCAGATTCAGCTAGACCATTGCTGATCATACCGCAGGTCGTCGTTTACCGCTGTACGAGGAGAGCACTACGCTCACATCTCTCTTCGCCCTTCGCCCTTCCCTTCGCCCTCCCCTTCGCCTCGGACTCAACCTTCTCTACCGTACGAGGGATCGCTGCGCGTCATCCTGCCGAGTTTCGAGGAACTTTACCTGTTACACCGGTGAGTTGGCGGCCTTCCCCCTCGTATGACGCGGATCTCTGCTCTTACTTTTGGCTCTGGCTCTGCAGTGCCTGCCTAGCTGCTGCTGCGGTCAGCCGGAGGCATGTGGGACGCATGGGGGACCCAGGCACCGGCTGCATAAGATGAAACGTGACGCTGACAAGTTAAGGTTTGGCGGCACTGACAGGGACCATCCGTGCACCACCCGAGCTGCTGAAACTGCTGAAACAACGGCCACCACGCTCTGCGTCATCGCCGCAGCTCCCGAAAGCATAAGCCCAGGCAAGCGACAGGTGGCTGACGAGGGAAATCGTGGAAGTCGGGGGTTATCGACCGGTGAGTTGGGTGAAACGCTATTTTCCCCTTGCACACACGACCCTCCCTTTCGATTCGCCTCTGCTCAAGTTTCGCCGCCAGAGCAAGCCAGTCAAAGGGAGCGAGTGTTTGTTGATATTCCACCCATCCCCCTCCTACTTTATACTCCTCCCCACCCAAACCTCGACCTTTACAATCCCTCCCCACCTTTACTCCCCACTTGCCAGCTTGTTGTTGTCTCGACGCGATGGACGATTCTGACACCACACAGCCCCCATCAGCACCATCATACTCCATGTCAACCTTCCAATTCACCTTCCCTCCTACGCCAGAGCCATCAATTCTCTCCGCTTTCGAATTTGACGACCCAAATACGTACCCAAACGATATGGCCGACGACTGCCAGGCGTCCCCCACCTCCACCTTTGGTCACCCCATTAGCGACGCGGACGCGCACTTCTTCCCTCCCACCCCGCCTAGTATGGACAGCTCTCGCGCAGAGTCGCCCGTGGACCGCCCTCACTACGCGGAACAGCTTCGCAATCGGCGAGCGCGTCGGCCGGTCAGCGTCAATCACCCCCACCAACAGCCACCCTTCCTCCCTCCCCGCAAATATACCGATCCTACCCCCCATTCCCGCTCCTTCTTGGAAGAGAAGGAAGAGCTCTCGCCCAATCCTCAGCAGCTCGATGTTGACCTGGACGCGTACTCCATCACGGACGACGAGACTGTCCCGGGCGCAACGCTCAGCTTTGTCACCACCTCCACCGAGTCGACGACCAGCACTCCTCCCATCGGCAATGTCTATGGCGCCTTCAAGCCCGACAATATCGACTCCAAGGAGCCTCGGATACGTATGCGCACCACCACTGGTCGTGCCAACGCGTACAGCTCCGCCGAGAGCAGTATGGGCTCGGGCGCGTATTCTTACCACTCGTACTCGGACAATCACGTCTACCACCCTCACCCTCCTCCTCTTCCCGCCATGCCTCTCGCCTACGCCCATGAGGCGGAACGAGTCGGTCTCGGCCTCAACACGGTCCTCCCGCATCGCTTTTCCCCTACCGGAAGCTCCAGCGGTCTCCCCGACTCCCCTGCCACCTCCTATCAGCACCGTCCATGGCATCGCGACGTATCCAAGCATATCCGGAACGAGTCAGCTTCGACGACAACCACGTCCTCGGGCTCGGATGATGGGCTGGGCGCGACCAGCTCGCCAGACGCCATGACGTACCATTTCAACGGGTACAATCTGTCGGATCATATCCCGTGGGGAGGCGTGGCGGCAGTGGAGAAGGAGGCCAAGGCGTTATTGACGGTGGAAGAAGGGCGGGAAACGATATTTGATGCGGTGCGATTGGGTGCAATGGGCGGCGTGGGCGCGTTATCAGATGAGGCAATGCGGAGCTTAGCTGGTGAGTAGAAGCAAGGCCTGGCTGACCCTAGGCGTCACCCATCTCCTCCTCCCAAATATAGGCTCCTCGATTCTGCCGATCCTTCCTTCGCTTATCGCCGTCCTTGCACCCTCCCTTCTCGTCGCAGATCTCTCCGACAACGATCTTTCCTTCCTTCCCGAGTCGCTCCGCCACAGCACCCACCTCGAGGAGCTCAACATCAACAACAACCCCCTGCGCCAGCTTCCGGTCTGGATGTCGGAGCTCGGCAGTTTGCATGTTCTGGCGGTTGACGGGTGTGGTCTAGCGGGCATACCAGCAGAGATGAGCCAGCTCAACCACCTCCACACAATATGCGGTGAGCCCGAATTTTCAAACTTGAGGGTCAAGCTAATCCTCAGCCCGCCGAAACAAGTTGACCTCTCTTCCCGCGTGGCTCTGCCTTTTGAGCCAACTCGAGACGCTCCGCGTGGACGACAACCCCTTTGCTCCGGAATGGTGCTCGGTCGTCCAGCCCATCCTCGCCGGTCCCTCGCGTATAGCCCGCCCTGCCTTCCGCGACACACCTCAGGCGCCCTCATTGAGCTCATCCTCCACCTCCTCGGTCCACAAGCTCGCCTCGGTCCCGTCATCCTCGGCGGACCCTGTCCAGACGGTGTACGTTCCCCTCCGGCCAATTGCAGAAGACAACCACCCCCACTCTGCGCCGCTCCGCCCAGACCCAATAAAAAGTCCCGCCACGTCAGACTTTGTCATACCCTTTGGCGGCGGGAATCGGTTACGCAAGATGCGGTCCGCGGGAACTCTGCTCAACATCCGCTCGGTCAACGTTAGCTCCCCGGTCGACGACCACCTCCTCTCGCCAACCTCTGCCGGGCCGACCCTCCAGCCACCATCGGCGGGACGGTTCGACGGTCTTGGTTCGGCGGTCGGGCGGCGAGCGAGTACCTCCACACACGAAGAGGAACCCGTCTCGGCAGGCATGACAGCCAGTACCTCGGGCAAGTCTCACAAGTGGGGCTTTCTTCGGAAGATGTCCATGCAGCGGCTCCGGGGCGACAAGCCATCGCTTACGGCGTCGGCCTCGTCCAACGTCAAGCTCATGCCGCCTCCGCTCAAGCACAACGACAGCGAGCCCGGGCCGAGTCGGCCACTCCCACCTCGCCCCGCCATGCTTACAGTCCAGTCCGCCATGACGTTGCCCACGCGCCAGTCGGTCGGGATTGAGGACGAGATCTCTGAGTTTGGCGCTGGCTCCCGGCTCCAAGCCGGAACCCTCCCCGCCCCATCGTCCTCCTTCTGGGCACACGGCGGAGCTACGGCCAGGAAGCCCAAGCGGAGAAGCTTCCTCCCTCTCGACAATCCACCCACTATCAACATCCAAATACCCTCCGCTTCCCCCTTCATGCCCTCTGCTGAAAGCTTCCACGGCGACCGGATGGAAGTCCTTCCCACCCTCCCCTCGGAAGAGACCATCGCCGACGACACCCTCACTGCGTCGTCCTCCCTTGCCGACGAACTCCAGGCCATCTCGGATGCCGATTCCGAGGCACGCTACGCGCAAGGTCTCGAGTCCATCAAGTCGTATCTTCGGGACTTGTTCGATCTTTCGCGACCGGTCATTGAGCCGTACGGCGGGTTCGAGATGGTCCCAGATACCTCGGTGTCCAATCCCGGAAGCCCGGCGAGCGGCCTTCGGAGTAGCATCGCGGACCGGCGGCGACAGCAGTCTATCCTGGAGAAGCACCGAAGTGGAAGTCCTCTGAGCTTGGACACCGCTCCAAATGATCAGGATTTCGCGCCGAGCGAGGACTGCGGGAAGAAGTTCAAGAATGACCCGTCCAAGCGGGCGCGCATCCTCAGGGAGATCTACGAGTGAGTACCCAACTTGAGCTGGGCTGATATCAGAACCGAAAGAACATACGTCCGCGGTCTTGGCGAGCTCGTCAACATCTACGTCCGCCCTTCCGGTCTCCCGGTCAAGCCTGGTCAGACCGAAACGGTTGTCCCCGCGGCGGAACGCAAGATCGTCTTTGGCGGTATCGAATCCATACTCACCATTCACCGCGAAAACCTCCTCCCCGCGCTCGAAAAGGCCGTCAAGCCTCTGCTCGAAGGTACCGACGATGAGGCGGGCGAGCTCTCCGCTCACACCGCCCACGTCGTCGGCGAGGTCTTCCGCACGTACATCACGTACATGAAGCAATACTCGACCTACATCAACAACTTTGACAATGCACTCTCGCGCATGCAGTCATGGATCGCCACCTCGGGCGCGGTCACTCCGTCTTTTGGCAAGTCGGGAAGTCCCACCATCGCTTCCATCGCCGGACTGGCGGCGTCGAGCGGGGCGGGCAGCGTAGGGATGAGCCCCACTACCTCTCTCGGGGCGGACGGCGTCCCCCACTCTGGCGGTCACATGAATAAGGACCAAAAGCGCCGGGTCAAGCACTTTCTCCAAAAGTGTCGCCAACATCCCCTCCACAGCCAAATCAACCTCGAATCGTACCTCCTCCTCCCGGTCCAGCGGGTCCCGCGGTACAAGCTTCTTCTCGAGGACCTGGCGATGTGTACCCCACCCTCGGCGGAAGCTCGGGATGCTCTCGACGACGCGCTCAACGAGATCGCCGGACTCGCCAGCCTCATGAACGAGGAAAAGCGGGATTCCGAGTCCCGTCTCCGCCTCTACCACTGGCAGAAACGCATCACCTCCCGCGGCCCCTCCCCTCTCGTCCAGCCCCACCGCAAACTCATCATTGACGGTACCCTCACCCTTATCCGGCTCGTCAAAAAGGCGTCATCCTTTATCGAGGTCGACACCACCCTCATGGTTGACGGCGACGCGACCGTCATGCCTTCCAAAGCGGTCGTACCCGTCGAGCACCTCCACCCGGAACCGATGGACCGTCAGATGGCGCTCATCCTGTGCTCGGACTTGATGGTGCTTGTCCAGCCGAGGAGTGGGTCGGCGGAGGGGATGGTGGATCTGTACAATGTGCTGCGGATGAGTACCGTTAGGGAGCCGGCGAGTATAGTGTATGGGGATGTACTCCGGGTCGTCGACAATAAGGTGAGCTCTATTGTTCAGATGGACAGCGATCAATGAGCTGACATCCAGTCCATTTACTACTTTAGCGGCTCATCACCTACCAACATCCTCGAATGGTGTCGAGCCATCAACTCTGCTCGTAGAAGATGACACCCCCTTCCCTCAATCTCAACAAAATGTCTATAACAATCACCTCATCTCTTCTCCCCATGTCTTGTTCATACATCGGAAGGTGGAAGGCGGACGAAGGAACAGTTCTCTTTAACGCAGGTATCACATCCATCATGTCTTTCAACGTTTTCTTTGCTTCGACTTTACCTTTTGTATTTCTACCGTTACGCCGCGCCATTGCTTTGCGCCTGTGATTATTCGTTCTAGCTAGTAGTAGACAGGGATATGTATCATCTTTATGCCAACCGTGTCCGACCAACAGCAGATACCACGCCTGCCAGCTGATTCGGGCCCGGGCACACGACGATCGCCTCACAGGACGTTAGCATTTGCAGTTGACCAAGTCTCATATCAGAATCCTACTCATGACCATACTCGAGGAGGACGCGCCTGGTCTTGAGTCTCGCTATTCGAGCCTCGCAGCACCTGTCTCATTACGAATCACATGCCGATAGACACCCAGCGGTTAGTGAACAGCACGATCCCCGGTAATCAGCAGAGTCAACACGATCAGTCTCTTCTGTACGATACCAAAATATCTCCCGGTCTATCAAGATATCGCGCCATTTCCCGTGGTGTCCGCGCTATCCATGCGATCCCCCTCACTCAGCCTCACCCCTCCCCCTCCTTCTCGCCCGCCTATCCTCCAATTCCTCTTCCGTCTCCTCATCCCACAGATGGCCACTCTCCCCTCTTTCCACTTCATCCAGACCAACGTACCCGCTATGCACAGCCAGTACGCAATGTACACGCCGACTGTACCGACCGTGGCTGTATTGTTCCATCCAACGACCGAGTTAGCGAGCTGATAGAAGCCGTTCGTCGATGCACTTCCGGGCTAGGAGGTCAGCACTGCGCAGGATGAGGGACAGGGAGGGGCTCACCTCTGGATTGCAGCATTCAAAGTGCCATACATTCCCAGCAACCATGAAGCTTCCGGGACCGTCGCCTGTTTCTGCGACGTCTCCACCTACGCCGCGGGAGAAGAGGTAGTATTGGAAGAAGCCGACTCCTTTTGACGCCTACGTCATCAGCTGACTTGCTCATTACGATGGATGAAGCGCAGCTCACCAAGCCGGCTCCGATGAGGAACAAAAGAGTGGTGGAACAGATGAGGAAGAGGTGAAGAGTGGTGGTGGAGCCGGTACGGTAAATGAGAAGGCCTGTGTGGTCAGCTACACTCCCTGTTCGAGATCGACAAGCTCACCTAGTAATGCTCCTAAAACAAGGCCACAGACAGTAGGTAAAGGTATAGCTGATGGCTCGACACTGAGCGCAACCTGGCTGTAAGCTCAACCCACACCAAAGAATCGATCGTACCTACCCCTCCAACAAAGACGACAGCTTCCAACCCCTCCCTAATCACAGTCACAAACGGCAACAAAAACAACGCCCATCTTCCCCCGGCCCCTTCTCTCTCTTGGTTCAATCCCGATACGCCCGCCTGGCGATGCTTCTCAAAAGCCGCCGAGAGCTTGTATCGCCATTTGATGCGCGCTCGGTCCATCTTGAGGAAGGCTATGCCCATGACAAAGATGATGCCCGCTGCGACGAGGGAGAAGACGCCTTCCCATAATTGCTCGGATTGGGACCATAGGTCGATGAATTTGATGTAGAACTGCCCTATCAGCAGGACGATTAAAGCAAAGGGTGAAAGGCTGGACATACCACAGCGATGAACGCCGCTCCTATTGCTGTGGCGATGATCAAACCCGAGATCATCCCTGCCCAGATCTGTAACTTCATCCGCCTGATCACGCCCGCTAGCCTCTGTCGCTCCTCTATAGTTTGCGCGTCCTCCTCTCCATCATCTTCGCCATCGATGGAGGAAGCCTCGAGAAGAGCAGCATCCTCCCCGGTGCCTCTTGAGGCGCGCAGTGATGTCCGATCGGGGGTTGAGTGTGACTTGAGCGCGGGGGAGCCGGCCATCAGCTGGTCGACAAAAGACAGCAGGACCGAGACGATGATCCCAGCTTCGACTGTTTCGCCTAAAACGGTCAGCTCGCTATGCCTTAAGTCAGAACGACAGGACTCACGGAAGATGATGAAAAAGATGGGCACGGAGAAGAGGCTCGACATCGTCGCCGATACGCGCTGTGCGTCCGTTTCGTTTCAAGCTGTCTGATGTACGTCAAGCCTCTTCAGCTACTCGTCGAGCACATACACAGACAAGGGGTCAAGTCGTCCAAATGAAGCCGTAGAGTCATAGAAGATAGAGCGAGTTGAGGCAATTTCCCCGCTTTCAGATCGACCGCCTTCGTCTCCACGTGCGGACGGCGAGATCCGAGGTTCATCCGCCCGGCCCGGACCCTGTTTTGCCTCCTTCGGCCGGCGCGGCGTTACGCGTTCCTTATCTGATAAAGACTCGAGTGGCGGCATCCTGCCTTGCCCACCCAAATTTTGGACTGTCAAATTAGCTGAGCGTACAAGCAAGCAGCTAAAAGCACCTCGCATGGATCTGAGGCGAGCCATGATCCTTCAAGATATGTCCTTCGAATGAGACGCACTTTGCGCAAAGGCTATTAGCATGTCCAAGCATTAGATCTAATGGAAAGGCATCGGCCGATAGTGATTTCCATTAGCGGAAGTAAATCTCTCTAAGTCTTTCCGCTAATCCCATCGACCTTGAATACCGGCGCCATCTCTTCAACCTATAAGTTCACCTTGTCCACCCTCGGCCGGTCCTCCCGATACTCTCACCTCCACGCAGGCATCTTGTAGCCAAGCACGCACTATTGCGAGCTTGTCCAAGCTCCGCACCGGCCGACAGCTTCGAGCCGATCTGCGTGGCGCTTCGACCCGGGAGGGCCCAAGAAGGACTTCTAATCAGATTAGATACTCCTATCCCCACTCAAGTCGACTCAGCTACCAGCCAATGAGGATCGTTCTGCCGCTGCAATATACACTGCTCCTGCCCTTCGCCCGGTAACGCACCTCACACGTACATTCCTCCTTCCCCCTCGACCCATCTTCGCAGCGATCGGCACTTCACTCTTCCTTCCGCCCATCATGTCCGTGGCTGCACCCACCCCTGGTCACAGTCGGCCAGCCCCGCGTCTCCAGGCCCGCCCGGCACAGCCCACAGCTTCCTCCTCACGGCCCGTAGCAGCCAGACCTACCGTCCCTCGCCCCGCCGCACCCAAACCCGCCACCTCTTCCTCATCCACCACTACCAAGGCCTCCAAGGCCTCCACATCATCCGCCACCCCCTCAGCATCCAATGCGGCGTTCCTCGTTCCTGGCAAAGATACGAGCTCATCCGCTGGGAAGGTATTTGCGAAGCCGAGCAAGGAGTGGGTGTTGCCGGAGAGAGCGAAGCCGGGGCGGAAGGTTGCTGTCGAGGAGCCAGATAGTGTGAGCTGGATCGCCGCTCATTGGGATTTTTGCTGATCCTCAGTCTCGCCAATCTCAGAACCGGCAATCCCAACGAGCCCATCGCGCTCGCCGTACCGACTACATCACCACTTTGGAGGAGCGTATCCGTCAATTCGAAAACGATGAGATTCACTCCAACGTTCGGCTGCAGGAGGTCGCTCGGGCACTGAAGGCGGACAATGAACGTCTCAAGGCGGAGCTGCTGGCGCGGTCGTCGATCGAGCGCGATCTCAAGCCGAAGGCATGGGAAGAGGAGCGAGGGATGCTTTTTGCAGAAATCAGGGGGTTGCGGGAGGAAGTACGGCGCCTGCAGAGCCAAGCTCGGATGGTCAATGGAGGTGGCGGTCCGATGGGGATGAGGGATCGAGCGGGCTCTATGAGCGTCACACCCCACCCACCCTCTCCTCGACTCATGGCGCAACCACCGCCCCTCGCTCCGATCATCAATGGAATCCGGCACATTGCCGACTGCCCCATCTGCCCCGATCCCGATCCGGACTGTCCCTGCCAAAAGACCGCCGCTTCAACATCCACCTACCTCGTCCCTACCCGCCGGTCGCACCAGCCGGACCCTACCATATCTCTCGGATCGACGATCGACCTCCGATCGTCTCCGCCACCCATCACCACATCGTGCGGTTTCTGCCAATCTACAGAGGAATGCCTCTGCCGCATGATTGACGAGGAGGAGGATGTCAAGCCTATCATCATCTCCCCGCCAACGGAGATGATGGGGCTGGACGATGGGTGTGGGTTGTGCGCAGATGGCGGGTTCTGCGCTTGTGCGGTCGCCAGAAACAGCCCGAGCGTGTCACAGCGGAGTCTGCAGATCCCGTTCCCGCAGCAGGCGTCGGCGGTGGCGGTACCGCTGAGGAAAGGGCGGAGCAGCGGGGATGTACCGACGCGCAAGTCCATATGGGCGCTGGACAGCGGAGTGGTCACATCCACTTCAACGCTGGGGATGGCGCCGTCAAGGAAGGAGGCGGTGTGTAGTGGAGATCCAAGGAATTGTGATGCCTGCAGGGACGACACCTTTGGTATGCCCTTCCGCAGATTCTCCGAGCCAGGCTGACAATACAGGCCAAGAGTTCTGCTCTAACTTCTTCCAATCCCGCGACCCCACGCACTCCTGTACGAACTGCAAAGGCACTTGCTCCTCCTCTACCGCTCCATCATCCCTGCTTCCTCCCCCGAGTCACACGCACACCCACACCCACAATGCCTCCCCCGCCCAACCCGCAGACCTCCACCCGTTCGACGACACCTCTTCGTCCGGCCCACTCCTCATGGCGTGCTGCGGCAACCCCGGTCTGTGCGGGCACCAATCTGGCGGCTGCACAGGCGACGTGATCGGTATCGGCGGCCTCATCCCCGGTCTTCCCGAAGACGAGATCGCACACGAAACGATCCGTGTAGATCAGGCATGGAAGACACTCAAGGCGCACCCAAACGCCAAGTTTGCGTCTCTCGCTTTCCTGGCGGATGTAGTGGCGCAGCGGGCGGGACCGCATATGTCTGGCACGACAGCGGCCGAGGCTCCCATGTCCCCTATTTCGGCGCCGGGGGGTATGTCGCCCGCACCGAAATCGGGGCTGGTACATTCAGGCTCAGTTGTGCGGGACGAGGCGCGCCCAGAGATGGGGGCGGAAGGGCGAAGGGACGGGAAGAGAAAGGTAGTCGTCGAGAGTAGCGCGGTGAGGGATGCGTTGAGGTTGTTGGATGGCACGCCGGCGCCGAGTGAGGATGGGAACGAAGGGCGAGGTGGCAAGCGGGCTAGATTGGCCTGATTTAGGTCTCGGCGGTCAAGGGTAGTCAGAGAGGTGTAGGACAGACTCTCGATCTGAGGTAGAGGTCTAATGATATTATGTGGAAGATCTTGTATATATGGGAACCCGTTGCAGATGTGACCAATATTGTCAGTCAATGTCTTCGCTTGCGTTTCGAGCGCGAGGAAAGTCAGAGGGGGTCAGTTTGACAAACCGGCAGTCACTAGTCATGGACTCCAGTCGATGTCGCTATGAAGGGCTTCCACGCACATGGCACACGAGGAGCTGAAGAGGGTGGAAGTCAGACGATGATCAGAGAGCAGAAAGGAGATGATGGGTCAGGACCTCACAAGCTACTTAGGCAGCCCTCAATCAGTCGATAATGGCTACCGTCGATTAGTCGAGTCCGATCAGCGCGTCGTTGGCCCGACCGTGCCCGGACGCAGTGCAAGGGGTAGACAATGCATCAAACGAATCACAATGCACGTCATATACTAGGGGATTAAAGGGCGTTTCAATATCTTCAGAAGGGGGAAAGCGTGATCATTTAGGGAGCGAGTTGATGTAAAGAGGGACAGTGTCCAACTAGACGAGATGTGGGGGAAGCTTCCATCTATCCTGTGCAGCTCCGGTCTCTTTCGCGCCAAGAGCCCCGGACGGCCTGATTGGGGGCTTAGGCGAGGAGGGCGAAGCCGCCGAACGCAGCGCAGCCGAGAGCGGCGGCGAGGGCAAGGAAGGGGACGTTGAAGGCGGCCTTGGCGGAGCCGGCACCGGTGGAGGAGGCGGCGGCGGTGGAGGAGGCGGCACTGAAGGTTAGCTAATGCAATAAGACTGTGACGAAGGGGACTTACGACGCGCGCGAGGTGGAGGAGCTGGTCATGCTGGCAGACATGGTGGAGGCCATGGAAGCGGATGCACTAGTAATCAGCAAAATGAACGAACTTTCGCATGATGAGAAGAGCTCACGCAAGGGACGAGCCAGCGGACGAAGCGGAAGCAGCAGCCGAGGACTGCGACGAAGCGACCGAGGCGATCGACGACGAGGCCGACGCGCCAACGGAAACCGACGAGGCGGCCGAAGCCGCGGCCGAGCCGGAAGCGCTGGAACCTCCCGAGCCGCAGCTGGTGCTGCCGGTCTGGACGGTAAGGGGGGACGAGTAGGCAATGTTACCAAGCGAGTCGGTGACCTTGAGGGTGATGGCGGTGCCTTGGGCAAGGTTGACGGTCCACGAGAACGAGTTGCCGTTGACAATGCTGGCGATGGTGGTCAAGGCAGCAGCGGACACCTGGCCAGCGGGGATGGCGACACTGATGGTCAGCAGATGAGATTTAGATCTGACAAGGAGAAGTTGCTTACAGGTTGTACGGGCCAGTTCCACCGGTCCAGCTGAGGGCAGCGGGCTCTACAACAAGTCAGTATGATTCCTAGGTCGCGATCGCGTCGACTTCGATACTCACGGCACTGCTGGATGGAGGGCTGAAGCTGTCAGCTGCGATCTCAGCAGAGGCGAAGGAGGGAGAGCTTACAGGAGTCGCGATCGAGAAGGTCTGAGCGAGGGCGACACCCGCAAGGACGAGAACGGAGAGGGCTTTGGTGAACATTGTTACTGTCTTTTGTCTAAGTCGTTGGGAGGTGGCGTGAAGCTGCCGTGTGGGTGTGGTATTAATGAGGTCGTCAAGAGAGAGATAGGAGAAAGGAAGAGATAGGTTGAATATAGGTGTTTGGTGAGAAAAGGAGAGGCTGGTCCAAAGGGGGGCTACGTATTATACTTCCGCAGTCGCGGGCTTGGGATGGATGGGTGGCGAATCAAGTTTAAGGCACAGCTATTACTCAGGGTTTCAAACTATACACAGACGCGTCTTACCAACTCGCGATTCAGACTGGGCAGCGTCCAAATGTGGCACTGTGGCTGTGGCAGTAGGGCTGGTATCTGATGCATTGGTGCCGAGCACAGGCAGAGACGACGACACTGGACAAGATATTTTGCTGCAGCTGCACAACCACCCCTTTGACCGATTAGAGGCTAAGAAAGGACACCTCCCCCGGCCAAAGGACGTCCTCGTGCGTTCCTCGTTTCAGACACAGGTCTGTCTTGCTCGGCATAGAGCGCAGCAATCCCCTTGCGGAGGATTGTGGGAACAGGGACAGGGCTCCCCGCCTCCACCCTCCGATACCCAGCTTCCCTTGGCTGCGCTATCGGGACTATCGTCTCATCGCGCTCGTCAGCTTTTGTTCAGTGGCCGTGCAGGGAGCAGTGGCACCGCCTCGGAAGGGACTCAGCGACGCGTCGACGCGTCCCGATCGTTCCGCGAGATCTGCAGTATGACGTGGTATATTCTCCGACCCCTTTCCCCGCTTATCAAACTCTATCCCCACTCCCGAAGCGGGCCGATGCTCCAGCTCCATCTCTCGCTCGCTTTCTACTTCACACTCACTTGTCACTAATACCTTCTTCTTCGCATTTCGAGAGAGACAGTGTGGAGGGGATAGAGTAAGGACGGATAGGCAGTGATTAAGGAATACCAAGGATTTGGCGGAAGACATATAGACATACCTTGTTCTATACCTCCTCTTTTGTTGTGAGTCGGCAGCGACTGCAAGGGTATGGACCCCGCGCTGATCAAGCAGTTCTAAAGACATTCAAGATGTTGTATGTGTATCCATGACTCTTCCACTGACACGTACTGACCCTTCAGCCCGATTGCTGCAGCTGCTGTGCCCGGCAACAGGCAGGGATGCTTCAAGTGCGGTAACCGTATGTTCTACCCCCTTTGCTAGGCACATGACTGAGCTGACTCGACAGTCGGCCACCTCGCTGAGGCCTGCCAGGCCCCCGGCCGTCTCTGCTACAACTGCCGGTATGTCGCACTCAACCTTTGATCCGGCCTGAGCTGACCAATAGGGAACCCGGACACGAGTCGACCAACTGCCCCCAGCCCCGGTCTACCGACGGCAAGCAGTGCTACGCATGTGGCGGTGTCGGTGAGCTTCCTCAACTGGGCTGAGTCCCCGGACCGAAGCTGATGTACAGGCCACGTCAAGCTCGACTGCCCGACTGCCAGGTCCTTCGGCGGTCCCGCTGGTGGTGCCCCCGGTCAACGGTGCTACACTTGCGGTCGATTCGGTGAGCTAAGTTGATACCTGGATTCTGTCATCAAGCTCACTCTTCAGGCCACATTGCTCGTGCCTGCCCCGGCGCTGGCGGTGGCTTCGGTGGCGGCTTTGCCGGTCGAGGCGGATTCGGCGGTCGAGGTGGCTTTGGCGGTGGATTCGGCGGAGGTGGATTCCCTCCCAGGCCGAGGATGACTACCAACCCTGATGGAACTCCTGTCAAGTGCTAGTGAGTCGACGATGTCGCAGCGGTTCGTTTGCGCAAGGAAGCTGATGAAATAGCCGATGCAACGGTGAGAACCACCTCGCCCGTGACTGCCTCGCACCCCGGGACGACAGCCAGAAGAAGTGCTACAAGTGCCAGGAGGCCGGACATATCGCCAAGGACTGCCCGACCAACGGGGAGGAGATGATCACTGCTGAGTAATTGGCAGGTGTCAGGCAGTACTAGTCAGTCAGAAAAGGAAAATGGTGGAAGTGGTCTATCTGTGCATATGTATCTGATTGACCGGGACCTGCGCATCAGATGATCTCGGGCTTGTGGGTGCTCGGGGGCGTGTCTTAAGATCTTATGCGGGGCTTGAAGCCTGAAGCTTGACAAGTGCTTGACATCGCTCGACCAAGGTATGACGATGTCGATGGGGTCTCCGCAACCGGTCACGGACCGACAAACGAGCTCTTCGAATTCGCCCTTCTTTACAATCTCTATCTTTCTGTACCTGTCTCAACCCTACCACCATGGCTGACCAGGCCGGACCATCCTCTGCCCCCTCTAGTCGCCCCATGCACTACGCGACGTTCATATTCGACCCCTCACTCACCCGGAGTCGGTACGCCCAGCTGATCCACCCCGAGGGGCCGGTCCATGGGTTCATTCGGCGCCTTGTTGAGAAGCACCAGAATGACGGGCAGGTAAATCTATCCACAGGTCACAATGCTCCGCTTTGGCATTTACTGATCTTCCAGCTCCGATTAGAAGCGATCATCCCCCCACGCCCAAGCTACTCAGCTGGTAGTTCAAAACGCAACTCGGGTCGGAAAGGACAAACGGGGTTCCACGAATTTCGTCCCTTCTTCTCGGTCCTTCCTGGGATCAAGAGCCAGTTCAACGAGGCTGAGATACCTGGCGATGGAGCCAAGGCCGTCTGGCCTGGATTTAGGGGTGAGGCGGGACCCGGAAAGGGAGGAAGTGGGATAGGGAGGAAGAGGAAGCGGGCGAGGAGGGAGGAGGTGGGATTGTTGGAAGGGGTGATTACTGGACTGGAGGTATGTCGACTCTGGCAGATGTAATCGGGGATAATGAGCGGGGCCTGAGGTAGGGGATGAGCTGATGTGCAGGGCATGGACAAGGCGGCCCAAGCTAGACATACGGCCCACCCTCCGCCAGCATTCAGCTCGCTCTGTCCCGCTGAGGCCAGACCCTTGTTAACAGCACTGTACACACCACCGCCAACACCACCGTACCACTCAGAAGCATCATCGGTGACGCCGTCCAGGTATATCTTCCTCTTCGCCAATGGCCAGACTGCCGTACAGGGTACGCCCTCGACGCAAGATGTAGAGGGAAAGGACGGGGAGTGGAAACCTGTCTCGTCGAGCTGTTGTCGGGAGGCAGAGTGGGATGCGATGGGCTGGGAAGAGGTCGGTAGGCGATGTGGGGAGATGGGAGCGAAGGTGTCGTTGATCATTCTGGGAAGTCCCGAGGGGGACACAGAAGTACCGGCAGCAAAGCGTCTCAAGGCGTTCATTCAATCTGTGAGCCAGTCTGACACTGGAAGTATCGCCACCGTAGCTGACGGACCGAGGCCTCTCCCGGTCCTACTACTCCACCATGGTTCACCCTCCCTCCTGGGTCATTCGCGCACCTCGCCCCGCTCGCCGCCGGCTCCTCCACCACCCTCGCTGCTGCTCCTCCACCCACGCGGCCCTCTCCCAACCCCAACTCCACAGGCTTCAGCCCGCTCGTCTCCCTCGACACCAACTCTCCATCGACCGCACCGCCCCTCCCGCCCGCCCAGGCCATGGCGATGCGTTTCCTCGCCCAGCGGGCCAACGGCGCGAATGGCGGTCCAGGCCAGCTGCCGGGTGGATTGTCCAACCCGGCCGTCTCGGCGGCATTGGCCAACTTCATGACGGCCGCGCGGAATGGGAATGTGGATCCGAACGATCCGCAGATGGCGCACTTTAGGCAAATGATTCTGATGCAGCAGCAACAGCAGCTGCAGGGGCAGGTGAAGGACGGGAAGGGTCAGGATGGGCAAGCATCTGCGGCGGTGCAAGGGCAAGGGCAAGGGCAAGGAGCGGCGACGGGGTCGCAAATCCAGCAGCAGGCGCAGACTTCTACGCAGACTCAAAGCCAGGGGACTGAAACGGGAACGGGTGCAAGTACCGGCCAGGGACAGTCGGCAGGAGGACAAGGCGGGAAGGGTAAAGTGTGGAGTGGAGAGATCGTGTGGCCTACCCAAGGCGCGACTGGTGCGTTCACAATTTCATCGAGGAGGCAGGAGAAGAGCTGTCAGTCTCAGCTCGACTCAACGTGGATTGCATCTCTGTCAATAATGGTAATCTATCCGATGCCGCTCAGATCTCAGCCCTCCTCCCTTCCGGTAAGCCACCCTCTGCTTGGAGGGAACCAGAGCGCGAGGCAGGCGGTTAGGATATTCAGGCAGGAGGCGATTTGGGGGGATCGGATGGGCGGTCATGAGAGCGGCACAAATGGGAGCGGGAATGGAGTACCAAACGGGGAAAGCTGAGTCGAATAAGTGGCGGCTGACAGCCAGAACTCCGGATCGTGTCCTCTATGCAGGCAGACATCAACTTTCTCCAGACTTTCGTACGCGAGCACAAGGTCCCGGTGCTTCAGTTTGATCTGGATAATACCAAGCCGATCGAGCCGATGGATACCAAGCGATTCGAGACGCTCATCACTGGGTTGAACTCCAAGGGAACTGTAAGTCCAACCTACGCACTCGGCGCAGAGACAAAGTTGGAGCTGACGAGCTTTAGGTGGGGATTGTCAATATTGGCGGAGACGACCGGGGTTTGATGCTCTGTACGGCGCCTGGTCAGACGGGACAGATACCTCGATTGCTTGGTGTACTGTGTATGGTGAGCTGCTCAGTCTATACAGAGATAAGGCTGGGAGAACAGAGCTGACTGATCTAGTCCGTACCTATCCCTCGATCTCCCAATCGGCAACAAGCGGCCGATCAGTCCCAGTCGCAAGCACAGACTCAAGCATCCAGTCAGGCCTCGTCGACACCCCTAATCCCCTCTGTACCCCCAAGGTCGATCCAGGCCGAGGCGCTCGCTCAGGCGCAGTCGCAGGTTCAGGCAAAGGCGGCACTCAACCTTCCGGCGCCATATATTGCCCAACAGCAGCAGCAGCAGCAGCAGCAGCAGCAATATCAGCCACCTCCTCCACCCCAGCAACAACAACAGCAGCCGCAGCAGCAACAAGCGCAACCTTCTACGAATACGACCTCCGCCCAGCCCAACTCCCAATTCTCCTTGGGACAGCTCAAGATGCTTCTTGATCAGGCTGCCAGGGTAGGGATTGATCTGCCGCCCGATCTGGATCCGACGCGCTTTACGCAGGATCAGCTTAAGGGCTTGGTACAGAGTATTAGGGTGAAGAATATGCAGCGGCAGCAGGCGCAGCAGCAATTGCAGGCGCAAGGACAAGGGCAGGGGCAAGGGCAGGTGCAGGGGCAGCCGGGTCAGGGATCAGGGGATGGGTCTATGGGAGGAGCAGGTCAGGCGGCAGGGATGGATCCGAGGCTGTTGGCCTCGTCGGGAGGGGTGGATCCGCGGCTTATGAGCGGAGGTGGGGGAAGCGCAAATGGGAATGGGAATCAGCTGGGTCTGCAGCAGATGCAGATGCAGGTTCAGGCGGGTATGGGGCAGCAGGGTGGGGACGGGGAGGGGTATAATCAGCAAGGGATGGGATATATGGCGGGGCAGCAGTATCAGGGTGGACAGGGATGATCATGGGGACATATAGGCAGCCTATCATGTGGGCAGAAGAGGTCGGTCTAAGTTGTATATGTTAAGTTTTGAGAGCAGACTGGGGATGCATTGGGCTTGACTACTGTTCCTTATATAGTGCTGACTTGGGTCCTAGCTACTATGTCTCTACCTAAGCAGCTGCCAATAGATGATAGCAGCTGGCAGCAGCTGAAAGCACCTGCGAGCAGCTCATTCTTGCTGCTAATAGCTATCCCAATGGACGGGAATAGCGCGACGCCTTGGTGGTCTACTCGCACCGGCTAACCTGGCCATTCCAACAGTATATGTATGAATCTCCCTTACAGAGTCCCGTCTGTCTTGGCCGCATCTCTATCTTCGCCGCATCAGCTCCTGCATGGTCGAGGTAAATTCGGACAAATGACATCAAGATCTATCTACATGTATGATCTATTATGTGAACATCTAAGGTCATCTGAGCACACCAGACAAGAGATGCGACAGAGCGACTAGTGCCCCATCGCATCCCCCAATCACACCGCTCGCTAAGCGATCACCCCCTCACCCTTACCCGTCTGCGCAATCCTCTTCCTCGCCATCTCGTGCTCCTCCGCCGGCGTCCCCGGCCTCCTCCACAAAATCCTATATTGCAACCCCAACACCGCCGACCACGCCAGGATAAACCAAAACGTCCTCCCTGCCGACTTCATCCAGTCCGCCAGATCCTCCGTCTCGAATGCCGCCTGCACCGCCAGAGCGATCGCGCCCCCGACCTGCGCAACGACCTGCGTCCACGCCGAGATGACGCCTGACATCTCGGGCGGTGAGTAGACGAGCACGGAGATGGCGCTTCCAAAGTAGGTGATCATTGCGCCGGTGGAACCGATGACGAAGCCGGGAAAGACGAAGCGCCAGTAGTCATATCCTTGGCCGCCGTACGAGTAGATCTGAAGCAGCTCGCCGATGATGATGACTGCAAATTAGCGGATGGGGACAAGAGGAGGAGGAGCATGGGAGAGGGACATACGGACTACACCGATGGGAATGAAGATCTCGGGCCTGCTGACTATCTGCGGAACAAATTGGGTCGCGACGCCGACCATAAGACCGACGACGCCTTGGGGGACGATGGCAGCGGCGACATGCACTATGGGTGTCAGCGCGATCTGCTGCAGCCCGCATGGAAGAAGATGACTTACAAGGCTTCCACTGGAACGCAAGCTGAAAGTACGTCGCATAGTATAGCTGACTCGTAAACCAGAACCCCATCGGGATCATGATGACCAGACTCGTCGGGATAAAGTTCTTGATCTGGTATACCGACGCAGGGAGTACGGCCGTCCTGGACGGGATCGAGTATTCCCACACAAAGAACCCGACGGCGCAGACGAACGAAATGACGATAGGAGCGATGAAGCCGGCTGATCCCCAGCCGTCGATAGGGCCATTGGTGAGTGCGAGGATAAAGCAGATGAGGAAGCCCATCATGAGGATGACGCCGGGAATGTCGAGACGTTTCCACTTGGGCGTGCGGTCATTGGAGGCCGGGGCGGATATGCGGGGCATGAGGAAGAAGCCGGCGGCGGAGAAGACAAAGCAGAGGATGGCGACGATACGGAAGAACCAGTGATAGCTCGCTAGCATGGCCAGGCCTGCGATCACCCTGCGCGTCAGCTCTGTTTCTGATCAAAAGGGAGAGGTAGGAGCTCACAGGCCGAGGACGTTACCGAGACCACCTGCCATGCCCAATACTGCGAGTTTCTTTTGCTGCTCCGCCGCCACGGGGAACATGTGTACCAGCATGTGGAAAGAGCTCGGGATGGTGAGCGCACCAGCGAGACCACCGAGACCGCGAAGGATGAGAAAGCCGTACTTGTTCTCGGTGACGAAAGAGGTGACGAGGGAGATGACGCCGAGACCGGTAAAGCCGACTTCAAAGATGATGGTTGCCGGGAAGAGGTCGGACAGGCGGCCTGCGAAGAGGAGGAGAGCAGCAAAGCAGAGGGAGTACGAGGTGATGATCTGGCACTTAGCTAAGGCCTTTGTGTTGGAGGGAAGGACTCACCCAGGCAATTTGATTGATCTCGAGACCCAGATCGACCCGGATCTGGGCGACGGCCAGACCGACCCCGCTGACATTGCAGATGTCCAGAAAGGTAGCGACAGAGAAGACCAGAAGTAGGAAGTTCTTCTTGAATTGACTGAGCTGGGCGAGGGGGTGCGAATGCGAATGGTCAACGTGGGCGACTTCGGACGGGACGAAGCTCTTGTCTGAGACGCCGCGGGGCGAGCCGCTACCGGTGGACATACCGGACGAGTGTTCGCGGACCGAAGGGAGTTTGGAGAAGGGGGGTGAAGGGTGAAGATGAGCGGTATTAGAGTAGGACATGATGCGGATTCGCGGCAGCAGTCGACTGTATATTGAATTTCTGAAGGGACTTTGAAAGGCGTAACCTGCGCACTGTTCGTCGAGAGGTCAGGTGGGGTGAAGTCAGTGCCCAGCACATTCTTATACCTTGTCCGTTATCTGCGGAGCATAGCGCGTCAGCGGAGCAAAGCGGCTACCGGCGTCGTCAAAGGCCAGCCACGGGCCACGGAAGGTCGGGACAAGGAGGTCCTTTGGACTATGCTACACGCGCCATGCGGTCGACCAGTCTCCTTTCAAACTCGGAGACTGCAAGGGAGGCCGGAGGAACGGGGTGTTGACAGACGTCCTTCTTTGGCTGCGTCCGAGAGATGTGAGGCTGTATGGATAAGGAAGCTACAGGTGCATGGTCTGTGTGACTCGAGGAGAAGGAGATGTGTGTGGGGGGACCTGCAGCTGTGTGGACGCCTCTCCGCGGCCGAGGAACGTCGATGCTATCTCGGCCGAAATCTCTCCTCTGCAAAGATGTTATATCGCCGCTATTCTCCGTACCGATTCAATTCTTCGGGCCAGCTCTCTCGATCTGTGCCGCGGCCCCCTGCACGTGACTGACATAGCTTTCTCACGATCTCAATCGTCGTCACGCCGCGTATGGCTCTTCCGGCTTGCGCCGAGTACACAAACCTTCTATCGCAAGCAGCTAGCTCGCCCACCACCTCCTATCTTGCCATCAGCTCACAGCAGGTCCACAGTAATGGCTCGTAGAAGCTCCTAATCCCCTCGCCCGACTATCACCAACTTCTGCCTAGCTCTCGACGCACAGCGAGCTCCCCCGGCCCCATCCTCGACTCGGCCCCCTATCCCACCGAACCGAAGCCGCGTGGTACTATGACCGATACCCGCCGCAGACCGTCCGCATCCGCCACACCAGCTCTACCAGACTCGCGGGGTACCATGTCGCGTCGTGGAGGAGCTAGCGTACGGAGTCTGAGCTCAGGAAGCATTACGCCCATGGAGGATGAAGAGGGTGAGTAGCTTACTTCCGGTGCTGCCGGAGCTTGCGGATCAGCTGTGCGAGCGTACGAGCTGACCTGCATCAGATAGACCAAAGCGAAGCACCCGAGGCCGAAATCCCCTTCCACCGACAAAAGGCCCCCTCTTCCCCCCTCTCCCGCCAAAACCCCTCCGCCCCAAGGCCTCGCCAAAGCATTCCCAGACGTCCGCTACCAACTCCTACCTCCCCGCCGAGGAGAATGCCGAAGAGGAGGACGACGAGCCTGTAGCGGGCCCATCGCGCTCCAACGCCGTCGTGCTCATCGAATCATCATCGAAGCGGCGGAAAGAGGACCCGAGCACCCCGGAGGGCGATAAGCAGCACGTTCCCAGCGGTAGCGGCGCGAGTCTGACGCCTCCTCCTCCGTCCAGCGATCCCGTCCACGAGGGGGAGGATGAGGAGGTAGAGGCCACCGGATCCCGGCGGAAGAGCCGAGCTGGGAATGGGGTGATGAGTATAGGCGTCAAGGTCGAGCTTATGGAAGCCGCGGCGGACAACGACGAGGCGATCGATCTGGAGGATACGCCAAAGCAACAAGGAGCCACGAGAGGGCGGCTCGTTCCTCCTGCGAGCGCGGGGACGACGCCTACTGACTCGGCCACTTCGGAGAGAGGCGGAAACGCGAGGACGAGCCTGGGTAGGAGGAGAAGAGGGGAGGAACAGCTGCTTTTGGATGATCATCTTTTGCCGGAGGAGATCAGGCGGACGGGGACGCTTATCAATCGGCGGAAATCTCAAGCGGCGGATCAGATGGAGGAGCTGGCCAAGCCGGTTGAGCCGGAAGCGGAGGAGGAAGATGGGGATAAGGAGGAGGAAGATACAGTAGATGTAGCCGTGGCTGAAGAGCAGCCGGCAGAGAAGATGGAAGGAGCAGTCGAGGAGGAGCCGTTGACGGATGATATTGTGGAGCAGTCGTTGGTGGATCCGGACGAGGAGGATCCGGGAGATGAGGAAGGGGATGAGGTGACCCGCTGTGTCTGCCAGCTTGAAGGTGAGCTCGATGGTACGCACCCCACTGAGTGGTGAAGGAGTAGCTGACCTGTAGATGGTGATCCCTTGATGGTGGCTTGCGACAAGTGCAATGTGTGGCAGCATGGGCCATGTGTGGGTATCTGGGCAGACGAGGAGGCTCCAGACGGTATGTCCTGTTTCCAGCTTTCACTGCCTCTCGCTGATCGCCAGAGTACTTTTGTGAGCAATGTCGACCAGAGCTGCACGGACCGCTACGCAAGTGGATGCGCAGCAAGGGGCGCAATATGTGAGCTGCACCTTGACTGCTTGTCAGGATTACAGCTAACTTTACAGCCTCAACTTTGTCCCTCCCTCCCCTGAAGACCTCAAAGGCCTTCATGTCTCGTCTGACCGCTACCCTCCTTCCCAATCCAAACGATGGATCACTCCCGCGACCAAGGGCAAGTCCCACTCTCGCTCTCGCGCCAAAGAGCCCGCCGCGTCCCCGGTAGCGGAACCCAACGAGCTCCGACGCCAATCTTCTCGGCGGGGCGAGCTTGCCCCCTCTCTCCCGCCAGCTCCAGCTCGTACATCCTCGCAGCGCGAAAAGTCCGCCAAGGCCGAAGGAAGCCGAACGGGCCGAGACCAGCGGCGCGGGAGCTCGCACCATCGTAAAGCGTCCGAAGGGCGTTCGTCCCATCGCGGCGAGAGGGACTCGCGGTCTCCGGGTGGGGTCAGTAATGGGACGGGTCAAAAGGAGAAGGAACCGAGAAAGAGGAGCACGATGAATTCGAGGGATGCGGCGTTTGAGAACGAGGCGTTTATGGTCGCGATTGAGGCGAGTAAGAGGGAGCAGGAGATGGCTGGGAAGAAGGGGGAGGAGGGGGATGCCGAGGAGCTTGCGGAGGAAGCGGAAGAAGAGGAGAGGGGAAGGGAGGTGGAGAGGAAGCATAAAGGCAAGCGGAAGCGTGAGGAGGATGCAGGTGAGCTAATAGAACGTTCGACCCGGGGAGGAAGTAGCTGACATCCAGATCCGAATGACCCCTCGCATCCATCCCATCCTAAAGTCAAGCATCCCAATCAGTACACGTACCGCCCTAAACCCGCCGCAGCAGCTGTCGTCGTGCCGCCCCCGGCACCCTCTCCGGCCCGACGCGTCGTCCAAGGCACCACGCCGGTCCCCCAGATCCCCCCACCGGCCTTACACGAACATGGGACCCGGCGCGCCGGTGCTTTAGCTACTGGCGCACGAGAGGCACCCTTCATCGCTGTATCTGTCACCCACCTGGGATGGCACCTCCCCGACTATCTCTCCGCTTTTGCCGATATTTTCCCTAGCCCCAACCCGACCCCCCTGCAAGTTCGCTCACCCCGTGCCCTCCCTCCTATATCCAAGAATCACTTCCTCAATCATCGCTTTGGACCCTTTACGGAAGTCCCAGCCCGACGAGACGGGAAAGCAGACGGAGCGGACGGGGAAGAGGGAGATCACGCAGACGAGTTTGTGGAGGTACAACATCGCCTGATGCTTCCTCCGGATCCTCCAGAACGAGAGGCCCTGGGAAAGAAGGGCGAAACGCATACGGAGCCGCCGGCGCGGATGAAGTATCCCCAGCGACGGGTGACGACTGCCGAGATGAGGAAGAGGGTGTTGCACATGCTAGAGTTTTGCGGGAGGGTGGAGGTTGAGGAGGGGAAGCGGAAACAACGGAAGAATAGGGTGGGGATCCCGGATGCGGTACGGGAGGCGGAGGGAGAGGGTGATGAGAAGGAGAAGGAGAAGGAGGCGGAAGGTGGAATCATGAACGGGGATGTGGAGATGGTGGATGGGCAGGATATCCCGAATGGCTCGACATCAGCCAACGGGGAGAGCTTTACCGCAGCCAACGGGGCGACCAAGCGACCCTCGCCGGATGTAGCAGCGGACGCCACGACGTCCGATCCCCAACCCACCTCGACAGCTTCGGGGCCGACCTCCGCCCAGCTCTTGGCGGAACTGACGGCCGATCTGCTCGATTTCCAAGATACGTGGGCTCGCGGCGGATTCGCTGCGAATGGGTCGGCGGGGATGGCGTACAGCCCTGCGCCGCCGAGTAGCGCTACATTCGCGCAGGCGGGGAGCGGCTGGCCGAGCAGCCAGCTGGGGAGGGACGTTATGGGCCCGGAAGAGGCTGAGGAGGGGGAGCAGGTTGAGATGCAGCCTGAAGAGCAAGTAGCACCCGGACTGGAAGGAGGGGAGAGAGAAGACGGAGATCGGCCGGAAAATGTCGATAGTCCTCCGGCGCCTGATGGACCGTTCGCGCCCGGCTCGCCACTTGTCACTTCGCCCGCAGATGTGGAGGCCGACCCGGAACCGCCGCTCTCGATGGATGTGTATCGGATGGGCGAGGTACCGGTCTCGGCTGCAGTCGCGACCGAGGCGGAGGAGGCGGTCGTGCAGCTTCTCAAGGACAATGCGCAGAGGGAGGAGCAGCGGGCGCATGAGGAGGCCGAGGTGGGACCTGAGGGCACGGGGGCGAGTGGATCGTCGGAGTCGGTGTCAGCTCGGCAGGTCAATGGGGAAGGCGGTCGACTGACCTCGGCCGAGGGAGGAGGGCAAGAGGATGTGGTGATGGCAGAGTGAGAGAGAATTTTGAGAGGAGGGCGGAGAGTATATTGGAGAAGTATCGGGGTCCTCGGGCAGAAGAAGAGAGAAGTAGAGCAGTGTTGTAGCGAATCTCTTGAACATTGAGGGAGAAGAAGATCAAAGTGTATGAAGAACGTGGTACCTTTCCCATTGATTCTGAGCAGCTCGGTCCTTGATCGAGCAAGATGAGCTATACATTGACTGCAGCTAGTAATCTATCTTTGAGTCGCTCATCTACACCTTTCCCAATAAATACCACCTTCCCACCGTCTGCCGCTGATCCACCACCCGACCCAGAAGAAGGTAACTCCTTGAGCTCAAACACGTCCGTCACGCCCTGCAGTACATACTCTCGACCCTCCGCAGTCCGGACGAGGCCCTTCGTACGCAGTACCTCTGGCCGGCCGCCCTTCTCAGCTGTCTCGATTGCTATCCCACCCGACGTCGTCGCGGATGGCGGATCAGGTATAGACCAGAGCGTGTCTTCCAGGAATCGCTGTAGTCTATCGAACTGATCTGAGGAGAGTGAAGGTATGGGGATGGTTATGGTCGTTATTCGACCAAAATGCGCGTGGGGCTGAGATGGGCGGTCGTTGTGATCGTGACTATCGTCGTGGGCGTGATCGGAGCTTTCGGATGTGTGGGTATGGGATGAGGCCGGGGGAATGGTAGTTGGGGCTAATGGGGCAGAAGTGAATGCTCGAAGATCAAAGAGACCGTCCAGGGGGGTGATGGAGTGTTGAGTCTTGTATACTCGTAGAGTGGGGTTGATGGCGCTAGAAATCAGCCCAGGCCGGATAGGGGAACAAGAAAGGTAGGATTACCTGATTGTCTCCTCGACCTGGCTCAGTCGGCCGGAATCGACAAGATCCGTCTTGTTGAGGAGGATGACATCCGCGCAAGCTACTTGTCTGGAAGGGTCAGCTGTCGCCCTACTGTCACACTGGGCGTGTAAGCGTACTTTTGCGCCTCATTCACCTCGCCCGCTGGTCTCTGCTCGGAGAGTTGCTGCGCGTCAGCAGAAGCCTCATATCATGAAGAGAATGACCCACCTTGAGCACATTCCTGCAGTCCACAACGCACACCACCCCATCCAATATCAAATCACCCATCTCCTCGTTCTCCCAGAACCCCCTAATGATAGGACCTACCCATCAGCCTCTCTTCGCCCGATGTCGAGGTCGGGAGTAAGGAGGACGTACCAGGATCCGCGAGCCCTGTGAGCTCCACCATGACCCACTCAACACCCTCTTGGTGCGCCATCTCCTCGATCGCGGCGATGCCCATATCTTTGAAGGAACAGCATAGGCAGCCGTTAGGGAGGGAGAGGAATTGGGACGATTGGGCGCCGGTATTGGGGTCGGTCAGAGTCAAAGACTTGGCTGGTTGGATCAGCTGATGCTCGTGTCATCGACGGAGTCAGGAACCGTTCAGCGGACCTTCTATGTCTGTCGAGTCGCCAAAGTCTGCCTTGTCAGCCGCGCCCGCCAGCTCATGAGTTGAGGAGCGAGGAAAGGGGGACGTACCGTTCATGCACACTGCGATCTTGTACCCATGTTGTTCTTTCAGGATATAGCTGAATCCTGTCAGCTTCTGCAGAAATTGTGCACGCCGGCAAGGGTCATGGTAGCTTACTCTAGTAGAGTGGACTTCCCAGCGCCGAGATACCCCGTCAGAATCGTCAGAGGGACTTTACGCCTTTCGTATGCGTCGACCTTTGCAGCTGATCTTGATGACCCAGCGGAAGCTGAGGTATCACCATCATTGACTGACGAGCCTGTGCGTCCCTCATAAGGAGATGCATCGTCAATGTCGATAAGCCTAAGAAGGGACGTATCAGCTGGATTGCAGGACTTGGCAGCTGGTCACCAAGATGGAGTGGCTGAGAAGGAGGCGGGACTGACTCGGGTGCCTCGTCTTCTGGGTCCATGCTGCTCCGTGCGCCTAAAAGTTGCGGGAGAGCGGTCTAGATGGGAAAGCAAGAGAATGGAGCGAAGTCAAGACACTTGAGCAAAATCCTGGCTGCTTGGTCCGCCAAAGTGGAGGCGCTTCCATTCCTCCGCAAAATGAATCTACCACGCAGTGCCAGAGGCCGGACTATGCTCCTGACGGACTACAAACGGTCACCTTGCTATGCATAAAGCGCAGGGATCTAGCTGGCCTATACACTCTCCAGGTACCTCTACTACTCCTCGTCCGAGTCCTGCTCCTCGAGGAACTGCCCCAGTCAGCTTGTTTTCCCACGTTCGAGTGCAGGCGCGAGCTCACCTTGACCATCGCCTCGGTCATTTTCAAGAAATGCTGCTTCCCATTCGGCTTCGCCCCCTTCTGATGCCAATAAATGATCGCCTGGTCCGACACGCAGTCCTTGTTGTACAGGACTTTGAGGATGTGCGGGAAGGTCTTGAGCAGCCGGGTATCGGTGTAGCAGTAGACTTGGACGGCGTTGATCAGGGTCACTTCGGCCTTGGCGCCGTTGGCGAATGCTTCGAGGAGGGGTGCGTAGGTCTGGAGTTCAGCTAAGGATTAAAAGGCGAAGGCGAGGGAGGGCTCACAGTGATGTGCTGAACCATCGCTGCGTCAATCTGGTCTGGGCGAGCTGACCAGTCAAAGGATTTCATCAGGGCTTGCCAGATCCAGTCGACCATGTCGGTGTCTGGGACTGGCTTTTCTGCCTGGCCAGTTTGGAGCTGTTCGAGGATCTATAGAGTCAGCTGGAAGTCGCAAGCCCTTACACGTCTTTTCAACTCACCTGGTCGACTGGCTCCTCGTCATTGATCATCCTCACAATGTTCTGCACCAAATCCTCCTTGCTCTCATTCATCGCCATCTTGGTGTACCACTCTGCGACCTGCGGCAGTCCCTCCGCCTTGAAGTGGTCCTCGACCTGCTTCCTGCTTCGCGTCTGGTGCGGGACTGTCAAGGCGATATCCTTGAGTCCGGAGCGGCGGAACGTGAGGCCGAGGTGGTCCATGTTTTGCTTGGACAGGTAGGTCTTGGCGAAGGCGGTAAGGAAGTTGAGGGATACATTGTCCTTGACGACGTGATCCCTTGTGAGCGTCAAGAGACACTTGGGGGAGATGCCGACCTCGACGATGAGGAGCGCGACGGCCTCGGCAAATTTAGCGCGTTGGGCGGGTTCCCATTTAGGAAGGTAGCCGAGGATGTCGGGCAGGAAGTTCTCCTCGAGAGGTTTCTGCAGGTACTTGAACCGCTGCATTACCCGCTTGAGGGTCTCAACCATGCCCGTGACGGGGTTGAAGACCTCGCCTCCATCGGTAGGGGCGTCATGCTCGGACGCGGGCTGGAGGACATAGACGGGAGACCGCTTGTCGTCGAGGTAGGATCCACCCGGCTGGAGGAGACCGCCAATGAAGAGGACCTCAAAGAGCTGCTCGTAGTATTTAAGGAGCTCGAGGGTGGCGCCTGCCGCGAGGAGCTTGTCGACGAGGGCAGAGACGGTAGGCGGCTCTGGGACGAGTGCGAGGTGGAGGAGGAGCGAGTCGCGGAAGCCTAGATGTCAGCCGTGCCTAGCAATGAATGGGGAGTGGAGCAGGATGGAGTAGGAAATATGGATTGGGAGCAAAGTGGGGGCTCAGATAGTCGATATTTGTAATGTCCATACTACCCGTATTGCTACGAGCTGCCTGCGTCGAGACCTACCTTCTGGATCCAGCTTTGCGGTTGCCTTTGCTGCGCCCTTTCTCTGCCTTACTCTGACACCTGCTAACGTGGGTTTTGGTGTAGCTGCATTACCCTGTGGGGTGGGTGGTGTGGGCGTGTGAGACATGCAATAGGAGATGGGTGTGATGGGTGAGCGGGGATGGCTGAAGGGAGGTATAGCTGAGTGTAGAGGTTGAGGTGGTAGCTGCAGCGGTGAGGAATTCAACCTTGGCCGAGTAGGCGGGACCAGAATAAAGGGGGGGATCAGACAAAGGATGGCCGGCAATGACGTCTTTGTCGCCACTTTGGCTGCCGGCCCCACCATGTCTCTGTATGACTGCTCCAGCTCCGTTCGTATGCATGCAAATCTGCTGTAGCACAGGGAGATACTTGCAGGAGCAGCCAGAGGATAGCGAGATGTGCCGCAGAATTATACAGCTTGAAGCAGCAAAATGGGGATTCCAGACCTGATTCCAGTGAAAGCCGTTGCTCCCGGCTGGGTGGCGCCACAAAAGGCCCAGCTGGCTGGCCTCCATGCCGGCCGGGTATTCTCGCCTCTTTTGCACCAAGTCAATCTATACTCGAGCCGTCTACTATTCTCAGAGGCGTATCTCTTCTACCTACTTTACTGTCGGATTCTTGCGTCGACAAATCTCTCACATCATCTGCACAGTTGCGGTCAGACAACAAAATTGCTCGGTATCATACGGTGAAACCCTAGAATTTTCCCTCGTCCGCCGACCCCTCCTTTGGCTTGTTAGCCCTTGCTTGGCCTGGAGGCTGGAGCACTTAGCTCGAGCACAGCCCGTCCATCCACTCTATCTCCTACGCTCCCTCTTCAGCACCCGACGACTATCCATCACCATACCGCCCATCGCTCTTTGGGACCTCCCAACGACCATGGCGCCCCAAACGACACGTCCGGGCAGCCCTGTCCGTCTCCCCCCAGAGGACACTCGCCCGAACAAGATCGTGAACCCTAATGGACCCAAGTATCCGTACAAGATTGATCCACTGCCGGATGGACTGCAGACGTATGAGGAGGTGGTGAGGGATTTACGGCGGTTACTGGGGAAGGAGCCGGGATATTTCTTGGTCCATGGGCGGGATGATGAGGGGTGAGTCGGTGTCGGTGTTATGGGCTATGCGGTGCTGATGGGCAGATATGACGTCTCTACGAGTATCTTCAACGGTGCAATAGTATCTGCTGCTACGGCGGTGGTCAAGCCTACCAACGCCCGGCAGGTCAGCAAGTGGGTTCTGTCCTTGATACTTAGCTGCGAAGCTGACCCTGCAGGACCATCAGATACTGCCGCGAGCACGACCTACATCTGTCCGTCAAGGCGGGAGGTACTGGAGTGCACGGCCAATCCGTATGTTCACTGAACTACCCTCTCTGACTATAGATTGCCGGACATATCATCCTCGACCTCGCTCTAATGACCGAAATCACCGTCTCTCTTCCTACACCCTCCGCCATCACCCTCCACGAATCCTTCTCCCAGCTCCAACTCGCACCGCAGCGGACATCGCCCAAGGCCACTGCGCCAGTCTACCTATACAAGCGGTCCCTCGATACCGAAGCGGACAGTGCAGACGCCAGCAAACGCAAGCGGGACCTCGACTCTATCCGGGATGGCCGGATGGGCCGATCATTCGGGAGCGGGAGTGCAAGTGGGAGTGGGAGCGGAAGTGGGAGCAGGAGCGGCAGTGGGAGCAATACCGGCGCGGACGATTTGTCGTACTCTGCCGAATTGTCGCAAATCCTCAGCCGGGATGGGAGTAGTGGTAGCGGGAGTAGCAGCGGACGAAGTCGGAGTCAAGGTGATTCTTCCACCCCGCCGACATCGTTCGAATCGCACAACCCGTACGGCGGGGGCAGGGCGAAGCCGCAGGATGTTCCTCGACCTATCATCTCTACCCAGTCGGGCTCAATCTTCCAATACTCTGGCTCGGCATCCTCCCTCCCTTCCGGTAGTCGAACGACCTACATCAACCCCTCCCCTGTAACATCGACGACATTCGGTTTCGCCCCTTCTCCTCAATCTTACTCTACCCCAGCGTTCAATCCCAGCACCTTTGACCCTACCTTCGGCCAGCCGTACACCAACTGTAACCCCAATCCACCCACCCACACTATCGTCACCTTTGGAGCGGGCACGCATTCCAAATTGCTAGACTCGACGACAGCGCGGTCGCCTTATGGCGCATTCTACGTCCCCACCTCGGCGTTCCCGGTCGGTGCGGGTCAGTTCCTGCTAGGCGGGTTTGGGTTCCTAGGTCGACAGCATGGGCTGGCGATGGATAATGTGGTCGAGGCGGAGGTGGTGTTGGCGGATGGACGCATAGTGTGGGTAGGCGAGAATGGGATGGCTTCTGGCGAGTGGGCGAAAGGGGAGGATCCAGAGGAGTTTTGGTGGGGATTAAGAGGAGCCGGACCCGCATTGGGCGTGGTGACTCGATACAGAGCGAAGGCGTACTACATTCCCTCTGTCTACGCTGGGAACTACATCTAGTACGTTCACCCTCCGTCTGCTAGGATCCAGCTGACCAGTAGCGTGTTTGACAAAGCCACAACCCCCTCCCTCCTCCGACACGTTCGCGACTGTATCAAAGGCGCCCCACGCGCCCTCTACGCCAACATCATCATGACGGCCGGTCCGCCCGGTGCGCCCGCTATCGTCGTCATCCAGATGTGCTACGAGGGTCCTCGGTCCGAAGGGGATTTGTACATCCAGGCGATTGGGTCGTGGGAGGGTGGAAGACCGCTTTTCCAGGATTTTTCGGAGAGGAGCTTTGAGAGGCAGCAGTTGGCCGTGGAGGAGGTGTTGAAGGGCGGGCATGGGAAGAAGTGGTACGTTCTTTCGAAGCTAGGCTGTGGGCCGAGCTGATATCTTGTCAGGTATATCAAATCGGATATGATCGAGTCGTTGACGGATGAGGGGATCGATGGGACTTGCGCCCGGTTCGATTCTGTCCCTGATGGGTGTAGTACGTTTGTCTTTGCCTTGTCGGAAGCGAAGGTACATATGCTGACCCCTCAGCGTGGCTGTGCGAGTTCACGGGCAACGGAGCGGTCGGAGATGTCGCCGATTCATGTTATCCCCAATCACACCGGAAAGCCATGTTCACCGTCGCGGCGTTACACCAGTGGGCACACGACGAGCCCCCTGCTCTGGACACGAAATGCGTCGTCACTGCCGAAGCGTGGATCAATGAGGTCATGCGGCCGGTCTCGGTTGGTGGGCCATTACCTTGTGTGAGCTCCCATCTTTTCCCCCAACAGCACATGGGCGAATGATTAGCGGTGTACTCGAGCTGATACTCCAGTTCCTCCAATCCTCAACCCCCGAAGACGTCAAACCGGTATATGGTAAATCCTACCCCCGTCTCCTCGCGCTCAAGACGAAAATGGACCCCGAGGGGTTCTTTTGCCATTCCATGTTCCCGCGCCCGCATGCGCCGGACGAGTGGGGACAGCTCCCGCCGCTTACGCAGGCGAGGATGAGGAGGGCGCATGCCGAGACGGAGAGGTTGAGGGGGAAGGGCAAGGCGGGGGGGTCGGGCGGGGGTCGAGGAGGTCCCGGCGAGGGTGATGGCGAGGGTGGGGAGGGGGATGGGAAACAGGGTGAAGAAGCGGGGTCGGAGGAGGACAAGATGGAGGTGGAATTGAAGGGGACGGAGGTTGTTGCGGAGGCGAGCTGAGGCGCGAGGAGCGAGGAGTAGGGGAGATCTTCTTGGCCTCTTGGTGTATCATATAGTGGACAAACTTTAACTTGTTTATGCAGACCCGCTTGTGCAGCTCATACTGTGACTGACTATACTATAGCTCGCGAGTCAAAGTGAAGATGATGTATATACAATTGCATGATGTGTACCGACTATGATTGCTATGATACAGAACATGAGCTACTACCATATACAACGAGAAGACTATCTACAGCACTGATATCTGCCTCTTCCTCCTCGAGCTCATCGACCGTTATGTCCCTCCGCCTGAGACCGCTATCTTCCCTGGTGATCCCTTCCTGAACGATTGGCTTGACTACCTCCACCTCCTCTTCCTCTTCCTCTTCTTCCCCTTCGTCATCACACACAGCTTCTCCCCTTCTCCCTCGGAATCCAGTACACCACCTACACGCACATCTCCCCGGCCTCACCTCTTCCGCCTCCCTGACTTGACCACTTACTGCCTCCCCGTCGTCCCCTGCGCCTGCGCCTGAGTCGCCTGAGTGGCCTGCGTGGCACTCCCGTCGGTGATGAGCCGGCGCTTCTTGGTCTCGGGGAGTCGGACTTGGTGCGTGGAGGTCTGCAGGGAGACGCACGCGGTTGAAAAATGCGCTCCAGCACGGCGGTAGCGGTCGGTGAGGTCTTCCTTGTCGGCTTGGTGGGTGTTTTTGATCTCGGCGAGGTTGTTGAAGCCTGCAGGGTCAGCTTGGCTGGTCAGAGAGCACGTGACAAGAAGCTCACGCTCGATAAGAGTGTTGTAGAACGACATGGTGCCCTCCAGGCCACCCTGCTGGTTCGCAAAGGCGTCTATATGTCAGCTGAGCTGATATGGTCGCTAAGAGAGCAAAGGAGCTTACCGCTGACCACGTCCCACTGGAGATGCTTCTTGTCCTCGTCCTTGGAAGCCAGTCGCTCCCCACGAGCCGTCGCATGGGATCGGAGACTGTTGGCCCAAAGCTGGCCCTGGTTGACCGAGCAGGGGATCGAAGAGGGAGATAGGAGCTCCTTGGCGACGATGAAGTGGCCAGTCGGGACAGGGGGAAGAGGGGGTTTCTGTAACTGTATCAGCTTGAGCTCAGCGATCATAGCGGTCAGGCAAGACTGTCGAACTAACCTCCTTGACTACCATGGCTCCGCTAGTAGCCCCTCGCTTATCGCCACCGGTGACAGCGGGCTTGTTGACAGCCTCAATCGAAGTGATCGCCTGGTCGCTGCCGAAGGTCAAGACTTCGGAATCGTCCTGAGCAGCGGATGGACCGTCGCCTTTACGAAGCGGACCTTGCCCCTGTTGAGGAGGACGAGGCTGGGGAGGCCTCTGACCGGATTGCTGCCGGGTGTGCGCGCCTGGGATGGGAGGGCCAGTCTGATATATCAGCTTCCTTCCTCAAAGTACCTTCTGTTCTCGTAGTGAGGAATGCTAGCGAGATGACTGACCTGACCCGGCTGACCTCCTCCTCGCGCCGCCTCCGCCATCCTGTACTTGTACTCCATCTGCATCTGCTGCTCCTTGGTGAGCGGCAGTCGATCCCGCTGGCCGCCGGCTGGTCCCTGAGGCCCCGCGGGCCCGCCTTGACCTTGAGGAGTAAAAGCCCGCTGCTGGTTGGGCCTGAACGCCGCATGGCCGGGATGAGGGGGACCTTGTTGGCCTTGCGGATGACCGCCAGGGACGTTCCGACCAGCCGAGTAGTTGGTAGGGTTGAAGCGCATACCGGGAGCTGGAGGAGGGGGCTGCTGCTGCTGATTGGGCTCATCCGGCAGTTCTTCGACGCGAACAGAGGGTTGACGGGTGGCGCTTCGATTGGCATAAACGCTGGGATACTCGGGGGATATAAGGGAAGGATTGGGGACCCGTCGTGGCTGGACTTGGGGGTTGTGGGGACGTTGTTGGTCGGGCGAGTGGGCGGAGAACTGGTCGTCATGGCGGCGATTCAGAGGGCCTGCAGCGGCTTGTCTGTTCTGCTTGGAAGCCATCTGGGTGGTCAGTGACCGATATTAGACCTGGCATATACGGATGGGGAAGAGGAGGGGAAGCGTAAGAGAGGGAGGAAGGAAGGAAGGGAGAAGGAGGAGGAAGGAATAAAGCGTGATGGGGAGGACTCAGTGCCGTATCGAGGTGTGCTATCTCTTCTGAAGCGCGATAAACTCACTTTGAGTCCACTGGAGCACTCTTTGGAGTGAGAGGTAGGTATAAGGGTGGCGAGAAGGACGAAGTACGGATGAGGGGGGAAGAAGGAGAAAGTCTGGGCTTATATAGGGGACGGACAAAGAGGGGACGTGCGCGGTGGAGGTCAGTGAGGGGCTCCAAGGCGGCGTAGAGCGGCAATCGCCGCCAGGACCCTGATCCGTGCGTCTGATCTGACTTTTGAGGGGAGGAGCTTTCAAGGCACTCTGTAGCTCTTCCATCGACGCTCTTGGCTGCTATAGTGAGGATGAGAGGGAAGAGAGCAACAGTGAGTAATGTAGTGGAGCTAGAGAGCCGCTCTCTGACCGGATCAGTCTGCAAATCGATCATGAGAACAGCAGCAGCGAGAGCTCTCGGCAAGCTGCTGGCTCCTTCTCATCGGCCAATACCCATACCCCCATCACAGCCTGGCTGTTCGAGATGGCTCACTTGCACCTGCTGCCGGACGCAGACCTACTTCTCGCCGAACAACACTCGGACCATACAAACTTCAGCCAAGGCACCAGAGCCCGAACCTCCAGCTCAGGAATCAAAGGCGCACTACCTCCCCCTCCCTCCTCGCCTCCCTTACTCCCCCACCTCGGTCCCCTTCAAGCGGCACCTCGAGATACTCTCCCTTTCTGCGCTCTCGTCCACTCAGGACGAATCCTGGCGGGTCTACCTCTCCCTCCATTCCTCCCTTCGCCGATACATCCCTGACGACACATTTCGCTCGCTCCTCGCACATCAGCTGTCCAATTCCTGGCCGAAACAACGATGGGTCCGCTCGCGCGCCCTCATCGAATTCGGACAGAGCTGCGGCATGAGGTTGGAAACGCTGGGTACGGAGGTTCTCGGGAAAGCGCTGGAGGCGGGGTTGAAATATGCGGTGGATCTTAAGACGGATTACGGTGGAATGGCGAGGATCCTGGAGGCGTTATGGGCGGCACTAGCGAGGGTCAAGAAAGGCGATCTGTCGTCGGTCGGGAAAAAGACACGGAAGATGTGGCTGGAGTTCCACCTCCGCGCGATTGCGGAGTGGAAGATGCGGAAGGGACGCGGGGCGAGCGAGTATCCTCTGCGGCGACCTCCGGAGGTTGTCAGAGAGATGGTGTCTTTTGGCGCCGCGAAGGATACGGAGGAGCTGCTGGATGAGCTGCTGAAGAGTGGGAGGGAGGACGCGAAGGAGGCGCTGGAAGTGGGGTTTTGGTGCTGGACCAGAGGAGTGGACATCTCGGACACGACGGTCGAGTGGTGGATGGTGCAACTGCACAAGCAGGGGCAGTATGATTTGCGCGAGACAGTGCAGGAGGCGGGGCGGAATGCGGAGCAGGAGGTCGGGGAACGGATCGATCGGGTGCTCGTGAGCGCTTTGCAGCGGCTCGAGCCGCGAGCGGTTAGGGCGGCACGGCTCCTCGCCCAAACACCACCGGCGGCGGTCGACAGCTTGATCGTCCTCGGATTCAAGCTTCTTCAGGGCCCACCCGCGGACCTGGAAGCAGCTATCGACATCTGTCAGCGCCTCGTCGATACGCGCGGAGCGGACGCGGAGAAGCTATACCACGCTCTGGCGGCAAGGGTGTACGCTTTAGCCGATTTCCCTATGGAAGCCACCATCATCCGGCTCGCCGATACCCTCCTCTCTGCCTCGAAGGATCCCATCTACCACCGGCTCATCCTGCACAGCCTCCTCCCCCTCAGCACGCCCGAGGCGTACACTTCCGCCCGGCGCGTCTATTCCGTCGCTCGGGCATCCGGATACAAGTGGACTCTGGCGAATCAACCGGCATGGCGGACACTCTTCCACCAAGCTGTCGACAATCGTCATCTCCACTTTGCGTCCCGGCTCTACGCCGATCTGCTCGCGGACGGGCGCAGATCCAGTCGGCAGGACCTGCTGGCCATGATCCGCTCGGTCTGCATGAGCAAGAGCGCCTCTCGTCCTATTCTTTTGGAACGGTACCTCCGGGACTTTTTGGACTTCTTCCCCTCCCACCTCAACTCGCTCGTCCGAGCCCTCATCCGCGGCTTGACCACAAACCAGCGGCCGGATGACGCTCAACTCGCATGGACACTCATCAAGCGGCTCAATCATGATGGCGCTCCCGTCCTCCCCCTCGTCGAGATCCTCGCGCTCTCTGCACGGAGCCAACATCGGGAAACCATGTTTGAGATCCTCCGTGCCCAGCCCGCGGAATCCCTCTCTCTTCTGTGCGACGCCGCTCTTACTTCCCTCAGCCAACATGCCAAGTCCACCTCGGACCGGCACTCCCTCTCTCACGAAGAATCCCTCGCTCTCGCCGCAAGCCTCTTTCGCGAGATGGCGGCCAAGCAGATCCCTCCTTCCGCCAAGTCGGCCACCGCAATCATACGCGGTCTGATTGGCATCGGGGAGCTCGACAAGGCGTTAGCCATGCTCGCCGTGGTTGGCAATGCCGGTATTCGCGTAAAATCATCGGCGGTCGGCAGTCTTATGGTACGCTTTGCCCTCGCGGAGCGGTATGACGCGGCGGACGAGGCGGAGCGGACGTGGCGGACGTCATTGTTGACTGGGGATGTTTATGATCGAGGCGTGGTCGGGGCGAGGGCGTTGATGGATGTCAAGCGGGGGAAGAAGGTGGATCTGAAGCGGGTGCAGCAAGAGACGGGGTGGAAGGCTAGAGGGCCATTCCTGAAGTTTTTGAAGAGTCTGGGAGAGGTCCAGGAGGAGGGGCAGGCGGTGGAGGCGGTGAAGCCGGCGGAGCAGCTACTGCAGATTGGGAGTGGGCAGGCCGAGGAGGTTCAGGATGTACAGGAAGAGGCGGTGGTGCCAGTGGACTCCGAAACAGGGAAAAGGACGGTGTCGTCAGTCGGCCTGCGCTTCGGCTCCCCGACGATCAACTTTGGCATGCCTGGTGTTCGGTACGCGACGGTATGAGGTAGAACGGACAATGGGCATGGGACCCAGCGGTGCCCAGGTATCCAGGAGGGGAAGTCAGTATCTAGCATGAGTCGGATCTTGTAGCGAGTACATATTTATCAGGGTTATCAGTAGACAGTATCCATATCTGTATAGATTCCGGAGCGCTGTGCTCTCTCTGTACAGCAGCACCGCTGTTGCATGCTGCGTGAGCTGGCGGAGTACGACGCCAAGGTGCATGGCCGAAGGCCGAGGTGATTTTGCCGAAGGGAAAGGAGGGTGGCTGAAATTCGTAAGGGTCGCGTCCCCGCTGTGCAGGATTTGGCTCTTCGGCAGCAGTCAGCCTGCTCCTTATCTTGACTACCAACATCACCTAATATCATCTCTCCAGCTCTGGAGACGCATCTGCGCAGCCAGAGGGCATGTCTATGACGACCTGACGCGGAGGAACGACTACGAGACACGAGACACGAAAAGGCAAAAACATTCCAGCTGCGAAACCCGCTCGCTCGCTCGCAGCTGCCCAGCCAGTCCGAAGGTATCGACTTGTGCCTTGGCTCAAAGGACCACCGTCGGCGGTTCACGCGCGTCCACATCCTCGGCATACAAGCGACGCGCTCTGTCCGTCCAGACATCGAGCATCAGTACCGTACCACCTCCACCTCGTCCAGGGCACCGCTAGCACTACTCCACGGGGGAGTCGACGTACTCGTAAACGCGTCTTTGTCACCCGGCCGAGGTCCTGCCCGACATGTCCAAGTACGCGAAATTTCTCTCTTCTCCATCTACCATGACTATGACTTACTCTCCCAGATCCTCATACGACATGGAGTCAATCTCTCCCCTCCACGCCGCTTCTGGTTCGGGCAGTAACAGCAATGCCAACGCCTCCTCCTCACGACCTTTTCGGCGGCACGACGACTATCTCGACATTGACGAGGAGGAGGATATGTTTGATCCGTCCGGTATCGACCCCGCTCTGCGTCTGCGGACGACGCGGACGGCGCACTCTGTGCTGGCCGAGTCCATCATGATCGAGTCGGCGCAGGAACGGCGGAAAAGGCGGAGAAAGGAATTGATCTCGACAATCAAGCGCAAGGCGACGATGAGTGGAAGGGGGACGGGTCGAGCGCCGAGTCTGATAGGGTCTATCAGTGGGCGAACGCGGGCGTCCACCATCGGGGATGGGGATAGAAGCGTCGCGAGTGCGGATTTCGGCTCAAGAAGCCAAACCCAGGAGGCGCCTGAAGCTCCACCTACCGTCAAACCACCGACCAAATCCCTTAGCCAGCGCTTCCACGATATCCTCAATAACAAATCTACCCAGCCTGCCCCTCGGCGCATGATCTACGTCAACCTCCCTCTCCCGTCGAATCTCCTCCACAAGGGCGAGCCTATCGTCCGGTACGTCCGCAACAAGGTCCGGACCGCCAAATACACCATTATCACCTTCCTCCCTCGTAACCTCTTTGAGCAGTTCAGGAGAATCGCCAATGTCTACTGTAAGCCATTCTTCGAGCTACACGTTGAGATCAAGCTGATGGCTAGTCTTGGGACTGGTCATCCTCCAGCTGTTCCCGGTCTTCGGTGCGCCAAACGGGCAGATCGGAATGCTCCCCCTGATAGCTATCCTCGGGATGACAGCCATCAAGGACGCCATAGAAGATTGGCGCCGGGCACAGCAGGACGACGAGGTCAACAATTCGGCGACGACCAAACTCGGCGGATGGCGGAATGTCAACCAACCGCGGGACTCGCGCTCCTTCTTTGAGCGGACCCTCGGGATGGGTCAAGACCCAGGCCGGCCATCACGGGGAGTTCGTAAACTACGGGACGCAGAAGCGGCGGTCGGGAAGCAGATCGTCATGGCGGCCCAGAAGGATGATGAGCTGGAAGAGGTGGAAGGCGTGCCGGTGTCATACGGAAGTGAATCTTCCCATGACTTTATGCGGCGAGCACCCAGCTCGGCAAGTGTCCTTTCTAAACGCAGTATAGGCGTTGTCGACTGGTCCGCTCCCGCACCCGGTACCGCCAATTGGGAACGCACCTTATGGTACGTCCTCTTTTGGATCTCGCTGACAAGCAGGAAAAAGCTCGAAGTAGGCGATCTCGTCCTTCTCCAAGAGAACGAACAAGTCCCAGCCGACATCATCGTCCTCTCCACCTCCAACGCCGAAAAGAATTGCTTTGTCGAAACCAAAAACCTCGACGGCGAGACCAATCTCAAAGTCCGGCGCGCTCTCAAAGCGACGAGCAATATCGCTTCCGAGGAGGATATCGAGCACGCCCGGTTCGTTCTCGATTCGGAACCGCCACATGCGAACCTGTACAGCTATAACGGCGTCTTGCGGTATTCGCTCGGGGGGGACAAAGGGGCGGAGATGAAGCAGGAGGCGGTGACGATTAATGAGCTGTTGCTGAGGGGGTGTTCGTTGAGGAATACGAAATGGGTGATTGGGCTGGTGGTGTTTACGGGTGGGGATACCAAGATTATGATCAATGGAGGTGATACCCCGTCGAAGCGGAGTAAGATTGAGAAGGAAACAAGTGAGTACTAAAGGAAGGACAAGCTGACCTTCAGATTTGTATGTTCCCATCAGACTTTTCCTGCAGAGATACTGACCTGCAGCAATGTCATCATGAACTTTGTCCTCTTGATGGCCCTCTGTCTAGTGACCGCCATTCTACGTGAGTGACCTCCAAGCAAAGCTGATCGCCAGACGCCTACAATCAAAGTCTGCCAAACACCAGTGCCGAATCGTACGAGCCAGGAGCGCAGGATACCGATAATATCGTCCTGGGTGGTGTTATCATTTTTTTGTGAGTAGCGGCTTAAGGCACGCGCTGAGTTTTAGCTCCTGCCTTATCGTCTTCCAGAACATCGTACCAATATCGCTTTACATCACCATCGAGATTGTCAAGACTGTGAGTTGGCACTTGAATTAGAGCTCATTCCCAGATCCAAGCCTACTTCATCTTTCAAGACGTCGAAATGTACTATGACGTCTACGACACCCCCTGCGTCCCCAAAACCTGGAACATCTCGGACGACCTCGGTCAGATCGAATATGTCTTTTCCGACAAGACCGGTACCCTCACGCAAAACATCATGGAGTTCAAAAAGTGCTCTATCCAGGGCATCTCCTTTGGCGAGGGGATGACGGAGGCGATGATGGGCGCGGCCAAGCGGGACGGGCAGGACACATCCACTGCGATGGAGGACCAGGCGGACCAGCTCGAGGATCTCAAACAAAAGATGATCGAGACGATGAAGCCGGCCATTCCCAATCGCTACCTCCGGGAAGATATGTTGACGCTCATCTCGCCCGACATGGCTTCCCGGATGGCCAACCCCTCGGACTCGCTCCGTCCCCACATTGTCGACTTTTTCCGGGCTCTCGCAGTCTGCCATACCGTCCTCTCGGACAAGCCGGACGAAAAGAACCCATACATTGTCGATTACAAGGCGGAAAGCCCCGACGAGGCGGCCCTGGTCGCGGCGGCTCGGGATGTCGGATTCCCCTTCGTCAACCGCAGCAACGACCGGATCGATATCGAGGTGCTCGGCAAGGCGGAGCGCTGGGTACCTCTTCGCGTACTAGAGTTCAACTCTACACGGAAACGGATGAGCGTCATCGCCCGCTCTCCGGACGGACAGATCGTCCTCTTTTGCAAAGGAGCCGATAGTGTCATTTACGAGCGGCTCGACAAGCACCACGACGAAGAGGTCAAGCAAAAGACGCTCAAGGACCTGGAGACCTTTGCAAATGGCGGTTTGAGGACGCTTTGCATTGCCTACCGCAACCTCGGGGAGGAGGAGTTCCGGGACTGGGCCAAGGCGTACGATGCGGCCTCGGCGGCGGTCAAGGATCGGGAAGAGGCCATTGAGCGGTCTTGCGAAAAGATTGAGCACTCGTTGACTATTCTCGGAGCGACGGCGCTCGAGGACAAGTTGCAGGAAGGGGTCCCGGACGCGATTGCCACGCTGCACGAAGCGGGCATCAAGCTCTGGATCCTTACCGGTGACAAACTCCAAACGGCCATTGAAATCGGATACTCGTGCAACCTCCTCACGAGCGACATGGAGGTCATGATCATTTCAACGGATACGGCGGATGGCGCGCGCGCACAAATCGAAGCGGGTCTCAACAAGATCGCGTCGGTCCTCGGTCCACCTCCCGTTCGGAAGAAGGGCGCGCCCCCACCCCAGATCAAGCGCAACAGCACCCAATTCGCCGTCGTCATTGACGGCGAGTCATTACGGTACGCCCTCGGCGCAGAGCTCAAGGGCCTCTTCTTGAGTCTGTCGACGCAATGCACGGCGGTCATTTGCTGTCGGGTCTCGCCCTCGCAAAAGGCTTTGACGGTGCGGCTGGTCAAGGAGGGATGTGACGCAATGACGCTGGCGATTGGGGATGGCGCGAACGATGTGGCCATGATCCAAGAGGCGAATATCGGGGTGGGGCTGTTTGGTCTGGAAGGATCGCAAGCGGCCATGTCGGCGGACTACGCGTTTGGGCAGTTCAGATTCCTCACCAGGCTGCTGTTGGTGCATGGGAGGTGGTCATACGTCCGAGTCGCGGATATGCACGCCAAGTAAGTCCTCGTCTGGATCTAGCTGATATCAGCTTTTTCTACAAGAATGTCATCTGGACCATCTCCATGTTTTGGTTCCTCATTTTCAACAGCTTTGACGCTACCTACCTCTTCGAGTACACCCTCCTGCTCTTCTTCAACCTCTTCTTCACCTCCCTCCCCGTCGCCGTCATGGGTATCTTTGAGCAGGATACCAACGCCGCCGCCTCCATGGCCTTCCCGCAGCTTTACAAGCCGGGGATTGTCGGGTCGGCATACACCCGAACCCGGTTCTGGCTGTACATGCTGGACGGGCTGTATCAATCCGCTGCGGTCTTCTTCATCCCCTACGCGGCGTACGGAGCGGGCATCACCTGGTCGTCCAACGGTCTCGACACCAACTCGCTATATGACCTTGGGTCGACCGTCGCTTTTGCGGCGGTATTGTCCGCTAACGGGTACGTCGCCATCAATAGTCGTTACTGGACCATCATCACCTGGGTCGTCTACGTCGTTTCGACCCTCCTCATCTACATCTGGCTTCCCATCTACTCGGCCATCGCGGCACCGCCATTCAAAGGCACCGTCAGCGTCATCTTCCCCACCTTTACATTCTGGGTCACGACCATCCTCACCCTCTTTGTCTGTATCGGACCACGGTGGCTCGTCCGGTCCTTCCGGCAGTCATACTTCCCGGACGATAAGGATATCGTGCGGGAAGCCTGGATCGCGGGAGATCTCAAGGATCAGCTGGGACTGGCGCACCGGCGGAACAAGCAGAGAAAGAGAGGGAAGGGCAAGGACATTACACCACAAGAGTCGCCAGACCTGGGCAAGCCCGTCACAGCGACGGAACGCTTTGCAGACGATGAGCGGGGATTTTACCGCGCCACAGACCTCAGCAGTCCGCGTCGCCCCCGGTCACTCGTCTCGCAGGACAGCCGGGATCCTTTCGCCTACCCTCCCAGCCCCCTCATCCGGCATACCCTCTCCCCACCGCTTCTCGGCCCCGGATCGTCAGGGATGCAAACCCCACCTCTCACGCTCTCCCGGAATGACCCCCTCCACTCCCCTCCATCCTCCGCCACGGCCCAGGCATTCCAAATGGCCCAAGCGGAGATCAACCGCATGTCCCGCTCGTCGGCAGATCTGGACCGAGCAGCCAATTCTCCTCCGCTCAGCGCGGGCAGGCCAGGCCCCATCCGCCGCGGCTCGTCTCGGAAACAGACACCCACCAAGGCGAACCTGTCCATCCCGGAGCAGCGGCGGTATGACGATACGCAATCCCCCACGCGAGCGAGTTTTGAAATGCTAGATAATGTAGACTTTTCGTCGCCGACGAGAAGAGCAAGAGCGGGAGAAGTGGCGGGCAGGGGATCTATAGATGGGACGTCAAGGGATGGCGGATTTGCATTGTAGAAAGTAGGGATCTTTATATTTGTGACGCAGTTCAAAGGATGCATCTTGGCTTGCTTATGTTACACACCATACTCCTCCCTCAGCGCCCGCTTTCGCACATCCAACAGAACCTTGGCCATCTCTTCCGGTGTAGGCATGACAGGTGGCTCGAGACTTTTTGGGTCCAGCATACCCAAGAAACTCCGCGCAAGCGCCTGGCGCGGATCTGAGGGTGTAGGTCCCGCCGCTTCCTCTTCTGTTGTCTTTGCCTTCTTTGACCCGTCCTCGTCCTCCGCTTCCATCTCCACGTCTGCGGCCTCGACCACGGCTTCCGCCGCCGCTGCCGCTCCTCGGGTCTTGCGCTTCGTCGACTTTTTGGCTGGTGGGGGTGCTTCGGCTTCGGCAACGGTTTCTGCTGCAGCGGTGGTGGAGCTTTCGGCGGGTGCGGCGGTGGGATATGGGATGGAGATCTCCGCTATTGACAGGGTTTTGGCTGTTTCTGCTACGGCCGCCTCCCAATCTATAAAGTCAGCGCTGCCTTCAAGTGGCGGGAGCAGACATACCTTCTCTCGCTAATTCCTCCTCCTCTTGTGCGAGCTTCTCGTCCATCTCGTCTAGGTCCCCATAGTACTCCGGCCCCTGGTGCCGGAACATCTGGAAGCTAGCATTCCGTGCCGACTCCTCGGATGCCTGAGTAGCTGTATGTCAGCTCTTGATTCGATTGTGCCACTCACATCCTCGGGTGAAGAGCTCCTTCACTCCAGGCAGATCTTTCGCTCGTCCAAAATACCTATTCATCAGCTCTGCCAATTCTCAAGACTCACTTGTATCCCCTCGTTCCTGGTACTTCCTTCCCATCATCCCCCACCATAGCTCCGGCCGCACGCTTATAATTCGCCCCTCCCAGATTCACAATCTGCGTCTCCCAATGCCGCTTCTCCCGCATGAGCTGATTGATATCGTCGTTGAGATCCCGGATCTCATAGTCGGTCATTGTCGCTGGACATCAGCTATGATCAGCGATCTTGACGTACAGTCCTGAATTTTGGACACCTTCCTGCTGATATCCCGCAGGATATCTCCTCTCCACCGCTCACAGTCGCGAAGACTTGTGACGGACGAGGCCATCCGAGGGCGTCTGTCGCCTTTGGTCCGGTTCCCCATGCCCATATCGACCGCTTGTTGTTCGCGGAAGCGATACAGCATGGACTGGGCCTTTTCTCCGTTACGTGCCATCTTGTCGAGTCGAAGTGGGGGTTATAGATATATGAGGGTGAGATGGTATAGTCGGGAGCCTCTGCTTGCTTGCTTTGGGTGGAGACAGGTGAATCCTAATTCATCCCTCCACTTACTCGGCAAGGCCTTTCCCCCGCGCGCGTAGATGAGCCAGGTGGACAAAGAAACGACCTACAACACCTATCATACACCTTGCTTGCTCTGCTCTCTCGTCTACTGCTGGCATACAGACCGGATCTGGGTTCGCGCACAGCCCCAAAACATCGTGGTAAGACGTCGGAAGGCCAACTCGCCGTTGATCTCGGCCTCGTCTACCTTTTCCGCGCGTCCACCGAAATATCGCCCATGTCGCTGGCAGCAACACGGTGAGCCTAACAATGGCTCCAGCACCTTCCGATCGCCCATCAACCTCCCCCGTTACTGCCAAAGCACCACCTACCGGGCCAAAAGCCAGTCGAGGACCTGTCGTCAATGGTCACGCGCCGCCGGCCAGCATACCGGAGAAGCGCAAGCCTTTCTCTATTGCCTTCCCTACAAATGCCGCAGCTGGACCAAGCAGGCCGCAGAATGGGCAACTCCGTCCATCAGTGCCAGCGGGGCCTGCTCGCGGTCTGCCTCCGAATGCATTCGGGCAGTACTCGGGCCAGCAGAATGGGCATCAACAGCGGTACCAGTCTGGTGGGCAGCCGGCGTACACTCAGCAGCGCCCGCATGCCGCGCATCCGCTGAACGGCTCACTTCCACACCACACACAGCCAAATGGATCCCGTCAACCTCCGGCCGGTCCGTCACGCTCGGTCCCTCCACCACCACCATCAGAGCCGCCCCCACCACCTCCATCTGCGAAGGAACCCCCTCCGCCGGCACGAGCAGCACATTCACCCGATACCCCTCCCCACCTCGCACGCAAACCTCCACCTCCGATAGCCACTCCAGCTCGGATTCCTGCGGACGACCCACCTCAGACACCACCCATCGTCCCAGACTACCAGTCCAAATGGCTGCCTTCGGAGAAGGCCGTACGAGCCCCGGTCAAGATCAGCCTCTCTACCTTGCCTATGGCCAAGCTCCCTCCACGCGTAAAGCCCAGCTCCAAGTTGGAGGCGGTCGAATTGCGCTTGGAGACGGGGCGAGTCTTTGTGATGGCTTCACCTCCGCGCAAGGGCGAGTCAGCGCGTCCACATTCTCCAAATGGCCATTCTCCACCTCCTCCCCCACCATCGGCTCGTCCACCATCCCCTCCACTACGGAAATCGCCGCCTCCCTCTCCACCTCGCGGAGCTCCACCTGCCCCTCCACCCCTCGAAGCCTCAGACAAAGACCGAGACTCGGCGAGCGTGTCTCCAACTACCTCCACCTCGCGACCGCGGATAAAGCGACCAGAAAAACCACCTCGGGTCAATTGTCCGCCAACTCCTCCCCCACCACCCGTAACCAGACTTCCTACCCCACCTCCGCCTGCCCGCAATGCGTCGTCAATACCCTTGCCGCCACCCTACCACTTTCGAGATTTGGCTCCGGCCCGTCCCGCAGACTCAGAATCGGACGACGAGTCTCGCTCGTCAGAGAGGCGGACTCCTAGACGTGATTCTCCCGAGGAGTCTCCTCCTCGCCTAGTATCTCCACCCCGGAGAAGGCGGACACCGACGCCAGAGCCGGCGAAGGAGCCGGAGTGGACGCCTCCGGCGTGTTTCCACAACAGGGAGGCGGGTAGTTTTTTGAAGACTTTTGCGACAGAGGGGAAGGCAGAGGCGGTACGAAAGGATGGGAAGGAAAAGGAAGGCTTCATGAAGGTGGTCGACCCACGGCTATTGGAGGTGCCAAAGGCAAAGCGGCCAAGACTGTTCTCTGAACTCCAATGGGACGTAAGTTTTGGCTCGTGACTAAGCTGATAGACAGTGGCAGGACGATGTTTCCGTCGGCAAGAAACCCCTCTCTCCACCTACAGCGGTCCTCATCACTCAGCTGAACCCGCTCACCACTGCCGACCAGATCAAGACCATGATTCGACAGTACGGGACGATACGCAATTTCGACAACAAGGTGCACCCAAAGACCGGAATGCAGATGGGAATATGCTGGATCCAGTTTGACGAGCCCAAGAAGCAAGCGGGGAAACTCTCGACAGCGTACGATGTCGCGGTCAACTTTGTCAAGGCCTGCGACGGGATGAGGGTCGGGAGGCAGCCGGACGAGCGGATCAAGGTTGTGCTGGATGGAAGAGGCGAAAGGGCGATACAGGCGGTCAAGGAGGCAACCGCGCCAAGAGAGACGCGGGAGAAGCCAGGTATGGTGGTGTCCAATCCACCTCCGGTCAAAGCTCCAATCGCAGCTCCCCCAGCGGCGGCACCAGCGGCAACGGCTACCCCAAAGCTTCCGGCGATACCCACACCGGTGTCCCGACCGGTATCCACTCCCGTCAGCGGCCACGCCACGCCAATGGTTACCGCCAATGCTGGTGAGGAGCGCAAGCTCCCTATTGCTGTACCCCTCACCGGGAGAGTATACGGCTTGCCGAATCGTCCGACTCAACCGTCGTCATTCGCTCCGCGGGTTGCTCAACCCGTCCCTCCTCCCCGTCCGGCGGTTCGCGATACCTACCAGCCCCCTTCTGGTAGGAGCTCGACTTACCCCACTTCCTATCCCGCACGACCCCCCACCAATCCCCCTATCAACGGCTCGGCGTATCCCTCTACCTATGCTGCGGCTCACACCAACACCTATCAGCAAGCACCATCTCGGCCATCGACATCGCAACAACTCCCTTCATCCTTCACCGAGGCGCCGTTCGGTCTTCCGAGAAGGCGCAGAGATAGTAGCAGTAAGAGGGAAAGTGGGAATGGGCGGTACAGCAGGGATAGGGGGCGAGGTTATAGCAGGGACAGCAGGGACAGAAGTACCAGCAGAGACCGCGGACGCAAAGCCGACCACTACATTGCTTCCCGCTCGTCTTCCTACTCTCGATCCCCATCCCGCTCGCGTTCTCCCCGGCGTCGTCCTCTGCCCCGCAGACCTCGAGACCGCCGCCATCCTAGCGACTGCTCGACGTGCGATTCGGACTCCGATTCGGATTCGGACATGCGGGGGAGGCGAAAGTTGGCTCCCAAGTCCAAGGGGAAATCTGCAGCTCAGCAGAAGGAGATGGAGAGGACCAAGGCGGCGCTGGAGGCGAATGGCAAACCGGCGCTGTATGTCGTGGGGCCGAACCTCGCGAAGGCTCAGGCCAGCGAGGAGGATCTCAAAGACCACTTTAAGAAGTTCAAGCCTGAATCTGTGAGTCCTTCTTTGGCGCTGGGGTGTACCAAGCTGATCATCAGATCCTGAGCTCTGGCGATGGCTTTTACGTCCTCTTCACCGAGTTCTCGGGCGCCAAAGACGCCACATTCCTCGACAAAACGGTCTGGCGAGGCTGCAAGCTCAGCTTGACGGTCAAATCGGATCACGTCAAAGCTCTCCCCAACGACGCTACGGGCATGGACAAGTCCATGGCGGCCGCAGGTAAGATGAGCTGGCAGATGATGACGATTGGGAAGCGGAAGGTAGCGCAGCCTGCCAAGCCTGTCCCGGTGGTGGCTATTCCCAAGAGGGCTCCGCCAGCGCGGAAGAAGGTGGAGACGGACTCGGAGGAGGAGCGGCCAGTATCGCGATCGAAAGGCAGGGCGCGGGCGTACACCTCGTCCAGCAGCGACCTGTCGGAAGAGGAGGAGAAGGCCGTCAAGCCTAAACCCAAGTCTACGCCCAAAACCACGCCCAAACGCGCCAGGCCTACCGTTTCTACCGCGGATACCCCTATACGTACCCCGTCGCCATCCCCGCCCCCACCCGTCATCGAAGAGGTCGTCGAGGAAGTCGTCGAGGAGGAAGAGGCGGTACTGGCGCCCAAAGCGCAGGCTGGGAAGAAGCGAGCAGGGACGGCCAAGACCTCCAAGAAGGGCAAAAAGGCTCGGATCGAGTCGCCTGCTCCCCTCGTCGAGGCTCCTCCGCCTCCAGAGCCCGAGGTCGCCGAGATTACCATTGCTCCGAAGAAGCAGCCAGCGTCCAAAAAGGCCAAGGTCAAAAAGGTCCCAGCTGGACCGCTGGACAAGCTGGTCGCGGACGGACTCGTCGAGGACGAGGAGGACGCGTACTTCTTGTCCCAAGTCCTCGAGGAGGCGCCGGAGCCCGAGCCATCGGACGAATCCGACGAGGAGGCGGACCTTCTTCCCGAGGGACACCCACTGTTCCACTCTTCCGGCTCTTGGCGAGCCCAAGGGGTCCGCAAGGTCCCTCACGCCCCCAAATCCGCGTACCTACCCCAGCGAAACCGAGCCCAAGCTGCAGCGGAGGCCACAGCCGCCTCCGCCAACGGCCCCGGCCTCACCACCGGCCGGACCGCCCGTGTCACCGGTCGTCGTCTTGCCCTTGATATGGAAACCCATCGCAAGACCACCATCAACACGGCCGAGTCGGATCTCTTTGCCTTCAACCAGCTCCGGATCCGGAAGAAGCAGCTCCGGTTCGCACGGTCCGCGATTGAGGGGTATGGGCTGTATGCGATGGAGACGATCCAGACGGGCGAGATGGTGTGCGAGTATGTGGGCGAGCTGATCAGGTCGGTAGTCGCCGACTTGAGAGAAGCCAAGTATACCAAGCAGGGGATAGGGAGCAGTTATCTCTTCAGGATAGACGGGGATGTCGTGTGTGATGCGACGTTCAGGGGGAGCGTTAGGTGAGTCTTGAGTTTGGGGTATGGGCAGAGCTAATGGACAGTCGTCTGATCAATCACTCGTGTGATCCCTCGGCATCAGCCAAGATCATCTCCATCAACGGCCAATCCAAGGTATGTCCCCTCTCGCATGCCCTTAGAAGAGAGCTCACTGCCAGATCGTCATCTATGCTAAACGCCAATTATCCCCAGGCGAGGAGATACTGTACGACTACAAGTTCCCGCTCGAGTCAGATCCAGCGCTGAGGGTGCCGTGTCTGTGCGGATCAAAGATATGTCGGGGGTTCCTGAATTAGGTCGGAGTGTGTAGTTTTTAGCATAACAGTCATAGCATATACAGTGATGCAGGTCAATATAGGGATGGTCCCGCTCCAGGCCGCGCTCCTCCTTTGCGACTATAGCACAATCTCCATATACACAAATGTTATCGACAATAGATATACCAACAGCCCAAAAGATCCACCACAAGCAGAACCCCTCCCTACTCCTTCACCCAGCAGTGCTCCATCACCCCGCTCAGATCGTGTACCGCCTTTCCATCTCCGGGTCCGGCTCCTCCATGATCCCCAACAGCTTCTTCCTGGCCGTCTCGACCAGTTTTGTGATCTTTGCCTTCCCACATGGCTTGACAGCCCACTCGTCAAAGCCAGCCCTACAACATCAGCCGAGATCCACATCGGAAATGGAACTTGACTCACTTCCAACCCTTCCTCTTCTCATCATCGGCCGACAAAGCAGTCACAGCAATGATCTCCGCTCGTGATCTGTGCGGATCCGCCTTCTCCATGTCCCTCATCTCCTGGCAGGCCTGATACCCGTCTTTGTTTGGCATGTTGATGTCGAGGAGGCATATTGTCTTGGACTGGCCGAGGGCTGTGAATTGCTCTACAGCCTCGACACCGTCCGCTGCTTCGATCACGTCGACGGGCTGCACCGTCAGCTCATTGTAGCATCCAAGACAGGATGTCAACTTACAAGCTTGCTCAAGATCTTGACGAGAATCTTCCGATTGATAAGATTATCCTCCACCACCAACACCTTGACCTGCTCCGGCTCCAGCACGTCCATAGGTGACTCCAGCACCCCGCTCGAATCCCCACCGCCGCCTACACTAGTATCTGGCGTCCCGTGCAGACTGGACCCTTCCATCAATTCCGAGTGAACCGTTCCCGGTGTGGACTGACCGCCATCGGAGCCGCGACTCGTCGTCCGCTTGAGGTCAACTCGGCGTGTAGCGGAAAAGTAGTCGCCGAGGGACAGGTTAGCGATCGCCTCCATGATGCACATCCCCTTGGGTCGCCAATTAGACGTGACGTCCATGGATTGGCTTGTCCGGTGCGCGCCTGGACGGGAGGAAATTGGCAAAGCGGCCTCGTCGATTTTGACCGCCTTCGGTGCGCCTCCGAGCGAGGGCGAGCTGATGCCAGACGACGCAGATGTACGTCTGCCTTCGCTCTCGGATGACCGGTATTTGAGATGCTGAGACTGAGATTGTGCTCGGGCGGGCCGGGGAAGGAGGGTCTGACGGATGATGGAGGGAGTGACGGGTTTGGGGTAGCGTCGGATAGATCGAGAATGCCGCTGCGCAGCCATGACCACCTCCGGGTGGGGATCGTGATCCGGCATGGTCAAGAAGATGATCTCCCCCGCCTTGGCATTCTCCATCAAAGCCCTACCGTGCGGTACCTCTTCCACCTCCCCATTCGCAACAACGATATCCGCCTCTGATATGTCCACAATCATGGCGCCGTGCTGGCGATAGTGTTCCCGCAATGTCTCCCCCAACCGCCAGAGACCCGTATTCTCCCGGCCGGGAATGTTGAAGCCGACCAACGCGACCTTTTGCCTAGCTGACTTGCTGGCCTCAGCATCGGCGGCGGTCAAACCGTCAATACCGATCGTCGCCTTATTCATGACCGGCACCTCCAGACGCACAAGGCATCCGCGCCCCGGCGCCGAGTGCACCTCCATACACCCGCCCATCATCTCGATGATCCGATAGGCGAGGTGGACGGAAAGGCCACTTCCGGTGGTAAAGGCATCCTGCTTCGCCCAAGGTTCGCCGAGATGATCGCGAACAAACTTGGCCGTCATTCCCGGCCCGTTGTCCTTGATCTCTATCATGACCTTGCGGGACATGCAGACGCCTTGACAATTCTTTGGGGCGTTTGGACCGACCAAGTTCGACAGCTTGATCTCGACGCAGCCTTCGCCTTCGATGAACTTGTACGCGTTGGATAGGATTTTGGTGAGGGCACTGACATTAGCCCATACGAGGCCTAGACGCACCGTCTGAGAGCACCATCTGAATCTTCCATGTAATCCGTCCCTAAGCTCGGCGGGTCGATCTCAAAGATCGTCTCGATACTGTTGAGCGACTGTAGCGCTGAGCGCCTGCTCCGCTCATTATCTTCATGCGCTTGTACGACCACCTCCTCCAGCATGTCCACGAGCAGCTTCTGGTTCGCTCCGGATGCACTAGGTATACGAGGGCTGTTGGGTGTGCTGGCATCCTTGCTCTTGAGATCGAGGAAAGAGAGGATGTTGTCGACGATACCGTGCAGGGTTTTGCCAGACGTGTCGATTGCGTCAAGGATGGGGATGAGATCGCGGATCTGCTGGAGGGAGCTGGTATAGGAGTCGCATGAAGCGGGAGCCTCGGCGAGATCGATCATGGTGGATCGGAGGACCTGCGTGATGGCAAGGATCTGGTGGAGAGGTGTGCGGAGTTCACTGAAATCAGCTTGGCGATGATCCTGTACTCACTGAGCTTGAAGATTGGAGTACGATATTTGGCTCGTCTCAATCGCCCTGACTTTCCGGAAGTTCAGCGCTGCTAGACTCAACCCGCCGAGCACCTGGACGAAAGGCAGAGCCAATGCGCTCGAATGAGCAAAAGACGAAGGCGGGCGATTCCAGGTTGCCAGCATAAGATGCTGGATTTTTCCGTCCGGTCGGAGCATAAAGTGTGCCAGAGCCGTCTCGGCCGAGGATGGGCAGAATGCCATCAGTCTCGCGCCGAGCGAGTCTGGCGGACTGTCTCGGTCCCACCAGAATCGCCTAGTCTGGAGGTAGTTGACGAGGAGCTCGCAAATGGTCGCCTCGGCCGCCGGGCTAGTCAGGGTAAAGGTGGTATGTGGGTCATCGGCTGACGAGGCGAGGAGGGGTGACCGAGGCGTCATGGACGTGGAGACGTGTTGGACGATGGGCTGAAGGTCCTCTGGCCATCCCTGACCCTGCAGGAACTGGCTCAGAGGCGACATGTTGGCGGGATCCGAAGCGGCCTTGTCCAGCTCGAGGGTGTCCGACCCGGTCTGCCGGTAATACAGCTGATAGTCCTCCATGTCGATAACAGCCAGGGCGTCCGCCTCCACAATGCCTCGCAATGTCTCTGCGGCATCCTGGTGGAGATCCAGATTATTGGCTTGCCACCTCCGCCTGGCATCCAGCTGCTCCTTTGGTCCGGCCTTGACCACGAGGGGTGGCAATTCCGCCTCGGCCGCGTCGAAGGGGGAAGCGAGAGGGTCCGTTCGTGCTGTTTCTGGTACGGCCTTGTCCCGCTTTGATCGCCCACGTCGGGTCTTGATCTCGGGCGGATTCTTCTTCCGCGGCGTCGGTCCGTGTGAGGGAGCGCTCTGATTCGGGATGATGGACCGACGAAGAAAGGCGAGGGACTTTTCGTACATTCCCGCCGCAGATTCGGCCAGCAGCTCGGATTGCTGTCTGTCAGTCGAGAGCTCAAGGTGTGGACTTACGAATGTCGCCAGCTGGTACACGAGCATGCTCGACATCTGCAACAACATCGCCTGCTCCCGCTCCGAAAAGGTCGTCCTCGATGATTTGCACATGATGGCTATGCAGCCGAAGGCTACCGGTGGGTCCGCTCTAGCATAGAGTAGTGGAGCAGCAGCAAAGAACTACAGTCAGCTAAACGCTGAGCTTGGGCTTACCTGTGGCGCTTCATCATTCGGCTGGAGTACGGGGTTGGCCTTGGTCCGCCAATCTTTGAGCAGACTCATCACGGTGCATTCGGCGCGGTCCTTGACGGCGAGCTGTAAGAGGGCGGTTCCGCCTGCTTCGCATAGCATAGGCTCTGCCGCAGACTGGGGTTAGCTCCAATTCTTACGGGAACTCACGTCGAGGGTATATCGGTATCCTTCGGCATCCCTCATGATCCCAAAAGCAACATCGTCCGCTTGAAAAGCCTATAGTCAGCTCAGCGGAGGCCGATACTCACGAGCTTTGCCAGTTCCATATAGTGAACAATGATCATCCGCCGCTCATGGTCCGCTTCTGCGCTCCCCGCTAGTCCTAGCCTCCTGATCACTCTTCTTCGCCGTCCCTTTGTCTTCAGACTTGGCGTCGGAGCTCCCAGCCATCCCTGCTTCTCGTAGCTCTCCCTCATTCGCCTTCGTTCCTCTGCGCCGTCCCACTTGTCCTCGTCGCTCGTAGTGCAGACTGGTGGGGACGAGATCAACCCAGATACACCGAAAGCACGTCGTTTCCGCTCCCGCATACTCGCTGTGGGATCGATATCCTCTATGTCGGACTCGTCGGACGCTTCAAGGCCACGCCGAGGTATGAGTGGACGATGGGGTCTCGAAGGTCCCGCCTGGGGAGTACCGTCGGACTCGGGGCCATCTCGGTCCCTTCCGTATCTGCTCGTCAGCCATGTCCGCTGAGCGCCTGCTTCCACGTACGATTGCAAGGATTCGGCCCATTCGGCGTCGGTACTTGGAGCCTGCTCCAGCACCGCGAAGTGCTCCGGGATCATGTGCATGGCTCGCGAAGTTCGGGATTGTAGAGCCCGTAGCAAAGCGATGCAACTTTTTGCAGAAGATTTGCGGCTGACGAAGAAGAGCCGCCGAGGTCTAGGTGTACAGCTCGTACGCTGGTCAACCACTCTCACCGTGCAGCCTGTCGTGGCTGCTGTGGTCGCGAGGTGGGTGTACGCTGCTCTGCAGAAGGATAGAATGTGTAAGCAGTCGAGTGGGGGAATGCAAGACGTCTACGCGGCACAGCAAGAGATCTGACTGCTGACCGAGGCCGAGATCTGGATATCCGGCCGCGTACGGCAGATCGTTTGTTGTTGCCTCATCCTTGCTTGGTCATCATGTCCCAATATCCTCCCAGACTATACAACGCGTACACGAGCACAAGAGCATATACAGAGCTCGAGACGAAGGGGACAAAGCATCATGGCACATTCCCGCAATTCCGGTGCGCCTCTTCCACCTCAACGTTATCCCTGACCTGCCGCTCCATCTCAGCGTTGATCGCCCAGATCCACCTGTCCCGCTCAAGCTGGTGGATCAGCTTCTTCACCAGTCCACTAATGCTCTGTAAGGATGGGCCTACCTTGGATCTCGTTCGAAAGATGAGGGTAAAAGGGGACGCTTGGGACAGGGGAACCGTCGCCCACTTCTTATCCGCCATCCGCTCCCATGGCTGCGTGCGGCTATGGCCCCATGTGGACGGCTTGGCCGATAGCCTGACGCAGAAAGTGCGATCCTCGAGTCCGTCGGTGCTTTGAAGGCCGTCCTGGTAGACACGGGCTTGCGAGGCGAGGCCGGACTGGTGCCCTCCTTCGTGGACCTCTTCTTGCGCCAACATCCCCGAGAAGGTCTAGCTTGTCAGCTCGTTGTGGCGCAAAAGGCTCGACGCAAGCTTACATATGCTCCGAAGAGTGGGTATCGCTGCTTGCGTTCGTGAACGGGATCTTCAGCTTTGACTTTGAAGGCGATGAGGCAGCCACCGGTAAGGACCATCAGTCGGGATCTGCTAGTTAGCCTTTCGTCGGAATGTATAGGCGGAAATTACACACCGGTACTTTGTCCACTTTCCCTTTCTGACGAATAGGCGCCCGGTCATGGTGATAGGTCGGCATCCCTTGATGACGCACCAGTCCCAGACGTTCGATAGTAGAGCATCGGATCCCTTGTCAAGCTCAGTCCCGGCAAAGAGACTGCCGTGACTTTGCGCCGTCGCGTCCATTCTCCCTCTGGCACTATAGAATCAGCTCGATCCTGACATTATCATGAGGAAATGACCTACTCCACGCGATGCCGTCTCTTCCAGTACGACGCCAACTCTTTCAGCTTCTCCACCCACTCCTCCGCATCAGCGACCGAACGTGCCTCAAAGGTCGATATCGTGCCACCGGTGAGCCGGACATCAAAGCACTGCTCGGGCCGCTTGAGCTGAATAGCAGTCTTGACGCCCGTCTCTGGAGTGTGCATCCTGACCTCTTCCATATCGCGCATGTCGACCAGCCCGGTGGAATGCTCGATGAAGCTCGAGGTCCGGCGGCGTTCGACCTCATTATGCTCGTGATGGACGTCCGGGAAGAGATCGGCTGGTGTGCTCCCCTCTTTAGCGGGAACGAGTGGCGGGTAAGCGTTGGCTTTGAGGCTGATGTACGCGCAGCCTGCACATCAGTGACTGGTCCTGCTCGACAGGGAATGACTGACCATCATACACAGACAGGTAGACCTGCTCCTTTGCAGTCGCTCCACCGGTGTGTCGGACGAGATACCCCTCCACCCCCGGCGGATCTTCCAGCACACTCCCATCTTCCAGCCGGAGCGATCTGGGGCGATGGTTCGCCTGCCGGATCTGCAACACACTCGGCTGCTTCTCCCCCTGCTGCTTTGCCAACCCGCTCAACAGCGCCCAATCCCGACTCTTCCCCTGGACTGTCGTATCCCACGCGACCCAATCCACATTCCCATCGATCGACTTCCACGCCAGCTTCAGATCCAGCTCCCCACTCTGCTCCGACCTCTGCTGGACTAGCGCATCAAAGTCCACCGCCTCCGCCATCATCTCATAGCTCGTCTTGATTGTTTCTTTTGGACTGAAGGCCTGACAGGTTGCCTTCGAGCCAACCATGTCCTCATCCTCCGGTAGAGCGAGGCGTACCGTAGTCGAGAATGACGGGATATTGATGTCCATCCGCCCTGGCAGCTCGCCGCCCAGTTCTCGCCACATCTCCCAATACCAGTCCATCGCCCGAGACCGTTCCGCAATCTTCAGGACAAAGACGTGCGTCCCCTTTCGACCCTTCTGAAGCCATTTCGCCTGCTTGGACTGCTTGACACGGTCCTTCATGGTCGTACTCCGCGTTGTTTTGGAGTCGAGGACGAGGTGCATATCGTGAGCGAGCTTGTCGGCAGAGGTGGTGAGGCAGATGGACATGTCGGCTTCGTTGAAGATGGACATGTGCGTGCGGGTGGGAGAGAGGGGAACGATGTAGCAGAGTCGTTTGTAGCCTTTGATGCGCTCCTTGAACGGTGTGGACTGCGTGTCAGCTTGACATACCAATATTGTGGTGGCACGAAATATCTTACCCAGTCCTGGTAGAACTCGACTTGGTTTTTGCGCCAGACGACCAGATACTCTTCCAGCGGTTCTTGCCTCGAGCAAGGTTTCCTTCGCTTTCCGTTAGCTATGCTCGACCCTGACCTCACCTGTATAGTTTCGTCGTAATGGGTCATGATCTCTCGATGATACCCGACTCTGACCAGCATTCGATCTATTGTCAGTCCGCTTCTGGTCTACACTCACCTTTCATTACAACCTGACCCGGCAATATCGCCTCCTCCTCATCCATATCCGCCTCCTCCATCGCCTCTTCGACCGCCCCCGCTGAAGTCCCCGCCGCATCCTCCCCTTCTCTCGACAAGACATCCCCTGGCTTCGCCGGTGCCTTGTTCCCCTGTGTCGTCGGCGCCGCCTCCATGATATGATGTTCCAGCTCTACTGGGAACTGGACCGTCTTTGACTTGCCCCGTACAGTCCCTGTCCGACCCAGCTCCGAGAAAGTCTGATCAGCAGCGGACGGTCGACGTATAGCTGATTTTAAGCGGTTCCGTAGCGTAGGGCTCGTCGTCCCGTTCGACAAGTCCGGATATAGGGATTTTTGCTTGCCCTTGCTCTTGGGCGATAGAGGTGGCTGCGATGGGCCTGCCCCGCCCATGAGGGGCTCGACGGAGGAGGATTGAGAATGCCGCACGTTGACGACCGTCGGTGCCGAGGCGATGCTCCGTGCTGGTCTAGGCGTATCGCCAACATCAAAGACATCCGTCCCGGCGTCAGTCCCGCTGATCTCGCTCTCCGCTACGCTTCGACTGGAGGAGAGCTGCGTGCGAGCAGTGACGAACGATTCTTGCGTTGTCTGCCTGGACGACACTCCTGGTCGTGTGGGTTGTTGGGCAATGACATTCGACGGCCCCGCTTGCCCATCTACCTCGCTCACCGCGTCCCTATCTTGGAGTGGCGGTGGCTTCGTTCGGAATTCCCGCCCGATATCAAAGCTCTCCCCTACCCAGACATCCTTCCGTTTCTGCTTCCCCTTCTTCCCGAACCAACCCATCTCCCCCTCATCCTCCTCGTCACCCGAATCCCCCAGATGGAAGTCCTCCTCATACGTCTCTCCGTCCCTTCCTTTCCGCCTGACCCGGATAGACCGGACGACCGACCGCTTCTTGTCGCCGATAGCGCGAGTCCCGCCCGAGATCCGCTTGATCGTCGCGGACCGCACGGCGCGGAGTCGCTGATGTTTCGCTTGGGCGTCTGAAGAGTTGGCTGCGGACTCTGGGATGGCTCCGATGAACCGCCGAGGGAGGACGTGAGTGGTGATGTGCGAAGCAGAGGCGATGACGGCTGGCGAGGGCTGATGTGAGATGGAGCCGGTACGAGAGGGTCGGGGGTCGAGATTGCCGGAGTTGGGATTGGGTGGGCGGCTCCCCCCGGACACGCCATTCGAGGTGCTAGGTCCAGCTTCCATGGTGTCTGAGAAGCTCGCGGACGCTCTCTCGCGGCCTTTTGGCTTCCCGGTCAGGTAGACGGACAGAGAAGAGCAGGCTAAGACACGAAAGACCCCTCGACCTGTTGTCGCATACGCACGGATAGGATGACGTACCAAAAGTGGCGCCAAGCTTAAATAAACCGGTCGAGGAATGTGGCGCTGGATGTGCGCGAAGCTCAGCCCATAGCTGCCAGAGTGTAACGCATGGAGCTTGGAGTGAGGCAGAGCTGGCGATCTGCTGTGATTGTGACATAAGTGATTCGTAGACCTGGGTCATATCTGATGGAACTCTCTACTTCTTGCCACAACATCGACACTTGTCCGCCTCCTCCCTCGTCAAGAACCTGACCAGCTCCCCGGCCACCTTCCTCACATATGGCTGCCTCACTTCTTTCCACACCCTCTCCTCCACGCTCGCCACTCTGATTTCGCTCTCTCTCACTCCTTCCCTCCCGAAGAACTCCTCGACACCGACAAACACCGCCCTCTCATCCCCGTCCTGCATGACAATCCCATTCGCGATCTCCGACGCTCGGACATCGGCACGCCAAAACTTGGTCTCGCACATCGCCTTGACTGGCGGCGGGTCCGGACCAAAGAAGACGGTGGTTTGGGACGACTGGACAGCGGGTATGTTTTCGGCAGTAAGGTTGTGTATGGTGATCGTCTCCGGTGCCCACGTTTCGCAGAGGTGCTGGATTATCCGAGGGACGCCTTCGAGGTAATGCATCGTCCATGCGTCTTCTCTATTGGTAGCCGACGGCATGTATCCGATACGTTCAAGTCGGTCCATTGTTTCGTGCTTGTTTCCGATCTTGGGGGAGAAGCAGACGTGTTTCGGCCGGAGGTGCTCGAGGAGGTGGGTCTCCATATCCCTGGTAGAGTCGGATTGTTCTGCCAGGCGCCATAGCAGGTCGGGACCGAGGCAGAGCGAGGGGATATTCTTGAACACCGTTTCTCCTTCGCCAGTTGCTATTGCGGCCTCAATCATTGCTTCCGCGCCGTGAAAGTCGAGGATGTTGAGTGCCTCGCATTGCGATATAAGGCGGAGACGGCGACGATGGACCCACAAGCTTTGAAGTTTGGCGCTTCGCCCGACTTCCCAGGGCTCGAGAGACTCGGCTGGGAGTCGACGGCGGAGTGGATCATATGCCTCGGTCTCCAAACGAGGTTTCTTGGCTCGATGCTCATCTCTGAGCTGAAGAGGAGCGGGCGGGTCGGATTGGGACCGAAGCTGCCTTGGCAATGGCGAAGGAGCTCGAGCTGATTGTCAGCTGAGGGATTATCGTTGATGCTAATCCGCTCCAAGTAGCTCACCTCCCAGAATATCAGCAAAGCTATCGCGAGCTCTTTCACCACGCAGGGTGATCCGACGGTTCTCAAGTCCCGACCCAAAGATATTCTGATACTCCCGACTACACCTGGCTAGCCTGTGAAGCGAGCCAAATGCTCGGTCCTGCGCGAGGTGATCTCGGAGGTGATACAATACATCGCGGAGCCCCTGCCGAGGCGGCAAGTCTACCGTCGGGCTGCCCAGGTCCGATCGAGTGAGCTGAGGGGCGGCCGTTGACGAAGGGGGATCGGATGTTGTGACTGAGGGTGCGGCCGGTTCGGAGGACGACGTCATCATGATATCAGGGGAGGGGATGAACGCTCAAGACGAGCAAGCTGACGATGAGACAAGCCTACTATCGGCGATAGGCAAGATAAAAAGACCAAGCGGTCAAGACCTCTTAGAATAATGGGAAGAGTAATACGAGTGTGTGAAAAGTCAAGAAGTCAATCGCCTTGGCCTCACGACAGCTTAGTCAGGTGTTCGAGAGCTCGAGCCCAAATGAAGAAGCGTGAACTAACGAGGTCACCATCCAAGTTCGCGCACAGACGCCCCCTGAGTATTCGTCAGCGTGTGAGCAGTCATCAGCTATCGAATACGTATATGATGGCATGTACTAAAAGACCAAACGGACTGAATATATATAATCCCAGATGCGAATACGAGACAGATATAGATTCGCCCTCCCACTTCCCCTCGGTACCCCGCCTGACCTTACGCCCCACCCCTCAGGCCCCTCTTATCCGGATTGGCAACAACCAAACTCTCCCTTCTCCTAACCTGCCAGCTCATCCCCTTTCCCCCATGTCCTTGTCCTTGTCCCGGCCCTCGCCCATCCCCGGCCGCTCCGCCGCCAGCGCCGAGGAACGGCGTCTGACCCGGCGTAACCGAATACTGACTCGTAGGTGACATCGGTTCCACCGTGAGCCCGCCGGCAGTCCTGGTAGACGCGCGCTTGTTGATGGAGAAGACCATATCCTTCACCGGACGGCGGTGCTCCACTAGGTATTTCGGGAGAGGGGAGCCGGAGGGTGGGAGAGGTACGGCCGAGCGGTCTCCCGAGCCTGAAGCTGTAGGGGAGGTGATGGGTGGAGAGGTATGCGAGTTGGTCATGACCGGTGCCGTCGCTGGTCCGTTCGCGGGCGTTGCCGATTTAGTGACCTTTGGTGCGGGTGAGCAAGAGGTAGGTACGCCGACGCCAACGCCGATCGGGCGAATCAAGGCGAAATCCTCCTCTGTCGGACTGGCAAAGAACGACCTGTCCAGCCTATCCGCAAAGCTTTCTTCTCCCCTGAACCCCACTGGGCTCATCCCGTCTAGTACCGGCGTGCCCATGACCGAATAGTCCCCCTCCTCGTGATCCTGCTCCAGCACAACCAAGCTCGCCTCGGAACTGTCCGTCCCCTCCCTCTGCACAATCACCATATCCCTCATACTTCGCGCCGAGGCCAGACTGGACATGCTCGGACCCGACTCATGCCCATGGCCCCTCCCTGCGCCGATGCCGCGCCATGTCGACGGCGGATGCGGAAGATCGGCACTCCCACTCTCCGTGAGCTCGTCCCTTGACTCGACGGGCCAAAGGGCGGGTCCCGGTCCAGGTGTCGGATCCCTTATATCCCGACTATCGCTCCGGCGCACCGACTGCCTCCTCCCAGCCCCCACGCCGCTTATGGACATGAGGGACGATATCCCTCCCGAAGCCATCCGCCGGAAGAACGACTCGTTCCGCTTGATAGGGACATACTCTGCTTCTTGGGGCGAGTAGGACGCCGAAGCCTGACTGGCGAATTGCGCGTGGTGGACGATCCCTTCCTCCGCGTCCGATGCGGAGAAGTTGGTCGAGCCGCGAGAGTGTGCCGAGCGGGGGAGAGAGGAATCGCCATGCCGCCCCGAGCCGGATCCGGATCCGGATCTCCGGGGGACGAGGAGACCCGCAATGTCCAGTGGATCGGAAGAGGAGAGGGGCGGAAGTTGATATAGCCCCGGACCGCGCGAGACCGCCGTGGTAATATCCACCTCGTCATATCCGTCTCCATACCCATCGTCGAAGGGGTCTCTGTCCGAGCGGGGACCGATAGGCGTAGGAACAGGCCCGCCGCGGATGAGCGGGGCGTCCTCGAATGGGTCGGTGGGTTCACCGTGTCCGAGGACAGAAGCGGCAGAGCGCCACTCATCCTTCCCTTTCCGATCGACTTTCCAGTCCGTCGCCCCACTTCCCTCTCTCGCTGGCAGACGGAGGAACGTCCTCGAGTCCTCATCGTGCAGGATGTCCACCCTTGGCGGAGACTTTGGCCCCGGTCGAGACGTAGACGGGTTACTCCGCGGTCCAATGAGCTTGATGCCCGCGCCCGCCCGCCTGGTTGGCTGCCGTGCCGGTCCGCTACCCGGCCCATCGTCCTCCAGCTGATTGTACGCATGCTGCTTTGTGCCCAGACGCAGGGCCGATAATCCCGCCCCGACAGCTCCGAGTCCCAGACCGACAATCCCTCCTTTCTCGCTCCACTCGCCCGGCGCCGCTCCGGATCTAGGATCGAGCAGCAGAGCCCGCCCATCCTTCTCCACGGGCGGCGGGCGGGGCGAGAGCCAGCCAAGAGGACCTCCGCCGCCGTCGTAGTCGTCGCTATCAGGAGACCCCTTCCCGGCTCGTCTGCGACGGATAGTGAGGACAATGAGGGCAGCGAGGATGCCGAGACCCATCGTCACGCCTAGGGCGAGACCAATTTGGGCGCTCTTGGTGAGCTGAGCCTCGGAGGGTTGGGTGTTGCCGGATGGGATGGAGGAGGAGGGTGGGGCGGACGAGTCGCTACTTGTAGCGGTTTCGGAGGAGGAGGAGGCGCTGGCGCTTTGGCTGGGGTCGGAGGTTGCGGAGGAAGAGGCCAAGGCGGCGGAAGCGGCCGATAACGTTTCGCTTGGGGCCACCGAGGAAGTAGAGGAGGGTACTGTGAGTGATGTATACGAAGTCGTCCAGGCGTTGGAAGCCGTGTCGAAGATGTATGTCTCCGGGCCGGAAGGTGCGCCGGCTCCATACCCGCCAACGACGAGCATCTGACCTTGGCCGATGTTGAGTGCGGTGTGGTCAAAGCGAGCGGAAGGACCTGGTCATCAGCCTCTGCCCTGTCCCTCTTTAGCGCATGTTTTGACTCACCACTCCCTGTCGTCGAGACCTGGCTCCACGTCCCCGCCTTCAGATCCATGATCCACATATCCCCCATTGCCTCCGCCGACTGCATCCCCGTCCCGCCCAACACATACATCTTATCTTCCGTCATCATCACTCCCGACGCGCCACGTCTTGACGGCGGCGCCGACCCTCCCGCGGGTGTCTCCCACCATGCCGGAGTAGCCGCCTTCGTATCGAGGCTGTAGATCGTGCTCGTCTCGCTCAGCGTTGGATTCCCGGTGATGGTCGAGGTATAGATACCGCCGAAGACGATAAGCGTTCCGTTTGGCAGGAATGCGGAGAGGTGATGAGCCGTCCCCCTAGGAAGATTGGGAAGCGGGGTGAACGTAGATGTATTGGCGTTCAAAGCGTATGCGTCCGACAGGATCAGACCCGACCCATCGTTCCGCTGTCCGCCGGTGATATAGACCATACCATCCGGCCCTGTCGCCGCCGAGTGGAGGATCCGCCTCTGAGGCTGATTAGCCCAGCTCGAACTCTGCTGTGCGAATCCCGGCGGTGCCCCGTCCGGTATCGAGAGCAGCCAGGACGAGTCGGTTCCCGCTGGTAAAGCCGTGGAGGGGCCGCCATCGCCGCCAAAAGAGAGAGCGGAGGTGTTGTATGAGGTGAGCGAGAGGGTGTGCCACGCGTATGCGGGGGAAGAGGTGGTATTGAGTAGCTCGTACGGCGCAGAGGAGGTTGAGAAGTTGGATAATAGGGATAGGCGGATGACGTCGGGTGAGTTGGGGGAGGACGAGTAGGTGCCGCCGTCTGGAGAAGGGGTTTTGCCGCCTGAGATGAGGATGGAGGGGGGTGAGGGGATGTACATGGATGCTGCGCCCCACCTGATTATCAGCTTTGGGTTGCCTTGCTTCCGAGGTTATAGCTTACCGAGAGACCATATTGTACGCCTCTACTTGACATACCGCCAGTACAAGCGCGAGTAGAGTGATCGTGCGGCTCATCTTGTCCTGCCAAGCTCAGGCGATGTAGACGGGGGAGCTATGGGTTGAGGTCAGAGCATAGAAGGAATGTCAGGGTGAGCACGAGCAAAGAGTACAGACGAGGTGAGAAAGGTCAGCGGCAAGGGAGGAACGTAAAATGTAGAAGATGATCCAACTTCTGCTGTGCCCAAAGTGCAAAGGACGGGTGTGGGTCGAGAGACATCTGAAACAAGGGTGTCGGTCCGGGTCGAGCTGAGGTATGACGCAGCGGAGACACAGCAGCGACAATGGAACAGCCGGAGCGGTGACGTCTCGGCGATCGCATTTGGTCGTGCCTGCATGGCGATGCTGTACAAGCTGGATGGCGCGAGTATAGGGGTCCACTGTATAGACGGACGATGCTCAGCTGGTTTAGGCTCGGGGTTGCTGGCGGCCAGGAACAGCTCCAGGAACCAAACAACGATCTGGCCGCCGGACGCACGGAATGATAAGACACGTGGTGTTGAGCGGGACCAAATTTTCTCGCCCCTCAACCGGCAGAAACTCCGCGAAATTCCGTCAAAGTGGCAGTTTTCCACTCTCTCCCTCTCTGCACGGCCGGCGGAACAAACTCACCTTGGTCAGTTTTGGCGTGGTCGAATTGAAGCTCTCTCTCTCCATCCGTCAAGGTATATACAGTGAGTTATCGACACGGCACGACACATTCGGCGACGCGAAGGAGCTCAGGACAATGGCGGAATAGGCGGATGTGGACAAGCTGGATTGGGCATGGATTGCCGGAAATTGGAGGGACCAGGACTGAATACGACCAACACCTGGAACGTATCGCTGATAATCTTCTAGTCAAGATGGGTATCGATCTCCGTTACCACCACGTCAAGAAGGGGAACCGTCAGGCGCCCAAGTCGGAGGACCCGTATCTCCTTTTGCTCGTGAAGGTGGGTTCCATTGGATACAGGAGGGATCTGAGGTATCGAGGGGAAGTGCTGACTGGATAGCTTTACCGCTTCCTTGCTCGCCGGACCGACTCCAAGTTCAACCGTGTCATCCTCCGCCGGCTGTTCATGTCCAAGGTGTGTTTCGCTGGACTCAAGATACAAGCCGGACCTTTGGCTGAGACCGTAGATCAACCGCCCTCCTATCTCCCTCTCCCGAATCGTCAAGGAGACCCACGGCTCCAACCCCGACAACTCCAAGACTGTCGTTGTTGTCGGCTCTATCCTCGACGACGAGCGTCTCCCCGTCGTCCCCAAGCTCTCTATCGCGGCTCTCCGATTCTCCACCTCGGCCCGCGAGCGTATCGCCGCCGCCGGCGGTGAGGCTTTGACCTTGGACCAGCTCGCGCTCCGTGCCCCGACCGGAAGCAACACTGTCCTCCTCCGCGGCAAGCGGAACGTCCGTGAGGCCATCAAGCACTTTGGTGGACCCCTCAAGGGCGGCAAGCCCTACGTTGCGAGCAAGGGCAGGAAGTTCGAAAGGGCCCGTGGTCGGAGAAAGGTCAGTTACACCCAAGCAGGAGACTGGATTAAGCTGATGGGAGTAGTCGAGGGGTTTCAAGATCAAGTCGACCCACAAGTAAACGATTCTTTGCATTGCGGTATATCGCGGTCAAGGACGGATGGCTATGGCGGCTGTGGTTTTGGGGGCGGAACGGGTGTCGTGACGTTTCGCTGGCATGCAACGGCTTTCAGGAATAAGAGCGTTGAGATCTGAGGCAAGGATCTTGCTGCTGGTGTCCAGAGGCGAAGGTGTGCTGGTTCCGCTGCATGTGGTTGGAGCGTGATTGCGGTCTGAAGCACTGTGACTCGAGCAGTCCGTTGAGCCGATGATTGAGAAATGCCTGGTTGGGTCGCCAAAGCCCGTACATGCTCTGGGTCTACGATACAAGCGCTCTTCCCAGGCCTGAGCGCCGAGTCGCTGGTATCTACGTTTCGCTGCCTTCACTGCCTCACATCGTGATTTCATAGATCTCATTTCGTTTGCACTAGCATCCCATCCTCTAAGCCTTCCTCGCACCGTGCCCCACCACACCCGCCCCACTCGCCTTCTCCCACTCTTTATCCCCCTTGACCCCCTTTGCACCCTCAACCAACTCCCCGACCTTCCCCTTCAACCCCTTCCCGTCCTTCCCATGATCCCCCTTCTTCCCTTTGCCCTTACCTGACCAATCCCCCCCAAGCGCCAACCCCAGCGCGACGATCCCTCCAAAGATATACATCCCCCTCTTCTCCTCCTTATCCAGCGGCTCGCTGTTGGCCTTGTACTCCTTGTTCTCGGCCTTCAGCTCGCCCTTGGGCATCCCGATCGGCGGAAGCACCGACGCCACGCCGGTGACAGCCCGAATAGGCGAGTGGGCGATGGTAGTGAGGACGGAGCCGAGCGAGGGGAGGGCAGCGATGAGTTTGTCGGCGGCCTCAGAGGCGGCGGCAGCGGCTTCTTCGGCGGAAGGAGGGGTAGGGAGGTCGTCGTAAGCCGCGTGAGAGGGGCCTCCGGACGGGGTGGAGGTCTGGTCGGCGACAGTGACGACTTTAGGGCCGGATGGTACGTCCGAGGAAGTTGGGGGCGCGTCGGCTTCGGGCAGTTCGCGGTTGGAGCGGAAGTTGTCAGGCTCGAGAGGCTGGGACGTCAGCGCAGACACAAGTCGAATAAGGACGTCCGAGATCATGCAGCCCTGTTGCACTGTCTGCGCAGAATAGCAACTTACAATGACCTGCTCCACCTCCGGCGTTTCCTCAAAACTCGGCATGCTCATACTCATCCCATCGCCCGCGCTTCCCTTCGCCTGCTGCTCCTGCGCAATCTCCGTCAGCTCCGGCAGACCCGGAACCGAGTCCACCACATCAGGCTCAATCGCCTCCGTCTTGGCCGCTTCCATCTTTTGCGAGATGACGGCGGGTCCGGTGGACGTGACGGCTTCGGACTGAATGGGGTCCTGCGCGGCGCCCTCGGGCTTGGTGGGCGCTGCGGGAGCGGGCGGGGAGGATTTGGCCTGGCGGGCGGGGGAGGCGGTGGAGAGGGTGCGCTTTTGGGGGTGCGCGGGAAGGGCGGGGACGGGGGGGAGGAAGGAGGATGTGTCGGCGGATTCTAGCCGGGTGACGAGGGCGGTCCTGGCTGTCAGCACTGGCGACCTTCTCATCCCTCATCCGGCGCATAGTTACGGTAGTTCAGGAGGCGTTCTCGATACCTTGTGCCCATGCTCTGCGATACCTATACGCATTCCTCCTCGCCTCATGCCTCAAACCGCACACAAAACGCCCAACTCACTTATTCCCAGTCTGACTCAACCCCCTTCGCTTCAACTCCGACTTGAGCGTGACCACCGTCTCCTCCCTCCACCTCCGCTGGCTATTGAGCAGCACAGCACTCGCGAGGTTCGCAGACTGGATCTGCTGTCCCTGCTGCCCGTGTCGCGCGGCATTGGCCATAGATTGACCGGGGACCGAGGAGGTCAAGGAGGAGATGGGGGAGGAGGTGGCGCGCAGGGCGCCTGCGGAGAGCTTGCGACGGAGCATGTTGACTGTTGACTGTAGGTGTAGCTGTTGAAGATGTTGGATGTGTTGATGTTGGTGCTGATGCTAAATGTTGAGCTGTTGAGCTGGTGCATCGGATGGGGCTGGCCATGGTCGGATTTTGTCGGATCTAAATTACGTTACGTCATACCCATGACGCGCAGCAAAAGTTGATCCGTGCGTCGCGTTAAAGAGGTCCAGCGCGACAAGGAGAGCAAGCAGAAGCTAGAGGGATGACATGCTGTTCAACGTACACCTAACCCCCTGACGCAGCAAATACTGATAGCCTCAGAGCCGCTGATCGGACATGTCGGTCTCTACGTCCACTACGGCTTCAATTTCGCAGCACCTCCTCTCGGTATTCCTACACCGCTTCCACGCCCTCGCGACCACTGTCCTCCTATACCTCCTTTCTCTGGGCCCTATGCCCAAACATGTCGGGTTCGTGATGGACGGGAATAGGCGATATGCCCGCGGACGTGGCAAGAGGGTCGTAGAGGGCCATACGGATGGGTTTCAGTCATTGCGCCGGGTGAGCCAGACGTCTCAATCGTTGTCCAGCTGATAAGGCTGGGCTGATAGCTGATCTCACAGATATTGGAAGTATGCCTCAAGCTGAGGATACGCGCTGTGTCGATATACGCGTTCAGTATTGATAATTTCTCGAGAGACGAGGAGGAGGTGGCGGAGTTGATGAGGCTGGCGAAGACTAGGTTGATGGAGCTGTGTGAGCACGGGTGAGCTTCCTTTCTCTGCTCGCTCACAGTCCTAGAGGAGAGGCTGCATAGCTCGTCTGAGCGAAGCTCCTCGGCACTGGGAGTCAGAGCTGACACTGTAGGGATCTGTTGCAGAAGTACGGCGTGAGAATACGCTTCATTGGTAGAAGAGAAATGTTGCCTCCGGACGTGAGGGGAGCTGTGGAGGATATGGAGCGGCTCACAGCGAGACATACAAGGCGAGCTTTGAGGTCTGTTCCGATGGTTGGGCGGGACCGCAGCTGATGCTTGCAGTGGAGTGCTGAATGTGTGTTGTCCATATACGTCGAGGGATGAGATACTTGGTGCGGTCAAGCGGACTGTGCGGGACAGCTGCAGCGAAGGCAGGATCTCGGCGAGGTGAGTTCCATGCATACACCATTGTCCTGCAGGACTGACTGGAGGACAGCGATATCACCTCCGAAAATATCTACGGCAACCTCGAGTCCTGTGAATCGATATCAGCTCTTCGAATCCCGTCGGCCCAAGCAAGGATAGACAGGTCCGAGGATCTCGACATCTTTGTTCGGACGTCGAATGTCAAGCGCCTAAGCGACTTTATGATGTGGCAGGTGTGTCTTCAGCTCGCACGACCCCCGTTTCATACGTGGGCGAGAGCTGATTCATAGTCATCACAAGACACACAGCTGCACTTTGTTCGTACGATGTGGCCCGAGTTTGGGTTGACGGACATGTTGCCGATCTTATTGGGGTGGCAGCAGAAGGTGTGGTTAGCTAGATTAGGACATTGAGGGGTGCTATGTAAAGTGTGTAGCTACTACGGAGTTATGGATACACAATGTTTATGCTGTTCTACGGCTAAGATCAATCTCCCATGTCCTCCCACCGGCCCGCTCACTCCTTCGCTTACTCGCCACCATCAATCACACCGCCCATCCTTCGGTCCATCCTTCCACCTCTCCCCCAGCTTCTCTGCTGTACATTCAAACCTCTCCTTGCCCAGCTTCCCATTCACCTCATTATGTCTCTCGCACAACCACCTCATCAGCCCCTCCCTACCCGACACATCCGGCGGGTTGGCCTTCATGTCCCGTGCAAAATCCTCCGCGCACCATCCGCACGGATACAGCACCGACAGGGAGGAGAGGAGGGAGCGCATATTGGATTGATGCATGGGTGTGGCGGAGAGTGGGTAGTATGCCGCGGTAGTGTGGAGGAAGGTCCAGGTGGATCGGCCGAGAGCGGCTGTATCGGGTGGACAGTCGGTGCGGTCGACGACCGCTACTGCCGGATGGGGAGGGGTGGAGGAGGATGTGGAAGGGGAAGGGGATTGACGAGCCGAGGCGAACATCCCAGCTAATGAGCCCCCAGCTCCGCCAGCTCCCGCTGCTCCTGATGCTCCGCCAGCAGCCTTCTTCTTCCCCACTTTTGCCCAGTCCTGCCACGAATTACAGACTTTACAGACTTTGCCCTCGGCATCGAGTATAAGGCCCGGGGGGAGGTTCGGGTGCGTCTCTTTGGTGGTTCGTTTAGGCTCTGATGGGCCGGCGGCGCTGTTGCTGGTAGGGAAGGGAATGGAGGGGGACATGATGGGTACGAGCTGGCTGGAGAGGGGCGAAAGAGGAACGAAGTTACGCTTACCATACGCTCGCTCATCGCGAAATCTCGCCGCCGGCGGCTTTACGTTACCCCGCTGTAATCTCTTTCCGACGGAAAGCTAAAGTCCAGTCAACATGCAGCCAAAGTCGGTTCTGAACGCGTCCATCACCCTTCAACTATACCTTGTACAACTTTCTCTCGCGTTCGAGCTATTTCCTGCACGTCTTGAGCTCCTGGAGCATCCGGGGCCGCTGCCTATCTTTTGATAGTATGGGTCAGGTGTATGTCGAGTCTACGAGCTGCGCAAGAGGGGGAATGAGCTGATGCGCTCAGATCTCCATCTTGATCCTCTTCCAACTCCAGACCCTTTACCTCTATCTTGATATTGATCTTGTTCCGCTCTTGCGGCACTTAATATCTGCACATCTCGATCTCCGGCATCACAGCCTCCCCTCGGTTCCTCTCGGCCCCCGTCTTTGCAATGTCCGGCCCCGGCAAGACCCCCGGGCAGAGGGATATCCTGGCCCACACCCCTCTCTTCAAACCGACCCCCTCCGGCTCCGCATCTTTGAGTCGCCAATCTCTGCCGGCTCCATCTCGCCATGCTGATCTTCCTCCGACGACTCAGCCCTCCCAACTCAGCGGGAGCGGGCATGGAGCTGCGAGCGGGAGTGGAACTGGCGAAAAGGCGAAGAAGAAGCGGAAGCGGAAGCTAGAGGGGCGGCACTCTCTGGCTGGTGCCCTGGGGAGGGAGGTGGATGAAGCATCGCGAATCAGGCAACCTGAGGGGTCGAGTGGTGGATATGGCCGAAGAAGTAGCTTCATGGGAGGAAATGCAGTCGCTGGGCCAAGCCGACTCGGTAAGTTTGGCTCCATCATTGACCACTCGAGCAGTTGGAGCTGATGAGTGTAGGGCAGCATGTGATCACTGCGGAGTCTGATGAAGACGTGGATATGGGGGAGGATGTTACTGCTCCTGTATCAGGTATGTCCACCTGAGCTTGTGCCTGACCAGGCTTTAGAATATACACTCACGCTCAACAGCGGGTCCCCGTGTTCCGCTTATCGGAAGCCTGAGCCATGTCAATGCAGAAGCTGGACCGAGTAGGCTCGGTGAGTCACAATCCCTGTGTCTCTGCGTATCCAGCTGATCGGATAGGTCCGGCGCTCCTGCAGCAACATGCGTCGAGACCTTTCTCTCCGATTGTTCCACCTCCCCGATCACCCAATCATGAGGTCTCATCCTCCCTGCGCCTCCTCAGCTCCTTGACCGGTTCAGCGGCCACAGGATCGAAGGGTAAAAAACGAGCCCGCGCCTCGGAACCCTCCGCCCCACCGCAAGGTCCCCGGACATCCGGTCCTGCATCACATCAAAGTCGTCGGACTACCATGGACCCTCCGCGCCCTGGTCAGACCACCGCGGCATCGCAGATGACCAGGACCCCCTCGTCCGCCTCGGTGACATCATCGTCGACGGTCAAGGTCGTTGGCGGTACGCGGTATGTCAAAAAGCCGCGGATCACTCCGCTCCTTGCCGGGACGCAGGGGTCGATGGCGGATATGCCTATCGCCATTGCGGACTCGGACGACGAGGATGCGGAGCCGTCGGCTGCTACTGTCACCGTCACTGCACGTGTATCGGCGGCGAGTGCTGAAGCGCCCGGAAGACCCCAACCATTTGCTTCTCAATCCCCGCCACCTACACGCAATCCACATACACCCTCACAACCCGCTCCTGCGGATCAAATTCGGTCGGAGATCCGCCCTTTGGCCCGACCGCGCTCTGCTGTGGCTACCTCGGCCCTACCATCCGAATTCGTCAGACCTCTCCACGTCCCACAGGCGCAAGCGACACCTTCCACGGCGGCCTCCTCTTCGGGGACTGCGTCCAAGAACGCATCGAGCCTCATCGGCCTACTCGCTTTGCGTCGGGAGCAGACCGCGTCTCAAGTAGCTGCGGTACAGCCCGCCGGAACCCAGACCCCGTCAACTCGGTCCGGGCCGACATCTACCGTCCCAGCACTGCCTTCAGTGGAGCTGTCTCCTTCAGTCACATCCGGTCCACCGGCGAGTGTGTATGTGCCTACCACACCCTCCATTCCTCTCGAGACCGATCAAGCTCAGGCGTCACCGTCTTCCCCCCATCCGCGCCCACTGGCTCAACGCCACGTCATTCGCGACGCGACCCAGGCAGCCATCGTGGCAACTCAGCAGCTCTTTCCCGCTCCCAACAGCGTGGGCTCCGCGGAGGTTTCACCGGCCATCCACGCCACGACTTTAGCTGCGGCTCTATTCCGCGCTTCAGCACAGGTCCAGGCCAACCGTATAGCCGAATCCAAGCTTCGTGCGGCGCAAGCGGTAACCAGGAAGCGCTACCTGGCCGTCTTCGGCAGCCTTATCGACCGGGTATACGTCATGCAGGCGCACCTGAACAACAAGGCCAGCCAGGACAGCCTGGAGCTCGAAGAGGCGGTCGGGACGCAGGAGATTCTGCACGACGAGGCGGTCGAGCGGATCTGTGTCGAGGCGGAGCAAGCGCACCAGCTGGAGACTGGGCGCAGGCGTCAGGAGGTTGAAGACGAGGCTGCTTTGCGGGAAGCGAGAGCGGCGGAGGTGGAATCTGGGCGGAGGAGGCGGAGGGAGGCTCTCGAGCGCGATCTCGACGACCGCCTGGCCAGGGAAAAGGCGGAGAGGGAGCGCATCGAGGGAGAGCCAGAGGCGGCGGAAGCTCGAGTGGCGGACGAGCGACGTCGGGCGGTCGAAGCCGCAGCGGCCGAGAAGCGAAAGGCGAAGGAGGATGCTCGGGCGCGATCAGCCAGAGCCGAAGCGGAAAAGGAGAAGGACAGGCGGGAGCAAGAAGCTCGCGAGGCGACGGATCGCCAACTTGCTGCCGAAGCTGCTGCTGCCAAGCAGAAGCAGGAGGAGCTCGTCGTCGCCGCTAAGGTCAAGGCGAAGGCGAAGGCTGAGAAGGAGCGCCTCGAGGCCGAACGTCGAGCGGCTGAACAACGTCGTCTTGATGCTGAGGCAGAAGCTGCTCTGCGTCAGAAAAGTGCGGCGGGACCGACAAGAGACCGCGCGCCATGGCACAACCAGGTTCAGCAAGCGGTTCTCGTTCTACACGAGACCGAGTACTGGTCCATTGTTGATGCGACCAGGAAAAGCACCAACGTTTCTGCGGCGCGAGAAGCCTGGCATCGTGCCCAAGCCACCGTCACGGGGATCTCGCGAGATCGTCTCGGAAACCTCCTGATGACGGCACACGACGATGTCATGGCAAAGATCGAGTATGCTCGTCTGAGCGGCGGTGCCACGCTCGACGATGCTACGTCTGGCCGACTCTGGGGAATCGCACTCGCGACCGTGGGCAATTCGCGCAACTCCATCGACCCAGCGACTGGGACGCCGCACTCTGAAGACGTGCTGGCGGCTCGGAGTCGAGCAGAACTGGCACGGTGCGAGACCTTCCTGCCGCGAGGCTATCTCCAAATGGCCACAGACGCAATGGAGCAGACGCTGCTTTCGGACGCCGCAGCTCGGACGGCCAGCCTCAATGCTAGGCGCAAGCGAGCTACAGCCGTTGAGATGGCTACACTTCGCGCCATCCTCCAGCCGCCGCAGGCCGCTTTCCCGCAGCAGCGCCAGACCACTGCCGATCCCCCGAGCAAGTCCCCCGGACCATCCGCTAGGAATCTCCCGTCGCGGAGCCAGTCGCGCGATGTCGCTTCCCCCGGAACCTCGATTGGTTCCACGGCGCTCTCAGAGGTTCGGAAGGGCAAGAAGCGGCAACTCGATGAGGTCGACGGCGGGGCCGAGCGTCCCCAGCAGCAGGTCCGCTTGGAGGTGGAAATCACGATGGAGGCAGGGAGATTTGATATTGAGAACAACTCTTCTGGGGACGTACTGGCGCGCAGACATGGGCTGAGGCCCGCCGGAACGAATAATGCTGTTCCGACGGCTTCCAACGTCGTTCGGATGTTCCAGCCGCAGTCAGCGCTTGAGCAAGATCCTGTCCTGGCACGGCCGGCAACTGCTTCACTCAACACTGCCACGGCCTCTGCGCCATCGGTCAGGAAAGCGGTCAATGGCAAGTCTCATCGTCTTTCCCCTTCTACAGGTTTTGTGCTCGAGCTGATTCTTCAGCTACGCCGGGCGCGGGGCCCTCTCGCATCTCCACCACTGGCACCTCCATACCGACCTCAACACCCAGTCAGCAGATTGGCGTCCAGTCAGCTCCAGGTCCGGTACTGCCTGCAGCTGCCACTAACGCCACTGAGCGATCGACCTCAGCGGATCAGATGCTTACTGGTGAGTCTCAGGCCCATCATTACATCGGTTCGAGTGCCTTAGCTGATCTCTAGCTGCTGGCGCTTCCAACATCTCCGCGGCAATTGGTCAAACCCTCATTACTGCCATCTCTGACTCTCCGGCTATGCCATCTACGCCTGGCCGGATCCCGACTTCAGATGCCAACGCCGATAAAACCCCCGCGCCGGTTCATGCTCAGCTTGCATCTGTTCCCGCGGAAGCGACAGGGTCCCCCTCCGTAATTCAGCGGCTCAAGGCTCGGCATCTTCGTAAGGAACCCGGCACGCCCTCGCAGCGCGAAACGGAGACTGCGCAAGCACTGGCGAGGGTCACGGAGACAGTACAAGCGCTGTACGGGCCGGCATCACCCGTCGTGGCCTTGTCGCCCTCTGCTCGTGCCTCGGCCGCCTCGCAGCTGCCCCGGACCCAGCCGCTCCCGCCAAGCAGGCTCGGACTGGAGGCGGACAGGGGTGCCGGTGCTGGTGCTCTCAACGCCACCGCAGCCTCAGGCTCGAGCTCGTCATCGGCGTCGCGCGTCGCTCCCCCGCGGGGTCCGTCAGGCTCTATTCCGGCACCAGGTGATGCACCCGATCCAAATGCAAGTGCCCTACGGGCGCGCCGGCGCGCGTCCGCACCCCTACTCCCTGCCCCGCCTGGCGCACCTCCGACCCCAACGACCAGCTCTGTGCTGAACTCGTCAAGTCCACCGCCTGGTGACGCACCAGCGGATGTCGACGTACAGGACACGGAAGCGGACATGATAGTCGCCGTGGAGACCCACTTCGGCGAAAATGACACGCTCCGCCCTGGGGCCGCTGCGCCGATCCCCTCTTCCTCGAGATCGCAAGCGCCGACGCTGCCCCCGTCAGCCTACATCAATGCCGGCAATAACAATCCCTCCGCTCCTCAGTCTGCCGCCACCCGGAGGTCAGCACGGGATAGGCCCACCGTAAACTACTCAATCCAAACCCCAAGCGAGTTTTACGAACTGGCGGCGAGGCGCGGGGCGCAACAGGCTGGCCACCTTCGCGCCCAAAATCCCCCCACTCCCTCCGCCACCGAAGACGCTTCGACCAGCTTTGGCTCGCCTCCTCCCTCTTCTCCTCCTCGCCGACCGATAGGACGCCTCGTCCTCCGGGCTCAGTACAACGGCGATCCTGTCGACTCTCTGAACCCTGCGAACGAGGCGGGCCAATCTCGCCTGTCGTTGGCCGAGCGAGGTGCCGTCTCCCCAAAAGGGGACGTCAGAGCAGAGACCCTGAAGGCGTATGGGATGTTCTGTCCCAGCATGCTGGGTCGAAGGGACAATAAGTGGACGTCATGGTCTACTAAGATTGTCCCGGGTACCCTTCATGACCTCATGTGGGAGTTGGACATTCTCTTCGCGGGCGACAACAGGGAGAGGCCGTTGTTGCGGCGGCTTGACGAGGAGGTCGTGTGGGGCGATATGCGCGACGTGAGTAGCTCCTCTTCTAGCTCGTATCAGACTGAATGGTATGGGTAGCTGATCCTTCAGATCTCTGACAAGCGGCGCTTCGTATTCTGCTGCTGGAATCGTTATACCGTTGAGAAAGGGTAGGTCTTGCCGACTTTCCTGGTTGACGACAAGTTCCCTTGTAAGGGCTGCATGTAGCTGATCTGTATAGCACACTCCGGAAAGACCAAGCCGCCCAATTCATCAGAGGCTGGCTGGACAAGTACGGAGAGGTGATGCGCTTCGGCGGGATCGATGAGGAGATCCTGGATCACCTGCACGTAGGTTTACCTTCACGTCCCGCCTCCTTCTTTACTGTGCTGTAGCTGACATCGTAGATCCTTGCAGTGCATGGTCTCATCCAACCCCAGACCTACTTCAACGCAGCGCAAAACTGGAATCGCCAAATGCGCTATTACCGCAAGATGAAGGAGTGTCCGCTTCCCTGCGACGACGACTTCTCGGATGCCGAGGAGTTCGTTGTGAAGGGATCAATCAGGCTTAGAGAGTTCGAGGAGGGCGGGCGTTGTTATGAGGAGGTGTTGGAGCGGGGAAGGGCGAGGGCGGAGGGGAGACCGCCGGTCTTACCTGAGGAAAAGTATTATCTTGGGATGGAGTAGGAGAAGGATGGGACATCGTGAAATGTGGGAACAGGTTGTATCTACACATAGTGAATTATCTTGGCTGGGACTTTCTTGTATAGTACTGCGGAGTAGAGTATAGATAGAGTAGACTCAAAGAGATGCTATCGGCCAGACCAATACCTGTCGGCTCCTTGGACACATTCAGCGATCGACGTCGGTCCTCCAAACTCGGCCGGAGCAAGCAGGTCGGAGTGGAGATAGCGGTACTGTCGGAGCTGAAGGTTCAGCCTGATGAAAGGATACAGGGAATCCGAGCTCCGCTAAAGGCGTGCACAGCGCACAGGCCGCCTGTCGGGGATGAGCGCGACCGGTGACGAGGCGGGGAGGGTCAGGCAGGCTTCTTATCTTTCTCGATCTTCCTTGATTTCACCATCGCTCATCATCTTTCTCGTCCATCCCGCACCTGCTCCAGGCTCCAACAGACAAGGTATAATAGACTCTTGCCTTGAAACATCTTCCCCCCAGTACAGTTTTGATATTCCTTGGGCCGTGCGCGTGGACGTGTGCTTGGACCCTGAATAACGTGATCCTCGACCCCCATCAGCCACCTCTTTTTGGTCACACCTCGCTGTTACTCGGCAGCATATATCCCTCATCCACCACTCGTCTTGCTTACACCTACGCGCACGCTCAGTCACGGACAGCACAGACGACACGTACTATAACGAAAGCTTTGGATCAGCTCGCATATTGACTGGACGGGAAACGCAACTCGACCAAACGCGCGCAAAGCCCAAGCGGGAATTTTCATCTGGGAATTCGAGGGTACTAGCTGGACCAGAGAGAATAGAGCATCCCGTGAGTATAGCTTGGATCTTCCACGCTATGAATGAGCTCGACCATGACCTTGGAAGGCTCAGTCAGCACTATGGCCACCATAGACAGCTGCTGACTGAACAGAAATCGCTCAGTCACCGGTACCAAACCAGCTCTCCCCTGTCACCTCTCCCCATACCCATACGATGGACATGTACCCATACGTTCCCCCTTCCCCTTACCAAGCCTCGGGCTCCTCGTCGAAGCCGAAGCTCGTCCACCCCCGCTCCTTCACCGCCCCGTCCTCGGCGACCTACTCCCCCTTTCCCCCCTCACTCACTACCGCCGGCCACGCCTCCTCATCCCGGAGCATAGCCTCCTCTCCTGCTACCCCTCTCGGCACCCCCTACTCCTCCAGCTCGTTCAACACTGGCAAGCGTCCCAAGCTCGCCAAAAAGGCGACCTCTTCCTCAGCCGCCAAGCAGCGAGGCGTACAGGCGAGCCTCGAGGCGCAGGTGGACAAGTACAGGGGATGGCAGGCATTCTTCCTCCCTCCCAAGCCTGTTCCCAATGGACCGCCATGCTCCCCCGTTCTTGGCGCAACCCGGCCGGCGGGGACGCACGGGGAGATGGATACCGGAGGGGACGACTCGGACCTGTCCCGCTCAACATCGAATTCCAGCAATCATCCTCAGCAACACTGCGCGATGGGACTTCCGAACGGGTTCGGGACGGAGGCGATGCAGCTTCAGCTGCAGATGCAGATGCAGTTTCAGATGAGGCAGGGAGAAGGAGAGGGGGAGGGGCAAAAGGGCAAAGGAAAGGCGGTGGAAGGAGCGAGGGACAGGGATTACTTTGGGCGATGGACCAAGGGGCCGGAACAGTGGGTGGAGGACGTGGATGTCGAGGCGATGGACCTGGATATGGAATGACCCGAGTGGGCTGGGGTCTGGCGGGGGTGTATGGGTGTCGTCTTTTACTGTGTATATAGACCTTCCTTCCTCCCTTTCTTCTCTGGCTTTGGCATTTTGGGCTGCGAGATATGTTTTGGGCATATATACAGCATAATAGCATTAGACTGTTTATAGCATTGTCATTGTAGTACTACACGCATTCTCTCATAGTAGCTTGTCTTCCCGTAATGGCCGATGCATTGTATCGACTGTCTTCCAGTCTGGTGTTCTCTCAGCTAATCTCCAGGATGGCCTCTTCGTCGCGCAGGCGCCGCTGGGGACTGACTGAGTACCGTGTCCGGACAGCATATATTGGAGGATTGAGTAAAAATGATCAGCATAGTCAGATGTCAAGATTACATCCGCTCAGTCATGCTTCCACTCCAGCATCCTCTCCGCCTTCTCAGTATCCCACAGACCTCTCCTCGGCCTGCCCTCCCAATACTCCTCATGTATCACCCCCACCCTCCCTTCCCATGCCTTCTTCACCAGCTCCACCGCCCCCACTTTCCCCTCCAGCCCCTCATGTCCCGAAATAGGCGGACTAATCCCCCCTTCCCAACATATCTCCGGCGCAACGATATTGAACGCCTCGGCGCCTCCCCATCCTTCCGACGTCAGGCCGAGGATACACGCGTCGGCGCTAGCCTTATGAGAGACCCAAGAGAAGAGGTCTTCCCATCTGCTTCGGAGGATGCCTTCTTCGTATGTGGGGACGACCATGTGGAATCGGAGGGAGGCGATGCGGAGGTTGGGGTCTATACGGACGAGATGCTCCGCTTGGAGCTCGTTGATGCTGGAGCATGCATCAGCACGATAGCGGATAGTCCAAAGTTCACTTACTGCTTGGATAGGGCGTAAGGGTCGAGCTATCAGGTCAGCTTTAATGATACATTATTAAATGCAGGAATCAGCTTACCGTTCTGAACGGTGCTTCCTCCGTCACAGGTAGCTCGTCAAACCGCTGCATCCCCTCCGGACTATAACTCAGCCCAGGCGCATTCACCGAGCTGGCCTGAACGATGCGCTTGACTCCATGGTCCGCAGCCGTCTTGAGCACATTGTACCCCGCTACGACATTCACATTGTGTACCATCCGAGGATCATGATATAGCGGGGACGGGATCGCCGAGAGATGGATGACGCCGTCGTACGGTCCATGGGATTTGAAGAGGTCGTCCAGCTCGGAAAAGAGGGAAAGGTCGAGGAGGTGGTGTGTGTATTTGTCGGCTTGGGAGGGGGTGATTTGGGCGGAGATGGCAGGAGGAAGGGGGACGATGTCGACGGATGTGACGGTGTGGGAGAGGTCGAGGAGGTGGAGGAGGACGGCGGAACCGACTGAGCCAGAGGAGCCAGTGAGGAGGATGTGCATGGTGTATCGATGTGTGAAGAGTGAAGGTGGGTGACTATATCGAAGGGATGATGGGGCTCAAAGTCGTGGACTCAAAGAGGACCAATCGCAGAGCCGCATTTAATGTAAGTCCCGGACATTTTGGATGCTCTGACGTCATGGCAACTACTCATTCCTCGAAGCTCGAAACCAAAAGCTTCAACCGCTCGTCTTGACACGCAGAGACTGAGCCACTCAATCGCTGATCAGCGCTGGACCTGTTTCTCGTGTGATCTGATGTTTCAGGTCTTCTTCTTCGGATTTTGATCACATCTGGATGGATGCCTTGCAGCCATACTGTACTTCAATCTAGATCTAGCTCCGGTACTATGCTGTAAGCTGGATACCCTGCCTAGCCATAAGAGGAAGCTCATAACTCACACTTCCGTTGATTGTCACGTACTCCTGATGAAATCAGCTGTGATCTCGCCTACGACAGACTCCACAACTTACATGTGAGAAATCGCACGTCCACACCCGCGCCACCTCGCCTCCTTCCACACCAAGATCGACCACGACCTCCAGATCCTCCTCTGCCAATATCTCGCTTGCCCGCGCTTCATTGATGTTCGCCTCGGGCTCGCCGTTGGTGAGTAGGCGGAGAGGGGTGTCGTTTGCGGCTGAAGAGGAGGGAACGAAGGAGACTGTTACTTTGGAGGGGGAGATGGTTCCTTCTGGGACGGCGGTGTAGCCACTATCTTGTCAGCTAGAGCTCGGTCTGTCAATGGATAGGAGGCCTACACAGCACAGAGGATACGGCCCCAGTTAGCGTCTGTTCTGTCAGCTGACATGCAAGTACACGGCAGAGTAAGCTCACCTTCTCCGTACATTGCGCACTTGACCAGAGAGCTGGAGGCTACGGATCGAGCGACGGCGTTTGCTACGTCGAAGCTGGGAGCTCCCTAGATAGTCAGCTCATTTGATGTCAGTATGATGATCTAGCTCACCGTGACGCGGACAGTAACAAACTTGGTAGCACCCTCCCCATCCCTGACAACCAGCTTTGCCAACTCCTCTGCGAACCCTCGCAATTCCTCCTTGAAGGTCGCGTATTCCGGGCTTCCTTCCTTGATCTCCTGCACCTCTTGTCCCTCAGGCACCGCCGCGCCGTTTGCAAGACAGATGATCGAGTCATTGGTCGACATGTCCCCGTCAACCGTGATGCTGTTGAATGACCGGTCCACCGCGTACTGCAGCGCGCTTTGAAGCGCCGCAGGCTCAATGGCCGCGTCTGTAGCAATGATGCCCAAGAGGGTCGCGTGCGGCGGTGGAGGCGGACCCATGTTGGGCGCAATCATGCCCGCGCCCTTGTCGATCCCGGCCATACGGACGGTGGTGTTCCCGAGCGCGAACGACCGGGTGCGGAGTTTGGGGAACGTATCAGTCGTCATGAACGCCTTGGCGAGATCCAGCCATGCTTCTGGTGTGGAAGCGAGGTTGGAGGTGAGGGAGGGGATGGAAGAGGTGATTTTGTCGATGGGGAGATGCTGCCCGATGACTCCGGTAGACATGACGAGCGTGCCTGACTCGCCTGCTCCGGCCGCGGGTGGAGGCGCGCGGGGCAGAAGCTGAGTGACCGTCTTGGACATGGACCAAGCGTCCTCCAGCCCCTTCTTTCCAGTGACGGCATTGGCACAGCCCGAGTTAACGACGAAGCCCCGCGCCCGACCCACTGCGGTGGAGAGAAGGTCCGAGGTGACTGTGACGGGAGCGGCTTTGAAGACGTTTCGCGTAACGCAAGCTGCGGCCGCACAGGGGTGTGAAGATGTGGAGACGAGGATACCTAGATCCAATGCGCCCGACTTCTTTTTGATGCCCGAGTGGGTCGAGGCACAGGCGAAGCCATGCGGGAACGAGTCGGCCGAGAGGGAGAGGACGTGGTGTGACTTGTCCGGGAGAGGCTTGGCGGAGGTATTGGATGCTGAAGCGGTCGAGTGTAGGGCTCGGGCCAGAGCTGGGAGAGCTCGGCCCGCTGTACTAGTGGGTAAGGGCGGCATGAGGGTGAGTCAGGGAGATGTACAGAAGGAGGAATGCGGAGCTGCCAGAGGACGAGTCGAGCGATACTAGCGATAAGAATTTACGCACGGATCAGAATTGGGCACAGCCAAAAGGAGCTCAAGATGGTCTCAAAGACAACTTGCCCTTTGCCTATCATACATATCCTCAGAACCTGTTTAATTTGTGCAAAGCTGTACACTCGCGCCTAAAAGTATCCTCCGTCGGTTCTGAGTGAGAGCAAGATCAAAATCTCGCCTAGAAATTGCCTCACAACTTGAGGTGCTCCACTTTCACGCTCGAACGACCGGTCACACCAAGTCTCGCCACCCGGCAGCTAGTACTCGCCCAAGATGTCAACAGTCTTCTACCGGTGGGGCGCTGGGCGGGATGAGTCCCGTATCACCTTTGACGGGACGCATATCAGCGTCTTTGATTTGAAGCGGGAGATCATCCTCGCGAACAAGATGGGGAATGGAAAGGATTTTGACTTGGGTGTATTCGATAATGTCACCGGGGAAGGTATGTCTGCTCGCTGATCTGAGCTATCAGCTATGGTTTCGGTCGATTTACAAGAGGTACTCCAGCTGATCAATCAGAATTCAAAGATGACAACCATCAAATCCCCCGTTCCTCATCCCTCATCGCCCGCCGTCTCCCCTCCTCCGCCAAAGGCCGCGGAAACGCCCAGAACTATATCGTCGGCACAGCGTCAGCTGATGAGCTCAACAATGCGCACCGAATTGAGGCTCACGCTCGGGACGCCATGGCTGCCAAGGCTAACAAGGGGTCGCGATTCGGAGGAGGCAATTACGGGAGTATGACGAAGCGGTTTGATGGAGGCGAAGCACAGCCAAAGGAACGGGTGGAAGTATCTATGGGGAGTGCGGAGGCGGACCAGGGGGTGGCGGCGTTCTTTGAGCAGAGTAGGGAGACTTGGGAGCAGGAGCAAGAGAATATGACTGTGTAAGCTGAAGTGAATCTTCCGTTGTGGGTCTCTAGCTGATTCTTCAGGGCGCCCGGACGTCAAGCGCAATTCCGCCGACAACAGCAGAGCAGGCCTGGCGCACCTGGAGGCGGTGGCGCCGGTGGAGCGGCCGCAGCAGGCGGGAGCAGCGCTGGTAAATTCGACTATTCGATGCCGCCCGACAAGGAGCCGCCTGTCGGATACATCTGTTACCGATGTGGTCAGAAAGGACACTGGATTCAGGACTGTCCGACCAACGACGATCCTGCCGCCATGGAGCGGAAGCGATTCGTACGAGTCACGGGTATCCCTCGGTCTTTCCTCAAGACGGTAGACGCGCCAGTAGGCGCAGAAGGGAGTTCGGGGGGTGCTATGTTGACTGCGGATGGAGGATTTGTCATGGCTGTACCGGACCAGTAAGCTACTTTGTCCTAGCAAGCTCGAGATCGTTAGCTGATTCTTTAGGCGACAATGGCAGAAACACGCTTCGACGAAAAGGCGGACAGGCAATAACGACGCGGACGGGTCAGGACCCCCTCCAGAGCTCTTATGCCCCATCGACCGCGTTCTTCTCCGCGAAGCAGTCGAGACGCCATGTTGCCATACCGCCTTCTGCGAAGAGTGCATCACGACTCATCTGGTCGAGCACGACTTTGAATGCCCGCAGTGCGAGAGTAAGGTGGCTAGTCTGGATAGGCTGCAGCCGGACGAGGAGGCGAGGGAGCGGGTGAGAGAGTATCAGATGGGCAAGGAGGAGGATGCGGCGAGGGCAGTGAAGGCTGGGTCTGGAGCGGGAGCCGAGGCATCGGCAGCGGAGACGGACGAAACGAAGAAGGAGGCGGAAGAGGTCAAGGTGAGTCCGGTTTGGGTCAATGTTGTGGTACTTATGCTGAGATTGCAGTCTGAACCGGAAGAAGGCGCGCTCTCTCCAAACCCAGGCGATCCTACCACAGCCACCGCTCGTACTGCACCATCAGCGGCAAACACCGCCGCCCCAGCCCCACCGGAAGTCAAGCCCATCCTCGACCCCGTCAAGATGAGAGAGATGCTCAATCCACAAGTAATGAACATCTATATGACTCAGGTAAGTTCCCGTCTCTCATTTGGCTGCACAAGGCGCAAACGGTAACCGTGGTTTCTGAGCTGACTTGCAGATGGCCAAAATGCTCCAAAATCCCACACTTCCCGCGCAAGCCAAAGCCCTCCTCCAAGCGCAACTCCAACTCGTACAAGCAAGCGTCATGTCTCTGCGCCAGATGCAGATGCTCGGTCTCCTCGATGGTCCACTCGCTGGGAACCAGGGAGGACAGCAGGGGAATGGCATGCAGGGGATGCAGGGCGGGATGGGTATGGGCATGGTTCAGCAGGGTCAACAGGGTCCGCAGGGGATGATGGGGATGGGGCCGGGGATGGGTATGGGGCAGGGCATGGGGATGGGGCAAGGGATGGGAATGGGCGGTATGGGCATGGGGATGAACCCGATGATGGGTGGGATGGGAGGCATGCCGCAGGGCCAGATGGGCATGGGCATGGGCGGGATGGGAATGGGAATGAACGGTATGAACAATGGTATGGGGATGGGAATGGGCGGACGAGGAAGAGGTGGATTCGCTCCGCGCGGTCTGACCGGCGGGTTCAGGGGAAGAGGAGGGTCTGGGGGACGAGGCGGAGGGAATATGATGCAGCCGCCTCAGGGGCAACATATGGGGCCGCCAGGTGGGGGACTGCCGGGTGGCGGAAGAGCGCCATTGCCGAAGAGACATGCGGAGGAGGCGGGGTTTGAGGTGCCTGCTGGGGTGGAGAAGATTGCGAGGATGGGCTGAGGAAGTGGCCACGGCGGTCTATGGCGCCTGAATGAACGTGATAGTCTTTCTTGCTTGTTGTACATTGCAGTCATGGATACGAATCTGCATAAGGTTATATACTCGGGCTTGAAAGCTGACTCTATGTACATATGAATCCTCGGCTTGGGCTCCCTAATCTCCCAAATCTTCTATACATACTGTACACACACTTCCCCCGACGCCCCTTCCTTCCACACCTCCAAATGCTTGAACTCGACTCCGACCCTCCTCGCACCTGCCGATTTACCGCTGCGAATTCGCTCCAGAAGCAATTTTTCGAATTCGACCTGGTGCTCGTCCATGATGTCGATGTTCTCAAGGCCGACGACCGTGTAGGTAGATGTCGCCGGAAGGTGTGCGCACGGCCTTCCGGCGATTGAAGACATCATCCAGTCGAGTTTGTCCTTCCTGTCACGCAGGCCAAAAGCGGGCGTGTGATTCGGCGGTACGTCGCGGAACGGATCAAGTGCAGTGAATGCGCCGACCGAATTGGGCACGAGCACCACCTCGACGTGCGACCAAGAGGACTCTGCATCGTCCCACCAGTCATCTCCGGAAGGAGGGATAGGCTTGGGATTTCCGCACTCCACAAGAAAGGTGAGGTGCGTCATTCCGGGTGGGGGATCGAAGGCCACGCTGGCTGCGTTCAACATGGCAAGAAGCTCGATGTTGGCCGCGAATGGGAGGTGGAGGATGAGCCGAGAGGAGGGAAGGAGAAGAGCAATGTCGAAGATGTGCTTGAATTGGTGCGCATTCCGATGTTCCGGCCAGCGAGCGTTGTAGCCGGGGGAAGCGACGAAGAGGGGGTCGGGCGGTGGGTACCGATGCGGGCTGATGGACCGTATGGCCTTGGCTTTAGATAGGTGTTGGTCCACGAGTTTGGCTGCCTCTGCAGTCACACGCTTCTCCTCTCTGGCCTCCCACTCGCGCTTGTGGCTGACGAGGTCCTTCCAGGCTTTCCGGTTCGTGTCCCGCCTTCCCTTCTCGTCCAACCCGAGTCCGACCGGCTTCACGATGATAGTGGTCATCGTACCAGCACTTCTCGATGCAGCAGGAGGTATGCGACCGGCGATCCGGAAGTACTCGGCCCATACTTCTGGATGAGTGATGAGGATTTCGTTGACGTGTGTGAGATGCGGAGAGGAGAGGAAGGAGTCCAGCTTGCGGTAAGCACATTCCGGGGTTAGGTTGAGCTCAGGCTTGGATGGATCTAGTCATCAGCGGGTACTCCCCGCCGGACTGAGTGCCATCAAGATCATGAGACGTACCGGGAAGGACGAAGGGGTCCACCAGCTTGGTTGGGTAGAGGAATGGCTTGGTGAAGTCTCGGGTAAAGGTGGAAAGGCGGATCATGACCGAAAGTGTGGCTCGGTCGGCATGATGTAGGATCATCTGTAGGATTTGCGGGAATCCTTGTATAACTGACATGGCTCAAAGACCTTTTGGGTTGAGTGGTGATGGCAAGTAGGTGGGCGAGGTCAAGAGAGGCGGAGATGCTGATGGTGGACAGGGGGTGTCCGGAACTGAAACGCCCTGAAACACACCCGGAAATCCGGATTCCGGCTATTTCGACTCCCTTTTTGCGCCTCAACGATCACGTGCAGGTGCAGGTGCAGGTCAAGGTGCAAGCAGTGCAGGTGGGATCATGGACTCTCGATCAAGCTTTCTTCATCTCGGTGCCAGACCTGGGCAGACCTGTTTTCACTGCAGGGCCGAGTCTGTATATAGTGCAAATGCCACACCAAGTCCTGCCCGAGCTATGGCCGCTGATCATCCCACACCTCCGTCGCCCTCTTCCTCCAACTCACACCGCCTTACCTACCCCTCGCTCTGCGCTGAAGCAGCCTGATCTCGTATCGGCCCTGACGGTCTGCAAGGTAAGCTTGCAGCTCTGATTCTTCCCTGTTACAGGTCAGAAGACCGAATCTGATAGTCCAGGATTGGTATCACATCGCGAGCAGAGCTCTCTATCCGGTCGCGATTACAAATTCGTTCCCCCTCCTCCTTCGAGGCGTCGATGATCCCCCAATACCGAATATCCCCTCCAAGCGCGAGCTCCTCGGGCGAATCAAACATCTCTACCTCGAGCCGGCGGACGTCCTAGATCCAACGGCGGGTCCAACCGAAGAAGAGACGCAAAGATCAGAGCGGACTGGGGCCAGGTCCTGCTCGCCTCTGCCGACACGCCAGTCTTTCCAAACCTGCAGACCCTTTCAGTCGGCGCGTTCTCGGGCTCAACTCAGTTCGCTGCGCAGGACCAGAGACAGACGGACGTCGAATGGGACTACATCGAAGAGGCTCGGGAGGCTGCCAGTCGCATCCTCGTCGCCCATCCCCAGCTTCGACATCTATGCGACTGGGGTGTTGGTCCGCTATACTCAGCGGAGACACACTCGAGTGGACAAACGACTCCGATTACTGCCCGATCCCCCCATCACAAACATCCTACGCCCCGATCCGCCGCTACATACACACCCCGCATGCCCCTTCAGACAGTCTGGCTCATATGGGGTCCGACCGCACGGCAGTGGAGCGACTCGTCTGGGCAGCTCTGATGGATAGACAGGAGGTGGTCCACGAGAGCGACAATTCGGACCAGTCAAATCCTCGCTGCGGCTTTGACGAAAGTCTTTACATCATGATCCCTCCGGATGGCGGACAAGGCGAGCTCTCATCCAAGAAAGGCCGCATAATGTGGAGGCGTCAGGCGAAATTCATGCAGGAGGTCGTCGACAATATGATCGCGGAGGATGCGGAGGATCTACGTGACTGGTACAAGCCGTGGGACTCGTGGACCGTCTCCCAGCTCTTTGACGCGCCGCGGTGCCAGGCGTGCGGCTGGTGCCCGGGAAAAGCGGAGGAGGGAGGCCGTGTAGGTGTAGAGTTGGAGATTGAAGCTGCGAAGGGTATGAGGTGAGCTTTCCGGTGTTCTTGTGGTGGTAGAAGAGCTGACATTCTCAGTGCTGTACGCGCGGAACCGCGCGCTGCTGAGACACTTCCGCGCTATATCCGATAGCCCACCCTTCCTTCATTCTGTGGATGCTCGACGGTCGAACTCCGCCGCCATTCGGCTGGCAAAATCCCGAGCCGATTACTACCCATTTCATTGGCAGATAAATGGAGGTGGGAATGACTGGAGATGGGTAGCTCGGTGGGATGACGTGCGGGGTCATGACGCGTTCATCGGACGGTGTGGCGGGCCTGATAGGCTGGATGTACATGTGGCAAACTTTCCACAAACGGAAGCGTCAGGGTGTGGCTTGCCAAGGGATGTGTGCTCCCTAGAGGTGTGTAAACTGACGGTGGAGTCCGAGTCATTTTGGCACGACCGACACTGAGCGGGTGGCGAACACGTTAGAGACTGACCAGGCCGACAGGACCTCTTCAAAGAAGGGCCATCATAACAGGAAGACGCCAGCGTTGCATCTCTACTGTATACTGCGGCAGAGCGCGCCAGAGCTATGGGAGTTTACTGATACGTATAGAAGCGATCACACGTATGGCCCGCAAGCCTTGCCTGAGAGCCCCTCCTTCCACTCCTCCAGGGGCTCGTAATCGATTGCCGGCTTGATCACCACCTCAAAACGTTACCGCACGAAACCCGCTACATCGAGCCCATGCTTTTCCTCCCCATCCTTCGCCAGGTCGATGTTCTCGGTGCCGACGATGATGCAGCGTGCAGTGCTGGGCAGGCGACAGGCGGCGATGCCAAAGGGGTAGTGCATCATCCGCAGAGACGCTCTCGCCGAGCCTAGACTGAAAACGTTTGGTGTTACGTCGGGCGGAAGATCGTCGAAGCGTCGGAGGTAGGGGTGGATACCGATGGAGTTTGGCAGGAGTATGACTTCGACGCGCTGCCAGCTGCTTTGGGCCTTCCGACGGCCATGCTGAATGTAGTAAAGGGTCACCACGTTCCCGCTTCCCACGAGAAGTGTGAGCCATGTCGCTCCGGTGGGTGGCGCGAACTCGACGCAGACGGCGTTGCAGAGGTTGATAACGTCGATATGAGCGGCTGTGGGAAGCTGGAGGATGAGTCGACTGGAATGAAGGAGTACCGATATAGAGAAGATGTGATGATATTGGTGAGCGCCGTACGCCCGCGGCCAAGTTTCCGGAAAGCCGGAAGAAGGGATGAAGGTCGGGTCGCCAGGAAAGTACCGGTCACTAAGCTCCGATAGCTCAGCCTGGATGCGGAGCCCTCTCGAGGTGTCCGATGCTCGCTCTTGCATTATTTTATGGGCTTCCGGCATGAACCAGTCAGAGTACTTAGCTATGTGACCCTGGATTGTTTGCCGATGCGAGTTGCGCCGCGCCGCCTCGTCCAGCCCAAGTCCGACGGGCTTGACGATAATTGTGGTGACCCTACCGCTTGCTCTGACCGCAGAGGGAGGCATGCGACCGGCCAAGCGAAGGTACTCGGCCCAGATCTCTGGGTGGGTGATGACGATCTCCTCGACTTGCTGTAACGAGCGGGAGGAGCAGAAAGATTCGAGCTTGCGGTAAGCGCGTTCGGCGGACAGGTTGAGCTGGGGGATGGTGGGGTCTAAGGGTCAGCCGATACCCTCTGCAAGATAGGCCACCATGAGAACTGAGATCAGACCTACCCGGGAGGAGGAAGGGGTCGATCAACCTTTTGGGGTATAAGAAGGGTTCAGTGATTGCGTGAGTGAAGGAGGAGAGACGGATCATGGTCGAGAGAGCGGGTCGATCCAGGTGTTGTGTGATCTCTCGTAGGATGTGAGGATAGCCCCTGATGTCGAACATGGGGTGCGTCGGATAGTAGCGACTGAAGGGGTAATGTATGGTGGAGAGGGAAAGACCGAATGAGTATTCGAACTGGTATCGTGCTAAAGAAGCGAAGCGGTCCGTGTCTGAGATCTGAGACCTGAACCTATGGATGACTCCAGCAACTCAGTCGCTTGAGCTGAGAACAGCCCCGGTGTGTTCCTGAGCTGGGTAGATGCATGTGATTACGCTATCTGTAGCAGCTCAATAATATCCCTCTTGCCAGACTGTTCAAACCACTTGGCGAAGCCCACCAATCTCACTTCAAGATCTGGGTTAACTTCCCACCGCCGAACGAACCCTATATACTCCAGTAGACTCGCATCATGACCCTTCGCCCAGCCATCATCTCCCCCAGCTCCAGGTAGACCTTCCAAGCCGACCAGGGTATAGACCGAGGGCGGCTGGAGGGCGAATGCTGGCATGGCGAGGGGCAACGCGCGCGAATTGTAGTCCAGCAGCGGTTTGCTCTCCCAGCGCTCCGTGTATTTGGAGTGCGGCGTATCGAGCTCGTCAAAGTCCCGGACAGTGACGATAAAGTCGTCCCTCGGAGCAGGGAGGAGGACGAGCTCGATGCTCTCCCAGGGTTCAGAAGGTGTAACCTGGCGAGCGGTTGAGGAGACTTGGCTGGATATTGCCGCTTCCGACGAGTATAGTGAGGTGACGGGTAGAGGTGAATGGAGGATAATTCTCAGAGAGAGCTTTGAGGAAATGGTAGAGGTCGATGACGGCGCCGTGAGGAAGGTGGAAGACGACGCGAGAGGAAGGGAGTAGGGTGGCAATGTCGAAGAGGTGTTGAAAGTAGAGTTGGGGTCGGGCCCGGTCGCGGGCGCGCTGATACCGGGAATAGGGATCTATGCGAGTCATCGCCCTCAGACTCTCCTCATGAGTCCTCAAGACCATTCTCTGCTCCCCCTCACAATGACCCCTTTATCTCCATACTCCCTCCAGCTGCCCTCCGGGATGTAAGGCGCAACGTGGATGATAGTCGAAGTCTTCTGCCCGGTTTGCTGCTGAAGGTAGCTCTGAGATATGCTCGAGATATTTTCCCCATATCTCTGAGCGTGCGATAAGGATCGTCTTCACAGGCGCGAGGTGAGGCGAGCAAAGGAGGGTTACGAGCTTGTCGCTTGCGGTCTTGAGCAAGGACGTGGTACCTGGCGGGGCGGTCGTCTCGGTGTCTGATCATCAGCCTAAGTACCTCTATCGGATATGAGGCACTCAGAAGGCAGGCAGCTTACAGCGAGGTCGTAGCGGATCGACCAGCTTGCCGGGATACAGCACCGCTATTCCAAGATCCCTCGTAAACGAGCTGAGACGAATGATAACAGCAAGCGTTGCCCGATCCGAGTGGAGCATCACGCTTTGTAAGTATGTGGATACGTAGTGATGTTGAGCATCGTCAATGCTGTCGCTGCATAGGCAACACCAAGAGCAGAGGCAAGGGTGGTTTGATGAAAAGGCGGTGTAGTCGGTGCCTGAAACACACTGAACCACAGCCGGACTGAGGAATGTGGAATGTCCGGAACTTTAATTGACGCACCGGAAGCAAAGAAGCCCAACTCGTCAGAAGCCATCACAACCCCAATCCGGCCCCTGTCTTCTCTCTATACTGTTCAGCTCACACTCCGCTTTTGCTCGATCAGCTTCCCAGTCTTTCCTTCCACCGACTGCCTGTACCTCACAATGTTCTCGGATCTACCGCCCGAGCTTTGGCCTCTCCTCATCAGCCACCTCCGAAACCCGCTTCCCCCGACACATACTGCCCTCCCCCCTCCGCTGTCCACGCTCAAGCAGCCGCATGTAGTGGCAGCAATGATGGTATCCACGGTAAGTTTCGTGGCTCTTCTCCTCTGAGATTCAGGAGTCTCTGGTCACAAATTGAGATTAGTGCAGGCTGATGAATTCAGGAGTGGTATCGGCTGGCCTCATCAACCCTCTACTCCGCCGTCGTAACCCATGACCTGACCCTCCTCCTCCAAGGTGTCTACAATACTCCTATATCCGGCATTCTCTCGGAGCGGGAGCTGCTGGGCGAGATTCAGCACCTATATCTTGAGCCCGGCAGAATCGCCCCTCATCGCTCGATCCGCTGCGCACCCAGTCGGAGATGGCCCTGGAGGGCTGGAAAGGGGCGTCACGCGCTTCCAAGCCCCTCCCGGTGTTTGAGAAAGCGCGGACGCTCTCGGTTGGGGCTTTTGCGGGCTGCCCCAAGCACTACAGGGGATCGGGCGGACCAACATCTACCGTCCGGAACCTGACCGAAGCAGCCCGGGAGTATGTCGGCCAATTCCTCTACGAACACCCCCAGATTCGTCATACATGCGACTGGGCGGCAGGTCCCCTGATTCTTAACGACAGCGTCATCGCATGCATCTCGGACAAGCAGTACTCAGCACCCTCCATTACGGCGCATTCCTTCGCAGAGAGCGCGTCCATACCCCACTTTGAAACCTCGTATATTCCGACTCGGCGGTACTTCCGCGCGGCCGCAAAATCCGAGTCACCGTCATCTACTGGAGGCGCGATCGTCGCGATGGTGGTGGCTGCCATTGCGGAACGCCAGAGCGGAATGGAGGATCTGGGGATGGAGAGCGACGAGTATGGGTGGAACCTGGAGGAAGATGTGTACGTCGACCTCACCTCGGACAGCTCGGCGGGCGCGAGTTCTGCGCGGGATCGGGCGAGCCGGAGGAAGCAGGCCGCAGACTTCACCGGCGTTATCGAGGGGATGCTCGCGGCGAGCAGGGCTGCCCTGCCCACCGTCAAACTCCCGCACGACTCGTGGACAGTAACGCAGCTCTTCGACGCTCCCAGATGCGAAGCGTGCGGCTGGGAGCCAGAGGGGACGGAGGAGCGGGGCGTGGTGGAAGCTTAGGGGTGGAGGTGTAGGAGAGGGGCGATCGGTAGATGAACTCATGGTACGTCCTTCCTCCCTGCCGAAGAGCAGCCAGGCTGATATACTTCCAGTACATACCATAATCATCCTGTCATTATATCTCAAACCACGACCAAGTCCCGCGGCTATCGAGAATCTTACCCACCACAACGAGGGATACCCCGTCGTTACAGTTCCCCACTCGATCATACTGCCTTCTCCCTCATTAACTATCCGCGCTCAGCGGTCATCTCTCATCCGCTCCATTCTCAGGTGATTTGGTCGGGTCATACGTCGGGATCTTCGCTATCGGCATGGGGAGGCGGGGCGGAGAAGAGCAGGATCTGGGCACCTGGGGCATCGTGACAGAGTGAGCCGGGGGCGGTCCTCGATGCGGGATAGATGTGGGGAGGGCCTTGAGCACGTTAATAGCTGCCTATCTGGTAGCTCATCCATGTATAAAGTCTAATTGCCGTCGACTCACACACTGAGCTGCTAGAAGCTATTGCGTCTTCGCTTCGAGGGGTTTATAAGGAGGATCGAATAAGTAAGGCTGGAGAGGATGAGGAATGCGGAGCAAACAGACTGCAAGAGCTAACTACACGATGCTCTTGACGATGCTGCTTGCTGAGCGCCTTCCTCCGTTACTCACTGAACGTCCTCGGTGCTGAGATCTTCAGCGAGCTCATATATCTCGACACTACCTATCATGGCAACGCACCTCATTCCGGAGGTTCTCGTCGAAGTATTCCAGCATCTCCGCAAGCAAATGCCACTGCCTCACCCAATCCACCCTCCTGCAAACTGATCAATCTGCCAATCGGACCTCGCAAGCGTCTTGCGTGTGTATAAGGTCAGCTATCAGGCCTCAGCATTTCGTGAAGGGTCATATGCTGATTCGCAGGACTGGTACAATGTTGCTACGCCGATACTGTACGCTACGCGACGGTGGTGGCTCGATTACCATTACTCATACGGGGATACAACAATACTCCTATACCCGGCATCACGTCAAAGCGGCATCTCCTCGCCCAAACAAAGCACCTCTTCCTCGAGTACGAGTGGCCGGAAGCTAAGTCTGCACCGGCGAGCGCGGGTATACTACCTCAATCGCTCGGCGCAATTGCAACAATCACCAGATGGGTGTCATCCGCCATCGGCATCGCGGACCAGCCGGATACGTGGACTCTCCCTAGTTCACCTCCAAAGCCGCGGCAGCTGTTCCAAACCGGATACAAAGCGAATATCGATCGAGATTGGGAGGAGCAAGGGTCGCAGGAGGCTGATGAGCTGTGGGAGGCGATGAGGGTGATCAGAGGCGGGAGGGGGTACGAGGGGCAGGTATTCAACAGTCTCCGGACTTGGGCGGTAAATGTTTACGGGGGCGAGGCGTGCGATAAGCGGTGGGGTGCCCTCGCGGAGAGCGTCAGCTACAATGACGTATCGCGGGTCTGTCGCATGGCTGTTCTCGCCTTCGTCGCCAGCCACCCTACCCTCGAGCACATCTGCGATCCGGGCGATATCGGTCCACTCTCCTGCGAGCGTCACACAGGCCGTCCGTTCGTCACGCGTCCCTCGGTATCCATTCACACTTGTCCCCTCAATTATCCCTACACCCTCTTCCTCATCGGCGAGCCAACTCGCTGGTACATCCACGCCCCGCCGAGCAGTTGACGAGGCGGCACGACGGGGCCGCGAGCTGGGTGCTGGCAGGGCTCGCATGATTCTGGAATCGCCCCGAGGCGGTCTGAGGGCAATGTCAAGAAGCCAAGTAGCTGGTGGCGAGGTTTGGTATCGGATCAAGGTTGTAGCTGTACAAGTGAGGAAGATGTACATGATTGTGAGCAAGGTGAATGAGAGGCAGAGAGGCGGGTGGAAACCAGTGAAAACCGCCACCGGCCACTCGGCGCCGGCCCGGACCGGAGCACTGAGCGGGGAAAGAGCGGTTCACGAGGCCCTGCTGCTGAACCGCCCCAGCGAGCAGTTGACGCCGACGACGAAGGTAGGGCTGATGAGGTTCATAGTTGACTACAAATCGAGGCGCTCTAGATTACAGTTACGTGACAACTCGGCCGCTATCCGGCTCCCCTTCTACGACCCGCCTTGCGTCCGCCTGACACTTTACGAATCGCAAGCTGATCGTATGAGCGAGCGGTGGATCCGAGGGTTTGGAGGGTGTGTAGGGTTTTCTGGTCCGCGAGGCCGCCAGAGGACAAGACGATGGGGTAGAACTGGCCGTCCCGTACGACTGCCGCGCCGAGGCTAGCCACCTTTTGGTTGCAGTGTGCTGCTAGAGCCTGCTCCGCCCGCCGAGTGGTGATGTATGTGGATCGAGAGGGGTGCGACGTCCGACGCGGTGCCCAGGGTGACGTCAAACTCCATCTTGTCCGAGCCCGAGAGCAGGCCGAGAAGCGGCTGTCGTTCTTTTTCGCGCTGCCTGAGGCCCGGTCGACGATGAGCGACGTTGACCTTGGCCGCCGGTAGACGCTGGAGCATTTGAGCTAGCGCATTTTGGAATGTCCGCTCCGCCTGGCTGAACTTGCAGCGCTCATGATGACCGGCCGACAGTGGGCAGGGGCAAGTGTCCCGAAGAGCGACCGCTGGCTCAGTGTCACTCATCGAGTGAGCGGGGTCCGAGGGGTAGCCGACCGAAAGCTGAGCGGTTCTCCGAGTAGGGTGGGGAGTGCTCGGCGGGGAGGTGAGGGTGAGGAGGGAAGATGGTTGTTGATTGATGAGTTTGTGTGGACGGAGGGGATGATGGAGGGAAGAGTAAAGTCGGCGGCGGGCGACGGCCGCCAAGGATGCCGCCCATGCGGACCGGCAGAAGAGCAACAGCTCGTCCACCTCGTCTCTTCCCTTTGCCCGCCGAAAGCCCGAGGACGAGTCGAGGGTGCGGAGGGGATGTTGTGGCGGGAGTTGGTTGAGGAGGACGACGGTGGCGGAGAAAGACTGGGTGTACTGCTTGACCTTTGGCCTGCGCGCGGACCGACCATTGACCCGAGCACCTGGCGTCGAGGGGGATGGGGAGGATTTGGTGCGGTCGATCCGGAATCCGGAGGGGGAGCGGTCAAAGGCGGCGCAGATGATAGGGAGGGCGTCGACATTGTCGAGATACGCGAGCAGCTGATGCCCTGGACCGAGTGCGTTCTCGAGGAGGGGACGGTGCATGATGGAGAAGAAGAGGGCGCCTCTCTCGGAATCGATGACGGTGTAGGTACCATCGTGGCGGACGAGCAGGGCGGCGTTTGCTCCGTAGACCCAACGAAAGAGGTGGGGGACGCCCGGTTCTGCCTGCCGAGCGTGGGCAGATGAGGCGGGAGTGGGCTTATTGGCCCCGTTGGAGGGGTCGGAAGATGGAGAGCGCGGAGCTGGTCGATGGTTTCCGGGGTGATCTCCCGCCTTTGCCTCCAGCCGCAGGTCAGGTCACGCCCAGGCTTGACTCTGGTCCGAGCGCTCCACCGGTGATGGGTCCGCCTCGCCAAACGGGACGTTGGGGTACGCGCTGAGGTACGCGGCAGCATTGCGGCTGCGGAGACCGGGGACGAGACCGAGTTTGACCACGCCGACGGCGCCGAGGAAAGCGGGGAGAGTTTCATCGCACGGGTTGGGAGGTGTATGCAGCCGCTGCTAGCCCTGCCGCGTCGACGAACGGGGCGACAAGGCCGGGCGAGATGCGGTGTCGGTCTGGGGGGCAGCTGCAGGCTGAAGCGAGGAGGAAGGGATGAGTAGAGTAGTGGATAGGGTCCGCGGGGTGGCAAAGGGAATATGGCGTGGTGATAGATCGAGCGAGCCGAGATGACGCGTCGCCACCCGGAAGCAAAAAATGCCACGTTTGCCGGGATCAAAAGTTACCGCTTTCGGCAGTCGCGGCTTGCCGCGGCTGACGTCACGCGCGTGACGCGCCAATCTCACGCGCCTCAATGAAAAGTCTTGCATTTTCAAACAAGTCTTGAATTCTGAATGAGGGGATCGAATGGTACATGCAGGAGGTCTCGAAATCTGAATCAGGGGGGGTGCCCGGGCCGGGGTACCCTTCCCAATTGTTTGCTCATACCTGGAGCCCCCTACCCCTCCCCCTCCCGCATACCCACGCCCCACCCACATGGCCCGGGGCGCGCTCCGCGCGCAGATATCTGGGGCGGTCGGCGGCGGGGCCGCCTCGTCAACCGTTCGCGAGCATCTTGGCTGACCTTTCTGGAGTGTGAAAGGCAAAAGAGAGAGTTGACAGGGGTCAAGGCGTTCTGTTTGGGCGGTGAAAGGGAGAAGGACAGCCCAAACTCTAAATTTGCCTCTGTATCAACCTGAATCTGACACTACCTTACTGAGCTATCGAACGAGTGTGTATGCGGTCAGCAGGATTGAGACGAGAACAGGGGGGGCTATCACCGTATAAAGTCGCTTGTTGACAATAACGAATATGCATCTTTGAGTGCTACTACCTCGTGTAAACAACCCCTCTTCTTCATGCGCGGACAAGGGAACCGGAGAGAAAGCAGAACGGAAAGACTATAGACACAAGCTGAAGAAAGGAAAGTGCACTGTATGCGAGAGGCGTGATAAAAGTGGAGGAAGGTGGTGGTTGAGAAGGGAGGAGGTGAAGTTGGGTGGGAGGGTCGAGGCGTGATGCAGGCGGCATGTGGTGAGGGGGACGGAGGAGGCGGTGATGCGGTGTGGGGAGTCAGATCACGACCAGACCTGACATCGTCAGCTAACTGCTCGTGGAACACACATCCATGCCGGCGAGCTCACCTTCAACAAGCTGTCCCAAGATCCCGTGCACAGCGCAATCCCATCATCGCTAACGCCCAGACACGAAATCCGATTATCGTGCCCGGCGAGCACGCCGACCCGCTCGCCCTTAAGCGTATCCCAGATATTGATATTGTAGTCGTCGTAGCCGGCAAAGAGGACCCTGCCGGATTTGGAGAAGCCGACCGAGGTGATACCGCACAGGATATTGTCGTGGGCGTAGGTGTTGAGCTCGCGGTCTGCGCGGAGGTCGTATAGCTTGCACGAGGCGTCGTCGGAGCCGGTAGCGAAGGCGTCGCCGTTGGGGAAGAATCTGAATATCAGCTTGGTCCGACATTTGCAGCGACAAGAATGGCAAGGAAGAGAGCGAGTAGTAGCAGAGGTCAGGACATGTGAGATAGTAGACTGTGACTCACTGGACAGCGTTGATATCCGACTCATGCCCCGTAAACGTCTGCACCGCCTTCCCTGTCCTGATATCCCAGACCTTGGCCGTGGCGTCGCACGCGCCTGATACGAAGAGGTTGTGGTTTGGTGAAAGCGAGATGCTAATTGATCAGCTTCTGGGCTCTGCTCGTGATCGTGAACACATCAACTCACCTCATGACGTCCCCAGTATGATCATTAAACTCCATCGTCCTCACTCCCTGCTCTATATCCCAGAGCATACACGTCATGTCCCCACTACTCGTCACGATCTTCCGATCATCAATGAACCGACAACAACTCAGGTACCCCGAGTGCGCCGACAGCTCCCTCGAGACCTTGACGGCAGCGGCGGGCTGTCCTGGCTCGGCACCGCGGAGCGAGTAGATGGAGCATAAATTGTCGAGACCGCCGCACGCGACGTATTGGCCCGAAGGGGCATAGGCGCACGTCATGACCCAGGACGAACGGAGGGGGATCGCGTGTACCTTGTTGGAGGTGTAGGCGTCCCAGACGATCAGCTTGCCGTCTTGCGAGGCAGAGACGATGTGGCGGTTGTCGGCCGCCCAGTGGAGGGCGTAGATCTTGGCGAGATGGCCTTTGAGGGTGCGTCGGGATTTGAGGGTCATACGGGGTAAAGGGGCGGTGTCGTTGGCCATTGCCCGGACTGGGGGTCAGCTCCAGTCTCCTCTTGACGGAGCCAGTACTCGGAGAAGAAAGACGTACGACTCGTGTCCGCAGTCTGATCCTTCGCCGTCCGGATCTTATCCTTCAACCCGTCCGCTTCTCTCCTCGCCGCCGAGATCTTCTCTTGTATTTCCGCTTGCGACATGGCTGTGGTTTTGCTGATTCTCGGTATGGGATCTGCTATCGAGAGAAGATGTAGGAGATGGAGCGAGTGATCGATGAAGAGGCAGAGGGATGTTGATAATTTAGCCAAAGGATGGGGACGAGCGGACGTTTCAGTTGAGGAGAAAGACGCGTTAGCGAGGTCCACACGAGCCTGAGAGACGGACGTACGGAATTAAAGGGGATGGGCCAGAGATGAGGGGTTGCGTATAGGTAGAAAGGGTAGTCGATGAGAGAGATGGGAAGTGGGTGTGAAGGTGTGGGGTGATGGGGCACGGGCCTGAATATCGGGTCCGAGCGCAGGGATATGGCGCTAGTTGGTCAAGTCAAAGTGAATTGACCGCGGAGTAGGGTATGGGAGCTCGGACCACTTTCTGGCTGTTCAGCTTGGCCCGATGAGGGTATATGCGAAGGGTATAGAGGAGATATGGGGAAGAGGAGAGAGAGAGGGGAACGCGACTCACTGCAAGGTCTATCAGTCAGGCACACACGGAGCACACCACGGGTCCTTTGGAGCCCTTTCAGCGATCCACTTCAGTGCCTTCCAGCGTTCGGCGCGGTGCCCGTATGATTGAGCGATTCCGGGAGAGGGACGAAGGTGGTGCTTATTCGGGATGCGCGGTGATCGATGATCGGCGAAGGCAAACGCAACGCAGAGGAAGAGGTGAGTGAAGGGATGAAAGCTCAAGTGAGCGAAAGGCGGAGGAGGTGTGTGCGCGAGGGATGTGTCGGAGCTTATTTATCAGCAAAGGCTTGACCGCTTGTGGATGGTGTAGTGACGTACCGAGCGTGAATATTGCTCGTTCTTGCTCTATAGTCTGATCACTCTACTCCTGGCGGGTCTGGACGGGTGCAGCTCCACCGCTTTTGGCTCTGTCTTCAAGGAAGGATGTGAAACCGCCGAGATTGCGAGGGGGGGACCACCTGAAACACGAGCCCCGGGATTCGGGAGGCAATGACGAGGTGGAGAGTCCGGTCCGTGCGGGGTGTGGTGGAGGTGGTGATCGAAGGTTGTGCGTATGGCTGTTGATGGGAGTGGAAAGAGCGTGGGATGGATGGGCGAGCCGGCGCGAAAAGGTGTGTAAAAGGTGGTGGGCCGTGTACGAAGTGGATGAGGAGAGAATGAGCGCCTGACTCCTTTTGTGGTCTCGGAAATTTCTTGTCGCGCGAGGACGGCTGCAGTCGACCGGGCTGGTCCGCGTAGGTGGTGCGACACGAGGCGAGATGGAGAGATAGAAGTAGTGTGTTGATGATGAGCAAAGCGGAAAGTTGAGCTAGCTACGGATGAAGGGGTGCGGTATAGGGTCCAGGCCGTGCCGAGAGAAAGGTCGATCGCGAAAGAAGGATCGTCGTGGCGTACTGGTGATAGTAGTGGACGCTCGAGATTCACTCTTGCAAGCCTTTCTGACTTTCGCGATGGTGCAGCTAGAGGGGAACAGCAAAATGGTAAGGAAGGCAAGAGCGAGCACTGTAGCTCTGGACCAATGGAAAAGACTTCAAGTGGCTCTACCTGCTCGGAATGGTCGTGCCTGTCTCGGCAGATTATGGGCTGCGAAGGTATGCACCGGTACCGGATTCCGTATGTCGCCTCTACTCTTCTTCCCGCCGATGTGGCGCCGCCTGACGCCTCGCGCCCATTTTCTGGGCGCTCTAGACCTCGCTTGCGGCTGCTGCCTTCAGAAGCCCTCAAAGAACATTGGTAGCGCACTGAGCATACGACTGCGGGAATACACCTGATGGCAATAGTCTCCGAGACCTCTGATTGTGCCTCTTTCGGCCCCGAGGACCGATATCCAGGGTCGAGCAAGGAACAAAAGGCGCCTGGTATGCTTATTTCGTCATTCCATCTCGAGGGTGGTCTTCTTTTTGAGATTACACCACTCTACTTCTCCGCGGCGGCGCACGGCCGTATTTCTGTAAGAAGCTGCAGTGAAGAAGCGTAGGAATCCACAGCCGCAGCGCAGAGGAGCAGGCGGATGTAGAGGTCATCCACTCGGACCGGGCCGGGCAGCCGCTGCATCGATCATTCTGAGGAATGTGTCGATCGCTTGATACCGTAAGCCTCTCACGCCGCTCTGCTCTTGGTGTTCTTGATGTTCAGTGCTGCCTACTGTATCGCTAAGCTTCTAAACGCCCGCTACGGCCGATATGCGCTATCTGATAGCTCTGATGTTGGGGATCTGAATCTGATCGATGATCTAGATCTGATACCTCAAGATCGCTGCAACAGTACATGTGAACCCGAAACCGGGCCTCACTATCCCCGATAACTAGCAGCATTTGACGTGATCACCGACGAATCGGTCGTGTGAGCGGATTCGGGCGTCAGACTGAGGCTTGGCGGCCACCTCGCAAGTGTCTGGCTAGCTCCTCGGAGTCTGATGAGCGTCGCATGTTTGCCAAGCTAAGTCAAGATACCATGCTATCGTTGCACTTTGCGTGTACCTATGTGCAGCTTGGCCCGAATCTCTTTACCCCTACCGAGTCGGGCCTAGCTCTGTCGTACAAATCTAAGCATCAGTACCGTTCCGATATCGCGGCGCACGCGAGGATAAAGACACTCACGTAGCATCCACCTGCTGGACCTGCGGTAGCGCCAGGATGATCTTCCGTCTGTACCCTCCCGGATCGTTCGTCTGACACGGGTTATGTTCGAGGTATACCGTCTGGAGGGTGGAGATGTGGGCGAGCTGGGTATCGAGGGCGCGAAGGTTGGGGATTTGGTTGTTGTTGGCCTAGGATGTCAGCTGCTGTCTCCTGCTCTCATTATCGTGGAAGGAGGATAGCTTACCCAGAACTCCTCGAGCTCGGTGAGGTGCGAGATACCTTCTATCTCTTCTATCATGTTGTTGCCTATATCCAGGGTTCGCAATTTCAGCTTCAGACGTCAGCTCATGCCAGGCGTGGAGAAACGGCAAGAGGACGGACATTCTTCTCCAACCCCTCAATCTTCTTCAGGCCATTATGGCTCAAATATAGCTCTTCGAGATTAACCAACCCGTCGAGGCCTTCCATCTTCGTTATCCGGTTAGACTGTATCGAGAGGATTTTGAGATTGCTGAACGCGTCCAGATTCTGCTTCATCAGCTAAACGCACACGAGGTATACGATGTCCACGTCGCACACCTCATAGCTGCTCGAGTCACGACATCCCAGGACTCTCGTCCATAAAGTAGAACAGAGCAAAACCTACCTCCAAAGTCCTGATCTTATTCTTGCCCAACCACAGCTCCTCCAACCTAGTCAAAACTTCCAGATTCTCAATCCGCCTCAACCTATTCCCGCCCAGCTCAATGCTCGTCAGTGTGGAGCTGCACCAGTCGAGCTGGCCCGCCTCGACCTGGTTGATCTTGTTCTGGACGAGATAGAGGATTTTGAGGCGGGTCTGAGAAGGGAGTGTAGGGGGGTGACGGAGGTTGTTGAAAGAGAAGTCGAGTGAGCTGGGGATCAGCCAAAGGTCGTGTATCACTGCTTTCGGGTACAGCAAGAATCATCATTCAAGTGTCGGTGAAGAAGGAGACGCTGATACGCACATCAGATTGGGACATCCCTTGACTTCTTCATCTTCCACCACTGGTCCCAGCCGATTATCGTACAAATCCAGCTCATCCAGCACTTCCAACCCCTCAAACACCCCTTCGGGCAAGGGCGAAGCAATAGCATTCTGCCGCAAACAGAGCCGCTTGAGATGTTTCCCAAATCGGGGGAAATTGAGAGGGAGGAGGTTTTCAGATTTCAGGCGAGAATGTTGGAGGTGGATGTCCTACTTGATGAGCTGTGTCCTTCGCGCGTCGTAGCTAGAGAGAGGGAAAGCTCACCTCCGCATCATCTGGGAAATCCCGGAGCAAGTCCTCATCTGCCTCTTCCTCTGTATTGACAGCGGTATCATCGTCGTCTTCCGGCTCTGAATCAGATCCGGGAAGTTGGACGATTTCCATAGGCCCCAGTCGGGCGCGCGGCTTTGCAGGTTTGGGCGCCTCGACGTCCGGTGCTTTGGGTTCTTGGATGCCATTGGTATCATTCTCCGGGAGGTCGGAGCCTGTAGCGGTGCTGGAAGAAGCTGCTGGGTCGGACATGGTAGCAGGGCGGTAGAGAGAAGGTAGAAAGGTGGAGGTGGAGCTTCCGCGTGACTGGTGCTCAGCTGTGCTAATTGAGGAATGTGGAGCTGGACACCGTGGGAAGGTTGTCATTTAGGTCGGAATTTCAGGCAGCTCCACCTTGCTCTTCCTACTACCTTTCTACTTGCCCATATAGCATAGTTCCAAAAGTCTATGCTCCCCCGCTTGCTCAGTCGTTCAGCAGTACCTCTTCTAGCCTCAAGAAGCCGCCTCATACCATCGTTCTCTGCGTTAGCGTACATGTCCTCTGACCCAATCGCGAAAAGGATGAAGTCGACCAAGGTCAGCTGATGAGCTCAAACGTGCGGGCAGAAAGGCTGATTCAAGTAGACTATCGGGACCCACTCGGGGACTTTCCACTGTGATGGTGAGCTATTTCTATTCGAAATTGTGCGATGGGGCATAGTTGATCTGGCAGAGGCGCTTGCTGTGTTCATGCTCCGCCAGACGGACGAATTCAAGGATGCCGGTGAGCTCCGCCTCCTTCCAAGTATTGCGAAGGTCAAAAGCTGATACCGTGCAGACCTTGTCCGTACCCGGGACCCCAAGAAGCGTGCGTCAGCTTCCCCGTCACTCATCTTGCGAGTCAGGATCAAGCTGACCTCTCAGTCGAGCCCCTCGATATCGTCGTCGACGTGGGAGGCGTCTACTCGCCCGAAGCGCACCGGTACGACCACCATCAGCGGGGATTTACCGAAGTGTTCGGTTCGGGCGGGTTTGACAAGATCAAACTCTCATCCGCTGGTCTTGTCTACAAGTAAGCTCAATACCACACTAAGAGTTGCGCTAGGGGTCCAAGCTTACCCCTTAGACACTTTGGCAAGCACATCATCGCCCGCCGGCTTGGTCTGCCCGAATCCGACCCGAACGTCTCTCTTCTGTGGCACACCCTCTACGCCGAACTCATCGAGTCGGTCGACGCGATCGATAATGGTGTCAACCTCACGGATGGGGAGGTGCGGTATGCGAACCGAACGGATTTGAGCTCGAGGGTGAAGCGGTTGAACCCAAATTGGAATGAGCCGACTTCGGACGAGGTGTACGATGTGAGCTATTCACTTTTTCCGTCTGTCTCTGAGCTGGAGTACAGATCCTGAAATGGGGAGATTAGCTGACTATTTAGGCCAAGTTCAAGGAGGCGTCTCAGATGACAGGGGAGGAGTTCCTCGGTCAGCTGGACTACTATGCGAATGCGTGGTTGCCTGCTAGGGATGTGGTCAAGGCCGCGCTGGACAAGCGGATGGAGGTGGACCCTTCAGGAGCTGTAGTTGTGTTCCATCAGGTAAGCCTGATTTCCACAACAAGTCTGCTTTTCCTGGCCACCCTTCAGCTTTCTCCTCCATCTCAAGCACACCTCTCACTCGATATTTTCACTTCTTCAGATTCCATTGTCATAGCAACAGCTAACCCCAGCAGTCCTGCCCCTGGAAAGACCACCTCTTCAACCTCGAGCCCACCCTCCCCCCCGCCCCCTCTCCCATCCTCTACATCCTCTACCCCGAGTCCGACACCCCCTCCGCCAAATGGCGCATCCAGTGCGTCCCCAAATCCACCGACTCGTTTGAAAACCGCAAGTCCCTGCCGGAGGCGTGGCGCGGTGTACGAGACTCGGAGTTGAGCGCGGTGGCGGGCGTAAAGGGGTGTGTGTTTTGTCATGCCGCAGGGTTTATTGGGGGGAATGAGACGTATGAGGGGGTTTTGGAGATGGCGAGGTTGGCGTTGAAGGCTTGAGCGCGCGGAGGGGCGAAGGAAGAAGGAGAAGAAGGAGATAGAGGGTGAATGTATGCATGATCTATGCAGAGCCGGTGGAGCTTTGCCTGCTCCCGGGTCGTTTGCTGACCGCAGCGAATCCAAAGCTCAAGATCTCAAGGCTGATAAAAGCGACGAGCGAGGTCTGTTCCCCTCATCATACTCGACCTTGCCAGTAGTCCTTGCGCTGCTGATGTACTGCCCTGCCGATGTGTACACAACAAGATCCATGCCAAATGCGTGAAACCGAGCCAGACCAATACCTACACCCGCCCCGCATCCCGCCTACTCTTCCCCGGCCTACCTCCACTCGACCCGCCTCTCGAACTCCCACCCCTTCCACCACCGCCACCACCTCTCCCTCCCCGTCCTCCACCTCGTCCGCCCGCACCCCCTCGACCTCCCCCGCGCCCGCCTCGTCCACCAGACCGGCCAGCGCTCCATCCGGGCATATCGTTCGTGCTTTCTTTTGTATTCTCCTTGGATCGTTTCCCGCCCCCGCCGAGCGAGTATTTGGCATCCCGGGCGTGGCGGGGCATCTGGATATCAGCTCCCTACTCGTCCAGGGAGTGTAACAGGGATGGTGAGTTTGGGATGCCAGAGGGAGAGATGGGAGAGAGACAGCAGGAATGAAGGATGACATACCTTGGACTTGTCATTCCCGCCTCGTCCGCCCCGCCCACCTCGTCCACCCCTCGCGCCGCCCCTCGACTCCCTCTCTTCAGGCTCATCATCCAGCTGAATCCCAAACTCGTCATCGTCACCCAAGTCCTGCCCGTCCTTCCGCTCTGTAAAAGTCAGCTATACTCTCCATGACTCTGCTTTCATGACCCAGCCCACGGGGATGAGTGTCAAGCACGAGAATAAAGAAGACAACTCACTCCGCTTCACACCCTGCATCTTCTCGGTAAAGCTCTTCTTGTCCATCTCCCGCTGCTTGATCTTCTCATGTTGGATCTGTTTGCCGTACTTCTTGAGATCCCGCTGTTTCTTGGCAGCTTCGGACTTCTTGATGCCTTGCCTGCGGGGATCAGCGCTTGTCCTGCCGACTTGTGTCTAGCAGACCTTGCCACGAGCGGATGGTCTTGAAGGGACAGGTAGGACTTACGACTCCTCCACAAGCTTCGTCCTGATCCTCTCCATGTGCTCGTCAGACTTGACCATCTCCGCGTAATAGTCATTTGGGCGGGAAAAGGGGATATCAAACTTGGCGGCGCGCTTCTTGGCGATAGCGACTTGGTCGAGCGCGATCTTGTAGCTGGAATGTCAGCTCAGGAGTTCAGCTAATCACGATCTTCACAACTGACAAGGCTGTTTCTCGCTGCAGGTCTGAACGGTCAGCTTAACACCCCAAAAATGGGCGAGTGAATGTAGACGTACCGTCCTGGTGGTCCACGTCGATGACCTCCTTGCTTGACATGACGAGGTGTTCTGGCCATGCGAGAGAAGTGACGCGCAGAGACTCGGTGACGGCCCGTAGTGCCGGCTGAGGCGTCAGCTGTTCGTTCCATAGTGCCGGACAGAGAAAAGCAGCTAACTCACCTTGTTGTTGATAATCAGCTTGCGCATAGGTACCGAGTCTTCGTCAAGGGACGCGTCGGATCCAATGTCGTCCATCGCCAGAGCATCGGGGTCGGCTTCGTCAATCAAGACAGAGTTGTCCAGAGCCTGACGATATCAGCTGTGGCCAGCAAAATTGAGTGGCAGCTAGCTCACCCTTGGCACGCCCTCATCTTCCTCATCCTCGCTGTCCTCCTCGTCCTCCTCACCGTCTTCGCTCTCGCCGTCCATCTCCTCGTCCTCACTCCCGCTCATCCCCTCCTCTTCATCCTCATCATCCTCACTATCCTCCTCATCCTCGAGCATCAACCTCGCCCTCTCCTCCTCGTCCAGATCCGCCTCACTGACGAGCTTCATCAACCGCTGCATCCCCTTCTCGCTCACGCCTCCATTGTCTTCATCCTCATCTTCGCTGCTCCAGTCCGACTCGTCCCCATCTTCATCCACTTCCTCGTCATCCTCTTCCTCCTCCTCCTCGACATCATCATCGCTGGCAGGAGCGGGTTGAGCGACCTTGGGAGCCGGTGGTGCAGCCGCGGCCTTTCCTTTCCCTTTCGGCGCAGCGGCGGGAGATGGCTTAGAGGATACCTTGGACTTCGCGCCGAGCTTGTTGGATGTTGGCTTGACCATGTTTGCTTGTTGTATAGCTATGATGTGCTTGAGTTTAGCAAAGGTGGACAGGTGAATTCTGAAATTCTGACCCGCGCCCGGTGGAGGTAGCTGAAGCAGGAATTACCGCTTCAGGGGATTCCGTCGGAGTTCTCGGCGATATAGGGCGGGTGGCACTCCTTGGGTTACCTCATTCCTCGCCACCTGAAGCAGCCAACAGCTAACTTGCCTTGTATACTGCCTCTCCCTATATAACTCGTTCCTACTCGTATCTACATCTCTTCTCTGCACTGCACACTCAAAAAGCCACCGGACGCCTTGATTGACTGTTCTGGCGGCTACCCTCCACTCCGTTCTTCCGGATCCCCAGCTTCGACCTAACCTCGAGGCAAACCTTTGTAATCCAACTCTGCCTCCCCTAGACTAGTCAATATGGATGCAGGTAAATCTTTTCTTTACCCCATCTTGAGGGAACAAGCTACAGCCTTCTAGCAGGCTACGGCTCTATCGGCGCAACCAGCGCGTCCGCGATCGATATCGACGACTTCGACTTTAATCCGTCGTACGCGTACGGCGATGCCAAGGAGGAGCCAAAGCAGGAGGATCCTTATGCTTACGGAGGCGCGGGCGATGGAGCGTATGGAGCAGGGGGAGGTGGTGCAGGTGGAGGATATGGGTATGGAGAAGGAGAGGAAGAGGATCAGTTGAAGCAGGAGGATTACTGGACGATCATCACTACCTTCTTTGAAGAGAAGGGGTTGGTCCGGCAGCAGCTGGAGAGCTTCAATGAGTTTGTCGAGAATACGATGCAGGAGATCGTGGATGAGAATTCGAGGTTGATGCTGGATCAACACGCGCAGTATACGGGGGATGTGGATGCAGACAAGGAGTCGGTGAGTACATGATCTCGAGATAGAACCTAGACCCTGTCTGCTGTGACGCTCGGCTGACCCACAGAAACGCTACGAAATCACCTTTGGCCAAATCTACCTTTCCAAAGCCGCCATGACCGAGCAAGACGGGACGACCAACATGCTCTTCCCGCAAGAAGCTCGGCTCCGGAATCTTACCTACTCGGCGCCGCTCTACGTCGAGGTCAAGAGCAGACTACTCGTAGCGGACAATGTGGATGATCCGGTCGAGGCGGACTGGAAGCCCAAAATTGGGATTGACGGCGATGAGTTGATTGAGGCAGACAGGGCTTTTATCGGAAAGGTGAGCTGTTCGGAGCTGCTCAAGAGAGCGATCAGCTGACATCCAGATTCCTCTCATGATCCGGTCCAACTTCTGTTTGCTTCATGAGCTCCCTCAGGACATCTTCTACGGTATCGGCGAGTGCCCATACGATTCCGGAGGATATTTCGTCGTCAAGGGCTCGGAGAAGGTGTTGATTGCGCAAGAGAGGATGGCGTTCAACCAGGTCTACGTCTTCAAGAAGCAGTCGCCGTTCACCTTCTACTCGACGGTGACGAGTCATCTGGAGAAGTCGGGGAGGATCAGCGAGATGGAGGTCAGGATGTACCCCCGAGCTTCGGGCGGTGGGACTTCGGTAAGCTCAAGAATTTGCCCTCGCATTGACCTAAGCTGACATTATAGGGCTCGGTCATCCACGTCAAACTCCCCTACGTCAAAGTCGATATCCCCGTCGTCATTGTCTTCCGTGCGCTCGGTATCGTCCCCGACAAAGACGTCCTCAACCACATCTGTTTCGACCCGGAAGACTCGGCGATGCTCGAGATGCTCCGACCATGTATCGAAGAGGCGTTCGCAGTGCAGGACCGAGATGCCGCTCTGGACTTTATCGGTCGTCGTGGCCAAGCCGAGGGCGGGACGCGACAACAGCGTCAGCGGGCGGCATTCGACGTCCTGCAGATGAGCTTCCTGCCCCACGTCTCGATCGGAGAGGGCTTCGAGTCCAAGAAGGCGTATTACCTGGGGTACATGGTGCATCGATTATGCTCGGCGGTGTTGGGGCGGAGGGAGCTGGATGATCGTGATCATTTTGGGAATAAGCGGTTGGACCTGGCGGGTCCATTATTGGCGGGCTTGTTTAGGAAGCTGTTCCAGGGGTTGACGAAGGGTGTTCGGGATCATCTCAAAGCTGTGAGTACTGGACCGGAGATGGAGCTGACGTCAGTGTGTCCAAAACAACAAAGAATTCCACCTCGGCCCAGCTATCAAACCCCGCATCATCACTGAAGGTCTACGGTATGCCATCTCGACCGGAAACTGGGGTACCGGCGCCAACCGTAAAGTCGGTGTCTCGCAAGTACTTAATCGCTACACTTTCGCCTCCACCCTCTCCCATCTCCGCCGTACCAACACCCCTATCGACCGAGGCTCCAAAGCCACCAAACCCCGTCAACTCCACAATACCCACTGGGGCATGGTCTGCCCCGCCGAAACGCCTGAAGGAGCGGCGTGTGGTCTCGTCAAGAACCTTGCGCTGCTCTCGTACATCTCGGTCGGATCCTACTCGGCGCCGGTCATGGAGTTCCTGGAGGAATGGGGATTGGAGGACCAGGGCGAGTTTATGAATGCACCCGAAGCGACCAAGGTGTTTGTCAATGGGGTGTGGATGGGGATTCACAGGGAAGCGCCCACATTATGGGCGAACCTGCTGAGTATGCGGAGAGGGGGACAGATCAAGCACGAGATCAGTATTGTGCGAGATATCCGGGAGAAGGAGTTGCGGCTCCAAACGGACGCGGGGCGGGTGTGTCGGCCGGTCTTTATCGTCGGTGGGGACCAGCGGCTCAAGCTCAAGCGGCATCATATCGAGCGGATCGAGGAGCGGAACGAGAATGGGACGGGGGCGATGGGGCAGTCGTGGGCGGAGATGCTGGACGAAGGGATCATCGAGTATGTCGATGCGGCAGAAGAGGAGACTATCCTCATTGCCATGTCGTCGGACGATCTCGAGAATGCCCGGACGGCCGGCGGGAAGGAGGAGCTCGTCGCTCGTCGTGCGGCTCACAATCTCGCCGGATTCGACCCCACCGCCCGTATAAAATCAACCAACTGGTCTCGCCAATACACACACATGGAGATTCATCCCGCCATGATCCTCGGTGTTTGCGCCAGTATCGTCCCCTTCCCTGACCACAATCAATCCCCTCGTAATACCTACCAATCGGCCATGGGCAAGCAGGCTATGGGTATCCACCTCACCAACTACCAACTCCGGATGGACACGATGGCCAACGTCCTGTACTATCCCCAAAAACCACTCGCGACTACCCGGTCGATGGAGTACCTCAAATTCTCGGAATTGCCAGCGGGCCAAAACGCCATCGTCGCCATCATGTGCTACTCGGGGTACAATCAGGAAGATTCGGTGATTATGAACCAGACCTCTATCGACCGGGGTCTGTTCAGATCGCTGTACTACCGGTCGTACACGGATACAGAGAAGGTGTCGGGGTTGGAAAAGGCGGAAACGATCGAAAAGCCCGATCGGAGCGATACGCTCCGTATGAAGATTGGGACCGCGGATCGATATGCCAAGCTCGATTCGGACGGGCTGATCGCCCCGGCTACCAACGTCAACGGGGACGATATCATCATTGGCAAGACGGCGCCTATTCCTGCGGAATCGGAAGAGTTGGGTCAGCGGACCCAGCTACACCAAAAGCGGGATGTCTCGACCCCGCTCAAATCCACAGAGCAGGGGGTGGTGGATCAGGTCATGATAACCACGAACGGCGAGGGTCATAAATTCGTCAAGGTCCGTATCAGGTCCACTCGGGTCCCGCAAATCGGGGACAAGTTTGCGTCGCGACACGGTCAGAAGGGGACGATCGGAATCACGTACCGTCAGGAAGACATGCCATTCTCGGCGGACGGGATCGTCCCCGATATCATCATCAACCCGCACGCTATCCCCTCCCGAATGACTATCGGCCATTTGGTCGAGTGTCTCTTGTCCAAACTCTCTACCCTCAACGGCGCGGAAGGCGACGCGACCCCGTTCACCGACCTGACGGTCGAGGGCGTCTCGAACCTCCTGCGCGAGAAGGGATTCCAGTCGCGCGGGTACGAAGTCATGTACCATGGACATACGGGCCGGAAGGTGCAGGCCCAGGTCTTCTTTGGGCCGACGTACTATCAGCGCCTGAAGCATATGGTGGATGATAAGATCCATGCGAGGGCGAGGGGGCCGCTCCAGATCTTGACGCGTCAGCCGGTGGAAGGAAGAAGTAGGGACGGAGGGCTGCGGTTTGGAGAGATGGAGAGAGATTGTATGATCTCGCATGGGATTGCAGGGTTCCTCAAGGAGAGGATGTACGATTCGTCCGATGCGTTCAGAATACATGTTTGTGACCAGGTATGTCTTTCTGTTTGGCGGTGATGATGTCCTTAGGGTCGCGGCTGATTAGCAGTGTGGTCTCATGGCTGTCGCCAACCTCAAAAAGCAAGAGTTCCACTGCTCTGTCTGCCGGAACAGTACCCAGATATCGCAGGTGTATTTGCCGTACGCCGCGAAATTGCTGTTCCAGGAATTGCAGGCGATGAATATTGCGTAAGTCCAGCTCAGCTCTTCGGTCACGGTGGGAGGATAGTGGCTGATGATAATAGTGTGCGGATGTACGGTGATGCCGATTGATGATGGTCTCGGAGATGATCAGAGGAGGAGAAGGACGGGTGTGGGCGGGCGAGGCCTTTCAGCTCGGTAGGGAGGGAAGGTTATTTCAGCATTAGCATACCGTTTCATGGGGCTCATGATGTACAACCTGTACTGTTATCTGACTACATCTAACCATTCTGCATATTGACCGGGACCCGTGCTGAGCACGCTAGATAGGCCCACTTATGATAGATGGCTCCTGACCACCCGAAACCGTCCGCGGTACTTACGGCGGTGCCGTACACGGCCACGCTACTTGATTTTTCTGCTCATTGCTGTTTCCTACCCTCACTGCCGTGCAGCAGCCTCTAGATCCCCCAAGAGGATACTACCGACTGCCAGAACATTCGAAAAGCTGGAACGTGTGTCGGAGTACAACCTCCCTGGAGCTCCTTTTACCCCTTGAAACCCAAAATGCGAGTTTGGGTCTTTACGAACACGTCGCACGCTGGCTGATCTATGGATGGTTACAAGCGATCCTTTGATGGCTGCCCTGATGGGGTTGGCCGTGGTCGCCAGTGTAGTATATAAGAGGGGTCAACCCCACTTTTGATCTCAGCATCACCTCTCATCCCCTTGCACCTCACCAAATATCCAAACCCTCTTTACTCCCTTTGACTACTCAATATCACTTCAAGAACTCACTACAATCAGTCACAGCGAAAGCCATGAGCCCGAGCGTCCCCAGCATCATAAATCGCGGAGCCTGGGATAGGTTTCCTGACGGCCGCCAGCCGAAGATGCCCGGCTCGCCTACGCAAGACCCGCTCACTTTAAAGACGTCAGGCCCGCGAAAACCCCCGAGCCTAGGCCCTCTTACCTTTGCAGCCAACAGACAGGGCTGGCATGGTGCGTATTGCTCACCACCCGGCCGCAAGTCCCCTGCCGGCTCTGATTGCGGTACGGTTGCCGGATGGGGAGACGAATCCGGTGGGGAGGGCAGCATGAAGGGGGGCTACCTGGAGTACGGCCGTGCAGGGGTCGAGAGATGGGAAGAGAGTGCTGGGGATGGGAGCGATGCTGAATCCATCTGCTCTTCGATCGGCTCCGGCAAGACGTCGTACAGACGCCCGCTGGGGCGCCCCGACGGCGACGAGCCTCGCGTGACTTCCACGAAGCCGGCATGGGTCGACGAATTGCAAAGTGGCTGGAGCTTCGACCCCCCAGAGCAGGAGGTACCCGCAGCGGAGAGTGGAGGCGGAGCTACGGCGAACGGGCACGAGAGGACGGCGGATACCCAGGCACTCGAGGATCCCCGCAGGAGAGGCTTTGGCTTTGGAGAAGAACTGGTTATGGATGCCACTCACGCCGTTGAACATTGGGACGATCCGGACCCACCGGCAGCCGAGCCAGAAGAGACTACTCAAGACCCCGCCACAAGCCATCCTGATACTGAAACTGAGCTGTCTACCGGTGTCAGGATCCATCACGGGGACGAGCTGGTTCACGGAACCGCATACGATAAGAAGAGCCTTGATAAGTGTCGCAGCAAGCCTTGGTGGGTCGCCGGAGAGGAACGTCAGTCCTGTCAAGCGACCCTCATCAATCTTGATGACAGTCATCGAGAGGACGCCGATACCGGTTCCACAGGCGGCGACACCGTCGGACCCCCTCCGAAGGTTCTGATACGCAGGCGGAAGCATGTGAGGGGGGCAAGGCCTGGGCGTCTGGTGGATCCCCTGATCGACACTCATGCGCTACGAATCCCAAATTCACCGTCCTCTCCGGACGATCGAGACACCACAAACGATCTCGGCGCTCATGATATACATCTCGCTACATCGTCAGTCTTACCGGAAACCCGTCGGCGGTCGAGCATGGATGGTGAACGGCCCTTCTCTTGGGGTACGAACGAAGAGGGAGTCGCCGGTGATTATTTGGAAGTTCATGTGCCTACCTCGCTACCATCATCGACTGAACAGCAGAAGGCTAAACCCGCCCGCGACCTGCAATCGCTCGATCAGTCACAGCCGACAAGCTCCGGTGCAGCGGTCCAGGAGACAGTCAAGGACAGTGGCGGATCCTTGCGCAAGGAGAACGCTCCGGCCCGGGAGCACGCAGTGACGAAAGAGGAGCAGACTGAGGGGCGAGGAGCAGCCCACGATACCGGAAGTAGGAGCACCGCGCTTTCGTGCGCATACCTCACCCTCGGGATGGGCATTGCCGGCGCTGCAACTTACTTCGTTGCCGATTGGATATCAAGAATGGTCGATGAGACTGGGGTCAATGATACTGATTAGTTGGGCTGAGACCGAGTCGTTGAGAATTATACCCAGGACAGATGAGTAAATAGAGAGATGTAGGGGAATGTACGTAGTAATAGATGGATATTCGGCGGGATATACCTTGGTTATAGATGCTATTGCTTGGCTCAGTATAAGAGGAACGCTTGGGCCCGAGCCCGGTCGAGGACTTATTGGCTGGCTGTCTCGCCATGTCTGTAGCCTAGAGCTGCGCGTCGCAGCGCATGATGTAAGCGAGCTCGGAACGTACAAGGAAGCAAGTGGCACTAGGGTGGCGAGACATCGAAAGACATGCAGCCAGCTGCAGATCTAAACATAGCTTTATTGAGAGGGCAAGCTCTATCTGATTTGTAGCCCGGCTAGAGCCCCTCTCATATCACCTTGATATTTTGAGATGTAACATACCCTAGTCGGGATCTCATTCAGCCTGTCGCCACATACTCGTACTGTACGCTGTATTGTAGATGTAAGCTATGTGACCCGACTGGCTCCGCCCAGATCGACTCATAACCCACCTCCCCAGCACCGCCTGGACATCCTTTGTGCGCCACCTCCCGCCTGATACGCGTCTAGGCCCTTCCACACGCGCAACACCTGTCCAGGGGTACATAGGATCATCGCTTCGACTTTCTTTTGTCCTCCCAACCCCTATCACCTGTGCTGTCACCGGTCTGGGGGGGACGGGATTGGAAAAGCCCCTCGAGTCCCTCGGTCTTTCTTCGCCACCCTACTGATAACCCACCTTTCGCCACTCATCTTCACCCCTATCTCCGTCACCTCTCTCCCCGAGTTCATCAAGACCATCCACACATATAACCCCATCACAATTCAAATCACCTTCTGGCCTCACGCACCCACACCCTCGACACCTCGCACGATGGCGACAAAGACAGAAACGTTGCCCGGAAGCTACCCCCGGCCGGGGCATTCGGACGATGACACAGAAGAGTTTCGCCAATTGGCCACTCTGGCCAAGGCGCTGACCGAGATGACTTGCACTGGGGCTGGCCATGCTGCCAATGGGGGATCCTGGGTCCTCAATGGTGCCGGTCAACTTTCTTGGTGGGGGACCAAGGCGACGTACAGTGGGGCAAGTCACCTCGCCCGCTTGGCGTTCGCTGCGGCCACCAGTCCCCACGTGCAGGTACAGGAGGAAGATTCCGGGGCAGACGTCAAGCCCGTCATGCGAGGTCCTCCGAGAAGCAACGATTCCAAGATGCCGGCCATGGTCAGGACTGAAAGCACACAGCCGGTACTACCGATTGCCAGCGAGTCCAGTGATACTACTCCTCTCCGGGAGCCCCACCCGCTGGTCCACAGGCTCTTGAACCCTGCCTATACTGACGGTACCATCTGCGCCAGGCCGTCAGGAATCAAGGGTACCCAGCTCGACACTGTTGCCAACCTGGTTCGAAGGATCCGGAGCGCTGGTAACTTGGGAGGACATCAGAGCAAGACGTCACGGGAGGGGGCCGGATCCACAAACACAGACCAGGCGACGCCCAAGGCTGGCGGTGGGGATATGGCGGTGTCCTTGGCTGATCATGCTGGCAAGGTGAGGGGGAAAGATGACTCGTCACCAGATGCGGTCAAGTCACTCAAGAGCCCGACAGAAGGCAGTGACGGGGCGAACAACTCGGCAAAGGGCGGGGAAGGGCCGACAAGCAAACCCATCGCTGCCTCGCACGACGACAACGGATCCACGCAGGTTGCCGGTCCTAATTCTCTACGGTCCTCATACCTGCCCTCCGCCAAGGCTTGCGCTCTCACTGGGCTGGGGGCGCTCATCGCCGCTGGCGGCTTGTACTCCGCATACCAGAGCCAAACGCTCCACTCGGGCATCAATGAGTACGTTTCACCCGCGCTCACGAGCCTCAACGCCACTCTGAATTCGGCTCTTGAAGACGAACGAGTCACCAAGGCTGCTTCGTGCTTGACAGACTTTACTGAGGCGAGGCTTACGAACGGTTACTGGATGTTGAACAAAACAGGGCAAGCGTTGGGATTCGGGGCGAGCGTTGCCGGATACATCGCATCGAGTAGTCTGTGGGTTGCCAGCGCACTGGCCAAGGTGGGCGGTGATGGTTGGGATGATACCTACGAACCGATGGATTGAGGGATGTGGCGAAGAGTGCTTTGACGAATTGGCAGTGATGTGAGGTGTGAGTAGGTTAGATTAGACAGGGTGGCAGACTGTGAGCAATGTGTTATAGATGTATTGGTACATGTGTGGTCTTGTCTGCGAACCTGAAATGATCCTCAGCACTGCAGCTGCGATTATACATTTCCGATTCCCGGTATTTGTCTTTGCCGAGGCGAATTGGTCTGCCCACACCACCTGGTCTGATGCACTGGCGCTCTACAAGTCAGCTCTGGTGTCATGAGATCAACATGACATGTCACTAGCTCACCTCGAGCTTGTCCCGGATCTCATTCTTCCCCGCCCTTTGCGCCCTGACGTCGTCCATCTTGCGCTTCAATTCGGGTGATAATGCCTGATATGTCAGCGAACACCTGGAGCTCTGAGGATCCAAAGAAGACGCACATCGTAGAACTGCTGCTCTGTGGGGGTGGACCCTGTTGAATCAGCAAGCGGTTCCTCCTGAAAGCCATGGCGAACTCACATGTCATGATACCCCATCCGCTGGCCATTACTGCGGCCATATCAGCTCCTTCATCAGGCAGTTTGCAGCGGATCAGACGAAGCCGTTCTGGACACCCCCTGAGACTGAGAGCTTACTGATCGTTGACCATACGGCGAACCTGACCGGTCAGTCCGAACACATCGACAAGGAAGCGAGGAGAGCGGATGCTGTAGATACTCACTTTCCCCACATAATTTGGCCCGACATTGTGCCCTTCTGGTAATCTGAGTAGCTTGCTCTCGCTGTAGTATGCCTGAGGAGTTCCCTAGGGGGTGTATGAGCTAGCTGCGGTATGTATAGTGGGTGAGTACACCTCCACTCGATCGCGGACCATCGGCTGCTGCAGCAACAACGGTAACGGACGCACGGGACTGCAGCCGCATTTACGTAACGATAGATCTGTAAATTGCCGAAAGCGGCAAGAAAAGGGATTCCCCACTAGCTGTCAGCCATTCCAGCATCATCCATCTTCTATCTTCTCTACCTCATAGCATATACCACCACCGCAACACATAGCTCCCCTCCCACTCGTCCATCGTTCCCTGCCACCACCCATCCATAGCGAAACAAAAAGAATCTTTCGCAAGGACCCTAAAGAGAGCTCTGCACCGCTTTCCAGGGATATCTCGCCTCGCCGACCGGCTGAGCATTCCTCCTCC